TTGTAAAAAAATTTTTCGCGTTAGATAACTGAATACGCAATATTAAAAAAAAACAATGATCTGACACCTTTGACTCTTTGAACTTCTTCTTTGTAATACGGCTAAACGAATGCTATTCATATTAGTACGAATTTACAGAAATTCCGCCCCATTCAATTAGATTTGGTATCATAGACAGCTCATCTCCAAACATTGACGGTAATAGGTACTTGGTTTTGTAACTTTAGCGATGCATGTGTTGCTGTAAAAGATAAGTGCGGAGATCAGATCTTTCCGTATTTCTGCACCCCCCGATATGGTTGAAGAACGACCCTTTGCAGCAAATTGGATGGGGGATTTCAAAATTATGGATAGATACTGAGCGGTCCATTTAAGTATCAGCATGGTTCGATGTCCTAGAAGCATGTAAAAAGCGACCACATGTTGGTAGTTGGACACGGTGGATTAAATTCTAAAACAACAGGAAAAAAAAGAAAGACGAGGTCAAGGAGTGATATTGATATTGATCTGTGTTCCACAAAATATGGGGCAACGAACATTATAACCAACCACAAAAAGGTGTATATTATAATGACTTTCACTGAAGCTATAAGGAGGAGGACGGGGGAATAACTTCAAGCTCCAAAAAGAAGACCCATTATACCTTTCTTATACTGTATTCTGGATTGGAGCTCTTCGTATGCTTTAATTCTTCTTCAATTTGCATTTTTGATTTACCACTATTAACCATTTATTTTTCAGGATATCAGTGTGTCGTTTCCATTTGTCTTTTATATTATCCTTGATTGTTTACCACGGACAACATTTCACGCTATCGAATGACTTGTTCATTCAGTCGATAGTTGACTTTGTCCACCTGGCCTCTGGTGTTCGTGGTAACCCTATGAGTCGCATTTACCCAGTTGCAAATATGTAGTGGTTGATTATAGTTACAATGAACTTTCAGACCACTAAATAATTGTTGAATGTACATTTCATTTTCATCTGGCACAATTGGCTCTTGTGAACTCCAGTTATATAGGCTCAGTTCAATAGGTGGGGTATATTTATTAGACATTTGGTATGGGACATTGCTCATAAATGTCTCATAATAGAGTCAAGAAATTATATAGAGTGGATATACTAGTGCGGGAAAGGAGTTGGGCTGTCAAGGTAGAGAAAACGCGTTCTACTATGGACTGTAGGATTTGTAAGATCCCAATGAGGCGCTCATACTTTTAGGTATATATGTAGTCTGAGAGTGTACAGTACGTATTGGGTGACTAACTAACCAGTTGACCAGTGCCGGGTAAACCGTCTTAGAGGATTTGGTCACACATGGGTGTAACTGGAGTCCATCATTATGGTGAAACACTGGTTGATAACTTGCACTTCCCACCACCACCTTCCTAAAGGGCCACCAGAGGTGCCTGTTAAGTCTTATGTGATCTTGTTGGTTGGCTGACCAGCTGAAACGCAGTACACATTGATCCAACCGCCTGGATCTCCGGTTATTGACTTATAATTCATTTTAAACTCCCCAGTAAAAACTAGCAAACAACAATAAACTAGGACATTCGTACGACTGCAATATGAGCATGCACTTGATATTATGTACTTTGTTACATTTTCATATAAGTTACAAATTCAAATCCAAAGAAGGTGCAGGGAAATAGTGTGGTTGAATTTTATTTTACTTTTTTTGTGGCCAAGGCCAAGGCCAAAAAAAAAATGCGAACTTCAGGATTGTGCATGATTCGAAACCAACCTTCAGTGAATGTGGTAAAAAAATAATTTTGAAATGGATATCGCACGACTTTTTGCAACACCTCATTTTGTATTTCCTCGGTTCCACATCAATCAAATAATTCCATAGTTAGCCGAATTAGACCACGAGTAAGTAGATAATAATATAAAACCTTAACTGGTAGAATCATTAATAAGAGGCTGAGGGACCGTAGAATTCGCAAGAGAGAAGTGGTAGACTTGTATTCACTTACACTGCCCAATGAGGGCTGACTAGTCAGTTAACCAGTATGTAGTACTCACCGTTGAGGACCCTTAAGGGCGGAACGGAGTTCGGGTTATCAGTCAGTGGTCCAGCGGTAGAGGTGGGCCCCAGCGACACCCATGCACAACCAGACCAACCCCTAGAAGGGCTGCCCCGGCGCATGCTACACACTACCTGGCCAAAAGGCTGGATCACCCAGCAAGGCTGGTACGTTTACGGCACATAGGTGAAGTCGCGTCTAGAGTAAGAATCTAGTGCTGGCCATTGACCCGATCTCCACTCGTAAAAGTGGATCCACGTCCGCACACTAGCGGACCGGCTCGGGAGACCCACCCCAACACATGTCAGACGCCCCTACCTCAATGTTTGGACGACTCATTTGGCGCTTACAAATACACCTACAGATCAAAATGGACCATGTGCACTCTACCCTGGCAGCCCGACTTCCTGTCCCAAACTAAATATGTATCCCGTATTACAGCATGCCATCAACACTACCCCCAGGATCCCGGTACATGACATTGAGTTGTCCTTTTCACAGGTGAAGCGTACCTTTGTATTGAGCCCGACACTCAAGTACTCCAAAGTAGCCGGTCAGCACAACATATGCATCCCAGAGTGTTCAACAACACTTTAACTCAAAACACCCCGATGACTCTGGCTCATCATTATTTTACTAAACCATACCCCATCTGTTCTAATTACGTAGGTAATATTGATGCAAAAATATTGTCAACAATACACTGACCAGACTTGCACGACAGTCCAAATTCAAGTATTTTTGAATCGATCTGGTCAACAATACTCGGGAGACGCTACAATTTTAAAAATCCAAGCATACCACTGGAGAAGCATCTTCAAACTCTACTAACAATTCCAAGTGCTTTTGTACTATAGAGACACCCCAGAAATTCCCCACGAAATGATACAAGTCTCGAAACTAGCACCTTATAACAAATTTCCTCCTATTCCATCTCACTTTCTTTATTAACATTCTCATTTTTCTTTGAACTTTGGCCACAACGATAAATATTAAAACGCATGTTTTGATAACATTTCCTTTCCTCTAATAAATTAACGTCAAGTAGCTCATAATCCTTTCGGGGTTCAAATTTTTGAAGATTTTTGAAAATGTCTATAATAGTTTTTGTTTCTCCTCATTTATCCATTTCTTTTCAAAGGATAATGTAGGACTGTTACCTCTTAATTTTTTTTTCTTTAATGAACCTCAACCCAGGTATTCTGCTTAGAAAGTGTGTGTTTTTGAAAATGTTGACATTGTTGAACCAACTCCTTTGTGACTGAGAAATATTTCGTTTACAGAAATATTGTCTTTGAGTTATATGATTTGGACCAGTAGCATTATGTTGATTATTCCTGGGTCGTTGAGGTGAAACATGGGACGGAACCAAACCGGTTGGATGAATATAACTTGAAGTCGTACCTGGGGGGAAGTGTTAAGCTAACGTTACTAATGAACAACTACGTAATTTGAAAAAGTGAGCAATGACGATACCTGATACACACATCTTCATAGTTGACTTCTTGTATTGACTTACGCCATCGAGATCGCTCATTATGCTATTAATCTCAGAGAGGATACACAGGAGAAACCTAAAAGTTAGTTTTTGGTTACGGAGTCAAGTATTCAAACAGTTGGTTCACGAATATTTAAAAGATGGAAAACAAAGTTCCAAAAAACTATGTTACCCCATTGATTCCGCAAAGACTGACCAATGAATTTTATTAAATGATCTTCTTGTGGATATTCCTAGAAAAATAAGAGGTAGATGAAAGATGAGGATAAAAGGTTGTGGTTGTTGTTTCATCACAAATTTAAGTGAGCCACAGAGAAATATATTTAATAACAAATTAGGATGATATTCCGCGCACTACTATTTGAGCACGAAAGTTGCATCTGATGTATGGATTTATATTTCTTCTGTCGTAATGAATATACTTTTGTTTATCATATTTTTCTCGTAATAGGGGCCGGCACGCTCTCTCTCTTACTTGAATCATGAAATGACTGCATGTAGATCTCTAGAGTGGAACAATAAATATGAATTGTAAATCTATAAATCATACAAGAGTTAAATATACAGTGGTTGTATTCTTGTATAGAAATTTTATCTTCTTAGTGCAGTGGTACTTCAGCTCGAAATAGAATATGTGGTGGGTAGCAAATACATAAACCACTTCATTCTCTTTTGGGTAATCGCAAGTTAATAGAGACTTCGGACATGACAGTATCTACCTTAGAATGTAGTGTACAGTGAGTGATATAAATAGAATTTAGTATGGAGTATTATACACCTTGGTGTCAAATGATGTACACTACTGCCTCCCCATTAAACGATACCCCACAAATGCAAAAACACATGTGCAGGAAAGGTGAACAAAAATATAAACGCATTCCCTATTTTTAGAAACCTGAGCAACCTAAGATCTAAAAAAGGAACAGTTGTGAGGAGGAACATTTTAAAACCTTTCACGGTGAAATTTCGTCTTACATTTTACAATAGATCTCTCTGAGCCTAAACACAAAAACACCATTTCTAGGATGTGTAATAAACTATTCGCTAGTTTTGCTATTTCTTAAGGCTCTAAGGAAAATATGGCAAATTGTACGGTAGGCTCAGACTTATCTTCTCTTTCTCGCTAATACTGTTCCTTGCTTTTCCATATGTATCATGCGGGTTGCAAAGGTTAAATTATGAATTAACGTAATATACATGCAGAATAATATTATTATTAACTTTAACTATTAAATTTATATTATTTTTAGAATGAAACAAGTAAGTGAATTTTTAATTTATGTACGTTATTGACATAATAAGTAGTTTCGTTAAGCGATTGAATCTCATTTTTAGAACATCTAATAATAGAATCCATAGCACGGCGAACGCCATTCAAAGCCACAATCATAGATGTACTCCAGAGAATTTAATATATAATATCAACCTTTTATGCTTTTTTAAAAAACATTTCTCACTTATCAACAATTATCTCGAACAACTTACAATAATGAAGTTTTCTACTATCGCCGTCACTGCCGCTTTGTCCAAATTCTCTCTCGCTGCTGTCTACGATATTAAGCTTTACGCTGAATCCACTGACTCTGCTGTCGGAGGCAAAGCTTTGTCCTCAATACATGAAGGTGCAGGTCTCAACTATTTCTTTTTGGGTGATTCTCCTGAAACTCTTCTGTATGACGATAGAACTGGAATAATCCATTCTGATAAATCTACTGTTGGAATTGCTGATATTTTCCTTGGGCTCGGTGTCTCAACTTTCGGTAAAGCTACTTTTGAAAATGATATTTTATCTATCGAAGGAAACTCTGAATTCTACGCTGCTAAAAACGTAAATGACCCTTACAACTATTCTGAAAATTCATACGCTGTTACTGCATTTACCAACAAAAAAGTACCAGAAGGAGCTATTAAGATTTCTATCAAGAAGTCTGGCAGTCCATCCGTCCCACCACTCCCATCCTCTTCCGCTTCATTGAGTTCGTCAGCATCAGCACCATATGGTAACTCTACCGTCACTCAGACCACTGTTACTTACACCTGTTTGTCTCAGACTGTAGTAACAATTACCAGCTGTCCAGAAACTGTCACTGATTGTCCAGCTAGAAAGACTCCAACTGTTGTAACTACTAATGTTGAAGTTACCTTAACTACTACATACTGCCCAGCCTCCACTACTCCAATTCTTACTACCATTTTACCCCCTGCTACCTCACCAGCTACTGCTGTTCCAGGCTCTACATCTGCTAAGCCAACTACTGTTGTACCTGGTTCTACTTCTGCTAAGTCATCTACTGTTGCTCCAGCTATCACCACTGCTAATGGTGCGGCTAGGGCCGGTGCTGGTGCAGTTGCGGGAATGGCAGCAATCGCAGCATGGATGATTTAATTTGATAAAATTGTCATCAAACTTGATCATATTTAGTTTATTAACCTTGTTTTTTATATTATACAATGTACACATATTCAGAATATCAGTAATTTAATGCGTAACAAAAAAAAAGTTCAAAAAATAAGGGGCGAGCTGGGAATTGAACCCAGGGCCTCTCGCATGCTTGTAGAAATCAACTATTTAAAGCTGTAACCCAAAGCGAGAATCATACCACTAGACCACACGCCCGTATTTTATATTCAAATTTGGGTAATTGTTTGTCATACCCTCCATTATCCAGTTAGGGATTTTCGGCTATATACATGGCAACTATGAAATGGATATACAAGAGAAGGTTATATAACCAATATGACCAACAATTATATAGATATATTATAGGATAATAAACACCGAATGAAGAAAAAAAAAATATATATACAGGATGTTTAAAGCCGCCACAGACAGAACCAATTGAGGAAACCACACATCATCCCCCAGGGATGGGAGAGGGAACTCTCAATCGGCTCTGCTGACTGGAAAAAATTCTGGAAACAACTCAACAAAGTCAAACTCAAACATCCCGAAGGGGCGGAAGAACTTCACCGTGTTACCGTGGCACGATGTCCCAAGTTAAAACGGTGACGGTGCGCCAAAACAACACTACTATTCTAGCACAGAGCAGGCGAAGCAGGGCCATGCAAATCCAATCCACGAATGATAATGCGGAGCATGTCGATTCCAGGCGTGTTGCATGCTTGACAGAAATGTCCAGTGCAGCCACTGATTATCGCCTACTCCAACACATGTACTCAGAATGTAAAGTATCACGTCAAATCTGGGAAGAAATATCACGTGAGAATCTCAATTTACTGATAAAGCTATTAGTTGCAAACTCGACATTGTCAATCCTACAATATTTAAATGTAAATCGTTACCTCCAAGTAATTCATCGTTTCTTTCGGGAACGACGACAGACCTCAACAGCGTTAAGGACCCCCTTAACGTCTCGCGATATCACTGCTTGGGTTACGTTCTTTAAATCAACAATTAGATAAAATAATATGAACAATAAACTGTGAGAGGTTTTCAAAGTCAACACTTTTTCCTCTCACTCAATAACGTTTATTATATGGCAACTATGAAATGAATATACAGAAGGAGGTTATATAGCCAATATAACCAACGATTATATAGACAAATTATAGGATAATAAACATCGAATGAAGTAAAAAAAAAAAAAAAAAAAAAAAAAAAAAAAAAACTGAAAGTCAGATTGGCTGGATCACATCTACAGTAGTAGTAATTGTAACTTGTATCGGAGTTTGTTTCCTAAAACATCGACTATAGTATTTATTCAACAACTTTTGAAACTCAAGTTGTGAGAATACTTACATTTGTCACAAATTGATTATAATACTATAGTAGCGGCAGCAGTATGCTTCTAAAGCTTTTTACACAATTCATTAATTATTTAATGTGCTTTCATTTTGTTACTAGTCTGAAAAAGTGCTGGGGGTACCAGTTATTTCCAACTATAATAAAAACCACATGATGTTATGCATATCATAGAGGGTAAGGCGGAACCTGTGATAATCTCGTACCATGCCAATATTATCACAATACAACCGAATCCCAGAATAAAATATACACATTTACAAATACAAAAAAGTCAATTTTTTTATCAATCAATGCAAAACATACTATCTACTCTTCCTCGTCACTATGGTCGTCTCTATAACCAAATTTTCTGATTTCCCCAAGTCTCTTTCTAGCGGCATTCAACGAGTTTTCTAATTTTAAAATTTCCACTTGTTGTTCCATCTCAACAGTTTTACCTTCATATGGAGTCAACTTGCTCAAATCAATTTCATTCTTTGAGCTCTCTCCATTGGTTAATAATCCTTGAACTTTTCCAACCAATGACTTACAAGCAGATGTTACTTTGACAGATGCGGATTCCAAGTTATCTTGAGTCTTAGATACAAAGTTAGCCTTTACTCTAGATGCAGCAACTAATTGTGCAGTCGAAGCAGCAACTTCGTTAGAAGCTACAATAAGCTGTTCATGAGAATTTTTTTGTTTCAATACCCCATCAGCAGTTTGGATCAATATATTAGTTGCTCCTGCAACTGCTTTTGAAGCACTAATCAACCCTTCAGTCCATCTGTTGTTCTTTTTGTAGAACTCAGAACTAGATTGTGTTCCCTTACCCTTGCTCACAATTTCTCTTTGCAGCTCAGTGGCAGCCTTGATGAGTAATGCAATGGCATTGGTAACAGCAACGGCTGCAGTGACAATAGCTTCGTGAACTTCCAATGCTGCACCAGTAACAGTAGGGTCATTAAGAAGGTTCAGTAAGAATTTTGAGGCAGAATCAACAGCAGCAGCAGTTTGATCCATTTCATTTTGTACCAAGTCTTCTATGTTACCAGAAGAGAAATTGATTCCATGAATCGATCTTAATCCGTCAACATACGTTCCTAAGTCTTGCAAATGATGTTGTACAACTAAGTTACAATCAATAACTTTGTCTACCTTATCGTCGTCATCTTCAAGTTGGTTCAACTTATGAGAATCTAACTCAAGGAAAAATGATTCAGCACTGTCAAGAATCTTGGATACAATGGTTAATAACTTTTCTTCATCAGATTTTGGTATGACTCTCAAGATACCCTTCGCATTTAACATGATATCATTCATTGAGGCAGTAAGGGAAGAACTGGTCAAAATTATATCCGCATAACTCAGATCATCGTCATCGTATGAATGTTTTCCATCAGCAATAAACGTATTGAAACTAGTAGCAAAGTCAGTAGCCACATCAGATCCGATTTCAACAATCGATAACAAATATTCAGGTGAAGCGTTCAAGTTTCCTGCTTGCATTGGAGATTGTAATTCATACTTTATATCTTGGATACGTTTGACATTATTGGCCAAGAATACGTCAACTAATTTGGTGAGTTTTTCAATATTTTGAAGGAGAATTTGATCGATTTGAGCATTTACAACATCATCTTGATCATCTCTTGAAATTGCCAATTCACGCAAAGCACTCTCAAGAGATTCTTGAGCAATCTCTAAATCAATTTCTTTTTCCTTCAACTTCTCCTGGAGGTCAACTGGGGATAATTCGGACAATTTAGCATCTCTTTCGTCAAGTTGGCTGCGCAATACCTTCATTTCAGCATCATGCTTTGTGAGAAGAGAAGATAAATTTAAGTTTTGAAGTTTCCCAGATTCATTCACCTGAGCGTTAAGTTCACGAACTTCTGCTGACAATCTTTCAATTTCTTGATCCTTAGACGCCTTAACACGGTCTAAATCAAGTCTTGCTCTATCTCTTTCACGGATCAAGTCTGCCAATTCCAAGTTCTTCAGCTTTAAATCTTTTTCAAACTTTTCTTTCTTCAAGATCAGCTCTTGAGCACTATTAATCTTTTGTTGAATTTTCTTGAATTTAGCCAAGAGATTCAAATGTTCTTGACGTAATTGTGAATACAATTTAGCCAATGATTCATACTTCTTGGTCCAATTGTTGATTTGCTCTTCCAAATTAGCAATTTGCTCATCTTTCGATGCTACTTGTTGTGTTGCATTTGAATTTAAGTTTACCAATTCAGTTTCCAAACTCTTTACACGTGAATCGTATTGTTGTAAAAGCAGTTGATCATTATCATATTGATTTTTAAACATCAATAAATCATGTTCCAATTCTGCAACTCTAGATTGTTGTTGATGAGTTTGCTGTTGTTGTAACATTTGTTGTTGCTGCAAGAAACTTCTTTCCTGTTGACGTTGTTGTTCTTCAAATGCTTGTTGCTCTTGCAATTGCTGTTGCAATTGTTGTTGTCTTTGAAACTCAAGTTGTTGTTGGAGTTGCTGCTGCTGTTGTTGCTGTTGATCAAAAACTCCTGTTTGTTGAAGGAAAACCAGATCTACAGGAGGAGGAGTAGGTGGAACTCCACCTGTTGGCTGAGAAGAAACCCCGCCAGCAGGGCTGGCAGTGTCCACTGACCTAGGTCTCGAAGGAGCTGCAGATCCAGAACTACCTTCTGCAACTTGTAAGTTTGGAGGGGTATTGGATAAACGGGGAACTGTCACCAAACTGGTTAAAAACTTAATGGCATGACAATCGGTATAAAAATCACGCAACATAAAGTGTTGAGAATCAAACCTTTCAAATAATCTAGCCAAAGCATCATCAGCACCCAATTGTTGGTAAAGAGCACGTAACATTGAAGTACAGAACTTATAAATACCATACAGCTCAGCAATCAATGGAACGAGGGCACTAACCTTACATAAATTATTAGGAGTTTGATGGATTGTGGCAAAGATCAATTTTTGGAAATCATCAATCAGATCTTGTAAATCCATCAATTGTAAAATCGATTCATACCCTTCATTTGGGTCATTAACAGCACGAAGAGATATATACTCTTCATATTCAAACGTTCCGTTGAATCCCGGGTTGTTGCGATGGAAAGCAAGTTTCTGTAAGAGAAACCGATCGTATTGAGCAATTAATCTCCCATAAGCGGTCCCATGGGCTGGGAAAACGCTTGCAAGAGATGAGAGAAAATCACGGTTTTTAAATCCATCTTTCAAAGTGTTTGGATGACCTTCTTGAAGAACTTTATGGATCATGATCAACGCCTTGAATAACTGAACTTGATCATTTTGAAGTGGTTGGATCTTCACTGCATTCCAGAAAGCACGCAGGTTTTTGTGGTCCCATGTGTAGACAATACATGCCCGTACATGCTTCCGCTTTGGTGGAACCTCGTCAGCGTTACATGCCTTTTTGACACTTAGTTGCAAGTCAACTTCGGCTCTACTCATTCGGTATTTATTTGTGTCACAAGAATCTGATGGTGAACTTTTCTAATACCCAATCTATTAATTGTGTCCTTTACTTTAATGTACACAACTAATTTCAATGGAATCGGTAGTATACGTTCAATTACTAACTAACAATAAGGGGAGCAAAAATTGGTATTTGCTCGTTGTAGTTGGCGCGAATTTCCTCGACTTCCGTGATAACGACCGAACGTGGATGTTTATAGAGGGGCTATACATTGGATGCAGGATTTTTCTTGTTTATAGTGGGCTAGAATTAATATTACAACAATTACACAGATCAATAGCCCCATATTTGTGTTGTAGTAATCTTAATTAAAAATCAAAATTAAAATAGAAAGGGAGGGAGAAAGGAAAGATATGTAAAGCTTGTAAGATATACTAAGTAATAAATAAGATCCCCTCTAATATTCTTTATTGTACTGTACTTGATTGCCGATTGGTAGATAGAGTAATCTAGCAACTGTTTCTATAAATGGTTATCTTTGATATCATTTCATTAATAAATCATAAAATCTAACCTTTAATTGAATATACACTATTTGCTCATGATATCTCGTGATATTGTAGAATTCCTCATGTTGAGAATTCTCCCTAACTAAAATACGTAGTACATATATAAATAATGCGCATAGCAGCCACGTCTGCTTCTGTAGTCACATCGACATTCTAAAACCCCCTATCCTCCTTATCTTCCTTAGTGAGATGGCTTGTACTTGGCCTTACCGAAATCAAATGGTAAGTAACGGTATTTAACCATATGTTGAACTTGTTTTCTCATAGTTAAAGTGAATAAGACAACAAAATACATAACTAAAATTGGCCAGAATACTGGAATATCAAAAATCACAAACATAGACATGAGCAATGAAATGGCAGTAGCACGAGTGGCATTATACCAAAACTTGAATTCAGGTAAACGACGAATAAATGGACGGAATTCTTGGTCAGAACGTTCAGCAGAAGCAGATGAGGAACCTTCAGCTTCAGCGCCACCTTCGAGTCCTTCTTCAATAGACTCGTTTTTCATCTCCTGTTCCAAGGAGGGATCGAACTTCGGCGTCAAGAAAGCCAAGAACAAGTTAAGAAGGTAGATACCAAGTCCATAACAAATGATATACCAACCTTGAGCGAGTAAAATACGCAAAAAGAACACCGCAAACAATGCTCCAAATGCTATCCAACGGTGGGTTGCATGTGGCACAGAGCGATCAAGGTACTTCTGGTAGGTTACCTCGAGCTCGTGGTACTTCTGGTAGACAGGGTTGCTTTGCAAGTCTTTCAAATCGAAGGCCATTGTGTTGATTTGGATTACTAGTATGACCTGTTTGTTTCGAGGCACGGTACAAAAAATGGGCGGACGTGTTGGTGTGTGTGTAGGAATAAAATGCGAAGTGCACAGACAAGTCTGTGCAGTCCTGCAAAAAATAATATTTAATGAAGGGACAAGTAAAGATTTTAAAATTAACAATTGTATGCATAATATATAAGGAATAGTATTGGAAGTTTAGCATTAGTAGTATAAATACTCCTAGAGCTCAAAACTATATATTTCCCAGTTGTGTACAGTAGGGTTGGAGGAGTTTAACTCGTCAAAATAAAAGAATGTCGGCATACCTGCATGTATTGCAAATGGGTGCTTTTCCTTGAAATTTCATGAAGTGCATTTTTCTTGTCCTTCATTTACGTGACTCGCTAACATTAGCATTAGAACCCTTGTTTCGGAGTTTGCACCACCCTCCTTCCACTTGTAAATATAAACTGGGAAAGAATATACCAATACCATCTAGAGCTTCTGTTCACTGAAACTTGGGTCAGTATACTGTCTTTGAGGGCGGCTTCTGTTATATTTTCTTCTCTCACCCCTTTTGTATATTAGTCAATCCTAATTTACAACCATAGACTTTTAAAAAAACCCTTTAAAATTGATGATCGATCAATATAAGACTAGGGATGTAGTGTTAATCGATATATTGGTTATTAGTAGTCAAATCAACATTTTTTATTTGTGGCAAAGGTATAGGTTGTACATTGTACATGTCATGTGACCGTTGTATATTTATCCTGTCAAATTATGCAGTCATTGTATCCAAAGGATCGTATAATACATATTTTGACGTGGTGTTGTAAGGAAGACACCCAATATATGTTTGTATTATTTGCATTATCAGCTGGACTACTCAAACTAGAGCCTCAAGTACGTCAGCTTCGGTCCCTTGTGGCGACTCAGTCCTCGCGAAACATATCATACGATTATCAGCTATTTCTTGCAATATCTTATGCATGTTCCGTTATATCCGCTTTGCTTTACACCTTCAATGACACGATTGCAAAGCAATATCTAACACGCTACCCTGTAGCAGTAGCAGCTGCTACCGAATCACCACTGCGTTGGTCAGTTCCGGTCTCTTACCTAATACTTGTGGTTGATATGCTTGGTCTTGTACTCTCGTTTTGTATAACGCGACGTCTTCTCAAAACAGAACATCATAATACACAACAAGGGATAAGTACAATAGCAAAATGTATCATATTCATAATTACAGTTTTTGGTGTCTACATGTCATATCTTGTTTATAATAACAGAAGTGCCCTTTTCTGGCTTGATGTTATCGATTACATTTGGCTAATCGGTGTTAGTCTTGCTCCCGTTAGTCTCTTCCCACAACTTGTTATGCATTGGTATGTCGATTCTACTAGCCCTGGGCTCCCAGTAACGTACTTGCGCCTGCATTCAATATCTCTTGCCTTCCTCATTATGTCCAAAGTTGCAATTAGAACTGCAAATGTCCCCTACTACCTCATGCCTACCAATTTAGGCGACACTTTCTACTACATAAGCGTACAAGCTACTTTATTAGTGGTGCTTACATTTCAACGTATCATATACAGTAGAGCAAGGGCATCTTACATAGCTCCACTCAACGCCAAACCATAGACTATTGCTATTCGGTTACCCCCCATCAAAGAAACACATTTTAAAGTCCACCTAGTCGCCATAGTTCTTGAAACTATCTAATTTAAGGCGCCTCATCTTGTTTCCTGCTTGCTCCATAATTTTCAAAAGAAAGGCTACGCCTATAGGTGGCTCAATCAAGTTTCAGAATTAATGTTCCGTGTAGGTTTCCACAATGTGTAGGGTTTGGTCTAAGATACGCTCTGCTAATAAACAAGGGATTCCATATAAAACGGTATATCAAACATTCAAAGAGAGTACATAGATTTAATTGTGTAAATATATATCTGGACATCATCACTGTGTGTAAGAAGATATTCCCTTCTTCACCTGCATCACTGAGTATTTCTAGTTATTTTGAATTAATACATATATGGTTATATAAATATATAATATACATGCTCCCTTGTAGAGGAGTCAGTCCAAGGAGGCAGAGGATCTCAACTCACGAACAATAAGTTTGCAAAATCCTAAATGTGAAACTTAATAGATCAAATTGTAATCCTACTCAAAAATTAAGGCAGCCTTAAAATTGAGAAAGTTTAGGTGGTAATGGTACAGTTTTGTGTTTAGTTCTAAACATTACATTTTACCTCCCAACAACTTTAATGCCAAATGGACCCCATAGCTGATACGTCTGTTTTCATCAATTGCATAAGTTTGCTTGAGTTGACGATCTTCATCTGTAGTGGCATTAGTCTTACTTGGACTAAGTCCTTCAGAATCATTTTCTGGTTCTTCTATTACAGGTTTAGGTTCGAAATCCTTCAAGGTTAATCTCTCCACGTGATTCATCAAGTTATCCACTTCACTACGCATAGTTTTCTTTAGCACCGGATCTTTGGTAACAATAACAGCGTTACTTTCCAAATCCAAGCTGTATGCACGCTTTGTGTAGTTAGATGAACCAATGACAGTCACCGAAGGTTCATCCTCATCGGGAACAGTGATCCAAAGCCCCTTTGCATGATATGACCAACCATCAGGAGTGTTAACTACACCATTCAGCCATTCATATAAACTAATAAGAGAAGCTTGACCTCTACGTGCTACCTCTTCCAAAAAGTGTTTGGCACAAAGAAGATAAGCTTCTGGAAGGTAATAAGATACACCTGCAGACTTATAGAATGAATTAGCTTGTGGAGCAGCAGTCACAACCACACCAGATGCCTTCCCAGAAATAAGACGCTCCTGGATTTGAGGGTGCATGTTAAAATACCCAGCAGTAAACCACCAACGAATTTTAGGAGAATCTAAATATGATAAAAGTCTTAAAATTGCAGGCTTTTCTGTGGAAAGATCATTTTGTGGGTGCAAGAGTGGGGTAAATTGGGATACTGGATATACAACTGTATCAATTTCCGAGTCTGCCAAATCAATAGGTTCAACTTGATGTTGCTTTAAAATTGGTTCAAGCAAATACAGAGAGTCTGAAATGAAACGATGAAGGTTCATGGATGGTTCACAAGATTTGTTTGCAGTTGGCCAAGTCAATCTAAATCCTTGAGGGTTCTTTGTAGAAGGAACAAGTTGATACAGGAGCAGAGAAACTGCACTTTGTATGGATTGATAATAATCAGTCAAGGGCCCGTCAGAAAATATATAATAACGATCTTGTCTGTTTGTAAAATAATCTTCAGATAAATTAGCACCAGAGAGCATAATTTCATCATCAAATCCATACAATTTCATATGTTGAAGACCCCAACTTTCATTAATTCTACGGGGGGCCATTGACTTGGTGAGACCGGCCAAATGAGGCGTGTGGTACATACGGACATCTACCCGATGCTTCCCGTGTTTTTCCACAAGTGGAACAAGTAAAGATGCCAGGCATCTGTTTTCTGGTGCCTCTCTGGTTCCTCTAAGGGCATCAGTCAATACAGACACTGATAAATCTGGATTAGCAGTAAGAGCTTCATCTATACATGAAATGAGTTCGTATTGTGATTTCCCAATGTATAAAGAACTTAAAAATATTCTTTGCCTTGCCGATTTAATTTTAGTTTTAAGAGTCAGATAAAATTCTGCAGGAGTTGTTAGTACATGGATATTTTTAGCTGGCACAACAAATCTTGGGGAAATGGCATCCAACTGAAGGAAAATAGATCTCAATCTTGGATGGAACAGTTCTACAACTGTTTGTGGGATTGTTTGATTGTTGGTTGAGTATGATCTAATATCAACAGGAGCATTCCGACGACGGAAGATCCAATTTGTAAAATACAGAAGCATTGGTTGTTGACTAAACCCAGTGAGTTGATGAAGTGAACGTCTAGATAAATAGATTACGGGACCAGATGTAGATTTACCCGTTTGTAATTTTGGTTGTGAAGATTCTTTTTGATTCCGATAACCGTTAAATAATTTGTAGGAGCCGCCACTAGGGTATGACGATGAGATATGATAAGAATGGGAAAAATACTTGGATGTACGATAAGCCGAATAACTACGACCACTAGATGAACCACCAAGTAAGAATTTATACAGAAACAAACGAGGCGAAATGGGGGGTCCAATGGAAATCATTTGGGGGCATCCGGAAAAACAGACTGTATTTAAAGAAAAAGTCAAACCCGAAGTAGCGAGCGAAATTTTGAGAAAAGCGAGAAAATTCACAGAAAAGTAACGTGCAAAGTGTAATCTGTGACGATTTAGAAACGGGCGTCTCCAATTTCCAAAAACCTTGAGAGGATAGGCCGAAAAGAGAAGTTTTTTTTAAGGGTTGTTGAGGGGAGGTAAGTGCAGGTCGCGACAAGTATAAGATTCATATAGTTTACTGCATGGCCAGATCAATTATGATGTCTAGCACAAATGGTGTGTATAGAGATAAGAAAGAGTTTTGCCAATAATAATATGTCTATTTTGAGTTACATAGATAAGTGAGACAGGTGCATAGTTGGAGGAATTAATGTGTTATCAGTGTGAATTTCAACGTCCAATTTTTTATTTAAGTGAGAGGGAAAAAGAAATAGTATTAACAATAAAAATAATAATAAAATAATTAAAAAAAAAAAATAATAATAATAATACACCAGGGCTCGTGGCGAAGAAGATGGGGGAAAGACGGGGGAGGTGTATAGGAGCAAACGTAGAAGAAAAGTCCAGTATTTTAAAAGTTAAATTGCCCTGATTACACTTTTTACTTGGGGTTAGGTTAGTATCGGGGCGTGTAGAAGTCATATTTCAAAATGAAAAGGTGTAGATATGAAACGAGAGACATGACCGATGATTGCGACGGGGTGGTGTACGGATGCAATTAACCTTTTGAATTCAGATTGATACACGAGCCGGCAACTAATTGAGGGGTATGGATCCCCGAAATAACGACATTACCTGCATTAAAATTAGATTATCCCAAGCTATATGTGGTGACGCAGAGTAATCATAATATAAAACGTCAAACAAGGAACGTACAACTGTCAAAGGAGAAAGAAATGTAACATACGTCTGTATGATATACATACTGTTATGCGGGGAATTGTCGTGTGACGCTTTCGGCATATGAGTTGCGCAACATCGTGCAGCCTTGATAGGTCAATATTTATTCTTCAGGCATACAAGGGAACGATTGGTTCTTTACAGAGATATTTTTTTGATGATAGGTCTTGGCAAGGGGGGGGTTTTATTGTATTCCTGTCGCACAACAAGGCTGACATTTACTATATACAAGATGAGGAATTTCGAAGCAATGTGCGTTATCAAACATGGACTTACCCCACAATGTTTGATCGTATTACCTTAAGAGGGGCAGAATGAGCCCCGGCCCATGTGGGATAATATATTTAAAAACCTATGATAGGGTGGAAGTAGAGGTGACGAATAATCTTAATGAGTAAAAACGTCCACCATAGTCAATCCCCCTTTTGTACCAAAAAGATCGGTCTAATATTGCTCTATCTAGCCTTCCCTGCGGCAGCTTTTACAAGCAAAACATCACCATCCTCGACTAAATAGGCCTTTCCTGCCTTGAGTTGACGGCCCTTGCTCTTCAAACGAGCTTCATCTAATGGCGCAGATTCTTTTTCCAAGTCGGAATATTTATAGACTTGGGCAGATACAAAAGTCTTCTGAAGGTCGGTATGAATAACTCCTGCAGCTTCTGGTGCAGTGGAACCTTCACGAACAGTCCATTGACGTGCTTCTAGTGGTCCACATGTGTAGAATGAAATCAAACGAAGAACTGATCTCATTCTATCTGTAATGTAAGGAAGTGCACTCACACCCACAGTTCCTTCCTCTTCACCGGCAGTTTCTACAAGAGCAGACTCATAAGCCCCGGAGAAAAGCACAACTTCATCACCAGGACTATGTTCAGCTACCCATTCTTCCACCGCGGATTTAAATTCATTTTCTTGGGACAAGAAATCTTGTTCGTTTACATTTAAAAGGAAAACTGTAGGCTTTGCTGTTAATAGATTGTGCAGATTTAACACCTCTGCTTGTTCAGCGGTCCATTCGCGACTACTAGATATTTTCCGTCCATCGTACAACAATTCTAATGCTCTTTCAAGGGTGGCACATTCTAGTTCGACCTTGTTTTGGTCGATTCCAGGTTTACGACGTAATTTTTGGGCCTTTTCAATTCCAGTTTCAACAAAGTCCATGTCCTTTAACATAAGTTCATCAGCAACTATTTCTAAATCTCTTACTGGATCAACTTTATTATCTTCAATATGAATGATTTCATCATCTCTAAACCCACGTACCACTTGGAAGATCCCGTCTACTTGACGGATGTCTGATAAAAACTTATTACCTAAACCCTCACCTCTAGCTGCATTCCTCGTAAGACCTGCAATATCAACAACTGTAAGCAGGGTAGGTACAAGTTTTTGTGACCCGTACAACGCAGCTAAATGGTTAAGTTTTGCAGATTCAACCACCACACGAGCTTGTTCCGGGTCGATTGTAGCAAAAGGATAATTAGCTGGATTACCGAGTTCTGACTTGGTAATAGCTTGAAAGAAAGTTGACTTCCCAACATTTGCAAGTCCAACGATTCCCAGGGTCAAACTATTACTAGGGCGTCCCAAATAAACTGGTCGTGCAGCTGCTCCTGAAGTGGCACCACCTTTCAGTTTGGCAGCCAACCTAGCACTAGTCTGGCTCAATGTACGTACAAACAGTTTCATTAGTGCAATAGTATATGGTCCAATAGATGCTCTGGTGATATTTTTCCCAAGATTTTTCATTCTTTTTTCTAACTTTAATTCGCACTGCAACCATTTGTGTTGCAAGTGATTTACTTAACACTATTACAATGTCAAAACACATAGGAGGTACAGTTACATTAAATTTAGATTTAGTTATGTGTGGTTCTTAAAATATATTATAGTATAAGTGTTCCTTCTTGTATTTTACGTTTTTCTGCAACTAATCTTAAGGTTCCTTTTGTAAACCTATCCTCTGGTTACATTTCATTCCTTATTCCTAGACCAAATACACCAAGCTGAGCTGTTTTCTCTTTTTAATAAATCTATTCAATTCTATTATATTTATAACTTAGCTTTAGATAATCTAGAAACATGCTTCTTGTATAATTCACGAGCTCTTGTCCAGACAGGAGACTGGTCTCTTTGAGGTAATTCTAATAAAGATGGAAGTAAATCTTTAGAGAAAAATTCTGAAGCCTCTCTTGGTAACATGGAAGGGAAGTTATCAATGGAACAAATTGAAAGTTTTGGACCAGCAGTGGTTTTGACTTCAATGGTTGGTTCTTGGAAAGTGGTGATTGTGTCATACACTGGGATTGGGTTGTGTGGGTTGGTTGTATCAGCGGAAACATCAACAATAGTCTGTAATTTTCTATTTGGATCATTCAAAGTCTCCCTAGTAATAAAGGATGGGATTGGCTGAGAAAGATAAATACAATTCACAAAAATGTTGGATTGAATAATTTCTTCAAATGGACCACCACGAGCTGTTTCCTTCATATCCCAACGAATGATTTTATTTTCAGGAATTCCAACTTTTTGGAAAAGAGAAACTGCTCCTGAGCCACATCTACCAAGAGCTCCAATTACAAGACAAGTAGGATATTCTCCACCATTCTTGGAAAGGGCAGATTTGACTTCAGTTTTGATCTGTGTAATCAAGGAATCTTCATTTGGAAATGATGAAATGGCAGGAAGTGAAAGTTCATCACTATGAGTTTGCTTAAATGCCCAGTCTCTTACACTAGTTGCAGCACCAGCAAACCCGGCATAGAACCCAAAGGCCGCAACTCTTCTGCCCTGGTCATTTTGCAAGAACTCAATATCATATAAGGTCCCATTCCCAGCTGGGAACCTAGAAAGAACATCTTGCCAACCTCCTTGGTTTTTATAACAATGAGCAAATTGAATGTGTTCATGTACCAATGGAAAAGTTTCATCTTCGGGGAGTTCCTTTAACCCAATTATAATTCTATTTCTTGGTGCAGATTTCCAAGACCCTTCAGGTACAATAGTGGCTCCAACATCTCTATACTCCTTAGTTGAGAAAATTGATTGAGATGATTCTTCAACATATACTTTGAATCCAGCATCAAGCAAGATTTTAGTAGTGGTTGGAGTCAATGCTGCTCTTTTTTCATATGGTCTGGTCTCTGCCCTCAAATGAAGGGAAACTGGATTTGATATTGTTGTACTCATTGTGTGGTGGGCTGATGTGTGATTTTTGCCTTTGTTTTTTTCGTCGAACCGTTTGCACCCATTTATACAAACTGGACAGGAAAAAAAAAATTAAATGAGTCAACTGCGGCGGGATTGACTCAGTTGTTACTCATCACAATATGCGACAATAGAGTTCAACAATTCTCAATAGGGACTATTGGAGTCATGAATGTATGACATATATCCAGTACGTGTATCGTACTTCCTAGCCAGACTTATCCTATACTTGTATTTGTGTTTCGATGCAATAATCTGAAATGACCTTTTGTGGAAAATTAATCCATGACAGATAAGACTTTGCGGGTGTGTGGGTGTGCAGTTTTTCCGTGGTATTGTTTCAAACTCTTATCTTTACTAAAAAATAAGGCAATACATAGGAAAAATGTATGTATTATTTCTTTATGTAATGCATGTATTGTGTGAATTATAATCAATCTATTCAATGAAACATATTATTGGTTCTTTTGTTTGTTGCAATATTTATTATCAGATTAGCCTTTTTTCGTATCGAGGTTCCCACATAGTAACTTAAAGCTTAACAACTAATTAATTTAACCATTCATATCATCGAATAGTTAAATACTATCTGGTAGTAGTTGTAGTAGAAGTAGTAGTAGTAGTAGTAGTAGTAGTAGTAGTAGTCATTTTTCTAAAATAAAAAGAGAGCTAAAAATAACTTTTCCTCTCAAATTTACATATTTTTGTTAAAATTAAATCTACGTTTCAATTATAATCAAAAAACAGAAGATCCAGAAATACAAACAGGAATGTCCATGACATATGAGTGATAATTCTATTCTAGGACCAAAATGATATTGAAGCGTACCCATGGGACTCGGATCTCTCTTATTTTGAGTTTTTTTTACTTGTATACCATATGCTATAATACGTAGTTATAGATATTTTAAAATAATTGATTGCAATTATATGTCAAGCCTTATCCAATTGTCAATCTTTACCGATTAACATACCTCCTATCACAGGAAAGCATCCAGATGAGCGATAAAGCTCTTCTCCTCGGAAAATGAATTATCAACTTCAACTTGTCTTCATTAATAATCTTCTTTACTAATTTAGCTATTCCAAATTTCTTTTGAGCTTTCCTTTAACGATAAAGTATAATATTAAACTTTATAATAGGAGTTTTTGCTTATAAAATCCCAATTTTGCCAAACTTTTTCTAAATTTAGACTTCTGGTCAGAAAAAGTAGCTATTTTAACAACCATACAAAGCATCCGTGATAGTTTAGTGGCTAGAATTACCGCTTGTCGCGTGGTAGACCGGGGTTCAATTCCCCGTCGCGGAGATTTCTTTGCGCAAATGGTTTAGTGGTAAAATCCAACGTTGCCATCGTTGGGCCCCCGGTTCGATTCCGGGTTTGCGCATTTTTTTTCGTAGTTGGTTAAATTACTTTTTTACTACGTCATGGATAGATATGTAAAAGAATGCGGATATAGCACGATTTTGTCCGGTTATCTTATTTTTTTTGGCGTTGTTGTAGAATGTATATCTCATAAGATAAATATCCCAATCGAGTAGTTTACTGAATGCATGATAAGCCCATGTCCATTTACCTAAGTACACTGCCTAGGTAAATATTGACATCTTGCTATCTATGGCGTTGGGTTTTTTTTCTATCCCAATAATGTAACGTTACTATCTTGGTTTTTTTTTTTTTTTTTTTTTTTAAGCGGGCGCATATTGTTTCGTGTTAGTATTATTTTACAGAGGAAAAAAAAAAGAAAAAAAAAAACTGTTGATAATCGAACCTTAGAGATAAAGCCCCAAGGGGCCAACTACAGATTAAGACACGTACATGTACTAATTAGAGTCTATTGCATATTGACATGTAATTTGTTTTCAGTGTCACACACAAGAATAGAAATAACGCATAGATACTTTTTTTCCGCTTTAAAGATCTGGGTTCTAAAATCCAACGTTGCAATCACCCCGCACTGTCAGAGGTGTATAGGTTGTTACATTATTCGAGAGGATAAGATATCTCCACTTTCATCTGCAGGAAAAATGAAGTAGAAGTACTACACTAATATTTCAGGCACACATTTTTTTAGAGTCAAAAAACAAAGTAGGAGGTTTCAGTAAAATGTAGAAATCATGTTACTGAACCATAGATTCTCCAAGATTTAAAATCTGGTATAGACGGGGTGAGGTCACACAGTATATGTATAGCTCTTTAAAATACGATATATTGAAATTTCACTACATGTGAAACGTAAATGTAATTCCCCTATCTTTGTTTTTGCAACAATACGTCACCCACACACACCCTACATATTGCATCATGTCAATACGAAAAAAAAAAAAAAAGGAAACGGAATTACAAAACAGCCCCACGCTAACATCTTAGATCGTACAACCAACTATATAAGGGCACATAATTCCTAGAAGCTATTGGATTCTACTCTATTTTGAAGGGTAGACTCACACACGATAACCTTCTGTGAAACATGAAAGTTTCATTACTTCTTTCACAATTCTGTTTTGCCGGGTTAATTTCGGCAGCTTTTGTTGACCCACTTCCAGCTCCAAGAAATGTCACTTGGGGTAACAGTGGTTCGATTACCTTTGCGGACAAACCAGACCTCCATGTCGACGGAGCTAGTAATGATGTTCTCTTACAAGCATTCGAAAGAATGTGGACCACTGTAACAGATTTAAAATGGATCCCTTACTCTGTTGCAGCCAACATTACTCATGGTTCTGTGCTGCAAAAAAAATTATCCAACATTACAGTTTCCCTTAGTGATGAGAAGTCTGACTTGCAATTAGGAGTTAGTGAAACTTATACCCTTGACGTCACTGAAGACGCTGTTGTTATTGAAGCAGATACCGTTTGGGGAGCCCTTCATGCTTTCACGACATTGCAACAACTTTTTATTTACAACAAGGAATCTCAAAACTATTACATCGAAAACCCTGTCAGTATTTGGGATGAGCCATTGTACCAACATAGAGGTATTATGCTTGACACTGGTCGTAACTTCTTATCCAAGGGTAAGATTATGCAACAAATTGAAGTTATGGCACTTTGTAAATTGAACGTTCTCCATTGGCACATGGTGGACACTCAATCATGGGCAATTGAAATTAAAACCTACCCTGAGATGATCAAAGATGCTTATTCCGACAGAGAATCATTCTCCCAAGAAGATATTCTTGATATCATTCAATATGGTAAAACCCATGGTGTTAGAATTGTTCCTGAAGTTGACCTTCCTGGACATGCTAACTCTGGGTGGAAAAGAGTTGACCCCTCCATTGTCGCATGTGGAAACACATTCTGGGCTGACACTGCTGTTGAACCAGGTCCGGGCCAACTTGACATTCTGTCCAATAAGACTATTCAAGTTGTTAAGAATGTTTACAAAGAATTGAGTAAACTTTTCCCTGACAATGTTTTCCATATTGGTGCCGATGAATTGCAAGCAACTTGTTGGAACACCTCCAGTGGTATCCTTGACTGGTACAAGTCACATCCAGCGTCCCCATCAAAGGGAAGTGGATTCATTCAACTTTTACAATACTGGGTTGACATGATGTATCCTTTCTTCACAAAGAGCAAGCGTATTACAACTTGGCAAGATTTTATTACCGATGGGGTTAATGTTCCAAAGGATACTATTATTCAAACTTGGAATGGTGGTGCATCATCTACCAAAAACCTTACCAGTCTGGGTTATGATGTTATTGTTTCTACTGCAGATTTCTTATATCTTGATTGTGGATATGGTGGATTTGTCACGAATGATCCACGTTATTTGGACCTTGCAAAGAATGATGAATTCAATGAAGGTGCAGGTGGTTCTTGGTGTAACCCTTACAAGACTTGGCAAAGAATTTACAACTATGACTTTGCTGATGGACTCACAGAAGAAGAAAACAAGCGTGTTCTTGGTGCAGAAGTTGCACTTTGGAGTGAACAAGTCGATTCTACAGTTGTTACCCAAAAGTTATGGCCAAGAGCTGCTGCTTTAGCCGAATCTACCTGGAGTGGAAACAAGGATGATAAGGGTGACTACAGAGCTTACTACTTTACTCAAAGAATCAACGAATTCCGTGAATATCTTGTTGAAATGGGTGTTGACGCAAGTCCATTGGTTCCAAAGATGTGTGTGAAGTATCCTCACACATGTGACTTTTACAAAGACCCTCTTGAGTTGAACAAGTGGAATACTACTACCGCTGCTTAGAATAGTTGAGAAAAAGTCAATTCATTCCAATAGAGAGAAGCCGCCACTTCTCATTATATTTAGGTATTTAATATGTAAAATTTCCATTTTTATTGAATATATTTGTTTTTATTGTTATAAAATTATCAAAAACGTACAAATTTACAACTTCTTTTATGTAAGATTCCGCGGGGAGAATTATTTAGAAAGCATTATGTCACGTGATCACTCCTACATACAAAGTTTACACAAATTTTTTTTGTGAGCGAAAATGGAAAAGAAAAAAAAACGACACACAATTTGAACGAGAAAACTCTTATAGATATACTTTAAAAACACTTGTAAACTAGTGACATGTCCTTCTTTCAGCACGGTATCAAGAGCAGCAGTGTGTCTGTATCGAGCGCCGGAACATCCGGGTTCCTCAGCCAAGTACGTCATGCTACCAAGAGAGCTGCAGGTTCAAGAACCAACAAGAATGACTCTGCTGGTAGAAGATTAGGTCCAAAGGCATACGAAGGACACTTTGTCAAGCCTGGCCAAATCATCATGAGACAAAGAGGTACCACCTTGCACCCTGGTGAAAACACGGATATTGGACGTGACCACACCATCTTTGCCTTGGAACCAGGTTGGGTTAGATTCTACTATGATCCATTCCATCCATTGAGAAAATACGTGGGTGTAGCATTAACAAAGGATACTCGTTTACCACTTCCTCATTTTGAACCTAGAATGCGTAGATTTGGTTACGAGGAAATTTTGGATGCTGACAAGGCCATTCAAGAAGAAGAACACATGTCTAGAAAGGAATGGATGCAACAATCAGAATTACAAGCTGCTAAGGCTGAATTAGAAGCACACCTTTCACAAAAAAGAGAAGAGTTTGGAGCTTCCATCTCTGGTAAATTTGATGCTGATTTGGAACTTGCTACTGACCGTATGATGAGCATTTACCAATTAGTCAACAATGGACAATCCATCGAAGAAGCTCAAATCCAAACCACTTATAACTATGTTTATGACTTGAAGTTGGCCGTTCAAAGAGGTGAAGTCGAAGAAGCTGCATCTAAGCTGTTAAAGGAAACTTATGTTGAACTTTCTCGTAAGATTGATGAAACTTTCCTGATTGATGCTCAAGGATCTATTTGTGGATATATCTCTCCAGAGGATAAGTTGAAGGCACAGGAAGCTACCTTGAGCCAATTAAAGTCTGAATACAGCGGCAAAATACTCAAATTGGAAGACAAGCGTGCCATTTTAGACTTGATCCAAACCCCAGGTGTCTTTGGCAAGGAAGAACAAAACAAGTTGAAGAAACAATTCCTTCCATCTGTATTGCCATTGAGTGTGCAAGGTACTGTTAAGGAAAACTTAGACCCAAAGAACCCAGGTAAGGGAATCACAGTAGTAAGGGTGTTTGACGAAAAGACCAAGAACGTGAAGGTGATTGGAAGAACTAAGGATGCCTTTGTTCCACAATAGAGAAAGAAATAAAGAAAAGAAGATAGGAGAAGGAAGGAGGATAGGGGAGAGTGAAGCCCCTTCACTTGTATATAATACTAGATACGATAATAAAGAGCATTCATAGCGATGATTGTGTAGAGTTGGAGATAACTGCACCTCTAATGGGGATGGAATAAACGACTTAGAGGGTGTGAACGTAATATAGATTGTAGAGGAATGCCCTTGTCTAAATAATCAGGTACTGACTTAATCACCAAAAAAAAAATACAAACACAAAACATAAACAGTCCCCCACCGCGTAGACTATAACTCGAATTTAAAGTAACGAAAATTACTCTAATATCCTTCTTCCCAAACATTCAAAACTACTGAAGTCTCATTGATTATTATAATACCCTGAATACTTTCTCTTGTAGATTCTTAACCCATTTTGCAACCAGCCCTGCATACGCACCAGGGAGGATTGAACCAAAAATCGAGGGGTGTGTGTGTCTTTGTGTTCAATATGGAAATGGTCGATTTCGAGGTCAAAACACGTTACTGGAATACACGTACACCATCGACAATATACACATAAACCCACATGTCTGACAATACTGAGGGGTACTGGGACATTATTGTGACGTCTCTCCAAGATATTTGTAATGCCAACGAGGCTACGTCATTTGATGGGAAGTATTCCAAATATGCTTCCAATGGAGGACTCGAAGGTCTTAGCCCAACTGAACTTCAATCATTACAACAAGAGGTGATGGAACATAAACAAAATGTTGGTACTGCCCGCAGACTAGTGTCAACATCTCAACAGAATCTACAGACATTATTGAAAAAATTGGAAGAACAAGAGTCAATGACTACGGCAGCAGCTACAAGTGCTTCGCCAGCATCTCCAAGAGCCTCTATGGTTAACACTAATGCTTCTCCGGATTCCGTGACAAGGTCCAAACTGGAGTCAACAAGAGGCTCCAAGGTATCGAATACCGGGAAATCTGTTCCAGACAACTATACACATAACTCAACATCTGGTGTTGCTTCTTCACCAGCTGCCGCCCGTAAGAAACAGAACAAAAAGGCTGGTCGACTGTTTTATACCTCTGTATACAACCCTTCGGAACCGATTTTAGTGGGGTCTGAAGTTGCATACAAACTTAAAAACCGTCATTTTGAAGAATGGATTCAATGTGAGGTTATGAGAGTGATAGGAGATGGAAACAAATTCGAAATTCGTGACCCTGAGCCTGATGAAAACAACAACCCCGGTCAAACCTTCCGGGCCAATTATAAAGAGATTTTATTGATCCCACCAATGGCTGAAGTACGCGACTTGGTGAATTATGCATATGGATGTAAAGTATTGGCGCGGTATCCAGAGACAACAACTTTCTACCCTGCAGTGGTTGTGGGGCACCGGAAAGATGGAACAGTTAGACTTAAGTTTGACGGTGAAGAAGAGGTTAACAAGGAGACTGAAGTCGAACGTCGTTTAGTTTTACCGTTCCCCGAGAAGTAGTACGCATACCAGCAGTTGAGAACTTGAATACAAGTGAATATGGGAGACGAAGAATTACAGTTTTGTGAGGTATTAGAGTATCAACTACTGCTCTATGGGGAACCTCAGAGAGACAGAAGAAATGTTTTTCGTTTTTCTCTCTTTAAAAACCACACCTCATATTAAGTGTTAATATCAAGAGAAAAGAATGCTATAAATCTACAGCTAAGTACGAATACTTGCATTCTCATTACCTCTCCACAAGATATTTCCTCCCCATTGGTTGCGTTTTAGACCAAAACCTACAAAGGACTGCACACATTGCAACTGAATATATCATTGCTATGTTCGTATTGAAACTAATTATAATTAATTCAATGCAATTCTACATAAAATATATACTATCAACAGAAAGCATACATAGATACTTTCTTGTAATAAATTACTCCTTAATAATTCTAGATTTATCTATGTTAGTTTTTGCAATCATAGCTAAATAAAAACAAACAACCAAAAATGTCGTGTCCACACCAAACGTCGAGGTTAGGACATGCCCGACAAGATTTAAAATGACAGAAGGAATGGAGACGAAGAAGTTGGGAGTTTTGATATATACAAGTTAAAAAACCAAACAAAAAACTAACACGCTACAAGATGGAGGATATGGACATCGACGACTATTCAAGAGTATGTACATAAATTTAGAGGTATGGAAGTGGGTTTGCGAGTGCAATAGAAGGTGCAAAGATCGTGCGACGGGTTTTTATGAAGATGAACCTGATGGGGTCCATTGCAAGGGTTGTTACTGAAGGTTTAGTCGAAGCAGACGTCCCACATGGTGAAGAGAGCTATAGCTTGCAGGGATGTGAATTTTTGGGACGCCGTGCCGAGACTGGTGATCTGGAGGAATGTACCTTTGAGATCAGACTTTGTAGAGAATTGGTCTAGGGCATACCTTTTGGTAAAGTAACATACGAATCTTTGATTTCAATGCCTTATTGTGGCACTCTGTACCACTCTGGCGAGTGCAGTAAGGTACACACAGCAGTGTACCATATTGATCAAGACAGTCCCCCAGGAGTTTTCTTTTTCGTTTTTTTTTTTTTTTTAATACTATATGACATGTTTCTTATTAATGCAATACAAGTATACACCCTTTCAAGAACTTTGCGTAACTCTGTTGCACGCTACCCTCATACCCGAGTGCTTTGCACATTTTCTGTTTATGATTCTAATATTTCTAGGACCGTTCGCGCTCGCCAATGAGACAAAGATCAAGGTCACCACCACCACCACGTGAAAGAAGGGAATCATATTCTCGTGGGTCATACGGCGGTGATAGAAATGGCCGTGGTGGTCGTGGCCGTGGTGGTAGAGACTTTGGTAGCCGTGGTAGATACAACGGTGGACGCGAAAGCCGTGACCGTGACTACACTTCTTCCAGAAGAGATTATGTTGCACCACACGTAAATGAACAACCTTCTTACCCAGCAGATGAAAGTCGTGCCCCCAAGGTTGACAGAAACTACGATAATTCTATTTTCGTCCGTAACATACCCTTTGAATCTACTTCAAGAGATATTGAAGATCTTTTCCGTGACGCTGGTAGAATTGTGAGAGCTGATATCGTCACTCATCGTGGTCAATCCCGTGGGATGGCCACTGTTGAGTTTGCTCACAAAGATGATGTCAGAGTAGCTATTTCCAAGTTTGACAACATTGAATATCGTGGTAGAGAAATCCACATTAGACAAGATTTACCACCTCCAGAAAAGCGTAATGAACGTAATGACCGTGGAGACCGTGGAGACCGTAGAGACCGTTACGAACGCACTGACCGTTATGAACGCAGTGACCGTGGAGACCGTGGAGACCGTGGCGACCGGTTTGCAAAACAATCCAACCCTCCACCACCAGGAACAGAAGTGTTTGTAGGAAACTTACCATTTTCTGTAACTTGGCAACTGTTGAAAGATATGATGCGCGAAGCTGGTGATGTCGCTAGAGCTGACGTGAGAACCGACAGTTGGGGTAAATCGCGTGGGTTTGGTACCGTTGTGTTTGAGGCAGTTGAAAGTGCCGAAAGAGCCGTTGAAATGTTTCAAGGCTACATGATGGAAGGTAGACGTATTGACATTAGACCTGGTCGTGTTTTCAACCAAGCTTCAAATGCTGGTAACGGGCAATCTTTCGAACGCCCACCACGTGAGTCACGTTCCGCTGAACCAGTTTTACAAAACTCTGAATTCACTGCTGGAGTTGGACCTGATGGATCTAGAAGTAACATTATTTTTGCAGGCAATCTTCCATGGGTCACCAACGTTGATGACTTGTATGAATTATTTGAAACCATTGGCCGTGTTACTAAGGCCGAGGTTCAATACAACGATCGTGGTAAGCCTTCTGGGAATGCAGTTATTGAATTTGAATTAGAAGAACTCGCAGATTTGGCCATTGCTAACCTTAATGGATACAACTATGGTGGTCGTGATTTGAAGATTTCTTATGCAAGAAGAGAAGGAGAAGTTCCTCACAATGATGTGAGCGAACCAGCCCCACCAGTGGAAGAAGACATGGCAATTGAAGAGACTGTCGCTGCTCCAGCTGAAGAAACAATGGCTACAGAAGCAGTTAGTGAACCAGTTCAAGTCGTTGAGGAAACCACTGCTGACGTTCCAATCACTGAATGAAAAGATAAAAACAAACAATGAAATAAGGATTAAAATTGACAATATAATAAAAGGATTAGAGAAGATGTTAAAATGTAGACAGTAAGTTTTAAAAATATGAAATATTGAAACTGAGTCGTTCATGACAAATAATCAGTAGTAAATCGTTAGGAGAATGAATAGAATGTTGATGGTTTCTTGTATTTGCAACCAAATTGTAACCGAGATAGGTAGTTGTCTCAGATACACAAATAAGCGCGCTGCTATATAGAGGATATAGCCCCCTAATTCATCTTGGCAGCATGTATTTCACATCTTAATTTCGGTTGGGTGTGTGGGCTTGTAGCAGGTGATTTATTAATTTTTGAGGGCAGTGTGTATTTACTATTCACAAGCAATTTGACAGCACCATTGTTTTAAGTTTACTGTGGGGGGAATTTTTGAAAATCGTTACCAAATAATAATACACTACATTAATTGCCTTTATTTTAATTTTAATTTTAATACTTCCTCATTACAAAGATGGCCGATGGAGCAAATTGGTATGATTACCCATATTCACACCATGTCAAGTCACACCACGTGGCGATATTTGTGGTAGTGGTGATAGTGGTGATATTTTTGATACATTTCAGACAACGAATTGCTGCCTGGCATGATAGATTCCGGACCAGAAGACGAATGAGATACGCAAGACTTCACGACAATTTAGGTGGATTCGAACTGGATGTTGAAAATGGTCTATCAAGTGCCAATTTCGACCTTCAATCCAATATAGATAATGCAAGTGATACGAGGTCAGGACTCCTGGAATCAGCAGCTCAAGAGATACGGCACATTATGGAGGAAGAACATGTTTCATTTGATGAAGCACGTTTACGATACTTCAACATGGAGCTTGCCGAAAATGGAATTGGTGCCGATGGGGTCCCCACTGATCGTAAAACGGTCACTTTTAGTCTGTGAGAGATTTTTCCTTCTTTGTATAGTTTTATGTGAATATGATGAAATTATGGTTCAAGTAGTTTTTTTTTTACTTTTATAGAAATTGCCCATGAAGTGTATGAATGCATGATCACAAGTATTTCAATGGATATATATAGGAAAAATGTAAAGGACAGAGACAATAAAATAAAGAATATAAACACGTTTGAAGTAAGGGAATAGTAAAGAATGAATGAAAAAAGAGGTGACGCCATAGCTGAAAATACTTTCTTAGATACATTCCATTATCACTTCAAACAATAGGAGTCATAAATCATGTACAACTAAAAACCTAACCCTCAAAGTGATTGAGTCAACTAGAAATGTTTTACAAGCTTCATCCCTTAAAAGCTGCCCCTTCGGTCAAAAAAAAAAACAAATACGAATACGGCATTATAACAAAGAAAACTACAATAATACCTCGTACATCTTCAAGTAGAAAATATAATCGAAAATGCATCAATTCAATTTGATGGCGTATCCCCACCAAAAGAAACCTGTATTTGTAACCGCCTCCAAAAAAGTGACGAGAATGTGAATGTATCTACTGCAGTGAACTCAATTTTCCTTTTCAATTCCAATTAGAAGTTTTTTGGGGAAAGAAATATAATTTGAGACCCTACTACTTTCAATTAGTCAGACTAGTCCTTCTACATACTTGATACTCATGTAGTCATACATACTCATCAAATTTCCTTTGCTGCTTAACTTAAACTTTTTTTTTTTTTGTAGCCGCGTGTTAAGATCCGGTCTTCGTTCGGTTCAGGTCCCAATCTGCAGCGCGCAGCTTTGTGTAACAGTCTTTGTTTACAATTTGTACATTTCTGTAGACTTATAAACAAAATAAAACAACTTTCAAACTCACAGAAGCTATAGAGAGGTTTACCAAGGCTCTTCATTGACAGTACCAACAAGCGACTATGGATGTGTACAAAAGGTACGCTTCTCGCGAGCACAATGTGCCTCTTCTTGGAACTGCTGGCCCTCGACAGGAACCAGAGAAAGTAGACTCATCCAAACAAGACCACCTACAACAAGCAGGATCCAAAAATGAGCTCAGTAATCCACCAGGCGGTGCATTAGATGGAACCACAACGTCCTCTGGTATTGAACTTGCGCTTGTTCTTGGCCAACAGGGAACTATCAATAATCACAATATTGATAACAACAACATGACTAGTGCTAACAAGTCTCGCTTATCACTCTCCACACACCTGCCAACTGCTGGAACTTTCCCACACAACTCTAGTCCTAGTAGTTCACATACTTCCATCCAACAATGGCTTGATGTGTTCCCACACGCTGTCTATTTCGAAGGTACAGACGAGCTTTTTGGGAAAATTGTCATCATGGTGTATTCCCATCCACATTCACATAAGACGTCAACCACTTCATTTACCAAGTTTGGGACTATCACATATGAGAATTTGATTCTTGATGCAAGATCCAGATTCTGGCCCAGTTGTGAAAATTTATTACCAATGTATCAAAAACTGAATGTTCGTAGGGCATTAGCCATTACCAATTTGAAGAATTACAACAGATTGGCCAATGCCACATATGGTCATAAACATATGAATAGTCATTGGGATGAGACTACTGCTGGGAATTTTGCCAATAATATGGTTTTAATCTCGAGGTTCAAGCCATTGGACTTGGGTCTTCAACTCATGGAAATGGGGTTATTACAAGCCCATCTTGTTAACTCCATTGTATTGGACGTTGTATATGACAATGGAGAAGATGTATCAGCTCAAACAATCGAAGAGAATAACCAAATCGTGTTCCTTTTGGGCCAACAATTAGATCAATTGTTCGATCCACTATTGGAATATTCTCCTGAAGTGATGGATATAAATTACCGAGCTCCTACAACAAATACTACCTACCCTTTGGTAAATGATAGTCCTCTTATTGCATCCATCATCGATGAACTTATCACCGTTCAAACTAACTATACAATGTCACTTGTATCGCTTCTTCAAGACCTCATCATTCCATTACGTATTTCCATCCTTTCAGCCTCAGCAAATGATGGGATTATGAAAATAAATCAAGTGTTTCCTCCAACTATAGATGAGGTTACTAGAATCAATTGCATACTCTTGGATTCACTTGTGAAGGCATCTAAACATGGCCCTCATGAAGTGTTCAAGGTCATGGGGATGGTGTTACCATATTTCTATAAACCATTCATTCGTCACGAAGCAAATGTGAAACAATTCACTCAAAAGTTGAACAGATTTCACGCGAAGAACATTGATAATGTGTTTGAAAATCCTCAAATTAATCAAGGGAATTATACAACTCGTGAGATTGATACAATTGTACGAGGATCACTTCTTGAATTATCGAAGATAAAAATGATTTTGAAGAGATTATATGAAGAGGTCAATAATAGCGAAGACGTCGATACATATTATCAGGCGGCAATTGGTGTATGTGACGCATTTGGATATGAAGATGAAGCTTCAAAACCACAGACTTCTCAAAGAATATTCACACCAACAGGGAAGATTTTGACGGAGGTTGCATCTAATTGGCCAGCAGAATTACAATATGGATGGCTTTCACGCAAAGTTGTTGGTATTTACGAACTTCGAAACGTGAAAAATCATGCAGAGGACTTTGCAATTGATGTATTAATCATATTTCTGGACCATCTTCTCTTTCTCACCGTTACAGACAAGGAGTACAATGCTGGAAGTACCACTGTAAAGAATCTTTCTGTGGCAGATATTCTCATCCACGCTATGGTGAACGAAAAACCGCTTCCACAACTGCTCCCATCAATGGAGGTGAGTAGTTGGTGTGACATCAACGAAGTGGTCGTTAGTAGCTATAAAAGTGTAACAGAGAAAGAAGTAGAAGGTGATTATCTAAGATTCTTTGTAACAGACAAGGAAGGATTCAAGCAAAGGGGAACTGCATCACGTGTATTTAGCACATCCTACCAAGTTCTTCAAAGTGATACCCTCAAACCAACTGTTCAAATCATCGAACTTATAAATAAGGCCAAAATTCTCAACAAAAACCAACCATTCCATCTTTTCAAGACTGTTGGCAAGGATTTGACAATGTACTCCACAGCTCATGATTGTGCAGTTTATAAAGCCGAACAATGCAAGTCTCCATTTGTTCTTTTCTTAAATCTTCCAACTGAAAAAACTCGTGATTTCTTCAAATCCCACCCAGAGATTTTTGTCATGTTCAATATTTCCTTCATTAACGAACATAGGCTTCATTTAGAAGGGTACAACAGGACTGGAGGACTTCAAATTAGTGAAATTGTACTGCTGGCAGACTTACAAGAATACATAGTGGACTTGATTGCAAAATGCTTCCTCTCATACGTCAATTTTTATAATGATTCAGTGAGAGGAAATTTGATTGAAAGTTACCGTTCAGATATTGAATTCTACCTTGAAGGTTTTGTACATCGTGAGGTTAGAGTAGGTATTCCACCACCCATCCCATCCGTTACTGATGGATTAGCAAGGAAACCGACCCATCAAAGTTTGGTTCAATCTATTCCTGAAGTTTACATGGAGAAGTACATAATGGGAAGAGCTCCGAAGAATGTCGAGGAAGAGATTAGAGGGAGGAGTTCACCTGCTGTAGATGCTCCAGAAACCTATACTACTAGAAAGAGAAAGGCACAAACAGCCCCAGTCGAGAGCCCAAAAAAGAAGAGGAAATCCTTCTTCCGTAGAATCCTTGGAATATTCAAAAAGGATAAGGAGGTCAAACCTAGACTGGCCAAACCTAACTCCACTACTCGTGACAGAGGGAGAGTATCATCTACAATTAGAAGACCACAAATTCATCAACAACCTGAGCCTCAAGTGATCCCTGAAGTGGAGCATTTGTATCAACCTCAACCCGCAATAAGAAAAAGAATAAGTCTGTATAACTTGCAACATAATCCTCCAACTCAGGGAAATGATGCCAGAGAAGAAAAATTTACGGCCCAACAAGCACCTATAATCTTTGATACCCCAAACCCCAACCAGGACAACTTCAATCAACTTGATGCTCCACCACATGTTCCCCATTCTGCCATCGAGGAAAACACCATACCCGACGTGACCGCGCATCCAGTTGGTCCAGTTGGCCAACAATATATACCCGTTGGCCAACAAAACGCCTCTGCTCCACCAATGCATCGTTCCATGACAGAGGAAAATGTCATCAGCCTTGATAGAATTCAAAGTCACAGTTACAGAAACAAATTGAACCGCTTTTTAGATCTGGATGTACCTACAGTTGCTGGAGAGCTTGATCTTACGCGAGCATTCCTGAAGGAACTTTATCGTGATGGACAAGCCAATTGGGTAACTATCACTCGTGAGAATTCATCACTCTTGGATGCTGAAATTAGAGCATTAAAGGAAGATGCCAATATGGATACTTTGGATGTGATTGATGTTCGTGGGGGTAGCGAAGAGGAAGACTCAACCGCGAACAATACACCTGCTACTGATGAAACCAATTCTACATTTGAAACATCTGTCAAGGTAGTTACCATCCCATCAAGGGTATTTTCAGTCAAGCGGGACATATCAACTAGATCACTAGACAGCGTTGAAGTAATGGAACAGTTCGAGAGAGACATAGATAAGAAATTTAGTGCTTTAGATATTGTCAGCGAAGATGTGACAGCGGAGGATCTGAATGAATTCTACTTTGGAGGAAGAAACTCTCTGACATCTTCACCAGAAGCGAGAGAGACTTTTTTAAGTGGAAGACCTGCGACTTCCTTGATGAATGAAAGAATTTTCCACGTACCCAAAGAGACTGATCCAGGTTTTACAACCAAGGCAAACGAGGAAACCACCGACACCAAAGCCCCGACAGGGACCAAGGATGAGCCATACCAAGTAGCTGATATGGATTCTCTTGAGGAGGTAGATGACCATGATGAAACTCCTTACAGAAGCCCTTTGATGTATCAAAAGGATAAATTCGTGTGCGCCTCATCGTCCGAGGAGTTTTACTCACCAGACGAAGAGGCACAAGTAGTGGACCATAAGGCGTGTACATCCATTTCGAGTGATGCAACCGTTACCAATGAAAAGGGTGCAATCAATCCCAAGGAGACCGTACCACCGTTACCAATCTGTAAGGAGTTACTGCACAATGGGCAGCCACTGCAAGATATTGCACATCAACCAGAGTCTGTGAGTTACTTGTCTGACCTTCTTGAAGGAACGCTTAGATTTGATTACGAATTCGAATCTTCGAACAATAGCATTGTTCGCGAGGCATCAGAGGTTCCTGATATTCCAGAGGCTTCAGAAGAACCATCACCACCTCCTACAACCATCATACGATATCAACTACCGGTACATGAAAGTCCTTCCTTGATTTACTTAGGGAAGATCATTCATAGCGGCAAGACTGTACGTAAGGAAATGAACAAAATTGTTCAATAGATAGAACTTATACCCAATGTATTATAAATATTAAGCATACAAACGAAATGTAGTAACTATATGGATATTAATTCTCCCTATACCAATGCAAGCAATTTACATACTAGTACATGTATTCTTTTATTATTATTATCATTCATAATGCCTTTCATTAACCTATTTAGCCCGCTAAGAGGAATGGCAGATATAGAGCGCCAGCGGGGATGGAGCTCTATTTTTGTTCAGCCAAAATTTTGGCAACAGCATCGACAACAGCGTCACCGACTTCTTGAGTGGAGCTTGAACCACGGAGATCAGCGGTACGAACACCGGAATCAATGACACGGCCAACAGCCTTTTCCAAAGCTTCAGCTTCTGGAAGCATATCCAAGGATAAACGCAACATCATAGCAACGGATAAGATGGTAGCAACAGGGTTTACCTTGTTGGAAGGTAAATCTGGAGCAGAACCGTGACATGGTTCGTACAAACCGAAAGCGGAGTTTGTGTCTGGGAGGGAGGCCAAGGAGGCAGATGGAAGAAGACCCAAGGAACCTGGGATAACAGAGGCTTCATCAGAGATGATGTCACCGAACATGTTGGAAGTGATGACAATACCGTTCAACTTCTTTGGACTTTGAACTAAAATCATAGCAGCAGAATCGATCAATTGATGTTGCACGGTCAATTTTGGGAACTCTTCAGAAATAACTCTGTCCACAGTCTTACGCCATAAACGAGAAGAGGCCAATACGTTGGCCTTGTCCAAAGACCAAATTGGCAATGGTGGGTTGTGTTGCAAGGCCATGAAGGCAGCCATACGGGTGATACGTTCGACTTCTGGAACCGAGTACTTTTCGGTATCCCAAGCAGATTGACCATCGGCGCTTTCAGATTGTTCTTGACGTTCACCAAAGTAAATACCACCAACCAATTCACGGACAACTGTAAAGTTGGTACCACGTACAATTTCAGACTTCAATGGAGACAATTCCAAGAGTGATTCAGAAACAAAGTTACATGGTCTCAAGTTGGCGTAGAGGTTGAGTTCTTTACGGATTTGCAAAAGACCTTGTTCTGGTCTAACATCACCGGTACCCCACTTAGGACCACCGACAGCTCCAAGAAGAACAGCATCAGAACGCTTAGCGGCTTCAAGAGACTCAGCTGGTAATGGAACACCAGTAGCATCAATGGCAGCACCACCAATTACATGGTTAAGAAATTCAAACTTTACTTGACGATGTGGGGTGTTGGCTTCAATAGCACGAAGGACCTTGACAGCTTCAGCACAAATTTCAGTACCAACGTGGTCCCCTGGAAGGATTGTGATAGTTTTAGTAGTAGCAGACATGATTTGATTATATAATATATGATGTACAGTAGAACAAGAAGAAGAAGAAGAAAGGATTAGAAGATAAGTGCGTTTATATATAGAGTGATTGAGTCAACGAGATGTGCGTCATGGAGGGGGACCAGGTGAAAAAAACATACCCGCAACCGGTTGCGGCCGCCGGTTCCGGAGTTGCGGCCGCCGGCCCGCTCCAGGAAATATCCTGCATATAACATCGAATTTTGGATATTTATCGATAACTCTATATTCAGGTTATCTGTCTGATACTTTTCTATGATTAAGATAAAAATACCTCCCATACACATTATTTCAGTTAACAATATAACTCAGTGAGTGCCCTGGAATGTAAAATTATCACTTTTACGTACTGTTTCTTCACAATAATAGAAATTTTATTTTTGTGTTGCATGGAATAGATTTGCAAGAATCATGATTATTTACCTAAATTCGTACACAATGCTGAATTTAATAAAGCCAATTGAATCCAATTAATTATAATGGAGTATTTCACTTTTTCTAAGTATTCAAAGAGCAAACAAAACGAAGGAGTTCGAATATTGTCAGGTTTCTAAAGTTTTTGCAACCATTTTGGTACATGCAGTCTATCTCACCAGTGTTTGTTAATGAGGTATATCATTTTTTATTCATCATCAGAATTACCGGGTCTAACATATGTAATACTACGTCAAATACCCTTTATCAGAAGATAGATGAGATGTATATTAAAATGAAAGTTTTGTTGAAAAATATCAATTGGTTATACTAAGAATAATAGTACAGAGTGAGAATATCACATCCTACTAGTCAGGTATATGAATATTCCTGAGTATGAGCTTTGTATAAATTAAGCACATATATGTACATCGACTACATATGCACATCTTCTAGACCTGCGTTAAATTTTGTCAGTAAACCCCGATAGATACTGGAAAGATGCACCCTGCAGATGCGAGGTTGCATATTGACCCAATTTGTGTTGCAAATTTGGCTGCAAACAGTTTTATTCTGTCCCTAAGAAGTTTGTGGCTATAGACTTTGTTTGTGAATTACCACAAACCCTGGTATATATAAATAGTAATGGGACCCGCGTATGCCTCTGAGATAATTTAAAACCCTTTGTTTCCCCCAATCCCACCCAAAAGAAATTAAATTGACATTAAGTTTGCACTTGCATAACCTACTCCGTTTTTATTACTCTATACGCACCTTCTCCGAAAGTTGCATCGAATCCAAGTACCTAAAGTTTAGATCTCCCAAATCTTAAACTTTAATTTACTTGCAACACTTACCCCAACCTACCACCACAACTCACCACACCACCAAATTCCAAGAATCTTACAGAGACAGTTTACTGAATCTGAAGAATCATACAATCTTTTAAGAAAACCAACCAATTCTCAATTCTTTTTACCATGCCTTTTGCTGAGAAGTTGGCGCGCTGTAAGCGCTCCATTAGAAAAGCCAAGGCTGATATGAAGAAATCTTTTAAGAAACACTATTTGAATGGAAAGTACTCCAGATGTAGAGATTACAGACAATTCAAGAATGCTGTTGAAGATGTCCAAGCTCTCTGGGACCAATTCGAAAAGAATACAGCTGAACCTCAATTGACTACTGAGGCTGTTGCTACCACTATATCCAATACCGAGAAGACCAGGGTTCTTATTGCTGATACGAAAAAGAACCAACATGGATTTAGACAAAATGTACCTTCCCACTCTAGCTCCAAGTTTGTGAAGTCTACCAAAGCTAAGCTTTATTTTTCTGAAAAGCTTGACACTATCGACGAAAATGTTGAACAGGAAGATGAAGCAATAGAAGAAGACTGTGACTGCGATGATCTCCAATCAAACAACTCAGACTTCAAAAGCTTCAGTGACATCCCAACTGAACCTGTAACTATTCCCAAGACTAGACCTATCAGACTAGTATACCCTATTTTAGAGTCTCCACCATCCACCGCTGAAACGTGTTTTGACCCAGAAACTCCCCTTGTCTTTGAATCCGAGTACCCATCAGTCAGGCATTATTTACTTCTGGATGGGGATAATAATCGCGTTAAGGTATTAAATAAAGACCTTGATCCTATTGTCGATGCATTCAGAAGATTGAATCCTAATTCTAAAAACTTAAAGCCACCATTACAATTTTCACTTATTTATGGCGGGCTCTTTGATCAATGTAATACACTCATGGCGACTTCAAGTAATTCAGCATATACTCTTGTTGACACCCCAACTACCCAGAATGATATGCCTATGGTTCACGATGTCCCTTCTTCGAGCTCATCACCACCTCCAACTCTGTCAGAATCTGAGTTTGATTCCACTTCTGATAGAATTGAATACGAGATTTATAAATGGGGATATGCTGTTACAAAAAAAACCACTCTTAGAAAATTTAAGAACGAGAGGGCTAGAACACCACCACTTAGTTCTAGCTCAGAATTGAAATCTCCAATTTGTGACAATTCTTCCGAGTTTGACCGTGTCCCCCGTATTGACGGTTGTGAGAATTTCAATGATGCCGGCGATACCCGTGCCATACATAAGGCATGGTTAGAATATCTTGCTGCTAACCCTCAACCTCAAGATTTGGATCAAAAATCCCAGGAGTTGGACCCTAACTTTATTCTCCCACCACCACAAACTTCTAGCTCAAAGTATTCGGATGACGAAAGTCATGAGACGCCAACTCTGCCTTCATTAACATCTACCAATGCAATTTCATGTTCTCAAAACATAACTTCAACGCCCCCAACATATGAGAATTCTACTGCAAAGTTCACGAATCCAACTAGTTCATCGTTAGGTCCACAAACTTTCAATAAGTCATCTGATCCTAAAAAACTATTTTCAGGCAATGAGCATATCATCAACTACATTCAACCAATGCCACAATCTCTTGTATCTCAACCACAATCCAGCTCAACAACGAATTTGTTGAAAGTCGAAGACAGTCTTGAAAAAGATGAAATGAAGACTGTTGGAATTACCAGCAATGTTTTACCATCTCAAATTTATCATGGTTTCCGTAAGCTGGAGTCAAAAGAAATATCAGGACCTATTAGAATTTCACATTCAGGTGTTACGGATCCAGAATACGACGCTTCCACCCATAAAATGAAACTTACAAAAACTGATATGTGCGTTTCCTTATCAAATTCATCAAGTAGTGATCCCGAAGTTTCCAGTTGTGATTCTCTCTTGTCCACCAAAGACCTTAACACTTCTTGCAATTTTGCGAAGGGTGCAAAATATTATCCCACGACTTCCCATCTTAATGGAATTCAACCTTTACGTCGAGTAAAGTTTAAGAATACACCCTGTAAAGATGCCAATGCAAAATACACTAGCAAAGAGGATGAACGCAATACCAGATGTAAGCATTCAAAGACGTCTGGATTACGGAAACGTTTTATTGCAGACAAGCCAACAGGAGTTCAAGATAGATGGTGTGAACGTTCTGTTGGGATTGTCAGATTTGAACTTGCTGAATTGAATCAACATGATGGTGCCATTTCGGATGTAATATTCTACCCTGAAGTGCTTGAATGTATCTATGATGCAAGATTGCCATTGGAATATGTTGGACGTAATGAGATACCTTCTGCAATGAGGCTGAATAATGGAATTCCAACAAAATCGATCTTGAAGAGACCCACCAAGAAGTTTAGATTTGATGATGTGGAGCCTACATGGCAAACTGCTGGATTCTACATGGACAAATTTACCTCATCCTTGCAACTTTTTGGATCAAGGAAGAGTTAACAGGAATTAAGTACTCGCTATCCTCATTACTACTTTCACAACTTTGTTGTTGCTGTGGCTGCTGCTATAGTATGAACACCTGGAGGAGCACCAGGTGTTTTGCATACCTTTGTTGAATATGGATCAATCATTTAGTCACGGGAGACCATAATTGATAAAGAAGAAATGCTACATGGTATCTTTGGGAATTGTTTTCTTTTAAAGATAACTTTGTAGTATTTGATAAAGAAGATAAAGATAAGATAAGACAAAAAAAAAAAGAAAAAAAAAAAATATACAAAAAAGCAAAAAAAAAAGAAAAAAAGACCTGGAGCTTGACGAAGAAGTGGATGTGTTGATACCGAAGGTGGAGTTCAACTTGGGATGTGGACCTCTTAGTCTCAATTGTCAATAATATGCTTTTCTTGGGATGAAAATAACATATGTGAGATTTTGCCGAGAAAAAGAACCACTCAAGGTAGCTCAATGTTGTGATTCGATGGTTGTTGCAGAGGAGCAGGACGATAAGGAGTTTTATTATGATGAATATCAAGATCGGATTGACGATGTCTCTGAAGGGTAGCTTGGCTGAGACTTTTGGTGTGACGATGTCTTCATGATTGAGGTGGACTTTCCATGTGACCTTAGTTTCTTGAATGAAGTGAACTTTCCTGGCAATGAGTCTGCTAGAAAGTGTGAACGTTCTTGGTAATGATGACTTTCAAGGAAGTGTACTTTACTGGAATGATGACATTTTTGAGCAGTGTACTTTACTGGAATGATGGCTTCACGAAAGAAACTAGTTTTTCAATGAATGATGACCACAAGAAAGAAGTGTACTTCACGCCGAATGAAGGCTGATAGATTCTAAAGAGTGTACTTCGACCCTTTTTTGATATGAAGTTATATCGTTATTAAAAGTATAATAAATATTAAAAAAAGAAGTAAGTGTAGATGCGTTAGGTAGCAATTTGCAGCCATACTGTCTTGAGTGCGAAGTTGCATTTATTTTTTAGGAGGCTATTGTGAGTCTATCTAATAAATTGTACTTAATACCCAACAACATTTTTAGAGTTGTAGGACCCTTCCAAGTAAGCTACTTGTTCCTGTGACAACTTAGTTTTGACGGCTTTGATAATGTCATCTACTCTTTCTTCCGAGTTGAGCCCTACAATAGGAGCGCATCCTTTACTGATGACCCATGCAGTTGCAACAGTAGCCATACTTACACCAATTTCTTTAGATACACTCTCAGTTCTTCTAATAGTTTCCTTATCCGATTCAGTCAAATCTTCCAACCCGAGATGTTTCTGCATTGGATCTATATCGGAAGATCTTGTCGTTGATTTTTCAGAAACCGTTCTTGTTAAAATACCTCGGGCAAGAGGAGACCATGGAATCAATCCAACTTTACCAAAATCTGACTCATTACAAAATGGGATCATTTCTCGTTCTTCTTCACGGTAGAGCAAATTGTAGTAATTTTGCATGCTGATAAATTTAAACCAACCATTCTTATCAGCAATGAATTGCAATTGTGCAAATTCAGTTGCCTTCATAGAAGATGCTCCTAGGTAACGTGCATGTCCCGCAATCACAACATCGTGCAACGCCCTCATAATTTCAGTCTTTGGAGTACTACGGTCCAAACGATGTATTTGCAACACATCTACATAAGTGCCTAAACGCTTTACAGAATTCGTGATTGCGTCGAAAATGTGTTTTCTTGATAATCCTTGAGAATTAATATATTCGTATGCTGGTGCACCAGCACCACCACGTTTAAAATTTGGATTATCAGAATCAACTGGGAAGAAAAGCTTCGTTAAAATAACAATTCTATCCCTTGGGATGTTGTACTTACGGATGAACTTCCCTAACAATATCTCAGATTGTCCATTTGAATACACATCAGCAGTGTCAAATGTTCTAATACCATTGTCATAGCATTTCTTCATGATCCCGAAGACTTTGTCCTCATCAGACAACATCCAGCTTGGAGACTGTGGCCCTCCATATGTCATACACCCAACAATAACTTTTGAAATTTTAAGACCAGAGTCTCCCAAATTTTGATATTCCATTTTTGCAGTTTTAGCGAAAATATCATCTGTATAATGAAGAATTTGAAGGCTTTAAATACAATTTCGCATTCCCGTGAAAGGGGGCTTACGAATGGCCGTATTAGTCAGAGACTGCAGAGATATGGTGTTATTAAGAAACGGATATTCCTTATCTATTCTCCGGAGGTTCTCCTATTATATAAGTGACTACTATTGGTGTAGATCTTGTTCATGTATTTAAGAAGAATATTCCGCAACCGGTGAGTATTTGCCCTCTTTTGGAGTATTGTGTCAAAATATTACGTCAAAGTTCCACATAGTAGGTGGCTTGAGCAGTATGAAAGAAAAATATAAAAAAAAAACACTGAACTTCTTTAAATAAATTTGGTGCCGGACTTGCATTCCTCAATGGTAAATGTTTCTATTATGAAAATTGTTGGAGAATAATTAAGGTTTTAAACGTACCAACATCATACTGCTATGTGAAAAATCAACAATTGAAGCTGTAGCAATTTGACACATTCTCAAATTTGTAAAAGATAAAAAAACCACAAACATAACACCTCTAACCACTCTATATCAAGCCTCTACATCATATTGTACCTACAAAACACATTTCACTGTCCATATAAATAATCACAATATACTCCTACTATCCACACTCTATATACATCAAATGCCTTAATGACCACTCCATTCGATGGAGTTCAAGTCAATCCCCTCTTGAACCATCTCCCACAATGGAGACATCTTTCTCAAGAAATCAACTCTTTCTTGAATAGCCTTAATGACATAATCAATTTCAGCTTCGGTGGTGAAACGACCAATACCGAATCTGATTGAGGAATGGGCCAAGGCATCGTCAGCTCCAAGAGCATGTAAGACGTATGATGGTTCCAAGGAGGCAGAAGTACAAGCTGAACCGGAGGATAAGGCAATGTCCTTCAAGGCCATCAACAATGATTCACCTTCAATGTAGGCAAATGATACATTGACACAGCCAGGGTATTGAGAAGATTCGGTCAAACTACCGTTGAATTGGGTCTCTGGGATAGACAAAAGACCGTCACGAAGCTTTGTAGAAAGTCTGTGGATGTAAGCTTGATCATATTGCATTTCTTCCTTCATTAATCTGGCGGCTTCACCGAACCCGGCAACCAAAGGAGGAGCCAAAGTTCCGGATCTTAAACCTCTTTCTTGACCACCACCGGTGATGATAGGGTCTAATCTGACTCTTGGTCTTCTTCTGACATAACAAGCACCAATACCCTTTGGTCCGTAAATCTTATGGGAGGAAATAGACAACATATCAATGTTCATCTCATTGACATCAATATCGATCTTACCGTAAGCTTGGGCAGCATCAGTGTGGAAGAAGACCTTGTTGGCACGACATAAGGCACCGATTTCCTTAAGTGGTTGAATGACACCAATTTCGTTGTTGACAGCCATGACAGACACCAAACAAGTTTCCTTACGAATAGCACCCTTAAGTTGTTCCAAGTCAATCAAACCTTCGGAGTTCACTGGGAGGTAAGTGACTTCAAAACCTTCATCTTGAAGATGTCTGGCAGAGTCCAACACACACTTGTGTTCTGTTTGAGTGGTGATGATATGGTTTTTGGTTTTACGGTAGAAACGAGGAACACCCTTGATACACATATTGTTACTTTCAGTGGCACCAGAGGTGAAAATGATTTCCTTTGGGTCAGCCTTGATCACATCGGCAACGTAGGAACGGGCCTTTTCAACTTCCTTTTCAGTTTCCCATCCATATGAATGAGTGGAAGAATGAGGGTTACCATAGAGACCAGTGTAAAATTCCAACATCTTGTCAAGAACTCTTGGATCGGTTGGGGTAGTGGCCTGGACATCAAGATAGATCGGTCTTGTACCAAAGAGTGAATCATCTCTGGTGGCGGATTTAAGCGAAATCGATCCGGAGGTGTTAGCATCAATGACGACATTAGAAGCAGTGGCAGACAACTTTGATGATGTCTCCATCATTTTGGAGGCAGAAGCCGACAAAAGCCGGGTACTAGATCTCAAGGACCCCCCTCTTGCAATGGATAAACGAGTTAATTGTCTCAACATTGCTATTGCTTTTAAAGAAAACAGATAAATGATTGATGTTAGACAACTTGAGAAGTTTTGGAAATGGGAGGAAAATCAAAACCCGATGAAATTAATTGATTAGTGATGGTACTGCAGACAAATGAGGAGAAACTTTTAGTTGTGATACAGCTTGTCCGGAGTACCTGTGGAAAACAAGATGGGGTAAACCAAGCTAGAGTGTGAGTATATTGAATATGGAGGGGTATTAACGGTTTACCACCCTACGTGTTTTTGTTTTTAAATTGTTGTGGGCATGTATTTGGTCCTGAGAAGGAGATATTCTCTTTTCTTTTTTACAGCTACAATTTTGTGTTTTCGCCATTGTTTTTTTTTTTTTACCCTTTTCCTTTTCTTTTATCACCACTATTCTTTCTTTTTTTATTTGTCTAATATGATGAGCTTCATTGTCTTTCTTTGAAGCCGGATTACAAGATTTCGATTCAAATTAATATTAATAATAAGATTGATGTATTAGTTGAATGGTGGCAAATCCTGTGTGAGAGAGAAATTGCAAACGGTTTTCGCAGCCATAGTGAGAAAAATTAGGAGAAAGCGTGACTCAAGGTGGAACTTATGCTATTAATTGTAAATACTTCAACATTTCCAGAATTGATTATTTGGCAACGCGGCCCCCAAAACGAGTTCCTTTTTTACTTATAAAACCCTACAGTATATTTCTTCTTCTTCGTAATCTATATCATTATCTATATTCATTCGAACAACATCTCTACGTTAATTTTTCTCTATTTGAGCTTATTCCCGGAAGTCAAGGTGGAGTTGACCAATTCATAACATCCAAGGAAAATTGCACCACCAGCACTAATCCAACAAGTTCTTGGACCAACCCCATTCCAAAATACTCCATAACCTTCTTCCTTGATAATTCCTCGTACCAACAGCAATACACCTATACGTTCTTGATGAAGCATGATTCTTGTTTTCACCACATCAAGAGGAGTGGTTGCAGCAGCTGCTATACCCCCAGCAATAGATCCACAAATAGCACCCTTTAAAAGTGATAATGGTTGTTGCAGTTTCTCATGTTCATATGTAGCCCACTTCAGTTTCAACCATTCATAAAGTGGGAATTGGATCATGGTAAATGGGATTTCTCTCATGATTGTAGTATTCCAACCTCTATATAACCCACGAATTACTCCTTCTCCTGATTTATTTTGAAGTAAGTAGAGTAAATTTGACCATGACAGTGAAACTCCACCTACCCCAGCAATTCCAGCTTGAGTTCTTTGTTTAATAACTTCACCAGGCACTCTGACAAGACACGCTGCTATTTCCCCACACGATGCAGAGACCATATGTGATACTGTAGGTGAAAGAAGTCCTGAATCTTTAGTGTATCTCTTCATAGAGTCATATGTCACAAAAAAGAGAGCCGCTGAAGGGGCCGAAGCAACTACACATGATCCAAGACCTTTATAAATCCCGGACCAACCTCCATTGGCAAAGAATCCACCCTTAGCTTGAAGTCTTGTTTTCAAGGTATCAATGGGGAAGAATGCCAAATCTGTTGACGTTCCAGCGCAACCTCCACTCTATCACTGTTAGTAAATAAAAAAAGAATATTAATGGAAACAAACAACGAGAAACATAGCGTGAAATTTAGAACCATGTTCGTTTATCACCAAACTAGGAACCCACTCTTTTCAATCTCACATACTATAAGCGATACTAAAAATGGATCCATCTTTTTAGTTTATGTAATAAAAAGGTTATCGGATCCATATCGGAGAAACTTTTTGTATATAAAGCGAAAAAAAAAGATGGACAAATTTGAAAACTCGCGCGCGCAAATTACTCGAGAGTCCAGATCACGTGAACCAGTATAAGTGAATAGGTAAAAGTGAAGGGAATAAACCAGGGGACCGGGGACGGGGTAATATAGATAATAGATTAATTATCTTTGACAAACAATATATTTCTTCCCAACTCTTTTCTTTTTTGCATATTTAAGAACAATTGATTCTGGCTTCTTCCCAATTGGTATATAGCTTTGAATATAGGGCATAAATTCATCATAATCCCAATTCTTTGCGATTGCGAAAAGTTCTTTTATTCTCATTCCTAGATCTGTAGTCAGAAGGGTGCTAGGGTTAAGATGTTGGATCTTATCGTTTGTAGGACGACAGAAGTTCCCACGAAGTTGAATTAAATCAATGGGGACGTTATAAAACGTTGGAAGCAGAGTTTTCCAAGCAACAAGGAAATCATCACATGAAATAAGATTAAAAGATGTTTGGAAAAGTGTTTGAATGCCAAACCATTTAGAAATGATCTCATGATCAAGTTTAAATGAGTTAGAATCGTCCAAGACTCCAAATTTTTGAATCACGGTATTTACAATTTCAGATGTTATGGAAGAATCATGTTTGATAAGAAATGAAGTTACTTGATCAAGTCCTAATGATTCATTATAATCAATACCTTCTGAAATTAGTATCGTTAAGAGTGTAGAAATCAATTCTGTCAATAATTGACGCGAAAGAATTACTGCATGGCCATTAATTTCACATCCACCTTTATTATACCATTCCTTATAAAATTGAACCGTTGAAATTGGTGACTCTTCAAGAAGAGTTTGGATGGTTATTTGTTGGTCTTCAGGAATTGGAGTGTTGGTGCCATTATATACCAGAAGTCTTTCAGTTTCTATATACCCCTTGGTAATGGTTGGTTCGTACTCATACGAAAGTGTAGCCATTGAAACAAGACTATTGGACGTTACTTGACCTACTCCTTCAAATGTCGGCTTGACGGATTTTTCAAGTTTATTCACACTCAAGTCATTCATAAGTAGTACTGTATTGGAATGGTTCATTTGACGGAGTTTATAGGTTGTGTTCTTGGTGCAGAGTACCATGTGATTATTGACCGTACTGGGAGCCTTGATGGTAAGTTCAGCATCTTGTTGTTTAACATACTCGAGAAGGTCTGCAGGAAGTTGAACTAACTTGTACGAATAATCGTCAGAGTGCGTAGTCTGGGCATATAGTTCGTACATATCTATTTTGTCTAATACAACGAGGAACGTAAGTTAAAGCATAGATTTAAGAATATCTCTTGGGCACAAACGCGCCCTTTACATTCTTTTTTTTTTTTGAGAAATCGCGTAGGTTCTAAATTCTTTTTTTTTTTGCAGCACTCCCACCCATAAGGATGGGGGTTCTATTCTAATGTGTGAAAATGAGGAGGGGTCCCCAACCCCAGAATCTTAATTCAAATATTATAGTATGTGCGTACCTCTTGTAAATGTGGTGATGCTTATTTACAGGAAAATTGTAACCCAAAATCCACAGTCATTTTACCTACAACCTCAATTTATTTAATTTCTCAATTATTCTGTTCAAATATTACCTCTGGTAATTGTATATAATATATATCTACTTCATGCTAGGACACCTCCCCCTTTCTAATTTTGTTCATCAATGACACTGTCGATATCTATCTCGGTCAACTTGGCATCACCAGCCAATGAGACCTTTCTTTGATGTTCTTCAGCATATTGTAACTTGGCCAATTTAGCTTGTGGACCCCAACCACTGACTGGAGTGTTAAGCTTGAATGGCATCACCCAATAACTGACAGTCTTGAAGTTTTCACCCATAGTAATGATTTCATGTACCAAGTCTTCAATACAAATAAGACCCAAGTCGTCACCAAATTTATCTTCAACGGCAGCGTTACTGTCAAGCTTGACAATCTTAGGGGATTGATCTTCTTCGTCTAATGCGGAAATGCAAGCTCTCTTTTGGAAAAGTCTACGTACAGAACTTAAAGATGGCTTACCAGCAAGTACATAAGGAGAAATCAATTTCAAAAGAGGAATAGTGGCACGGGTAGCCTTTACGAAAACACCAGTGTTTGGCTTGTTTAAACGTAAAAGGGCAAGGATTTTCTTGGATTTTGAAGGAATTTTAAGACCTTTAGTGTGGTCAGGAACACGAATGATGAAAAGAAGACGAGGGTCGGTTTCTTCGTCAGAGTGCTTGGCACTGATACCTTGTTCTTGCTTCATTTGTTCATGCTTTGTGATATGTTTGACTCTCTTGGCTTCAAGCTCAGCAGACTTATGGTTGGATACTAAGGTTTCAGCACGAATGAACTTCTTAGATCTGAGAAGATTTCGCTTTTTATGTTCAGCTGCTCTGGCTCTGGCAGCTTCTTGCTTTTCGATTCTTTTTCTTTCAACATTCTTACGCTTACGCAAGAGAATCTCAGGGTTTGAGTTAAGAGTGACCATCTTTATAATGTGTATTGAGGAATATTATGATTGATAATAAAGGTGTTGGGTTTTTCCTCTCTTCTTTCCTCTCTCTTTTGAGATGCTCATCTGATAAGATGAGGTAAATTTTCAGCTTATGTAATGATGGGGAGAGGAGTATATACAGGAAATAAGAAATGGAAAATCACAAAAAAAAAAAAATCAAAAATTAACAAGAAGAAAAGAGATTGAATAGGATTTTTAAAATGAATCCGATATGATGGGTATATATATCGAGTATGGAGTTGGATGACTAAAGGGAGAGGGTTTAGTTATTTACGTTTTTCTTGAAACCAATTTGTTCTATTTCTAATGCAGTTTTATTAAATGGGTAGATGCTACAACGTCACGTGAATATGTTGAATATTAAATCAATTAAAACACAAATGAATATGGGGGAAAGAGATATAGAAATATGGTGAGCATCTGAATATATTGTATAGTGAAAGACTCCACATATTAGAAAGGTTGAAAACCTGAAAATGAAAATAAAATTGGAAGGAAGAGGTACCTTGATAAAAATGGCTGCGAAAAAAAAAAGAAAGCTTTCGAGAATATGCGAGACAAAATCAAACACAAGTTGAAGTATGGAGTTGGAGAGTATGGTAGATAACTTATCCTTTCCAGGAGTAGGTTAAAAAGAATGAAAATGGGAGTTGTGAGAGGGATGAGAATTGTACAAATATGTCTCAAGGAGGGTATGTAAGTGGGGGATGAAAGTACTCCAGTTGAGTATGGGATAGACGATACTAAACTATCCAATATGTATTGTGAACGTAACCCTGTTTGACGAGAAATTCATAAATGGGTTATGGAATTGTCAGTATATAAAACAGTTTATCGTATGGCATTTATATGGGTAATAATATTACTTCATTCCTGTCCGTTATACAAACTCTCATAATACGAACAAAATAATAACCAAGGGTCAAAAGTTTTAATTCTTCACTCATTTTTCCACCCCTTGGCAGTTCCTAATACCACCTACAAACAACCCAATTCTTATTGAAGACCTCTTTTATGGACTAATACAATTTTTATTATTTCGATGAAACCATTGTTCTGCACTTCGCGCATAATGAGAAGGAATGTAAAGATGAAGTATCGAATCATTCTTGGAATGTGAGACAAATTATATTTCGAGAAACTCATAGAAATGTTCCACATTCCAACACCGAGAATCATTAGGTGATTGTACACCAAAAAATAAAATAAAACTTGACCATACATCACTACAGGGTTCGTAACAAAAAGGATCAATAATACGCAAAGGGCTTCCCAATAGGGGCTCAATGTAATTGATTTCCCTTGAGCATTGGTCAGCAAAGTGAATTGAAATTGTCCCAGGGTGAGTGGGGGGTAACCATGCAATTTCATGCAAGTTTCTGCTTGCGCTTTCACCCCTGTTTCTGTCTTTCTTCTCACCATTTTTTTTTTATTCTAAGCCCAGCAGTCTCACACAAAGTCACCTTTTTTTTTTCTGGTTAATTTTAGTTCAAATCCCAAACCCTAAACTTTATCTCTTCCTCCTGCACATACATTTTTTTTTCCCAGGCAGTGTCTAGGATTCATAGCTACACCTTCCAACGGGTTAATCCTACCATAGAATCAATAGGTTTTATATATATAAAGCTGTTCATATACAAGACCTGTTTAAAAGGACTTATTCAACTGCATTTCGCAAGATTTCTCTAGAATCAACAAGTATTCTAGTAAAATTTTGAACTTTATACCCATCCAACACCCCCTTAGAGAACCCGCCCTCAGTCCCCCCCTCTCTATGATCTCAAATTGATCTCAGATCATAAAAATAGAACACATACCTTAAAACACAAAAAAATTAAAATTGGAAAGGAGAGGCCCACCCATTGGGATTATAGACTGAAAGGAAGCAGCATACTAGAGACACGCATATGATCCATGGATCAGGATCACTTTAGCCCCAAGAAAAAGGTTCCACAGTCCGAGGAGGATCAGCCTCAGCAGCCTCAATACGAATTTCAGTATGGGTATGAGTATGGCCAAGGACAGCAAGTCCCTCAAGGGTCCCCTCTGGGTGATGTGGAGCTGCCCCAACAACAACAGCGTCCCGGGCAACTTTCCAACTACCAAACTGTACACCGTGGCAATTTGGTGCAACAAACTCAACCAATAGCCCCACAACACCAACCGTTACTCCTGCTGTTCCCCCTTGTTGAGTTGGGACAAACTAGTCCTCAAGAAGGTACGTCAGCATCATACAACCAAACAAGACACATCCAGAACTATAACCAACAAGTTCAATTGAAATTTGAAATGCAACGCCAATACCAACAGCAGCAGCAGCAACAACAACAACAGCAGATGCTGCAACTTCATTTGATACCCGCAGAAACTGCACCTCCTTACTTTATACCCCAAAAATCTCCGATCAAGAAGAATTCAAATGCTTCTTCACCTCAGGAAATTCCTTCCCGTGTACACACACCGGAAAATAGCATATACCCCGATCATACTCCAGTCACAAGTGCCCGGAAGCGTGCCAGAACAGAGACTGGTCCATTAGAACTGATTCCTACCCAATTGGGAAACGCACAACAAGCGTATCAGTTCCACCATCAGCAGCTCTCCCAGTTGCAACAAGGAGGTCAATTTTATCAGGGCACCACCATTGCCACGGGTACAGAAATGCCACCCATTGGACCAGAGCTCCCTGATATTGAACTCAAACAATTAGCATTCAAAGCGTCACAGAAGCCTTTAACGGACCTTGCACTCAAAATTAAGGCAATGGAAAATGAAGACATTCAAGTGGATACCAAGGCCCTTGCAGGAGTTCATTCTTCAAATAAGGAGCGTGAACGGCAAATTTTTGCCATGGTTTGGCTTTTAGGTGCATGTGACGCTTCCCCCACTGCAGTGGTCCCCAGAACTAGAATATACGCTCGTTACGTACAAATTTGTGCCGATTATTCTCTCAAACCTTTGTCTTCAGCTAGCATTGGGAAATTTGTTCGTATTTTATTTCCTAACCTCACCACCAGAAGGTTGGGAATGAGAGGACAATCCAAATATCATTATTGTGGCATAAAATTGGTTGGCGAAACTGGTAGTGGAAGTTCCGGCAGAGGTGGCACTAGATCTGGAGGTGGTGCTGGAAGCGCATCAGGGGCCCCTGGAGGCGGTCATTCTACTAATAACTCTGGATATTCATCCGCAGCATCACCATCCCCAGCATCGTCATATGGGGCCGATTCTCCTTCTGTTCAACAACCGAATACTCCATTAGGAGGCCGCAGTCCTGGAATTTCTCGACCATCAACTCCGGGACCTGGTCCACTTGTTAGTCTTACTGGTGCTGTTGGACACATTTCTGGAGTTGGCACTGGAGTTGGAATTGAGGGTACTTTTGGAGGTTACCTCTCTTCATCCTCATCAACAACTGGAAATAACCCTTTGATTATTCCCCTTGCATACACCCCAAATCTTTTACCATATATAAACTCTTCGCTCTCCACGCAGCTTAATCTTCCTCCAATTTATCCATATCTTCCTCCAAATTCGGACTATGATATTGCAGACACACTTTATTCACTCTATCGAGTTCATTGTACAACCATCTTTGATTCACTTAGGTTCATGCAAACCAAGAAACTTTTCAGTGCATTTTCAAACTTTACTGCCATTTTGACTGCACCCATCTTGAAACTTTATGTGAGTGCATTTGTATTGGAATGGATCCAAAAATGTGATTCTGTCATGTATCGAGGCATGACGAAAATGTTAACTAAGTTACATCTCCAAAGCGTACCCGAGGATGTCTTACAAAGACTCAAGGAAATTGCAGCGCAATATGTGGAGAACCTTTCTCAATCACTCCAAAAAGTTCCAAAACATTTCTTGGCCATGAAATTACAAGGTGCTCAACAATTTGTAAAGGTTCTCAATCGTCTCATTCGTGTAGTAGAAACTGGACAATTTGCCGCCAGAATACTCAATAATTCTGTTGAAAAGCAAGCCATGTTGAATGATTGGATGAAGTTAGACATTCGTCAAATTGTACTCCGAGAAGTCTCATGTTCTCTTGAGAATATCGACATACTTCTTGATATTCTTACAGGTGACTTTCTTAGATTATTTGATCTGTCTGAAGGTATGATCCACGCCAATGCAGCCGCATTTTTGGCTGACCTTCCTGGAAGATTTTCACGCATCAACTCTCGAATGTTTATTCTTGTGACCAGTAATTTCCTTACTACTTGTCTTCGTGAAATCAGTTTGTCTGGAGGTCAAGGATTTGGTGCATGGTGGATTGTACGCTGTTGGGTGGATGAATACCTTAAGTGGTATTTTGAACTCGGAGGTATGCTTCAAGAAGAATTCACCAGAGATGGGAAAGATTCAGAAAGAGAAACTGCCAAAACCGAACCAACAGAAGATGAAATCCTGAAATCAAACATGGTAGATCTTTTAGATGGATTTGAGACGAAGGTTGACTTTGAACATGGAAACAGTGGTGACCAACTCTTGGAATTTGACCATGTGGAGAACATTCTTGGAAGAAGTGGAAACATTTTGGGGCTCCAACAATAAAATAAATATAAAAAAAAAAAGATATAATCAAAATTAGCATATAGCATAGAATCTCGGACGTATTATTTGTCTGAGTCGAAGAATAGTATAGTAATAATATAATACCATTCAGAAAGAAAGATAGAAAGTGTAGATTAGTAAACATTAATCAAAAATGGATAATTTGTATATTAAACTTTCATATCCACACTCTACAACCACGGTATTCTATATCATTTATTTATTATAAGATCTCTTAATTATCTTTACTGGATTTCTCGACCTTTGAAATCAGTTCCATTGACTAACCCCCCAGTGGTGAATGTCAAATGGTATGAAAGTCGATCCTCGCTTCTGTACTCTTTATTTTTTTTTTCTCCTTCTACACATCGTTCAAAGCAACGCAAACAGCACCCTTGTGATGTCCATTGTACTGTCTAACAGTCTCGCTATTAGACAAGTCCCAAAGTCTCACATAGTGATCAGAACAAGCGGTTACCAAATATGCACTATCGGCACTAAATGCACAATCCCACACCCAACGTTGATGGCCCTGTAAGGTTGTCTCCAAGTTGAAGTTTTGCTCCGTAGACCAAATCCGTGCTGTATGATCGGCCAGACATGTTGCCAAGTGTCTCATGTCAGTTGATAACACCACTCTTGTGATGTACTTACTATGCGAACGGAATTTTGTCACCGGAGTCAAAGAAGTCACGTCTCTCTGGTTTTGCATCTTCCAAACATAACAATTTCCCTTATTGTTCCCTGCTACAAGCATCAGACCATCACTTGCAACTGAGAGTGAGTTTATTGGAACATCATCTTCGGGGATAAGATGATGAGTACATTGATTTTCACCAAGGTCCCAAATCCTAATGTTCCCATCTTGATCACAAGAAATGAGTTCCCCCTGGTTCGGATGGATCACCACCTCGTTTACGGGACAATGATGTTTATAATTTCTTTGGACTGAGGGTGTTCGTACGTCCCACACTTTAACCATCCCATCTTCAGACGAAGTAACCATCCACTTGTTTTCCACTTGGAAGGCAAGAGACGTCACATTACTGGTGTGACCTTCAAAAGTCATCACCGGGTTTGATGACGAATTGGATGATGACGAAGTGGTAGATGAGGTGGTTCCATTACCACCGGCGTTGTTACCACCTACATTGCCAGCTCCAGTAGGATTGTTGTTGTTCCCACTGTTGATATGGTTGCTGCTCCCGTTATTATTTGGATTGTTGCTGATATTAGCAGCACTGGTGGTTCCATTGCCAGAATTCCCTGTCTGTCTGATGTCATAGAGTCTAACATAGAGATTCCCAGCAGCAGCCAAGTACCGTTTGTCGGAAGTGATTTCTAACCGATTCACCTGCGAGTCAGTGTGTTGAATGGTACGAGAGCATACACCCGTGAGAGCATCCCAGAATCTGATGGTGTGGTCGTATCCCGCAGAAGCCAAGATCACCGACATGTTTAAATTCTGTTGATGTACAACCTCAATAGAATCAATAAATTGTAATACCTTTAGTAAGACCCCCCAATGAACATTTTATCGCGAATCCTGTAAAGTATGTATGATCACGTGATTTAATAGAGATAGACTGCCTTGCAAGAATGTATAAAGATAAAAAAGAAGATTATAGAGTTACAACTTAGAAGGGTTCTAGAGGATATGAAATATTCTTATTTGTCTCTACAGTGGGGAGTAGATTGCTTGAGGAAAGTACACTTTTTTTTTTCATGGTACAAGTATGTTTTCTTTAATAGTCGCTCATTATGATTTTAGAATGGCTGCGAAAATGTTCACCTAGTGTATCTTAGTTCTCCTGACTTGATTCTATTCAAGTACATGAAATGTATTGAAACAAAAGTATTTAATATATTGCTTAATGATTTCGTTTTGTTATTCGTTGTTTGTTGTTTGTTTTTTTCTTCTTTTTCCATATATTGTTGAAGTGCCAAAACCTGACAATTGGTTGTCGGGAGGAATTCTCAGTCGAGTACTCTTACGTCAATTACTATGCAACTCTGGTATGGTCTACGTCCAGTATATCTAAAATTTTCTACACTCTTAATTTTAATTCCATTTGTTCATTTTTATTATTTTTTTTTTGCTTATATTCGTAATTTTTAAATTAACTAACTGTATTTTACTGTCGCTATAAATCTATTTACATCCTTCCAATTTATAACCATTCTCTCTAAAATGTTTCGTTGATGATCTTCTTTTGCTCCGCAGTCAAAGACAATGGATAGTCAACCTTGAAGTTGATTTCCAAGTCACCACGTTGACCAGGAGTCTTGCTGATTGGCATACCCAAGCCAGGGTAAGTTGTGGATGTGTTTGGTTGAACTGGGTTCAGTCTCAGTAATGAGATCTTTCTGCCCTCGATGGTAGTAACTTCCTTGGTAAATCCACATAAGGATTCCTTGAATGTAAGTGGCAAGCTCATGCTTAAGTTGTTACCGTCTCTCTTGAAAGTGGCATGTGGTTTTTCTTCAATAACAAATTGCATGGTTTGTCTGGCTTGACATTCTGGTTGATAATCTCCGGAATTGGCAAAGTTTACCTTGGTTCCAGCTTTCCATCCCTTCTTAATGTTGATTTCCATAATTTGTTGTTCCTTGACACCACTGGTACCCTTTCTATTGATCTTCATCTTCTTGGTGGTACCGTTGAAGAGATCTTCAAGAGTACATGGAAGTGGGAGTGTGACGGTATCTGGCTCAGGACGACGCATGGAATGTCCACCGCCAAATCCACCTGGCATACCTCCACCAAATCCACCAAAATCGTCATGGCCACCGCCACCACCCATACCAAATCCTCCCATTTGGGAGAAAATGTTGAATGCATCAGATTGTGAAAAGCCTCCGTGACCACCTCCACCAGAGGAGAAATGGAAGCCACCAGGGCCACCAGCTCCTCCGGCACCGCCGAAGGGGTTGCCGCCCATACCACCAGCAGGTGCGTTACCTCTGGCAGCTTCTAAACCATAATCATCGTAGACTTGTCTCTTGTCAGCATCGGATAAAATGTCAAATGCTTCAGAGATTTCTTTGAACTTTTCTGTATCACCTGTAGGCTTGTCTGGATGATATTTCAATGCAGACTTTCTGTATGCCTTTTTGATTTCTGTTTCACCTGCTGAAGGTGATACCCCCAATAAGTCGTAAAGTTTTGTTTCTTTAACCATTGTGTGTTGGTACAAATTCTTTAGTATAGAGAAGAAAAGAAAGAATTACTTCAATATGAATGTTAAGGATCTTAACTTGGTTTATTTGCTGAGCAAACGGAGATTTTCCGATTGAGAATTATATAATCGAGTGTTCGCGATTGTGCGAGAAGATTCTAGAAGGTTCCATAAAGAACAAGGATACTTACTTAGAAGTTTAAGGTGTAGAATAAGATTGAATTTGATTTCGATTGCAATATGGTTCAATGATTATCTCGACTTACGGTTTCTTCAATCTTCGATTGAATATTAAAAAAAAAGGAGAGGGATCCTAACAAAATCAAAAAAAAAAAAAAAAAAGTTTTTGAATAAAGGGTTTACATCGAATATGAGACTTAACGATCCCTTAATACTCCTAGCTAGCTACATTTAAACCTATCTCTCTTATATCATCAATGTATTTATTTATGGACTATTGCTCCTTCTTTCTGAGGGCCTTCTTTAAAGCTCTGGTACGAATACTCTTGTGCATTCCCAAATTCAAAGTATTGGCAACCTTCAGGTAGACACCAACAGTATTTTCAATACCAAAATGCATCAATGCATGAGCCCAGTATGGAGTCATGGTTGCAAATCTATCTTGAGCACCACCACGGCGTCCAACGGAATTCAAAACAGACTTGACAAATGCCTTTGGAGTAGGAATACTGGCAGATGAACGTCTGATCTTGGACATGGCGGAAGTAACCAAATATGAAATCACAAGTTCAACGTCAATGTTTGATGGCTTGAGTTCACCTGCAAGAGCAGCAGACCATGCTTGAAGGAATGCCTTGGAACCAGAGTATGTAGCAAGGTATGGAGTTGGTAATAATCCACCAAATGATCCCATGGTTAAAATCAAACCACGAACTTGCTTTTTAGAAGTTTCAACGGTCTTTACAATGGATGGAGTCACGGTTTGAGTGATCTTTAAAGTTGCGGTGTTGTTAATGGTAACAATATCTCTGAGTTCTTTATCAGTAGTTTCCAAAAATGGGACTGGAATGGAATGGGATTGACCAACATTGTTGATAAGAATAGTTACTGGAAGACCTTCAATGGAAGAGGCAAGAAGTTGGTAGTTGGCTTCCTTGTCGGTGGAGGCATCAAAGGCAACAATCTTAGTTTGAATCTTATACTTGGATTCCAATTCTTCAGCGATCAATTCTAATTTAGATTGAGTTCTGGATACCAATACAACATTGAACCCACGGCCAGCCAATTGAGTGGCATATTCCTTACCAATCCCGTCGGAAGCACCGGTAATAACAGCCCAGTTACCCTTCTTGGCACCGTACTTACTCCAATTGGTTGATGGAAGAATAAATAAATCTGCCACAAGTGAAATGGTACTCAATGAAAAAAGCGTAAGCTTATAAACACCAACTACTACAGCAACATAAAGAAGTGCTTGTGTGCATTTACAAGAAGTTAATTCTGCAACAAATGAATTGATTGACATCTTGATTCAGTTGAATATATAAATCGTCAATAAAGAGTACAATATATCTTGTCTTCTCTTTCTTCACTAGCGACAGTTGTCTTAATATTTTTTTTGTTAAACCCCAACATATTTCGCTTATATAAGCGGCGCGTATTTAAAAAAATTCTTAGCATTTATTTTTTTTTTCTTTTTATGTATGTGTAAGTATTTTCGTTCCATCATTAATATTTGTGATTGATTAATATTTACAAGTAAGCAAATTCTTCAAGTTTTTCATTAGTAATTTGCACTTGTAATTCCTGTATTTTTGAACTTCTTTCCAAATTATCTAAAGAAGATTCAAGTTTCAATCTAGCTTGATTAAGTGCAAGTAATTCCTTATCTATATTATCAAGTTCTTCTTGGCGTGTGTCAATGGTTTTAGCTATTGATTTATCTTTAATTTGTAAAATATGAACCCAAGGTGTGTGTCGACTAGTGTATGATGTATTTGATTGTTGAGCAGGGCTTCCTCCATGTCCTGAAGTTCTTCTATCTAATCCTGAAGGTCTTCTATCATGACTTGAAGGTCTTCTCTCTTCAACTCTACGATTCTCGTACTTGTCTCTATTTTCGCCATTTGAATTGTACAGGTCATAATCATATTGTCTATTACCCCTGTAATTACTATTAGCAGAAGATGGAGCTGTGTGGCTATTATAACCTTGATTGTAATTGGTATGACCATGGTTATTGTTATAGTGGTGACTACCTCCACGAGTCAGCCATGAAGAGCTATTTGGTCCAGAATGTCCTCCCGTTGATTGTTGTGAATTACTTCTATCTCTATAACCTCCTTGGTACCTATTGTCCAGGTGGTGACTTCCTCCTCCTCCTCTAGAGCCTCCTCTTGAATAGTAGTTCCCACCACCACGTTCAGATCCGCCACGATGGCTATATCCACCTCCACGGTTCCCACGATAACCCCCGGTTTGATTCCGGTAGTTGTATTCGTCGTCTCTATAGTCCATTTTAATTAGTTGTTGTTGAATAGATTGAATAAATAAACTTCAAAAACAAAAAAAAAATTAATGTAAGAAGTTCAAACACATATCAAAATATAATGTCATGTGATAAAATGTCACATGATACACCCTCTTCTATATTACCATAGGATACATCCATCATTCTAAATATTTCCAAAATATTTGTGTATACTTCTTCTATCATAACTACAGGGATATAAAAGATTTATATATATATATATATATATATATGGATTAAACCTATAAAATACTCACATGTATCCCGTTATATCAAAATAACATTCTATTAATAATTCTTTTATATTTACTCTTCATTACTATTCCTAAAATGGTTGTTTGGTCGTGTAACCCACAAATCGCCAACATTTGCTAATTGGAAAGAGAAATGACATACTATCATTAACCCTCATCAGATACCCACAATTAATAAACAAAGAAAAGGGGAGAATTTGGTATATAACTTTGTATCAGGAGGTTTTTTTTTTTGATACTGGCTACAAGTGCACTGAGATATACTAGGAAAGCCATAAGCAAACGTAGAGAAGAGGAAGGTATCTCTTTTCTAAGTTTTAGTGGCCTTAGCTTTTTTGCACCCAACAAAAAAAACTTTTGATTCAATTCATCAATCCAATACATTTAAATAATAAATTTCCCAAGAGATGTCAATATTCAGCATCTCATGGAATGAAGTGACCACCTCAGGGTCTATCCCATTGAGTCAATTGCCAATATTTTTGGAAAAATTAGAATCTAATCTCATTCAATCAACAAATTTAAAGGACCATCCAATCTCCAATGATCCATTCATTTCACAAAAATTATCCTTATTGATGAATCAAATTCAAGATGATGGGAAAATCTCTTGCCGGGATGAAAATATCTTCCTCTCACAGGAACAAGTCATTCAACTTATAAATACCATTCTAATAGATCTTAAATTTATTGATTTAGAATCCCAAAATGCATATGGATCATTCAATAATGATCATGAATATTATTGCGATGATATTAATACCATCACCAACAAAAAGGAACAATTTGAAGTATTTGACGAAGATTTGGATATCTATTCTGATTCAGAATTGGATTCTGTAATGGATATCATTTCTTCATCCTTTATGAAGAAGATACTGGTTCCGTTCAATTCTATATCAGAGACTCCCTTTATGAAATAGATAAACATCATGCCAGGATTCAAACACAACTTGGTAGTTGTGAAGAGATTGTTGAGCAACTCCGGAAACATTCTCTTGGTGACTTACAATGTTTAGATCAATTACAAAAAAGGAATGAAGTTAATCATGATAAACTTTTTAAATTAAAATTGGAATTAAATGAGTTGGAAATTCTATTGATGAATGATAAGAAAGATATCTTATTGAAACGGGAGGGATTGAATGCAAATTCAGATGCTGGACATCTTAATGATACAACAAATACATTTTTAATTTTACTTATCTCCATCACTCTTATGATCATATCACATATTTTATCCATTTAAACACCATACATATACCATATATATTGCATAAAAGAATAAAAGCAAGTCTCTACATGAGACATTTAATATTGACATCTACATTAAATTCATAGAATGACTTCGAAAGATAAAAAAAAAGTGAATAGAGTTTGTAGTCTACCGAGCTCTCAATTCCTCAGGCAGGGGAATGAGTAGGACTATACTTGGGGGTCTACAAGCCGCTCCGCTGGCACTCCGTGGGCCACTAGCCGTGGAGGCCTTGTTCCTCTGGCGAGGAATTTCTTGTCTAGTCATACTTACTCTTGGTGGCCACTACCACTCTACAGTAGGTAATCTCTTTTATCTCTCTCTCTCTTTAATTTTATATATTTCTTATCCATGTACTCTATCTTTTAAAAAAAATAAAACTACCAATGCAGCATACTAAACCAATGTAGTACTTATCAACCCATGTTAACCGAACGAGGATAGTTATCAAATCCTTCACCTTCTTCTTGGAAGTAGGGATGGATAATTGCTCTCTTGGCACTGATACGGCCACTAGGGTCGTAAACTAACATTTGTTCCAATAAATCAACCCCATCTTCATCCAATGTAGGCACAAAATCTCCCAAGTTTTTCTTACTCCATTTTGGAAATGTTGGCTTAAAATCTGGTAAATATGAAACATCTGGCCAAATTTCTTCAGTTGGAGTTCCTAAAATTCTGAAAATTCTGAAAATTTCATCAATTTCAGAATCCCCTGGGAAAAGTGGCTTACGGTTACACATTTCAGCAAAGATACATCCAACAGACCACATGTCAACCCCGGTGGAATATTGTTTCCCACCAAGAAGAATTTCGGGTGATCTATACCATAAGGTGACCACCTCGTGTGTATAAGCTCTAAGCGGCACACCAAAGGCTCTAGCCAATCCAAAATCAGCCAACTTTAAGTTACCCTCTTTATCAATTAATAAATTTTGAGGTTTCAAGTCTCGATGTAAAACACGATGACTATGACAATACTTGATCCCCTTGACAAGTTGGTTCATGAATCTTTTGACCATATCAGACCCCAAACCTACACCGGTTGGAATCGATTCCATATATTTCTTTAAATCCAAATCAAGAAACTCAAACACAAGGTAAAGCTTGTGAGAATCAGAATGGACAATGTCGTAAAGACGGACAATATTATTGTCACGCATCTCCTTAAGAAGCGAGATTTCTCGGATTGCCGTGGAGGGAACCCCTTCATCTTCAGACTCAAGTCTGATCTTCTTCAAGGCAACAACACGGTTATTATGTTTGATATCAAGGGCTTTATACACCACACCATAGGTTCCTGATTCGTTAGTAACACGTTGGAAAGAAATGAAAGCAGAAAAGAGAAAAGCAAAGTTAGGGGGCGTAGAAAATGGATCTAGCTTCTTGTAACTATATGTTTATCTATTTGTGATGATCCCATAGAATACAAATGAGTCGTCCCCAAATAGATCATTATTGAAACGTGACACTTTGGGAGTTTGCGTAGATAAATCGCAATTTTGGCCCGTTTGCGATCCCTAATTTGTCCCATTGTTACTTACCCTCTCCGACCTTTTCCTGTCTATGATAGTCTGAAAGCTCAACCATTGCTAGTGTTGGTATGAACGCGTAGTTTGTGGACAAACTAGACGAGCATTTGAGCTCTCGCGTTGTTTGTTTTTAACCGATGGGAGTGCAGGTGGATTTGAGGGTTTGGTTGCAAACACGACTGATTTGCACCCACACCCACCCAGTGTTGCTCAACTTAAGCGGGTTCTCTACAGTTTTGAATTAACACACTATATCAGGACCAAAAAAAAAAATTTCAATGTCCCTAGTATATGAATTTATATATTAAGAGTATTCACTCATGTTATAAATACTAACAAATAAATAGAAGCAGACACATCAATTATGAGAATGAGGGTTGGTTGGGAATTCTGGTGAGATTGCTGCTTATCTAATATAGTAAACCATAAACGTCCATTAACCATGCTTTGATAGTAAACCATTCATTCATATAAAGAATGGAAACGTCCGTTAACCATGTATATTGGGATATAAAAGGAAAGGTATTCAAATTTTTGAAAAAATAATTCCCCACTTTACATGTTTCAATGATATCTAACCTTCAATGGCATGTCCTTCACCTGCTGCACAAACCTTAATTTCTCTACCCCATTCACTATTCAAAATTTGCTTACCAGTAATTCTTCTTTCTGGTTTAGGATCCAAAATGGAATAAATGACATTTCTACACCGAGCACGTTTCAACAGTTCTATTGGGTCGTAACCAGTGGCATCTTTACGTTTCAAAAGATATTCTTCGAAAAATTCATCTTTCTTTTGATCTGCCAACTTCCAGAGTTGTCTACCTGTTCTCATGGCCATATAGATCACCCCACATGCCCAAATATCGACACACCGTGGATCAAACAGTTTCTGGGTAAACTCCTCTGGTGCAATGTATGGAGAAGAGCCACAGATCCCTTCACTTAATTGAATTTCCTTTTCCCATGCCATCTTGAAACATTCTCCATTCCCAAAATCGGTGATTTTAAGTACCCCTTGTTGAGTAAGAAGTAAATTCTCTGGCTTTAAATCACGATGACTGACTCCCATATCATGCATATAATTGACCCCACGGATTAATTGTTTGAAAAAACAATCAGCTTCGGCATATTCCAATTTACCCAGGGCAATAATTAACGTATATAAATCACCTCCAGAACAAAACTCCATAACTTCACAATAATCACCCTTTGCATCTTTTAAAAGATCAAGAGTATCAATGATATTTCTATGCTTTAAAGATGAAGAAATACAAAATTCAGATGTTAATCTTCGATTATATTTTTGTTCCAGTTCATTTTGTTTACGTTTGAATTCCTTGACAGCATAAAGGATCTCACCTCCTGGTCCTGCTGTTCCCCCAGCTAAATCTCCAGTATTATTACCATTGCTACCATTTGATGTATGGATACCATCATCGGTATTGTCCGACTTTTTATGGGCAACTCTAACCACTCCGAATGACCCTTTACCAACAACTTCTTGACATCTACCATATTTTTCTACAAAGGATCTACTGTCACGTTGGGCTGCTGTGGCTGTCAGTTCTCCAGGAGGTTGTCCATGATATGGAGATGTGTTGTTTTTCACTTGATTAACAAGCCCAGCGAAAAGTGTCGGTGGCTTGGCAGTATCTGTCACCGGTACTCCCTGTAAGATATTAGGTACTTCACTCTTAGCTCCATCACGTAATTTCTTTGCTCCTAAAAGATCTTTAAGCATATTGGAAAGTTTCTCTTGTCTCTTGGCAGAACGAAGATTATGCTCATGATTTCCCGAGTCCAAGATCCGGAACCTTGGCTTACAATTAGGTCCACTTGCTGCTGGAAGAGAGTTCAAGTTTGTATGTGAAGTATTGGAATGTATCGTCAGTTTGTTTCGAGAAATAGACGAGTTTCGACTTACTGCTGGAGTTGTTCCTGAATGTGGTGCCCCATTAGTGCCTGAGTTACCCATTGTAGTGGTGGCAGTAGTATTAGCAGTTGGTGCTGTTATTCCTGATGCTGCCACCAAAGAAGGGCTAGTGGTGGTCGAGGTGGTGGAGGCTGTTCCATTGGTTGTGCTTGGCTTCCTCATGGTCGAAGACGATCTCGACACTGGTTGAGACCGCACACCGGTGGGTGGAGTAGCTGGAGAAGAATTAGCTGATCCTGTGCCAGAGTTTGAGGTGCCTGCACCTCCATTTGGCTTGGAATTGGTTGTTCCACCAACTCTACCACTAGCAGATCTCAGCGGTGGTCGAGGCGAAGCGTTTGGTGATGTAACAGGACTGATCAACGCAGGGCTCTGTATAGGGCTCACGGGGGTAGAGGATCGTCCCCTCAACGCCAGTAGCTCCCTCGAAGTGGTAGGTCTCAAGCCTGTATCTTGAGATAATTGCGATACAATATCATTAGTTCGTACCGTAAGGCCAGCAGGGACAGAGGGAACTGGGGCAACTACCGCAGCATCCTTGCTACCTCCAAATAGCTTGCCTAGCCTGGAAATGGTCGAGCTCCTAGACCGTGTGTCTCCCATGGTGTTATCCCAAGTGTTTGGTGTTGAAATTAGAACAAATAATCTTTGTCAAGTATGTCAGCAGATTCAAAAGTCCACCTTAAAAGAGAAAAAAAAAAAAAACTAAAAATAAAAATAAAAGAAAGAAAAAAAAGTTTTATGTCACGTGGGTGTGGAGGCTGCGTGGCAAAAAGGAAAAATAACAAGCCTCAAAGATGAAATCTTAGAAAATATTCAGGATGGCGATGATTCCGGCAAACATGAAATAGTAGCCAAGACATATCAGGTCAGGTTTGACTTTAAGGGAAGTTCTACGCATGACGGCAAGGGCTTGGGACAGGTTTTAGAGTTAGTGTAGAGACAATTTTAGATGACCACCTGACGAAGCTTATGTCCAATGGTTAAAGTAGGGGGCGAAGGGCAGTGGCGATGACCATTGGTCCACATAACAACAAAAAAGTTTGTTAGTCGTAAGTCTAGTACTTTTTTCTTACAATTGTTTTTTTTTATTTTTCCCCCTAGTGAATTTGCCGCAAATGCGCAGGGCATTTGTGGAATCTGTAACACTCCCGCATATGGGCGAACTTCTATTGCGTAGAAAGAGTTTGAGCCAATGTAAAGGTGTAGCATTTATATATAAGAGAGGTCGGAGAGTTAGCGGATAAACGGTAAGAAAAACAAACAATTGTGCGAACTGGGTAATAAGTGGGCTTAGGAGGAATCATACCATGTTGTGACTATCCGTGTAGACGGTTTATCGGGGAGAATTGTAGCCATGAGTTCCTTTTGAATCTGTATTGTCCTGTAGTATAGTGGCAATGGTGTGTTGGTGTGTGGGCATTTGATTTTGGGCGCGCTAAAAAAGGCTGCAACTTCCTATTATGGCGGGGGGGCAATCCATAAACAGCTCCACTTCCATTCATCTAGGGGGGTTGTTTCTGGGTTTCTAGTGGAACCCTAATAGTGCTAGACTTGGCTAAGTTGCTGTTAGGTGATCCCTTACATCGACAATAAAAAAAAAAAAACTTATCCTCCACCCAATTGTAACCAATACGGATATTGTTCCCCCTTGCTGTCTTGGCCACGTATAATGCAGGCTTCTTCTAACCGTTTCGGGACTTGGCTACCAACTACCCGACATTCATCTTTAAACCAGAAGATGGCCCAATATTTCCTTATGCTCTTAATTCCGGTAACCATGTATTCTTTAATTCATTGTCATGTTCCCATGGTATAAGAATTTGAAGTGTGCGACGTCTTTTTTTTTAATAGTACACTGAAATTCACATGAGAAGGAGATACCGTTCCTAATGATATAATCTCTTAAATATTTAATTTCTAGATCATCGATGGTTAATTCAATGAATTCAATTGTGAATTGGGTCATATATCCAATCCAAGTGTTTTTTTATGGCATATGGGTTGTGACAGCGTACACCGTGTATGCCTGTTGGTACCCGTTCACATACATCCCAGTCATTGCTTCTGGTCTTTGGTGGATGTTCTTAACTCCAATAGCGTTGGCGCTAGAGGTACTATTCCATAGTTTACTACTCCCATTGAAACCAGTTATGTATATCCTTGGAATTCAACCCAATAAGTTTGCAGCGGGGTTTTTAAATAATTTTGAATTCTTTGCCGTTACATTGTATCAATACTTGGCGGTTGCTATCCTATTTGGGAGTATCGTTGGAGTTATTACAGGGGTTATTTTATCTGGAATATCGTATCTAATGACCCCATCAGCAAGTAAAATATTGAAATACGATGAAAAGTTGGATGAAAAGTTGGTAAAACAATTATTGTCAAATATCCCCAAGGAAAATGGACCTCTCCCCACAGGCCTTAAGATTGACATAAAGTATGATACGTCACCGTCTCCACCTCATATACATGTGGTGGATAATAAGGAATTCTCAGGCGATAATACCACTACAGGAATTGACCTTTATAAGAATTCATTGGCACTTACTCATAGATCAGAATCGGAACCTGATACAATCAGTACATTGAATGAATTGTTTACGGTGAGAACAGAAGAATCAGAGTTGACAGAGAGGAAATCCATTAAATCAAGAAAGGTGAAGTGATATGATAGGATAGTATAAATTTTAAGAGGTTGTGGAACGAGTGAGCCTAATCAACAAAACACTACTTACTACATCACTATGTGGTCTCTCTAGAGTAGGTACTGGGGGATCAGACATACTAGCCCCTCCACTACGCGCTACGTGGGGTGTAAAAAATCCCCATCTACGAACAGAAGTTTGGTTCTGTAAGTGACAACCATATGTACCACTATCACCCCCCTACTACCTGTGTCCCCCTCCCTCCGGTTAATAGTCACCTATTCCCTATTCCCCGTTCCCTTGGGATCTTGGCAAGAAGCTAAACATGTCTGGAACATGCCACTTTCTTCTGAAGTCAACCAATCCCCATCCCTTTGTTTTTTTGTATATTCTGAAACATCTGCAAAAAAATACTACCACATTTTTTTCAACCTCCCTTCTTTATCAAAGAAAATGATAGTTTGAACTAATTATATTTTTTTTTTTGCCTCTAAGGTTACATCTGATAATGTTAGTTAAGGTTATAGAGTTTCCTGCGCCTTCAAGAGGATGCACTACAAATGTGTTCACATTCAAAGTTGGGGACCTCAACGCTAGAGCCGCGAAAGTGTTGATTCCATGGCCATCCCCACAAGTGGAACCCCCAATTGAATACATACCATCATATGAAGAAGCAGATTTCGGTAGACAATTTATTATATTTCTTTCTAAAACTGGAATTCTTGATGATTTAAAAGAAGAATCTTGTTGGATAGGAGGAGGGGATTATCAATGTGATATTGAATTTGTTGTTCATTCACCCAATAAGAAAAGATTTGTAGTAACTCTTGAACTTTGTTATGTGAAAAGGATGCCACCTATGTTTGATGGTGCAATTACACCAAGTTATCTAGTAGTTAGTCATAATGAATTATTGGGATTTCTTCGGGACAAAATTATTCTTAACAAAGAGAATATTAAAATTGAGAGAAGAATTAAGGCTATATTAATGTTGGTACTGATAAATTGCAGTATTAATGGATTAGAATTGGATATTATGTAAGAGATAATAAAATAGTACTGTTCCCAGCTGGGAAGGGAGAAACACTTACATGTAAATATTCTTCTTTTTAAACCTTTTGTAATTTTTTATTAGTACTAATGTACATATGCTATATTTCGTATTTTCCCATTATTGTTGTGCGTTTAAGTAGTCCGTATAGTACAGTCCAAACACGTTCCAGTGGAACTTGACCAACGTAGCGATACGGGTCGTGATATTGGACATTTCGGACGTGGCCGTCGTAGCGGCGGCCATGTTTGTGATTTTTGATCCAGTGGTGCTCATGTTCTTGGACAAGGGCAATTTCTTGCCGCTGATGATCTGAGGAATGCTGGAGAGTGGTGTGGATGAGGAAGCGGAGCTTCCCCCCATTGAGGAGGTGGTGGTGCTGGTGTTGGTGGTGGTGTTATTGTTGGTATTGTTGGCAGTGCCATGGATGGTGGAAGACGACATATTCTTCAAATTGGCAGAGATATCAGCTAACAATTCTTTGAAGATTTTTTCTTCCATCAAGCCATACACTTCCAGGTTAGGTTGGATTTGTTTAATCAACCACAGGTACAGAAACTCAATCTTTGATTGGTTAAGCTTTTGTCCATAAGAGTTCTTCACGAGTTGAAGAGCAATGGCATTTACATTTCTTGTCCATTTGATTGTTCCATTGTCATCGGTAACTATTGAAAGAACCTCTTCTTGGATACGACTTACCAGTTCAGGAGATAATGCCTTTGATTTTTCAGTGGCAGAAAGTTCAGTGTTGTTGAAAATGAGTTGCTTGTACAAGACAACACAAAGTTGGATACAAACAAGTTGACGGATATCAGCCCTGAGTAAGATGAGACGAGTATGATCAAATGCCAAGGTTGAAGGGAACTCACTCACCATTCTTCTACATGAAAGAAGGGAGAGAATTGATGAGATAAGACGATGACGACCAGAATCTGACGATGATGGAGAGGAATTACCAGTACTCTTTATAGGACTGGTATGGTTGGTATACCATCTCAAACTATCACCAATGTCCAATTTATGATGAGAGATCAATTGACTGAAATAATCCTTTTCGAATTCCACGGCGGTTTCAATCAATACTGGTCTCAAGATTCTGATCTGATGGTTGGCAACATCCAACTTCATGGCTTCCAAGATCAGGAACACCATACGTAAGCCACAAACAAGTTTCTCAACACTATTTTCTTGATTGGCCTGAGTGAATTTGGAAACCATTTCAGTGACCCAATTGTCTCTCATTGGAGCACAATGACATTTAAAGATTTTGCCCAACCAGTTGGCAAGGGAAACAAAGTCAAAAGTGCCGATGCTAAGCTGTTGTACAAGCAAATCCATGTCCATGATATCTGTGACGTTGGTACGATCCTTGTAGGGGAGTAAAGACAACAAGATATCTCTCAAGGTGATGAATAAGGAGGGGATTCTTGAGTTTTTCTGAATAAATTTCTTCAACACAAAGATCGAATGGCATTCCTTTTCGATTTCCAGCCAGTAATTGTCAATGATATTCTTCTTACGTTTGCCTCTTTCTCCATCCAAATTAGGACGGAACTGGAGTTGTGGATCAAACAAAATGTCATGACGAAGTTGTGGATTCTTGAGGATTTCATGGAGATCGATTTCTTTGAGTGATTGTAAATTGATGGGTGGGAGGAGTGGAGTAAGGGATGCTGATGATGATGATGATGATGATGATGAGGGTGCGGCTGTGGCGATGTGCCCGTGCCCGTGCCCGTGCCCGTGCCCGTGGCCATGGCCATGGCCGGTAGCACTACTGCCAACACCAGTACCGCTTCCAGTGTTGCTGGAGGAGATGTTGTTGGAAGTTGGCTGGGATGGACCCCCATTCATGTGGTTGGACTTGTATTGAGGTAAGGCCATCGGATGGTGGCTGGCGGTCAACTGGACCAAGGGGGAGTTTCGTGTGTATGATATGATGGGGAGGGATCTTGAGCGGAATCTTCTAATGAACTTTGGCGCCTTATGGGTCAAGTTCTTCTTGAGAGGACGTGAAACGGCAGAAGATGATGAGGAGCCGTTTACAACGCTGGCTGCGTTGGCACCCATGGCTAACGGACCGTTGGAACCCTTGCGATGCTTCTTGCGGATGGCCAGACTCGCGGACGTGGAGGTTGCGGAAGTGGCAGCAGCAGTGGTGGTGGTTGCCACTGCAGCCGCAGCAGCAGCAGTGATGCTATCCGGCGACTTGTCAGTAGGATCGGTGGGGACCAGCGGGTGTCTCGAACGCTTGGGGTCAGCTGGGTGCTTTGAGAAGAACACGTTGCGGAACTGTTCCTCCAGAAAGACTTGCTCCTGGTTCTCGTTGGAGTTATTGGACATTATAGGGTCACGGGCGATTTCTTTAATTAAGGGTCAACAGAAAACACAAAAGGGAACGTATTAAGGGGAACGGGGAAATGGAACGGGTTCTGGGTGTGTTATATATGGATGTGGACGAGGGAGGGGTATACGGTGGTGTAACGAATAGATGGATAAGGATAGCTGTAAAGAATAATAATTAGAATACGTAATATTTTTTTTTGAATGTGGGTTGTATTAAAGAAAAGGATGAGTAACGATCTATCGCAATGTTCCCGCAGCTAGTGGGAGTGACGATGTGAGAAAGTTTCTTTTTTAGGCGTGAAAGAGAAAAAAATGAAATTTTTAGGGAGACAAGTGAGAGTTGCGGTGGGGCGTGCTATGACGGAGTCGCCACTAGGTGGATGCTACGTGGAAGGCCGGGCCTACAATGGCGTTTGAGTGCGCTATGTACGAGCCAACAATACGGGCCAGCAGTACGGCCCACAATAGAATCTACAACATTGGGGCCCTTACTTGCCCGCCAACACAATGCGAATCATGTCTCAGTTAATTGTAGTGCTTACTTCGCTGATAATGTTTAATTTTTGTGGGAATTATTTTTTTTTTTTCTTTTTGCTTTTTGGCCTCTTTCCTTTTTTTTTTTTTTCCTCTCTTTCTTTCTTTTTAGCGTAATTGTTTTAGCTTGGATGCAAACTTATCGTAGTGGGGAACGGATAAACGTCGAAAAAGGAAAAAATTTATGAGCCGTCGCGCGCAAAAAAAGCAATTTTACGGGGGGAGGGGCACTTTGAGTGTTTTTGTTCACAACCGGTGACAACCATTCAGTACATGTAGTAAAAAGAAAAGTATCACAGTGTTAGTCAACACGCTGGAATGCCAACGAATACGAAAGGCGAAATTCTAAAAGGGGTACGTTGTTTGTCTAGACTTTGTTTCTTCTTCATTGTTTGTGGTGATCGGTTGTTTCAGTATTGTGGGTTTTTTCTTGTGTTTAGCATGTGCTAAATATGCCCCTGGCCGGTCACGTGAGCGGATTGTTTCTAATCCATTTATTTTTTTTTTCTATTTTCTATTTTCTCTCTAAAAAAAAGTTTGAGCTTAAAGTAAGATGGCGATTTCTTCTGCAGGATTGATCGGCCATTGTTTGATTATTCGTACGGCATTTTGCAAAATGTAAAATATTTTCTAAAATAGATGCGATAGGGAGAACCGGAAATAAGATGCCAAATAATAATAATAATATTATTATTAACGATTGGAGAGAATGTGGTCAAATCAAATCCGGTTGCAGTGTGGAGGGTGGGGCTAATGTAACACACAATCAGATCACCAGGGAAGGATTGTACAGGGATTTACTTTGGAGAAGTGCCCTTGATGCGACACACACAAACAAAGCACCCTGTTGTTTTTGTTATTTTTTTTTCCAGTGACCCTTTGATTCATTTTTCTTACTTTAGCGGGCAGATTCTATGCCTATGCGAGAATATCCCCTTGAATAAGAAATATCCTTCTTCTTGTTCTATTCGGGTAATTCCGCGTTTACAAGTTTCACTTTTGTGCGCCTGTCCATGCACTTCTCTACTAAATTGTACCGCTAAACATTACAATGTATCAAACGTCACCATTACAAAATGTATGGCACATGATTAATCATGGTGGATAGGTTCCACCATTTCCAAGTACATACCACTCTCAAACGCTATTGTGCTGCATGAACTAAATAACGGCCCTATATTATATTTCACCATCACCTTGTACGTCATATCTGTCACATATATGTGCTAGTCCACCCATTCCATCTGTATGATTCGTCATCAACAGATGATCTAGGTCCACCATCAAGTTCTTTCTAATCATTTCAAGTTTAATTCATTAGGCCGTGTAATTCGCCGAGCCAACCTGTAGTACGGCAATATGCGCGATCTTTTTTCGTTTCCGAAGCTTGACTATTGTTAAGACGTATGTACAGTAATTTTTTTTGAATTCCGGTGCCCAATCCGGAAAGTGGCCATCTCCCAACCTGGAAGTGGTCAGCGAAGGTTATTCTCATGTCTCTGCGGAAGGGAAGGTGTTCGCCCGTCATCTGTCCGCGCAGGCTGCATCCTGTACGTGAAGGGACGGTAGACCGGTCACGATCGTACCTTCTCATCAAATGCACACCTCCATGTAGTACTCAAGACAAGTCCTCCCAAGGTCTGACATTGTAGGTCCGGAATTGAAAAGTTCCAGAAAATGAAAAGCTTAAAGCCTTATTGATGTAGATGTAGATCCACCAATTGAAGTGAACAAAGACCCTCCTTTGGGCCGCCACTAAAACTCATGCTCATCCTAATTCCATCGTCAACTAATTGTAACCTTCGGCTTCCTGCAGCCGTCTGTACTTCTCACACAGAATCTGGATCTACCCTTTCCCAGGCATTTTTGTGCCGCACACCACCCTCGGATTCTCCCACATGATTGAAAAAGGGAAGCAAAACTTTCAAGCAAGCCAACTGGCCAATCCACCAAAGACATTGTCTGATCTCTTATTTTTTTACCGGCCACTGCAACGCTATTGTGTTTAGCTGTGTAACCTTGTTACATTCCCGTCCACTACATTGCCCTTTCGTTTGCAGTAACTCCACTGGGCCCTTTATTGTTGAATCCCCTATATCCCCATCTCCCCCCTCGGACTCCTTCCCACTTTAAAACCCTGCACCCCCGTTGCTTGAGTCGAGGAACCATTTTTTACATCCACTGGAATCACCTCCAAATCAAATAGTTAGAGTTGGGTAAAGATGTCATACCGGTCTAACTCTTATCCCAGCATAGTGGGGCCGGCTCCCAAATCTTCGGCCTCGCCCTTAGCTTCTTTGACTGGTAACATAAATGCCCCTTCGGCAGCCCCGACATCCATTCCTTCTATAGCAACACGGGTGACCCGTGTGGCCTCGTTGGGCCCCTCTGAAGTCCACCCCCATCATCAAATACTTCCACCAGTATATTCGCTGAATTCCCCTGTCAATGGAGGCATCCCCTCTGTTTCAGTCACAGGAGTCTCAACACCAGCTCCTCCCCATCCTCCTACTACCACGACTATCAACCCACCCGTCTCGTCTGCCAACACTCCAGCTGCATCGGCCCCAAAGGGGACCCAAACGGTGTTTATCCATAAACTTTATGATATGCTTAATGACCCTACGATAGAACATCTCATTTGGTGGCTTCCTCCTAAGAACGACTCGTTTTGTCTTCTGCCCGGTGAAGAGTTTTCCAAGGCTCTCGCCCAGTACTTCAAGCACACAAACATTGCCTCATTCATTCGTCAGTTGAACATGTATGGCTTCCATAAGGTGAATGATTCATTCCAAGAAGACAACTCTCTGACACCTGCCGATCAATCCCCAGGTGGGCAACCTTCGGCCTCTGTTTCTGCCTCGGCTTCATCTACAGCCCCTCCACTGGCACCACAGTCCCGCTCCCAGCTGGGCTCTGGTCCATCCCGGTGGGAGTTCAGACACTCTACGAACCAGTTCCGTAAAGGGGACGTCGAGTCACTTAAACTTATCAAACGTCGGTCTTCGAAGAATGTAAATTCCCACAAGGAGATTGTTAACTTGAAATCTATTCCAACCTCAAACCCAGGTGATGAATATTTGGACTATATAGATCGTCATCAACCCCAGACACCACAGCACTCACATCAACAGCACCAACAGTCACATCAGCCGGCCCTGGGACTGCTGGGCCATGTACAGTATTTCACGGGTGTTCCTCAGGGGATGCCTCACATGCCTCCTCAGGGGATGCCGCAAGGTATGTCGCAGGGGATTGGTCCTCCACCTCCACCACCTCCTCCTGCTCCTCCTGCTCCACAGCCACAGGGGCTTGGACTTCAACATCCGGGGGCTTCAGTGACCCCAGGTCCACCTCCTGGATCGGCACAAAATGCAGCTGCCCCACCATCGGTGTTTTACCAGCTTCAGGAGATTTCAAACACTCTTCAAACGCTTAGAAGTGACTTTGCCTCTCTCTCAGCGAAATATGATTCTGTCAATCAAGAGATGCGTAAATCAAATCTTGATATGGTTCATCTTATTGAGTTTATTGAAAAGATGCCAAAGTCTACCCCTGTGCAATCTACATCGGTACCGGTCATTGATAGATCGAAAATGAAGACCCCTGTTGGACATGCTGGCCACGCCTTAGATTTGGATTCTACCACCTCGCCATTGTCAAAGGGTTCAGGTGTAGGACCTGCTGGCGCTGGTCCAGGCCCTGCTTCTGGGGTTTCATTTGAATATGAACTCTCCAAACTCAAATCTTCACTCCTTCAACGGTCAAGTATCACTCTGCGGAACTCTTCATCGGCCAATGCCCAACAAAACATAGTCCCACAACCATATCCATTAAATCCACACTACACCATCCACCATCCTCACTTGAAGATGGACCCACATGAACGTCATTTATCGGTTTTAATGGACCCGTTACAAGTTCCTGTCCCATCACGTCATAACCTGCGGTCAATCTTGTTACCTTTAGAACAACAACAGCAACAACAAGGACCACTGCTGACATCATTCCCACCACCTACTGGACTGCCATGTGGATCAGGCGGAGGAGGACCTCCAGGGCAAGCAGCTCCTGACTACACTACTCCTCCAGCTATACGTTCTTACCAACAATATCCATTCCCCAACACACAAGAAAAGGCTGAAAAGAAAACATCCACTTCTGCTCCAGGTAGTTTTAGTGGACTGTCTTCAACCGGGGAAGTTCCTCCCAGATCGGTACCGAAGCAATCTGCCTCTTTTAACTTGGGTAGTCTGGCTATCACAGAATTCAGTTCCGAACGGTCAACCAACCAACTTCCCTCCGTTTCTGAGCTTGATCAATCACTCAAGGTTGGAAACTCGCCCGTTTACAGCCTTTTGAACTCTGACCGTCCAACCATCAGAAAAGTTCGTTCTGACGACGAGGACATGCGTTTTAAGCGCAGACGCGTCTGAGCTTATGTATAGACTTGTATATTAGTTAAAAAGTAATTGTAACACTATTAATTAAATTTTGTAAGTATCAGTGGTGAAGTAGTGGTGGGCTGTCACTACCAGGGTGCATCTGGCAGAAAACCTAACAGAAATCACTCAAAAAAGTAGAGGAGTTTAATGTCCCGTAGGGGAGAGATTGGTTTATTGCCCTACGGGGTGTGTCAGCCGCTCCGCTGGCACTCCGTGGGCCACTAGCCGTGGAGGCCTTGTTCCTCTGACGAGGAAGTGACTGTGATCACGGGGATCTCCTCGAAGAGGAGCTAGGCACCACACCAGTGGCTCTCCCCGAGCAGGGGCCAGCGGAGCGTCTTACTGTCCCACATGGTAGAGAGTTGGTACTTCCTGCCCTGCAGGGTGTATGATCTTCTCCGCTGGCACTCCGTAGGTCACTAACCGTGGGGAGGAAGTGTCATCGACATAGATGTCTATAAGTAGAGTCTTTATTTTTTTTTGCAGCCATTGTAATTTCAGTTCCTCCACAAAATTTGGTACCTTAAAGTACTGCTAAAAGGGAGAAGTATAGATGACCTCACAACATGATACTTCTAATGAACCTCTAATCTAGCTATGTAGATACCAGTCTTGGATCAAATCTCTTTTATTTCCTCCTAGAGAACGACAAAAATATGTATTGGGTAGTTCTTACGAAACTTAGAAGAAGGTGTAATGTAAAATAATGAAAGATTTATTTTACTTCCTCTGGGTACACACTGTTGATTCTTATCATATACACTCATAAGTGGAACTCTCTATGACTAATATGCTTTAAATTGGAGTCCAGTGCTATCTCCTCTCTTTGTAAGTAAATTATTTGATGTTGCCAATTATCGCGTACTCCAAATCTCAGATCGTTATTTTTAAGTTTGTTTTGTTTTGTTTTGTTGTTACTAAATTGATATTCATACTTCATTAATATGGCACCCAGTAGTAATAGTGCTGCGCATGCTAGAAACAGATTCAAGCGTACTCTTTCTGAAAAGACTCGGATGTCTTTCAAAGATGATGGTCTGGATGTTTTGGTGTATTTGGCTTACATAAAGTTTTTAACAAGATTACAAAATAAAGTGAATGAGAAGAAGGCAACCAATGGGACTCCAGAGAATTTGTTAAGTTTCTATAAGGAGGCATCTGAGGAGACTATGAGGGAGTTTAGAGGCTGATATGGATAATGAGTACGTTTTTAGAGACGAAGATCAAAGATATGAGATTTAATGGTCCAGTAAATGATTTAACCTTATCAGAAGGCAGAGGTCCTTAAATATTAGTTGGTTGGACAGGAATAAAATAGTACCTGGGGGATGGAAGAGTCCAGGGAGGGTGAATAGTACTGGTGGGGGATAATCTCGCTAGAGATAGAAGAACCCTACAGAGAAAGAAAAACCCCTACAGGGTTAGTAGAGTTAAATGAGTCTAACATTGAGATATAACTTTATTTTCTCACATAATAATATAGAGAAACATTAATTTTACTCGGTATACGTTCTAACTTCCTTAAATCTATAGTATCTATTTACATATATAATTCTTTATACAATATTTTTGGAAGGACCCTTCAACGTGGAAATCGTCTTGATTGCGTTCATGGGGTCTCTCTTGTTATATACAAAAAGTCCTTGTAATTGAGCAGTACTGACCGAATTAATGTCTACTTGATTACGGAGCTCGGTAAGGAATTGCTTACACAATTCATGTTCATTTTCATAGAAACGGAGGAACATCCGTTCAATCTGTGATTCTGAGGCATTGGAGATGAGTTGCTTGTAGTCTATTCTCCCAGGACGAAGCAATGCAGGATCAAGACGTTCTGGGTGATTGGTGGTCATAAATGTAAGACATTCTTCAGCACTGGCAACCCCGTCCAAGGCATTCAAAAGTCCCAGGAATGTCACTCCTGAAGTATACCCCTGGTCTTCTGTCTGTTGACGTCTCTTGTTGAACGCAGCGTCTATATCTTCCAAAAGAAGAATGGATCGGGTTGGGATGTTATTCATAAGATGATTAAGTCTATCATCAGTAAGATTGTTTTCGGAAAGATTAAGAATACAAATGTTATAGTCCAACTCCCCAGCCAACGCCTGAATGAATGAAGTCTTACCAGACCCTGGTGGTCCATACAAAAGATATCCACGACGGTAAGGAATGCCTCTGTTGTGGTACCAATCACCAGAACGAAGGAAATCCTTCACATCAGTCACGATACGTTCAGCAATACCATCGTCAAGGATGACTGAACCAAGCATTCTTTTTCTTCTTGGTTGACCAAATGGTCTCCATTCAGGACCAAAGGAAGTATACAAGACGGTTTTCCCTTGTTGAGCTTTTAAGGCAAGTGATTTGGCTTCCACGAGTAATTGTGAGAATAAATGACGATCCCGGTATAAAGTGGTCAAGGTGACGGTTTCAAAGGGGGTCCCACTGGTCATATCAAGCATTTTACCTGATCTTTCACGTTTAACAAGCATGAAGGCCCCCTTGTAACGAAGCAAATGAGATCCAGGACCAGGAACAAGCAGAAATTTTGTGGAAATACTCCCGTTGTCATGTTGAATGAAGTTGGTTTCCACGGAAAGATGACGTGATGATCTGTTCTTGTACTGGGACATCCATTCAAGAAACCACAAGTATGACTTATCCTTGGAAGGGATCTCGAGATCTACAAGCATTTGACGGTAGAGGAAAGACGAAGACCGAACAACCCCAGTACGAGCGAGCGCCAATGCAGTCCCCAACACCATAAGACCACCACCGGCGGCAAAATAAGGGTTGTTGGCAACCACTTCGGTGAAGGCAGTCTTTGCCATGCCCAGCACTGATCCATCAGATGCATTTCTAATTTTTTCCAAGTCAAAACTTGGAGGTGTAGGTGCAGCCATTTCTATCTAATGATCCCAAAAGAAGACAACAAAAAATGATAAAGAGCTCTCAATACTTAAGGGTAACTCTGAACACAGTCTGTATGGTTGGTTTCACAGGATGCTACTAATAGATAGGATTAATAGGTAGGATTAAGCCGTCTTCAAATGATCTCCTACCACTCCTCTCTGTAGTGTGTGTGTGTGTGAGAACATAAAAAAAGAGCGCTGCTGATTAAATCCTCATCGTGTCTGTACCAAGGCAAGTACCACTGAGATATAGTGGGGAGGGGCGCTACTTCTACTTCTTTTACAACTACATTTCTTTTATATTTTTAATAGCAATTCATCGTAGTGAACCATCCTTGTAACGATGCTTGAATCAGATCTGTATGGAGCAGCGCCAGAAGTTGTCACTGCTGCTGAGGAGAAGAGTGAGCTGTCCAGTAGACAGTTCAAGAGTAACAATCCGTTTCTTCAGAACGAGACACAATCATCACCCCAACCCTTGATTGAGGATCGGGAGGTGAGCAAGTATCCGTTCAAGACATTGAACCGGATCCTCAATGACATCAAGTGGAGTATCCCGATGCGGAATGAAATGTCCATCTTGAACGAGGCACCAATTGTGTATTCACGGAGACTCACAACGTTAGCCAAAAGCAATGCGCCGCCACATGGTTGCTTGATATTGAACAATTCTTTCAAATATGCTCCATCTCACGAGACTATTGGCGTTGGCTCAGAGCGAACCTTGACGGTCATCAGGGGGCTTCTCCCACAGTCCGATAAGCAAACGGGTCATTTTGAGATCAGAATTTTGGAATTAAACAAGAAAAGAGATATAAATCATCCAGTGGATAAAAGAGAATACCATATCATTCCCGAGAGTGACGTTTCTGTGGATGTGAAGAAGATGTTTGCCAACGATCTAGTGGAGAAGGATGAGTTGAAAGAGGACCAGTTGAAAGAAGAGGTGGATCCACTAGTTATCACATCCTACTTTAAGGCAACCTCTACACCCAATGATCATTTCATTTCAGTTAAAGTGTTCCCCAATGAGTTCACCTCTGAGGAACTTTTCCCCCTCTACAATCAAAAACAGATCACAGAACGATACCTTGCGTCAGTCAATCTGTACCCAGATGCCAATCTTTCACCGGAAACGATCCCAACGCCAATCAATTGCTTCAACACACTTCTCAAGGTGCTTAGGGGCCCCGTGCTTATTGGGCCAGAAGACCAGACGAAAACAATTAATATCAACAACCCTCTGCTCAACTCTCAAATCGATATCTCTTTACTTTTCGAGAAGCTTTCATTCACCACCAACGATGAAGAATTGATACCTCCATCACTTGTAAACCAACCAAAGTTACGTGATCTGTACATTCGAAAGATCTTGGAAATCATATACTTGGCTCATAGATTACCGGGTACCAATGATTTCACCAACTCTATTCTGTTCAGTGACAACTTGTCGTTGGTATACCGGACATTCAACGAGGTAAACCAACACTTGGCACAACTGTTTGGGAACAACGAGGTGGACAACCAATTGCCCTTTTTGGTGGACTTGAGTGTATGCTCATACTTCCAAGATGAAGTGATTGTCAAATGTTTTGAATCCACAGTCAAGAGCGATTTACCAAATAAATTGAAATATGTCGATGATTTGAAGGCAGTGATTGGATATAGAAGTTCAGGAAGAGGAGGTGAACGATTAAATAATTATTATAAAAACTCTGGCTTGATAGGTTGGACCGATTATGTGAGTGCTATGGAGAAATTCGGATTGGATGTTCTGATGGGACAAGCCATCGATGACCAATTGGTGATTGAAATGTATCGGGTATCATTTCAAAAGGATTCTAAAAACTACAACTACTACAACAAATTGTTGAAGACCATTGCTATTGCATTGGATTCTGAAACTATTTATTCCTTTCTTAATCAAGAAATCTTGCCCCTCACTCTTTCCTTGGAGGAATTGGCCATTGAAGAAGTGACTGAAGATGAAGTGGTGATTACTGCATATGAGTTCAAGAAGGAGGACCTTTTATCTGCCAATGGGTACAAATTGAATGCCGATGAAGTGGTATTTTTGAACAAGGCCCTACTTTCCGTGGCGGTCAATCGGAAAAGTTACCTATTGATGAGCTATGTGGAAGAAAAATTACCGGAATTATTACAATTACGTACTTCCATTAAAGATTCTCCATTTTCAATCTTGGGCTGTACCAACAATAGTAATGATTTTGAAATCATTGTAGCATATCAAAAGAAACTTGTGGAAACCACTGACAATGAAAAGTTTCTTGCCCTTCGTCAAGCTCTTGTTGTGTTATCTAAGCAGCTGAAAATCTTGCAAGGGTTCATTCAAACGGGTCAGGTTGATGTTGGGTTACTTCCACCTGAGAATTGGCCTGCTGGATTGGATAATATTGGGAACACATGTTATTTGAATTCTTTATTACAATATTATTTCTGTATCAAACCTTTGAGGGATATGATTTTGAAATTTGATGGCACTGCTGACATTGGTACTCGGAAAATCGGTGGTAGAATTGTTGAAGAGTCAGAAATCATTAGAGCAAACCAATTTGTATTCCATTTGAAAAAATTGTTCTATGATATGATTCATAGTGATAAACGATGTGTTCAACCCAGTAAAGAATTGGCATTTTTGGCATTTTTACCAAGTGGACAACCAGTTGAGTTTAAGGGGACAAAGGAAGTTATTGAGATTTCAGATGATGAAATGAAAGGTGAGGAAGAAGTGAAGGATGACATAGAAGTAGATGAAGAAGCATCAGAATCGGCTCCAATTGTCATAAGATCCGAATCACCTAGTCCCATTGAGAACAATGATGATATGGATGTGGATAGTATTGAAATTGTTGAGAAGGAAAATGTTCCAGAAGAGAAAACAACAGAGACTTCAGATGTCTTGTTCTCGATCCCCTCGGATGTTATGGACTCTACGATTGAAATGGGACGTCAACAGGATGTCACTGAATGTATTGAAAATGTCACATTCCAAATAGAAACTGCATTAGAACCACAATCACTTGAAGAAGATGGAGAACAATATGATCTCATCAAGCAACTTTTTTTCGGGAAAACTAAGCAAACCATCACGCCTTTGACTCCAGGTGCGAAACAAAGAACTGCAGTGGAAAGATTCTCATCGTTGATTATCAATGTTAGTGATCATCCCAATGATATTTATGATCTGTTGGATAGTTATTTTAGTGAAGATCTGGTTAAACTTGAAGAGGGAGAAGTCAAAAAATCACTCACTGTTTGTGAATTGCCACAAGTTTTACAATTCCATGTACAAAGAGTCTTGTTTGACCGTGAACGTTTAGTTCCATACAAATCTTTGGAACCAATCCCATTCGGTGAAACCATCTACGTCGACAGATACTTGGATACTGAGGACCCCGAAATTCTTAGAAGAAGAAATGAAGTGTTTCAATGGAAATCTGAAGTTTCTCGTTTGATAGCAAAGAGAGAAGAATTAACTAAAAAGGAAGATGGTCAAATGACAATCATTGATACATTGGTGAGTGCCAAAAGATATTTTGAAAAAATTCGTGATGAATCCAATGATCCAGAACTTTCAATCAACCCTTCTACAATTGAAGCAATTCAAACCAAAATTGATGTCTTTACTCAGGAAATTAAGACTATTGATTCAAGGTTAGAAGAGCTTAAACACCTTGTTTCTAATCAATTCCGTGAGTACACCCAGGTTGGTTACTCTGTGTTTGCTATCTTTATCCATCGTGGAGAAGCCAGTTATGGTCATTATTGGATCTACATCAAGGATCCAAAAAGAAATATTTTCCGTAAATACAACGATGAAACAGTGACTGAAGTTCCATTAAGTGAAGTTATGAACTTTGCTGATGGTAACACAGCAACTCCATATTACATTGTTTATGTGAAGGATGAGCTTGAAGAGGAGTACATTGAGCCATTGAAAAGAGTTATAGCATGTAGTCATTAGTTAATAAAAGCATACATATAAGAGAAAGAGAAATAATAAGAAAAAGTAGAGTCAATAATATATATATATTTGTGTGTGTATTAATCTGTTATGTGTTCGCTTTGCTCCACTGACAGCAACTCTGTAATCTCAAAAATTTCGCAGCCTTTTAAAATAAAAATGAATCCTCGTATTTTTGCCATCTCCTGCATCTAACCTATCGCACGGATTACCCACATGGTTAACGTTAAAGCTCCTCCTTTATCTCAACATACAACCCCCATCAATTCTCCAATAAGCTCTTCTCAAGCGGATTTCATTAGGTACCAATTGAGAGACTGTAGCTGATATCTATCGTATTTGAGAACTTCCATTCTATGAGGCTCGGGAAGTCCCTTTTGAGCAGGGTGGTGGCCACAACGGCTCTCATTGCTACGGCCGCCGCTCTCGGCAATGCCCCCAGTCCTGACAATCAGGCTATTTTAAACCATGATGGCCCAATGGGTTACGAGAACGCCTTTACGGTGCAAGCTGCCAATTCCTACGATTCCCTTGTCGACGACGAGGAAAAATGCCCGCCATGCTTCAACTGTAATTTGCCCAACTTTGATTGTACTCAATTTTCTCAATGTAATGCATTCACCGGGATGTGTGAATGTCGTCCTGGGTACGGTGGCATGGACTGTTCTGAACCTTTGTGTGGTGCCTTGGGAGATGGCAACCACAAGCGTCCGGTCAGATCTCCTGACCTGAACCAGTGTAAGTGTACAGACGGCTGGGAGGGTATTAACTGTAACTTGTGTACTTCGGACGCTTCCTGTGACGCATTCATGCCCGAGGGCATTGAAGGAACCTGTTACAAGTCAGGGGTGTTGGTTGACCAATTCCACCAAATGTGTGACGTCACAAACTCCAAAATTATCGCCATCTTGGATGGTAAGAAACCTCAGGCTACTTTTAGTTGTGACCGAGCAAACCTGCTGTGTGATTTCCAGTTTTGGATTGACCAAAAGGAATCCTTCTATTGCGACTTGAACCAATGTGACTTCAAGTACGACCTTAAGAGTAACACCACCAATTACAAGTGTCAGGAAGTTGCATGTAAATGTCTTCCAGATCGTATGCTTTGTGGTGAAGCTGGATCGATTGATATTTCGGAATTTCTCACTGAGACTATTGCTGGTCCTGGTGACTTCACCTGTGACATCAACAAGCGGAATTGTCGTTTCTCTGAACCAAGTATGAATGATTTGATTCTGCTGGTCTTTGGAGACCCATATATCACGTTACATTGTAAGTCTGGTGAATGTATACACAAGAGTCAAATCCCTGGCTATGACTTGCCCCCCAAGAAGGCTCTCACAACGGGGAACCTTCTTCTGATTGTTGGAGTGGCCATTCTCTGTGTGATTATCGTTTGTTCTTCCATGTACAACATCAGCAAGTCTCCATTGTTTATGAGTCATTTAGGTGATAATGAAGACTCAACCTCTTCTTCTGATTTCCATGCTCTCAATGAAAACTTCCAACCAACTACTCTTTCCTTTGAAAACATCACATATAAGGTCCCTCTGGGACAACAAGTGTTGAACAATGCCTTTGGTATTGTGAACCCACGTGAATGTCTTGCCATCATGGGTGGTTCTGGTGCCGGTAAAACAACCTTGTTGGATATTTTGGCGGGTAAGAATAAAAATGGTAAGGTTTCTGGACAAATACATGTCAATGGGAATGTTCTTCTGAGTAAAGATTACAAGAAAATTATTGGATTTGTTGACCAAGAAGATCATCTTATCCCCACGTTGACCGTTTATGAAACTGTGTTGAACAGTGCCTTACTTCGCTTACCTCGTACCATGCCTTTGAGAGCCAAAGAAACTAGAGTTGTGGAAGTTTTGAATGAACTTAGAATCTATGGAATTAAGGACAGAGTGATTGGTTCAGATTACAAGAGAGGAATCTCCGGAGGAGAAAAGAGACGTGTTTCCATTGCTTGTGAACTTGTTACATCGCCCTCGATTCTTTTCCTTGATGAGCCAACCTCTGGGTTGGACTCCTATAATGCCCGTAATGTTGTCGAATGTTTGGTCAAGCTTTCGCGTGACTACGACAGAACCATTGTCTTTACCATTCATCAACCTCGCAGTAACATTGTTTCCTTATTTGATAAGCTTGTTTTACTCAGTGAGGGGGATTTGGTTTACTCGGGTTATATGATCAAATGTAATGATTTCTTTGGAAGAAATGGTTATCAATGTCCATTGGGCTACAACATTGCTGATTATCTTATTGATATCACTGTGGACCATAAAAAGGTGGTTAAAGTATCTGAAGGTGAATTTTTCGGAGTCACCGGAGATTTAGAAGCTGGTGTAGCAGCTGCAAATGCTGCTGATGCTAATACCAATGAAGATATTCATCAGGATTTCATTCTGGGTGCTAATTCTTCTGAAGTTGACACTACTAGAGAATGGGAACATTTTGCTGTTCATCGTGATGAATATAACTACCAACAAATCCCAGTCAAGGATGATTCCGGATCCACATATGTACAAGTGCAAAACAAACTCCCAAGTCTCTTTCAAGAATCCATTCTTGCAGCAGAACTTAAGGAGGAAATTGCAGCAGTTGTATCTTCCCCAAGCAAACTTGAATTCAAGAATCAATACCTCAAGGCTTCATTCTTAAACCAATTGCTCATTCTTTCTTCGCGTACTTTCAAGAACTTGTACAGAAACCCTAAACTCTTACTCAGTCACTACATCTTATCATTGGCCATGGGAGGGTTCTGTGGGTTCTTGTATTACAATGTTACTAATGATATTTCTGGATTTCAAAATAGACTTGGTTTATTTTTATTCGTCTTGTCATTATTTGGATTTTCTTGTTTAACTGGACTTCATTTATTTGCTACAGAAAGAATTATTTTCATCCGTGAAAGAGCAAATAACTATTACCACCCACTCAGTTACTATTTGAGTAAGATTATATGTGATGTGATCCCATTGAGAGTGTTACCACCAGTCATCTTGGTGAGTATCATGTATCCATTAGTTGGATTATCAATGGAAAACAATGCTTTTTTGAAAACTATTTTAACTATGGTTTTATTCAACTTATCAGTTGCAATTGAAGTTTTGATAATTGGTATTCTTATCAGAGAACCTGGTACTGCCACCATGGTTGCAGTATTGGTGTTGCTTTTATCTCTTTTGTTTGCCGGGTTGTTCATTAACAGTGCCGATCTTGTGGCCCTGATTTCTTGGCTTCAATGGATTTCAAGTTTCCATTATGCATACGAAGCGTTAGCCATTAATGAAATAAAGGATTTGATCCTTAAGGAGAAGAAGTATGGATTATCCATTGAAGTTCCAGGTGCTGTGATTTTGAGTTCATTTGGCTTTAATGTTAGTGCATTCTGGAACGATGTGACCTTTTTAGGTTCATGGATTGTGGTGTTCTTAGTTATTGGATATCTATTCTTACACTTTTTCACTATTGAAAGACGATAATAAAGGAAAAAAAAAAAGTTTATAGCAGAAATATAAATATAGAATTGATAATTTGTAAAGAATTGAAGTAGAATGTGGGGGGGTAATTGAGAGTTGGTGTCAGTTAGTGGGAGTCATTATAAAGAGTGGTCTTGAAAAGGTGATACTTTACATATGTAAAGATCTGTTAATAGGGGAAAATTATTATATTTTAGGTAATTTGTGAATTATTGACTTTTATTTAGGAAAAAAGGAAATTGATTCAATAGATGTTTTAATGGATCTAGCCCATATTAATATATCACATGATGTTAGATAGGTCAATTCACCATGTTTTTTACTTTTATCTATCCAAGTTATCTAATCTTAAAATGAGTAATACAATTTACAGCACATAGAGAATATAAGTAGGGTGTACGGATGTTCCTTATAGTTGTATGGTAATCATTTTTTCAATATTTTCTTAAATAACTATAGATGATTTCCGTTGGGAATATACCAATGAGGTGAATAATTCATACTATCTCAAACTATGCCTCACAACTTGTTGTTTTCGTTTATTTATGATTCTGAGGGGCCTTGTCCCCGCATGGCTCTTACAAAACTGAATGTAAATTTTTTTTTTATCTCATTTCCACAAATAGGGGAAATTGCCATTCATTTACTCCCCCAATTAATAAAATACCACAGAATGTTACTAATAGGAGTTACATCTTGGTTGAATAGAGATAAGTATAAATAGGCTCATTACTGTGCATCGATCGTGCATGACAGTACTTCGCGTATTTTCGCATAATAACCACACCTACGAGTTTTGATCCATCACACATGCTGTTTAGGCGGGTGTCTATGAACTGACATTTTGCCAAGGGAGTTCACATGTAAGATGCTTTGCATGTATAAAAATAATTTCAGCCTTCTTTGTAAATGCTTGGAATAGAAAATATTCCATCGAAGCGTAAATTCTCGAGTTTTGAAATTTTTTTTTTATCACACACCAAGACATTTTGCAGTTTGTTTACCATACAGAGCTAACACACAGTTAGAGGCTTAAAATGGTTGATACTAACAAATCTTCGCACTTTTTGGAGATGGATATCCACATTTACTACTCCCGTATATGCAGCTTTGACGATCGATCATGGTGTGCGGCTTAATGAGATTAACCTTTTCACTTTGACACTTTGTAGTTTTACGTCATCGATAAACAATAAACCATGATTCTTGTAGAGTTATAGAAAAGAATATAATTGCATCTTACACAACCTATTGTCCTCTTTAAGTTAGAAAATCCATCATTGTGCAAGAATATTGCACCAGTAGTAAATATACTCTTCTTACGTATACCACTACCAAACCACAAACTCCCATCGATTTTACTTCATTAAGTATTTCTCATTAACCCGAGGTCAGTGTTACTGGTTCACATTCAATTACAACCGAGGGTTCTATTGAAGAATCTGTACGGTACTTGGCTTTTGTAAACCTCAACTTTGCTCATCTTTTCTTTTAGCAGCCATTTTATTATTGGGGAATGAGAGCATTTTTAACCTTTCTTTTTATTCCTATGGACCTTAGAAGAGATCTATAGAGCCATAAACCTACTCTGACTAATTAATAAGAACTAAAAATCACACATTCACCGAGTTTGATTGACATACCCAAGAGATTGTAAATTGTTGTTTGAATTGATTTTGATGAAGAATATAAAATCTTAAATTATGAACCTTTTCAAACAAATATTTTATACGAAGGACACTCAATTGGAAGCTCTAGCTCTAGATTCAACATATTATCCACATTCTATACCAATTATAACTATATTGAATGGAAAAAGAAGCAAAATTCGCCAAAACATTTTTCTTAAATTTGATTCAAGATAGTAACGTTTCAGAAATCCGAAAACCACGGACTATCCTTATTAGCTCAGTTGGTAGAGCGTTCGGCTTTTAAGGATTTATATCGACCTTCAAAAAGTCGACCGAAATGTCCAGGGTTCGAGCCCCTGATGAGGAGTCCCACTCTTTTTTTTTAATTTTTTTATACATACTGTATAAATATATTCTCTACTCTAAATGAATCTTATCACTACCGGTCCATAAGTCAATTTGATCAAGAGGAATCAATAGAGGACCACCATTATAATACTGGAACCAACCCCAAAGGACCGCAAAAATGATCAAACTTAAATATGATGCTAAAAAATCTTGCCAGCAAAAATTGAAAAAAACTTGGAACCCATTAAGAATTAAAATTACGCAAATACATCCAAGTGCGTACCAAGCTGCATATGGCATATATGCCCCTTTGAACACCAACATATCTCGAGTGAACGTTTGATCAAGAGATATGGCAGACATGAATCGAATATGACTTGCACAGATGCATGCCCACATGATCAAGCCAGCAGATGCACAAATATTTAAAAACCATTGGAATACGACAGTGCCTGAATTGAACTTGACTGAGAATGCCAACACTCCAAAGATTGAGGTGACAAGAACTGCCACGTAGGGGCCACCAAATCTTGAAGTTTTTTCGATTTGGTTAGCAATTGCTGATGGAAGTACATTTGTTTCAGCTAGGGCTAAAAGACATCGAGATCCAAGATAAATATTTGAATTTGCAGCCGATATTATGGTCACGGTTATGACCAAATTGAATATATTGGTAATGTTGGGGATATTTGAATGTAATGATAGGGCAACCACAAAGGGAGAAGAGTTGATATACAGGTCCAGATCACCACCAGTTGGATGTTGTACTAAATGTTGATCATTATACGGGATCAATAGCCCCAACAAGAACAAGGTGACTATGTAAAAGACTATGATACGGAAGAATAATGTTTTGATGGCTCTTGGGATATTCTTTGATGGGTTTTCTGTATCACCACTTGTTATAGCTATGGATTCAATCAGTTGGAAAGTGAATGCAGCATTGACTAACGAGCTTAACCAAGCCAAGCTTCTAGCTAAGGGGAGATTGGAGTCAGAATAGATTATACCATCCCCCCACATTCCAGGATTCTCCCAATATTTGAATCCAATGGATTCATGACTTACAAGATATGTTGCATAGCACAGCCACATAATAATTGCAGCCACTTTCAAGACAGATACACCAAATTCGATTTCTCCATAGAATCGGATTGGGAGCAAGTTTACTATTGTTAAGAGGGTCCAAACCACCATTATCCACCATCCAATGTCTATTTTAGGCTGCCAATAAGTCAAAAGTTGGGCCACTATTGATAATTCAAGAGCAAATGTCATGGACCATGAAAACCAATACAAAAGTCCAATACTTGAACCAAAGTTTGGAGAAAGAAACCGGTTATTGAATTGACATAATGATCCATTTACCGGTAGATGAACCACCATCTCACCAAATGATTGTACTACCGAGTAACAAATGGTTGATATAAAGAAATATGCAACAAGGGCAGTCACGGGCCCGGTTCTGAGCGTTTGCGCGACCCCGATAAAGAGTCCAGTACCAACAGTACCACCAATGGCAATCATTGTTATATGACGAGCATTCAAAGATCTTGAAATGGCAGGTGTATGGCTCATTGAGACCACCTCTAGTCCAGGAGTTTCTATACTTTCTTCATCAATCATTGAATTAAAAATGTATTCACTTTGTACTGGAGAGAGAAGAATGTTAAAGAAAGAGCAAAACAATTTTTTTTTTTCTCTCATTAAACAGCTGAATGCAGGATCCACTCCCCACGTTAGCGGAAGGATAGAGTGTGGGGGACAAACCAGGAAAAAAAAAAAAAGGGGAACACTACATATAAATAAAGAAAAGAGTTAAGATCAGATCTAAGTAACTAGAACAATTAATCCACAATCTTGGACCATCTAGATTGCACATTCCATTTAACGTTTACTTTATTCCAACCGTTGTCAAGTGCAGTTACCTCCACCCACCAAAGTAAACCATGCAATTCCTGCATATGCCCCATTGGGAGTAAATCATAACAACAGCGACAAAAAAAAAATACAAAACAACGCCAAAAAAAAAAGAAATTGAGGAGATACTTCCATTTATTACTAAAGAAGGACCCCGAATTCGAGGAGGGGGAGCCATTCATAGAAACAGTTTCCTACCAATGGACGCAATTGGATTTGGTATATGTGTGGTGTTGTTGGTGCTTGGTCATGGGTTATCTACATACATGTTAGTGAGGCTGGTCCCACTATACAGAGCGTGTGCACAGAGTGTCATGATAGGACTTTTATTTTGTGGTATTCAATGGATGGTGAAGCAAATCGGAGGGGCAATCATATCCGCTTTACAAAGAAGACGAAGATCAAGACAAATGCAAGTTCATGGGAACAAATATGACAATGATCGCATTCGATTATCATTGGTGTCGCTCATACTCAGAAATGTCGCATTTGCGACACTTTGTTCATTGGTAAAATATCCAATTGTAACAGGAATGATTTATATTTTCATGACTCAAGTCTTGTTAACATGCAAGTATTCTCCGTTTAACTATGAGGTTAAATATAGTAAATTCCTTTCAATTTACTCAAAGTTTCAAGGGTCTACCACCTCAGTGCCAACCGAGCAGCATCACGTGCAACACAACCTCAAAAGGGCCGTGTCGCTCCCAATTATGGGTGCAAAAAAATCAAGCTTTAGTAGTTGTAGTACCATACATGAACTTCCTACCCCGCCACTCTCGGTGTCACCAACCAGCGCGTATGGGACACAACCTTGGACATGGTCACACCCACCCACGTCGATCAAGATGAAGTCATCAAGGGTCCAGAAGACCTCCACATTACATAAAAAATTATCGACATATTCGTTACAATCCTCTTTTGCAAACGACACATCTCTGACAAGGACCTCTTCATCATCATCATCATCAACTTCGTCTTCGTCCGGGGAAACAACTTCCTTACTTTCGACAACCACGACGTTGTACCTGGCGGTTGGCGACTTGGAGGCCAACCAGTCGCCGCCACCTGTAGTTGCCAACTTCAACCATTTCACGCAGTATTACCTTGACACATGCACGGAATTCCCAATTGATCCATACTTTATAAAATTTGGGACCCTCATGAAGTCGGTAAACATTGTTTCATTCTTGTCATTCTTCTGTGCACGGTATTTGGAGAAGCTCACCATTCTCCTTTTGTACAACCAATGGCGCTACTTGGTGCCCGTTTGCATGATACAGATGGCTTTCAGACTTAAGCCCTGTCTTACAACGAGACTACAAGCATTGCATTGTTTCATTAGTATTGGCCTAACCATAGGTGCCATATTATTGAATAATTTATAGTACATAAATGAATAAATATAGAATTACAATGTTTCATGGTCCATTCCAGAAGTTCCTACCGACTAGACTACTAGTAACACTCCTCGTAGAGGAGCTAGGCACCACGCCCTTCGCCGGGCAGGGGCCAGCGGAGCGTCCTGCTGTCTTCCTGCCCTACGGGGTATGCGAGCCGCTCCGCTGGCACTCCGTGGGCCACTAGCCGTGTGGTGGCCATGTTCCTCTGGCGAGGAAGTTACCGAGGTCTCCTCGAAGAGGAGCCAGGCTCCACGCAGTGGCTCTCCCCGAGCAGGGGCCAGCGGAGCGTCTTACTGTCCTGCAAAGGGGAAAGTCTTCCTTACAGGGTCATGCGAGGGGTCACCCGTCGCCGGTAGCCGTTCTTCTACGACGTCAATCTCTCCATGTAGACGTCATTCGTGTAAGAAAAGCCCATGACATGTAGAATATCCTTCCCTGAAGTTGATGGTGGGGTGATGGCCATGTTGGTGAACTCGTCGTCAAAGTTTTCTGCCAACACCGGGTCGGTGATAAGTGGGAGAATCGGAGGAAGTGCTGTCAGAGAGTCCCCGTCCTCATCCAAGCGCTCCAACAGGGCCCAATCGACATGACGGAAGAACCGGTGCTTTTTGACCGCTTCAAAGTCATTGTCCAAATCCCAACGCTTCGCCGGGTTCAGTTGAAGAAGACGGCGAAGAAAGTCCTTGGCGTCGTTCAGGAGATAGTACGGGTACTTCAAGTACTTCTTGGAGTGGATGATCTTGTCCATGACCTTCTTGTTGTTGTTCCCCGTGAATGGCGGAGACCCTGTGAGCATGTCGAACGCCACACACCCGAGCGACCACCAGTCGACGAGGTAGTTGTACAGGTCTCCCCTAAGAACCTCCGGGGCCATGTACTGCGGTGTGCCAATCATGGACTTGTTCTCCAGCTCACTCACTTTGGAAAGCCCAAAGTCGGTGAGTACAAGGTTCCCGCTGGCATTAAGCATGCAGTTCTCGGGCTTCAAGTCCCGGTAGATGACCTGAAGTGTCCCGTGGAGGTACCGGAGCGCAAGAACGGTCTGTGCAATGTAGTAGGACGCGTGGGTCTCGTTGAGGTAGTTGAGCTGCGACAAGTGGCTGAAGAGCTCACCGCCAGAGAGATACTCAAGAATGAGGTATACCTTGTTGTTGTCCTGGAAGGCGCAATAGAGCTTGACAATGTTTGGATGCGACACAAGTGCCAATATAGATTTCTCGTTGAGTGTTCGTTGGTATTGGACCTTAGAAACCTCGGGGGCTAGGTGGTTTACTTCTGGGTTGTTGTTGTTGTTACCGGGAGTCTCGGTAGTTGACGTGTCGTCTGTCTTGAGAAGACTGATCTTCTTCATCTGCTTCTGGGCAAAGAGTCTGCCTGTGGCCCTTTCTCGCACCAACAAGACCTTCCCGTAGCTGCCTCGGCCCAACACCTTGATCGGTTCAAAGTCCGCGGCCCGCGGCCGGTAAGTGGCCCCTCCCAAGGACTCCAGCACAAACGACCGTGACAACACATCCACGTCCACCAGGTTCGGGTTCAGGGTGGCCACGGAGTTCCTCCTGGTCTGTTTGATCGGGAGGCCCTTGGGGAGGTCCATGAGAGTTTCGTTTTCATCGTGGAAATGATCATGGAGGTCCGAGTGGTGGTCGTCGTGGTCCGGGTCATGCTCCGGGACGTCTTCCCATGGGTCTTCCACCACGCGGTAGTTCAAAACTGGCGACCCTGGAACCTCGGGCTCCGTACGAGTGTCCGGAGGGAGGTCCCCATCCATGGCAAAGATATCAAGCATGCTGGCGGAGTGAATGAATGTTGCAGTATGATTAGCGCCCACGTTGCAACTTGGCGCGCGGTTTTCATGGTCCGCACTAAATGCACCAAAGTGCGGACATGCTCACCCCACGAAAAAGCTAAGACGTTGCTAAAACTGCGCTAAAACACAAACCTCATGCAAAAATATCTGGGGTCCCCCCAACAACATTTCCATTTTGGGAAGGTAGAGGTAGAAGCTGGGCAGTGTGTAGATGAATACCATGTAGGGGTCTTAAGACCGGAGCCACCTTGTAGAGTGGGGCTACACACTTTCCCTTCGGGGTCACGCAAGCTGTCTCCGTTGGCACTCCGTGGGCCACCCACTGTGGGGGCAAGTTACCGAGACTATGGAGATCTCCTCGAGGAGGAGCTAGGCACCACGCCGCAGTGGATCTCCCCGAGCAGGGGCCCAGCGGAGCGTCTCACAGTCCCACAGGGTAGAGAGTGGGTACTGACTGCCCTTCGGGGTACGCAAGCCGCTCCGCTGGCACTCCGTGGGCCACTAGCCGTGGAGGCCTTGTTCCTCTGGCGAGGAAGTAAGTGTGGCCAAGTGGCCTCTACAGCTGTTACAATTTTGTATGTAGAATACGTAGGAACCATACTGGTTTAAAGGATCCTCGTCTAGGTTCTGTCAGTAATTTTGAAGATAGAGCTCTTCTGTACGAGTCTGAGTGTTAGAGAAGACAAGACATAGAAGTGAACTGGAGTAACTCAGCTACGTGGTAGGGATCCAACAGTGTAGACAAGATGCCATTCGACTCTGGAACAGGCCACCTTTTTGCAACCATTGTCATAATAAGCAAAGTTTATTATACATAATCTACAAATAGTTCATCTAATCAATAGAGTTTGGGTATTAATTTCCTTAAGTATGGATCTCCTCGAAGAGGAGCTAGGCACCACGCAGTGGCTCTCCCCGAGCAGGGGCCAGCGGAGCGTCCTGCTGTCTTCCTGCCCTACGGGGTATGCGAGCCGCTCCGCTGGCACTCCGTGGGCCACTAGCCGTGGAGGCCAAGTTCCTCTAACGAGGAAGTTTCCGAGACTACGGGGATCTCCTCGAAGAGGAGCTAGGTACCATGCAGTGGCCCTCCCCAGGCAGGGGCCAGCGGAGCGTCTCTCTTTCCCGCATGGTGTTCAGGACTCCCTTCTCCTTCTTGACGGATGCGAGACGGTCAGCCAGGTCTTATATTTCTGCTTGGATGTATATCTTATCCTTGCTGTACACGTAATCCATAATGACACCGGCATTTAGTCGGGTTCCATTAGCGGGTGTGAGTTGTACAGCATTCTGTCTGGTATTCTTACTTACTATCGAAAGCTTCACGGTCCCGGGATCAACCTTTGTCTGGGCAAGCGCCTTTTTAAGCACAGTGTCCACCAACTCGTCTATAGTCGGTATCTTGTCCTTGGCAACCTTGATGGCAACAACCTCGTCGCGCATCTTGCTGTAGATCTTGATCTTGACAAACTTCTTGCCCAGTAGCGTCGCGGTGTCCGCCGACGTGGTGTTGCTAGCATACACCGGGATGTTGCGGTTCTGTTTCTTTTTCGATCTGGACGCCGTGGGTGGTGACAGCTTCCTGAGAGTTGGTGAGGTGGAAAAATTGGTGATGGTGGTTGAATCTGAATGTTGCGATGTCTTGGAATATTTGGAGTATTGACTATTCTTACGCATAGACGTACCAGCGCCAGCACTACCGTCAGCGTTCCCGTCTCGGCTATCGTGTTCATCATCCAGAATCCGGCTGGATGTATGATACAACTCGATCCCGTTCGATGCCGCCGTATGAAGTGTTTCGGTCAGTTCATTGGAGGGCATATTGGTAAATGATGTCTCCTTGGACTCTGTGATGTCGTCCAATATGGTCCCAGTGGGCGGCGTCTCGTCATACGGCTCATCATCGTCAAGATGTGGAGACGGTAACGGATCGTCTGAACTTCCAGAGGTGTTTGAATAGTCCTTCAATTTCAGAAGGTCCAATGGTTCAGGTAGCCCCAGTTCGGCCACAATTGGTGGGAGTTCTTTATTTTTATATAGAGGAAGTGATCCAGTCAGACCAGTTGGAATTGAAGTAACTGTCGGTACTGTGGGTACTGTGGGTACTGTGGGTACTGACATCATTAATTCTGACTGTCGTTGTCTATACCTTCTCTGTTTCTCCTGTTGTTCTTGTAGTTGCAACTCTTGTAATTGCTTCTCTTTGAACTTCAATTCCTTGATCTGCAACTCTTTAAGTTGTCCTTGTAATTGTTGTCCCTTGAGATGCATCTCTTTCAATTCCAACTCCTTGAGTTGTTCTTTTAATTGTTGTTCTCTTAATTCCAACTCTCTTACATGAAGCTCTCGTTCTTGTTGGGTTCGGAATACTTGAGCCTTTTGTTGCAATTCTTTGAATTCTTCATCCAGCAGTCCATCTTCATCATCTACATCATCATCTTCTCCTCCAGGCCCCAGGCCAGGCCCCAGGCTCAGAACAAACCCCAGTCCAGGCCCCCGGCCAGGCCCCAGGCCCAGGCCTGGACCCTCTCTTTGATGCTGCTCCTCCTCCTCCAAACTAGTATCCACATAAACAACCTCGTCGTGTCCCTTCAGCAGCTTTCTCACCATCGATAGCACCCTCCCCACCAACCCCAGTCGTCGTGCCTTGTTCTGACCCCCCAATGACGACAGACTTCGCGCCTTTTTCAACACCAATTCCTCGCCCATTTCTTTGCTTTTCTTGTTATCTCAATCGTTGTTCCCTGCAGTAAACTTATGTACGTGACTTCAAACACGCGCGCTTTCCTGCTCTATCGTCTATCTACAACTCTACAAATGTTCTCTCTTTTGTTCCCGTGCTTGTCCTTGTTACCTCAACAGTTTTTACAGCGACAGGGAGGGCAAAAAAAAAAATAAATATAAATAAAAACACTCACCCACAATTCTACTTGGCTCACACACACACCATGTCCGTCCTTCACCGTCTAACTTGGTTTTGGCGCCGCCGTCCTCGTATTTGCATACGTCTAAATCTTTTTTTTTTATTTATTTATTTACTTTTTTTTTTGTTTTTGTAATTTTTTTTTAGCCCCCCCCCCCATTTCACTGGCCGTCCACCAGTGAATTAAGCATGTTTGGAATGTTCCCTTTTAGGAATATACAACCCGGTTGGTCAGGCATTGTTAGACGGGTGGCATGTGCCGCGACAGTCACCAGCCATATATATGTATATATATATATCTATGTAAACTTTTTTTTGAGGTGGTTGTCTTTGAATTTCTGTGTGTTTTGCGTAAGTTTTGCATTCCAAGGTTCTTACAGACTTTGAGGCGGGCTCCGACATCCCATCCAGGAACAAAAGTAGGAACAAGTGACTAGAGAGATGCTATGGTAGCAATGTACTGGTACATACTACAGACGTATAGAGGCTAGATGGAGACTCCAGAGAGGGATATGTAGAACGTCAATGATTATAGTCATACCTCTGTATCATGACCTCTTTCTTCTCTCCCTATTCTCTCACTATTCTCTTACTATTCTCTTACTATTCCCTTCCACCTCTTCTCCGATTCTCTTCCTCCCTCCACCAGAAAATCTCGAGCTTCTGGAAATTTCTCTTGGTGTATGCCACCTTATGCCCTACATCCCTCGTCTACTCGTATTTTGATTGTTATATGTTACATCTATACACCTGCGTGCATCTCATCATCGTTACGATCACACACCAGAATATGGTCTTCTTCTGACTGTCAACGTTCACAGCACGTCCGAAGTGACGAGGCACCCACCGGCCTGTAGATTTACCGTCAGTCCCGTGCATGGGCCAGATAGATTCCATACTTTTTACTATTCTGGCTCGGCTAAATTAGGCTTTCGCGTACCCTGTAGGGAAGGTGGTTCAGATCTTCCCTGTGGGACAGTAAGACGCTCCGCTGGCCCCTGCTCGGGGAGAGCCACTGCGTGGTGCCTGGCTCCTCTTCGAGGAGATCCCCGTGATCACAGTCACTTCCTCGCCAGAGGAACAAGGCCTCCACGGCTAGTGGCCCACGGAGTGCCAGCGGAGCGGCTCGCGTACCCCGTAGGGCAGAGAGACTTCTCTTCCCCGTGGGACACTAAGACGCTTTACTGGCATCTACCCTTGTATGCATGGATTCCCGTAAGTCACCCCTCTACACTTCATATTTAATTACCCGTAATTATATTTAATTATTTCTTATATGAATATCCTTTCCTGGTATAAATTCCCGCTGGAGAAGCTTTAATTTCTAACCCTGATCAACATCAAATTGACCTTATTACTGTTCCTAAGCTTCCCCAACAATTCTTGGTCGTCCCACTTCCCGTCGCATTCGAGTCGGTAATGGTTCACCAAGTTTCCGTCCTTGTAAATTTTCTCACTCACTTGTCTCTTCAAGTCTCCAATACATCCAATATCCTTCTTTTGTACCTTCAACACAATGATATCGTCTTCCTGATTATTCAACAGAACTTTCACTTTGACAAATCCCGAGGCGGCAATTGGTCGGTAGTGTTGGATTTCTTCTTCCTCTTCTTCTTCCTCTACTGGTGGTGGTGTATGGGTGGCCAATACTTTGATTCCAGCAGCAAGAGGTGGTGTGCTAGGGGTCACCGGTGACCCTGACAACCCGTTGTCGTCAAACGAGGATCTACTTTCCATGATGGGTGTGGATGGACTTTCCACCTTCTCTGGCTCTTCAACTACCTTCTTCAGTTCTGAGAAAAGTGAATCTACATCATCATCTTCTTCACTACCTCCACTGGAATTATTTCTCTTTTTATCTTCACTTTCATCATCGATTTCATACCGATCAATGAGAGAAGAGTAGCTGTTAAGAGTGTTGCTACTCACCGATGAAGGGAATTTCTTGAGCTTTTGTTGCTTAACGTTTTCCTTATCCCTTTGATGCATATACGATGAATATTTGTTGTTACTGTACTTGTAATCAAACGCTGGAGTTTGAGTATTTGGTCCTGGTAAAACGGTGCTTGAAGCCATAGGAAGTGGAGCAGTTGTCGAATATTTCCCAACGTTACCATTAGCCATACTATTGACGGTAACTGAACTGTTCTTACGACTTGAAGCAGTCATAGCAGCAGCTGCTTCTGCAGCTGCTTTCATCATATCAATGGAATTTGGCAAAAGTAATTGATTGATCTCAGCATCATCACTAGTAAACTCCAATTGTGGTGACTGGTCTTCCGGAGACCTTAACCATTCAACCATCTCATCACAAGACTTGAAAAACTCATTTTTGATCAATTTATTGATATAAACATTTAATTCATTACATCTAATCAAAAGTGATTGCTTTGTTTGTTGACGGATTGGTTGTGGGAGCTTAGGTAAATTCTCATCAATATTAAGAATCAGTAGATTAATATGAAGATTATAGAAATCTTGATATGTTTTCATAATGTAACGTTTCAGTTTGTTTTGATGGGTGATATCTACCCGGTAATAGAACCGGTTATCATATTGAAGAACATTGTTGATGGAAATGTGTTGCAACTTGTTAGAATCAGAGGCACCAGCAGCAGTAGTTTTACCATGGGAAGTAGTTGTAGGAGATGCAAGCAGCAGATTAGTCATCATCGACTCCTTTTGAAAGAAATTGAAATCATCATCTGGAGTCATCAATGTAGAAGCATTCAACAGTCTTGCTGGCAGACCAGAAGTGGTTGGTTGTGAATAGGTATAATTCTGTGAAGAAGAATAAGTCCCAGACTCAGTTTCTGGGAATGGGAATGGTGGTTTGTGTGACTGTAAGGTTGTTGGTTGCGAAGCCACTCGTACAGGACTCAAAGATTGAATAAAATTTTTCCCCAGAGTTGAGATACTGTATGATTTACGAGAGTGCGCTGATTTATTTTTTTTAGGAGTAATTGGGAGATTTGGAATTCCAAATGATCCAAAATTCCCAAATGTGTTGGAATTTTGTTCTCGTTTAGGAGATGAATTGAAAAAAATATTTGATGTTGATGTTGATGATGATGAATTTTTTTGATTAAATTCAAGTGGGGTTTTAGGTTCATCGTCGTCGGAGGTACAATTCGATTGATCTTCCTGGGGCTGTTGTAAAATTTCTTCTTTCTCTTGTTCTTGTAGCCAATCAACGGTCACGGGTTCCCAGCTATCATTGACTTCAATATCAACGTATGCTGCGGGGACAAGTCCCTTGTTTGTACATCGGTCGACGTTTTGTACACAGAGCCAACCATTTCCTGGCTTATCAATGAGTCGGAGATATTCTCCTGATTTGACCGTGAGTTCAATTTCACTCTCAGCTTGGAAATCATAAAGTGCTCGGAGAATAATTACGCGGTTGTTTATGTTTGAGGAGTGCGGATTTACTGCCAAGTTGGAGGATCCATTACTCCCAGAAGAAACCAAGGAGGATGTACAGTTGGCCAACACCGGTGGTGAGATCAACAAGCCCTTCAAGTTCTTCTTTGATTTGAACTGTTTGGATTTAAAGAGTCCACTAGTGGACATGGTCAGTTGGAAGTTAGTTGGAAGGGGGTGGTGGTGCGTGTCTTGACAATAAAAAAAGGCAGCCAAATAAGGGCAAATGCGATAAACTGAGACACTAGAAAGGTCTAACTAGGGGCAGGAACTGGGTTGTAGAACTAGCCGTATAACAAACTGTATAACAAACTGTAGAACGAACTGTAGAACTAACTCTCTGATCTAGTTGTTAGAGCCTGGTAAACTTTTATACACTGGGCAAACTTTTCTTTGTTATGATGTGGTTGTAAACAAGACCTCCTGCAGGCGTACACAATACTAAAAAATAATCTCAGGACCAAAGTGATTTTATTAGCTCTTTGTCAAATGGATTTTGTCTCTATTGAAACCACTTTAGACTTTGGGCACCTTGAATCGAGACCGCTTGGATGTCGAATATGTCCGGGAACAGCGACGTGGACGACTTTAACCTCTTTGGAAATTCAAAAATGGGAAAAGTTTTTTTTTTTTTGAGTCCTCCTGATTGTTTGAATTTGAATTTGTCTACTCGCGGGTACAATAAGAATGCACGCGACTGATCGTTCCAGTTTCACAATGGGGGGGCAAGTCAGGTCACTGAAGGGGGGTGGCAGACCAATAAAGGGAAGAAGAAAAGAACACTGGAGAATCTTTCAAGAAACTTTCACTTTCCTGCTAATCACCCTGATGTGTCCACTTCACTTTTTCTTTTTTTTTTTTTCATACAGTCCACTGGCGGCTGGGAACATATCCAAATTTATGTCCTGGGCATGAATTCGGAGGGAATGCACGCAATGTCTCCGGCACAGAGACCGTCTTCTGTTTGGCGGCGCCTTAACTTTTGAACTAGTAAAGCGGTTCAACGCCTGAAATTGTCCTTCCAATGGACATGCGGAGTCGCTCGTAAATAGAGGACACCCAACGCCTAACCCGTGCGGCGCCGCAACGCGCGCGCCGCACGGGCCGCACGCACGCGCTACTACCACTTGAGTATAATCAATTCAACATCTTTGTGTTTGTTTAAACAATGGATACTATCTCAATTAGCCGTGGCACATTGTTCTAGTCATAACGGAAACGTTCCCTTTGTGCACTACAAGGTTATTACCGCTAAAGATTACACTAGATTACACTAGATTACCCTTTATTAAGAATGTTCTTTTAACTGTGTAGATTATAAACATAAATAGTGTGGGCCACCCTATCCAGGACGGACTCAGAACTGACCCAGGACTTACCCAGGACGTATCCAGAACTAAACTAACGCCCCCACTCTCTCCCCCAATTAACCGTGTAGCCACCTTCATAAAATCACCGCTCATCTCTCAATCAACTGATAATTCCAAGTGAAAAGAAAAAACTTTTTGGGCCGAAAATAAACACCGAGAGGATCTGTAAACCGGTGAATCTGCCCACATTGTCATTTGACCGCTCCCTGCAACCCAACGTAATGCCACATCCTGCTTGCACTTACAAATTTTAGCTTATAGTTTAAAACAGCCCACATATGAACGTGTGGGTCTCAACGACAATTCAAGACGTAGTGTTTCATATTGTTGCATATGCTGCACCGTTAAAAAAAAACACACACAAACACTCCCACACAAGCTGTGCTACTGTAGTGTGACCCCCCACCTTGGCAGGAAGGTCAAGCCTGAGTCGGTCATATTTGCGAGGGGAGGGACGTTAGCGTATACGTAGACTGGTTCTCGTGTAGCGGGGTTCGTATGCTAGCCGTCGCTCGGCACGGCGTTGTCAGTATTGTTCGGGTCGTGGCATGGGGCTGGGCCTATGGGCCTGGGCCAATAGCACTCGCGGACAGAGAATGTCATGGTCGCTTAGGGGAAAAGTTTAAACGTGTGCTCGCAAAATACCCGAGAATCCAAAAATAAACCTGCCACATCTGCACCTGATTGTTGCAACGTCACAGAGACAATACGACATCAAACGGCGTTTCTTATCATTGAAACGAGCCGGATTAACTGGCATAACCCCAGACAATCAATGACAATCAATGCCAGCAATCCCATTAAGAGGGACTCCAGCCAAGTAGCGCATACCACGCTCGTGGGACTAATGTCGTAAATGAAAATAAGTGCCCCTCTCACCGGTCAATCTCCGACAGATTAGGCTGAACATTCTGACTAATTTCATACGAAGTCAAGTTAAATCTCAGAAGATCCTCAACAAAAAATCCAATATTCCCCTGTTTCGAAATATCTAACCAATCTGAAACAATCCCACTGGTTACAATTGCCTCATTTTGAAACAATTCATTTACGTAATTATCCAAGTCCTTACACCTTTTTTTCAAATTTGAAACCATATCTTGGGAGGATATGAATTGTACCGGTTGTGGTAATTTTGGAAGTACTGTGAAATGTTCTTGTAAAAGAGCATGTAATTCATAAAAGTCCAGATAATATTTACAAAGAAATCGGCCAGAATTGTCAGAATATTGCGCATCTAATCGATACCAATACCGTTCATTATGAAGGAGACAATGTAGGATTTGGACCAGTTGTAGTCGTGGAGGTCTTCCAAATGAAGGTGGGGAAACTTGAAGGGATCCACTTCTTGATAAATCAGAAGTTTCCTGCAACCATTGCACGGTGACAGGGCTCACGGAATCATTAAGTACAATTTCTACATAGGTTGCCGGAACAAGTCCAGGTTTCTCCAACTTGTCAATGAATTTAACCAAGAGCCAGCCGTTCCCCGGCCGGTCCAAAAGCTTGAGAACATCGCCCTTGTTGACGGAAATCTCGTGATTGTTCTCGGCTCGAAACATGAACTTTGCCACCAAAATCACATTGACGTTGAGTTTACAGGTGGTGTCCTGGACAACACAGGGGGCAGAGATGACCACTTTCATTCGATACAGACGATACAACCTACAAGAAGAGAAATGTTTATTGAAACAATAGCCAGGGTGAAACCCTCCCCACCAATTTAAAAAAAAAAACAAAGGCCCCCCCCCACCAAAAAAAAAGAAAACATAAAAAAAAATAAATAACACAACACAACCACAGCGCACCACAGCGCACCAAAGCTCTGGGGGGGATTTCACAGGCACAAATTTAAATTGTAGGCAGATTTGCGCGCGGCTGGAGCACAAATCCCCCGCCAGGGAGTTTTGTTTTGTTTTCCCACCGCACGAGATTTCGCGATAAACAACAACAATGGGGACACAAAACGAGAGAGAGAGAGAGGTTGTCAATGAGGGAACGGGAGGACTGGGAGCCATGTTTGTGATGGGAGGCATCGCTTCCAGGTAAGGCAGGACGGTACGTGCGGGAGAAGGAAAACCCTAAGAAGCTCACAACCTCGTAGATGTGCATCCCTTTACTAAAACTAAGCTTCTATCGCGTAATAGGTAAAAATAGAGCTGCAGAGTTTGAGGCAGTCATTTGCATAGGGAGAGAAAGTGTAGAAGAGGAAAGTGTAGAAGTGGAAAGTGTAGAAGAGGAGGGTAGGGTAGAGTGTAGGAGGGTAGGGGAGAGGAGGGTAGAGTGTAGTAGAGTGTAGTAGAGTAGAGTAGAGGAGGGTAGAGTGTAGTAGAGTGTAGTAGAGTAGAGTAGAGGAGGGTAGAGTGTAGTAGAGTGTAGTAGAGTAGAGTAGAGGAGGGTAGAGTGTAGTAGAGTGTAGTAGAGTAGAGTAGAGGAGGGTAGAGTGTAGTAGAGTGTAGTAGAGTAGAGTAGAGTAGAGTAAGTATAATAGAATACAGTAAAACACTCTAGAGACCCTGAAATTATTCCACCTCTCCTAATCTTTGAGCAATCATCTGGATGACGTGTAGACGGACTTATAGACTCCCGCAAGGTGCACACCTCCACACGTTCCTAAGTCCTTGGGTCGCTTCTGCCTAGCTTCCGCCCTTTCTCGGTGTACAGTCCACGTCTACGAGGCGCCATCCAGCCGTAACATTCCCTATCGGTCCAACCCCCCCAAATTCCTCTCCCACATTCTCCTCCACTCTCTTTCTTCCTTTAGGCATGAGATCTAATCTCTGCGAAGGTTTCTGGCGATTAGCCAAAAAAATATTCTGGACCCACCCTCCACTACAGGCCCGGACGACAAGGGCAACCCCGGGCACAGGGCGACCCCCGTACAGGGCGGTCTGCGCACAACTACAGCGCACTCTACACCCCCACCCATCACGGAGTTAACCGCCTACAAATCTACACCTGGTGACTTCCTCACAATTGTCCCCGTCAAGCGAAACGTAAAATCCATCCAGGACTGTGCGAGGCACACCCTGCGGAATAGTACGAATTATAAGACGGATTAGCTCTTTGGCTTGGTCTCCCTCCGGCCATTTTTGCTTGACTAAATAGATGCATGTTAGTGTTGCTGGTACTCCGGAGGTGAAAATATGTGAAGAAGAAAAGAAGAAAAAAAAGTTTCCGTTGATTTTGGCGGTCAGTAAAAATTTTCTTTATAGCTCGCGGCTTGCTCGCTGGAGGGTAAAAAAAAAATTGATTTGCAGGTTAGGGCTGACATTTCACTTTTTCGCAGGTTGCGGTTCCCCCGCGCGTGCGCGCTCTTACCCTCACGCTCACTCGGCGACTTTCCAACCACCAACGGGCTACAGCATTTCTTTGGATCTGTGGGCAAGGGCCGTGGGTCACGCCCACGAGGAGGGATCGACTGCAAGCTCCTCCTCCTCCTCGAAGAGGAGCCAGGCCCCACGCCAGTGGCTCCCCCCGAGCAGGGGCCAGCGGAGCGGCTCGCACATCCTCTAGCGCAATTGTACCGAGACATAAGCTTTACACGCGTGCCGCACAATGATTAGCTTTTGTACTTCCGTGTCAGGCTATTTGATTCTCCTTTTTTTCTCTCTTGAGTCATGCCCATTCAACCTGTAGAACGACCAGGCATTGGCGCTAGCCTACCCTGTCCCAGCCGCCTTGCGGACCACCCTCTCACCCCTCCATCACAGCTTCCTCCAACTAACCTCTTGTTTCTCTCTCTCTCTCCAACTTTTCTTCTTGTCTCACGACTTTGGTGGCTCGATTTTTCACCTTTGTCCTGCACACAGCACATACCGCTCGCCGCCGCCCACTTCCCAAAAGAGTTGCAAACGTGCCATATCTGATTTTGAATTGTTTATCCGACGATATGGAGACGCAGGACCAATACCAAAACCTGCAGCATGCGACATAGGCGCATTTATGAGTTTTTATTATTATTATTATTATTATTATTATTATGTACCATCGGGATTAATTTAAACACTATTTTCGATTTGCACATATTTTTAGAGTTCTGGTATACAGTTTTTATTTTATTCGGTTCACCTCGAGACTTCCTCCCGCCACGCGAGGCTCTGATCCGGATAGGACCCCCCCCCCCCCCCCCCCCCCATTGTGGGTGTGCTTGTGGTGTCTTGTCCATTGTCCCACTTTATCCCACCTTTGTCTAAGCTCTCTTTTCTTATACTGTGTGAATAAATTTTTTTTTTTTCCCCCCATTTCGTTTTTTTCATGCCGGGCTAATGCAGTCCTAGTAACAACCTACGAACCAGTTCTGAGGAAAACCTCTGCTAAAAGCAGTAGACTTGTTGACAATGGATTAAATGCTTAGTTCAAGTTGCTTGTCCCGGCGGTGCACAAAATAAGCAGGAGCATTTCGTAGCGTGTTGTAGCGTGTCGTAGCATATCATGACATGGGCCAATGTGGAGCATGTCGTTGACCTTGTCGTAGTATGTCCTGGGTGGGTTGCACCCAGAAACTCCCTCGTTCTCGTTCAATAGCCTGCCCCACTAGCGAAAGGTTACCGCCACAACCCCATCCCATGCATGGCATGACTGGAGGAAATAAAAAAGCCAATTTATCAGCATATGCAAGACGCAAACAGATAAACCTGCACGAGCAAAATACGGGAAAAAAGGGGAACGGACTAGCATTACCAAAACCAAAAAAGGAGAAAATGTCTGAAAAAATAATAATGTACATAACGCAAAAAAAGAATTATTTAAAAATAAAAACAAAAATAAAAATCTAAAAAAAAAAAAAGAAAAGAGGGAAAAGGCAAAAGTCTCCTAGGTGCTGGAATTTAAGTCAAGTAGAGGGACTTTTACCAGAGGCCCTTCTTTGTCGTCGACCCCCAGCCAGCGCTACTCCAGTTCCAGTTCCAGCTCGCCTTTGCCCGTCTGTCTGTGTGCATTTCCGCCTGCTCCACTAGCGGTCTTCGTTCCTTCCTTCTGCCGTGCCGCAGCCATTTCCAGTACGACGTATACTTACCTACAGCTGCTACCCGTACGTTCATTGACAGGCAGTTGCAGTCGTTCATTTTTTTTCTTCTTCCTTTCTTTCCATTGATTTGTGATCTGTTGTCCAGGTCCCCAATCCGAGCCCCAGCGCAGCCCAGCTTCCCCCCTCCTTGTCCGCGTCCAGACCTTGCTAGTGCAAGCCGTCGATCTTACCTCACTCCACGCTTTTCAACGGGGCCACCCCACTCTCTTTCGGGCCACCACACACACTCTCTTTCGGGGCCACCACCACTCTCTTTTGGCACACACAGTATACCTGCCAATTGTTGCACTGACCGTCGTCGCTTTCCCCCACCACCACCACATCTGCATTCACCCTCCCTACCGGGTCACCCCTTGCACAGCCCTTTCAACCTGAAACACCGCTGGCAAAAAAATAAAAAATTACACTCAGCATCAAAGTACCACATGGGCAACTACTCCAACTACTCGAACTCGGCGTCCACGACCCCGGCCAAGTCCAAGCGACAGGGTTATTATGGCAACGGGAGCTTCTTCCCAGACATCCCACCGCCCTCGTTTGACGTGCCCGACCAATCGTTCATCAATCTGTCGAACTACTCCATTTTCAGCAACCCTCAGGGCATGAACTCCAACCTTCTGCTCCACCAGGCCGAGACCGAGACCGGTTCCGGTTCTGGTGCGCTGGCATTCTCCACCATTTCCGGCACCATGTTTACCAATCCGTTCAATCCTGCGGGCGGCACTGGAGTCGGAGCCGCACTGCTGCAACTTCAACACCAACAAACTTTACTCCACAATGACTTGGCCAATCCGGATTTCTTACCCAACATGTATGGAGTATCGGAGTTTGAATTCAACAATGTTTCATTTGAGTCACTCCCTGCAATCTCATTCGCAGTCACAATCTCAATTTGATCTTGTAGACAACTCCGATTGGTACCCTTGTCCTTACACGCCAACGTTCCATGACAACAATCTGGCCAATTTTTCCGAGGCTAGCTTCAATTCAACCACCGAGCTCCATGACATCATGCACACCACCCCACCACTTTCATCGCTCAACACAAACCTCAACCTTAATCTCAATCTTTCGTCCTCTTCTTCATGTTCCGTGGGGTTGAAAAAAACCTCCTTGGCTGCCACTGCACAGGCACATTTGAACCAATTCAGTGGTCGAACCACTCCTATTTCCATCAAGCATGAGTCTCCTCCTCCTCCTCCTCCACCCCCCGGATCGTCTTCTTTCAAGCCGCTCCAAACCTCCCAATCAATGCCACATCAGTTGACCATCTCCAACTTTTCAAGCTTGAGCTCTTCCCACAGCAGCAGTAGCAACAACAACTTGCATTCGGCCTTGGCTTCACTCCATCCACATCCACACCAACATCCACACCATCAATCAACTCATCCTTCCCCACTTTCGACTCATTTACCGGGCCCCGCACTTGTGTTTCAGAATTCCCCCACCTCTTCTGCATCGCCCTTGGTCAACCAATACAAGGCCTTGGATCTTAATTCACCCACACAACCGATTCTCCCGCCTCAAAACACATTCCGTCATAATTCCGACTCTTCATTCAATTCCACCTCTTCGGAAACTCCTCGTCGGACCACCTCACTGGTGTTCAAGAAGAAGAGCCAGGGTTCGAGCCACGCGCACACCAACATCATCCCATCAACCCCCTTGGACCTCACCCCACTGAAAACCATTTCCAAGAAGACCTCCTTGGCAGGGTTGGATGGGACCAAGACGAAAAAATATACCCGACAAAGATTACTCCCTAGATCGAAAAATGGATGTTGGATTTGTAGAATCAAACATTTAAAGTGTGATGAATGCAAACCTGTTTGTAAGAGTTGTCATCGGTTCGGAATCGAGTGTGACTACTCCGCGGAAAAACCGTTATATGTCAGCGACAAGACCTTGAGAAAGGAGAAGCTTGCCAGCATTGCTCAGAGTAGAAAGAGTTCTTCTTCCGGAGGGATCCAAAAGAAGAAGTCCAGAGCTCAATTGATCAGTTAATGAGAGGTGAACCTCTTCACTTATCTCTTCTCGGTAGTATCGTCCAAGTTGATCAACTTTGGAGTTCTACACGAGAGTCCTCCTCCGTCTACTTACCTACGCCTAATCATTGGCTCATTTTATATTCTGTTCGTGTTTATTTCTTTCTATACTACTCCCATTCGGATACAGTTAGTTTCTTTTTAATAATAGTTTCATTTTCAGTAGTGGACAAGATACTGATGTCCCCCAGTTCGTAGTCATGTGTATGGACCCCCCCACTCAGTTCTTGAGAATATTTTAATAGTGACACATAATTCCCTTCAAATCCAACCCATGGTCCATTCAATGGATCATTCAAATGTGGATATGTATAGTTTGAAAATTGTTCTCTTTCCTCATCAATGGTTGACTTTCTACGACGTAAAGGTGGTGATTTTCTTCTACTTTGAAGTAAAGATGTTGTTTCATTGCAACCTTCGTCCTGCACGGCTGCTGCATCCTCATCATCTCCCTCACCGCCGTGCGGCTGAACTGGCTGCAAACCAGTACTTGTACTACTTATCAGAGATTCATCTTCATTAAATTCCTTTTCATAATCATCATAAGGATTTTGAATTGCTCTCAAGGCAATAAACTTATGTAAGGGCAAATAATAATTTTCAAAATTCCATTGGATAATTAATGAGATGAAAATCAATGGTACACAAAGAGCAGCCAAAATGTATGCATCATTAAGGGCCAAGGTACCACACATAAAGATTTGGAAAATAATGACTCCCAAGATTAATCTTCTAAAGATCATGGGCCAAACTTTCCCGGTGGAATGTGGAGGATGTACAAAGTTATAAATGAGTTGATACTTGTAAACCAAATGACCCAATACAAAGTAAACCAATCCACAAGTGATGATTTTAGTCAGAACCACAGAATAAATCAATACTATGATGAATATAAGAAGATGTTGTGGCAATTGAAGTCCAAAATCAAAGATTGGTGGTGTATAGTAATAAAATCGATAATCACGAGGGGTCTTACATACCAAATTACGAAGGAAAAACACTTTCCCCAAGATATTTAAAAGCAAAAAATCACTGATTTGAAGCAATCTAATAGGGAACATGGCCACTCCTTGTAATAAGATCAAATTGATATAGAAAAGTGATAATCTTTGTAATGAAGTGGCCAATTGATAGGCGATTTTGGTGGTATCTCCAATTAACCCAAAGAAATTGCTGGCGGTTCCTGTGACCGTGAATACAAGAAACAAGTTGAAGAAGATGTAGAAGAAATTCTTCAGCAAGGTCGAGAGCTCGATGTCACTGTTCAGAAGATATCCTTGGTAATAGGTGAGGAACTTGTAGAAGTATGGGAGTAGGAAGTTGAACAACAGAAAGAGAAACGGTGGCAAGAGCCCCGTGATCAAGGTGGTGAGCGTTTTGGACCGACCAATGGCCGCACCCAAGTCGGGCCAGAGTTTGGTGATGGTCTTGAGGTTCAACAAGGTCGAGATCGACGAGATGGGGAAGAACAAGACGAGGAAAGAAAGCACAATGATGAAGGTGATGATGTACAGCTTGACGACGCGCTCCGTTGGAGAGAGCCGGAACAGGTCCCACTTGATGTCCTTTGGAGCTGGCGCTAGGTGTACGATGAGCTTGTGCACACGTGGGTCCAACACGGTCTGAGCAGCCATTTGTGCCAGAGCGACTGAATCCATGGTGATGAACGCCGATGAGATTTGTTTGAATTCGTGACGGTCGCTCATGGTCCCACGTTGGAAGTCAAACTTGTCCTGGACACTACGGATGGCCCGGTTGATCAGAAGCAATTGGTCTCTGAGACCAACGATACGTGGCGAGTCGTCGTCATGCAGCAGCCCACAGAGCCGCTTGGGAACGACCGCAGGGGTCTCATCGTTGTACAAGTTGACACTGAGGCCATGGATCTTGGCGTATTCCTCCTCCAAGCGGCCCAAGATGCGTTTCCGCTCGACAAAGAGTCGGTCCAAGGGCTCCCAGTCGTACACCAACTTGACGTCAAGCACCTTCCCAATGCCCATGGACTCAACAAAGCTTGCCAACTCGCGCGGGTTGTTCTTGGACAAGATCTTCTTGGGGATCCCGGACAACAAGATGGTTCGGTCAGTGACGGAGTCCTGGGACGCCAAGTATTTCTGGCGGATCTTGAGGATTTTCTTGGTGTAATCAAAGAGAAAGAGGTACACAATGGCCGAGAAGGCATACGTGGCCGCCACATAGAGCCAGAAGAACCAAGGCCCATCATACGTGGGGATCCCACCAATGGGGTCCTTCCCTCCCGTCAGAGCCAGGGCCAGTGTGGGCCTGGGTCCAAGGAAAAAGCCCATGTCCAACCCACCGGCCCAGCTCTTGACCCCGTCATCTCTATGGGTCCAATAACGAGCGGGCAGGATCACACACACGGCCAACACCAGCAAGAGAAGAAATATCCTGATGGCCATTTGAAAGAATGCCACAAACACATAGGCGTCCAAGCCAGACACCCGGAGCAATTCCTCGTCCAGGAACATGATGACGGCCGGGACCCAGCCAAACCAGCCGGGAGGAAGCGGTCTGACCACACCTCCACCCTCTCGTAGTGTGCGGAGGGCGTACATGTGCGGCCATTTAGCTCGTAACATGCAAAACAACAACAACAGCGACACGCCAATGACCACACAGAGCAGGAGCTGGGCCGTGAAGACGCGCTGGGCGCCCCTGAGCGCCGTCGGGTCGTCCAGATCCAGTACCCAAGAGGACATATATGATAGATGTGGGTTTGATTGGTATCGACTAGACTCTTATCATAGCAGTGAGGGTCTGTCGTGTAGCGATAATACACGCGAGCCACCCTTTCCAATCTTGAGAGTTTGGCGCGGGTCGCGCCTTCTTTCCCAATTAGGCAGTCTAGCTACACGAGTCTTAGCACCCACGTTCTGTACTGAGGGGGGCCCTCATCCAGCCGACATTCCGACACCTGTCCGGGGTCTTTCGTTCGCTGGAGTATCGTAGAGGGGAGTCACAATACGGCTATATTGAGTTTGCGAGACGTTTCTGTTGGTGTTCAGGGGGTCAGTCAGCCGCAAGGGGGGGGAAGGGTCCATGGGAATATTGGCTGCGAAAATTCCTTCGTGGAGGAGCAAGGGACCACGCAGTGGACTGGGGCCTATTTAGATGGGGGAGGGGGGAGACAATGGAGGTCATACGGGTTTCCGGGAAAGAGACGATGGGAGCTGCGGGTCCTACGGGGTAAGCAAGCCGCTCCGCTGGCACTCCGTGGGCCACTAGCCGTGGGGGCCTTGTTCCTCTAACGAGGAAGTTTCCGAGACTACGGGGATCTCCTCGTAGAGGAGCTAGGCCCCACGCAGTGGCTCTCCCCGAGCAGGGGCCAGCGGAGCGGCTTGTAGCCCCACAGGGAAGTGGATGGTGGCATCCCTACGAGATACACGAGCCGCTCCGCTGGCACTCCGTGCCACTAGCCGTGGGGGCCTTGTTCCTCTGTCGAGGAAGTCTCAGAAGAGCCGGTGGGTCTACTCGTAGAGGAGCTAGGCTCCACGCAGTGGCCCTCCCCGGGCAGGGGCCAGCGGAGCGTCTTACTGATTCTCTGGAAATGCTCTAACGCCCTCCTCTTTCCTCCAATTTTCTCTCCGGGATGCAGTACGATCGTTTCCTGACAATAGACTCAAAGTAGCCTCTCTACTTGTGTCAGGTGCAACTCATTCCTTCTGTTCTTTCAACTTCTTCTCTGGTAGATTCCTTCATGCATGAGTTTACGAGCCCTAAATCCGCCCCGTGCGTCATCCGCCTGCACATACACCGCACTTTGCTGTATTCGGTAATCCTCCTCTCACATGGGTTTTCCCATCTTGGGAAATTCAAATAGATGGAATGGATTTGGCACCTGAGTTTCCGGCGAGGGGCGAGGGGCATGGGGCGGTCTCGGGACTTGAGTCTGGGGTAGTTCATTCCACTTGTCAACCAGCGTTAGAGAGAATAAGAATGTCTTACTATGGGTTCAGAAATGGAACCCTCCAAAAGGCCTGTGACCCAAAAAGCCTGTGACCCAAAAAGCCTGTGACCCCTCCTCAACTTGCAACTCCTGGGGAAGAAGTCCATCATTCAACTTCACCATTACAATATCTTCTGTGCATTGTTTTCTCCATTCGAATTATGAAAACTTTGTAAAAAGTCGCACACTGAATTACCCCTGCCCCTCGAAGCTCCCCCGCATTACGCGTAACTCCGCTCTATGCAGACAAACCCGAAGACACATGAAAGTACAAGCCATGGACTATAAAGAGCAAGGCAAGCCCTCCACTTGTCCTTAAAATTGCCTGGAGCACAGTGTATACGTTTAGTTATCATGACCAAGTACGCCTTCATCACCGGTGCTTCCTCAGGAATTGGGTACGCCCTCAGTAAATCATTTGCCCAGCGAGGCTACAAAGTGTTCGCTTGCTCTCCCGAGTGGGAGTTGCACCTCATGGACCCTCTCAAGGGCCTTGGGGTGACCCCACTAGCATGTGACATCACCAACACAGAGGATATCTTGCGGGTCAAGGAGATCATCCGAAAGGAAACTGGAGGTAGATTGGATGTTTTGTATAACAATGCTGGGATTGCCATTGGAGGACCAGCTTGTGAATGTAAGGATAAGGACGTTGAGAAAATCTTCCGAGTCAATGTTTTCGGCCACATTGCCGTCACGAGAGAATTCACCGACTTTGTGGTGGCCACCAAGGGTACCATTGTATTCACCCTGTCTGTAGCAGGAAGAATTGCATTCCCCTTTGTTGCACTTTATTGTTCCACCAAGGCCGCCATTGATCATTATGCCCATGTTTTAAATTTGGAATTGAAGCCGTTTGGAGTTTCGGTTGTTTCTGTGATCACTGGAGGGGTCAACACTGCCGTTGGGGACAAATCAAAGGATTTGAGTGAGGATGAATTTGGCTTGAAATACAATGTTCCTGGAGCCCCCGAGTGTGCATTGGAAGTGGCCCTCATGGCACGTAAATGTCCAATCCCGGTGCAACCGGACGAGTATGCCGAGGCCGTGGTGAAGAAGCTTGTGCGTGGGAACCCAAGTCTCAACTTGTTCCAAGGTGGGATGTCATGGATTTTGAATTTCTTGGGCAGAAGAACTCCAATTTGGTTCCAACAATGGGCCATTTCGAGACACTTCAAGTTCAATACGGTTGCGAGAAACATCAGAAAGAGATTACAAGCGAGGAGTTAGGACGTACATAGCATAATGCACACATCGTATAGTTAAAAAACAGTTGGACCTGTAGACCATCTAGTCTTAGTTTTTCGCAGCCAAATGGATCACGCCGTGGGATGCCACGACCCACTTCCCTGCGGGGCTGGCAAGCCGCTCCGCTGGCCCCTACTCGGGGAGAGCCACTGCGTGGTGCCTAGCTCCTCTAGCGAGGAGACTCCCCGTGGCCCCAGCCACTTCCTCGTTAGAGGAACAAGGCCTCCACGGCTAGTGGCCCACGGAGTGCCAGCGGAGCGGCTTGCTTAACCCGTAGGGAAGCCACCACCCACTTTCCCTGCGGGTCCTGCAAGCCGCTCCGCTGGCACTCCGTGGGCCACTAGCCGTGGGGGCCCAGCTCCTCTTCGAGGAGATACTCCTGTGGGAGACTTCCTGAGTAGGTCGTGCCACAGAAGATGGTTGCATTTTCTTTTCTTTTCTTTTCTTTTTATTTCAAGTGGGATATACAATAAGCAGCTGAGCTACCAATCAGATACACAGTAACATTACGTGGACTCATGGGTCAAGGATCAACTTCTCTGTTCCTCTTACAGAGAGAGTGTGTGTGCTCCCCCACACTATACACATTCAGTACGGCGCGCCGGTTCTCTCACTTGAAGTTATCAATTTTTTTATTTTTTTTTCCCCTTCCACCACACTCCCAGCTTATAAACCTCTACTTTCTACTACTACTACTACTACTTCTTCTACTCCCCTTCTTAATGACTCCTCTCTCTTCTCTACTTGGCCCGATCAAAAAAAAAAAAAAGTAACCAAAAAATAAAACAAAATAAAATAAAATAGGGCGTCCTGCATATTCTCCAAAGATAAATTTTCACCTCGACACGGCGGCCCGATCGTTTTTGTCAAGGGCCTAACAATTGAGAGATTCGGGGTAGAATTATCTTCCCACTTTGAATAGAGATCATGACAGACGTGTACGTAGTTGTGGAGATCGCCACCACGTGCGACGAGTCCCCCACCTACGTGAACCGGGACTCGACCGAACTTATCGAGCTTGCCTGGAGGGCCGTTGACGCCGAGACTTTGGAATGTACACATAGGGAGACTGTTCTTGTCAAGCCCACCAACACTCCAATCACGCCGTATTGTGCCCAGCGCCATGGGGTCTTGTGGGAACATGTCCGGACGGCAGGGACCTTCAAGGAGGCGATTCTGAAGTTGGACTTGTGGGTACAACTGGAGTTGATTGCCAAGGACCGTCAATTTGTGTTTGCCACGTGCGGGGTCACCAAATTGAGAGTACAAATCCCTCGTGAAGCTCGGGATAAGCTGGTGGTATTACCTCCATACTTGCAACATCCTCGAGTGTTTGACTTGCAAGCAGAGTATGTCAAGTGGCAGAGCACACACCCGGAAGCCTTGAGTTATACGAGTAGTAGTTTGGCTAATATAATCACTGCGTTGGAGGTTGATTGGAAGCAGGAGACGCCTGTACAGCAAGCTGTACCGGCTGCAGCACACACTGCCACTACTAGTTCAAGTTCACTGGGGAGCTCAACCCCTCCAACTATGGGAGAAACTGGAGAATCCAACGATGAAGACTCTTCCTCAACTTCAACTGACAGTTCCACCAGTTCAATGTCTCATCTTTATTCTCTTCTTCTTACCCAACTTATCAAGAAGTCACTCCCTCCCGATGAACACCCTCTAGTTCTCACCAAGCCGTATGACTCAGCACAAGACGTGAGAGTGTTTCTTGCCGAAAGATCAAAGATCTTGTACCTTTCGAACCTCCCACATGACACCACCCAGAGCGAGCTTGAGTCGTGGTTCACCCAGTATGGAGGTAGACCAATTGCCTTTTGGACGTTGAAGATGTTGGACGAGAAGAGTCAACAAACTGCTGGTATCAGCAATAATAACAACACCGGCACCCACAACAACAACACCACCACCAACACCAACACCACCTCTTCAACTGGCACTACCAAGTCAATTTCTGGGTTTGCCGTGTTTGCCACCCATGAAGAAGCCACAGAGTCCCTTGCCATGAATGGGAGACTGTTGAATGACCGATCTATTGAAGTACAGGCATCTTCAACCAGAGTTTTGGATAAGGCCAGTGACCTTTTAACACCATTCCCTCCGTCTAAGAACAGACCAAGACCTGGCGATTGGACGTGTCCATCCTGTGGTTTTTCCAACTTTCAAAGAAGAACCGCATGTTTCAGATGTTCCTTCCCTGCAACCAGTGCTGTTGCCATCCAGGAGAGCATTTATAATGGACCGAAACGTCAACCTAATGACCATTCTGGTGGCAAAATGACTCTCAATGGCATGAATGGATATTATGAAGGCACTAATAATGGTGGACAGCTGAACAGCCATAACCACAACCAATCGAATGGCAGCAACCAGTCGGGCAACAACATCCAGTCGGGCAACAATAACCAGTCAGGTAACAATAACCAGTCGGGTAACAACTCTGGAGGCCGTCACTATGGGAACAATGTCCCATTCAGAGCTGGTGATTGGAAATGTGAAGCATGCTTTTATCATAATTTTGCCAAAAACTTGTGTTGTTTGAAGTGTGGGAACGGGAAACCATCTGGGATGTCCAATGGGAACGGGAACGGGAACGGGAACGGGAATGGGAACTATGGGAATGTCAACAATGACAGCATCAATTCCACAGCAGCCGCCATTGCAGCCGCCACCGCTTCGGGCCAACCATTGATGAACAATGGGTTTATCAACTTGCACCAACCACAGCCAAGACACAATGGATCTTCCAACAACAATTCCCCCAGTTCCAATAACATGCACAAGTCGAACAATAGAAGTAGTAGTGCCAATGGTGGGTCTACCGGGAACAAGCCTTACATGCAACAGAAGCATCTCAATGGGAGCAATCCAAATTTGAGGGGTAACACCACTCCCCAGCCACTTTTGCAGCAACATTTGATGATGTTACAGCAGCAGCAGCAACAACAACAGCAGCAGCAACAACAACAACAACAACAACAATCCAATGGATATGGTGGTCAGTTGCAAGGACATGCTCAGGGACATAGTCAAGGTCAGGGCCATGGACAGTACATGCAACACAAGTACGCTCATTCGGCTACTAATTCCCCTGTGTTGTATGGATACGATGGGAATGTCAACCTTCCCAACCCGCCCAGATCTGCACCAAACAGCGGCAATCAAGGGAACCTTGGAGGGCTTAGTGGACTGATACAGTCGTTAAATTTGAATGGATAAAGTGGAAGAAAGGATAGAGGAGAGAAATATATTGGGAATTGGAGACGATTAAAGGATAGAGAATACGTTTTAAATAGAGATAAATGGACTGGAGAGTAAAAGAATAGGTAATACTGTATTTATAAGATTGATTTTTAGAGTTGAATTGTAGAAACTGCCACCCGGAGGAACCACCACCCACTTCCCTAAGGGGCCAGTAAGCCGCTCCGCTGGCCCCTACTCGGGGAGAGCCACTGCGTGGTGCCTAGCTCCTCTACGAGGAGACCTACCAGCTCTGAAGGGACTAACTTCCTCGCTAGAGGAACAAGGCCTCCACGGCCAGTGGCCCACGGAGTGCCAGCGGAGCGGCTTGCTTACCCCGTAGGGATGCCACCACCCACGTCCCTGCGCGGGCTTGCAAGCCGCTCCGCAGGCCCCTGCCCGGGGAGGGCCACTGCGTGGGGCCTAGCTCCTCTACGAGGAGAAGAACTGACTTCTTAGTTTGGTTGCAAAAATGGATAACTATTGAGAAAATGCGCGCACACACGCGCCTTTTTGTGTGTGTTTTATTTTTTATTTTTATTTTTCTTGATGGTTATATGCAAACTACGAGCCTCAAGTTAACACGAAGGTCTTTTCTGTATGGGCTGCCACGTCCCTTTAAAAAACAACACACATTCTAGCCACATTTATTCCCCCCCCACAAATACTGTATAAAAATGGCTGCCAACAAGTACTCTGTTATCTTACCCACATACAACGAGAAGCGTAACTTGCCGATCTTGGTGTACCTTCTTGCCAAGACCTTCAAGGAACACAACCTTGATTGGGAAGTTGTTATTGTTGACGACAACTCTCCTGATGGAACTCAAGACGTTGCTCGCAAGTTGATTGCTGTGTTTGGTGCCGAACACATCCAGTTGCGTGCCAGAGCTGGCAAGTTGGGATTGGGTACCGCCTACGTGCACGGGTTGCAATATGTCACGGGGAACTTTGTGATCATCATGGATGCTGATTTCTCCCATCATCCTGAAGCCATTCCAGAACTTATTGCCAAACAAAAATCTGAGGATTTCGATATCGTTACTGGTACCCGTTATGCCGGTGATGGGGGTGTTTTCGGCTGGGATTTGAAGAGAAAATTGGTCTCCAGAGGTGCCAACTTTTTGGCTGCCACTGTGTTGAGACCAAATGTGTCTGACTTGACTGGTTCGTTCAGACTTTACAAGAAGCCGGTATTGGCCAAGATCATCGAGGTCACCAAGAGTAAAGGATATGTTTTCCAAATGGAAATGATGGTTAGAGCCAGATCTTTGGGGTTCACCGTGGGTGAAGTTCCTATTTCCTTTGTTGATAGATTGTATGGAGAATCCAAGCTTGGAGGTGATGAGATTGTTGGGTATTTGAAGGGTGTCTGGGCATTGTTTACTTCTGTATAGGTCCCATAACCAGCGAGGGAAGAAGTAGATAAACAAACAATAACAAATAAATGACTTTTATATTGAGAAATCTTCATCGTACTACAAGAACTACTACTATAAGCACTACACTTACTTTACTGTACGTACAGGGGGGTAAGCAAGCCGCTCCGCTGGCACTCCGTGGGCCACTAGCCGTGGGGGCCTTGTTCCTCTGACGAGGAAGTCAGTCCCTTCAGAGCTGGTAGGTCTCCTCGTAGAGGAGCTAGGCACCACGCAGTGGCTCTCCCCGAGTAGGGGCCAGCGGAGCGGCTTACTGGCCCCGAAGTGCTACTCTACTCTATTTCCCTACGGGCCCTGTAGGACGCTCCATTGGCACTCCGTGGGCCATGGTCCCTGTAGGCCGTGTTCCTCTCACCAGGAAATGACTGACTCCTGTGAAGTGTATATGTCCTTCTTTTCTTTCTCTAGATATTTTTACTGACTTTTTAGCTATCTCTCTCTTCACTTATGTTGCAATGTCGCAATGTCGCATCGTGCTTTATGCTTTTGTTCTTTAGCTGGGGAAAAAGAAAAAAAAAATGTCGCGCTTGAAACCTGCATACAAACATCGATATATGAATTTAAAATCACTTTCAATAATAACAAAAAATCATATGATTAATCATATTATTATAGGTAATTATGGCTAGAAATACCTATTTAACCAAGGTGCTTGGTACTGAAAGGTACCAAGAGCTTCAAAATGTATGTTTGAGTTGTTTTTTTTCTCTCTATTTTTTTTTTTTCAAGACCTTTACTAACAAATGTTTCCACCTAGACAACAGTGGTAATGATTGGAGCAGGAGGAATTGGATGTGAATTACTTAAAAATTTGATCCTTTCTGGATATGGATGTATTCATATAGTAGACCTTGACACTATCACACTTTCCAATTTGAATCGTCAATTTTTATTCCGTCAAAAGGATATCGATAAATCGAAAAGTCTTACGATCAAGAAGGCAGTTGAATCATTCAATTATCATGGATGTAAGCTTATTTCACATCATGGGAATATTACTGATACTACACAATTCCCCATTTCTTGGTGGTCTCAATTTCTGTTTATTTTCAATGCTTTAGATAATTTGGAAGCTCGTAGATATGTCAATAGAATGGCGTTATTCTTAAAGACTCCTATAATGGAAAGTGGTACCACTGGATATGATGGGTATGTACAACCGATTTATCCCTATCAGGCAGAATGTTTTGATTGTCAGGCAAAGGTAACCCCACAAACATTCCCTGTTTGTACCATTAGATCCACACCATCTAAACCAATTCATTGTATTACCTGGGCTAAAGAATTTCTATTCCATCAATTATTCGATGAAACTGATGAAGATCCAGATTCAGCTGCCACTAGTTTAGGTCAAGCTACTGATAATAAAGAAGAATTGGAAACCCTTGTCAAGGAATCCAATGAATTGGCAGATTTAAGGAGATCTTTATTGGAAAAGAATAACAAGACATTTTTCAAAGGAATGGTTGAAAAATTATTTGATATTGATATTGAAAGATTACTTTTAATTGATACATTATGGCAAAATAGACAAAGGCCAACCCCATTGAAATTCAATGAAGAATTAAGTGAGAAATTGTTTAAACTTACCATTAAGGATATTAAACAAGATACAGAGAAATGGGATATTTTAGAGAATCTCTTTATATTGTATCAAGCCACTAGTAAACTTCAAGAAAGATTGAAGCAAATGGAAGGCGTGGATGAGAATCGATTTATTTCCTTTGATAAAGATGATGAAGATACTCTTGACTTTGTGGTTGCATCAGCCAATCTTCGTAGTTCAATTTTTAATATTGATATCCTTTCTAAATTTGATATTAAACAAATTGCTGGGAACATTATCCCTGCTATTGCAACCACCAATGCAATCATTTCAGGATTTTCCAACCTTCAATCATTAAATTATTTCCAAAATAAGAATGATGAAAGTATAGATTCTTCATCAATGGTGTTTATTAGTATACGACCAAATAAATACGTTACATCTGCAGCATTGGAACCACCTAGAAATGAATGTGGGAGTTGTTCTGTGGCCAGAGGAATCCTTGAATTGGAAAATTTAACCAATCAAAGTTTGGAAGAATTAATTGAAATCTTAAAGGATACTTATAAATATTCGAGTGATATATCACTTATACTTGGGAAATCTAAATTGATATATGATTTTGATTTTGAAGATAATTTGCACAAGAAATTACAAGAAATTGGATTTACCAATGGGGAAGTATTATTGATCCAAGATGAAGATGAAGAAAAGGAAAATTTGGAATTATATATCAATGTTGGAGATAAGTTTGAAGTACCATCAATTGAATTAAGAGATCGGAAAAAAATTGTTAAACCAGAAGAGAACGGAGAGACTAATGAAGAAGATTTTGAAGAATCCAATAAGGCATTTGAAACTATATTAATTGATGATGAAGATGTAGAAGATAAAGAAAATAAAGAAAATAAAGTGGAGAAGGTGGACAAGGTAGAAGAAGAAGAAGATGTTGTTGAAGAATTGGTGGAAGAACCAGCTTCAAAGAAACAAAGAATGTCATAATTCTTATATAGATCAATCTATACTTTGTACACTAGAGAAACCGTAGGTCTCCTCGTAGAGGAGCTAGGCCCCACGCAGTGGCTCTCCCCGAGTAGGGGCCAGCGGAGCGGCTTGCAAGACCCATAGGGAAGTGGGTCGTGGCATCCCTGCGGGGTTAAGCAAGCCGCTCCGCTGGCATTCCGTGGGCCACTAGCCGTGGAGGCCCTAGGCAACACGCCAGTGGCTCTACCCGAGTAGGGGCCAGCGGAGCCGCTTACAATCCCACACGGCAATGGGGGATTCTTTTTTTTTGTGATTTTTACCCCTGAATCATTTTAGCTCGTCTATATAGCGCACGTGACTAGGGTCACGATTCCTGCGTGTACGATATGACGAGAATTGTGAATGGGTGTGCGGTTACAAAATCATAAATGGAATCAACATTTCTATATATAATCTTTGAATACTTTTCCAAAGTAATTGCTTATCTTACACATATATACTAGAACACAAGATGTCTTGGCAAGCTTACCCAGATAACCTCGTTGCCACCGGAAAGATCGACAAGGCCGCCTTATACTCCAGAGTTGGAGACTCCTTGTGGGCTCAAAGTGGCGGGTTCCAACTTAACGCTAATGAAATCACCGAGATTGCCAGAGGTTTTGATGACCCATCAAACTTACAATCGCACGGTTTGCATGTCTTACAACAAAAGTACTTTTTGTTGAGAGCTGACGACAGATCTATCTACGGTAAGCATGAAGCCGAGGGTATTATTGCCGTTAGAACCAAGCAAGCGATTTTGGTTGCGCACTACCCATCAGGTGTCGTTGCAGGAGAAGCTACCACTATTGTTGAAAAGCTTGCTGATTATTTGATTGGTCTTAGTTATTAGGTAGAGAGGAAACATAATCAATTTATACATGATATTATAATAGTACTAGGGATGTAGTGAGAAAGAGTAAAGAGAGGGGAAGAAAGTAGCAACCAACAATGTTTAGTAAGAGAAGAAGGCATAGGTATCACCAATAAACATAGAATAGATCTACACATTCCAAATTCTTTTCTTTTTAGTCCTAATATTTCTCGGTTTTTTAGTATTAGGGGGGTTGTTTTTTGTTTATATATTCACTGCCTCTAAGGTCGTTACCCCTTACTCACATTTTGGGTAACTAACTACCACACACACTCTCTTACCCTCAATTTTTTTTTTTATTTTTACTTTTCCTCATTAAAAGTTCATCTTAGTCATGTGACCTCTTTTCAAACTAGTAAAGATACTCTCCATACTACATTGAAATAAATGGTACTTCTTGGCCTACAATTCTTCTATATACTATAAATAACGTAATCTTTAGTAAGGAAGTCGACAATCCTCTTCAGTCAATTCACTACTAATCGATATAATTTCATTCCCCTAAGATCAACCAATTGTTCATCGAGTGCTAATAACTTATTTGTATATTATCTATAAAACATCAGAAAATTTTTCATAATGCAAAAGATGAAAATCTTTCAATCTTTCAATCTTATCAATATAGATACATACCAAGAATGCCATATACATAAATTGCTCATATTCATGATACAACTCAATATCTTTTCTTATAATACTATTCAACTTTGTGTCATGTACCTACCCTTAGTAATCCTATTTTTTTTTTATTTACCATTTTCTCCCCCACACGACCCCATTCATTAAAAATCTGCTTCTTTATTGGCCAGTAAGTTAAATTCCACTATTTCCTGCATACTGCCCCAAAAATCCCAATTGGGAGACAGGAAATTTAAAAGAGCCTATTACAACAACACAATAAAAACTTATATAATCTTTAGGTTTATAGATTATACTATCCGAGATAAGAACTTCCCTTTGAGTTGACAACTGACCCAACTACATCCACAGGTTTCTTTCCCACGTGTCCCCACCAGCCGTTATCCACCTCAAAAAAACACACTCCAACCCAACGAACCCACCCCAAACCAATACCCTCCCTTCCCTCATAATGTTTACTTCAAGATCGATTAGAACAGTGGCCAGAGCCTCCAGAAACTACTCCTCTGCCGCCGGCCCTGCCAAGGAAACCGAAATCAACGTGCCAAAGATCTTTGGGATCGCTGCTCTTGCTGGTGTTTCCATATACATCTACCGTAACACCAACTCTGATGACCCCGCTATCAAGACCACATACTTCAAGCAATTTGAACAAAGAAGAGCCAACAACAGAGACAACATAAGATTGGACATTGACGAAAAGGCCCACGGAAGAAGCTACATTTTCTCTCCAGGTACCCAACGCTCCACCTACAAGGACTTTAAGCCTAACTTGAACTACAACTTGATTCCAAGACATTCTCCATGGGGTCCTCAATTCGGCCAAGGTATCAAGACAGACAAGCTTGGTCCTAGAAAGGAACGTCCTGTGATGTTTGCTCCTGCCAAGACGGATTAGGTTGAGCCACTCCAAGACTTTTACCTCTTATCCACCCCGTTTCACTTCACTTGACCCCATCACCCAGGAATAGCATCGGCATATGTTTGCATGGAACAGACGCCGCCCACACAAAATTAAACCACCCTTCTGGGTAACCAGACATCGCATTTGGTAGCATTCGTGTTACCTTGTATACTGTTTCATGATATAGTAATAAAGTTAAATTAGAACATAGGATGTAGGTAGACAATGAGCCACTACAAGCGTAATGAGTAACGTGTATGTATTTTGTATGTAGATCCTACAAGTTTACCCCTGGCATGGCCTTACCCAATCTACAGGCAACCCCAATTGGATGGGCAACAACAGAGTCCAAGTCCCAAATACCTTCCTTGGCATAGATGTCTTTCTTCAAGAATTCAATGATATCTTCACGAGAATCGGCCATCAAATGGAAGGCTGAACCGGCAAACTTTGTCTTTGATTGGTCTTGATAAATAGCACCTACTGATTTGACTACTCCGCTATTGACAGCAGCGGGGATGGCTGCAACGTGTGCTGGTCTGACGGCAGTTCTGTCCGTGCCAGGCTTATCGTAGACAATCACGTTCCATTCGGTAGACATCTTGATTGTAGTGTACAGAGAAAGTAATTATTGGAGAAAGAAAAAGACAATTAAACTTTAATATTGATATGAGTCAAGATTGGTTGGAGACGATTATTGGACGGGCGCGCAACTATAAAATTTAGTGAGAAATCTATTCAAATTTGGAGAAATTTGTAGAAATTTAGCGTAATTTTCATATTCTCATGAAAAGTGCAGTGAGATTAGAGAGAAAAGCAAAAAAATTGTGAGTAGTACGCACGAAAATTAGTGGGAAAAGTGCGACTTTAAGGGAAGAAATTTGAAATTAGTGGGTAAAGTTCCCAAGTTAGGGTAAGAAATTTGAAAATAGTGAGAAAATTGAGAAAAAAGAGAAAACTAGTGTAGAGTATATAACCATGAAATGAAATAATTCTTAACATGTATCTACTTAGATATTCACCGATGTATCAGAAGGCGGAGTTACCCATAGCCACCGTGTTTACACTAGACGATTCACAACCCTAATCGTTTCATTTGTCTTTTCAAATGACCCCCTCGGAATGAAATTCTAAATATAAAAATAAAAATTCTTGGTATCAGAACATTTACTACATGCTTCCATTTCAAATACGATTAAACATTCAACCGTATGGAAGAATCGGAACGGAAGCTAATGTGTGGATTTACATCCTTCCATGGTTGGAGATACAAGTCCGAGACGGAGAAATTTCACACCGCTTTTTTGACGGAATTACCGAGATATATATCTTTATTTTGCCGCAAAATAAACTATCTACGGCAAACACCATCTGGACTTTACCGGAGATTAAAACTACAGATATAGTAGATTAATAGGACTTTGCAAAACACATGATTTTTTTTTTCTTGGTTCGATTTTGTGTCACGTAGTGTAGGATGTGTGCGGTTGATGATTGGTTCCATGCGGCTCAATCACATCAAAGATGTGGTACTCCAAGACGCAATCTAGTAATATTAACGGATAATTTGTCAAGGCCATTAATTCCAGAACTTCCAGACGGAACGGAAGCTCGTCCCGGAACATGGCCCGGTTCTTATTCCTTCTATTCCATCGGCCTTATGAATTCAAGGGGTGTGGTGGCTCGGTGATTTCGGTAACGTTTCTGCATGTAACAAGAGATTTTTCGATGTTTTTTTTTTTTGTTTTCAATTTTTTTTTTTTTTGATCTTACCTTTTCTCGGATTTAGCATCTGGAGTACATGAGAGAGGGAAACTGGAGGTATTGTAAGGAACAAAGGCACACACAAGAACCCAGGACACATAGTGGGATGTACCCGAGAAGCCGGAGAATAGCCCTGCCAAACTGCACGAGAACCAACGCTTTTTTCTGCCCGACCAGGGGTACAAAAAGTGTTATTTTAGTGGACCTCGGCTGAATTCCACATTTGTGCGTGCATAAAAATATGGGGTGGTACTCTTCCTCATTCATTTGTTTATTAATCCATGACATAGGGAAATATTTAGATGCTGCATGTTCCAACGTGCATGTTAGCACCAGCCAATATATAAGCCAGTAGATGTACATCTGTAAAAGATCTTTTGTGAAGATATACTTTTCGTGATAAATAAATTAATTTTTTTTTTTTTGTTTTACAATGACCGAGTATGCTCCATACTACGGGTTTGATGAAGGGGTGTCCACATCCATTCATCAACTCGCAAGGACAATATCACGGGCCCATTTGGCAGACAATGCATCCATCAATTCCACCGACAGTGCTCCTGGGAAGCTTCCCGTGAGTGAATCCAACGACCCTAGACTCGACCCTGAGTCTCCTGATTTTGACTCAAAGTTTTGGGTGCGGAACTTGAGAAAAATTATCGATAGTGATCCCAAATATAAGTTCGCGAGCTTGGGGGTTGCATACAAAGGCTTGAGAGCCCATGGAATTGCAACCGATGCCGACTATCAATCCAATCTCGATAACGCCATTTGGAAATTCTTGTCTCAAACCGTAACCAACTGGAAAAACCGTACCAATGAACGCGGTCAATTTGATATTTTAAAGCCCATGGATGGGTTACTTCGTCCGGGTGAACTCACGGTGGTGTTGGGTCGTCCCGGGGCTGGTTGTTCCACGTTTTTAAAGACAATCGCTTGTAACACCTATGGGTTCCATGTCGATAAAAACTCGATTGTTTCCTACGATGGGTTGACTCCTCATGAGGTTAAAAACCATTATAGAGGTGATGTCGTTTATTGTGCCGAGACCGAAACCCATTTCCCACACTTGACCGTTGGGCAAACTCTTCAATTTGCAGCCAAAATGCGTACCCCACAACTGCGTCCTCTGGGCATCTCCCGTGAACAGTTTTCCGAGCATATGACCAACGCCATCATGGCCACTTATGGGTTGTCTCACACCCGTAACACCAAGGTTGGTAACGATTTTGTCAGAGGGGTTTCTGGTGGTGAAAGAAAGAGAGTTTCCATCGCGGAAGTTGCACTTGCCAACGCTCCTTTACAATGTTGGGATAATTCCACTAGAGGTCTTGATGCTGCCACTGCTTTGGAGTTTATCCGTGCCTTGAAAACCTCAGCAGATATCTTGCATTTCACTCCCTTGATTGCCATCTACCAGTGTTCACAAGATGCCTATGATTTGTTTGACAAGGTTATTCTTTTGTATGAAGGTTACCAGATCTTCTTTGGAGACGCAATATCCGCCAAGCAGTTTTTCATAGACATGGGGTATGAGTGCCCTCCCAGACAAACAGTAGCCGATTTCTTGACCTCGTTAACCAACCCGGCGGAACGGGTGGTTCGTCCAGGCTTTGAAGACAAAGTCCCCAGAACTGCCAAGGAGTTTTACGACTATTGGCAAGAATCCTTGGTGAGACAACAACTCTTGGAAGATATCGACCTTTATTTCACAGAACATACAGAAAACTCGTTAATCAAAGAGTCACATAATGCAAGACAAGCTCAACACACTAACCCAAAATCGCCATATATGGTTTCTTACTTGATGCAAGTTCGGTATGTCATGCAAAGAAATATTCAAAGAACCCGTGGTGACCCTTCGGTGACACTTTTCCAGATCTTGGGGAACTCGCTTATGTCCATGATTGTGTGTTCTATCTTCTACAACTTGCCATCACTGACTGGTTCCTTCTATCTGAGAACCGCTGCCTTGTTTTTCGCCGTTTTGTTTAATTCCTTTTCTTCTCTTTTGGAGATTTTCAGTTTATATGAAGCTCGTCCAATTGTAGAAAAGCACAAGAATTATGCCCTTTATCACCCATCTGCCGATGCGTTGGCTTCCATTGTTACTGAATTCCCCACAAAGCTTTGCACATGTGTGGCCTTTAACCTTATTTTCTACTTCATGGTCAATTTCCGTCGTGACCCTGGTCATTTCTTCTTTTACCTTTTCATTAACTTCCTTGGTACTTTAGTCATGTCTCATTTGTTTAGAAGTGTTGGTGCTGCAACCAAATCCTTATCACAAGCCATGACTCCTGCGTCCATTTTGTTGTTGGCACTTACCATTTTCACTGGGTTTGTCATTCCAACCCCTAAAATGCACGGCTGGTGTAGGTGGATCAATTATATCAATCCAATTGGGTATGTTTTCGAAGCTTTGATGGCTAACGAATTCTCTGGAAGAGAATTTGTTTGTTCTGAGTTTGTTCCTCGTGGTCCTGGATATCCAACCACATCTGCTGGTTTCAATAGAGTTTGTTCCACAGTTGGTGCAAGGATTGGCATGGATTCCGTCCAAGGATCCGACTATATTGCCAGTTCTTATGAATACTATAGATCTCATAAATGGAGAAACTTGGGGATTGTCATTGGATATATTGTTTTCTTTTTGGGTGTTTACTTGATTATTGTAGAGCATAATAAAGGTGCTAGACAAAAGGGTGAAGTCTTATTGTTTCAGCAGGCGGCTCTCAAGAGAATGAAGCGAGACCACACGGGAATTAATCAGGATGTTGAATCTGGAAAGTCGGATTTGACATTTAAAGAAGAATTGGATAGCCTGGCAGATTCCCCAGAAAAATCAGAGAATCCGGAATTTACTCATGAACATAATAATATCTTCCATTGGCGTAACCTTACCTATACTGTGCAAATCAAGACCGAAACCCGTACTATTCTTTCTGATATAGATGGTTGGGTCAAACCAGGTCAAGTCACAGCCTTGATGGGAGCCTCTGGTGCTGGTAAAACTACTCTTCTTAATGCCTTGAGTGATCGTCTTACATCTGGTACCATCACTTCTGGAACTAGAATGGTAAATGGGAATCCTTTGGATAATTCTTTCCAACGTTCTATTGGATATGTTCAACAACAAGATCTTCATCTTGAGACTTCCACTGTTAGAGAAGCACTTCAATTTTCTGCTTATTTGAGACAACCATCTTCTGTGAGCAAAAAGGATAAGGATGCATATGTTGACTATGTGATTTCTCTTTTAGAAATGACTAGATATTCTGATGCTGTTGTTGGTGTTGCTGGTGAAGGACTTAATGTTGAGCAAAGAAAGAGACTTACCATTGGTGTTGAGCTTGTTGCAAAGCCAAAACTTTTGGTTTTCCTTGATGAACCAACTTCAGGGTTAGATTCCCAAACTGCTTGGTCGATTTGTAAATTGATTAGAAAATTGGCCGATAGTGGACAAGCTATTCTTTGTACCATTCATCAACCTTCAGCTATCTTATTGCAAGAGTTTGATAGACTTTTGTTCTTACAAAAAGGTGGTAAAACTGTCTACTTTGGTGATTTGGGAGATCATTTCCTGACTTTGATCAAGTACTTTGAGTCTCATGGAGCTGGAAAATGTCCTCCAGATGCAAACCCAGCAGAATGGATGCTTCATGTCATTGGTGCTGCCCCTGGTTCTCATGCTACCCAAGATTATTATGAAGTATGGAGAAATTCAGATGAATATAAGCAAGTGCAACAAGAACTCGATACCATGGCGGAAGAATTGGTTAAGCTTCCTAAGCTGACAACCGAGGACGATTACAAGAAGTATGCAACTTCCTTATTGAATCAATATTTATTGGTGACTAAGCGGGTGTTTGAACAGTATTATAGAACCCCTAGTTATATTTATTCCAAGGTTGGTCTTTCTGTTCTCTCCTGTCTTTTCAATGGATTCACCTTTTTCAAGGCTGATAAGTCGCTTCAAGGTATGCAAAATCAAATGTTCTCAGTGTTTATGTTTTTGTCCATTTTCCTTCCCTTATCACAACAATATTTACCAAATTTTGTTTCTCAAAGAGATTTATATGAAGCTAGAGAACGTCCTTCCAAGACATTTTCTTGGTTTGCCTTTATTACAGCTCAGATCACTGCAGAGATCCCATGGCAGATTTTGACTGGTACTCTTGCCTTTTTCTGTTGGTATTATCCTATTGGTCTTTACAACAATGCAATTCCAACCAACACTGTCAATCAACGTGGGGCATTCATGTGGTTTTCCCTTTGTATGTTTTTCGTCTATTCTTCCACTCTCCCACAATGGTGTATTTCATTTATGGAATTGGCCGACAATGCTGCCAACTTGGCCATGTTGTTGTTTTCCATCACCCTTGCCTTTTGTGGTGTGCTTGTCCCCAAGGAAAAATTGCCAGGGTTCTGGATTTTCATGTACAGATGTAATCCATTTACATATTTGGTTTCCGTAGTTTTATCAACTGGATTGGCTAATTCACCTGTTGAATGTGCTTCCAATGAGTTGTTGAAATTTGTTCCTATTAATGGTACCACCTGTGGCCAATATATGAAACCTTATATGTCGGTTGCAAAAGGTTACTTGTTAAATTCTGCAGCAACTGATGTGTGCGAATATTGTACCGTAAACACCACTAATACATTTTTGAAGTCAATTGGTGCCAATTATCATACTAGAGGAAGAGATATTGGTATTTTCATTTGCTTCATTGTGGTGAATGTTATTGGTACTATTTTATTCTACTTTTTATTTAGAGTTCCTCATGGTGATAGAAGTGAACAAGGGGGAATGTTTACTAAAATGAATGTTTGGTTCAAGACCCAACTTGGAAAGTTGGGAAAGAAATCTCAAGCTGAGAAACCAACCAATTCATAATACAATTGTTTTTGATGATAAATAATAATAATATAATAAGCTAACAATATAAATATAATGTTCTAATGTCCGATGTAGAAAGTGTGAGTAAAGTCAGATATATTTTAAGTTACATAACCATGTGGGAGGGGGGTCACTCGCTACAGAAAATAGTGGGAATTTACAAAAACTTATGGGGAGATATATCAATGGGGATAAATGTATTAATGCTAGAATATATGGGATAAACAAACGGACCAGCCGGAGGGATCTTCTCTTGTGTTTATTTCTCGGGCTTCAAGGCGGTATTGTAGAACTTTGAACCGTATCTGTTTAGTAACACAGAACGTCCCTTTGTGGTGGTTGTAGCAGTGGGGAATTTTGAAACAAGTAGATCTGTAGCCACCACGAAAACAGGGCATAGGATGAAAAATACTGAATTATTCACAAACTTCATGGCCAATGTGTGGAAACAGGCGTATGTAGGACTAGGTATGAGTTCCCTAAGACTGGGTAACAAGAGCAAACAACAATAATAACAAAGAGTCTAGTATATATTTATAGTTTAAACTCCCCACTTTAAAGTTTGCGCGATGACTTTTTCTTTTTATAAAATTTCGGAGCAGATCGGGTGCCAAAGTTTAAAAGAGTGGATAGAGAGGGGATAATTGAATGTTGCTCGAAAATCTTGGTTTGTTTGCTAAGAGTTCTAGAGATATGAGTTGATATATGGAGAGTGCTTACTGCGTAAGGCTAGGATGTGTACTAAGTCTTTTCGTTCTGGGAGTGAAAAAAAAAAGAACAGGGGAGAAATAAAAAACACTAGTGACCCAATGAGAAAGAATTAATACTTAGACTACACTGATCATTCTCTTGGAGTGATAGAATATTGTCAATTGGAGAGATGATTGAATTAGAGGTGACGTCAATTACCTACTCCAAGAAATTTATCCTGTCTTACTGGGTGTATCTTACTATCTCAAATATGGTTGCTCAAATATTATGGGCTACCCCTTAAAGTGCGGAGTTAATTTTGGCTGCGAAATTTCAAAAGCAATTGGCCAGAGGGATAGATTATTACACCAGTACAATAAGAGAACAAGAGAATAATTAATACGGTGAGTAGATATCAAGTGTCTGGCCACCCCACCTAACCACATCTTGAGTGACATCTAACGTCTACTCCATTCTTCTTTATAAGACCCTCCTCCAAACTTATCGGTAATTCCCAAGTATTTTCATTTTCATTTCCAACTCCAATTCCTTCCCAAAATAAAGGAAAATTAATCCCCCAATCAAAATATTATTCCCTAAACTATTCCACTTTTCACCATATCTACGTATCTATGTATCTAATGGGAACCTCTTACTATCATTCCTCATTCTTGGATTTTTCCTGCATACACAAAGACCACCTCAATATCAAAAATACTAAACGACAAGCCAAGGCAAAATAGATTGTACTATAACTACATAAATTTCAATCAACACACCATCAAATCATGTATAGAGATCGAACGAATTTATTTCTATCATACCGTCGAACAGCTCCGAGGAACGAGATGTCCTCGACGTTCAGCACTCTTTCCGAGGAAGAACAAGGGCTTATGGGATCTAGACGGAATAAGAAACAATCCACAAACACCTCAACAAATCCAAATTCTAAAGGATATAGAGACTCAATTGAGATGAAAACATTACCTCCATCATTTTTCGACATTGCCCTGGAAATTGATGACCATCTCAAGACAATAACAGCCAAAATCTCCACCCTCAACTCTCTTTATAAGAAGAACCTTCTTCCCGGATTCAATGATAGAACGGCAGACGACGTCGAGATTGACCAACTAAACTATACCATAACGAAAACGTTCCAATCATGCTATGTGTTGGTGAAAAAATTTGAATTCCTTCAGAAAAATGCATCAAAGTTGAATTACTCTAAAGATGAAGTGTCAATGATTGAAAATTTAAAGAAAACTTATGCCCAAAAGATCCAAAGTTCAAGTTCAAACTTTAGAAAGATCCAAAACAATTATATCAAGTTTTTAAAAGAAGATGAATATGAACTGGCACCTCTATTGAGTCTGGCTGGTCCAACTGTAGACACGTCAAATCAGCTTTCCACGCCCTTGCAGCAGCAGCAACAACAACTGCAACGCTCTTCAGAAGATATCGAATCGTATTCTCGCCAGGCACTTCAACAATCACAACTTGCATCCAATCTGACAAATGAACAATATATCCTCCAAAGAGAACAGGAAATCTCGAAATTGGCCATGGGTGTTCTTGAAGTCTCTTCCATCTTCCGTGAAATGGAATCTCTCATCATTGATCAGGGTACTATTCTTGATCGGATTGACTACAATTTGGCCAGTACAGTGGAAGATCTCAAGGTTGCTGACAAGGAGTTGATCCAGGGAAGCTCTTACCAGAAGAGGACCCAGAAATGTAAAATCATTTTCCTTTTAAGTTTGATAGTGTTTGCCCTTTTGATGATTGTATTGGTGAAACCACACACTAGGACTGTTGAGAAGAAAGTTGAAGTAACGAAACCAAGTATTGATGTCACTGAGCCTGATTCTGAGGCTATTACTCCAAATATTGAAGACGGGTTATTATAAGAAAAACACAAATACTCTGAAAGAAGGACATTTGAATTTTATATACTTAGATGAGGCGCTCACTTACACTGGATGTGCTAGTGTACCTCACCTTGGATCTGGTGATTAAAAGAATCAAATTTGTCTGCGAATGTGTGCTTGGAGGGAATGGAAGTCAAGCCATCTGATTGTTTGTCATGACTGACCCTCTATGATTTAAATAGTCTACAAAATATAAATTATCTATTTATTACCATTGAAACGAATTAAATATTAATACTAAAGATACCAAAGAATTGAAAGTGTAGTGTTCTCCTTCCCCTTAACGGAAACTATATGGCCCATCTCTAGTCATGCTAGCAGCAGGCATACCAGAGTTACTTAATCTACGTGGTCCGCGTGCAATATTACTCATATTTTGCCTGTTATTCTTCTTGAACCCTCCGCCAATTGCAAAGTCTGGATTGTTATTTAATACGCTATCGGCAACCGTGGGTCCTCTTTGTTGCTGTTGTTGTGGTGGAGGGACCTGGTTGAAGTATCCTATGTTTGAAGAAGGACCGTGTGGAGGAGGTGGTGGTGGTGCAGGAGTAGAGTATGCCAGTTGACCATACGAATAAGGTTGTTGTTGTTGCTGTTGTTGTTGATAGTGTTGTTGTGGTGGAATTTGTAATGGTTGCTGTTGATGTTGTTGCATCATAGGAACACGCACAAGGTGTGGTTGCTGTTGTGGGAGATGGAACTGTTGAACATGAGGGGGTGGTGGTGGAGCATGGCCACGTTCCGGCAGATTTCCTTGATAGTACTGTGGATTTGGCGCACGTTGTGACACACTAGTGAAATCAGATTCAGTATCGGAATCAATTGGGGGTTCTTCATTGGCAAATTTGTTGACATCATCGTCACGAAGTTCAGTGAATGGTTTATGACCTTCAACTTCTGGGTGATGTTCAAAAACGGTTGGATTGTACGGAGTACGAACTGGGTCGTTAGGCAGTCCATAGGTGGAAACAGGGTACGGTACGGCTGGGACCTTCGATAATGGTGCGTCATGAAGAGTTGGGGTGGCAACAGTGGGAACAATGGTTGGCGCCATGTTTCTTTGAGACGAAACTGGAGTGTTGGGGCCATTGACTAATGATACCTTGTCTTCTCCGCTATAATAATTGGATGTAGAAGATCCAGTTCCCGATTGGCCAGCAACATAAGCCGGTCTAGTTGGTGCAGATGAAACACCTTCCTTTTGAGTGAAATCAAAAGTTTTCTGAGGGTTTGCATTATATATCGAGTTATTGTCACGCGTGGTGGTAGGATTGTATCCATTGCCCAAGGTGGTCACCACTGGCTTATAATCGTATTCTCTCGAGATAGACGAAGTTGTAGTGTCTGCGTATGTGTTTGGTTGTTTAGGGAAGCCACCTCCCAAAGTTTGTGATTGTGGAGGAGGAACATAACCAAATTTCAGTTCTTCACCATAGTCTTCAAAGCGAGTCAAGTCTTCTCTTGATGAGGAATCATTTTCCAACTCTTCATACGAGCCATACTTTGTGGCAAGGAGTAAAAGAGGGATGGAGATCAACATGGCAGCGGCAGCACCAACCAAGATCCAACCAGTCCAGGAAACATGCGGGAAGAAAAGCATCACAACAGCAATGCAAATGACAGCGGTGGTCAAAAAGGCCAAGATGGCCACCACAAGGGCAATTACACCAACAATGTGGGTAGCGAAAAGTCCAGCAAGGGAGAAGATAACCAGGAAAAACACAAGACCAGCAGCAATTGGACCAATGATCAAGATTTTAGCTAAGGAGTCACGCGCAGATGAACTCATGGCCCAGTCACGAACGTTGTCCTTGACCTGGGAAGGTACCCACGGATAGGTGGCCTTGATACAGTCAGACCCATTACAGTATCCAAACACACCATATGTGTAGTTTGAAGTTGAACCAAGACTCAACGATTTGACTACAGGCACGGAGATGATGGCCAAGATAAGGAACGCCAAGGCTACCACTTGCAAGAACACTGCAACCGAGCCCAAACCAATGGATGCTCCCATACTATAGTTGAGATGTGGGTGACGATACGATGTGTGGGCGAAGCTCTGAAATCAGGGCAATTTCTGATCTGACGAAAACGGAAATAGATGGACGGGGTTACACTAGTTAGACGTGGTCTAAAGGGCAAAGGTGTTGCTTGTTTGAACGAGCTGGGGGCAGTAATTTCGTGGAAAACAGAAGGAAAAAAAAAACGAATATCTTGCTCTTTCTATTATACGTTGCTCTCTGGAGAAGAATTAGGGATTCTATTCCAAAGTCAACGCAGAATTAGATTAGGTTTGGGTCTTTGTTTATCCTGTACGTATGATATGGAAAAGATACGGTGCGGCTACGCCCCTATTATTATATAAAATATTCGCGCCGTACAAGGCTGGCCAACCAGCCAGTATCCACAACAGCTGTTCAGATCAGATCAGCTTCCTTGAATGCATGTGCCATCGGGCAGACGAAGAAAATGCTCTGTCTCCTGTCAAGGAATCAGGCCTATCCGTGAAGATATGTCTCTACGTTTTAGTTACGCCATCCTACGTTTGGATTGTGTTTGCTTATTTTTACCTTTTCTTTTTTTCTCAGCCTACATAGTTTTACACGATGAATTTGACAACCAACAAATTGCTCCACATATGAATCTCACGTGTGTAGCCCTAACTCATGTACTGTGGTTAAAAATTGTCCACTGAAAAACACAAAATAAAAATATGCAATTGGCTGGGCGGGACCATGGCGTCTTTCAGGTGATCTGATCTAAGTTTATTTTCACTGCTGTGGGCCCGTAAATGAAGGCCCCTATTTAGCGATATTATGACATTGACATTTGCATTAGATGAGTATTTTTTTTTCTTGGTCTAAAAAATAAATAAATAACCTCCCACCCCACCATCGTTCATAATCCCGGGCAAGAATGGAACTATATTGGGGTTTGATATGGCAAAATGTTATTCTTTCTTGTGGCTGGGTATTTCTTCCTTAAATCACCTACTCATCAGGGCAACTGGAGAAACACGTAAATTATTGAGTTGCAGAAACGCGAATGTACGATAACGGCTGCATGTTAAACGATATGCATAATAAAATGAGAGCAAATCAGCTACCAAAAAAAATTTGTTGCAACCAATAAACTACTTCTTTTTGCTCTATAAATCAGTGAATTATCTCCTACACTCTAATTCATCAGACCCTTAATCTAATCTACTATATTTATTACCTTTCTTCACTATTTATTTACCTTCATACCAACAATCAGGAACTTCAAGAATGTATCTCTCCATAGCTTCTCTAAATCTTGTACGATATTGTTTTGGGGTCACAATAGTTGGGTCTTTCCCCTTCTTACCCCCAATCAAATTAGATCCCTTTACCCAATTCTCAACTTTTTTGTCCCATGTGAAAGTACGGATACAGTCAATAATCCCCACATAAAGCACTTTTTTGTTATTATTATCCGCTTCATCAACAATTCCAATCACTAATGAGTAATCCATGACATCCATAGCAGACAAAAACGCAGTGTCGTTGAATAACGACCCACGAAGCAATCGTTTCGACTGTTCACGGACAAATACAGGAGATTCGTAGATATATTCAATCATATTCTCATCCAAAAGAACTTCGTTCTCCTTACCGGTTTGTTGTACATGTCTATTTCTCATTGAACCTTTAAGATCAAAGATTCTCGTCGTTTTCCTGTTATAGAATAAATTCTCCATGATTAAGAAATCCATTTTAAAGTTTTTCCCAGTGATTGGATTCTTAACATTGATTTGATAAAATCCATAAATCTTGGCAATGGCAGTAGTCAAAGTATTGAACATAGATTGTGACATGTATTTGAAGTAAAATGGAGCAATCGCCACAAACGATTCAAGTTCCTGTTTAGATAATTCCTTCACAATGTATCTATCATCCAATGTTTTCAAAAAGGATGATCCACTCTTACCACCGCTGGAGTCCCATTTCACACAACGTGATAAACTTTGAATGAAGCTATCTTCATTACCACAAGCTTTCCTGAATGCTTCAAATTGTTCAGAATAGAAAATTTTACATGATAAAATTGTTTGACCATCGAGATACTGATACTTTAAATGGGTAGTATTAAACCGATTCATCGTCTTCTCAAGTTCTCCTGGTTCTCCCAAATCACTCTTTTTGAATTTCTTCTCAAGTTTGGCAAAGTTTTCCGCCTTTTTATTGTTAATTTCGTTGGAAATGATTGAGTGATCACCACTTTGAGGACGGTCTTCGTCTGCCATATATTGAATCTTTTGTTTATAATCAGTCAGAGAAAGACAAAATGCAATAAGAGATGAAGGCTCATCTTCTCTTACAATCACATCTGAATCTGCAAAAGTATGTTCTGAGGAGCCCAATGGATATTCCAAAGGCTCCCAAAGTGTAGTTGAGCGATCAGCCCAAAATGTTGTTAAGGATTTCAATAATGAATTCTTTTCCGGTTCAATGTCTTTTCTAACAGTAGCACCGGCAGATATTGGTGTTGGTGTGTTCAGTACGCTCCCAGATCCAGCTGTAGAGCTAGTTTCTTGTGTATCAGCTTCTACGGGCTCGAGAATTTCTGGGATACTATCATTCGCAGAAGGTGCTTTAGCCACCCCACCAATATCACCGTCAGCACCAGTCTCGACAGCATCTTCAATCTTGTTGTATATTTCTACAATAGGTTTTGAAGCCAGAATTGGAAATGCTTTATATCGGTTAAGCTTTTTCTGTAATTCTTGTTCTCTTTGCTTCTTGAATTCCAACGAAATTTGATCAAAATGAAGTTGATCAAAAAAGTTAGCCAAATGATGCACCTTATTTGGCCCATTACCAGTTTGTAGTATAGGAAATGAAGGGACATCTTTGGATATAATCGAAGATTCTGAATTTTTGTGACTCAACAGAGGTAATTTCTTCATTGGAGACTTGGAAAATGCAGCTGGACGGGGAATTGGATTGGCCAATTTAGTAGGAGAGGATACCGGTGTCAGTTCCCTGATTCTTTCATTCTCTAATAATGCCTCCATTCGATGAACCTTCTCCATGACCATATTTTGCCGTGCACTGGCGCTTAAGCTTGAGCTGGCATTTGATTTCCCATCTTCACCTCGTGAGTCTATAACTGATTGCTTAGGTAATGAATCAATTTCGGTACTTCGTTCCAAGTTTATCGGTTCATCTACAGCATTACCTAAATGAGGCAGTGATGAACTTGTAGTTTGCTTAGTCGGGGTCACACCATTTTCCAGAGTTGATTCGAGAAGAGGAGAGTTTGCTCCACTCACTTTATCTGGGTTCTTTTCTGTTTTGAATGAATGTGGACTCAGCTTCTTTTCTTCTTCCTTCAATTTCTCATCACAAATAGTTTCACCTTCATCTTCATCTTCCTTTTTCTCATCTCCTTCCTTATATTTATCCATCAAGAATCGTCTCAAATGAAATTGAGTTATTCTTGTAATTTCATTTTCACTCGGTAAGAAACTCTTTTCAAATTCAATAAACTCATTATCCCATCCCACACCTAATTCTTGCAAATCTCTCAAAATTGAATTTAAAGGCAAGTGGTTGGAAGGGGATGTAGAGTTATAAATATCCATAGTTCGACCATTGATATGCTCCATCTGTTCCTTCAATTTTCGCTTTAATTCCTCAACACGTGCTAAACCCTCTTCTGGTTTATCAATGGTATCCACCTTCACTCTGTTCAATCGGTTAGAAATACTGTTAAAGAAATTGCTAGCCTTCTTTCTAATCTGTTCCAATAATTCGACTTTCAACTGGATATCTATTTCAGGCAGATAGTCTAATTGCTTACGGGGAACCACCACTTCGTATGTGTCAATCGGCAGGTAAACCATCTTGACTGCCAAGTCATTATATCCAACATATCTGACATGACTTTTGAAATAATCATGGTCACACCCACCATTAAAATGGTTGCTACTCTTTGTGGTGACTCCACTGGCCCAGAAGCACAATTCAAAAAATTTCCCAATGGAAAGGTAATAAGTTTCATCGGACATCGGAACTACAGGAGTTGCAAGGTTACATTCTGTACAATAACTCCACATCACTCTTTTGTTTTCAAGTATGGCAGCAGCATTGCCCAGGTCTGTTCTTTCCAAAACCATATCAACTTTTCCATTCCCATGACTATAAGATTTGTAATGATTCAAATATGTATCTCCACATTCTTCGCAAACATTCAATGCTTCTGCAAATATTTGGTCCAAGAAAAGTCCTAGACACTTGTCGTTGTCAGTATAATAATCGATAACCACAATATTAGGACCCGAACATGGTGTTGCATGTTTGATGGAGACCGTAGAGTTCAATACATGGATACTCTTATGGCAAATAGGATATAATTGATATGAAGTGTAATTCAAACAATTAATCCAGAGTCTTGATCTCGTCTGAAAATCGACGCGTAAATTTTGAAGATGAAGTTCACTGAAATACTTGAGTATTTTCAATAAATCAGTTTCTCCATTCGGAAGCTTGTTTATGCTAATGTTAAGTTTGAAAAGAGAAATCAATTGAGTAACGTCTAAAGTCTCCAAATTGGAAGCATCTCGAATCTTTTTGTATTCAGTGTAAAAGCTCGATAAAGCTTTATGAGATTCAGCGACATTGGTAAGAGTCGTGGGTAACGAAAATTTAACTGATGGCGAAACAGTAATGATTCTTGAATTGAACAGGGAAATGTAACGGTCAACTTGGGTATTTCCAAGGAGTAGATTGAGTTCATCTTGATCGCCATCAGTAGAAGCCACATCCAACTCGTTGCTGGCCTGTATTGGTGCGGTAACTATTTCGTTGTTGTCGCCAGTTTCATCATTTTTCTTACTGGTAACAGATATATTACGATTAGTTTCACTAACTTGTTCATTTCCAAGAGGCTGATAGTCACCCACATTGTCAACATCGTCACTAACTTCATCAGTAGCCTCGTGTAATTCTTCTGGATTTTCTTCGCGATTTTCTATTGTTTCGTTCGCCTCTTCCTTGCCCATAATATCAAACTTGGGCTTATCGTTTAACTCAGGAGTTTGACCATGGTCAGGATTAGATTGGTGTTTATCAGATAAGTTCTCATTTTGTATTGAATCAAATTTAGCAGTTTCTTGGTTCAGAGTGGTCTCAGAGTCTTGAGACTCATCTCCATCTTCATCCATAGAAACAGTTCCACTGGTAATTTCTTGTAATTTCTCTGTTAGGTCCAGAATTCCACGCTTCCTCTTTCCGTCACCAAAAACTAATCCCAGGTCCTTGAACAAACTAATTTCAAACTTTGAATTTAATCTTCCTATAATAGCAGATTCAGTGGCATATTTCACGTTGTTTAATGTTTCTTCGTCTCCTCCTTTAAGTGCAATCGTAAATCCGGATGCCACATCCCCACCAGTAAAAAACACAAAAGATTTAATAACATTCTGGTAGAGATATCGTCTAACCTCGAATAACAGACATGTACCTAACAGACCTTTCTTGAAAAATAAATCATTAACAGACTGGAAAATATCAGCTTTGGTATAACGTGAGATTCTTTCGATAACTTGTGGTTTAGTATTAGAAATCACTGTAATATTCGCCTCTTCAAGCAATTTCTCAGCTAACCCACAGACTGTATCACCGACCACAATAATATCAGGTTCCAAGGATACCAACCGGGATACTAAGTTTGTTATGTACACCGATTGTTGTGAATGCACAATACGCAAACTAATGAATTGTTCCTTTTGTTTCAAATATTCCACAGGAAACATCAAAAGTGCAATCTTGGGATTCTCGATACGGCTCATCATTTTCTTAGAATCGATATTTTTGGTCATAAACATTCCATCGATAACATGCGAATCCTTAATCTTACCTCCCAAAATCTTTTTGATCTTGATATATTGTTTAATATCTAATGTATCGGTTAATTTAAGATTATCAACCTGCTGAAGTAAGAAGTCAATTTGAGTAGTCCAGCGAGATTGGTCTGCACGAATGTCACAATCTTCTAAGCATTGAACAAGCATTCGGTTAAGGTAATCAGCATACACTTTTTCTAGCTTTCTGGTATTCGAAGTAGTTCTAGATTGTTTCCTAGATATGACTTCGCTATCTCCAGGGTAGTCAGACAAGTAGGAATGAGTTATCTTTGGAGTTTCGGGGAAATCCTCTTTAGTGAGCGCTGGGTAGACAGGTTCGAATGGTACAGGGCTAAAAGTTCCAGACCGAACCGCGCTTAGTTGGTCCAGGTGTTGAACTGGGGTTGGGGACGATGGTGTGGAAGTAGGTGAAGAATGCCCATTCTGGTAGACGCCAAGTGGGGTATCAAGAGAAGGTAACTTGTGACTACTTTGGGTTAATATCAGAACGTTACGCACAGATTTACTTTTCCGTCTTGATCTCATTCTAAGCAATGAAGCATGTGCTCTTTCATGTGACCTGAAAGAATCTGATTTGGGTCTATCCTCTAGGAAGGAAATTGTACCCAGCTTCTCTCCAAGAGCATTCATAGATGTTGTAGAATTGGAAGTATTGGTATTTGTACTGGTAGCTATTGTACCTGTAGCAGCCTTTGGAGCATTGGTATTTAAACTGTTTTCTCCATCACCATTTGCAACTCTAGATGTTTGGAATAATTTTGACAATACAGAATCTCCAGTACCTGAGCCAATGCCAGTGCTACGGGGGAATCTGGATTCATTGACCATCATGCGAGGGAATTCACCTAATGTAGGCACAGAATTGTTGACTGGTGATGAGAGTGGCTGTGAGGGAGAAAGTGTAGAACCTGCAGCGTTGTACCCAAATGTGGAATGAAGGTTGAGCGACGTATACAATGACATCGCCTTCTCGTCTTCATTCTCACTCTCAATATCGGGGTCATAGTCCACATCAAAATTATCAGACGTATCGATAATCATCGAAGAAGATCGATGACGTTGTGTTCTTCGCTGGCCTGAGGTTGTTCTTGTTAATGGAAGGTAATCAGTGCCGTTCCCATCAGCGACTGCGTCATTCGAATCGTCCATGGTATTCTTTTTCATAAATGTAGAGTACATGTGACTAATATTCTCCAAACTTCCAGAAACAGCTAACAGGTCAACAACTGATCCAGGGGTAGTTACATTTCTCAAGTATGAATAACTTTTCAACCAAGACTTTTGTGCACCATTATGGTATGGCCCAGGTGTACCAGCATGGTTACGTGAAGAAATAGCCAGCTCTTGGTTACTTTTCGTTCTATGGAGGCTATTCGTTGAAGTGGATCCAGCAGCCACTGCAGCTGCAGTTGCTGCAACATTACTATAACTCCCTACTTGGACTGGAATTTCCACTGATTCGCCCTTTCTTGTGGTTGGAATCGCCATATGGAGGGAGTGGTTGGGTACAGTCTTCATACTAATCATTTCCGGGGTAGCAGACCCAGCAGCTGGATATCTTTTGGATCTTGATGGAGACCAATCTGCTATAGATGCATCTTGCTTGAGAAATCCCTTGTTGGAATTGAGAATTAATGAATCATTTTGCAAACTATCTCTTCGAGAGTTAATTGATTGTGACCTTATTCTCGAGAGCCGGTTATCATGTTCAATCATGGGCAGTTTTTCCCTTGATGCATGTGGTTCTTCATTAACATCCTCGATTTCTACTGCCTCGGTATCCTCCTCATCAGTATCACTTGAACTATCGTCACTCAAGTAAACTATGACGTCACTGTAACATGGTTTACAAACTCTTAATTTGTCACTGTAGTTCTTCTTATTATCAACCTTACCTCCACTTTTCCTCTCTTCCTTGTGTTGATTATATGAAATAAACAAGGTACAATCACTACAGAAGATTTGTCCACAGAAACGACAATGATGTTTTCTTCTGAATGCAGTAAATGGTTTGAAACAGTTAAGACAATCTGTAACAAATGAATCATTCATCCAATAAAACCGTGGAATACCTCCATTTTTGAGTGGATTATCGGAAGATCTTTTCGGCTTTTTCTTCCGACGACGAGATGTACCACTGTCATTTCTCTTTGTGGTAGACATGATTGAAGATGCACTTGAATGTACTACATTTGACAACCCATTATTAAGTAGCAGCCTTGCATTATCCAAAATAACATTGGAGAGATGACCAGACCCCAGAGGCAGGTGTTTCTTTTTGTGGGCACTTCCAGATGAAATATTGGTTGATGAATTATTGGTACCACTACCCTTTTTATTTCTAGGTGATGTTGTACTATTCGTTTTAATTGATTTTTGACGATATGGAGAAGCTCCAGAGCTTGATACAAAACTCAGATTATTGATCGTTTCTGTATCTGATGCGCCTGAATCGTCCGAGAGTTCAATATCATTAGGAAGATTGTTAAAGATTGTTGAAATTCGATTTTGAAGTGTAGTCAGAGAAGGAATTGAAGAAGATGAAGAAGAAATGAGTGAATTTGTAGGGGGTGCAGGCTTGCTTTTTTGATTTGTTACAGCCGGTATCGGTAATGCAGGACTCTTTGTGGAGCTTGGCTGTGCTTCCATAATACTCGAGGAACTGGAGTCTACATTATTAGTTGTAACGGTCGTTGTTGTTATCGGGGGTGGTTGGAGTTTAGGAATTGATAACGTTGATAGTCTAAGACCATTGCTGGACGATGTTACTCTTGGAGGTGTAGAAGTAGATGTCTTAGTAGAGGAGACGCTTTGGTTTGTGGTTGCAGTGGAAGATGATAGAGCCATGTTATTGGTAGTTATAGCATTGGTTGTTGCAGCAGTAGTGACTGTTGCAGGGCCCGTTGGTATACCGCTATTGACAGTTGTAGTATTGGTTTTCACAGTGGGATTGGCGCCACCACCACTAGCGGAACCTTCTGAAGATGAAGAGCCCGTACTTCCCTTCTCTTCGGGATCTTCTGATCCAGTCGCCAATCGAGAGCCTTCAGTGGCATTTTTTTGTATCAGTTGTGGATTTGCCTTGGGTATTGAAGTAGGTGGTGCTGTTAAAAAATCAGTAGTGGGGGGCATACTTCCTTGGTCTACTCCGGACTGGAATTGAGTTTCCGTAGGAATTGTCTCGGAATCCCCTCCTCCCGTACTGCTTGGAACTCCAAGCTGTGGTTCTTGTGGTTGAGAAATTTCAGTGGAATCCTTTGGTTCTACATTTTCATCCTTTGCTTGTGTTTCACTGGCTGAGCGTCCATAATTCACTAATGTGCTGGCATTATTGGTCACTTTTCGTAATGTGGTTGAGAAAAACCTGGAAAGAGTCTTGCCATTCTCTTGTTCTGGGTCTGGTAACGTGGGGAATGATGTGTAGTCGTCATGGATTGGCTGTCGTTTGTTTGCCCCACCGGCTAATTTATTGTCCGAAACAAGTTCGTCATCGCTATGGTTACGGATATTAAAGTCCTTGAAACCACCTCCAGGCATGTTTAGAAGTCTGTAGGTAGGATCAATTGTTCAAATTATCTTGATATAACTAGCTTAAACTAAACTAACAAATGATTTTGTGAATGTTTTGTATCTGAGGACTGACAATATCGCACGGGTCAATAAAAGATAAAGGGGGGCAACGCAAATCAATCAATCAATCAATTGTATGGATATAGTAGAGGTAGTAGAGCTATAAGATTCGATGGGTGGTATTATATTCATCCAAACTTCTGCGGAGTGAGGTATAAATGGTTCTTTTAAATAATTCAATTGACTGACACGTAACAAACTATGAGAATTATACTACTGAGGGAGTCTGAAAGGGCTTTGTCAAACCATTGACAGAAATTTTACTAAACAACTACAAAAATATTACACTTATTGTCCTATGTAACTTGACTTTATAAATTTTATTGACAATCACTTAATGTGAATCTGTACCAGCCTTGATCTGATTAGAATTATCACTTGCAAAGTCAAGTCTGTTTCTATTTTTTTTTTTCCATTTACATTACAAGAGATATGGGCCCATCACATACACACCCTACAATCGATCAATATTACTATTATGACCCCTTCTCTCTAGACTTAACTTCCTCAAATCACAACCTAAAAATAATTTATTCTATCTTGTGTATCGCTCTGTGTTCAGAGGCAATTCGCTGTCAATTTTCGCGTGTAACCACTCAACAGGCTCTTTTTTTTTGTTTTTCTGAACTTTTATTTTCAAAAGCGACGACAAAGCCTTGACCACCCTTTTTTGCTTTTCTAAACAGTCGCTTAGGTGCATCCTCGCTTCAATTTACATTTCAATTCTTTCTGGTTCATTACCCGGTGAAGTCTACAACCCGCGCCCAATCTCCGAGCCTGTCTATACCGCTTGTCCGACCTTTAATTGCACTCATAACATCACATGTCTGGTACTTTACAAAGACGCCGTGGAGGTGGATCCAAGTTAACTGCCAATGCTAGAAACTCTGAAGATGCTCCGGGCTCCCCCACCACTTCCTCCCCAAACACTGAGACCGTCGGGCACAAAATTGGCTATGATGAAAGAGATATCCACGACCGTAAAGAATTAAACTTACCACTTCTCACTTTAATGGAAGAAGTCTTATTAATGGGTCTCAAGGATAAGGAAGGTTACCTTTCCTTCTGGAACGATAATATCAGTTACGCTCTCCGTGGATGTATTCTCTTGGAATTGGCGTTCCGTAACCGTATTTCCTTGGTGAATGATCCTGCCCGTAGACGTTTTGAACTTTCTGATCGTCTTATTGAAGTGATTGACCCAGAACCTACTGGTGAAGTTCTTCTTGATGAAGCACTCAAAATCATGAAGAATGATGAACTGAACCTCAGTGTCACAAACTGGATAGACTTGCTTTCCGGTGAAGCCTGGACCTTGATGAAGATCAATTATCAACTTAAACAAGTTAGAGAACGTTTGGCCAAGGGCCTTGTTGACAAGGGAGTCTTGAGAACTGAACGTAAGAACTTTTTCCTCTTTGATATGGCTACCCATCCAGTTGCTGACAAGATGTCCAAAGAATTCATTAAGAGCAGAATATTGAACTTGCTCGTAGCGAGAAATGTTGATTTGGAAACTTCCAATGTCAATGATCAATTCCCACGTGAAACTCTGTTCAAGTACCTTCGTTCTATAGCACTTGTATGCGGTTCATACGCTGCCAACGTTTTGGAAAACGTCTTAATATCGCTCAATTATGACAAGAGAGACCAAGCATTTGCTCGTGCTGATGAGATTTTGAACGATTATAGTGAGTTCCCATTCAACACAAAGTCTGCATCCAGTCCTTTAGGATTAGGCTTGAACTTATCATCTGAAGTTACACAAGAGATCGAAAAGAGTTCTGCTAGTGACTTGCAATTAGAATTGATTGCAGCAGTGTTGAGTGTCTTTGCAAGAATGGACTCAATTTTGTAGAACTGTACAAATATAAATTGAAGAGGATAAGAAGAGGAATTAACTAGAGGTATAGTAATCATAAGTAAGAATAAGACAGTGTAGGTTATTTAGAGGAAAATGAACTGGCTCTCATTTTAAAAGCCCTGAAATACTATCCAACATCATATTTGTTATTTTTTTTTCCTTCTCCATATCGAAGAATGCTCATTCATTCAAATACTTACTTGCTCCATATATATCTAAATGATTATCTGTTTCTTCCAATTGTCCATTCAATTGGTCAACAAAGTTGTAGATCAAACTACGATCTTTCTTCGAATAATCATCTCCACATGATTCCCACCACATACCTCCTCCAAGACCTTTCAGAAGTACATACATGGCTTTGATCCTCGCGGATTGAGGGTTATCGTAAGTAATTAACGTTTTCGTAGAAGAATCATAACAATAAGCAGAAACCTTCCTAGTATCAAACTTTTCTATTCCAACGGGGAGTTCTTTATAACTCCAAATCCCAGCCTCATCTCCAGATCCCTTCCCCTGGGTGAATGGAATCCCAATCAGGTCACTCTCAGCAGTGAAACTACGGCCATAGTTTGGCATCCCCATCACTAACTTGGAAGGTTGCACACCGGCATCAACGTACAATTGGATAGTATCAGCAGTGTTAATGTTATTATCACCATTATTCCCAAACAAGTTCAGATGGTACCCTGTGGTAGAAGACCAGCTTCCTGCGTAGTCATAGCACATAAGGTTCCAAAAGTCAAGGTATTGGTCTATTTGCTTCACTTTAAGTTTATTGGCTGTTTCTGGCGATGCTGGGGCAGCTACTGTGAGTAGCAACTTGTTGGAAATTTGGTTAAGACCTTGTCTAAGTTGACGTAATAATTCCACCATTTGGTCCGATTCTTGTGGAGAATTTGGGTACTCCCAATCGATGTCAATTCCATCAAATCCATACTCAAGTAAAAACTCAATTGAACTGGACACAAATGCAGCCATTTTAACCGGATCTGACATTACGTTTTGGAATAAGTGGGCGGTGCCCCAACCACCAATTGACATGGATACCTTAAGTTTACGATATTTACGCTTAAGCTCAAACAACAGACGGATTGAACCTTTGACTGACCCTCCACATCCAGAGTCCATAGGAAGTTCAAGATCAGCCCAGGAATCAGTAAGTTTAACTCTACCAGTGACATCATCAATGCCAATGAATGAGTAAAATAAATTGGTGGTCACATCCACAGGGATATCTCTTGGAAAATGTTTTCTAGCATAAACAGACCAATTGGAATAGTAAACACAGGTTCTTGACATGGTAGGTTCGTCTGGCAAAAGATAAATCAATATCAATAAAAGGAAAAGTATAGAAATCTTACAGTTTGTACCTCCGCCTATATTTGCGAAATTCATGTTGCAACCAAAATGCGAAGCTCGAAGAAAAATAAAACTTCATTTAAATGTAGGGGCAATGTAAGGTCATGCTCTAGTGCTAGAGAATTATTTTTAACCTAAAAAAACAGTATTTTAAATAAACAATGTAAAGAAGCACTGTATCCATTCTACTGTGAATATATTTACTTTTTAGGGGGGCGGGCAAATAAATAAAAAATAAAAAGAAAACATAGAGAAATACCTCTTTATTATTTGAATTGCTAGTATTCCCTTTTTTGTACTCTTATCGAGGAGATCTCTCACATTGAAGTATAGACAAATCTTAAATTTCGATTTGCCACGCATTCCATCCTTTAAAGTTATTGAAACATTTACATAGATATGACCACCTTAGAAGCAATTGGCTCTTCTCTCCCATATGGAGCTCGTGTCTACAAGGATGACTGTATGTACAACTTTGATACAGCCGAGAACAACCCAAATGGATTAGATGTATGTTTACAATGTTACCAAGCATTTTCAAGAGGTGTTGATTCCAACTATACACAAGAACACGCCTTGAAGAAAGAACATGATTTTTATTTCAACATACGCAAGACACTCAAGGAAAACCCCAACAAATACAATGAGCTTGGTGAGAGCAATTCCAAGCTTGCCAAACTTGAAGTGAAGGATGTTGCAGAAGAAGATATTTATGATTTCATCTACACCATCTATTCAAATCTGAGTGATGATTCCATCCCATTGGAAGATGCTCCACAAAATATACAATTACTCACCCAAGAGATTCTTGCCACAAACTCTTCAAACCGTCAAGATGAGATCAAGACTTGGGAACAAGAAATCCAACCTTGTGAACATTCTGTATCGATCCAACCAGTACAAACCCTTACTACCGGAGAATCTAAACCTGTTTTAGATCAATGTCTGGAGTGTTCATTGAAGGAAAACCTTTGGATTTGTCTTCATTGTGGTATTATTGGATGTGGTAGACAACAATATGGATCCACCCTTCAAGGGAATTCACACATGCTTGCTCATTATGAGGCTCATCCTACGCATCCAGTGGCAATTAAATTGGGGTCTTTGGATGTGGATAACTGTGACGCATACTGTTACAAGTGTAATGATGAGGTGAAGGTTCCTGAACTTGTGGCTATACTTCTTGCATATGGAATTGATGTTTCAACTCTTGTCAAGACAGAAAAAAATCTTATTGAATTAAATTTGGATCAAAATTTGAATTGGGATTTCAAATTAGATGGTGCAAATGGTGAAAAACTTCCACCAGTGTTTGGTCCTGGTCTTACAGGGTTCCAGAACTTGGGTAATTCATGTTATCTTAACTCTGTCATTCAAGTCTTGTATAGTTTACCGGCCTATACGCTGTACTTTAAGGAATTTGATGGGAAATTCCCTGAAAATGTCACTAATCCTGCCGTGGACTTGACTAGTCAATTACTCAAGATTTATGATGGGTTAAGTTCTGGAAGATATTCTGTTCCAAGCCACACTAAGGATGACACTTATCAATTAGGTATTAAGCCTTCTGCGTTTAAAACTTTGATTGGAGAAAATCATCCCGAATTCCAAACTCAAAGACAACAAGATGCCTTTGAATTTCTTCTTTATTTCCTTGAAAAATCAAATAAAGAAGTTGGTTCTAAATTAAATGAATCGTTTAAATTTGTTGTTGAAAACAAGATCAAATGTTTGGATTGTGAAAATGTTAAACTTTCTACTGAGTTGGTTGACAACTTGAGTATCCCAATAAAGGACGTAGTGGATTCAGTAGATGCGGAAACGGGGACGAAAACTTATAAAACTGTGCAATTAAATGATTCTCTCACTGATTATTGTGCACCTGAATTACTTGGAGATTATAAATGTCCAAAGTGTACCTCTTATAATATGTTGAAATCCATTGGATTGAAAAGTTTCCCTTCAGTGCTTATTGTAAATGCAAAGAGAATTAAACTTGAAAATTGGGTACCAGTTAAAATCGATGTACCAATTGAAGTTCCTGGTACTATCGATATTTCTGAATTGAAATCTAAGGGGTTACAAGAGGGTGAAATTGAAATTGAAGAAGATGAAGATGAACAAGATTCTGATGTAAGATCGTCTAAGTTTGAACCAAACCAAGAGGCATTGAATTCTCTTTTAAGTATGGGATTCCCGGAACCACGTAGTATTAAGAGTTTACATGCTACAGGGAATAATAGTGCTGAAGAAGCCATGAATTGGCTATTTGCGCATATGGACGATGCTGACATTGATAGTCCTTTACAAGAAAGTGGTTCTAATAAAGATAATTCCAAGAATGAACCATCTGAAGAACTTGTCAATAATCTTGTAGGGATGGGCTTCAGTACTCAACTTGCAACCAAGGCACTTATTTTGAATGGTAGCGATGTTAATGCCGCAGTTGAATGGTTGTTCAGCAACCCAGATGATGACGGGGTCATTGAATCTACATCGACTCCTACAGTAGAACAGAAACTGGATAAAGAAATAGTTGCGCAACTCGAAGGAACTGGGAACCCCAAATACAAATTACATGCGGTTGTGTGTCACAAGGGTACCTCTCCTCACACTGGCCATTATGTTGCCTTTATTAGAAAAATCATTGACGGAGAGGAAAAATGGGTCTTGTTCAACGATGAGAAGGTGGTTGCCTGTGCAGACTTGCTGGATGTCATCACCAATGGGTATGTCTACATATTTGTCGAAGACAAGCTTTAGTAAAAGATGGACATAGAGAAACGATAAAAAAAAAAAATATCAAGCAAAACTTTTTACATATATAGAACGGAATAAAATAGGAAATGGTACATAAGTTTAGTGACTGCCACTTCCTGAGCCCTAATTGATGCTCAATGTATTGAAGTTATAGTCATATCGACCTTTACTCATACGTGCATACTCGTTAGTACATCGCTGCGTTTATTTTCTTGTCAATATATTCGGTCGCAAATGCCGTGCAGCGTTCGGTATGTGGGTAGAAAATTCAATGAGGGTTCGTCGATTTGGTGTAGTACAAGCGACCCCATACTGCACCTTGGGTGTAAATTTCAGTGCAAGTGATACTGCCAGTTAATTATTTAATGAACATGGGAATCATATTACCCTCATTCTACTCGTTTGTGCTTCGTATGAGTACGTATGACTGTGAACTATATCATGTCTCAGGTGTACTTTTTGTTTAGCCTTATTGCTTTGTTGTCCATTCATAGTTCCCGCTTTGCTGCTTACCTCCAAACAGTCGTGCCATTCTCGACGCACGTTGATTTTCTTTTATTTTCAATTTTTTTTTTATTTTCAATTTTTCCGCAATTAATAAATTTTCGCTGACAAGAGTCATATTCGCAGCTGGACAATATGCAGTATCTCGGAGTATTATATAGACTTCACACAAATGCACGATAAAGTTTAAGATACTGAAATATTAAAAAGTACACATATACAAAAAGAATCATACTAATATCATGTTCATTACCAACGAAAATGTCGGCGATCGCTCTCGTTTAGAAGACTGGAGAAGTACGTAGCCTCAGCCGGCAACTTAAAGAAGAAGAAAATCATTTGAGCTAAGGGGTCCTCCCCTTGCCCCGCCTCGTTATCTCTTCTTTTTTTTCCTTTTGCACATTTTGCCAAAAAACTTTTTACTAACTATTTCTAGTCCGTGGTTACGACCCTTTGACTCCTCCTGATTTACTTCAACATGAATACCCTTTGACTGACAAGTCTGCTGATACTATTGTCAAGGGTAGAGACTCTGCCTGTGATATCTTGAACGGTAAAGACGACCGTTTGATCATTGTCATTGGTCCATGTTCTATCCATGACCCAAAGGCCGCTCTTGACTACGCCCACAGATTGAAGAAGTTGAGCGACAAGCACAAGGGTGAGCTCCACATCGTCATGAGAGCATACTTGGAAAAGCCTAGAACCACTGTTGGTTGGAAGGGTTTGATCAATGATCCAGAAATTGATGGATCTTTCCAAATCAACAAGGGTTTACGTATTGCCAGAAAACTCTTTGTTGAATTGACTGAATTATTACCTATTGCTGGTGAAATGTTGGATACTATCTCCCCACAATTTTTATCTGATTTATTCTCTGTTGGTGCTATTGGTGCCAGAACCACTGAATCTCAATTACATAGAGAATTGGCTTCTGGTTTAAGTTTCCCAGTTGGTTTCAAGAACGGTACCGATGGTACTCTCGGTGTTGCTGTTGATGCCTTGAGAGCTGCTTCTCACCCACATCATTTCCTAAGCGTCACCAAGCCTGGTGTTGTAGCCATTGTTGGTACTGATGGTAACAAGGATTGTTTCGTTATTTTGAGAGGTGGTAAGAAGGGTACTAATTTCGATGAACAATCTGTCAAGGAAACCCAAGCTTCTTTGAAGGCTGCAAAGGTTGTTACTGAAGACAACGCCGGTCCAAGAATTATGGTTGATTGTTCTCATGGTAACTCCAACAAGGATCACCGTAACCAACCAAAGGTTGCTGCTGAGATTGCCAGACAAATCACCAATGGTGACACTTCTATCTGTGGTTTGATGATTGAATCTAACATTGAAGAAGGAAGACAAGATGTTCCATCTGCTGAAGAAGGTGGTAAGGATGCCTTGAAATACGGATGTTCTATCACTGACGCTTGTATTGGATGGGAAGATACCGAATCTACTTTGGAAGTCTTGGCTGCATCCATTAAGGCCAGAAGAGAAAAGAAGTAGAGTATCAAAGGAGAAAAATTAATGTAGTAAATAAGAAGAATGGATTGAACGATTGAAGATTCGAGAGAAATTTAAAGTAAAGAAAAAAAAAAAAGAAAGAATTCAAATATATATGAAATGAAATGTATATACATATAGGGAATGCTAGATATCTTTTTTGGTTATAATTAACGACCCACATAGAGAAATGAAATGATTTTGTAATACGTTTAAGGTTGATGGTTGCCAATATTTTTGTTGCAATTTCCTGTCTGCCCCATATATTTTACCTCGCACGACCTTTCCTATCCAATTATATGTTGAATATGAAAAGAGACTTAGTTTAGGTGGAATAGATATAGAACCATAATACACGAGAAAATATGGGTGCATCAACTTCCAAGCCGGAAACCAAGGTATTCACTCCAGCCGCCCCGGTTGACTTTAGTGCTTCCTTCTTGGCCCAATTAGAAAACTCTACTGAGGTATGTTCATAAGTTTTTTTAAAAATAATATGAGGTCGAGAATTATAACAGTTGAACAAATTGAGTACTAACACACATTTACAGTCTGACTACTCCCGCTCGCAATACACCGAGAAGTACATTCAAGAAAGAGTTGCTGCTGAACTCAAGAAATTGGAAAGAGAAACCGTTTCTAAGTTCCAAGGAACCTTGAAGGAATCATTGGACACTGATGGAAAGAATGCTGAACTTGATGTAAAGAACACAAATGCAAAGATTGAAAAATTAACCAAGATCTTGGAAGCTAACGCTCAATTCTTCAAGGTTGAAGTTGATGCCAACGTGGCTGCCGCCAGAAGTAATGTCATCCTGTGTTTGAAGGAAAACAAGGGTAAGAGTTTGAACTGTTGGGAAGAAGTTGACGAATTCAAGAAGTTGGTGAAGCAAGTGTAAGACCCCCTTTTCAAAACTTACACGAACATAAATTTGTACACATAGAAATAAAAGAAACGATTATATTAGTAAAAAAAATTACAATGCATTTAAACTATATCGATACCTTAGATTTATAATCCAATACCTTTGTAGAGCAAGATCAACGCGTTATCACTTTCTCCTCCACCAGCTAATTGCTCGATCTTATCCTTTTCAATGACTGAAACCTTATCATCATTGAACTTCCACCACTTGTCTCCGTCCAAATCTAAAGGATCCTTGACGAAAGCTTGGTAATGACCGGAATCGGCGGATGCACCCTTGTGAGAAATGATCGCTTGCAATTGATAGACCGACGATGGATTCTCGGTGACAGTTTCCAAATCGATTGATGGCAAGGCTGCCTTCAAATCATCTTGGAACTTAGTTTTGATGGACAACAATTTCATTTCTTCTTCTTCCTGTTGTTGTTGAAGTTGGATGGTGGAATCGTTTGTACGTTTTGCCTTTTTGAAGTCCCGAATCATATCCAGGTTATCCTTTTCGACTTTTCTAATGTTGTCTCTGACACTAACTTTTTCTTGCTTGATAGAATCATCCAACATTTCTGCTAAATCCAATTCAAATGGGAATTGAACTTTTCTTAAAATCTTGGACTTCTTTTGAGTGTCTCTCTTCCAATAAAACCGGACAAATTGAACGGTCAAGTACTTAGGCAATCTTGTAATAGTTCTATTGATTTCATATTCGGTGTTGGATTGTAAAGTGTCATTGTACTTCTCAATGGTTTCCTTTAAACCACTAAGAAGACCATCTCTCAAAAAGTTTGTTTGGATCGAGATATGGCAATTTAATTTGGAAGCATCTTCATATGTGACGGTAGATTCAGCATCAGGTAAGGCTAAACACTTGGAGGTAGCCTTAAAGCTTAACTTGAAATAATCTTCAATCTTAAGAGTGTTGTTCAATGCAGTCAAAATTTGCAGGTAGGCTTCTTCAGCATCTTGCTGTTTGAAATGACCGGTTTCTGATCTCTCAGCAAACTGAGGGTATACATTTCTAAGAATTGTCAAAAACAACGTTGGGTTTATGTTTTGTTGTTTTTGCAGCATTTGTGAAAAAACACCTTTAAGAGCCAGGGTGAGTGACTCTTGTGGAGATAATGATCCAGCTCCACTAGAGGTGGTGTTATAATTCTTCAATCTATCGGCGATATCTTTGATTTGGAATAACACTTGCATTGATGAGTTCAAGTAACAAGTGTTACCCAAGTTAATCAAACCAGATGGTTCATTGTCAATCTTGTACAATTGCAGACTGTTCAAATCTTCGAGGAAAACTTGCTTTTCTACAGGCTTAGTAGGGAGATCCTTATCTGGGGTACCCAAAACCATAATTGGTGCTTTCAAAGACAAGTTGAGGGATTCAATAGTAGCTTCATCTTGAACCTTTCCTCCCTTCACCAAAATCTTTTGTCTCTGAGGTGGAATCAAAGTCAACTCTTGGATCTTTTCCTTGAATGTCTTACCAGTATCGGTTAATTCAAGCTCAATATCATATACTTTACCAGCATTCTTGATCGATACTACAAAAAAAATGTTAGTTTTCAGTTTAAATCACCAATTATCAAGAAAAAATAAAGCCCAGTTTCCTGAATGTTTTCATTAACTTCTTTAGATTACATACCCTTAACCATATTGTCTGCCTACTTTATTTTTTTATTAGTATCCTAAGGGTGTTAAATAATCTATTTACAGAAGAACGACAACGAGTGGGTATCTATAGTGGCAAAGTCGTGTGGTGCACATTTTGGTCAATAGATTAGATTTGGTTAGGTAGCAAATCATCAAAACTAAATAGAAAGAGACTTGTAATTTGAAATTGAAAAAAAGTTTCATATCATCCATTGAAATTATGTATGAATATCTACTGATATAATACGGAAAATTGAATCAATCATAATAATAATTGATGATTGAAATTGCCAAAAATATTAAAAAAAGAAAACGAAATCTCCTGGGGGTGAGTCGAACACCCGATCTCAAGATAACTTTGAGGTTAATCATTACAGTCTCGCGCCTTAGCCAGCTTGGCCACCAAGAGGATTTCTGAACGTAAAAGTTTTTAATTTGATATGTCAAATTAATCCTGGACCAGCAGCCAGCGATTTTTATGAGTTTTAAATGTCAAATCACTACTTACAGTATTAGAAACCTACTTAGTACTATTTAAAGGACGAAATTCGTCTGTTTATTCAATAAAATTTAAAACATTCCAATTTTCACTTTAATAATCCATGCAAAATCATAGTAGTTGGCATAATTTTGGCATGAAACGAGAGTTAATGGGCTAAACGGATCCCTTTAATGCTTAGAGAGTTGATTTGGGGACCATAAATATAGAACATTAGTGTTTGTTGTCAGTATTCTGTTAATACAAGAAGATATTTAGATGTGTTTTTTGCTTTTAAGAAAATCTATAAACATTTTGTATAACCTGGTATCAATTCGAAAGTTTGCTGCTAAATCTTCTGCACAAGATGAGATAAGATAGTTGTGTTGTTGATCAAGCTCATATTTGAGTCTAAGTTTTCAAATTCATTAAATATAGATTATTAATATATTTTGGAGAAAAGATGGTTTTGCAACCAAAATATTTATTTGTTTATTCTTTTTTTTAAAAAAAATTAAAACTCCATTTCATCAAATTGGCCAATACATTCCACCACAGTATCCCTAAATAGCAACTTTTATTGCAGTTGTTTTAGATACTGGAAATTAATTTTAGCTGTAGGAGCATTCTCGTATATAAAAAAAATAATTGCGCAAATTTTGAAGATTTCTACCAGAAGACTTATAATAATACTTTAAGAAGGTCCTTCAATTCAGTACATTTTATTGTACTGTCTCCAATTTACCTACTTTTTAATGACCTGATAACATTGAGTTTTATAAAAGCTATTGTCAGGTGCAAAAAAAAAAGTTTCAAAAAATGGGTAATTTAGACCGGGCATTAATCTACGGGGTTGGGTTCTCTTACATACGAAATCTTGGCAATAATGCAAAGAATAAAATTGGAATTCCCAAATATCAACAGTGATCTGAACTAGATTTAAATTAATAATTGATGGGGATTTGTGGTTACTTAGACTAATATCAACTCTTATTGTCAATTGAAGTTTATGACAAGTATGTTTGTCTTACTGTAGGGCCGCTTTATTTCTTTTTTCTTGATGTGAAAGAGTTTTTGGTTTTTTTTATTTTTTTAATCGAAATGCGATAAAGGCCCATCGCTATTGACATATTTTTTAGAATACAAAAATTTTTCTTGTACCTTCTTTTCATTTTCTTAAATAAGAACAATAATAATAATGGCTAAGTACGAGTGTGACGATAAATTCAAGTCCTTTCTTCAAGAACTTCCAAAGTGTGAACATCACGTTCATCTTGAAGGTACTCTCGAGCCATCTTTACTTTTCCAATTGGCCAAGAGAAATGGAATCACCCTTCCTGAATCTTTCCCACCATCCCCAGAAGCATGCATTGAACGTTACAACAACTTTGCTGACCTTCAAGACTTCTTGGACCACTACTACATCGGTATGGGTGTTTTAATCAAAGAAGATGACTTCTATGACTTGGCCATGGAATACTTCACAAAGGCTCACAATGACGGCTGTCATCACTCCGAAGTTTTCTTTGACCCTCAAGGCCACGTTGAACGTGGAATTTCCATTGATGTGGTTGTTAAGGGTTTCGACAGAGCTTGTAAGGATGCCACTGCCAAGTTTGGAAACACCAACAAGCTTATCATGTGTTTGCTTAGACACTTGCCATCTGCTGCTGGTTTAGAAACTATCAAGAGTGCTGCTCCATACTATGAAAATGGTACTATCCATGGTTTAGGTCTTGATTCTGCTGAAAAGCCATTCCCACCAGAACTTTTCACTGAATGTTACAAATATATTTCTGATAACTTTTCCAATGTTGGCTTAACTGCCCATGCTGGTGAAGAAGGTGATTCCACCTATGTTACTAGAGCCATTGACCAACTTAAGGTTACTAGAATTGACCATGGTGTCAACTCTCAACATGACCAAGAACTTATGAAGCAATTGGCCGACAACAAGACCATGCTCTCCATGTGTCCACTTTCTAATGTTAAACTTCAAGTTGTAAAGGATGTTTCAGAACTTCCAATTGACGTTTTCTTCAATGCCAATGTCCCATTCTCTATCAATTCCGATGATCCAGCTTACTTTGGTGGTTACATTCTTGATAACTATGTTGCAGTCCACACTAGATTTGGTTTCACTCACGAACAATGGGCCATCATCGCCAAGAATGGTATCAATGGTTCTTGGTGTGACGAAGAAAGAAAGATTGAGCTTAGAAACAAGGTTGACGAAGTCGTTGCCAAACATACATAGATTTAGACTGTACAATAGAGATATAGAGAGAAAATAATTTAATTAAAAACACTAGAATTCACTCTTTTGTATACTATGACGTAATTTTGCAACCTCTATATAAAAAAGAAAAGAAGGAAAGAGTAGGTGGTGCTATCAAAAAATATCCTGTACATGAAATTATGCCAAATGGGAGGCGCTACCCCCTTTCACCCCGCACAAACATGACTAAGCTAAGATTATTTGAGGATTTGAGAACATTCCAACAACTTTATACATACAACCTTATCAATTAGATAAACGATGAAACTCAATTTAAACCGGATCCTTTTCTTAATATTCATGTTATGCGGGGTCATAGCTACTCAATTTGAACAAGATCTTCGACATGGAATGATTGTAATGATAGTACTGGATGACTCAAATTCAGGTGCTTCAGACCTTGAGAAACTTCGAGAATATATAGAAAAAGATCTTGGAGGAGAAATCAAACATGTATACAATACAGTATTTTACGGAGTAGCAGTGACTTGGTCGGAATTGAACAAGTTATACTACCATCTTTCTAAATTGGAACAAGTAGATGAGCTTGATTTGGATGATGTCCGATTAATCAATAAGGGGATAATCCAACTAGTAGAAAAGTTAGGATATCCAGTAGAAATCCTGGCCGATGGTTTGGTGGGAAGTAACATTTAAAAGGGGGGGTATATAAATAGGTCATTTAATTTAATAATATACAATGTGTAACAGTTATTCATTCAATAATATATTTGAGCCAGTCAAATCCATATAAAATAATATACTTAAAAACAGTCATAAAACAATACTATTCCCTAAAGATTAGGGAAATAAAAATAATTCGTGGATTGAAAAGTCATGGATTTCTACTCATTGGTTACTTCAAATTCCTTGAAGGCTTCACCAAAGGTGTTTTCACCAGAGTACAAGACGTACAAGAATCCATCATCATCCTTGTGTTCATCGTAAACCGTGCTCAATAGCGCTGCGGTAGGAGGCAAGATGTCATTGACAAAGATGAAAATGGCCTTTTCACTTGGTAACTTGATTCTCTTTCTTATAACGTAAACAAATTGTCCAACAGTTAAATCACTTGGAACTAAATATTTACGCTTATCAATCTCAACAATATCTGACTTTTCAACCTTTTCACAAATTACTGGGATTCTGTCGTCAAATTTTTGAAGGATTCTAGTAGCTTCTGCCTTTCTTTTTTCTAAAAAAAGTTAGTATAGAGCAAGAAATCTATGAATTGGGGAGACAATATCCAAACCAAAATTTGTTTTATCTCTTGCATAAGCAACCCGTGATGTCATTCAATTCTTGTTTGAGAGAATTATAAATAGGATCAAAAAACATCTTGATATTTTCTGTGTACACATACCGAAAGGATGGTCGTCTTTGAATTGGGATCTCATATCTAAAAGAATAGTTAGTAGACGTAAATAGAGTATATTAAAATAGGTTCAAGTTAAATGTAAACACGTTTGTGGAGGTATACAATGACTTCTTAAAACACCCCTCAAACCCCTCAACCGGAACTCCCACCCCCTTCTCATCCCACGCCACCGAGTTGCTCAATTTAAAAAAAAAAGAGCTTGATTCAACTCAATGTAACGTAGTGAACCCATTGTTTAGTGTACAAACCTGTAATACTTGTAACTCTATAGATACATACTATATTTTTTTTATTAAAAAAATAGGTTATTAAACTATTAATTTAAAGATTATTATAATAATGACTGTGTTTGTTTCCTTATCAATTTCTATTTAAATTGTTTGATTGTAGAGATATACAAAGTACAGGAATATTTATACACACAGGCATTTTGAAGTAGAGTCACGTGCGCGACTGTGAAAGAAAAGACAGAGAGTGGGTCCCTCATAGAGTTTTTCATTCATATAGTAGACAAATCGATTGCAATAGACCAAGATTGAAGGGTTTCATTTGGAATTTTTTTTTTTAAACAGACTTTTATTCATAAAATTGGGTGTATTCAATTGAGCATTCGTGGGAAAGTTGATACATAGTTTCCAAACGATATCTTTGCATCTTAATGGTCCGATTTTTTTCAACCTCAAGATGTGTTTCAGCATTTAGACCATTAGTTGAATACCAGTTGAAATGTGGTCTAGAACTTCATACACAACTTAAGACTAAACATAAGCTTTTCCTGTTAACTCCCACATCATTTAATGCTGATCCCAATACAAAAGTAAGTTATTTTGATTGTGGATTACCTGGCACTCAACCACGTTTGAACCCAGAAGCCCTTTTACTCGCATTGAAGGCTGCAGTTGCATTAGATTGCCAAGTGCAGCCCCATTCCAGATTTGATCGGAAACATTATTTCTACCCGGATCAACCGTTAGGATATCAAATCACTCAACATCATAAACCAATTGCATTTGGAGGTAGTCTTGAATTGAAACAACCTTTTGATGATATCAAGCAACAGAGTAAAACAATTCATATCCAACAGATCCAAATCGAACAAGATACAGGGAAATCTATATATGATGCTGATGGAACTGTAAGGGTAGATCTTAACCGGGCAAATACACCCTTAATTGAATTAGTCACTGATCCTGATTTTGAAGATGTTCATCAAGTGAAGGCATTTATCAAGAAATACCAACTCCTTGTAAAGCATTTGAATATTTGTACTGGTGAACTCGATACTGGTGCCATCAGAGTAGATGTCAATATTAGTGTTAATGGGAATCTGAGAGTGGAAATTAAAAATTTAAGAAACACTACGGATATCGTTCAAGCAATTGAATATGAGTACTTTAGACAAGTTGACTTAATTAAACAACTGAAACCAATTGAATTGCAAACAAGAGGCTGGAATGGTATAGCTACAGTTCTTCAAAGATCGAAGGAAAATGCGGTTGACTATAGATATTTCCCAGATCTGGAATTACCACATATCGATTTAGATCCTAAAATTGTTGAAGAAATAAGACAGGAATTACCCAAGTTTCCTGATGTAATTGCAACTGAACTTATTTCAAAACCATATAACTTAGAGTTAAAGCATGCAAAGTTCTTAGTTGAAAACCAGGATTTGCTCGGTTATTATAAAGAACTTGCTGCTACACTTATCGAACGAGGTATTCCTATTAAATTTGCCAGTAATTGGCTATTCAATAATGTAACCAAGGCATTTAAAAAGTTGGATTTAGAAATAGATCCTACAATTGTCCCTCCACAGAAACTAGCAAACTTAATTTCCTTTATTGCCGAGAAAAAAGTTAACTCCAACACAGGTGACTCTATACTTTCCAAGATTATTAAGAATCCTGGCCTAAAAGTGGAGGAGTTGGTTAAGGAAGAAACTATTCCAGAGGAAGACCTTTCAGCAGCAACTTTGGACTTGTGTAAGAAAATTATTCAACAAAATCCAGACGTAGTTGAGAAAATTAAAGGAGGTAAGGCTAAATCCATAAAGTTTTTAATTGGTCTTGCAATGAAACAAAGCAGAGGTAGAGCCAATTCCAAAGAATTAGAAGAAAAATTTAAGAATTTACTCGAGGTTTAAATGGGTTTCTTTGTATTATAAAATAATGGAAAAAAACATAATTCATACCAACTTTGTCACTTCGTACAGATAACTTACACCAGGAACCAGCTTTTCTTGCTGTTCCAAGTCGTATTCTCCAATCGTGTCGCCATATTCAGATGCTGTAAAATCATTCACAAGATCCTTGAATTCAAAGTCAAGATCTCCCATTGCAGTATCTTCGGATTGTTCAGTATCTTGCTTTTTAACAGTACGAGTTTGGGATAATTTCGCCAATTTTTCTTCGTATTCTGCTTGCTTTTTACTATCATGTTTAGCAATGACCGACTTAAAAAGTCCTGTGGATACAAGAAACGATTTGTACATCTTCATCGCCTCAGAACCGAGACCAAACACCATGAATGTTATGATCAGAAGTACAATGTTGATCCATTCTGGATATGTCACATGATAACCGAAATCTGCTCGAGGAATAACAGTGCTCCACCCTTCCCAATGTATATACAGCCAATTGTAACTTCCTGTGAAGTTATGAGAATCATCAACAAATAAGTAAATAGTAAGAGGTGCCAAACATAGAATCATTAAAGTAGAAAATACCAATAGACGCAAGTATTTTTTACTAGTTAATCCCGAATTTGTACAACGGAGAAGGTCACTAACATCTTTTCTCTTTTTATAATAAGTATAAAGAGTAAGACTGGCAAAGACAATAGTAACAAAACCCCAAAGTAATTTCCAAATAGATAATAGAATTAAAGCAACATAGGTAGTAGCATTAGCCACGCCACATCCCATATAACGAACAATCCCATATCGATATGAATCAACAAAAAAATCGAGAATCATTAATATAATTGGACTAATCAAACAAATACAAAGGTTTATAATTAATCTTTTTCTACCATTCCCCAAAAACGTTGTTGATCCACGAAGAACCATAAATAAATTAAGTGAGATTGCAGCCAATGCACATAGTTTTCCAATATAGCTACCAACATCAAGTCTAGTGACAATATCACAATATATTTTCCCATCCCAATTTGTTTCAAAATCTTCACCACTCCAAATGAGTGCATTAATGAATCCCTTCAAATTTGAGAAGGCAATCCAAAATATTAGAAGAACAGCAGGGACATTTCTAGATTTGATATGCCAGATAAATGGAGGGATTAAAATGACTAGTCCAAGACATGAAAATGCAGCTAAACAGTTACCAAAGGTAGAGTCAGACATGATTACCTCAGGTTAATTAGGTTGCAAAAAAGCAAGGAAGCCTATAATTATTGAGTTGCAATTCAAAGTATTTATATAAAGAAATATCATAATGGGTAAATTCAATATGAAACAACCCTTAAATGATTCCAAGACTACTTACAGATTAATTACCTACATAGTCATCTTAATCTGTGTTGATTACTTTCTTTGTTTAGGCACGATCTTAAAAATAATGGTCCCTTTGAAGCACTAAAAAGGCAATTTTGACAGAAAATCAAATCTATTTTCACACATTTCATTGATTCGAAATTACCCTATTTAATCTACAATGGAGCTAATGTAACAAATATAAATTAAATTAATATAAAAGTGTCAATGCAAGTAAGGAGTAATTGCAGATGTGGAAATAATGCAGAAGATAAACGGGTATATGTATAGAGCCAAGAAATTAATTTTTTAGAGTTTTAAATCTAACCTGAAAAATAAACTTAAATGACAGTCTTCAACACTTCGTTAGAAGAAACGACACCAGCGTACTTGGTGTCCAAGAATCTCAACAAACCAACAACCTTTTCTCTAATTTCATCGTTAGGGAATTGCTTCAATCTGTCAAGGTTTTCTTCTCTACCCAAAGTGGCTTCGCTAACCAACTTGACTCTTTCGAATTCCTTGGTAAAGACACCAGCAAAGATTTCAACAACCTTTTCAGTTTGGCTAGTAATGACGGCGTTTTCGGTTTCGTAGAGCTTAACAATGAGGGAGAAGATTGGAACGTTTTCTTCCAAACCAGTTTCAAGTGGCAAGTGGGACAAGAGAGGTCCAACAACGTGTTCCAATGGAACAGCTTGTTGGTTCTTCAAAGCCATACGAGCAACACATCCAGAAGCGTTAGCGTAAGAACGGTTAACGACATCCATAGATTCTTCGTCATCGGCACGGTCTTCTCTACGTTCAGTCTTGTTCAACAATTGGAAAAGTAATTGTAAAACAGTACCGTAAACACCAGACAAATCAGTAGTGCTGTGTTCGATAATAATACCAACACCGTAGGCAGCATTACCTCTAACTTCCAAGGACTTATCGTTAGCCAACTTTTCAGTGAAAACTTGCAATAATTCTTGGGAGTATGGGTTAGCACCCTTCAAACCAGAAGCGATTTCAGCTAAAGCACCAGTAGCAGAGACTCTCTTGGTCTTAGACTTAGTAGAAGTAGAACCAACAATAGAGTCCTTGAAACTAGTGAAGATCTTGGCAAAGTCACCTTCCAAGGCCAAGGCCAAGGCAACAAGGACTTCCAAGGTGGTTTCGAAAAGCAAAGCGTCAGATTCAGAAGTGTCTTCTTCTTCATCAGCTGGAGCTTCTTCATCATCAACTTGACATGGGTGTTCGTTCTTCAAAGTAAGCATTAATTGGACACAAAGTTTTTCCAAAACAGCGGTATCGTTAGCATCGTTAATGACAGCAACAGAACCAACTTGGTGGATGGCTTCAGCCATGTTGTCCAAAATACAGGCAACCATGGTCAAGTCAAATTCTTCTTCCAAAGAGGAGACAGAAACTTCTCTAACTTGTTGAATAATTTGTAAGATGGAGCTATCAACGTATGGTTGAGCTGGAACACCCTTAGGAGCCTTGAATTCTTCACCGTATTGGGCCTTGAACATAGAGATCAGGATCTTCCACATAGCGTTCATACAAGCTTCTCTCATACCGTAAGATTCTTCGATTTGTTGACCTAAAACCTTGAGGGATTGTTCAACGTATGGAGCGAATTGTTTACCGGTACCTGAGGCCAATTCAGCAAGGGCAACGGATGCAATTTCCTTTTCGATGGTAATACCAGTGTGGACGTTAAACTTGTTGTCATCATCATCTTCATCATCATCTTCAGCTTCAAAGTCACCAACATCGTTGAAGGTGAATTCTTCTTGTTCCAAACATTTGAGGATTTCTGGAACAATACGTTCAAGGAAGCCAGCGAATTCAGCACCGTAGACCTTGGCCATGTTGGTAATGAAAGCAAAACCAGATTCTCTGATACGAGAGTGTTCTGAGGAAAGAGATGTGTAGGCAGCTTCAACCAATGGAGTAGCGTATTGAGAGAAAGTTTCAGAACCAACGGCTCTAGCCATGGTAGAAATGTTTTCGAAAGTCATAGCTCTCAATTCAATATCATCTTCAGTCATACCTTCAACTTGAGAAGCATTGGTGATGAATGGTTCCAAAATTTGAACGGAACCAGTGAAGTATGGAGTGAAACCCTTACCAGCAGCATAGGCAGCGGAACCGATAGCAGAGACAACGGCAGACTTCAAAGTGGAGGATTCAGCGGAATGTAACATTTGTAACAACTTGTGCATCAAACCTTCCAAGTATTGGCCAATGGCGTCATGACTCATGTATTCAATAAGACCATCCAAGGCAACACAACCGTACTTGTAAGCCTTAATAGAAGAGGCGTTGTCAATGATAGCCATAACATGTGGCAAAAGTTCTTGATGGAACTTGGCAATGTTATCTTGCAATTCGGTGGTAAGTTGAGCAAGACATCTTAAAGCAGCAACTCTGACAACGATTTCTGGGTCTTGTAAACCACGTTCAAGCAATGGAACGATCTTGTTGACTTGAGTGGCAAAGAAGTCTGGGGCACCGGTAGAACCAACACCAATGGCTAACAAGGCAGCTCTACGTTCAAACATATTGTTGGAGCCCAACATGGCTTGTGCGTTTTCCAAGACTGGGAGAATAACTTGGGATGGTGGTAATTCAGCAGACAACATAGCAATAAGTCTTAAACCTAAAGTAACTGGAGAGTTTTCTTCGTTTTCATTTTCATCATCTTCAGTGTTCAATTCTTCATCGACATCAATTTCTTCCAGGGCAATGCGAACAGCAGCTTGAGCAAGGGATGGACCAGCCTTAGCAGCCAAGATCTTGGACTTACGCAAGGAGACTGTGGAAATAAGGAATTGTAAAGCAAAGACACGGTATTCTTCATCCAATTCAGAGTTCAAGGCAATTTCAGTGGTCAATTGAACCATAGCAATGAGGTGGTCACCTACAAGCTTGGTGTCAACGAAAATCAAGTTGTTGAAAACATTGAAGATATCCTTGGCCTTTTCAGAATCATCATTGGTGATAACTTCCTTCAAGACATTGACCATAGATGGGACAGCAGCTTGGAACTTACCAGCCAATTGAGTGTTAATTTCAACATCTTCATCAATGAATTGAGAAACAACATCCATAGCAAGAACGGCATTCACTCTAATTTCTTGAGAAGATTGATCTTGCAACAAAGAGGCGAAAAGAGTCAAGAAATCAGCTACATGTGGAACCAAAGATGGAATTTGAGTTTCCAACAAGGTGTAAAGAGTGTAGACGGCCATTTCCTTGGTTTGAAGATCTGGAGCTTCATTGACAGACTTGACAAGCACTGGAAGCAAGTCTGGCCATTGGTTGTCTTCCAAATCAATGTCAATTTCACCAATAGAGGCAACAACACGAGCAGCAGCATGTCTGATTCTCTTTGATTGTTGGGTGAAGGCAGTTTGAAGCATAGCATCACGGATTTGTGGCTTGAGCGAGCCATCAACCTTTTCCCATTGGGAGATGATCAATTTACGGGCTTCAACAGCAGCCAATTGTTGGACTTGTTCTTCATTACTGGTTTGCAAAATGTGCAAAAGAGATGGAAGAGCCAAAGGACTAGTGTAGAACTCTTTAGTCAAACGGGTGGCAGCCTGCTTGATGACGGCCGAGTCTGGAACCATCGTTTGCTTGAGAGTTTCCTCCAAGGAGGAAATGTACTGAGCGTCCATTGTGAATGTAAGTTAATGAAAAGAACTGGTTTCTAGAAAAAAGGAAACGAGAAAACCGTCTTTGATGATCTAAATAAATTTTGATGAGACGGGATTGAAAAAAAAAAAAAAAAAAAAAATTATATAAAAAAAAATTTATTCAAAATAAAAATAAGACGACGATCACGTGGAGATGAGGTATACAAAACAAAACAGTTCTGCAGGATGAAACTGTACAACTTTGCAACCGTGTATTTATGTAAATATGTAAAGCGGTTAGATCACCAAGGAGGTTGTATTAATGATATGTGCGAGAATTGAATAAATGTTTTATAAGTTTTAATTGGTGGAGCCAATATAAATAAATAAACAGAACTTTGAAAATAAAAAAAACGTTTCTAATACCTTTCTATTGACACTCCTTTTCAGAACACTGATTGGTTCAAAGGGCTTCTAGTCTACAAAGGTAATTAACGAATTTAATTGAATTAGTTGAGTTAATTAAATTAAATATAGTTGATTGGAATAAGTAGAATAAGCGTAATAAGCTCAATAATTCAATTTAAAAGGAGAAGTCAGTCGGTAAGTTAAGTTCCTCCTACACTATACTCTTCAATGTCTTTTTATTGAAATTCTCTTCTATTTTACATATACTCCTCATTATCATAGTTCTATAAATTTCCTCTAACAGTTGAGATCACTAGGCATTTCACGGATACGGATAGAGTAATGTTTTTCCAATTCTCTAACTAAATGGAAATCTTCCTTGGTTGCAAAGTTAATGGCCACACCTTTTCTTCCAAATCTTCCGGATCTTCCGATTCTATGAACGTAGTTTTCCTTGTCACTAGGTAAATCGTAATTCACAACAAGAGACACTTGTTGAACATCGATACCTCTAGCCCAAACATCGGTGGAGATTAAGACTCTCAGCGAACCCAGTCTGAAATCATTCATAATAGAGTCACGTTCATCTTGCTTCATATCTCCATGCATAGCAGCAACGGTGAAATTTGCCTTTCTCATGCTATCAGCCAACCAATCTACCTTGGCCTTTGTGTTACAAAAGATAACTGCTTGAGTAATGGTCATATTATCGTACAAATCACACAAGGTATCGAATTTCCATACTTCCTTCTCACAATTTACATAATATTGCTTGATTCCTTCAAGAGAAATATCATCTTGACGGACCAAGATTCTTACTGGATCGGTGGTGAACTTGGATGTCATTTCAAGAACAGTTTTTGGAAGGGTAGCACTCACCACCACAACCTGCGTGGAGGGAGGAAGAGCTCTATAGATATCATAGATTTGTTCTTTGAACCCCTTGGAAAGGAGCTCATCAGCCTCGTCTAGAATCAACATCTTGACCAGTCTAGTGGTAAGATTACGACGCTTCACCATATCTAACACTCTACCTGGGGTACCACTAACTACATGTTGACCCAGTTGAAGTTTTTTAACATCATCCCCAACATGAGTACCCCCGATACATGCGTGGGTATGTACGTTCATGTGGGAGCCAAGATGACGAACCACGGTTTGAATCTGTTGAGCTAATTCACGAGTAGGAGAAAGAATCAATGCTTGACAATCCTTACTTTTACTATCGATCACTTCCAACATCCCAATGGAGAAAGTGGCAGTCTTACCAGTACCAGACTGTGCTTGAGCAATGGTATCTCTACCAGAAACAATCTGGACAATTGCTCTTGATTGAATTGCTGATGGAGCCTCAAACCCATATGAGTAGATTCCCTTGAGAAGAGCTGGCTTCAAGGACATGCTTTCGAAGGTCGGGTGCACCTTAACATGCTTTGAAGATGCTGCAAACTTAAGCTCGGCGTCTGCTTCTTTATCGAACGACATTTACTTGCTTATGTGTATATTGAAGGTGATGAGATGGTTGCAATAATTTTTTCTTTATTTGTGCACCTTTCTTTTTTTATTTTTTTGCCCTGTGAGAAATTTGGCTGTCATATAAAAAGAGCCATAATATAGAAAATAGACAATTACCTATTAATACAAACAAACAACAGACAAGTGGACAACAATTTGGACTGTCAAGGCAGGGTCCATATCCTCCATCTGATCCTCTGATTCTCTTATATCTATAAATTATTCTTAACATCTTCTTAACAGATTGTCTACCCTGTGATGTTTATATGCACACCTCATCAAATCAGTTAATATGGGTAGTACAGATGAAAAATCAGGTGTATGAGTATTTTAAACAAGCCTATACCACACACAACAAAAAAAAAAAAACCAAGCTATCCAATATGCCCATTGTAATTCTTTTAGGAGGAGGACATGCTGCTGGAAAACATACTGCCGGAAAGTTTCTTCGAGAAGAACTTTCCTTAAGAAAGGAAACTCAAAATTATGCAGTTCACACCTTAGACATGGATGAGTTCATCATCACTGAGAACACCAACACAGAGTCATGCTCGCACAAACCATCACGCTTTGACTTTGAATCATTAAAGAAACGCATTTCCGAGCTCCCTAACGACAGTATAGCCATAGTGATAGGGTTGTATGCACTCTACGACAAGGGACTTAGAGATTCTGCTCAAATTAAGGTGTTCATTGATAGTGATGCCGATGTAAGACTTATTCGTTGGATTAGAAGAGAAGCCAAGGTCACTGAAGATGAAGCTGAATCACGTTTGATTTTGGAAAAAGTCATTGGACAATATATGAATGGAGCTCGTTCTGAAATGACAGACTACATTTTCCCTACCAAGGAGTTTGCAGATGTAATTTTCCCACGAGGAGTAGAAGCAAGTTCCGTGAGGTTGATTGTAGACGGTATACAGCCATCTAGCGACTCATTCAAGAGCACCAGTAACCAACTCAGACCTTCTCGTTTCGCCAAGGAAAAGTTTGACAAGGAAAAGGGAAAGTTTTACGAGTTGAACTAGTGATCAATCCGTCACTATTATATAGAGAATACATGCATCCAACTTTCTACCAAGATACCCTATTATATTCTTATTTGTTTCTTTTTTTTTTTATTACTATTATTATTATTATACATCTAATCTATAAGGGGAATCCATTGTTCTTAACAAACTCGTTGATTGGGTCCAGAGCGGTGGAATATTCTTGCAATGACCTAATCTTGTCACTTGAAATAAAGCCGCGGAGTTTTTTATCATTACTGTACCAACTTTGGATCAAGTAAATCATCTCACCGGATTTCAAACTATCGGTAAAGCCTGGATAAGCTTCAAAAGCGCTATGTTCAATCAATGACTTTAAGATATAGTATAATTTATCATAAGGAACACCGGACTTGATGAACATATCAACAATAGCACCCTTTGGAGGGGTTTGGGTCACAGAGTCCTCATCGATAGCTTCTTGAACGTACTTACACACCAACTTGATCAATTCTTCTATTGGGAATACCAAATCATTCGATGATAATTTTGTACCGATAGACACAATTGCATTAGTAATGGTAACATAGCAAGGTTCCTTAACTGCACCTGGTCCATTTGAAGGGATCAAGAAATCATGGAAAAGTCTTTCGAAAAATAATTCCCATCTTTTCAAAATATCGTCAGTGTTTTTATAATCTGAAATTTTGAAAATATAAAGACACAAGTCATAATATCCAAGTGGATCGGTATAACTATTGAAAAGTTCACTGAGATTTAAGATTTTAAAGTTCAAGGAAGTTCTAGCAATTTCTTTGTTATCCTTACTGATTCTATCATCGAACTTAATGGCATGTAACACATCTAATTGAACATTAGCAACATCAAAAAGTTCTTGGACAATTGATGACAATTGAATCATCTTCTGTTTCACATTAGGAGGACATACACAATTGCAGAATCCATTAGCTCTGGATAAGTAAATGATACGCTGGTTAAGTTCCAAATTGAATTCAGAAATAGCCAAGGTATACAAAATACTGGCAGCAGAGTAATAATTTTCTCTTTTGGCATGATATAACCATAATAAGTCCGTTAATGCCAAATTGTTCTGCGACTTTTCTTCCAAGAAACCTAAAATGAATGGTGTGTTAATTTCCAAAAGACGTTCACTAACACCTTCATTAATGAACCATTGATAGAATTCATAATGGAATGCTTTATCCTTGGAAGCAAAACATGTTTCATATGTAGCATCACGTACTTCAATAAAATCATTAATCATCAATTGGTCGTTTGTTTCAGTGATTTGAATTGCCTTAATATCAACCTTTGTCAAAATTTTGAAAATCAAGTCACACAATTGTAACTTTTTCTTTTGTTGCTCAGCTGATTTTGCAGCATTGACGGCAGAAGATGCAGCAACAACAGCGGAAGTTGAAACAATATTAGTCGATCCATTGACATTGTTTCCAAGTTTATATGCAAGTGAAAGCAATAATTTTACTGCACCAGTGTAAAACTCAAGATCAAGCATAATATTTATTGAATTTTCAATATTTTCAAGTGTCAATGATTCGTAGGCTTCTTCAAAGAGAAGAACAGCATTATTCAAACATTTGATTTTCAAATCGTTATCTCTACTACCGACACTCTTAGCTCTTGTTAAATTCTCAATAGCTTTGAAAATAAACACATCGTTGGTAGAACAGAAGGAACCACATCTTCCTTGAAGTGATGATGCAATCAAGTCGATCGAGCCACCTTTTAATATGTTCTTGTTAATAATAGATGAAAGAAGATCTTTGATAAGATTCTTAACTTCACTGTTAGGTAACAACAAGTCACGGAAAGAAAGGGTCAATAAATTGACTTGGTTAGTCAAAGATAAAAACTTCAAGATTTCAGCAAAGTTAGTTTGGTTAATCTGAGATTCTTCAATCAATACCATCACGAATGAAAGAGCCTCCTTCATAGAATTGAGGGACTTCAATAAGGATGTAAATGCAATGTGTTCAGCTCTCAAGCAAATTTCATTATCAAATCTGCTTGGATCAGAACTATAGTTTGGAGCGTTCAACCCTTGAATATTATTTCCATTCTCTACAAAAAATTCCATCAATACAATAATCGATCCAATGAAAAATTCAACTTGCTTCTTGTCAATGTTCAAACCTTGGATAAGCAAGTTATCTTCTTTCAAAGAACTAAGAATTACCAGACCTCCAGCACCAGTCTTGATATATGGTAAAGCAGTAAATACCTTACGATTCCATAAGTCACGGAATAATCTAGAGATCAACAATACAGTTCCATAAAATCTGTCACTTAACACAACCTGTTCTATGGTAGCATGAGTATTCAGTTGTTGCTGTTGCTGTTGTTGCTGTTGCAAGGTGTTTTTCAATAAACTGGTGATTCCATTTTGTTGCTGAGCAACATCTTGAACTTGAACCAACAATCTAGCATTGTTACCACAGGTTGCAAAGAGAGATTGAGCCTTTCTTTTATATACTTCATTAGCATTATGATTACCATATGAGCAAGACAAATAAAGTAAGGTAGAACAAGTCTCTTCAAATCCATTTTCTTCAATGAAATTCTCAATAGTTTCTTCAGAAAGTGATCTTAAAATTTGATCTGGAGTTCTAAATTGATAGAAATGGATTCCAAAGTTGGTTAAAATTGCAAATTGAAGTGGAGCTTTGGTGTATTGACTTGCCAATACATTGGCATAACCACTAGGAGTTTCGGTTGCATTCATAGATGGTGTTATTTGAACAATGTCATGGATATAAGTATGGTTTTGATCTTGAGGAGACCCAAGTTGGATGAATTCTGCATCTTCGACTATCTTCCCGTTCTTTTTCAAAAATCCATAGTTGGTGGTACAAATAAACAATTTATCAGAGTATTTGGTTCTCTTAACACATAAAAATACACCAGGACTTAAGATCTTGGCAAACTTTGTATTTTTAAGTAATTGAGATTTTCTTTGATTTCCTACAAGTTGAGCCAAGTATTGTTTGTCTCTGGTGAATGAATCCAATTCTGGGTTAACCTTTGGAGTTTCCTTGGAAGGTGGGAATTTAATGGAAACGACGGAAAGTTTCAATTTAGAAGAGAATGAACTTGTAATGAATGATGGGAATGAAGAGGCATTACCTAACCTAAGCAAAATACGACATCCATAATTGGTAATGGCAATCAATTGTACATGCGAAGACTCTTGGGTAGTGATATGTTGTATGTTCATGATTCTAAACTTCAGGAATGATTCAAAGTTTGAAGCATCAGCAAAAAGAGAAGAAACTCCCTTGAAAATTTCAGAAGGTGTTAATTGACTATGTTGAGTAAATTGTTCTTGGTTTGGTTCCAATTTATATACTCTTAATACCGACTTATTGGAAAGAGAATACATGATACTTCTCGATGAATCTATATCCAATTGAGTTATGATTTCAGGGAGATTACCAGGAGTTGAAGTAGCAGGCTTTGTAGAAGCAGTAGCACCATTTACTTTAGTGTTATTGGCTGAGCCGTTTGGACCAGGTGTGGTAGTTTCACCACCAAACAAATCAAATCCAGGAATCTTTGTTAATGGTGGTAACACAGAAGAAAATCCACTTTTAGTTAAACAAACTTTATCACATTTATTTTTAGTAAATGAAGATTTATTTGAGTAGTCCAATCTCCAAATATTAGTACCATCACCTTCTCCAGTGAAATAAATGTCATTGGTGGCTTCATTCACGGCAATTTGATTTACAAGAAGTCCTTGAGTAGAAACAAATAATTCAGGATTGAAAACTTCCAAACTATTCAAATTAGAATCATGCTTGACGATGAAAATATGAATTTCCATCGAAGTGGCAACAATAAGAAGATGATTAACAGTTTCAACAAAGACATTAGGCTTAGGTTTCACCAATTTAACTTGTAAAATAGTATGTTTAATTTGATCAATGGTCAAGAACTGAGACGAAGTGGCATTGACAAAAGATGAGCCACGCGATGCATGTGCCTTGTAATTGTACAAGATCAACTTGTTGTCCACAGCAATCCATGAACGATCAATGGCCGGGAAAAGACCCATTTTAGTAATACATTCAGTTGAATTGTATTCATCGAAAAAGCGATCTGGCAAGTTTAATTGTGAAGTTTTTTCAAAACGAGAAAAGTCACCCAATCCCTTTTCATGGTCAAAGTAGTAGTTATCCAAACCTCCAGAACCTTCCTTGCTGATATGAGCATGTGAATAAAGGTCAGAAGGAATCATAGAGTCAATTTTGATCAAATCGGTGATGTATTTAGATCCAAGTTTGAGAGGTGACAAGTCGGCAAAGTTTGGTACACTGACCTTGTAGCCAATTTCCTCGTTCCCAGAAGATGTTGGATGAAGGATACGGTTGGATAATACGCTTCTTGATGAATTAGAACCGGTAGCAGTATGATCTTGTTGAAATTTTAAGGTATTAAGAACTGGATCGTCGAGCTTCAAGGTTGGGGCCAAAATCTTGGAGTTATTGGCACCGACCGCAGGCCGCGTTGTAGAAGTCGCAACAACCATTGTCTAAACTGATTAAGTTGACTGGAAGTAATGCTATTGACGATTGAATGTATTGTGGTCAAAATTTAGGCTAGTTTGGCTTGTTTTTGTTAAGATTTGCGGTAAGTATTTTTTTTTGAGAATGCACGACCCATTCCTAGTATAGAATAGAGAGAGAGAGAGACAGAGACAGAGGGTTAGCATTAAGGAAGTTTTACAAGGTTACTAATGTTGAGGGGAGTAAGTGAGGAGAGGAAAGGTTTGGGGTTTTGCTCTCCTCTCTATTTGAGATAGTACATTAAAGGAAAAGGGCAAACTGTTTTGCAGATTTTGTGTTTGTTGTGTTTTTAGTTATTGTTTTAATGAAGAGAAGGAAATTCGCAACTATTTTCTTTTTTAAGGGAAAAACAACATACTCTCCCTATTTTGAGAATACAGTAGGAAATAAATAAGGAATTAACGGCGGCCTAGGCTACGTTGGACTTTTAGTATCTAAGTTGTTTTTTAAACAAATTATCGAATTTCGGTGAGGGCCAATCAATAGACTTATAATGTAGATAGTTAGAGTTTACTACTAGGTTTCTTTAAGTAAGTAGAGACCATTTTAGTGCTGTTCGTAGTAAAGTGTAGACTCAACCAGAGAAATAAGATTCATAGTACTACTATTATTCTACCTGTGTATTTATATAAAGTTCAACGTTGAATTCCAATATTTTCTCGCTGACTTGCATATATTTGCTAATACCTTTTTAGGTGGGGAGTGTTTGAGTCCGGCCCGGTTTAGAGAGCCCATTGGAGCCGCGCGGATAAGTAGTATTATAAAAAACCTGATACTCCACATTCACACACACAATTATTATTTTTTTATTATTATTAATATTGCTTGTGCCCTCGCTATCTTTCTCTATTTAACATCATGAGAATTGCATCCGCTACTTTATTACTCCCGCTCCAAGTGTACGGCTTCCATTTATTTGGTGCCGCTAACCAATTAGGCTCCCTTTTAAAAGGATTCCTGTCAGAAGAGCCATGTCTTATCAAATTAGGACCAAACCAATACGAATTGGTGACAGAAGAACAAAAGTTCAAATACAGACGTGAGAACATTAAATTCATTGATGTCACTAGTCATGTGTCCATTGAAGAAGCCGTGTCCCAGGGTATGATTGTTGGACCAGTGCAAGAATCCATGTTGCAGCAACTCTTAACTATTGGTTCTAAGCAACTCAAGTCTATTGAAAAGCCAGCAAAATATCAATATCCAAGTGAAGCACAACAAGAAAAACTAGTATCGCCACTCTTTCCAGATATCAGTATTGATTCAATGAGAGAAAATTTGGGTAACTTCACTTCTTTCTTCAACCGTTTTTTTAAGTCTGAAACTGGGTTGGAAAGTGCTATCTGGTTACAAGGTACTATCAACGATATTGTTTCACCTGTTGCAGTGGAAAAGGGTGTCACTGTTACTCCTTTCCATCACGATAAATGGGACCAATTTTCTATTATTGTATCTATTCCTGGTAAGAATAAAAGCAAGCTGGGAAAGGGTAACATTGTAGTTATTGGTTCACATCAAGATTCAGTCAATTTACTTTTCCCCAACTTGATGAGAGCCCCCGGTGCTGATGATGATGGGTCAGGAACTGTAACTTGTTTGGAAGCTTTACGTTTAATCATTGGTCAATATAACTCTGGTGATTTTGTTCCAGAAAACACTTTAGAGTTCCATTTCTACTCCGCTGAAGAAGGTGGATTGTTGGGATCAATTGATGTTTTCACAAGCTATAAGAATGCCGGTGAAAAAGTTGTAGCCATGTTACAACAAGATATGACTGGATACACTGCTAGAGTTGCTGACAATGGAGTAGAACCACATATGGGATTGATTGTTGATTACACATCTCCTGAACTTAACAATTTTGTTAAACTCATGATTGATACTTATTGTGACATTCCATACCATGAAACAAACTGTGGATATGCATGCTCGGACCACGCTTCAGCTTCTGAAAACGGATACCCATCAAGTTTTGTCATTGAATCGGAAATGAAGTTGTCAAACAATTACATCCACTCTATTTTGGATACAATCGATAGAATCGACTGGGAACACGTCAAGGAACATGTTAAGTTGACCGTTGGATTTGCCGTTGAATTGAGTTCTACAAAAATTACAGACGCTTGAAAAAAAAAACAATCTCGGGTATAATAATATATATATATTTAATACAATTTCATAAAAAAGGAAAGATAACAAATTAGGAATAGCAATGACTTTTTACAAGGAATCAACTGCTTAAGCTTCTTCTTCAAAGTTTTCTTCCTTCTTTCTCAACTTGACAATGTCAAAGTTTCTCATCACATAGTTTGGGTAGACTCTCTTATCACCGTTTTCATCTACAACGGTGTTTTGTCTAAAGTCACATTCGACGTACAATTGGGTACCTGGGGTAATGTGGTCACTGAAGAACTTAACTTGACGTTCGTTGAAAACAGAGATGTTGAACCAATCGGTTGGTCTCTCTTCTGAGTTTGGAACGAAGTGGTTGACAGCTAAGGAGTAGTTGATGAACGGAGAACCATCCTTCTTTTCTCTATGTTGCACACTGCCAACGCTACCCAAAAGGGTCAACTTGGCGAATGCGCTTCTGGAAGAGCTGGAACTGAAAGAACGTAATTGAGTGGTGAATGATCTAGACAACATGGTTATTGGGATATCTGAATTGAGTATATGTATGCAATATTAAGACGTGTTTGGTGGCGTCTTTGTTTTTATAGAAAAACGTTGTAACCGCGTGTTTCGATGTATGCAGTCTCTGGCACTTTTAATGGCTGGCAAATGTTTTACAACATGTTTGTTTCAAACATGAACTTAAATAGGTTCTAGATTGTAATATGTATTATTATATGTTATTATTGTACACCTATATTGAATCTACTCCTACCATTGTTGATTCCCTTCCCCAGTAAAATATAAAAATAAAATAAAAAAGGAGAGGGGAAGGGAAAAAAACAAAAATCAATCAATCCTCGTAGCAAATTAGTCCCTCCTTTATGCTCCCATATGTAAAATCTCCTAGGATAATTATTCTCTACCTAGAATCATAGAACGTGTATAACTTCCGTCCAATTCCCAAAACCTTTATATATCATTCTCTCGCATTCTATATATCATTCCACGAAGACCCTCCAAATCCACCACCACCGCCACCACAGGCAACTAAAGATGAAGAACCTGTACTTGATATGGTATCATATTGAGGGGCTGCAAATTCCCCTGAATGTGAACTCAAAGAATTTTTAATTTGGTTCTTAATAACTGAAGACAAAAATCGGTTACTTTCCTTTGAATCGATGAACTCAGACAATATGGTAGAATAACGTTTATGTGAGTTATTGCTTCTCTTCAAGTTTGGACTGCTTGGGGTGGTAGTTCTCTTGTATTGTTGATTATGTTGTTCCTTTTCAAATAATCTCATGAGAAGTTGTGTAATTGCAAGAGGGAAGGATTTCGTTGAGTCTTCCTTTCTGTTTAAAGATGACTTTAAATCATTAGCAATTCTTCTGAACCGCATCAAATCACCTCTAGAGTATCCTTTGAAGATATCATTGCCGTAATACAGAGAAGAATCACCACTCAAGATTGAAGTGTCCAACTCCTTCGCTTGTAAAAGATCATGGATTATATTTTCGTCCAAATCCCAAGAGGCGGTATTATCATCGACGGGGACATCTTGAGACATCTTCCATTTATTAATACGCTTATTTAATGAATCATCACCTCCTTGTGTAGCACCATAATTTAAAATCAATTGTTCAAGCCTCAGCTGAGATGGTGAAGGGGTTAAATTACTTTGTTTAAGATTATCAATCAAAGAATCATCATCTTCAAGATCAGATTCTGCTTCCGTAACTTCTCCACTATCATATCCATTATAATCGCGTACCTCATCAACTTCTTCTTCTTCTACATCATCTTGCTCTGCATCATCCTCCTCCTCAAAACTACCATTTGTAAATGATAAGATATCTGATCCAACATTTACCGCAGATGTCGTTTCCATAGATGGACTGAATAAAACCCACAGAGATTGTGAATCAGAAAGTAACGAGTTGGCACGTTCAACCACAGACGAAGTGTCATTTTGAAGGGAAGTATTAGTACGGATATGGCGTAACTGATACGCAGAATTAAACGCCATGTTTAATTTGATTGTTATTAATTTAATTAATCAGGGAAGTTTCTACCTGAATAGTGGTCAAACAAGAAAAAAAAGCAGTCTAATAAAATCTAAATTTATTCAAAAAGTAATAAAGGAAAGATGGGTGAAGGTATAAGGTAACTGTTGGGTGTTGTGTGTATGTAAAGGAATGAGCTATGTATGTGTGACTGTGGCGATAAGGTTTGTGCAGTATTTTGCTGGCAGATAAAGCAGGCTAAAAAAAAAAAAACAGCAAATTATTTTGGGGTGGGTAAACGAGCACTGAGGGGAGTTGCATCTTAAATTGAATTTTGGGAGTAGTGCAGCAACTTTGCAAACGAGGGGCATCCGTTCATGACTAGGGCAAATTTAATACAATAGGTTAGATCCGAGAAGAAAAGCCTATTGAGGAATACATCTCAGAGATGGTTATGAATGTTCACTATCCGATCTCGGTTTAAGATTATTAGACCTTTGAGACTCCTTTTTTTGTCACGCATATACGGATCAGCAAAAAGAAATAAAATGAGGTACACGGCAATACAAAAAAAAATTAAGGTAAAATAAAAAGGATCTCTTGGAATTTAAGAAGGAAAACGGCCAAGAGAGAATATGTGACTATGTAGGGAAACTTACTTCAAAACGATAACTACAGGATATACCTAATATGGAATGTAATGCCGTTTTCCTTCTCATTTTCCTATCTGGCCGTAGTCCAGATGAAAAGATAATTATAAGCTAAATGAAACACATTGAATCATTAGAATGAAAGAAACGAAGAATAAGTATGTAGAACGTGACTTAGCTTAGCTGTAATAACTTCTCTTCTAAAATACTAGCATAGAGGATGGATCACGTGTACAAGGCTCATTCTAAAGGAACTAGAAATTTGCAAGAAACAACCTTAGTTTACCTATGTGTTTCTGTAGTAGTGCCACATTCAAGACTTACCGAAGTATATATAGTGAATATTTTTTTTTCACGGAGCCCATACCTTCAATCCTACATTCTACTGATCAATCTACAATGTATCTTTCTTAGTTTCTTTTTTTTTTATTTTTTTTGTTCACTATTTATTGAAATAATTTCCAATTTCTAATTTTTGTTAGTAAAATGTTTGGGAAACAATTAAATAAAATTTTGACTGTTTGCAAATAAATCAGATAGGGGTGAAAGACTATATTTGATGGATATTTCGTCATACATTATGTCAGTTGAACTATGCATATTCAAATCATCATGTAAATTGCAACAGTAGATACTATTTACTTACGTATTTGTAATACTAGTGCTAAAGAGTATGTAAAGAATTTTGAAATTAGTAGGACAATTTTTTTTTTATACTGGAAGAAAAATATATATTCCACAAAAGCTGGCGATGATACAAAATAATAAATTTAGGGCTTTAATTTTTGAGTTGGTGTGTGGATGTTACAAATAGAAACAGAGTTATTTTTTTTTTTTAGAACTATTTTTAATTATATTCATTTACAACATATATATATGAAAATGATCAATATGTGGGTATGAGAATAGGATAGAAATATATATATATCCCTAAATTGTTCTAGTTTCTCTTGCTTCTCTTTCTCTTCGTATAGATAATCTGCAATACGATTTGCATTTTTAGCTATATCTTGACTCATATCTTAGTAAACTTGGCTGATATAAAATTGAAATTTGTAATTTGTTGGTAAGCGCACGTGACGCTCTACGTCAGTATGATCTTGGTGGGTGGAAGAAGATACTATAAGTTCTCCAGATTTTCTTTTAAATAGATTATTAAACAAGAATATTTATATTTATATATATAATCAAATTAAAAGATGGCTGTTAAGGGATTAGGACAATTAGATCAAGAATACGACGGTAAGTACACAAGAATGGGAGCACAACCTTACGTTGAAATACAGCTCACTCTGGGGATTTACTCACAATTTGTATAAAATGTGATTTTTATTGAAATTCAGGGTGGGCCACATAATACTAGACCTCTGCATTCACCTCCTTCTCACATATTAACTTAATAGGATCGAATTTGCGTATTGGTATTCTCCATGCTAGATGGAACAAAAAGATCATTGAAGCTTTAGTTGAAGGTGCTAAAGCTAGACTCTTAGAGTTAAACGTTAAGCCAGAAAACATTGTTATTGAAACCGTTCCTGGCTCATTTGAATTGCCATATGGTACCAAGCGTTTCTTGGAAAGAGAAGCCAAAAAGGGCAAGCCATTAGACGCTGTTATCCCAATCGGTGTTCTTATCAAGGGTTCCACCATGCATTTCGAATACATCTGTGATTCTGTAACCCAACAACTCATGAAATTGAACTTTCAACTTAATATCCCAGTTATTTTCGGTGTATTGACCTGTTTAACTGACGAACAAGCAGAAGCTAGAGCTGGTTTGATCGAAGGTAAGATGCATAACCATGGTGAAGATTGGGGTGCTGCAGCTGTTGAAATGGCTACGAAGTTTGAGTAGACGTGTATATGGGATAAATAAAGAGTAAATGAATACAAGTACTAAATAAGAGCACTAATTTTAAAAATGGTTTTAACTATTTAACTATAGGAAGGAGTAAAAAAGAAACAATCATAAATCATTCATTTTAATTCTCGTTCACATTATCTTACATCAATATATGGCTATATCTCTCTATGTTAAAAATTCATCTTTTTTCATGCTATCAAAATATCTCTTTATCTACCCAATCATGTAGAGAATCATGATTCACACTAACCCTCGAATATTATTTTTATTTTTTTTCACAGAAAAATTGTCACGTGTGCATGTCCACAAAATTCACCATTTCCGGTTTCGTCGTTTGTGTTAATCGAGAGATCTTGAAAAATTCCAACGATAAGTGCCGTACTAAATAAAACATCAGAAATTAACATCTTTACAACCACAACTATTTTTTTTACTTTCTTGAATACACTATGAGTGGATGTAAGTATGGACACTCCTCTATGAGTATGGAGGTAGTCTGGAAATTTTCTATTTGACTCAACTTTAAATGTATCACTTTGATGTATTGCCACTTTTCCAACATTTGTCGTATAGAAGAAACAAAAAAGGAAGAATATTTTACTAACAATACAATAGTTCGCCTTCTTGACTTAGTCAAGTTCTTCCTTCCTATCTTGCCTGAAATTGAATCTCCATTGGAAAGAGTAAGTTTTGATGAAAGAATCGTATTCACTGTTGCCAGTGGTATCATTTTCCTCTTGAGTCAATTGCCAATCTACGGATTGGTTCCAAACGCTTTCTTGAAGATTAACGATCCATTCTACTTCAATAGATCTATCTTTGCCATGGAAAAGGGTACCTTATTGGAACTCGGTTTATTGCCAGTTGTTACTGCTTCTTTGGCTTGGCAGTTAGCTGCTGGTCTCAGACTTGTCAAGGTCAACTTCAATTTGAGAAGTGAACGTGAATTGTTCCAAACTGGTCAAAAGCTCACTGCATTTGCTTTGGCCGTTGCCTACGCCGTTGGATTGATTCTTACCGGCTACTATGACAATGTCATTCAAGGTTTCAACCCAGCTGAAGACAAATTCCCACCAGTTGGTGCCGTTGCTCTTATCTTACTCCAAATCGTTGGTACCTCTGTCTTTATCACCTTAATGGTTGAAATCTTCGACAAGGGCTTTGGTTTTGGTAGTGGATTCCTTTCTTTCATTGCCTTGCAAGTTGCCACCAACCTCATTCGTGATGTTGCTAGTTTCGAATCTTACCCAATTGCTGGTACCGATAAGTTTGAAACTTTTGGTTCCTTGGCTAATGCCTTGAAGTCTCTTAAGAGCTTCTCTCTCAACACTAACTTTTTTGAATCTTTTACCAGAACTAACTTGCCAAACTTGAACCAATTGATTGTATCTATTCTTTCAGTCTTGGTTGTAATTGGTTTACAAAACATGAGAATTGAATTGCCAATTAGATCTACCAAGGTTCGTGGTATGGCCAACGTTTACCCAATTAGATTGTTGTATACTGGTGCCTTGCCAATTGTTTTTGCCTATGCTGTTTTGTCCAACATTCATATTTTCGGTTTCATCCTTGCCAACCTTTTGAACACTTACACTTCTGCCACCATCATTAGCTCTTTGATTGGTAAGTGGGCTGTCAACGTTCAATCTCAAAATTTGGAATTAACCTCTGGTGCTTTATACTTTTTAACTCCAGCTACCTCTCTTTTCGGTACCTTATTGTCTCCAATTAGATCCATTGTGTATTCTGCTACCATTGTTGGTTTGTCTTGTTGGTTTGCCAACATTTGGTCTGGAATTTCTGGTTCTTCTCCTCGTGATATTGCCAAGCAATTCAAGGAACAAGGTATCACCATCTCCAGTAAGAGAGATATTTCCATTACCAAGGAATTGTCAAGAGTCATCCCAGTTGCTTCCGTCAGCGGTGCTTTTGTTTTAGCTGCTACTTCTATTGCAGGTGACTTATTGGGTGGTTTAGGTAAGGGTGTTGGTGCTGTGGTTGGTATTTCTGCAGCCTTCGGTATTTTGGAAGATTTCATGATTGAATTCCAACAAAATGGTGGTGCTTCTCAATTCGGAAATGCCATTGGTGGTCAATTCTAATTTAGTCCATATGAAAGTTTGAAAGGTTGATACTCTTAACGGAGCCTTAAATCGTAGAAGATACTACAGCAAGAGTTAAGAAAATGAGGATTCTCCATTTATTCATAGAGCTGAAAGGCAAACTCCCCATATCTTGCATTGATACATGGCTCTTTATTGAATTAAATAATTAATTATATCGACATAAGAAAACTATTGTAGACCGCATACTTTTATTCTTATGGAATATTCTACATAAGGCATGATTGTTGCATATTAGTGTATTAGGGGATAACTATATACTTACTGGTTCTCTTGAAGATATAAACAATTGTGGGTAATAGCAGCATAATAAATAAATAATTAGATTAAAAGCCTGAATACTTCGATCTGGCACGCAACTTAGGGCCATTAAGGTAGAATAAAACTGGGATAGCGATCATCAAAACACAGATCAAAGCCAATAAAGTACTACCCCAACCAACAGGGAATTTTTCAGATCCTAAGTTTTCGAATAAAGGAGCCCCAAATAATGGGAATGCACCTGCTGTAACTGATCTGAATAAATCATTACCAGCAAAAACAGAGGCTAAATATCTCCAGAAAGACATAGAAAGATAGTTAAACAAAGTCTGGAATACACAGAAAGCTCCCATGGCAAATATGACGGTTCCAATAATGGCACCAATCCAATGAGTGTCTGGACTTGCCGACCAACCAAAGATAAGAATACCAATAGGCATGAGAACTGAGCCAAAAATAGCCATAGGGAGGAAAACTTCTGGTGTAACTTCAGCACCTGCGAGCATCTTCTTTGTAAACTTTTGGTAGATAATTGGAACGTAAATGAGAGCACCCAATAAGATACCAATCATAATACCAACGTAACTCACACCCATTTCGATTAAATTGAAGTGATAAGTTCCAACCAAAACAATAGGGAAAGCTTCAAACCAAAGATACATGATGGAGTAGATCAATGCGATGTAAATGTTGATTAACAATACAACAGGTTCAAAGATTGTGATTTCAAAAGGTCTCCATAAGATATCAATTACAACTTCTCTGGTAGTCAACTTCAGATTTGCAATTTCACCTTCACTAGTGATATTTTGATTTCCAGTGACAGCTCTTAATCTCTTAGCCTTTCTGTAAAGTAAAGTTTGCAGGTAAGTTTCTGGTAAGAAGAATCCAAGTACCAAGAAACAAGCACCGGAAATAATAAGCATGAACCAAAAAGTCCATCTCCATCCGATTAATTGGGCAAACACTGACCCAATCAAAGGACCCAAAGAAGGACCACAGACTGCAGCAATCGACCAAATGGCAATTCCAACTGGGATATATGGCAAGGATATCACATCACCCACCGATGCACCACCAGTGGCCAATGCTGGAGAAGCGAAAAACCCACTAAGGAACCGAAGTACACACAACGAAGCAATGTTTGGTGCCAATGCAGTTGGAATCTGCAAGATGAAGAATATGAAAAGTGTGATAATGTAAATATTAGTTCTACCAAAGACGGCATTCTCTGATAAGGGGGACAAAACCATTGGTCCAATACCATATCCAATAACAAAAAGAGTAAGTGGTAAAGTAGCACGTACTCTTCCAATTCCCCATTCTTCCATGATTTGCTCAATTCCTGGTGTGTAGATAGCTGAACCCATGTAAACAGATGTAGTCAAGAAGGCAATTTCGAAAACAAAGAACACCTTTTGGTACAATGGCCAATTATATGGATTTTCAGGATCATCGTCACCATCCCAGCCCACTATAATTTGTTCGTTAATTTTCTCGACTTCTTTCCCTTCTCCCGATGAAATAGAAGATGATTCGCCATTCCGTTCCTCTTCTACCACTATTTCAGCAGCTTTACTTTGATATCCGGGAAGATATTTTTCGGGTATAACATAATCTGGTCTATCCTCTTTGTGGTTTAAAAGTTTATGGCCCGAGAGGTGATATGCGAGTCTGCCCCAAAATGAATCTCTGATGAATCTATGATGCATAATATTTATATTGATTTAGTGAATTAATTGATGATGAGAGGAATTATCAAATTGAGTTTCATTTTGATGCTTTATATATACAAATGTCAGTGGCGATAATGACTAAGCGTTGGGCTGCGTTCCAGATGGATCTTCCAGTTTCTCAGTTTGACAACCCTTTTGGGACTCAGCCGTAACCATGATATGCGGCTGACTCGGAATACGGACTATCCCAAATGGGAAATCTCGGTTCCGAACCTTTTCGGCATTACTTAATGCGTACAATTCCCGTATTTTTCGCGGGCGAAAAAAAGGGTTCGATGCCAATAATTCGTTTCTAACGCCAGTAGGAAAGTTAAATCCGAAGATTATTAATTATTCCTTTCAATCCGACAAATATAACATTTAAATCAGGTGTGGAACACTGGAAACATAACAATGCGTTTAGAAATAAAGTTTAGTTTTCGTTTTCATACAAGAGAAATTGTTTTGATACCCAAATTGATTAGTGATGATTAAAATTTTTTGCCACTGAATCTAAATTAAATTAGAATAAGCTAATACTGAATAATGTTTTAATTGTATATATTTTATCTCATACTGAGTAGTGTTAACTCAAAAGAGCTTAAGATGATACTTTGTCGATATACAGCAGGAAAAAAAAGATAAAAAGAAATGGTGACTCCTAGGCGGTTCGAACGCCTGCATCTTTACGATAGTAGAACTTGAGTCTACCGCCTTAACCACTCGGCCAAAGAGCCAATTTCTGAAAGATAATTTTTGTTGTTTGTTAACACAAATATTTTTCAATTTTACTGGTTCGTACACTACCTCATTCAAATGAACAGTTTATACCACTTGTTATTGTAAATACTTGCTGGATATGGCATTAAGCAGAAAGATAGCGATTCTTTTATGCTGGTACCATTGTCATATTGGGTTGGGTTGAAAGAAAAAAAAAATGTTATAAAACCAATCGAACTTGTAGATACGGTGGAGGATCACACAGATGGTATCGGGAAGGACAGCACCCAGTGATGGATCCATTTGTAGGACTCGACCTACAAATGAGACCCGTACTTTTTCTATCTTCCAGTATATCCCGATGGTTTTGCTCCTGCGCTCTTTTCAGCCTGAAAAGTATTGTCGTTAAATATGACTAAAATTTGAAAAAATAAAAAATTGTGTATTTAATGCTGCAAAAAATGTGATATCTTGAAGAAATAAGTAATTATGTATCGAAGGTGTATAAAAAATATACTCATATTTGTTAATTTATGTATAATCTTCTCTTACTACAAAATAACTCTTTTTGTTTTTTTAATTTTATACAAAATATATATATAGGTCAAAAAAGGGAAATTGATCTTCAAATGTTAATTGATACTTTGTGAGTATTAACCACAAAGAATCGGATGGCTACTAGACTAAGTGTCTCTGAACAAAAATAAATATAATTAGAGCCAGGATATTGATAAATTGCTTTTATTACAAATTACACTCGATTTCCAAAACTACCAGAGCCGTTTCCACCACGGTGTACCCACTTTAAATTCTTTTTCTACATTTGGTAATGCCAACCATATTAAAACCATTACCAGATATAATGATACAAATACCGGGAGTACCACATATGTACCTGAATATTGAGATATGAGACCCACCAAGAATGGGAATATAGCACCTCCGATAGATCCAAACGCGGTTAGAATAGTAACAGAAATGATTTGAATCTTTCTGGGAAACATCCGTGGAGTTACTGCTACCATTAATGTATAATTTGGACCGATTAATACCCCAGAGAGTGCTACAAGACACCCGGCGGCTATAACATTTGGAGTAAACCATATTGCGATAACTACTGCTATAGCGGCAACTCCTGTTATAACAACACTTCTACGAACACCAAAATATTTGTATAATGCCCGTGTAAGGAAAAGGCGACCTATTGTGAGTCCACCCCAAAAGCCGGATGCAACATATCCTACTGCTTTGGAATTCCCATGCCTATAATCTAACAAGTAAGTTACAATCCAACCCGCCAAAGAAACTTCAGATCCTTGATAGAATAAACAGAACAATGCCATTAACCATGTAGATCTATTTTTGATAGCTTCTAACATATCACCTGATGTAGGCGTGACGTTAGCTATTTGCGCTTCTGGTTCTTCTAATTCATGTTGTTCGTTCAACCTATAATTCTCTGAAGTCTCTTCCTCCACAAATGCAAACCATAAGTCTACAGCATTTGCAAGCATAATACCAAGAAGAATCATATAAAAATAATGCCATTTTACCCCACTATTAACTGTAGCAGTACCTATTAGTGGAGAAACTGTTGCACCCAAGCCATAAAAGGCATGTAAGTATGCTAAATATGTAGATCCTCCTTCTAAGCGAGATACATAAACATTACATTGTGCCAAGCAGATCCCAAGACCAATTCCTCCAACGAAAAATCCAGTCACAATCACTGCAAAATGAGATCCACTCAGAACCATTCCATACATGACACAGGATAAAAGACACCCTAGTATAAGGGATCTTTGCATTCCGAACCAAATTTGTATCTTACCTGATAATACAGCCACAACTATAAATCCTGCTGCATTTGCCATCCAAATAAGAGAAACAATGGAGTATGAAATGTGATAGTATTCTTCAATATACGGGAGCAATGCTCCTGGAGCGGCATCAGAAAACCCGCAGCCAAATGACCATAAGCTTGAAGCTGCAACTCTCCATTTTTTTCGCACCTCTGACATATTGGAGCCTGCTTATGATTGGGGACAATTTCGCTACTGCTTTAGTGCTGTATTGCATTTGAAATGGGTGTTCTGGTTTGTGCACTTTTCATTCCCAACCGATATGTAATTCCGAGAATCTCCTCATATTGGAACTAATTTCAAAAAGAAATGGACTTTGAGTTAAAATAAAGACCAAAGAATACCCAGCTAAACTATAACGGGCAAACATCTAAAAGCAAGACCAAAACTTCAAGGAATAATATTCATCAATCATAACGAGAAATACAAACGATAAATGTGCTATATCATAGAAGCAATATAAAAAAAAACAAAAAAGAAAGCCCGATGCGGGGGTCGAACCCGCAACCTTTTGATCGCACTCTATTAAGAGTCAAACGCTCTACCGATTGAGCTAACCAGGCATTTTCGTTGTGCTTAAAATTTGCTGGTTTGTTGCCTCACAATTTCACAATTGAGTAATTTGAGCCTCACACGACCTGATAGTTTCTCTTAAATTATTTAATATGTCAGTAAAATAAACTAAATGATCTCTAGACTGCTTTCTAAACTATCATTAGGTTAGTAACAATCGTTTAGTTACTTAATTCAAGGTAAAAGATCCATTTAGTTAAAGCAAATAACAAACTATTCAAGCTTTTGTATAAAGAATCTATATTCACTGTGATCTATTGCTATGGCGATACTCTACTCGTGAAAGTAACAATATTAACATAATGAGTGAGTAGTGTTATTGTTATCAAGTAGTCACCTCTGATTTTATTATCTATGCTATCAATAAGTTAATCGATCAAATCAAAAAAAGCAAGCATCACAAAAAACCTGCATATATTCCTCATTATCATTATCATTTCTATATCCTATTATTGTACAATATGATATTCAAACTAGTAACTTCTACCAACTGATAATGGTAGGACCTCCTCCATATAAGCTAGTTCTTTTAGGAGATTCGTCCGTGGGAAAAACCTCTCTTGTCCATCGGTTTGCAACGGACAATTTCGATGAACACACTGCAAACACTATTGGTGCTGCCTTCATAACCAAGGAATATGATTCAACTAATACCGACCGTAAGGTAAAATTTGAAATATGGGACACTGCAGGTCAAGAAAGATACAGATCTTTGACACCAATGTATTATAGAAACGCGAAAATAGCCCTAGTTTGTTATGATCTATCTAATCTAGACAGTTTTGATAAATGTAAATATTGGATAGACCAATTAAATACCACTGAAGATAACATTCAAATCAAGTTGGTAGGGAATAAAAGTGACTTGCTTGCAGAGGATGCAGACATGGAAACAATAGAAGAATTCTGTAATTCTAACAACATTCCACAGTATAAGACTAGCGCGAAATCCGGACTGGGGATTCCAGAACTTTTCAGCGCTATTATAGATGAGATCGATGAATCCATATTCACCGACTACAATGAAAGACAAATACAAGAAGAGGAGGCCAGCAGGAATGGTCTGTTTGGGACGATTGATTTTTTGAATGCAAGGTTTAGAAACCCGGATGCATCAAGTACGTGCTGCTAAGACGCACCCCTAACTATTCATTATTACTGTATTAATACTATTATGTTTATGTATATTCTTTAATTATCTATAGCTCTAATCCCTTTTGTCTCCAGTAGTCCCTTCGTATGTCTTTGTCAAGATTCACCTTAGGTTTTTTGGGCAATCCAGCAGTGGAAGATTCTTCGTCTTCAATTGACGCATTCTTCAAATCTTTGGATTTATCTAATTCTTCCTCAGATTCAGAATCAACAGTAATACTCATAAGCTCTACAGCTCTCTTTTGACTTTCAGCTGGATTTTCACCTTTTTCCTTAACAAATGTTGTATCTTCTTCACTCTCCACGGTCATATCCGAGTAATAATATTTGTCATTACCTTCAGCACCGTCGCTTTCCTCATCATCATTGACATCGTCTTCATGACTTACCAAGGCATGGTTTGCAACTTTATCTCTATCATCGTTGAAGTCTCTTTCTTCACCGCGGTACTTAATAATATCACCCAAGATCAGTTGCCCAATACGGCCCTTGTAAGATGCAGAATGAAGTTCATAACATTTGTCAACAAGTAATTGGTATGCACCACCAAATGCCTTCTTCAAATCTCTCAAATTATATGAAGATCTTGTGATATTATTTGAAGGGTCACTAGGATCTTGAATGACAATAGCGAATGGATTCTTAGATGTATTGAGAACAGGATTTCTTCTTTTTAAAAGATATCTGGGCAAATCAGTATCTGGATCAATAGATAAGATAAGATCATCATACGAAAAATTTCTTCCATATAATTCAAAGAATTCAATGAGTAATGAGCCCAAATTATCCAAGATTGCCATACTTTTAGTAGCAATTCTTGGATGTAACTTGAGGAAATGATAACATAAAATGATCGTGGAATAACCTCCCAAACCTCCAACATGAACATTATTCAACTTTCTTGATCTTAAAAATTGTTTAACAATAAGCACCATTTCACGTAACCCAGGGGTACTAGAAAGCCATCTCCTTATCTTTTTGGCTGCCATAATACCATTTGTTCTTTCAAACGATACATCAATATGAATGTTGGATGTTGGGTCCACAAACTTGATAATCGGCACCTTAGCATGAGCAATAACTTCAATGTTCTTTGCAAGTTTCTTGTTTCTCAAAAAGGACGATAATTGATAGAGTCTTGATCTATGTTCATAATCACCAGTGCTGGAAACAATCACCATATCAATATCTGACCCAGGCAAGTAAAGATCGGTTGCACATGATCCAAAGACATGAGTTTCAGTTTCTGGCCAGAATTTGCCAATCAGAGACTTCAATTTCTGAACCACGCGGTTACGAGTTTCAATTTCACGCTTGGATGGTGATATATAGTTTACAAAATCTTTCATTTCCATTGTAAGCCAATCGGCAATCTCCTTTTGTTTAGAGTGATCATGGTCCTTTATCCATGGATAAAGTGTTCTTGGGTTGGATGTGGTATGTATGTTTATTTCATCATTACTGATTATACCATCATCTGAGTACTCTCCAGCCTCTTTCTCTTCTTCTGACGAACTAAAGTCAAACGAAATAAAGTCTTGATTCTTTGCAAGCTCATTGAATTGTTTTGTGTCATTACCAGCACTGGTACTCTCATCTTCTTCTTCATCATCTTTCAAGTCTTCACCAGAAACATCGGACTCAATGTAGATATCATCATGGTCATCATCAGACTCTACCAAGACAACTTCTTGTCCTCTTCTCTTATTGGGAAAATCGTATTCATAATCAGATTCATTCTCACTACTGGGAAGAGCTCCAAATTGGTTTTCCAGTGGTACTAATTTATTTTCATTGTCTCTTTTTTGGTTTCTCTTTCTAAACTTTTTAGATTTGAGTTTCACTGGAGGAGAGTCTCTCTTTCTCTTTGTTCCAACCATCCTATAAATATTCTATAATATACAAGTCACCCAGTATCCTACAGATTCACTTTACCAAATGTATCGATATTTTTTCTTCTTTTTTTCTGTTTTTGAGCAAACTTTACATGCAGGCATTGGCTGCAATACTTGTCATGGTGTTGCAAAAAAAATACAGACAACATTTTTTTGAAATTACTATCCCAAAATAGCACTACCTATACACACACTTAACATAGCCATCATTATAGCACCCCTTTGAGTCATTTTTGGAACCCAAAAAAGATCATACCCAATATTACCAAAGATTAGCAATTTCAAAAATATCAGTAGCCAGAAATTTCGAATTACGATATATTCGGATACTAAGTATGAAAAGAAATAACCACCATAGATCAGAATATTTAATACTTTAGGAGAAATTTTATTTGATGTGGTTTTAATTGGTTGTTTACCCTTTTTCTTCCTTTCCTGTTTCTCCTGATCTTGATATATAAAGTTTTTCTTCATTTCATTTAGCATGGATATAATTTTTCCTGTTAACACTCGAGATATTGGTTCCGAGTCAGACCCTTTAATCATCAAGTAAATCAAATTTCTAAATTCATTTAAAGTTCTTGTTTTTGTACGAGTACCCAAGGCTTCGTTGAACCAATCATTGAATGAATTTTGGTCCAACACAAAATACCAATCAAGAATTTTTGATCTAATCACAAGTGGATCAACTTCGTTTTCAATAAGATTTGAAAAGGGTAAGGATCCAACACACAACCAACACAATATTAAACCCAAAGAATATATATCACTTTCATATGTGAATTCATTTGTAAACTTTTGACTTTGTAATCCCTCTAAATCAGGTCTTTCATAATTCGAATAGAGCCACAATTCAGGGGCAGTGAACTCTAAAGTTCCAGTATTACCACATCTTTCAGTAGAATGCATATTGTTTATGGAAGTAGACATATTGAACTCACTATCTTCAGTGAATTGTTTATGTTTATTGATATATTTCCCTTCCCCGAAATCAGAAACTAACACTTTTGGAAGATTCTGAATGTATAATTCAAAATCATCATCATCCCATATTTTATTTGTAGGGAAATATTTATATTTTTCATCAAGTAAACAGTTTGAAGGTTTTAAATCTCTATGCAAAATTCCATGCAAATGCAAATAATGAACTCCATTAACAACATCTTTGATAAACTTCCAAATTTCTATATCATCTAGCCATTCTCTATGAAAGGGGAGCTCTTCATCCTGAAACAAATCTCTATCCACTTTAGATCTACTACGACTACGTCGGCGTCGTTTTTCTCGTTCAATATCAACTCGTTCCTTCATAGACTGACGCTTTTCAGGGAGGAAATTATCATATATCAAATCTTCTAAATGTCCCCCATCACAGTACTGTTGGAGGATAAACACATATGGAACTTTATCATTTCTAGAACTTCCTGAAGTACGTCCATTATAATCGGGAATGATAAAGGTCAGCAGGTCATCGAGATCACCCATCTCCAACCAAACATGGTTGTATCTAATCAAATTGTTTTCATTAGCACCTTGAACCGAAAGTTCATAAAGTATCATTACTTCATTTAAAACCTGTTCAAGAAACTCAACCTTATCTCCAATACATATTCTTTTCACGGCATACGTTCCCAATCTGATCTCATTAAGCACATGAATAACCTTATACACTTGAGCATGTGCACCAGTCCCCAAGGTGAATGGAGGAACTTTCTTGAAAAACCGTTGGAAGTATCCTTGGTTAAATATGTTTTCAGGTAGGCACGTGTCATTTTGTAATGCTGAACCAAGCTTGAACTTTACATGATGAGGGAGGTTTTCCAAGAGTTTAAAATAATCATGATGCATGAATCCATCCCCTGAATTGGATCTGAAATCCACAGGAAGGCCATTCGACAATGGCTGAGATGTGCCAGTGGCACCATCTGGTTCGGAGAGCTGCTGCAGGTCTCCAGCGCTTGGTCTTCTCGGATATTGATCCTTCCTATAATTCTGGTAATCCCATGCAAACCCACAATTAGGACAGGTATTATTATGAACGTTGCTATGCGACAGGTATCTATTGCCTTCTGAAGCTGTGTGACTCGTCGATAAGAGTTGGAAGGTATTTTGTTGGTTATTATGAAGTACTAAAATTCCATGTGTGGGGTCATGATAAACAATCTTATTATTTGGGTTGTACGGCACTACAGACATTCTCGGCACCTCACTAAATATAATAGAAAAGTCAATCAATCAACTGAGTTGAGCAAGAATATCAGACATTGATTGTTAAGTGTGAATAATTACACCGTGGTACGATGTGGTATGTGTGATCACTCTTCTGGAGTTGGCGGCACATAGTCCGATACGAATCGAGATAATCCGGTACACAAGAGTACAATGCTGCACTATGGATTTTTTTTTTTGCTACAAACTCATTTTATTCCATTAGGTCATTCTATTGTACATATTAAAATTACAAGGGCTATGGCTGGCATATTTAGGGCTATTGAGGATGCGAGTTTCTCAACCGAAGCATGAATCCCAAGAGCTTTGTTTCCAAGTCAAACCGATCTTGTTGTGTCATCGATTCAATTTGTTCATCTGACACTTCCTGCACAACCGCGCCGATGTTGGCTGCAATATCTTCCTTTCCATTCTGCAATGTATGTAATTCGGTCGATTCATCCGACGATTGCATGTTAGAATCTTCGATGTCCAAGGCAGCTGGTAACGCGTCATTCATGATGTAATTTTGCGAAGACGACTGGTTTATATTATCACCAACAGCTCTAGTTGAAGGAGAAATGTGAGTGTCACTTTCAAGACTTGAAATGACCTCTTCCTCCTCAGCATTGGTTTCAGGTTGAAATTTTGGTCCCGATTCAGACACTTCTACTACACTAGCTTGGGTCAATTCTATATTTTCTTCTGAATTTCCTTCTAATTTGAAACGCTTTTCTTGGGACTCACCAATATCTGGTGATGCAGATCTTTTAGACCCAAGAGATTCTTCCATGGTACCTTCAATTTCTGGGGATTTTGGCCCATCCTCGTCTTGTCTCATATACATCTCATAATCAAAATTGTCATTATTGTCATTATTGATTTGAGAGTTAGTGTCGGTTGGAGTATGATCTTCAACTTGAGGCAGATCATGTATCAAATCTTGTCCAGCTTCGGGAAGCTGTATAGACTCTTCCTTTTGAATAGAGTCTTCTTTTGGAACATTATTTTCTACAGATTCCACAACATCCTTTTCCTTTTTAGACGCAGGTGATGATAATTTGGCTGTCAACATCGCAGTAAAGGAATGTATATCAAAATTCCCAACATGTGAAGTTGCAGCAGTTTCAGCCTTGGTAGGTTTCTTTCTACTTTTGGTTGATGATTTCCCTTTCTTAGCTCTCCCCTTAGATTTTCCAGCTTTCGAAGGTGTCAGGGTACCAGTTGCAGGCGCAGCCAAAGAAGCAGTTGAATTTTCTATTGGCGGCAGAGTTTTTATAGGACTCAGAGAATCTAAGGTGATATCGGCATCGAGGGTCACATCAGAATCGAGAGCCACAGAGGCCCCAGAAGGAGATGGAGAAGGAGCGATAGTCAGAGCTGGAACGTGAACTTCAACAGGTGGAAGCGGTGGTGGCGGGGGAACTATGGACTTATCAATGTATAGTTCCGGATTTCCAGTCAACCAAGCCTTCTTTAAGATTGGTAGTTTATCCCATCTATTTCGAATGTATGGCTTGACATCAAACGATGAATCTAAAGATGCAAGTAAAAATTCATCCAAAAGTACAAAGTTATTACTATCTGCAACAGAAGTTAGGTATGATTGCCAAGATTGTCTGAATTGAAATTGATAAAAACCATCCAAGCCTTTAAATTTTCTCATAATGTTTTTCCTTAAGTTGAAAAGTTCAAAGTTGAATTTATTTTCAATAAGAAAATCAACGAGGTTAATGAAAACTTCGCTATCTTCCCATTTCAAAAGGATAAGATTTAAGGTCATTTGCTTGAGATGGTAATGTGGTGCGTCATGCATAAGAAGAATGAAATATTTAAATACTGGGAGTGTCCACTTGGCCACTTGCAACAGATTCAGAAGTCTTTCAAACTCTTCTGGACTTCCTAAAACGATGTCTTGAATTAGTTTCTTGGTGATAGTTTCAAAATTTTCAGTAATCGATTGAAAGAATTCAGATACTAAGTCAAGTTCAAATTTGGAAGTTTTACTGATTCGTTTGTTATTCAATGCTTGAATCAAGAACTCATCTATGGCGTCATTTGGAGATTCCTTTTGTAATTTTAGTAAATCAGTGATGAATGTAATATTTGATTTCTCACCAATGGCGGAATATATTAAAGCAAATAATTCACCCAAATTTTGACGCAGAAGATCACCCATACTATTTTTGAGAATCTCATAGTAAACACTAGGGGTTGACATGGCTATGTCTTGACCTGCTGTTCTCCCAATAAGGTTTGCGGGACCAAATGTGTCATTCAAATTAATTATTAATTTGTGAACTTCTTCAAACGTTAATTTGTTATGTCTGAACAAAATATCCAATATAAATGGAACGTTATCAATGATATCATATGTAGAGTCAGTAGTACCAATTTCCTTTTTAATAGAAAGTTTAAGGCAATTGAAAAAATTATACAAAAAGTTCAATTTATGTTCAAGTGCCAACTTCTCCAACTTAAATACAAGGACCAAATTTTGCATGATTCTATCAAATCTAGAGTAAACCCATTTTGGATTAATGGAATTGATTTCGTTAAGTGTTATAGGGTCATTTGAGAGACATCTCATGTCGTTGAAATTGGTTTCATTAACAGCGGTTACTGATTTAAGAAGTCTGTTAAGTACACGCGTACCCAATTGATTCATATATGCGTTGGAGAGACCCTTTTTGAAATAAAAGTTGGCTAAGACTGGTTGTATAATCTTATCCCAATATATATGCATATACTTTGTACCCAGTGTCCCAAAAATCGTGTATATGATTGATAAAAATAAACTGTGCAAGACATCAATGATTTCCTTTTGGGATTCAACTGCCGTCACGTTCAACAATGGATGTAATAATAATTTTACTTTTGGTTTAAGAATTGCATTAAGCGGATTATCAGATTTACCCTTGGTGGTTGTTATCGTTGGAGTTTCATCAGAATGTCTCTTCAAATCATCCAAATCATTATGACATACATTATAAATAATAGCTTTCCAACTGATTAATGCAGTTACTTTAGCATTAGTATCCTGTTGGTTGAAGCAAAACTTATGCACCTTCAACCATCTAGACAAGTAATTCCAAGTTTCATACCCTGAACTGCTGTTGCTAGTGAGAAGTGTAATAGCAACCCAAATATCCATGGATGCCTTATATTGACCATTTCTGATCAATTCTTCAAGGTTTGAAACTAGAAAGTCAAAGGTTGAAATATTTTGAGATTCAAGAGAATCGAATTGAGATGATGGAGAAATCTTCAGATCTGCTGAAAATGATTTGATTTCTTGTGGTAAAGGTGTAGCCAAAAGTCTTCTAACAGAGAATAAGACATTTTTGTTGCTAATGAAATTACGAGCTGCTTCTAAAAGAGGCTGCACACCCATATTAATAACCTTGACGTACAACGGAGAATTGAGGTCACAGAGGTTTACAAGTAATACAACAAACCAATGATCAAAGTTTTTTGCCATCATAGTTGGGAAATTTGCAATTAAATTCTTCAATGCCAAATATTTTTCAACAACTAATGAGGAACTGGAAAACCCTTTCATAGACAAAAGACATTGTAACATTTTCTCGGAGATTTCATTTGTAATATCAAATATTTGTCTCTTTCTCTTACCCGCAAATCTACAATCTTTAATGATAACCAAGTAGGAAAGAACCAACGTCTTTGAAAGAGTTGGTTTAGATGCCATTTCAGATGCATGCAAGTAGAACCATCTAGCATGTTCCACCGAGATAAAGTTATTAAGTTCTTGGTCAGCCATAAGATATGCCATGAGTTTAAGAGCTTGACTAATTATTCTAGTGCAAAATGGGTCTATTTTAGACTGGTCTTCACCTCCTTCAAAAAGTTGGGTTTCCAAGGCTATTATGTCACGTTGAATATACGTGGATAGGGTAGACACATAGTTTTGTGCCAAGGAGCCAGCATTCACTCCCTTTCTAGAAGGACTTTCATTCAGTTGATTTACCGTATTTATGGTTAACAAGCGAAATAATTTCTCCGAAGTATTTGATTTGCACATGTGGTTCAATGCAGCATAGACTTCAAATTTTCTAGGAAACTCAGGGTTGCTCAATACAGTCATCATTCCAGTTATAAGTTGGGGGAGTTCCAGAGATCCCGGTGGTAATTGTATGATGGTCCCCAGAAGCCAGAATTCTGGGTTAGATGGGTTATTTATGCTATTTATATTTTCGGATGGATTAGTGGTGGATTGGTTCAAGTTGGAAGGAATCTCGTTCAAAATATTGAACTTCAAAATTGACTTTAATGGAGATGCAAGGCTTTGTGGGTCACCCTTTGCCATGGCTATATGGGTTTTGTTTGGAGAACTAGCACTTAATGTACTAATCAAATCATCAGAAAACACTACAGCCTTTTTCCTCTTGGTTGGAGAAGATGAGGTTTTCACGGGAGATGAAGATACATTATTTAGCTTAGATGGTTTGGTTGGCTTTATTGGTGATGAGTTCAAATCTGAACTTTGGTCAGGGTATGCAAATTGTGATAATGGGGCGAGTACAGGTCTTGGCTTGGAGAGTACATATGTGGTTGACTCTGTGGTAGACAATGGCACAGACTCATTAGAGTCGAGTTTCGTTCCAGAATTTCCAACTGATGGTGATCCCAATTTGCTCAAAGGTCTTGCTTCAAATGAATAACTCTCTTTATCGGAGCTTATGACTCCATTATCGCTGGGCATACTATGCAATGTGGGTGAGGCTACACTACCGTTTGATTCGATTGTGCCTACATCTTTAGTACTGGAGCCGTGTCCGGCATTTTTCTTCGAGCCCCCTCCCGACCGTAAGGTTCTCTTGGTTGTCGTAGAGCTCTGGCGCATACTGATTAGGTAGTCCTTTAAATATAAATGGCAAACAAAAAAACTATCTCTATGATGCCCTTAACCTTTTGAACTCTGTCTCACAGTCTCGTTACGCGTTTTTGAATTTTTTATTTTTTTGTTCCCTAAAACAGTACCGCGTACTCATCAGCTACATTATAATCGGATCTATACATTTTTACTTGAAAATGTTAATTAGTAATTTATATAAATTAAAAGTTAATCTATAACTGGGGACTATTCAATTCTTTTGTTTCTTTGAAGTTGGCTCTTCAGATTCTTCAGATTCTTCCAATTTTCTCTTGTTCCCAGAACTTTCATCCTCAGTAGGTTTTTCTTCAGATTCAATTTCTGGAGTGGTATTATCTTCAGTTTCAACTTTTTCTTGTTCTGTTTTGTCGTCAACTCCCATTTCATCTCCAGAATTGTTCTTCTCTTCCTTTTCTTCATCTACTTCCATTGCCATTGATTCTTGAACCTCATCATCTAACAACTCCTCCTCAGTCTTAACAACATCAATATCCCCTGCCAAGTTTGCTTGAGTGATCATTTCACCAAATGAAACCCATTTTTGAGCTCTATTCTTCTTAAGTAGTTTCCATAAATTAACGTTATGTGCTTGACATAAACTTTCGAGTTCAGGGCCACTCTTACCTTCCAATTCTTTCATTGCAGTCTCCAATCTTGACGAAATATCTTCTTCATTTTCTTGTCTATTAAGTATAGGCTTTTCCAATTTCTCAAGTCCCGTTGAAACTTTCATTTTTCTAGATAATTGTGGGGTGGCATAAGTGTTGAAATATTTCTTTTCCTTCAATGGTAATATGGTTTTATTTAATTCAGAAACTCTCAAAAGTTCTTCATTTTGAAGTAATTTATTTGCGAAAAGTGGCTTTCCTGAAGAGTCTTTACCATAGATCAACCATGCCCACCAATAATTCTCAGTTATCATCACTTGCTCAAGGAACGCGGCAAACGGAACATTCATAGACTTATACCGTTTTGGAATTTCAGTTTTCAATCGATTAAAATTTAAAACCATATGTTCAGGAATTGTATCTTCGACAAAATGCTTCAAATTAGTAGTTTCCAGCAATGATTTCAAAAATAATTTCTTGTTTTTATTAGAAAATTCATAGAATAAACAACTAATAAGATAGATTTGGAAAAGACATACTTGTCGTACTTTAGAACTGTCAAATTGTTTGGAAAGGTAGCTTGCATCTTCCTTTTTAATTGCGTCAAAGGTTGCGTTCCGCTTATTATCTACAAATGCAGCCAAGGAGTAAGTTTCAGGGAAGAACACTCTCGAAGAGAGTTTAGCAATCTTTTCTTCATCACTACCAGTGGCAATGGATTTCTTTATAAGATATTGGTCTTTACTAGGTGCCAATTTATACCATTTAGATTCTTCGTCTAACAAGTAGTGACATACTTTGGTCATGGTATCAACAATCTTTGGAAGATACTTATAATTTGAAGCCTTGAGATAATAATAAGGATCTCTAAACAATTTATTAATGGTGGAAATATCTCTCAAAAATGTATCATCCCGATTGGAAGTTGAATAAATTGATTCATGTGATACAATATTTGCACAATTAAAATATTTGTTAAGACCAGTGTTATCTTCCAAGTTGAATAAATTGGCAATGTAAGCTCTTACTCTCGATTGGAAATAGTCATTGAAAGTATCCTTTTTATAAGTATCCGTCTTCCCAGATTTCTGGTTGTTAAATTTATCAGTCAATGAATTACATATTTCTAACATGGCTATTCGGTCAGATGTGATAAGTTTATCAAATATAGATGTTTGAAATATTCCGATTCTTGCCTCGAGATAATACCAAAACGTATCAACAACTGATGTAGAAATCAGCAAAAGAGTTTCCAGGACGTATGCAATGGTCAGATAAAGACTACTCTTTACCAACTTGTTTTCCTTTTCGAGAAGGATATATATTTGGAAATCCAATAGAATGGTTATTCTATTATAAAGTGAAATTTCACGAGTAGATATGGATTTGTCATGGAATTTAATACTTGTTTCGTCCAGTTTGGAGTCCAAATATTGTTTTATAAATTCACTAGCGGCTCTTTTAAATGCTGTCATTAAGATAAATTCATTTGTACTTGTCAACAAATTATCATTGAACTTTGTGACTTCCTCTTCTAATTTTGACTTGGATTCAGTTTCCAAGTTTTCATCTTGATCTATTTCAATTTTAATCTGATATTCTAAAGTATCATTACTGTTAAGTTGGGTTTCAATATTATCATAATGTTGGCCAAAGTCTGTTTGTTGATGTTCGATAAGAAGTTCATTTTCAGTTGCTGGAACCATCAGATTTACCACATTGGTGATAAGTTCATACACAGTGTTCACCTGCGTCCCGAGAGCCCCTTCCATCATATCTACAGTAGGGTGGTGCTAAAGTATCTGTTTACTCTACTACCTTGATCCTCTATTTCGAGAATTATATATAATCTGTTGACTTCCTATATACAAGATTGGAAAAAAAAAAAAATCAAATAAAGAAACGACCCGCACACTGAAGAAGTGCAATACATAGTGTACAGATGGTGTTGCAGAAGGATTATTTACAAGAAATATTTTAACATTATTATAAAGAACTTGATCCATACTCTCCATTTAAATGTCAAACTTTTTAGACCTAGACTTTTTCTTATCCGATTGTAATTTTTTCTTAAATTTGATTTTTTCAGCTCTTACTGTAGCTAATTCCTGCCATTTCTTAACATCTTCTTCTTTAACTTCTGATTCAAAGTAAACTTTTTCTTTAATTTCCAGGATTAATTTCTCAAAGCAATCAGATGTGTTTGTATATCTACTTCTTGATGAATCACTCTGAATCAAAAGTCCTCCAGATTTTGTTTCATAACGCACTGGTTTCTCTCGAAGTTGTTGTTTAATTGGCTCTGGGATCCAATAGCAACTTCTTGTTAACCATTTTTCTGGCTCTAATGATATCGTGGCTTTACTTGATGTTTTATTAACTTTTTGACCCCCTGCTCCTGATGATCTACTATAAGAGATATCAAATTCTGATTGAGGAATATGTTTAGCTTCAGTTATTTCTATCCATTTTCTAGCTTTCCCAATATCTTCAATTGAAAATTGAGAATAAAATCTATATAATTTATGAGGTCGTATTATTATTTTTGGGGTAATTAATTTAAACATATTCAATCGAGAAGAGTGGTTTCATTCTTTAGTGAATTGAAAATCTGTCCTGCTTTCTTTATCCGCGCACAGAAAAGATCTTAAAAGAATAGGAGAATTTTTACCCCTAACAAATAGTACACAAATACACCTTCACTCTAGTATATCACAATTGTAAAAAATTATTTAAAAGACATTCAACTATAGTATAATATTCAATGATGTAAAGAAATCAAAAGAATTCGTATATCTCTCTCTTATTCGCTGTACAGTATCCTCCTAATTATTAATCCATAATTGCTATATACTTCATATAATTGCGCGGACTGCACAATTGCGAGTACTATATATTGAAATAATTGATATCCACAGTTATTCAATTTCAATCTTTTATTACTATTCTCTCGATAAATCCACATCATGTTCAACTTAACCAGATCAACTTTCAGACCAGCTCAATTGCGTCAATTCTCCAACTCTGCCGCCAGATTTGTCGCTGTTGGCGATAAAATCCCAGATATCGCTCTCTTTGAAAACTCTCCAGGTAATCAAGTTGACCTTTCTGAAGAAACTGCTCAAGGTAAGTCCGTTATTATTGGTGTTCCAGGTGCCTTTTCTCCAGCTTGTTCCGCCTCCCATGTTCCAGGCTACTTGAAGCATTTGCGCCAATTCAACGAAAAGGGCTACAAGAAGTTTTTCGTTGTTTCTGTCAATGATGCTTTTGTTCAAAAGGCATGGGGTGATAGTTTATTAGGTAGCGAAATTGCTGGTGCTCAAATCACATTTTTAGCTGATCCTGCTGCTGAATTCACCACTGCTCTTGACTTGAAGTTTGATGCTTCCAAGTTCTTTGGAAATGAAAGATCGAAAAGATACGCCTTGTTGGTTGAAGATGGTAAGGTTGCCAAGACTTTTATTGAACCAGATAATGTTAGTGTTGAAGTTTCTGATGCTGAAAAGGTTCTTGAAAATGCTTAATTTTTAGGAGTAAATAAATATATACAATTAATTAATTGGAAGAGTCTTAAGTGTTAAACAATTCGAACTGTGTTCTATTGAATAATTTCTATAAAGTTCTATTTAATTTATCAAGTTCTTTTGTTTATAGTTGATAGTTGATAGTTGATAGTTCATTAGTTTACTGGTTGCAAGTTTTCCTATGCAGTCCGCCCTCATACAACTTTAAGAAAAACTTTGAACTCATAGTAAAAAAAATTAAAATATTGGCGTCAACTCTCTCCAGTTCTTCTCTAAATAACACATTGTAATCATCCATGGCTAGCAGCAAAACACAGACCCCTGAACCTACACAGGAAATAACGCCTCAAAAGGCACTTGAGATATATAAAAACGCTCTTAATTTCAATGTTATACATCGTTATGATCAAGCAATCAAACAACTCTTATACCTCACCTCACATAGTGTTATATACAAGTTTGACGACGATACTGAGGAATGGATAAAGACAGACTATCAAGGAACCATGGCATTATATCTCAGAGACTTCTCACTCCCGCAAAACTCACAACCAGAATTGGAGAAATTATTCTGTTATGGACTTATCTTACTTAATAGAAACAATCCAGAATGTTTCTCCCTTGGTCTTTTACCCAATAAAGTTTCAAAACATTTCTTTCCTCATGGTGTGGGAAGTAATGGGATCGTTGAAATGGATGTAGAAATCAATGATAATTTAATCATTGTCAAAAATTTATTGGGGGATATCTATGGGTTATGGGTATTTAATGAGGATGATAGATTAAAATTGTTTAAATTGTTAGAATTTTGTTTAAAGAATGACCCTACAGGATTATAGAGATTGAGAAATTATCACAAACGGGCTGAGCTCGGATATTCAACTTGAGGATATAGATATAGATCCAAACACCAAGTCACAGAGTGGCAGATGTTTTTAACAGATTGAAATAAATTTAATATTGGTAGGGGTGTCTCTATAATTACCGGGGAATCAGTACTTTGTATATGGTAGCATACTATACATTTTTTTTATATTCTACTTTGGGATATATACTACAACGAATATACAAAAACCAAATTACAGTAATTAATTAGGGGAAGTTTCTAGTAAGTAATATATCCATATGGATGGCCTCTCAAGAGCCACTTTGTTATTATATTTTTCTTTTCTATATCTAGTAACTAGTGTACCTCTCTCTATCTGTTCAAATCCCACCCCATGTTTCCACCTGCATGAAAGCGCGAAAATCCGAACAAACAAAAACGAATCCAAAATTTAACCCAAACTACTGTTCAAATCAAGCATTTCATCGACGAGTTTTCGACTCATATACTCAATCGATTGACTGTAGCTAACGCATCAGAGACCCCCTCTCCCAAGAATCACCTGGAAGTGCTTCCCACGTTTTGAGAACTAGAATACTTGTGTATATTTGGGCCACTAATTGTAGTTCACAATTTTGAATTTTGGTGAACAGACAAAAAAAAATAAAAATAAAGTAAAAGAAAAAAAAAAGCAGCGTGTTTGACAATTGGAGAACAAGCTTGATACTAACAACAATCTTCTACAAGTACGTTTCCAATCGAGAATGACGACCTCTGTGCCCGCGGGGCAACAGCCCCAATCGTTGAAGTTGAAGCTTGGACCCGTGAATGGCCAATCACGCCAGCCACAACCTTCTCTGTCTCTCTCTGGAGAAGCAACAACTAGTGGACAACAACTTCTGCAACAACAACTTCAACAACTTCAACTTCGTAGAGCAAAGGCCAATCTTCAGAATTACAATTTTTCAAACACTACGGCGGGACTTCTCAAGAAATACTCCCAATATCCTGCGTCGATAAACTTTCATATTTATGAAAATCATTATCGATTCAACAATCTTCAAGATTCCAATATTATTCCAAAGAATCTGCCAATGATCAAGAGTTTCCTTAAGCATGTGATACGAGAAGAAATCCCAGTGGAAATGAGTGAACTTTTGAAAGATTGCTCGATTAGAAGTTATGATGGATGTCTTATCCTTCAAGTTTATGATCATCGGAATATGGTTGGACCTGAATCCAAAACTAGTGGACCTCAAACTGGAGAAGGACCTAAAGACAAGCCTGCGACTGGCTCGGCGACTGGCTCGACGAATCCAAATGGTAGTAGCGCTACCGGATCCAATACCAACAACTCATCCAGTACCACCACCTCCAATGCTTCTACCACTCCAGCGAAACCAAAGACTTACAGAACCGTACTTAAACCTACTCAATTGTCACTTTACTATGATCTTCTTTATCATACCGATTCCGCATTGACCAAGTTTACTGATCCATTATCGCTTCAAATGGAGTCTGAAATCTTAACATTAACCAATAGAAAATTGGATTTAGCAGTTCCCTTGAACCCATATTTGTGTGATGAACATTTAAGACCAGAATCAGAATCAATAAAGAAGGAATATGACCCCAAGACAGATGATTATAAATTATTATTCAACCATCGTCCAGAAGTTTTCAAGCCTGCACGGAAATTGCATCAAGATGAAATTGTCTTACACAAATCTTCAGAATATGAAGAGATTATGTTCCTTTTATCGAATAAGTATAAGAAGACCGAAGATACTGATAAGAAGTTAATCGCAGTTGAACCATTAATATCATCAGCTGTGTCTACATCATCTGCAGATGATTCTAAACTGGCTTCCAATCTCAATGATAAAAAGAAAGATAATAATGGTAAGAGTAATGGTTCTACTTCCTCAGTAGTGAATTCTGCTGCACCAAACCCAACCACAGGTCAATTCATGAGACTTCGTTTCATTGAAGAAATTCGAAAGAGAAAAGAATCTCAAAAGGCACAACAAGAAGCAAATGTATTGGCTACACCACCAAATAATAGTCAGCAATCAAATCAAATACCTGATAATAATAATCAAAATACTATTAATAATAACAACAATATTAATGGAGGTATGAACAGCGGACTTATTGGGGATTCACAAGGGTCTCTTAATAATACACCGAATTCCATTCCTAATGCAAGATATCCGGCCAATAATAATGGTGCTTTGAAGAATAATAATGTATCCATGGGAGGCCCACAATCTACAGGTGGAAATCCAGGCTCAATTTCTAACTCGGGAATGAAACAAATGCCAGTAGCAGCCATGCCAAATGGAAACTTTCAAAAGCAACAACAACAAAAGGTTATGGCTGACAAGGCACAGATTCTTAGGGCACAACAGTTGCAAGTACAACAACAATTTCAACAACAACAAGCTCAACAACAGTTCCAACAGAAGCAACAGCAACAAAGACAACAGCAACAACAGCAGCAACAGCTTCAACTATTGCAACAACAGCAACAACAACAGCAACAACAACAACAGCAACAACAACAGCAGCAGCAGCAACAACAGCACCATCAACAAATGCAACAACCTCAATTGCATCAACAACAACCACAACAAATCTCACAACATATGCAGCAACAACAGTCGCAACAATTACCTCAACAAATGCAACAACAACAAATACCGCAGGTACCTCAACAATTACCTCAACAAATGCAACAGCAAATGCAACAGCAAATACCTCAACAAATGCAGCAACAAGTAAAGCGTCAAAAGATGGATGGTATGACATCTGTTGGTTCTACACCACAAATGTCAAATTCACAACCAACTTCTAATATCGGCACACCAGTTGTTGGAAATGGTAATTTGGCTGGAATGCAGCAACCAATACAAACTTCATCGCAACTGCAACCTTCATCTCAAGGTGGAAGTTCTGGTCAACAAACACCTGCCCAATTGCAACAGCAACAGATTTTCCAGAGCTCGTTGACTGCGCAAGAACAACAACAGTTCAGACAATTGCAAGCCCGTATGAATGCTTTTGCTATGATGGGTAACTCTGGAGTAGCTCCTAACAGAGCTCAGTTAACGGCTCAACAGCAGCAACAAGCTATCCAACAAGCAAAATTGATACAACAACAGTTGATTCAAAAATTCCCTGTATATTTCCAACGTTTGAGACAATTACAATTAGCCCAACAACAACTGAGACAACAACAGCAACAAACTTCATCTTCACAACAGTCGCAACAATCATCACAACCACAACAATTGCAACAACAGATACAACAACAACAACAATTACAACAACATCGTCAACGTCAACAAATGCAACAACAACTCCAACAGCAACAACTCCAACAACAGAATCTTATGGGAAATAATCAGTCGCAACAACAAAGGCAATACATTCAACAACAGCGTCCAAATACCACTGGAAACATGCAAGGGGGTAATATGGGTGGTGGCCTTTCACAACAACAAATGATGAATCAACAAATGATGCAACAAATGGCCATGATGAATCAAGAAAAAAAACGAGGATACCAGAAGAAAAAACCATAATGTAGAAGTATGTAATAATAGACTTAAAGAATTCAATTAATAAACATCGTATTCAAACATAATAAACCTAAAAATATATAACCAGCTCGCCTAATCCAACGAATCATGAAACCAAAACCAAACTCAAAGTAAAACAATAGCAAATAGTAAAGATAAAAACTACAATAAAAAAAAGCCATAGCTATAATGACAGCAATTGCCAATTCCAGTATCAATAACGCTTAGTCTTCTAAAATCGATTGACCATAAACGCCAAGGGCAACAACGGTTGCAAGCACATAAAGTGATCCCTTGAAGACCTCTTTCCCAATCGTCTTGAGAGTTGATGAAATCGCGTGATCTGACTCTTTCTTTTGCTTCTTAGATGGGAATGACATTACCACGGTTTCATCTTCGTCAAGTTCATCGTAGTCATCATCCATTTCGTCGTGTAATCTCTTCCTATTGGTGATGTAGTATACTTCTACATCGTCCTCATCATCTTCGTCATCTTCAACCGAACTATTTTCATCAACAGTTAAATCATCTTCTCCGACAGTGAGATCACTGTTGATGTCATAATCATCAAAAATAATTTCATCGCAAGAATTCTTTCTGCAACATTGTAATTCATTCTCCCAATCTGAATCTTCTTCAGTAAGACCTGGTTGCTTTTGGCGATCATATTCCTCATCTGAAATGGAGAGGTCAGAAATGTATTCTCCTTCCACATGATCTTCGTCTTCGTCTTCTTCGACTTCTTCATCATCCTCATCGACTTCTTCCACATCTTCATCTTCATCGTCATCATCATCATCTTCTTCTTCATCATCATCATCTTCCTCGTCATTTTCTTCTGCCATTCCGCCAGGGGTAGTCTTTCCTACTCCATTGAAGCTACCAGTAACTTCAACGGGCTGACTGGAATCATTACCATCTTCATTCGACTCTTCATCTTCTGTTTCCAAAGGTAATCCCCATCCATCTGTACCTTCTGGCAATTCTTGATCACCAGTACTTGAAACGGGATGAATTAAAACTCTATCTTTAGGGCGCAGAACGTAGAATCTCTTTAATTGTGAATCACTCATAGGAGTGAACCAAACATTATTTGTATCGGTAATGGCAATCTGAAAGGCAAGACCAGTTTGAGCATTTTCAAATTCTAAAAGGTCAACACTGTTAGAAAATCCAAACCTTTTAAAGACATCCAGGATAAAACTTGACGGTTTCAAGATAATAAACCGAACCACGTCATTGTTCTCAAGGGGGAACCAACAAGTTGGAGACAAAACTTGTCCGTTGAGTACTGTTCCAAAAGTTGAGCTGCAATCACGAATGTACAATCCGTTCTTAAAGAACTTCAAGCTAGCATGATTCTTGGAAAGGTGGGTATTATGGAAGAATAAATTGTTCTCCTTAGCTTCTCTCAGTTGGTCTTTATAAGACGCCCGCTTGATCGGGACCTCTTGACCTTCATCAACCTTCACTTTCCTGATCACGGCATTGGTCGAAACCGATGGTGATGAAGCTTCAGTATCACTCATCAATAATAAAATTTAAAATAAGGATAAGAAGTTTGTTAAATAACTTGGGGGGTTACTATGTTGCAAATAGTAATTTCTAATAGCTTTGATATAGGGTTGTGGGTATGGTGAAGTTAAATGTGAAAATAATATGTGTTTAGTATATAAATTCAAATCAACTATAGTGTTTATTACTATTCTGTAAAATCCTCTTTTTTTTTGGTTTTTGACTTCAGGGGCTCATAAGGATCAAATGCGGGATGATTGTTGCATATTGTTTTTGATTTTGTGTCATCATAGATAAGGATTTGTGACATATGTGAATCTTCACCACGTAAGTTTCGCCACCCACAAACAAGTAATGTTATAATAATTTATTAAATAATAAAATTGTATGTATATCTATAAATATATTTGTAGTTCAATTAATTTTCATATAACTTTGAAAATTCAGTTCCTCCAGCTTCCAGGGGTGGAACTTGTAACCAGTTTAAATTATCGTATTTAGCCACTCCATCAATAACATGAAATGCATAAATAAATCGAGACTTTGGGGTGCGATTCTTTTCAGACTTGTGTAAAACTGAGTTATGGATTAATACTAATGATCCAGCTTTACATTCAATACTTTTGTAGACTTCTGGACTATCATCCGGGATTGGTACAGATTTGTCATAATCTACTGGTATGAAGTTTGTTCCCTTTTTACCCCCATCGATCTTCACGAATCTTTTAGTTATGGGGAATACTTTATGAGATCCAGGATGATACCATAAACATCCATTATCTTCAGAACAATCCTCCAAGGCAAACCAAAATCCAATTGCAGATTGAGGTTCAGTAAATAAAAAAGTTGCATCGGTATGAACAGGAACTAAATTATCTCTTTCCTTCGCAGGTCCTGATGTTCCCTGTTTAAAAATACACATACTTTGCAACACCCGTGGATCATTATATTCAAGAGACCGTGCCACACCTTTGATTCTATCGTCAAAGGTAAGTTGACGGAACGTTTCATTGTGCATGTGTAATCCATGGCCAATTTTATTAATCGAATTCTCTTTGGAATACTTCAATTGACCATTCTCGTCAAATGCATCAGTATCAAAAAAATATGAAACCTTATCAGATGAATCAAAAAAATAATTATCACCTACATGGTCATTATCGCCAGTTTTGAATTGAGTCTTTGGATGAGTTTGTGGATCAAAATCATCTAAAAGCTGCTTGGATTGCTCAAGATATTTCTTGATTTCCTCAGGGCTAAGAAAGTTTGGGATACATAAGCAACCCTCTCTATTGTATGTTTCAATTTGTTCGGCAGTTAACATAGCTGGAAATATATTTGAAAAGTGCAACAATTCTTGTGATACAATCTGACCAGCAGTTTGATAATTGAGTTGATTCGGCAAAAGAACTATTATTTTAATGAGTAAGGATGTAATGGTATCTTATATTCTGTTTTTTTTTTTTTTTGAGTCGCACCTATGATGGTTCGATCAGAGGTGGAAATTACCATACGGCGCTAAATTCCTGTTTGGGGGAGGGAGGATTATGCACAAAGATACGAAAATGCTTGGTTTTTTTTTATAAATGTGTTACAATTCTTGATATAATATGTATGTGGTAAGTCTAGATATGGATACTATTTCCCGTATTGTAAGATTTGTAGATCAATCAATGTTTTGCAAATAAATATATTGCGTATTAAATTGATCAAATATGTATATATATATATATATATATATATATATATATATATATATATAATCGTTTTTGATATGTTAATCTGAAAAGAGCTTAATACATTAGTATGAAGTAATGTCTTAAAGGGTTCTAAACAATACTACAATGAAAGTATAAAATCTAATCAAACCTATATTTCATTTACACTGTTGTTTTGATAATTATTACTTATTATTACTGATACTTCGATTATTATGAGTGTATTGAGTAGGCAGAGATTATTTGCCAAACCGTTTAAGCTCAAAGTATCTTAATACTGGATATGACACCCCACTAAAGGCCATACATAACCAGAACCCAATGTCTCCTCCGTAATCCCCAATTTTTTTGGCAATGGGTCCTTGCCAATAAACTTGATTCATCCCAACAACAGCACCCACAGCACCAATCACAAAGGACAAACCTGCAGCCAATCCTAAAGTCACATATTCCGGTTCATCCCAATGTTCCCAATTGTATAAATCTTTAACCCAAGAATTAACTGGAGCTTCTTCTTCAACTTTAGAAACATCCTGGTGACCAAACTCAACATGATGTAACATCTTGGCGTTTGTAGATGAACGGAAGATTATATTTTCTTCAAGTAAAATTGTAATATACATCGAAATCCAATAACCTAACATGGGGAGGAAATTACCAATAATTGTAGAAAGATGAGATCTTCCAGCAAGTGAGATTACTAGGTAAATGACTGTAACAACTACGGCCCAAACCCAACGAGGCACAATTGCCAATCTTTTATCAATCAATTGAAATTCGAAAGCACACGAGTAAGTATTCATAATGTTGTTACAAACCAATGAGATGTATAGTAATACCACAACAAATTTCCCAAACTTTCCCCATGGTTTGAATGATTCATTGAGTAGCCCTCCAATACCATATGATTCATATGCTTGATTCCATGGTTCGTAAGAGTATGCTATAGCTCCACAAAGTGTTCCAGCCACGGCAACAAATGTTGAAGGTATAGCAATACCAGCAAATGTTAAAGCAAACACCTGTAATGAAGATGTATCCTCAGGGAATAGAATATAGTAATCAGCAGCACCCGAACCCCAAGTAGCAGTTACTGAATATCCAACCGTGAAAAAAGATAACCAATTACCAGTACGAGTCAATGCTGTTTCCTCTTGTGCAAGTATCAATGCATCTGTCACCAGAAGATATTGAGTTTTCTTACACAACACAACATAAAACAAGATGGCAGAAATAGTAATTGGAATTGCAAGAATTGTTTGAAACTTGAGAAGAATTCTAATACCAAAGACTGCCACAACCAAACTAACAATAGAAATCACGACAATTCCAGTCACCAACAGAGTGCCTGAAATTGCTGCAAGGACTTGACCGCCTAACACGCAATTAACCACAGACCATCCAACTCCACCGATAATACAAACAAGTGCAACAAAACGAACACCCCACCATCCAAAAAGAAACCTAGCACTAACCATTTGTCTTAACCCAGACTTAGCACCCATGGTAGAAGTATAAGCTGGAACTAAACATCCAATGACCATGGATATGATACCACTAACCATTGCATTTTTCACATTTAATCCAAACATCAATGTTGGTAAGAAGAATGAAGACATAGTAGTAAGCCCTCCACATGCTGCAAACCATAATCCCATAACATGTAAAAATTGAACAAATTTGGATTGTTTCAGCAGTAGCGCAAGCTCCCTTCTTTCTTCTGGAGTTGCTCTTTCAATTCCTCTTGATTCTACACCAAGTGCATCAAGCTTATGGACCCACAGGATCCATGTATTGTTAGACTTTGACAGGACCTCAATATCGTGATTGGAAACCGATTGGATCTCTGATAGATTATCTTCCTTAGAATATTCCATTGTTAGTGATTCTTAATTGGGAAGAATTGTTAGCCGTACTAGCCAACAATTCCCCTTTATAGTCGGGAATAGCTAATGGGCGTTTGTCAATATTTCATATACCGCTCATATTGCAACCCTCTAAGCGCATGATTCATGCAAAGACCCTATAATCGCATTAATAATTTTTTTTTAAGTACATGCGCTTAAAAGTTCAAGATATGAGTGAAAATAAAAAGGGGAATGAATTGAAAAAGGTTCATAATTTTCATGGCAATAGGATTTTGATTCAATAGGTGGTTAATCGGAAATGTCCTTCTTAAGCTCTCTATTGAAACAATACTCTTCTGCCGTGGAGAAATCCCAAACACACCCTCTTACCAATGAACTCTGTAGAGGAACACTTCTGGATGCAAAACTTTGGGTTTATCTCACGCAAGACTTGAAATTTTTTCAAAGGGGAATGAATGTTTTCGGGAGGACTTTGGCTTATTGTGATGATGCTAATGCTTCAATTACTCTTGCAAAACAGATCGGATTTGTGGCCAATGATGAGAATGATTACTTTGAAAAAGCATTGAAGGAATTGAAGGATTCAGCTGCTAAATCCGTACCAAAAATGGTCAATGACCCTACTTTAATTCTTCCACAAGTTCAAATCTATTTGAATCTTTTGGATGAAATGGCGTACAAATGTACATCCTATGTGGAAATTATTACTTTTATGTATGTTATGGAATTTGTTTATCTTGGTTGGGCAAATTATAACTTGCAACACGAAGACGTTAACATGGATAACCTTCCTTACAGGTACAAGGAGTGGATAGTTCTTCATAGTGGTCCAGAATTCACCAATTGGGTTAATTTCTTGGAAAATGAAGTTAACCGAGTTACATTTGGTGCCGATAAAGATACACTTCAATTATGCGAGAACATGTTTATTAAAGCTGTAAATCTTGAAATTGATTTTTTTGATGCTTGCTACCAATATAGAGAATAGTTTAGTTATACAGAAATACAAAGTTTAATCGCAATTTAATTGTAAATACCCCCTTGTCCCTGCAAAACCAAAAAAATAAAAAACAATTGAAATCTGAATGAAATATTGAAGTTAATTTGAATGTTACGGACAATTTCTTAATAGTGGTTATCTGTATTATAACCTTAGACGTCTTTTATGTGCGTTATTATCGGTTATCAGTGCGTTTTCCCCAACATTGATATGCAAAAATAAATTTATGCTCTTACGGGGTTTCAGTTTGCGACAATAACTGGATCTAGAATTTGGGACCATTGTCTCTCTACGTCTATTTAGTACACATTTAGTATAAATACTGGGTAATGTAAATCAATTGAATTGTAGAATTAAATTTACTCATCAATTAAATTTACTCTGGTTCATTTCTCTTGATATGTCTACTAATAAAGTATCGTTTTGTCTCAATTGGGAGGCTACTCCCTACCATATTCCAGTTTTCCTTGCTCAAACAAAGGGTTACTTCAAGGAAGAAGGGGTAGACGTTTCAATCTTGGAACCTTCGAATCCATCTGATGTTACTGAACTTATTGGTTCAGGGAAAATTGACATGGGTTTGAAAGCGATGGTTCACACGTTGGCTGCAAAAGCACGTGGATTCCCAGTCACTGCTGTAGGATCACTTTTGGATGAACCATTCACAGGTGTTTTGTACCTTGAAGGATCTGGAATTACCACCGACTTCCAATCCTTGAAAGGTAAGAAAATTGGTTACGTTGGTGAGTTCGGTAAGATCCAAATTGATGAACTTACTAAACATTATGGTATGACCCCTGATGATTATACCGCAGTCCGTTGTGGTATGAATGTTGCAAAGTACATCATTGAAGGAAAGATCGATGCAGGCATTGGTATCGAATGTATTCAACAAGTTGAATTGGAAGATTACTTGAGAAAGCAAGGAAGACCAATCGATCATGCTAAGATGTTGAGAATCGATAAGCTCGCTGAATTGGGATGTTGTTGTTTCTGTACTATTTTGTACATTTGCAACGATGAATTCTTAGCAAAGAACCCTGAAAAAGTTCGTCGTATTATGAAGGCACTCAAGAAAGCCACTGACTTTGTTATCAATCATCCAAGAGAAGCTTATGAAGAGTATGTCGACTTCAAGCCACATTTAACTTCTGAAGTTAACAGAAAGAAATTTGAAAGATGTTACGCCTACTTCTCAGATTCTCTTTATAATGTTCATCGTGATTGGAGAAAGGTTACCGCTTACGGTAAGAGATTGGAAATCCTTCCTCAAGATTACGAAGCAAACTATTCAAACGAATACTTGTCCTGGCCAGAACCAACTGAAGTTGAAGATCCATTGGAAGCCCAAAAGTTGATGGCTAAACATCAAGATGAATGTAAATCTTGCGGAGGTTACCGTAGACTTGCAGTTAAATAAATATAGGTATATATGTATGTATGTATATTGGCTTTTTCCATAATATGTAAGTCTTTCTATGTACAAGTGATTTCTTACTAAAGTGATTTGAAAGATAAGATCTAGTTCAGAAAATATCACAACTTTTCTCCTCCTTATTGGTAAAGGAATCCGAGCCATGAATTCTTTCTTCTTTCTCTTTCTTCAGCAGGAACGAAGGCATCGATATGCTTTCTAATTTTTTCAGCACCTTCAGGAGCAGTAGTTTCCTTACCAATGACATCTACAAAGTTGCCCTCGGCGTCCATCAAGTAGAAGAAGATAGAATGGTCAACCAAGTAGTCTTGACCTGGCTTGACATCTGCAGGAGTGGAGAAATAGACCCTGTACTGCTTACAAGCCTTCTTGACGTTTTCGTAAGTACCGGTCAAACCAATGATGGAAGGATGGAAGTCAGTCAAATATTCCTTAATGACTTCTGGAGAGTCTCTAGCTGGGTCACAAGTGATGAAAATGGATTGCAATTCAATGTTATCTTCTTTCAATTCGTCCAACATTTCTCCAAGTTTGTCAAGTTCATCCGGACAGATGTCAGGACAATGGGTGAAACCAAAGTAAATGATGGAAAACTTTTTGTTGTCATTGATCAAGTTCTTGTGAGTGAATTGTTCATTGTTAGTATCGATCAAATTGAATGGACCACCAATCAATGGTTTACCGTATGATCTCTTGGATTCAACTTCTTTTTGAAGTCTTAATCTTTCCTTTTCTCTAGTGAACCAGTAGGTCAAGGCACTACCAAGAGCAACAAATAAAACAATTGCCTTCCATGATGCAAATTCAATAGAGTTACGTTTGGCATATTGTTTAGCAGGGCTACTGGAACCTATGGCAACTCTACTAAGTTGTCTCTTTGTTGGGGGAGGTGTACTTGAGGAAGTAGATGGTGTAGTGGATCCGGTGGAAGATTCTTCTGAATCTTTCTTTGGAGTCTTTGGAGATTCATTCCATCTCATACGAGAGACATGGAAAGAACGGTAAAGAATGGGGGAAACCAAAGGAGCCATGGATCTAGCTACCAAAGGTCTAGCAACAAAGGACCTGGAAAGAGATCCTAATGAATGTCTAAGCATATTCGTTATAATTTGTAGTACTCTATGTAAACTTATAAACTAGGGTTTCGGTTTTTAAACAAAATTAATAATCTCATGATATTTGCTTAGTGAGCCTACTGCACAGAATGAGCAAAATGTAGTTACAGTATGACACAAAGAATTAATAATTTGCTCTTCTCTAAAAGTGTTTGACAAAATTATAGATTGCAAAAATAGAGGCATTTATTAGTAGAACTTTTTACAATATGGTTGCCAAGATAGATAACTTACTAGCATGGTCCAAGAAAAATGGAGTTTTGTTGGACCCTCACGTATCTTTTGAATATAGTTCAAATGCTGGAATTTGTGCAAGATATAATAGTGATGATTCCGCAACCGTTGATGCGAAACTTGATGGTAAGCTCATTCGATTGCCATTAGATTTGGCCATAACTCCACAATATGGGGCCGAACAGCTTGGGGAGTTTGGACATGACATCTACAAGAAGTCTTCCAATGTGAACAGTGTATTAAAGCTTTATCTTGCCCAAGTTAGAACGGGGCAACATTTGCTGCAAGCATTCCATGAACCGTATATATCGGCTCTCCCAACATTATTTGAAATGAACTCTCCATATGTATGGACTCCAGAGGAGAAGGCTCTTCTTATAGGAACCAACCTTGGGAACTCACTCAAGGAAAATACCAAACAATTGGTCGAAGAATGGTGGCAAACAATCAATATGATTCCTGAAAGTGTTCCCAAGCCAGAGAATCATTTTATTAACATGAAATTTTATTATGAATATAAATTTTATTCAGATAAAGACATGTATGACTACTTGAGGGCCAATGAGGTAGATAATTGGACAAGTTTCCCAAATTATTTATGGGCTTCAATGATTCTTAAATCCCGATCATTCCCCAACTATTTAATTAAGGAATATATGAAGGATGATTCTATAAAGCAAGATGAGGCAATGCTCTTACCCATTATTGACTTATTAAACCATAATATGTCAGCCAAAGTTAACTGGTCCGCTACCGCTGAATTTTTCGATTTCAATTCAGAATCAATCATCAAGGATTCAGAACTTTTCAATAATTATGGAATGAAGGGTAATGAAGAATTACTTTTGGCTTATGGATTTTGTATAGAAAAGAATGTCGCAGACTCTGCAGCATTGAAGATCAAGGTTCCACTTGAATTACTTCCTAAATTAGAATCAAATGGTCTTACTTTACCTGAATTAAATGATTACACCACATCAGTGGTTAGGGTAGATGAACAAAAGAAAACAAACGAATCTAATACTAAAGATTATTCTAGATTTGAAGAAGGGTTACTTTATTTCATCACAGAGGAGAATGTTCCAGAGAATTTAATTCAATTATTCCAAAGTTTAGTAAGAAATGATTCAGAACAATCAACCTCAGAAATCACATTGAGAATGAAATTGGCAGGCTTGAACCAATTAAGACAAGCTATCGAGACCAAGAACGATGTACTTGCTAAAATTGCGATCCCAGCCGCCGGCACATCGCAGAATTTGAACAACATTAGAATTTACATTCAATCTCAACGTAAAATCTTTGCTTCATCTATCAAAAAGATTAAACATTTGGAAAAGGAAATTTTGGGAGATTCTAATTATAAACCTAGACTTGTGACTTTGAAGTCCATTTATAAGAAGGATATTAAATTCCAACAAGCGCTTTTGATTTCTCTTGGTATTTCATCCTATAATGACATCATTGAATCTCAATTCCAAGATCAATTCTGGCTCTTATACTTAATCCGTTGTTTCAATAAGAATGAATATGAAGATTCTGAAGATGTTTATATCCCAGAATGGATCCATAAACTATTTGTCGAATTATCATCACGTGTTGAAGTTACTCCAGCAGAAATTCTACAATACAAAGAACTTTACCAAGGTTTAATTCCACAATTAGCACAATTAGTGCCTGAAGTTTTCGGAAAGGGTAAGTGGGGAGTGAACCAGTTGATCTTGAGTGCTAAACTTTTGGATTTGCATAGTTTTGTTCGTGGGAAAGAACAAGAATGTATTTTAGTTGAACCAAAAGCTTGATAGTAATAATTGTATATAGAGAAGTAGAGATGATAGAGTAATTTAGGTATAGTATTAAATTTCTGCCGCTAAGATCGGTTTGTAATCAGCAGATTTGTTAAGTACTAATATTATTGGAATGATCTAGGTCCAAGAATGTTCTACATTTGTAAATTTTTTTGGAGAGAAATTGGCTTTATGAGAGGTTCGAGCAATATTTGCACGGGCAATAATAGCCAACTGAAACTCGAATACGAAATTTCATTGATTTATACTTCGCCAACTTAACCCACTTCAATAGGCGATCCTAGCCAACAAACTATATTTCAAAATGAGGGAAATGTCCTCAATACCACATTGTGGATCGACTTATCTGTGTATCAAGTGTAATCTTTCCTGGGAAAATATACCGATGTTAGATAGAAAGTTAAACCCTGGTTACTAATCTAGGGATTTTCCGCATTCGGAAATTCGAATAGTTTCCGTCGCAATCAGTAAAAATAGTCGCCGACGACACCACAATTATGAAAAAGTTCCCGAACTTGTGATAGATACGAAGATTAGATCTAATTCAAATTCAAATCATGAACCAGGGTTAATATAAGAAGATCTATTCAAGACTGTGTAAGAACAGTAGTTTTGATAAAAGTTCAATTGTTATAACAATTTCTATACTACTAAATTAAATGTCAAAACTAAACGGATCAGAAGTTGACGTGAAGTCCCTAAGTTCTTCCAACCCAGCTATTCTTGAAATAGAGAATGGTCAAGTTGAGGTGATTGGAGAATTTGAAAATGAAAACTTGGACTACATTCAGCGTTTCGATATTGATGCTCATACTGAACCCGTGAGTGATGGTCTGATTCTTAAGAAGGTCGATAGGAAGTTTATGGTTGCAATGACAATAACTTACACCCTTCAATTTTTGGATAAGGTGGTCTTGAATTATGCAAAAGTCATGGGTATGACCAAGGATTTACACTTTAAAGGTAACCAGTTTTCTGCCTTGCCAACGTACTTCTTTGTTGCTTATATTTTTGCTGAATTTGTTCAAGGATTCTATTTCATTCAGAAGTTCCCAGTGGCCAAGGTCTTGGCGGTTAACGTTTTCATTTGGGGGGTGCTCTCTGCATGCTGTGCAGCCACCTCAAACTTTGCAGGAATGTTGGTTGTTAGAGTGTTGCTTGGTGTATCTGAAAGTAGTATTACTCCATGTTTGGTTTTGCTCACAACAAACTTTTATACTAGATCAGAAGGTGCCTTTAGAATTGGAATTTGGTACTCTGGATTGGGGTTAGGGCAAATCTTTGGTGGTATCATTTCGTACTTATTTCAATTGGTGAATGCTTCCTTTGAAGGATGGAGAATTATGTTTATTGTTATTGGGGTACTCAACATGTTTGCTGGCATATATGTTTGGTTTATGATCCCCAGTACTCCATTGACATCAAATTTTTTGACCGCTAAGGAAAAATATGTCTTGCTTGTCAAATTAACCGATGGTAAGATTGGTGTAAATGGTACCAAATTTATCTGGACCCAGGCACTTGAACTTTTATTCGATATTCAAGCATGGCTCTTATTAATTATTTGTGCAACCATTTCATTTTCTTCAAACACCATTTCGACATTCTCTGCTACTGATATTATGTCCTTTGGATTCACATCAAAGCAGGCAGCCTTGTTAAACATGCCTTCTGGTGTGGTTAGTATTGCTTCAAGTCTTTTATCCTTGTATGTAATCATGAAGGGTACTCCAAGATTTCTTGCCATTGTGTTATTCATGATTCCAGCGGTATGTGGAGGTGCATTGATGTCTTTCCTCCCCAAGCTGAGTAAAGGTGGGTTATTAGTTGGAATTTATATGGTGAACACAGTTACTGCTCCTTTAGCTATTTGTTACTCTTGGGCTGGTGCGAATTTTGCTGGTTCTACAAAGAAAATTGGTTCTACTGCTATCTTTATTAGTATTGGGTTTGCAATTGGTAATATCGTTGGCCCACAATCTTACCGGGTTGCAGATGCTCCCAACTATTATCCAGCCAAGATTTCCATGCTTATAACTCAATGCGTTTCCATTGGACTTGCATTTCTCATTTGGGGGATCTATTTCTTGAGAAACAAAAAGAGAGATAGAGAACAAAAGAATATGGAGATTTCAAGTGAAAAGGAAGTTGAAGATGTTTGGAATGATTTGACTGATTTCCAAAACAGATCATTCAGATATGTTTATTAGTAGTTCGTAATTTATGATTTAATTTTGAGAAATAAAAGCATTAGTGATACGATCAAATACTTGTAGATTTTGTGGAATTGTAATATAAATCAAAGAGTTGGGTTTTAAAGAATTGAAAAAAACCGGATATTTTCCAAATTTCTAGCAGGGGTGATCTCCTCGGTATCTTGTTTGATGAAATAAATTTCATATAATGAGGCTACATTGTATCTACAATATGTTGGCTAATTAACCGCATTTGCAGATCTGTTCCCACGGCGACTTTTTTAAAAACTTCCCTTTTTGGAAGATATCGCGGCCACATAGATGATTAATCCATGGGGAACATTTCCATCTTTTGGAACATGATAAACATGGTAGTACAATGGATGATAAGGACCAAAATTAAAGTCTCCGATCCATGAGATGATGAATATTTCAAATTTGTAATTACTCCATTTTTTATTTCCTTCTTGATATTTAATTTGAACAATTCTTCCTTTACCTAAATAAAAGGAAATACCAACACTAAGAGTGATTTCAACTCAAACACAAATTTAAAGATGACAATGGAAAACTCAAAACAATTGAAAATTGCAATTCTTGGAGGAGGACTTGGGGGCCTCTCTAGTGCAGTTGCATTGAGACGACTGGGCCATCGAGTTACAATCTTTGAGCGATATGACTATGCTGGAGAAGTTGGGGCTTCTCTTCTGTGTGCTTCCAACGGAGGAAGATGGCTCCATGATTGGGGTATTGATCCTTTGAAGGCCAAACCAGTGATTTTAAAGACTTTAGTAAGACATGACTGGAGCACTGGTGAAAATGAAGGTGTTTACGAACTAGGTGATTATGAGGATAAATTTGGATATCCATACTATAACTTTCATAGAATTGATATTCATAATGTGATTAAGGACTATGCAACTTCATCTGAAGGTGAGGGAGTCCCCTGTGAACTTTTGGTTAACCATAAGGCAATTAAAGTTGATTATGAGACTGGTCATATTGAATTTGAGAATGGTTCTACATTTGATGCTGATTTAATTGTTGCAGCTGACGGAATTAGAAGTTTAACAAAACCTCAAATTGGAATCTCACCTAAATTTAAACCATCTACCTCATCTTGTATTCGTATTTTATTCAAGACTGAAGATGTTTTGGCAAAAGGTTTACATGATTTTTCCAAAAACAATTCTATTGAATTTTGGGGCGGGAAAGATAAGAATAAAATTGTCTTATCACCTTGTTCTGACAACAGTGTTGTATCCTGTTACTGTTTCTTTGAAAATAATGGCACTGATATTAGTGATAGTTGGCATAATGAAATCTCAATTGAGACACTTCTCAATTCAGTACCAAATTTGGACCCGACTTTACAAACATTATTCAAGGAGTGTGGCTATGATATCAAGCAATGGAGGTTATATGACCACGAACCATTGCCATATTTCGTCAAGGCAAGTACAAATGGAGCAAAAGGTGTAGCATTGCTCGGCGATGCAGCGCATGCTATGATGCCAGACCAATCTCAAGGAGCTGTAGCAGCTTTTGAAGATTCCGGAGCTTTAGGCTATATTTTCTCTCCCAAGTTTAACTCTTTATCAATGGAACAAAGGTTGAAGTTATATGAGGAAGAACGGAAGCCCAGAGTAACTAAAATACAAGCCGCCTCCTTGAGAGCTAGGGAAAATTTAAATGAAAGAATTGGGTGGTCTTCGTCGTCAGATTTAAAGCATGAAAAGAAATTAACTATTGAAGAAGTATGTGGCTATGATATGAAGGCACATATAGACCTCCTTTCCAAGTCATTATTCTCTTAATTCTATATATAGCTATCTATCTATATATATATTTCTATAAATACAGAAGAAATATTATGTAATGATGAAATTCTAGAACCTGTGTGCGATCCAGTTTCGTTAATACATTCCGTTTAAAACATAACTAAACCTGGAAATTGATAGAATCGGATTTTTGCCCAGTTGACAGAATCACCTTCATCGTCAGTCCATACTTGAAGTAAGAGCTTTTCGAACTCATCTATGTAATTGAATTTGAGACGATCTCGTATTGATCGTAATCTTTCAAGGATATAATCCTGGTCAGTATTCGCGTATGCAACGGACCCAGCCATCACTAACGGGAATAGTAAACCAGTTTCAAGTTCGACACCTTTATCAATCACAGATATAGATTGAAGAATAATTCGAAGACCAGCTTGAACTCTTGAATCTTTACGATTGTATCCAAAGCGAACTTGATTAAGACGTAGAAATGCTGCCCATTGCAATGCCAATGTGTATGAGGATATTTGTAACCTTCCGGAAGTCACAGATTCATCAAACAGATACATTGAGGCAATAGTATCAAGGGGAGGTGACCATTGTTGAAGACGCATTTCTATCATATTCGACAATGTATTAAATTCTTGTTCATGTGTCTTGGATAATAAACGAGTGTTTCTTAGACTTGCCAAAGTTGATATGTTACCAATTATGCTGAATATTTCACCGGCAATACCAAATTTAAATCCAAATTTACTGTTTAAAAGTCTAGTCACATACTTCTGATCATAATCAACTTTGAAAGTCCTTGGTGAAGCTTCAGGTTCTTGGAACACATTCTCATAAGGTGAGCCATCTTGCGAGCTTACCGTGTTCATTTTTTCTTTCGATTCTATGTGTGGTGAAGAACAAGTACTTAGAGAACTAATCAAATCAAGATAACAGAATAATTGTGCAGCTAAGGGAGACGATTCAGAAACGAATTCGATACCACCCCTTCCGTTTACTATTTCGGCCAACTTCTCTAATGCAACATCCCAATAAAGTGAGGTTCCTTCAAGGATCTCCAATATCGCAGTTAATAACAATCCCCACAACACGTTATCGGAAGTGAAATAGTCAGTGTTTATACCAGCAAATACACCTTGTGCACGGGCTCGATAGAAAAAAGCATCCCTTACTTGATCAATATTGCCAGAGCCACATTTGGCACGATGTGCAGCAGCCATAGCTAGAACCGGATATTGAATCCGGTTATCCTGAAGACACAACGGTACAACAGTTTGTAAGAAATGAGTTGCAGTCTTATCGACAAATAGTAATGGTGAAACGTCTTTGACAAAATAACAGAGTAGATCATGTTGTCTCTTGCCCAACCCGGCAAAGTCACATAATGATATTATCCTGGCCTTTTCTACTTCATATCGTGCATCACCCATGAATTCACTTGATGCATCTGAGACCACACTTTGTGATGGCGATGTGGTTAAGTTGACTCTTGTAGAATTATTTGGAGTGTCATTTTTAGGTGTAGTACCTTCATAATTCAAACCAATGTCCTGCGAAGGTGAATTACCAATGAGTGAGTTTAAGAATAACCTTTCTCTATAATTAAACTTCAGAGCCAGTGAGAGTAGTGGCGTCAAATCATTTACCAGACTCCCGAGATCATTTGATCCAAATTGGAAGCTCCCAACACCCATACCTACACCAAACCCCATACCCACGCCCACTCCCAGGACCAGCCCGGGGCTTCCTACAGAAACATTAGAGTTGATGTTAGTGGGTGCTCCAGTGTCATAAGGACCCTTTATATCATTATAGTTTGGATAATCAAGTTTCATAAACGAGTCTAACTCCAGATCGGGTTTTGTAGTTGTGGAATTTGTCCGAGACTTCTGCCGTTTACTCCGGGAGGCAATCTCTTCTGACCCCACGTTGCAAAACTTCTTCGCAGGTTTCGACACTCTTGTTATTGATCCAGAACAACTCATATTGTTTCTGGCACAGTGTCCACATGTTGGCCAGATTTCATCACACTTTCTCTTTAATTTCTTACAATTACTGCAACCTTGATTGCTGTATGTGACTTTTGTGGATTGTAGTATGTTCTTCGAGTTTTTAACATTCCCATCGGTCCTAGTCCTTGGTCGACCCATAGGTTTCTGAGGTCGAACATATGTACATGGTACATTATTTTTTTTACATCGAGCACAAGGTTCTTCTTTAGAACATTCTTGTTTCACTTGATGGCACCAATCACACGCTTGACGTCTCTTTGTAGTTGATGTATAGGCCCGTAACTCGGACATGGCTCCCAATAACCGACGGTATTAGTTTTAGATTTTATTTTAAAATTTTGTATTGCTTTGTATGTATATATATATATTATTATTCACTATCTCTTTTCCTGTCTCTCTATAGCCCAGCTCTCCCAAAAATAGAATTAAAGATATTAAAAAAAATGAGAATTTATGGGGAATGGATACTGCTACAATTTAAGTAAAAAAAATGATTTACAAAACGCTCATCGCATCACATCAAGTTGGAGAATTACGGCAGAGGGATCACGAGCCATTTGATATGACGCAGGGAACTAGACTACCATTAAATGGCGCTAACTGTAGCAATATCAATTAGTATCTTGTTAAAATGTAAATCGATAATGTCGTGCGGTGGGAAAAAAGCTCGATAAAGAAAATAGGTGCAGCCGCATTGAACCACACACTCTATCGGGTGCATGTTATAAACATTCCTCCCCACTCATTTCCCCGGGCGAAGCAGGATATTCAAAGAACAAGGGGTTCTTTACATAACCGTTTTTTCCGAGGCTCCACTTTCCCTAAAACGGATGTCTTCTTTCTCCTCTTCGTTGGTTAGTTTAGTCATTCAATTCTTATCGAAATGCTTAACATTCCCGTAAACGAGTTTATTCCCGATATAACCGTTCAGGATTCCGCTTTTTGCGTGTACATTAATTTGATTAATTTTTAGTAATAGTGATACATCGAAGATAGGCAAAGAGTTAGCCGAATATGAAATTACCAACGTTTGCCTGAAAATAAATAAATAAATAAATAAATGAATCCAAATTAGACTTTGGAATTTAAACTTCTCCATGCATGATAACTTCTGTTATTCGTTCTGGACAGAGAGTTTGTTGGGTTATCTGTTAACTTCTACATAATTTCAATTTTCCCTTAACCAAATCTACTTTTGCCGATAGAAATTTCTTTACCATTTAAACTACACAGTTCAATACGTTTCTTTTCTTTTTCGTATATATTTTTCAAATTTCCCCCTTTATTATTCAAGTTTTCTTTCTAATTGCTAATAATGGAGATGTAGAATGTGGTGTAATTTTTGAAAAATCATGTGCATCAATACATGCTTGTCTTGAAAGTAAAACCGCTGGGGCAGCTCTTTCTTTAATACCTTTACAATAAAATGTAGTTGCCTCTTCCCACGTTTTCTCATTCTCTTTACTATAGTATGAATCAATTATTTTAATCAATTCACCAACGTCTGTGATCCCATGATTTGCAGCTTCGCCTCGGTACATTGTCATGGCATGTGCCGAATCTCCAGCCAATAAAACTTTTCCTCCATGAGTATCCCACTGAACTGCATCCCAATCACATAATTTGATCTCTACTATGGAATTATAGTCCTCCACAGCTCGATCAACAAGATATGATAATTCTGGACATAAATCCTTGGAATGCTTTTTCATAGCGGCTGCCTTTTCCTTGGTGGTTGTGAATGGCTCATCTTCATCTTGTGGTACATTCCATGATAAATTAACTTGCCCGTAATATGTCCCCTCTTCACCAGTATAATCTGGACAAGAAAGTACCGAAAACCAGAAAAATGTATTAGTACCGGGGACTGTACCTTGGAAGAGAAGTGGGTCAAAATTTTTCGCAAGAGTATTCATTTCTGATTCTGACATCTTTACTTTTGCTCCACAGAATCTAATAGGTAATTGATACAATTCACCACCTCCATTGGGGAAAAGTAACCTTCTAGTGATGGAATTTGCACCTTCACATCCAATAAGAACATCTCCAGTAAATGTAGTACCTTTACCTCCGGAACAATAAACCTTTACACCTTCATCAAAATCAATTTTTTCAGTTTTACAATTCCAATTAACGTCAATACCTTGAAGTAAAATTTTTCTAATTTGTTCTCTTCTAACACGAAGTCTTGCAGAAGGTGGAATTGATACCACAAATTCCCCTGTACCAGCATTGATGTACCTGAAGTTCCCAGTGTCTTGCTTATGGAAATCTGGTCTCACTTGAGCTGAATATATTTGTTCTTTTAATTCATCAGGGAGAAGGTTTTGAAATGTTTTCAAAGCCCAATGAAGGGTGATGGCCCACCCTGACTCTTCTCGAAACTGAATTGATTCATCTCGGTCAAATATTTCAAACTCAATTCCTCGGGATTTAAATGCTTGGGCAAGTAATAATCCAATGAGTCCTGCTCCACTGATAAGAAATTTCTGTGGCATTTCAAAATTTATTAGTCTTCTTTTTTAAGTAAGCAAAAACCAAACCTATATTCTAATGAATAAAAGTCCTTTAAATATACTTCTAAAGAAGAATTAAATAATCCGTAGATCATTATCTCTAGTTTTTATTTGAAACGGAAACATTTGGCTTATACACTGGAATCTAATCTCTACTTCACCTGTATAGGGAATTAATCTATTCGGATATATTTTTTTTTTTTTTTTTTTTTTTTGATTGAACCCTCTTGCGTTATCGCGGAGACTTTCGCCAGATGCGGTAATTTATTTCCGCTTGTCAAAAGAGGCCGAAGTATAGATTATGAAATCATGGTCTTTTGTTCTATGAAATTTCAATAAAACAAAGGGGAATTATAAGCAATAAAAGTCTCCGAGAATAATTAAAACTATCATTTAAATATTCCTAAAATATCCAATCAATTGAAGATTAATAACATAGAATAACTAAAAAAGACCAGTGAATAAACTAATCAATCACCAATTACTACCATGTCAGGACACGAAGCAATTAACCCAATCCATCCTTCTATGGTTGATAAGTTGGACCCAGCATTCGTAAAACTTTATGATGAACATGTTGCAAACACCCCTAATCGTCCAATTGATCTTGAAGTTTTAAGAAAAAATTACTCCAAGATTTACTCATATGGTACAGCACCTGCTCCAGAAATCAAAGATGTTAAAGACATTAAATTTCCTTCCTTTGATGGGTATGAAGTGACTCTTCGAGTCTATAGACCAAACGGATCCAATCCTGATGATTTATTACCAGTACATATTGATTTCCATGGAGGTGGATGGGGATTAGGTGACTTGGATACAGAGAGTCATATTTTAAAGCACTATGTTGAATTAGCACAAATAGCCGTGGTGGATGTTGATTATAGATTAGTTCCTGATTTTGCATTTCCTACTGGATTAAAAGATTGCTATGAAGCCACGAAGTATATTTACGATCATGCATCAAAATTGGGATTTCTTAAAGATAGCATTTCGATTGGAGGTGTTTCTGCTGGTGGAAACATTTGTTTAGCAGTTTCACATTTGATCAGAGATTTAGGTATCCCATTAGTGTTGTGTGCAGCAGGAACTCCACAAGTCGATGATATAGAACCATATAAGACGGCACAGGATGCTCCATATCCTTCCGTTTCAGAATGTGAATTTGCACCTACATTGAATTGGGCTCGTTTGAAATGGTTTGATAAACTTAAATGGGATTCCCTCTCGAAAGATCCTATTGAAAAGGAGGCTCAATTGAAAGAAATTGGATGGTTTAAGAGTATAATAACTGCTCCAAATTGGGAAAACTTACCTAAGACTGTCATTTATACTGCTGGATGTGATCCAATGAGAGATGAAGGTGAGGCATATGCAACAAAGCTATTACAAAATGGTAATGAAGTTGTTTTTAAAAGATTTCCAGGTGTACCACATCCATTTATGCATATGGACGCAGATTTATGGCAAGCATCTCAATTTATAAAGATGACAGCCTTTGAGCTCGCATTAGCACACAAGACAGTTAAATCATTTACATAATAACAATTGATATAACAACATTTTGAAAAAAACAAAAAAACAAATTGATCCTCTGTAGATTCAAATCATTTAGATCGTTCTCTTACAATGAACTTTGGAAGTGGTCTTTATTAATTACAAATATTTATAGAAATGAAATGAAACACATCTATTCTTCCTTGATACCACCGGCACCGGAAATTTCAGCAGATTCGACAGCAGCCTTGTCAGACTTGACTTCTGGAGCACCAGTCAAGGCTTGCAAGAAACCTGGAGCAGCCTTGAAAGGTCTCTTCAAGTCACCAGAGGCTGGGGTACCAAAGAGGTGGATCTTGACAATGTTGGCTTCAAGAGCAGACTTGACAGAGGAAACAGATTGCATAACCAATGGGTTGGTGTACTTCATGTAAACGTGCATGAAACCCATCATAGCCAAAGAAGTGAAGACAGACTTGATCAACGAGTCAACTTGCTTAAGATCGTATTCCTTAACGGTGGTGACAACAACCTTGGATTCGGTTTCACCAGACATTGGGTTAGCTGGTTCAACGTACTTCATGGTTGTCAAGTCATTCTTGGAGTTGATCTTAGCCTTAGTGTACAAGTAGACAAGAAGGGCAATAGCTTGACATGACAAGTAGGCTACTCTAACGTAGAAAAGAATGTCTGGGTTTTCAAGGTCCAACTTACGGGACACTTGCATCATGACAAGCATGACAGCGAGATTAGTGAAGGCTGGGTTCATTATGAATGTTCGGGCACTGGGCTATGGGTCTAGTAAACGAATAAAAAAAAATGCGTGTTTAATCCTACATGGGATTTCTTCAACTGATTAAGTATTCAAAATCGCCTTCTGGTCGACGTTGTGTTGGGCACGAAGATTGTATACAGCGCGGACAGAAAAGAAAAAAAAAAAAGAAAAACAGTGCCGCAGACACGATAACACAGTTATTGGATGTGCATTACGTATCGAAATGCAATTTACAGAAATTTGAGAGGGATGAAGTGTTTTATGCTCCTATTTATTCCTTAATCGATATACTTTATTTGTTTCCCCTTGTAGAAAAAAAAAATAATAAAATAATTAGGATGTGTAGGATCTGTATTTGAATGTGCATATGATCAGCATTGGCATATGAGAATTGTTAATTTTCAGACATACCAAGTACATCATATCAAATTTTGATAAAGTTATCGAGGTAGAATCATATGCTTGTCACTATCGGAACAACATATTTATTACAAGTACATGCTGGTAAACGAGTTGGACTCGGCTGAATATTTTGGTATTTGACGCCGCACATAGAATCTCTTGGAACCCCATAGAAAGGACTTTTAAAATTGGTAAAATTGGAAGATAAGTACAGTTTTGCATACTTTAAGGTTAATTCTAAAATACAATTTATACACGTCACGAGATCTGTCACGTTATTCGGACCAAGTAATTTATTGGAATTTATTAATCTATATCCTTTTCTTTTTATTCTACTTTTAGAAACACTTTGCTTATTCAAGATCATCGTCAAAAGTAATGTCACCAAATTCCCAACATCCAAGATGTCTGGATCTTGCGACCTTTTGAGCGGCAAGGATCTCTTGATCGTAGTCACGAGAAACAGCAGAAGCCTTTCTTATATCAAGAACACCCCAACCCTTGCTTACCAATTCTTTATTAATAGTGTAGCTTGGGTCCTTCAAAGATTCTTCAGAATCGTAAAGAACGGCGGTGTAATCAATAGAACCACTATGTGGAAGAGCACTAATAACAAGCTTTCTGTCATAACAGAGGTCTTCAAGAGAATATAAAGCTTCTGTAAGGTAATCAGTAGGCTTTGTAGGAGGCAATCTGATGTTTTGCAAAACACAAGTGTGAGCAAATGGTGCGTAAGATTGAAGTCCGAACTTGGCTGGCAATAAACGTAATTGGGACAATGGAACAAAGTCAACATTACCAAAGTCAATGTACTTAACTTCGTATTTACCAGTAGCCTTGTCATAAGAGGCCACCTTTGCACGGTAATATTTACCATTATCAGCGGATTTGGCAGAAACAAGATCATTCTTCTTTGGAGCCTTGTTTAAGTTGTGTGGCAAATCAACAGAAGTGTTACTAGCACTTGGGATTTGAGCATGAAATTCAGCAAATTGTCTCTTGAACAAGTCAAGTTTAGACTTGTTGGCTTGGTCCAAGAGCTGGAAACTAATAATACCTTCGTCATCAATATCAGTGACCTCAATATCGAAAAATTTAGGTTTGGATGCTTCTACACTTAATTGAGCCATCTTAGCATTAGCATCACTAATCTCAGCTTGAACCTTACTAGCATCATAGTTGGCCCAAATTCCCTTATGTTGGGATTTAGCCAAGTCTTCAGCCTTGGTCAATTCATTAGCATAGTTGTTAGAGTTAACAGCAATTTCATGAACACTAGTTAAACCTTGTTCCAACAAAGTAACTTGCACTGGTGCTAAACTCTTGGAATTAGCAAACAAATTACCAATGTATCCACCAACTTTATCTTGGTCATACACTTCGAATTCTACACTTCTTTGCAAGAACTTCTTGTTCATAAACTTCAAACCTTCTTCAGCATTTTGATCAGCTTCTGATCTTGAGTTGGTTAATCCACCCAAAATTAAAGTTAACTTCAAACCTTCCTTTGGATTGAACAATTTAACTCTGTTCATCGAAGGAATAAATTCAACAAAATAACCTCCAGAAATTCTACCCTTTTGCTTGAATCCATTAAAGAAAGTCTTAGCCTTGGTCAAGTTTTCAGAAGCATCAACTACTCTGGTACCAACAGTCAAAACCTTGGAAATGTCACCACCTTTGAAGTATACACCTTTCTTACCCAATTTTTCTTGTTCTTGTTCCAATTCTACAAGCTTATCCCAGTTCAAAGATCTTTCATGAGAGGTAGCCTTATTATGCTTGATAACAGTAGCCCATCCATTTTGAATTATGGTTTCTGATAAGTCCTTACCATTGATTTTAACACTAACAAGGAATCTTTCTTCAAAACCCAAGTCCTTATTGGCACTTCTAAGTCCATCGATGTACACAGAACAAGTCTTACCAATAGCTTGATGACGAACATATTCACGAGCAGAATTGACCAAGGCAATCTTTTCTTGTGGGTTAGTAGTCAATGTACTATCGTTTTGTCTTGGAGCTCTTAACGAAGCCAATTGAACGGTAAATTCTTCATCGGAAGGGAGACGAAGCACCAAGGTATCGGCAGTGACAACTTTGGCAACTGTGAGACCTTCAAGAGAAGCACCCGGTCTTAATGACTTCAAAGAAACTTGCTTCCCATTGGATGAGGTAGAAGCTACGGGCTTTGGGGCATTTCCAGCATAAATACCTCTTCCCAAAGCCTTTGCAGTTTGTTCAGCCTTTCTCAATTGACCCATTATGGATGAACCAATCAAGGAAGATTGCCAATCAACAATTTCACCCAAACCATTTTCAAGCAATTTTTCATGAATATTATTTCCAGAAGGATGTTCAATGATTGCAATTGGCAAACCGGATTGACTTAATCCAACAATACGAGTCTTGAGAGCTGCAGTGGTAGTCAAGAGTTTAGATTCAACAAATTCCTTAGCTTGGTGAGCCACCTTGGTAAGGGATGCAGATTGAGTGGCATCATCAGTTCTAGGAGACTTATAACCAGCAAGAAGCAAAGGAGTGGAGATATATTGCAGTTTGTTAAGAATAATACGTGCAATGACACGGTCTCCACTGATAACTTTTTCAATAATAGTGGTGATTGGAGACTTTTGAGACTTTTCAATTATATCGTCATTGACTTCGACTGCAGTGTGAGCATTGGAACTAGTAGCCCAAACACCAACCTGTGAAGCTCTAGCCTTGGCTTCAATTGGCTTGAGAACATCTTCAAGATAGTCGGAATCATCGTTGTTATCCTTCAACTTAAACCAACCCTTTTCTAAACCGTATTCAACCAATGACTTGAAAATTGGAGTTTGAATATCACCAAATTCCTTACCACTTGGAATCTTGAATAAAACCTTGAATTTAACATCCTTACCAATGATGAGAGTTCTCAAAGCTTCCTTAGCTTCAAAACTATCACCACGAACATATGAGAGGGTTAACATTCTTTCTGGTGCAGGCACTTGGGCAGTTTTGGATGGCACAAGTATAACAGTGTCAGCACTTATAACATTTTTCACTTTAGCAACAAACACAGACATTTTTTTTCTTATCTTATTAAATTAGTTTCCAAGAAAATCCCTTTTTCCCTTTCGTCTAATTCTCTATATATGTGTGTATAATATATGTATATTAAATTTGATTCCCCCAGTTATCCATTATGGTGGTTTGATCTGAAAAATGACACAAAAACAATCCCATATCGGGAAATATAAAGAAGCCACATATCCATAATAGAATATGATCGAACGAGTAAATATTTGAAATAGAAAACACAAAATCAAAAATTAAAAAAGAGAGACATTAAATATAGCGCCCAAAATATCTTTTATAGTCAACACTCTCCTGAGTTTACAAACGAAATAAAAGTGGGGCTCTCAAAGGGATAGAAAAAGGACAAAATAATATATAATACAGATAAAGACTTTTAAAGAGAGGAGATATTAATAACCATGGCCCCTAGATCTACCGCTCAAAAGAGACTTCTTAAAGAGTATCAACAATTATCAAGAGATCCACCTCCAGGAATCGTGGCCGGCCCGATTTCTGAAGATGATTTATTCCATTGGGAATGTCTTTTAGAAGGTCCTTCTGACACTCCATATGAAAATGGAATCTTTCCTGCATCCCTCAAATTTCCTAAAGATTATCCATTGAGTCCACCTACTTTAAAATTTGAACCGTCATTATTACATCCAAATATTTACGAGGATGGAACTGTTTGTATTTCCATTCTTCATCCTCCTGGTGAAGATCCAAATCAATATGAAAGACCAGAAGAACGTTGGTCTCCTGTACAGAGTATCGAGAAAATTCTTTTAAGTGTTATGTCTATGCTTGCTGAACCAAATCCAGAAAGTGGTGCAAATATTGATGCATGTAAACTTTGGAGAGATCACCGCGAAGAATATGATAAACAAATCCGTAATCATGTTAGAAAATCTTTAGGATTGTAATTAATCTATACATACATATACCATTAATGCAAGTACACTAATGTAATATTAATACTAATAGGTGGATACGGCCATAATCTTGTAAAAAAAAAAAAAAAAGTCATACAATATAAAAGGAATACTCCAGATATAGATAGCCTGCATATAAAACGGTTCTAACTACCCGATTAAGATATCGGAATGAAAAGTAATCGAAACAATCTCTCATGATGATCTATCATCTATACATCAAAAATTGATATAAAAAGGTGAATTCCAATTACTTTTATTCTTGATATTTCTTTTATTTTCTTCTTTAGATAACCATTATTAATAATTCGATTCAACTTCACCATGTCACAATCAGTTGAAGTGTGTATTATTGGAGCTGGAGTTTCTGGTCTCAAGGCCGCACAACATCTTATTAAGAATTCAAAATATTCTGCTGAGGATATAGTTATTCTTGAAGCACAAGATAGGATTGGTGGTAGACTTTATACGGACCGGACTAGCTCAAAATTAGGGTACTCGTATGATTTGGGTGCATCTTGGTTTCATGATTGTCTCACTAATGTTCTCTTTCAACATTTTTATTCTGGGGAAGATAATGATGTATTTGATATTTCCAAAGATGGATATTTTGACGATAAACCAGAATGCATGTTTGAAAAAGATTTAACGGGACCTGTTAGTGAAGCCAAAACTAAAGTTGGAACAATCATCCATGATATTGAAAAATTTATTGAACTTTATTTCCTTGAACATTTATCACTCGAAGAAGACAAGTCTGTGAAGGAAATGGTTGATTTATATTTACTTAAATACTCCAAGTTACTTACTGAAGAGGAAATCAAGTATGCTAAAGTAGCTATGAGATATGTGGAACTTTGGCATGGTGTATCTTGGGACAAATTAAGTGCAAGATATTCTATTTTGCAACATCAAGGAAGAAACCTTTTCAATGCAAAGGGGTATGATGTTATTATTGATTGGTTATTAAAAGATATCCCAAGAGAAAGGATTTTGTTGGAAAGTCCAGTATCGAAAATCAACCGTCATGTTAGTAACCTGGATAAGCGTATTTCTGTGGAAACAAAGAATGGTACTGTCATTCATTGTAATTATCTCGTGGTTTCTGTTCCTTTGAGTATTTTATCACTTGAATCATCCTCGGATTATGGAATTACTTGGGAACCTCCATTACCAGAGACTATGACCGCAGCACTTCAAAAAATTCATTTTGGTGGATTAGGTAAAGTTGTATTTGAATTTGATTCCATTTGGTGGGATATGAATCAAGATAGATTTTCTATGATTCCAAAACTAACTCAAAGCAATGAGATTTTTGAAGAATTGACTTCATTACCAGAACCTTGGTCGTATCCTGCAACTGCAATCAACTACTCCGCTGTTCGGAGTAAACAAGATGGAACTGCAGCTAAAGGTGGCCTGCTTGTTATTCTTACTCAATCACCTTTATCAAACTATCTTGAAAAACATCCACATGAAGCATGGACTTATTTCAAGCCAATGTTATCTAAAATTGCCGTTAAAGAAATGCCAAACGAACCAATAACAACAATTACTACAGAATGGTCGAGTAATCCATACATCAGAGGTGCATATGGAACCATCTTTACTGGTGACGATCCTGTGAATGCAAGCATCCAACTTTCAGGTCAGGTTCCTGGAGCTGGAATAAGTAGTTCTACTATTAGATTTGCTGGAGAACACACTGCAACTGAAGGTGAAGGATGTGTAAATGGAGCATGGATGAGTGGTGAAAGAGAAGCTAACTGGATTATGGAACATGCAGGAAAATCTTTAAAGCCATTGCTTTAAAGAAGATAGTAAAAGGAAAATTATGAATCCATTAGAAGTTAAAAGAAAAAGATGTATTTCAATAGAGTAAAATAAAAAGATTGTTCAAAATTCAATTCTTGTGTATTATTTTTTTATCTTATCATTCAAATTAAAATGTATGTTATTTGCATCTTCTAGAACACACTAGATGGTTGCAGAAGATCTGTATCGTTATATACAGGATAACCATGATCTCTTTAATTTTTTTTAATTCTTTTTTTGATTTTAAGTTTTTTTTTTTCTCTTCCACATTAGGGCCATATATAGAGGAACTCATTTCTTATTTCCATTCAATTTTCTCTTTCCTTTCTTTATCAAACCAATATTATAATATAACCAACATGGCTCAACCATTTGACGCTGACAACGCTGACAACTTAGAAGACATCGAAAAGCAATTTGCCGTTAAGGCAGTTGCTCAAGCTGAAACCTACTGGGGATTGCTTGAAAAGATCCCAGGTTCCAAGCTTAAATTGACCAAGCATGATGATGATATTGTTGAACAAGTTTTAGAAGCTTTCCCAGAATTCAAGGAACCAAAGAATGTTGCCTTGATTAACGAAGGTGAGATGAAGAGTGTTTCTGGTAAGGCCAAGTGGAGAGCTTTCTGTGAGAAATTTAATGAAATTGAAGACTACAACTTTGGTACCTTGTTAAGATCCAGTGTTTCTGACTACTACACCCAAGAAGGTACCATTTTCGTAGTCAGAATCCAATTTTACGCTATCGAACTTCTTAGAAACAAATATGGTTTGAACGATTGGATTGTTCAAAAATAAATGGAGATAAATGAAGTGATAGATTAGAGAGGGACTGTATAGTAAAGGGATATCAATATTTAAATATAATAAATTGAATCGAAAATCAAAATCAAAATGTGTATTATTTATGATCTTATAAAATGCCCATTGGGTGGGTGTATGGCTGTAGTGGTAGATTTTGGTCATATGATCAGAGTAGCTAATTGCAAGGTGTAAATTTTTTTTTTTCTCTTCATTTTCATTTTCATTTTCGGAACTTTAACTGTTTGAAAATGTGCCGCGTAGAAGAATGTACAAAACGGAAATATCTGGAGTAACAACTTTCCACTTGGATTAGTGTAAAACCAGAATTTATCCAAAAACAGATTCTACTGAGCTATTTCATGAGGACTATTTGGAACACTTCTGATCATATTGCGAGTTAGAAGAGTGCTTCCCAATATATAATATTACCTATTGTTCCTCATTGAAATAGTAATTCCATTATTGTACGTAATATTATTTTTCTCTCTCTCTCTTTATTATTTTATTTTTTTGTTGAGGGCGCAAACGAAATCAATAGACGAGTACACGTATTGCTTGGTTGAAGTAAACACATACAATTTGGTGGACAATGTCGAACGGAGTACACACCAATGGACTGCTGAAACCAATGCATCTGCAAGTCCAAGGGCCGGGCCTGCTGCAAGGACAACAGCAAGGTGGACCGCAACTGGGAATACAACCGCCACCACAACAACAACAACCTGCAAACTATACCCTTCCAGGAATCATTAATTATTTGACATCTGAATTCACCAATCTAGAAAGATTCAAAATCGTCAATAACTTGGAGAAATCCGAGATGAAACACAAGATCAATCAACTTCAAGGAGAATTGAATGCTATCAAATACATAGAAGAACGTCAAAGATACCAGATCATGTTACTTAATAATGAGAACGAATTACTCAAGAGGAGCCTTAGAGAAAAACTGAATGGTCTAGAAACGGAACTTGACACATCGCACACAGGGGTATCGGAAACTTCCCAACCCCCAGACTTACCAGAAATCGATTTACTGGTGGTCAAGAAATCCCGCGAGCAACTTTCAAAGGCAATGAAAGAAGTGGTTTACCTTCTTAGAACCCCATCTCCAAATGGATACAATTATTTGAATCTTCCAGATCCAACCACTGGAGTTGCAGAGGGTCAGAACTTAAGCAACCAATATGATGAATTATTTAGCACACCAATACCAAATGAAGAAGATTCTGAACTTCAACAACAACTGATTGGATCTGAAACGTCAATAAAGGAAAGTTTGGAAGAATCGAAGCGTATCAATCATTCTGGAATTTCTAAATATTTCGATGATTCCGATACTACAAGGAGTAATAGTAAATTCACAAATCCTGAATCTGTGGATGAATTCATGGCAAATGATCTTTTTGGGGAAGTTGCCAAATTGGAAAGTAAAACAATTGGTAATACCACTGATCGTATCAAGAATATGACTATTGACGAAGAAAGCATACCAGAAGATTTATATTCAGGAGCTAATGAAAGTGAAGCAGACACGATTATTTACGATAATGATGATGATGAAGATGATGATGATGACGGAGGGTTTGGTTTCAATTCAAAAGATAAATTGAATCAAAGTAATGTAGATGTGGGATCATCCGAAAAGCATAGTACACGTAGTGATTCGAGATATGGTCACATTGTTTCTACTATTTCCCCAGGATATACTTTATTCAGAGTGTTCCAGGGTAATGATGATGGGAACTTACTTCTGTATGTTAACTACAATCATAAATCGGGCCCCGGTGTGGTATTATTACGCATTTATGATACTATTCTTAAGAAGAATATTGTTTCTACAGAAATCGACTTACCTGAAACTGTTTCGCATATTTTATCAATCTACCATGTCTTCCAAGCACTGGGGGTAAATCAATTGATTATTGTTTATACTAATGGTAATATTGCATCAGTTAAAGTCACATCTGATAGTAAGAGTACACACAATTACATTTTGAATTTACATGGTAAAGTTCATTCTACCGCTTTCACTGAATTCACTCAAAAGAGTGAGATAAGTAAAAGATACTATGGATTAACTTTTACTCTTCATGGGGCTCATAAGCAACTTCGAGTTTGTGAGATTAGTGCAGACATTAATGAAGTCAATTTGTATGAAATTGGAATTCATAAGTATTCATACTTTACGAATTTGCTTGAAGAAAATAGTGACCTGGAAGAATTTGAAGCAGTTCATTGGTATTACAACAATAGTTTGAAACATTTGAGTGGAGTAGATACTCCACCGGTGAACTCTGCTACACATAAATCCAAAAACAAATCTAATGGTAAAAAGGAACATCTTCTTGACCAATCAATTCAACCATATGAAGTGATTTTGCAAGTTTCAGGATATTTAATGAAAATGAATATGATCCTGAAGAATGTTGAGAAATTTGAGTTTAAAACATCACCTAAACTTGAAAATGAATTAGGATTACTTTATAGTGGTCATTATGCACTTTGTACAGGTAAGGGAGGAGTTGATATATTTGACATTGGCCAATGGAAAATTATACCAGGTAATCATATGTTAAATAATGAAAGTGTAATCAATTTGGTGGCATTGGTGAAACGTGGACAATTGAAGATTATCAACATTGGAACTACTGGAATTGTAACAATAATTGATCCCCTGTCAAAGTCCAAGACCCCGTTGAAATCTTTGAATGGGAAACTTATTCGTTCAGGTAATACTTTGGTTGTCGTTGACGAAACTTCATTTGAAGTGTTGGATGTATAGAGTAAGGAAATATATAAGTAAAGAATGAACGTAAATTAAAACTAAACTAAACTAAATTCAATAGAAACGACGAAATTGACTATGTAATTGTTTTTTTAAAGAATTTATATGGAAAATTGGAAGTATCCGGACCACATTCTAAGAATGAAGCCTGTAAAAGGGTCTGATGTGTTATCGACACGATAAAATGGCAGGCGATGAGATAGCTATTGATAACACAAAATCACATATTTTTTAAAAAAAATATACTAAAAAAAAATCTAAACAGCGAAAAGAAAATTTTGAGAAACGTTTTCTAGAAGTACTTTATTGTTCTTTATCATTCTAGTAACTGAATCTGTCTAACAACTCGCACACTCTGCCGTTATAGAACTATTTATTGTGACGATAGCTAGCAGTACCAGAATAGAACAAGAATAATGTCAAAACAATCATTTGACGATTTTTTGAGACAGCAGCAGCTGCAACCAATTAGAGGTGCTAGTCCTAGCCCTGCTGCTGGTGCCAGATCTGGTAAGATGTCCTACAATGGACAATCCTTTGTTCCAGGTAGTGCTGCTTACACTCCAGCTGGATCGGTTCCTACCAGTGGCACTGCCACCCCTACTTCTATCGGTGGTGGTTCTTCTACTACTTCATTGGCCTCATTAAACACTGCCCTTTCTAAACTTAATGTTGAAGACACCCCTATACAAGGACATTTGGTCAACATTCAACAAGCTTCCAAGATTGGTGAAATTAAGCCAGAAGCTCAAGCTATCGCTACCTTGGTTGAAGAGGCTGATTCCCTTTCTGTCCTTTCCCAATGGAAACTTGTTGACATTCTCAAGTCTTTGGCCAAGCCAAAGAACCTGCCATTAGTTAGAGAAGCATCTTTGGTCATTGTCCAACAATTGGCTGCTCAATTCGGTGGTAAGACTCCTAAAGAAGCATACTTGTTACAATTCATACCCTCTGTTTATGATATGTTTGCTGACAAGGATAAGAATGTTGTTAAGGCCGCTAAGACCGCTAGTGATGCTCTTTATGGTATATATCCAGTTGAAGCCATTGCAACTGTTTTCGTTGATGAACTTTTGGCTTATCTTCTGTCTTCTGCCAAGTGGAACTCCAAATTAGCTGCCTTGGTTACCTTTGATAGAATTATTGAAGAAGTTCCAGCTGATTTATTGGAAATGAAGTTTGTCAATGTTGTCCCAACTTTGACCGATTTGGCCACTGATTTCAAGCCAGAATTGGCTCGTGCCGGTTTAAAGACTTTAAAGGCCTTTGTTAAGGTTTTGGATAACTTGGATTTACAAAACAAGTATGACTTGATTGTTGACACCTTGGCTGACCCTAAAAAGGTTCCTGAATGTGTTAAGAGTTTGTCTTCTGTTACCTTTGTTGCCGAAGTCACCGAACCAGCATTGTCTCTCTTGGTCCCAATCTTGGACAAGTCTTTGAAGATGTCTTCTTCTTCTATGGATCAATTAAGACAAACTGTCACTGTCACTGAAAATTTGACCAGATTGGTGAACAACAAGCGTGAAATTGAAAACTTTATTCCAATCTTGTTACCAGGTGTCGACAAGGTTTACAACAATGCATCCTTACCAGAAGTTAGAGAATTGGCCCACAAGGCATTGGTTGTCTTGCAAGAAGCTGAAAACGAACATTCTGATGGTAAGTTCCACGGTAGATTGGCTGTTGACCAAGCCCTTCAATACTACACTCCAGAAAATGTTACTTCTACTATTCAAGGATTAGCTGAAGACTCTGTTATTCAAAACTATTTGGCCCATATTTTGACTGCTGACTCCAACGTCAATGATTGGAAGAGATTGAGAGAATACTTGATCACTGCTTCTCAAGGTGAAGCTCAAGAATATGCTGATGCTGTTATTGCCAAACTTCGTATTTTGTTTACCCTGGAAAACACCCAGACTTATGATGATGACGAAGAAGGTGCTGTTGAAGTCGTTAACACCGATTTCTCCTTGGCTTATGGTACCAGAATGTTGTTGAACAAAACTACTTTGCGTTTATTAAAGGGTCACAGATATGGTTTGTGTGGTCGTAACGGTGCGGGTAAGTCCACCTTGATGCGGGCCATCTCCAAGGGCCAGCTCGAAGGTTTCCCTACTGCAGACGAGTTAAAGACTTGTTTTGTTGAACATACTCTTCAAGGTGAAGAAGCTGATATGGATTTGGTTAGTTTCATTGCTTCCGATCCTGAATTGGTTCATGTTGAACGTTCTGGTATTTCCGACGCTTTACTTGCCGTTGGTTTCCCACAAGAAAGATTGGAACAAAAGGTCGGTTCCTTATCTGGTGGTTGGAAGATGAAGCTTGAATTGGCTCGTGCTATGTTGTTAAAAGCTGATGTCTTACTTTTGGATGAACCTACTAATCACTTGGATGTTGCTAACGTCAAATGGTTACAAGATTACTTGATTGAAAACACTTCCATTACTTCTTTGATTGTTTCGCATGACTCTGGTTTCTTGGATGCTGTTTGTACCGATATTATCCATTACGAAAACAAGAAGTTGGCTTACTACAGAGGTAACTTGTCTGATTTCGTTAAGGTTAAGCCAGAAGGTAAGTCTTACTACACTTTGACTGACTCTAATGTTAAGATGGCTTTCCCACCTCCAGGTATTTTGACTGGTGTTAAGTCCAACACTCGTGCTGTTGCTCGTCTTGTTGATGTTACCTTCACTTACCCAGGTGGTGTCAAGCCATCTTTGGCCCACATTTCTTGTTCCTTGTCTTTATCTTCCCGTGTGGCTATCCTTGGTCCAAATGGTGCTGGTAAGTCTACTTTGATCAAGTTATTGACCGGTGAACTTACTCCACAAGAAGGTAGAGTTGAGAAGCATCCAAACTTGAGAATTGGTTACATTGCTCAACATGCTTTGCAACACGTCCAACAACATAAGGAAAAGACTGCTAACCAATACTTGCAATGGAGATATAGATTTGGTGATGATCGTGAAGTTTTATTGAAGGAATCCCGTAAGATTTCTGAAGATGAAAAGGAACAAATGGCCAAGGAAATTGATGTTGAAGATGGTAGAGGTAAGAGAATTATTGAAGCTATTGTCGGTAGACAAAAGTTGAAGAAGTCTTTCCAATATGAAGTTAAATGGAAGAACTGGTTACCAAAGTACAACTCTTGGGTTGCTAAGGATGTATTGGAACAACATGGTTTCCACAAGTTGCTTCAAAGATTCGATGATCACGAAGCTTCTAGAGAAGGTTTGGGTTACCGTATCTTGACTCCACCTGTTATTAGAAAGCATTTCGAAGACGTTGGTCTTGATGGTGACATTGCTGACCATACTCCTATGGGATCTTTGTCTGGTGGTCAATTGGTTAAGGTTGTCATTGCTGGTGCCATGTGGAACAACCCACATTTGTTAGTTTTGGATGAACCTACCAATTATTTGGATAGAGATTCCTTGGGTGGTTTGGCTGTTGCCATTAGAGACTGGACTGGAGGTGTTGTTATGATTTCGCACAACAACGAATTCGTTGGTGCCTTATGTCCAGAACAATGGCATGTTGAAAACGGTGAAGTTGTGCAAAAGGGTATGGCTGCCGTTGATTCTAAGCGTTTCGAAGATGCATCTGCTGATGGTTCTCCAGCACCAGAAGGTGATGAAGCTGCTGCTGCCAAGGCTGCTGCTCCAGCTCCAAAGAAGCGTGCTGATGATGACGATTCTCCAGCTAACATCAAGGTCAGACAAAGAAAGAAGAAGATGACCAGAAATGACAAGAAGTTGCAAGCTGAAAGAAGAAGATTGCGTTACATTGAATGGTTAAACACTCCAAAGGGTACTCCAAGACCAGCTGACACTGATGATGAAGATGAGTAGATGTGTATTTTTATTCCTATAATAAAATAATTAATTCAGCAAATAGAAAATTAAAAGTAGAGTGAGAAAATAAAATGTAGAGCCAGATTTTACTACAAACTAATATCGTCGTACAAGGAAATACATTCACTGTATGATTTACACTGGATATATTAGTACCAAGTTTAAAAAAAAATGAGAAAAATAAAAAAAATAAAAAATTGAAAATGTATGAATATTAAAAGATTCCTGCATGTACATCGGAGGCAAAATCAATCACAACCTGAACAAAGACTATAGTGTGTAGACATTAACAGTAACACAAGGAACACCAATACTCCATTTGTTTAATTCTTTTTGATATCTGGAATTTCTAATACAAATAAATTTCTATAGACTTTACAAACGGGTTAGCTTTCAAGAATAGATTATAAAGTGAGAACACAATGGCTGATAGATATTCATTTTCATTGACCACATTCTCACCAAGGTACGTTTACAATTATTACACCACTCCAAGAATGGGAGTGTATTGATATCATATCAAAACAAGAATACTAACAAACTCTCTCTAGTGGTAAATTGGTACAGATTGAGTATGCATTAAACGCTGTGAAACAAGGTATTACCACCATTGGAATTAAATCTGCTAGTGGGATTGTTCTTGCCACAGAACGTAAGGCCAACTCCCCACTTCTCAAAACTGACACAGGCTCAAAAGTAGAGCTTATCACACCTGATATTGGTGTCTCTTACTCGGGAATGGGGCCGGACTTCAGAGTTCTTGTAGACAAGGCTAGAAAGCTTGCACACACCAATTACAAGCGTGTTTATAACGAATATCCACCAGTCAAAATCATGGTACAAGAAATAGCAAAGGTTATGCAAGAATCCACACAATCCGGAGGTATCAGACCATTTGGTGTCTCATTGTTGGTTGGAGGTTACGACCATCATTCGGAACAGTTCCAATTGTATCAAGTAGACCCATCTGGTAGTTATTTCCCATGGAAAGCCACTGCCATTGGTAAGACTTCTGTATCTGCCAAGACCTTTTTGGAAAAGAGATGGAATGAAAACTTGGAGTTGGAAGATGCTATCCATGTAGCTCTTTTAGCATTGAAGGAATCTGTTGATGGGGAACTTACTGGTGAAAACTTGGACATTGCTATTATTGCTGAACCACAAGATCACTTGTTGGGTTTCAAGGGTACAAGTCATAGTGGTCCAAGATTCAAGAAGTTAACTGCTGAAGAAATTAACGATAGATTAGATGCTTTATAGGTGTACTTACAAATAGTTTTGATGAATAAAAGAAAGAAGCAATAAAAGAAAGTTGGTAATAGTAAGAAGTAAGTGTATAGAGATTTTTTAATCTGTATATTTGTAAGCTAGGTCCCGTTTTGAATATTTCATCAAGTTATTGGGGGAGGAGGAGGAGGTAACTCTTTAACTATGGTTGGGGGCTCCTGTATATGTCAGGTGTATTATATGTAGGAGATGTTTGAATGTACTTCTTTTTTTTTTTTTTTTTTTTTTTGTGGTAAGGCATCTCTTCTTGAAAAGCGATTGACTGGAATATACAGAATAGTTTAGATTGGTTTATTAAAACAATTTGAAATGGCTCGTAAACAGAAACAATCTGGGAAAAAGAGAAGTACCAGAAAGATCCAGGATGCCTTCCAGATTGCTCAAAGAGCTGAAAATCAGGGAGATTCTGACAATTCTGGTAACGAAAGTGATGATCTTGTAGTGAGAGATGGGGTGATGAATGCTAGAAAATTTTTAGGAAAGGGCAAAGAAGATCAAGATGGAAGTGATGATGATGAAGAAATTGATTCTGATGAAGCTTTAGGTTCGGATGATGACTATGATGTTCTTAATTCTAAGTTTTCCCAAACTATCAGAGATAAAGCTAAGAAGGCCAAGAAGAGGGCTCGTGACAATAAGAGAGGAAAGGCTCATTCTGATAGCGATGATAGTGATGAAGATGAAGTATACGATAGTATTGATGAATCCCAATTCGTTGGGTTGTCCGAAGCTTGGGACATGGATGACAAGGACTTGGCTAAAGTGAAGCAAAATAAGGATAAAAATGGAGAACTGAATGATGTAGTGTTAGATGATAAATGGGAAAGTGAAAGCTCTCAAGAATCTGAATCCGAATCTGAATCTGAAGATGAAGAAGAAGAGAATGAATCTGACTCGGATGTGTTTGGTGGTTTTGGTTCTGATGATGAAGATGTGGATCTTGCACAAACTGTATCCAATCTTCAATCTCAGTTGAAGAAACCAACCAAAGAAAGAAAACGTTTAATGACAGAAAAATCCGAAGAAAACGAATTCAACTTACCAACAAAGGGTAACAAGTTATCCTTGACCGATATGATGTCCGGTATTGAGACCAATGACGCTATTTTACTCAATACTGCAAATGATGGAGCTGAAAGTTCAGCATCAGCTACTCTTACTGCACCACTTCCAAAGAGAATTCAAGAAAGACATGATAGAAAAGTTGCATATGAGATCACTAAGGAAGAAGTGAGTAAATGGGAAGATACTGTTAAACAAAATCGTCAAGCTGAAGTTCTTCTGTTCCCTATGAACCCAACTGTTAAGCATAACGATTCAGCAGTTACTTTTAAGTCTGATAATAAACCAACCACTGAGTTAGAACAAAAGGTGCATAGTTTGTTAACTGAATCTGCATTATTGGATGACAAGAAGGAAGCCACATTTGAAGAGATTGCAACTGCTAAGATGTCTGTTGAAGACTTGAAAAAGAGAAATAGTGAACTTAGACTTATGAGAGAACTTATGTTTAGAGAAGAAAAGCGTGCAAAGAGAATTAAGAAGATTAAATCTAAGCAATACCATAAGATTCAAAAGAAGGCTAGATTGAGAAACCAAGAAATGGTTGAAGGATCTGACATGGAATCAGATGGTGAAGAACATGACATTAAGAGAGCACAGGAAAGAATGTCGTTGAAGCATAAGACTCAATCACAATGGGCCAAGTCCATGATCAAGAGTGGATTGTCTAAGGATGCAGACAATAGAGGTGAATTGGAAGAAATGTTGAGACAAGGTGAAAGATTAAGAGCCAAACAATTGGGTTATGAAGACGGGGATCAGGATGACCGTGGTGTTTCTGATATTGAAGCTGCATATGATGATGACCAAGAAGAAGATGATGCTAATAGAAGTAAACTTGGAAAGGGTGTATTGAATATGGACTTTATGAAGGCTGCTGACAAGAGAGCCAAGGCTGAAAATTTGAAGGAATTGGAATTCTTGAGAAAGATGGAAGAAGGTGATGGACTTGAAGATTTCGAAGATGGTGAATCTAACTCTATTAATATCAACAAGAACCAAGGTAGAAGAGTGTACACACCAAATGCATCCGCTATGAAGGATGATGTAAATACTACCAATTCCAACACCAGAGAAGAGGTTGAATTGGACAATGCCAAGAGTTTGTCAAACAAGTTGAGCAAGAAGTACAATGTGGTAGACAGTAAGGATAGAGGTAACAAGCAAGTACAAGAAGAGGTTGTTGTTGAAACTACTTCCTCTCCACAAGTTACAAATAATGCAGTAACTGAAGCTAACGATAGTGATGAACTGAATCCTTGGATGACTGTCAATTCCAATGAACCTATGCAAAAATCCAAGAAGATCACAGTCGTTGATAAAGATTCCTCAAAGGTTGCCAAATCCGCACAAAGGATTGCCAAAAAGGGTAACAAGAGATCTTCTTCCACTATGGACGCTGAAGATACCGTCATTGACATGGACCAAACCCTCAAGATTGTAGATGCATATGGAGATGACGAAAACGAAGATGTAGGTGGAAACCACATGTTTAAGCAAAAGGAGTTGATCAAGGAAGCGTTTGCTGGTGATGATGTTGTAAAGGAGTTCGAGGCTGAAAAGAGACAAGTTATTGTTGATGAAGATGACAAAGAAGAAGATCTCACACTTCCTGGATGGGGTGATTGGGCAGTTTCTGGAAAGAAAAACAAGAAGAAGAAGGTTGTCAAGAAAATTGATGGTGTTGTTCAAAAGGATAAGAGAAAGGATAAAAACTTGAAGAATGTTATTATTAACGAAAAGGTTAACAAGAAGAACTTGAAATACCAATCTTCTGCAGTTCCATTCCCTTACGAATCTAGAGAACAATACGAAAGAGCATTGAGAATGCCAGTCGGACAAGAATGGACTTCTAGAGAAACTCACCAAAAATTGACAATGCCTAGAGTTATTACTAAGCAAGGTACTGTTATTGACCCATTAAAGGCTCCTTTCAAATAGTGTATCATATATATAGAAGAAGAAGATGAACGAATATAAATAAACAATATATTATAATATTAGTATTGAATCTATTTTCATAATTGTCTGTCCAATTATTCTTCCAATAAACCATTTCTGATCATCCATGGCTTACCACTCATGAAGACACCTTCAGGATCCATTTCCTTTCTTACTTTATTGTACTTGGTCAAGTTTTCACCAAACCATTTCTTCATCACTGGGTCGAATCCAATCATGGTATAAAACTTCTTACCACCAAAGTCCAATTGAGTCTTTAAATCTTCTTCAGTTTCATGTTTACCCGTAACACCAATGAAATTCTTAGCCCAATGTGGTTTACCTCCAGCAGCAGTCAAAATGTCTTCAAAGATTTGGTACCACTCCTTGGTCTCGACATTGGTATGGAATGGTCTGTACATGGTAGCGTTAATGAAAAGAGTCAATTGATCATTTGTGATCTTTTTTGGGTCTTCAACGTATGGCAAGTTATCTGGAGAGTTATCCAAGTAAGGACGGAAGTTGTTACCTGGAACTGGACCAGCACTGAGTCTGTTTCTTGTAGCTAACCATTTTTGAGATGGATACAAAGAAGGCTCATTGGTTTCATCATCGACAAAAGGAGTATCAGAATTAGTTACATTTGAGCATCTAACTTCAATTGGAGCATGCACATAGAATCTATTTTCCTTTTGAGCATTCTTAATTTTAGCATCCAATTCAAGTAAGACTTCCTTACCGTGTTTCAATGGTGCGGACCATTCGTTAACAAATTGAGAGAATAAACAATCCATATTCAATCCATCTACAGAATGTTGGACTGCAACATCACCGCTTCCCAAAGTTTCAACATTTCCATATTGTTGACTGAAAACAAATTTTTCGATATATGGAGTAAGGCGAGGAAGGATATGAACGGAAACCCAAAGTAATGATTCATAAAAGAAACGACCAAAACGAGTTCCATACCATGATGGTCTAGGGTCGGAAAGTTCATCATCCGATTTGGAAGCACGCCAACAAACACAATTTCCAGAATAAGGGAACCACCAGATACGGATGAATTCTGAATCCAACCAAATACTTTCCCAATTGTTTAAAAGAGTGGAAAACTTGATAATTTCTTGCTTTGATTTAATGGTATAACTTGGGATAGTACGCAAAGTCACGTGGGTGATGATACCTACTTTACCTAAAGATAATAAGGCAGCTCTGAAAAGGTCTGGTCTTTCAATAGAAGAACAGTTAACCAGTTTACCCACTGAGTTCATAATAGTGATGGAAACTACTTGTTGAGAAACAAGACCATGATATTGGGAAGAACCATGGGTACCAGTAGAAATTAAACCGGCAATGGATTGGTCACTGATTGATCCAAGGTTTTGAACTGCAAGCTTATGGGTCTTGACATATTCGTTAAGCTCGTAGACTCTACATCCGGCTTCTACTGTAAGATCAACAAACTTTACTTCACGTTCACCATCTTTACCACCAAGAGCAGGTCCTGAAAACTCTTCTTGCTTTAAAACCTTATTGAATTTGTCCAAGTTACACAACCATTCCTTAGTCATAGTCAAATCTGAAGGAGAGTGGCCAGAACCAACGGTCATGATAGTCTTTCCTCGTTTACGAGCTTCATCGACAAGTAACTTGATTTCATCTACATTTGTAGGTTGAAAGATGGCTTGTGGTTGACAGGTGAAGGTTCCAGCCCATGTGGAATGGAAAACCTTACTGGTTAAAATTGGTTTGAGAGATTCAGGGACTTCGGAAATGTCTCCGGTTATTGAAGATGAAACCATTGAACAACACAGTTAAGATATTTGAATATTCACCTGAACACTATGAGTTATTGGTAAGTTGATTATTAACTTATTAGACGTTGAAACCTGCATCCGGACTCCGGGCGAAGTTTAAAAAAAAATTGCGACATCTGGTTAATTGATCCCGATATGAATCAAAAAGATTTAATCAGGTAAAGTTTATTAAAGATTTCCTGATTAGAAATGAGCTTTTACCCAGTTTATACGAATAATGTGTAGAGTACAAACAATTTCTATATTCCCAACTTCTTCCGTTTAGTGAAGTATTCTTCTTTTTCGCTCGATTTAAAGAAAGTAATAAGAAGTTTTGCCGCTCAAAATTGCCACAGCTAATGGATCATAACTTTACACACTATAAAATTTAAACTGACTCCTGTAAAACATTCTCTATCTAAAGATAATGATCATTCGTATACTAAGCACATGGACTTACTGCTTCCTCTCTATTTTCTTTTTTTTTTGACTCAGTACTAAATTCCCGCATACATGCTTCCCCCTATTTATCAAATTTTTAAAAGATGTTGCAACAAATTTATTGTCGTCAGTTGAGGTTCACTAAAAGGCTAAATCGAAAAAAAAAAAAAAAGAAAAAAGAATACTTTATGCAAAAGCCAACAAGAATGAGAGGAAAGCCCAAGAGTCCCTCAACAGGCCTGTAAATCTACTGGTAAGATGACCAACTTTCAAAACTAAATACCATATATAAATAATTCCCAATCATCAAAAACTACTGTGGCCCAGAACGGTAAAGGTCTCCCTCTTTTAGGTTCGGTCGCACACGACGTTCTCCGATCCGATTAAATTAAATTCATTCTGTTATTCATTTGTTCACCACTCGTATAGCCGTGCCTTATATGTAGTACAATCGTGTGGATATTTTTTTGCCCATTTTGTCTTTTGGGCGCGTCGTATAAAGTATTTTGGCAACACTTCAAACAGACACAAGTTTTTCTCCTTTTTTCCTCCTACTTATAGATCCATTCTCTAATTAAAATCAGTGTTACTGCTTTTTGCTCGAGGAATTACATATTTATTCACATCTAACTACTAAATTTCATATAAATAATGCCTTCAAACATCGGGATCAAGGGTATCGAAGTATACATTCCAACTGAATGTGTTAACCAAGCTGAATTGGAAAAGCACGATGGTATTCCAGCTGGTAAGTACACCATTGGTTTGGGACAAACCAACATGGCCTTTGTTGGTGACAGAGAAGACATCTACTCCATGACCTTGACTGTTCTTTCTCGTTTGATTGAAAACTACAAGATTGACACCAACAACATTGGTCGTTTAGAAGTTGGTACTGAAACTCTTTTGGATAAGTCCAAGTCTGTCAAGTCTGTCTTGATGCAACTTTTGGGTGATAACAACGACGTTGAAGGTATAGATACCATCAATGCCTGTTACGGTGGTACTTCTGCTGTCATCAACGCTGTCAACTGGATTGAATCTTCTTCTTGGGATGGTAGAGATGCTGTTGTTGTTTGTGGTGACATTGCCATTTACTCCGAAGGTGCTGCTCGTCCAACTGGTGGTGCTGGTGCCGTTGCTCTTCTTATTGGTCCAGACGCTCCAATTGTCTTTGATTCTACCAGAGGTTCTTACATGGAACATGCCTATGATTTCTACAAGCCTGATTTCACTTCTGAATACCCAGTTGTTGATGGTCACTTCTCCCTTGCCTGTTACGTCAAGGCCGTTGATAACTGTTACAAGAACTACTCCAAGAAGGTCACCAAGTCTGCTGACTCCACTGTTGGTGTTTTCGACCATTTTGATTACAATGCTTTCCATGTTCCAACTTGTAAGTTGGTCACCAAGTCATACGCTAGAATGCTCTACAATGATTTCAAGTCTAACCCAGAAAAGTTTGTTGACTCTATTGATGCTGAAACCATCAAATCTTTACAAGCTTTGACCTACGAACAATCCCTTGTTGACAAGGCCGTAGAAAAGACTTTTGTTGCCTTGGCCAAGGAACAAACCAAGGCTAGAGTGCAACCAGCTTTGACCGTTCCAACCAACACTGGTAACATGTACACTGCATCTGCTTGGGCTTCTTTATCCTCCCTCTTGTACTACGTTGGATCTGAAAACTTGCAAAACAAGAGAGTTGGTATTTTCTCTTATGGTTCTGGTTTAGCCTCAACCTTATTATCTGCCGTTGTTAAGGGTGATATTTCTCACATTACCAAGACTTTGAACTTTGACCATAAGTTGGGTGAAGGTAGATTCACTAGAACTCCAGAACAATATTTACAAGCCATTGAATCTAGAGAAAAGGCTCACTTACAAAAGTCTTTCAAGCCACAAGGTTCTATTGACCATCTTGCTAAGGGTACTTACTACTTGACTGAAATTGATGACAAGTACAGAAGACAATACGCTAAGAAGGATTAGTGCTAATGTTTGTACATAATTATAATATAAATACCTTAAAGTTACCTGCAGGATCGCGTATATATCAATTATTATCTTGTATAGAAAGTAGTGTTTTGGAATTTTTGGGTGCAAAAATGAAAAATTTGGAAAAAATGGAAAAAAATTGAAAAAAATTAAAAATTAAAAACCAAATTTTGAAATTATGGTGATCATCAGCACGTGCATTTTGCCTCATTAAGCTTGCGTTGCCTTTCAATTTTACAACATCACCATCAATAGAATGTATTTCCTCGGTATGACCTAGAATTGAGAGCTTGTAAAAGGGGTATCAAATTGATTACTACGTATATTCTAAAATGTTAATTGATTGTTATTTGTATTCCATTTCCACCATAGTAAATTTACAGAGAGTGAGAAAAAATGTAGTAGACTTGTAATTGGAATTGTAATTTACATGTATAGTTTTCAACAGGTATGTAACCTTTATTACTATTACTAAGTTAATTTGAAATTTAAAGATCATTCCTAGCAACCTGAGACCTACCATTCCCTTCGCCACACTTGTACATAGCAACCAAAGAATAGAGATATTTTCTAAGAGGGGTTGACCTGCATGAAACAACAAGGTTGCTGCACCACAATTGTTGCTATAAAAGCCTAATGGCCCATGATATAACAGAATCAAAATTGAACTTATAGTTTCAAGGATATTAGTATTTAAAGAGGTGTTTAGTTCACTAACAATTAGATACATTAATTTGTCCAATATATAAGGTTAAGAGCACACACAAATGAAGATCTCTCATATTGCATTACTTTTTGCAATTGCATCTGTTAGTGCCAGATTCGATAAATGGAGTCTGAATGATATCCAATACTTTTTGGAAGATAGAGGAGTTGAATATGGTGACAGGGATCACAAGGCCCTTGTTGGACTTGCTGAAGAAGAATTCTTGAGATTGAAGGAAGAAAACAAAGATACCAATGAAGGAGCTGTGCAACATATTTTGAACTTGGTTACCGGACATGGTTTCAAAGCTCCTCATAAGTGGGACTATTTGTTGGATACCACCCCACATGACGATCCTACCAGAATTGACACTGTCAAGTCCTGGATCTTTGACTCATGGTCCACTGCGGCTCTTAAGACCTTTTTGAATGAATACAAGATTAGATACAAGAAGGATGCCCGTAAGACTGAACTTGTGAAGACAGCTAAGGACAATTTTGATACCATTTCTAAGAAGCATGAATCATCCGGTTCATACCCTGGTTCTTGGATCTACTCCACTTGGTCAATTGACGATTTGAAGAAGTGGTTGCATGACAATGATTTGACTTTTGATCCAAAGGAATCTGCTCAAGAATTGGCTCAAAAGGTTACCAACAACAACTACTTGGCATCCATTGCTCTTTCTGACTCCAAAAAGTCATTATTTGACTCTCTCAGTCTTGGTGAACATTTGGATGTTTTCGACAAAGCCGGTAAAATCAAGCTGGCTTTTGTCGACACTTGGACGTACTCCCAACTTCGTGAATGGTTGTACTACCAAGGTCTTATTGACACCAAGCCAGGTGTTCAAGTTGACGACTTGGATAAGGGGAAATTGAAACAAATTGTTCTTTCCAATCAAGATTATTTGGTTGATGACATCAAGTCTTGGTCTGAGCAAGCTAGTAAGTTGGCATCCCCATACCTTGAAAAGGGTGCTGAAGCGGTAAAGGATGTCTCCGAGACTGCTGAAGAGGTCATTAACGACACATTTTTAATTGGAGTTGAAAAGTGGTCCAAGGAGCGCTTGAGAAGCTTTCTTGAAGCAAGAGATGTGAAAATCCCAGCTTTTGCAACTCATTCCCACTTGGTCAATCTCGTGAAGACCAATAAGAACATTGCACTTGGTAATAAGACTGTTATTAAGCCTGCCAACTGGATTTTGGAAGACTGGTCTACTGAGGCTATTCGCGAATGGTTATTGAAGAAGGGCCAAAAGGTTGAAGGTTCGAGACAAGATTTGGTTAACAAGGTTAATGAATTAATTTCTACTCAGCAACAAAACTTTGAAGATTCTGCTGGAAAGATTCAATCTAGAATTTCAGCTCACAAGCCAAACTTTGATGAATACAAGTCTTATGCCACCCACTCTTACCATGAAGCAAACAAAAATGCCAAGGTTAACTTGAAGAAGGCTAAGAAGGCTGCTAGTGACGCTAAGGGCGATGTTCAAGATAAATACGATGAATCTGTTTCTCTTGCTGATGAAACAATTTTGGATGCCTACAATGTTGGAAATGAATACTATAACACTGCTGCTAAACTCCTTAGTGAAAAGTACGCCAGAAACCAAAAGAAATTGGAACAATCTTTGGCTGAAGCTAAGAAAGCTTCATATGAATATTCTTCATCATTTGCCCTTGGAGTTTCTGACAAGGTTGGAAGTGTTAAGCCAAAGTTTGAACAAGCAGTTGAAGCTGCTAAGGTTGATGCTTCTGCCTATGCCACATATGTCATTGATGCTTTCAGTGCTACTGTCGAAGATGGTAAGGTTGCTGCACAAGAAGGAAGAGAAACCGTTTCTAGTGCTCTTTTTGACTACTTGTACTCTGCTAAGCAATACTTCAACAAGCTTGTTAAGCCTGCAAATGCATATGCTAGTTCCGCTGCCCTGGTTGCTAGTAATTATGGTACTGCTGCTCAAGAATATGCCGCCAGTGCCACTGACGTTGCTGCTGACTATGCTTCAGATGTAAGAGAAGTTGTACAAAATGCTTACGGCCAAGCCTCTGGTAATGATTATTCGGGATTTGCACAAGATGCTGTAAACTCGGTATACTCTAGTGTATCTGGCGGTTGGTCATCATTTTGGGAATCTATTTCTGACGCAGACTTGAAGGCTTATTTGAGATCATTTGGTTACAGCTCTACATTCTTAAACAACATTACTCATGACCAATTGAACCGTTTAGCTCAACAACAAACTGACTTCTTCTTTGGAATCTCTAACAAGTGGGATAAGCCAATTGCAGAATTATTGTCTGAAAAGCTCGGTTTTAAGAAGGAAAAGAGTACTTTGGAAAAGGTCAGAGAAGCAGTTGCAGGAAAATAGTTAATGAGAAAGATGAACAAAATAAATAATTGAAATATATTTTACATAATTTCAAAAAATTGATACTTTAAGTTTAAAAAGATTACTTTTATAGGTTGTAGTGTTAATATCTTTACTTGTATTACCTAATATGTTGTAAAATTGCAACCTTACTTTGAAGGATCCATATGCCTTAAATTCGCGTCTACCTAACAAACGCTTGTTCCATTTTCGGAAGTCTAGAATGTTTGTTTTGGTTTCCTATTTTTTTGGCCGCGCACGTCCTTGAATCAGCGCAAAGTAAACAATACGAAAGATCGTTACACGAGAGACTTAAGCTATCACATAACTCTTTGTAACTTCATCAACATCATGAGAGAAGTTATTAGTATTAATGGTATGTTGTAATTCCCAATCCCATGTACCGGTGTCGCTCTTGTAGCGAGAATTAGCAAGATTTATGATAATGGCATGATTCTTCTACAATGCAAAAAGGGGGCAAGAAGGTGTCACAACTATATCTGATCCAACCATAAAAAAATTTTTACGTCGGTACCATATCCAATTGTTATCTAGAGAGACGATAGAGAAACCAAGCGTGGTTGTTGTAGTGCAAAGATCATGATATAGTGGTGTACGACATCTTTTGTTCATTTTTATACTTTTTGACGATTTGATTACTAACAATATTTTTTAGTTGGCCAAGCCGGTTGTCAAATCGGTAACTCTTGTTGGGAATTATACTCCCAAGAGCATGGAATTAGACCTGATGGTTACTTGCAAGAAGGTTTAGACAGACCAAAGGGTGGTGAAGAAGGATTCTCCACCTTCTTCAGTGAAACTGGATCTGGTAAATATGTTCCACGTGCTTTGTACGTTGATTTAGAACCTAATGTAATTGACGAAGTCCGTACTGGTGCCTACAAGGATTTATTCCACCCAGAACAATTGATTGCTGGTAAGGAAGATGCTGCTAATAACTATGCTAGAGGTCACTACACTGTTGGTAGAGAAATTTTAGACGATGTCTTGGACAGAGTTAGAAGAATGGCCGATCAATGTGATGGTTTACAAGGTTTCCTTTTCACCCATTCTCTTGGTGGTGGTACCGGTTCTGGTTTAGGTTCTTTACTTTTGGAACAATTATCTGTTGACTATGGTAAGAAGTCCAAGTTAGAATTTGCCGTTTACCCTGCTCCACAAACTTCCACTTCCGTTGTTGAACCTTATAACACTGTTTTGACTACCCATACTACTTTGGAACATGCCGACTGTACTTTTATGGTTGACAACGAAGCTATCTATGATATGTGTCGTCGTAACTTGGACATCGGTAGACCAAGTTTCAACTCTTTGAACTCTTTGATTGCTCAAGTTGTTTCATCTGTTACTGCATCTTTGAGATTTGATGGTTCATTGAATGTTGATTTGAATGAATTCCAAACTAACTTGGTTCCATACCCAAGAATCCATTTCCCATTGGTTTCTTATGCTCCTGTCTTTTCCAAGGATAGAGCTAACCATGAAGCTAACTCTGTTTCTGAAATCACTGCTGCTTGTTTCGAACCAGGTAACCAAATGGTTAAGTGTGACCCAAGAGCTGGTAAGTACATGGCTACTTGTTTGTTATACCGTGGTGATGTTGTCAACAGAGATGTTTCAAATGCTGTTTCTCAAATTAAGGCCAAGAAGACTGTTCAATTGGTTGATTGGTGTCCAACTGGTTTCAAGATTGGTATCTGTTACCAACCACCAACTCAAATCGTTGGTTCTGATTTAGCTGCTGCCAAGAGAGCTGTCTGTATGTTATCTAACACCACTGCCATTGCTGAAGCTTGGAGAAGAATTGACAGAAAGTTTGACTTGATGTACTCCAAGAGAGCCTTCGTTCATTGGTACGTTGGTGAAGGTATGGAAGAAGGTGAATTTACTGAAGCCAGAGAAGATTTGGCTGCTTTGGAAAGAGATTACATTGAAGTTGGTACTGATTCATACCCAGAAGAAGAAGAAGAATACTAGATGGATTCCAATTTCTAAATACCCTTTCTACCTAACTTTATAGGCTTCCTTGCCTATATCTCTCTCTATATCTCTCTCTTTATTTTTATTCATCAATTGTTGACTATTGGTTTTAGTCGTATTTTTTATGTCCATCCTTCTCTGCCCATTTTCCCCATACTAGAATTTGGAGGAATATGTGTGCTTTAATAAATAACAGGTTTTAAAAAAAGATAAAAGAAAAAATGCACAGCTAGTTGTGCTCAATGTAGTTGATGGAGGATAAACATGTACTACACTCTAATTATTATATAACCTTATTGTACACTATTGAAGGTTCTAGTTGAAAAAAAATTCCTATTGTCTTTATTTTGATGTGCTCGGTATTTTCGCGCACCGTTATATTTCCTCAAAAGATTACAAATAGAACCCACCTAGTTAATTTTTATTTTTCTAAATTCTTACTTCTTTTTTTAGTTTCTCCACCAATACATTATGGAAGACAAAAGAGAATTATTGAAGCAACCGCTTCATGGAATCTACATTCCTATTGCATTGATCATTTTCGGAACCTGTATTTTTGATTGGAGATACTTACCATACACCCTTTCATTTGTAGTTGTTGTTTGTTCTGTCAAATTCTATGAAGTTCTTTCTAAACGTTCTTCCTTAGATGAAATTAAATGGACTGATCTCGAGTTATTAGACAAGACTATTGTATCCAAGAACTGTGCCATCTACAGGTTCAAGATGAACCGTGATGATGAGGTTTTGGATATTCCTACTGGTCATCACGTTGCCTGTTGTTTTGACATTGATGGTAAGGATGAAATTAGATATTATTCTCCAATTTCCAACAAATTTGATACTGGATTCTTTGACATTTTGGTGAAGTCCTACCCAGAAGGTAAGGTTTCGAAGAAGTTTGCCTATCTTAGAGAAGGTCAAACAGTTAAGTTTAGAGGACCAGTTGGAAGATTACAGTACTCTACCAATATGGCTAAGGAAATTGGTCTCATTGCCGGAGGTTCCGGAATTACTCCAATCTTACAAGTTATTACTGAAATCATTACTACTCCAGAAGATACTACTAAGATCTCATTAATCTTTGCCAATGAAACTGAAAATGATATTGTTCTCAAGGAGGAAATTGATGAATTAGCCAGAAAATACCCTGACTTCAAGGTTCATTACACTTTAACACACCCACCAGCTGGTTGGGAAGGTAGCACCGGGTACGTTTCCAAGGAAATGATTGCTCAACACTTACCTAAGTCTCTGGATGAAAACAGATTGTTTATTTGTGGTCCACCAAACATGAAGAAATCTTTAATTGATATATCTCAAGAATTAGGATGGGAAAAGACAACCATGAAGTCTGACCCATCTGACCAAGTTTTCTGTTTCTAGATATATGTATGTATATATATATATATATATATATATATATTAGATGTATATAATAAATTCAAAAGCCTCTCGTTCGAGAGTTGTATAAAAGTCTTAGATGTATGTAAGTGAAAAGTGTCTTCGGAGATCAAACACACGGAGTTTTTTAAATTTTCGGGAGGTATCATAAAGCAAAACGAGGATAATGCGGAAGAATAGCATCGAAGTTAAGGCTTAACTTTTTATGAATGTAATATCATGATCTGTTTATACCTATTGATATGGCATAATAATGGAATAGTATCGCTAAGTTTTGAAAATGTAAATTTAAGGCTAAGGATTTTATATTCTAATAATTACTGAATGATAAATAATTTTCTGTATAAATTTGACAATTTGAAGGCAATATTGCAAAAAATAATTCTACTTAACCAGCACCTTTTAAGAAGCATATAAAAATAAGGATATAACACATAAAGTAGAGATTAATAGATTCATACACTCTCATATACATATATAGTTCAAATATATTTTGAAGTTCATCTCTAAATACATATTTTTTGCCTCTCAGGTTGCAGCATTTTTGTTTGTGTCATTATTCAAGAGTATCAATTTTTCTTTTTTAACAACCATCTAAAATTAATAAGCTTATCAGCTACATACTGGGTAAACTACGAGAATGAGCGATTATAGAAACGACAAGTCCACTTGTACATTCTACTCCAAGATAGGAGCTTGTAGACACGGAGAAAAGTGTTCCCGAGCCCACATAAAACCGATCTCTTCGGAAACCCTTTTGTTGGCAAATCTTTACCAGAATCCTAAATTAAATAAGAATGATGCAGAAGAATTATCAGCAAAGCAAATCCAAGAAAGCTTTGATCATTTCTATAAGGATATCTTTCTCAAATTTGCCTCTTTAGGGCATGTTGAAGCATTGGTAGTATGTGAAAACGAGAACAATCATTTAAATGGAAATGTTTATGTGAAGTTTCGCTCTAAGGACGCAGCTTATAACGCATGCATGGAATTAAATCAATCATGGTTTGGAGGAAGACCAGTTCATAGTGAGTTTTCACCAGTGGAAAGTTTCCACGAAGCCAACTGTCGTGCTCATGAGACAGATACTTGCACAAGAGGTGATCATTGTAATTTTATGCATATCCGTAATCCTAACTCACATCTCAGGGGAATTTTATTTAGAGCACAAGAAAAAAGTAGAATTGTTAAGGCATTGCAAGAGTTAAAGAAAGATGAAGAAAAGGAAAAAGAATCGGCAAAGGTGGAACAAGAACAACAACAACAACAGCAACTGCAAGAGCAACAACCCCCAATGTCGTCCTTGGATACTGTACCAACAACCACTTCTGCAGCAGCAGTGGCAGCATTGTTTTCCAAATAGGGGACTATAGAATAGACATGGGGAAGAAAGTTAAAATGAAACACAAGAAAGTTTGCTCAAGAGACAATTATGGTGAAAATCCAAACAGTATTTCCGACCATTATAAACAGGCAAATTCAAATTGGTAAAATCAAAGATTAATTTAATGAAGTAATGATACAAGTGAAAATTATATTAAAATTGTAGAGAAATATGTAATATATAAGTATCTTTGAGTAAATCTATTTACCAAATGAATTGAATTTATTTTTGGACTTTGTTGCTTTGTTACCGTCCGGGAACTTACGTAGATCCAATAATACCGCGCTTTACTAAGAATTAGCAATATACTATACTAACAACTAAACTTGTTATTCAAATTAACTTACACACGTACTCAATTGCACAACTTCTAGAAGGAAGCTGGCGTGACTTAGGTATTGTGAATATTGGGACTTGCGCAGGACGCTATTTCATAAATGTGGAAAAGTGACGTGTTTGTACGCTCAATCCCCAGTTTGGGGATAAGAAGTCTGCAGTTCGCCGTTTCAATGAGAAAAATATCTTCGTGTCATATTTCAGGAAGAGACTTGAGCAGTAACATTCACCAATTTCATCGAATAAGAACAATGAGCACCAAGACAGGAGACAATAATGGAAGTGGTGGCGTAGGGTCCGAACACAAACTTGGGCACGAACATGAACATGAACATGAACATGGACATGAACACGAACACTCGCACAATAATAGTCATGAAGAACATACCCATGGCCACACCCATGCAGGCGGAGCTAGTCTATTCACCCATTCACATTCTCACCATCAACCGAATGAATTATTAGCTACTGGTAAGGGTAGTTTCAATAATCCAGCGGTTCGAATTACTTGGATTGGCCTCTTGGTAAATGTTGGAATGGCAATCACCAAAGGGGTTGGGGGTGTTTATTTTCATTCACAGGCCCTTGTAGCTGACGCTATCCACTCCGTTTCTGATATGGTTGCTGACTTTTTGACATTAGCAACAGTTAACATGGCTTACAAAACAGGTACTCCTACGAAGTTTCCATTAGGATATGGCAAAATTGAAACTGTAGGTTCCTTGATGGTAAGTACTGTCCTTTTAGTCGCTGGTATTTCTGTAGGATGGTCTTCTCTTTTACTGATCTTTGAATATGTACTCCCTGCTTATATCTATGATTATGCTTCAATGATCCAAATTGGCCATTCACATTCTCATTCACATACACAAGTACAAACACATTCTCATTCCCATGCAACTACCGATGTTGGTATTTCAAACTCAGATCTCGATACCCCTTTGGCATCTTCTCTTTCAGCATCTCCAGTTATCCATGGTGCTTGGATTGCCGGTGCTTCAATTTTGGTGAAAGAAATCCTTTTCAAAAAGACTATGAAGATTGCAGAACAAACTAACTCAAAAGTTTTAGTTGCAAATGCATGGCATCATAGGGTGGATTCCCTCACCTCAATGGTTGCACTTTTAACCATTACTGGAAGTTTCCTTTTTAATGTTGCATGGTTGGATTCTATTGGTGGGTTATTCGTGTCCATCTTAATTATCAGAACCGGATGGAGTACATTCTTAACTTCTTGGTACGAGCTAATTGATCGAGGCGAACCAGTAGAAAGTGAAGCTTATATCAAGATCAATAATATTGCTAAGCAAGAAGTTCAAGATGTCACCAAGGGAGGATTCATTGTTAATAAACTATCAGTGATGACATCAGGAGCAAGCTCGAATATTTATATCACACTTAGTGAAACCGATGCTAAACAATACCTGCTTGAAGAATTAAATGCCATTGAAGCTCAACTTGTGGAGTCCATCAAGAGAGATGATAAATTCATTAAAAACATATTTATCTTGTTCAAGGCAAAGGGAATTATGGAGACAAAGTAGACGTATAGTTTAGTCTCATTCAATTTAGATTACAATATATATATATTTAAAATATACAATCAATAAAATAACGGTTCTTTTCTAAATTTATGTACAAGGATATAAAATCTATTTAGTGGCCTTCTTTGACTTCTTAGACTTGGTTGATTTCTTTCCTTCAATGAATTGTAAGATGTCATCAACAGATTGAGAAGCAATTTCTGGAACAGAGGAAACATTTTGTTGCTTCTTACCATTCTTCTTCTTCTCAACTGGCTTCTTTGTGGCGTTCAAAAGGGCAGCTTGAGCCTTTTGAGCTTGTTCATTCTTCTTAGCTTCCAATTGCATTTGGGTAGTGTACTTAATGTGATCTTCAAACTTAGAGACAAGTTCCTTAGTTTCCTTGGAGAAAATATCATCAGGACCAATGGAGACAGAGAAAATTTCATTTGCCTTCTTAAATTGAGCAAGGGCACCCTTGATATCTTGAGAAGCAAATAAAGATCTAGCATATCTGTATCTGATCATTCCACTAACTGGAGAAGTAGCTCCATTCAAGTTTTCAGAGACAGCCAAGATATTTTCGTACAAGGCATGGGATGGACCAAAGATTTCATGTTGGGACAAGGAGTCAGCCAAATTAGTGACAGTGTTTACTGAAGAAGGATGATCCTTACCATATACGACATTCCAATCAGAAAGCACTCTGCTGTATAACTTAAATGAGCTCACTGGATCATCATTTTGACCTTCGTAAAATGAAGCGTTGATGTAAGCCAAAATGGTTTCGTATGAATCAAACCCAGCAGTTCTTTCAGTCAAGATACATGCCTTACGACCAAAGTTACAGGCATCAGTCTTCATATCCAATTCGGAATAGATTTGAGCCAATGAGCTGTAAAATTTGGTGGTTTCCGGGTGGACTCTTCCATAAATTTGTTCACAGAAAGATAACAATTCGTTCAACAAAGTTAAACCAATTTCAGTTTCACCCTTATAAATATGAACTCTAGAAACTTCGTAAAGTTCATCAAGCAAAGTTGATCTGAAGGTAGAGTCCTTGATGACAGGAACAAAGGCGGCAATATCATCAGCAATGAAAACAGTAGATCTAGTGGCAGATTCATTGACCATAACAGCAGCAGGACTGCATCTCTTCTTGTTCTTACCATTGCCACGCTTCTTGTCGACAACAGTTGATTCCAAAGCAGTCAATTTTTCCTTTTCACTTTCGAATTCTTCCTTAGTGAAAACATAAGATTGAGCCTTCCATTGAATACCAAACTTGATTGCAATTTCTCTGAATAATTGAGCATGTCTTAACAAGTCACTAGAAGTAGCCCAGTTTTCTGGCAAGGTGTATCTGAAACGAACAAATACTTCCCTCTCAACCAACTTAAACACATCTTGACTAGTTAAAGTAGTAAAGGACAAGTCTTCAGCAGAGAACAAGCTCTTAAGGTCAGCATTCAAAGCACATTCAGGGGTACCAGTAATTTGCAGACCAAGCAAACAGTTGTGGAAATGGGCAACAAAGTGAGAGACCAAGTATTCTGGCAAATCAGCAGTTGACTTACGTAAAATGTGCTTGACAGCTCTGGCAATCATTTCTTGAACAGCAATCTTGTGAAGAGTGTCCAAGTTAGCAACTGCCAAGTCGAACTTACCCTTTGAAGGAGTTTCTTCCTTGGATTCTTCTTCCTTAGCTTCTTCTTCCTTAGATTCTTCATCCTTTTCTTCGGACTTTTGTTCTTCTTCAGCCTTTCTCTTTTCAATTTCAGCAGTGTTATCCTTTACCACTTCTTCAAAAGCGGCAGTTTCTTCAGCCTTCTTAACCAAAGCTTGTTCTGCAATGGCACCCAAGTATCTCAAGTTGATACCTTGGTTGTGCAAAGACTTAGATAAGTGGCTACCATCAAATGGAGCAATTTGACTGGCTGTTTCCTTCAAGAATTCAGGAATCAATTGTTCAGTGATAAACTTGGATAATTCTCTAACTTCTTGTTGATCTTCAGCACTTTCGTTAATACCGGTAAATGCATCTGGGTTGAATACAATTTGATCAGATGGGAGAACAATTTGTGGTTTTTCTTCACCTTCCTTTCCAGTCTTACCTTCCTTTTCCAAACGCTCAGTTTCAGCCTTGAACAAAACGGAAACCTTACGCTTCCACCATTCTTCAATGGCTTCATGTCTCAACACAGTTTCACGGTGAGGATAACTGTCATCCTTTTGGTCATTCCAGTTAGCTTCAATAAACTCAATGTCCAATGGAGTGGATTTGTACAAATCCATGAGGTACTTTCTTCCGTCAGAACCCTTGATACCCTTGGTATCCTTGGAGACAGCCAACTTTCCTTCAGACTTAACATCTTCAGAAACAGTTACTTCGTGGGCTTTGAGATGGAGAGCTTCAGCGATTGGCTTTAATGCTTCATCAAAAGATTCATCTTGGTAGATGGCATTTCTTTCAACTGATAAACCGTAAGCGACCTTATTTTGTTCTTCATCTCCAACAGGGTTGTTAAAAATACCTGGAACTGGAGCTTGACAAACTACTCTCTTACCCATGTAGTCAACAATACAAGTAACCAAGTTGGAAATACCTGGAGCATCAATCTTATTTAAAATTCTTGTGCTGGCCAAGTCCTTACTGGAAGTGTATCTGGCGGCTTCATTACCACCAGTAGCATCAAATACTCCAGAATCATTGACATTCATGAAGTAGAAAATACCATTTCTCAAGTAAACTCTTCTGTCAGCTTCATCTTGAGGGTTGATTGATGGAACATCACCCCTGATGACACTGATAGCAGTGTTGACAGCAGCGGCAGTGAAGTCGAACAGGGACTTGTTGAGTAATTGTTCACGTAAGATACGTTCATCAATGGTAGCCTTTGGCAATTCACGGATGGCTTGAATGTCTTCATTCCAATCCTTGACATTGTCAGAACCATCAACACCGTTGTCTAACAATGGCAATTGAGATCTAGATACATCAGGTTGGTTCACAAAGTTTTGGGCGTTAACAATCCATGGAGAGGAAACAAAACAGTTTGATGGAATCAAGTATGCTTCTGGGTTTTCAGAGTACAGAGATAACTTTTGTTCATTTTGTTCAATAGTCTTTGAGAATAATGGAGATAAAGAGTTTACCAAGTCAAATAAGATAAATTGCTTGTGGAACTTACCGTTTTCGTTAATCTTAATAGAGGGGTTGAAAGTGGCAGCGGAACACTTGTTTACGAAGAATCCAGACAAGTGACAAGTGATTTGGAAAGTTTCGTTTTCCAAAGTTTGCAAGACCAAGTACAACAAATCACCTCTGATCTTTTGGTGTGGTGGTACTGGAGACCACAGGGAAACACTTAATGACTTCAATGGAACCTTCAATTGACCGCTTGGGCTTTGGAAAGTGGCATACTTAATCAAAGGAACAGATTCAGTCAAAAAGTTGTTTGAAAGTTCTTGAAGAGTGTCCTTTTCTTCCGAAGTTAATTCAATTTTCTTTTCAACCTTTTCAGATTCTTCCTTAGATTCTTCCTTGTTTTCAATTTCCTTTTCTTCTTCAGCTTGTGGTTGTTGTTTAACACCAGCCAAACCTAATTCATTGAACTTACTAGCACCACTCAAGTTACCCAAACTAAAGGCACTCTTGTCAAGAAAGTGTAAACCGATAGATTCTCTGAATTTTTCCAAATGTTGGTAGACAGAAGAGAGAATGTAAGGCTTTTCCTTCAAAGTGAAAGTGATAGACTTTGTGTCCTTGACATTCAATTCTTCCAAAATGGTCTTCAATTCAAACAAGTCGTCGAAGTTGGCAGTTAAATTGACATTTTGGTAGAAAATATCGTAACTGGTCAAGTTTCTAAGAACATGAATAATGGAAAAAGATTGCTTGAGTTCACCCAAAGTAGCATTCAAAGTGGAAGGAATGGTGATAGGTTTGTCGGACGAAATGCAGCCTGGAAGCACAATCTTAACGTCGATAACTTCGACAGTTTGTGGTTCCGGAACCGGGGCGGCGGCTTCGGAGTTCTTCTGTTCTACGTCGGCCATATTTATACTTTTCTCACCTTCTTTTCAAAGCAACAAAGGCAGCCCACTAATGATATTTCAGAGAGTGTAGTATACCGATTAATGTTGGTACAGTTTTTTATGACCTACTGAAATTTTCGAGGTCGGATCTATTTTTTTTTTTTTTTTTTTTTTGTTTTCCACATTAAATTTGATATTGTGTAATTTGACGGATCTGAAAGTTTTTGAAATTTGCGGAGAGAGTGCTTTCTTCTCGAATAATCAATTCCTTGGTATTCCAATGTACCATACCAATGTACCATATAAATTATATAGTATACGAATATACTTTTTTTTTATATGTGTAAATATATTATATTCTTGATCTATGCATTCCATATGTGTAGATATGACGTTCTTCATCTATGTTTTTGTATTCTACCTAGTACTGTACTGTTGACATGTAGAGATGTTCATAACCAAATGAGTGGCAAAGCAAAAAAAAAATACAAACATCGAACTTCTGCCTCGCATGTACAAAGTAGATTCAGGCGAGCTCACTCATGTAAGAGACATAGCCATATATAAAGTACTGTAGATTGTTTAGTTCTATCTAATTCTGAATTAATAGCGGACCTTCCAGCTAGATTACCCAATTAGGCAACAAACGTGCGATACAGGGCTACACATCTTTTTGAGATATAGAAGTGTCAACATATACAATAGTCTGCAACTTCTATTTGATCTGAGTACTTCTAATTTTTTTTTTATTTGAGACAGTCAAACATGCATACACCGGAGCTGGAGTCAAGTGTGAGCGAGAAGGATTCGATGTTGGAGGGTCAAAACATTTATACTGATTCATTTGGAAATACGATATCCCCAGAAACGGAAGTTATCGAAGATGATGAGATAAGCCATGATGAACCTACTGCTGTAATGGTTTGTAAAAATATTAATGAACTTCCAGCAGAAATATTGATAAGGGCTTTCCAGTATCTTGATCCTGAATCCTTAGGTGATGCCTCAGAAGTTTGTACGATGTGGAGATCGTTAGTGCAAGAGAAGCAAACATGGGTCCGATCGTTTACAAATCAATTCAATACTAGAGAAACTTTCCCATCGCTTTCCAATTCACGTTGGGGAATAGAAGAGTACAGAAGTAGACTTCGAGTTAAGAAGAGATGGGCGAAAGGTACTGCATTGCACCAGAACTACAGCACTTACAATCCAGATCATATTTGGTTTGTTCAAGTGAATTTTGAAAGAAATAACCTTATAGCATACTTCAATTTCAATGGTGATGTTACAATGTGTCAACTCAATGGGAAAAACCAAGTACATATTCCTGGAAACAATTGTGACGTTGGCATGAACTCTTGTTTTTGTGTTAATGAGAAGTATATTGCCATGGGGAAATGGAATGGTGATATATGGATCAAAAACATGTACAATGCCAGAATAACGGGATCCAACCTGCAGTCAACAGTCCGATGGCAAAGTCCTCGACTGGAGGATAGAAACCGTCACTTGCAATCGATTCCAGTCCCCACATGTATCGATTTAAATTCAAATATTAGCAATTATGGAAGCAATTTTGATTGTATATCTGGTGATGTATATGGAGTTGTCCTGTGTTGGACCATAAGAGGCGAATTAATTAAAAGCATTATCGTTTCTGACTATCCAATCTTCAAAGTCCAATCAAATTATGATACTCATATCATTGCAACAGATACCCAAGGCGTGATACACACAATAGATGCTCAGACATTCAAATTGAAGGGATCGGTTTCAACGGGTCTTACTATCGATATACATGACATAAATTTCTCCGAGTGGAAAGACCTCATGTTTGTCGATGTTGATTATGGTGACAACAAGGTAATTCTAACTTGTGGATACAAGGTCACGGTGGTAGATTATATAAATCACAAAATCAAAAAGTCATGGACTTCAGATATCCCCATCCTATACGCTAAATTACAAACAGTTCAATTGAAGAAGTTATTCACTAGAGATAAGTCATTGGCTGGACTGGATGGATTGTTGTATGCACATGTATTGGAAAATCAGACGGTTGTCATATGGAACGTTAGGGATGATCAACCTGGAGACAGGATCCAAGTTCAATGTTATATTAAACCAGTGAAGGCCCATAGACATATGACTATATCATCTATATCATTAAATTCATCAATTGCTGTTTTGGGCCATTACAATGGGATATCAGGGATGTATGATGTATTTACTGGGGATTATATCAAGGATTGCTCAGTTCGATTACCCAAGGATAGAAGACATGATGATGATATTTTTGTTCAACGGATTGAATTGAACCCGGACCCAATGATTACCAATGGTATTGCAGTTGTAGGATCGAAGATACAATATTTTCAATTTGGGGATATACCAACTCGTCATGGCAATAAAAAGAAATTAGGCACATTGAACGGAGGTAAGAAACTGAAAATAACCAACAAGACTATACGTGACGAGTTGGTAGAATATGATATACAAGAGGAGGCTCGACAAGAAAATGAGAGATTGGTGACTAGATTTAATGGAGATAGTATCAGTGATGACGACGACGTGTCCCTTGCATTGGCAATGAGTAGGAGTGAACAATCGACACCTTCGACGCATACAACCCGAGAAAACGAAGAAGAAGAGGAATTGCGATTGGCGATGGCATTGTCTATGACGGAACAAGAGACATTTCCATCTGAACTACCTATTTCTGACCCAGATGAAGATGATTACGAGAGTCAACTTGCAGAAGCATTACGGTTATCAATTTCAGATGCATGAGTCATGCAACTAAAAAATACAAATATATAGAAACTCAGTATTTAGGTTGAATGGAAATAACATCCTTCAGATTTACAAAATTGTATATCGCACATGTCTCAGATTAGCAGCCAATGGCATTTTTTACTTAGGGTGGCAATGCCGCATTATATACAACATTTACTTTTTTATTTCTTTATTGTTCTTTTTCTAAAAAAAAACAAAAAAGAATACCAAAAAATTACTTATAATCTCTCTTTTTTTTTTTTTTTTTTTTTTACAAGAATGTCTGAGAAGTTGGATCATTCACTTTTATTCTCTCGGCCGTACATATTTTTTGCGGATTTACAACCTTAGACCCGGGGAATAGGATCCGACCATAATTTATGAATGGGCTGAGAAATAGGTTCATACTTGGAATACCATAATTATGAGAATCACCAACCTCCTTCTCTGTGTTTCTATATTAATGTATCAAAATAAACAGTGCATGAACCAACACCCCCTACCAATAATAATTCAAGGAATCTACAATTTGAATGACTTTGTACATATCTAAACTCCTAAGTCCCGTCCGTAGACACTCTTTTCCAACGCCTTTAGTCTATACGCCGCACCCGAATATTTCCGGAACTGCTCGGCAAGAAGGGAAATGCGACACAAAATCGAAGCGGACAGAAAATTCCGATTTATTTTTCAAATGGGATACTTGTCTCATAAATAAAACTCCATATAACGAAGACTCATAATCACACTGTAGTTTCTCACATAATTTATAGACAAAACTTCAAAAAGTTTTTTTTTTATTCCTTTCCATAGGTTGACGTTGTTTCATATATATTCAAGGAAACCGTTGTTTCTAGTCTGATGAGCCAACACCCTTAGAAGGTGAACATACTACGCCAAATACTCATTACAAGAACCGTTAACTTCGCTTAAGGAAGAAAATCTTCTTGTTCTTATTATTATTATTTTTTTTTCCAGCTTCACCATATTTATTACGTTGCTCAACAACATTATTTATTAAGTCGCCATGGTATTCTCTACATTTGTGAAGCATGCCAAGGCGCATACATCTACCACCAAACCTCAGTTTTTCGAGAGTTCATACCCATATCTTCGATACTCAAATGGTCTTGTAAATTTCGAAAACTATTTCCACAAGACCGCATTTGGTAATGGAGGTCCACACCCATCAACCACCTCAGATCATTTTTTTCTGATCGATTCAGGTCATTATGGCCTCTACTTCACTATGTTCAACTATGATGCTGATCGTAAGACTAAAATCTACCCAGTGAATTATGAAGAATATTATGAAAATATGGGTCAAGGTCAAAAGGAAGATGATATTGCTGTTGCACAATGGGAATCATTTTTCATTCTGAAAGTATCAAGAGAAACTTTTGATAACGTTAAATTATTACAAAGAGTATCTCAAAAGTTTTTATCATCTCCTCATAAATCCAAATTAGCACAATATCAAACCAAGAGATTTTTTTCAACCACCAAAAAGACAGATCCTGAACCAATAGAAGAAGTAAAGGTCAATACCAAACAGGAAGTTAAACCCACCCAGGAATCAGAAATTATAGAAGATGACTTTGAAACGAAATTATTAACTTCTCAAGTTCAAAGTATACAAGAAAATTTCGAATCGAATGATCCAATTAAACTTAATTCCATTTTCCCAATATATCAAAGCATTACCAGAAATGGATTAAACCTTCCAAATATCGAATTATACAATATGGTTCTTGCATCTATTGTCAATCGTACTTGTGACAATGATTTAATTCACATGTCTTTAGAAGATATTGAGTTAAGGTTAACTAATTTGTTGACCATCTACCAAGATATTCTTTCTCTCCCTCACGTCAAGCCAGACGTTGTTAGTTTTGACATTGTGCTTCAAGGACTTTTAGAGGGAAGTCGTCAAAGCATTCAACTTTTCGTCCTGGATAAAAATCCTCAAAATATCACTAATGATGCGTTTAACAAGAGTCAAGAATTTATTAAGATTGGTTCTGATTTATTCATGTGTGTTGGTACAGCTGACAATTTCAATGAATTTAAAAATTTGAATAACATTTTAGTAAATCTTGTTGCATGTTTGAATGTTCACCCTAATATGATCACCAAGGAACTTTTCCAAAAAATCTTGATTGCCTTGAAATCCAGTGGCTCCATAGATAATGTTGAATTCTACTTGGGATTTTTAGGCGTTTGTAATTATCTTAAATCAAATGGAATTATTGAATCTAAAGAAGAATCATATCAAGTTATTCATGAAATTTTCACTTCCTATCAGAAACAAGCCCAGGGTCAAGAGGAATTTATTGAATCCGAATACTTCGTATATGCTTCCTTAGTTCAGGCTTTGATTTTGAATGATAATTTTGCAATTGCAACTAAATTTGTCGACGATATTATGAAAGATTACAGAGAACTGTTGGAACTTCGTGAAGATAGATTTGATACAGATCTTCCTACTAAATTCCAAATTTCGACCTTACTTACCACCTATATCAAGACCCTTATGACCTACAAGGGTAAGGATGAACTGAAGGATAGTTTAATGGAGGCTTATCATCTACTTCAAAAATTTAACGAGCTGGCCTATGTTCCTGAGCTTGGAGTAGATCTTTACAATGATATGATTTCCAATTTTGTCTTGAGATATAGACAATTGGAAAACGATAAATTGATTGCCGGAGCTAACCTTCAATTTATTACAAAAGTGCAACAAGACATTTACCATACAATGTGGGGATTATACTCTTATGTTGCTATTAGAAAGGATTATCACCAAGTTGTTATTCCTAGCATAAGTATGATGTCCATTGTGTTAAATGATAGATTTATTACCAATTCTAGAGAGCTCTTACTCTGTTTGAGTATTGATATTGGCGATCATGAGAAAACTTTTATGATCATCAAGGAATTGATTCTTAAGAATCATTTCGTGAAAGATTTCAATATTTATCGTAAAATGTTATCCTATTTATACAATGGATCATATTACGACAATAAGATCAATTCCTACTATTTAGAATTGATGTGGAGTATTATTGAAGCACAATCCTCTCATTATACCAAGAATTCAACCACACTTAACTTTTACATGAGTGGGGTTGCTCAATTTTTAACCTTTAAGCTTGATGATATTACTTCAAAATCTTTATGCGGAAGTTTGATCTTGAAATCTCAATTTGTCTCTAAATGTTACCAAGATTTCAGATTACAATCTGACAATATTTATGGACTTATGAACCTTTCAAGATCCTTGATTGACTATTCAAATCAATTATTAAGCAAAACAGTCAAGTCCGAAGTTGACCGTAGGTCTTTGGAAAGAATTACTGTTGTACATGCTAAATTAATTAATGAACTTGAAGACACTGAAAATTATTACTTAGAACTTTCAAACGAAATCAAGGAATTCAAATCTCTTTTGAATGAAAACTTTACTTTGATGATGAAACATCACCATGCATTGGATGCCAAACTCCCATTGGAAGTAATCGAAGCCTGCAAAGCATTGAACTTGGATTTCGGAATTTCTGAAGAAGCTCAAGGTTTGAGTCTGACCTTGAATCTTTCTTATGAGTTGAATGTAAACTACCATGTGGGTGTTGAACTGTTCATCAATTACCTTCAAAAGGGGTACTCATTCGATTACAATACTTGGGACATCTTGATTAATACTAACTTTGTTTCAGAAATTTTACAAGCTAATAATGAAGTTAGAATTCAAGCATTTGTTCTCAGGTTATGTATGCTGCTTGAAAAGGAAGAATCTTCACAATTATTAAGTAAATTAATTTTGATTAATAATGACAAGGTTAACATCGAATTGTTTAAATTCTTTGTTTCTCTGCAAGATTTTGATTTTAACAATAGTATTATTAAGAGTATTTTGAAATCATGGATGGGATCTGAAAATAAATATTTACTGAACTTAATGATTGATAATTATGAATTATTGAAAAATAAGTCTACAGATTCTAAAATTTTCATTAGAGAATTTTTGAGAGGCTTAAATATTCATTCAAATCATCAAACAGTATTGAAGTTTTATCAAAAGGAACAAAGCTTCTATGATAGATTGAATGCAAAGAATCCAATTGACTTGTCTATCATGGAAAGTGTATTTGAGGCCTACCTTGAATCCGGTGAAATGGAGACATTCAATACCAAATTTAGAGAATTTTTCCAAGGAACTGGAGTTAAAGGAGGATCTCGTATCAGAGATTTGTTAATCAAATACTTCACTTACAGTGGATCTTATAATGCCGTATTGACTAAATTTGAAAACAGTCTTTACAAATTATCATCCAGAGGAAGAGAAATTGTCTTCTTCAACATATTCATGAAATCATTAGAGGAATCTGAAATTAATTCGAAGTCAGTTTCTCTGAACAACATTAAGGAAATAACCTATTGTCTTCTTTCAGGGAAAAACTTGACGAATATGAAGTCTATTTACGATTCCAATCATAAATTCATCAAATATAATAGAGATGATGTGATTAATGAAGCATTTAATGCATTTATTGCCGCTGGAACTCTTAATACTAAGTTTAATCCAACTTGGAATGATGCCTTATACGTTAGATTTCAAACTTTTTTGAGTTTCCTTAAAATGATTGATTTTACAAAGCTTTCATCTACTCACTTGGTGAAAGTGATTGAATTCTATTCACTTTTGAATAAGAATGAATTAGTGAATATTCTTTTGAACAAAGTTGCCTACTCCTCAGATTCAGGGACCTACAATATCTCACCAGTTTTAGATTATTATTTTTTCGAGATTTCGTTGTTCAATGCTACCAAGAACGAAATTACAAACATACTCCAAACATTTTATGGTGTGTTTGCTACAGCTAAAGACTTAGCAAACAAAGCCATAATTAACGATTTATGCGTGCACTACCAAGTTGCACTCAACGAAGACAAACCATTAGAAATGACAGTACATATTTAAATATTTTATGAGAATTTAACGAACATATATATATATACTATACTGTAGTTGTTGTTATTGAACTATTAAGGTTCTAATGTTGTGGAAATATGTCAAAATTTAGAAATAAAAATTAAAAAAAAAAACAAATCACTTGAAGCGTGTGGGGTACAAAACTATGGGGTATTACAACCTGTCAGGGGTATAGAAACTTCGATCCCAATATATAAATGTCCTCACTCTAATTGCAATACTCCAAAAAAGAAAAGACCCATCCAAAAATGTCTTCTCTAGAACCCCATAACACTGCGGTTACATCTTTCAATGCTAATCATGCATCCTACGATCAATTGAGACCCTCATTTGATGATAAGATTGTTAATGCATTTTTAAGTAATTTAGGATTGAAAGACAATGACAAGTACAGGACAGATAAGAAAATCTTGGAATTAGCAAGTGGTACCGGTAAATTTACTAAATGTTTAGTGGAAAGAGGATGGGAACACGGTAATATAGAGGTGGTTGAGCCATCTTCAGGGATGTTGGATACTTTCCGAAAGAACTTTCCAAAGGTCAAGGCAAAACTAGGATCTTCATATGAGATTCCAGCTGAAGACTCTTCAATCGATGCTGTTGTAGTTGCTCAAGGATTTCATTGGTTCTCTGATCTTGATTCCCTAAAAGAAATTAATCGTGTATTGAAAAAGGATGGATACTTCGGATGTATTTGGAATTACGATTGTCCTACAATTGGTCAAACTCTATTGAATCTCGATGCTAAAATTAATTATATATTCGAAGGCCCCGAGAAAAGCCACTTTGATTCTTTAGTAAGGGTAAAGCCAAGAAGTCTCAACAAGCCATTGGAAATCTCCAATGAATTTTTTGAACAATCTCCATGGGCTATAGCTGTTGCTGAACATGTATATTCGTACGATATCAAAGTGCCACAGTATCGTCGAGCTGTATGGCGTAAACTATTAAATTCGAGCGAAGCTGCTTCTCTTTTCACCCCAATTTTAGATGAAAATTTCCTTCTTTTTATGACGACTACAACACCTGATGATGTCTTCAAATTATGGGAAACTAGATCGTACATCACTGAGTTGTCAAATGAAAAGAAAGAGGAACTTAGATTGAAGATTAACGATATTTTATCCAAAACTGTAAGAGAGAGCGATAAAATTAACGACAATGAATCTACTTTATTAAAGAAGGCTTTAGGTACCCATACCATCACAACTAGGGCTCTCAAATAAAGTCAATAACCGTTTATATATTTTATATCATAATATGCTATTTTAATTTTCCAGAATGTAGAACTTCCTTAATTTCTTATAGATATTCCGTTTCTTAATTATGATCCTTCTTTTGTTTATCACCTTCTATCAGACCACCTTCCTTCTTCGTACCCTCATTTTCTTTACCTTGTGTGGTTTCAGGTTCTGCGGCCTTTACAGGAAGTTTAGTCTTCGTGGTACCAGTCATCCAAACCTTAGCCAAAAATTCAATTGTACTGACAGTATTGTCATCATATTCAAAAAATTCCCCATTATCAACATCTTTATCGGTGAAATAACTATCAATAAGATCATACGCACAATAATAATAACCAGCACACGCTTGGCTCTTTACCCAACCTTTTTGTGGATTTGAATCTAGTTGGGATATTTTTTCTTCTTCTGATTTAACATCCTTATTTATTTCATCAACATCCTTTGGCCGAGACTTCCATTTGAGCAATAACTCAGTTTCTGGGGTGTCATCAATAGGACTTCCTGGTTCTCGTATTCTAGGAATTCCAGGTGGCACTAAAGCATGTTGAATTCTCAATGGCTGATCAAATAGCCCTTTTTGCTCAGAAGTATCCATTGCTGAATATGGAAACAAGTTTCTATCTCTGAAAATTCCATTTTTTTTACAATAACTAAACCCTGAATTGATCCACAAAAGCCTTCCATCATTACTAATGTGTCCAGGATGAGAAGAGCAAACCTCATGTGCATTAGATTTCGTGTATTGCTTGTACTTTGGATTGGTGGTAGCTACACCAACACTTGCAGCATAGTGTTCATTAAATGCATAATTTTCATCTCCAGCGATAGATAATGCTAGCCAATACAATTCCTTGTCCCCCCACACAGATGACACAACTGGATCTTTCCATATCGATAATGGGGATGCAAGAGCCACACCAAGAAAATGCTTGGACTTATCTACAGCGACTACTCCCGCCTCTTGGAAATGCCTCCATCCAGTCATATATCCATTATTCAATGTGTGTTCAGTAATGACAGGAATATCAAATAAATCATCCAAAGAGTTAGATTTCAAAGTTGGACATAATTTAGTGAAAAAATTCGTCTCGATATAATCATTAAAATCATTTAAAGTTCTATCCTTAAAGAAAAATGCAGATTTGGCTTTATAACCTTCCAAGTCGAAAAATTCTTTAGGGGGCACAAGAGGGATAGTATCAGCATCAAATAGTAAGACTTCCTTAAAGGAAGTAAAGAAAAGTGCTAGCAATTTGTTGGCATATCCTGGAAAATTATACTTGTATTCCCTTGAAATGCATTGTTTAATGTTGACAAATGTTAAATCTTGCTTAGGGAAATATACGTTACGTCTTTTGGAATCTTCTTTCAAATCGAGTTCAGGGGAAACATTCATGTAATCTGTGGAGAGTTTTGGATCCAACATATCATCAACTTCAGTCTGTGCTGCTGCAAGAAGATATTGTTGATTCCGTTGACTAATATCTCCCTTGTGCACGATTTGGATTGGTAGTTCATTATTATGAGCCCTCAATACTCTTATAAGTTTAATTAAATCTCTTGCATGTTTCGTAGTTGCAGATACAAGTATCCCCTTACCTTGTACGTTCCTCTGGATATAATTCAACAATATATCTTGACTCTTTTCATATTTCAGCATCTCTGGGAATCCTTCATTGTACACTTTCCCATCAAATCTCTCAAATATTGGGAGTTGTCCGCTGAGGAAGGGGAATAATTTATCTGTCATTTTTTTGAATATTTCTGGATGGGAAACTGTTTCCTGATTTTGATTTAAAAAGCATTTACCATATACTCGGAATAAACTCATAGTTTCCACCATTTTCGTCTCGATGTCCATAGTGGCCTTAATTGCCAGTAGGTACTCCTCTTGAATAGTATTGTTATTTTCTCGGGTTACTAAAGGACCTTCGATGTTATTTTGTTTATATCTTTGCTTGATCCGATCATACTTGACCTCGAAAAACCGTTTCTTATTCACAATAGATTTATCAAAATTATCACCAAATTTCTGAAACTTCCAATCTGGATTGGCTGCTAACCAATGGGTAAAAAAATCTTCACATCTATCCAGCAACGGTTGGCTTTTCCATTTTGATACTCCTCTCGAATCTCGGAGATTTCTATTATCTTGTGCAAATTCGTTAAACAACGTATCCACTTTCTTGGAATGATGTATTTCACTTCGTACCTTCAAGTCACCTTTAAGAAACGAAGATTCTGTGAACGTTTCTTGAAATATTCTAAATCCTATAGGTAAATATTTTTCAAGGCCATATATACTCCACACTATGTAAAATGTTGCGACCATGAAAACCGCAAGAGTGAAACATGCAAGAGTGAAACATGCAACCTTCCGAAATGACCATCGCATCTTTCTATAGAATCAAGTAAATGTCACAACTAAGAAAAACTGCAGATGTTGCTCAGGGAAATCCTTTTCCGCAAAGTATATTGGGTTATTCCTCCTTTCTTGGCTAATATAGGATATATAATATTTAATTTTGTTCTGCTAATTGAACAATTCAACAGATACAAGGCTTGGTTTGGTAATTTCCGGTATGTAGCTCTAGAACTCCCACAAGGGCTCAGAACGAGGGGAACACAGAAATCAAACTATTAAACTTTTAGTTACCGAATTCTGTCAAGACATTATACAGGACAAAACTAGTTCTACAATAGATTCTTCATCCATTAAAATTTTTAATTTGTATGTATATTTATGTTTCATTTACACATGCATGGCTTAACGAGCCTTACCCTCAGCAGCCTTGACAAAGATGATGTCACCATCTTCAACAAAGTAGTCCTTACCCTTTTGTAACAATTTACCTGCAGCCTTGACTGCAACTTCATCCTTGTATTCAATCAAGTCATCGTACTTGATCACCTGGGCCAAGATAAATGTTCTTTGCAAGTCACCGTGGATAGTACCAGCGGCTTGTGGAGCGGTGTACCACTTTCTAATGGTCCATTCTCTAACTTCATCTGGACCACCAGTGAAGAAAGAAATCAAGTCCAACTTTTGTCTCATAGCAGTGATAATCTTTGGCAAAGCAGATTGAGCACCAATGGCTTCACATTCAGCAGCTCTTTCTTCGTCAGATCCCATACCGGCTAATCTTTCTTCCAAAGAGACGGAAATTGGGACAATCATGTCACCTGGAGAGAACTTGTCAACCCATTCCTTAATCTTTAACAAGTGCTTGTTCTTCTTTCTGATGTAATCTCTTTCGGACAAGTTGACCAAGTAAATGGTTGGCTTGGCAGTCAAAAGCAACATGGAGTTGATAAGTTCAACTTCCTTACTGGTCCACTTTTGGTTGGCAACTCTTTGACCATCTTCCAACATTTTAATGATCTTGTTGACCAATTCAGCTTCTTCCTTCTTTTGCTTGACTTCCAAAGATTGACCACCTCTCTTGGTGATTTTTTCAACACCTTCCAAGTGCTTCTTGGCGAATTCAATATCCTTTAATCTTAATTCATCATGAATAATTTCCAAATCTTGGTATGGGTTAACTTCGGACATAACGTGGATAACGTCAGCGTCATCGAAACAACGGACAACTTGGAAAATGGCATCGACAGCTCTAATGTTGGCCAAGAAATTGTTACCCAAACCTTCACCGGCGTGAGCACCCTTGGTCAAACCAGCAATATCGTAAAGAGTCATGAAAGCTGGAACTTCGGACTTTGGCTTGTAGATTTCACAAAGCTTGTCGAATCTTGGGGATGGAACAATGACTCTGGCTTCTTCTGGTTCAATGGTGGCAAAAGGATAGTTGGCTGGGTTACCTAATGGAGACTTGGTGATAGCTTGGAAAAAGGTGGATTTACCAACATTGGCCAAACCAACAATACCAGACTTCAAGTTGTTACCTGGTCTACCTAACAAGATAGGCTTTTCTTGTGTGATCTTCTTCTTTGGAGGCATTTTACTATAAATTTACTATGATTGCAAAAAAAAATTCACTAAAGAGAAACTTTACGATTCCTTTTTCAAAAAAAAATGAAGACATCTCGTCGAGTGGGATGACACAAAGGTACTGTGCAAAGGTAGCATTGAGTGCGCGAATGAAGAAAAAATGTGTTGGTGGGTAGGTTTAAAGATTTTTTTTTTTTTTTTTTTGGGCACTGCGACACGACTATCATTTTTACATCGATTGTAAAGTATAGCCGCCATTCTTTCCAATATATAGAGATAACCACGGCTATAACGGACACCTAACCCCTGAGTTCCATACAATCGATAGAAGTGATCAGTACATCAGCTACTTATTGGTATCTTTATAATTTAAATTGAAAATACCCCCTCTCCATATACACAGAAAAATGTTCACATCATCCTTAAGATTAATTACAAGAAGAACTTTCTCTACTTCTATCTTATTGAGACAAGCTGAAGCCAAGGCGGCCCCTCAAATACAATCATCATGTGCCGCTGGTACCCCATTAAACTTGAAGATCAAGAAAAGTGGTAATGAACCAGTTGCCTTGGAAGACAGCGAATATCCTGAATGGCTCTGGGAATGTCTTGACAAACAAAAGACTGACGACCAATTGAAAGCTTCTGATTTCTTGAAGTGGAAAAAGAAGCAAATAAACAAAATCAACACAAAGAAGATCAAGAACAACAACTTCTTATCCCAAATGTAAGGATAGAATGTCAGAATAAAAAATGTACATAGACTGTAAATATACGAATCATTGAGAAAGGAAAGTAAAGGAGAAATAATGGCGTAGAGAATGTGGTTAAGTAGGTGAAATCATCTATATTCTTTTATTTTGTATATATTTTGAAGGTGGGGGTATTTAAAGTACTTGAATGTTCTCATCAGAGGTGTACTTGATTTGGGCAATAGAAATGGTCTTTTTGTCCAAGTTGAAAACCGTGTAACAAGATCTCAAAAAGTTGTCACCAAGAATGGTATGAGCACTTGGAATTAATCCCAAGGTACAAGTTGATTTACCAGTTTTTGGATCTTGGCCAGTTTGATAAACTAATTGAGATAATGGAACTTGGATATCTTTGTTTTCGAAACCAAATACAATATTATTGCCAGGTCCTCCCAAGCTACATGGAACAGAATATGCAGCAGCAGCGGAATTGTAGGTGACGTTTTCTCCCAATTGAGAGGTGATAGCAGTGACAAGTTCTGTTGGTAAGAATGATAAGGTTGTACCCGAGTCAAGAATGGCAAGAGTATCATTTGCAGGGATGGTTGAGTTGCTTGGACTTGAGCTAGGAGCAGCATTTGCACTTGAGATTGAACTAGGACCACTGGAACTAATGTTAGAGTTAGCCTTATTTCCAGACACAAGTTTTGACCCATGAATTGAAGGGAATCCCTTTGAACCAGATTTAACAAGGGCAAGGGTATCAGCAATACCGCTAGCAAACTCAGAAGCCAAATCCTCAAGAGCGATTCTACCACTGTGAGTAGGTTGAGAACCAGAGGATAAAGTTGAAGTTACGAGAGTAGGTTGGGCAATAGGAGTTGAAGATGTGGTTGCTGGAGTACTACAAGCACTACTGTCTTGAGTAGAAAGTTGTACGGTGACAGATTTCAAAGGAATTTGTAAGTAAAGGTAGTCATTATTTACCTTTGGAATATCAATTTCCAGTAATTCACGGTCATACTTGGCATGGTCAACACCACCGAAAAGAACAGATCCATATGTGGCTTCAGCGGAAGTAAGATATAAAGAGTATGCGTTGGAGCTAATCAAACCTTGACTCTTCAACAACATTGGCAAGTTATAGTACTTGTTTTGTTGACTTTCCAAACTAGAGAATCCAATACCGAACACACCAACAGAGGAGTTGGCATCGTTTGCAACCGCCAAACTAGCGTCCGTGAGGTTAAGTTGTTCACTTAATGAGATGGTTTCAGTGGCCCAATCACCCTTTGCATAGGTGTTGTCCATGTATTTGATGGAGAATGCAGTTTGGTTATCGTGGTAGGTAGACGATTCAGATGTGTTGAAAGATCCATATGCTTCACAGTTAATATCACCTCCATTGGCAAGACAATGTGGATTATTTGAACCGGTGATCCAAAGATCAGCAGATCCTGTGTCCAACAAGACACTGATTTCTTGTGGTGGAGTACCAACTTGAACCTTAGCGACATAGAATGATCTTTCATTGGTTAATTGCATAGCGGAGGCATCTCTGGGGGTTAAGGCATCCTCGAGAAACCCTCTCAATGCAGAAAGGAGATCCTTTCCTTGTAAGACATCAAAGTCTAATTTATAAAAACCATCGCTGGCAATTGCAAAGGTTACGAAAACGAGAGAAAGTAATGAATGAATGAAGAGCATATCCTTAGATCCTTTACGGGTAGATTAAAAGAATGTTCAAAGTGGGCATGTTAAACCATATAAGTAACCCCACGAATTCTCTTCGAGTTTCTCACATAGCCGGCCTTGCTAAACACGAGCTCCATTGTACTGAAGATGATGGTTTGAAACCTTGAACAGATGTTTACCATTCTAGACCGCGGCACATAGTGTGCATATTGCGCGAAACCGTTCTGTAAGGGGAAATAGATTGTCTTCTCATAACCATCTGAGCCAAGATTCGCGTACTGTTTCAAACTAAACAATACCAATTATGCATCATTACAACATATGGAAAACAATTCATTCACTACAAATATGGTTGTTTTCTATTTTGTATTTTGTATTTTATTTTTTTGTTGATGAATTAACAGACTGCTAACCGATGGACCCACGAATCTTTAATTCCTTCCTTGGTGGTTTTGAGATCTTCTTAATCCGGTTCACTTTCTAGTGTGCAACTACAAATGTATAACATCTCCTCTCTGTATTCAAAAGTAAATATTTTTCTATCCTAAAATATCACCTAATGTAATTTTTGATCTGGAAGAATTTATTAACCGATCATAATTGTCTTTCAATCCGAAAAATTCGCCAGAAAGCGACTTATTGAGAATATTGGTTAAGCTCTGACTTTGTTTACTAGCAGTCTTGTCTTCGTCTAAAGTTTCGTTTTCAGCATCCATCTTTTTCGCTTCGCCAACCTCTTCTTCAACTCTGGATGACTTTTCTTCTTCCCGTTCTTCTTCACTCACATGGTCGTGATAACAAGACTGGCACAATACATCATCTTGTAGATCGATCTTGACATTTTCCGAAGCCTTTAACATATCTTTCTCCACCTTAGGAACTGGCCACCACATTGGTGAAACCTTGGTCTGGCAACTGTTACATCTTTTGACATAGTTTGAAAAAGGTTTGTCCACAGGTTCTAAAACATTGGATAAGTGGTACAATTTTACTTCCCGACTTTTTTCCCTTTCTTCAAAAGAAGTGGCTAATTCTAAGTAGTTATTCGCCTTTGCTTGTGGGCCAGAAAGTTTTGTCATGTCACTTTTCTTAAGGATATCTTCCAAAAACAATTGAGTGATGGGCTTTAAAGAATCTTTGGTTGGGCCATGTACCCTCTTACCCTTCTCTCTAAATCCAAAAATATTTTCTGGTCGTTCAGTATGACTAGAACATACGAGAACTGGAATTAACTTACCCACAAGTCCTTTTACCCTCACAAGCCTGTTATCTCTATCAGATATGACCCCTGATTCAAGCTTAAATCCCAACACGAAATTATCTGAATCTTGTGCACAAGTCGCATGGAATTTGTTGACCTCGTATGAAGATTTTTCACAAAGTTCACATTCAATCAATGCCCCATTTGCAGATTGGCAAATTTTACACTTTTGGTCGTAGTTGTTCAAGTAGATCTGTGAAACGCAATCCACCGAGCAAGTACTATGAATGCCATCTTCTAGTGACATTTGATTGCCTCTCATAGTTCTTTTGGTATTTAAAAGCGAGCGAAAACTGGTTGATTGGTGACTGAACATAGCACACAATAAATGACACCATTTACCAGAGTCGGCAATTGGTTTCAAATAATCCGGCTTCACCTTATTTGATCCTAACATAGTGAGCTCATAATTTGGTTCATTAGCCAAACACAAACTGCAAGAATACAAGGTGGAGTATTGAGGGTTTAAATCATTGATACAGGGTTCACATAACCATTCCTTAGCAGGACGTTCAACTGAGGATCCGATATTTATCCCAGAGCAAGAAGCATGTACATTCACGCCACAATTAGAGCAGATCAACATCTCGTCAAGAGAAGCAATATCTTCGTCAATTTCTTGACACAATGAACAGTTCCTTTCTGTCACAGGAAAAGGAACAGCAATGATCGCTCCACTAGGAATTTGATATACCGGAAGTTGTGCAGCAACGTCAAGTAATTGTCGAGGACGGAAAAGTTCAATGGTGGATTGAAGAGAATCCTTCGTCATTATTTGATTGTTACCTTTCTTTTCATTTCGGGAAATTGCCTTAATAGGCAGAACGTAATTCTTGTTGAAGTTCGGGCTTAAACTATCTGATCCTTTACTAACAGATTTTGGTACTTGTGTCTGAGTTTTCCTGGATTTCTTACCATTTGAATTGCTTTCATTCCCCACCTTTTCTACCGCCGTCACCAGTGGCTTTGTCTCGACAACCTTTTTCTTCTTCGAAGTAGCAGCAGCTGATTTTGTCGTCTCTTCACGTTTCCGCTTGGGTTTGGAATCTTTTGGGATGTCACCATTTCCTTCTATTTTAATGGGTGATTTCTCTTTTACTGTTTTGGCTGACGCACTTTTAGCTACGGCGCTCTTAGTCAGTTTTTTATCTTTGGTATCCTTATCAGCAGTTGTTGTTGTCTTTTCCTTTACCTGACTTGGAGCCTTTTGTTTTGAAGTTTTTGTATTTGTTGCTGTATTTCCCTTGGATTTAGTTGTAGCTGAACCGTTCGATGTCAGCTTAGTTTTTCCACTTCCACTCGAAACCTTGACATCAGCTGTTACTTTTGGATCATTAGGGGCCTCAGACGCGGAAGCTGTCGTAGAATTGGCGCTTGCGGAACCGGTATTTCTTTTCTTCTTTGGTGGTTCTTCCGATTTCAAAGTTTGCACCGGTGTAGTCACCTTCCGTGAAGTAGGGGCAGTCAGTGACTTTTTTGTAGAGGATGCAGCTGGTTTCTTAGATTTCGATCCAGTAGCCGTAGAACCTCCAGGAAGTATCATAGGAATCATACTCGATGTAGCAGGGGCAACACTGAATGATATCCCACCTCCTAACCTGTCAGCTTCCTCAAGAATCTTCTCAGAATCACGAACAAGTTCGTATTCAACTTTCTTCTTCCAGCCACCTGCTCCTCGGGTATTTTTCTTACGAACCTCTAAGGGATCTTCCCATAGCACTGCATATCTTCTCCACATTCTTGCACAACGGAAACAAAGACCTAAAGTAGAATTCTTATCAATTTTGTCATATGATCCTTTAGGTATCTTCGTGTTAGCGTCGAACCCAGTGATTCTATACCATATCATGGATTGGGTGGTATAACAATGCTTACAAGCCATGTGCGTTTTATTTTGTTTTATTCTTTCCCCTTCATAAGCAGAATCATCGTCTGCGCATGCCAAATGATCAATTTCAGTTGGTACAGCAGGTTTGTTGGTTTCTTCCTTAGTAACGTTTTGAATCTTCTTTTGAATTCTTCCTTCAAAATTTCCCCAAATCTGTCTACCATTGGGAGTCTTTTTCCATAAATAATAAAATCTAACAATCATGGCACAAGGTTGAGTCTTGACTTCTTTAAATGTTGGATAAAGTTCACTACCATATTTTCTCACCCCTTCTTCAAATTTGGTAACCTCTTCATCTGTAAACGTTGGTTCACGTAAACTTTCACGTGTAAGAGCAGCCGCTTCTTTAAATGATTCTTCTAGTTGACCGTTGTGTTTCATATAAAAGTACAAGATAGCATCCATAAAATTTGGAGTTGTTGGTAACAATCCCATTTTCTTTGCAAGAGGAGAACAAGCCAGAACATACGCATCTAATTTAATGAAATCGTTTTCTCTATCCAGTTCAGATGGTTTGAAAAGTAATGTCGCAGTAGTACCTTCTCCGTCATCAACACCTCTCTCGATATATCCTGCCGGTCTGGGTTGTAACCATTGAGGGTACTCACTTTCTGGTACATCTTGGTATTCTTTTGGAACAGGAAGTTTAACCAAATTGTCTTCCGCTGTATCTTTTTTAGTTTTGGAGTTCTTTTTGGATTTCTTCTTATTATTTGAAGAATTTTCATTGACTTCGGGATCATAATAAACAATTGGATGGTCAATGTACTCGGGAATATGCATAGCTTGGTGTTTTGCCCCAAGTCTCGTCTGTGCTCTAGGATATGGAGATCTATCGTCTACATCTACACCATCTTCGAGTCTCGCATACATGCCTAAGTATCTCATGTTCCATTCCTCTTTAATTCTTCTTTGTTCCAAAGTCAATTTGGAATCTTTCTTCAAAAATTCTATAGCCATCGCTTCAAATTTAGGTAACTTCAGGCTACCATTCGATGCAATTGATTCAGATTTTTCAATCTCTTCTACTCCGCTATCCCTATCGTATCCATGCTTGTCCTGTCCTTCATCTTCATCTTCTAGAGATGATTCTTGAGAGCTAAGTTCACCCGTTAATTCACGTTCGTTAGACAGTTTGTTATCATGTGAAAGCATAAGCATTTTATTCTTCTGATGTTCTAGATCATGTTGCTTCGTACATGGAGCACATGACCATGAGAAACCTCTACTTGGCTTCTTAAAAAGTGGAGGATCGAGACAATACATATGATAAGTCTTTTCACATCCCACACAATTCACTGAATCTTGATTAGAACACCATTGTCCACATTTTTCACAGTTGCATGATGTGGAAAGAAAACTATTTACGAAAGATTTGGTCATGGTTGTCTCGACAAAAACATATTCAAATCTTTTATTTAATGCTTGTAAAAAATTCCGATTTTTACCTTCAGCATTGTCAGAATTGAATAATAAACTCTGGGTCAGTATTATGTCGTAGAACTTCACCATATATCGATCAAACAATTGATTGAAATAAAAGCAATTGGGCTGTTGACTATATTCTTCAAGTGGAGTTATTGGAGATGGTGAAGAGGACTTCGATGAACCATTGGAAGACTTTGTAGACACTGTCTTGGTCTCGTATTCATTTTCAATATCTTGCTTATGTCTAACAGTAACCAAACCTCTAAAACTTTGAAGCGGACATGTGTCAGTATGCATAGAAGCATACAAAAGTCTTGAATCTGAAGTTGACTTTGAAATGTCTCGGGGACGATAAAACCATTGTATCTTGAACACATAATTTGAGGCATCGCTACTAGCTGGGTTCGCCACAGGGGCAGACTCCTTGGTCTTTGCTTTTACACTACCACCACCATTTGTCGTTGACCTTTTCTCAAACCCCATGATAGACCCAATGTAGTATGGTTCACCGGGTGGCTCACTCACCATATATATAAAATCATGTTTTTGGAGCTTGAAAAAAGTCTTGCCCTTTCGTCGTTTAGCCGGACTTTCATATGACATGGGTATAGGCGATTGGTTGGGACAATATAAAGTTTGTGTTTCCTCATCAACAAATGACCCTTCCAAGTTTAACCGGTGCGAAAAATGGTCTACAAGATCAGAGCAAGGTTGCCAATTATATGGTAAGGCATTGGCGGCCATATTCGTCACTGTCTTCCCATTAGTGGTGGTGCTAGATTCAGGGGTACTCAGACTTGTGGATGCATCATCTTTCTTGGCACTTCTCTTTCTTGCAGTAGTTCCATTCGTCTTGCTAGCAGGCGTAGGATTTGGGCGCTCTTCAAATATGGATTCGTCAAGAGTTTCATTATACGCTCTATTTGTCGCCTTACGTTTGGGCCGTGCCAGGGACATCTTCTACAATTGTCACAGCTGACTCCAAGCAATGTAGGACTCTATTCCAGTTTGGTAGTTGGTTAAAAAAATTTTTGAAAAAAAAAAATTTGGAAATGGCTTTTTTAGTGCCCATGATGTAGAGGGGGAAAGATGGTAGACCGGCCTCCTCCATATCAGCATTTTTTTTTTATACAAAAACTACTCGCATATAACTAATTTATGTATAGGTAATGATAACAGTAGAGTTTGGTGAGTGGACTAAGCCGAGAAACAGTCGCTGTGCGCCACGTGTATATTTTGACTCTATATGGTTATTCATCATTCCATCTACTAGATATTACAAAAAAGGTTTGATCCTATATTGCATTCGCTAATACTCCATTCGTCTTATTAAAAAAGCAAATACCTGGTAGGTAGAGTAAACCACCTTACATGAGTTCCAGTCTTCTCTTTATTCTTATAGAACTACATATCATACTATGTCCTCTTTTGGTACTATTCCTCTTTCAATTAGATTCTTATATTTCTTTCTTTTAAATCACCAGTTTGTATTTTAGTACTACCATTTTTTTATCTGGTGTGGTATGCATTTGCTATTATAGTAGACATACCTCTATATGTATATGTATATGTATATGGATATATAATTACCGTCACTTAATATGGCCGTTACTGGTCATACGGTATCTATTTTACAATTTTTACTGTTTGTACAATTTATATACCAAATTTCACTCCCCCTTTCTTTTATTTTTCTTGGTTGGTGTGTAAATTCATGTATCCTTTCATTTCTCAATCATCCCTTAATAATGCTTCAATTTTCTCGATTTCCTCCATAGTTTCAGCTGATTCTAATTTCTTCACAAGGATATCTCGTTCTTCTTTGGTCAAATTCTTAACTCCGTTTCCAACTTCAGTTTCTTCATCATTTTCATTTTCATCTTCTACATCCTTTTGTTCTTCGTATACATTACCTGGAACAGTTGTATTTCCCTCATTAGATTCTTGAAACATTTCAACCTTTGAATTATCTCCGTTATTTATTCCATATAATTCTAAACCTCTTTTTCTTTCTTGATCTTTAATTTTTTGAAAATCAAGAACCTTTAATGTTGGTACAAGCCAAGAAATAAAATTTCTGTAGTTTGGTAAGCTTGTAACTTTATTACCCATCAATGTTAATTCTCTTAAATTATTACACCCGTTTAAACCCTTTAATGCACTGAATTTGGTAATATTGTTTTCATTAAGAGTAAGAGATTCCAACCTTGGTACACTCTCTGCAAAGTTGGAATCTATTGAAACAATACTATTCTTAGCCAAGAGCAAACAACGAAGGTTTTTCAATCTTGGAAGATTTTTAAGCTCGGTAATTTGATTGTCTATAAGGTCTATTATAGCATACATATCTCTTGTTATTCCTAAATTCTCGATATAAGGAATTTTCAACCCACGAAGTTGAAGCACAGATTCTCCCTCTGGACTGATAACAGTTGGAGCATTTGATATGGTCTGTAAGGTAATACGCATTTCTCTAGCTTATAAGAAGAATATAGAAGGTATATAAGTTAATTAAAGGTCAAAATTAATTATAGTACACACAAAGTATAGCTCTTCCTGTGTAGTAAATGGTAAAAAATCCGTAAACCATCAGAATTGGTGATAATCACGTGCTCAATAAAGTTGTAAACTACAGTATTATATTTACGTTCTATCAATTATGTGCAACGAATACCGTGAAGGAGAATAGTGACTACAGAGTTTGTACGTGGTTAAATATAGTATAAAACATTAGTTTGTATAGATTCAGTTTCCTTTCCCCTCGAATTTTTTTTTTCCTTATTTTATTTATTTTATATTCTTGCTTTAGTAAATAGTAACACATGTGATACAGCCAATGCTATCAACTACTTCCCAAATACAATATTTACCTCCATAAAGCTTTGATTGACCCCAAGTTTTGACTTGATTAGTTCTCTTTTCGTTCGAGTTTCTTCCAGGCTTTGAATGATGTGCCGGCACTTCATTCACATTAATGATATCCAAATCGTTATCAATAAATTCTGCTTCGTTTCGATTGAGAAGAACTGGTCTGATGACCTGAGAATTCAATGTTGAAAAGAAAGCCAGTGGGATATCTTTAAAATACATCGAAGAGTTAACACAGATATCAGATCCAACACCGTCTTTACCCGTATGTATTTCCCAGTTACATTTGTTCCATCTCATGAAATCTAAGCTCTTGGTAACACCCCCATTATGAATCACAACCTTCTTTAAAATACCAGTACTATTGTGAGATTTCTTTGACTCTGGGTTAAGATCATATAAGAAATCAAGCCCTAACAGGAAATAATTATGGAATTTATCGATTGAATTCCCACTGATTGTATCAGAGCTACCACCATTTGAAATCAGCAATGATTGCTTAAGATGCTTGTGGATTAAAAGTCTACAATCAAACTTATTGAAATAATCATCTGGTGGTCCCAAAATGTTGAGAATTTCTTGTTGAGTAGTCTCTCCGATCTTGATGGTAAATTCACTTGTCTTTGTCATATCCTTGTTTGAATTTAAAATGATTTTGATATCCCTTTCCGATAAATTAACTATGAGTTTGGATATCTTGGGGATCAATTTACTACCATTGAACCTTTCAGACACCTTTGTCTTCTTCTTAGTTAATAAATATTGCTTAAACGATTTGAAAAATTCATCCCATGAATCACCATTAAAAATGGCCAAGGACTCACAAACAATGTCGTCAACTTTGTCCCAATTGAGTAATTGGGATAAGAGTGAGTTTTCATTTAACGAAACTTTTGAAACTTCATCTTGTAAGTCCTGCAGTAATATTTTGAATCTAAATGAAATCCCTGGATATGATAAAATATAACAGTCATCAACTAGCTTCCCCGGGTAGGTAGGTCCAAATATTTTATTGTATATTTGATGAAGAGTTGGAGGTTTTACCAAAACTTCTTGAGAAGATGTCTTTTGGAAATTCTCCACCTCTTCTTCACTTCCACCCTCGTCTCCATTTGCTTCAATTGTAAGGAATCCATCATCTGCCGAATGTCTAATCTCATTCAAATGGAAGTTATTGTAAACAATCTTTATGAATTCAAAACTGATAATCTCAATAACAAGCAATTCCTGTTGATTGCAGTTTTCAAAAGTAAGTCTGACCCCTAGTGACGGAAGTATTACCACTAGGGGTGTCTCAAGGTACTCCTTATCCGAATAGATTATCTTCATCTTATGATCCTTTTGCTGAAACTTGTTGATAATAGAGTACAATGTGTCACCCAATTGAATTGAGTTCCCAATTCCTTCACCAGGAACGATAGAAACTTGTCTAATCATTCAAATATGTGCAATTGTTATAAATGAATATGTTGCTTATGATTAGTAGAAGGTGATTGTCTTTGATATGGTTGATTATTATACTAATGTTAGTGTTTCAAATATGAAGCAAAGATGGTTTTAGTGATTCATTTCTTATCTTATCCTGATACGTTGTATACAGTCCAGTCAGGTTTTAATAATATACCATAGAGTCGTGCATGGGCAGAGAATGTAGATAGTAAGGGTTATACACTAGAGTAATGAAGATGGTTGATGTATTGGTCATAAAAAGTGCAATTCAGTAAAATACAAGGAGTGATATCAAAGGAATCTATTCTTAATCATAAAAGGCCATATTGGAGATTATTTTTAGTACGTATAGATTGTGTTGAGTACAAACTGAATTGTCTTACCTACATCTGCCTAAAATACATTCGCACAATTAATTAACGCTATACATTTGAATGACTTCGTTGCAGGTACACGTTTCACTGATTCTAGTTGTGTGGGGTTGATTTATTTCTTTCTGTTAACCTATCTAAGTCTCAAGACTGAATCGATCCAGCGTTCAGTCTCATTGTAAAATACTGCTAATGGAAAGAGATAGGAGTAATAATTAGAAAAGAATTGAAAGTATTTTACAGTATTTCGCAGAGAATTTAAAGTTGTCGATCATTTGACCATTTTGTGGAGTTTAGCTGCAAAACCCTTTCCGTCGATGGACTTTTTTATCAGCCTATGAGATCTTGTGCTGAAAATCGAACTGACATCGGAATATACTGGCTCGAGTTGAAGTGACGACGTATCAGACGTTGTTACCTTTTCTTTAATTGATTCTTGCCCTTCTTTCTCCTCTTGTCTAGTACCTTCCATTTCTACCTCCTTTTCTGTTTCTTCCTCTATATATTCTGAATGGCTTATACGCCCAAATTCAGAATTTGTATCTCCTTCCATACTACTCTTAGGAGAAGGATATGTTCCCCGAACGGAGTGATTTCTACGTTTCCTTTCCTTTTCACTGTACCTTAAAATTTCATTGATGTCAGATGTGTGAGTGTAGTTCATTATAGGCAGTCTTTGGCCAGAAGTTGCCAATGCCTTTAAACTCATTTTATTTGCAGATTTCTTACTAGAAATAGACAAGTTCCCGAGAGTGACGTGAGACTTTTGATCGAACAGGTCATGACTTTCAACTGTTTCAGCCCTTTCAAGACTATGTCTTGAAGATGCTTTCCCGGTGAAAATCGAATTATGATCACTGACGGGAGAAGTCAATGAATATAAGGATGAACTACTGACATCTGTACTCGAGGTTGAATTTCTTCCAAAATGTGGTCTTGGTCTATCTTCATCTTTCCGCGATTTTGATGATTTTTTCTTTTTCATCATTTGTTCTTTAAGCTGTTGTTGCTTCTGAAAAGAAACCGTTGGTATAAAAAATGCACTCATATCTAACAACGTGTCTCACCAAAGGATAAATTGACTCAAATGATAAAGAATGCAAAAATAGTCAATGACGGGACAATACTGGCCTTATGAACTAGATTCTCTTGACGGGGGGAATATATGGAACGATATTATTTCTTTTGACTCGACCTCTCAGTTTAGTATTTGGGGTATAACGAGGACACTAGGTACTTAAATAATATCTCAACTACATAAAGATGATCATGGAAGATAGTTTAATTTAACCCTTCTTTTGATTTCGGAGCAAGCTTTCTCATTGTTATGCAAGTTAACAATAGAGTACATGTACGGGTCCCATCCACCTCCCGATTAAGGCTGATTTCAAAAATTGAAAAGAGAACGAGGGAACTACTTCATCTACTACAATTATTTAAGCTCAAGCTTTCCCATTCCGACCCACGTAGAAGACGGAGTCACACTTCAAGCCGTGTCTACCTAAAAATATGGGTGAATGGTTGCGTCAAGTTAACAAAATAACGGAACTATTATGCACGGAAATTAATTGTTATCTCAACACATTACTACAATGGGTGGACAATATTTTGCGCGGGACCCCGTAAGGACTGTGCATAGATAGGTCGTGGAAGCACCTTAATTACACTATGACTTCTATTGTGGAAAGATGGAGTAGTTGAAAGATTGGGTTAAAATCACGTCTCATTTATCAATACTTGGATTTGTGGGGCGGCGTATCTTTAAAGTTTGTAGAACACAAAGAAATTGATCTCCTTCGGTACGCTGATTTATGACATGTGAATCAAATCTAGAGCTAAATCATCTTCACAATACCTCCTAAAATTTACTGACATTTACGAAATCCAATAAAGCTCGAGAATGTTTCCCACCTCAGTATCCACAGCGTAATGAATTCAGTAGTCGGGTGTCATGGTTACCTATCTATTTATTTTTCTGCGTAATTTTATTTCTGCAAGAAAAAAAAAAAACTATATGCTTATAGTTGCCCAGAAGTTCTGAGGGAAATCCGACGGGAATCCAATCAGTTTCAAACTTTGCGCGATACACATGCACTGCACGATGAAATCAATAAATCTATGTCGTGTTAGATAGGTACCTTGGTGTTGGCATCCACATGTTCGTAAAACGTACTTAATCATTCACACCGAATTGAAGTCATTGGATGTCAGTAACTGGAGTTTTATTTAATAAACTCCACTTCTTGTGCATGTACCCAAATTCTTCTACACTTTAAATATTTTACTCCTTAACACCGCCCCAATGTTCTCTATTGCCTTTGTGTACGGTGGCAATTATAAACAGGACGTATTTTTTTGATTCGCGTCTGAATTTCAATTTTTCTTTGACAAAACTACTGTATATTTCCTATTTGGGAAGGATTTGGAACCAATTTCCACTTCACTCTTGTTCTCTCTTACAATGCTTCTATTATGTAAAAATTACCGATTATTATTATTATTATTTATGATTTACAAGAAAACCTAAAACCTTTTTCGAAACTTAGTAGTTTCTTTTAGAATTTTCGCTGGCAGTTCCATCTGGACTGACAACTTCACCTTCAGCCGTAGTACCTTCAATAGGAGCTTCTGCAGTAGTGGCGCTCTTGAGCTTGGCCAAACGAGCGTCAGTGGATCTGATTGGTTCAAGAACGTATGGTTGGTGTTCTTCATCATCTTCGTTGGTGTAAGCGTATTCACCGATTTGAGCCAAATCAGTACCTAATAATTCTTCATCTTCATGTAATCTAAGTCTCAACTTTGGAATCTTGTCGGTGATAAACAAAAGAATGGCAGTGATACAGAAACTCCAGAGACCAACAGAACATGAACCAGCCAATTGGTAACCCAATTGCTTGTAGTGATGGTTCATCCAACCACCAGCAATGGCAAGAGATGGGTCACCAGCAACACTACCGTCAGTTGCTGCTATGTAGTCAGCAGCAAACAAACCAGTCAAGATGGAACCACAGATACCACCAACACCATGAAGGGCAAAGACATCCATACCATCATCAATTCCAAGAATGGTCTTTAAATCAACGGCAAAGTTACAAACGATAGCTGGAACAATCCCGAAAACGACTGAAGTGTAAACTGGAACAAACCCAGCAGCAGGTGTAATACCGACTAAACCAGCAATGGCACCGGTACATAAACCAACAGTGGACCACTTACCACCAGTTCTAAACCAATCAACAAACATCCAAGTCAAACCACCACAGGCAGCAGCTAAATTGGTGTTCACACAGGCGTACCAAGATCTGATAGAAGCGTTACCAGTGGAACCACCGTTGAAACCGAACCAACCGAACCAAAGGAAAACAGTTCCCAAGACAACAGAAGACACGGAGTGAGGCTTGTACTTTGGAACTTTACCTTGAGTCAATGGATCATGTCTCTTACCCAAGATAAGAGAATAAGCCAAAGCAGCAAAACCAGAGTTTTCATGAACTGGACCACCACCAGCGAAATCCAAGGCACCCAACTTGAATAACCAACCATTACCACCCCAAGTCCAGTAGGCAATTGGGCAGTAGACGACAGTTAACCAACAGAATAAAAAGACCATCATAGGACCTAATCTTGCTCTTTCACAACCAGCACCAACCATCAAAATGGCAGTAGTGGCAGCGAACATACCTTGGTAGAAGCAGAAAAGAATATCTGGAACTGAAGTGACAATTGCTGGAGCACCTAAAACTTTCATCAAGGCAAAGTTATCCAAGTTACCAAGGAAAGGAGAAGATGAAGTATGAGTGAAAACAAGGGAATATCCCCAGAAGAACCATTGGAAAGTGGTTAAACAGGCAGCCATAATAGCAGCCCAAATTAAGGAAAGAGCATGCTTCTTTCTGGAAAGACCAGAATAAAGTAAACCAACCCCTGGAATCATAATCCACACAAGGGCAGCTGCAGTACCAATCCAAGCCATGTTGGCAGCATCGAACTGTTGATTAAGATCAACAGTCATGGAGTCACCTCCTGTTCCGGTACCAGTGATACCGGATGGAAGAGCTGTAGCATCCGACATATTATATTTGTATTTTTCTTCCCAATTGAATGTTTACAATGAACGTGAATGTAATTGTATACAAGGTATCACAGTATATACAAAGAAAGGATTTATTTGATTAGAAACTTCTAATTGTAAATGAAATCTTCATTTCAGGAGATGTTAAGCCGTACCATCGAGATATATTTATCTACTTCATATTTAGAGCCGTCAGCATGTGCTCTCTTATCAATATCTTTTTTTTTTTACATAACGTACTAGGTGGCCAATGAAAACGCATATTGCTTATCTCTCCTTCTTGCCGCCTGAATAGAAAAATCTTCTTTAGTGTGGGTGTTCGGATGCGCGCCAGTGCGTTTAGAGTTCTCTTTGGCTCGTATACTAAACGTAAAAATCCGTTATCCCAGAAAAATATGCATGATTGAGAAGGCCGAAGGGGATAATAATTGAATTCCTCTCTAAAAGAGGTTAAAAAATGAGTTATGTTTTGTTTTCAAGAACATAACGTTCCACTACATTCGCTTAAGTAATGATTTTCATAACAATTACTTACATTGATTTTACCTAGTGGCTTTAGTAACATCATGATTAATTAAGTGCAGTCGTTCTACTCTCTTTGTACTTCATCAAGAAATCTAATCTGTAATCATGACTCTATAAAATAATGTTACTACATAATAGGTCATTATTTTTGGTAACCTAGTTCGATCTATACTTACACTTACGGCTAGCCCGGGCATGTTACTCGGATCGATTGGTTTGTTTTTGTTTTATTTACTTCAACGAATTGGAGACTTGGCGAATGATAAGAAAAACGCCGTTACCGGAGATGCAATATGGTACAGTGCACGACTGATAAGGTATATTTGGTGTTTACGCGAATTGTTGTGTAAGTTTAGCTTATTATCAATTTTGCCAAGTGAGAAAAATCACATTATAGACATATAAATTTTGTGGGGGGGAAACAAACCAAGCATGACATAATACTAATAAGACCATTTGAGAAAAAGAAGTAGAGTATATTGGAAGTCTTGGGGAAATTTTATGTAAAATTTATGACAAGAAGTGAAAAAATTTTCTCTTCTATAATATTTGAGAATAACTCAATATAATTGTTGTAGAATAATAACCGAGTACATTGTCAATTGTTTAACGGCCGATTTCTTACTAATAATGACTTCATCTATATTTCTTTTATTCACTCATTTCCCTCTAAATTCAAAATATATCTCGATTTTGTGCTAGTAGCAACAATCTGTATAATTCCTTAACCCCGCATTACATATCTAAAAAATAAATTGACGATAGTCACATATCTCATGATCTAACTACAAGCTGTAAAAATGGGACGAATATTTAGCTACAAGTCATAGATGCATGGTTCCTTACCAACACAACCGTCAAATAAACATTGATTCTACACGAGCCCTTATCTAAACTATTAGTTTTATTATTAATAATAATAATAAGAAACGGGGCTCTTACATTTACGGCCATTTTTATTGATCTCAAGATACAAGCCTCTCTCTATCTCTCAATCTTAATCATTTAGAGGATATACTCTCATCTTCTTACATTATCTCGGGATTGAATTCAAGATGTTTACCACATTATATTAAGATATCCGTGCATTCCACTAATTCTTTACTGTAATATATTAAATATCGAACCATATTCAGATTTACACCAATAAATTTACGTGTAAATTCAAAAAAGAGCCTACGAACTAATAGACGACCAGTACGTTTTTGTTACTGCAACCTTCACTCATTTTGTGTCACTTTCAAAATTAATCTCATTTTTGTACCGATTTTTCCTCCCCCACACACTTTCCAAAATATGTTGATTTTCTCCTATTTCTATCCTTATTTCTCACTTTAATTGCTGGCTGACATACACGTGACCGGAATCTACGGCTCGATTTTATATTTTTTTTTTTTCTAAATAGAATATCAAAATGAACATATTCAATAGATAATATCATATACCATTGCTCAAAACAATATCTCGATTCCAACTTCCCACCACTTACCGTCAATTCATTTCTACTTGAACCTTTAAAATCAATATAGAAGTAAAATGTCAGACTCAAAATATGGTTTTGGTACGGCAATTCTTACGTCAAAGACTCCTCAAGAAGCTGCTGCCATTCTTCCTCACACGTTAAACACTAGTAAATCATTAGTACAAAAAAATCTTATTACTTGGTTTACATCCTACACACAAGAACTCCAACGTCACAACCATGAATTGGGAAAACTTTTGAATGAAGGTGCTGGCATTTTGGGTTTACCAGCAAATTCTGCTTCATCTTCAAATGGTCACCAAAAGCCATCCAATACACCTGAAGATTTAGGATCTTTCAACAAAATTTGGAACACTTTCCTTAGACTGATTGAACTTGAACTTCATTCAAATGAGCAATATTTTAAGAATATTAAATTAGAAACACTTGGTCCACTTAAAGATTTCACAAATAATGATGTAAGATATTCTGAATTAGTTCTTAATTCTCAAGAACTTCAAGAAATTTCTCGTGATTTAGGTAAAAATGATTCTGCTGAATATCAATGGAATGTTAAAGCTCCTCAAATCTTTGATAACTTGGAAAACTTTGAAAAAGTCAAGTCTCAACTCTTGTTTGATGTGATTTTAAATTACTTCAATTCTCAAAATACAAGATTTTCAAAACTTATTGGGAATTCAGAAAATTCAGTCAATTATTTGTTGGGAACTTACAAACTCGATGAAGAAATGAATATTTACTTGAAATATTTGTTGGGATCCGATTTTACTCTGGAATTATCTCCAGTTGCTCCTACTCCAGTCGGAGCACCTGTAGGATCAAGCCATCAAAATTCACATTTCCCACACTCGAAAAGATTGAGTTCCTTCGGAGGCCGTCTGCATAGTGATGTTGCTTCTACTCATTCATCCTCTTCTTCGAATTCAAAGAAACCTTCAAAATTGAAATCAAAGGTTGGTTCAATCTTTGGTAGAAAGAATAAGAAAGCTTCTAAATTGGATAAATCTGACACCATCCCTGAGTCTGAATCTGTCACCTCCTCAACAATTGCTACTCCACATGCAACCAATAGATCGACTGATTCACTTGGAAACATTTTGAACTCTGACAAGAGAAAGTCTGGAACTTTTGGAAAAAAGAATGCAGACAAGCCACATCCTCCACACCCTGAGCAAGCTAAGGTGAAGGAACATGCCCTCCCATTACCACCTGCAACAGTTCCACCACACTCAAATGATCACTATCAACAACAACAACAACAACAACCACCACCACCACCACAACAACAACAACAACCGCCAAAACATGTTCAACAACAACAACTCTCAAACCCATCTCCATTTCAAGAATCAGCACCAGCTCAGCAAAGAAATATTGAAGTACCTCCAAAATCTCAAAAGACCTTGTCTTCAGATGCTGTTCCTTTAACTCCAAGACCAAAGGATCAACAATTTTCGCAAATTCCAACTGACTCTCCAAATGTCATCAAATATGATGCAAGCAGTTCACCATCTCTTGCCTCTTCCTCTGAAGTTGTTGGTGCACAAGATTCCCCTGTTAAACAAAATAAACACGTTTCTTTGCTCCAAAAGCATGATCTTCATGTCCCATCTGAAAATGTATTTGCAGTATCACCACCAATAACTCATAACGATCACTTAACTACCAGCACAACCAGTGCAAGTAAGTTTAGCTTTGAGGCAGGTGATGATGAGAAGCCAATTTCAGCTACACCAAAGGAACAACAAGCAAATGTATTTGAGTCAAATTCTGAATTGCCAGAGCCTGACTTTGGTGCTGAAAATAATTCTCCATACAAAAGTAATGAAGCAGCCCCACATATTGCATTTAATGGCAATTCCCATCAAGATTTCCCTTCCAACTCTCACTCAGAACAAGTAAGTGGGAGACAATCTTCGCATGTTGCTCCACCACCTCCACCAGCTAGAAAAGTTGCACATGCTTCTACAAGAGATGATCAAAGTATCACTTCTGAAGTTAGTAGTGTTGGCGGCGGTAGAAGTAGAAAAGATGTTAAATCTATGTTCTTCCACAATTTGCCTGCAACTAGAGATTCCGTTATTGCTCCACGTACATTAGCTTCTCAAGATACAGGTAATTCTGTGTTGAAACACTTAAATGGAGGTAGTGATATTTTCAAACATTCTCAAGAGCAGAATGAAATTGGGTTAAATGCTTCAATTGCCGAAGTCATCAATGCTAGTTTTAAGGATGACAAGGTTATTCGTCATCAATTAATTGGTGAAGTTGCATTCAACTACAAGCCTGATGAAGAAGGGAACTCGAACTTGCAACCAATTCCAATTACTATTGCAGCAAAGTTTGATAAGACTATAGTGAATACCCAATTCATTACCCAAAACCCAGAGTCTACCAGTGAATACACTATTGATCCACAGCTGATTATATCGAGAACTTTAGGGGGCTTGAAGTACCTTAAATCCATCGATGCAGTACCTGTGTTAATTACCCAAGTTTGGAAGTTCGAAGACCACCAATCCAGTTTGTTGATAAATATGAAATTGAATCCACAATATGCAACTCTGTTGACTTTAGATAATGTTGTTATTTCTGCTGCATTGAACCCATCTGTGGATACTACTTCAGCTGCCTCCAAACCTTCTGGTTCGTTCAATAAGGAATTGAATAGAATTACATGGAGATTCCCATCCCCGATTACTTTACTGTCTGAGAAGGGTGAAACTTTGATTGCTAGATATATGACCAATGGTAAGGGTAGTGAGCATGAATCTGGGATTCAACTCAAGTTCTCTATCGTTGATCCACCAAAGACCACCGAAATATTTGTCAATGGAAGTGAAGTACCAAGTGTTAGAAGCTTGGTTTCTGGGAGCTATAGTGGGCATATTTAGAAATTCAAATTTATAGTTAATTTTATGTGATATTGTATCAATAGTTAGATCTGTGGTTGCAAATTGTTTTGTAATACTTTTTTGCATCTAGTTACAAACAATCTAGTTATATCTATTTTTCTTTTCCTTTCAAACAATACCTTTAGTTCAACATTCAAGATGACGCTTATCTTGTCCATCGGTGTACTACTTTACTACCTTGGACATGCATTCATCATTTTGTTCATTGCAATTGTTCTTTCAATACTTTTGGACTACTTCTTTGAAATTGGCGCACCAGCCCATATTGGAGGTTTATATGTTATAAAGGGATACCCTATAGTTGGAAATCTATTTCAAGTGTTGAACAATCTGGCAAAGGTTTACATGGATTGGGCAATCACGTCTGGATATGACATATTCCAAATAAGACTTGGAATCAAAAGAGTGGTTGTTGTTAACTCATTTGATGACTGTAGAAGTTTGTGCATTCGCCATTCATGTGCAACAAATTCTCGACCAATTCTGTACATCTTTCATGAGGTGGTATCATCCACACAGGGGTTTACTGTTGGTTCGAGTCCAGCAGGCGAGTCATATAAGAGGAAAAAGAAGGCAGTGTCTATGGGGCTGAACAAGAGAAGAGTGGATTCCTTTTCACAGTTGATGAACGAAGAAACCTCCTTTACTATAAGGGAAATTATTCGAGGAAATCTGGAATTATATTGCATGCCTTCATGTATATGTCCCAGGTGCCATCTTACCAAGCTTTCAGATATCAATCTTATGCCACATGTTCAGTTTCTCGTTTTGAAAGTTGCTATTCGGATTAGTTACGGGATAACTTTAGATTCTTATGGGCGCGATAGGGTATTTTTTGAACATATTATTAACACCGAGAACGAAATCATTAATCTTCGCTCACCAGCAGCAAATATTGAAGATTTCATTCCTATTCTTAGATTTTTACCCTTTGGAAAGGCCAGAAGAGCCGCAAGATCTCGAAGCGAAAGAGACAAGTACATGGGAAGTTTAATGTCAACATTGAGAAACAAGCTTGATTCAGGGGACCAATCCGCTGCAAATTCAATTATTGGTAAGATATGTTCAGAAAACAAAATTCTTTCCCCAGATGAGATACAAAGTATTTGTTTGACTATGATAAGTGCTGGACTTGATAAGTGCTGGACTTGATAATACCCCGCTTAATTTCAACCATTTGATGGGTCAACTTTCGCAGCCATATGGGATGGAGCTACAGGAACGCGCATTTAAAGCATTATTGAACTTGTACAATGGCAGTCTTATGGAAGCATGGGAAGCTGTGTGTTATGAAATGAAATGTGATGAAGTTTTAGCACTTGTGAAGGAGACGTACCGCTTCTTCACTGTTTTACCATTGGGTCTCCCCCGTCAAACAACTAAAGATATAATATACAATAATGCACGTATCCCCGCGGGTACAACTATATTTTTAAACCTATATGCTGCAAACCATGACCATCGGCAATTTACAAATCCTATGGTATTTGATCCAAGTAGATGGATAGATCCACAGACAAATAAAATTAGAGATAAAATGTTCCATTTCTCTTTTGGTGAAGGTTCAAGAAAGTGCCCAGGAAATATTTTGGCAACCAGAGAGATTTACGCATTAACTTGTCGTATGTTACTTTTATTTAAGATTAAACTGCCCAAAAATCCATCGTATCAAATGAAATTGAATCCCTTTGATGCCAATCTTCATCCGAGTGCTACTTCATTTGAACCAGAGGAATTCCGGGTGTTACTTGAAAAGAGGAATATTAATGGATCTGATGATTTACACTACAGGATACTTAAAGGAAGAATACAAGTTCAATAGCCTATAATAATTCGTATATATGTAGATTAGACAGGTCCAGTTGGATCAACGTAAGCAGTTTTTTTGACCACCACAGACTTTGAATTTGAAGTCATAGGTAATTTATATTTCAAAATTCCACGAACTATGATGTCAAAAGGATTTTTAGATATTATTTCCCATTTCTTTGAGTTATCAGGAGGCAGTGGATCTGTTGTATTACTAGTGCGTAACAACGCTACTGTTGAGAGATTTTTCCCAGGTGTTATTAACTTCATTTCTGCGTGTTGCTTCAAAGGTTCTCTATTAAAGAAACCACCTCTGAAAGTCATTGGGGATTCCAAGGAGTAAACAGAGCCCAACAAAACAGTTTCAACCACGAAATCATTGATAACATCACTCCCTTCATCTGGAAGATATCCACTTTTTGCAAAAATGTCAAGCTCAACCTCACTTACATCTACTGAGAACCATCCAGGATTATATGCTTCCACTATGATATTGAATACTAATTCGTCTTGACTGACGAGTGCATTGTTGATCGTTGTGATGTTCACATGTGTAAGTTCCTTCGTTGTGGCAAGTACAAACCCCATAATAAATCCAACTGAAAGTACGGTAAGAATACTAATCAAAGTATAAATAAAGCTCTTGATACAATTAACCTTCGCACCTTCGAGGGAAGATTTTTTTCTAGGAAGAATGAAATGACCATTAGTGGCAGATAAATGCGGATGTCCATATGCTGAAATATTCCGAGCACTTTTGCGACCAAGTGTATGAAGATGGTTGTGTTCCAAACTGTCGGAATGCGAAGCTTCATCAAACTCATCAAAATCGTAGTAGTAGGGCTGGTTCGGATCAGGATATGGGAATGGAAATATATCATTATTTGGATGTGGGGAATTTCCCTCATTTACAGGCAGTCCAATGTTCGACGCTTGATGAGGGAGGCCAGGACCACTTGAAAGGTATCGCTTACCCTTCTGTTGCGAGAGACGTTTCCCATTTGGTGGGTTCAAGTTCAACGATCTGTAGTGAGGAATTCGTCCTCCTTGGTTCATCAAGGGAGAATTCTCGCTGTATTGATTTGTGCCGATACTGTGATTATTATTATATGGGAAACGGACATTGTTGTCATAGTATATTAATTCATCATCGAAATCCTCAATATCGATATCATCGGGAATGATACTATATCTCCTGGGCTGAGATCCCTTCTTATCGAAAAGTTTGGATGTAGTAGACCGGAGTTTTGACGAGCTTGTGGTTGTTGATTTTGTATTCTTTTTCCCTTTGCTGGTCATAGAATTAGTCGATGCAATCTTTTCTCCAAAGGTCGCTGCGCCATTGAGGTTATTATTATTGGTATTATTAGTATTAGTATTAGTATTATTAGTATTAGCAATTGTGGCCTGTGTATCTTCCAATGCTATATTTCCTCCATTAAGAGTTGAGTTTGCAGTAGCTATCCCGTTGCTATCAGTACCATAAAAATCACCTTCGGTAGAGTTAGCATCATCAATAACTTCTGCATCCTCATCGACATCCTCTGATGAATATCGGTCATCATTTGTGTAGCCATCGTTGATGCTGGTTACAGCGGTATTCGATGGTTGATAACTGGAGCGGGTATCAAATAGACCAAGACCTGGTCCAGAAACATTTGGTGGGATATCATTCGGATAATGAGTCGTTGAAACTGAATTCACCGAGTGAAGGGTATCCATGAAAGCACTACTAGTTGGTGAGTGTTGTAAATTGGTATCCTGATCGTGAAATTGAATAGGATATTGCAATTTATTTACATCATCGGTACCTCGAAGTGTTGGATGAACTACGGAATATATCGAGTTTGACCTTTGCGTTGGAGGACGTTCCTTCCCACTGATGGTGGTTATATCCTTATTAGATGGTTCTGTATGTGAATTGCTTAATTTGGGCACTTGTCCATTCCCCACAGAAGTGGCTGTCTTTGGAAACTTAATGGATCTCAAAGATTGAATCGAATCAGTTTTCGAAGCTGAAATAGGTGTGTCCTGCATTGAAGGGTCTCCAAGAATAACTTGTGGAGGGCTATGGATGTTGTTCACGATCCCAGGTGCATTCATAACACTACCATTCCTTGAGACATTTTCTGTGCGTGGTGAACTAAGCACAGTATTAACATTATTTGAATTTGCAAGATGTCCATTAGGTCCTGCTTGCATACCATTTGAAATTGTATTATTTTCATACGATGGAACATTAGTCTCATAAACAAACGTTTCATCACTGTCAGAGCTCTCAACGTCATCAACAGCACTTGCAAGTTTTGCAGCGAAAAAATCTGTTCTGGTAGAGTTTTGATTTGCCAATCTTTTCTTTTCCTTCGCAGTGGTGGTCTTTGAATTAACACCATGATCAGATATGCTTGCTGTACTACTGGCCACTGGATTGGCCGTACCTGTACCGGTAACGGTGGGGAGAGACTCTAGCTCATTTTCATTTGATATATTATTAGGAAATGCAGCAGCCAGAGGTGAAGTATTGAGGATCTCCGAAATGATAGTTGAATTTTTAGGATGTGGCTCCTTTGTATTGATAATCTTTTGTTTCGCCTTAAGGGATTTATTGAGGTTAGTAATAGCATTCTTATTAAGTTTTATCCCAGATCCATTTTCATTTCCTGCTTCATAATCTGATTGAAGTTGACGAGATTTGTTACTGTCTGGAATTTTGATTTCTCCAGGAACAATTTTTTTAGGCACTTTGAAAACCAGTTCCAGGTTCTGTATTCCAGCTGCTGCACTCGTAGGAGCAGTACCGGAGTTTGTTCTAATTTCTGAAAGACTGGGTATATTATTGGATTTAGTTGCCATTATTTCAGCAGTATTAGTCACACCACCAGTCACAACATTGGAGGGTGTGGGGATATTTGAAGACTCAGGACCAGCCCCCAAATCTTCTGACAGTGCAAGTATTTTGTCCTGTATGACCTCTCCCTTCACCAGATTGATCAAAGAGTTGGTCACTGTAGAACTGCCAGTATCTTCATTCCCTATTGTGTCCTTCTTATCATCCATCTCAGTCATTTTGGTATTTTCCGCGGTATTGTTTGCCCTGCAAACGATCTATGTAGCAAGGATGTGGACTACGAAGTGTGGACGTTATACCGTAAGGCTATACTATGTGAAAGAACGTGATCTTGGAGACTCGTATACTATGTATGTATAACGGTTCTAATATTAATTTTACCTTGTGGTAAACTTTGACAGATTGACGGAGTTTACCTTATTCATGTACTTGATTGTGTGTGTTTGCGCTTCACACTGAGCACTGCACAAACGACACAGGAAAAATGAAACTATAGTAAAACCTCACAAAGCGGTAAAAATGTCCGAGTTTACCATTTGGGCCTACATACACTCTTGCAAGCGTCTTCTTACCTTACAACTACAAATCCGCTAAACTGCAAGCACTATGCACAGTGTCTAAAAATAATATTGCGTAAGAGCTGTTGCTTCCAGGTGGAATTATGTTTTCTCAAGGATATCCAGCTGCCCATGTCCAGAAATTACACAGTTGTTTACATCTACATTTTCGCATATTTAATTTCTATCCCGTCATGTAAAAGTAAAATTTAACTTCTTCATTTAAGCATTTGGCCGATATGGTACATAAATAAAAATAAAAATAGAAAAAAAAAAAAAAGAAACAGCCAAAACTGTGCCAATTATCTATGAGGCTCGCCTTCACACATGAATGTGGGAAATATTTTGTTGGTTTTCAAGTAGGGGGCAGCCGCGACCACCATTTGCTAGTTACATATTTGAACTAATTTGTTTTAATTACCACACTTTGCTTAATATTAATAGCTAATAAATAAAATCTTTACAACTACTTCGTCTAATTTTGTGACGAATTGCTCCTTTTTTTTGGGGGGTAACGTTTAGCGCCTACGTGTGAAAAACGTGTACATATGTTTCATCATTTATTTATATTTGGATTTAAAACAAAAAATATCTTTGTTATTTGTATCCATCGTAACTCGTGTTAGAAAGCTAAATCTAAGGCCCACGTAGCTTTTTCAAATCGGCTAATTTTTTCGAAGATAATCTGCCTGAATCCTGGGATGTTTGACCAGTGGTTGTAGTATTGGCAGTTAATCCATGTAGACGAGGGTGTGTAGTGGACGTGAGTCCCTCATCTCTTATAGCACCAGGCTCAGGTTTTGTACTTGGAGTAGAACCATTTGCACCAAAACTAAGGCTGCGTCTTAAACTGAATTGATTATTCTGCCCGCCAACTGTGTTACTGTATGTTCTATTCCGAGTACGATCCTTTTGAGCGCTTGTGGGAGGTGCTGTAGGAACGACAGAGTACTTTCTTTCTCTGAAAACAACACCGACTTCCTTGACATTTTTCTGATGATCTGGCTCAACTTTTCTAAACCAATCAAGCCCTTCATCGAATTCATACATGCGGTATTCTGTACCATAAGGTTTCAGTTCTAAGCAGTAAAGAGTGTGTAAAGGAACATCTAATTCTCCAATTGAGGAATTATCTAAGTTCAAAAAGTAGGCCAACAAGATACGTAATACAACCCGATGTGAAATGATTAACAAATTATCAGTTGTTCTCTCAATTTCTGTAATTAAAGGTCGTAATCTCGTTAAGACATCCAAATACGATTCACCCCCTACTCCTGGGTATCGATATGTTAATTTATTACGGATTCTTGCTTGGAATTCCTTAGGATGCTTATTTTGAATCTCTTCATATGTCATTCCTTCAAATTTACCGCCTCCCAATTCGTTCAACATTCTCATTTCCTTAAGTGAATATAAATGATCATCAAAGTATTTCCCAGTTTCAATAGCTCTACAAAGCATAGACGTCCAAACACAAAAGTTTGGTTCACTTGGAATACTATCAATCTTTTCTGCTCCTCCTATTTTATTGAAAACTGAATTATACTTCAATTCAAGTCTAGTTGAGAATCTTTCAAGTTGTTGCTTACGGAATTCTTTCCTTTGGAAATCCATAAATTTCAGTAACGCCTTGGAGAACTTTTCACCTCTCTTTGTTAAATGAGAATCTCCTCCAATTCGTCCATTCAAGTTATCTGCACTTTCTCCATGTCTTGTGATCCAGATCTGTCTTTCACACAAGTTGAAGTTTAATAAAAAGTAAATTGTTTGTGATGCGAGAAATCCTTGAATGTTGTAACTAACAACCTTCTTACCAACATCTATCATTTTCACATATTGGAACGCGGGGATTGCTTCTTCCAGGTCATCAATTGTCTCATATGCCTTTTCGTAATTGTGTAATCTACCAACAAAATCTTTCAATGCATCTTCTGGATCCATATCACGATAATCAGGCCCCGAAAGTTTAAGTCTAATATTAGATTCAATGATTGATGGATCTGAACATACACTTTCTAAAAATAAAACCTTAAGTTCTCCATTTGATCTTTCTTGAATTCGTTTCAAAACTCTCAGTCTTCTTCTCTTTGTAGAATTAGTTGCATCAAAAATTCCTACTGATCCAGGTCCATCAATAACATAATTTAATAATTGATCCAATGTATCCATGGCCCATTTCTCACGAAGAATAGTCGATGAATTATTCTCTGGATTGAAAAAATCAGCGTTATGACTTGTTCCTGAAGGAGACTTTGGATGTGAATCAGGAGAAGTTGCATTCAGCAGGTTTTCATTATTGGGTGTATGAATATCTGGCAATGGGTTAGCTTCAGGTCCAGCATTATTAACCTTGTCCTTCCGTCTGGTATTCCCTACATTAAACACCCTACAATCATGTTGCAACCAGTTGAGGTATCTAGTAAGTTTGTTTGTAATGTATGATTTTCCTCTCGCAGGTAGACCAACCATCACAATAACAAGTTTCGACCCAACGTCAACGGAAGCAATTCGTCCATCTGGTGAGATTTTCGAAGAAGTCTGACCGGGGATGTTCAAAGTATATGCCTTTCTGGCTGGTGGGGGTGGTTTTGTCAATAATATAGATTTGAGTTCTTCAGATAATTTAGCACTATTGATTTGTTTGGCTGCTATAGAATCCTTGATTTTAGGTCTAAGAGCCACAACCTCCTTCGCGTCATCCTTAGATGATGAAGGTGGTGGGGAAGGAGTTGGTGTGGTTGTAGTTAAAGATGGTACTGCAGTAGGTGGTGGAGCTTTTGTAGGAACAGAATTGGGAGAAACCGATCTTGAATTCAAATCCAACAAGTTGAGATGAGAAATATTCTTAGTCTTGGCTATTTGGGATTTAAATGGTTGTTCATCATCTTCTACAACTGTATTCTCATCATCTTGGGTTGATTCAGAATCAATATCAACGTTTTGATTGGTTGAATTACTTTGTTTTCCCTTTAAAGTCCCTTTAGCTGACTCAGAATCAGTAATATCATTTTCATCACAATCCTCATCATCCGAAGATTGAGTACGGGTTACAGGTGAAGTGACACTTGAAACAATAGGCGTGTCTGTCAAAGGACGCTTATTAAACTCGGGTAAACTTGAATTAGAATCGCACGTGGCTAGCACTTGAGAATCAAGGGATTGAGTAAATCCCATGGGATGAGATGAAAGTTTCCTAAGAGAATTCTTTCTAGATGTATTGATTGTAGAAGGTAAGTGTTGTGGATTATGGTGGAAGAAATATCCTTCATCATCTTCAAAATGTTCATCTTCACTAGAGGTTATACTGCTAGAAGTCAGGTCAACACCAGTGGCAAATGGACGGAAGTTGGAGAATGATACCTTCTTCATATGTGACGTAGGTTCAAACGAGATTGGAGTTTTAGTACCGGAAACTAATGATTCCGAAGATGAAGTTGTACCCGTTGTTGCCGATCCTTCTGCTGTTGGTGAAACAGAAGTAGAACCTTTGGAGCGGTTGTGATGTAGCGACCCATTGGAAATCGTGTAGGATTTGGCCCTCCCTTGGCTATGAAGTGGACGTGGTCTTTGTTCGTCGTTATGTTGTGAAGGTTGTTTATGATGTTTAATATCTTGCTGTGGGCCGGAGTCGTGCGGTAGATCCAGCTCCTGGGGCGCTGTGGACTGTGGTGATACGTTCAGGTGTGTAGGAGATAAGTCGGTCGTTGAAGAAGACATCAATCGCCAATTGTGTTAAGATCTACAGAATTGATTGTTAATTGGAAAACTCTTTAAACCATAAAAGATAACTATCAATCTTGTAATATACTTTTGCGACATGCACCACAATTTTTGTAGGTGTTAATATTAAACTGAGAGTAAAAATGAATCCGGATTAATTTTTCCTGCAGGTAAGTGGCACAATATGCTTTCCCCACTAACCGACCCCCTCAAGTTCCAAAACCACCACCTAAAAAATATACTCTGTTTCTTTTTTTTTTTCGATTTTTTCCTGAAATTGAACCAGGAGAAGGATATAATCTACATCCTCAGGTATTATATGACACAAGAGTGATTCATAGTATCAGAATATTTTTTTGAATAATCTTTCTATGGAATGGATGAAATTTTGTAAATAAATTTGAACATTAGAGAATACCCGGGAGAGTGCAAAATTTCAAAAAGAATGGCCATAGATTTTCCAGAATTTGCTAGTAGAACGGCATATCTTCATATTGAAGATTTATGTTGGTTCTATGAAGATTTCAATTTCTCAGCATTATATGCAATTGATGCAGTGCCAGAAACTGTATTTAAACTGTGGAATAGTCCTATGTCCAAAGAAGCTTTTATGGCTATGATCTATCAATTTGTAGAAAAATTCCGGCAATTTAGATATGTATTGACATATAGGAAAAGTGACTGGTTAAATGTTGTCCAACCAAAGTATAGAAATCAACTTTTAGCGGAAATTTGTGATCGATATATTTCTAGATTAACTACTGATGTTCAAATATCGTATATGGAATATATATATGGGGGGATTTGTAAAGACAATTCTAAATCAAATTATCTCAAGTTTTTCACAACTTCAGTAACTTATGATAAATTTCATGGGAATTTACTTGATGCAATGAGAAGGGTGGAATTAAATTGTGAAGTTTTGATACTGACTTTAATGGAAGGGCCAGAAATTGATATATTACCACAAGAAACGTTTATTAGTACACCTCTAACTGAAGATTTCCCTGATGGAAGATTTAAGGAAAATTCTCCAGTTCATGAAAGATTTAACGTATTAAAGGCTTCAAAACAAAATCTGTTAACTGAAATTAATGAATATTTATTAGAATTGGAATTTATTCATCAAGGTCTATATAACCCACAAGCTACTAAGAAAGTTGCTAAAACTCAAATCAGTAAAGGATTAATGACAATTTTTAAAATTGTACAAAACGCATATCCAATGCTTGAAAAAATTAATAGTATTGTTAAATTTAGTTGTAAACTTCATTTATCGAATTTGGAAGTATTAAAGATAAATAAGCTTGATGAATCTGATTACCATAAGTATAACGATTCACTACAAAGTATAAAGGAAGCAGCAAGTCTTATTGAAAAACAACTTAGTTCATTACTTGGATTAACTGTATATGCAGATGATCCACTTGAAAGACATCGTAAACATGTTGATTCATTTTATTTTTTAATTTGGAGACATCATGATATCTTTTCTACATTTAATACAATTGCCAAGGAAATTACTCAAGTTTATAAAACATACAACTTAATTTGTGGAGATGATTTACGTCAAACTGGATATTCTCTATTTGAGAATCATATGGGAAATTTAAGTACACAACTCAATTATATAATAGAATTTCTCTCAAGTCATGGGATATCTATACAAAATCCAAATATGACCAAAATCATCAAAAATGATATTCTATCATTGGAACTTTATTCTAGATTCCAAGACTTATTTAAGATTGCGACAACAATTAAGGGCAACCATCTTTATTTTGAAGACAAAGTTATAACGAGTCAACTAAGAAAGGAGATGGGATTGAAAGAAAATAAGTAGTTAGGGAATAAGTCTAATTATGTCTGTTTTTTTTTTTTTTTTTTTTTAAATAAAATATAAAAACTAACTTAAAAAAAAAAAAAATCATTGTATTCACAAAAAAAGATTCAATATGAGATGAAATGGAGAGAATAGACTAGCTTTGTTAAAATATTTAAAAGAAATAATTGATATGTCATTCTCATTCGGATTTAACAATGATGATATAAGTGATGACGAAGTTGAAGGGAGACATCAAGAGAATACCCCAGTAGAATCACCATTAGTTGCACTTTCTGCCTCTTTAGATAGTAAAGTTTTGCCAAAGTTGCATACTTTAGAGTCTATACTATCAGAATTACAAAATGTGAAACTTACGTTTGATAATTACATGACACCTATAGGAGGGAATGTAACATACAGAAGAGAACTTTTTGATATCAAGCACCAAGTGATGTGTGAAGATGAACAAAGTGATTTGGTTAATGATATTTTAATGGGTAATAGTAATGACGTAGATTTAAAGAAAGATGTATATGAAGGAGGGTTTAAAAGTTGGGAATGTTCCTACGATGCTGTAGACAAATTGGTTCAACTTTACCAACAACCTGAGTTTAATAAGGCCACAATCTTGGATCTTGGATGTGGTACTGCTCTTCCAAGTTGTCAAATTTTAATGCAAAGATTACAAAATAAAACATTAGCATTAAATAAATCAACTAGAATGACTTTAATTCTTTCTGATTTTAACTATGAAGTGTTGAGATTAGTTACTGTTCCTAATCTTCTTATTCATTGGGCATCTACTGTTGACCCTAAAAAGCTACATGAACTCACACAAAACGAAGAATCTGAAGGTCCAGTGATGGCTAATGATGAATTATTGTTAACTCCAAGATTACTTGAAGAATTTATGGAACATTTAAAGCAAGAAAATATTGAAATTCAATTTATTTCTGGTTCTTGGGGTCAAGAATTCCTTGAAATTCTTTCCAATTTGGGAAATTCAATTGATTTGGTTATTAGTTCTGAAACAATCTATTCATTAGATACATTACCAATTGTTGCAGAAACAATTTTAAAATTATTGGAAACTAACAACTCTTGTTTGGGACTTATTGCTGCGAAAAACTTTTATTTTGGAGTTGGAGGTTCAGTGGCTGAATTTGTCAATTATATTAATAAGAAGGATACTTCAGTTATTGTCAATGTAAATGAAGTTAATTCTCAATTAAAGAGATCTTTAGTGGAAGTTTACAAAGCTTAAAATATGATAGAAATAACGGAAAGGATATTAATAATACTAGTGTATATATATATATAATAAATGAAAAAGTATTAAGAAAGATTGATGATTTTTAATTTCAAGTCTATCTATATCATAACATGGATAGTATACTCCAAGATATACATTAGTTCTCTACTCCTGTATATGTTAAATCGCCTGATCAAACTTGGTTGTAACACGCACGACCTTGTTGTTTCACTATCCGATTTCCCAATAGAATACTTGATAATCGCATAACATAATTGATTATATTTCCTTGAATCTTATTGATTAACATCAAAAGGTATGTGTAATTACATGACAGAACAAATTGGAAATATGTGTGAATACGGGTGCGGGCTCCATTAGAGTATATAACTTCTTAGATATATCTATCTAGGTTAATTTCACATGTACTATGGGTAACTATGAATTATTGAGCATATTTATTTATGCGCAAAATAAAGTATGGAAAAGATAATGATTATTGTTATAAAGAACGGATATCCATTCCATTTTATGACAAAGTACAATTGTGAGCTGTCTAATGGACACAATCCTTTAAGAGAATCATCATAATTATGATGGAATAATTTTTTGTCCGTTGGTTGTTGTTATTTTTTTTCCTTTGAACGTTTCCGATCAGTTAAGAAGAATCGAATATTTTCCTTATTCCAGTTTACGCTACAATAATACTGAATTATTATTCATTTATGTTGTTTATTCAATAGGATATTCTTATGAATAATCACATATAAATGAATAAACTGGGGGGAGGGAATGAAAACAAAAAAAAAAAAAATCGAATTTTATTCTACGACCAATTGTGAATCTCGAATTTATGAAAATTATTAATCAATTCATAAAATGTTTTCATGTCTAGGTATTGAATCCCGCCTCTAAAAAATAACGATACCGTGTAACTCAGGTCAGTAGTATGGGGTTACTTTTTGGTATCGTAAGATTCTTTCCCGCAGTTTACAGAACCAATCAAATCCCGCGAAATATTAGTGACACAAAACCCGAATTTTTCACATATACACATCACAATTTGTACTAACATTAGTTTTTTAGTGTACTAACATAGACTCAGTCACAACACATAATGCTTCGTACTACTATTCCAAGATTAGCCGTCCGTCAACAATCCACTGTTGCTAAGGCTGCTCCAAGAGCTTTATCTAACTCCTACGTCGGTAGCTTAGACAAGAGATGGGAATCTTTACCAAAGGATGACCAAACTACTTTAATAGAAGAATTAAAGACCAGAATGGAAGGTCCATGGCAAGAATTGACCGCTGCCGAAAAGAAGGCTGCATACTACATCTCTTTCGGTGAATGGGGTCCAAGAAGACCTTTGTACCAACCTGGTGAAAAGAGCAAGGTTTTCTGGGGTGTTGTAGCTGGTTTGGGTGCTGGTGTTGGTTTGTTTGCCTTCATCAGATCTTTCGCTGCTGAAGGTCCAACCACCATGACTAGAGAATGGCAAGATGCTTCTGATGAATACTTGAAGTCCAAGAAGGCCGAACCTTTCTCTGGTTACTCTCAAGTCCAATAAGCGTGGAGTGGGCCCGCTTCTTTTTAAACTTAACCATATTCATGAAATTAAATAATTGTGCTTTTTCATACTTAACATGAGCATGATAAAGTCACTTTCATTCTCCCGCATATCTTATTCCTTTTATACTTTTTTATACTAGATCATATAATAAGTTGTACTACGATTTAGTTGATGTAAGTTGTGCTTGTGTGTACTTTTTTTTTTGGTTGTGGTTATAACAATTATAAATATATGAATTACCTTTATTCACAAGTCATATGAAAAATAACAACTATATAATAATATATAACGGTATTAATCTTCGTCAATACCCGGACCAAATTCTCCTTCGTAGATAGTTGCACCTGCCTTTCGTCTGTTTTCTATAATCATGCATTCATCCATCAGTAAGATCATTTTGGCATTTGGTCTATCGAATGGGTTTGGCTTTAACATCTTAGATACTAAGCGATCTAAGTTATTCACACTACTCCCCACCAAGAATTCGGGTGCCCACAGCGGAATTAATTCCTTGACTTCCCTTCTATTTTGTTGCCAAACTTGTGAAGTTTGTGGGTTAGGAGTGAAATGATGACTCAAGGATGATGTAGACGAAATTCCATAAGAATTGTATGAAGAAAGTGAACTGAAATTTTGGTGTTGCAAAAAATCACTGATATTATCGCTGGATAATTTTCCAGCATCTGATAAATCTCCACTTCTCAATTTTCTCCATGGAGTTCCATTATCTGGTAAAATAATATTAGCTGCAATCTCTAGGATAATAAGTCCAACACTGAAAATATCTGCAAACGGGGTATAAATCTTATCGTTAATCAACTCAGGTGCAATATAATTTCTATCACCTTCTAAATCAAAATCTTTTTCTAAAATTGGTAATTTAGTAGCTAATCCAAAATCTCCAATCTTTAAAGATCCTTCAAATGTAACAAAAATATTTGCGGGTTTTAAATCTAAATGCAAATAATTTTGCAGGTGAATGAATTTTAATCCGTTTAATATCTCAATTAGAATCTTCCATATTCTAAATTCATCAAGTTTATAATTTTTATGCTCTTCTAAGAATTCGAAAAGAGTTCCACCTTCACAATATTCAGTCATAATATAGAAATAATTATTAAAGTCCCATGCTTCAATAAAATACACCAAGTATTCTTTCCCCTCGTCCTGCTCGAGTAAATTCAACTTGTCACTGTCCTTCACGGAAGTAAGTGCTCGAAGTGCATCAATTTCTCTCATGATTGCCTTTTTCTCTTGTTTCCCAATAATAGGCTTCTTTGATCTTTTAATGGCCAATTTTTCATTGTTAAACAAACATTCAAATGCAATTGAAAACTCTCCAGTACCTAGGTATTTTATATTCTTCAATCCAAATTTATTGATCAAATGGTCATCAATTTTCATTGATTTAGCAAGTGATTCTGTACATAATGTAGCTTGCGATGAATTGATTGAATTTAAAGTAGACGCATAATGATGTGAGGTTGTTGCAGATGAATTTCCACGACTAAACAAATCCCTCAGTGAGCCTTCATCAATGGTATCATTGTGACGATTCTTTATTAATTGAGAACTTTGGGTCAACAGAAGAATGTTATTAATAGGTGTAGATGGTTCATCCTTTTTCATCTTTGTTTTAGATATCGTTAATGGATTAAGTTTGGGAACAAACCCTTTATCTTTTTTAGATGCCCTCAGCTTACTAAAGGAGACTGGACTAAAATTAGCAGGTATTGAATGTGATTTTTTAACTGTTGATTTAGTAGGTGTTTCGGGTATAACATCATCATTATCATCATCATTGAATTTAGAATCTTCAAAATCCATTTCAGATCCTGAAAGTTCAATATCCAAGTCTGTATTATGAGTTAAGATATTTTGTCCAACATGATTTGAATTTACTGTAGATGTAGAATTCTGTGGTAATCTGAAAAATGTCGAGCTAGTATCCGATATTGAATTATCAATATTAATAATTGAATTGTTTCTACCAACTTCAATTGAATGTTCCAGATCATCTACAACATTATTTTCCTCGTGTGCAGAAGAAATCATATGACTCAAACTCGAACCTCGAGGATGTATATGTGTTTGCATTATAGCTTGCACTTGCTGGTCTCCATTATTTCCTAATAACATAACCGGATGTCTTTTGATAGGAGTTTCCGGTGGAAGTTTAAAGCTCCCAGCGTCTTTATTATTTTGAGCGCTTTTCTTCAAGAGACCAGTAGATTTGAACGCTGTTTGTAATGGTTTCACGAATCTATATGAAGATGCCTTGTTGGATGATTGGTAGTCGTTTTCCTTATCATCATGAATTGGGATGTTTAATGTTGTATTGGAATTAGATTCAGCAAGTTGGTTTTTCAATTTCTTCCTTGTCTTTATTGCGTCCGTCTCACTATCTTGATAAATCACAATGTTATTGTTCGTGGAAGAGCTAGATAATGAATTGGATAATTTCCTACCCTTGGAAGGACTATCGTCGTTTAAATCTAATTCCATTCCATCAAGGTTATCCAAATTATAATATTCAAATCCATATGAGTTCGATACTGGAGAAGATGATGAGTTTGGTTGTTCATGCTGGGTATCTGGTAAGGGCCTAGTAGTGAATGGACTTTTCATAACACTATTGTTTAATGATGATTTTCTTATTTTATTACCACTTAGTACTCTTTTTGGACGATTGTCGGAATTAGTATTATTGGTATTATGAAGGAAATTAGGCATATGCGGTTGTGATGTTTGTTGTAGTTGTGGTTCTAGTTGTTGTTGTTGATTCTGTGGTTGTGAGTGTTGTTGTTGATGACTAGATCTAAGGGGTCTACTTGGTGAAATAATTGCATCTTTATCGGCATTCTTCAATAATTTGAACCCTTTATTCCCAAGATGAGACGGAGAATATAATTTTGGTCCATCATCATAATTGAGATTTAATGGATCAATAGATGTAGAATGTTTATGCTTGCTCATTGATTGTTGGAATAGTTGAGTTTTATTCACTATTTTACCCTGAGATGATGGTGATGGTGATTGACTTATGAGTATATGGGGTCTTTTGGACTTGTTATTGTTGAATGGGGTCGTTTTCGTTATAGGACTTGAGTTTTCAATTGGAGTTGGTTCTCTAGAAAAATTTCGAATTATTGATGAATCAATTTCATTTAAATCACTAATATAATCAATATCTTCGAGTCCTCCAGGTTCTCCACCCATGTTCTTCCCTTGCAGACTAGCCATCAATTTCAATTGATTGTTGCTTGATGAATCAATTGAAAGATTCAAAAATTTGGAAGATCTCTTTATAGATGATTGTTGTGATGCACTATTACTTCTTGGATCAAGCAGTGTAATATCATTATAATTATCATCGATAGTTTCATCAGATATTGTACTATTATTCTCAAATAATCGTCTTGGTTTCACTTCTTTAACGCCAGGTGAGTGATACTTTTTCTGCAATATAGAATCATCGTCCTCAGTATTCATCTCATGTTCAAGATCTTCAGTTCCACTACCATAGAAATCTTCTTTTACATTAAAAGGAGGTGATTTAGATATTCTCTTTTTGATACTTCTTCTATTATGGTGGTGATGATGTTGAGGTTGTTGGCTGGTGATATCAGATGAATCATCCAATATCAATGAATTAAATGACGTAGAAAAATGATTGTTGGTGAAATAATCCAATGGTGTTGATTTCGTTGCTGAATATTGAAAGGATGACCGTTTAGGCAGATATGAAGTTTGAGTATTATTATTATTGTTGTTGTTGTTGGTGGTGGGATCCATACTGGTCGCAGAAGCGGGCTTGGGAGTAGCAAATATACCTAGAGTTTTCCCACTGGCATACAGGTTGTGTCCTTGCTTGCTATCTTGACTAGAATTGGATTGGGAACCACCTTGTAACGTATGTCTGAACGACATCTCGTTGAAGGTGAATGTGCTGTTTTATTGGGAAAAGCAATCACAAGCAAAGTTTGTTTGGATTCAGACTAAAGTGTACTGTAGTATTGGAAGTCCTAGGTATCTACAATCGTTGGTGGAAAGTGAAAAGCAAGTTCGTTGTAAATGAATTGTTTGTTGATGAGTTTCTGAATTGATATGATTTTTTTTAAAAATGATAATCTTCACTCATGTATTGTAGAAACACCCTTTGTTTGTTTGATAGTATACAACTGCAAATGCAAATACCCGTATTGGTACAATAATTGCACTGCCAAATAGAATCCCCTAAAAAAAAACACGGGATGATTAACCCAACCCTTCCAATATAAACATCAAAATCAAAACAAACACTAAAACCTATCTGTCGCGTTACGTGTTGTCCTGCAGAAGGAAGTACTGCAGGTAATATTTTGTTTTTGTCTTTTTTTTTCCGATTGTTTTTTTTTTCCTCTTTTTTTACGTCATGGATTTCCTTTTGTGTTACTGAAGAAGCATTCATTAACAATTAAAATACAATGCTCATAAAACACAAACTGTCACGTGGGGGCCCAGTATTTTTCATCTGGATGACAAAGCACTTAATTTGATTGGCTGTAGATTTCTTAGATTTGATCAAAGTGTATCAAATGCCATATGTTTTTTGTTTCATCATTTTATTCTGAATAGAGATTATTAATAGTTATTATTTTGGTTTTCGTATTGACAATTCTTTCTATCGCTAATTACTTTCTCCCTAACTATAAAACTTTGATAAGTTTTATCAATCTTGATATAAATATATTCAATTACAAATATACATATATATATATATATATATATGTATATGAAAGGAAGCACCTGACCTGATCACGTTATCGTTTCCCATCAACCCATACTAAGTGCGATACAACTTGAAACATTTCAATTTATAATAAAAAGAGGCTAAGATAATTGTTCACCTCTGTCTTTTATTTAATAGTTGGATACTACCGAAGCCTCCAGGAGTAGAATATGTCAAAGTCTCCGAATACAACTAGCGAGGACACGCCGTCGTGTCTACCTGCCACTGAGTCAACTACTGGTCAACAATGTTCTAATTGTGGCACAGTTAAAACTCCTCTTTGGCGTAGATCTCCAAGTGGGACACTTATATGCAATGCATGTAGTCTCTACCTTCGTTCCAATAGTACATTTAGACCAGCCAACTTGAAACGACCTCCAAATACAGTTTCAATCAAGGAAGATGAAGGTTCTTGTGCTGGTGATGGTAAATGTAATGGAACAGGTGGAAGTGCCGCCTGTAAAGGATGTCCAGCATTCAACAATAGAGTTGTGATTAAGAAATCAAAAATCACACCATCCGAACAATCAGCTGAAGATGATTCTAAGCAATCAGATCCATTGGCGATTGCATGTTACAATTGTAAGACTACTATAACACCACTTTGGAGAAGGGATGATGCAGGTAATACAATCTGTAATGCCTGTGGATTATACTATAGATTACATGGTTCCCACCGGCCTATTCGTATGAAGCGTAGTACTATTAAAAGAAGAAAAAGAACTATTCCACTGACTAAAAAGGATGACAGTGTTGATTACTCGTCAAACGATGAGCTGAGACCATTACATGCAAGTGTTCCCCTGACTCCATCTGTTGCAGCTTCATCACCAACACCTCCACCTCCTCCACCACATACATTCTCACATTACCCACCTTACAATGGTGGGAGAATACCGAATGGGCCAGGTCCTGTTCCAGGGCCTCCTCCTCCAGGCATAACTTACTCTCCAGTACCTCTTGGACGATCACCAAACTTTGCATTTCCAACCCAATCATACCATAATCCACCTCGTGTTCCACTTAACACTCAACATCAACAACTAGCATATTACCCACAGCCACCGCCACCACCATATCCGGTTGTTCCTAAACCTAACCCTCCAGCGATAAAATTACCTCTGTTGAATCTTCCAACAGTCGTTAAGAAGGAACATTCCCCTAGTCTTCCACCTCCTATGGCCGTCGATTTCACCGCCATGTATCGCCTGCCTCTTACTAATAATAATAATAACTCTTCAAAGCAGGATATAAAACCGAATCCAAGTATTCAAAAATTAGATAATGAAACATCTCATAAGAAGATGTCCGTGGATAGACTACTTAATAACAAACAGAATTAGAGCCTTTTATTCTACGTTTTATATAGATGTATACATGCTTTATTTAAGACGAATACAAAAGTGAATCCAACTATTCATAGATTTATTTATATTTTAAGGTATCATAAGGACGTAAATGGTAATCTACTCTTTAATGGAAGGTTTATAGTTCTATCATTTCACCTGCGATTACTAGAAACGTGAATGTCACAGTACTATAAATCTGTTGAAATCCAATTCTAATTTAATTTACAAATTGGTTAATATAAAAAAAACAATATGTACGGTCAATGATCTGAAAGTGCATGAAGTGAAATATGTAACGTTGTTAAATAAATATAATAGATATAGATATGTATAGGGGCCTAAATGAATAGGGAACGATAAATTTACGGAGGTCGACGATGGTTAAAATCGTACGAGTACGAATCGTTCATACCCACGTCATGAGTTTGTTTACCCCTTTTCGCGATCTTGATTTTGCAGCCATACATTATTATCTATTCTATCTATAGAATTTGTAAAATTAAAGTAAATCATTTGATTGAGGATCTTCCTATCCAGCTTGCATGTGTATTTCATTTGTAAGTATATTTTTTGGGTTTCGTGTTATATTGTCTAAAAACTTATTTTATGAAAGGTTCATTACAATATATGAACAAATGGTTACACAAATATCCCATTTTATTTGTTTTAACAATCCTCTTTAGATAACTTTAAGCTATAGATAGCTTGAAGATATATACAGGTCTTGTACATTATATTATTAATTGGGGTTTGAAGTCCAGTATAAAAATTATATATATATAACCTTTTTTTTAACAACTACAAAAAATTATTAAAAACATATTAATTGACACTTCATTTTAAAATTTTTCAAAATTTGATTAATGGATTATATTCTATACAAGTACAAGTTGTATCAAGCCAACGATTAAGACACCATATACTTTAGAAGTGTCCATTTTAATCTAATAAAATAAATGAAGATTATTATCTTTGTTTCTTTGATATATCGTCTATGCAAGTATTTTCCACGCACGTGATCTTAGGTGATATAGATCTGATATGATTCCTTATCAAGTTTGGAAAATAAGAACACCAAATTAAAAGTATCGACTACAGGGAATAAATTGACTTCAAGAATATCAGATGTCAGAGTTGGAATTTGAGGAAACATCTATTGATGGGTCACTTTCAAGAAAAGTAAAGGATATTACTGCTGGCTTTATCGGGGGAGCCACACAAGTATTAATAGGCCAACCAGCAGATCTTGTGAAGATCAGACTTCAAACTTCAACCACCCCAACTACTTCAACTCAAGTTATTCGCCTGGTCTTATCAAATGAAGGTGCTCTTGCCTTCTACAAAGGTACTCTTGCTCCACTTGTTGGAGTTGGAGTTTGTGTTTCATTACAATTCTATGGATTTCATGAATGTAAAAGACAATTATTACAATATAGTAAGCAGAAAGAACTTAATTTATGGCCACAAACTTACATAGCTGGAGCATTTGCTGGGTTGGTCAATACCCCAGTGACAGCGCCAGTTGAACAATTAAGAATTCTTTCACAATCCAATATTAAGAAACTGGGGAGTCCATTATTGGAAACAATTAAAAAGATATATAAAACCAATGGGTTCACCAATGGGATCTATAGAGGATTTGGAATCACTCTTATAAGGGAAGTACAGGCATATGGGGTTTGGTTTTTGACTTACGAATACTTAATTGAATGGATTCAACGTCAACGAGGATACAAGAGTAGAAACGAGATCCATACCCCAGAACTTCTTGCAGCTGGTGCTTTAGCAGGGAATGCTTTATGGCTTCTGAGTTATCCTCTAGATGTTGTCAAGTCAAACATTCAAAGTGATAAATTTGGAAGTGATTCTAAATATCATGGGAAAGTTAATCTTGCAATTGCCGATATTTGGAAACGTCAAGGTTGGAGAGGATTTTGGAAAGGGTTGACCCCTTGCTTACTTCGAGCAGTTCCCTGTTCTGCGGGAACTTTTGCTAGTGTCGAATTAGCACTTAGATTAATGGGATAGAAGTGTGAAGGAGAGACAAAAATTAGTGGTAGTATTTAAAAAAAGTACCCTTGAAGGTTTTACCACTAGTTTTGAAAGAAATATTAATGAACTCTTTTTTATATATTACATATTCAGTTTTATTATTTTTTCAAAAAGTATTAATATGTACAATATCAATATGTCACTCTCTTTTGCAACCAATTGAAGTTAGTAGTGTGTACATTCAATTATTCTTTTTTTTTTTCTTCTTCCTCATTTTTTTTTTATTGGTTTTAAAATTAAAATTATTGCTGGTTTTGTGACATATCCTACATATACTCCAGCCAATGACAGATACTCATTTCAATCTTACTGCTTGAAGAAATACATTCAAACTGTAGATATACATACGCATAGGTAAAACCGATCAATTATCAATAGCACAACAAACCATATAATATGTTCGGAAAGGTTCTTCAAAGCAGCTTAAAGCAACAGACCCGCCACTTTGCTTCGACCAGCGCTGTGTTCAAGCCAGCTGCTGCTGTTGGTGGATACTTCACCACTGGTGGATCTAGTCACTCCGTATGGCCAAAGGGATTCCGTCAACCAAAGCCAAAGACTTGGGAAGAATCTGGTGAAAGTGCCCTTTCCAAGGCAACCAAGTTTTTTTTCTTGAATGAAGTTGCCAGAGGTATGTACATTTGTATGGAAATGTACTTCAGAAACCCATACACCATTTACTATCCATTTGAAAAGGGTCCAATTTCTCCTAGATTTAGAGGTGAACACGCATTGAGAAGATACCCAAGTGGTGAAGAAAGATGTATTGCCTGTAAGCTTTGTGAAGCTATTTGTCCAGCACAAGCCATCACCATTGAAGCTGAAGAAAGAATCGATGGATCTAGAAGAACCTACAAGTATGACATTGATATGACCAAGTGTATCTACTGTGGATACTGTCAAGAATCCTGTCCTGTTGACGCCATTGTGGAAAGTCCTAACGTTGAATACACCACTGAAACTAGAGAAGAATTGTTGTACAACAAGGAAAAATTGTTGGACAATGGTGACAAGTGGGAACAAGAATTGCAATACTGTTTGGATGCTGATGCTCCTTACCGTTAAGTAGACCAGAGCCTAAAGATGAAGGTGGACGTCGATTCTACATACATCCAGTTCGTATAGTGGTAGAGATTGAGGGGAATGATGATAACAAATGCACAAAAACAAAATAATAAAAAAAAAAAATATTTATATAACAACAAGTTTGTGAATTTTGTCATTTCTTCCACTATGATTGAAACCACGACTATCCTTCTATCTGAAGCTGATTCTTTTAACACCATACATCACTTACAACCCTTCTTTCATTTAATCGCGCCTTTAGAGCGCACTACCAATGTCTCACCAACCGTACAATATTAGACACATTTCTCCAACAACCAACCAAGGGAGTCTTCCTTCATCGGGAAGCTCAACTGCATTTTATAAAGATTTAAAATATACAAAATAAGGTATAAAAAAAAAAAAAATGGATGTAGTAGATTATGTAGAAATGTAGAACTATGGATGTAGTAATTAGATGATGACGACGCGAGCCATCCTCACACATGTCCATTTCGGCCTCATTCTTTTTTCAAACACCAAATACTGCGCGATCAATTAGAAAAAGAAAAATCCACATAGAACGAGCCTCCGTAAATTTAGTGCAAAGATAATCTTTTGTACACAGAGAATACCTGACAAGATCAAATACACTTTGGTTCTACACCTCGCTAATATACTGAGGTTTTTTCACAAGCAAACAGAAATAGCCAAAGGTAGCACCGCCGTTTGAACAATTTCAAAGTGATCAATATTGGTGAACTTTTGTGGCATCTTTGATCTAATAATAGTAATATAGGATCCCTCAAAAAATAGGCCAAGTTTCAAAATTGGAGACCAACATCTGATAGGAAATTGCTTAGCAAATTTACCTTGAACATCATAGAGGGCGCATCTTTTTTTATCGGGGGGATTTAGACTCGTACACAGAGAGATAGTATCGTCCAACTGACCGTTAGTAAGAATTGTTCGTTTCGTACATTTCTAATATCTTTTTTTTTTTTCCAATTTCTACCACTACTACAGACACAGAATATTTTCCCTTGTTGAAGGTGAATTGTAAACAGGAGGAAACCATGAATATTACCACCACAGGAGGGTTTCAACCCCCGAACACAAGCTCTATGATACCACAGCCACACTCGGGAACTTCGACACCTCCACTTCGTGGATCTTCACAAGCTACACCAATGGTTGTTGCACAAGAAGCGGATCATGAATCAACAAATTCACTTGAAGGACTGGGGTCACTAAATTACTCACCTAAACATTCACGAAAATATGCCTCATTATCCACCAATAGGAATATTAATATGAAGAACTTGTCATTAAATCTAGTTGGATCTGGTAGTAATGGGACAGCAAATGGAAATGGGAATGGAAATGTAATTAATAATAATGTAACAGAGTCCCCCGCCATTGATGTGCCACATTTCATTAAACCCTTGACAAGACGGAAGACCCTTACACTTGCGATACCGTCTGAGCAACAACGAAACAATATAGAGCCACCATTAATCACACCAAACGTGACGAAAACACCCAAGATACCACCACTTATATCGAGACAAAAGGCCCATACGGTGTCGAATGGATCACCAAATATAACCAACAATACCAATAACCCATTTTTATCACACACTCAAATACATCCTCAACCAAAGTCAAACATGGGAGATAGAAATCCATTCCGTGAATTGAATCATAAGAGTAATAATTTACAAAGTCCATTTTTGATGAATACTGGTAAAATGCCAGACATTGAGGGCCAAATTATTAATGATTTTTCAGGCTTGCAAGTCAAGCTGGACACTGCTACGACAAATAATAACGATACCACTAATGCAACTATTAATAACAACCTTAATGACACCAACTACATAAATAACAATCATACTTCCACACAAAGAAGCCATTACATCAATATACCAGAGGAATTACAAGAACTGTCTCAATTAGAGGCATATCCAAATGGCCCCGCCAATGTTTTGAATGGCTCACTATTTTTATATTCAGATCCAGATCCATTACAAACACATCATCTGCCACAGATTGATGTGAATGATTATGATTTGGTGATTAATGTTGCACGAGAATGTCGGGATTTAACAGAAGAATATGTTAGCACAGAGAAGAATGGGAAAGAATACATTCATATAACTTGGTCACATACGTCGTCAATTCTGAAAGAATTACCTATTTTGGTAGAAAAGATTGCCAAATATGATGATAGTGATTCTACAAAGGCAAACAAGAGGAAAATCTTAATCCATTGTCAATGTGGGGTATCCAGATCCGCGTGTGTAGTGGTTGGATACTACATGTACAAGTTTGGCGTCGGAGTGAATGAAGCCTACGAAGTATTAAAGACCGGGACTGTGACATCAAACGAATCATTCAATTCTTCTTTAAGAGAAAGAGGCTATTATATAGAGGCATGCGATAGGATATGTCCCAACATGAGCCTTATTTTCGAATTGATGGAATTTGGAGACTTACTTAAAAAGTCTTCTCCATCCTCGCTTATTTAAAAGAAAGGGAGAAAGATTCGAACACACCAGCTATGTCAACTTTATGTATTGTACATGTATATTTGTATAGAGAATGCTTATGTATGTGTGCGCCCGAGTCATGTAGTGGGTTTTCAGTTCTTTTGTATATGACACAAAATAAACATATGAAGGTTTGAAATAAAATGTTTTAAAAAAAAAAAAATTAAAATTAAGTTTCTTTAAGAGATTATATAACAAAAACCATCAACCTACGGAAAAGATCAAGTGGGATACATCTCGAAACTAGAAGCCATTAACGTGATTAACAATTGAGGATCACTGTCTTATACGGAGAATATACGATTTCCCGCGAGTGAATACGACTACCACAATTTTCTTTGCTTCACAGAGAAAAAGAAACAGTTCGTAAGAGAATAATGTCCCATAACAACGGCTACTATGGAGGGAACTCTGGCCGCTATGGTGGGTACGGTTCTGGAAATAAGAGATCAGGTGGCTATTCTTCTGGTGGCTCGTCTTACCGCTCGGATGGTAGCGCCAATAATGGGAACAATGGAGAAGGTTCCTCACAGTCCAACCCTAACGGCTCCAATTCATCACTGAATTCATCAGGAAGACGTTCATATGGAGGAGGTAGAGATCGTGATTACTACAGCGGTTACCGTAACAATGGCAGTGGAAATGGAGGCGGTGGAAATAATTCTAATAGTGGAGGATCAGGAGGTGGATATGGTAGATATGACCAATATTCGCAAGGTGGTGGATTCAAGCCTTATAAGTCACACGGTAAAAGCTCATACATACCCGGAGGGTCTGGGAACTCCAATAATGGTGGGGGCAGTAGTAGTGGCGGTGGGAATGGAAGTCGTAGGCGGAATTATGATAGATACGACTCATATCCTGGCACATCGAATTCAAATAATAATACCAACAATTTCAATAATAGTGGTAACTCTGCTAATAATAATAGTAATATTGGTGGGCCCTCAATCAGACAGAATATGCTGCGACACAGTAACTTCCACAAGACTTCCACAGGTAGTCAGAGTGAATATAGGCGAAATCTGCCTGTAGAAGGAGGTAACGATTTTAGAAGAAGATCATATAATGGAGAACCACTGAGAGCACATGCTAATGGTTCTAATTCCAACTCTAATTCCAGTTCAAACTCTAAAAAACTGTCACCAGCACCAGTGATTTCTGACCCTAAACTTTTACATCTCTTTGACGACGAATATGTACCCCCAGAATCGAAGAAAATTGAAACGAAAGAATCGGGAAAAGGAGAAGAGTCTAAGAAGGAGATGAAATCTGAAACTAATAAAACTAATAAAGCTGAAGCTAAGCCCAGAGAAGAAGAGACTACGGACTCCAGTGAACTTAAAAAAGAACAAGCCATAGCTGAAGAACCTAAGGTCAAGCCATTAGATAGTCATCAACAAAAATCGACCGAAGAACTGAAGTTTCAAAAAGAGGCAAAGGAGGATTCGCATGATGTTTCCGCAACCAGACCCAAAACTACAGATACAAAAACTAATAATAAGCCATTACCCTTAGAGAATAATGCATCTGCAAAACTGACCACTTCCGAGGAAGTGCAGAGGGTTGAAGAGCAAAAAGTTGAAGTGCAAAAAGTTGAAGAGCCAAAGGTTGAAGAGCCAAAGGTTGAAGAGTCAAAGGCTGAAGAGTCAAAGGTTGAAGAGTCAAAGATTGAAGAGTCAAAGGTTGAAGATGAACCTAATGTGTCCAAAAGTGACAGCCGAAAGCTTGATAAACAAATTGAAATTGATGATAATGCGTACTCTGTGGCAAATTCTTCTATGCTCTCACCAGTTGGAGATGGCGATCATTTAGATGATCCATTCTTCAATCAATTAGGAACGATAACAGAATCTAAAGAATCCACGAATAATATATCAAAGGATAAGATATTGAGCGATGATGATATGGAGAATGTTTCTGAAGCGGAAACAATTATCACCAATTCCCCACCTCGAGTAAATAAAGCCAGAAGATTGGTAAGAAAACTGGAATTTGATCGAGAAAGAGAAGATTTACTTCACCGTAAGAAGACTCGTCGCTATGCTTCTGAATCAGAACATGATGATGACGACGAAGATGATCATAAATCAGTGAATACTGATGATGCAGACGATCTGCAAGCAGAGGGAGATTTTAAATCGAAGGGCCGCGAATATGGCTCCTCTTCTAAGGATATTGTTCGCCCATACAAAATGAAACGTGACTCTACTGGTAGATCGCTTCTTCAAAGAGCATGTGGCAAGGGAAGTTTATCTGAAGTCAAGAATTATATTGAAAGAGGCGCAGACCCCAATGAAAGTGATTATTGTGGATTTACTTGTTTACACGAAGCTGCGTTAGAGGGCCATTCTAAATTAGTTGAATACTTGATCAGCAAAGGAGCTGATGTTAACAAGCAAGCGCAACAAGCGGGTGATCTTGAAACTCCTTTGATTGATGCGGCTGAAAATAAACACTTGGAAACTGTTAAAGTATTGATTGCGAATGGCGCTGACCCACGCGTATATAATTTAGACGGGTTCACTGCATTGACAAAGATATATAACGAACACGATGGAGAAGATGGATACCAAGAGATTATTAAGGTATTAGAGGAAGCAAATTCCAAATTTGCCGACAAGGAAGAGAAGCTGCAAAATCCATCTTCTGTGCTGGCTATATCAACACATAGTATTGTAGAAGATCCTAATGATGTTTACTTTAGTGAACTTCTTAAGAAAAAGAATCTTGCAAATTCCATTTACAAATATGCCGCCGAGGGCCTTAAAGAGTTTACAGCAAATTACTTTGTTGAAGGAGGAAGTCTTGATCATAAACCTGATATTTTGATTTTAGCTGCTAGAAACGGTCATATCGAGTTGGTTGATATCATTCTTGGACTCAACCCAGGTCCATACGACATAAACCAAGAGAACAGTTGCGGAATAACCGCGTTGGTTGCAACAGTTGGTAGGGGTCACTCTAATGTTGTCGAATCATTACTCTCTAAGGGAGCTGATCCTTCAAAGGTACGTAAGCAGGATGGGTTGAATTGTTTGGAAATTGCTCAAAGGGCTATACATTATGATGCTAAGGAAGTTAAGTTACTTCAAGATTATATGAAGAAGACGTCAAACGATTCAACACAACTTCCTGACACCAAAATGCGCAAAGATAGCACTCCTAAGGTTAAAAATGATAACCCTAGCGATTCAATAAAGAAAAGAAAAATTGATGATGATAATTCGGAAAGAAAATTGAAAAAGGTGAAATCAAGAGATTTCGAGAAGGAAAGTAGTGCTGTATTCACAAAGGAGAAGACACCTGAACCATCAGATGATTTGAAACGCTTACAATCCAGAGAACTCACACTTTCACCTAAAACGGAAGAACCATCAAAAAGTAAGGTGGAATCTCTTACGAAATCACCATCTCCAGCACCAGTATTAATTCCTTTGACGAAAGAACAAGAGGAACAAAAGGCTAGAAGTGTAGAGGAAACTAGACAATGGCAAGAAAAAGTTGAAGCGAAGAAACGTGCAAGACGAGACATGTTTTTACGTGCCGAAAAAGAAAAGGAAAGAAAACGTAAAGAAGATGAAGAACGTAGAGCTTTGGAAGAAAAAGAATCGCTTCGTTTGAGAAAAGAAGAAGAAGAAAAGAGAGCTATTGAAGAGGTTGCTAAAGCCAAAGAACTCAATCAAAAACGTCAAGTCTTGGAAAGGGAAATGATTAGAAATAGTTATCCCATCGGATTACAAACAGCTAAATTCGGACTGGAACTTACAACTCAAGAGCTTGGACAATATTGTCCACTTTATACATTTGCAATCGATGGACATGATTATGTTGTAGATTTACAAATCGCTCTTTTAACTGGTTCTAGTGTTTCCTCATATACCGACAAGTTAGCATCAGAATATGTTAAACCATTAGGAGAATTCCATAAATCAAAACTTTGGAATTTATTCTATCCAATGATTGGTATTGATAGGGAACATCCATTTTCCTTTTGTTCTAAAAGTGCACAAGAGGGACATGAAAAATTCAAAAATCTTCTATTGCAATATATTCGCCTTGATCAATTAGAACCAAGAATTCGTCAAGAATTCCCACAAACATTTGAAGTAATTTGGAATGAACAATATAAAACACCGGTTGATATTGAAACTCTTCTGGTATTTTCTGATATTCCAATTGCAACTACACCAAGTATTCAAAATTCAAATTCTGAGGTTCCTGAGATAATTTTTAATCCTAGTACACTCTTGGAATCTAAGTTTGTCCCACCAAGGCTCAGAAGAAGAGCAGATGTGTTGAAGACACTTCAAAATACTTCAACTCCACTTTGGTAAGTACCAATATGTATAATAATAGTGTAAATATAGTAAATGTATCATAGTGCGAATTTTCAAATTGAAAATCAAATTTTGAGAAACTGATGGTAACATCTACCTAGATGGATGTATTATATATTAATATTTTTATTTTGAAAAGAGGATAGAAGGACATAGATGAGTGCATATACAAAGTAAGTACGGAATGGTTTCACTGAGAGTATTACAAGGGCTAGCTATAGAATAAATGTACTAACAAACATAGAACATCTCGAGCGGCTCTTTATGAGTCTGATATCGATGCATCATCGGGATCCGATACAGAATCCTTAGGATACGGGAATATGGAATTTGAATTTGTGGAAGTTTATCAAGGGAGTCCAGAGAAAGAAGTTGAAGAAGCACAAACGATTAATAATGACGTACATGACGTATCAATGGGTGGCATTGAAGAACAAGTACTTGAAGATGAGGACGATGAGTTTGAGTTCCCATTGTTTGCATCTGGCCCCACCAAGAAGTCCACAACCGAACCAGTGGATGGGGAGGAAGAAAGAGGAAGAAGCACCACCAGAGTCATGAAGGTATCTTTAAGAGATGCATCTGAAGAAAAGATTGTCAATGAAAGAAACCCCGAGTATTATTTCGCAAGATTTTCAGAAGTGGAAAGAAACCAATTTATGAGTGTTGCTGTGACATTTGAAGATATATATAGTCAATACCAGATGCCCGCAATAGAGTCACAACCATGGAAAGTGTTAGATGTCGGGAAATATAACAAGAGAATAGAGGAGGAGAATGCTAGGGAGACTCTCCATAAACGTAAAATACGAAGAAGGGCAGGAAAGAAAAAGAGAGAAAATATTATACAATGCAAAGAACGGAAAGACGAACGAGCCAGGATAGAGAAAAAGATCGAGAAGGAAAAGCAGGCAAAGTTGAAAAAGAAAATGTTCCATAAGAGAGGTGGTAAGAAGAACAAAAAGAAGGCTACAACAGCCCCTTCAAAGCCCAAGTATAAAACCGAGTGAATAAGTTTGGGAGTCAAATCAAGAAAAAAAACGTAAGAAAAATATATGTAGGGAATTATCTAGGAACATATAGCAGACTTTGAATAAATGAAGGGGGACCAGTTAACTTCATTAGCGGGTTAATTGTAGTGTCTCTTATATTTAATGAATTTATTTTTTTGTATTTTTTATTTTTCGTGGAATATGAATGTAGACAAATGTGACCAGCGAAGTATATACTCTATTGAAATCAACCACAATTACTACAAGCAGGGAATGAGTACTATACCCAAGAACGAGCTTGAAGACTTTGAAGCCTTTTTAGAGCCATCATTTGATGCCCTACAGTTTGCCAATGGACTTCTTTTGGCAACAAATGATAATGAAAATGAACTTGATGTTATTACCCCAACCAAGAAGTTGAGGTTTGATATCGACGAATGTGAAAAGAGAATGAGTAAAATCGCCACCAATAACTATGAGCCACTTGTATCGAAGTTCACGGAAATCGGATCTACAAGAGACATTGCCAAGGACCAGATTGGACCACAACTTCAACATTTGAACTTGGCATTTCAAAGAGTAAAGGAAGGATTAATGACTCCATATGAAGATGCTGTCAAACTTAATAAATCACTCAAGAAAATCCATGCAACTTTGAACTTACTAAGAGGGGCTGGGTTTTTCATGTATCTTGCACAGCAAATTGAAGATGGGGGATCAATCGCTAATAAGAAAAGTGATCATACCAACTCAGACTCATCATCTACATCTAGAGACATAATAAGATTAGCAAAAGTCCATACACAATTGAGTAAGCTCTACGAGAGTTCTAACAGAGGTGCCGTCAATCTTTTATCTATTAAGTTAATAAGAGACTATCAAAGTATTTATATATCGAAAAGAGCTGATTTAAGCAGTCATTGTGTTCTGATAATCTCAAATGACTTTACTCACACCAGCACTTTCACCAATACTAACACTCAATTACACGATGCCATTGTTGCATTATATACATTGGATGCCAAGGAATGTCTTGCCACGATAGAACGTGCCACCATCAATAAACATACCCAAACAATCTGCAGTCAACTCTCAAAGGCATTACAATCGCCTAGAAATTTCAATTCAACATTGGAAGATGTTTTTGAATCATCGGAAAACTTTTTAACCAAAACTGCTCTTGTTTTGGAAGAAGCAAAAGTATCTGATAATAGATCGTTTTTAGTTGAATTTTTGAAATTTTTCGACGCCCAATCACTTGCAAAACTTTATTGGTCTAGATTGAGTTTCAAATTCAAGAAAAATGTCGCTGCCACAATGGCCAGAGGTGGGCCAATTGCAAAGAACTTAAAAATTTATCACGAGGGAATCAAAAAATCAGTGACTGAAACATTTGCTAAATCAGAAGGATCTCCTTACATAATGGAAGCAATTGATATCATAGGTGGTTTACAGTAATGAAATAATAATAGAATTTTTGATTTCTATATTGTAAAGTTACTTTTATTCTTTTTTTGCGTATAAAAACTACACCATTAGAGATTGAAAAACAGCAAAGACTCAGAAAGTCAATCATTGGGAGACTTTAGTCTTTAAAGCACTCAAGAATTCTCTGTATCCTTGTTCGTTTTGTGTCTTATCTTCAATCAAACAACTCAATGCCCACATTCTCAAAGCTTGCAAGTCACGCTGGTTAGTGATTTCAATTGGTTCATTAGAAGAACCACCAATAACAACATATAAATTCTTCCAAGTAATAGAATCTGGATTTTCTCTTATCTTACCAATAATTTGGCGAACTCTGTAGTTAAATTCAGACTCTTCGAAAGAATATTCTGGTAATTCAGTCTTACCAGTTGGGACTTCGTACAAGTTGTCAGTACCGAAAAGATCATATACTAAACCTGGAACAACATCACCAGACACCCACAAGAACAATTCAGTGGAGTTATCAATCAAGTATAACCCATAGTTTTCCCAACCAGATCTAGTATCGTTCATTGGTTCAGGTAACAAGATTTCAGTAGAAGTAGTAGTAACTTCTTCCCCAGTTTCTTCATCAACGTTAACTATTTGTTCTGGCAAACCACATCCATCATCCATGTTGTGCAATGAATAAACAGTAGGATAAATGTATTTAATTAAATGTGGAATTGGCAATGATCCCAAAGCGTTAAGAGCATTGGATCTAAGATCAGATGGAACACGATCATTTCTAAAACCCAAATGTTTAGTCAAAGAAAATAATAATAATGGCAACATTCTCAAGTTGGTGGATAATTGCAATGGAGATGATCCTGCAACATTACCGGCCACCAATTCTTTCTTGTAGACATTCAAAATATCAATCAAAGATTTGGATAAGTAATCCCTAGCATCAGCCAATGATGAAGAGATAGCCTTTTCAATAGCTTTGTGAGTGTAGTAGTTAGTGATAGCCAATTGATCAGCAGAAGCATATATATCATCCAACTTAGAAGATGTTGGAATGGCCAAGTTCATGACTCTAATTCTTCTTTCACCGAAACAAGTAGAATGTAAAACAGCTGCTTGGAAGTAAACAACAGGCTTAGCGATGTTTTCTTCTATAGACATTTCAATAACATAACTTTGATCTCTTGGGAAAGTTGGGAATGAACACAAATCAGAAGATCTGTTGAAGAAGTTACCATAGAAAGAACTCATTCTAAGACCAGTTGATCCTCTAACCCTTAATACAGCTTCCAAAGCGATATCCATAGACAAATGATCGGATACTTCCTTAGATAACTTTGTGACGTCTTCCATCTTACCAGAGGTCCATGCAGGGTAAAAGTGAGTTTGACCGGCAGTGAAACGTGGTAAGTTCGATAACGAAGCAACGTCTTGGTATTTACCGGAAGTCAAGAACAAGTCCACAGTCACCTGAGCAGAGTTACATTCCACTGCAAAACTCTTGTAGAAACTATCAGCAGCTGACAAGAGTTGAGATTCCTTTGCCTTTCCAGATACATTAGGATCTTCTCTAGCTTGTAACTTACCTTCACCAATATTTGGTAAAGATGCAGCGAAACAAACTAACTTACCACCAATGTTTGAAATCATCTTGTGAGCAGCTCTCAATGCTGGACCAAGAGCGAATTTATTGTTGGCAGTGTTTTCAAAGTAAGATGGGAAATCAACTAACAATTTCTCAATTGCTGGTCTATTTTCGTTCAAATTGACCAATAATCCATCTGGAGATGGCAAAAATGGTTCATCTATGTCAGAGACAATCAATACTTCGGTACCTTCCAAGCCTTCGTTGAATCTGAAGTAGTGCAAACTCGAATCAACACCAATGAAGGCAACTCTGGCAGTGTTGTTTTGGTTAGGAATACGGTCCAAGCTTTCCAAAATAGTTCTGGTAATAGTTCCAGTCAAACCAGTGGATACAGCTTCAATAGAAACATCAATGATGAAGGTGTAAACAATTGGTTGAGGTGATCTTGCCATATATTCCTTTGGTGCAACGAATTCAACAACGGAATGGTTTAATTCAACTCTACTAAACTTGTTCTTAGAGGTACCACTAACTTCATCGTATTCGAAAGAGCTTGGGATATCGTTAAGTAAGTTACAGAAGTTACATCTCCAACGTCTACCTTGTTCAGTTAAGGTAACGAAAGGATTGATGTAACCACGACAACGACGACATCTACTAATGATAGTGTCAGATGTAACTGGAACATTTTCGTCTTCAATCTTTAAAGCATTGTATGGTCTAACAACAAGAGCCATTGGCAACTTAGATTTCTTTGCGAGTGAATTGTTGTTTGGAATCACATTCATGGTAGATCTGAAATATTCCGGAGAAGCATTGGACAGCTCTGAGGTTGGTACAAGAGCAGAATTTGCTGGCAAAACTAATGGAGGTGGTGGTAATGATAAATCACTGATTGATGGTGGCAATTCTTTCAACAAGTCTGCAGTGTAGAGTTGGTTCAAAGGAAGAGCTGGAGTTTGCCCATATCCAGATGCACCATAAGCGGCACCTGCAGCACCTTGTGCTTGATATCCGTTCGTTGGAGCATTATATCCGGCAGTGTAGTCATAACCTTGACCTGGCTGTTGTTGTTGTTGGTATGGTTGTTGCACAGGGACTTGGGCCTGAGGTTGTACACCAGCAGGTTGGCCATACTGGTAGGCATTGGCTCCAGCTGGAGGGATTCCAGAAGCACCATTGGCACCTGGGGCAACACCAGGGGCAATGCCAGGGGCACCAACTTGGAGGTTTTGAAATTGTTGACCTAATTGATCAACACCGCCATATGGTGATACACCGGCTACAAAACCAGCAGGTGGAGCTCCGCTTGCAGCAGAATATTGAGGCTGTGGGTATGCCCTTCTTCTATTAGACATCGTTAATTAAATCCTACGAACAGTATTAGATGATGCTACTAGAATACGTGGAAAGTTGATACAGATCCGCGCGTCAAGCTGTTGATATCGTTAATAAAATCTACGTGGTCAAACCAGTTCTAAGATTTACGCAGTTGTGCATATTGTGGTATGGAAGTCTCTAATTTGAAAACCTCACAAAAAGCTACCTCGAGAACAGTACTCCACAATATACATTCTCCTACACTTCGACATGAAATCTAATTGAAAACAACAACTAAAACCCCTATTGAGTGTTTAGCACTACATATTATAACATATTATGCTCACAGCTCGGATATATAGGTCATATTTTATGTATTGCTGAGTGTATTCAACACAATAAGTGGTTCTAACAGTGTAGTCATTTTGGTCCTAACTTTTTACGTATCTCTTAATATGTGAGGTTTTCTCTTCATTCTAGACATCCTGGCATGTTGTATGTAAATGTAATTCTAAGTTCTTCAATCCATGTTTTTTTTTCTAAATTCAGGTTCAAATGTACCACGTCCTATTAAAATTGAAAAAATCCTGGCACCAGCTTTTTAACTACTCGTTAAATTTACTTCGTGAATTCGGTTTTACCAACAATAATCATTGGCACGATTGAAATCGGAGTTAAATACATCTAGATTTTACAGCTATAAAATAAAATAGTGGTCATTTTAATGACCATTGTGCACAGTAGGTCTAAACAAAACACTTAAATTTTGGATCCCCAGCAACCACATGCGTCTTACTTTACAAGTCAAATAGCATCCCAGTTGACGCTCTGATAGATAAGATCTCTCTTGAACTTTTTTAATTATAAAAATCCATTGTATGAATTCAAGAAATGCTGCACCATCAGCTTGGATTATGAATTACCAGTGATATACTGCAGCTTACATGACCTGGCGGATACGCGCGTAGTATTTTCATTTATTTTTTTGTTTATTTTATATTTTTTGAATTTGTAAATAAACAGTAAAGATTGTACGTGAAATGATGATGAATCGGGTGGAAGTTTCTAAAAGCTACCTTGAATCGAACCTAATTTCAGATACAGTGAAGACTTTTAAAAATTACATTCAGGGCGTAATGAAAATAAGTGATCTTACGTTCGCGAATACCATAAACAATAGACAATCTATATTTAAATATTTCTTGATATCTATTAATATCTCTAGGGTCTCTATTCTCTATTCTCTATTGTAGTCATGGTTATTTTCTGTAAAGCATTATCATACATTATATCGGTTCCAGTGCTACTAACTGGTGGGTGTTTGGTGTACTGTTTTTTTTTTCCATGTACTCGGGCGATTCATTCAACGCGAATATTCCCCCACACCCGTGTTCTTTGCCCAGGCTTGCTGCAAGAAATGCCGCCCGCCTCATATTTTACGATCTCCATGTAGAAATTATCATGCGCGCTGTTACCCCAAAGTGACACATTAAACCTGTTCTAGAATGCTATTATGTGGAAGTGAGATGTAGCTTAGTATCCGATCTTCCCATCTCCCACTTGCTTGAGTTTTTCTTCCATATATTATTATTTTTTTGTTGTTTTCTTTCTGTGCTTTAGCAAGTTGCAGTTAACTCACTTAGACTCAACACATTACTTAATATTCATCTATTGTCCTATCCCATTAATCTTTTGTTTAAATCAGGATTTCTTTGTTCCTTGAGTACAGTTCCACTTATAATTGCTTCCTCAGTTTTAACTCCAGATAAATCAGACTAGTGACACAAATCAACGGGAATCTATTCCTTCCCCTTTACAAATCCTTCATCTCCACCATCATCACGCTGGTCACATTTTTTGCTTCAGTCACTCAAAGTATTTAACCAACTTTTGTAGCTGAAAGCGTCGAACCAGTTCTTCATTTTATATTCCCCAGTTCACACCCATATAGTTCGTTTTAATGGAAATCTCACCCAGGAAAATGGTCGGCACTCAAAGAAGATCCATTTCAAAATCTGGCCCATCTCTCTACCTTCAACCATGTCCCAGCGAAGACGAGTTGAAGACATCACAACGTAATCAATTCACAAGTGATATTGAAAAGCAAGGGGTACACTCCCGACTGGATAAGAGTTTCAAAATATTGTACTTACTTGTCGTTGTTGCATGTCTTTGTATCATTGGTGGAACCATAACAAATACCCTTGTAGCAAACCACAGAATTAATGCTTCACAGAAATTAACTATAGAGAAGTTCCAACAAGATCAAGATGAACTTCTCAGTAAGATTTTGGACTCTGATGTGTCATCATATGCTAAACCTTCATACGTGGAACTGGCCATAAGCGGAGAAGATGAAGATCTTGAAGTAGGAATTATTAGTAAAATCCTTCTGTTGTGGAGGCAAACCGATACAAAATCTACTGGTTCAACATCGTCGAGATACTCTACATCCTCGAACTTACTTGACCTTTCACACCTGGTGAGTAAGACCACAGAAGAAGAAGAATTACTTAAACTTGAACATCATAATAGCATGAAGGAGAGTACAGCCTCTCATGTAGTTAGTTCTAAAGTTTCAAATGAAGGGAATGCCGAGGAAGAAGAAGAAGAAGATATCGATGCTCAACTGGATTTGAGAGAAATGTTATCTGTTTCACCTTTGACAATTCTTGTCAACCAAAACCCTTTGGATTCTTCTGAACAATCGAAGGCCATAGTGCAAAAGGTAACCAGTATCATTAAAGGGTTGAACATTACCCCACAACCAGTATTTGTCAAGTTGTATAAACATCCACACTACAGGCAATTGGTTAATTATTTAAAAACATATCAAAGTCACGCACTCACGAACTCAGGCGATGAATTAGAAGGCTTATTATTAGACACCCCAATGGATGCCATTCCTTCTGTGTTTATTTCAGGTGTACCGGTTGGAAGTTACAACTCGGTCATTGAAATGCACAAGGAAAGAACCTTGGCTACATTTTTAAGGACAAATGGAAAAGGTCGGATTACGGTCGAATAGAGGGATATAGGATCACTTACACATATACAGATATATATACATTATACAGAAACAAAAGAAATAAAATGAATTAAGAATAAAATAGAATAAAATACAATACAGTAAATCACTATACATCAGTTGAAATCACAGATCAATTCTTTATACTGTCTTGAAAGCGTATTATTATAAAAGTTGAACTCTTGTGAGTTAAACTAGGTGTATATTATGACCTGTTGCAACATGGAAAAAATAAAAAAAAGCATATGTATTTTTTTTTTTACAATTTGATTTCAACTACATCCAATTCGATTTGATCTGTTACCAAACACGTACTTGGTCTAATAGTTGTATAGTGTCATGTGTGGAATATTGTTCCGCATAGGTACGGGAACTGTAGTACATCCTATTTGTTGTGGAGTACATGAATGTTCAGCACAATGGGAATCAAGTGATATTGAAGAGATCAAGAACCTCATAAATCAAGACCTAAGTAGCACCCTTGAATTGAGGCCAAATGACATCAAAAAGATTGGAAATCTCAAGGAAATTCGAGAGCTCAATGAGAAGTTGAATAGGGTTAAAAACACAATCGGAAAATCCCCAGATCATTCTGAGCAGTTGAAAGAGGAAAAGAGTAGACTTCAGAGTCAGATCGACGACTTAAGTGTTGATGATGCCCAAGATTTAATGGAAGATAAACTTGTACTTGATGATGAACGTGACTTCGACACTCTAATTAGTTCTATAGCCGGAAGAGGACCTGATTACCTACAATACTTAAGCTACCCATTGACGGATGGATACCATATTCAACAATTTTCAGCTATCTTGTCTTTGCGTCAACCATTTGTAAAGCAACCAATACATGTTCGAGACATTGATATTGTGATCCAGTTTAACGGGGAGCTTTACAATAAAGAATGTATTGACTCAAATGATACCAAATTTATTACCGAAAGAGTACTTTCAAACATTAATAATGGGAAAAGTAGACATAATTCGATTTTACAAACAATATCCGAATTAGAAGGTGAATTTGCATATGTAATTTTGGATAAATCATCCAACTTGGTATATTTTGGAAGAGATTTCATTGGGAAACGATCATTAGTATACAAGTTATTGAAGAATGAAGAAGGCAAAATATCAGAATTTATTACAAGTTCAATTGCAATTCCTACAATTACTGGTGAATCTGAATATATTGAATGTAAATCAGAGGAAATAAATATATTAAATATCAAGTCTGGTTCAATTGAAACCGTTGAAATTTCAAGACCAAAACCTTCACCAGAAGTATCATTAGAAGTATTGGGGTTGAAATCAGGACATAAAGTTGACGAACTTATCAATGAATTTGATGTTGTCTTTACCAGGGCAACAAAAGATAGAATAGATACAATACATCCCTTGCATGATACTATTGATCATGCTAGTTTAGGGATACTCTTTTCGGGTGGACTTGATTGTACAGTTGTAGCAGGAGCAATTGGCCGTATATATAACGAAAGGAAAAGTACTAATGGAATGAAAATATTGGTTGATTTGCTTACCGTTGGGTTTGAAAACCCTAGAACACAAGCTTCTGCTCAAGATTCACCAGACAGACAATTAGCTAAAAAATCTTGGTTTGAATTAGCGAAGAAATTTAACAGTGATGTAATTGACTTTAGGCTTGTGGAAGTTGATGTTGGATACGAAGAGTGGTTAAGACATAGGCATAGAGTTAAGCGGTTAATGTATCCATGTGATACTGAAATGGATTTGTCCATTGCCATTGCATTTTATTTTGCTAGTCGTGGAGAATTTGGTACTAAATTATCACTTGATTTCGAGTCACAAACAGTGGTAGAATCCAATTACACATCTAGGGCTAAAGTTTTATTATCTGGGTTAGGAGCTGATGAACTTTTTGCCGGGTACAGTAGACATGAACTGGCATTTGATCCATTAATGCCTCCTCAAGAAGGAAATGAAGAAGAGTATAGAAATACATTAATGCAATGTTATATGAAATTGAAATCAGAATTAACTATTGATATCAAGAATATTTACAAGAGAAATTTGGGGCGAGATGACCGTGTTATTTCATCATGGGGGAAAGAGCTTCGTTACCCATTCCTTGAAGAAGATGTAATAAATTTTGTCATGTCCAAGGTCCCATTAGACTTAAAGTTGGAATTCCAATGGGAAACAGTTACCAATAGAAAGGGGAAAACCCTGACAAGAATCAAGCCAATTAGAAAGTGGTTATTGCGAGAGTATGCTGAATATCTTGGACTTTCGTGGGTGAAACATGAATTGAAACGTGCCATTCAATTTGGGGCCAAAAGTGCCAAGATGGAAATTGGACAAAATAAAACTAGAGGTACAGACACATTGAAATGATTATAGAATAATAAATAATAATAATAAATAGTATAGAAGAATTAAAGCTATTGTGCATTCTGAAGTTCTTTTACCCATCTTGGTTCAATTACCAAACATTCACATTCAGTGAGTAAATTTTCAGCATTTTCAATTGCTGATTGGTCGCTATTTTCATTCAACTGCTCCAAATTCAAGCCATAAATTGAACCCTTCACCCAGCACTTTCTACCACTTTTCTTGGTTACTTCACACCGAACAAGTACATACGAGTTCACATAACAAGGTTTTTTATAACTAAGACTCAAACTAGCAGTAACTCCCTTTCTGGATGGGAAGTTTTGGAATGCCAATCTACAGGTGAGCTCATCTAGAATTGTAGCCAATAAGCCGCCATGAATAAGCGCTTTATGCCCAGATAGTTCATCTCCAAAATGAAGAAATGTGTAAGAATAATTTTGTCCTTTTCCATATAAATCCTCAGCAACAACTTTCTCAGTTTCCAAATAAATAGGATCTATAACATAAGAAGATGGACTTCGGTATGATATTTTCCGAGGTCCAACTAAGGTTTGGCCTGTGAGCATTGGCCAAATATTTTCATTTATTTCATGTATTAATGGGTTATCTTTATGCTTATCTAAGTGATTCAAGTAGATATCGCGATAAAGTTTATGCACTGGATGCTTCTTAAAAATTCTTTCCTCATTTGAATCTAATTTTAAATCTATGGCACTATTATTTTGCGTATTAACTGCAGTGGATTCATCAATAAGAAATTCTGACATTATAAGGTTAACAAGATAAGAAATGATCGTACAAATAAATTATCTAATATGGTGAATAAAATACAAAGTCTAATCTTAAAATTATGAGGCCATATGATCTTTAAAATACAAAATATAAAATGTGGAGAAATGGGAATATCCTGCACCCTGATCGGATCTTATCCGAGGACACACATCCACCTTTTCACCACATAATAATTTTTGGGCTGATCCAACAATTCACATTGGCATATCATATAATGCTGGAATCTCAATGAGATTGTTGGTGTGTGAATGGGAACATGTATGTATAACTAAAAATGTATGAATATCTTATTTATTATAAGGAATCTTTGAAAACTTTATAGAATGCTTCTTTAGCATCTTGTGTAATAATATTTCCATGACACATAACAATTCTGTCAAAGTTCAAACTATAAACAGCCTTCAATCCTTCTTTTGAGCTTGGCAACGCACTTACAGATACTCTATTCATAAGATAAATCCCGATTCTACTGTCTGGGTTCAAGTAACGAGTGATGAAGGACCATCCAGCATGCTGGTAATGATCAGGTGCATATCCAGTTTTCTCACAATATTGTTCTGACTTTCCATCGTAGTCAACATTAAAAATTAAATCTGCTCCAAATAAGGTCTTTGATTTCTTTTCATAAACCATTAATTCTCTATTTTTATGAGTACTCAAGTATACAAATTCAAAATTGTTCAAGATAGAATCTTCTTTAATTCCAATTTCTTGCAATTCCTTACTTTGAAGTACTTTATTTCCATATTCGTTTGTGAATTTATAGTCAACTGAAACATTTTCACCCAAATCAACTTGTTCAGTTGAAAGAATCTTTAAGTTAGGGAATTGCACTTTAAATGATTCGGCTGCCATAATATGTTGATTATTTGGAATGATTAAATGCGTGACATTTGGATTTGGCTCATCCGATAATAACTTTAATGCTTCAATTACTTGCTCGCCGTATGGGAGTGCCGACCAAACTATAATGTCAGTTCCATATTTGAAGAGGGCCATTCTAGAACCAACATTAAGCTTGTCCTTGATAGCAAAAGGTCCAGAAGTGATAACAATGTTATCTTCTATTTTGCTAGACACCGGTTTAAATGATTGTGGATATCCCATTTCGTTAATTTAGGTCAAGCAATGAGATAGTGGGCTGTTTGAAAGGTTGTTATCTAGTTGCAAAAGAAAAAAAAATAATAGGATGTGCTGAAGAACAAAGCCCCCCACATGCCAAGAATTATTATTTTTTTCATTTATTTTTTTACCTCACGGAATTAGATTCTTCGATACGGATTTAACATGCAAGATGAGTACCTTAGCAATACAAAGATGACGGGAATGTCAGTGACTGTTTTTGCAATTAAATATTATAATATCCTATAAATTAATATTATACTAGTATTGAAATGATAGCTATAACAATTTATAAGAAATCAAGCACATCATTACTGTTAGAAGTTGTATGTGAAGTTGTTTGATTGAAATTTGACGTCTTGGTAGATGGTGATAAAACTAAATTAGAATCAAATCCAGGAGGAAGCTTAATTGTAGGTTGAACCGAATTCATGCTTCTATTTGGCTGTGCAGCTATTGGATTGGGCAAAGCCTTCATATTGTTCATTGGTTTGGCTTTGTTGGCTTCAATATTCCAATTGATTGTGGAGTTGTTGGTCGTAGGTGTAGTTACTGTAGATGTTGATTGGAAGTCATCGAAGTCATCGTCAATTTCTGACTTTAAAGAAGAATTATTTAATGTCTGAAGTAATGCATTGTTATTAATAGGTTTATTCGAAGTTGCGCCAAATTTTAATGCACTCCCATTATTCTGTGCTTTCGGGATATTATTTTGATTCACTCTTGGCGATATTGGACTCATTACTGAATGTGTAGATTTCGGTTTTTGTTCTTGGTGTATTTCCGAACTCATGGATCTTCTTTGCGTTGGTTGCATGACTGATCTTGTCTGAGGAGCTTTCAAAATCTCATCTTTATTGCCTTGATTGAACTTTTGAGAGTTGACAAGGCTTTCAAAATCATTTTTACTTCCGCCTGTCGCAGATGTATTATCATCAGAGACATGTTTCGGTAACAGTTGTAATTTTCTCTCAACAAGAGTGTTTTCAATTCTTTGCACTTGATTCATAAATGATTTAAATTCGTCAGCAGTACAATTATTACAACCAAAAGTTAATTGTAAACATTGAGGGAGTACTTGTAAAATCAAAGTTTCAATATCCAAACTAATGTGTTCACTAGCATTCAATTTCTCGAACAATTCAAGAATGTGTCCAACGATATTTTTATCACGACTTTTCAAATTATTCAATATTGGTAATAATTGTTCAACTACAATGAGTTTATCGATAATTGAATTATCAACAAACGATACGAAAATTTGAATTGTTGCCAACTTGGTTGATAAAACAGTTGTAGTTTTAAATATCAGACAAATCAATGGGAAGAGGGTATTTTTGATGTATGGGAATTCAAATATTGAAATGATTGAGGGTAATTCTTTCAAGTAAAGCTCTTGAAGTTGAATTTGATAAGTGGAAATTGGCGAGTCAGCATTTGTAGTACTAGCCAACACAATTTCACCAAATTGTTTACAAAAATCACATAATTGCTTATCACTTAATTTGGACTTTAAGATTCCAAGATTTTCAAGAATTGATAATCGAATTTTAATGGAACAAGTAATAAATACTTTGAAAATATTTGAATTCGTTTTCTCCTTTTTCCAGAATGACAGGTTACTTTTGAATAATATTGAGTAAATTCGATCTTGGAAAGTTAAGTTTGAAAACGTAGACCCTATTTTGAGAGTAATGCTGGTTGCTAACGATAAAAGGTCTTCAGTATCTTGAGTTAATGGATGATTATTGCCTAGAACCTTGAGTTCATTAACAATAAGTTCAATCATTAATGGTAAGAACTTCAGAGATCTAAAAGTTGCAGGAAATTGAGTTAGAATATCCTCGTTTGATTCAGGATCAATCTCTAATGTACCCTTCATAAAGATAAGTTTTTCCTCGGTAGTTTTAGTTGCAAATTCATCAACAAACCACATAGCTTTAATGATACTTCCATTAAAGAAATCGGAATCTATAAATTGATCAATTGTAAGTCTATCATGAGGATATCTCGACAACATTTGAGAAAGAACACTAAACAACTTTTCAGGAACATTTTTAAAAAAATGTTTTAATTCAATGGGTTGTCTGTTATAAAATCTATTTTCAAATCTTTTGAAAGATGTTTTGTAATCAGATATGCTATCCGAATCAAAGCAATCGACCAAATATTCACCTTGATTATAAAGGAAATAAATAATGCAACCTAACGACCATATGTCATTTGGTAATCCTAATTTCAGACTTGAATCTAATAATAATTCAGGAGCTGTGAAATTTAAATTTAAATTTGTAAATGGGATTGCTGAAGAATTATTCATAATATAAAAATTATCTATCTCTTGGGGAGATAAATCATTTAAGTTATGTAAAAACCGAAATCCTGAAAGTTTCCAATCTCCTTGATCGTTGATAAATATTGAAGAAGGTTGTAAATTGAAATGAATAATATGACAGAAGTTATGAAGGAATTGTAAACTTTTAGAGACTTGTAAAAGCCCCTTTTGAATAGTCAAGTCGTCCAATTTTTGTAAAGACACAGTCTTAAGATTATTAACCACAGGCTCAGAAACAAATAAGAATTTCAGTTTAGTTTCTTCTAATGGTTCAAGTATAGTAAGAATTTGAGGATGTTTCAATTTTGCTGCTTGACTTAATTCAAACTTAATTAGTTCGTAACATTCTGATAGAATGACTTTTGGATTCTTGGAATTTGAACTCGATCCAGTTAACGCATTGATTTGACTTTCAAATCTTTTCTTATCGAATATAAACACTGATGCAAGTTTTCCATCCCGATTTCTTTTGGCAGGATATACTGCCCATGGTTCAGAAACAAATGTTGGATTATCCAGTACTGTATAAAGAGATCGAATCCCCGAATTAAACATAGACTTAAACATCTTATTGTTTTTAAAAATGCGCGGTGAGTTTTCCAAAGTTATCTATACTCTTGGAATTGGAGGTCTTTGTAGTGGTTTGTAAAGTGTACACGGTAATTACCCTTGTTGCCCCATTTCCTGCACAAGAAAAAAAGAATAACAAATAGACGTGAACTAAAGAAAAAGAAGTAAAAACGACAAAAAAAAAATAAAGTAATTGTGTGCGATTCGAAATGAGCTATGCAGGAAATGTGGAAGACTTTGTGAATTCAATGAATTTTATTATGAGCTAAAAAGCCATATGCCAAATACATCAACATTTAACTGTTTTATTGTTAGACTATTTTACCGGCCATATCCTTCATTTCGACATGGATTTACTTGAAGAGAACTATATGCATTCCGCCGAAAGGTTGGACAAACCATCACAATACTTGATTAAAAAGGCAATGCGTCGAGGAAATGTAGACAGTTTATATAAATCTATGGAACTGAGCACCATCTACGTAGGGAATTTATCCCATTTCACCACTGAAGAACAGATACATGAACTTTTCCTGAAATGTGGAACGATATACAGAATAATAATGGGGTTGGATCGTAATAAGTTAACTCCTTGTGGATTCTGTTTTATATTATATAATGAAAAGAAGGCATCTTGGAATGCTATGAAATATCTTAATGGTACTAAATTGGATAGTCAAACATTGGAAATCGATTTAGATCCGGGTTTCCGCGAAGGTAGACAATTCGGTAGAGGTGTCTCAGGAGGACAAGTTAGTCATGAAGAAAGATCAAACCGTCAAAGAATGGAAGGAAGTTCTGGAGGTTATAGAGGTGGATTTAGAGGTCGTGGTAGAGGTCGTGGTAGAGGAAGAGGTGGATTTAGAGGCGGGTTTAGAGGCGGATACAACGGAGGCTCCCATCAACAAACAGACCATTATAGTGGTAGTGCCAGTTCCGAACGTCAAGGCTGGTAGTATTCCATGTAACCTATTGTCAAATTAAAAACAAAAGAAGAAAACAATTACACGGTTTATAAGAAAAGAATGGCATATTTAATTCATTGCAAAACAATCATTATGTAGTTTATACACAATAAGAACACGAACCTAGTCCAACGATAATCCAAGCGCTTCTCTCTGGGACTTTGAAGATTCATCAAAGTAAGGGACTTCAGCCAATGAAGTCACTCTGGTTCCATGTCTCAAGTCTTCAACTTCGTAATCGCCAATGGCAAAATGTTGGGAAATACGGTTATCCCAAATAGCCGAGGTCCCAAAGCCTTCCTTAGTTGGTTGCCAGTGGAATCTTACTTGAATATCCAAGTTTTTTTCAAATACTTGAAATAAGTATTCTAAAATCAACTTACTCTCTTCAGGCTCCAATCCAACAATACTTTTAGTCATTGCTCTGTTAACAAATAACGACTTCCAGCCAGTAGTTGGGTGAGTTCTAATAATTGGGTGTTCACGTTCAATTCTTTGTGGTCCTTGAAGAGGGTTCTCTCTATCCAAATATGCATGAGCAGAAATGTACACCGCCTTTTTCCCATCTAAGAATTTCTGGAACGCTGGGGATAACTTGTCATAAGCGGCATATCCAGATGACCAAGCAGTGTCACCTCCAGTGGCAGGAATGGTATCATTGTGTAAATGTGTAATTCCAGCAGGTTGGAATTCATGGACTAAATCAGTGTGCCAGCCACTGGAAATTCCTCCCTTCTTGAAACTTGGTTTAATTCCATAGAAATCATTGAAAAAGTGTCTCCAAATTACACTTATTCCGCTTCCCTTGGCAATATCATCACTTTCTCCTTCCTTTTTTGGCAATGGGACATGTGGGGCTTGAGGATGTCTCTCGACTTGACCCCAATACTCTCCCAATTCCAATTGCTTTTGAGGTGACAAATCCTGATCTCTGAAGAATACCACAACCCTTTCGGCTACCAATAAGGCTAACTCATCTTTTTGCTTATCATCTAAATCGCTCAATTGCAAGCCAACAATTTCGGTACCGATATGCTTCGTCAAATCGATTACTTCCTTTGCAGCGCCAAAAAGGGCCTTCTTTTCTGGATCAGCATTCTTGCCCCTCTCAATGTATGGATATTCAGAATTTCTAATTTCAAATGCCTCATCAACAAATTTAGGGATATCCTTGTTTTCAGGGATAATTGGATAACCTTTAGATAAGTCAATGCCATACTTTTCGAATCTCTTTCTTGTTGGCTCAGGAACCTTTTCGAGCCATTCAATTTGAGGACCGGTCTCAATTTGGGTTTGAGATCTGAATTGTCCAAGAGGCTTGAGGTTTGCAAGCTTCAAAATGGTCTCTTGAAGCTCTTCGTTCTGTTCGATTGCAACTGGTGGCAGCATATTTCAAAATTCTTATTGTCTTTCTTACTAGTGTAAGACTCGGGTTTTATTTTTATAGTCGTAGTAACTTATTAGTACCAAACTTAATAAAGTAAACATATCTTTTTTATGGAGTCTTAGAACTTACTTTATATACCCCAGTAACTACCAACTAATGCTTAAAGAACTCCAGCCACAATAGTGCTAGAATTACTAATCAAATTAAATATTATAGGTATTTCGCAACCAATTGTGGCTCAGAGCCTATATTTTCTCTTATCATTTGAGCACTGTGGTCAAGAATCTCTCCTCACCTCCGAAGTATTATGCAATTTGAAGCCATTGTATACGGAGTTAATCTAAATCAAGATTCTTCCTTACAATCTTATACCACGTTTAAATTGTTCATTGCACATTATCCCCTACATTGCGAAAAATACATGTATAATGATGCAGCATACTGTGTACATATTTTCAAGACCCCAATATAGTCGTGCAACATGTAATGTATTACATTTATCTAAGATGGTGGATAATTTTTTTCAATTGTATTAGTGTAGTATATAGTTAGACATATATATATTTTTAAAAAATTAACCTCTTTCGCATGCAATGAATTCTTCAGAAGTAAAATGACCAGCAGTACACCAATTATTGTTATAACATTCATCGGAGATAACTGATCCGTTCTTACAGTCTGGAACATAAGGTGATAATCTAAACATGTAGTCAGCGTATAATTGGTTAAACTCAATATTAGATTCATTTCTAATGTTTGAAGCAACATATTTGTCCCAGAATGTGGCATTTAATGGCGCATTGGATGGCCAATCTCCCTTAGGATCGTAGGCGTCTCTTGCAGAATATTCAAAGTCCCATTCTGGTTCGTCTCCACCATTGGTAAAAGTTTCATTTAATTGGGTATAGTAATTGTAAGAGTTAATGATGTTAAAGGTCTTGTCCTCAACTTCATAGTATCTCCAAGAAGGGTTGTAGTTGCTCAAAGGGGTCACGGATTGAGAAATCCATGCCATATTAACCGGAACAGTTCCATTTGAGGAATATAAAATGGAAAACTGATCCATATGAGTGTGCCCATAAAAGATATTGGCAATAGTGTAAGGACTAAATCTTTCAACAATCTTTGCAAAAACCTTAGATTGAATTGGTAAGGCATCAAAGTCTGATGGTGGAATATGTGCCATAATCCATACTCTCTCCCCCTTGCGTTCACTTTCAGTCAATTCGTCAATCAAAAAGTCCCATTGTCCAAAAAGGTCATAATCTTGAGTAATGTTAACATAAGACCATAAATTCTTTTGATAGTAACAGTTGGAGTTAAGCGAAATAACCTTCAATCCTCTTTCGGTGATAGTGGAAAATCCAGAGTAGTGAGATTTGACAAAATTTCTCTTGTTTTCAGCTAACCATCCATTAGACACCCACAAATCACTCATTAAGGCATCATTCCAATTGTAAGTATTGTTATACTTTTTACCGAGTGGAGATAATTGACCATATGGGAAGGTGTCATGGTTACCAAGAGATGGATACACTGGGATATGGTCAAGGAAATGCTTCATCATTCCAAATCCTCTAATTTCGGCTTTTTTGGTGGTATCAGCATCACAATGAACAACATCGTGGTCAACCAAATCACCAGTGAAAATAGTAAACTCGAAGTTTTTGTTCTTGGATGTATTACTAATGTGTGCAAGAGTATTGTTCAATAAAACTTCAGGAGAATCACACATGTAAGTACCAAATGTGGAGGCTGGTAAGGAGTTTGAATTATAGCCTCTACTTTTTGGAAGGTCGTAGTAGTCGCCCTTGACATACGAGTTATTGGAAGTATAATGAGCATCCGGGTAAAACGAATATTCAAATGTATCAAGGGTAGCATCAATATCAGTATATACGCTTGTAAAGTTGTAGTCTTGAGTTGGAAGTTCAGCGTTCACAGATTCAGGTAAACAACATGGAGTCTTGCTACAATTGGCTTCGCTACCTACCTGATATCTCAATTGGATATGGAAATCGGAAATATGTAACACATTGAAGGTTGATAAGTTTCCATCAAATGTTGGGGCAACTTCATGTTTGGCATCCTTCTTGGGCCATTTCGACAGAAGGTTGAATGCAACATCAAGATCTGGGGTCTTTGGAAGCTTACAAGTGGACTCCTTGTAATAACAATAGTACTCAAGATCAGTTTCGGATGAAGTGTTGAAAAGCTTTAAGACTTTAATGAAATCATTGTCATAAAAGTTAACTCCAGTGGTAGAATCAATTCCAGCTTCGAATGAAGTGGCTTCCTTGTTTTTAGAGGTGGTTGTAACGAAGAAGTCCTTCAGGTCACACTTGGATTCCTTATTCTTATTTTTGGAAAGACAGTACTTAAATAAGAGAAGTGAAATCAAATGTTCTTTCTCTGGTTGGTTATCAATAAGTGAGCGCGCATATCTGATTTTGTTCTTACATTGGTCGCACTTTGAACCAGTAGCATTGGTCAAGTTCCCAAGATGGGTAAGAATAAAATCAGAATCAGTTGGTTTAAGGTTGTTATAGATTGCATCAACAAGGTTTGCATCTCTCTTAGCAAGAGCTTGTCTTTGAAGCGTATCAACACCAGGTACTGTATGTGCCACAGTTAAGGACACAAAGAAAAAGATAACAAATTGAAATTGGGAAGTAAACTTCATTGCTATTCAGAATCTCGAAACTTTTCCTTTTCAGGATATTGCTACCTCGCTAGTTACAATCTTAATCAGAAAACCGATAAAGAAATTGCAAAAGAATAAAAGATGCAAAAAATTAAAAAAGTGAAGAAAAAGAGCACTGAACTATACCAGACTTGGTGTGATATTCTCAATTGAATTGCCTTTGCTGCCCTGTTATGTTTGAATAGTGGACTGAAGCTGGGGACTGTTTGATCTATATATGGTGTATCAAAATCAAAGTATCGTAGTAGAAGCATAATCCACACGTGGGCTATTTGCAATACTTTTCCGAAAAAAAAAAATGTTGCAGCATTTTGCAAAATATCTGCATACTAATTTATTACCCGATAACATTGCATCAAAATACACTGCAATAATCCAATGAAATTTTACTATTCACATCCCAATTTAGCGGATCTCTTCTCTTTTTGGAACTATTGTATTGTTATTAGGTCGAATGTACAACGGTGTACCCACATATACCAATTGCAATTTAATATTTGGCTGACCGCATGCGTGGCTCAATTATTAAATCTATTTTTGGACCTTAGTATAGATAAAAAAAGCTAAATACTCAAGCCCCAGAGACTCGGAAGGTAACATACATTATATGAAAGGTTGTATCACAATAGGAGTCAAAATCAGAAAAAGAAGAAAGCAAATGATGAAATTGGTTTCAATATTGAAGTAATAAACTTTCTATTGTTTTAAAGTTCCGTTCGGCCCTGCCCGGAGAATGGCAACAATAATCTTCTGGAGATAAAAAAAAAAAAAAAAAGGAGGTGCTTAACGGTGCTGAAGGTGCTTTCTTGTTGGCTTATTTCTAATTTTATTCTCCGCAAACGGCTATGGGGCTCCTATGAATTACTTGATCTCCTCCTAAGCTTTCAGATATTTTTTCATGCTCAAAGCAAAATATCAATTTAGAATACTTCATATACTTCCTCATTTCTTGATAATTTCAGAGATCAAGTTTTCTCTTTCTTTTTGAACTCTGTTTTTTAGACGTCTTAGTACATATTTATTTTTTTGGTACCTTATGTTAAAAATGATACACTTGAGATTCGAACCGGCAAATGGTTTTGAATACATCCAGTCCTAAAAGAGATGAACAAACTTACACAAAACCCCATTATCTAATCTACATGTTGTTGTAACAAAAATGAAAACAATTTGAGAAAGTTCACACATCATCTTCATCGTCAATATATATATATATATATATATTGGTAGAAATAAAAGAGAAGATAGCCCAATTTTTTCAGCATCTTATAGATTTAACGCTGACTGAAAAAAAAAATAATACAACTTGGTAATTGATTGTAATAAAATTCGAGGAGAATTAATTAGTAATGTCACTGTCAAGAAAGAAGCTTCTTTTAATGGGCCGGTCAGGTTCAGGAAAATCATCAATGAGATCTATCATTTTTTCCAACTATTCTGCATTTGATACTAGAAGATTAGGGGCTACAATTGATGTTGAACATTCACACCTTCGTTTTCTTGGTAATATGACCCTTAATTTATGGGATTGTGGTGGACAAGATGTGTTTATGGATAATTATTTCACCACTCAAAAGGATCATATTTTTAAAATGGTTCAAGTTCTCATACATGTTTTCGATGTAGAGTCGAAACTGATCAATAAAGATATTGAAATATTTGTAAAATCATTGACAAATTTAGCTAAATTCAGTCCAGGAGCTAAAATTTTTATCTTATTACATAAAATGGATTTAGTTCAAATTGATAAAAGAGAAGAATTATTTAATATTATGATGGATAAATTACAAAAGATCTCAAATCCTTATCAATTTAAACTAATTGGTTTCCCAACTTCAATTTGGGATGAATCATTATACAAAGCATGGTCTCAAATTGTTTGTTCATTAATTCCAAATATGAATTTATTTAATAGTAATCTTGTTAAATTTAACAACATTTTGGATGCTGAAGAAATCATTTTATTTGAAAAGACCACATTTTTAGTAATATCTTCAACCTCGTCGATTCTTCAACAACAACTGCAACAACAACAACTGCAAAATACTACCAATAATGATGATTCAGTCGTTAATTTAGATCCAAAAAGATTTGAGAAAATATCAAACATCATTAAAACTTATAAACAATCTATTTCAAAACTCCGGACAAATTTCCTGAATCTTATTATTCGTGGTGGTAATGGTACCCATTTCTATATTGATATTCTTACTGATAACATGTTTATTATGATTGTTCTTAGAGATAAAGATGAAGGAGGTAATTTCGTGAATACACACGAAGAATTAATTGTTCTTGAAAACATTAAGGCTGCAAGAAAATGGTTCGAATCTATAGAAAATGGTAATTAATATCAAACAGTATTACTACTAATAGTATAATTATATATGTTGGGAAAGATTGAATATGTCAGAAAGGTGATTGATAATCAGGGAATAATAGTTAAATTTGAAATAGTTGAATGAAAGAAAAAAAAACAATTATAGAAGAAAATAATGGATTAATAATCCAGATAAATAAAATACAAGTGTGAAATTGAAGTTAAATTGTAGTTATCTTTGCAAAGTTACTTTAACTGCATATTCATTTTTTTTACCCCCTTTCCTGTCAAAATTTATCGTCTCTCTTAAAAACTCGTATAAATCACGTGGACGCGTTTCTTAACGAGAAACATTTTGATGGATGCGAATTCGTTTAAAAGAGAAAATTGAGGACTTGATTCAACCACATCATTCCACTACAAATATAATACCCAATCATTTTCATATTTATTTATAAAAGGTTTTTTTATATTCGAAAGTAGCTAATATGGGAAAATTACTTCAACTTTTAGCTCATCCAGATGAGTTTAAGGCAGCCATTCAATTGAAATTCTTTAGAAATTCTCTTCATGTTCGTGATCCTGCTTCTCAAGCACAAACATTAACTGATTGTTATGTTTTGTTGAAAAAGACTTCTCGCTCCTTTGCTGCTGTAATTGAAGAATTACACCCTGAACTTAAGGATGCAATCATGATTTTCTACTTGGTTTTGCGTGCCTTGGATACTGTTGAAGATGATATGACCATCTTGCCAGAAATTAAAACTCCTTTGTTGAGAGAATTTCATGAAAAATTAAACCTTAAAACTTGGAGTTTCAACGGTAATGGTCCAAATGAAAAGGATAGAATTGTTTTAACAGACTTCAATGTCATCTTGACCGAATATCACAAGTTGAAACCAGAATATCAGGATATTATCAAGGATATAACTTTGAAGATGGGTAATGGTATGGCTGATTACATCTTGGATGAAGAATTTAACGTCAATGGTGTCAGCACTGTCAAGGACTATGACTTGTACTGTCATTACGTGGCCGGTTTGGTTGGTGAAGGCTTGACCAAATTGATGGTTCTTGCCCAGTTTGCTAATAATGAACTTATGGAAGATAACTTTGAAAAAACTGAATCAATGGGTCTTTTCTTACAAGAGACAAACATTATTAGAGATTATCATGAAGATCTTGAAGACGGAAGATCCTTCTGGCCTAAGGAAATCTGGTCTAAGTATACTGACTCATTACCAAGCTTCCACAAAGATACTTCAGTTGCTAGTGAAAACCAAGGTTTGTACTGTATTAGTGACCTTGTTTTGAACTCTCTTGGTCATGTTAAGGATGTTTTAACTTACTTGCTGTTGGTTAAAGACCCTTCATGTTTCAACTTCTGTGCTATTCCTCAAGTAATGGCCATTGCCACTTTGGCAACTATTTACAATAACCCAGATATTTTGCATAAAAATGTTAAAATTAGAAAGGGTACTACTTGTAAACTTATTCTTAACAGTCGTACATTACCTGATGTCGTTAGAATATTCAAGCATTACATACAAGTTATCAACCATAAGTCAAGAGTGGAAGATCCAAACTATTTGAAGATCGGAATCAAGTGTGGAGAAATAGAACAATACATTGAATCAATGTATCCATCTCCAAACTCAATTCCTGCTGGAGTCACCAAGAAGTCCACAGAAATTGTTAACAATATCAATGCTAGATCCCATATTGACGAAGAGGTCTCTGAATCAATTAAGACTGAAGAGCTTCATTGTAACTTGGTACTTGGCGCCGTTTTATTAATTGTTTCCGGTACTATCGTTTACCTGTTAAGTTAGGAGAATAAAGAGAGAAAAGAATAGGATGAGAGAATGAAGAGTAAAAGTGTTGTATATTAAATATTTCTATAAATATCAAGGACTAGTACAATTGAGGTGTTATGTAGCTATGTAGCGGTAATATTAGTAATATTCTAGTATAATTAGGTGGCACAGTTGAACATCCTTACTTCTATGTACGGAGTGTTTAAGCCAAGTGTAAGGAATTTACGCATTGCGCGCACTCAGCCCCCACACAATGATTCCTCCCCACATATTAACCGAGTATCCCTCAATTGATTGATTAATTGTGTACCAATTTTCCCACTTTTTGCTTTTGATTTCTTGACAATCTCCATTAGATTTCAATATGGTTACAGATACTATAGAGGATACTCGAGTATTCTTCCTGATAAAACATATAAGTTGGTCAGAATATGGATTCCACACTCCTATCTTGTTACAAGATGCAAATGGACCTTGCCCCTTGATCGCCCTTGTAAATACCCTACTTCTTAAGTATGAATTTGATATTCAACAACAGCAAGAGTCAGTGAAATTAGCAGGCATCAATGATCTTCGAAAGCATCTATTACGTCTTGAGACCAAAATTTATTTAGACGATCTATTATCACGATTAGGAGATTTAATTGTCAATATTGCAGAAACATCCCCTGATTGTGAAGGGGATGCAGCAAAACTTTTGGATTTACTCCCTCAACTTCATACTGGACTATCAGTAAATCCAAACTTAATCACCGGCAAATTTCCAAAGGATGATTTATCCACTGTATTATTCACATCATTATTTGAATTGAATTTTGAACATGGTTGGGTATTAGATGAAGACGTTACTGTGATTAGAGAACTTGAATTTTTCGATAAAATTCAAGATTTCCTTCTTACTAATGAAGAAGAAGTTCAAACTAAAGAATGGCTAGATGCTAATAAAACTCAAGTGACTAATGCTGGGCTTGAAAAATTGAGCGATTCCTTAGATTTCAACAATTTTGCAATCTATTTCCGTAATAATCATTTCAATACATTGTTTAAAAGTGGTTCAGGAGATTTATTTTTACTTATGACTGATAGTTCTTTGAAGAGTTCAAAAAATATCATTTGGCAATCTTTGACTACAGTGTCAGGAAAAGATGATATATTTTATACGGGTGATTTTTTCCCCATTTTAGATGAAGACCTTCAGGAAATAGAAAATCAACGTGGAGAAGTCGACGACTCGGATATGATATTGGTCAAACAATTGCAAGAGGAAGAAGATCAAAGAATGGCAGAAGAAATGCATAAGAAGTACCAGAATATACATACAAAGGCTACAAAGAAATTAGAGGCACAAGATAAGAAATCTGAATTGATATCCAAACTGAAAAAGCAACAAACCAAAGATTCTGATAAAAAGAAAAAATCAAGTTGTATTATTACATAGTGTATTCTGATTTAGAAATTATTTTAATTTACGTACTCCTCTCCAGCTTCCCTTTTTTTTTCTATTTTCATTTAATCATCATTACTTTCCTCCTTTTGTCCTTCAACATCTTCTTCGATTTCTTCATCGTCACCTTCATATTCCATAGGATCGAATGTAGATCTCAAGTTATCCATTTGTTTCATCTCATCGGTATTAGGTTCTCTCAACTTGAAGTTGATGATGTCTGCGGTATTTTCCTTCAAAAATCTATTAATTTCGGTATTTTGCGATGCTCTATGTTTCTTTAATTCTATTCTACCATTCACTGGGTAGTAGTATGCAGCCTTCCGCTTCTTTGATCCAGTTTCTTTTTCGTTAGGAATGAATTTAATAGTCAATTCTTGATAAGGTTTTGTGAATCGTTCGAAATGCATATCATAATTCTTTATGTGCTTAAATTTGTACTCCAGAGTATTTTCATCTTCATCCAACAAGTTCACCGGTTGTTCACGTTCTGTGGAATTTAATCTATCTTGAAGTTGTTCAACTTTTTCCACATCTTTAACTTGATATAATGACATCCATTCACCATCGGCAGTGGTAATTGGTTTAAAAATGGCAGTTTCCAAAGATTTCTTTTGGAAGTTTTCATTATATTTAGCACCTTGTTGTCTTTTAAAAAGCTCTAATTCTCTTGTTACAGAAGCTGAACCAGTAAATTTAATACTTAAGAACTTGGTGTCCAACATGGAAGTGTCTGGTAATAATGGCCAAGCAGCAACGGCCTTTGCGTTTCTCTTTCTTGGATGTTTCAATTTCGAAAAGTTGTCCAAACTATCTTGAGCTTCATCAAAGGTCTTTTCCACTGCTGCTAACTGTGATTCTGCATCATGACCTTCCTTCTTCTTTAATAATGGAGCAACTGGTTCATTGATAACCTTAGGAGTTGATTGCTTTTCAGAGATATATTCAGTTCTTCTCAAAAATGAAACACCAGGTTCAGATTTGGAAATCTTCCCAATACCAGCATCTCTTAATAAAACTTTATCCTTTGGGTGTAATTCAAATTCACGCTTAGCTGCAAGGCTGAAAATACTGGATTCGTCTCCATTATTAAGGCATCCATGGTTATTGATCAAATTCAAATTCAATCCATATTCGTCGTCTACTGTCTCGATGTAACTTAAAAAGTTTTGCTTTCTAAACAATGAACTTAAAAGTTGTTCTGATTCTTCTTTTGTACTGACTGGTTCAGTAGTGTTGTCCTTTAAATACTTGGGATTTAATGGGGGAGGTGGTAACGTATTTACATAACGAACCTTGGCAATATAATCCTGTCTCACAGGCTTCAGACTTGATTTAGACATTCTTCAATTTATCAGTGATATTAGTTACTTCCTTTATCACTTTTGAATGGTATCGAAACTTTTCTCATATTTGGAAATTGTTATAGTCGTGCGCGCTCCATAATATTGAATGTGCTATTTATTTGTTTTTTTTTTTTTTCAGTTGTCGTAGTTACATTTTAATCCCTTTCCCGCACTTTTAAGTTGGTTGCAAAAAAACATATTGCATATCCCCTCAGAACAATACAGAAAAACTACTGAAACCCCCTTTTTCTAAAAAAACATGTTTCTTGAATAAAATTTATATATATATATGTGGTGTATATATTTGTTTAGTCTAAAATTTGGAAATAATTTTTTGGAAGTGTTCACCTTGGCCCCTAGCAATTTCAAGTTCCAATTTAGATGGAGATCTAGATCCATCAGCTCCAGCAAAAGTTCCTGCACCCCATGGAGAGCCACCGTGAACTTCATCAAATGAGGTAAGACCCTTTTGGGAGTAACCAATAGGGACGTAAACCATACCATGATGGGCCAATGTAGATAAGGAACTGATAACAGTGGTTTCTTGACCTCCACCCGGAGTACCAGTGGAAACGAAAACACCAGCAGGCTTCCCGATTAAAGCACCCTGACTCCACAATCCACCAGTACCATCCCAAAAGGATTTGAATTGAGATGGGAAGTTACCAAATCTGGTAGGAATTCCAAACAAAAATGCATCGTAATCTTTCAAAGTATCGTTGGTGGCAATTGGGAGATCTGGTCTAGGTGGAGCCTTCAACATCTTTAAAATATTTTCGGGTAAAGTCTCTTGGACTTGGAAAACGGTAGCAGATCCACCAGCTGCTTCAACACCGACCTTAGCGGCTTCAGCCATCTTGGCGATGTGATGGTATAAGGAATAGATAATAATTGCGGTTCTTGGGGCCATTGTGTAGTAGTTGGGTTCTTTAAAGATGAGAGAACATAATATACTTTAAAATTGCTACATATCGATAGTCCTATATATACTACATTTTTAATTGTGAGAGCTGGTTAATAAATTTTACTAATCTCACAAATTACTAATTTGTTATTTTTTATTTCTAACTTTAATTCCTTTTGTCCTTAGATAAATTTATTTTTTTTATTGGCGAAAAATAATAACTAAGCTAGCGTATCACAGAAGCACATGTCCTGCTACAAATGAATATTATTAAATATATTATTATTTTTGATTTATACAGATAGAAATATTACTGTAAAATGCAACTCTTAATTTTCTTCATATTTAAAAGCTTTACAAGTCCTTTCTAGCAAAGTCTTGTGCTTCAATGTTACTTCTTTCACACATTTGTTGGAAAATACTATCTTTGGTATTAAATAAATTCCAAGGCGTATCAAACTCTTTAAGTTCACCCTTATCAAGTACCAAAATCTTATCATAGTTTACGATTGTCTTCAATCTGTGTGCAATACACAAGATTGTACAATCACTGAACTCATTTACAACAGTGTTTTGGATTTTACTATCAGTTTCGTAATCCACGGAAGAAGTAGCTTCATCAAGAATCAAAATCTTGGATTCACGAACTAATGCTCTTGCAAATGCAATCAATTGCTTTTCACCTAATGAAAAGTTAACCCCATCATCTTCAACATTTTGTTCTAAATGGAATTTATGCAAATTTTCGTCATCCTTTCCTTGAAGTTGAACTTGTTCAATACGATCCTCGGGAATAAGACCAGATCTTCTTAATGCATCCCACAATTTGGCATCTGAACTTTGTCCAAATGGATCCAAATTCTTTCTAATATTCCCTTGGAATAAAACTGGATCTTGTGGAATAATTGACAATTTAGATCTGAGTTCTTGTAAACCAAGTGATGCAATATCGATGCCATCGATTATAATCTGACCACCAGATAATTCTGATAATCTATATAATGCTGTCATGATAGATGATTTACCAGCACCAGTTCTGCCACAAATACCAATCTTTTCACTAGCCTTCGCGTTGAAAGAAAGGTTTTTCAACACCAATGGAAGACCTGGTCTATAGGCCAAGTCGGCGTTCTTGAATTCGATAACACCTTGAGATGGCCAAGTTGGAGGAGGTGTGGTTTCAGAAATATTGTAAGCAGCTTCCTCTGGCAAGTTATAAGCATAATTAGAAAGTCTTTCAACTGAATTCATTTCATTTTCTAATTGAGTATAAGTTCTAATCAACATGGACAACTGACCGACAATCTGTAAGACATAGGATAACAATAAACCAGCTGAAGAAGCATTAATCTTAAATACTCGGTTAACACACAAAAGTGCAATGACTAAGGCGAAAACACAAGCAATAAGATCCAAATGAATACCAAGCCAACGTTGATTAGCAATAGTAATAAAATAAGCTTCATTCATATTATCAATAAACTTACTGTTTTTCGTCAAGAATCTATTAGAAGCCTTATAAGCCTTGATAGTATTCATACCACCCAAAGTTTCATTAAAGTTATTGTAAACAAATGATCTTTGAGTAGCTTCAAGTCTTTTAATTTCTCTTGAAGAAGCTTGATAGTAATTTGAAATAGCAACGAACAAGAAGATTAAGAAAGGCACAGCAATTGCAAACCAAGGCAAGTAAATAATACAAAGAATAATGACTCCGATAATGTTGGCAAATGTGAAGAAGAAGAATCTGATCTGGTCACCAATTTCGTTATCAACAACATCGGTATCCTTTGTAAATCTGTTAAGAATTCTACCCATTGGAGTTGTGTCCATGAATGACATAGGTGCTCTCAATAATTTAGAAACCGCTTTATTATTCAAGTTGACAGCTGCTCTGTTACAAAGGTATGCGAGAAGCATAAACTCAAAACACAAGAGGAGGAAAGACAAAATGGTAAACATAACATAGAGACCGATGTAAAACCCATCAGATCTTCCTTCAAACTTACCTCCAGTCCAGAATGAAAGCCAAGTGTTGGCAAATAAAGAACAGAAGGTGGCTAACATAGTGGCAACCGAAATAACTGGTACAATACTATACCTTTTGAACATACCTGAACCCAATTTGACGTAGTTCTTGTAAACCTTAAAACTAATTCCATTGACAGCACTTTCTTCTCTTTCGAATAAAGTTCCCTTTTCGTCCTTGTTGGTCTTATAATCCTTATGAATAGCTTCTTCATCAACAACAGTTTGTCTTCTGGAGAGTTGACGTTCAATTCTTTCTCTTTCAGCTTCAGCTTCATCTTCTTCCTTAATTAATTCAAATTCTTCGACTTCTTCTTCTTCTTCTTCTTCCTTTTCTGCTTGACTGCTGAAAGTCATCAATTTTCTGAATCCTTCATTTTCATTTTGCAATTCATCAACTGTTCCAACGGAGATACTTCCATCACCATTCAAGAAAATAATTCTGTCAGCGGATCCAATCAAAGACAATTGATGGGTGGCCAAGATTCTAGTCTTATCTTTTAATAATCCTAAAATACAGTTGTTCATAATATGCTTACCAACTCTAGCATCAACAGCAGATAAAACGTCATCCAATAAAATGATATCAGGGTTGGCATAAACAGCTCTGGCTAAATTAATTCTAGCCTTTTGACCACCAGATAAAGTAATACCTCTTTCACCGATTTCAGTTTTTTCTCCAGCAGGTAAGATTTCCAAATCACTTTCTAAGGAACAAGCGTACACAACATCGTTATACTGTTGCTCATTATATTCAAGACCAAACAAAATATTTTCTTTAAATGTCTCATTTTGAACCCATGGTTGACCACAAAGTAACAAATTACCATTAACCAGAACATTACCACTTTCACGAGACATGAATCCAGAAATAGCATTTAAAAGAGATGATTTACCAGATCCAATCAACCCAGTAATAACAACGAATTCTCCTGTTTTAATGTTTAAATCGATGTTGTTCAAACCAGGGAAAGAAGTGTCTTGCAAAGTGGATTGTTCTGATGACTTGGAAGATTCACCAGAATCCTTTTCCGTGTAGGACTCCTTTTTAACTTCTGACAATTCCACTGAATCTTTACCCTTTGACTTACCTTTGACGTCAGTATCTTGGTCGGTTTCCTCGGATTCGAATGACTCCCATTTGAACGTGGCATTTTCAATTTCAATAGCTACATCTTCCTTTTGCATAATGGCCAATTTTTCATCATCAGCTTCGATCTTATTCTTCTCGGTATCAACTTCACCAGCGTATAAATATTCACCAACTCTTGCAATACCAATGAAGGCATCACTTCCAGAAGATAAAGCCATGGGGATCAAGAAAACTTGTTGGGTCAAACCGTTGAAAAGAGAAAGAGAAGAAAAAATATTAGCAGGATCTCTTTTACTTCCATGTTTACTCAAAGCGTATAAGACGAGGAAGGCAATCATAGAAGAAAGTAAAGATAAAGACATGGCGAAGGCAGTGACGAAATTTCTCAAGATGTTCATCTTGTAAAGAATTCTCATTTCACTTTTTCTAACATCTGAAATCTTGTCCAAATATGGAGGTTCCCAGGAATAAAACTTTATGATCTTCAAGTTATTCAATACTTCTTTGATAAAGTTAACTCTTCTATCGGTAAACTTGTTTGCTGTGAATCTGTATCCAAACAATTTTTTGGTACTGATGGCAATACCAACCATGAAACAAAGCATCACAGCAATACCAACTAATGAAGAAACACCAATATTAACTACCAAAATGGCAATAGCAATACCAATTGGAATAGGGAAAACGAGCAAAAATGGTTGAAAACCAATTGCAAAATCAATTCTCGCCAAATCGGTACCCATCATGGAAGTGATCTTTGAAGTAGGATACTTGTGTCTCGATTCAGGGTTCAACTTGAATGACTTATCGAGGATTGCCTTGGTTAACACAGCCTTAACTTGCGCACCTGTAAGCATTGAACGGTAAAAGAAATGATTGATAAAAATACCTCCAAGTAAGATAAGAAATGCAGCACCAAAGGAGTATCCGATACCCTTTCCAGGATGCGAAATCAATCCAAGCGATCTCATTTCAACGAACTTAATCAATTTCTTGGTAAGTAAAGGGTTACAAGTATTACCAACGTTGGCCAAGCACAAACACAAGCATGAAGTCAAATATTGCCATTTGAAAGTTTGGAAAAGAGCAAGAATAGTCAAACTTTTGGGGAAGACAAAATCCTTCAAGTCTTCTTCATCTGACTCTGGAGTTCTTGGTGTAGTATCATTACGTTCCTTTCTCTTTTGGTTGATAAATTTCGTTTCAGCACTTGCAATTTTAGTCTTAAGATGACCATAAAATATTTCGGTCATCTGTTCTACCTTAATATCATCATATAACTTGTAGAGATCGGCAGGCTCGAGAGTTCTCTTATAACCAGAGTTCATCACCGGGATTAACCACCAAAAGAAAATCTTTGAAAATATATTTGCGGACTTTCCTGGATGGACCATACGTTCCTCATCTGACGGGAGTGGTGGAACTTTCTTTGAGAGGAGAAACGTCAATAGACGGCTCTGTGGCCTCAATAGCACAGAATTATTCTCAATATCGGACATTTAAGATGTAGGATCGATACTATCTAAAACGGTGCTATACTATGAAATGAATGAATGTGTGTGTAAAAAAGATCCAAAAATGATTTTATTTTTTACAACTATTATTGATAATAATAATTATGGATCTATAGGTTCAATTTCGCCCTTATATCGTTATTAAGACTATATAAGTTTTTTCCTATTAATGTGTTGGTGAAATGTGGCAATGTATATATATATGATTAAAAATATTTTAGGGCCGCACGAAAACAATTTCACGTATCTCCGTACTTCTCTTGCAATGATATGTCAACCTTTTAGCGCTTACGTCAGCTCATTTATTCGTTTAATTAAATATACTTCGTTTGATATTACACTCTCGGGAAAATGAAGCAAGTATGTGCGAGTAGCTTGATGTAGCAGGGATGTTAGAACTAATGTCAATGGAAAACAAAAGGTTACGTCAGGTCAACTCATCTAAAACTTTATTGATGAGGCAGGGAAACTTGCTCTAGAGCAAAAAATTAAAAAAAAAAATGTCCCATGCATTAACTCCGTTAAGCCCGCCAAAAAAATTAACTTCGACATGAGGTGGCAAAAACGACCATGGAATGGCTCCAAAACAGATAAGAAATATTCCAACTTGTTTTACATAGAATGGCAACCTAATTATGATACTATAACGGTTATTTGCATTTTGACATGAATTTTCTTACACTAAGTCTTTAAAAATAGGCATTTAAGTTTAAAAGTGAGAATTAATGTTTCACCACCAGTTTGCTCTTCGAGACTTTGTGTGTTTTCCCCACTAAAAATGCGATAAATCCGTACTATTATTTCTTCTCATCTAATTTTTGACGATATTTGTTGTGTGCAGTCTGCATGTTTGAATTGTTAATCTGATTTTTATTATTTGTGGAAATGTGATTCACAATTCCGAGACTTTGATAAGAATTGAATAAGAATATAATTTCACGTTGAATATTGATAGTATATTATGTATTTAAGCTACTTTTAACCGATGAAGATCTTTAAAGATGAGACAGAACTTGTATCCTTTTTCTACTTAGTGTATATGGAGTATAATGAATGAACTATGAAATACCGAAATATGAAATAGTGGAGCCATAACATTGTGAACATCCTCAAATCAGAATTGGTACATATGTTCAAGAACTGTTAACAAAAATGAGGGATATACGCTTTTCTTTGTTGGTGCGACGTGTATTTGATAATTTTGCATCCACATATACAATACTCTTTCTTGGTTTTATTTTGAACGTAGGATGTAGGATATCTGACTGCAGATCTGGAAGGTTGCTCCTTTAACAACGCGGATTGTTTTCATCATGAAGAGTCACTCTATAAAAACAATCTACATTCTTGATCTTAAGAGCTAGATCAAAATTTGATTGAGACAATATTTATTTCACGTAATTTATATTCATACTAAGCCATAGAACAGCAATCTATACTCAAAATTTGGTTGGTTTTCATAGAAGCATATATGGGACATAGTATGTATGAGCGTACAATTACTCTCTGTTGTAAATTCCTGTAAGAAGCCCGGTGGAAACTACATTTCCTTTAATTATTTCTTGAACATGAATTGCTCGAGGTGGTTCAGATAATTTGCTTAAAGCAGTGGTTGCAATTTCATTGATTCCGAAAGCTTGGAAACAATACCTATGTGGACCATGGGCTTCAAGTGGTCTTGGGCCCAAATATTTTGTATTCCGATAAAGATTCTTTCCTCTCTTGTATAAATCACTGGTGCTTTCAGAGAGTTCATCTAGAGCAAATGTGGTTTTAGAAGGGGATATATTATAAATAACCATATGAGTGACAGGAATAAGAATTGGAACGTCAATATCCTGACAAAGCAATACGTACGACTTTGCATTAGGTTCCAAACCGGTGATCTTCAAGGATGGACACTTATTGTCACCTACCCCCACACCGGCAGTTGCAACTGGCATGTGCTCACCATCTTTGAAATCTTCACTAGTTAAGGTTAGTGAGCGTGGGGCGTCTTTAAACCCTTCCTGGTTTATCATAAGAGCATCCTCCGTTAATTTGTAATTATAAAAAAGTTTTCCTAATGTTCTCTCAATAAATCCCATTTCTATTGAATTTATTAGTTGAAAAAGTATTACTTGCGTACTTGACCCAAGGCAACGTAGGGGGTTTTAAATACTGCAACCATATCGAACTTTATTTCCGCACTTCGGCGGTATGGCCGAACAAAAGCATAAGCCTAGTAGCCATTAAGCCATTTTATTCGATTTCATAATCTTTTGTTCCATCTACGTTCTTACAGTATATATAGAGTTGATAACAAGGGGTCAACTCAGAAATTCTACCATTAATCAATTAGTTGTCGATTTCTTTTATCTTTGTTGTTTGTTTTTTGTGTCTTGTTTTGACGTTATATGTAGTTTTCTCCGTAATATTTATTATCTCCGGATGCGGATATAACAGTTGAATATATACAGCATCTCCACATAAGGACATCACATCAATTTTACATTTTTTTGCTTGTTTTTTTAGCAATGTTGGACAAAAAAATTGCTATTGTAGGAGCTGGACCTGGAGGTCTTACCCTTGGACTGATCTTACAAAAGAGAAATATCCCCTTTGTTATTTTTGAAAGTGATGAATCTCCAGAGATAAGAGATCAAGGAGGATCATTAGATCTTCACCCTTCTACTGGACAAGCCGCAATCAAGGAATGTGGTTTATACGATGAGTTTACTGCGATATCCCGACCAGAAGGTGATTATTCGAGGGTGGTATTACCAGATGGGACTGTGTTACGAGACGAAAACTTAAAAAAAAAGGATGAAAACGTTAACGAACTGGTCAATTCTGGCGATAGACCAGAAATCGACAGAAAAGATCTTAGAGATCTTCTTTTGAAATCTATTGATAAAAGTAACATTATTTGGGGTAAAAGGGTAAGTGAGATTAGAGATGATTCATCCAATAAGCAAAAAACGATACACTTTGTAGATGGAGAATCTTTGCAGTTTGATTTGGTTGTAGGAGCAGATGGGGCTTGGTCTAAGGTAAGGAGACTAATCTCCGATGTAATTCCTCATTACTCGTCCATTACTTTGGTTGAACTTTGGGCTTTTAACGTTAGTAAAGACAATCCAGAACTTTCGGATTATACAGGAGCCGGTACTTGCTTCATGATTGATGAAAATAAATCTGTGATCTCACAGAGGTGTAGTAATGACAGTATTAGAATATATGTTAGTTTGAGAGTTGATGAGAATTGGCAGCATGATAGTGGCATAAATTGGGATACGCCCGAGGCTGCCAGGCAACAATTGGTTGATGGTTACTTCAATGAATGTGCACATGAAATTAAAGATGCAATTATTAGTGCTAAAGATAATCTTGTGATTCGGCCACTTTATATGCTTCCAATCGGATATAAGTGGGTACACCAGGTGGGGGTAACATTGCTCGGAGATTCGGCTCATCTAATGACCCCTTTTGCTGGTGAAGGTGTCAATACCGCCATGTTTGATGCCCTTGAATTAGCAAATGCAATCACGAGTGGCTTAGATCTTGACACATCTTTAAGAAATTACGAAAAAAAATTGTTTAAGAGAGCAAAATATTATGCCAAGGATACATGGCGAAATGTACAAGTTTGCTTTTCTAAAAATGGAGGAGAGAAATTAAATGATATGTTTTCTGGGAAATTATCAGCAATGATTCCTATGTTATTACTATATGTGTACGATACAGTAACATCAATATTCGAGTAAAAAAAAAAAACTATATACAAAATATTACATAGATTAATAAGAAAAGGACGTTGGTATAATATACAATAAAAGAAAAAAGGCGTGTAGAAGCGAGTACGATAAGTAAGCGCAATTACTGGCAAATGAAATACTCACCTCAACAGGGGTGCAGCAAACGACATTGTACGGCAATTGTTTTATAAAGCCGCAAAATAGTAGGCTCCAAAGTGAGCCGTACGTTTGTCCAAGACCAATGACACAAAGACCCAACAGTTTTATGTCATAAAGAAGGTGGAAACACAAATACTTAATTTTAGTTTCAATATATTCTTTTAATAAAGTCAATTGGTTATATTATAGATAGAGGATTGTTATCAGATATTTAACTTTCTGTGGTATTTGACGTATGTATCTTTAATTTCTTTGTGTAAAAAAGGGGAGGCTAATTACACTTTTGAATACACACACATATTATCGGTGACTTTGACTCGTTTCCGTTTACAATCGGGAGATACTTCCTTTATTGCTAAAGGATTTTGTACTCAAACATCCTACGGTGGGGATTTACTTTACAACTCTTTGACTTGTGACAAAGAACTACAACTATATTTCGTTAATGGTGTATCACCGATCAATCTTATCTAGATATCTGACTCTCCCCTCAATTTCGCCACTAAAATTGGACATTTTTGAGAATGTGTGGAATTTTATTTTCTTGCACCATTTTCGCGAATTACATGTACAACTCTTAGACATGATACTAACGGCCATAAGATATTTTTACAAAGCAATTATCAACCTTTTTAATTAAACTTTTTCCTCCCTACCCATTTACGAGTTTTGTTGTCGGGTTTGTTGAAAAAGAAAAATTGGCTATCTTATTTACTATTAATTCAAAGCACCATGTGTAGACACTCCATCGCTGCATCTTCGTCTAACCCAGACCGTGAGGTGTTACCAACCAACGTTAAACCACTTCATTATGATTTGACTTTGGAACCATTGTTTGACACTTTCCGTTTCGACGGTACTGTTGAAATAACACTTCAAGTCAACGAAAATACTGACGAAATTGTCTTAAATAGCACAGAAATCGACATTCATTCCGCTCACATCCTTGATGTTGAAGCCGACAAGATTACTTTCGATGAAGATGCTCAAACAGCCACATTCAAGTTTAAAGATACATTGGTCGCTGGCTCTCAGACTACACTTAAAATTGTTTTCACTGGTGAGCTTAACAATATGGCTGGTTTCTACCGTTCATCTTACCAAGAAGATGGTAAGACTAAATATCTTGCTACTACCCAAATGGAACCAACTGACTGTCGTCGTGCATTCCCATCTTTTGATGAACCAGCTCTTAAGGCTACCTTCTCCATCACTCTTATAGCTGACAAGGATTTGGTTTGTTTGTCAAACATGGATGAAAAGGAAACCACTATCTTGGAATCTGGTAAGAAACAAGTTTTGTTCAACAAGACTCCTTTAATGTCCACTTATCTCGTGGCATTTATTGTTGGTGACTTGAAGTATGTTGAAAACAATGACTTCAGAGTTCCAATCAAGGTATACGCTACCCCTGGTTCAGAACATTTGGGTGAATATTCTGCTGATATTGCAGCTAAAACTTTGGCATTTTTTGAAAAGAAGTTCGATATTGAATATCCATTGCCAAAGTGTGATATGGTTGCCATCCATGATTTCTCTGCTGGTGCCATGGAAAACTTTGGTTTGATTACTTACAGAACTGTTGATTTATTATTGGACACCAAGACTTCAAACATCAATACCAAGCAAAGAGTTACTGAAGTTGTTATGCACGAATTGGCCCATCAATGGTTCGGTAACTTGGTCACCATGGACTTCTGGGATGGTTTATGGTTGAACGAAGGTTTTGCCACTTGGATGTCCTGGTATGCCTGTGACTCTTTATACCCAGACTGGAAGGTTTGGGAATCTTATGTTTCGGATTCTTTACAACATGCATTGACTTTGGACGCATTAAGAGCATCTCACCCAATTGAAGTCCCTGTTAAAAGAGCTGATGAAATTAACCAAATTTTCGATGCTATCTCATATTCTAAGGGTTCCTCCCTTTTGAAGATGATTTCTAGATGGTTAGGTGAAGATGTATTCATCAAGGGTGTTTCCAACTACTTGAAGAAGCACATGTGGGGAAACACTCAAACTTCTGATTTATGGGAAGCTCTCAGTGATGTCAGTGGTAAGGATGTCGTCAAGGTTATGGATATTTGGACTAAGAACATTGGTTACCCAATTGTCTCTGTTAAGGAGTCTGAAGGAAAGCTTATTGTTTCTCAAAACCGTTTCCTTGCTACTGGTGATGCTACTGCTGAAGAGGACAAGATCTTGTATCCTGTATTCTTGGGTTTGAAGACTTCCAAGGGTCTTGATGAATCTTTGGTCTTGGATACCAGAACTAAGGAATTTGAAACTTCTACTACTGATGATTTCTTCAAGATTAATGGTGATCAAGCTGGTATTTTCCGTACTGCTTATGAACCTGCCAGATGGGCCAAGTTGGGTCAAGCTGGTGTCGATGGTAAGTTATCTGTAGAAGACCGTGTTGGTCTTGTTGCTGACGCGGGTGCATTGGCTTCTTCGGGTTATATTTCCACCACCGACTTCTTGAACTTGGTCAAGTCATGGTCTAATGAATCTAACTATGTCGTTTGGGATGAAATTTTGTCTCGTATTGGAAATGTCAAGGCTGCGTTAATCTTTGAATCAGATGATATTAGAGTTGCATTGAACCGTTTCATCGTTGATCTTCTTGGTGATAAGTTAAAGTCTGTTGGTTGGACCTTTAGCGATAGTGACTCTTTTGCTGAACAACAATTGAAATCATCTTTGTTTGCATTTGCCGTTGCTGCAGGTCATGAAGAAGCCGGTGCCTTTGCCGAAAAGAGCTATGCTGACTACATTGGCGGAAACAAAGACGCCATTCATCCAAACTTGAGAACTACAATTTTCAACCACGCTGCCAAAACTGGTGATGAAAAAACATTTGATCAATTATTCAAGATTTATCAAAACCCTCTGTCAGTTGATGAAAAAATTACTGCATTGAGATCTCTTGGTAGATTCACACAACCAGAAATCTTAGATAAGGTTACTGGTTTATTGTTGAACAGTGATGTTGTCAAGCAACAAGATATTTACATTCCTATGCAAGGATTGAGAGCCACCAGAGTTGGTATCGAAACCTTGTGGAGTTGGGTCCAAACCAATTGGGATACTCTTTTCGAAGTCTTACCACCAGGGTTGTCCATGTTGAGTACTGTTGTTTCCCTTTCTACTTCTGGTTTCACCAAGAAGGAACAAAGAGCCCAAGTTGAAGAATTCTTCAAGTCTAAGAACACCAAGGGTTATGACCAAGGTTTGGCACAATCTTTGGATGTCATCAAGGCCAAGGGTAACTGGGCTGAACGTGACGCTACCAAGATTTCTGAATGGTTGGCTTCTAACGGTTACTCTAAATGACTAGGTTCTGAACAAAAACAAGAACAACGTTCCAGTAGATTATGAAAACGTGGATTTACGTAAATAAGTATTAGAAGAATATAAAAAAATAAAAATAAACTAGCTCTTCAAAACACCTTCAATGTAATTCAATTGTTCTATATAAAAAAGCAATATGAAAATCTTGACTTGCCCTTGTATCATCTTCTAATTCCTCACCTTTCAAAAGTCCTTCCTCGTCAATTTCAATCTCTATATCATCTCTTCCTTGATGGAAACCACATTTATTAATGTAATAGGATACAAGGTCATGTTCTCTAATAACAGTAGAATGGATGCAGATTTCCGAATGCTTGTTTCTATCTAATTTTAATTGTTCATCAACACCAGTGGACTTATTCTTCATAATTTTATCAATCACAATGTTAAAAAGTTTTGGTCCAGTGCCTCTTAAAAATGATGTAAAGGAAGTAAGCTCTATTTCCCTCACTGATTCCTTTACAGGTCCATCAGAATGATATCCTTTAAAGCCAATGGTTGCAAGTACTCTGTTTGAGACCTGTTCATCAATCACGAAGTCATCCCCCACTATCCTAACGGAAATATCCTTATCAGAATATTGAAATTTCTCCACAAATTCCTTTGGAATATCCATATCAAAACTTTCATTTATATCTGTAGAGGAAAAATCTCTCAACTTTAAATTGATATCCTCAAATACTGATTGAGGACCAAGAAATAGAAACATAACAAAGCTCTTTTTGTCATCAATCTGGAAATTTTCCAAAAATTTAGCTGAGTCTTTTATTCTTGGAGTAAGAATTACTCCAAATCTTAATCGACATTTATCGTAAGATTTATTGATGATTCTACTCAAAGCTTCGAGATTCTGGGGCGAAGCTCCGAGGAACCAACTTCGTGGAAGTCCAATAAGTTCGTATGACATATTATTACTCTTGATCTACAATAAGAATAATACAATCATTTTGAAAATAAAACTGCCCGATAACAAATATTGAGATATCAAAGATACTCCTGACTCGCAAGATTTGAGCGCTTAAATGATTCATACAAATAAAATTTATTAGTACATTATTTTATTTTATTTTTTTGATGCTATTTCTATATATAGATATTAATTTCTAAGGTATGGTATCATCGACATTCAAGAATCGAAGAATTAACATGAATTGGTCTTCATAGAACCCAAAGTTTTCTCTAAACTTATTGATATGTTTCCATCTTTTAGTATTGATGGTACCTGCATCTCTACGTAATCTATCCCATAAATGATCTCCTCCCAAGTTCTTTTGGACTTCCTTCACTGATAAGTTCAAGTTTGGATACTTTTCTGCAAGCAGGGGAACTACATTTTGTTCCACTTGTTGTGCATATGCCCATATAACAACATGGCCAATAAATGAAAGAACCGAATAATCAAATTGATTTTGGTGAATAGTTTCACTTGGTGGGGTAAGTTTAGTACCAGTATTTTCAAGTGTAATCTCAGGGTAATGGCCAAATAATACATCAACTGGAAATTCCTTCATTGTTTTCTTGAATCCAGTAGATTCATACAAGGCAACACTAACACAAACTTGTAAGAACTTTGATCGAATATCTACATCACTAAAGATATCATGTGAATGTAAAAGTGAAAATTTCAAAATATTAGCAACAAATTTGGTTGTCATTGTAGAAGAAATAATCGCCTTACATTTAACATCAGTGAGAGGTAAGTTCAAGATTTGTTTGTGTGATAATCCAATGATGGTTTTAATTGCATTAACCCTAGGTAAATTTTCAGAATATTTCCCATTTGAAATTGTCCTTTTCGTTGATCTTAGGTTAATAGCAAATGGATTTTCAAGATTTTCAGGTGATTTTTTAGCATTGAGCTTCATTCTTTCATTACGACTTAAACTTGATTCATGATCATAGATAGAGTATTCTTTATCAATGGTTTTCTTCTTTTTAAGCTCTTCAACGGTAATCAATTCGTTATCTTTGCCAACCAAAACAGTGCTGTCCGATTGGGTAACAATTGGTTGTCCATCATCAATGTATTCTATCCCACTAGCTTTATCCTCTTTCACAGTTACAACATTCTCGGGTGATGTAAGAAGTGTTTCATTTTCATCATCCAAAATTGAGTCGTTACTTGGAGATATTTCTCTTTGTGGAGTGATTAATTCAGAATTGGACTTCTTGGATGATTTATTCTTGCGAGATTTCTTGGTAGAAGCTACGTCAGAAGAGCTTGGACTTGAACTTTGTTCTGTAACTTTGACATCCTTAACATCCTTATTCTTTTTGGTTTTTTTTGGTGTATTCTTTACTGGTGTATTAGATTTCAAAGGACTGGTAACATCTTGAACAGTTTCTTCAATTTTCCCATTTAATTGTTGTTCTGGTTCTTCAATGGCTGGTGATTTCTTCTTGTTGTTTCTTTTCTTCTTCTTCTGCTTAGCTTTTACTGGACTCTCATTCATACTGGTTGAACAATCGGAACTCACACCTCTATTCAAATCATCCAAAACCTCTTTATTGAACAAGGAAGTCATGGAAAATTTTTCATCACCATCATTAGTTAAGGCTGACTTTAAAGAATTGTTTTGTTCAGAACTCTTTACAGGGGAATTGGTTCCAGATTTAGAATTTCTTTCACTTTCCCTTTCCCTTTCTCTAGCATTGGCTCTTCTTTCAGATCTCTTTTGGTTTGCCTTCTTTTTCTTATCGACTGAAGATTTCGTTCCAGCTTTCTTGCTTGTTTCTGATGGCTCATCATTGTCTTCATCACTACTAGAAAATGTAATCTCTTCCATATCTTTTGTTATATCATCGATCTTAACCTCAATCTTTTTATTGTTACGTTTTCTAGATTTTGGAGTGGCACGGTTGTTTGTTATAGGACTCTCAACTTGTAAAATTTCAATTTCCTCTACAATATGTGTGGTTGGAACTTGTTTCTGGTCTTGAAGAAGGTAATTTAAATCGTTTTCAAATGGGTCATCTGGTTGTTGAAGATCCTTATAATCATAATTCTTAACTTCAAATTCTTCGGTAGTATTTGTAATTGAAACTTCTTCTGATAAATCAAGGATAACCTTAGCTTTATCCTTCTTGGATTTACGTTTAGGTGGCATTTAGAAATTTCGATCTTTGTAAGTTGATTGTTTTCTAAATATTGTAATACAAATAATAAACACGAGAAAATTTCCTTCAGGTACGCGAAAAAGAGACACGGGTTTTTAAAAATATTGTGAAACATATTTCATTCTCTCCACTTCCCCACATCAAATTATCAGTTCATAAATTACTAATTTTACCATATCTACGATTAATTATCAATATATAATTTTATTCAATAACATTCTTTTAGAAATTCCCCTTAAAAGATCGATTTATATAATCTATTTAAAAGAAAATTAAATGCTTTAACTTGAGATAGTCATCTAATAACATTAAAATAGTCTAGCTTTCTTAAATCATAGTATTACCTTCTTAGAAAGAAGCAACAAAAGATTCGGTGGTAGCCTTCAACTTTTCCAATAATTCCTTAGATAATTCACCCTTTTCCTTGATAGCGTTCAAGATTTCTGGTTCGTTAGATTTTAAGTGGGAAGCGAAAGATTCTTCGAATTCAGTAAGTCTTTCCAAAGCAACTTCATCCAAGTAACCGGAAACACCAGCGTAAATCAATGGAACTTGTTCTTCAGCGGCCAATGGAGCGTATTGCTTTTGCTTTAATAATTGGGTCAATCTTTCACCTCTCTTCAAGGTTTGCTTGGTAGAAGCATCCAAATCAGAACCGAATTGGGCAAAGGCAGCAACTTCTCTGTATTGGGCCAAGAACAACTTCAAGGAACCAGCAACTTGCTTCATAGCCTTAACTTGGGCAGCGGAACCGACACGGGAGACGGACAAACCGACGTTAATAGCTGGTCTGATACCCTTGTAGAACAATTCAGCTTCCAAGAAAATTTGACCATCAGTAATGGAAATAACGTTAGTTGGAATATAAGCGGAAACATCACCACCTTGGGTTTCAATAACTGGCAAAGCAGTCAAAGAACCACCACCGTGCTTGTCGGACATCTTAGCAGCTCTTTCCAATAATCTGGAATGCAAGTAGAAAACATCACCAGGGTAAGCTTCACGTCCAGGTGGTCTTCTCAATAACAAAGACAATTGACGGTAGGCAACAGCTTGCTTAGACAAATCATCGTAGATGATCAAAGCGTGCTTACCGTTGTCTCTGAACCATTCACCAATGGCACAGGCGGTGAAAGGAGCCAAGTATTGCAATGGAGCGGCTTCAGAAGCAGTAGCGGCAACAATGATGGAGTACTTAAGAGCATCGTGTTGTTCCAAAGTTTGGACCAATTGAGCAACAGTGGATCTCTTTTGACCAACAGCAACGTAAACACAGTACAACTTCTTCTTTTCATCAGCACCGTTGTTCCATCTCTTTTGGTTCAAGATAGTGTCTAAAGCGACAGCGGTCTTACCAGTTTGACGATCACCGATAATCAATTCTCTTTGACCTCTACCAATTGGGACCAAAGCATCAACAGACTTCAAACCAGTTTGCATTGGTTCGAAAACGGAGGTTCTTGGCAAAATACCTGGGGCCTTGACTTCAGCTCTGGAAGAAGCAGAAGCGTTCAATGGTCCCTTACCATCGATTGGGTTACCCAAACCATCAACAACTCTACCTAATAATTCAGGACCAGTTGGGACTTCGACAATCTTACCGGTTCTCTTGACGGTTTCACCTTCCTTAACCAATCTGTCGGAACCCAACAAGACAATACCGACTTGACCGGCTTCCAAGTTCAAGGCCATACCCTTGACACCAGAAGAAAATTCAACCAATTCTTCGGCTTGAATGTTGTTTAAACCAAAAACACGGGCGATACCATCACCGACGGAAAGAACACGACCGGTTTCGTTCAAGTTAGCTTCATCAGAAACACCTCTGATACGTTCTTCCAAGATGGAGGAGACTTCGGTTGGGGTGGCCTTAGCAGAAGCAAAACGGACAGTTGGGCGAGACTAAAAAAAAATTGTTAGTATAATGAACAAAGTGAGAGGGCAGAGACAGAGGTTCAATTCAGAGTTCAACCCGCAAAATGGGTAAGTGACAGTAAAGGGTACAATAGAATTTATAAAATTGTTCACCGTACTTGCCGCCCAAAAAAAAATTCGATTCGCGAATTGGCCAATGAAATGAAGAAAAAAATCTGAGCTTGAAAGAATTGCAAGGAAACCGGGAAACATTTGTAAAACAGAATTAGGATAATAAATCTGTTGATTCATACGTAGTGGCATGTAGATATTAGACTGTTGAAGTGCACTCCATTTATATTAAGAAAAAATGGGGGGAGGGATCCTCGGAGCTAAATCGGGAAAGGGTACCGGATAAAGCACAACGACCATCCGAAACTATCCATTGGAAGCATTAGTATGTTCCATTGGACAGTAAATATTACTGTTTTCCCGTGTTATGGATACTGTGTAATGATCCAAATTATAGTTATTCAGTAGTCCTTGTAATCAATGAAAAATATGGCAATAGTCAAGAGGGAAAAGAATGTGAATGGGCCATAAAATGTCATAGGGGACAATGATAGGCCAGACAATACAAGTCTAGACCAACAGACGTTGGCTAGGAACCAACGATTGATCGATTGAACTAGACTGTTTCAATCTTAACCCCCACTATTGATTGACTCCATATCAAAGATTCAAATTTCAGTTTCCAACGTCAATTCAAACAAGACGATTCAATAAATATATATACATACAACACGCAAGGTTCTAGAGGCTGCAACGGCGGCACGGGCAGCAGTGCGAAGAGCAGGACGAGACAACATAGCGACGGTTATATACACTTGTTCTTTGTAAAGAAATCTGAAAGAAGGTGCGTTTCTTGAAGTCTAAGTAATATACTAAGTAGCGTACCAACCGAGTCGCAGCGCGGACAACGCTGGCAAATTCTATTGGAGGGTTGGAAATCCGGGTAAATCGCGAAGTGAGAAAACTTGATTGGACCATATTAAACAAATGGACTGTATGTAAAAAAAAACCTACTCAAAATAAAATACTGTGTGAGGGAGGTACTGCACAAAGGGTACACAAATTTAAGGAATTGCGGGAAAACTCGGTGTTTGTTGCAACCTATTGTAGAGTGAGTATAGAGAAAGTAAATAAATTCAATATAAAAAAATGAAAAAAAACGAAAAAGAAAAAAAAATTCAGTTATTGACAATATTGAATGATTCACGATACATTAGTATGATATACAACATTTTCAATAAACACTAGCTTCTATAAATATTCTTAAGTAGTTACAATTGGTACAAGAATTTAATTTTTTAAATTTTTTTTGTTCAAGTATTGCTCTATCTGCAGTACGTATCAAAAAAAAAAAAAAAAACCTTGAGACTTTTCAATAAAAAAAAATCGACACAATATGAATACACGGGTTTAAGGTTTTCATTTGTTAGAAGGAACCACGTTGTTGTAGAAATAAAATACCCGATATGTTTCGTACTGCAGCTCGTTCGTACTCCACTGGTGGGCCAGGATTCCTTTCGGATCTTTTAGCTAGAATTGAAGCTATTCCAGAAAAGGGAGCTGCAATGAAGAAGGTTACTGGTGCATCATCTGGACAAAAGTCTGGTCGTAACTTGAGAGTCAACCTTGCTGACCATCCACTTGCCCGTTTCACCGACGCTTCTCCTAGTCATTTTGGTGGATCCAAGAGATTTGACTCTGGAAACCGTTCTAAAGGTTTCAATAATAGATCTAAAGATTCTCAACAACGTCCAAAGAGATATGTTAAGAGAACTAATGTTAAAATGGTCAAGGGTAAGACATTCGAAAGTAAGGAACTTGTACATGGACCTTATGAACCAGAACTCAACGCCACTCTTTTCCATGACAGATCATCCAACATCAACCACTCTTTAACTTCAAGAGTTGCATCTGTAACCAAGGAAATTCTTCTTGAGTCCAAATATCCTTATAAATTTCCTAGACAAGTGATAGAAGCTGCTCCTAAGGAAGGAAACCCATTTGTGCTTCAAAACAACTATAACGCAGATGTTTCATCTGAAGTTCTTAAGCAAAAGTTGAATGCAACTGTCAAGGGTAAAGTGGTTGAAATAGATCTTCAAGAAAACAAAATCCCAAAGGGATTGAAGAATCATGCCATTTTCACCAAGAAAAACTTGATGATGAACCCAGACTTCAATGTTGAAACCAAGCAAAAGGTTTACAACGTAGTAAGTGGAATTAGTCCTGTATCATCTCTTGTTGAGGGATGTCATTGGATTAAGAAGTAAACTATATATTATATGAATGAGTGATGTATAGTTATTGTACATAGATAACAAACGGAATTACAAATGGGAAAGTGTAGATAATGAAGTGAAATTGAATAGAAAGGAAGAATTAGGAGTATAATACAAAGGTTAAGTACACTCAAAGTTCTCTGACTGGGACTGGGTAGGTATAATATCTGGAAACAACAAATTCTTAACCCAATTCCCTGGGTTGTATGCTTTTGATCCTTGAGATATTATTAATCTATTACACTTATGTTAAAACGGTTGCTCCTAGTTCCTTCCCTATTTAGATATAGGATCTACAATTTAATAACTATTGAATGTATTATTATGACCTACCTATCAACCAACCCTAAAACCCAAAACAAAAAACTACCAGACCCGTGAAGATGTGTTTATACATCTTCATATCTTGTTGAATAATGATCTTGCGCTTGCAGTTCCTTTATAATTGCGTTCAGGAATAGATTCTCTATAAGATAAAACAAATGGAAGTGTGATGGATAATGCCAAGTAGCTGAACATAATAGCTGGAGATGATCTGAATTTGACGATATGCATTATTGTATGATTGTATGTTGCAAGTTTCTAAGTAAAGTGATTTCTAAACGATAGTATGCAAATGGAATTGATTTTAATTAGCACTGTTTTTAATTACCACTGGGGATAAAAATGTATTTAAATTAAAGATATATGTTTGTAATATGAAAACAAATTAATAATAAAGAATTTGTACTTTATCTACATTACAAATACTAGCAGAAATCGGAATTACATATATTATATATACAATAGTAATCCCATTAGTAAAAAAAAATAAAAATAAAAAAAATAAAAAAAACATCAGATCATGTCAAGGTGATAACCATATCGCGCCACCACAATAAAGATGTTTTTGTGTTTTTTGGGGGTGATTTTTTCTTCGGTAAGGCTTAACAACATTTATTTTTTGGGGGGCTGGGCCTGTATGCACTATAAACGAGCAAACAAGTCTCGGAGATGGGGCTGTAAACAAACTCTATTTGCTGAGCTATACGAAGTTGGGATCACAACAGATTGGGTTTTTTGTTAAGTTTTTCTTGGTTTACCTTTTGCATGAATGATACATTTATATAACCCCACGTTCAACTGTAATAGGGTGAAATACTTTAAATTCAGGGTGTATCTAGCCCCCCTACACTAAATTTCCCCTCGTATTGTATATAGTAGTCATGCAAGGTTCATTCTTTGAACATAGTACTTCAATGGTTAAACACTAAAGTGGTTATTATAGTGCAACCCACTACCTCAACTCAATTGAGCTACTATCAAACTAATATAAGCTTTACACTTCATGGAAAGGGCTTATCTTGAAGATTAGATACTAAAGTATGCAATTCTCTCCTCTTCCTTGATTTGTCTTTTTAGACAACCAGCGTCCCGTAGCCCCGGCGATAACCCGGAATTAATATGAAATAGTAAGACATTGAAACCTGGGGTTACTTGTAACTCAGTACTTACGTAATGTGTGTATGACTTGAATGGCCAATTATATTGAGTATATATCACTTTACGTACCTACTACATGATTGCGTCATAAGGTTGTAATATCCTTCTGTTCTTTCTCCATCCGGCCATCAACTGATTAGCGCCACACCAAAAAAAAAATCCTCATATTTACCGCACATGAATTTTATACTTGCATACGTTCAATGGTGTGATTACTTTATATTTGTTGGTGAATCCATTCATACATGTTGTGAAAAGTGACTTTTATATTAAATGAAGGATAACAATTACACTTTGAACATCTTCTCCTCTACCCTTCCCCTGTAAGTTTTTACTATTTTCGTTCCTTTAAATAAATCATACAGTTTTCCCCCCTATTTTATCTTTTTCGCATTGTATGTCGTAATAGAAATATTCCACGAATTGCTGCAAATTTGGGAAATATAGTTAATGTAGGTCAACCATTTCGTTAGAAAATTTTACTCTAAGTCCCTTAACATAATATTCATATTTTCTACATCTTTCCTACGTTTCTATATAAATTACCTTACTATATTAATTTTGTAAAACTATTATCAACTTTTCCCAATTATATTTTTAACTAACTAAATCTATAAATTATGATTGTTGAACTTTAGCATAATTTGGAGGATTAAGCTTCCTATTAATAGCTTGAGAAATCCAAACTGGGAAAAGACTTACCGAAAGAATGACACTACATTGCCAAATATAGCTAAATGTCATCACATAAGTCAAGTCGAAATAATCAGATAAAAATGGAACCGATGCGACATAGATGATTAGTGTGATTACTATAGTGGCAATCATAACCTTTTTCCATCTATTAATCTGTAATCCAACCATAATCAATTCATTATAGATCAAACAAGAAAATGATAAGGTAACCATACTTTCTTGTTGACCTTGGAAATATTGAGATAGTAATTGGATAATTGAACCTTGATACAAAGAAATTAAACACCAAACTGCAAAACTTTTGTATGATAATGATTTTCCCATTAAAAGTTCCTTGTAAAGTTCTGGGTAAAGTTTGGTTAAATATTCATCAACATCACAATCTAAAACAAGCGAGAAAATCGGAGCCATGGTATAAAATGTCGCATAGCCAACCATTAACCATCCATTATATAATGTAAGAGGTTCAAAGTTCAAGCAGATGGAATAAATAGCTTGACAAATGGAAATAAGAAGCCCTCTATGAATAATAAATTGTCCAAGTTTAGATGAGCGTTTGTATGAATTTCTTCCATGCCACAAGAGTAATTTCAGTAAGTAATAGAATTGATCTATACTGAAATCTGCAGATAAAGATGCTTGTTTACCTTCTTTTCCTACTATACCTACACCCACGTCAGCACTTTGAATCATACTGACATCATTACCACCATCTCCAATACAACAAACTCTCTTCCCAGTGAAGGTTTTAATTAAAACTGCAATGTCAGCCTTTTGTTGCGGGGTACATCTACAGGCAATGACAGATGGTAAATTGATAACAGCATTGAAAAATTCTTCTTTGAAATGTTTCAAATAAATCGCAAGTGATTCCCCATCAATTAGTAAGCAACAGTTTTGATTGGTCTTGAGGTACTCAAGTTGATTCAAGGCAAGATCAACATGGTTTAATTTCACAATTTGATGAATATATTGACCTCTTGAAATTAATCTGGTACTAATACCAATACATTTAGCAGTTTCAATTTTATCACCAGTCAACATCCAAATTTTAATTCCTGCATTTCTCAATAATTCAATCGAAGTTTTGACGTTTTCTTGTAATTTATCTTCAACCCCAGTAATACCTAACAATTCCAAATCTTTTTCTAAATATCCACTGATAGTTTTTTGGATCTTATTATCTCTATCAGTCATGGATAAAGAACTTTGTTTGTATTTTTTTTCAAAATCACTAAAATGAGTTGGAGGAATCTTCTTTTTACCAATAACTAAAGTTCTTAAACCTTCTCTAGCCATATTACTAGTTTCTTCATCCAACCAGTCGTTGGATGAAACGATTGCAGACATCACAGAGTCAGCACCCTTTTGCATGAAGGAAATATCACCTTTATCATCCTCAACAACTATTCCCATTCTTTTAGTATCCGAATTGAATGGGAAATTATATAATATTTGATATGTCAAGGTACGATTGGATGCAAGATGTAACAAAGTGATGGACTTTCTGTCTCTTTTGACAAGTTTTAATCCAACAGCTTCTATGAACTTGACAATGGCAATTTCATCTGGAGATGCAGCTTGATATGTCACTTCAGCAGTAGCCCAATCATTAATCTCTTCCTCCTCATATGTTGGAGTCACATTATGACACAATGCTAAAGTGATAATCAAATCACAAACTTTTGCATTCAAATCTTTCTTCTTCAAAACATTATTTGAGTTCCCATCTAAACTTGAGAGCATATTGGATACATAATCTGAAACTATATCCAAAGTATCACCCGCATAACTGATTGTACCTAAATGTAATTTTTTCAATTCCATATCATTCTGAGTTAAAGTTCCAGTCTTGTCGGTTAAAAGATATTCGATTCTACCCAAATCTTCTGGAATGGTAGAAGTACGAACAATGGTATTTTCAATGGCTTCATCTTCTTCAATCTGTCTAGCATAAACAGATTTAGCCAAATCGAGATTCACACGAAGAGAAACAGGAATAATTGAAGAGAATAAAATTAAATATCTCATTATGTCAATATACCATTTCGATTTCAATGGCCAACCACCAGCTAAGACAAGAACAATGGACAAAACAAACACCAAAACACATAAAATCTTGGATAATCTGTTGATTTCCAACTCCAATAAACCTGTTTTCACCCCAGATTTCGTAGTGTTCATCAGTTGTCTTGTTTCAACTCCAGTGTAAATGATTATCCCAACAGCAGTTCCCAGGGCTAGAACGGTATTTGCCCATAATGTTTGGTCAACTGTAAGTGGGTAGGTTTGAGTTTGTTGTCTTTCTTCTTGATAAACCAACTTCCCATTGAAGGAGTCAATCGATTTAGATGGTTGGTTAATAATAAGGGAGACATGTTGGATCAATTCAGATATATTTGAAATAGATTGAGTCTTTGGGCATGATATTCTTAATTTCCAATCAGTTTCTCCATCCAATTGATCTGTTTTAATGAATGATTCTCCAGTACCATCTTGTTCGGTACATTGTAATAAAATCATATCAGCAGGAATTCTTGAATCTTTATGCAATCTAACCAAATCTCCAACCTTTAAATCCAGAGACTTGACATGTTTAGGGTCTTGTGAAAGTGTTGTGGGCCCACCCCGATTCAAGACCTCATATAATTCATTATTTTGCTCCTTATCCCTACGACGTCTTGATATATCATCAGATGCTTCTTTAAGCATAGTGACAGTCAAAACAAATGCTAAAGGAACAATATACGATGAAAGGTACCCGATACGCAATTGTGGAATAATTTGGGAAAGTGCAACAAGAAGAAAGTACAAGTTGAAGAAGAACTTGAACTGTTCATATAAAATGACGGGTATGAATGTGACTGGATTATATTTGGCGTTTGAGATAGCATTAGATGGGCATGAGTTTTTTTCTGAAGTGTTACTTCTTGGTGAGATGAATCTTTCCTCTGAGACCTCATTTCGAGGTAACTGGATTCTACTATTTTTATTAGGAAATTCAGGGAGTGATTGACGGATCAAATTGATGGATTTAGCAGCAAGCCTTCTCAAGGGCAGTGTTGATGGCAATATTGGGATTGGCGATGAAGTATTGAATGAACGGTGTTGTGACGAGGAAATCAATGGAGAGTTATCATCATCACCGTCTCCTTCTCGATAGTCCCCACTATGTCTTCTGGTAAATGCATTATTCTTATTATTATTAGTATTAGTTCCCAGCTCCTCATTGTCGGATGAATTACCGCGATTCTGCAGGCCGCCACTCCCGCTCCCCATGTTAGTTAACGGTATACCAGAGCCTTGGGAGTTTTGTCGCGATGTATTGTTGCTCTTGGTATAGTTGAACACATTCTGTGAGGCGTTACGCAACGCTTCGTCCAAAGTTGTGTCCAAATCATCAAACGATGACTCGTCTGAGAATGAATATCGTGACATTTGAATAGGGTTTGGAAATGAACCCTATTGGTATTAAAATGGGTTAAAGATGAATAATTATTAAGGAAAAAGGAAATGAAATGTACTAGCGTAGGATCAGACAGTAATCCTTGTCGGGATTATAAGTTCCTGGTACCAATAGCTACTAATATAATGTAATTGCAACTATTTTCAGTTCCCCTTGTTGTCGTGTAGTGTTGATCTGTGACACAGAAAAAAAACAGGCATGTTCGGGTCTATGCACGACCTTCCCCCTAGATTAAATAGTTTGAAAGATACGGCGAGACTTTATATACTTTTAAGTTGAGGAAAACAGAAATAAAAAGTGTGTGTGTGCAGAGTCGTAATATCAGGGGAAACAAGAGCACATGTATCAATAATAATTGTATATAGAGGAATGAATAGACTTAATTTTTCAATTCGTATACTATGTAATTTAATTTTTTTTTTTACCAGATATATTTTGCCCTTGTCTTTTTTCTTCCCCGAAAAAGATAATCTCTGAGATAGTCGAAATCTCAGACACGCATTCCAATCGTATTAGTGACTATCGATAATTGTTCATTAGGATTGTTTTTCTTGCACTAGGCTACTCACTTTTTTAAAAAAACACAATTGTTTTTTTTTTCTTATCGTCCCAAGGTGTCATTAGATAACCGTTATTAACTATGCCAGAACCAGACGTTGGTCCGGAAGCCTCTCATATCCAGGACTCTACAATAGAGCATCTTAACAATGCACAGAAAGATAACACCAACAATTTTTGCAAAAGATTATATCGATTTATCAAATATCATTTTGTCCCCAATCCATTTGAACAGTATGTTTACGAGAATGAAGCAAATGACTGCTCGTTAGTGGCGAAGTTTCAACAGACAACAACCATCTCTTTAGAGGGATGTCGTGATATTTCAGTAGACTCTGTGACTCTTAACACGGCTCATATCCCACACCCGTTGACATCATATTTGAAGAAACATACTGAGATTGATAACACTAAAGTGATGAGTGAATTGGAGGAAACACCGATTATCTTCTTTATTCATGGATTAGGTGGACAAATATCTCAATTTGAACCGCTTATGGCGTTATTCTCACAATGTGCAGAGGTGATTGGAATAGATTTGCCTGGATTTGGAGGTTCCAAAATTGAATTTTCAGATTCAAGGAAATCTATTACCAAGATATCATTGGAAGATAAAAAGAAAATTCTGGAATCAATTTCCAAAATGTCATGGAATGATTTCTCTACTGGGAACATAGTCGACATATTAATAGCATACATAGAACAAAATGTCGATTCAAATAAGAAATTGGTCATCGTTGGACATTCTATGGGTACTCATCTTGCCATTAAACTCACCAAAAAGTTACAAGAAAGGAAAGTTGAAGGGTTGATTCTTTTATCTCCACCAGCATTATTGGATGACGTCACCAACACGAAAGACAGTTTACAGAAACCTGCTCAAAATCCAAGTACAATTACAATGCTTAAGATTTTCACTTATTTGCCATTTATTTTTAATAGTTTCAGAATTTGGGATAGAATTCAAGGACTTGATAGTAAAAGTGTATTACGTCAATTAGTCCCAGCCACCAATATTTATAACAAGTTACGACAATTCCGATGGAATTTAGATATCGATTCTAGAATCATATTACGATATGTCAATGGGTTCCACAAAGCTTCATATTCAGATTTAGTAACTGCCATTTCAAAGTTCAATAATAATAGACTCAATCAAAGGACTTATATAAAGACTCTCATAGTCGGGGGTTCTAATGATACAGTAACTCCTGTGAAAGCTATCCATGACATTGAAACTTTCCTCAACACCCAATTCAACGATAAGGTATCTGAAGCTATAGAAGTAAGTAACGTGGGGCATTCTATATTGTTGATCAAACCAGAGTTTACCAGTGGTTCCATCATCAATTATATTGAACACAATTACCCTGAGCGTCTTCATCTTTCACCTGCATGGGTTCTTCGAGTGAAGGCTGATATTTCTGGAGATAAATGGGGGTTAAAGAATGAATTGAAATGGCTGGCATTACAACCAATCTCTACCAATATTTCAAGAGTTCATGGGAATGTCATCGAAAGTGCACCATTATTGGGTATGAAGACTTTACGGGAGGGTGACCTTAACCATCTGCCTTTAATTCTAGAACATTTGTTCTACGATGATAACGGGAACCCACTTAAACGTGACCGAGAACCAAAGGGTCAATTGATTGCAGTGGTTGACATCTCACACGACATTCCTCCATATAGCCCACAAAGTTTTAAATATGTACGCTATTATAAATGTGCCACTGTTTCCAAAGTTGTTCCTGATCAGGGTGCAATTCGTCGGTTTGTGCAATTAATTGACGATATAATTAGTTCAAGTGAAGTACCTAACCCATTAATCGTGGTACATTGCCATTATGGATTCAATAGAACTGGGTTCTTGATTTGTTGTTACCTTATTGAACGTCTCGGCTGGTCCGTGCAAGAAGCTGTGGATGGATACAAGAAGGCAAAATCACCGGGTATTAAACATACTCACTTTATCGATGCCCTTTATGTTCGTTACGAGAGTTGAGTATAATGGTTTTTTTTATTCTACAATTATTTCCCTTCTTGAACTATGTATTATATAAAAACTTCTTAATATATTTATTAATATTCATATATACTAATAGAAATAACTTATGTGAAGTATTGAAGAGCGAGAAGAAGAGGTAGTGTTTTTTTCTCAATTGCTGCAAATTAACTCTACTGCATTGCTTTTTGTACCTTGTCAAGTTGGAGGATTTTCTGTTTTTTCAAAAACAAACAATATAAGTATATAATATTAATATATACTGACTTGAATACAAATATAGATGTTACTATAAAGATTATTATCCATCTCGTAAACAGGTGGGTTAGTCTCCCCACAAAAGATGTGGTGTGCATATGTCATGTAACTTTTTGGAGTTCTGTAAAACGGAACACGTGCTCGTGACCATCAACATATGAAATAATACCGTTACTTGTTAAATATACCCACTCAAGTATCCCAGTCAAATAATTTCATCCTTGCGAGAGGTCGAAAATGAAGTTCGGCGAGTCCCTTAGTGAAGGGCTTGTCCCTGAGTGGAAAGCTCAGTATGTGAACTATAAGGCGGGAAAGAAATTGATTAAGAAGATTGACCAGTTGAAGGCTGATAATGAACTGGTAATTTCTGAAAGATCTGAAATAGTTTCTGGCCCTGTTGATGGGAGTAGAGTAGGGAAACCCACTTCAGATAGAACTCCGCTTTTAGGTCCCATTGAAGAAGACCCATTGAGTCCACAACAGAATGAAGAGTTGGAACCCATCGGTCCTCCTGGGAAAGCAATCGAACATGGGTTATCTGTACCTAAACAAAGAGGTTCAAAACAAGCTGAAATCTCCTCTACTAATGCGGATCCAGAATCTTCCACCTCTTCTGCATTCAATCCACGTAAGAACGCGAGGAGACCATCCATTTTCAATTATTCACTCCGATCCAATACAAAGGACAAACAGCAAAATGACTTTGATATTGGGAAAGAACAATTCTTGGAGTTTGCCAATAGTGAACTTAGTAAAGTGGATAAGTTTTACTTGGAGAAGGAGTTAGAAGCATACGAACGATTCTTATTGTTACAAGATCAACTTTACCAATTAAGAGAACATAAACTTGAAATTCTTAAGTCCAGAATCAATCAAGCTGGGAATAAAGTGACCAACATCCCGAACCCTGACACTGTATATACCGTCAATGACATTGCTAGGCATACAAAGGGAGTTATCGCCGCACTTAATCGGTTTGAACTTCCATCTCTTCCTCTGACCACTTTTTTAAAGAAATGGAGAAGGCATCCTAGAAATATTGATGATGATATATCGTTAACCAAAAAGGAAGATGGACTTGAGTTTGACGTTGGTTATGATCAGAATCGTATCAGAAATGGTGAAGCTGTCTTTGGTGATATTGACGGAGAAGGCGTTGAAGAAACATCCTCTTACGATTCTGATGGAATACAACATTCAACCAGCGAGGGAAATCATATCCCATCACAAGACCATCCTATGTTTTTACTGAGTACACTGCTGGCACATGGTGGAGAGTCGATAAGTGAGGCCAATCGGAGAAATCGTAATAGGGAGTATGCACCAAAAAAAGTCGAGTTCCATGTACCGTACTTGTATGCCCGCAAGCAGTTGAAGACGGCACTTCTTGAACATTACAGAGCTTTATCGTTATTGAAATCTTATAGAGTATTGAATAGGACTGCTCTTCGAAAGATTACAAAAAAATTCGACAAAGCTTCAGGGACATCCATAAATGGCAAATTTATGGAAAAGGTTGATAAATCTTACTTCCAAACAAGTGATCTAATCGACAAGTTATTTTCACAGGTTGAGGAATTATTCTTGGTGTTTTTCGATCCGGATACTACCGACAGAAAGCAATCACTTGAAAAATTGAAGAGCATTTCGTATACAATGAATAATATTGAGAATCGTCAACCTAATTATTACCTTGAATTTTTTTCTTCTGGGTTATTCTTGGGGTTTGGATTCCCACTTATGGTTCTTGGGCTTTATTTGGCAGTATCAGGAACTTTAGCGGGCAAAATCCCAGAGGGTAGATTTTTACTTCAAATTTGGGGAGGATTCTTTATTATGACTATTGTTTTCTTACTCTTTGGAATCAATTTGATGGTGTTCGATCGGTTTAAAATCAATTACAAGTTTATTTTTGAATTCAACTTGGCATCTGCACTTAATTATAAACAATTTTTCCTATTACCTTCATTTGCATTTGCATTATTTTCAATATTAATGTGGTTCAGTTTCAATAATTTCTGGCCTGCCCAATTTCCTGGTAGAGATTGGCCCTGGATTTATTTTGGAGTAATGTTGGTGATATTTTTATGGCCTGGAAATCATTTTTATGGTTCAAGTAGAAAATGGTTGCAAATCGCATTATGGAGACTTTTATTATCTGGGTTTTACCCTGTTGAATTCAGAGATTTCTTTTTAGGAGACATATTTTGTTCATTAACTTACACTATGGGGAATATTTCATTTTTCTTTTGTTTGTACTCTCATCATTGGAATGGAGTTTTACATGATGGAACTCCTGTGGATAATGTGTGTGGTTCATCCAAGTCAAGATCCATGGGATTTTTCAGTACCTTACCAAGTGTATGGCGTCTTTTACAATGTATTAGACGTTATATGGATACTGGTGACTGGTTCCCTCATTTAGCAAACATGTTGAAGTATTCGATTTCAGCTATTTACTACATTTTATTGAGTGTGTACCGTATCGATAACACAACGACCCATAGAGTTGTGTTCATTGTCTTTGCTATTATCAATTCGTTATACAGTGCAACTTGGGACATTGTTATGGATTGGTCTCTTTTACAAAGTGGATCCAAGAATTACCTTCTTCGTGACAATTTATTTTTCAAAAAGCCTTACTACTATTATATTGCAGCTATTTTGGATATTATTTTGAGATTTCAATGGATATTCTATGCTTGTTTCGCCAAGCAAATCCAACAACTGGCGGTAACAAGTTTCTGTGTAGCTTTGGCCGAAATTATTAGAAGATTCATATGGATTTTCTTTAGAATGGAGAATGAACATTGTACAAACGTGATTTTATTCCGTGCTTCTAGAGATTCTCCACTACCATATCCAATGAAATCTAAGGTTGAAAGGGCAATCAAGAAACTTGTTAGATTGAGATATGATAACAACAAGGAAATTCATTCTGATATTAATGTTAACCCACCAGAAGGAAGCTCAATCACTACTGCCTACAGCCAGTTCCCAATTGATGAACAACAACATAAATCGAAGCACCATGATGTTGAGGCTGATTTAGGAACTTTGAAGATCCCAGAAACTGAATCTGTTAGACGTCGTAAGTCTACATTTATGAATTTCAGTAATGTATTGAACAAGGCGCATATTAAAGATTTCCAAAGAAGGAAAACCCGTGTACTGGTTGAACATGACAGTGATGACGAAGATGAAGATGATTTATCAGATACATCTAGTGTCAATTCCAAGAATAAACCTAAATCGCAAACTTCACACGAAAATGAATGATAATTTTATAATGGCCTTTCCTACAACATATATTCTTAATATTATTTATACTTCTTTATTTTAGAAAACAATTCTTTAGTTTTAATAGTTATATTCAACGTATTTATTCATTTCTGAGTCTTTTGGAATCAGATTCATCCAAACCTTCAATCACATGTGGGGTTGGACCAGTTGGAGCAGGTGTCAACAAATCGGAATGGAATTCCTTGATAATGGAATCAACATCATCAATGTTCAATTGTCTAACATCACCCAACTTCTTGATCTTGTTGGTGACCTCCTTACATTGCTCGTCAGTCAAGTTCAAGTTTAATTGGTCAACTCTTGACTTGATGGCGTTCCAACCAGTCAAACGGTTAGCAAAGTGAATGTATCTGGTCAAACCGAAATCACCTGGGTTCAAGATTTCATAAGTGGATGGGTTAGCTAAGATAGCCTTAGCATGGATACCAGCCTTATGGGTGAAAGCACAGAATCCGGTAATAGGGTTGTTGAAAGGAATGTTGACTTGAACGGCTTCAGCAACCAAGTTTTCCAAGTCTCTCAACTTGTGCAACTTGTACTTGGACAAAACATAGTTTCTGTCAGCAGCAATCATTCTAGCCATAAGACCACCCAATGGGGTAATACCATTTCTTTCACCAATTCCCAAGACAGAGACATCTATTAATCTGGCACCACCTTCCAAAGCGGTGTATGCATTAGCAATGGCACATCCAGTGTCGTTGTGGAAATGACATTCAATGTCACACTTGACCACAGACTTCAAAGTTCTAACCAATTCATAAACTTGTCTTGGGTTAGCACAACCGACGGTATCAGCAATACCAACTCTGTTAACACCAATTTTGTCAACAGTCTTGTAAATGTTCAAAAGATCAACCAAGTCAGATCTGAAGGAATCTTCGGATGAAAATCTAATTTCAATACCCTTAGATTTAACGAATTCAATCACTTCAACAGCAGATTGAGCAATGTAGTTCATGTCCTTACCATGAGAATATTGTCTAAGGAATTGAGAGGTACCAATGACAACATCAACACCGTCAACACCAGTCTCTACGGCAACTCTAGCGTCATCCATGTGACATCTAATGTGAGTCAAGATCTTAGCCTTAAGTCCAAGCTTACAAATGGCTTCACAATCTTTTCTGGATTGTTCAGAGGCTACAGGTGAGGTCAACTCAATATAGTCTACTCCGAAATCATCCAAGGCCTTGGCAATTTCAATCTTCTTTTCAGTGGTGAAAAAGGCATTAGCGAATTGTTCACCTTCACGAAGGGTGGATTCGATAAGCTGAAAGTTGGAAACGTTGGAAAGGAAATCGGCTGGGTTTGGACCGTATGGGTTCAGGTTGACGGCCTCGTTGGAAACGTGGACGTCTTCACTGACCTTCTTGAATCCTTCTGGGTCGGACATCTTGTATTTTCTATGGGGAAAGAAGTAATATTTTGGTGAATATTAAAAATGGTAAATTTCAAAGCGTTTGGTGCGAAAGAACAAGTCTGCTCGTAGTTCGTGCACACAATGACTCTAATTCTACCAGATGAGGGTCGTGCCGCCGCACAGATATACGTATGAATTGATAAGGCTCATTTCATCTACTTTGCCATCAACTTACAAATTAACTCTTTGTTGTAATGATAATAGCTATAATTTTGATGTATATTACGCCCCCATTTGTAGCAAATACAAATTCGTCCTTACCCAAACCAGTACCTTAATGACCTCTATTCATAGTGTTCCTTTTGTTTTTCTCTTGATTTTAATTTATTTTATTTTTTCTTTGTCCTTTCCGTTTTTGATTAGCCCCTCCTATTCCTAATACAGATAAGTGGGAGGTTCTGTAGGTACCATATTATAGAATTCACTCTCCAATAATGAATAAATGATTGCTCTATCAACGGCATCATAACTCGAGAATGACTCTATGTCTGCCGTATGAAATTCGTCATAGTTATCATCCTCTTCAATTTGAATTAAATTTGGGATCATATCATCATATTCTAAATCATCAATATGAGATATCGTCCAAAGATCTATTGAAGTGGGTAACAAATTAAATGAATTGAAATCATCTATAGATGTTTGAAGATCACCTTCAGATTGCACAAGTCTACGGTTTATACGTAAACATGGAGCAAATCTTGGATCGAAAGAAATTCGATCAAGATATTTATGAAGGGTAACATTATAAGGAGGAATTTCTTCATCTATAGTGTTATATTCATCTCTTGGAGTAGGTTCAGATGGTGGTTGTGGTGTAGGTGCAGGTGCGGGAGTTGGTGCTGACCTTTGTTGGCGAGCTCTTCTTCTTCTCCTTCTATTCTCTCTACGTCTAGACTCTTCAGAATATCGCATGTTTGCCTCACGCATCGCAGCGATGTCAAGTTCATTATATGTGATTTCAGTTATATCTACATTTGATCTTCTATCTCTGGTATAATTGGCTGCAATTTCACCTTCATTCTCATCAATTCTACATTTATTGCTCGGGTTCTTTGATTTCCTTAACTTTCTAAATATCATCGTATATTGCTTCAACTTCAAGAAGGAATCAATGTCTTTAATCGATGATTAGAAAAAAAACAGATCAATTTAAGTTTATCGAGGAGATTCCTAAAAGGTACAAAATAAAGAGCAAAAGTGGGAAGGGTAATTTCTAACCACGGAAGAAAAAAAAAAAGAAATAAATGCAATCTGTTATGAACTACAAGTACCCAATTGTACTTTCGATTTACCTAAGGGGAAGTAGCCATGAAGGGAGAAAAAAAAAATAAGATTTGATTACCCCTTCACTTTCATATCCATGGATATTACCTATTAGGATTGGGTAGACTGTTGAAAGATAAAGTTACTATATTAGGTAAACGCAGTACTTACCCCGATTACTAAAAGAAATAACATAACCTCAAAGAGCAATGAATAGTGTGTAGGTGTTGGGATGGACCGGGCTAGAGAATCACTATAATTTGTTTGCGCTCCTGGTCTCTCTTGCACAGCCAACCGTAGTTTGCAACAATAGAACCCTGGAGATCAAATAATAATAATAATAATAATAATAATAATAATAATAATAATAATAATAATAATAATATAATAAAAAAAAAAAGCGATCTATCTAGTTGGAATATGACATGACATTCGGGGTCGGACTCGAGAAAATTCCACCGCACAGAAGTTAGTATTATGAAATTTTATGACGTTACTTAGTTTTACACTACAATTATTTAACTCGTACTCAAAATTGAGTTTTTTCAGAAACTATGGGGAAGAACATTTTACTTTAAGGGGAACGTTTTTCCTTGTATGTGATTTTTTTTTTCTCTGTGTGGGCGCCCTGCAGAGAATTGGCGCCTAACATTATTAGCACAAACAGTTCATAGGGAAATCACATCATCCCCATATACTTTCAACCAATATTGACCCTATTCCCGCATAAATTAACATCTACAATTCCAATTTCTCGTTATGACGTTTATTCATTGATTCACGAGGCTATACATAAATATTTCTTATTTTTTTTTTCCAGTTTTCTGTTCCAAGGGGGGAGGGGGAGCCCCGTACAAATTAGGCCAGGTAAAACTTCAATTAGTTCTTGATGTCCTTAATTTGGTCTTCCAACTTGTTAAGAGATTCCTTTTGCTTAGCTAATTCTTCTCTCAACTTGGCCAATTGTTCAGCTTCATGCTTCTTGATGTAAGCACCTTCTTGAGCCTTTTCTCTGTCGTTGAAGGAGTTGTTACCAGATGGAGGTGGAGCAGTGAGAGAAACTCTAGAAGTAGAGAAGGCTCTGACGGAGAAAGCACGCTTGGAAACTTGAGACAACATTCTTATTATTGATATTTTTTATTACAACAAAGTTATAAATTATGGAGAAATTGTGGAGGGCAGGCAACCTTTAAACCGTGGGATATCGCGGCAATAGAAGTGGTCAGTCCGATGGTTAGCCAATTAAAAACTAGTACGATACTTATATATAGGACACCCATTAAAAATTTCAAAAAATGGAGGGGAGTAGTGTATCTAAAACAAAATAATTTCATTTTATATGAGCCAAATCATTAAAAACTAATCAGCTAATACAACTTTCCCCTCTCTCTCTTTCTATAAGTCTCTCAGTAAATGATATGATGTTACTCCTCACTTCTCTACCTTACAAGTCCAATTATTTTTTTTAATCTCTCAATATGACATTTATATTATTCTTCAAATTAAATACTTTATACTTATGTTTGAATCAATTTATCTTTTCTATATACAATTAAATGTTTCTTGATGGTAAGTATCTAGAATGCTTATGAACACTGGACAATAAACCACAAGCTCTAGATCTCTTGATAGCAATCCCCAACTTCTTTTGGTTTGATGATGAACAACCAGTTACGTCTCTTGGTAAAATTTGACCAGTAGAAGTAAGAAATTTAGATAAAATTTCAGGCATAGTATACAAATCCAAAGGATTAATGCCAGATGCTTCAAAAGGATCAGACTTTGTGGTCATTTTTTGTTTATAAGCACGTTGTTCCATACCAAGTTTGGTAAGAGAAAAGTCAAATGGATCATATGTAGTTCCTGCTTCAAACTTTCTCATGTACTTGGTCACAACATGTAATGGAGGTTCTCTCAGGGCAGAGTCCAGCAAGATTCTGGCAGATTGAACAACCTTGTTTATGGCAGAATTAGAACTAGACTTGTTTGTGGATGATTGGTTATTATTGTCAGATGCAATCCATTGTTCTTCACTCTTCATATTTCCAGAAGATGGGAGTTGTTGCAAGCGCGTGGACTGTGAGAGCTGACGCACCACAGCTGGACGGGCACAGCTTCTCATAGAAGGTATACTTCTAGAAAGCATGATAAATATATTACAAAAGTTAAGGGATATAAACCTCTTTTAAACTATCTTGAATTAATTTTCTCAGATTTTTTTGATTTTTCGTTTTCATTTTCGTTCAATTCATATTGGGAAAACAGAATTGATCACCTGACACATGACATGTGATATTCCCGATGACACGTGTACACGATCACAACACTTCGCACGTGACCCAATGTTTTTTCCTGATTTTTTTTTTTTTTTTTTTTTTTTTGTATTTTCTATTTTCTATTTATTTTTTATGGTGGAGAACTTTGGCTTAATTTTCCGTTCATTAATGAGACGCATTCTAAAAAATATCTTGAATTAAAAGTTAGCTAAGCTTTTTGAATTGAAATTAAATTTCAGATTTTAGTGAAATAGAGCCACACTTACATGATTATCAGTGGTATGATTCTTGATCTACAAGTATGGTTAAATGATTTCGGAACTAATTCCTAATTAGAGTTTCAAGATATCGAACGATTAAACGCACGGCTGTAAATATATGCAACGAGAGAGTTAGCTAAATATTATTTAGCAAATACCACTATCAAAAGAATGTAGAGCCTCAATATTATATCTACTTAGTGTATCGGACAAAAAATATTTTGAATGGTGGCCAACTGTCGATAGCAACATTTATAAAGGTACTCTATCTATTCGACTCAATGTGCTTAAACGAGGTTTGGCGGAAGAACATTTATGCGTATGTACGCCTCTAGGTGAATTTTTTGTTTGGATCCCATCTTCCCCAGAACAATAGAACAGTATGCGTTAGATTGTTGGCTAACGCATTGGTTGCATCCTTGCAGCATCGCCACCATTTTCTCTCTCTACCCCCCTTCTAGTTATATCACTATTTACTCAGTTGACCACAAGAAGCCAAAGTACTACCGTACTTTGCTAAATTATGAAATATTGGCTTGTACACATATGTTGATGCAAATGCACAAAGTATATTCGCAAGAGTTAATGCATACGAATTTCAGGTCCTGGAAATAAGCAAACTTTAGTTAGGAATATCCACGGAGAGTGGATCAACCCCACAACGATTTCTTCACGTGCCCTAAAAATAGATACTAGGCCCTAAAGAATTAGAATAAAAACATAAAGTATTAAAATTCGAGAAAAAAAAATTTTTTTTATTAAAAAACAAGCATACCAATTTTAAGTGAATGTACTTCCGAAACAAAAATACGAAAAATCGAACAATAGATGGTCAGAAATGACCTAGCAATGAGCAAAATGTCCGATATATGCACTCTTAAATGGTGGAATTTGGATGAACGAGGCCGTGAACCAGAGCATTAAAAAATAACTATTAGCGTTCACTCCATTTAAATGTCGTGTGTCCAATCCCTGTAGTGTAGACATAGGAGTGCACACTTGATAAAGGTATGCGGTGGACTTCTAGAACGTATTCGGTAGCGACGGCCGTGGCGTGCATGAATAAAACGCATTTTTGTCAAGTACATAAATCAGAAATTTACACTTTGTAGTTTTTTCGGGTAAAAATCCCGACAACTCTAATGGGGTATGATATTGTCGCTGTACCTAACTAAAATAATATGTTTCAACCAAATGGACCAAGATAACCAGAGTAATGAGGGCCTCTTGGGTGTATATTCTTCATGAACGTATTCTTGTTGTCCATGTAACCAACGCCAACGCGAAAACTGCGCACGTGTAACTCGCTGCAGCAGGCCCGAGAAATACTGCAGTGTAGACATATATTTATGCGCTACATTCCTCACAAAAGTGACTGTGTACTTGCCCGCATAGGCCGGAAATCCGGCAAAGCCCAACAGTGTAATAAAGATCAACAGAAGATTGTCCAACCTGAAATACAATTATGTACACAAGCTATTTTCGCTCCCCTTTTCACCCTTAGAGAGTAACCTTAAGGCTGCAAGTGAGTAGATACATATGTATATATTGATATTAATTGGTATTGATATTCCGTACTTCATATTTTTCAAGCAATTCTCTTTAATGAATACATGATGTCCATATTTTTTTTCCTGTTGTGCCCCTCAAAGGCAAAATATATCCCCGTTGAAACAATATAGATCTCTTCCTCCTAAAACCAAACATTTCCCCAAACTCGCACTCGCCAAACATCTCGAGTAATCATGCAGTGGGATTTGTTTCCTCATTACCTTTTATTTTTTTTACTAGTTTTACCTCTCATGCATTTTGCATTTTGCACCTACAACGTTTTGTCGAGTAGACGCCGAATAGTTAGCACTTGGTACACCCATCCACCACATACTAACTTATTCGGAATTTGACTAAAATTTATTCTATGACTTAGTACTGAATATGTGCTGGTCGGATTTTATGCAATCATTCATAGTATCCTCGTAACAATCGGATCAATGCAGATTAAAATAGTGGGTAAAAATCGATATCATGCCATAGATATGTACCCCTCTGCCTCAACATGGAATTTTTTGCTTTTTCATTATGCATCAGCTTGTGCATACTTCCCGAGCAGTATTGCCGCGAATTATGGTGGATATGAATATATACGGATAATGACTTCAAACCAGTCCAAAATGGAAAGAAAAGCCTAATAAAGATTGGATTCATACATGAAGAAATCCTATCTATCTGTCACAAAGTTCCGCAGAATGTGCGGCCAGGCCGACTGAGATTATATCCAAGGGTTCTTGTGCATTGCATTCAGAAACAGTACTGCATGAACTCTAGCACATACCTTTGTCGGGAATCAGTGAAGGTTTATGAAAGTGGGATTACGCTCTTCTTTATCTGATTCTACAAAATGGCCCTCACCCCCAGTTTAAAAGTTATCTCTTACTTATTCCAGATATTGAACAAAAAAATGAAATGAAACCACCCACGGTATATCCTGATATTACCACCCTTATCAACTCTAATCCAGATATAATTCCTCCAAAGGTCGAATCAACATTTGTTGATCCTAAAATATGCCAAGTATGTGGTAAACGATCCAACGAGATGCTGAGACATATGAGAATCCACGATACTTGTCATCGATTTACATGTAAGTTCCCTTCAAGTTGGTGCAACTATAAGTCAATTAATTATAAAAGGAAATACGAATTCAAGCGGCACCTCTTGGCGAAGCATTTTAAATTCGATCACATCAAGATGGATAGAAAAATGAGTGTCAGTACAGTACTAGATCATAGTGGACTGTGTCCGTGTGGGATCCATACGACTGCAAGATGGTGGATTGAAAGTCATATTTTGGTAGAAGATCAAGCCCAAGTTTGTCCCCTCTTCAGATATTAGTCTAGCATTATTAATTAACGATACTTTTAGAGATAATTAACCCCCTGTAAGCATTGATTTCATACTCATATAGGCATGTTGTTTTTACACCTTGCGCAGATACTAGTCCATTCTATGATCTTTCTCTAACACGTTTGTTTACTCTTTGCTCATCTCGTATCTTCCATTGGCCCAGCCTTTAAAAAAAATACGAATTTTGACTTCAGATCTGCACTTCAGGGAGGTCACACGCAAGAACAGGCTCTCAGGGGCTGTGAAGGAACATTTTTCTTTGCAGTTAACAACCAAATATTATTCTGTAGGTCGGCATTTGCATCTGGTCCTTAAGTAGGGATGGAAAATCAACGCGGAGCAGTTCTGGACCACATGCGAATATGCAAAGCATGGCCCACCCATGCGGGTTAGAACGCATTGTCCTTAGTAAAATTGGCAGTGCAATTACCCAATGGAAATGATGTATATACTGTGGAATAAGCTACCTCAAGTGTCCTGAGACGAATACCTTTGTTGATGGTTTCAGATGTAGTCTTCAGCATTCCAGCAATATCTTAAAAGGAAGTGATTAAGCAGAATAATAGTCAATGAGAGACTAAAGTTAGTGAGAAGAGAATGCTGAAACTGAGTATTGCTCTATGTAGATTCGTTTTCCAGCAAAATGAGTTAAGTCTCCACTATCCATTTCAGTTCAAGAGTTCTTTAATGGACAATGTAATGCTTTAAAATAACACCCTTTGGGTCATTCTCCATTGCTCGATTATGACCACACTTCATAGATATTGCCTGGCTTTCTCTAGCTATCAAAATTTCTTGTTCATTACAAGTTGGATTAATTTTTCTTGAATGTGAAGTAAGCTTGCGTGCTATTGGAGTGAAATCGAAAACATATAAACCCAATGGTCTGTTCTTGGGGATATATGTATATTTATCCAGCAGATGAAGATCGAAGGATCGTTAGATGCATCGTTATATCTGAGGATGTTTTAGTTATGAGTCGAAACCATGCAGGGATACAAACGTCATGGCTGCATTATAGATTGGGACATTTCTAAAGCATTTCAAACTCCACAGAAACTGGGGCCATAGCCTGTTACACTCTGCTTACCAACAGGTTCGGGGACTGGTCAATTTTCCTGGCAAGAACAGAGAAGAGAATCTTAGATGACATGGTCATTTCAACCTTGTTCGAATCTATTATTTTCTGAGCTGAATGTCATTTGTGAAGTATACGTGAAAGATGTCGACACGCTTGGATACTTTGAGTTGTTACTATACAAGTGTGTCAATGAATGGGGCTTCAATTAGGTTTTTTTTCTCCATCAGCATTTAATTTTCAATAGCGGCAATCCACAGCTATAGATCAGCATACAGAAATTAAAGATCCTCTTGGAGCCGTTGGGTATGGAATACAGTATGACAAGACCTTTCAGAATCTTTGGTTCCTGTCAATTTTCGTCCTACTTTGGTAATTTTTTGAAAATATTCCAAAATTATACTCCAAAAGTGAACGACGTCATTCATTCGATATACTCTTGTGGTACAACACAATAGTTATTCACCAGGAAGAAGGAAGATGAAATAAGATAATATTGGTCCATGGTAATTGTCTTTATATTATCTATTAGTTTTTGAATCTGTTTCAAATCGAAAATGTGGTATTATATTAATTTGAGGTACTCCTTCGATATGCACATTCCAATATTCTACACTTCTATTGCAGCAGCAGCCATGCCTTCTCAGCTATCAAACGATATTTACCAACGTCAAGGCTACGACATACATTGGGGGCAGTACTCTATGTCTTATATGGGAACACATAATTGTTTTATGGGATGTTAGTGGGTGACGTCAATTTTATATATCGCATTAACAATAAGTACTACATAGAAACTGCTGAAACAGACTCGACGTGCCTTCGCTAATCAATGATAAACACACACACACACACACACACACACACACGCCCATGATATATTACTTTGAACAAACTCGAGCTATTTTGAGCATTTGCTTACTACTGGTGTCTCCATAGGCCTAATGTGTTGTACTAGTCTCTATTACTTGTATTGAAATTATATCCTTATAACCTATATCTCCCTCTAAACCCTTTACAATGTCTCCTCACTCCATTTAGAAATTTCATCTAAATATTTTAGCGGATCTTTCCCAATAATATTCATTGGGATGGATGCTCTCGCTGGTTTGAAACTTTTACTAAGCTCTAAATGTGAACGTAGATGACTTATTAATTTGTGGAAAATCTTTTTAGCCCTAGACTCACCAATCTCTTCATCTTCTTGCTTTACATTAATGGTCTCATGATCATTTTCTTCAACTTTAAACTTTGTAACGTCCTCCTTGGGTAAATCATCAATTAAATCTTGCGGATGCTTGTAATAGTACCAACTGGTTAACCAAAGTACCTTATTGAAAGCAGGGAACCGGAACTTTGATGGGACTTTTGTAGCCTTTTCGATATCATTAATTTTGAGTTGCATGTCAAGATCCATCAAGGTGAGATAATTACCCCCTATCACCACAGAGTCCTCTGGTGTATAAACCGCATGGATCCAACCACTGGGTATTATAAACACATCTCCAACATTCAAATCAACTTTAAAACCACCTGTAGGTTGTCCAATCCGAGTATCCCCATTAATACTGGGGAACCACATAAAGTTCTGATCAGTTTCTAAACACCAATTTTGGTATAATTTCAAGTTATGATCAGTGGGTGGAAACATAAGAAAGCTTTTCTTACCTGAACAAATGGTATAATATACTGAAGTTCCTCCAAAATCTATATGGAAGTCGGTAAATGAACCCTTAACACTCATAAGACAATATTTAGTAACTTTTGGTCTAGGTTCATTCTTCAAGGATGTCCATACTTTATCGACTAAATCTAAATTTTCCACCATCAAAGGTCTTTTAAACCCACCACCTAAGGTCTCCAGATCAGATATTTCAAGTGAGATCACATTTCGAATTCTATCTCTGTTCTGAGGGTTATTGAAATAATCTCTCCATTGACCCATATTCCATCCAGGTTTCACCCCCTGTTGTGTAAGCACATCCATAACTTCCACTGGTGTTTCTTCTCCAACCTCTTGTGCTACATAAGATACAGTAATTTTATCTGCCAGTGTTGGGAGTTTCATCCCCAAAGTTTCGTTATCATCTCTCAGACCTGCTGGAATTAAAATAGGTTTGATATCTTCTATATCACACCCAATTCTTCTCTGTAATAAATGACGTTGATCCAAATTTGTTTTTATTTCAATATGTTGGTCAATATCTCCAGTGGATGCAAATTCATGAAATGAATTTATGTGTGGGTGTACAGTCTTATCAACTGCAAAAGTATTCCCCTCGTTTAAGGCAACATAATCAATTGACGCCGTGGATCTGGCCAGCTTCCGTCTTCGTACCAGTGGCCCGTGCACTATGCTACACTCCTTGCAATGGTAGAAGTTGTACTGAGCAGCTTCTACATTCAGAATCTTTAAACAAATTGTATGGTACCATTGTGCACATTTCGAGCATTGGATCCAAGTGACGCTACCACCACTCTCATTTTCATCTATAGGTTTTGCGATACAAATGGGACATGTATCTTGCGAAGTAATTGAAAGTCTCCGTTTCATGGTTCCAAAGATCAAGATCCCCTGTCTATAGCAAAAGTGTACAAGAAATAAAACAGAAACAGTTTACAGAAATGCAGCAAAGAAATACACATCACCGTTAAAAGGTATATCGCTAATGCATATACAGGATATTTACTTCAGTGGTTCGATTTTGCAACAGTGTTGACCGGCAACAAGCTAAATCGAATTGAAATATGTATATACGATGACAATTCAATCTTCAATGATTAAACTGAAAGTTCCTTTTATAGCTCGGTAAATAAACCCCTATTATTTCTAACCTATTAACTTTATTAAATAATAAAAGTTATCTCTTGTCTCTATTTGAATCTGTATCTTTGTGTCAAGTTCACGTTACTATTTTATCTCAAGAAATGGAACTTCAAATTATGACCCATACACTTCTACTTTATATAGTACATTGACATAAAAATGGCTCATTCACTCCTTATGAGGTTCTTGCGGCCAAATGTGGTATTACGTCCAGGACAAAGATTCATCCAGACTTCCAGTGTTCGCTGCAATGAAAATGTTACCCCGCCAATCTCAACTACCAAGCAAGAAGAATTCTTAAGAGAATATAGAATCCGATCCACATTAGAAAGACTTATTCATCACTATTCATCGAAACCATTACCTCAGTTCTCCTTAGATCATCTCTATAAACAGTCAACATCTCTTGATAAGGAGTTTTTATTGCAAAATGCCCAAGATACAGTGACTAATCTTTTAATCTTTAATGCTCGGAGATTACAACTGTTCCGTACATTGCCATATTTAGTGGTGCTAAACCCTTCAATATCTGAAGCGTACAATATGTACTTACAGTCTATGTCACTATTGATCGGTGCCTCTTATAATCTTCCTACAACCTTGGAAGAAAACGAACGGTTCTGTCAAGATGTGGTTACACAATTCATAGAAATACACGCTGATACCCTTCCTGGTCTTTCCAAGGGTTTCAGTGAAGTCTTACCTTTACTTAGTACTATTGGAATTGAAAAATTCTTAGGTGCACATCTCACTGAAAGAATTCGAATGAGATTGGTTGCCCATCAACATAATCTGCTTACTGCTTCACTTTCCAATGAAACTGAATATGTACCTGGGGGTAGATATAATGGAGTAATCAAGCAATTGAATATAGAAGGGTTAATCAAGAGGAATGCTGACATGGTGAATGATATTACATTGATGAAATATGACCAATCTGTAAATGTCTCAATTGATACAAACTTCCATCCAACATCATTCTGGAGTAAGCAAAATGATACTTCATCCAAAAAGTCTACAAAAATACCTCTGCTGGAAGTTGTGTTCCCTTACATTGACTACCATTTGGAATACATCTTGAGAGAATTATTCAAAAATTCATTTCGAGCTCACATAGAAAATAACGTCACTGACCCTGTGCAAGTAACCATATCAGTTTCAGAATCTCCATCGTATATGGAACTTCGTATAAGAGATAAAGGTAAAGGTATTCCAAAGTCTGCCATCAATCATATGTTTGATTATTCATTTTCAACTTACGAATCGGGAGAAGGTGAAGCCTACAAGACTTTGAATGTTCCACCTGGATTGGGTGGGAACACTGTTGCTGGGATGGGGTATGGATTACCACTTCTGAAGAACTATATTGAAGTATTTAACGAAACTCAAGGGGGCGGAAGATGTAAGGGTCTGCTCAGTATTCAAACCTATCCAGATTGGGGCACCGATGTCTATCTCAAGGCAGTAGGTGTATAGAACTCGTTGTTTCTTTTCTTTTTTTTTCCACTTTTTTTTTTCTTTTTTGTATCTATTTTTTTTATGTCAACTGGTTGTCTACATAGAAGGTATAGTAATATATATAATGTGTAAATATAGCGTGTAAAAGTATTTCCATGTATAAAATACTCGTCTATTTGTAACTATTGTTGCATGCACGAATTTCCTATAAATATCTCGGGACTACGTTTAAAGTTCGCAACACTTTCCTGTACCTCCCTTGAATCTCAATCTCACGGCTTACACCTGAAAGCTAAAAGCTTTTCTCGCTCAAACCCTAGTTTACATTGGCACAGTACTATCGATGACTCTGACAGCCGGTAGGTCTATACCCGACGCCGGTGGTAGCGGTGGAAATGATGGTGCGACTCGAGGATACTCAAACGTACCAATTACTTCATTCCCCGGGTTTCCAAACGCAAAGCTACCACAACACGCGGATCTGGTGACGTTTAGTCTCAATGAACGACTACAACCACTATTAGTTAATAGTGACGCGTTGGAATGCAATAACAATCTTTCTTGCTTCTTGAAAGATGCTGTGGATGGTCTCTATGGAATTCTGGACGATCCATCCACTCCAAATGTCCCCCAGAAAAACTACCAAATGATCTCTTCATTTGCATTGAAGTTGATAAAGCTGAACCTTTTCACAAGAAATCATAGACTTTGTCTAGGGAAAATCCTTGGGTTATTAGCTGTGCTTACTGAAAATGATATACAACCTTCATATTCATCGGGTTGTCTCAAGGAATTCTTGTGCATTGTCATGTTACTTGTTGTGAAAACTGCCAGCTCTGAGAATTCACCTTGTAATCAAGAACAATTAATTGAAGTGTTGAGAGAACTCAACTTTGCAAAGATCATTTTTGAGTTTTTGAGCGTACATATCAAGAATTTCAACGCTGCCACAGCTCCTTACATTATATTAAAATTTGGTTGTGATATTGTATTCGAATATCTATATCGGGTAGAAATCTTATCTGATAATGAATTTAAATCCTTAGCTATGGAAACATCATTAATCTCAACATTAATCAGTGATCTACTCAAGAATGATAATTTCAATAACTATGACTTAGATGATGATGAAGATTGGGATGATGAAAATAAAGTGATTGCATACGAGGAGTTCAAACTTGTGCTCCTTATTAATGAACAATATTTGATGAAGTCATACACAATGCCAGGACTTGAGAATCGAGTCTTTTTGGGGCTTATGAATGTCTCGGATACTTCTGGACAGCCTAACCAGACAAGCCAAGTCTCGGGCTTTATTAACATGGTGATTTGCTACCTTAATCGAGAAGAATCTCAAATTATTAAAATCCTTATCTTGAAATTTCTCTACTTAATCTTTACCACTTCTTACACTACAAAGTTGTTTTATCTTAATGATCTTAAAATTTTGGTGGATATCTTCATCCGTGAATTGAATAACTTGGATTGTTCGGAAGATAATGGTGTGGCTAATGAGAATAGAATTCTTACTATAACATATCTCCGGGTCATGTATCCTCTTCTTATGTTTTCTCAATTGAGTGAATTGGAATCGGGGTATAAGAATAATGAGATTGTGAATCTCTTGGGACATTTAATTGTAAACTCAGAGCCTCGATCGTCAGACGGAGAATCGTCAATGCAAAAATCTATTCAAGAACAAGAAGAAGTAATTACCAATCTTGCCATAAAATGTTTAAAGCTACCATCACTCAAGAAAACTAGAAGGACTTCGTCATCAACTAGTCCAACTATGAAACACGTCCGTTCCGCAACCGTTCCAGCACCAGTGCCTGGATCGGTTCCCGAGCCTTCGGCCAAGCGGCCATCTCCTTCTTCTTTAACATCGTCACCCGCTTCACTGACTTCATCTTTGACCACTTCCCTGAGTTTTAGGAAGACGAGACCTGATTTATATCAAAGAGGTGAAAATATTTCGCAAGAATCTATTGGAGCGGCATTTACTAGGGTGGCTTCTGTGAGGGCGTCCACCCGAAAGGATTTTCATAGAAATACTACTACGCATAACTTGGAAGGTCTGAAAGTAACAAAAAGAAATGCATTTATGGACAACAACAATAACATTTTTCAATCAGAGACAGGATTAAGTTCACTATCTCTTGATGATGATCAAAATATTCTTAATTTGCCAAAGGAATACCTTGGAGATATAAAATCACAAAGCAACATATCCAAACCAACTCCATCACCATCCCCTTCTCCATCACCATCTATTGGATCTCGTTTAATTCGAAAGGCATTAATCAAAAAGGCTCCACCACCTCCTCCACATGCACATTCACCTATTCATCATCGCAATTTACTTCAACATGAGGAATCTAAAGATTCTCCAACTCCTCCTCCACCTCCTCCCCCTAGACGCAGGCGTTAAAAACTAAATACAATCAGACGTTATCTATAGCGCATTGTTCTTGATAGTAGGCATATAAAATAATAGTTATACATATATATCTATATACATTAGTAGCACATTCAAGGGTATTTACATAGTAACATCTTCCTTAAAGCTCAAAACATCATCGAATCTCAAACCATTGATATCCGTTTTCGTATAAGCGTCTAATTCTTTTCCAAGGATATATCCCTCTTGTTGGTCATGGTCGTCAAAATTATCACTGGATGCAACTAAGACAAGACCACGGGACCGAATGAGCGGAACAAGCTTTGGAACCAAGTTTAACAAATGAACTGAAGTGATCAATCCAATTAAATTATTATTAATAGTGAAATTCACAGCTTCTTTGATAGATCTAATGGTAACTTCTTGACCGGTAGCATTTCTCTTTTGAGAAGAAACTTCTGGTAAATTCTTAGTGGACCATTCCTTTTCTGCTTCGTCTGTTGTATCTTCCATTAAAAGTCCATTTGTGGTTCTAGATTCGAATATTCTCTTGGATTGGTTGTACTTAATACCGTTCATGATCAAAAAGACTGGGAAATTTGGTTGTTTCCAATTGAGAATCTTACATATTAACGAGTTGGAAGAGAGTAAGATTATAGATCTACCAATCCCATTATGATTCTTCATCTTTTGTGTTCTAATATGGTTAAAGACATTGTTTAAGGTAAGATCGATAAACTTATTCAAATTCAGTTGGATGTTCACAACAATTGGTAACTTTTCTAGTTCATATTGGGAGGGGAAAACAATTTCAAGATTCAAATTGATATCAAAACTTAAGATATCTAAAAGTAAATCCAACGGTAAATAAATGATTTTCAATAATTTTTTGATCAATGGCAAGTCCTTTAATGTCATTTTGGATAAATCGTGAATAACCTTATTATAGTCAAAGAGGTCATTTGTAATAGAATGTAATTGTTCCAATGAAAGATTTGGAAGATATAAATCAATACTTTCAGTAACTGCGATTGACCAGAATGGACAGGCAATGGGAGTCCCATCGTTTAATAAACACACCTTAATCCGCAAATATTCTCCTGATAAGGAAGTAGCAGTGACAAATGATGAAGGTGCAGAAGTAGCCATAATGTCTGTGGTTGTATTTATAGCAGGGTTTCCATGGGCACTAACTCCATTCCCATTTTGAGAATTGGCATTGTTTCCTCCAATGGTCGAATTAATGTTGGAAGACAAGAAATTATTTGGTGATAAACCTCCTGCTGCATTTAATTTAAGTGTTTGGCGATTCTTAACGAAACTGGTGGAAGATTTCCAATATGTATCAAATTTAGAAGTTTCCAATAAGGTACCAGCAAATGGGAAAATTACTTGATAATTGAATTTCAATTCTCCAATATTTCTTAACCTGAGATCAAACAACGGTAATTGAATTGAATTTATTTCAGGGGATGAGGTATCGATTTGTGAGAATGATAATGCTGTCGTTTTCGCTATAAGTCTCGTTCCAAACTTGGGGAATATTTCAAAATCAATTCTAAATTCGTGCAATGAGTCCTCTTCCGTTTGGAAGATACAATTACTGTTCGCCTTGGTCTCTTCTGTAATTGGTAATAGAATGTTTCTGGGAACAATGTCACTAATATTGGAAGTTAAAGTTAACCGACCTGGTTTGAGATCAGCAACAGAGTTAAATAAATTGATGAATTGACCATCCAGTGGGAATATAAGCTCAATTAACACTTTTTGTTCCAAGAAATTGTGACCATATCTTCTCAATGGTAAGATAGGTGGTGGTAATTGCAAGTCTGGAATAGAATCTATATTATTTTTGTCGACATTCCCGCTATCTTCAGAATCGAGATCTTCATCAAGTATAGTCATACCAGAGTCTGTTTTGTTCTTGGATCCATTATTGGTTTCGGATAACATAGATGTATCAGAAGTAAACTCTTTATTTGGATTAGCCTTTTCTAAAGAATATATTCCAGAATTATTCCCAAATATATCATCATAATAGCTTAAGAACTCGTTCAACACCTGTATATGGCCCTCTAGGACACAATAGTAAAGAACATTAAACCCATCTTCATCAACAATATCAAGCTTAGCTCCAAACTTAACCAATTCTTGAGTAGTTTTGGCATGTCCTTCCAGTGCAGCATAAAAGAGTGGTGGCCATTTGTTTAAACCATCGATTTGGTTGACAGCAGCTCCATATTTAATCAACAACTTGATAAGGGTGTAATGGCCAGATCTGGAGATCACGTGCAAGGGTAATAAGCCTTCCACATCTTGTTGGTTGATTGAAGGCATCTCTGGGGTATGTTGACTCAAGATATATTCCAAAATTTCATAGTTCCCAAATTTACAAGCATAATTAATTGGGAGATATTGAAGTTTCAAATCATTTGTTTGTGGGAAGCAATTACTTCCAGCATTGACCAACTTGGAAATAGCTTCAAAGTTTGTGTGTTTGATGGCTAAAAGTAATGCAGACATGGATTCGTTGTCTAAATCATCAATATTTTGCTTGGGGAAATAAGGTAAAATAATATCCAAAAGGTCTAGACGATTATATTGGGAAGCATAATGAAGACAACTTCTACCATTGAATGCCTTGCTCATAAGTAATTTAGAACGAAGTTCAGGTGATGAAGTGTCCATCATGTATTTTACAATGAATGTTCTGGAGTGGTTGATGCTATCAGTGGAACTCAATACTTTCACCCCGTTATTGATCACAACGTGATGATGGCTCTCATGTGTTGATGCAGGTGGTATTGAACAACATTCATGGATTATGTTTTTATTATTGTTCAAATCATCACTAATAAATGCAAGATCGATATTATAGTCAATAAGGTTCAAAAAAGTTTCTAAAAATGAATCAGAAATCTTTAAATTCGTTATTGACAACAAAAATACCTTTGAAAACTTGTATTTAGCAGCAGTTGCACCTGTACCAGAAGGGTTAGATTTGGTTGATCCATTCACCTTATCGACCCACTGAGATAATAACGTTGAATCTGGGTCTTTAATGGTGGCAACATTGATGAAACTAGAATATAAATCATCAATTTCTCCATCATTGATATTCACAATGGATCCACTTCTCAGATTCAGGAAATTTGGTCCCATTATTGAACTTACTGATCCTATTGATGAATTTCTTTCTGGGTTATTGAAAGTTGATGATGAGCCTCTACGGGATTGTAATCTTGGGATTCCTGAATTAGCAGCTCCAGAAGAACCAGTTGTAGATACTGAATTGGATGTGGTAGAAGTTGGTACCACTGCGATAGAGGAAAAATCCCCCTCCACTAATGATTCCAAATCGAAAAGACATTGAGTAACTAAATCACTCAATTCATTTATTTCATTCTTATGAAACACTGGTTGTACACTTACTGCACTCTGAATAAATAACTCTTTAGTATGTGATTTGGATCTTTTATCCCATTTCTTCACCACTTTAGAAAACCCAGTTTCATTCAATTCTATAAATTGTTGAAGTCTAATTAAATCTTGATGAATTTTTTTAAAGTTTTGATATAAATTCAAATATGAAATAGAATTTCTAAATGTTGTTGTTGACTCTATATTGTTGGGAGTCCCTGCGTAATCTTGTTTCTCTAAGAATTCAGACTTCTTCATCATTAGAAGATCTAAATTTACTGCCAAATTGGCCTGTTTTTCAAGGTAGAACGAGTTGACCTTCTCTAATTCACGTTCCACTCTGAAAAAGAATGAAGCCTTATTCTCTTTTAATGTTTGTCCAGCTTGAATCAGTGAAGTATCTTGTTGTCCTGCAAGTTGTTTGATGAGCTTTTTCAATGCCTTATAGTCAATGAAATGACCCGAATATTCAGGAAGCTCCAACTGCCTCAGTGCAAGGTACTTTCCAAACTTCATCTCTTCACGTAATGATATATACCCTTTTCTTTTATCTTGAGAGATCTTTCTTCAATAATGAATTTTATTCAGATAAAAGTTTCTTTGTCTCTCCATATAAACCTAATTGAACACTAGACCACGTGCGTCTCGTACTGCAGGCAAGCGATAACACTTGAGATGCTTTTCGAAATATTTAGTAACAAAGATCAATACTGCATCCAATGCATACAAAACGCCACTTGAAATGAATTAGAAGCATATTACCAATTTAATCAGCTTCTATTGATATGGGAAGTACTATCTTTTATTATATTACGTTTGTGTTCAAATTGTCTATTCTCTGATTCATACTGCGTTTATTTTATTTTATTTTTTTTTCCTTATTTAAAATCATTTTTAACTCATCTTTAGACCAAGGAGGTAAGGAGGTTACTTGCCACAGTTTTATATGTGTGTATTAGAATATTTACCCATCTTCCCAATACAATTAAATATATATATTCTACATTCTTTTTAATGAACTACCTATGTGTGTATTAGCTACATATCAACCTATTTTGTAGCAGATTCGAATTGTTCCTTGAACTTATCGGCGTTTTCCTTGCTACCGAAACGGATAGCCAAGGTAGCGGCTTCAGGTTCACCTTCAGAAACATCAGCTGTGACGGTGTAAACCCAAGATCTGTCGGAACCGACATTTGGCTTCAATTCGATGTCGGAAGAAATAAGGTGGTTAGCACAAACCTTCAAGGTCTTGTCTCTTCTCATTAAGATACGGACCTTACCGGTTTCCTTGTGCTTCAAGAACTTGACGTCACCAGTACCTCTTTCCTTCCATTCCTTAGATTCGGCAAAGTACTTGAATAACTTGGCACGGACTTTGTAAAGAACTTCTTCATCTTCTTCGTTGGTCTTAACTTCAACCTTTTCTAATTGGACAAGAGGTTCAAAGTGAACTTCAGCTTCTTCTTCTTCGGCACCTTCGTCTTCCTTGGCTTCCTTAGATTCTTCCTTCTTTTCTTCCTTTACTTCTTTCTTGGTTTCTTCTTCATCTTCCTTCTTTTCCTTCTTAGCACCAAACATAGAGAAAATGTTGCTGGTTGGAACAGCAGCTGGAGCGGCAGCAGCGGCAGCTGGGGCTGTGGTGGATGCGGTCTTACTTTCGTCGGCAGACATGGCTATGATTATGTATGGAAATACGTTCCAAATCGATTTGATTTTGATTTCATATTCACAAAGTTTTTGAGGTTACGATCTTCAAGAGTAAAAAAATGCTAGACTGCCTAATTTGGATGTAAGTGTGACTTTTCGTGTTGTTGTCTGGTTGTTGTTTTTTTTTTTTTCTATCTTGTCAAGTACGCGAAAGTGTTCGTCTGATATTCGGTTCATACAGTGCACTTGCAAATCTACACCATATTTCGTTCACGACTTCTAACATTTATTAAAAAAGTTAAAAAATTTTAAAATATATACATATATATATAGACTTTCTTTATGAATCTTTACAAAATTGGAACCGTATTTTCAATTATCATCTTTGGTCCAACCTGCTTAATCGTCGTCCATATCAGCTGGCTTGATCAAACCTCCAACTCTCATATCTCTCTCTCTTTGTAATTTACCTTGTTGTTCCTTTTCAATTTCCTTATCTTCAGCAAAGAGGTAATCAGTTGGGTCACCACCAAACTCTTTAATTTGTACCAAGAAATCTCTTAAGATACTCTTGAATTTAGTCAAATCGTTATAAACGGTAGTCAAAACATTCAAAAAGTTAACTAATTGCTCAGGTTGTAAGTTTTCAAAGGCGGATGATAACAAGTTACCTAAATATTGTTTCAAATATTCCGCATTAGGAGTTCCAACTGGGGCTTGCTCTGGTGTGTATAATGGTTCATCAATTACATTGTCTTGAACTAAATGAATCAATTGAGCCAATAATTGAGATTGGAATCTGAATCCTGCTTGATGATCTGGTTGAGTGAAAACGTAAAAGGTATCCGACAAAATTTGGAAATAAAAGTTTTGGTAAAATGCCTTGCTAAATGGAGTACTACCCAACTTTTCCACGTTTTCAATTAATTGCAATGTCAATGATAATCCGTTATCTTCAACTTCTCTATTGTTATGTTTGAATGCCCATAAAGCGGCGCTAATTAAAGATTGGAATGCATCTCCAGATAATTGAAGCAATGCTTGGAAAGATTTGGAGTTAATTTCTTTTAATAATTTGTAGAATTCAACTCTGTGTTCAGGATATTCAACGAAATCATTCTTAATCATGTCTAAAGTACATTCGAATACATTTTGTAATACCAAAACAACTCCTTCAGGAATCATATGACCAACCTTGTGAATTAATGCGGTCATACAGTTTAAGACTTCAGCATCTCTAGCGTCGGCAACATTTGTTCTGTAATCATCTAATACAGCGGCAAATAATGGTTGTGTTATATCTCTGACAATTTCTTCTAAATTATCAGCTTGGTTAATGTAAGTTTCAATCATCTTTAAGATTTCCTTCTTGATAGTACGCAAACCTCTAACCTTTGGTGTCTTTGTAGCAATCAAGCCATCCTTAGCGACAGCATCAGAGATCATACCACTGACAGCCTTGTACAAAGACAACATATCAACGTATAACAAACCCAATTGGGAATAAAAGCCAGGACCTAAAGCCTTACATACTGATACATTGGTCTTGATAATATTGGCAATGATTTTGACAGTTTCGGTGTTTAATAACAATTCTGGGTCAAGACCTGCCTGTTCGATTATTTGTTTCCAAGCAGTGTTTGGCAATGCCATCAATTCACCCAAGAGTTTATCCCTGAGATCTTTATTAGTTTGGGCGCTCACTATTATACCACAAGCTTCGTAGAAAGTGTGAACTTGTTGAGGATGTAAATCTTCGGTGATTTGTTGTATGTTTCTAATGATCTCATTAATGAACGGATCAGTTTCTTGGGGTTGTACGGCAACAAAATGTCTCTTACACTTGTTGGTAATTTTAATAAAAGTATCACAAGCCATATCTTGAACACCTTCATGTGTTTCATGCATAAACTCGAATAATTTATTAACAACTGTCTTCAAAAATTTCCAATGAGCTTTCAAAAATCTTGGATATTGACCAACGATGTACATAATGTTGGAAGCAACAACGGCCTTGTTATCCTTACCTCTCTTCATTTCAGTAAGAGACAATAAATCCTTAATAACAGAAACCAAGAATCTCTTTTCCATATCTTCATTCATACTACCTGAGATGGAACCAATGGCCCAACATAAGGTGTTTATATTTTGCCATGACCATTCCAGTTCATCAATTTGTCTTGCAAGTTTTTCACTCATGATTTGTTCAGTATCAACAACATCCAAATGAGTCAAATAAACAAGTACTTCTCTCATAGATTTATACAATTGAATAGTGTCACTTTCCTTGACGAATTCTCTAACAATTTCACCTTCATCATTTTCTACAATCAACACTTCTTCTGGTCTAACCATGTTCTCGATGATCACTAATCTCAACTTTGACAAAATGGTTTGATACATATGTTCTCTTAATGGGAATTTGGCTAAGATCTCCGGGTTTGGAGCTCCACCAGAGGTTCCTCTAAATGAACTAGAGTATGATAATTGCATCAATGGTGATAACTCATTTTGAGGTAATTTAAGAATTTCATCATATAATCCATGAACGAAAAATCCCCAGTAATCTAAACAAGTTTTAAATAATTCACGTTCTTCAATTCTCGATAATTCAATCAAATAAAATAAGGCACTTAATAATAACTCTCTTAAAGGTTCATTTTGTTCCAATGGTAATAAATGATTACTTAAAAAGGTACACAAAAACATGGCCAAATCTTGAAGGAAACTTTGGTCATTAGAGTTTGCATTCTTATAAGTTTGCTTCAAGTTTGTATTTGGAGGAATAATGTTAACGATTTGTTCCATTGATTCCTTAAAAGTCAAAATAAATTTATCTTCATTTTCAGGTGAGGACAATGATACAACTTCAGTTAAAACCTTCAATGCAATTGCTCTTGTATTGGCAGGTCCCAAAAACTTGTTAGTTAATAACTTCAATAAATCGGTTTCAAAGATATAATTAACTGGAATCCAATGAATATATTTGGATAATGCACTTAAAGTAGCAATGATTAAGGAAGGTTTAATTGTTTTATCTAAAACTTTGTAACATAATTTGAAGATTTCAGCAAATTCAGCCTTCATACTTGTTTTCAAAGTTTTAGCCTTAGCTTGAGTCATTTGACCTTGAGAAAAGTCAAAGACTTCTTCACTTAACAACTTCAAAATAATCATATTGTTTTCACAAACATTATAACCAGATTCAGAACTAGCAACAATTTCAGGGATAAATTGAGGCCAATTATGTGGCCATTCTTGTTTCAAGATAGAAACTAAAGTCAAATCGATCTTGTTAATTAAAGCCTTTTGAGTTTCAAAGATTTCATCATTGTCACACAAGAAGATAATCATATTAACCACAAAGTTTCTAATTCCAACTCTTTCATTTTCAGGTATAGTTTTCCAACGATATTGAATCATCTTGTTTAAACATGATAATGCAATATATTTGGATTGGGAATTGTTGGAATTTGATAAGATTTGATCAGATCTTTTCCAAGAATCTTGATGTTCTTGAAATTGATTCAAAATGGTTTGAGCTCTTTGTTGTTCAATTCCTGATCCTTTAAAGAAATTGTCCACAACTTGATCAAATAAAGCCACATCGAGCTCTATTGAAAAATCTAAAATAGACTCCATGGTTAACTACTTGGTGGGGGTGGCAATATCAATGAACAAACAATTTTTTTTAAAAAAAATAAACAATCCACAAATTAATGAGATGGGGTGGAATTGTAATATCAAAAGTATTAATATTTATAAAATCTATAATTTTGTTAGTAAAGATGTAATTGAATATAACCACTAAAGAATTAATTGGGATCCAGTTGTGGTACTGATTTAGAAAAATTTTTATTAAAAAAATTTAATGATTTGTACAAATTGGAGGACTACTTCATTTTGATCTGTCAACAATTAAAGGCATCTTACTTAATATAATTTTGTTTGTGTTTTTTTACTGTTATTACTAGATGCCTTTACTAATTGAAGTAGAATAGTATTACAATCTCATCAATTGCCAAGAATCAATCAAAAGTAAATACTAGAAACTACTCCAATAAAATAAAACCAAAATACATAGTCCAAAGAGTAAAATCATTATCTTTCAAAAATTGAGCTAAGATACATACATCACAATACTCCCTTGTATACAGCAGTTCACGGATGGAATGTAATATTGACTGTGTAAACCGCTAACAAAGAGGAAACGTCTAGCTCTAGAGTCCGTGCCCGTGTGTTTAACAGATTAAAACTAAAATTTGCTTTTGGTGAATGTGCACGACCTGGCCCCCCTTGCTCCAATGTGTTGTGCACATTTTACTTTTTATTATTTTTTTTTTTTTAGGTTTCCATGCTCACTCGAATACGATACGATGAGTTTCATGTCTGAGATAGCATTCATTTATTAAAAGACTCTACTTACGCAGCATAATTGTTAAATGGACCGTAAGAAGAAACAATTATAGTAAAAACAAAAAAAAAATTATAAATAATTTTTATTTCTATGTATATTCACATGCAATGCATTGTATATAGTTGTAGCATTGCCTGCCAGTTATTGATTTAGAAATGATCAAAGATCTTGAATAGTAGGGAAATCGATTGTTTAAAACTCGTAGATTAAATGATAGAAGAAATGAAACATATGAATAATTGCAACTGAAAAAAAAAAACATGGAGCAATAATAATACCAATTTGAGTATCTCCTTACATCATTAAGTGTATATGTAATTGTGGGAGTAAGTTGATTACACCTACGGAAAGTTAAAAAATAATTGTAATTTACGGTAAACTGCAATAGGTGGCATCTTTCAAAGTACAACCGTAATTGACTTCTATGCGAATACACAATATTGTTCTAATTTCACAAATAAATGTGTCATGGGGTGTAAGTAGAAAAAATAATAAAGCATGGCATAGCCCGCATATAGGTAACTATCTATTCATAGTGAAAGGAAAACAAAACAGACACTAGATGTACCTTTCGTATATGTGTACAAAATTACGTCAGTGCAGGAATTCATCGAAATGATATCGAATCACAAGAACCACCTAGTAATCCCGTGATTAGTATGCAGTTCTAATTAGAAAAAAACATATAAGCAATACTGATTAAAAACCGCCTTATAGAAAAAAATAAACCTATATAGATTTTTAAGTACGCACATTCTCTACACATACTTACACTTGCAATAACGTGTAATTGCGGTTCTTTTATTATTTGGTTGATAACAGAAAACTTTGTAAAGCAAATAATAATAGATGGGTTCGTGTTTGTCGAAAGGTCCAGAACCTAAGCCAACACCTTCCAAGGTGAATAGCAAACCATCGAATGGTAAAATTACTGCTGAAAAACGACAAGACCAGAAGGCCGCATTGAATGCTGGAAGCAATGGAAATGCCAACGCCACTTCAAATGGGTCTAAGGTAGAAACTCCAATTAAATCTACTGGACAAAGTGACTCTGGGCCAACTGTTCTGACATCCAATGGCACTAGTAATATCAAAGAAAGTTTATCAGATAATCCAACCTCAGCTATAGCTGCAAACAATGGGAATTCAAATATTGATGGTCTTGATTCCAATGGAAGTTCTGATAAACAAGTTAAAGTTTTATTACTTGGTTCAGGAGAAAGTGGGAAATCTACCATAGTTAAACAAATGAAAATTTTACATCAAAATGGTTATTCAAAGGATGAAATAATTGAATATAAACCATTTGTATATCGAAATGTTTTGGAATGTATCAAAAACATTATAAATGCCATCATTGATTTGGAACCTCAACTCATCAAAAATGAAGCTGATAGTAAACTTAAAGCAGTCAAATCATTGGAAGGTGTTGCAATTGATGGAGATGCTACTTTATCTGATACTCAATCACAAGAAAGTTTACAAGGATATGAAAATGGTAAACCTGCTAGTAGAAGAGAAATCTTAAATTATGATGACCTAAACAAGATTTTGGATTATGAGTTCACCATGAATACTGAAGATGTATTTGACGCTAATATTGCGCAACTCATCATAAATGTCTATAACACTCCTGAAGTGAGAGATTTTGTCAAGTTTCAACAGGGGAACTTTTACTTGATCGATTCAACTCATTATTTCCTTAAAGATGTTAAAAGAATTGCCGCTCCTGGTTATATACCCTCTGTCAATGATATCTTACGAACTCGTAAGAAAACATCGGGTATTTTTGATTTCAAGTTTCAAATGAGTAGTGGGTTGAATATTCATATGTATGATGTTGGTGGACAAAGATCAGAAAGAAAGAAGTGGATCCATTGCTTTGATAATGTTACTCTCATTATTTTTTGTGTGGCATTGTCTGAATATGATCAAGTTTTATTGGAAGAAAACTCTCAGAATAGATTGGAAGAATCTTTGACTCTTTTTGACTCAGTGGTAAATTCTAGATGGTTTTCTAGAACTTCTATTGTGTTGTTTTTAAATAAAATTGATGTATTTGCTGAAAAATTACCTTACTCTCCATTGGAAAATCATTTCCCAGATTATACTGGAGGTAATAATATCAACAAGGCAGCAAAATATATCTTGTGGCGTTTCACTCAAGTGAACAGATCAGGTTTAAATATTTTCCCTCATGTCACCCAAGCAACTGATACATCTAACATCCAATTAGTCTTTGCCGCCGTGAAAGAGACTATCTTGGAAAACTCTTTGAGAGACAGTGGACTCTTATAAAACTATCACACTTTGATGGATGCTTATGAAACACATCCCAAGTGACTTAATAACATTAATGATATTCATTTCTAACTCTTTTTCGACGTATTTAAGCAAAGTGACAGTCTTTTGGTTCACTTTAACTATCGTTGGTACACAAAAAATAAAAAAAATAAAAGAATATAAAAAAAGTACGATTTATTAAAATTTGTAGTTATACAACTGAGTGGTGAAGTGGTTATAGGGGGGGCGACTTTCTACAAATCTAAGTTTCCAGTGAAGTAGTAGATGGTTTGGGGATATCTTGGGATGTTGACTCCGTAGATTGACCCTTCGAACCTCCTCTTCCCCCGCGTCCTCCTCTACCTTTTGATCTTCCTCCTCTTCCACCTCCTCTTGGAGCACCTCTAAAGCCACCTCTGGACCCTCGTCCTGGCTTCCCCTCACCTCGCTTCAGAATTGAAGGCGTTTCATTGCCAGCTTCTGGTGTTAATGGTGCACTTGAATCCTCATGCTGTTGTACAGATCGCGTTTGCTCGTCACCTTGAGAACTTTGACTACTCTTATCCATACCCCTAGTGTTGGCAACTGGTACACTATTAGCACTAGATCTTTCAACGGGTTTATCCTTGTAATCACGAGGTTCCCTTCCTCTTGTAGAAGCTCCTCCTCTTCCTCGTCTACTACCCCTTCCTCTAATTGGAGATTTACTTCTTGGTTTGGATTCAGTCAGCTTTGATTCATTCACTTTGGAATCAACTTGTGCATCCTCCTTAACAATATTTGATGTTACTATTGTTTCTTTTCTTTCTTCGCCATTAGGATGTTCACGTGAACTATTTCCTCTGATATATGTGCTTCTAGTGATATAAGCTCCGCCGTTATTTCGTGATTGTCCAGAATTTTTAGAAGAATTATTTTTACCTAACTCATTCGATTTATTGTATTTTGGTTTATAATCTTCCTTCTTATTTCTGGAAGCTTCATTATTTTGAAGGATCATGGCAAGTTCCTCTTTAGTCTTACTCGTTGGCTCATAGGTACTATGCTCCTTAGTTCGAGAAGACTTTTGAAATTTATTATGATCCGTTTCAGAACTTGTACTTGTATTCTTCTTCGGTGGTTGCTTTTTCGATTTAAATGGCCTTGACTTCTGAGAACTAGTTTCTTCTGTCGACTTCTCAGCGGGGGCGTCTGAAATAGGTGTAGACTTTGATCCATTGGATACAGCTTCTGGCTCCTGGGTGGTAACTTTCTCCTCATATGGAACTTCTATTTCGGATTCTGGTGCTGTTTCTGTCGCAGGTATAACGATTTTCTTCTTCAAAATTATTGGTTTCGAATGAACAGGTTTTGGAGTAACATTCTTTGATGGTGAAATCCTTCCACCTTTTTCATCGGAATGTTTAGAACTTAACATTGCAGCAAGGCTTAGTCCTTTGCCTTCTGAATATGCTGAAGTGGGAATAGGTGCTGGAGAATATTTTGATTTCGGTACATCTGTCGGTACAACTGGGGCATCCTCGGATGTCACAGGGTGTGCAACTGGTACTGTCGGTGTGGCTGGACCAGAAGGTGTAGTTGTTTCCGATTTTTGGGGATTAACTGGATGCAGTGGGGTAGACTCCAGTACACTCGGTCTCTTTAAAAGATTCACCGATGGACGTCTAGATCCAGGGTGAGAATTTTTTCGCTCCTTATGAGAATCTTCACGATTACCACTGCCTCCACCAATGGTTCTAACTGTCGTATGATTAATGGTAATTAATTTCTTCTCGATTTCATGTTGCTTTGCTAAAACATCCACTGGCTTTGCAGCTCCAAACGGATTGGATTTCTTTGGTGTAGGTGCTGGTTGAGGTGGTTGTAAAGGTGGGAGCTCGTGGGATTTATGTTGACCAAGGATTGGATGAGTATTATTATTAAAATTAGTATGAGGTAATCTCAGGTTAACAGTGTTTGGTGAACCATGTCCACCAAATCTCCCAGTAGGTTGATTTCTTCCATGAATGAAATCATCTGTAATCTGTTCAATTTCTTGTTGATGTTCTTGGTTGAATCTAATACAGTTTTGAAAGTCTCCAAAGTCTGCTTTTTCAATCACAACTCTGCGTCTATCCTTATAATACAAATCCATCCATTTCACTGATTTGGCCAAATCTTGAAATGAATTCAACTCCACAAATGCAACCATCTTAATTACCTTAGTCTCCAAAATATTGGATACTGGATCTGCTACAATCTTGAATTTTATGAATGGGGTGAATCTACTTTTAAAGAGATCTTCTACGAAAAGATCACTAGCAGTCACTGGCAAGTTCAACAACTTGATGATGTACGGTGGGCCCGAGTCGCGCATTCCATTAGAGTACCCGTGTCCGCCACTGTCCCCGTATCTATGGCCACCACCACCTCCTCCTCCTCCTCCATATCCTCCATGATTGAAGGAGTCTCCAGAGTATGGATGATGTTTATATTTTTCAATTGGAACTGATATTGATGAGATATCGATATCATCGTCTGCCCATGAGCCACCAAATGCTATAAGTTAAGTTAGTACTGAAATATATTTCAACTAGCCAATCAATCGATCATGAGTGACTACCTTCATTATGTCTTTATTGTATACATACACTCATCAGTGAAGAACTCTTGTAATGTCATTTTTTTAGGAGGAACTATAAAGTTAGTATTAAAAAATAGAGATGCAAGGTTAGGGACCTCAAAAAGCTTCCCAATAGATCCTCTCAATTGCCCTTCATTGTAGGTATATAGTGTCTAATGTGTGCTAAATTCTCTCAATTATATTCTCTCCTCTACCAAATTAAAACTTGTGCACACACCTCAATTTCAATTCCATGAACTAAATTACAACACATATATACCCCACCAAACGAACTGCTTCAACTCCTCAAGTGTACATACCCATCTTTATTCTATTCACAAGTTGTGTTTATTCAAATACTTTATCCTTTACAGGTTTAATCAAGTGTTATAGGTTTATCGTCACGAAATACATGCCGGCCTTTGTGTCATTTGGTTGTATACCGGAAGTTGAGGGGAGGGGGAAAAGTGGGACCCTTACGTGATTCCCATAATATCCCCAAACAAGACTTAATAAATTTATGTTCCTACAGTGAGACAACAAAAAAAAACAAATCATAAACATGCCATAATTTTTTATGTATCTTGTATATTATTTTTTTTTTTACTACTTTAAATACAATGCTTACAACTCTAATATCATATATCTAGTTTATATCTGTTAATGTAAAAACAACCTTTTTTTTTGTTCTACTTCCTTCTCTGTTTGTTAACTTAATTCTTTTTTTTTTTTACAAATCATCAAAGTTATCATAGGTTTCTCTCCAATTAGAAAAGAACCCAGTAAAGAACTTAACACCATTTCCAACATCCTTTGCACCAGCAGTGGCTCTAATGGAATGCATGGAAAGTTGAGGAATTCCGAGATCAATGGTTCTTGCACCTGTTTGTAAAGAAATAGATGGACCAATGGTTCCTCCTGAACGAGAATCATTTCTAATATGGAAATATTGAACCTTGTCTCCATTTTTCTTTGCCAATTGCTCAACAAGTGACAATCCAATGGAATCAGTGGCCATGTGTCCGTTTGGATCAAGAGCGATGGACAATCCCTTGTTTGGAACTGGCTTAAAATGTTCCAAATATACACTATCAAAGTTTGGATTATAGAGATGATTAACATCAGCAGAAAGAATAATGGTGTTACCATAAGTTAATCTAATTTGTTCTTGAGAATCAGCCTTTCCATTGAAACTCTTGGAAGAAATAACTCTACCAATAACCAGTTCAATCAATTGTCCCTTAATACCTTGTCTTGTAGCAGATCCAATTTCTTCATTATCAAACAAACCAACAATGGAAAATCCATCAGATGGGAGTAAAGAATTGGCATCAGCTTCAATCAATGACTTGTAAGCAGCAAATGAACAGATTCTATCGTCAATTCTTGGTGCAAAAATGAATTCCTTCTTCAATCCACCTCTAGTACCCTTTTGGATATCATACAATTGTAAATCCCATTGAAGAATATCTTCAACATTAACCTTGGCAAGTTTAGCAATGTATCTAAGTAATTTTAATGAATGTTTACCGTATAATGGAGAAGCCTTTTCAGCATCAGTTGCTGGAGCCTCTTCCTCGTCATCTTCACCAGAAAATCCAATAACTGGGACAGCTTGGGTTTCTGGATTGAATGGTCCCTTGGCAGGAGCACCGAAATGTGGAGCCAAAGTTGGAATATGAGCAATTGGATGAGGAGTAGAATCAACCAATTTTTGTTCAATTTTAGAAGTCTTGGAGTCCTTGACTAAAAGACGTCCACCAATTCCTAAATCTCTATCCCACCATAAGTCAGTTAATGCTCCAGAATAAGCTGCAACTCCCAATAATTCATATCCTTCAACAGTAGCCTTGGAAGAGTTTGGCTTCAAAACAACGGTCAAGGCATCAATATGGGCTCCAATTATACCAACACCCTTTTCTGGGGTCCAGTCCTTACCAACAACAAAGGCAATAAGGGCAGAACCATTTCTCTTGGTATAGTACTTACCTGGAGTCAAATCTTCCCAAGAATCTCTTTCAGAAACATACTTAAATCCAGCGGCTGAGAGTTCAGAACTCACAGTGTCAACCACATGGTAGATGGTTGGGTTCTTGTATGTAAAATCAATGTATTCCTCGGCATATTTGTCAAAAAATTGAGTATTGTATTGAATTTGACGCTTGGATTGTTCGTTATCAGATGATTGAGCCTTAGCATATTCAACTTGAAGGCTGCTCAAGGCTTGCTCCATGAAGGCAATTTTTTGTTCTAAATCCATTGTAAATTAGTTGAAGCTTCGGTTCCAAAGAGTGGGGTTACAATTGTGAAATTGCGGGATGTTGGAAACTAATGGACTAACACTATGTAGATATATATTTATATATATAAATATATTGTACGCCACTGAAGTGGCTTCAACCCAGCCATTCCTGAGGCACGAGTCGTGCTCCAACCTAAAAGCCGCTCATTATCGCGATTAACAGAGCCACACAGATAAAAAACACAGAGATTATTATTTTTTTTTTCTCGCACTAGTTATTTTAGGAAAGTGTAGTCAAATATGGAGGAGCTGCGATCGGGTAAAATACGAAATAGCCGTTGAGATTACGAAATGTGAATTGTAATTAATTTGTCTAAATTATGTGTTAATTTCTTAACTGTGTAACTTAAATTTATCTGGATATGGGGAGTTACACAAGCCAATACATTGTAGGGTCCCTTTTAGGGTCATAACATATATTCATTTTGCACTCTATCATACCTAATTTCATTTATCAACTCTTTAGATATATTTTATTGACTTTATGTACTATTTACAGTTGTTGAGGTCTTTCGGCTGCAAATGTTGCAGCTACAATCAATGGGAAAACAACGGAAACATCGGCATAAAGCTTCACCAGAGAAGCATCTGCCTTAATCTTACCCCAACTGACTGCTTCATCAGGACGAGCACCAGCATCAGAACCATCAAATTCTTGACCAGTGTTGATATATACAGCATAGTCAGCACCATTTCTCATCAAACAAGCATTACAAATGTGATGCTTAATTAACCCACCTCCAAGAATAATCATACCAGCATGAGATGCTTCCATAGACATGGAATTAATCTTACGAATATCTTCAACAATATCTAAACGGAATTGTTGTGGGGAGGCCTTGAAAGTATGGAAAAACAACATGTCACCAATGGAACCATCGGTTAATGCAGGAGAAAAGATAGGAATCTTGTTCTTGTGAGCCCAGTATAAAACGGAACTTTCGTCATTGATTTCCTTACCAAGTCTGTCAATAAGTTTGGATGGGGTCCAACAAGCAGCAGATCCAGCATACATTCCCTCAGATCCGGCAACCTTCATGGCTTCTTCTTGTTCTTCTAAACATTTTTCTAACACTGGAACAATCCATTCTTCGAATTTACAGTAGTTATCATTTGGAACCAATAAATTACCAATTCTATTCATCCCTTGATCTCTTAATCCTTTACCTGGTAAACTGAATTCTCCCATGTAAGTTGGGGCCAAACATTTGATCAAATCTTCTTCAACACCTCCAGCACTTGCAACAATAGCACTGACCATCTTGTGTTGAACTAAGTATCTCAAAGTATCTCTCAAACCGGAAGAGATTAAGTTGGAAGTAAATCCCATAAAAATGGTTGTCTTTTGGAAGCCTTCAGAGTCGAATTCCCCACCTCTTTCGTGTTCAGGTAAGGAGTCGATATGTTGACCTCTCCATGAACGCATATCCTGGATAATGTCACATGCCTTACCCAAGGAGGAAGCTTGGAATCCCATGGTTCTCATGGAATCGATCATATCAGTGGCACGCATGTTATACGCAGAGTCCTTGGAGTAGTCAATTCCGCTGACTTCAACAAAATCATCTGGAACAGGGATAGATGGAACGAAAACGGATTCGTTGGCCAATTCAGGCTTCTTGTTGTCTGACATTTTATTGCTTATACTTTGGTTATTAACTTCAAGATGAGCTCTTGGGTTCTTAATATGTATCATGTGGTTGCATCCTCAAAAATTTTTTTTTTTTTTTCCGCACTTTCCTCAACCTTTTAGGCAGGTCAGTCCTCCCAAACTCATATCCATATAGATTAGACACCAAAAACATACTAAATCAATAAAACTTTTTCTTATCAAGTTGAACTATCCAATATATAAGAGAAGTAGGATCAGGAAAATAATTCCTTCACATACTTTTAACTTTATGTAGCCAGTATCTAAGCAAAATGTTATAAAATTAACTATTTTCATAACTTTATTGCCGTTCATTCCAGCCCCAGCAACACCCTCTATTCATATATGTGCTCTACAATCACTAATACTACACTTTACTTTACATCCTCATTCCTTCTTTTTATCTTTCGTATATTGAATATAGTTCAATTATTGTTACGGAATATACATTCCTCTTCATTCTCAGTCTCTCCTATCTCTGTAGTTATGCAATTTAAACTTCAACACGTTCCTTCACCTCTGGAGCCCATGCAGTGTGCTTTGGCTTGGCAGTGTTGTAAGTGACAAACATCCCTGGAGTTTGTGTGTAGTTCATGTGGTGTCTTTCTGGTAATGGGTATGCTCTGGTGGTTAATTGGTCTCCAGTAAGTTGGGTAGGTGGAGTGTCAGTACCGTAACCCAACCAGTAATGCCAACCAGGTTCAACCTTGGACATGTCAATACCCCATTCGGAGTATTCAACCCATCTGGTTCTCAAGTGGATTTCTTCTGGTACATCTGTTTCATAGTACTTGTTACCAAAGTCATCAGTTCCAACTAACCAACCTCTCTTGGTATCGTTGTGAACTTGGATTTGCCATGCGGCTCTCTTGATCCCCGAGGCGTAAATATTCTTAATAGTACGGAAGATCGAAGTAGACATCTTTACTTTATTAACCCTTCTATTTACTATCAATCTTGACTTTTTTGATATTGAGACTTTGTAAAGGTTTCAATTGCGCTCTAATTGGCGGAAAAAGTGTCACAAAAAATCTCGTGTACTGCATGTAACCTTTCCTTACAATTGAGCAGATATGGTTGTGGACACTACTACTTTCAGAAATTCTTAGAACTTTGTATTCATAATAATCCTAATACTAAATAAATATTCTCATAGTTAACTGTCCCGTACAAATGTATGTATATATATTTTTTTACAAAACCATTTATTAATAAAAAAAAAGGTTCACCTTAAAAGAAATCAGCAAGCAAAGAAAAAAAGAAAAAAAAAAAAGAAAAAAAAAAGTCATATACCCATATATTGTGTGTATCCATACAAAAAAACACTTTCTCTTCTTCCTTCTCCTTCTATATTTTCCTTTCAGCTGATCTTTCAAGTAACTGATTAACATCAGATGAATTAATCACAACACCTTTCTCTGAACATTTTGCCTTAGATTTCAATTCGTTACACAAACTATCGATATCGATATCTGTATACTTTGGATGTGAAGTTATTCTGTCCCATATTTCTGAACATCTTACCGTTTCTTCTGGTGCTGGAACAACTTCATCCTCATCCTCTGACTTAATGTCTGGTGATAATGAATTCACGGTTGGTTTATCACTATTACTTGTTGCAGTATTCACATACTCATTGAAATCAAAACTCTCAACTGTATTCTTTTGATCTTTCAATGGATCATATATAGACTCCTCTGTTGTCAATTGAGAAATTGGGTCATATGAATCCAAATGTGGTTGCTTAAAATTGTCACCAAAGGCAAGTGATACATCAAAATTATCATCATTTAAGAATGACAATGGATCGTTGGTAGCAGATGGGATAGTATTTGATGTAAGAACATCAGGATAAGTGAAATCATTAGCATCTCCATTGAAAAATGGATCATTCATATAGTTTTCAGAATGTTTTGGGTCCTTGAAATCAGCAAGAGATGTGAATGGTGAATCAGTAGTTGTTGATTGAACTGTTTCAGTTTTACACTTCGGCACTGGACATTCCTTTGTACCACAAACTCCATCAGTCAATTGAGCACAGAATGGATTGGATTGTTCTTCAAATTTAATTCCAAAGTCCAAGTTTTCATATTGAAGTGAATTCACAGTGTTTGGGTTCAGGGTTGATGAAATGCTATTTGATGATTCTGGTGATACTAAAGTATTATCCAATGGAGATGTCAGAGAAGAGGATCCTCCAACCAAGTCAGGAAGTGAGTATTTATTGGTTGGTAAATTGTTTTTACTCCATGGGAAACTCACTGAAATTCCATTCTTTGGATCTTCTTCTGGTGAGGTATGTGAACTGGATAATCCACTTAAACTTCCCAGAGAACTTGTGGTGCTATTCTTATGTCCTACAGGGTTCAGCAAGTGACCTACTTTGGTAGGAAGCTTCAAATCCAGGAAATCGGTTGTGCCTCTATAACGAGCAAGTTCACTCTTTAAAACATCCACTTGCGCCTTCAAAAAATCAGACTCGGTAGTCGCTCGAATAGTTTCATTCTCTAATGACTTCACCTTATCTTCAAGGTCCTTCATTCTCTGTTCTTTTCTCTCTCTGTAAGCTCTTTGTGCAGCTCTGTTTTGAGCAGTTCTCTTAGATTTTGGAACAGTTTCGATTGGTTTACGACCTGGTTTAGTTTGGTGCTGTTTCTTATCATCATGAGAATCGGCAAGTCCGACCTCAGATATGTTTCTTTTAACGTCAGCCATTTCTTTTTAGTATTAAATAAACCCAATATATGAATTATCTTACTAATAAAGATATAAGAATGAGGGTGTAAGTAAGAAATATATCTTTAATTAGTAATGAAATGAGGAGCGCGCAAAGTAAATATATAAATCTACTTCCGACCACCTAACAAAATCTGGATGAAGTGAAAATTAATTAGTTTGTAATTTGCCTCAAGTTTCAACTTCCCAGATGGAAAATGATAAAATATAGGAATAAAACGGTCACAATCTTTGAATAATAATATTTTACAAACTAGAACAGTCTGAATTTTGCAAAAATTACTTTAATCTTGATGAATTTGAATATGTGGAAACAACGTAACTTATATATATCTATAGAATGTTATAGAAGGTATTTCTTTTTTTGCCCTTCTATCAATTCCGACCATAAAAATAATTGACCGGATTTCCCCAGTATTCTCCTATCAATGTGAGATTTTTTTGCATTTCGGTCACCGGATCTCGCAAATGTATCATTCATGCTGACAAATGGATAAGTTACCCGGACCAACGCATTTTTAAACATTTTCCAATCCACATATGCAGGGCCGGTGTCACCCACATTTAGGAACGGCTGCAATTAAAAGGTCGAGAACATTTTACGCTTGGGTCGATCGATTAACAATTGCTATATTTCACTATTGCTGCAATTCTACATAAAATCGTGTGATTATATATAGGAATAAGATCATGAATTAATTAGTCTAATATTTTACTTCTCCACCACATTGATTTGTGGGAAATATTTATCAGGGCCAGGGGATAATTTAACTTTATAACGTGTAGAATCGAAATCTCCTAATTCAACTAATTCTTCCAACTTTTTAACTTCTGACAAATGAAGTTGGCAAACACTAATCATATTATTACACCAACTTTTTACCCCTTCACCAATAAATTGCGACTCATTGGATTTAACAAAGTTCAAGACTTTCTCATATAATTGCTGTGCATTCTTCAATTCAGTAGTACAAATCAGGATTATGTGTTTAATTTTTGCACTTGTAACATCACGTAATTCAATACATTTTTTATATTGATCAAAAGTTGGCAAGTTAGGTACACCGATTGAAGAAAATGGCTTCATCCTCAAATTATATAAGAACTCCATACTTGTTAAATTCAGTTTCGGACCCTTTAATAAATCAAATATTTTTAAAAGGTGTAATATGATGAGAAATAATTTGGTTGCATCACTTAATTTAAATAAAGCTTCGTGTACAACTGCTAAATAACCTTGGTTGTAATTTTGGATTTTTTGTAACTTTGGAAGTACGTTTTCTTGCTTAAAATTTTGAAGTTCTTTTAATTGTTGTTTCTTTGTTCCTGCCTTCAACTTTTTGATTTTTTTAGTCATGCCTGAATTGATGTAATTAATTTTCAATTCAATTTGATTATTTACTCTTCCAATCAAATGTTCAAATACCAACTGGGATAAATAGGATACATACCAATAGATTTGACACACTTCGAAATCCTTATATAGATCGAGTTCAAATCCTCGAAGGGATATATCGATCATACTTACCAATTTATTATAATATACGAATGAACTGATTGGTAAGGTTGGAACATTATTAATTTCATCTCCTATTTTATGAGTTTCCCAGAGATATATCTCAAAGTTTTCTGCTGAAACTTGTAATGTATCCCACACGAGTAAAGATCTAGACATAAGTTGTCTTTGTCTGCATCTATTATTTGTAGTGCTTGAGACTGTATGATAAACAATACTTTCTAAATCCATCATTAATTGATCAAATTGACTTAAAAGGTTTTGCTTTTCGGCCTCTTTTACAGGCCAATTATCTATTTGAAATATAGATGAATCCATAGTGGTGAAACTTTCTAATAACCTATTGGTTAATGTCATAGTAGATTCCTTCGATCCAACAATGGATTTGTTATCTCTAATCAAAAATAATTGATATAATCCTCTTACGAAAACATTGAAATCGGGAGTCATGTTATTAGAGACCTCATGTTCAAGAAGACATTGAAATTGATGGATGTTGTATGTATTTTCAGTTTGTTTTAAAATTTTGTAAAGATCTGAAAACATATTCTTAAAACTATTGAAACACATTGAAGGTTCCAAGGTATATAAGTCTGCAGGTATACTCTTGTTGTTTAGATCCAATTGGGCAAATTTGGAAAAAGATCCCTTAGGGACATGCTCTGAATACTTATCAAGCTTTGCTATATTATCCACGAGTGTAATTGCCTCTAATAGGAATTCCAAGTTCAAAATAGCAAAGTCTCTTAATTCAAAGATTGAAGTTGATGTATTCAATAAATCTTCAATTTGATTCATCTTGGAAACGATTTGAAGTCTTTGCTTTAACTCTTGCATTTTCTCCTTTTCATCTGATTGAATTTCAAGCCAAGAAATAGCTTCATTTAGTTCTTTCACTACTAATACTGTAGGAATTTCAGATAAAAAATCTAAATCCATTCTTCTTGTAGTTAAGTCTTCTTCTTCATAAAGAATATTTAACCCCACATTAATGCAGAAGCCAATGAATTTTGTCAATCCAATAAGATAAGCACGCAAAACTAAATGTACAAGTATCGACTCTTTAGAAGATGAAGTGGTTTTAATAGCTGTTGAAGATGATTCAATTCTAGAGTCATGAAGTGTACATCCATAAAGAGATTTCGAATCATGCGGCTGCATACTGTAATTCTGTAAGATTGTTTGAACATATCTACAAGATAATACTGTTACAGGAAGTGAAGAGTTATTAAGCCAACTCATTAGTTGACACAATAAATAATCGGTGGTTGCAATCACTGCATCCACGGATTGAGGAGAAGAAGGATCAAACGCTAAGTCTTCCTCCTTCAAATTTATCATACCAGTGTCAAGCTTGGCATTGTCAACTTCCACTGCTCTAGTACCTTCAAGTAAATTAAAATATTCACTCTTAACAACCTTATGATCCTTTATATTCTGGACGGAAGAGAAGAGTATTTCTGTAATGTCTTCATAATTTTCAAGAGTCAAAGTATCAAATACTAAAAGTTTGTTAGTTTAAAGAAAAACAGATTTCCTTTGGTTTATGAATAATCATACCTTCATCTATTGGTTGCATATTTAGAAAAGATCCAAATTTGGATTGTATTGAGAAGAATAGATGGAACTAAACGGATAGTGCATCTAAAGCTCATGAATATATGTATGTGGAAGATATCATCGAAAATGGCAATGACTGCATATAATATACAAAGTCCAAAAAAGTACAGGAAACGCTTTGCAACCATTATTGCTGTATATATAGCCCCCTTAATTTGCCAAACCAAGTAATAATCAAAACATGAACGTATATTACTTACTTAATGCGTGGTATATTATGCTGCTATTTAAACTTTCAATCTTTAAAGGAAGCATCCAATTTAAAAAATAAATATGAAGCCTAAATTATAAAAATAACAGCATTTTTATTTAACAAAAAAACATCAAATAATGAATGATAATTTAATAAATTGATATAAGATATGTTTGAAATATATCATAAGATTATTTTGCTGAACAGATTATACAAAGTCATTCATAGAAACTTTATATTTATGTTATCAACTACAATAATTTATTATTTTGTTTTTCCTCTATAACATGGTATTTATTCCCTAAAATCATGAAACGTGTTTATAATCACAATTTTATTACTCCTAAAGGTTTGGAAATTACAGGAGCACCTATTTACATACTTCAAATATTTAATTAAACCTTACAGCTACCAAAATATTCAAATTTTAAAAAAATGGAAAATTTGAGACCTCAAAAAAGCTATTATTTTTAAAATTGGTATAAATTGGGCGGTTGGTGTAGTGGTTAACATTTTCGCCTTCCAAGCGGGAGACACGGGTTCGATTCCCGTACCGCTCATTTTTTTTTTTTTGCTCTCACGTAGAATTATTATTGTTTTTGTTGTTGTTTTGATACAGGTACGCGATTGAAGATGGGATATTAAATCTATACGTTTTGGTTGATCTCAATACATCATACTTGGATATACATGAGAAAATGTCATACAGACCTAATGCGAACTCCATCAAGAGTATAACAGACCTTGAAGGGATATATAATGCCATGTGTCATGTATTTCAAGACGCACAATTAACTCTTTCTGGACATCGTAAATTGGTGGTTATTTTGAAAAGTATCCATAAACGAGCAATAGAATTGGGTTTAGAGGACTCTTTCTCCATGAAGTTCACCAAGTTAGTGAACTTTATTTTACCTTTGAAGAAGGGTGAACAAGTTGGTGATAGAATCATCAAATTTTGTTCTGTTTTTGTGGCTTCATTATATAAAGATCAAGAAGCGGAACGTGAAGCAAAGGCGAAGGCAAATGAAGAGAACGGAATTGAATCAGACGAGGAAGAAGAAGAAGATTCCCCAACCGGAAGATTTGTTGACTACCTTTTGCGTCACTTACTTCGAGGTATACAGGCAAAAGATAAACAAGTTCGGTATCGAGTTGTTCAACTACTTGCATACCTTGTGAATAACATCGGTGAGATTGATGAAGAATTGTTTACTGCATTGCAATGGTCATTGAATAGGAGATTGTATGACAAGGAAGCAAATGTACGTCTTCAGGCCATTGTTGCGATTTCTCGATTCCAGTATTTAAATATTCCAGATGGGAAAAAGGCAACTGAAAGTATGTTATTGGCAATGCAACATGACGATAGTGCCGAAGTTCGTAGAGCTGCATTATTGAATTTACAAAAAACCAATCAGACCATCCCATTCTTGATAGAGAGAGCCCGAGATACCAATTCCATCAATAGAAGATTGATATTTTCAAGAATTTCAAAAGAATTGGGAGACTTTCGAGAATTGAATATTGAAGTAAGAGAAAGTTTGTTACGTTGGGGTCTTCATGATAGAGAAGCTTCCGTTCAAAGTGCAGCGGTAAAGATGTTTGCAAGTAATTGGTTTGAGACAGTCCAAGAAGATCTTATTGAATTGATAGATACTTTAAATGTGGTAAACAGCGATATTGCAGACACGGCTATAATGACTTTTTATAAGTCAAGACAAGAGTATATTTCCAAGATATCAATTACTAAAGAAATGTGGAAAGAATTGACTACTGAACTTGCATTTTTCATTAGAACATTTTATGAGTATTGTAATGAAAATTCATTATTTGATTTAATTGATAAATTTTTCCCTGAATCTATTGAGTTAACTGAAATATTACTGAAATATTTCACACTTCGAAAATCATTCATTGGTAACAATCGTGAAGTTATTCAAACATATGAGACTATGCATTCTCAATTAGAGCAATTACGGAATGAAGAATATGAATTAGAACACGAAAGGGATGATCCTGAATCTAAAACTAGACTCAAAAAAGTAAAACAAGAAATAGAAGTGGGATTATCAGAATTTGAAGAACCAAGAACAAACTACATCAACTATTATGATCAATTGAAAGAATTAGAATTCATCATTAAGCAATTGGTTCTAGTTGCAAAAGATTACGATTTTAGTGATGAAATTGGAAGACGTGAAATGTTACGAATTATAAGATTATCATTAACAAATGACGAACTTTCTGATGAATTGATTAAATTATCATTAAAGGTTCTTAAAAAAATCTCTATTAATGATAGGGATTTTTCCACCATGTGTACGGAAATTGTTACCGATATACGTGATTCATATATGGATGATGTTGATGATGATACTTTCCATTCTGCCATTTCAACGTTGAACAATGATAGTGAGGAGGAGAAGAATGAAGATGACGACGACGAAGAAGAAGAAGAGGATGACGACAATGACAATGATCAAGAAGGAAACAATGGCGAACTTTCAAATGAGAGATCTAATCCAAACAAACGTAGAAAGAAAGAACCAAAGCAACCACCAAATGAGATTCTTATTCAATGTTTGTTGATCACTCAACATCTTTTAGAAATCACGGAGGAATCAATTTCAAATGTTTCATTGAGTTCTTTATTGGACAGTTTGGTCAGACCTTCAGTTCTTCGAAATGATAATACATATATCCGAAACTTAGCAATGACCTGTTTAGGATTATTCTGCTTGTTAGATAAACAATTAGCCATTCAACAATTATACTTATTCGGTGTTGCAGCATCTAGAGCCGATGAAGAATTAAGAATAATATCTATTAAAGTTATTGTTGACATTCTCTCCACACACGGTGTTTCCGTTTTGGATATTGAAGGACAAGTCGATTCACTTTCATTGGCCAAGTTATTCTACAAAGTATTGAGATTATATGAAATGCCTAAATTACAATGTGTCGTCGCTGAAGGGTTATGTAAATTATTTTTAGCGGATAATTTGGCTGATTTTGGTAAGAATAAGAATAACCAAGGAGAGGAACCACAAGAACAAGAAGATCAAGAGAAAGTTTTATTTGAAACGTTGATTTTGACGTATTTCCATCCACAAAACGAGAATAACCATGAATTGAGACAGATTTTGGCTTTCTGCATCCCAGTATATGCATTCAGTCACCAAACCCATCAAGATAAGGTCGCTAGTATCAGTGGAGATTGTTTCTTTAGAATCTTTAGAGAAAATGGTGAGTTTGAAAGATTCGAGAATGTCACCAGTCCTACTACAATCATTCAACAATTAATTCATTGGTGTGACCCAAATAATTTAGTAAATATAACACCAGACGAAATTAAAAAGTCTTCATCACATTTTTGGCAAGTTTTGGGATTTTTACAAGTTATTGAACAAGATACCCCTAAAAATATCAAAAAGGTTATTATTTCAAATTTGAACCGTATATATTTGACTGAAGAATTAGGATCCACTGTTTTATCTGGGTTGAAAAAGGCAATTGAAGATACGAGATCTGTTATTGAAACGAACCAAAATGATCCAAGTTTTGTTCTTGATTCAACGACTGATAGAAGTTTTGAAAAATTTTATCAATCAGTTCGAGAATTAACCGAACGAGCCATTATAATTGAAGAAGAGAAGAAAAAGGAGGAAGGTCTAGTGGAAAAGGATGAAATTTCGATTAATCGACTGATAAATGATGGGACGGAAATTGACCGAGAAATAACTGCCGAACCGAAATCCGAAGATATAATTGAAATGGAACTAAGTAAGAATAATATTGAAGAAGACGGAAAGATAAACGACAAGGAAGTAAACGAGGAAGAATTAAACAATGAAGAAGATCTCCAAGATAGTCTCCAAAAAATCGACGAGTTGCTTGATGAAGAAGAAGGGGTTGATTATGACATCAGTATGGAGGAATAGAGAGCGGAGAAACCGTCGTATATATAAAGTATAATTATAGTTTATCGTATGGAGCTTTTAAACATTTATACGGTAAACGACGTAAACGACATGCAGGACGACTCGTATATACTAAACGACGAAAAAATAAAGAAAGCGCGTCAACGATTTCAAAATTGTTTATAAGGTGACTGAAAAACAAAAACATATAGAAAAGTTTTAAAAGATTATCACAAATTTCAACAAGATCACTTCAGATTCAACTCGGGATATTCATTTCTTAGTAATCACTTAATTAAATAATAAAAATAATAATAAATATGCCTGCTGCCAGTGTTCAATTAGCCGAAAAGGATTTCGAAAGAGATGCCAAATTTGCAAAGGCCATGCATGGTGAATCTTTCAAGAAGACCGGTTTGAGTGCCTTAGTCGCCAAGGCCAAGGATGCCTCTAACGTTGCCACAGATGGTTACTTCAAGCATTGGGATGGTGGTGTCGAAAAGGCTGACGAAGACAAGAGATTGGAAGATTACTCTCAATTGACTGCTCATTACTACAACTTGGTTACTGACTTTTATGAACACGGTTGGGGTTCTTCTTTCCATTTCTCTAGATACTACAAGGGTGAAGCTTTCCGTCAAGCCACTGCCAGACATGAACACTTTTTAGCCCACAAGATGCAAATCCATGAAAACATGAAGGTTTTGGATGTTGGATGTGGTGTTGGTGGTCCAGGTAGAGAAATTTGCAGATTCACTGATTGTTCTATTGTTGGTTTAAACAACAACGATTACCAAATCGAAAGAGCCAACCATTACGCTCAAAAGTACAAGTTGGACCACAAGTTATCCTATGTCAAGGGTGACTTTATGCAAATGGATTTTGAACCAGAATCCTTCGATGCCGTCTATGCCATTGAAGCTACAGTCCATGCTCCAGTTTTGGAAGGTGTCTACTCTGAAATCTACAAGGTCTTGAAGCCAGGTGGAACTTTTGGTGTTTACGAATGGGTCATGACTGACGAGTACGATGAAACCAACCCAGAACACCGTAAGATTGCCTACGGTATCGAAGTTGGTGATGGTATTCCAAAGATGTACAAGAGAGAAGTTGCCGAACAAGCTTTAAAGAATGTTGGTTTTGAAATCCAATACGAACAAGATTTGGCTGATAAGAATGACGACATTCCATGGTACTACCCATTGAGTGGTGAATTGAAATATGTTCAAACTTTCAGTGACTATTTCACTATCTTCAGAACCTCTAAGATTGGTAGAACCCTCACTACTGAGGCTGTTGGTTTGTTGGAAAAGCTTGGCTTGGCTCCAAAGGGTTCCAGACAAGTTACCGACGCCTTGGAAGACGCTGCTGTCAACTTGGTTGAAGGTGGTAGACAAAAGTTGTTCACTCCTATGATGTTGTACATCTGTAAGAAGCCAGAAAATGCCAAATAAGGGGGTGGGGAGTATATATATACAATTGACCGTAATAATGCATCCAAAACATTGATATTTTAATTTATTAGTTTGTTTTTTTAGAATTAAATGGAGTTTAATTTTCTAGATTATGATTGTAATTGTAGACGAGAGCTTCCCATTGTCCTCCAATGAAGAAGTGAGGTCTGAAGTTGTGTTGGTAGTTGCCAAGCTCAACTACGTTTTAAACGTCAGGTGTGTTTTCCATTAATTAACTGCACCTATACTAACTTGTACGGCCAAGAATTTCTCCTCTACGGAAAAGAAAGGGTGAAAGCCCCTTTATAGCAGGGGGGTGCATGGGTCTTGTGTGACCTCGCAACAAGCCCACGGGTCTTCATTTATTTTTTTTTTTCGCAGCCAAGTAGAGGCGCATTTTTTAGTTTGCTCCATATACAGGTAAGGGTTGTTTTTGATTAAATAGCAACCATCTATTATCAATCAGATAGACTTTTTTTCAATTCTGGTTATTGTTTCTTTACTTTTTTTTTCCGAACTATACACAAAAGTACTACAGACACCATGTCACTTACCAACCCCAACCTCGAAGGATACAACGTTACCAGAGCATTGTGGATGAGATACTATCGTCCTCATGATGGTACTTTCATTGCCCCACGGAAATGTTCTGGTTGCTACAATGACGATAAATTTGTTGTTTGGGCAGTATCTGTAGCAGTGCAAGCAGTGGTAGATGGTTCCAGATTGTATAAGGAGTTGGTCCCATTGATCGACCCAGCAATTGCTATCTTCCAGAAATATAAGAACACAAGCTTGAAAGGATTCTCTGCTGCTGAAAACGGTGGATCTGATAAGGATATCTACTATGATGATGATGCCCAAGTTGCATCTGCAATGATTACAGCTTATGAAGTTACTGGCAACAAAAAGTATTTGGATCAAGGTAGAGAACTTGTTAGATTTCTTATGGGAGGTTGGAATGACAATCCAAACGCTAAAACTAAAGGAGGGGTCAAGTGGCACATCACCAATGCTTATTTGAATGCTTGTACCACTGCTGAAGTTGCAAAAGCATGTCTTCAAATCTCCAAATTTATTCCTAGTGAAGCAAAGGTTTACATTGATTTTGCAGCAAAATGTATTGATTGGCAAATTAGAGTTTTACAAGATCCAGAAGATAAATTAATAAAGGATGGGATTCAAGATACCGCAGACCATCCTAACGATACTAAATGGTCTTACAATGCTGGAACCACCTTGTCAGCAGCATCTCATTTGTACTACATTACAAAGGATCCTAAATGGAAAGATATTGCTACTGATTTAGCGAAGACATCCATTAATCGTAACTCAATCATTTACGACAGAGACTATGACGATAATAGACGTTACTGGCGTGATTCTTCATACTTTGTTCAACTTTTGATTGAAGGTTTGGCCGATTATGACCTTTACGTTGGAGATGATGCCCCAGATGGGTTACGCGACAAGATCCGCGAGGAGGTGTCAAGACATTTAACTATGTTTTATGAGTATATGAGAGATCCTAAGGATGGTTTATACTTGCAAAGTTTCGAACCTCATATGACATACAGGGAGGTTTATGATACAAAATATAAAGAAAAGTTTCAAGGCCACAAGGGTTGGGGGTTGAAAGGTGAGGATAAGGTTGGTGATGAGCCAGAAAAATGTTTAATTGGATGTGGTGCTGCTGCTAGAGTCTTCTTCCAAGGTGCCAGACTTGTTCCAAGAATTGAGTAAGTGTACTAATAAAAAAAAACACACTCGGGGAGGGTATGCGAGGAAAACAGTGGAGAATCTATGTGTTAATGTATATTTAAAAGAGTTAATTAAAAAACCATTTTCGTACTTTTATTTTCGTTCCTCTATCATCTATATGCAACTATACTTTGAGCTTTGGTAAATCGAAAGCAGGGGTGGAGGATACCAAAGAAGGTAATTCCACCACAATGATCCCATCCAAGAACAGTCTTGCTGACAAGATTGGTCTATACTTGGAAGTCATCCAGAATGGTTTGGTATCACTAGTATTTAATGTTTGTTCATCACTTTGTATCTTTTCTCTGAGGCTATCAATTTGACTTTGCTTTAATGATAATTCCAAAATCTCCACATTATCCTCGAGAATGTTGATATTTCCATCGATTTCTTGATTATTTTCATCTTCAACGGTAGACCCTTGAACTTGTAAACCATCTCTGTCTCTCTTTCTATTTGAGTTCGACATGTTTTGGTATTGTTTATTGATAGGAATATTTTCAGACAAATCAAAGAACGAGAGCCAATTAGATCCATAAATCCATACTCTCTTAGAGGTTGAATCTTGATCAATGAACATTCCGTGTGGTTTATCTTCCAAAGTCAAGAATTGTTTAGGAAGGAATTCAGAGTTTCTCTTGGACCATGGTGTAAGCAAGGAAACAGTATTGGTAGCCTTAGTGGTGGTTTTTTTATTTCTAACATAGAATTCGTAGAGTTTATTTTCGTCAGTAACAACCAATAAAGTATTTGAATGCGAGAAGCACATGATATGTGGACAACTAGACAATTTAGTCAAGACAAACGATTCTTCTCCCTTGAGAGAAAGTACCTCTACCAAACCATTGAAGCGGGAAATTACAACTTGTGAATTGTCTTGAGAAATAACAATATTGTTAATGTTATTTCCGTATGGGTGCTTGATTGAGTTTGCCAGTTCATGAGTTTCAAGTTCGGATTCTAATTCTATTGACTCTTCGGAGATACGGAAGTTGTAAATCTCATTATCAGCAGTCAATATAAGAAGCTTATCAGCTGAATATAAAACAACTTGTTTAGCTCCATCAACCAACAGATCGAAGTTTGTGTCTCTAATCTTTTGAACAGTAACCTTTTTATTATCATGAGTTAAATGGAACAATTTAACAGAAGTCAATGTTGAGACAGCTAAAAGTGAAGCTTCATCATTTATCAGGACATGAGTTATGTTTTCATCATCTGCTAAACTCAATTTAGATACAAGTTTATGAGTTTTACCAGTGCCATCTTCGTTAAGAACCTTCCATACCTTGACGGTTTGATCTTGCCACATCACAATCAACTTTTGGTCCTCATTAACGGTAACATTTGGTCTTTGTTGTGTTACACTAAGTTTTCTGTATCTTCCGTCATGGAAATGTGAAACGGACAGGATAACAATGGATTTTTCTACACCTCCACTTAACAAAAAGTTACATCCTCTTGCTTCGTAAACGGCCATGGTTCTGACATCATTGGAGTGTAACAATCTACTGTTAATGTGTACCCATTTAGAAGACTTTGTGGAAGATGATGGCTTGATCAATTGGAATTGATGGATCTTACGATCAACACCAGCGGAGAAAATCTTGGATTCAGATGCATCACGTACAACACATAATACATCGGCATCATGCACTTTGAAACTTTGGATCAATGTGTGTTGGTTTAAGTCCCAGAATTTAACAGAACCAGTGGAGTCACCACTAACAATTTGACGACTTTCAGGAAGGACTTGAACAGACCAAACCAAAGTACTTTCAGTTTTGGATTTATCAACTCTCATGGTTCCAATAAGTCTACCTCTTCCAGTGCTTCCCACAGCGCCAGTAGCCCAACATCTCAAACGAGCGTCAGCACATCCCCCGACAACAAGTTCATCTTCATACCAACATACACTCAAAACTCTCAGATCTTGTCTTTGACATACCAACAGATGTTCAAGAGATCCTGGACCGCCAGAAATATCTATTATAACAACAGAACCATCGTCACAACCGACGGCCAAGTTCTTTCCAGAAGCACTGCTATCGATAGACCAGATGATCCCGGCATTACAATCATAATTTGCCGCAGGCTTTTGAGTAGTCATATCCCATTCGGTGACTACAGTAGATCCACCAATGGAGAACAACCGTGGAACTTGGTCATCCAGAGCCCAACACAAACCTTCGATAGAGCGTCCACGTGCACCATAGAGGGTTAATTCATGAGTCCATCCATGTCTAGGGTTCCATACTTCAATGTCACCATTACTACGACCGACAGCGAGACGTAAATTGGCTGGTGCAGCCGCATCCGCTTGCGACTTATGGCTGAAAGCCATCGCAGTGATGGTGTGCGGAGAATAGTCTACAAAACGAGCTCTATGAATATCCATATTTCTTCGATGTTTTGTTCAATGTATTCAGACAAAGATAATGCCTTTATTATTTACTTACTCTCTTTTCAATTGAAGCTCATCCCGAAATTTTTCAGATGCGGTAGGTCACGTGAGACATTCATAAACTGAGAGTTTCGTATTTATACGGGTGATATGATTCCCCAAGCTATGAGAATAACATGATATTGTATATAAATATATTGATTTTCTTGAATAACAATCTTTTTTCCATACTAGAACTACCCATTTGTCTTCTTTGGTCACAGTTATTTTTATTGTATTTGGCTGTATTTTTTGTATTCACTCTGAGTGTTTTCAGTTTACTTTATTTTTTTTTTTCTCTAGCCATTCTCATCTTTTTTATTTACAAGACTCATTTTTGCAACCAGCTTTACACAAGACATATGATTATTAAAGTATTATCTAAACAAATCCAACAAAGCTATTCACAAAGTTTAACAATCTAATGAACCACTTATTCTCATCCATATTTAACACCATATTAATCACCAACTCCTTATTATGCCTATTGTTCATTGCTGGTTGTTTAACTATTGTTCTCTCCACGATTACATTCTTTTTAATACACCAAGTTAAGAAAAGTACTGCTAAGATACTAATTGAGAAATTCTTAAAGAACTTCAATATATTAACACCAACAATTTTCAATAAATGTATAATTCTTCTCTGAATTTTTTTTCTTGGATCTTCAATATAATCCAGTGAATTCTCAGAATCTGTAGTGGTAATATGTGCTCCACGGTAGCTATACTTTTTCGATGCTTTGGAATTTAAAAATTCCCGAGATAATTTATTAATAACCATATTAATTTCTCCTTGCCATACTTTAAAATCATCCAATGAATTATTTTGTTCTGGTCCAGTTTCATGGTGACGGGATAATGAACCTGGTGGTAAGGAGAATACAGATGTAGCAACTGGAGGTGCACCCGAAGTAACACCATCTCCTACTTGATTTCCTGTTTGTCTTTGTTGCAGAACGTATTCATTTAATGATAACATGGTACTTCTTCTAGAATGTGAATAAATTTTCTGTAAATTACTACGATATTGCAGTTGTTGTTGTTGTTGTTGCTGATGTTGCTGTGGTTGGTGGTTGTATGAAAGAGAGTAATTACTAGGTAAAGGAAGTGGTGTAGCGGTTGAATATCGTTCGGATAACAACAGAGGAGATTGTGGAGGATTAGGAATATGTATTTCACGTTCATCTTCAGGACTAAATTGTAAATCCTTGATTTGATCCCAAAGATATTCCAATTCACTCAATAATTCCCTAGCTTCCAATGTGCCACTAGCATATACTCTCATGGTTTCAATTAAAAAAGATATGTATTGTCTTTTAGCTTCAGTTCTGGATAAACCTTCCTCTCGTTTCCATGCATCCCATTTCTTTTTAGCACCTTCATCTTCCAAGCTAAACCCTACAGGTCGAGGCATAACTCCTTCCACATCACCTTCTGCAGCTTGTTTGTAAAGTCCATATAATTTGATTCGATTCTCTGCTGGTGGGCGGGGTAAAGATCCATAATTAGAACGAGATGATAATGCTCTTATAGTGGTGATCGCCTTCACAAAAACACGATCTTAGGTGTTAGTAATTTTTGAACAGTTACAAAATTTATCCAAATAAACGTACCAATTGAATCAGACATGACTATTTAAGATTATATATCGAATGGCCAACACAGACACGAAAAGGAAAAATAAAGAAGAAATATAATAGATATATGCGAATTAAGACTTGCAATTGATATTAAGGAATTCTCAAGAACACAGTCAAAGATCAAAGATCACCAGATTTTCAACAAGTATCTTAAAAAGTACACTTCTTATCAGATTACTCTAGTGATTAAATCATAAATCAACATTGTTGTTGCCATCTATGCTGTGGGGAATACACCCGCGCACGACCGCCCCTCTCTAAAAAGAGAAACACATGAAAGTTGAGAGGACCGAAAAAAAAACAAAGAGAAAACTTCGCATTTCCGACAGCCACCAGAGAAAATCTACTGATAAAAAAATTCTATACACCTTACAGTAACAGTTTGATGAAACACACCATCTGCACCTTTCTGAACTCTTGATATTGTTTTTTTTTATTTTTCATTGATTGATATGATATTTGATTTTTTTTTGTTGTTGTTTAGTTGTAAGCTAATGAAATGGACCAGCCACACCCATATTTGTAGGGTATAGCGGTGAGTAGTCAGCCTGAATTTTTCTAGTTTGCACCAAAATAGGAACCAAATATGGCATTACACTGTCGCAATACAAGACTGCCGTGTAAAGATTTGGCACCAGAGTGTTGGCAAACATTATCAAATCAAAATCAAATCAATAAAAATAAATCAAAAAAAATTAGAGGATTCAGAATGGTTAGTAGATGGGGGTTTTAGCGCTTCAAACAAACGGGGAGAAACGTTAAGCAATATCAATTAAACCCTATTAAACACTTTTGTACATAATCTAGTTTTCTGGGACATCGATTTCACCAGCGTTGATGGCATCGATGATGTCGTGAGGGTTCTTACCTTCAACACGACAACCAACAGATTGAGCAGTACCTAAGATTTCCTTAGTAACGGAAGCCAAGGTCTTACCGAAAGACTTTTCCTTCATAGTTCTAGCAATTTCGTAGATTTCTTCCAATGGAATGTTACCAGAGTGCTTGACGTTCTTTTCCTTCTTTCTGTCTCTTGGGGCTTCCTTCAAAGCAGTGATGACCAAAGAAGAAGCAGATGGGACAACAGAGGCGGTAGCTTGTCTGTTTTGAATCTTCAAACAAACGGTAACCTTAATACCCTTGAAACTCTTGGTGGCCTTGGCGATATCTTCACCGACCTTCTTTGGGGACAAACCCAATGGACCAATCTTTGGGGCCAAAGCGGCGGAGGCACCGATTTCACCACCAACGGCTCTCAAGTAAAGGTACTTAACTTCACTAGGGTCAAACTTTGGAGGCATCTTTGATATAGTACTTTAATGAGTTATGGACTTTGTTAAAGTTAATATTAAAAGTTTTAAAAAATTATCAATTGAGTATACTTTTTTTTTCACTCTGCACACACGCGCACACCCAATGGACTATGCAATCAAAAAATTTGAAACGATGTTACACAAAATTGCAAATATACAGGTCACGGTCACAGGGCATAACCCTAAGTGCAACAGAATGCACGTGATATCCAGATCAATATATTATCTTACTTTAGATGTCTTGTGTAACTTAAATTGGGTTGTTATTTTCTTTTTTTTTTTTTTTTTTGGATTATATATTAAATTATTATTTTTAGAATTTATTATTTTGTATGGGGAGAATGTTCCGGGGTGCAGATATAGAAGAATTAAAACAATTCCATTGTTGAAATGTTTTATTGTTAATAACTTTAAATATATTTAAAGTAGTGGTTTTTTGTATTGTAATACTGAACATGTATTTTCATTTATGTATGTGTATGTTATCAGTTTTCACCCATAATTGGGTGGTCTACAATTTGTTCAAATTGATGCAAAATTATTAACTATAAAGTTCCTCCCGGAATATCGTCTCCAATTCTCAGGTCTTCATATAGTACGTCGTCCTCTTCTTCCTTAGTAGTAGCCAATTGTCGAAGCATGATCGCAGGATGTTTCCCAAGTTCTTGTAATTCTTTAAATATAATGACAGGCTTTTCAGCAAGCTTAAGTATTCTTTCTTTATCTCCGTAACAAATCACAAGAACGTACTTCAGCCAATCGTCACGAGGAATGTGATGACGTTTCATTGCTTGCTGTAAGACTTTAAGACAGGAATCTTCTGAAGAAGCTCTAAGCTGCTTTAAAGGTTCGTTGTTTGTAGGTTGAGATGATGAAGACGAAGATGGTGGAGGTGGAGGTACCAGAGAGTTCATACCCGATGTTGCTGTCGATGACGATGATGCAGATGCCAGCGTTAGGTGTGGTCGTATACCTGGCTTTGTAGGGTTATTATTAATTGAATTGGCTGATACAGTTTCAACTAATCGTGGCCTTTGTGATACTTGACCTTGTCCTTGATTTCTATCTCTATGAGAGATTTTTTGAAGTGTGAAATTTGGTGCCCGGGAATTTTCAGTAGTAACTACTGATTGTTGGATTATTTTCCCTGTTCCCATAGATAATAGCGATCCAGACGAAAATCTATTAGTAGAGAATGTAGGACTAGGCATACTTGAGTTTCTATTTTGCGTAGAAGCTACCAAACTGTTTCTTCTGGTAGAAGTACCAGCAGGCTTTGAATTCTCCGCATTTACATCTGTAAATGTATTTGAACTCAGAATTGAAAAAGTTGGGGAGTCTAGGCTTTTACCAATTGTAGACCCAGGATCCAAAGTTGGTGTAGGTAATGGTTTAGACTCTTTAAGAAGTCTCATAGCCGGAATAAGCTCCGATTTGAGTTTGTTAAAGTTTTCATTTAATTTACGAATATCAAGTTGTTGTTGAGTTGGTGATGAAGGCGATGATGTGGATTGCAGCAGTACCAGCAGTTGCAGCAGTAATTGATGTTCAGATGCCTTTTTGAAACTTTCACGAAGTAAAGTTAATGCAACAGTGAGCGACTCGATATGAATATAATTGTTGTTGATGTTTGCATATGGAATATTTAGATTGGTATTGGATTCAGGTTTCAGACTATGGGAATAAACGAGATCTGCAATAGCTTTTTTAATTTGAAGACGGAGGCTAAGCTTCTCAATCCCCAACTCTCGGAGATGTTCAGTGGTAAGATGTGGCAACAACAGTCCATCAAGATTATGATCTAGAAACAATGTCCCTATTTTACGATCGATACCTGAGATATAGTTTGATACTTGCGCAGGATCCCACAGTAAAAAGGAATCTGCCGCTATTGGAGATGCCATGGAAAATGCTGTAAAAATTCGAGATAGTGATTAAGGGGGAAGGAAGGGGTTTCCTTAACAAAGCTTTATGTATTGCTGATCCCACACAAAAGAGTTCTCTTGTTTTCAAGTAACGTGAATATGTCTGGAATGCTTCCAAATGGATGAAGGATTCAATTAGCCGATATGGTTTGGAAAAAAAAAAATATTCTAGCAAACTTGAATTTTGCTTGATCTGCCCATGTATATATGACAGGCGATCTCAACAACTCCGCGAACTAAGTGGGGTGGGGAGAATGGTATAGGTTTTGTTTTTTTTTTCCGCCGTACAGACTTTCTCAATTAATGCAAAAGTTGAAAACAAGACACAATTTTAATCACTTGAGGGGCGAGTGTAGTCAACGATTTTTGTAAAGAGAATGTTGTATCTTTAGATCTAGTGTTGATGTCCCCTGGTTGGATATTTTATCCTGCAGGAACCATGAATGTGTTTAAATTCTATTCTGAGACAAGAAAAACATTCTAATTTTAAACATTTGTTAGGGAATGTATATCAAATACATGGGCACGTGATGATAGATCGGTTGCAAGATTTGTTTCATATAATAATTATTTCAAATTCCATCTATGCTAAAAATAACTCAACAAAGTAGTAAAACATGTCAATTAGAGTCATCTTGTTTATATCTTATGAAAAAGAAGAGGGGATATCAATGTTTCCGTAAGATTCTTTGCCTAGTGTACCTGGGATATGATACTATATATAATTGTGATTGTGACACTTTGTAGTATACAGGATTCATGTTATATGGTGTGCCAATGATAAGGGATATTCAACCACACATTTGGAGTTTCTATTTAACTCACATATTTCCTCAATTGGGTACTCATTTTCAGCCATGGTATATGTCAAAACAAAGCCTCAGAGTGGGATACTTCACGAATATTCTCCAGGATTGACAGCCTTTCAATTTGGCGGAGGACAACCAAAAAATGTCCTAGTGTTCATTGGTGGCCTTGGTGATGGTTTACTCACGGTACCTTATGTTGCTAACCTAGCTGCAAACATTCAAGAATCAACGAATGGCGAGTGGACAGTTGTACAGGCGTTGATTTCTGCTTCATATCAGGGGTGGGGTACTAGCACATTATCTAGAGACGTTAAAGAATTGGGTCAACTTGTTTCTTACCTCAAATCTTCTGATGGAGGAAGTTTCAATAAAGCTGTATTAATGGGACATCTGACCGGTTGTCAAGATACTCTTTACTATATAAGCAAGGCTAATCCCGGTGATGTACCAAGCTTAGATGGTGCCATTTTGCAAGCTCCCGTATCGGACAGCGAAGGTTTTGCTCTTGGGTTTAAAAATAAAGCAGAATTTGATAAATCTATTGAAATTGTGCGTAAAGAATATATTGAAACTGGAAAGGGCCAACATATATTACCAGAGAAGTTTAGAAGAGAATTTTGGAATACTCCAATTACCGCTTACAGATATTATTCGCTTGCCAGTGAACGAGGAGATGACGATTTCTTCTCATCATATTTAACTTCAAAGGATCATGAATTGACTTTTGGGAAAGTAAGTATCCCTTTATTAGTCTTGTATGGTTCTAAGGATGAATTTGTTCCAGAATCAGTAGATAAATCAAAGGTAATTAATGGTTGGAAAGATGCGACTAATCCTAAATATTGGAGTCCACTTAGTAAAATCTTACAAGGTGCCTCGCATAATGTTGGACCAAAATCAGATAGTGGTGCTGAAGAAGATCTTTTATCTACTGTTTCTGAATTTATCAAACAATTTTAGATATAATATTATATTCATATATACATTACTAAATCACTAGCTGTCATCATCAAGTCTATAATTTCTAATCAGTTTAATAAGACTCTTGTAGTATGCATTGTAGCTACATTCATCAGTTTTGGAGATATCATAGTTGAAAGATGATGAATGATTATTATTTCCTCCTCCTCCAGAAAATAATCGAGAGTACCATGGTTTTGAGTTGTCTTCAATCAATGATGTTCCATTGGCAATCGATGGAGGATTCAATCTTGAAGTTAAGAATCTTGCCTGGGAGTGATTTGTTTGCGTGATAATATATTTGGGAACAATGGGACGATTTTGCACTTTCAAAACGTTTGAAATAAAATCCATTGGGATGGTCAATTGGGAATCAAAAACCAAATCCTGATTTTCAGAATGATGAAGTTTTAATTTTGTTTCCTCGTCAGCTTTATCGTAGTGATAGTATATGATAATGTTGAATACGGAGTCCAATACTAAAAATGTCTTGGAAGGAACCCGTTCAATAATATTGGAATCCAAGGGGATTTCAATTTCCGTATTACCGTGTAGTTGGTACATTTTCGGTTGGATGGCAATGGGTGCCAAATCTAACCCAAACTTCATAAACCAATGATGATAGTAAGTAGTCTCATCGGGTGAAGCATTGAAGATTTGAATCAATTGAGGATTTTTCCGAAGACTATACATAAGGGAGGGAAGTTTGGTTAATTTTTCATTTATCTTATCGCCATCTATCACTGCCTTGTTAAAATTGTTCAACAATTTCACCATGCACAGATCCATTTGTTTAACTAATCCTTCAAATTCAAACCCAATATTAGTATCTAGTTTGCTAATCATTAATCGACAAAATAAAGTGATCCAAGCTGAAGAGTCCAAATTTTGTAACAAGTCTATTTTAGCATTGTTTAAGTTCAATTGCAAGTTTTTGACTTGTCTTATATTCATTGCTCTCAATGTAGTTGGTTTTCTAACCGTAGTAATCCTTACTTTCCATGTTTTTTCTACTTTGTCCCAATATTTCAACTTGAATTGAATGTACATATATTCAGATCCATTCTTTGGAATATCTTTTGAAGACTTCAAACCTTCAATTTCGAAAAATATAGCAAGACTATCAGTTGATTGCAAATTATTCCAATGCCATTTATTGGTGAAGTAATGCTTTTTATATTTGGAATCAAACTTTGTGAGTTGATCCGAAATTGTATCATGATGACGAGCAGGATTAGCGAATAAAGGAGGAAGGTGATATGTGTGAGAAATCATTTTCGTGACCTTTAAGTTTGGAGATGTTGTTACTGTTAAAGTTGCTCTTGAAACGTTACTAGCCACTCCCTGGATAGTTTTCTTGAATTGATCTTTGAATTGTTGATCATTAAATCCATTCGATATCAATACATCACCGTTAGTGTTCAGAATCAAAGATTTCATTTCATATAACCCCACCTGGTCAAGTGATCCGGTAAATATATTTATTGTCCATTTGGGCAGAGTTTCTGCTAGAGTTAAACTTGTAGTCTTTTGATTCATTCCAGTCATTTGTAAGGCACTGTCTAATGGGAGACCATTGGCAAGAAATGATATTGCTTCATAATACTTCAGAGTAGAAATATAATTTGAATTGCTATTTAATTGTTTGATATCATGATGGGATCTTAAAGATTGGCCAGGGTGAATAACGGCACCAGGCTGACTGTTGTTGGGACCACTTACAAAAAGAAACACCCTCCCATTGAAATTAAGATATGATCCCATGGATAAAGCTATCGAGGTAAGATAGAGACACAATCCTAGAGACCTTGGTGGTTTGTAAGACTGGGTAATTTTTGGTTTTAATGACTGCAAATAATCTTGCAACTGTTGCTTAGTGGTAGTATCTAAGAGGATAGAATAATGTTCCTTGGTTAAAGAATTGTCTTGAGGTGACCATTTTGGTCGGTTCAGTAACTTTAATTTATGAAAAGCCTGTTTCACCACAGTAGAATTTTTCAAGAACAACGCGTCAAGGTTATAGTCAGATTGTTTGAATAATTCTTCTTGTGAGAATGAAACTTGAGTTGATATCAACGGTTGGTGGAAATGGACTGATTCATCGAAAGTGATCAAGGTCACCAAAACTCCATCAGACAATTTCTCTATGGCTTCTACTAAACTGTCAATAAGTGCGGAGAACGAAGATTCGGAATTTGAATCATGATTCAACTCATCAATATGTTGATATGTGTCAAGTACAAATATGATGTTTTCAGGAGTATCTTCATTAAACCCTTGTGCAATATCAGTAGGTACAATGGCTTCAAACGACGTGGCTTGTGGTACGGGGAAATCTTTTGTAGGAAAGTACGACTTCCTTAGACAAAAGGGGCATTTCCAAATATTTGTGGATACATCCTTCGTTATGTATGGATTGAGATAACCTCCGCAAGTACGACAGGAGACAAGAGAATCTTCAGTTGAAATCGACGCAACATCGTTAGTAGATAATGGACTATATAAACATCCAATTGGAGAAGGAAGTTGGGATATTTCAAGTCTGCTGCTCGGGAATGTATTCCAGTTGAATTGTACTGACTCGGGGGATCCATCCATCTTATTTTAAAATATTCCTATAGTCCATTGATTGGAATAATAAAGAAAATTCGATAAAACTGATAAGAGTGTGAAATTTTATTTTCCATTTTGTGTAATTTTTCTTATCTCGGGATCTGCCGAACAATCGCAACCGCTTTGAGAATTAGAATATTCAATTGAAATCATATAAAGGAGTAGAATTGGAAAGGAGGACATCACTTTCAGAAAAAGTCAAGGCTAACACTTCTGTCCGTTTCAGATAACTTAGAGACATGTTCTTCTACCTAATATGATGCCATTGTTGCTTATATTGAGAATACACAGATATACGGTTCACGCAACATCACACCAACCTCAATTTTTTTTATCTTACTTGGTATTCGTTACAAACTATAGATATCCTGTTATCTACAGAACGTTTCGTAATCAATTTCGACTCTTTGATCATTTTGTGGGAATTTTAGCACTATTCGTTTGTTTTTTTGCCTTGATATTATTTCCTTTTTGATTACAGATGCCACGTTAGATTTGGCTGCAATTCGCAATTGTGGATCGAAGCTAAAATGTAGGACACAATAAATGTGGTGGCAATATACGCAATCGTAAATGTACTTACTGATTGAGCTACATCCTGACGTGATAACATGGTCAGATAAGCGTATAAATATATCCTCCTTGAGTCTCTCGTAATTTTTATTGTTACTTCTCATATATTACAACAAATAAAAAATGGTATTAAAAGAAACATTCCAATTTCCAAACTTTGTAAGAGTCAAAGGTGAAGGTGAAGATGAAAATACATTTACGGTCGGTAAATCACATTTAACTGTTGCTAAATATCCTGACTATCTTCCAACTTGGAATCTGAAAGAATTTTATCCTCCACTTGAATTTACTGAACATCATGATAAGGGGAAGTTGGCCGATGAAAAGCTTCCCCATTTGCTCGGTGCAGAGGTTAAGACTAAGCCAATTACTCCAAAGTTTGGAACTGAAGTTCGTGGAGCTCAATTATCTAGTCTTAGTGATGAAGGCAAAAATGAATTAGCCTTATTGGTTGCCCAAAGAGGGGTTGTAATTTTCAGAGAGCAGGACTTCTTTGATCATGGACCTGAATTTGCTTCTGATTATGTTAAGTATTTCGGACCTTTACATATTCATCCAACATCAGGAGCACCAAAGAATCACCCAGAACTTCACATTGTGTATTACAGAAAAGATTCTCCAAGTAAAGTCAGCGTTCATGAAGCTAAAAACAGAAACAAGCTCGTTCTTTGGCATTCAGATGTTACTTATGAATTGCAACCACCAGGTACTACATTTTTTGGGTATCTTGAAGGACCAGAATCAGGTGGAGACACTTTGTTTGCTGACACGGATGAAGCTTATGATAGGCTCTCGTCGGCGTTTAAACAAAGATTGGAAGGATTACAAGCCCTTCATACCTCTCATGACCAGGCACAAAGCGCTCGTTCATTGAATGGTGTTGAAAAGAGAGACCCGGTTAATAATATTCACCCCTTGGTTAGAATTCATCCAGTTACTGGGAAGAAGTCACTCTTTGTAAATCCAAGTTTTACTAGAAAAATCATTGGGCTCAAAGAGGAAGAAAGTGATGCATTGTTGCAATTTTTGTTCGACCACATTAGGGGTGGGCACGATTTCCAATTGAGAGCAAACTACGAAAAGGGAACTGTCGTTGTTTGGGATAATAGAAGGGTAGTCCATTCTGCTATATTTGATTGGAATGATGGGAATGCTGCCAGACATGCAGTTCGTGTTACTCCTCAAGCGGAAAGGCCTGTGGAGCTGTTATCAGACTTGAATAAGCCAAGCAAGAACGGTGATACTGGCGAGTACACTTACACTACATTCTAATGGGTCTAGATTTTTGAAATGCAAATGAAATTCTAGTTTTTGTTAATTCCAGTTATATCCTTATCAATATATTACTGCTTCTTGAATTGTATTGTCCATTTTATATCATAAAATATACGTGTAAGGATTCTAACAATTTAGAAGCATGATTCGAAATTAATGTTTGTATCACTATCCAATTGAAATTCTTATCTGGAGAAACAATCAGTTAAGGTATAAGTATAACAAGGAAGTTATCATTACAATCTGTACTGATAAGCTTAAATTATACACTGAAATTTCTAGAATTCAGGATATTAGTTTTGAAACTAAAAATGTAAATTATACATCTTATTCGAACAAGTACTCGTAACCACATCACATCAATCCACGTTGCATAGAAGACATTGTACAAATAAATATTCCTGTATTCGTTGAATGTTTACACAGGGGTGTGGGGAAAATTATGCCCACATGGGTTATGATATTCACTCACAGATTCCTTGATTACCACTTGTAAATTAATTATTGAGATTCTTGAAAATCAAGTAATTTCCTCCCATTATTTTTTTTTACTGATCTACTATTAATTCACTGTAGTGCCTATGCATGCAACGAAGAGTTTATGTACACCAACAGGAAATCACGACTTTATGTCAAATGTAGTATATAAAGATCTTTGATGTCTTATTGTAAGTTGTATCTAAACTCTGGGACGCAAGTCAAGGGTACCTGCAGAGAAAGGATGGCTTGGATACAAGAGGCTGACTCTCAGCATACATGAGGGATTAAAGTTCCCCTCAACGGTAGGCACCTATTTTGTCCAGATGTATAGTATGCTTGCATAGAATATGTGGCCAAGTCCAAAAAAAGAATCTATTTTTCAAATGAACATAGTTTAATTCTCATAGCAAGATTCGGTTGCATATGAGCGCGCATTTGGGCATTCTATATCATTTTCGCGGAACTTAATCGGAAGCTATCGGAAGATACGAAGTTCCATAGATCTTTTTAAGTTCCGAAAAGTGATTATACAAGGTGTTGAATAAATTAACAGTTGGAGAATAAAAAGATGATGGGATCCTCGATAAAACAATATTTGTTCTTATTCGTGATACAATTGATATCTCTATCAACTACACAAACTAACTTACAAAACAAATCTAATTAAAAAATGACTGCTTGGATCGAATCTGAAAAGGCTCAAATTGATTCGTTAATCGGATTTGCTGCTCATGGTTGGAAGACTCCTGTTTTAAAGACCCCTGACACTGTTGGATTAGCTTATGAGGATGTCTTCTTCCCATCTTTGGATGGCGTCTCAATTGAAGGTTGGTTCATCCCAGGTAAGTCCAACAGATTGATTATTTGCAACCATTTCTGGCCAGGTAACCGTTATGGTTTTGCAGGTCAATTAGAAGGGCTCCAAGGCTTTGGTGGCTTTGAAGTCAACTTCTTGAATTACTACAAGCAACTCCATGATGCTGGTTACAATATTTTAACTTATGATTTTAGAAACCATGGTCTTTCCGGTGATGGTAACGGTAAGACATTTGGTTTAGGTCTTTTTGAATACCGTGATGTTATTGGTTCAATCAATTACGCCAATTCTAGACCAGATACCAAAAAGATGGATAAGGCTTTAATGAGTATCTGTCTTGGTTGTAACTCAACTATCATTGGTTATAACAAGCATCCAGAAATTTTCAAGGATATTAAGTGTATGCTTGGTTTACAACCAGTTTCTGCTAGACCATTCCTTGGGAAGGTCATTGAACACATGGGTTTGAAGAAACCACTTCCAGAAATTATGGACTATGTTGATGAAAAACTTGTCTTGAACACTGGATTCCACTTGGATGATCTTACCCCAGTCCCATTCGGTCCAAAATTTGACTTGCCAGCCAAGATCTTCCAATTGAAGACTGATTTCCGTACTGACCCAAGTGATGTTCAAGCTATCTATGACTCTTTGGGATCTAAGGATAAGGAACTTCACTGGTTTGACTTTTCTACTGAAAGATTCACTGCCTACAACTACTTTGGTGAGCACCCAGAGCTTATGCTTGAGTGGTTTGACAAGCACTTTTGATTAAGCGATAACAGCTTTTATTTAGGTACATAAACATATACTCTCTATGCTCTCCTTCGTGAAAGAAATTTACATAAAAAAAAAATACATATGGTATGTCCTATTTAAAAATATATTATACAGCCGCATGATCTATTGATCGTATGATCTGTTGAAGTACAAGAAAAATACTTTCTTGTATGCAGACTCGTGTTCCTACTATAATAGATATAAACTAGATATAGAATAGAAATAGAGACTAAAAATATGACTATAATATACTCCTTTTATGTTTTGGAATTTATATATCAAAATATTGTTAGATAGAAACTTTGTTATTAAAACTGTTACATTATAATATATAAATACGGAAATACCTGGTATCTCCGTATCTTGCCCTCAAGGTAACTTATAATTATTTAAATTGAGTTAACACATTACCATAATTGTTAACACATTACCATAATTATTGACACTCTTTTCTTCATATCAATTACCACGGTCATTTCCTTTACTCTCCTGAAACTAGTATTTCTCGTAAGTCTTGACAAAAAATCTAAGTTGAAGTCACTTTCATTTTGTGGCTGTTAGCTGCAACAATCTACTTGATACATAAAAGCCACATAAATTGAGCAAATATATATTTGTGATTATTCTGAACAATAGTAATAACATATGTTACCACAAAATATTAAAAATATAATTTCCGACTTCCTTCGTTACACTTGAGCAAGTTTTGTCAATGTGCATTAGTAATTGCAATTTAATGAGGAAGAATCCGCACCCGAACTTCCAGATTGGGATGCAACATTTAATGATAATTCCGATTGCCACTGCTTACAAATTGGTTTTTGGAAATTGATTACAATTATAAATTTCTAATTTATTCATATAAAAGGACGTGGTATAGTACTTCTGCTTTATCCGTTCACTATATTGTTTGTATAAAAATACTATTATTACTTGCAAATAATCACCTACAATTAAAAAAAAAAATAACATAAAATGTCCCAAACAGTTTTCGTCTCTGGTGCGACAGGATTTATCGCACAACATGTTGTCGTTCAATTACTTGAAAAGAACTACAAAGTTGTTGGTACTGTCAGATCTGCTTCTAAAGGTGATAATTTGAAAAAGAATTTAAACTCAGAGAATTTCAGTTACGAAATCGTTTCGGATCTCGAGAAAGAAGGCGCTTTTGAAGCTGCCTTAGAAAAACATCCAGAAGCTACAGTTTTCATTCATACTGCTTCACCTGTTGTATTTGACACTAAGGATGTTGAAAAGGAGTTATTGTTTCCTGCTGTTCATGGTACTAAGAACGTTCTTACTGCAATTAAAAACGTCGCTCCACAGATCAAAAAGGTTGTAATTACATCTTCTGTTGCAGCAGTCGCTGGTGCTGACAATGATAAAACAGTCCCAGTCGATGAAACTTCTTGGAATGACACTACTTGGGAAGCTTCGAAGAAGGACGGTCATTTTGGATACTACGGATCAAAAACATTTGCCGAAAAGGCTGCTTGGGACTTTGTCAAAGATGAAAAACCAAACTTTACACTCTCAACTATTAATCCTTCGTTTGTTTTCGGTCCACAAGCATTTGATTCAGAAGTTGGATCACAATTGAATCTTTCCAATACTGTCATTAGCAATTTATTGAGCGTTAAACCAGGCGATGAGGTTCCACAACTGGATGGTTCATCTGTTGATGTTAGAGATGTTGCAGCTGCTCATATCCTTGCCTTTGAGAAAGATGAGGCTATTGGAAAGAGACTTCTTTTAACAAATGAGGATTTCACTAGTCAAACAATTTTAGATGCTATCAGTAAAGGTGTCCCTGAGTTGAAGGGGTCTATCAGCGTAGGAGTTCCTGGGTCAAATCCCCCAGCTCCATTCTATAATGACAAAAAATCTCGAGAAATACTTGGATTGACTTATATTGATCTTACTACAACAGTATCTGAAACTGTGAGACAATATTTGAAACATAAAACTTCTTAGAGTTTATATAATTTATTGTGATTATTAACCTTTAGAAAGGCTGTAAATAGCTTTTGTAGTGATTTTCTGGACTGCTAATTTATCATAATATGAGTGTTTCCATAAAAGTTTTGCAGCCGTGCGATACTCCTAAGGAAAAAGAACTAATTGCTTAGTATAAAGTGATGCGGATTTTAGATCAATTAACAATTTTAGATTTGAAATATATATCTTACAATCTCCATTCTAACCACTTGTACTCCGTATCAATTAGTTATAGATATGAAAAATTATGATTGGAAGGTGCCACTAGCATTCCTATCCTGGTCCATCAGGGATTGTCTACCATTTGTATGACACAGTACAACTTTGATAAAGATGGTGTTGAATTCGTAGTAAATGTACTGAGGCATTTGTGCAGCCAATTTCAATGTTTAGTGCGTAGTCGTGCACGAACCGTATTTGTCGCACTTCCCGTATTTAAAGGCTCACAAAATTAAATTTTCAGAAATCATCCGATATAGTGTAACGGCTAGCACGGTTCGCTTTCACCGAGCAGACCCGGGTTCGACTCCCGGTATCGGAGCTTCTTTTTTTTCCTGAATTTGAAAAAATTTTCATTTTTTTTTTCTTCGAAGAGTGTGTCAGTGTCACGTCAGTTTAATGCGCGCAGTCAAATTTGCCGTTGAGGGTTGCAGAAACGCCGTTAGGAAGCTGCAAATTTCTCTTTGTCACCCGACTGGTGCCGATCGATTCCGATCGAAGTAACCTGGTTTATTTTTTTTTGAAACTTAATACAATGAAACGGGAATTTGAGTATCTTTTCTCTCTCTTCAACGTGAAATGAACAAACACGAAGATAATTCATTTTCGGATAAGTTCCCTAGAGAAAAGGAGGAGGATAATATCACTCCTGATGTGTTGGATGATGAGGAGAAACACTTAGAGTCCTTGGATGATGAATCTTATGACCCTCCTACCGAGGAAGAAGAAAAAACCTTACGTAGAGTCTCGGCTCCTATCCCATGGAGTTGTTGGATTATTGCTGTAGTGGAACTTTGTGAAAGATTCGCTTACTACGGTTTGACTGGCCCATTTCAAAACTATATGCAACATGGAAGAGATGATCATATTAGGGGTGCCTTGGCTCTCGGACAAAATGGTGCAAATGCCCTTTCCTACTTCCTTCAATTTTGGTGTTATGTGACTCCAATTTTTGGAGCTTGGGTTTCCGATACTTTCTGGGGTAAATACAAAACCATTTTTGTCTTTGCTGTCATTTATATGGTAGGTATTTTGATTTTATTCCTTACTTCACTTCCAGTTTCCATCAGACATGGGGCCGCAGAAGGAGGGTTTATTGTTGGTATTATCGTCATTGGTCTAGGAACTGGTGGTGTGAAGTCGAATGTCTCTCCATTGATTGCTGACCAAATTCCACATCGTCCACCTCGTGTTGTTGCTTTAAAGACTGGGGAAAGGGTTATTGTTGATCCAGCAATTACCATCCAAACAGTATTCATGGTTTTCTACATGTGTATCAACGTTGGTTCTCTTTCTGCTATTGCAACCACTGAATTAGAAAAGAATGTTGACTTTTGGGCTGCCTTCTTATTACCATTATGTTTCTTTGTCTTGGCTATTGTCTCGCTTATTGCTGGTAAAAACATGTATGTTAAGAAACCACCTTCTAAGTCAGTCATTAACAACAGTTTCAAGATTGCATTCATTGCTATTATTAACAAATTCTCCATTGATGCTGCTAAACCATCGTTGAAACCAGAAGCCAACTACCCATGGACAGATTTATTCGTGGAAGAAGTCAGAAGAGCTGTTATGGCCTGTAAAGTTTTCTGCTTCTATCCAATCTATTGGCTTGTTTATGGTCAAATGTTAAACAATTTTGTTTCTCAAGCAGGTCAAATGGAAACTCATGGATTACCAAACGATATCATGCAAAATATTGATCCAATTGCAGTAATTCTTTTCATCCCAGTTGCTGAAAGATTGATCTATCCAACTTTACGTAGGTTTGGAATTTCCTTCAAGCCAATCACTAGAATCACTTGGGGATTCTTTTTTGTTGCTTTAGCCATGGCATACGCTGCCATTGTGCAACACATTATCTATAGTGCTGGTCCTTGTTATGACCATCCCCTTGCATGTAGTCCTGAATTTGCCGATACTCCAAACAGAGTACATGTCGCCATTCAAACTCCAGCTTACTGTTTCATTGCAATCTCTGAAATTTTAGCATCCATTACCGGTTTGGAATATGCTTACACCAAGGCTCCTGCATCAATGAAATCATTCATTATGTCTTTATTCTTAGTTACAAATGCCTTCGGTGCCGCCATCGGTATTGCTTTATCCCCAACTTCTAAAGATCCAAAGTTGGTATGGACTTATACCGGTTTATGCTGTGCTACCGTGGTTGCAGGTACATTCTTTTGGTTCTGTTACAAGCACTACAACAAGAATGAAGATGAATTAAACAATCTTGAAAACAACTTCCGTGATGACGAAGTCTTGCTGCCTATCACATCCAAGGCAATTGAGTAAAATAATTTATTCCAAACCTACGCATACCTACATATATACTTAGACACAAAAATATTTCTCTATGATCTAGCCATTACTTCACATTGTATTTTCTACTTAGTCTCACTGGGGGGACCTCTCCCTTTATTTTATTTTTTTTTCTACTTTGCGGCTTTTTTTTTTTTGCGTTCCAACCCCATCACTAAAATTTCAAATAGATGAGAGAAGCGAAGAGGTTTATCGATTGATTTATCAGTACAATATCGTAAAAAATGGCTCCACAACAATCCAAGACAGCCAAGAGAAACAAGACCCAGAACAAGACTCGTCAAGTGGAGTCCGAGGTGACCTCTGACTCTGTCGCCAGAAACTTGATGGCCAATCCATCTAAGCTTACAGCCAAGTCTAAAGTGAGAAAGCCTAGTAAAGCCGCAGTCAAGAAACAACAAGCTAAAATAAGATTATATGGTGCCAAGAGTGGTAAGGAGTATAGAGAAGACCAGTTGGAAATCCCAGCTTTGAACATGGCAGTTACCCCAGGTGTAAAAGCCAAGAGAGGAAAGAAGGGTAAGGTTTTCGTTGGAGACCACGATTCATTAACCATGAACAGATTGGTCAAGTCTATAAATGATAAGTATGACCAAGTCAATGAAAGTAAGTTAGAAAAGTCCAGAAGATTGGAAGAGCTCAGAGAGTTGAAGAAACAAGAAATGGAAAGAAAGGAACAACAAAAGATTGACAAGCTTGAAGGTAAGAAGGATCAATTAAAGAACAAGGCATCCGTAGCCAGATTGGCCAGAAGAAAGAGTGCCAAGGCAGCCAAGAAGGCTGAAGACGCTGGTGAAGTTGACTCTAGATCCAGAAAGAGCGTTTCGTTTGCTTAGACGAATTTAAAGAATGAACTCTAATCCGCTGGAGGTGTATATTATGTGAGAAAGAGACAACTATATCCGAGGTGCTGTTCCTTTCTCTTCTGCTTTTTTTCCCAGGCTTGAAGTAGTATAGATTTAAAATAAAAAGAATAACAATAATATTCATAGTCATATCAAGTATCAATCGGTTTTTGTATTTGTTTTCTATTTACAGATTTATATATTGGTTTAAGTGTATACGATTCTTCTGACACTACTTCTCATGTTCTTTCTTTTACGGTCGTACCACCAACCATAACCAAGTCCAGCAATACATCCACCGATATGGGCAGCAAAGTCAAATCTACTCCATTTAAGTGCCATTCCAGCAATATTGTAGGCAAACCCTCCAAGGAAAGCGACCCAAGCGCCACCTGGGATTGGGAAAAAGAAAAAGGCAATAGGGGCCTTAGGGATCAAATAAGAAAAGGTTCCAAACACACTGAAAATGGCACCAGAAGCACCAAGAGATCCAACGGCAAGGTTAGATCTAGTAAGCACTGGAAGTGCAAGGGAAAGGAATGAGGCAATGACAGCGGAATTGAGGTAAAAGGCGAAAAAGTTTGATGCACCAATCATTGCACAGAGAGAAGTACCAAATGAGTGTAAGACAAACATATTAACCAAAAAATGGGTCAAACTTTGATGGGAAAACGCTGCGCCAAGGAGTGCCCAATTGGATCCAAGACGAAGTTTGGTCATCAAAAAGTACTTCATAAGAATTGATTGTAACTGGGGAGCTCTCCACATGAGGAAGACGGCACCATTTGCAGCTATGATAGAATAAATAAGAACGTAAGGATTACGTTTGAAATACGCTAAAGGTGTATAACTGAATAAATATGGGGTTACCAATGTGGTGGCAACACAGAAACCCGCGGTGAAAAGAGCAGGTCCTTGAAGAGTTCTCCATGCAGCTCTGGAGAAGTTAGCATTTCTATAGAATCCTCTTGTCTGGTTGGAAATGCTACTATGTTTGTTCTTCAACAATGTTGACTTGAAGAAGTTGGTGAATCCAAATGATGATTTTAAGACTGGAAACAGTTGGTTACTAGTGAATGCATGACTTTGCTTCAATGTGTTAAATCTGAGCGAACGAGATGAAAAGGATGTAAGAAATCCATTATTGAAAAACAGTTGGGTGGGTTTAATCCTCACCAGGGGGAAAAGCACTTTGAACATGGTCGCTACAAAGAATTGTCAGGTAGGATAGGTGACTAAATGTAAGGACAAAAGCACTTTAGTTAAAAGAGGGCAATTTATAAAAACCTGTTGATGGAATATATACAGGAACACCCGATTCTTAAATCTCTTTTGGCTGCAAAAATAGTGCGGGAATAACTCAAATTGGTCTACCTTTGATAAATGCATGTTTTCTTTTTGAATTATATATTTACAAATGTGCAATATAAACTAACCTAAAGTATCAAACTCACTTTCTTCCTCTAACAAGGTATTCTTACCCTTACCAGCCAATCTTGCAGCACCGAGTTGTTGAGTAGCAACTTGTTTCTTAACCTTTTTGGTCATCTTATCAATTTGTTCTTCGGCATCTTCGGCATCTAGTTCAGCGTATTGCATCACTAATCTTCTACCTAACAAATGTACACCTTCCAATTGGTTCATGGCATTTTCAGCTTCCTTCAACATTGTAAATTCAACAAAGGCAAAACCTCTGACGGATTTGTCAAACTTCTTTGGTACTCTAACAGACTTCAAGTGACCAAAAGCACCGAATAATTCCAAAATGTCCTTTCTGGTGGCTTCGAATGGCAAATTCTTGATAATAATCTTGCTGGATTTGCTTCCAGTGGCGGTCTTTTTGTTTGTTGAAGTGGTTCCTGATTGTCTGTGAGATAACTTTAATTGAAGTTTATGACCATCAAGAATATGACCATCAAGGGTGGAAATGGCTGTGTTTGCTTGTTCCTTGGTTCTGAATTCTACGAAACCAAAACCCATACTAAGGTAAGCTCCTTGTTTCTTAGGATCAGCCTTAGTTTTAACATTAGCCACAACAAATCCAGTTAATGGCAGGAAGAGTTCGGTAACTTGTTCAGTTGTAGTGGTGAAATTCAAGTTCTTAACAAAGATAGAAACAGTTGGGCCATCCACAACGTCATCGTTGGTTTCTTGAGCAGTTGAAGTTTCAGTACTACCACCCAAAACATCATGTGCGGTAACCTTGGCTTCAACAGCAGATTCGGTTTTCTCTTCAGTAGAGACAACATCTTCCAAAGATGGTTCCTTGGTGAATAAATCCTTTGGACCCTTTTCTAAGTAGATGATACTCTTCTTAAATCTTTTGTATGCTAATTTAGTGAATGCTGCTCTTGCTCCTGGTGCATCTCTGAATTCAACAATTGCAATGGTTCCAGCCGGTGGCATCAACATTCTTTTGATCTGACCATGTTCGGAAAATAATTCTCCAAGTTCTTCTATAGTAGTTCCATATGGGAAATTCTTAACCAAAATAACTTTGTCATCTCTTTCCTTCTTGTCAAAGACAGTTAAATCAACACCTTTGCTCTCGAAGTACTTTCTGACATCACCAATAACATGGGCTTCGGCCAATGCTTGTTTAACTGCAGAATCAGAGCTTTGTACGTCAATCAATTGAGACTTGGAAACACCCATCTTGGCGGCAACAGATGCCAATACAGCATCAGAGTTCATATATAAGGAGTTCCAACTGAATTGGGTCTTGTTAGCTTGTGCCTTTCTCTTCAATTCCTTTTGTTTCTTTAATGGCAAGTTCTTCAAGTCGAACTCGTCAAGTCTATGATCCTTTTTCTTTTCCCCTGGTAAAATATGTAATAAACGACCTTGGAAAATTTCCTTATCCAAGGCATGGTAAGCAGAAACTGCATCAGCACTGTTTTGAAATTGAACGTACACAAACCCCTTGGATTTCCCAGTACGGGTATCGATAGCAATGTGTACTTCTTCAAGTTGACCGTATTTTTGGAACAAGTTTCTGAATTCTTCTTCTGTAGATGTGTAAAGAATGTTTCTAATGAAAAGACGACCGGTTTCAGAAATCTTTTCTTCAAAGTTGGCAGTAGGGTCTGGCTTAGTGAAGGTTGGGGCTACTCTAGGCTTGGAAGTACTTTCAGAGTCCACGTTTGATTCTGAATTGGTGGTATCGATTGGGGCAGAAGAGCTAGCCCCATTAGAAGTAGCATCAGTAGATGCCTTTTCTTCAGGAGTCATTTCACTGTCTCTCATGTGTCTTCTTCTAGCCTTAAGCCAGTCAAGATCGGTGGCATTTTCATCTACTTCAGTGGTTTCCATTGGCTTGGTTTCTGGTACTTCACTTAAACTCATCATGACCTCTTCTTCTTCGTCTTCTTCGGCCTCTTCTCCCTTCCCAAAGTCTTCATACTCGTTATCACTGTCTCTATCTGGCGCTTGTATCACATCTTGAGATCTACCTTGTTCGTTAGTGAGAGTGCCATTTTCTTGCTTGGCCAAGTACTCTTCAAGGGCCTTTGCTGATGGCGCACCAGATCCATCGGCGGCAGCATCGTTAGCCCATGACTTTACTTGATGAGAAGGCTTCATGACTTCCATAAATTCCTTCAATTTAGGGTTGTTTTCCATTTCTTCTTCAAGAGCAGACTTACCCTTGACCTTTTGCTTCTTGGTCTTTCTTTCTTCTTCTTCGGCAAGTAATCTATCTTCTTGTTCTCTGAGTCTATCCTGTTGTAATCTTCTGTTCTCTTTAAATGAAATTGGAACGGTAGGATCGGAAAAGGTCTTGGCAACTTCAACATCGATTCTGGAGGTATCTATGAACGACTTGTTGAAATATCTAGCTGCCTTCTCGGCGTCTTCAAACGATTTGTAACCAATAAAGGCAAATCTTCTTGATTCTCCATTTCTTGTTTTCATCAACTTGACATCGGTCACATTTCCCTGCTTGGAGAAATGCTCACGAAGCTTCTGCTCCGTGTAGTACTTTGGAAGTCCCTTTACAATCAAACGAGACATATCTATCCAGGTTAAATGTTTTTCTAAAGTAAATAGAACGTTCCCGCAAACAATTCAATTTAGCTATACCTTAAACGCAAGTAGTGCATCTCATCGCAAAAAAAAAATAATAATAAATTAAATATTCCTCACTGATTAAATCACAAAGTTGTACAAAGACGCCCTTTTTGTAAATTGTGCCACAGACATAATGGCTGCAACTGAACTGGAACGATCTACAATAAAGTTCTTCCTATACAATTACAATATATACAAACACCAATTGAAATTAGTACACTCTACTGTTATTTTAAGATGGAACTATTACAACATTTAGGATTATGGGAGAGGAAAGATCTTGACATAGCAGCCTTTAAAAACCTTCTGAAGGCAATTGTAAAAATAACAATATTATTGTATTATCTTATCCTATACCATGTTGTCTCAGTCACATCTCACTTTGTCATGCCATTTTTTCCTGAAAGTGTATCGCGTATAAAAAGAGGTGCTTCTATACTCTTTTGGGATTTATGTTTTTATTTTTTGGTAAGTTGATATCTTTTTTCAGGAAGTCTTACAAAGCGTTATCTAACTATCTTTTTTAGAAATCAAACCTTACATTTGAAATTAGTGGCGATCCTGTTGATTCTGAGTCTGCAGTGGTGGTGTGTAATCATCAATCACTTGCTGATTATTTTGCCATTTCCAATCTTGCAAAGCAATCTTCTTTGCCATCTATTATGCTCCCTAGAGTCAACTTCTTTACCTGGATTTCTCTTTGGCGTGTGCCTACGATAAGAGTTATGATCAACTTAGCAAGAAGTGATGAAAATTGGGAGTTGGAAGATTCGTTATGTAAACTCATGTTTAAACCAATTCTCGAAAGTAATCATCCTGAATGGATTGCCTTATTCCCTGAAGTAAATATTTGCACCCAAGAAATTAATTTACTACACAACATGCAATCTCAAAAGTACTTCCTACCAGTGTTCGAAAATGTTTTATATCCTCGGTTTTCAGGGTTTTATAACGTTATTTTTACTTTGCAATCTTCACCAAGAACTTTTACAAGATTATATGACGTGACGGTTTGGTATACAAGAGAAAAAAAAATGGGAAGTGATGAATTGATTGATTTAAAGGAACAATTCCGCCCACCCACATTACTAGAATGTTTTGCTTCAAAATCAAAAATTACAGTACAAATTCATGTCAAGAGTAAATTATTATCATCAATTCCAGTTAAAAGATCCAAAATTGAAAAATGGCTTGAAAAATCTTGGGTTGATAAAGATCAAAGGTTATCAAATGAAAAGCTACACAAAATTTCTGAAAGTATGAATAAAGAATTTCAACATAAAGACCATGTTTCTATAGTTACTCCTCTTGAATAAGATTAATCGGTAAACTTCTAATGGTTGATTTCTGTAAATCATCTCTTTGTACTCGATAGAAATGATCTGTAAATTTGTCTCCATTGATATGACTTAAAAACTTCTCATCATGAGTAATCACAATTAATTGGAAATTCTTTTGTTTCTTACGAACATCAATGATATTATTCAATGCTTCTGCCAATGACTCGATGTTTTCAATGTCAAGGTTGGTTGTGGGCTCATCTAAAGCAATCATCCCGCAATTGACCCCAAAACATTCCGCGAGCGCAAGTCGAATAATAATACTTGCCAATACTTTCTGACCAGCAGAACACCTTCCTCTCATATCCAACTCAGCTCCCAGTTTATACATAACCACTCGGTAATTATATGATCTATTTCCTTTAGCCTGTAGGTTTACATCACTCTTGATTGCAATTGTATCAACATCAGATCCCTTATATGTCAGTTTCCATAATTCATCAACAATCCTATTAATATCTTCCATTTTGATACTATGATATTTCATAATGGCGTTATCCAATGCTTTGGAATATGTCTGTAAATCATTGGAAACTAACATATTGGTTTGCAACTTTACCCATTCCTCATGATAATTCTTATCGATACCTTTGTATTCACTTTGAAGTTCCCCCTTGAGTGATTTGATTTGGTCTTCCATTTGTCGAACTTCCCCAATCTTACCTGCATGGTCAGCGTTGAGTTCTGATAACAAGATTCGTAATCTCTTACTTTCTTCTTGGTATTCATTCCGTTTCCCTTCAGCATTGGCGATATCTAATTCATGAATTTGATTATCCACCTCTGCGTATTCTTTTTGTAGATTTCTATAATCAAGATTGGCTCTGATATTATTTTGAATACTGGAAGAGTCATTCAATACCCTTTCTAATTGTTTAATATCAGTTTCAAGTACTTGAATCTCAGATTCATACTTCGTTATATCTTCTTCTATACTAACAACTTCTTTCGTGGTTTCCAAAAGTTTTGGTTTATCTTTTTCGATAAATGACGAAATTGAATCTTGATATAATTGAAATTCCTTTCCAAGATTTTCAAGCAAGTTCACTTGACTATTCAGTGCTTCCTCTGATTCTTTATGCTCTTCCTGTAATGACTCTAATTCAAATTCAAATTCTGTCTTGCTCCCCTTCAATTCGTCCAAATCTATCTCTAACTTTTGACGTTCAGAAGACATTCTCTCAACGCGTGCATTTAGGTCCTTGACAGTAGCGGCTAAGTTAATCTTATCAAGTAACGACTTTTCTAAGTTACTTATGGCAAGTTTCTTGTCTTTCACTTCGCTTTCCATTCTAGATATATCCTTTTGTTTAGAGTACTTTGCTTCTGTATTGGTATCAACTTGTTGTCTAATTAATTTGATTTCTTGAGTCTTTTGTTGTTGTAATTCTTGTAATTCGGTGGCTGACATTCTAGAATCACCATAGTCATTCAACATTGTCTCAACCTCGGCAATGCTAGTAGTACAATTATCGATTTCACCTTGAATCCGCAGAATATCATTCATTGGGCGTTGAAGAGCACCCAATTTAGATAATAATGACTTCTTTTCATTCAAGGTTGCAAGATCAAGATCGAATTTCTCCTTCATAGTCACTACTTCAGGTGATATCGTCTTTAATTTCGCCTCCAATTCAACAATTTCCACTTTTAATTTCCGGTACAGCAATACATCTGAATTCACAGATTTGGCCAACTTTAAATCTTCCTTGCTTTGTTCACAATCTTCGGTCAAAGATTGTAAATTCATTTTATTAACTCTCTCTCTCAATAAGGTAAGAAATTTGGACAAATCTAATGCTTCAAAAGATCTGAAACATAATGAACAATGTTTCTCCTTCTCAGCAATCTCCAAAGCCTTCATATTGAACTGTTTTGTTACTTCTATTGTGTTCAAAGCGTCCAATGAATCACGATAATTTCCTTCCAAATCAACTAATAATTTTTCATAGGTATCAAGTTGATCTTGATCAATTACTTCGAAAATCTTCTTTGAATATTCCTTCTCCTTTTGAATATTTTCTTTCAATACTTGTTTTATGGTCTCTTCAGATGAAGAAATGGCATTAAATGATTTCCGTTGAGATTCAAATTCCCTTTGTAATTGTTCTATCTCATCGTTTACGGTTGTTAATCTTGAAGAAACCATTTTGTCACAAGTCCTAGTATCCAAGTTTTCTCCTACTTCTTTTGTAAAATTCTTATCGTGAAATTGAACAAGTTTTGTCAATGCCTTTTCCTTTTGAGATTTAGTTTCATTTAATAACGAAAGCTTGGCATGAATATCAGATTGCTTATTACTTGAAGCAATATTCTTATTAATCTCATCCATTTCGTGCTCAAGTTTTACTAAATTTGCATTACCTTCATTCACTTTCTTTTGTAGTTCATTAGCTTCGTTCTTCTCCCTCAAATTGCTAAGTTTTGAATTAAGACTTTCTAACTCTGCCTTTTCAACTTCAAGGTTCCCCTCATTATATTGTAAAAGTTCAATCTTCTTTGAAAGAGCTTCAATTTTCTGTTTATCTTCAGTAATGTCTTGGCCGTAATGTAAGAGTTTCTGAGAATGTGTAGCAATTTGATTATCGACCCCTTTCAATTTATTCAAAGCAAAAGATTCTGTATTCTTATTACTTTCTAGGAGTTTGGTATGATCATTTTTGACGTTTTCCAACAATGAGTTAACCGCATTTCCAAATTCCGTAGCAATCTCTTCACTTTCATAATCTCCGTTGTTGGAAGATAAATGCTTCTTATTCGTTTTAATTAACTTTGTTCTCTTAGATAAGTTCCCTTGATACGTTTCTTCCTTTGATTTGAGAGATCCTTCAAGTCTAATGGCTAGACTAAGTTCTTGTCTAGTGACATTTAAAGTACTGGTGGTGGATTCTAATTTCTTATTCAATGATTTTATCTCACGAGATTTGGATTCTAAAACTGTTTCAAAATTATTCAATTGCTCTAGTAATGATTCCTCAGAATCTGGTAGTTTCGTGATAGACATAGATAATCTATTAATTTGATCTTCATAAGATCTCTGGTTCATCTTTAATGATTCCAGTTTACTAAGTACTTCTTGAAACTGTTGGTTTGATTTGAAAAGTTTATCGGTTTGCTTTTCCACTTTTTCAATTTCTTGTGTTAACCGTGCAATTTCACTCATATATTCTTCAACCAATAGATTTGTCTTGGTTAATTTTTCAGTAACTTTCGTTGCCCTTTCCTTATCAATTTTTAGATGTAAAACACTTTGTTCTATTAATCTTATATCCGTCGTCATATCTTTCCTGATAACTTTGAGGTTATCAAGAACTTTGGTAAACTTCAGGGCCTCGAAAATGTCATCGAATCTCTTTTTAAGAACAGAAGCTTCACTCAATGGCCACAAACTATCATCTTGATGACAAAACGTAACGTAGTCTAAGACAGCCTTCGAAGCTCCCAAATATAACGGGATCTGTCCATCTAATTCTGCATTCTTCGTACTGATGGTGGATCTTTCTCCCTTATTCATGATAGCTAATTGACCTTCCAATGTCTTGAAAGTTGCAGTGCCTTCCAGACCTCCTCGACCTCGTTTCTTGGATAGTTGCATAGATCTCGTACAAATCATAGATTTACCATTGGCATTGGAAAAGGCAAGCTTCACTTGTGCACGTACCTCAGACTTGTACACAAGTTTCGGGTCATGTACAAAGGCTCCTCCCTTGGAGTTTGGTGGTAAATCCCCCGTGGTGGCGTACTTGAGACATTCAATGATCGTTGTCTTCCCACATCCATTTTGTCCACAGATAAGGGTCAATGGGAACCCAAATTGAATGGTTTCCGATCGTTCTGGATCAAACGATCTGACCCCACATATGGAAAGTTTGTAAATACTCGACATATACTATGGAAAAACAATAGTGGTACAGAATATATTATTTAGTGAATCAATCATTATTTTACCGAGTAGATTGGAAAATATCCATACTCCTCAAAATACGCACTACTAAAAAAAAATATAATGATCTACAATTTTACATAAGTTCTTTGATTAACACCAAAGTTTATTATTGTTTACTATATATATTATTTAATATGGGTCTTGGCCAAGTCCCCGGCAAGATCGTCCACCTTACTGTCTTCATCTTGGGTGGTCAAGCCAGCCAATTCCTTCTCTAATTCATCCAAGTTGACATCTTCAGGAAGAGCATCTTCATTTTCGTCATCGCTTTCTTCTTCATCACTGTCGAGTTCTTCTAAATCATCCAATTCATCGATTTCTCCAAATCCTCTTTCTTCAAAGATTTCATTCAATAAATCAATCGATTCAGAATCTTCTTCGAAAATGTTACCATTAAGTTCCAACAGTTGTAAGTTTGGCAATTTGTCACCAACAACCTTAACCAACTTTTCCAAAGCTTCTTGGTTAAGTTCGTTAAACTGTAACTTCAATACAGTAAGTTCATTTCTACTCTCACCTTCAAGTAAGGCCTTGACCAAGTTCAAAGAACCTTGAGCCTTAAGTAAACAATCATTGACGTTTAATTCGGACAATGCCTTCCATTGGGGTAAAGCAGCAGCCAAGGCAATAGATGCAGAAGTGGTCAAAGTGTTATCTTGCAAGTCAACAACCTTCAAGTGCTTGTTCTTACTCAAACCTTGACTGATCAATTTGGAAGCGCCAGCTGGTCTGATACCGTTTTGATACAATCTAACGGTTTCTAATTCGGTGTGGTTTCTCAAACCAATGGCTAAACGGTCAACTGAACCATTTTCCAATCTATTTCTACCACAAATAAAAGTCTTTAAAGAAGATTTCTTTTGAGACTTCTTAGCTTGAGCTAATTTGAACAATGATGTACCGATACGAGCACCTGCAAATGGACCCATCCCGTTGTTGGACAAGATCAAGTGTTCCAAGGTAACGGCCTTTTCCAAATAAGACTCGATTGGTTCAATGGCTTGAAGGCCTAGAGCATTGTCACTCAAATCAAGCTTTTGTAAGTTGGACAATTGCAAAAGCGCTGGTAAGAGATGGTCTAAAGATTGAGGAATTTCGGTGTTGAGTCTACCGGTGTAGATATCAGAGAAGTTGATATCAACAATGCTGTCCTTATGCTTTAAAATGGCCTTACTTAAGGACTCTGAGGCTTCGATCCCGATGGTGTTACCAGAGATGTCAAGAATTGCCAATCCAGTGACAGCTTCAATTTCTTCAACGTATTGCTTGATATCGTCATGGGTGTTAAGCTTGAGTTGTTTACCGGCAAGGGAGTATGTGTTTTCGGCAGTAGCCACTACTTCAGCCAGCATTTTATTCTAATATTTTTGCTTTTATTTGGTTTATGATCTGTCACTATTGTATCTCTAATGGGGGCAATATACTAGAGCATCGCTTTTGTGCCACATACCATAAAAAAGAGCAAAAAAAAAAACTATTTGTGTGTTGCGAATTGGTCGTGCGTGCTACGATACCCGATTTTGAAAGTTTCGACAAAATATTTTGAATGATTGAAAGAAAATCGATGTATTAAGCCTATTCCATCACACAGAGATAGACTACAATCATCAATAATGTCCGGCCGTATTCCTGTTGAACAAGAATCTTACCTTTCACAAATCCAAAAGACTCCAGCCTACACACTTGCTGTCCACGCTGGTTTGTTTGTTGCTGGTATTGCATTCATCCAATCGCCACTCATGGAAATGCTCGTTCCCCAATTATAAGTTATGTACATAGGATAATATAAATTTCAAGGAAGAATATAAAAATCGTTGTAGAATCATACGGGTGACGTGAAGCTTGTAGGTATGGTCAGATAAACTCGGGAGTTGTAAATAATTTGCAATCGAAATCTATGTCCCACAAAAAAGGTAACTAAACCTATGGAAAAGGTAGAAGTGCAGTGACAAAAGTGAAAAAAAATCTTTTTAGAAGAGAGTAAAGTCTAAATCCTAATTTGTAAGTCAGTTCAACCTGCGAGGTGGGGCATTTGGTGTGTTAATTGTGGTACCTTACAAATTCGCAAGTTTAATATGAAGCGCGGGAATGGCAACTGGCACACAACATAAGAAGTACACCAATTAGAGTGTACATTTAAAGGTGAAGGCTGGTAGTTCTTACTTTAATATCTCACGACAATTTGGTAGAGTGGGAGTTTTCTCAAAATAGAAATAGAAAGGATATTGATCAGAGGTTGGTGGGTTGTTTAAACTTGTGATATCTATCTTTTCCAAGAGGCCACCCCTTTTCATATTGTGAGTTTCATTTAGTATGTGTATTTTGGGTGTAATGAAATCATACTAGTACAGGGAACAGAAGATATTCCATGTTTTTTTCTCTACTCAACTCCGTGATAGTTATTTGGCATAAATCCATTTATACTCTACGACAAAGAGTGCCTATTAAGCGCTCTTTTCTTTCTCTTGAAGTACTTCATTTCTTACTGAGAACAATATACATCATGCTTACCCAATTTGTGCCCTTTACCATATACTACAATCAACAACTCATCTTGGATCATTCATTCTCACCTACAGTAACTGGCGTGATATTTGTTATTCATGTCACACACCATGAATCTTATCACATGTATACTTACCTTACTTGGGAACAAGTTGGTTACATTCGCAGCCATTGCCCCCCTCCCCATCAACTTGGAATGATGCTCTCCTATATGCAATTCGTACATCCAAACACCCACCCAATTATCTACATTTTTTTCTATTTCATGTACAATCAAAACTACCTCGGACCTAAACTTCGGATCAACAGACTTCATTCTCTTAACATATAACGAATTGTCCTAACCCCCTCACATCAAGCGACATACATTTTAAGTTCAATATGGCATGATGATTATCCTACTGATCCTCGGTACATCTGCCATCATCCTCTTTACGGCTGTGATATCTCTCTTTCGTTATCGCATGTTATTCGTGCCATCTATGTTTATGTTTTTACGATATCGCACCATTATCCATATTCTAGACACAATCTATTCCCCCTCTTTTATAGTATCACTCCTCCACTCATTTTTTTAAAAAAAGACTCCGAGGAATTATTTTTTGTGACACTTTCATTTCCCCACAAAAAAATTAGTGAGGGACAAGTGAAGATGTAATCACATGTAACGGACTCATCCGAATCTATCTATCTGGCCTGACATTCATGCATATGGGAACGGACTAGGAGATTAAACTTTCTTGAGTTGCAAACGGTTCTTGGTATCAGGCCAGGCTTGCATCGATCGATTTCTATCAATTTGGAAACTAACGAACTTAGTTACAGAGTAGTAACTTTGAGCGGGGGGTGATTGAAAAAAAAAAAAAAAAATTAATGAAAACACTGAGAGGTACTAGTTCCGAATCCCGATAACTAGTAGAAAAAAAAGATTTAGTGACCAAATTTACACCAAATGCATAAGCAACAAAAAGAATCTACAGTGTACTGACTCTATAGAATAAGCTCTAACTTTGCCATCATAAGTCTTAACTACGTCTAAAGTTGATTGAAGTTTTGAACTACTGTCCTCAAAAGATTAGTTCGGCCGAAGCTCTTCCCTCTTTGAATTATTGTTGAAAAAAAAAAAATTCTCCAATGTATGTGTGAAATCTCATATTCTCATTTTGCGCGTGCTTACTTCCGAGTTCTCCTGCATTCGTGCCTCGGTTGAAAATTCCTCGGCTCATGTGCAATGTGGAGATATTGAATTTCCCTTAATATATATTTCCCCAGATTTTCTTCAACTTGATAGTTTTCATTTTATTGAAATTACAGAAGAATAAAATCAAAAGTTAGTAATATCTTTTCTTTTATTGTACTTTATTTTAATTATTAATTTATTGATATGACTTTTTCATCCACAAACACTGTCAGCACCTCTAAGGGCCCTGATCCTCAAGCATCGATTGCTGCTGAAAGAGCTGCTGCTAAATTCAACCCAGAAGAAATGCACTATTTTTTGGAAGGTAGTAAGGAAAGAGCTGAGCTGAACAAGGACATGATCCAACAAATGGAAAGAGATCCAATTCTTGCTGCTGACTCAAAGTATTACGATCTTACCAAAGATGAACAACGTGAACTCACAGCTGTTAGAATTAACAGATTGGCTAGATACATAGAGACTGAAAACTTTGAAGATTTCAACAGAAGATTATCTCTTGTTGGTGTTTTTGACCCACAATTGTCTACCAGAGTTGGTGTCAACTTGGGTTTGTTCCTTTCTTGTATCCGTGGTAACGGTACTTTTGAGCAATTGAACTACTGGGCTTTGACCAAGGAAACTGCTTACCTTAAGGGACTTTACGGTTGTTTCGGTATGACTGAATTGGCTCATGGTTCTAACGTTGCTGGTTTGGAAACAACTGCCACTTTTGATGTTGAAACTGATGAATTTGTCATCAACACTCCACACATTGGTGCCACCAAGTGGTGGATTGGTGGTGCTGCTCACTCTGCTACCCACTGTGCTGTCTACGCTAGACTTATTGTCAAGGGTGAAGACTACGGTGTGAAGACCTTTGTTGTTCCATTGAGAGACTCTAACCACGAATTGAACCCAGGTGTGGTTGTAGGTGACATTGGTGCTAAGATGGGAAGAGACGGTATTGATAACGGCTGGATCCAGTTTTCTAACGTCAGAGTCCCAAGATTCTTCATGTTGCAAAAGTTCTGTAAAGTCTCTAGAGAAGGTGATGTCATTCTTCCACCATTGGAACAATTGGCATACTCTGCTCTTTTGGGTGGTAGAGTTATGATGGTATTGGATTCTTTCAGAACATCTGCTAGATTCTCCACTATTGCATTGAGATATGCTATTGGTAGAAGACAATTTAAGTCTGAATCTGGAAATGGTGACGGTTTGGAAACCCAATTGTTGGATTATCCTTTGCATCAACGTCGTTTATTACCATTCTTGGCTCTTTCTTATGTTATTTCATCTGGTGCTCTTAAGCTTGAAAGAACCATTGAAGAGACTCTTAACGATTTGGATTCTGCTGTTGAAGCCGATGACATGGGTGGTATCATGAAGTCCATTGAAGCCATGAAGTCTCTTTTCATTGATTCCGGTTCTTTGAAGTCTACTTGTACTTGGTTGACTGCCGATGTTATTGATCAAACCAGACAATCTTGTGGTGGTCACGGTTACTCTTCCTACAACGGGTTTGGTAAGGCTTACAACGATTGGGTTGTTCAATGTACTTGGGAAGGTGACAACAGTGTTTTGGCTTTATCTATTGGTAAGCCAATTGTTAAGCACATTCTTGCTGTTCTTGAACACGACAAGAAGGTTAAGGGTTCTGTTTCGTTCTTGAGTGACACTAAGCAATTCTTGAACACTGAACCAGTCTTGAAGACCGAAGATGACTTGAAGGACTTGCGTAAGGTTTTACGTGCCATTGAAGTTGCCATCATTAGAATTGGTGTCCAAGCCACCAAGGTCTTAAAGGCCAACAATGGATCCTTCGACTCTATTGGTGCTGAATCTCTTGCCATTTCCAAGTTGAAGGCTCACCACTACTTGTTGGAAGAATTCTTGAGAAGAATCGATGAATTGGACAACCAATCATTGAAGCCATTCTTGATCACCATGGGTCAATTATACACTGCATCAATTGTTTTGGACAAGTTTGCTGGTGAATTCTTGACTTACTCTGTCTTGCCAACAGAACTTGCATCTTACAACTCTGGTACCTACATTCCAGAATTATGTAAGAAGGTTAGACCAGATGTCGTCGCATTGACTGACTCTTTCCAACAATCTGACATGATGATTAACTCTGCTATTGGTAACTACGATGGTAACATTTATGAAAACTACTTTAAGACTGTTAAGGATAACAACCCACCATTCAACACTAAGGCTCCATACTCTGAAGCCTTGGAAGCTATGTTGAACAGAGGATCTAAGGATGCTAGAGAAAGATCTGAAAAGAGCGGTGAAGCTGCTAAGATCTTGTCAAAGTAAATTGAAAAGAAAAAAATAATGAGTTAAATAGTTAATATTACATCGATATGTTTTAAAAATGATCAACAAGTAGTAGAAGGTAAGTAGATATATTATGAAGAATTTGTTGGGATATGTTCTTATTGGAAGTCCAGGTGGGGCAAACACGGATATATAACGGGTATCTGAGTTTCATAGTACCCCGGATTTTAGACTTCAAATTTCCTGCATTGAAAACTCCGCTCGGGTGGTAAAGGGGGAGACAGTATTCCCACATTGCTATCTATACCATTTAATTAACGTTAACATAGAAAGAAACTAGCCCATATTAACATACAACATTGTTGGTTTTGTAGGATATGATTCAAATTTCCAATCTATATTTTACATCCGTGGTATAATATATTTATTTTAAGTTTGGAACGTGCCCAACGTTATCGAAACATAGGGCAATTTTCACGTTTTCGCGGGGAATGAATGAGAACCATTCTTCCCCACTAAGAGCATGTGTTTAGGATAATAGTGTAAATGAATCCTTTGTAGAATATAAGTAGGCGGTGAAATTCATGAGTAACGTATAGTTTTTTTTTTTTTAGTTTTTATTGTTCATTACCTTATCTATCAGTTTTCTTTTCAATACATCCTTTCTAGCTTCCAAATAATGTCAAGCGCCAAAAACATTGTTAGCCATACTGCTCCACCAAATCCTAAAGAATTGATTGGTAGAGAAAGGAAACCAGGAGATGGGTTCCCACTCCTTATGAATCAATTCTTGGAAGGTAAAAAGAAGTCAGCTCAAATTCTTCGTCTTTTGAAGTCTCTTGAACGTGACCCGATTCTTGCTGCAAACTTCAATGACTACGAAGTCACTAAAGAACAGCAACGTGAACTCACTGCGCTTAGAATCAACAGAATGGCGCGTTATATTGAATCTGAATCTATTGAAGACTTCAATAGAAGATTGAACCTTGTCACTGTTTACGATCCGCTGACTGGAATCAGAATTAGTGTAAACTTGGGGTTATATATCAACTGTATTAAAGGCAATGGTACTGATGAGCAATACAAATACTGGTGTATCGATAAACAAGCAGGTCATCTTAATCAGCTTTATGGCTGTTTTGGTATGACTGAATTGGGGCATGGATCAAATGTTGCTGGATGTGAAACCACTGCGACTTTTGATCCTGAAACTGATGAATTTATCATTGATACTCCACATATTGGGGCTACCAAATGGTGGATTGGGGGTGCTGCTCATTCTGCCACTCACTCTTCTATTTATGCTAGACTTGTGGTAAATGGTAAGGATTACGGGGTGAAGACTTTTGTAGTTCCCTTGAGAGATTCCAATCATGAGCTTCTTCCAGGTGTCTCTATTGGTGATATTGGTTCTAAAATGGGTCGAGAAGGTGTCGATAATGGCTGGATTCAATTCTCCGATGTAAGAATTCCAAGATTCTTCATGTTACAAAAGTTCTGCAAAGTTTCACGGGAAGGTAAGGTCACCCTTCCTCCTTTAGAACAATTGTCGTACATTTCATTACTTGGAGGTAGAGTTACAATGGCCACTGACTCCTACCGGGCAGCTGCTCGTTTCACAACCATAGCTATTAGATACGGGGTTGGAAGAAAGCAATTCCCACCAAACCTTGGACTTGATGGTGTAGGAGATGAGGTTCAACTTATGGATTATCCACTTCATCAGCGTAGATTGTTCCCATATTTGGCACTTGCATATGCTATGGGTTTGGGAACCAATAGATTGGAAAATCAGCACAATGCAATCTTAGTTGACTTGGACAAGGCAGTTGCTAAAAAGAATACAAATGCTATCAAAAGTGCTATCAACGAAACAAAGTCTCTCTTCATTGATTCGGGCTCCTTGAAGTCTACCACAACTTGGTTAGCTGCTGACTGCATCACAGAATGTAGACAAACTTGTGGTGGACATGGTTACTCTGCTTATTCTGGATTTGGAAAAGCTTATGACGACTGGGTGGTCCAATGTACTTGGGAAGGTGATAACAATGTTTTGGCTATGTCTGTTGGTAAAACTCTTATTCGAAACGTACAAGAAGTGCTTGATAAGGGCAAAAAAATTGGAGGTTCTGTTTCTTTCTTGAGTAATGCCCGTCAATATATCAATAATGACTTAATTTTGAGAGAAGGAGATCAAGAAAATCCGGATAAAATTCTTCAAGCCTTGGAAGTTTTAATTGTCAGAATATCTAGCAAAGCTCTGGAAGCCTTAAAATCTTCAGCCACTTGGGATGATGTATCTCCTCAAAGAGTCTTGTTATCTAAATTGAGATGCCACCATTACCTTCTCCAAAGTTTTATTGAAAACCTTCGTGAAGCAGCTTCAGAACTTCAGCCAGATTTAAATACCTTGATCCGCTTGTATGCAAATACATTCATCTTGGAGGCCTTTTCATCTGAGTTCTTAATCTATGGTGTTATTGATGCCAAGACAAAGAATATTTTGAGTTCCGAATACATTCCAAAATTATGTTTAGATTTAAGACCTCGTGCCATCACATTGACTGATTCTTTCCAACAATCAGACATGATTCTCAATTCAGCAATTGGAAAATACAATGGAGATATTTATGAGAATTATTTTAATGTGGTAAAAGATCAGAATCCTCCTATTAAAACAAAGGCTTTCTACTCTGAAAGTATGGAGGCAATGTTGAGTCGACCATCTTTGGAAGACAGAGACAGACAAGAAAAAACAGAAAGTGCACAAGAAATTTTAACTGTTCCATTTCCTAAAAGAGGAGATGATGATGAAGATGATGATGATGATGATGATGATGACGAGTAGAATAATGAATAGTCAAAGTATAGTCAAAGTAAATCTAAATATATATATTATGCTCCAAGTATTGTATGTATTTCATTTGTATATTTTGGCAATTATTTGCAACCATTTTTTAGATAGAAAACCATGGAAGAAATCAATTATTATTTGGAACTATATAAATCGTAGAGAAAACCTTGTGTTCCCTTTCTAGTTATATACTTTGGAAGTGTCACCTATTGCAAAGAACTCACTACAGTTTAGATTGGGCGGCTCTTACCTCACACTCTTCACACTGATCGATCCACTCATGTCTAAACTATTGAAAGCCATAGACCAAAATAGCACACCAGTTATATTGTTACATAATTGGCTCCTATTTAATGTATTCAAATATATTCCTCTGATATATATCACTATAATATATTTTGAAGTAATTATTAAAAATATAATATTTGGTGGACCTATTGCCAAATTACTATCAAAAATAATTTGTAGGTGAAACTTCCCAAATTGGGTATAAATCGAAAAAAGTTCAAAACCAATTTAATCATAAATATATATAACAAAAATACCTTAAAACAACTCGAATCAATATAATTATATCCATCACATTTCATGAACATCCAAAGACAAGGTTTAGAGTTAGATTTGCAAAAATTCCTTAAATCATGAGTAGTTAAGAACAAGGCTTAAAAGTTTTCATTTTTCAGAAATCCTCTTGGTGGCCAAGCTGGCTAAGGCGCGAGACTGTAATGATTAACCTCAAAGTTATCTTGAGATCGGGTGTTCGACTCACCCCCAGGAGATTTCGTTTATTTTTTTTTATTTTTCTAATTTGATAATCCTTCATAGCAGAATTCATTGCATAAAACTCATTCAATTAACAAGTATAAGGTAATTACAAACATAAACTTTGCTGTTTAGAATGTCACACATAAAGAAAATGTAACAATCAAATGACTTGTTGGGGGTTTCAACTTGTTCCCCTATCTATGTGTCAATAGGGGGTCTCATTTTCCATACAATCCGAAAAAGCGTGCACAATTACCAAGTTCTCGGAAATTTTGATTAACTTAAAACACGGCTTTCCCTCGTCATAATTATTTGTTTTTGTTTACATTACTACTATAACAATTTAATTAAAATGAACAGTGAAAAGATCGTTGCCGTTATCCTTGGTATGTATATATTGTACTCTACGAGATGAAGTGACTATGTCACGTTAAGTAGAGGATTTTAGATGGAAAATAAAGGTCAATTGTTATCCCCTTGCCCCCGCATGTGACAATTACCTCGAAACTGAACACAATCGTAACTAACATCACAGCCTTATTCCTCCCACCATTAGCGGTTTTCATGAAGGTAGGAGCTTCCACCCCATTGTGGATCAACATCTTGTGTTGTATCTTCTTTTGGTTCCCAGCTATTTTGCACGCCTTGTACGTTGTCTTGAAGGATTAAACGTGGATACCGTGTGTATGTTGAGCCAATGCTAAAAACGTAACATTGCTATTGAGTCACTCTTTTGCTCCATAATTTAAAGGTTATACTTATTCAGTAGATATTAATATTATACAGATTATTAAATTCTCATGATTTTCGTAGACAGACTGTCCCATTTCTTTAAATTTTATCTATTCTCAATGCATTTACACTTCCTCACTATAATATTATACTAGAGTCATATAGAAATGTTTGACATAATTAAACGTCACGGAAGAATGCAATCTTTCTTTATTTTACCGATAGGCGTGTTCAAAACCATTAGCTCGAAATTACGGTGGAACTACGTCAGATTACCGAGAATTAAGAATAAAGGTCAGTGTAGCTTCAAATATACTGCTGATTGTCAGAAACATAAGCGGTGAGATCTGTATTTAAAAATATCATGAAAACAAAGTTCAAACCAACTTTAATGTATTAGAGTAATATTTCCCCCTCTAAAATTTAAACCCGTACACCCACGAGACTTCTAATCTGTATGGTTTCTAATCTAAATAGATCAAGAATTCTTTTTACAGTCTACACTTATTTTTGTTAAAAAAAAAACAACTAGGTCTTCAAGTAATCTTACTACATGTCATTTAATCTTGAGTTCTTTGGCGAGCTACATGAATACGATACATGATTATTCCGACACTCTTTTACAAAGCCTGAATTATTTTTTAGCATATAGTGCACATAGCCTAATTTTAAAGAATTAGTTGCATTCTATAGGAAAATTTTTTTCCGATATCTTATTTTTGTATCCATTTTCTCTGTCCTGTTAGCCTTGAAGTAGAGCCAATATACATTTGTAACTTGTAGACCTCCATCATAAAGAAAATAATATGCATCCCGTATAATTTCGGTACACAATAAACGTGGACGATGGTACCTTGAACCGTAACATTCATTGCATTATCCTCGGTAAGGGAGAGAAGGATCCGACATATAGTTGCTTATCTGCGTTGGGAGCACTTTTTCCTGTAGACCAATCAGACCACGACAATCCTCATTATGCTGCATATCGTTATCATCAGGCTTCTTTCAAATACCATGTATGCCATATTTACAGATCGAGAAAAAAATCAGGTTAGGAACCATATTTTATAACACGGGCGATAATCTTTTATTAGTGAAATATTTTATTTCCTCTATTAGTTGTAAAAAGTTTGAAGTAACTGTTACTTACGGTGCCCTACCCCCTTTTCTAGAAGATACATTAGTGCTGACTAAAAAAAGGAAATTCAAAAGTATACACTACACTCACTTTCCATTACATCCCCTCCCACTACCCCTTAAGAAGCATATAATTTTCAACCAAGAAAATGGATGAGCCTGAACCCGAACTTCCTCCCTTTTCGTTTTCGAAGAAACCGGTAACGGTGTGTCATGATACTCCACCACACTCAGCGATATCAGAAATTATCCCTTCTTCGGCCATACTGAGAGAGCCACAAATTACGACCCCTTTGATTCCAGGCACAACAACTCGACTATACAACAATATTGATTATGACGAGCAAATCCGAGCCCCTCGGATGAATAATGCTAACTATTACACGTATCAAAATGCCAACGCCAACGCAAAGGCAAAACATGGGGGTTCGATATCTTCTATGGGACGTCAGAATACGACTGATTCATCACCAAATATCTCGGAAACTTCATCCACAGAGCCAACCAAATCACATGAAGAAGGTGGCAACGAAGTAGTGTTTAACGATAACGAGAACGATACCGATGACGACAAATACCTGCCTGCCACTTTTGATCTCACACAACCTACTCGAAGATTCTCAGCCCCTTCTAATTCACAACTGGATGAGTCCCCCAAGACGACCATTCTTAATTATACAACCAACAACTACATATACGAGAGGAACAATCACCAGTTTGGACCTAATAACAGGACCTTTAACAACCAAACCGCTGCTGCAACTATCACCACTACCACTAATAACGATAGTGCAGCAACAACGGTTGTTGGTTCAAACAAAAGTGGCGAAGAATTGGATCCAATAGCCAAACAAAAATTGTTAAAGGCCTTGGATAACCTTGAGAATAATACCACCACACATGAAAGGAAAGATCAAAGTTCAAGGATCAGAAATAGACCACAAAATTTTAATCTAAATCATCATTTATCCAATCGGAGTGGGACTGAACTTCAACAAGTGTATGAGTTAAAGAAGCCTCTCTGTATACCTGCCGTATTACGTCCAACTGCTCTTAACCAGCAATCACCCGACAGTACAGAAACCCAGGCCACTGGTGGCAATTCTAATGGCAGTGTCAGTTCAAGTAGTACAAATATGTCTGGAGGAGATACATCTCCCGAACTTTCAAATTTGGTTACAACTACTACTGCCAAATCTACCGATGGGAACTCCAACTCCCCTACCACCCCATTTGTTGATATCAAGGCATACCCATTCCCATCTATGGTTGTAGTAAAACAACCATCAACCGATGAATTTTCCACCATGACTATCGATACCCCACAGGCCAAGGAACCAACACATGAACATTGGAAACCAAATAACTTCACTTCGAATTGTATGAAATGCTTTGATCCATTTGGCAATTTTTTCACTCCTCAACGGAAAAGAAGACATCATTGTAGATTTTGTGGGTTCATTTTCTGTTTTGATTGCTTATGGCATGCCGTTGGAGGTCTAGATTTCACTGAATTGAATGCTTCTGGAAGCACTTCAACTAGTACCAATGCTACTAACAGCAGCAACAATAGTAGTAATACTACCACTACTACTTCTAATAATAATAATAATATTAATATTAACACAACACCCACACCTGGAATGTTATTAAGGACTGTATCTAACACTTCCATGACTCTGAAGACTACTGATAGCGTTGGTGGAGTTTTACTTGATGGTACTGCCAAATTTGTGATACCAATTTTCAGTGAATTACAAAAGCAAGAAATTAATTCCCTGATTGATTCATATTTCAAGTATTGTAAAGTGTGCAGAGATTGTGGAGGGAAGTATCAAAAATTAGTGACAGATTTAAATAACGAGGAAAATGGTACTGGTGCACCATTTGTATTTGTTGAAAATCCATATTTGTTACGGAGTAAAAAGGGTAATAGTCCAGTTATCCGTCCTTCCGATTCAAGACAACGATTGATTGAACGTGGACGTCAAATGAGTGGGATCACTGAGAATGATCTTCCTGAACGAGATTTTGATCCATTACAAAAACTGCAAATTTCAAATGTACCTTCGGACTGGAACTGGAGTTCATTTTAATAGTAGAGACTTTTTAATAATAATAATTATAATAATAATATATATATATATTTTCTATATAAAGTTGATGTAGAGAGTCATGGATACATAACTTCTCTTGAAGGTGTGTTGATGTTTACCTGCACAATCCGCCCGAAAACTGAAAATTTGCATATTAAGAAGGCTAATGTCGCCTTGGTTGCTGCAAAAATAAAAGGGGGGAAAGAGAAAGCCCCCCCTTCGAAAAAAAATAGAATATTGGTGCAAAGTAGAAGAATTTTAGAAATAGTAAAACATTTATCGAAAAAAAAAATAAGTATATAGAATCGAAATAGTGACAAGGTTGAATCACGTAATAATACACATGCCCAATTATACGGCTCCGCCTTTCGTTTACCGGTAGGCTTGAGTCGTCAAATTTTGAGGTGCCGAAAACGTAATAAAAATATGTACAAATTTACCACACACACAAACAAAAATGTCCCATTTTTCTTTTTTTCTATACGCGTCTCGCTAACAGTCGTGCACCGTCACAATAGACAAACGATCACCTTTTTTCTACTTTTGATCACTAATGGGTGCATGCGATCATTCACAGTGATTTGGGAAAAAAAACCGAAAGTTCATTTTTGTCATTGAATGGCAACTAAAGATTTAGAAATTGAATATAAACAATTTTCCAGCATCATCTACTCTTCCCTTTGATTTCAAGCTTAAGAGTATCTATAGTGAGATATAACTCGTCCCTATAGTAAAAATATTTTTTCTCTGTTTTTTTTGACGTGTCAATCCATCTAGGCTCTGAAAGTCTTGAGGATAGGATAATTTGAAAGCCACCTGGGTATTGATCGAGAATCCGGAAAAATGTATCAACAACCGAATCATTCACAACAGTCGTCGGAGTCTCTTAGAAGATTTTCTTCAAACAATCCATTCCGCCAATTCAAGGCCCCTACACACGCTAACCAATCGACTGGCTCTTTCAGATCGTCAAATTCAGCATTTGACGATTGGGTTGAGAAAAATAAAAAACTTATGGATCATTCAGATGATGAAGTGACTGAAGATACAATTGTAAACATGTACGGTGGGTCTGTATCGCCTACCAAAGAGGTTGTACACCAACCACCGAAAATGCCCGCTGCTCCAATTAGAGCCGGTAGTGACAGTAGTGTCAACTACGCTCCCAATGTGGAAAGGTATGTATAATATAAATGGAAATAAGGAACATGTTGGGTAAATATGAGCGTATAGAGAGTGCTAGAGGATTTTACTGTTTTACTGATACTTTCTATTTGTTTCATATTTGCTTGTCTGACCTTTTATAAACGAAAAAAAAATAATTTTAGTTGCAGTTTGTGAGTGCTATTTCATTGAATCCTTTTGTGTCCAAGAAGCCTACAATCCTCTTTGAATTTAATGACTTTATCTGGGCCATAATCTCGTACTGTGTTTAGCCCTCCGCGAAAAGTGTACTGCCAACAATATCACAAAGTTGGAGGAGCAAAAAAAAACACGATTATAATGATTTTGCTTCGCCTCGCGAGCCGCAACCCGGAAATACCCCCTCCATCCGAACTATTGTGGCACGTAATCTAGAATAAGAAATAGGCTTGTTTCATCTGGGTTTCACCCTGGTATACGGCTCCTACGCCTTTCTTGGGTCTATCAAGTGAATTTCGGGAACTAGAGAGTTTCATACGGAGGAAGGGTGTATTGAGGGAGCTATCTACTCATGTGTGTACGGCTGTCATTCCCCTTAGTGGGCAAAGTGGGGTTGGTTTTTTTTTAATTTTTTTTTTTACATTTTCTGAGAATATTTCTAAACCGACTGTGCCTAAAGGCGGTATTGTTGTATCTAAGATCTAGCAAATATGAGGAAGCAAGACTGCAGGAAATCCATTGACCCCACACAAACAATTTACCACGCTCCTATAAATGTGTGACCACTTGGACATGCTTAAAATTGCTTGTTTTGATTGCCACTAGATATTATTGCATTCTTGCGATTAGACAACATTTACTTTGTGTTTTGCGCACAGTCTCCTTTTTCCCTCTATTTATTTTTTAAGGTTTTTTTTTTGGATTTTTGAACTGTGCTCAATTACTAAACTGTGCTTAATTTTTTTTAAGAAAGGGTTTACTTTACTCCTTTATCGATTACTAACCAGATAGAAAAATGTCATCCAATAACCCCTTTGCCGCTGCATTGAACGAGCCTAATGCTTACGTTCACCACAGAGACCCACCACCACCACCTGGCACCCAGACCAGAACGCGTACCAATACGCCTCCTGCTCGTCCTCCAAAACCTTCAGGATTAGCTCCACCTTCATATGAAGAGGCCGCCGGCCCAGAAGTGTCTAGAAGTTCAGAATACCCACGAGAAAAACCAGCGTCGTCGACCTCGTCGTCGTCGTCGAGACCCCCTGAACATCAATCAACCAGGGACGCGTCCAATAGACCCCCACGTCGTTCTAGAAGCGAGTCCGATAAGAAAACATCTTCTCACCGTCATAGAGATAGAAGCGATAAGGATAGAGAAAGAAGACATAAAAAGTCTCCTTCGAAGAAGGCTGCACAACCAGTCAAGTCCAAGAATTTGGATACCATTGATAAGTTGGATGTCACCGGATTCTTTGGAGGTGGATTCCATCATGATGGACCCTTTGATGCATGTACTCCACATCGTAACAAAAACGTTAAAGCTGCTCCTGTGATGGCATTCCCAGCTGATGGGCCAAACAATTCCATATCTGGATCTAAGGTCAACAAACATCCTCATATGAATATGGCATTTGGTAATTACGATGAATCACAAAATGAAATTGTTGGTAGAGCCCCTGGAAAGGTTGATGTTCCTTACACTAAAACCAACCACTCCAACAATAGCGATCCCACTGCTGCCTTGTACTTACCTAAGCATAACCCATCAGTAGTTAACTTTGATGCCAATCAAAAGGCTGTGCCAGTACACGGGGAAGTTACCCCTGGCTTAGGATCATCCACATTTGTTGACGGTGCACCAGCTCCAAAGGCAGCAGCTGCCGACGAATATTTAGCACCTCCCAACGGAGGTGGATTGGGTAGAAAGAAGTCCCTTGTTCAAAGATTAAGGAAAAACAGTAATAGTGAGAATAATTCAAGACGAGGCTCCAATGATTCACCTGAACCAAGGAGTTATTTAACTGCTGAAGAAGAAGGTTCTGGAAATTCACTTCTTAAAAGAGTAAGGAGTTTAAAGGTTGGGAGAAAGTAGAGTAGAAAGAATGAGAATGAATTTGAGAAACATCAAAAGAGTAAGGTGATATTACTTCTATTTGATGACTTGGACGGGATTACAGTTGTATTATGTTTGCTCCATTGACCTATTTGGTGAATGGGATAGACATGTACACTCTATTTTTGTATTATAGACTATTTCAAAAGCCTCAAATGGTATATTAACATATTTGGATAAAGGGAAGAAAATAAAGAACAAAAGAAAGATATATACATCATCAAAGTGAAGGACCAGGTTGAATGATACACATATATCTATAAATATATAAATTGATATTTATCTTAATGGCTATTTTTGTTTGTTAGAGAGTAATTGTAGAATAGATTATAGTAGTACTAGTATCATAATATTATCTGATAATTAAATAGGGTGGTATACTATACTATCAGGTCTAGTAGTGTATGTCACAAATTGGTCACATGATCAAAGAATTTTTCATTTTGGTGTAAAAAAAAAAAAGAGAGAGTTGAGTCGATTCATTGAAAGCGAGTGAACAAAGCTTATTCTAAGACATTCCATACAGACCAGAATGAACAGAGTAGGACTTAGACTTGGGGGTTGTTTCCCCGTGGCCAGTTTGATACAGAGAAGAGCCGTCTCGTACACTTTGCCATCCATCAAAACTTTGGACAACAACAAAACCACCAACACCGATTTCCAAGGGTTATTCTCGAGCAAGACCGTTGATGAATTATGGTACAAGAGAGGAACACACTTGGTTGAAGGATTGAACCAGCTTTTAGAGGAAAACAACGTCAGCAACCGTCCATCTGACTTGAACCAGTTGATCCAACAAACTTTCAACAAGCCAGATTTGTTTGGTGTGTACGCTTATGCCTCTTTGTTACACAACTTGCAGTTCTACATGGAATCTTTGAAGCCAAACACTACTGCTGAAGCCTCCCAAAACGTCAAGCAATGTGGTCCAGAAGAACTCTTGAAAACCCCACTTATTGCCGATGTATACAACAATGAACCAACCGACCCAGCTCTCAGAGATTGGATCAGTAACTCATTTGGTTCAGTTGCCGAGTTCCGTACTTTACTTTTGAACTCTGCCAAGGGTATCAAGGGTGATGGTACCGTGTGGCTTGTTGCACAAGCTTTCTACTCGGAAAAGACCGTCAAGAACGAAAAGAACCAATACACCACTTTGGCTGTGATGAACACTTACAACGCGGGTATTGTCAATGACTCTATCAGATCTGGTCAAGTTACCAAGTTGCAACAACAGAAGCAAGCCAAGGCCGACTTCTTGAAGAGAAAGCAACTCGAAAGACAAAACGCCGAAACTGAAGGTAAGGTTGAAGAAGTTATCGAAGAAGAAGAAGGGGTCGAAGAAACTAAGAATGAATCCAAAACTGACGACTTGGTTTTGGGAACTGTAGAAGAAGCCGAGGCCTCTGCCTTGTTCTTGGACAAGAAGTTGATTCCATTGTTAGCCATCGATGCCTCCCCAAGAAACTACCTCCTTGACTACGGTGTCTACGGTAAGCAACAATACTTGGACAATGTCTGGGATTGCATAGACTGGAATGTTGTTGCGGAAAGAGCCCCCGTCAGATCCAAGCCAACCATTGACTACATTTAGAACCCCCCTACTCCTCCTACGTTTTGTACATAGATAGAATATAAAAATATATATAATTATTTTCTTTTACATTAATTTCTAGATAATGGTAGTATTTATTTAGTTCTTGATCGCCTTCTTCACAATTTTTTCAACTTCATCCCAATCATCGGTTGGGAGTCTGGTCATTTCAATGTTACCAAAATACTCACGGATTTGGGTCAAAACATCGTATGATTTCTTGTCATGGACCAAGGAAATGGAAACACCAACTCTACCGAATCTACCGGTTCTTCCTATTCTGTGCAAGTATGTCGAAGGGTCAGCACGGTTGTTTTGGTCCACAGGCAAGTCGTAGTTGATGACCATGGAAACACTGGCGATATCGATACCTCTAGCCAAGACGTTGGTGGTGATCAAAACCTTGGATCTACCTTCACGGAAGTCGTCAATCAATCTATCTCTTTCGAAACTTTCCAATTGACCGTGTAAAATGGAACAGGCATGACCTTCATGCTTCATTTTGGCGTACAACATGTCGGCAGTCTTTCTGGTCTTGACAAAGATAATGGACGAACCAATGGTAAGCAAACCATATAATTCAGTCAACACTTCAAACTTGTGAGCTTCAGAGTCACAGTCCATGTATAATTGTTTGATTCCATCAACGTTTAATTCTTCTTGTTTCAACTCCATAGAGTTGGCATTTGGAACGAACTTCTCAGCGTATTGACGAACCTTATCAGGGAAAGTGGCAGAGAAAAGAACCAATTGGGTGTTCTTTGGAAGGAGTCTCTTGGCACGAACACATTGATCACCCAACCCTTGAGCATCCAACATGTTATCGGCTTCATCCAAGACGAAAACCTTAACCTTGCTCACATTGATGAGCTTCTTTCTGATCAAGTCTGTGACAGTTCCTGGAGTACCGACCAAGATTTGTGCGTTGGTGCTAGTACCCTTTGGCAACGAATCAGGTACTGCAAGTTGTGTGGTAATGTTGGTAAACTTACCCATGGTGGTGATCACTTCATAAGTTTGTCTGGCCAATTCTCTGGCTGGAGACAAACAGATACATTGTGTCATTGGAAGGTTTTCATCTACACGGGTCAACATGGTCAACGAGAAGGCTGCAGTTTTACCAGTACCAGATTGTGATTGACCGATCATGTTTTGTGGTGGGTTAGAAATCAACAATGGCAAGGCCTTTTCTTGAATCTTTGATGGTTTGTTAAACTTCATGGCGTACAAACCTTTCAATAACTCTGGCCTCAATCCAAGTTCTTCAAAGGACTTAACCGAGAAAAGCGGAGAGTTTGGATCGGCTTGCATGTCTGCCAACTTGACTTTAACTTCATAGCTTGACTTGATAAGGTTTAATTCAGTGTGAGCTTTTTCTTTGGATTCGGTGGTTGATTCTTCCTTTGGTTCTTCCTTAGTTTCCTCCTTAGTTTCTTCCTTTGGTTCTTCCTTTGGTTCTTCCTTAGTATCTTCCTTAGTTTCTTCCTTTGGTTCTTCCTTTGGTTCTTCCTTTGGTTCTTCCTTTGGTTCTTCCTTTACAGAATCTTTGGCAAGACTCAAAGAAGCCAATAATTCGGATGCATCTGCTCCTTCGTCTAACTTAGACATTTTTTCTTTTGATTTTAATATGTATGATAACTGAAAGTTGGAATTGAATGTTGTTTAATGTCGATTTCTGATGATTTCATATTTTCTCTCGAGGGTATATGCAGGATCACTTAGTTTGATTTGGAACTCAAAATTGAAATTTTATGATATTGATCACGTGTACAAGTTGTTATATGACTACCCAGAGCAGTGCTTTAAACATAGAAAGACTAATATATAAATATATATATATTACTATTATATTTAACTAGCCGGATGTTGTAAATTCTTGAATATCATTTACTTGATTTCACTTAATTCAATTTCCGGGCTTTTATTTATGTAGTCTGGGCTAATCTTAAATTATGTAGACTATTTGAAGAAGCCGTATAATTCACTCAAGTGTCTATTACACGAGAATTGATGTTCTTTGAATTTTATTCTACCCTATAAATCATAAAGAGTATTTAATAAAAGTGGAGCTACAAAACAAAATAAATAAGTAATATGCCACAAATCATAGAAGCATAAGTAAGAAATCTGTCCATATTGTTTATTATTATTATTATTATTTTTTTTTTTTTCATTTCTGAAGTTAAGTCTCTGGATACAAAAGTTTCCTATCTATAGAACACCAGCTACCAGCTGTCTACATTCCCTTATTATTACGTATCATCATCTTAATTCTTTTCAAGAATAAAATCATCCCATTTTGGATATTTCATTCTCCACCAATAGTAAATTTGAGAATAAGGATAAGAGTAATTGTTTCTGTTCTGATCGCCTGTGTACCATGATCCACACCCCCCATACAGAGTCCCTAGAACGTGATTTCTCAACACCCGTTGAGTCTCAAAGTTCCATTCGTCATATTTCAGATCTTTGACACAGATGGATTTTAGTTCGCCTGATAAGATTTTGGTTGCAAATTTTTTAAATAATGCGCATGAATTCTCTACTCCCAGAAGAAGAGAAGAATGAGCCGGTGAGGAGTTGGGTCCACCAAATACAAAGAGATTGGGACATCTCTTAATAAGTATAGTTTCATAAGCTGATGGACCTTCCTCTTCCCATAATTCTTTAATGGAAATTCCATTTATCCCATAGATAGGTACTTTACTGTAAGACTTATTTAAGTCATATCCAGTACATGCTACTATAACATCTGCATGTAGTTTTTCTCCACTGGCAAGAACGACATGGTTTGCCTCGATATGATCAATACCGATATCTACAAGAGATATCCGTTGATCATGTAAGCTTGGCAAGTATTTGTAATCAAAAACAAGTCCTTTGCAGCCAATTTTATAATGTGGGATAATCATATCATGATATTTCAGAGGACATGTACGTTCCATATAATTAATTGCTTCTCGCGTGCTTAACCAACGGATCAATCTAGATAGGAATCCACCACCACCACTATACTGTGGGTATTTCAATTCAGCAACTGTGGCAATGAACCATCTTACAAATAATATCCCAGCTCTTGTACCAGAAAATAACTTATACACCGTGTGTGCAACTTCAGGTAGTGGAGGTAAATAATATTGCTTTGACCGGAAAATTTGAACAATGGACTTGGGATCATAATGTTCAAGGACTTGAGGAATAATCTGACTAGCAGAACATCCATTTCCAACCACTACTATATCCTTACCCTTCAAATCTACATCATAATTCCATAAGGCTGAATGCAAGTATTCACCTTCGAAATCTCCCAATTTTGCAGCTTTTAAATGGTTTGGATAAACTAATCCTCCTTGTGAAATCACCAAGATCTTAGTCTTATGTTCTAATCGTTGGCCCGTGTCCAAATTTATCCCATGTACAATCCATTCACCTAGTTCTTCATTATACCTTGATTCGACAACTTCAGTTCTAAACTTAGCATGTCTATCTAGTTCTAATTTCTTAACTACTTCGGTTATGTACTCTTCAATTTCATATTGCCTTGGTGTTAATTGGCTCCAATTGCTATTCAATTCAGCGGAAAACGAGTACCAAACCGCCGGAACATCGCATGCACACCCGGGGTATATACTTGTAAACCATGTCCCACCAAATTTCGAATATTTATCAAATATAGTGACATCATCTTCTTTTAGCTCATTCTTACATGTTATTGCACACGTCAACCCAGAAAGTCCTCCTCCTACTATGGTTACTTTAGACTGAGATTTAAGTACTATATCATTGTCTGGGGTTGGGAATTTCTCCAGGTTTAAAACCGAATTGACCTCATCATACGTTGCACGGAATTTAAATGGATCTTCATGAGATTCTAAATCAAGTTTTAAAGTCATTTTGAATGTATATACATAAGAAAACGTAGATGATATTGAAGGTATGATATTAATTTCAAATTAATATTTATAACGTGCGGCTGAAAAAGATAAGGGATATGGCTACTAGATATAGCAGTTCATTAAAACATTATTTGATCAGTAAAATTAATAAAAGTATATAATTATAGCACCGGCTCAAAGATGGTATTTGATTGGTATCGAATCAGTAGAGAGAAGGTGAGACATTTTGAAGCGTTGAAATCCAGATTAGCCAAATTTCTCAGATGGAACTTGGGTGGTTAATTCTTTATAGAAACTATTTATTTTTGAGTTTCACGTAACTTCTGATTATATAAACAAATTATTCACACTATATCCATTGATTTAGAGAAAATACCCTACTAGGACACTAAGTTGAACCCATTTTCCACTTTTTTTCATAATCTCAAAATATCTAGAGAGCCAAAAAACTTTTAAAATGCCACTTTATTGATCAATAAATATTGTTTCTATCAACGAAAAGTAGTTCAAATGGTAAACTGGGTCTCTATACCAATATATACCTTTCAAATCTTCAAATTGAAAAGCTTTAAGCCCCACAAATGGCCTTTCAAAAACTTCACAAAATTCTAAAATTTTAAAGTACCTATATAAGTATTGAAAATAACACAACTAGGACCGTCCTTATTAGCTCAGTTGGTAGAGCGTTCGGCTTTTAAGGATTAAAATCGGCAAAAAGTCGACCGAAATGTCCAGGGTTCGAGCCCCTGATGAGGAGTCCACTCTTTTTTTTTTTCTATTCACTTTTTCCGAATCTCCTGCATGGGCGCGTATCACCACATATAATCTCAACACTAAACATCACCAACTAACCGGTCCAATAATTGTAGTCCATATCCAATTTGATCTCCAATGGATTCTAAGACGGAAAGGAAGGTTTCGAAGAAGAAAAGGGGCTCCGCTAAGAAGACCGGAAAGTCTGGTGCTGCCCCAGGACCGAAATCGACCACATCTGCTACAAATGCTACTCCCAACCCAACCACTCATACCACTGCTGTAGCTCAACCAACACGTTCCCTGTACTCTTTAGCCAATATATGGATCGTTTCCCTTTCATTGAAGGCTCTTCTATTTTTTGCATACCATTCCACAGACTTCGATGTCCATAGAAATTGGCTAGCAATCACGTACCATCTACCAATCTCACGCTGGTACGTTGAAGATACCTCCCAATGGACCCTTGATTATCCACCATTCTTTGCCTACTTCGAATGGGTATTATCCCATCTTGTCCCCCAAATTGTCAAGGATGATGGTTGCTTGGACATCGTCGAGAAGGGTGCTTATGGGTTACCAACTGTCTTATTCCAACGTTTGACAGTGATAGTCAGTGAAGTTGTACTCTTTGCCTCATTACAATGGTACGTCAATACTTCTCAAGACTCTCTCTCTGCGAAAAACCGTGCGTTTGTGGTGGCCTCGAGTCTTATTCTCTCACCTGGCTTACTTATTATCGATCATATTCATTTCCAATACAATGGCATGATGTATGGATTTTTCATTTTCATGATTACAAGTGCTCGTTTGAAACGTTATCTTCTTGTGGGGTTCTGGTTCTCCCTTTTACTTTGCTTCAAACATATTTATCTCTATGTCGCCCCGGCAGTGTTCATATTTCTCTTAAGAGCTTACTGTCTTGATCTTCAATTTGATAAACAGAAATCATTTTTAAATAATTTGATTAATCTTGTCAGATGGACGGAATTGTTCAAACTTTCTTCGGTGGTCATTACCGTGTTTACGGTTGCATTTGGTCCCTTTGTTTACCATGGCTCGATGTCAAACTTACTTTCAAGATTATTCCCCTTTAGTAGAGGTTTAACCCATGCTTATTGGGCCCCCAATATCTGGGCGATTTATTCCTTTTTCGATCGTTTATTCATCTACGTCTATAAACAAGTCCCATTATCAAGACTGCTTTTGGTTAAAGTATTCCAATTTGATCCAATGGTATTGGAAGTTGCTGAATTAGTCAATTCTTCCACTAGAGGGCTTGTGGGGGATATCGAACTTGTCATTTTACCAACCATAACCCCGCAATTGACGTTTTTACTCACTCTTTTCTATCAAATTATGGCCCTTGTACCCTTGTTTCTCCAACCAACGTATCATAGATTCATTGGTGCAATCACCTTGTGTGCCTATGATTCTTTCTTATTTGGATGGCATGTACATGAAAAGGCGATCTTATTGGTCATTTTCCCCATGACTCTTTTGGTCACTACCGATAAAAGACTCTTGGGTCCATTCAATCTCCTTGTAAGTTGTGGATATACATCACTTTTCCCCCTCATCTACACTTCAGCTGAATGGCCCGTGAAAGTTGTCTACACTCTACTTTGGTACATAATCTACTATTTCAATTTCGGGAAAATTGTCAAGATCCCCAAGCAAACAGGCGATCTTGGAGGAATCATCTTGGACCGGGTCACAAATGGTTACATTCTTGGACTCTGTCCAATCTTCACAATTGTCACCATCATCGATATCTTTGAACACCATTTCGAAGTCTTGCGGAAATTGGAGTTCATGAAGTTGATGATCGTCAGTGTCTATTGCGGGGTCGGGGTGGTCAGTAGTTGGAATGGCTTGAATTGGTTATACTTTGTACATGAGTCCATCTGGAATGACATCGAAGATTGAATACCAAAAAAATTAAAAAAAAGAAAGAATTAAAAAGTAACATATTAATAAAAGCCGAGGTACATGTATAAAAGCCGGAAATTACCAATAATAATAATAATAAAATAATAATTATAATGCGTAAGAAGTCTTTGTCTAGTAAATACTTTCTAAGCCAGCACGAACAAATCCCTCTTCTCGGTGTTTTTTTTTTTTTTTTGCCGACAATCTCAACTAAGCGACGCACAATCTAGATTAAAATATCTTGCTCAAAGAAATGTTCTCAACAAGGAGAAAGGACAAGTAGAACCCTCTTCCAGTTGTATTCTCCATTATATTCTCACACATTTGCAAATACCTGCCAAGTCCAAGTGATTGACGGGTTAAATTAGATCCAATATGCCAAGACTCTGCACGTTGTCTACATATCGCACATCGTTCTGTCACTATCTCTTCACAGGCCAAAAATTTTCAAGCAGCCTTCCTGCACGATACCAGAATGTCCCACTTAAATAGGGCCGTAGCTCCCCCGACTACCGAACAAATTTGCATCCTTTTTTTCTCCATCTATTTACCCTTTAAATTGTGTGGAAAATGAAGTCTTCCGGCTGTCCAGATACCCCAGAAAAATCTCTCCCTCAAGATGTTGTAACTGCTACAACATTCTCTGTGGAGAGCAACCGTTTGTCCCCTTATCGTTTGACCGTTGAACAATGTGCGGCGCACTTCCACGCTGACCTAGTTAACGGATTGACCTCCGCCAAAGCCAAAGAGCTTCTAGCCCAGTACGGTGAGAACTCGGTCGGTGATGGTGGCAAAATCTCCTACACCAAGATCATGGCCCATCAAGTTTTCAACGCCATGATTTTGGTTCTTATTATCTCCATGGCAATTGCTCTTGGTATCAAGGATTGGATCTCAGGTGGAGTCATTGGCTTTGTTGTTTTCATCAACATTTTTGTTGGCTTTATCCAGGAGTATAAGGCAGAAAAGACCATGGGATCCTTGCGTTCCTTGAGTTCCCCCAGTGCAAGAGTTACCCGTGATGGTGATGATATCACCATCCCTGCCGAAGAAGTTGTCCCTGGTGATTTGGTTCATGTTAAGGTTGGAGATACCGTCCCAGCCGACTTGAGATTGGTTGAAAGTGTTAATTTGGAATCCGATGAAGCTTTACTCACTGGTGAATCACTCCCAGTAGTGAAGGATCATGACGAATATTATCCAGATTTTGAATCCCCAGTCCCTGTGGGTGACAGATTGAACCTTGCCTACAGCAGCTCGATCATCTCCAAGGGGAGAGGTAAAGGTATTGCGTATGCCACGGGCTTCCAAACCGAAATTGGCCAGATTGCCTTGTCCCTCAAGGGTAACGACTCGATCATCAGACGAGTTGATAAATCCGGTGACAGGAAACCAGAAGGGAAGGAGTACTTGATGGCCATCGGTGGTACCATCAAAGACGTTGTTAGCAACATCTTGGGTACCAATGTGGGTACCCCCTTACAACGTAAGTTGTCATGGTTGGCCATCTATTTGTTCTTCATTGCTGTCTTGTTTGCTATTGTGGTTATGGCTTCGCAGAAAATGCGTGTCAACCGTGACGTTGCCATTTATGCCATCTGTGTTGCCCTTTCCATGATTCCTTCGTCCTTGATTGTTGTTTTGACCATCACCATGGCCGTTGGTGCCCTGGTTATGGTTCTGAAGAATGTTATTGTTAGAAAATTGGATTCTCTCGAAGCATTGGGAGGTATTGATGATATTTGTTCCGATAAGACTGGTACCTTGACCCAGGGTAAAATGATTGCTAAAAGAGTTTGGATCCCTAGTTTGGGTACTTATTCTGTCGAGAATTCAAATGAACCTTTTAACCCAACTGTTGGAGATATGGCCTTCTTACCAATTTCTCCTAGTCAACTTAGAGATACCGATGAAGAACTTGATTTTAAGCCAAATGTACCAGAACCACGTCCGGAAAGATTCAGTCAATGGTTGTATACTGCCACTTTAGCCAATATCGCCACTCTTAATCAATCCAAGGATGAAGAAACTGGGGAACTTGTATGGAAGGCACATGGTGACGCTACTGAAATTGCCATCCAAGTGTTTACATCGAGACTCAATTTGGCTAGAGACTCTATTGTCGATAATTATGAACATTTGGCTGAATTCCCCTTCGATTCTTCCATCAAGAGAATGTCTGCGATTTACAAGTTGATTGAGTCAGGCGAGACTGTTATCTATACCAAAGGTGCGGTTGAAAGAGTTTTGGACCGTTGTACTACTTGGTATGGAACTGAGTCTTCCACTGATGGCTCTATTCCCTTGACCGATGCAAACAAGACTCTTATTGAGGATAACATGCAAGCGTTGTCATCTCAGGGTTTGCGTGTCTTAGCTTTCGCTCAAAGACTGGTTTTAGAATCCGAAGAAGATTTATCAAATAGAGATTCCGTGGAATCAAATTTGACCTTTTTAGGATTGATTGGTATTTATGATCCTCCTAGAATTGAAACGGCTGATTCAGTTAAAAAATGTCACACGGCAGGTATCAATGTTCATATGTTGACTGGTGATCATCCAGAAACCGCCAAGGCTATTGCTCAAGAAGTTGGAATCTTGCCCCACAACTTGTATCACTACAGTGATGAAGTTGTCAAGGCTATGTGTATGACTGCAAATCAATTTGACGCTTTGACTGATCAAGAAATTGACAGGTTGCCAGTGTTGCCCTTGGTTATTGCTAGATGTGCACCTCAAACCAAAGTTAGAATGATTGAGGCTTTGCATAGAAGAAAGAAGTTTGCTGCCATGACTGGTGATGGGGTTAACGATTCCCCCTCCTTGAAAAAGGCTGATGTTGGAATTGCTATGGGTCTCAATGGTTCTGATGTCGCCAAGGATGCCTCTGATATCGTTTTATCTGATGATAATTTCGCATCTATTTTGAATGCAATTGAAGAAGGCCGTCGTATGTCGGCCAATATTCAAAAGTTTGTTTTGCAATTGTTGGCTGAAAACGTTTGTCAAGCTTTATACTTGATGATTGGGTTGGCTTTCATGGATGAATCTGGTTACTCTGTTTTCCCATTATCTCCAGTTGAGGTTTTGTGGGTCATTGTTGTTACGTCTTGTTTCCCAGCCATGGGGTTGGGTCAAGAAAGTGCATCAGAAGATATTTTGACTTTACCACCAAACAATGAAATTTTCACTTGGGAGGTAATTATTGATATGATGGCCTATGGTTTATGTATGACTACCTCTTGTCTCTGTGTGTTTGTCGTTGTTGTTTTCGGAGTTGGTGATGGGAACCTTGGACATGACTGTAACAATTCTGATAATTCGTCTTGTAATTTAGTTTTCAGAGGAAGATCAGCATCGTTTGCAACCATGGTGTGGTGTGCTTTATTTTTGGCTTGGGAGTGTCTTCACCCATTAAACTCGTTGTTTTTCATGCGTCCAGAACTGGAAAATCCATGGTGGTTGCAAACTTATATCGATTTGAAAAGTAATCGATTCCTCTTGTGGTCTATCATTGGTGGATTTGTTTCCGTGTTCCCGGTTGTTTACATCCCTGTGATCAACAATAAGGTTTTCCTCCATGCCCCAATCGGCTGGGAATGGGGTTTATCGATTGCCTTTGTTTTGCTTTTCTTGTTGGGTTGTGAAACTTGGAAATGGATTAAAAGAATTCATAGAAGATACGCAGTGAGAAAGAATAAAGATATGGATCTCGACGTTCATAACGACCCTTTCCAAAGCTATGCTTCCTTCTCCAAGAGTAACACCATGGAAAAGAAACTGGTTCTTGTCTAGATTTTTCCCTTCTATAAATAGTTGTATTTAAGTGTATATGACACCGTCAAAGAAGTTTTACGGCTCTAAATAGACTAAATAGAAACTACATAGAAAATGAAAATATAGACACAGATTATCTAGTAGACGGATATTGCATAGATGCAAAAGTTGCATCCCAGAGGTTAGGGGACTATCAAGATGCAAGTGATATTTTAACTGACCGCATTTATTGCTCAACATCTCATTAAGCAATTGATTGCTAAGGGTTACAAATTGCCAGATCTACTGCAAAGGGTGATGCTTTGAAGAAGAACTTGAACTCTGAAAAGTTCCAATATGACATTCCACATGTCCAAGTTGACGATGCCGTCAATGTACATGAACCATCTTGAAATCAAATTGTTTTGCAAACTGCTTCTCCATTCACTTTCAATATTAATGGCCCAGAAATGGACTTGTAAATCCTGTCGCTGAAGGTACCAAGAACGCCTTGAACGCCGTTATTGAATTCGCTCCTCAAGTTACCAATGTCGTTGTAACTTCATCATAGGCCGCCATTGCCGATTGGGCTAAGGAAAAATCACAAGTCCGATACCTTTCGATGAAACTTCATGGAACCCAATGACATGGCAAGAGTCCAGGGCAAATGCATTGATCGGTTACATTGGCTCAAAGTCCTTTGATGACAAGGCTAACCAAGAAGCCACACTTCTCTGTCAATCCAATTAAGGTTTTCGGTCCACGAGCTTTCGAATCCGAAGTAAAAAGCACTTTGAACACCTCTCCTGAAGTCTTCTACTCCATTTTTAAGTTGAGAGAAGGTCAAACTGTCCCAGGAACCACTGGCGGATTTATCGACGTCAAAGATGCTGCTCATGTGTTGCTTTCGAGAATAAGGAAGCTGTCTCCAAGAGATTGACTCTTTATGGTAACCGATTCTTACTTAAGGTGTTCTTGACAACTTGGGCTAAAACTTCCCTGCTTTGAAGGGCAAGCGTTCAAATTGGAAAGCCATGGACGAGGCAATTTGCGTGACATCAATTTCTCTAGAAAAGTCCTTGGGTTCAAATTTATAGTGTTGAATTTAGCCATTAACGGTAGCAATTAATTTGTGGATACTAATCAATGATATAATTAAGATGATAAAAAACGTAACAACATTAGATATATATATATATATGTGTGTGTGTGTGTGTGTGTGTGTGTGTGTGTGAAATGAATGAATTAGATGGACAATTTTATATAATGGCTGCAAAGTATGAGTGCGAAACAAATTTCAAAGATTTCGTGCGGATGTACTCCGAGATTTAAGCGTGCATGTGCTGCAAATCCCCTGATAGCAATCAAGATTCCCCTATTTAACAATGTGGAAAAAAAAAAAGAAAATGGAAATACTATATAAACCCCAATCGAATCTCCCACCACCGAGGAACTCCCCCAATCTATACCACACATCTAAACTTAATAATGTCTAAAATCTCTTTAGGTCAATACTTGTTCGAAAGAATTCACGAGCTCAATGTCGAGTCCATTTTCGGAGTCCCTGGAGATTTCAACTTGACGCTTCTTGATAAGATTGATGATGTCAAGGGCTTATCGTGGAAGGGGAACTGTAATGAGCTCAATGCCGCCTACTCCGTTGATGGTTACTCCAGAATCAAGGGGTTTGGTGCCTTCGTCACCACTTTTGGTGTTGGTGAGTTGTCTGCTTTGAATGGTACTGCCGGTCTGTACGCTGAACATGTAGGTCTGCTCCACATTGTTGGTATCCCAGCCATTTCTTCTCAAAAGCAACAATTGTTGTTGCATCACACCTTGGGTAACGGTGACTTCACCGTGTTCCACAAGATGGCCTCTGCGGTGACCCACACATCTGCTGTACTTAAGGACATCAGTAGTGCTGTTGCTGAAATTGATCGTTGTATCACATCGGCTTACATTAACCAAAAGCCCACATACTTGGCCTTCCCAACGAATTTGGTAGATGCTGAAGTCGATGCTGATCTTTTGAAAACTCCGTTGGATGTTTCACTTCCTCCAAATGACAAAGAAGCCGAAGGTGAGGTGATTAGTCAGGTTCTTGATCTCATTTCAAAATCAAAGAACCCTGTTATTCTCATTGATAGTTGTTGTTCAAGACATAACGCCACTCCAGAGGCCAAAAAGCTTATTGACTTGACCCAATTCATGTTTGCTATCAGTCCAATGGCAAAGGGTTCTGCCGATATCGATGAACACCACAGTAGATTTGCAGGTGTTTATGTTGGAGACTTATCTTATCCAGATGTCAAAGAAGCAGTGGAATCTGCAGACCTCATTCTCTCTTTGGGTGCAATTTTGAGTGATTTCAACACTGGATCCTTTTCCTATTCGTACCAAACAAGAAATATCGTGGAGTTCCATTCCGATTACACCAAAATCAAGGCAGCCCATTACCCAGGGGTTCAAATGAAACCAACCTTGCAGAAATTGTTGAACGACCCAGAATTAAAACAGGCCATCAGGAATTATGCTCCACAAGATCATAAAGTTTCTCCACCAATCCCATCGGAAAAGAAAGACCCACAGTCGAAAATTTCACAAGAATGGCTTTGGAGCAGACTCTCATCCTGGCTTCAAGAAGGTGACATTGTTGTTACAGAAACCGGTACGTCATCGTTTGGGATTGTCCAAACCAGATTCCCTAAGAACGTTACTGGTATCAACCAGGTATTGTGGGGGTCCATTGGGTATTCCGTTGGTGCTGCCTTTGGAGCAGCTGTGGCTGCACAAGAACTCGATCCACAAAGAAGAGTCATCTTATTCGTTGGAGACGGTTCCTTGCAATTGACCGTGCAAGAAATCTCTTCTATGATCCGTAACAAGACTAACACATATGTATTTGTATTGAACAATGACGGTTACACCATCGAAAGACTTATCCATGGGGAGAATGCTGGTTACAATGACATTCAATCTTGGGACCATTTGAAACTCTTGGAAACTTTTAAAGGTGGTGAAGGTAAGAGAATTGCCACCATTGAACAAGCAGACTCTCTTTTCAATGATAAGGAGTTTGCCAAAAACTCAGACTTGAGATTGGTTGAAATCATGCTTGAGAAAATGGACGCCCCTACAAGTTTAATCAAGCAAGCCGAGAAGACGGCTAGCACTAACTCGAACTAAACAGGCAATTTTCTTTTATTGCGGGTAAAATAAATATATACATATGGTCTCTTATATAGCTAACAAATTAACTATCAAAAGGAAGTTTAATTATGGACATTGAAAATGTAGTCAGGGAATAAGGATTCCCAATCTTCATTGGAGAGGTCCGAAGTCATAAGCACTGGTGGTCCCCCAAAGAAGTCAAGGTTCTCGTCGATTTCAAACCCTAGTGATGTTTGTGGGGTATCCATCGGTACAGATTCATTCTCCTGTAGTACAATTTTGGGTGACTCCATTTGTCTGGCCAAATCATGGAGGTGTGCTATTGAAGTTCTTCTATCTCTTCTTGGTGATGCTGAGTTATCGGTATGGGCGGTCGGAATTGGTCCACTTCTTCCAGTTACAGGTGGCGATGCCATCCTTATATTTGCAGTGTTGGGGGCGGTGGCAGCGGTAGTGGTGGTGGTCGAGGTGGTGGTGGTGGGTGGAAGGCCCGAGGCCATTCCATTTGGCATGTGTGTACGATTAAGAAGTCCACCATTGGCAGTTTCTGAATGAGGAATATTCCAATTTGTAAACTCGTTATCGGTAGTTTCTACCTTCACATCGACCATCTCCAGCTTTCTGATCGATTTAAGTTTGATGTTAATAAGCAGGTACGATTTTTCTGCTAATCCCCATGTCTTGGAACAGCCCTTAAGTACTTCCATGAAGAAATTAAGTTTCTCTTTCTTATCGTCCACGAGCTGCTTGCTATTGTTTGTGAGAAGAAGAACAGATATGGACAAAATGGTGCAATAGACAATGAAAATAGATGCCTTACGGAGCCCATGGACTTGTTGGAACCGTCTAGTTGACCGGTATATCTCCTCAATTGCATCAGAGCAAATTTCGGACGGCAGGGGCTGGGTAGTGTCCTCATTGGCAGCTGCCACCCCAACAAACGGTCGGTTTAAACAAAGCACTAGAATGTAGTAGTAGTTACGAACACACCCAAGTACAGGACTAGCCGCTGTCTGGTCAAGTCGTTCGCCGTCCCAGGCGAGATCCAGCGGGAGATCCTTCTTCCATTGCATGATCTTGGAATTGTAGCTCGAAAGCATCTGTAGACGTGAAGAGAAGTTCAAGTCATCGTGAGAGTCGTCGTCCGCGTCAGACCGGGTGAATATGGTGGTCAACATACTGTCAGAGATGTTTATAAGATTGATAACACTCTTGAGCGGCAGCAGAATGTTCTTAAGCTCGTTCGTGGGGTTTGGGTCTTGATATATGTATTCGTCAATCCATTCCAAATCCGGGAGGTAATCTGTTTCCGGGATGGTTGCCTCCGACATCTTGAGAAGAGAGGGACGTCCTAAGAGAAGACTGATGAAGTGGTCGGCCATGTAACTGCCCCAGTAGATTCTACTACGGATGGCAACATCAAGGGGCGCCACGTCTTCGTGCGTGTACTTGACAAACCACAGGTGTGGGTTGAGTTGGAAGCCTAGGTCGTAGCCCATACGGAACGCATTCCCCGAGAGCATCCAGCCAGACAGGTTCTGCCCGTTGCAGATGTCGTAGAAGGCAAGAAGAAGGAAACTCTGCAAGGAGGGGATTGAGGGATGGTCAAGTCTCAGAAGAAGCAAACTTCTTGCCTCGATATAAAACTGGTGCGATCGCTGGTATATGGCCTCGTTATCCGACATTCTTGCTCCCAAGGCACACACTGCGAATACCAATGGTTTTGAGCAGTAGAGCGAATGGGGCTTCGGGTCAAAGAAGTCAATAAGAAATGCTTCTCTGAAGATGAACATGTTATGGTCCGGGTACTGCCACGTGAAGAAGGTCTTGAGACAGTGGAGGATATCTGGGTCTTTGTTGAGGGTCTTGATCGTGGACTCGTCGTGCTTCACTCGGCGGCTCGGGTTGGTGATAATGTCGTTGTTGTAGATACTGGTGGGGCCATAGACCGATTTTGCTCGTGTTTTCGTCTTTGACTGGAGGTTGGATTCGGGAGTGGACCCGGCTCCTGGTACGGTCCCAGGCCCTGTCCCCGTCCCCGAGCCCGTACCTTTCCCGGAGCCTGCCATGGACGAGGCATTATCGGGCAGCAACTTTACCTTTGAGGTTGTCGAAGAAGAAGACCTTGTGGTTGTCAGTGGGTGGGAACCATTGGCCAAGTTCAGTAAATCATTCTTGGTGAGATCAATGTCTTTCAACAAGACCTCACGTTCTTCGGGCAGGGCCCGTCGCACACGCTCTATGACCGACTCTAACTGTGAGATCTGGGTCTGGAGCTGTAGCACGTAGTTAAGAGGCGGTCTTTTACTCCGCTTGTCGTCAGTCACTTGGATGCACTCAGCGCCGAGATTGGTGCAATGCAGACATGGATGTTCGAGATTACATTTGATTTTCTTGGACCGGCACCGGAGACATGAAAGACTCTTTGCCCCATCGCCATCGGTGGCCTTTCTCCTTGGAGGCATATCACAGGGCACGGTACTTTATCGATGACAGGGGATGTGAGTCTTTGTCCAGACTTTATCTGAACATCTTGCGCGCATCGAGAGAAAACGGTCGTGGTACATGGGAGATGCAGGCCGGCCAAACAGACATACAAGCCGACATCTCAAATGAGAGGTTTGAGCATATGTTAGTAGAGACTGGGGGTAGGTAGATGGATCACCAGAGACTGGGAAAGGGGTGGGTGACCTCGTAGAAGTATATAATGTAGATTAGTTGTTAATGAAGGGGAGTGCTTTTGTGGACAACACTGTACCACACTGACTGTGGACCATACGGCGCTCCGCTAAGCCCCTGCCCGGGGAGGGCCACTGCGTGGAGCCTAGCTCCTCTACGAGGAGACATTGAAATTCCTCGTAAGAGGAAGAAGGCCTCCACGGCTAGTGGCCCACGGAGTGCCAGCGGAGCGTCTTGTCATACTCCTGTAACATGAAGTGTGGGTGTGTTCTCCTGCTTTCTACGTAGACATTGATTCTGACTGTTTACTCAAATTAGATCTGTATTCTTCTACTTATATAACTACTTCACTCTATATCCTCTCTATTATTCTAATTCATAAATAAAATCTGGTGGGTGGTGTATATCACAATGATGGTCCCCGTGACGATCAAGGCATAATCGAAAACTTTTAAAAAGCGACCAATCAAAGTGTTTTGCTTGTCAATGGTATAAGTCTTCAAATGGATGAGAGGTGGGTAGATGTAAACCAAGGGAATACAGGCAAAACATCCATTGAAAGAAATAAACCTGTCGATGTTTTGGGCGTTCAAGTACGCAATGGCACTGATGGCCACAATTAAAAGTGATCGCACCAAGTTCTTGAGCCACTTGACATTGCTATTGTACTTGCCCAGTGCATGGTACAATCTACCGTCCTCATCGGTACGACGCAGACCTCCAGTGAAAAGAGAAGAATTGAAAATGCTGGACTCAACGATTTTGGTCACGGGGAAAATTTGTAAAGGAGCAGAAAGGAAAACAGCTGCTGAATACAACACTTGGATGAGTTGCACTGATCGTTTCAGTTGTGGGAGATTCAAGATAATAATGGATTTGATTTGGTCTCCAAAGGCACTGTATCCAATGGCACCAACCAAGACGAAAAGTGCAGTGATCAAGGTCATACTATAGGCAAGAACTTTGGGGAATTTTTCCGGTTCAGCCATCAGGGCTTCGATGGGGAGAATAAGGCCAATACCTTCAAAGGAAGTGACTGCCACACCCACCAACATGGACCATGACAGAGGGTTGAATTGAACAATGTTTGGACCTATACCATGGTTAAGCAATTGAACTCCGGAATAAAAGAAAATTATCACAAGACCAATGACAATAAAGGCCAGTGAAACCACGGAAATAAGCGACAATTTGCTCAAGTTCCGGATAAGAAATAAGGGGATAAGGAGTATACATTGGGCAAGGACAATGTTCCCCGTGGTGACATATGGTCCATCCCATTTAAGGAAATTGTGACAGAAGGAAAGCATATTTTCTGCGGTGAAAAGGATATAGGTTGCCACAAATCCGATTTGCAGTAGGATAATGGAGAAAAGGATAAAGTAACGAAGTGGTGAACCATAAGTTTTGTATCCCAATTCACCAAAGGACAGGATTTTCAAGATTTTTTTCGATTGGATAAGGACAAGATAACAAACAAACGTGAGGAATCCAAAGAGTGATAAGGCACCAATTGAGAAAAGAAGCCCCCCATTGTAGAAGGCTCTTGGGAGGAAAAGTACTCCCGAACCAACAAGAGCCTTGAAAACAAGGAAGAAAGTTTTAATCACGGTTGTACCTTCACCTTGAGGTTTCTGTTTCAATTTCTTTGAAGATTTATGACGACGTGGAGGTGGTGGAGGATGGACATATCTAGTTGAAGCTGAAGTATTTAAAAGTGAAGATTCTTCATCAATCAAGGCATCATCATCAAAAGTTGTATCATCATCATCATCGTCTTCATCTTCATCATCATCATCTGAAAAATCTTCACCAGCGAAATGACCATAAATACTCAAGAATTCAACGAAATTAGCGGTAAGGAAGTTTGGTGGAGTGGCATTTTCTTGCACTGCCTTATTGATAAGAAATTCACGACGGAATCCTCCAGGGACATTAATATCAGAGGCGGTTGATTCTCTACGGGTTTCCGAGAGATAGGTGGAAAATGAAGAGGATCTAGTTCTTCTACGATCACCTCTAGGTCCGAAAGCCCCACCCCCGGTATTGGAGTTGCCACCAATGGTTTGACCAGGAGATGAATTTTCAATCTGTTGATAAAGATAACGGGCAACATCACCACCTTGAAGTTTCAAAGTATCATCGGAAGATACTAGATGTTTCGATAAGTTTTTATAATCAATATCTTTTGAATTCCCCAACAGAGAAATTTGTTCTTGATAAGATGAAGCATTATCAAGCAGCAGAGAATTATTTCGTTGCATTGATGCAGATTGTTGTGATGGAGTTGGACTTTGTGGGCGGAAATTTGAATTCGGGGACCCCATAAAGGGAGAATTAGATAATGGAGTTGATCCAGGAGGCACCAGACGATTTGGAGCGGACATGGTTTTTTTTATAAAATGGTGGCTTAATAGACAAATGGACTAATTCGAAAAAGGTGTGGAGATTTTTTTTATTGTAAAGGGCCCTTGTGTTAATCTTAGAACGGCATACAAAATGGGGTCAAAGTGGGAGAGATGGGGCGGCTTGCAATCCTGGTGCGGGTCAAAGAAGAGGTAATTTATGGTTAGATGAGAATTGGAAGATATTTTGACGTGGCATAATCAAAATGAAGAAAAGAGAAAAGAAAAGTAAAAAAGAAAGAGTAACAGAGAACGAAATTGTGGAACACAAAAGAGAGAAAATGAAAAGATTGGAATTTAGTGAAATGGAAGTAGGAGATTAAGATTATTTCCAAAAAAGGAGGATTTGGTGATATATTTGCTAATGAAGGGGTTTCACATTGTAGTAGTATTGGTGGGGTAATCAATATTATTGATCATTATCATTGATCAATTTCATTTGATGTGGTCACGACTCTATCGTGCGGGTTTACAAGAATGGGTAAGTGACCGCGAAATTGGCAGCTATTTTTTTTTATATATATATATTTAGATGTCGGCTTATGCAGGACGTATGCACTGGTGCCCCATAAATACTTTCCTTCATATAAAAAAGAAATTCCGATATTAGGCAATACTCACAAAGTATGAACAATAAACGATGGGATAACGGGTTTATATCTCTAGTGTAGAAGTCACGGTCGTTTCAAATAACAATACAATAGATGTGTTGATAGGAGGCAAAAAAAAAAGAAAAAAGAAACTTTTTATGTCTAACAATACGAAAGTGGCGATAACAGAACGGAAGTCCGACGCACATTTACGGAAACAGCGATGTCGGGGCTGCACCGACAGCCACAGCGGCCGAGGTGGTTACATATCCGCGGCCTGCAGGTAGCACTCTGAACAACAGATGCCATCCCACCCCTTGCTGGTGGGTTTGCACAGAGAGAGTTGAAGAAAGTTGATGTCACTTTGGCGAAGTGCGGATGAGCATACGTCAGCAGATTGACTGCAAACTAGAACACCTGGTGGTAGAAAACGCTTACGGATAGGTCGGGTGATATGGAGGTGTATAGGTAAACAAGATCTCGTAACTAGGGAGAGATCGAGTATATGAATCTAGAAGAAGAACCACTCGGATAAGTGACCAGATAAGGACAACTGAAACAGGTTGTCTGCCCCACATGGGCAAATCATTCAACAACATATACACAAAGTATCGTCGGAGGGCGGGGTTAATCTAAATACCACGACCCGACTACTATGCACACTGGGAAAGGCTCGCAGTAGTATGCGTCGTTTCTCACAATTTGAAAAAAAATAAAAAAATAAAAATAAATGTTCAAGCGCCTCCATGCAACTAGTGAAATAGTTAATCCGAATTCGAATTCGCTAAGGTTGACCCTCACTAGCAATGAAGTATAGAACCTCTTTGGTTGGTCTCGAGGCATACCGCTAGGCATTATTAAAGCGACTCTCGTGACATAACCACCTGCACGCAAAACGAATGTCGAATGTGTACAGATGGTTGAGAGACAATACACTCATGTACTGTGGGACCCCTTTATTCATGCAAAGTGCAATTGTCAATCTCTACCTACTATTCCTTTTGGTTGTTGACAATCGTTCTATTTTGTTAAAGTGGAATATTTTTTTTTCTTCGTTCCCGTGACCCCTCCCAATCATCATTGATGCATGGGATGAGATTGGAGTCGTGGATTTTCCGATCTCGCTTCCATTCATGAAGAATTAGGAGGAACCGTCTGGTGAAGGCTAATGTAGGGTCCATTGGAGGAGCGCATCATGCTGTTTGGTCTATTTGAATAGCTTAGCTAAGTTAGCCATGCAATGTAAAGGTATAATAACGCGGTAAAACTTGGAAGTAATCATGTAGTAATATCGCGTAAATGTGAGGTTTGCATTTCGGATTAACTTCAAATTATTATACTACGTCATACCGCCCCAATACAGTAATTATCAAAATTAACTGCAAATTATTCTTACGAAAATTAAAATAATAAAAAAAGAAAGAATTTTGAATCTTGCAAGGACAAATGCCTTTAGATGAAGAAAAGTCCGGTATACAGTGGCGGAAAGAAAAAAAGAAACTGATTGGTGTATGTCAAATGCGAAAAAAAAAATACTTCTGCCGAATTAGGAAGGATCCCAAAGGACTCTTGAGTGGATGCTCTAAATGCCGCCGTAACTGCAAAGAATAAAATTGATACGGATTATTTGTCTTAAACCCCCGCCAACAATGGAACCACCTGTCCACTTATGATTGTTGAGGATTCTTTTGTTCTATACACCGAAAAGCAATACTTGCCTTCTAGTCAGCAGCAATGGTTATTTCTTCCAGTCAGCAGCCGGTGTTTTTTTTCTTTTTCAGCCGGTTTTTTCTTTCTTTTTCATCTAATGTTAATCGTGTTACTTTTGTATACCATGGACGAAATATCGACATGTTCCTCTGTATGCCGGCCAAGATTTTGTATGAGGGGATAAATCATGGGAGTTTTTGGCGCAGTGCGTCGCCCACCATGCAAGTGATTGCTGAGGGGGTAATTGTTTTTTGTTTTTTTATTATTTCTCCAATTCTAAGATGCCAGCGGATGCACGCAGCAGTATGCGGCTCAATGTTCAAACCTTAAATGACTCCACCACCAACGTCCCCGGGGTTGTAACCCATCTCAACAAAGTTGGCCGTTTATGCATCTATTTATATATATAGAGACATACCTCTTCATTTGATATCAGTGGAAATTTTCAAAACTATCCCCTTTCCATTCTTCATACATAACCAGAGGTCTCCCAGACCCCCCTTACTTCATTTCCTACTAGTCCTCCTCCCAACCCTTATTCACTTCACATGGACGATCTCTCTTGCCTTGAGGTGCGGCCCACCTTTTCCCAAAACATCGACTACTTGGCCCCCGATGTCCCCACATATAACCTCTACCGGTGCTGGCGTCAGAATAACTCCAAGTCTATAAAATCACATCAAGATGACATCTCGCTTATAATACCGTCCACGATTTCCAAACGCCTTGAAAATGTGTGTTGGAGAAGATGGTTCAAAGAAATAAAACAACTCCCAGAAATCTCTCCCGACAACATCAATTGGTACAAAGATCAAGATATTACATGGCTCTACGGTCCTAAGTTTGTGGACGGATCCACCTTCGAAGTCACCCATCCATCAAAACCTTTACTCACCAAGGAAAATCTCGCACGTTCGGAAGCCATAGATATTGTCTCGCCTACTATTTCCACCCGCGAACACCAAGTCTCTGAATATTCACTTTCTTCATCTATCGAGTCCGATTATTCTTTGGAAGACAACGCATCTACATCATCACTTGAGAGTGACTCGCATGACATTGACCATCACATACATGGCAGTTTAAAGCCGGCTTTAAAACTGTCACGTAGTAAAAGTAAAAGAGTCAAGTTTAATCACATTGTAAATTCTCGTGAAATTGTCAATGGAATGAGTTTCGATTACGATTTCTTGGACCACCACTGTTTGTAACCCATGGTACTCTATAGCATTTTAAACGGAATACATAACTTCTTTTTCGTGTTAGTCGATTTTCTGTAGGTCGGGAGTTGGGTTTCTAAATTTTTAGCCGCAGTACTGTTCCATGGCCACATTTACATGACGAACCTAAGGCGGGTATATCAATTATTTTTGTAACCAGGTACCATTTTGATAGAAGAAGTTGAGGTGTTCTACTTTGGGAGTAATGACACTACAAATAAGAACAAGGCGTTACATGGTGATGGTGGTAATTTACTACTACCTAGACGCTCGATGTTTACACCATCTTTGCCATGTTATCTACACGCCGTCCTAGTTCCAAAAAGCTTGGAGATTTACCACCAGGTTGCACTCCAAACCACTCACCGGTATACACATATTTTTCTCCTCCCCTACCCCGGCATTTAGCAGTATGTTCCCCGGCGCAAACGGACAAATGGGACAATCTATAATAGAGATCTTTCCCCAACTCTGGATGGGTGCGGCGGCCTTATTGTTGAGTCAAGAAAAAAAACAAATTAGGTTGAGAAATAAAAATTCCAGCTTAATTGTCCTATTCCGTTCCATACGGGGTAATGCTTCCGCATTTATTTATTTTTCTATTCTTGTGCCTCCCTGCCGTATTAGGTCCTGATGGTTCATTCTCTACATGGAACATTATTCGTATTCGCTGGCCTGCATATCCCCACACTCCATGCATCGTAGTTTGTATACGATGGTGGGATGTTCAATTTGGGGCTATACCATATACGGGAGTGTATTACTCCACATATTGTTTCAACATACTCGTCTTCTTCATTTCCGGTTAATTTCAAATTGTCAAGAACCCTCCTCTTTGCATGTTTGCTACTCTGAGCCCGAATTAAAGCAACCACTTTTATTTTTTGAGTTTCCTTGGTCAGGACCGCAAGTCATAAAGCCTAAATGTAGGTGTAGCACTCTAAGTATACTCTCACAACCTAATGATGTCAAGTTTCAAGATGTAAGTGGAACGAACCATCGCTTATTATCACCCTCTTCAAAATATTTTTTTCTACCCCGTCTTCCCCGACTGAAAACATGCATTAGATCTTGGTGGACCCTGAACTAGTCCGATTGCTCTCGTTGCTTCGACAGAAAAATACCAACCGTACTCTGGAATGTACATGCGGCTGTGAATTATCTTGTGAATATTATTTTTGGATTATTTTATTTGGTTGGCATCCTCGGTACATTTCTTGGTGGAGGTTTCTTTTTTTCGATACATGCGATTGAGGACAAAAGGGTATGGCAAAAAAACACCTAGAAGGGGGATTCCAAAGATTGACATGTGAGAATACGATAGCACAATGAAAGAAATTTCATCACAGGTAATAATGGGAGGTACAATGTATGTAATGTAAGTTCGTATGCAAAGAATGTATATGTAGAGAGTGTTAATCAGCATCAATTTGTTTGCCCTTTTGCATACAATCGAATTGAATATGTGTGGGCTCTAATTAAACCATCGAATACTTTATACTACATGATTGCAATCACTTCATAGTTGAGTCACTATAACATCAATGTTGATTGTTAGTTCATGATTTGTATGATTTGGATGATTTGGATGATAAGACTTCCACGAGTATTTGCAAGTTTCGGAAGTATTGCAAAAAGATGCCGTCTATGGGAGTTTGCTGTGTATTTCTTTTAACTCGTATGTGCTTTGTTTGCCCGATAAGAAATTTAAACTGCTTAGTACTTGAGTAAGTTATTGAGTTTGACGTGTTCGTCATTCAAAAATAGATTCAAATATGGGAATGAACGGAAATTGGTGAATGGGAAGAATTTCTTGATTAATAGAATGACTTGGCTTGTTCTCCTTGTAAGTGTGGGGTTTTTACAGTTTAGAACTCAAATGATCAAATCTGTGAATGATTTACCGTCTTTGCAGATAAAGGACTGGCTATTTGCCTGGATGTCATGATTCTTTGTATTTAGAAAATATGACCAGTCACGGTAAATAGTGGTTAGGTCCGTAATCCAATCCTTCAACACAAGGTCATATGGGAAAATTTGGTTGTAAACAATAGGTAGGACTTGTAGGTGAGGACTACAACAACAACGGAGATATAACTCAACTGATCCGCATTGTGACAATATCTTCTTTACTCATTTACCCGAATGTTCACTAATTTTTGTTCTAGATAGTTACTACTTCCAGTATAATATCATACTTCCCTATACACTCATTTATATTACATCCAAAGTGTTGAATTATGTATTTGGTTTCATTTTTTTTCTTTGTTTGTAGAATATCTCTCTGGGTTAATTGTGGTTGCAAAAAAGAATGGTAGCCATAATTAAATTATTAATATAGCTCTCTTTCCATTTTAAAGGGTAGGATTATTATCTCACAATGAGAGGGGTCGTCTACGATCCCTCTTGGGATTTTAACATAGCCAACATCTGAATTTAATCTCCCAGAAGGTTCAGAAAAAAGCGAACCTCCAAAAGAGACAAAGTACGAAGTAGAAAAAATCTTTCCTCTTGATGATAAATTATTAATTTTGAAGCCAGTTCCTCAAACAGATCTTAAAATTGAAATTGAAAGGGGTTGCACCCTTCTAAAGACCGCTGGACTTGGAGGGAAATAATTTGTATGCTTATTCTTGCAACTTTATTAATAATTGAATGTGTTTGTTTTCAGTATGAGTTAATAACTATATAATAGGGATAATAGTTTTAATAAATGTTGGTAATGTATCACAAAAATTGGTAGTAGAGTGGCATGATGAACATTTATCTGTAACCACTAGCTAGTATTGTAAAATAGAGATAATGCTTGTTAAAATGTATGGCTAAGTAAATGTCTTGATAATTATTATGATAATGTTTTTTTTTCATTGGATCTATTTAGAAATATTTTTAATTTAGGAGAGTACTTTTCTTATCAATTGACCAATAATTCCTATTTCTTATATATATATATATATGTATATTTCTTCCACCACTTCTTCACCCCTCTAGTACTACTTTGTAGATGATATTCAATTATTGGTGTAGATATATATATAGTTTATTCTGGCACGTGATATAATCACGTGCGGAATATAATCTATAGAGTTACTTCACAAAATATAAATATATACATACAAAAGAACCATTTTGATTCCCTTTTATTGGTCTGATGGATTCTCTTATAGGGGGAGATGATGATGATGGCGTATTTGACGATAATCTTGACACAGATGCCATTGACAACCTTTTATCGAAAACTCCAGTGAATCAATCATCAGTGACAGTTTCTGGTCCGCCACCACCACAAAGAAATCTTTATGGAGAAATTGTTGCCACCCCTTCTGATTATATAGACATCAGAGAAGAGCTTGCAAGACAACCCAAGACATTCCCTCCTACCCACCACTTCATAGACTATGACAGTCTAGACACTTATCTCTACCCAACAAACTTTGAAGTGAGAGATTATCAATACAATATTGTAAGGAATGCATTCTATAATAATATACTTGTGGCACTCCCCACTGGGTTGGGGAAGACGTTCATTGCATCCACCGTGATGCTCAACTTCCATCGATGGTTCCCCGAGTCCAAGATCATTTTCATGGCTCCAACAAGACCATTGGTGGCACAACAGATCCAAGCGTGTTGTAGAGACACCGGGATCCCCGCGTCACATGTAGCCACATTATTAGATAAAACTAAGCGGAATAGAGCAGAGATTTGGGATTCCAAATCTATATTTTTTACCACCCCTCAAGTGGTTGAAAATGATTTAACTGCCGGTTTGGTAGATCCCAAACTGATTGTATTACTTGTTGTTGATGAAGCACATCGAGCCAAGGGTAACTACGCATACAATAACGTGGTCAAATTCCTTGATAGGTTCACTAATTCATATAGAATTCTTACCTTGACTGCCACACCTGCGTCAGATGTGGAAGGAGTACAAGAAATTATTGATAATTTATCTATATCTAAAGTTGAAGTAAGGACGGAAAATAGTATTGATACTTCTAAATATTTGAAACGGAAAGTAATTGAGAGGATTACAGTGACTAATACAGTGGAAATTGAAGATATTATTGAATTACTTTCGGTGGCAATAGCTCCTGTATTGAAACAAGCCAATGAACGGAAAATATATGACATCACTGATCCGCTGAAAATCAATGCCTTTAAGGCCATGGAAGCATCACAAAGAATGATTCGGAACCCAAGTATCCCCGAGGGACTTAAGTGGCTGAATTATTTTCTACTTCAACTACTCAATGTAGTAGGGCAAGCCTTACGAAGACTTGTAGTTTATGGGATAAGGTCCTTTTATAGTTATTTTAATGATAAATTCAAAGAATTTACCACCAAATTTAACAATAAAAAGTCCAAAAACCAAACTGCAGCATCGTTTTTCTTCCATGATAATATCAAGCAACTTCTTGATATTTGTGAAACTTGGCTAGTGGATAAAAAATTCTTGGGACATTCTAAACTTGAACTGGTTTTATTTGAACTTGATGGGTTCTTCCAACAAGCACGAGAAGATTCTGGGGTCATCATATTCACCGAATTCCGTGAATCTGCATTGGAAATAGTCAGAGCATTGGAAAATTCAGGTAATGATAAATTTAGACCACATATTTTCATTGGACAAGCAAAGGAAAAGGAGAAATTTGATGAGGTGAAGTTTTTAAGTAAGGGGAAAAAGGGGAAAAAGAAAAAGAAGAATGATAAAGAAGAGGCAGAAGTGGAAGAAGAAGTGGAAGGAAATATAAGAACTAGTTCTGAAGATGCTCAAGCAAAGGGAATGAATCAAAAAATGCAAAAGGAATTAATTCAAAAATTCAAACGAGGAGAATACAATATTTTGGTGGCTACATCCATTGGAGAAGAAGGTTTGGACATTGGAGAAGTTGATTTGATTGTATGTTATGATTCCACTGGGTCACCAATCAAAAATATACAAAGAATGGGTAGAACTGGACGTAAACGAGATGGGAAGGTTCTATTATTGTTTGCAAGCAATGAAGAGTCCAAATTTGACAAGGCCATGGGTGGTTATGAATATATTCAACAACATATCATGAATAATAAACTTATACAACTTTCACAAAGTGATCGAATAATCCCTAAACAATATACCCCGATAGTGAAACGAGTATTTATAGAAATCCCCGAGGAAAATAAACCACTCACCACGGTGGATGATGAAGATGAAATTATTCGACTTGCCACTCAATATATGAAGAATATTGGGCCCAAAAGTAAGAATAAGAGTAAGAAAAAGGCCGCTACAAAGCCTCAAGCGGGACAACTGAAGTTAGAAAAGAGATTCTTTATGCCCGACAATGTAGAGACTGGGTTTACCAAGGCTGCAAATTTGGTGAGAAATCCAAATACATCCATTTCTTCTGATAAGGATATTTTAGATTCTATATGTGAAAGTGAAGATGATTCGGAAGATAATGAGAAGGAGGAAGTATATCTGGATCGGAACCTAGATGGGAACGTTCATACTACCCCACCATCTTCTGTGGGGAGACTGGTTAATACGAAATCTCATGAGATTTTAGACGATGAGAATAATGTTGAGAATTTGAGTCCTTCAGTGACTAAGAAATATGCACCAGTACCGACTAAACGACCAGTATCAGAGATGGTCAAACCAGTTAGGAAAACACTTGGATTGAAAAGGGCAAGACCTAATATCATCGAACAGGTCAAAGAACAAGCATCTCGTATAATCAAACCACAAACAACCAATGAGTATATTTCACTTATTGATGATGAAGAAGAGGCAAATGTTGAGAAAGAGACAAAGGTTGAAGAAAAAGATACAATAATAGAAAGGAGAAATGAAGTCTCCTCGAATTTTAAAAATATAAATATTGAAGATGTCACGTTTTCGGAAGAAGAAGATGTATTTGATGATGGCTTGGATGAAGAGTTGGTGATGTTAGGAGGACGAGGTACGTCTAGTACTCCTGGTCCAGAAGAAGAAGAAAAAGAAGAAAAAGAAAGACTAATCAGTAGCACACCAGAAGAACATAGTAGCACCCCACAAGCCATAGATGAGGTATTCAAATCCGAGTTTGAGCCACATGAAGGTTTTTTAAATGAAGAAGAACAAATACAGCTCTACACAAGACATTACACAACAGTCTCAGATATGAGCACGTACTACGACCCCATTATGGGGGCGAAAAATGGAGTGATTGGGAAAATAGGACATAGTACAACGGGCCAGAATTTTGTTGATTTAACATCAAAAATGGCGAAAATGACTAAAAAGGAAGCAACAGAAATATTAAATCGGTATAAGAATTCATAGATAGACTTAATTGAAAGGATAAAGTGATACAACTGTAGATGATTGCAAAATGTAGAAATTGGACATCCTGTAGAGGAGCTAAGAACCAGATTGTGATTCTCTGAGAGTGGGGAATAGTGTATTAATTTCGAGTCAAATGGAAGAAGAAAGACTCTCCACTGGCAACCAGTCGTGGGCTTATGTTCCTCTAACGAGTAAAATAAACCACTACTTAATCACTCGTTTTTTGTGTAATCTCGTTGTTTTGCAACCAAAAAAAAAAAATATTTAAAAAAAAAAAACTAAAAAAAAAATTATTCCGTGCGACTTACCCGGATCTCACAACTAGTATAAATAAAGATGAGAATCGTCACTTTTAAGTGTTTTCAATTTTGTTCTTTATCTTTATGCAGGGGCATTACGTGTATCAGTGAGGATTCGTCCGAGATCATGTTTTTGCTGGTTGAAAACTATAACCTGACAGCTCCTTTGTGTAGTGGTGCATTCCATGAACACCTAGGGAATTTTTGGAACATTTTCGACACTTCTTTGAAGGTCACTTTTCTGTGCTGGTGTGAACCAACAATGAGAACATTGTGATGTATAGTGGAGTGGAGTTCAAAGAGATTGGACGATAAATGAAGTAAAACTGGAAGAATAACTGAGAATTGTACTATTCTCTATTAATATCTCTTTTACACTATTTCTTGCCTTGTGCCTCGCTCGGTTTAGCCTTCCATTGGCTTAATCTTGAGCTGGATACTACTTTGCATCTTGAATGTTAAGTATGTAAGGGGCCATACCAATTTGGGTTTCCTTTGAGTGCGCTACCGCTCTGGCTTTGCCGATGGCGGTACTGCAATTATTAACCCAAACATATATAATAATGTAGTTTTTTCTTATAAAAATAGATAGAGAGAGAGAGAGAGCTTACTATATCTCTATATTAAATTATCTTTACTATAATCATTTAGTTGTTCATTTTCAAACCTTTAGTAAAGTTACACTATTAAATTCTTCTTGATTACATAATCCATATAATATGGATTTTCACTGAGATTTCATATTTTAAGTTAAAAAAAGTTAAAAGTTGTTCATTTAAGGTCAATTAAAATCATTTCCTATCATATATAATGTTTAAGAAATTCACCAAGGAAGACGTTCATTCCAGATCAAATATCAAATCCTCTGTTCAAAGAGGTTTAAAGACCAAATTTGTATCACAATTTGAACTTTTGGAGCCAGTGATCGATGACATTATACCGAAAAAATCACAAGCAATCCTCATCAAATGTGAAGATAAGATCCAATTATATTCCATTGATGAAGAAGTTGTCGTGTTCCAACACTTTGATGACTTGATTCCAACTTTGAAGGTTGTCCACAAGTATCCACAATGTTTCCCTCGTGTCCAAGTCGATAGAGGTGCCATCAAGTTTGTCTTGTCTGGTGCAAACATCATGTGTCCAGGTTTAACTTCTCCAGGAGCTGCCTTGCCAGAAGATTTGCCAGTTGACACCATTGTTGCTGTCTATGCCGAAGGTAAGGAAACCGCCTTGGCTATCGGGAAATTGATCATGAGCACAGACGAAATCAAGTCAAAGAACAAGGGCATTGGTATTGAATTGGTTCATTATTTGGGTGATGGGTTGTGGAACATTTCCACTGATTAGATAAATTAGTATATAAAAGAAAAACATTAAAGAGAAAAAAAGTATAATGGACGTTATCGTGATGTAGGTATATATTGTGTGGGTTGGCCGGCTGGCCACTTACAGTGTTATAATAATATAATGATTTGCTCCTCGGAGAACTCTTCCCTATAGAGTCTTTCTATAATATAAGGCTATATATCCTCAATGTATATATAAACATTTTGTCCTTCTTGTAAGTCATAAAAGTCAAGAATGGCGAGATTATCATCCATTTCTCTATTGACTCGTTCTTCTTCCAATTCCTCCTCATTCATACAATATGAAGCCCTGACTCGAAGTACAGACACTTGTTTTAATCTAGCAACTATCCCCTTCAATTTTAACACCGTGTTTGTTCGAACAAATTGTCTTTGAAAGGGTTTATTCCGTATGACAAGGTTAAGATTGATCACCGATTTCCGGAGAAGTGTATCCACCTTGGTTGCCGTACCTTCATCCATCGCAATATTGTATTGTCTTACAAGACTCTTCCATCTCTCACTAGTGAAATCCACTATGAATTCACCACTCTTGGCCTTGGAAATAAAATAAAGCTCTAAATTGTTGATCTCACCTTCATTGAGTGATGCACCATTTATTTTGTAGATCTTGTCAACACTGTTTGCCATAGATGTACACAGAAGACGTCCAATTAAGTTGACTATCATGTCATCTTCCAGAATCTCATTAAACAATGGGTTTCCGTTGATTCGTAGTTCATAAAGATGAGGGAAGAATTCCGTTTGAAGAGAATCAATAACTTCCCATTGAGATATCAAATTATTCTTCAAATTAAGATGGGTTGTTCTAGTATCAAACATTCTATTAGTACTTAATTCAAATCTACTTATCCGATTGTCTGATAAGTTCACATTGTAGATCTTTCTCGCCCAAATTGGAATATTTGTAAGTAAATTGAAACATAAATCAACCGCTTTAAGAGAATCTGGAGGTTTAATCCCTTGTAAATCCTCATCTGTATATCTATTTGCCCCTAAACTCAATACTTGGAGATTAGGGAATTTCCTCAATATGTATGGCAATTCTTCAGCATGAAGATTTGTACTGGTCAAATGAAGTTCTTTCAATGCGAAATGACATGTCAGAGATTGCTCAAAATTCGATGTTTCAAACCGATTCCCATTAAGAGTCAAGCTTTCCAATTGGTCAAGTCTATCGACAATATTCCACACCTCTTGTAAATTGGGGAAAAGATTGAATCCAAGGTCCAAACTGCGCACATTTTGAAGTGATCTATAGAAATCACTGCTGTCATCATATGGAGTCTGTGAATCTCTACACGCCCCATAAACCTTCCCTCTCTGCAAGGAAACAACCTTCAAGTTATAGAAGTTCTTCTGGATGTCTGTCAATTTGCCAAATCCATAACTTTCGACAACTTTAGTACCAAAAGATACCTGTTCATGGCCCTCTTCTTCTTCTTCGTATAGACCACCATATTGATATGACATGGCCTCGGCAAATGTATATCTCTTTGACAAAAGCTTCTTACTGTTTGCCTTGACAAACGAGCCTGCGTTTGCCACCAATGTTTGGAAATATCGGACTCCATTCAATGATCCATCATTTTTCCCTCGATTTGCCTGATCCCATTCTATCCCCAAGGCAAGCTCTTCACCCCATGCTGGTACAGTTCCTACGTATCTGACTGTCCCGAGGTATCCATCTGTGGTTTCCACCCTTTCATTCACCGTGTAGGGGTACATCTAGAGCTATCTATAAAGTATACAAGAGCCTAGAGATTAACCATTTGACTAAAGGACGCGCGACTTAAAATCATAAACCTATACACAACCACAAACAATGTCATCATCAATCTGATCGTACACTCCCTCCATTCTCTACTAGGTTACTATCTACAATAAAAATTCTTTCAAGTGTGTATTTGTGCAATTTCTACTTCTATTCTCTTCTTCTCTCCTAATTAGATCCCAATCCAAAGTTGTCACCCAATAAACCATCCAAGTCGAATTCCTTAGCCCATGTGGAAACAATGGTGGTTTGTTCTTGCTTTGGTGGTTCCTTGTCTCCTCTCAAAGAACTCTTTGGTCCGTCGATGGTGGTTTCGTCAACAACATCGGCACCACTGGTGCTTCTGGATGCCTTTGGCAAGGTCCAACCAACAATTCTACCATCTCTCCAGTCATTCAAAACAGACAAGGCGGCAGATTCCAAGTTAGGTACACCTCCCTTTCCTAATCTTCCTCTGGTTCTGGCAACAAAGATCAAGAATTGCTTGGTGAATTCATTGAGATCGTTCGATGGTAATGGAGGAAGTTGGTAGTAACTCTTCAAGCTGTCGGCCATGGCAGTGTCCTTGGATAACTTCTTCAAGAGCATCTGCACAGGTGGCATAGGGTCTATTATCTGCTTTGGTGGGATGGCGGACAACAAGGCCAACTTGGCTTCTTGTTGCGCCTTGGAAGCCTTCTTTGTGTTGATGATTTCATCGGGGAAAACAATTCCTGGAGAATCCAAAATCTTCAATTTGTTATCAATCTTAACTTCTCTCATCAGGGTGGTGACACCGGCTTGGTTACCCACAGGGCACGCCTTGCTGTTGTTGCCGTGTCTGTTGGTCAAAGCGTTGATGATGGAAGACTTACCGACGTTTGGATATCCAATAACACCAACAATGATGGATCTCTTCAAGTTGGCCTTGTTGGCAAAACTCTTGAGTGCTTGCAACAAAGAGTTGGCGGTCATGGTGGAGGTCAAGTTCTTGTTGAAAGTGTTGGAGCCAGCAGAACCTGGCAAAGCCTTGACTGGGACGGTGGGGAATGAGGACTTGAGAACATTGAGCCATTGGTTCAAGACATCGGTAGGGATCAAATCAACCTTGTTCAACACCAAGATCAATCTCTTACCTGGGTTTTGCAAGACGGCTTGTTCAACCTTTCTGGAACGGGTCAGTTCTGGGTCTCTGGCGTCCAAGACGTACAAGACAACGTCGGCATGGTCCACAACGGTCTTGAAAATCTTATCGTATGCCTTACGGGACTTGTCGAGTTCGGAGTTATCTTCTTCATCATCTTCTTCCAATTCCAAGTCGTATTCGATGTCTTCGTCAGAGTCTTGGTCCATGTCTTGGTCGTTTTCTTCGTCATCTTCGCCATCGTAAGCCTTAGCGGCTCTTTGGGCAGATTCGAGCAAGGCTCCTAAACCTCCTTCGTTTTCGTCATCGGAGTCTTGGTCCATGTTTTCATCCACTTGTTCACCTCTGGCCAAGGCCTCGGCACGCTCTTGTTGTCTCTGCAACTTCAACTGAGCCCTCTTTTCTTGTTCGGCTTTTCTACCTTCTTCCAACTCAACTATAATTTGTTCCTTGTATGGGAAACTGGATGGAATACCTGGATCCTTCTTAGTTCTGGACTTCCATGTGACATCCTTCTTGGCAAACTTTCTGTTCTTTCTGTTTTGAGCAGCGGCCTTCTTCTTGATACCTTCCCTCAAACGGGTGGTGGATCTCTTGGATGTGGGCTTCTTAACTCTCATTTCTTGCTGATTAAAGAGTAGATTTAAAGAGAGATGAGCTGGGTGAAATATTTCAAATACTCGCAAAAAAATAAAAAATAAGATAGAGGAAAAAAAAAAGTGCAGGTGAAGAGGTCCTGCAGAAAGCGGTGCACGGAGAAAGCGTACTAAGGGGGATTAAGTGTAAGGATGTTTGTGATGAACAAGGTGGTAAATCATAAATGTGGGACATTCTCAGCATCTTTAAAACTCTTTAAATGTTTATATAAAGTTTAAAATGAATTTAAAATTAAAAAATTTTGAAATATTTAACTTTACAAAATTTTAATAAAAACGTTCATATCGACAGTATCAATAGTAGTAGTATACTATGAATGACATTAGTTAGTTGCTAGAAGTATGATAGTTACTTACACGTACTCTTTTTTCTTTTTATCTGAAAATTCCTCTCTATCATTGGCTGCAAAAATAATTCTTTTGTCTACACCGATATTGTTGCACGTATTTATTCATTATTCGTAAGGTATATGTTTCTAATACACTTAATCAGCATCACATGAACAACCTCCTTCGGCACCTGGGACCTGAATCGTCCCCCCTCCTTTCACGGGAATTGGTGGGATGTTGTGACCACAATCACCTTGAAGTGCACATGAATGGTCGTTTCCATCGTTGTCGATAACATGAATGTTATTATCATCGTCAATCCACATTTTCCCGTCTCTCCAAGGGCATCCTTCGTTCAGGAGTTCTAACGGTAAATCCTCCTTGTGAGAGAAAATTGATCCAGCACTAGCAGCACCGTAATAACCTGCGCATTGTTTTCCATCAATCAGTAAATTTGTAATTGGACAACAAACTGTTGTACCAACTGCAGCACATGAACCGCAAGTCTCTGATACTTCGATATGAATTGCCGAGACTATTGGAAGAATTGTAGTGAGAAAAGAGATTGAGAATTTCATTCTTGAGTGAATTTTGTTTTATGTTGAAGTTTCAATTATAGTATGGTAGACATATCGTATCTTTTATATACTATTTTCATTCATTACATACCGCAACTTTGGGAATTGGAAACATGAATCGTTAGTATGTCTTACTATATTACATGTACCCCAGGTTAGGTCTCAAGGGCTCAAGTATTGTCTGGTCGATCATTCTTCATACGTTTTTGCCATGGTTTTGTGCACGGACCTTTACCCCACGATGTAATCAAAACCGTCAATACGAATTGTCATATTGAATTGAAAAAGTGGGACTTTGAAAATACTTCTACAGAAAGAGTAATAGCTTTTACTCTCCGTAATATACATTCTCTTATATAATCAAGTTGTTGGAATTGTGTGAATTTTATGTAAATCCGACCAAGTCTTTCAACAAATTTCCACTGGTTAGGAGCCTCCTATTGATCTCGGGTAAGTATCTTGCATTTCCACATGATCTCTATAGTTCGAATCCATACAAATTTTCGAATGTATGGTTCTAACCACCTTCTAAAAATAACAATAGCAATGAAAGATAAGTGAGTGTCAGAAAGTCTAGCTGCAAAATGACATAATTGGATTCTCTGAGGCTTCGTTAACTCGTGGTTACATATCGGAATTGATAATATGATTCCCTGCTGTACCTTGCAACTTTACTCACAATTGGATTCTATGAGGCGAGTAATAATTCCCTTAGATTATTGCTGTCTATCAATTTCTACAGATTTACTCGATATATGTTATATTGTGATTGGTTTGGTTATTGCTTTTTCTTTGTCCTGGTTCTGGGGTATCTACATCACACAAACTTTATCAAATAATCTATTAATATGCTTTTTTTATTCTATTTAAATTTCTGGTTGTTCCTTTAATTTTGACGTACGCCCAGCATTGTATCGATGTTCAGGATTTTCTTCATCAAAAACCTCTTCAAAAGAATCCATTTCTTGCTCAGTCTCATCTTCTGTGTCCTCCTCTTCTGTATCATCTTCATCTTCTTCCTTGATACTAACCAATCCACTCATTACATCTATTTCATATTGCTTTTCTAACATACGCAATCTGTCTGTCTTGGTTAAATGGTCTAATAATTTGGCCTTAGTGGCTTCCTTGGCTGCATTTTTCGCATTACGAAGTACTTCCAACGGAGTATCTCTTTTTTCAATTGGTCTTCTCACCAAGTTAAATGAAACGGCAGATGTCATTCCAAGACTTATTAAAAGTATTACCATGTACTTCATAATCAAAATTCTTAGTATGGTTGATGAAAAGGGGGAAAAGAAAATGAAGTTCTTCTGTTTCAATTCTATTTGTTTTCCTCTCCCCTTTTTCTCTAACCACAAACATCGGTCACAAACACAAAATTTATTCAACTCCTTTACCAAATTTCTTTAATGATGCACTACTGGGAGTCCTTCCAAGAGAAGGAAGGGATTCCCGACTCCCAAGATCCAGGAATTGGAATATACTATTGGAAGCATTCCTCTTCGGCATAAGAAATGGTTTATGTAAAAAATTCGGCACTCCATGACGTCCTTCTTCTTGTGAACCATCCTCTTCTTCGTTAATAGAAAGATTCATTGTAGAACGAGTTCGGAGCACCGATTGTGGATATGGTTGTTGTAATACAGGTTTATTCCCATCACCATTGCTTTCTCTCAATCCTTCTTCTAAATCATAATTTTCTTGTTCTCTTTCTCTCATTTGAGCATATCCATCCCAATTCTTGAAATATGGAATCTTATGCATTATAATGTCCTTGCAATACACTGGAATTTTCTTTAATTTTGATTCCAGAATAATCTTACTCTTACGAGCAAACACCGCCATTACAATAAGCAAAATTAAAATGAATGGAACAATGAAAAACAGTTGACCTTCCAAAATATCTTCCAAATCAGAATCATAATCTGACTTACCATCTTGATGATTCAGTATATATCTGGTGGATCCACCTCCAGGAACAAAATCTTGCCCTGAAATTTCACTGGGATATATCCCCACGTTCTTATCATTTTCATATCCAGGACGAATTTGACTCAGGGCAAATAAAAGCATTTTCCCTAATGTCCATGACAACTCATCTCCATTGACCGAGTCGGCGGATTTGAAAGGGATATGTTTGTTGGTGAGTTCTTTGGCTAGTTCTTCCGCCAGCTTATCGGTTTCAGGGGTGGCATCAACGTCTAATCGAGGCAATTCAAACCCTTCGTGTAAAACATTCATAACCCAACTGGCCTTGAAACAGGCGTCCCTAAGAAATGTTTCTGGATCAAGATTCAGATATTGTCCATTTGCTGAATTTTGTAAAATAGTAGACCAGTCACTTTCACAAAATTCCTTCACCTTGTTGTTAAATGCATGATAATTGTATTCACCTCCACTCTGGAAAATATCATTGGCAGTGTACCAATATTCCGAGATCCCAATGAATTTGTCATCATCAAAGTTAAGCTTGGGTCCATGGATCCCATTGAAAAGACACGGGGTGTCGGTGCATGGGATGTTCTTGAGAAGAAGAGGGTAGATACTCTTGACACACTGTTGATAGTTCCCAATCCCCTTAATCTTGTAGGTCTTCCCCTCGTGAACGTGCGGGAACTCTGCCCCCTGTGGGAGACAAGGATCACTAACGGTTTGTGAACCCTTCATTTTCGCTCTTGGAGGGGCCAGTATGTTCACATTAATGAGTTGATTAAGATATCTTCGTCTGGCCTCGTTGGCTCCAAACCCTAGCCACGTTTCTACAAAAACTCTCCATTTTTGAGTCTCTCCATTGACACTCCTGAGCACAACGGTGGAGAGATCTTCGTCATGTTTCTTGACCTCTTCGTCGGACAGAGGCACAAACGCAATCTGTGTCAGCGCACCTCCCATATCCATGAATCCAATGGACTCATGTTTCTCTAAATCCGAAGAATAGTTATCAAATTGGCCCATGAGGTAGTTTAAACCTAACCATCCATAAAGTCCTTCGGTTTCTCCATCAATAACTTGAACAAAGTCAGAACAATTTGGAATTGAAAACTCTGTGTTGGAACGGATCGACTCACAGGTTTCCTTTAATATTTTCCTTTGTTTACCATGTGGGAGTAATCTCATACCTGCAGTGGCCAATACAAACACAGGAGTTTCCCTATGCTTCTCCTGGGGGATGATCTCCTCGGCATATCGCAAGAGTTTCTGGTAATGTGTTGGCCAGATGTCCCGCGTCTTGTCCGCATATGTCGATATACCTGGCTTAATCTTCAACGTCCAATCCTTCTCCTGAATGATCTTGGGTGGAGATTGTAACTTTGAATTGTCTCCATTGGAATGTTCTAGAGTGTACTTGTAATCTTCCCATTTATATATTTGGATTCTTGATCCGGAAGACCCAGAGTCTATGACTATTCCATACTTGAAGTGATCGTCCATGGTGGGAACAAGGGTCGTTGATCTGAGGAGTTTCTGTTAACAAAGCAAAGGACAAAGAATTGGTTTTGATCTCTTTTCTTTTTTTTTTTTGAGAAATCGCGCCTTTAATGTGGAGAACTATCTATTTTTGTTTATTAGTGTAGATACAAACAGTATTACTACTTAAAAAAGATGATTGTACTCCCCAATACCCCTCCTATCCCGCAGAGCATATCCATCGCGGCTGGGAAGCTCAATCTGTATATTGTCTCGGAAAGATCGGGCTTATTGTCTGATGTTGGTACTAACTCCGAATTGGTCAGATATGTGGTAGCTCTTGAGGAATACCTAGAACATTTGTTTGATTATTGTGCCCAAAATTGTCCTCAAAGACGCCAATTGGAAGATTTGGTCGAGTATTCCTCAACATATGTCCTTTCTGAATCCTTGGGCCAATTACCATGGACTTTGAAAAGGAATAAGAACAAAAAAATTGAAGACAACTTCTTCCAAAGAAAAAGAACTCCAAATTCTTCTACAAGTCTTTCTCCAGATCAAACTTCAACCACTACTACTCCCAGTTGGACATTGGCAAATGAAATAGAAATCACAGTGGTGGCAATTGCATTGACTTATTCCTCCCTTGGGTCTCAAAACATTAGTGAACTCATATCTGCTCAAGAATCAACCGTGGAGACCACTGAAAAATGGAAACAAGTGGCCAATCTCTTCAAAAGCTCACTTTCGTTTGTATCATTTGGATCAATGGTGAACCGGTCAATCTCTACCGACACAAAACTTAATGGGATGATATACCATTTCCTTCACAAGACAAACAATATTTCCATTCAAATGTCTATACTTGCCAAATCTTCATGGATCAATAGACAGGATTATAATAAAACAGAGAGTTTCAAGTCTTCAAACAACAGTACACTTGCCCGGGTGGCAATCTATGTATTGGATGAGCTCCATCATTGTATTAAAATCCTCAGTCAATTACAAACTTCATTAGACGATACTTTCCTGCTTAACTACAAATTTTGGCTGGAATATCTCCTAGTCATTGAGAAATATGCCACTGCATACGCGGGATTATTCCTTTCGATTGAACACTACCAACAAGACAAAGTGGGGGAAGCCATAGGGTTGGTTAATTTCAGTTTATTAACACTACAAAAGAAGAAATTTGATGCATTACAAAGAGAAAGTGGGGGGAAATTAGACAAGTTAAAGGGGAAGTTCCAATCGCGTCTGAATGAATCATATATAAACAAGTTGGAGTCTGTAACCAGTTTAAACATCGATAAACTGGCGTTCCAACTGCACTCAGATGTTATATTAACAGATCTCACCTATTTGTTTGATCAATTGGTACTCCTACACGTCAAATTTACCAAAGAGAATAACAATTTAAAGTTTGACAAAGTTGTAAGTTGGTCCGACATGAAATCTGATTCTAAATGGCCCTTAGGGTGTCTGATTCCAGTCAGTGCAGTGGTTTCATTTATGCCTCGATGCTTGAAAATTGGCGATAATAGCCATCAAAATCAATCATATTCCGGGAGAGGTGCCTATTATTAGGTTTCTAACATGAGAGTAATCTATGGAGTAGATTTAAATTGTGGAACTTTGGTGGTGTAATTTCACGCCTATACTTTGTATAATTTTTTAATCAACATTCTTGGTAATGAAAGTATCTAATGTATATCTCCGTTAATCCCGACTCTCCACCTTGATTCCTTATTACTAAGCACCGATAAACGTATCATTCCACAGTTCTAATAATTATCTCATGCAATTGCAAATTTCCTCAACTATAATTCGCAGCCACAATCATCCAATTGATAAGGGGGGGTTGAGATTAAATAAGTGGCGCCTATATAATATGAATGATTTCCTTGAATGTTCTCGAAATTGGTACAAATATATAACTATCAAGATATATAAACATGTCACCATCTGCCGCTACTACAACTCCAGCTAACGCTGCTGAAACCCCTGTGGAACTTTCTGAAATTGAACAAATTGTAACCAAACTCGCCAAATCAGGAATTAAAAACCCTAGATCGGCAAGTAAGGGCGGTTTCGCCGATTCATGGGTGGAAAACTTACCAGCAACAACAAAGGCAAGATTTGAGAAATATGGAATCGATATCTCTCAAGGTTATCCTCAGAGACCACCAACTGAAGATATTCCTATTTTTGTCGACCAAGCACACGCAGTCCGTGACAAAGAAGTTCCATACATTGAAAGAGCAAAAAACGCGGATCCTGAAAAGAAGGCACTCTTTGCAGCCGCTAAAGAAGTGAAAAACTTGACCAAGCACATTGGTACTGAAATCATTGGTTTACAATTGAGTGATTTAACCGACCAACAAAGAGATGAATTGGCTCTTTTGATCGCCGAAAGAGTGGTTGTTTTCTTTAGAGATCAAGATTTAGACCCAAAAATCCAAGCGGACTTGGGTGCCTACTACGGTAATGTTGAATATCATCCACAACAAGTACATGTCCCAGGATTACCAGGTACTACAGTCATCTGGCAAGACTTATTAATTAAGCTTGGCCTTAATATTGGCTTCAAAAACAACGTCAAGGCTGGAACCCTGCAATGGCACACTGATCTTACCCACGAGTTACAACCTCCAGGTATCACCCATTTGCATAACGACGCTATTCCAGACGTAGGGGGTGATACCATTTGGTCGTCTGGTTATGCCGCCTATGACAAGCTTTCACCTGCTTTCCAAAAATTCCTTGATGGAAAGAAGGCGGTGTACTTTTCAGCTCATAACTATCTTGACCGTGAAAACCCATTGAAAGGGAGAGTTAACGTCGAACGTGAACACCCAATCATTAGAACTCACCCTGCCACTGGATGGAAGTCTTTGTTCGTTAATAGAGCCATGACTAGAAGAATTGTTGGATTGGAACCAAGAGAAAGTGACTTGATCTTGGAATACTTATTCAGCATTTTTGAGAAGAATTTGGATATCCAAGTAAGATTCAACTGGAAACCAACAAAGGCTGGATTGGGAACTTCAGCCCTTTGGGATAACAGAGTTTCTCAACATTTTGCAGTGTGGGATCATGAAGGAAATGAACCAAGACATGGTACAAGAGTCTCTTCATTGGCTGAAGTTCCATATTTTGATCCAGAATCTAAGTCCCAAAGAGAAGCATTGGGATTGTCTTTGAACTAGCTGTATAGTTATATACATGTGAATAATTCAATATTAATTATGATACTAGATATGCAACTGTAAGAGTCTTATAGAAGAAAAAAAAATTAAAAAAATAATGACTCCTAGGCGGTTCGAACGCCTGCATCTTTACGATAGTAGAACTTGAGTCTACCGCCTTAACCACTCGGCCAAAGAGCCCTATTTGATTATTAATTTTCGGTCAGACTGTCACACTGTGCGACAGTGGCGTACGGATGTTTTGGTGGTAGTGCATATAGTTTTATGGATATATAGGGTGTTTGGATGTTATATACCCTCTATGATAATGTAACTCGATAACTTATAGCAATAAAGTACCTTTAATGTACTAAATAATACTATGTATCAATATAATACAGAAGTTATAGAAGCTTATACTAATAGTTTTGTATGAAATGACTACTCTATGATCTAAAAATTGAAAAACTTCTTTTATAACTCATAATATTAATACAATCTTAAGAATTCAAGAGAAAACATATTTATAACTTTATTCATTTTTAATAAGAATGATATTCTACAAATTGTTTAAGCCTAATTTTTCATTTATTGTACTATCCTATCAAGGAAAATATACTACGGATCTCTTGTTGATTCACATTATACTCAATTTCTCTTTCAAAGTTGGCTCTAATAATTTTATCCAATCTTGCAAAATAATCAGAAAATTGTATTTCCATATCCTTCCACAATCTTTGAAGTAAATCCTTTTCAAACATGTCTCCACCTGTGATGAAGTGCTTTTCCAACTTACGATAAATCTCAGTAGCCTTCAATTGAATGTCTTTGTGAGTATAATTACTAAGAAGTGACTTTACAACCTTCTTGTTATATTTCTTTTGTCCACCCATATTGCTCAATGCTTCATAATTCTCCACGAATTCCACCAACTTCCCAATATTCTTTTGCAATAACTTACGGAAGTATGCATTTTCAACCTTCTTGAACACAGATGCCAAACTTGATTTCAGCTTATTGATTCCAACCGATGAAAATACAGATATTTGTTCTGAAAGATAAAAGATATTTTGAAGTATACTGACATTTCTGTGGTGTCTTTCCTTCTCATCAAACTCACTGTTTTTCAACAATGGGTCATCTCTTAAGAAAAGATGTATGGCTGCATCAGTCAATTGTAAATATGAATCATCTAGAGTTTCTCTTACCAGAGTTTGCGAAAGATCAACATTGCTGTCAAGTGATGATTCGGTAACAAATAAAAGTTGACTGAAGTTTTTCACAGACGGTAATATACCACACTTTGCAACAATATTGGATTGATTAAAGGCATTTACCTTCAGTTTAATACTCTTGGACCAGGATGCCTTAAATTTTTCTAATGCCCTTTTCAAGAAGTTGAAATCCAAAAATTCTTGATTTTTAGTTTTATTTTCAATAAGCATGTTTTCCAAATAACACAATAGTAATGGAATATGTGTTTCTGTTGGAGAAATTTTCTTCATGAACATGTTAATATAACCACCAAAGATGGCCGTCAAGTTGGAGATGATATCGTTGGAATAACTGATGGTGGAATTGAAATTTGGAGTATCAAGGGTTCTGCGTCTGTCACTGAATGGATAATGTTTAATATATTCACTAAAGTCAATGATATTGGTATCATAATGGAACATACTACCAACAAAGTATTGCACAATAGACACGAGTTCTTTGGAAAATGAAATCACTTCAATGATAGCCTTGGAATCTTGAACCTCGATAGTTGTTTGTTCAGCGTAATTGGAAGATGTATGTGAGGTATCAGGTGAATCACTACCCTTGAGCCTAAACTTTGTTTTAGTGGACATACGCAATGACCTTTTCTTTAGTTGGATACTATCAAAGTCGTTCCCAGAAGGTAATGAAGTGTGTTTGATGTACATCAACTTTTGAGTCAAGAGTTTATCAAACAAGTCACTCAATACCATATTGAAATATTCACCTAATTCATTGAAGTCCAGTGTGGAAACGTCCTTGACGAAAAACATGAAACCAGCATATATTAAAAGATTGTTTAGCTCACGGAGTAACATGTGAGTTGATAATCTTTCCAAATCCCTCGACAATAATGTAGAAATGTTTTTGAGCTCTTCTTTCAAATAATCTTTGAAATGCTTAACAAAGGAAGATGTAACATGTTCATAATTTGCACGGTATTGTTTCAAGGCCTTCATGGAACTGAAGTTATCATTATCTTCACCAGGTTCAGATCTCATGGCACCCAAGGCATCATATAATCCCAAAAGTTTCTCTTCCAAAGAGTCCAACTTATTGAGACGGTCAAATGATGTAAACATTTCAATGGTTGATAAGTCGGAACCATCCATGCTGACATTACTCAAGATACCTCTCAAATCGTTATAGAGCAACTTCTTATTGACAGACTTCACTTGTAAACCCTTGGAGTTAGTTTCGATAGAATGAACTTCCGGCGCTAAAAATTGGAAATCTATTTCCATCTTCTTGAAGATATGTCCCAAATTTTCAATCTCCTTGAGCGATGTGGTGAGATCACTCAGCACTGTATTATTTGAAAAATCTAATGCTATGACCTCTTCAACATTCTTATACTTCACCCGGTTCAACTCCTTAGTTAACTTCTTAATCAAGGCATCACTATCTTCAGTGATGTTCCAGTTGACTTCCTCCAAAAGCTCTTCAAGTTCTGGATCCTTCTCAATGTTTCCATCTTTGTTGATACCCAATCCTAAGTCAGATTCATTCACCAGTGATGCCACTTCGGATTCATGTCCAATAGGTACTCCACGAGAGTTGACCTCTTGTACATCCAGATTATTTGATGAAAACAGCCTTACACTAGCGGTACCAGCTTTTACACCCTTGTTACCAAGCTGAGATTCCATAAAACTTTCTATTTCTTGAATCGAAGAAGAAACAGTATCGTGTTCTTCATGATCAAGGTGGGTGGACTCTTCAATGATTTCTGGGCTAGATTCAGATATCCCTCCAACAAAGCCCAATCCTCTTTCCTTTCTATGGACAGATGAAACAGATCCACTTCCTCTACCCAAGACCAATGGTTGTTCTTGATCGTCGCTAAAATGGTCATCTTCGTCAACATGTGCTCTTTCTTCTTCTTCATCCTCATCATCATCTTCAACCTCTTCAATTCCAAAGTCTGGAGATGCAATCCCCTTGGGCAATGAAATTCTCTTGGAAGGTTGTTTGAATTCGTATCTCAGGACTGGAGGAAATTCAGAAGATGCGTCCTTATATAAATCATCACTCATTTGATATTTATGACCTTTAATTGACGATGCCTTCTCTTTAGAAAATTGTAATGATTTCTCCGAATCAGCAGAGTTTCTCAGTGCAGCAAACACAAAACTCAGTGAATCTTGAGTTGTTTCCACTTCTAAATCACCATCTCTAGACTCATCAAGGCTCATCCTTGGAGACATAGTTTGATAAGGGTGAGAATGACGCTTTGACGCTGTGGATTTAATCGAGCCAGAACCTATATCTTTACCACTTCTTCCTACATCCTTTTGGATCTGTGGCTCTGCAACTGGTTGTTGATCTATGGCAGTGCTGCTACCAGGACGATCAACCAGCATGGCCATCATTGGTTTCATGGGCAATTTACCATTTGCAGTAAAGTCCATATCCTTGTAGTGTTCATACATAGGCAGCTCTGGTTGTGGTGGTAATACTGGGTTGGGTAAATGCTTTCTTTTAATAGATTTAGATTTCAAGATTTGTGGATTGGGAGCAAGTTCATTCAATACAATATCACCAACTCCAACTCCAGAACCAGAACCTCCTCCTATGGACCCGCCAACACTTCCAGCTCTGGTAAGGTCTGCTAGTTTAAGCTCTTGTTGCAGAAACCCTACAAGTTCTGGATATCTCCCCATGAATTTACCGTACGAGGTAGCCAAATACCTCACAAATTTCCAAATTCTTTCTAAACCTTCTTCGACTCTCCAATAGTAATCCTTATTAAGCGTCAAGATGATCCCGTTACTCCCCACTCGTTGGATGGAGCGCAATTCATCCATGTCCCAAGTTCTTCCAATCTGATATGCATCCTTCACCTCGTTGAACTTCCCCTTTTGAAGCATGACACGGCCACTGTTCTTAGCACACACAACCAACACTCTATCCTTGATTGAGCCGACTTGCTGTGGTGGGGTCCCTTCTGGAGGAGGGTATGATGGGAACAGTGAGAATTCCTTGATGTTGACATGTGTTTGATATGAAACCTCAGGAACTTTCCTGCCTTGAACATCGACAATATATTTCGCAAAGCAATCTTGGATCAACTTATCAGTTTCAAACTTTCTCTTACGAACCGGATCCATTGGTGGTACTGGAGCATTATAACGTTGTCCTGGAGATCCTTGACCATTGATTATTTTCCCACCTTGAGGTGGTCCTGGAAAAGATCCCGGGGGAGGAGGACCGCCGCCTTGATATTGCTGTTGTGGTGGTCTGTGTCCACCAACACCACTTCTAGAGCCTGGGTATGCATTCCCATACCCTTGTGGAGCAGAGTTTGGTGGATATTGATTGTATGAATTAGATTGGTCTTGTCCATAGCCACCTGAACCTCCATTGGGTCTTGGTTGATTACTTCGGGGATAACTCATATTCTCCAATTAGTTAAACCCTCTCTAAAATAACAGCTTCACCCGTATACCAATCAGTCTTTATTGATCTATTGGACCGTTGTATTGTCTCCAGTTTTTTGTTTATGTCGTTCATATCGAGACAAACAAAAAAAGACCCACGGACTGCATACAGCCGTCAATCATAAAAAGTCTATATGAGAGAGACTACAGGGTATACCTAGAATGCTTGGGGAGGTCTACCGGTGAGAGGTGGAGGGGACTTTGACTACTCTTTGTATTGACTATTTACTCTTGTACACATGCTTACGCCTTGATAGCCCCAGGCTTCTTTTCAGGAACTGGTGAGGCTTCCTTCTTTGGAGATTCACTCTGTTCAACAAAGTATTGCCATTGAATGGAGAGGGTCTTTGATCTTTCATCCATGGCAGCCAATCTTCTTCTCAATGCTTCATTGAAGCAAATTTCTTGTGCCACTGGGAAAAATTGTTGCACCCATCCCTTCTTGTATGTTTCACATTCTTGGACGATTTCCTTGATTTCCAATTCTTGGAACTGGGCTTGGAATTGGAAGTTCTTAAACACGTCGTCTCCAATGAGTCCGTCTTGATAGAGCTTGTTGAATACTGGTTCAACTTCCTTCAACTTCAATGATCTTCTGATTGCCTCCACGCCTCTTCTCAAAAGGGCAGCCTTCATGACTCTTTCGTGCGGCTTGTTCTCCTTGGCCACGTCTGGGTTGACGTACTGCAGCTTCAAGAACTGGTAGAGTGACAGGGTATGGTTTTCTGGGAAAATAGGTTCTATGGTGGTGAGTTTCTGTAACTTCTTCTTTCTATAGATGACAGAAAACGCTATGAAACATGACATGAGAACACCCACATAGATCAAGGGGGTGAAGATAGACACCTTGATCACCCTTTCAGCTGTTTCTTCATCCATGATAATATAAAATTATTGATAAAATTGTATGAATATGGGAGAAATCTTTTGTATAAGGTTGATTTTTTGTTTGAGAGAGTTTTCGTTAACGTGTTTGAAAAGAGCGTTCTATGTGCAGGTTTTCAAAAATCAGGATTGATTATATAATGGAGATACTAAACCATTTTGATGGTATATAGAGAGAAAATGGAGATATGATATGGTTAGAAAATAAGATCAAAATAAGAAGAACATACATACCAGATCCACATGAAAAGGAGGTAATTTTACAAATAAAAAAAAAAACAAAAAAACTATTCTTCACTTTTTTTTAACTTTTGATTTTATTTTTCTATATTCTAGACAAAGGGGGTACCCTTGATATTTTTCATTTTACCACACCAGTTTCTGCTTTCTAAACCGTAACCCAAGATATCTAGCCAATTCATCTACAAAGATATCAAGTTGTTGAGGAGTATAAGCCTTCAATTTATCTTCTAAAGATTCAGATTGTTGTTGTTGGAAGACTGCATGTGCTTCTTCAATACTTGAAACTGCACCAGATTCTAATAATTTCTGTAAGGATTCATCATTATTATTATTAATTAATTCATAAAATTCACACAATAAAATAATTGTTGGTGGAGAAATATTTAAAAATTCATCAACTGTATTGGGGAAAATTTCATTATTTGGTAATTCTCCATCACGATTAGTTAATGGAGCAATGATTGCTCTCAAATCAGTCTTATCTATGGTTGAGTTTATCACTCTTTTAATTCCTCTATCCTCTAAGAAATCCAATTGTCCTTGTAATTCACCCACTAATTGAACAATATCTTCATTGGTAACAAAATCATCTACATCAATTGATGGTTTGCCACCATCAATATCCATACTATTCATTTTAGACTTGACATCTTTAACTTGTAAATCCAAAACTTGTTGACCAGTTTGTGCAATTATCTGCGACTGTTTTTCCACTATCGCAGTGAGATTTCTAACTTGTTCACTTAATTGTTCAATCAGCATTCTTGTGGTATATAGAGAACGTATTTTATTTTATTGTTTACTATGTTTCATTTTTGGACTACCTGGATCCTGTATAGCCCTTTTGTAATTTTAATTCTAATTTTTTTTTTTAGTTTTCTTTTTGATTTTTGTACACCCCTGATAAACTGTGCAGGCCTTCTCTGCATACAATCTATCTTGAAATCTGCATTACGTAATGGTATTCTCCGCCACTATAGCAAGGTTAATAATGTTTTAATCCGATATGCAACAAATCGAGTAAAGTATTATATATTTATATATATTTACCGTTTCCCATTGTTGTAGGATTATTCTTTAGTTTTCTTTTTATTATTTACGTATTATTATTATCTTTTATTATTATTATTATTATTATCTATTTATTATGAGCATCGAATTACAAACTCAACCGGGCTCTACTGAAAGTAATCCAGAAGCTACCCTTGAAAAATTAGAAGATTTGGTGGAAAAGGAACAACAAAACGAAATAGATGATGACGGGAAACCTGAATATGATGATGATGGTTATGAAATTCCGACGGGGAAAATCCCTTTAGATGGTCATTTCACTACTGATGAAATTAAAAATTTGATAAAAGTGGCGCAAAAGGAAGGTATTTTGAAAGATGATGTTCATGTAGATGTACTTCTGAGCAATAGTACTTTTGGAGATAGAGTTATTGTTGAGGAGAAAGAAGATCCCGAGGAGAAGATCCACAAGAAAGAGACTAAGCAAGAGACAAAGGATGAAAACGAGTAAACCAATTGTACTATACGTTAGAAGAAAATATATACATTTATGACCCTTACATATCGATAAGTTCCCTCGAAGGAGCTGATTAATGTAGATCAATGAAACGGTAGAATCCCAAAGTGTCCCACATTTGACTTTTCCCCACATTAAAGAATCATCGGTGTCAAAGGCTGGCGCTTGGCTTTTTTTTTTCTTTTTTTGAACTACGCACTACCCCGAGCAAAGGGCTTACCCTTAGCAGCAGCCATGTACACAGTACTACACATAATTTGCTTGATCTCTCTTGTTAGAACCACCATCAACACATATTTTACTGGTACTGGATCACCACTCTAATCCGACACTTCTTGGACACATGCTTCAATTCATCGGCAGAAAGCGACTAGGACTGAGCCTCCTACCGGTAGTGGCAGCCACAGGGTTGTTTATGTTGGGACTCATGGCCCATTTATTTACCACCACTAAGTTTGGAGACGCGGATTCCCCAGCTTGTCGTGCCATCTGGATGTTCCCCTCGTATGCTCGACTCACCACGTTTGACGAGTCCCACACAAAATTGGCTCGGAAGTACTCGTTACATCTCTATCGGGAACAGAACGTGGACAATATCCCTGACGATGGGGACTTCCATGACTCCCTCACGGGTATACCGGTGCTATTCATCCCGGGGAATGCTGGTAGTTACAAGCAAGTGAGACTGATTGCTGCAGAAACTGCCACCACCTACTGGAGAGAATGGAACGAGGGTACGCTTCTGAACAAAGAGGCGTCTCATTACGATTTTTTCACAGCGGATTTCAATGAAGATTTTACCGCGTTCCATGGTAGAACTATCGTAGACCAAGCAGAGTACTTGAACGAGGCCATCAAGTTCATCCTAAAGTTGTACTCTCTGCAACAAAACCCTCCCAAATCAGTGGTTTTATTGGCACATTCAATGGGTGGAGTCGTGGCACGAGCCATGCTCTCGTTGCCCAATTATAGAGAGGAATCTGTCAATACGATCTTGACCCTTGCTACTCCTCACGCATTGGCCCCCTTGACCTTTGATGGAGACCTTACAAGAGTCTATTCGGCCATGGATAGGTTTTGGTATGAAGGATATCATTCAAATGTTTCGACCAAATATTCGGAAATGGCTCGTAGAAGAGTCAAGGACGTTGCCATTGTTTCCATCACCGGAGGGGGTCTTGATAATACACTCCCAGCGGATTATACAACCTTGGGGTACTTGGTACCACCTTCCAACGGATTTACCGTGTACACGACAGGTATCCCAAGCGTTTGGACTCCCATGGATCATTTGGCTATTGTATGGTGTGACCAACTTCGTATTGCCGTACTGAGAGCATTATTAAACATAGCTGATAAGTCATCACCCACACGGACGTATAGTCTTGCGAAAAAGATGAGGGCTCTTAGAAAGACCTTACTCTCAGGATTTGAAGATTATTCAACTCAGGATAAAGTGGCTACCAGGGAACCTGAGACTATTGAATTGAAACTTGATTCCCAAAAGATTAGAAGAATGAAATCTGGCGAGAGATTGAGATCATTTAAACAGACTGAGCCAACGACAACTATATTCAATATTCCCGAGAATGTTAATTCTTCCTTTCTGCTTCTTAGTTCTTCCAGATTGAGTTTTTGGGAGGAACATCGTGATGGGAGTGAAAACCCTTCCGTGTTGTTATGTTCCAACATGGATATGTCTGACTCTACCGGTAGGGAAGACAATAAATTATATGAATTGACCACCGAGAACACCAATGAATACGTGGCGTTGAAGTGTGTAGATGTCAAGGATGATGCTCTGGCGGTGCCTAGGTCTTTCTCAGACTCTAGTAGCGTGGCAGAGTCATCAGCAGGAGGAGATCACAGTCCATTCTATGCGATTCAGTTCAACCATACAGTTCTTTCTCAATTTGATACCATTGTGGTTGTTGAAAATGTTAGAACAGATGAGAATCAATTTCTAATTGCAGATCTTGTAGAGTCACTGAAAACCAAATATGATCTTGGGAAGGGTATGCTCAATTTGATGAGAAGAGGAGCAGACATTGCACTCCCAAATACTAGACCATTGGCTGCTAACATCTACATCCCTGGAGCTTGGAGTAGTATACTTATATATCAAGTGAAAGTGCACTACGCCACCAAGGAATCCTCAACCCACTTGCCATTATTTGCTCCATTCATCAGACAATGGAGTACTGAGCCATATGAAACTAAATGGCATGTAAATGTTGAGAAAAACAACGAAATGCTTCTCACCATGCATGGAATTGCTCCGTTCACCCCAATAAAGATTAGACATGACCATAGATATGGACTCAACTTGGAACTATGGAGTGATCCATCCACGGAGGATTTGCCCATTGATATTTATTTATCCATTGATTTTTTCAAAAGTATGAGATTACTTGTATTACGGTATAGACTTGCGCTTGTGGCATGTTGTTTACTGGTGACTTTGTTATCGTTTTTGTTCCAATTCAACCATTACATACAAAGCAACGTATTCCCTAGTGTCATTTACGGGTTAACTAAGATCTGTTCATTGAAATGGTTCCCAGTGATATTCTCTCTTCTTTCGGTATTATCCTCCGTTGTCAATAATTTGAGAGTACAACAATTTCTTAATTTGATCGACCCAGTCGTATTACAAGATAGCAATGAAATAAATAACAGCTTGAGTAATGATTTCAAGTTGAATTCATTCTATCTAGGATTGGAAGAACCATACCTTTGGTTGATAGGTCCAATATTTTTCATGATGGGGGTGGGAATTATCTTAGTGACATATTTCCTGTTATTGGGGGTTGCCACTGTTATATCCAAGACAAAGGATCTTTTCAAGAGACCTAAAAGAGGGATGGATAGTGAGACCGACACTGAGACCGTCAACAAGAACAAGAATAAGAACAAGGAAGAAGCTGAAGAGAGTGTTCCAATGGCTGTTAGTACAAGTTTCCCCGTTCGTAAAATAGTTGCAATGATACTCATTTTGATTGCAGTTCCATTTTACCTTCCCTATCAATTTGTCTATGTTGTCTGTTGTATAGTACAAATCATTTCAACCATTAAATTAGTTGTTGCCCAACCCCAGAACAAAAGTATGCTCAATTACATGATAACGTTACTTATTCTCATGCTCTGGACTCTCCCCATCAACGTTCCAGTCCTCATTGTGTTTATCCACAACTTTGCCGTCAATTGGAAGACCCCATTTTCATCACATCATAATATATTGGCCATATTACCAATTCTAATGTTGATGGAACGTCATTCATCCGGTAATTATCTCCCACGAGCAGTTGCAGCCAAGAAAACCAACGTTTTCATAACCAGAGCTCTCGTGGGCTACTTTATCTTTTACTGCATCATTTACGGAATCAGACACACATTCTGGCTCCATCATTTACTAAACGTTTTCTTTTGTTGGCTACTAATTCAATACTACGGCCAAAAGAAGTGACTTCATAGCTAGAATAATATATTACATTACAAATAATAAAAATTTACATAATACATTTGCCACCCAATGGATAGCTTAATCAAGGAGTTATTTTTACAACACAATTTCTTATGTTCTTCATATTCATTAACACTAATATACAAACTAAAAAGCAACTGCGCTTAGTTAGCAGCAGAGGAGTACTTAGTAACAGCTCTGGTACCTTCGGAAACGGCGTGCTTAGCCAATTCACCTGGCAAGATCAATCTAACAGCAGTTTGGATTTCTCTGGCAGAGATGGTAGACTTCTTGTTGTAAGCAGCCAACTTGGAAGCTTCACCAGCGATTCTTTCAAAGATATCGTTGACGAAAGAGTTCATGATAGACATGGCCTTTTGGGAGATACCGGTATCTGGGTGAGTTTGCTTCAAGACCTTGTAGATGTAAGAGGAGTAAGTTTCCTTTCTGGTCTTAGATCTCTTCTTTGGTTCAGAAGAAGCGGTCTTCTTAGCGGCTGGCTTCTTTTCAGCTGGAGCCTTGGAGGCTGGTTTCTTTTCTGCTTTTGGGGCCATTATGTTATAAGTATGTGATTAAATTAATTCGAAAATCAAATAGATATTACAAGGGGAAGGGGGGTTTTGTTGTTGAGAAAGGGATTGGCTTTTATATATGAATTGCCTCTGGGCTGTATACAGGAAGTACCAAATAAAAATAAAAATAATACATGAAAACTCGCGCTAAGAGTGATAACTTATGTTTTGATAACATGTACTACAATTTACACCGCGAAATGCGTAAAATCTGGGACCACAACAGACCTGCATAAACCCGCGTTTTGTTAGTACTGGAAATTACACGTACCAGTGTAAATGATCGCGAGGAAATCCGCGTGAAATTATGGTTCAAGAGCGCGGTTGAGGATAATTGTTTGTTTGTACCCTCCTGCATGACGGGAGCAAGATCCGCCACCGATTAAATAATTTATCAATGTATATAAATGAAGGGGGATATAACGTGAAATAAAACATCATTATTAATTTCTCCAAAGGTTTAATTACTTAAATTTTTAATCAAATACTTCAAATATAATATATAATGTCCGGTAAAGGAAAGGCAGGTTCTACTGAAAAGGCTTCCACCTCTAGATCTTCTAAGGCTGGTTTGTCCTTCCCAGTTGGTAGAGTTCACAGACTCTTGAGAAAGGGTAACTACGCTCAAAGAGTTGGTTCAGGTGCTCCAGTCTACTTGACTGCTGTTTTGGAATATTTGGCTGCTGAAATCTTGGAATTGGCCGGTAACGCTGCTAGAGACAACAAGAAGTCCAGAATCATCCCAAGACACTTGCAATTGGCCATCAGAAATGATGAAGAATTGAACAAGTTGCTTGGTCACGTCACAATCGCCCAAGGTGGTGTTTTGCCAAACATTCACCAATCTTTGTTGCCAGCCAAGAAGTCTGCCAAGCCAGGTGCTTCTCAAGAATTGTAGATGAACCAGCTACGTGTATATTAGTTTTATGAACAGAGAATGAAAACAGTGTTAAAAAATGAAGATGTAGGTCAATGTAGAAATAGAATAAGTCTATTTGAGAGATTTGTTGTATACTAGTAAGGATATAGTTTATATAGTGTGAATAAGCCGTTCCATCGGATCCCCCACTTTGGAGGGACACGAAGTGGAGCTTTGCTTTGCTTACCTCTACGCTCTACAAGGAGACTATTCGCATTCTACTAAACACACACTTCCTGTACCTTTCTCTCCATTGATTAAGTTATGTAACATTATAGGCTCTATTTCTTATTTGATGTTCACTTAACAAAATTCGCAGGTTAAAGCTATTTTTTTATTTTCAATCAAAAGATTTTTAAATACATAGCTCGTTGAACACATCATGGAGAAGTTCTCAAATTGGAGAGATAAGGGTACCGGGATTTCTCCCTTTATGCCCGTAGACTCCCAACCTTTAGGGATCGCAGGAAGAGCACTTCAATTACTTTTGGTGGTAGCTAAACTCCCCATATTCGTAGTCGTTTACCTTGGGTATCTCACCATCTGTCCATTTGCCTCGGTAGCTAATTTCCTTGTAGTGACCCTCTTTGGATTCAGGAAAGTTGAAGTGACCGCAGATGGAGTCAAGAAATCCAGATCGAAAGAGGTAGACGCTCAAAGACCAGGACCAAATGACGTGGTGGTGGTCAATTATGTTTCCCCCATTGATCCCTTGATTTTGGCCAGTATTGCCAAAGTTTCTTGGAGAAATATTTATTTTTTGATCCCTGATAACAGTGGAGATCTCTATGAATACTCTGCCTGGGGTGCTGCCAAACAGGCCTTGTCTCCAAGTGCTGAAAATGCCCTCCTGTCTACAGAAAAGGTTACTGATTTGTCTCGTTATTCTTCTAAACTTGTCTACATCTTTGCCGAGGGAACTACATCCAACAACAGATCTATTCTCCCCTTCATGGGGGTTCCAGCAATCGAGGGGCTTTCCCATGGGAATAACAAGTTCACCTTCAAAACTGTACTGTTGAAGATTTCTCCAAATAGTTTCACCACCCCCTTACCATTACATTCACTCAGTGGCTACTTATTCTCTTTATTAGCCAACATTAGCGGCAAAAGCGGAGTCAGAGCCAAGATCTTCACCCATCAGAATGGAATCGACTTGGTCGCTTCTAAACGTTCATTCGAACTGAACCAATTGACGTCCGTGGGGAATGAATTGGATATTCTTCTGAAGGAAGCGTTCCATTCACAATATCTCAAAGTAAAGAAATAAAAATATTAGTTTAGAAATATTAAAAGTAGCATGTACATCCTCAGAGTATCAAGGATCTTCCTAGCACTACTGGCCCATGTAGTTCCAGTGGAGCAGCTTGCACACCCCGTAGGATTACCCACTCTCTTCCCTGTGGTACCTGACCAACGCTCCGCTAGGCCCCTACTCGGGGAGAGCCACTGCGTGGTGCTTAGCTCCTCTACGAGGAGAACCTCTGCACCCATTTCCTCGTCAGAGGAACAAAGCCTCCACGGCTAGTGGCCCACGGAGTGCCAGCGGAGCAGCTTGCTGACCCCGTAGGGGACGATAGAGGTCATTACATCAATTTGTCTCTGGTTTATGCTTTTTGGATGACGATTCTCCATCCTTATCTTTAGATCTTGAACTCTCTCTATCCTTGTCTCTATGTGACCGTTTTGACCTATGTTCATGTCTGCTAGACCGCCCAGATCTACTGGACCGACTAGATCTACTCGCCTTACTTTTATCTTTCAAATACCCGCTCATTGGATCTTCAAAGTCCTCCATTGGGTCTTTGAAGTCCTCCATTGGATCTTTAAAGTCATCCATTGGGTCTTTAAAATCATCCATTGGATCTTTCCCCTGGTCCTCTTCTCTATGCTTTAACAACTTCTTCTCTTCAACTTCAACATCTCCTGCTCTTTCCAGTGTCACCAAGGAGTAATCAACCAAAAAATCATCTTCATTTTGTCCATCTCGTAATTGGAAATAAACATGATCCACCTTAAGTTTCTTCCCCAACACTGAAACCCCATTAAGATTGTCTATCGCCAACACACACGACCTATAGTCCTCATACTTCAAGTAGCAGAACCCACGAGACTTCCCTGAGTCCCTATCTCTCACCAAGTTGATGTGGGTGGGGATCCCGTATTGAGAAAATATGGTGAGAACATCCTTCTCTTCGAGTTCAAAGGGAAGAAACCCAATATAAACGTACGGGGTATCCCTATAATCGGCGTGCCAAGAGGCAGTGTCGCTGACGTTATTCTCCAATTCCTTCTGGTTTATAGCATTGATTTTCTGGATTGAATTCATACTTGAAGATGGATGTAAAAACAGCACAATTGTAAAGAAATAGTTCGCTTTTGATATTTATGAAGTGCGAAAAAGTGAATAGACAAAAAGATGTGCAAGCCGCTCCCCACTTGCCCCTTCTTGGAGAGAGTCACTACTTGGTGGTGCCTAGATCATCTACCAGGACACCTACGAGCTCTCCTAATACTTCCTCGTAAGAGGAACTGGAGCCCCCCACGACTAGTGGCCCACGGAGTGCCAGCGGAGCGAACTTGCATACCCGGTAGGGAATTAGCACTCCACGCAATGAGACATACATATGGCAGTACTTTCAATAGAACAGTACCCTATAAAATATCACTACAGCGGGACTATACTTTTCCTAGGCTTACATTCAAAACATACTACTCATATATCTGATAAGAATACAATAAAGTTTTTATCCATATATATATTTTAATTAGAATTCTTTGACAATTTGCAGCCAATTCTCTCCTTTTCATAATAACACCCTCTAATCCAAAGATAAACCCAATGCTTCTCTTTGGGACTTTGATCCTGGGTCGAAATACGGAACTTCAGCCAATGAAGAAACTCTAGTACCATGTCTTGGTTCTTCACCTTCATGGTCCCAAATTGCATAATGTTGAGAAATTCTATTGTCCCAAAGAGCTGAAGTACCCAACCCAGCCTTGGTGGGTTTCCAATTAAATCTTACTTGGATATCCAAATTTTTTTCAAAAACACCAAACAAGTACTCCAAGATCAAATCACTTTCTCTTGGCTCCAATCCAACAATCCTGGTGGTGTATGCTCTGTTGACAAACAAAGATTTCCAACCAGTTGCCGGATGAGTTCGGATTATAGGATGTTCCCTTTCAATGTTTTTCGGTCCACTCAATGGGTTTTCACGATCAATATAACCATGAAGTGACTTGTAAACGGCCTTTTTACCTTCCAAGAACTTTTGGAATGCTGGTGAAAGCTTATCAAAGGCAGCATATCCAGACACCCATACCGTGTCACCGCCAACATTGGGAATTGCATCATTATGCAAATGAGTGATACCCGGAGGTTGGAATTCATGGGTAAGGTCTGTGTGCCAATGGGCAGTACCTCCAGTCTTCTTGAACGAAGTCTTCAAAAACCCCTTTCTTTTAGCCTGATCCATCCAAATCACATGAACTCCACCATGTTCAAGAGGAACTCTCCCACCTTGAGGATGTACTTCAACGGGGCCAAAGTATTGTCCAATTTCAAGTTGCTTTTGAGGAGACAAGTCTTGGTCTCTGAAGTAAACAACCACTCTTTCTGCAATCAATAGAGCCAATTCGTCTCTTTGTTGGTCGGTCAAGTCACTCAATTGCAACCCAACAATTTCAGTACCAATGTGCTTGGTCAAGTGGATAACTTCCTTAGCAGCTCCAAAGAGAGCTTTCTTTTCCGGGTCAGCGTTCTTACCTCTTTCGATGTATGGAACTTCCTTATTTCTAACTTTAAGAACTTCATCTACAAAAACTGGAATCTCACTAGTATCTGGAGCTACAGGATATCCATTTGAATAATCGACTCCATATTTGTCAAAACGTGCCTTGGTCGATTCGGGTAAGAATTGTGCACCAGTGGAATCAACCCCACCTTTAACTAGTGGCTTGAGAGAAGTTAACTTTAAGACGGTTTCTTGTAATTCAGTAGACATTTGAGTTCTGAACTTTGATAATGATTTATGGGAGATGAAACTTGTACGAAATTCAGTTTACTTATAAGCCTCTCAGCCACACCACACTTTGTCTTATCTTACTCCACAATTGCACACTTGATTAGTAAGTGCCCTTATCTAATACCTCACCTCCCTACCTTCCGCCCCTTTTTTGCAGCCACATCCACAGTCTAACGCATTACAAATATCTAAAAGTAGCGCCATTTATTCACTTTTACTATATTACTAAACTATGATACTATCATTATTATTAATGAATTTTTTTAGTTCAAAGACAAACCCAATGCTTCTCTTTGAGACTTTGATTCTGGATCAAAGAATGGAACTTCAGCCAAAGATGTGACTCTAGTACCATGTCTTGGAGATTGACCTTCATGGTCCCAAACCGCATTGTGTTGAGAAATTCTGTTATCCCAAATGGCAGAGGTACCTAATCCAGCCTTGGACTTCCAGTTGAAACGGACTTGGATGTCCAAATTCTTTTCAAAAATACTGAACAAGTATTCCAAGAGAATCTTACTTTCTTCTGGTTGCAACCCAACAATTCTAACGGTCATCGATCTGTTAACGAACAAGGACTTCCATCCAGTGGCAGGGTGTGTTCTGATGATTGGATGTTCTCTCTCAATGTGCTTTGGACCAACAAGTGGGTTGGCACGGTCAATGTACAGGTGGGCAGAACGGTAGATGGCAGTCTTACCGTCCAAGAACTCTTGGAGTGCTGGAGACAACTTATCGTAAGCGGCATAACCAGATGACCATACGGTGTCTCCTCCAACTTCTGGGACGGTATCATTGTGCAAATGGGTGATACCTGCTGGCTGGAATTCGTGAACCAAATCGGTGTGCCACAGAGAGTTACCACCAATAGAGTTCTTGAAAGTAAGGTTCAAGCCATAATGGGCTCTGACGTAATCTTGCCAGATAACAGTGATCCCATCGATGTTTTCACCATCCACGGTGTTTGGAACACGAGGAACTTGTGGATGGATTTCAACCTGTCCCCAATACTTACCAAGTTCCAATTGCTTTTGAGGAGCCAAGTCTTGGTCTCTAAAGAATACAACGATTCTTTCGGCAACCAAAAGAGCCAATTCATCTTGTTGTTGCTCAGTCAAGTCGTTCAATTGCAACCCGACAATTTCAGTACCAATGTGCTTGGTCAAATGGATAACTTCCTTAGCAGCTCCAAAGAGAGCCTTCTTTTCTGGGTCGGCATTCTTACCTCTTTCAATGTATGGAACTTCCTTATTTCTGACGGCAAAGGCTTCATCTAAAAACTTTGGAATTTCAGCATTCTTGGGAATGGTTGGGTATCCCTTGGACAAGTCGATCCCGTACTTTTCAAATCTCTTTCTCGAAGGCTCTGGGAGCTTTTCGAGCCAGGAAATATCATGTTGAAGAGTCTCGATTTCCTTGGAACTCTTAAGACCTACTGGAGTTCTTAAAATTGCAAGTTTTTCAATAGCGGCTTGAAGATCTTCTTCAGTACGAGCCGCATCAGAAACGGAGTTTGCGGCAGTTCTTGATACTGCAGCACTTGGAGCCATGGTTGATATATTTAATTTAGAATTGATAAAAAGTGTATTGATAGAGACAAATGCAGCCCATTGAACCCTGCAAATAGATCTCTTTTATACTTTCTAATTGTCCGGGAAGTAGTTGCTTATTAATTTTAATTGCAGCCACAGTTGCAATACTTTCGCAATCCCTTCAAATTGATTGATTGTGAAATCAAGCGCATAAAAATTTCCGGAGTTGTGGCTGCGAAAGATAACCAGAATTGAAGATAGAAGGAGGAAGCAGTTGCGGTTAAATAAAAACAATAATCAGGCGCTATCAGTATGAGTGTTCTATAAAAAGCCAGGAGATACTTGTCCATTGACTCGAGTCCAATTCCATGCCTCTACAACTCCAGAGCACTTTCTAAACAGTTTTGTTGCACAATTAATCACATGTACAGATTGCAAACTATGGCGGCCGAAAATTCTTTTTATCTACTCCTCATCCCATGGCTCAACACCCAAATCAAGCCTCCTTATTCCACCAATCACACCACCCAACAAAAAGATCGGCTTTTACAATAGTAATAATAATAATAAAAAATCAGTTCATTACATACGTCTAGAATACAGAGTCAACCTTGGAATACTTCAACCATGCACCCATACAGTTTTGATTCTCCAAATGTTCCCATTTGCTGAATTTACCCACTTTGCAATCCCCCTTATTTGTATCACTCTTGGGACAATGGAAGTACGGATCATGGAAATACCCCACGTCTTTGAACCAATGGATCTCGCTTTGGTCCAAGAACAAGGCCAACCCCATGGAATGCACCGGTGCATCCCCCCATCGTTCGTAGTAGAATTTCCCCGTAGAATCCAAGTATTTGAACCATTCATTGTATGGTTCTGACCGGAAAAAGTCCATGTCTGCAATCTCAAAGTTTGACCAATAATGACAAGTTGAGTATCCATGAGATTTTTTCGTAGCCTCGGGGTGTACTTTGTCTGTCAAGAGCCACTGGAAGGTTCCATTAGGGTTAATATACTTGTAGTTATCGTCTTCATTAAGCCATTTAAGTGTTTCTGGCCACAAAGTGGCCACAGTCTCATGGATATCATACAAATTGAGTGCAAATCCATACTTCTTTTTCGTACCTGCGAGATATTTGAAAACGTCATAATTCAATTCAGAATAGAATTCAACACTTGGTTCCACTCTCCAATAGTACTTGTATTTGGCTAGTTCAGGAATATTGTAGAAATTCCCCAGATAAAACCGACACATGTTGTGATAGGACTGTTTATTGGCATACGCCACATCGTTGTTGGTCATGATTTTCATTGCTTCACTTTCTTTGTTTTCATCCACAGACTCTGGCTTATCCCAGAGCTCTGCAGGAATGGTGACAAATTCCATTGGAGCCTTGGTATATTTTTTCATAGATTCTTTAAATCTCTTGGTAAATGGTCTATCATTTAAAAATGTGTATGGGTATTTAAATTTACCATTAAATGATTTTTCGAATTTTCTTATCGAACTTCCGATATGACTAGCTTCATTGTTGCGGACCAACGCTATAATGGTTGCATTGGCCCGTTCATATGTGTCCAAGTTTTCCGGAAGCGGAGGACGAATGGATTCCATATCAAAATCCTTAGGTTCATCTACTTTCCTTGCCATCTCTTCTTCATAAATTTTTGTATATTCTTTGAGAGACTCCTTAGCATCAGATTTCCAATTCAAGGCTGATTTCTTAGAATTATCCAAGAATTTGAATTGAACGTTACCACGTTCGATCACGTAACCATGGGTATCCAATTGATCTTTGGATAGATACGAAAAGTCGAATTTATCCGTTAAAGACTTAAACCCTTCGGTGAATTTTGTCTCGGGAATGTTCTCATGGAAGGTCAACAAGCCCACAGTGATGAATATTATCAAAGTGCACAAGAAGGCGATTATTCGCTTGGGCGAGAGTCTTACAGGGAGCATGGTAAACGACAACTACCACCAGTTCATAGAGAAGAAATCAAACTATTATGGGATTATATCTACGCGTTGGAAATTGAAGGACCGACGTTCATATCCAACAAGGCTTTCTTGTGTGCCTACATACTTACACAATGGGGGTTTGGATCTTATATACATTCCGAGCATTCTCCACACAAACGGTGCAACCCCCCCCAGAGAGACAGAAAGTTTGCTCAATGGAAGGATGAGATTTCCCCAAAACTTGTTCTTCCACCGATGCATTTGATAAGGAATGTTTCACCTTGACTAATTTGTTCTCTGGAAGGGTGGATGTGGAAGGGTCCCCCCCATGTAAAAAAATAAAAATAGGTGAAATCCAAAACTCACACACAAAATAAAAAAAAAAAAGCGTGGTGCGGGTCTAGACTCTTTTTCGGGACAAGAGATCATATGATCTGATACAAAGAGTGAGATTAAAAGTTCCACCAGTAGACGTATCAGCACACATTATGTTATTGAGTAGGTGTAGAGGGCTCGGAAGGGTTTACGGAAGGCCCCAGCCGAAGTCAGTGATGTCCCTGGCCATTATGGCTCAGACCATGACGACCCAGACCTTGGTGTCTTACCACACTACCGGGAATAACCTCCCACCAAAGGAATCAACCCTCTCCAAATTCAATTTCCCCTGTAGCACCCACACTATTTCCAAAGTGACCAAAGATCTCGACCTGTTAATGGGCCAGAAGGTGACCCTCCATGGCCATCTTAACCGGAAACCAAGACTCATGTCGGTCAATAGCTTTGCCGAATTGCGCGACCATTCAGGACAATGCACTCAATTAATCATGACTCCGGATTCCACGCCCATAAAACTGTTTGAAGAGTTGAAGAAATCCATCCCGGAAGAGGCGGTCAGTGTCACTGGGACAGTCAAATTGAAACACCCCAAGCCTGGCCAGGAACACATCAAAGAGTGGGAATTGTTGGTGGAGGATTATCAGGTGTTGAACACTTCAAACTCAACTGCGCTGGAGTTGGATAAATTGAAACATTCTAACCCCGAGTCCCTCCCCGCGCACCTCCGATACCTTCAATTAAGAACTCCATTCTTCCAAAATGCTCTCAGAAAGAGAAGTCAGGCGTCGTACATTGTCCGTCAAGTGTTGATTGAAAACCACGACTTCACCGAGATTGAAACCCCTCTTTTGTTTAAATCAACACCAGAAGGTGCTCGAGAATTCTTGGTCCCCACCAGAACAAGAGATAAATTCTATGCTCTCCCACAATCCCCACAGCAATATAAACAAATCTTGATGAGTTCCGGGTTCACCCGGTACTTCCAATTGGCCAAATGTTTCCGGGACGAGGATTTGAGGGCCGATAGACAACCTGAATTTACTCAGATAGATTTGGAAATGAGTTATATCAATAATAGTGACCAGGTGGGCAAAGTTGTAGAAGATGTGGTGAACAATTTGTGGAGGAAAGTGGCCAAGAGCCCGCTCTACCGACCCCTTGGAGACGATTTGGTCGAAGAAATTGAACATGAAGCTAGCTCAACTTCTTCCCTTCTCCTTCCAAAACTCCCCTACAAGCAAGCCTTGGCTCTCTATGGTATCGACAAGCCAGACTTGAGATCAACATTGAAATTTGTAGATCTCTCTGAATTTTTCCATTCCAAGAAAGATCCAAACTACCCCATTGTAGAAGCTTGTGTGTTGAGACAAGCACTCGACAAGAAGAAGCACAAACTCCCCAAGTTCCTCAATGCTGCCGAGAATTATCCTGGCCGTAAGCCGATCATTCTCCCCATTTCCAGTGCCGGTCCTGATTGGCACAAGAATCTTGTGGAAGCTCAGGTTCTCTTCACTCAACCCACTTTTGATGCCGAGAAACTTAAAACCTTGTTGAACTTACAACCAGGCGACATCTTAGCCATTTCCACCAGATCTGAAATGCCATATGAAAACCCTACCCCATTGGGTAAGTTCAGACAATTGGCCATTCAAGAATGGCCCACAAAATGGCGTCGTCAAGTGAAGGATCGTACCACAGGGGAGATCTCTCCACCCCCTCAAGCTGCTGATTTTTTTGTTGGAAGTTGGGTGGTGGACTTCCCATTGTTTAACCCGGTGGAAACCGACATGGTGAATGGGTTCCCACAATACGATTTCTCCAAGTTGGAGTCCACTCATCATCCCTTCACCATGGTGAAGTCCGAAGACTACGAGTACCTTGCCCTGGACCCACTCAAGGCACATGGGGAACACTACGATTTGGTGATCAATGGTGTAGAGGCTGGTGGAGGATCCAGAAGAGTCCACGATGCTGAATTACAAAAATACATTCTTAGTGAACTTTTGGAGATTGAAAACTATAGAGAGCTTTTCGGTCATTTACTTGACGCTCTTAGCTTGGGATGTCCTCCACACGCAGGGTTAGCACTTGGATTCGACCGGTTATGTACCTTGTTAGTTGGCAGCACATCCATTCGTGATGTGATTGCATTCCCCAAGAACCAATCCGGTATCGACCCAATGGTTGAATCACCCACATCTGTAACGTCTGAGGTTTTAGACTCCTATCATATCGAGTTGAAGAAGCTTGACTCAAGCATACAAGATGACTTCACCAAGGAATAGTTCATGAGAGCGACAACCACATACATTCTTGTACATACTTACCACTGTATATATAAAATAGACACAACAATAGACTCACACGAGCCTGGCACTCACGGGCCCCGTAGAGAAGAGAATAATCTAAAGACTCGCTTACCCCGTATGGCTATTATAGCACACCCTTCCTTAGGGGGTGTGCAAGCCGGTCCGTTGGCAGTCTGTTGGCCTCTAGCCATGGGGGCTTTTGTTCCTTTACCGAGGAAGTCTGAGGTGAACTAGTATGTCTCCTCTAAGAGGAGCTGGACCACTACGGCTAGTGGCTCACATAGTGCCAGCGGACCGGGTCAGTACTTATGCTCTTCCCTACGGGGTGTGCAGGGTCACTCCTACTGGGCATCATTGTTATGCAACTTCTTTTATTCTATTATACATCTATTTATAATCTGTTACGACCTCTAATCTTTTGCTTTTTGTTGCTTTCAACGTCATATTTTTCTTCTCTTCCTCCGATTTTCCTCTTCAAGAACCCTTCTTCAGCTTGTCTACTCTTTTCTTCTTGCAATTGTCTTTGCTTGGCCATTTGTTCCATCTTGATTTCAATTGGCTTCTTGACCCTTTCAACCTCAGCATCATGGTCAACTTCCCCAGCATAGTATTCCTCTCCCTGTTGCTTAACCAAACTCTTCCAATCGTACTTCTTTCTGGCAAATAACTCCATGGACCAGTTCTTCCAAACCATCTTACCATAGGTACTTTCCTTGACCTTTTTCAGTTCTTTCATCAATTCACTGGCAATTCTGTCTTTGTAAATGTTGAGCAAGACCGTGAAGTCCCATAACTTGTCAACCACATGCGAACCATATGAATTGCAGGCCATGTTGGCAATCTCTCCTTGGAAAATGTTCAAGAATCTCTTTCTGATGATAAGAACATTTTTAGGTTCACCACCAATCTTCATGGGGAGCACAACAAGTGAGCTTTCCACCACGTGGGAGAACACTCCGTGGAAACACATTTGAATGAATCTTTGTTGTGGTAAAGCCATAAAGTTGAACCATACACAAATAACAAACGAAAAGTCATACTCCATCAATTTCTCCAAGAAAAGAGATCTTCTTCTTTCTTCTGCAGTGGGCCAATCGTCTCTCTTGTTCCCCAAGGTGGAGCCGGTCAATTGAAGGGTGTTTTCCAAGAATTCAGTCGATGAGTCTGTGGGGTTTTCACGGTTGTAGTTGGGGGCAAACTTCAAGAAAAGTTGCGAAATGATCTCTTCACGTCTGTAGTTACCACGGACCAAGGAGGCGTCAATGATAGACTTCCCCAAGTCCAAGTTTTGGTTCTCGGAGACGGAAATAAGGTTCGATAACTCCGGGATCAATTGGTCCAAGATATATTCGACTTCAACGGGTTTCAACTTGGTGAGAAGAATCTGAATGATGTAAACCCCGGTGGTGGCTCTCTTGGCCAATTTCAACACCCGATCCTTCATGTAGAGACGGTAGAGTCTTTCAACGTACTGCATTCTGGCGCCCCCATTCTTGATGGTGGATTCCAAGAAATGAGACCCCACTGGATCAGAAAGTAAGTATTCCATGAATGCCTCTTCTTGAGAGTTTTTCTCCTCCTTGATTCCACAGAAAATCTTATGCCAGAAGGTTCTTTCCTTGTCAACAAGTCCTTCAACTTGAATGATCAATTGGAGCACTGGCGAGGCAATCTTATGGATGGCAAGTTCTCTCATACGTTTCATATCACTGATGGTATCAAGGGCATGAATAAGTGTTTTCAACTCATTCTTGAACGATGGAGGTGTTTGGAACGCTCTATTGAACACATCAGTGTCCTTAATCTCGATCATTTTACGGGCAATTTTCGATCTTTTGGACCGTAATGTGGAATTGGCAGTGGTGGTTGAAGGTAATTCCTTCCCAGCAAGAATCAAAATGACAAGTCTAAGTGTATGGGAAGAATATTGATGGTCAATCATTGAGAAAAGATGAGGTCTGAACTCGGCAAGCATTTGTTGGAAAAGAACCTCCATAGAAACAAAGTCTGTAGAGCCAGAGTTTTCCTCTTCTTGTTCTTCATCCTCAGCAGCAGCCTCAACAAGCTCTTCACCTCCAATGAGCTCCTTTTCAATCAAGGCAGTGGCACGGACCAACAAGGTCTCAAGAACATGCGAGGCATACTTGTGGTGGGCCAAGGCCATGAAATGGCCCGAGAATGCCCGGTAAAGGTTCTTCACCTGTCTATCGGTGGCACTCAACACCAACCGTTCCATCAACTTGGAACAGATCTGGTTGGTCACGAGCTTTAATTCCTTACCACGAGCTTCTTCCAACACCGATCTGATGAATCCTTCTCTTTCTTCAGGACTGTCAAACGCATCGATGTTGAGCGTGGCCTCGGCCTGCTTGAAGTAGTCGATCTCATTGGCATCAACAAGCCCGAAAAAGGTGTTTGGACCGTTGGTATTGCCCTCAGTGGCGGCAGAGGTGGCATCATCGGCACCCATTTGCTCCTCATCGCCAGTTGGTTCTTTGGTTTTTGTCGCGGACTCCCCGGCAAACTGCTTCAAAGAGGCGGCCTTGACGGCCTCAGGATCGTTTTCCTCGACACTTTTCTTCTCAGCTCTTCTACCTCTGACTTTGGCCATGTTTTTAATTACTGATATAAAGGTGCTACAAGTGGACTCCTAAGGCTTTAGCTCAGCTCATTTTTTTTTTTTGGGGTGAGCTTTCTCTGTGCGTTTGTGTGCACGCCGCCTGCGCGGGATTGCACTGGGGCAAAGGAGAAAAATATTGAGATGCGATGTGATGAGCTAGGAATGCATATGAGTGACGGTCCAAAAAAGTCCGAGTAAGCGGGAGGGGCAAGCGGCGGGAAGTGGAGGAACTGGGGGAGTATAATCTAGGTGGTTGTCTAGTACTTTCATGAGCCATTATCCACGATGGTAGAGTATCTTTAAGGGGAAAGCGGTAATCACGTGAGATGTCACGTGCAGAAGAACGGGAGAATTGTAAGGTAGAGTTGAAAGTGATCTAATAACCCTTACGGGGTAAGCAAGCCGCTCCGCTGGCACTCCGTGGGCCACTAGCCGTGGAGGCATAACTCCTCTACGAGGAGACCTACCAATTTATCTGAGACTTCCTCGGTAGAGGAACAAGGCCTCCACGGCTAGTGGCCCACGGAGTGCCAGCGGAGCGGCTCGCTTACCCCGTAGGGCAGGGACTGATCTCGAAACACTGCGGGAGTTGTAATTTGCTCCCCTGAAATTCCCTGGAGAGTAGAGACAGTTATAGAGTTCTCAGACAACCCAAGGATGAAAGATGATGCGTATTATTGGTTGGTAAGTATGTAAGTATATAGACGCGACGGGGGGTCAGGTTGTAGTGGTTATATATACCAAGTCACCCAGAAGTTGCACTAAACGCAGGAATTGTATTCTTAGGGGTGACTTCCCCACAGAGAAGGGGTGATCTCCAATGGCGTTAAATGTAGAGAGATGCGAGGGAGGGTGGTTCTAAAATCGAGAGAGGCTCTTGATAGAGTCTATTCTAGCATTGAGAGAGAGAGGGGGGGTAATGAAGGAGAGTAACTGGAAGGACCAGTAGTAGACGGTTGAAGGATCTCAAGGATTAATCTAAGCAGACGGTCTCGATGGCTAAGCTTTGATCTGGTCAAGATACCTCCCTCTTCTTAATGGATCAATTTCAACCAAAGTCTCAAGCATCGACCGGATCTCGCGTTCAGAAGCTTCATCTACACCCCCATTCTCCTTCAATAGTAGGCCCTTGAGGAAGATAATGCTCTTCAAACACCATACATTGTCGTGACCGTCTGGATGGTCGTCCTTCTCAAGTTCATTCAACTCGGTGATGGTCTTGAGTTGACCCTCGAGAATCTGAACGTACGTCGAGGCGTGATGGTCCGTGGCCAGCCGTGCCGAGTCCACAAAAAGCGGGTCCAGGACCAACCATTGCAAATAGGACCAAACAGAAGTGTCCTCAGCGTCCATGTACATCCCTGTCTTGACAAGCTCGAGCTCATGCATGAGTATGTCGTACGGGCTACGGAAAATCAGATCTATAGAGGTGGGTGTTGCCGAGAGCCCCCCTGCGGAATTGGAGGCAACAACCTGGGTGTACAAGAGATAGAGTTGAGGGATAAGTTTCGACCGATTGTGCCATGCAGAAAAGTTGGAGATGTTCTTGTTGATCTTCGACGTGGTGTACTCGTACTCGGTAATGGCAAGGTCCAACAACAGCTTGCGTTCGGACTCAGGGGAAGCAGCAGCTGCCGCGGACTCACGCTCCATGTTGGACACCACATACCGACGGTAATGCCACCCATGGTAGTTCCGACTGTCCATCTCCAACAACCTCGACACGATGGCCAACTCGTACGCCCAGTTGGCCTCACCCGTGAGGGAGAGCTGGTGCAAGCACCAACTCCGATGGTTCCAGACCCAATAGCACTTGGGGAACCGTTTGAGGTGGTGCATGACCAACTTGAGGTCCTGCTCCAAGGCATCCTTCTTGGTCAACGTGTGCGGGATGAGCTTCAACAAGATTTCTCTCCGGTAGTTCCAGGCGGTGTAGAGTTCCGGGTTAAGGGCTAGCACGTCGGTGGTGAGATCGAGCGTTTCCAACGTGTACACGTCCTTGTGGTACTGGTCAAGGAGCTTTGTGGTCGAGCTGCGGTACGCGACGATCTTGGCCCTGTCCCGTTCAAGTTTGGCCTTCTTAGCCTCCTCGGTAAGATTTGTACGTTTCACTCCGTGTTGCTAGCAAAGTTAGTAGACTGTAAACGAGACCTTCCCTTCTTCGGCACTCACCGTGGAGAGGAGAGAGCGCTCCCCCCATCCGCTTTCCTCGATAGAGGAACAGGGTCCCCACGGCCAGTGGCCCACGGAGTGCCAGCGGAGCGGCTAGCAGACCCCGTAGGGTGGGAATGTGAGAAAGGGCAGCCCTACGGGGTTTGCAAGCCGCTCCGCTGGCACTCCGTGGGCCACTGGCCGTGGAGGCCTAGCTCCTCTACGAGGAGACACTTCTGCACGCATTTCCTCGACAGAGGAACAAGGCCTCCACGGCTAGTGGCCCACGGAGTGCCAGCGGAGCGTCTAGCAGACCCCGTAGGGTGGGAATGTGAGAAAGGGCAGCCCTACGGGGTTTGCAAGCCGCTCCGCTGGCACTCCGTGGGCCACTGGCCGTGGAGGCCATGTTCCTCTTGCGAGGAAGACCGTGCGGCGAGGATACCCCGAGGGGACCTGTGTAAGACATACCATTGTGGCTCTAGTGGTGGTGGGGTTCCCTCCTAGGTGGTGATCTCTGGGTCTGTTTTATCGGTGGGGCGGCGGGCGAAAAGTCAAATTCGCGACATATGCGCGCGAAATCAAAGGTACCACCCTTGAGATTCAAGAAAGCAAAACCACAACCAATTCTTTAGTCACTGTCTCGCCCCTCGTAGCCTTGAGAACTCATCCAGCTTGCCCCAATTCGCTCGCTAGCCCCCCGCCATGTCATCCCCGTCCAAACTCGCACTCAAGGGCTCGTCCAAGATCGTGGCGGATTACTTTGAGTTCGCCATAAACAACATTCTCTTCCAGCGTGGGATCTATCCCTCGGAAGACTTCCACACCGTCCGCAAGTACGGCTTGCCCATGCTTGTCACGTCAGACGCCGACGTTCGCCAGTACATCGAGACCATCATGGTGCTGGTTAAGAAGTGGATCTACGGGGGCAAGATCAACAAGTTGGCCATTGCCATTGTGGCCAAGTCCACCGTGGAGGTTGTTGAACGGTGGGAGTTTGAAGTTGAGGTGTTCAAACAAAACAACGGTACCATTGACAATGCCACTGACGGTGCTGACCCTTCTGACTTGCCAGAGAAGTCCCGTGACGAAACCCAACGGGAGATCCAATCGTTAGTTCGTCAGATAACCTCGCTGGTGTCGTACCTCCCGATGTTGAAAGAAGACGAATATACGTTCAATGTGTTGGTACACACGGACCCCAACGATACAAACATCCCGACCGAATGGTGCGAGGGAGAGGAGAAGATCCCACTGGGGGCCAATGTGGAAAAGGTCCAGTTCCGCTCTTTCAGCACCAACATCCACGAGATTGGCACCAATGTCACCTACAAATACGACTAAACGCACCCTATTTAGATGTAATTAATGAATGCAAATGATCTATAGACATATATGGTATGTAAATTTCACGAGGCGGACTTCAGCACAGGGCACGCTCCGCCATGGATGGACCGCTTGTCTTACTCGAAGGGAGTCCCTGGCCACTCTACGGGGGGTGTAAGCCGCTCCGCTGGCCCCTGCCCGGAGAGGGCCACTGCGTGGAGCCTAGCTCCTCTACGAGGAGTCCTCCTTCAGCCCCTTCAGTTCCTCGTCAAAGGAAAAGGGCCACCACTGCTAGTGGCCCACGGAGCGTCATACTGCCCCGCAGGGTCGGTGAGTGGCATCCTATGCGCCTACGCACGCTACAGGTTCCATCACTACACCCCCTTCTATGCTAGTCCCCTTCCTCGTCAGAGGAACAAAGCCTCCACGGCTAGTGGCCCACGGAGTGCCAGCGGAGCGGCTTGCACACCCCGTAGGGCAGCCCTACGCCCTTCCCTGTGGGACTGTAAGCCGCTCCGCTGGCCCCTACTCGGGGAGAGCCACTGCGTGGTGCCTAGCTCCTCTACGAGGAGACCTCCACGGCTAGTTGCCCACAGAGTGACAGTGGACCGGCTTGCAATGGAAGGGATCCCTATTGGCACAAGGTGCCCTCCTAAGCACCCCCAGTGGCTGGGACACTTGTGCCCGTGGCGACCGGTCCGGAAGAAGAGGAAGAGGGCCCCGTGTGTTTCTTCTTGCGGTCCAATTCAACCTGAGTAAGCTCCAGCTCAAAGCGTGACCGTTTGTTCCCCAACATGAACCGTGTACTACCCTTGGCACTGACCGAATAGTCCCATGGCTGAAGATACATGTCCTGGCGGAGCCATTCACGGTCGTTGCATGAGGCCTGGCTCAAGATCTTCAAGTCGTTGAAACGAGACTTCAAGTCCATAAACTTGAAGATTTGTTCCTTCCCGGTGTCCGCGTCAATGGCCGGCATGTATTCATTCAAAATCAGGAAATTCATGTTGTGGACATAATAGTCGAGAATGTAGACAATACCTTCATTGACTAACGGCTCAGGACATCTGAATTGTGCATAACAGTCGATACTTTCAAGGATAGTGTTGAGATTTGAAGAGGAAAGCTGTGGTTCACCCTTGTTATACTTGTGGATCAACTCATGAGGCTTCACATTTAACGTGATAATGATGATGGCCACCGCTATACAATGTGGAGGGATCATAAGACAGAGTGGTGTTGACATGATATCAAAGCAAATGAGCCATGAATGCATGGTGTTTGTGTAATCAATGTTGAGTTTCTTGGAGAATTGAACCACCAATTGATCGACAGATACCGATGAAGAGGAACCATTGACAAAGTCAAATTTGATCGCTTGAAGTAGACGGAATTCCACTCCCATGATGGCACGACGTTGGGTATCCAAATAAATGCCTCTTGGGTCATTATCGTCGATATCTCTCAATTTATTGGCAATGGTTTGAATATCTTTCAATTTCTTGATACAATCTTCATTCTTCGAGGCAAGGAACGTACAAGCAGTGGCAATGACAAAGGGATCTTTCTCTAAATCTTGAAGTAAATCTTGATTATCTGACGGGTCTTCAAACTTGTTGAAGAGATAATATCGTTGATAATAATTCATTGATGTTGCCAAGACTCTAAGGGGGAACTTCAATTGTTTGACTATTCGGAATGTGAATTGGAATACTTGATGTTTCTTTTGTGAATAGACTAATTTCCTTGGTTCAGGAATGGATTGTCCATGAAGATATTTCAATTCTGCTGCAGTGAAGAATGGTCTTGATACTTGAAGAATGGATGGAATTGAAGCACTTGGCTGGGAATTGATAGGTCCAGTAGAGCTAGATCCAGTAGGTCCAATAGAACTAGATCCAATAGAGCCATGTACATTCAGAATTGACTTACCATTGGCAAGTTCTCGGGTGGACTCTCTCCCATTTATGGAAACACTTTCGGACATTGGGACGGCACCACCATTGGTACCAGTTCCAGGAGTTTCAGCTGAACCTAACGATCCATTGTTTGTCTCTGGAAGTGACATATTCAACGAGGTATAGGCTTAAAAATGAGGGCTAAAGTCTCAGTCTTGGGCTGCTCTCTTGTATAAAAATTCCTTGCCAAAAATTCCAAAAAGGCAAAAAAGAGAAAAAAAAAAAAAAATCCATAGATTTCCATAGTGACACAAACAGGAAGTCACGTGCGAAGGAAGACCCAACAGTAGGGGGAGTAGTACTGGTGTCATTCAATAAGGTAATGATTAGAAGTCGTATCAGTTGAGGAAGGGGGGGAAGGGGTTCACGCAAGGTACGTAGGGGATACTAGAGCGCCCACATCCTTACGGGGTAAGCAAACCGCTCGGTTGACAGACCCCGTAGGGTTGACAGAGTGTGTTCCGTACGGGAGAGATTGAGGTCCAGCGGTTCAAACTCTGTAGGGAAGGGGGTGTTGTAGTAACCCTACGGGGTAAGCAAGCCGCTCCGCTGGCACTCCGTGGGCCACTAGCCGTGGGGGCCTTCTTCCTCTGTCGAGGAAATGGGTGCAGAAGTGTCTCCTCGTAGAGGAGCTAGGCCTCCACGGCTAGTGGCCCACGGAGTGCCAGCGGAGCGGCTTTCTTACCCCGTAGGGCAGACCTACCCCATTACCCGCGTGGTATGTAAGTATCCTTCCCAGGCAGACCCGTAGGCTGTCAGAGTACTCCCTTCCGTACGGGATAGAGAGGTGAAGTTGCCCCTCACACGTCTTACTTGCTAGATACCTTCACCCACCTCTACGCCACGCCATCAGCTACAATTTCTATAGTCAGCACTACGTACCTGCCCTATAAAATCTCCCATTTAAATCTATCTAATGTCCCCTTACTTATTATGGGTCTTTTGCAACCAAATCCTTGAAAATGGATGGACTGGGTGACTCCAGCGAGTCGTGCCCAGACCAAAAGGATTGTTTCCATTCTGCAGGAGCGAAAAAAAAGCAAAAAAAAAGAATCGATAGAATTAGCGGACCATAGAATTCATGGCAGCGACACAAATGCCCAGAGTAGAAACAAACAGCCGCCCCGGGGTAAAAGCATTATAAGCGATAACATTGATCAATTATTTATTTGCGCATAGTAGAAGTACATAGTAGAAGTACATAGTAGAAGTAGAACACTCAGACCTCTAAGGGACTGATCATCCACTCTACATACTCCACTCTATGGATGGCTCGGATCTTTAGTCATTTGTTTTTCTTCTGTTTTTTTAGATGGTGCGCCCTGGAAGGGCTGACACTTTGCCGATAAGAAAAAGGGGCGACCCACAATTGAAATGAGGTAATTATAAACATTACCAGGGTTGCACAACTTGGCAGGGTTTAGTAGAACGTGGAATAATGCAATCCATTGTAGCAATGTAGACAAAGTTCCGGGGTACATTTTTTTCTTGTCGTAAAAAATTTCAAAACAGTTCTTCCTCCACATTCGGAGTGGTCACTCCGAGATACCCTTCCCAGAGATTTGAACCTACAAAGTGGACCACCAATACTTATTAGATACAGAAAATTCTCTACAAGACTGGACAGACAATGTGTTCAATCTGCCCACTCCTCTACTAATTTTACTCTCCCCCTTGCCCTCCTCGCTACCCTCCCATTAATGCTTTTTCTCTATCTAACTTATTTGTTTATTTCTTATTTGCGTGGACGCCTTACCCAGAAAAAGAAACGATGACAGGCGGACATGGTCATCTGGGGGGTCCTATCCCAACTCCGGGTCGCCCTTACACAACTCCTACTTGGAGATTAACACCCCACACTCCATTCCCGCCTTCTACACTCCGTTCCCAATCCCGCCTCTCCCATCTCTCGCTTCTATCTGCTATCTCACCCCCACGTTTCGCAGCTTATCGCACCACCAACAACCAGCCAGACCGCTGCTAAAAAAAAAGAAACGTTTGTCACCGTCATCGTCTTTCCGTCCAGGCTCAGAATTCTTCCTTCTCTTTAAGCGACGCTCACAATTCTCCTGATCTTTTATAAAAGCCCTGTACTTTCCCCCACACACACACATCTGCTTGATATATATTTTTAAAACTCTTTATACTAAACATGAACTACTCCATTGATAACGTACTCCCCAACTTCCGTCTTGACGGCCGTTTGGCCATTCTTACCGGGGGCTCCGGTGGTCTTGCCTCGGTTATTTCCAGAGCCTTGTTGGCCCAAGGGGCCGAGGTTGCCCTTGTGGATATGAACTTGGAACGTACTGTTGCCGCTGCCCGTGAAGTTGTTCTCTGGGGCGAAGAAACCGTAAAGTCGGAAACCCCCCTTGGCAAGGTTTCTGCCTGGGCCTGCAACATTGGTGACGCTGAATCTGTAGAAACAACCTTTGCCCAGATCAATGAAGATCATGGCAAGATTGCCGACTTGTTGATCAACACCGCGGGCTACTGTGAAAACTACCCGGCAGAAGAATACCCAGCCCTCAATGCTGAGGGGATCATGAAGGTCAACGGGTTGGGTGCCTTCTACGTGTCCCAATCGTTTGCCAGACCGCTCATTGCCAACAACAAGCCGGGCTCTATCATCTTGATCGGCTCCATGTCCGGAACCATTGTCAACGACCCCCAGCCCCAGGCCTTGTACAACATGTCCAAGGCCGGAGTCATCCACTTGGCCCGCTCACTTGCCTGTGAATGGGCCAAGTACAACATCCGTGTCAATACTCTTTCCCCAGGCTACATCCTCACCCCCTTGACCCGTAACGTCATCTCGGGCCACACAGAAATGAAGGATGCCTGGGAGAGTAAGATCCCCATGAAGAGAATGGCCGAGCCCAAGGAATTCGTTGGTTCCATCTTGTACCTTGCCTCTGACACCGCCTCCAGTTACACCACTGGCCACAATTTGGTGGTTGATGGTGGGTATGAGTGTTGGTAGGGGCCCGCCCACCGAGAGACACTTTCACCTAGACCTTCAACCTGGCTTGTCCCCTGGTCCCCTGTTACCCCACACAAAAATATTTAGAAAGCACAAGGACACACACAGAGCTACTGGTCCATGCCACCAGTACGACATCCCACGGAGCCAATTAATCACGGGGCTAGCGCCCACAATCGAGAAGGACCTCTTACTCCGTGGCCCCTGGCCGTCCTCCTTACCTAACGTTTATATCTTTTATACAAATCCACGATGTTTTACAGGAACACCACCATGTAGTCAAATACCTTGTAACCATATACTGGAGCTGTTCAAGTCGAGGAGGGTGAGCGATATCCCTAAGAAGGTCATGTTGCTTGGTGCCACCCTACGGGGTACGCGAGCCACTAGCCGTGGAGGCCTAGCTCCTCTACGAGGAGACCCTTCTGCACCCATTTCCTCGAAAGAGGAAGAAGGCCCCCACGGCTAGTGGCCCACGGAGTGCCAGCGGAGCGGCTTGCTTACCCCGTAGGGTGGCCAGACACCTTCCCTCCCTACGGGATTTCCCTCCCTCACCCCCTGGGGCCCCGGGAAAGCACAAGGACACCGCTACAATTGCCTTTATCTATCCCTCTATTTTATTTACTATTTAAACTACACTGTCCGGGTTCCTGCCTCCCCCCCCGTCGTACCTGTACATCGCCCTCACCCGTGGACCGTTCTCCCCCCACGCCAGCCTTCGGCTCCCTGCTCCGGATCGCCTGATCGCTAGCCATTCACTGGTCTTCGTCGTAAACGAGTCTCAGGTTCTCCCACATCTTCATTAACGACTGCTTGAAGAGTACAACATTGTAGTCGATGATGGCCACCGTCAGGTCGATGGTCAAGTTGTTCACCTCATCGTTCCGGATCACTGCCACAAGGGCAAGTCCACGGATCATCTGCTTGAGATACAACAGCAGTCCATTGCTCAAGTGGGAAATAGACTTGAGGTCAGTGGGTGTTCTGGGCAGAGGGGCCAGGGTGGACGTCCCATCCGTGCCGCCACCATTGGCATGCGAAGACGTGCCATCTTCCACATAAAGATCTTCCAAGTCAATGGTGATATCTATGAACTCGGCACAAACTTCATATGTCTGGATGTCCACCGGTGACGAGTCTGTGGCGACATAGATCTTCGAGTTGATATCAAACAAGAAAACCTTGTCTATGGACAGATGTTGTACAAGATTGTCCAACATATTCTCCAATGAGGGGAGCTCGGGGATAAGTTTCTGGACAATCCGAGAGAATGCCTCGTAGATGGAATGGTCAAAGATGGACGTGAGGTAGAAAGAAACCTGTACGCCCTCCAAGCCCAAATCAAGGAGCTCATCCCCTGTTCTTTGCATGATGTCTCGTTGGGCATCCATCCGATAGTCCTCCAGAAGCCCATCAATCTTATGGATAAGCACTTCGATATGGATCTTTGGGTTCACCTTGTAGGCAAATTCAATGATCATCAGAAGATTGGTGAGGGCATTAAGATACTCATCTTGTGAGTCAATGACATATACAAGTGCCCCGACAGAAGAAAAGAGTCTTTCCGAGTCGTAATTGGGTTCAAAGTAATTGAGTTGTCCCGGAAGTTCCATCACAGAAAGGTCAATGAGAGACAGAAACTGCTCGGTGGTTGGCTTGGAGGTACTCTCCAAATAGAGGGTGTCCAAGGGCTGCATGTTGTGGAAAACCACTTTACAAATGGACGATTTCCCTCCTCGACGTAGACCCATGAGGAGGATAGTGGCGTTGGAATCCTTTGGATTCGGGATAAGAGTTGCTTCCATGACCATAAACGAAGAGAACTCAAAAAATAAACAAATGGAATGAGTGAATAGAACTTAATCAAACGGAAGGAGTCGAGTCTTATAGACCAAGAAGTCTGTTGGTATAACTAATCTATGAGACTATGGACTAAAAGCGTTCGGTACCAGGCCTTGTGTTGTGCTATTAATAACACTACTATTTGTTGTTGACTTCTCTCAGGGGCTTACACAAAGAGCACAAAGATCAAACAATAAAAACCAGACACCAAGAAACTGTCGATACAAAAACAATAAAATGAGATTCCTCAGGGAAGTACGACCCGTAGATAAACAGCTCAGAAGATTTACAGGGCGATTGTTTGTGCGGGTGGATATCGCCGCCAATTTAACAAACTTACGAGTACCACAGACAATGCAAGGAAGTGCGAACGGCGCTATCTACGAGAGAAAAGAAATATCGAAGCATGGAATGAACGGGACAATGGACGAACTATGTGTAGGACCGTCCATGGTTGTTTGTTGACGAATTGGCAACCGTAGACGGTAACAATAGGCGGGACTATTGCTCGTCAGAGGGTCCTTTTGTGGGGGCTCACACAGTGGCCCGACCAGGCGGTTTTTACAGCGTCTCCCCGTAGGGCACACATTCTCTTCCCTCCGGGGGTTGTAAGCCGCTCCGCTGGCACTCCGTGGGCCACTAGCCGTGGAGGCCTAGTTCCTCTGACGAGGAAATTGACTAGGGTCGGAGCTATGTGGTACACAATGACCCTTGCCGCGCAGGGATGTTAGCAATCCGGGTAGGGCACACACACACCTACCCTCCGGTGGTTGTAAGACGCTCGGCTAACACTCCGTGGACCACTAGCCGTGGATGGGCCCTGTTCCTCTGACGAGGAAGAGAAAGCTGAAGGGGGACTCCTCGAAGAGGAGCCAAGCCCCACGCAGTGGCCCTCCCCGGGCAGGGGCCAGCGAAGCGTCTCAGCAACCCCGTAGGGTGGGTACTACTCTCTTCCCTCCGGGGGTTGTAAGCCGCTCCACTCCGTGGGCCACTAGCCGTGGGGGCCTAGTTCCTCTGACGAGGAATTAGGTCAGTGGACTAATCTCATGATCAAAGCCACCTCCCTTGTGTCTACAGCTGTACTATGTACGCGTAGACTTTGATAGTCCTTACTTGCCTCTACTACACTGTATCAATCTCCACTAAAGCCCTTGTTCTCTCTGTTTACGTCTACTCTCTTTGCTATCACAGCACCCTTCCCACTACTCGTACTCCCCAAATAACCCCTCTGTCCCCTACCGTGTATATTTATTCTTCTTCTTCTCCTCACCAAGAGACTTCTCTTCCTCGTTAGAGGAACTTGGCCTCCACGGCTAGTGGCCCACGGAGTGCCAGCGGAGCGGCTTACAACCCCCGGAGGGTAGGGAATGTGTGCCAAACAAGACACTCCTGTCGGTCATCGCTACACCCCTGTTGGTCATCGCTACGCTCTCTACAAGCTAACTTATAAACTGTATTTTATTTCTATTTCATCTCTTATCCTTTCAATGTTGTCATGGGGGCGGCGGCTCTATGGAGTCAATCTCTTTGGGTCTCTTGGGAACAAGGAGGCTCTTCTGATGTTCTTCAAGTCCAAGAAGAACATAACGACTCTTTCCAAACCAATACCACCACCGGCGTGAGGAGCACACCCGTAGGTGAAGGCGTTGACGTAGTCGCTAACACCTGGGGTTTCTGGGTCGACTTCGTGTTCTCTCATTCTTTGCTTCAACAAGGTTGGGTCGTGGATACGTTGGGCACCAGACAAGATTTCTTCACCTCTCATGAAGAAATCGTACGAGTTGGAGTATTGTGGGTCCTCAGCATCTGGCATGGTGTAGAATGGTCTCACGGCCAATGGGAACTTGTCCAAAATGTAGAAATCGGTGTCATACTTCTCACGGACAAGCTTACCCAAAAACTTTTCATTTTCAGTCGACAAGTCATCGTACTCACCAACGTCACGACCGGCGGCCTTAAGCATGGCGACACCTTCCTTGAATGGGATCTTGACCATTTCACCATTGGCTGGGATCTTGAATTCTTCAACTGGGTATTGCTTTCTTACGGTGGCGATTTCCTTACCATATCTCTTCTTCAATTCAGTGAAAATAAACACAAACAAATCGGCCAAAACGTCAACAACTTCATCATAATGTTCTTCAAATGCCATTTCCATATCCAAACCAATGAATTCGGTCATATGACGGTGAGTGTTGGAGTTTTCAGCTCTGAAAACTGGCGCAATTTCGTAAACTTTTTCGAAATCAGCAGCTATCAATTGTTGCTTATAAAGTTGTGGGGATTGGGCCAAATAGGCAGATCTTTTGAAATAAGAAACTTCAAATACATTGGATCCACCTTCGGAGGCAGCAGCAATGATCTTTGGGGTATGGATTTCAGTGAACCCCTTGAGCAGAAGGAATTCTCTAAACAAGGCACAAACCCCAGCCTGGATCTTGAAAATGGCCTGATTGGTTGGTGTTCTCAAGTCAATGACTCTAGAATCCAATCTGGTATCCAAGTTGACCACAGTATCGGTTCTGGTGGCATCTTCAATCAACATTGGGAGTTGTTCTGGAGTTTCTTGAATAGTGTAAATCTTGGTGACATGGATTTCAACGTCTTGCACGGTGGCAGACTTGATTTCCTCTTCAACCTTTCTAACAACACCATGGACCAAAACAATGGATTCCAAGTTGATTCCTCCAACCCATTTGACCATTTGCTTGGAGATAGAGTCTCCATTGGCCTTAATAAGCGCTTGGATGATGTCTTGTTGTTGTCTCAAGGCCCAGAAACACATGGTGGCACCTTGTTGTCTGGAGTTATGGGCTCTAGCACGGAACACAACTTCATCCCCATCATTGGCGGCAGACAAGTCCTTGATTTGAATTCTGGTGGTGTCAGTCTTGACACTGGAGTTGATGAGAGGTAACTTCCCATAGTTGACTCTAGCTGGGTCATTGGCAGCTTTGGCTTCCTTCTCGGCCTTTTCCTTGGCAAGTTGAGCTTCTCTTTCAGCCTTCTTCTTGGCCTTTTCCCTTTCCTTTTCCAATTTTTTCAAGGCCTTTTTGGAGAGTGGGAGTCCATCTTCACCAAGAATGACTTCTCCTTCAGTGGCGGCTGGAGCGGCGGCTGGAGCGGCTTCTGAAGCGGCAACTGGGGTCTCTGGGACACCTTCTTCGATCTTCAACAGTTCTAACTTTTCAACAGACATGGTTCTAACTATATATATGCTATTGTTTTCCAAGAGAAAATCAAACAAAGTGGTTCAATTTGAGAGTTTCCTGCCGCTTACCACCAAAACTTTTTCGCCCAAAAAAAAAAAAATAAAATCAAAAAAAAATTGAGATTTGGGGTCACGTGTGTTGGTATGAGCCCTGGCGCGGTTTCAGCAGCCATTTTAGGTTGGTGAGTCAGACCATGAGGTAGATTTAGGAGTTTGTGGGGGATTTTTATAGATTTTAGAGTGGTAATTTACGGGATTGGCAATCCGAAGATAGACGAGGCCTGGGTTGGGAAGGGGAGAGGAGAGGAGAGGAGAACAGTGGGGGAGAAGAGTGGAGAGATGAGGGAGAAGAGATAGTTGGGTGCAAAAAGGGGTGGAGAGATTGGGACTCCTCGTAGAGGAGCTAGGCACCACGCAGTGGCTCTCCCCGAGTAGGGGCCATCGGAGCGTCTGACAGCCCCGCAGGGAAGGGAGCAACGCCCACCCTACGGGGTCTGCAAGCCGCTCCGCTGGCACTCCGTGGGCCACTAGCCGTGGAGGCTTTGTTCCTCTGACGAGGAAGTAAAGAAGAGTAGAGGTCTCCTCGTAGAGGAGCTAGGCACCACGCAGTGGCTCTCCCCGAGTTGGGGCCAGCGGAGCGTCTCAGAAACCCCGTAGGGTGGGTACTACTTTCTTCCCTGCGGGGCTGTCAGACGCTCCGCTGGCACTCCGTGGGCCACTAGCCGTGGAGGCCTTGTTCCTCTGACGAGGAAGTAAAGTCGAGTAGTAGTCTCTAAATACGTTCAGGCCCATTGTAGTGCTGAACTCTCTTGTATGTCCCAACGTGGTAATTCAGTGGGGGGTGGCGCTAAAAAGACCTTATCTAAGCTGTAGATCTAGATTCTTCTTGAAAGGGGCCACCTCTTGGGATGTGCATACTGTCCTGTGAAGGTTGGTTAGTATACCCCTCGTAGAAGCTCGTGGTCCCTGGCGTGGCCCAGTTCCACATTCCGCACTCGTGTCAGTGTCCTCATCATTCGATAGTATAAATAGAACCGTAGATGTCGCCAGCCTGACAACCAAAGTTGTCAGCTAAGTTTAGGAACGAGGGGTACCTCCCTGGTATTCATCTGTCTCCATCTCGCTATCTGTTTCATCAGCCCAAATGAATCTTCACAAACATGTGATTTAGTTATTTTTAGCTTCCGCCCCTTTGGTGGGGTTTACGAGAGGGACTGTACACTCTGAGCCAGTAAGTGGACCTAAATTTCATTCTAGTAGGTAACCCAATTATCAGGGAATATCTCCTGTTCTTTCAATTCCACAGGGATAGGGGCAAACTTGTAGTTGTGAGTAGAGCAGAGTTGTACAAGAGAGGAGTAAACCAGAGAGGAGCTGTACAAGAGAGGATCTGTAAATCTCTTTGTGGACCTGCTCGATATTCTGTCTCTCCTGTCTCTCCTGTCTCTGAGTATAATCTAAGGGTCTAGATCTCCTCAGCCTCCTCTCATGCACTTCTCTTCATGGTGGACTCGTTTGAAATCTTCCTGAAATCTCTCATGCACCTTTTCTGATCTTCTCTCGGGGCCCTACCACTCTGGTGGCATGGTCAAGCTAAGAGGAACCATATAAATACCCCATACATTCACATCCACCTCTAGAATTATCTCTTTGTCTCCCCACCTTTAGTAACTCACTCCTACTTACACCATGAAATTTTCCACCATCGCCTCTCTCTTTTCCATTGCAGCCTTTGCATCGGCCCTGATTGATAAGCTCCTGCCTGCTGCTTGCCCCATCCTCGACACTGACTTGGAAGATTTCTTCTTGGTGATTGGCGAAAACGAATGGTTCTTCTATTTGGGTTCTGGAGACTCCAATGTCCTCCACACTCTCCTTATCAACTCAGACGCAGAGGGCAAGTTCGATTTCTGGATTGGTGAAAACGCCATCAAGGACTGTTCCTGTTACCCCAACACTCAACCGGACTACTCAGTTGCCCCCGGCGAAAAGCTCCAGCTCGAATTGGATGTGACCCCCAACATGCTCTACGGGGTCAGAGTCAAGGGTATTTCTGAGGCTTGGGACATTGTTTCCAGTCCTGTTTCCCACAGATGGGGTCCAACTGTTCCAATTGAAAAGTGTCCAAGAAAGTAGGCAGCCTCCTAGAGCCTTCTTGAGCTCTTCCCTCCATGCTCTTCCCTCCATAGTTTTGGTACTTCTCGTCAATAAAAGCTTTTTACTTGCTCTTCACCTGTAGACTCCCCTCCTCTCTCTCTTCTTTCTCCTTCTCCTAGACCCTCTCCGCGTCCTACAACTCGTTCCTACACGGTCCAGGGTGACTGGCAAACTAAATCTATATTCCATATATGGCACATTTCCTCGCCAGAGGAACAAGGCCTCCACGGCCAGTGGCCCACGGAGTGCCAGCGGAGCGTCTGACAGCCCCGCAGGGAAGAAAGTAGTACCCACCCTACGGGGTTTCTGAGACGCTCCGCTGGCCCCAACTCGGGGAGAGCCACTGCGTGGAGCCTAGCTCCTCTACGAGGAGTCTCCCCCCCCCCCCCCCCCCCTCCATGTTAACGTAGCAGCTTCTATTTCTTCCACCTAGGGTGGGAAAAAATCTACAGCTTTTCAGGAGTCTCTTCAGCCTGCTTCGCGGCCTGTTCGGCGGCCTTTTCGGCCTTCTTCTTCTCCTTCTCGGCCCTGACCCCCTCACGTCTGGCCATCCCTTCTCTCATTTTCCGTTCTCTACGTTCCTCCTTTGTCTCCTCTACAGGTGTGGCCACAGCCACGTCCAACGCACGGATGCATTGCTCCAAGGCTACCAACTTCTTGTCATTCTCCTCAAACCGGTCCAAGGACAACTTCGTCACCATCTCGAGGTATTGCTTGTTGACAAAGGAAACCATCTGGTCGTCGGTAGACATGTACCCGATCGGGACGTCCAACCGGATCGAGATCCGGATGGCCACAATGTTGTTGGTACCGATCCCAGACTCTCTGAACCCACACCCCATGGCCGCGGCATACAACCGGTTTGCCATCTCCAACGTGCGGCACTTGACGTGCAAGATGAGTGGTTCAAACTTGTACAAAATGAATCTCGTGGTGTTGGCAGGGGTGCTGCTGGTTGAACCAGCAGCTTCACCGTACACAAAGTCCACGGCCTCCCACCATTGTGGGAGTTCTTCAGCGTCATGGGTCACAAATAACCATCTCCCCTCATGACCCTTGGCCCCGATCTGGCCCTCTTGTTTCTTGATCCCCTCGAGGAATACAGACACACGTCCGGAGCACGACGACGTGGTCACCATGTCGTGGTTGGCGTTGATGGTGTTGATGATTGGCAAGCATTTCACGTCGATAGTCCCCTTGGGGGATGCGTCCGGCGTCACCTCATTGGTGGCACCTATTTCGCGGAGAATAGACTCCTTCTTCTGGTCGAACGGGTCTTGCATAGTGTTGTGGGTGGGGTCTTACAGTGTGTTGGTGGGCTGTCAGTTTAACAAATTCTTTTCCGCGATGGCTGCAGAGAATTTGGCCCGCTAAGTCACAGTGCACCTTGACACTTGCCGCACTTCAGCCTTGTGATTGGGACCCTTTTTCTACACGGTTATGGATTAGGGAGACCCTTAGGGAGATCCTCAAGGATGGGTGAGGGGTTTCTGTGGCTTGTAGATTAAGTCCATGGTGAGTATGGGGTTCCTAGTGGCCGTGGGCTGGTCAGGAGTACCTGGATGATTTTGTGGGCCATGTAAGAAACGTAGATCTCCAGGACGTTTCCACGGGAACCTCTAAGACTTGAGGCAGTTAACTGTCTCGTCCGAGGATTCTTCGTGAAGGTGTACCTGTGGTGCCAGCCAAGGGACTGTAGAGGAGACTAGCTTAGAATGAGGAGAGCGTAGCCCTACGGGGTAAGCAAGCCGCTCCGCTGGCACTCCGTGGGCCACTAGCCGTGGAGGCCTTGTTCCTCTGACGAGGAAGTAAAGAAGAGTAGATGTGTCCTCGTAGAGGAGCTAGGCACCACGAAGTGGCTCTCCCCGAGTAGGGGCCAGCGGAGCGGCTTGCACTCCTCAGCTCTGCCCTATGTAGACTTCTACAAATAATACGACTAGGTTGCCAGGTGGCTGTTTAATATGTATTCTGCACTAGCTAGTATTCGACCAGCACCTTCGTCTGTCTCCAAGTAATCTAAACAGTTCCCAGCAACATCGAGTCTACATCTGGCACTTTGGCAAAGACTACGCCACTCTAGGGTGTATAATACTTCACGCGAACCTCTCCAGAACGTGGTGACCATAGCGTGGGTGGTTGAGGTACCGATGATAGTCAAGCATATACGGTGCCCATGGTTTACTGTCGCGTCGGACTAATATGGCCACCACCGCTGATTGTGCCCAGGGTGCTTGCTGGACAGACGGTAAACTGGCGAGGAAACTATTGTAGAGAAGTAGAAAGAGGAAAAGTGGAATAGTAGGGGGGTGTAGCCCTACGGGGTTAGCAAGCCGCTCCGCTGGCACTCCGTGGGCCACTAGCCGTGGAGGCCTTGTTCCTCTACCGAGGAAGTTTTAGGAAGAATGGCGGATCTCCTCGAAGAGGAGCTAGGCACCACGCAGTGGCTCTCCCCGAGCAGGGGCCAGCGGAGCGACTTGCATACCCCGTAGGGTGGGTCTATCTCTCTTCCCTGTGGAACTCTCAGACGCTCCGCTGGCCCCTTCTCGGGGGAGCCACTACGTGGTGCCTAGTTCCTCTTCGAGGTCGGGCCCCAGAGTGGTCTACATCGTTCTCAGAGACGGGACATTGTACTATTACGCTGTCATGGTCTTTTACATGGCTCGCTTTGTTCAGTGTGTATTAACTAATTCGTGGTAGACTACCTTGCTTGCTAGTGCTGTCTTGTTCTAACTGCGTCCTTGTGATCTAAACAGTTCCCAGAAACATCGAGTCTACAAATAAGAGTGCCCATACAATGATCCCCAGCATTGTCAACCCTTTGCGGGTCGCAAGGTTCTTGGAACTAGTCAGGTTTGGTTTAGCGATACTGATGGTTTGAGTCTCATTACCGTGCGAGATATACACGTAAGGATACTCGGTGGTGGTGCTGGCTTGCTCGATCAAACTACTGGTTTGGGTGGTGCTGGCTTGGTCGATCAAACTAATGGTTTGGGTGGTACTGCCATGCGAGATGTATACAAAGGGGTACACCGTAGTGGTGCTTGCGAGAGCTGTATCAACCAGAGACATCTTGAAGTGGGTTCTTTCTTCAATAATGTCTAAGTCCAAGTCGAAATTGGGTGGGCATTCACCAGCATTTATCAAATAGTACAGACTCACATGGGTCCTGTATATCTTCGGGACGTATGTAGGTGGGTCCCGGTGGGGGTTAGGAAACACGAGGGCCGCACGAAATGAGGTGGATTTTTACGAGGGCTGAGCCAATGGTTACTGTTCCTAGTTTAAGAATATGAGTATGAGAGAAGAATGCTAGACTAGAAAAGCCTGGAATGTTACACGAGGAGATTGGATTATTGGATTCTAAGTAGAGAAAGAGAACTAGATAGAATAAGGAGGGTTGGAAAAAGATTAGTGGTCATTATTTGAATTCTCTACCACGCATAAAACTTAAAAATTACCATGCACGGCCATTATCTCGCACAGGTGTGATGGTTAAATGTGTTAATAAATATCGTAGAGCCAACGCATGTGTACATCTACCCTATTAGACATGCCGGGCTGTGGGGGATCAGAAGCATGGACATGTGTGGCGTCTGGATGACCTCGGTAGGGGTGGTGGACGTAGTAGTCTTCTTCTGTTGTCTTCGATTCGTTTGTTATTTTTTAGCCCATTGTGTCTTGGCGAGTGGCTTTTGATTGTGCATTTTAAGTTTTTGACATGTGTCAAACCTTATCGGTACACCATACACCCAGACAACCTGCTACATGGATACTAGATACACGTGTAGACACTAAAAGTTAAATGAAAAGGAATCTCTTATCTCCATCACATAGGAGGGGCGGAAACTTCGATGGTCCACATGCATCCGAGCTTGTCCGCATACTTGTACACCGGAGCCACTTCCTCGGTAGAGGAACAAGGCCCCCACGGCTAGTGGCCCACGGAGTGCCAGCGGAGCGTCTGACAGCCCCTCAGGGAAGAGATTTAGACCCACCCTACGGGGTATGCAAGTCGCTCCGCTGGCCCCTGCTCGGGGAGAGCCACTGCGTGGTGCCTAGCTCCTCTTCGAGGAGATCCGGCAATCTTCCTGAGACTTCCTCGGTAGAGGAACTAGGCACCACGCAGTGGCTCTCCCCGAGCAGGGGCCAGCGGAGCGACTTGCATACCCCGTAGGGTGGGGCTAAATCTCTTCCCTGAGGGGCTGTCAGACGCTCCGTTGGCCCTTGCTCGAGGAGAGCCACTGCGTGGTGCCTAGCACCTCTATGAGGAGCTCTCGTACATCCTACACGGCTTGAATATCTGTACTGTAGTGCTCTACTCTACTCTATTCCCTAAGAGGCGTGTGACCTTCTCCATTTTTACCACTCGGTGGTGTCTAGCTTGCCAACTAAGAGGTGGCATCTGGACCGCTACAATATGTTTGATTTTTGTTTATTTGCTATTTTAACTATAAGTTATTGCAGATGATCTAGAGATCATTTCTTAGCAGTGGGAGAAGTTCTCCTCTTAGTATTATGTCTTTTCTTTTTCAGCTTCTTTATCTTTTTCAGTCTATTGTTCTTGGCGTCATTATCCGTCTGGTTGTTCGAAGTTGGGTCCAATGAAGAATGACCATTAGGAGGAATTTCAGGTAAGTTCACGTCTGAGGGAGTACAAGCAGTCAGGTCATGGTTCGTGTTGGTATTTGAAGGCTGAAGAGTTACAATCAGAGTCGTATCGCTGTGATTGTTGTCCTCTGGCTTCAATTTTGGAGTGGGCACCGCTTCACCAAATCTCATACTACTTGGATCCGCATCCACACTCCGGTTCAAACCTCTGTCAGTATTGACACCCTCATTATAGATTGTCATCTTTTCATTCTCCTGAAAATTCTTCTTTGGACCAACATCGTTCTCCAAAATCGGCTCATCATCCAAATCCAGCATGTAGAACCAATCGGTCTCAGTGTTCATGAAGTACCACCCATAGATATGATAAGGTTTATCCTTTGTCTCATTAATAGAAGACTCATTCTGAACTTGGTTAGCTTCTGTGAAACCAAAAGAGCTGTTAGAATATGAGACTCTAGTGTCAGCCCTTGGGAGTTCAACAGTGCCTGTAGTGTCTGGCATAATTGAACTCAGGTCAAGTACCTCATCATCATTCTCGTGTTCAGAACTGGATTCCCCTGTCACTTCAGGAAGTGGAGAAGTATCTTCGTCACTCTTTAAATTGGCCATACGAATAGTTAACCCATTTATAATGGTATTCATCTGACACACGGTAACAAAGAAAATGCCAGAAACAAGTGCAAGAAGGGTTTCAATCTTGAGTGGTCCAAGCACAGAGCTGAGTTGAACCTGTTCAAGGAGTTTCTTGGAAACAAGCTGTCCTATAGAGGTACTTTCATGTACTTGGCCAAGAAGATTTTTGGTCTTCTCCATTGATTCTAGCTTTGCTGAGAATTGAAGTTTCAAATTCTCCAATCTATAGTATTTATCAAGTGAGTAATTCAATCCAACTGGCTTGATATCAGCCAAAGATTGAATAGTGTTGCATTGAGAAGAATCCGAAGTTCCAGATGTTCCCTCTGAGCTAAAGATCAGATCCAGAGCTGAGTCCAACAAACTTGGAGATTCCTCAAAGAATATCCCAAAAGGAGAAGTTACCTCTTCAATTTTAAAATTGTTGAGATTGTCCTCGTTTAAGAATAACTCTTCAGAATACCACAAGTACTCAAGTGATAGAACATTTAGCTTTTCCTGTATCATTGAAGGAAAGGGCTCAAAGTCAATAGTTCCAATAAATTCATCGAACTTTGAGTTTGCACTCAACCACAGTTGGAAAGGTTCCAACTCTGAGTTCCCAATACTAGAGTAACTCATAATCACGGTAATCTTTGGAAGATAAACCAATGAAGCTAACCTGGTATCGGGAGCAAATTTCTTTTCCTTCTTTACCATGACCAAACCTGGCTCTTGTTGGTGAGGAATCCAAGAAGCACCCAGATACGAATAAGGGTTCAGAGTAAAAAGACTGAGCCCCATTTCATAATGAAGTGGACTACTTGATAAGTCAATGACTTCAGAAAAGTATCTCTCGTTGGAGAAAGCTCCTAAGAGAAATAACTCTTCATCAATCATTTCCAACCTATTTGCATTTGTGCCTATAAGCCAATTACAAGCCACAACATTTTTACCCATACATTCCAAGTACTTGCAGACTCCAGGAAGGTCCCAGTTAATTCTAGAAGCAATTCCAGAAGAAACCTTGCTGATAAGTCTTCTGGCGGCATGATGAAATGGTGGCTGCAAAAAGGAACCCCTTCTTGTTTGCGTGATTGGTCCCGGGACCAATTCGGGCTTGCAGTAGCGCCAGAACCTAATAAACCAATCCAGAGTCTTCTCCCATGTATCCCACCATGTGGAGGATGCTTGAGGAGAAGCGAGAGAGCCTTCTTCAAGACGCTGTCTCAAAACAAGAAAAGTATTGGCATTGTCTTCGGTCGAAGTAGACGATCTTGAGCTAGCGAATACTGAGTCCACATTAAGAGATGGGAGTCTCTCTTGCAGATACAAGTAAACAGAGCGTAAGGAAGCGACAAATTTGAGCAGCATAGACATTTTCAAGTAAATTTCTTGCACTTTTAGAGTAGTCAGTTGTTAGAAGGCTAGCACCAATTCTTAAATTTAGAAATCTCAAAAAGTCTTTATATACCCCCTAGTAACACAAAGCTGTCTGTGGTTTTTAGCCTTAAAGTTACAAACATGGGATATATATAAATGGGGGTATCGGCTTTAGAGGGGGGGTACAAACAGGGAAACTATCGATGAAAAGCAGGCCCCCGAAGAAAGACGTTCTGAAGATGTGGGGGTTCTTTGTACTTCTAAAAACACATTTCTCGCACGTCTCTCGCACATCGAACATTCTCAAATATGAAGTTACAAGTATCCTGTATCTCTGGTTCTCCCCCTCTCTTATACTATTAGCAATCTAAACCTATGACATTGGTGTTCATCGATCTATTCTTTGTTCTGGAATTCGTGACATGGAGAATTTGCAGCAAATTTGGCAACCCATGCAGGATTTGCACCCAAAATGACTAGTTCAATGTACAACCCAATCGTTAATGGTACTTACTACGGTTTCCTGATCAATTCTTCCTACTTGCGCTGTTTACTGAATCAATCCTGAGAGAGTGGATAGCAGTACAACCTCTCCTCTATTTCATTTGGTTGTATATGTGGAATCAAAATTTGATAACATTATGAGAAAAAAAAACTATTCCATAGTCGCCTCATCCAATGAGATTGTCGTCAAGGTCTTGGCTTGGGCACCTCCATGACTGGTGTTCCACAAAGTGCCAGATAAGCGTGGCCCCCAACAACAACAAGTCTTAACTATACTACATGGGATACTGTAATTGTTTAATATTCCTTTTCATTCTATCTACTTCAATGCATATGCAAACTTCTTCTCGTCTTCATCACTGAGTTGGAACAACATTTTGAGTACTGGGAGAAGTTGTTCTCGTTGGTCTTTATGTTCAAAGTATCCAAGAAGAACGTTTTTCAAGTACGCCACGTTGTTGGGCTGTTGTGGTGGCTGCGGTTGTGCTTGATTCTGTGAAGCATTGAATTCTTCAACCTCTTCAACCCGTTCGCGTCGTTCCTTTGGATTCTTCAGCGCCTCTTCTCTTGCTTGTCTATACTGTTGAGTGACAATTTTATAATTTTTAGATAACCTTTCGAATTTTTGATTGGCTTCTTCATTCAACTTCTTGAGAATATTATTCAAATTCTCATAATCTCTGGCCTTTTTAGTTGAATTTTGAAGTGATGTTCTTAATGTAGACAAGGTTTGTTGAGTCTCTGGGTCAGCACTCGAGTCACCAAAGTCAAGATTCAAAGAACTAGTAGATGACATGGATCTAGACCTTTGTTGTTGCTGTTGGAGTTGCAGCTCTTTCAATGAAAGTTCCAATTCATGTTGTCTTGTAGTCAATTGTCTAATTTCTTCAGAATAAGATGCTATGAGTTTCTTCCCCTCGTCAACTTCACGTTGCTTTTTCTTGATTAATAATTGACACTCTCTTTCGAGTTCTTCTCTTTCCAACTTTATTTGATTCAATTCAGCCTTGAATTCCGAACTGGTGACTCTAGCTGTTTCCTCTACATCAAGCAATGCTCTTCTAATTGATGACGATTCTCTGGTACGTTCTTGTAACATATTTCTCAGTTCATTCAATTCATCTTCAAGTCTTTCAATCTTAGCCACTGATTCTCGGGACTTCATCGAGAGTTCTTCATATTGCTCCTTGAAAGTTTGGATATCATTGGTCGAACTCAGACGTTGTTTAACAAGTTGGTCGTACTTGGTTTTAAGTAACTCCAAATCGGTGGTGATGTTTTGTTTAGATGTTTGTAACTTGGTGATCTCACTCGTTAAAGATCTCGATCTTTCGAACGATTGTTCTTGTTTAGTAATGAGATTGTTTTTATCGTTAACCAATTGTTTAGTTGTGGATGAAAGTTCATCATTAGACTTTTGCAAATTGACTAATTTTTTGTTCAATTCTTCTTTAGAAGCGGTTGCATTTTCAAGAGTTTTCTTAAGCTCATTGATTTGCTTTTCCTTATGATTCAATGAAGATGTAAGGGATGAGATCTCCAACTTGAGTGATGGGATGGAACTTGAAGAATTGGACAATTCTGACTTGGTAGATTCCAATTCAGTCAGTTTCTTCTTCAAGTCTGACTTGGTAGATTCTAATTCAGTCAGGGTCTTCTTTAAGTCTGACTTGATTGACTCTAATTCAGTCAGTTTCTTTTCAAAGTTCGATTGAGTAGATTCCAATTCAATCAGTTTCTTCTTCAATTCATTCACTTTACTTTCCAATTCCTTCAGTTTACTCTCCAATTGACTTTTGAACTCCCCTACTTCTTGTTTGACCTTACTCAACTCCTCTTCTAAAGATTTACACTTTTCAGCTGTAACCTGGCCATTCTTAACCAATTCATCTTTCTCCCTCTCAACCTCATTGATTCTCTTTTCCTTCTCCTCTAACTCCTTTTTAATCTTTTCCAGATCGTTAGATCCTTTCAATTTCTCTCTAGCTTGTACCAAATCATCACCAAGATCCCTCAACAGGTCTCTTAATTGCTCTACATCTTCAACCTTCTGTGCCAACTCGGCTTTACAAGTTTTGAGTTCTTCCTTCAAAGAATTGATTTCCAGTGGAGATGGACTAGTGGCTACAGTCGTTGGACTTAAAGTGGCATTTGAATTGGCACCTCCCTTCTTTTTGTTGTTCTTCTTTTTCTTACCTGAAGTAGTTGTGGTTGGAGTCGTTGGTTCTGGAATTGATTTTGAAGTAACTTCCTTATTCTTCAATTCTTCTTCAAGTTGTTTGATAGCTTCCTGAGCCTTTTCTTGTGAAGTTTTGACTTCTTCTTGAGCTACCTTAAGTAGGTCTTGCGAAGTCTTGATCTCTTCTTTAGCAGATTTGAGCTCTTCTTGAGATGTTTTAAGTTCTACTTGGACAGATTTAAGTTCTTCTTGTGCTTTTTCCTTTTCGTTTTGAGCTTTTTCTTTCTCTTCTTGAGCTCTTTCCTTCTCTTCTTTAACACTTTCAATATCAACCATCTTCTCCTCTTGCACCTTGTTCAATTTCTCTTCAGCCACTTTTCTTTCTTCTTCAGCCTTTTCCAATTTCTCTTCAACCAATTTTAACTCCTCTTTAACCTTCTCCACACCTTCACCTCCTTCCTCGCTCAACTTCTTTTCTAATTCCTTAATTTTTTCAAGGGCTCGCTTCTCTCCTTCTATCGATTTCTTAGATATCTCATTGACCTCTTCAACCTCCCGTTTACATAACTCTTTAACCTCGTCAATGCCGCGTTTGGATACCTCCTTTATTCTGCCAATCTCGGAAATTAACTTATCCTTTTCCACCACTGCCTTGTCCTTTTCTCCGCTCAATCTTCTCATCTCAGAATTCAATAAATTGGTCTTTTCATTCAATCCAGTAAGATATTCTACAAGCACTCCAGCATCGGCAATCCTGGAAATAGGTGTATGCTCTTGCAACACTCTCTCAAACGCGGCGATTAACTCTGTCTTGCGTTTCTCCGTCTTGTAGGCGTCAAGAAGTATGGGATATTTTTCTTCATATTTCCCAAATTTTTTCAATTTGGATCGGATTTGCGGTGGTAGATCGGCAACATTAATTGGATCAGAATTTGTATTGACTGTTTTACCATCAGATTTGTTATCAACAACTTGTGAACTATCTCCGTTTTCGGCCGAATCGGCTTTGTTCCCATTGCCCGCGTCTGTCTTGTTGGATCCCTCTGGAGCAACACTGGGACTTTTCAGAACCGGTTCATCTTCAGGTTGGGTTAATTCGCCCAATTCTGGAGTTTTCGTCGATAAAATATCCTCGCCATTTTTCAATTCCTTGATGGCCGCAGCTTGGCGTCGTTGACTAACAACGTTATTGCTCGCCCCTCCAGCCCCGGAACCATCACCAGCATTGAGATCCTGATTGATACTCTTGGCAAGGTCCTCGGAAAAGTTCTTCAACTTCGAGAACATCTTCTAAGTGTACAATTTAATGATACTTCCTTCAATATCTGATCTCTTGGTATAGTTGTTCAATTTCATCCTTGTGATTCCATATTGGGTAATATGCAGGATTTGATTTGTTTTCCTGCAGGTAGTGATGGCAATCATATGTATGGAGTAGTTATAGAAGAGAACTTTATAGGAAAATAGAAGGTTGTTTGTAGGGGAGGATAGGAGAGGTATATACAAAAAGAAGGAGTTACTGTAACGCCCAGTAGAGTGGCTTACACGCCCGATGGGGGAGGGACGTAGTACCCACCCTACAGGGTTAGCAAGCCGCTCCGCTGGCACTCCGTGGGCCACTGGCCGTGGTGGCCTTGTTCCTCTACCGAGGAAGTGGAGGGGAAACTAGTATGTCTCCTTGAAGAGGAGCCAGGCACCACGCAGTGGCTCTCCCCGAGCAGGGGCCAGCGGAGCGTCTCAGTGGCCCCGCAGGGAACGGACCAGTGCCCACCATAGGGCGGGTCTACAACTCGCATGGGTAATACTACATGCTCTACCCCATCATTGTGCTACTATCCATGGAAGTCCTGTTGCTCTATTGAGGATATTTGGGTGCAAATGGGGCCTAGAAGGTGGAAAATACGTTATGCGAAAGGCACGATGTCATGTGACCAAATCCTCTTCTATACAAAAAAGACTACTTGATTGCCTACATATGCTAGAACAGTTTAATTTGGATGCTTAGTACGTCCTTCCTGGTGCAATGTAGTAGGAAGCTTATCCAAGATGTACTACTTTCCATTATTATTATCAATAATCCACTCTCACTTCCTCGTTAGAGGAACAAAGCCGCCACGGCTAGTGGCCCACGGAGTGCCAGCGGAGCGGCTCGCTAACCCCGTAGGGTAGGCACTACCTCCCTCCTCCTCCTGGATCTCTACTTGGCTGATAGTGATCCACAGAGCGCTGCCTCCTTCACTCCCTTCCCCCCACCAGGTTCTTTTATAAGTTCCCCTCTGGTCCTTCTTCGAAACTCTAAATTAGACAGATAAGCTACTATCTCTCCCCGTCTCCTATACCTCTTTATGTCCCGTCCAGCTATTCCCCTCTTGGTTGTATTCTAAGAAAGTGCTATCTCAAAACTTCACTCATAGATTTTTGCAGCCTTATCGGATGCAAAACTATCCATGCACGACCATCATATATGCAGTCGGTGTATAATTTCACAATAGTGGAAGAAGCTCAATTGTGGTGTCATAAAATGTTGAAGAGCTATTCAATTTCATCTTGATAAATGCAGAACTTAGCAGGGAGTGCTTTTAAGTTTGATAAGGGTACTAAATTGCTTGTAAAGTTACATATTAATGGAGTTGATGATAATTTTGATGGTAGGAGGTTTTGTCCTGCGGCTCCTGCGGCTCATGTCCAAAAGTAGAATCGTTGGCAAAGTTTGTTGCTAATGGATCTCTCTACGGGGTTATTCCCCAAGTGGGAGGTGGGTAGATGATCTGTAGACTCTGTGATGAAGTATGTACGTACCTTATTGGAATACATTGACTCTCCAATCCAATTGAAAATGGCTTAGGCTCAGTATCAAGTCACTGTCACGTTCCCTTCTACAAGTCTTATTTCTCAGGATTCATATATTCACTAAATCTATTAATCCTCTTCTTTCCTTCTAATTCTCCTTCTTATATTCAATAGCAGTCTTTTGGTCGTCAATCGTGTTTTTGAGCTTCTCTTGTAACTTGTAAGCGTAGTCAATTGACTCCCTTTCCAACCGGTGACATGTGGCCAATGCCTGACGATACTCCTCACGTTTCTCCTCTGGTAAAGCCTCGATCACATCCGCATACACCTTGTCCAGGATCGAATTTAATGTGGTGCTCATTGCATATTTAATCTCGTAATACATTCTTCTCTTGATTCACAGTCTTGAGAAGTGTATACGTGGAGATTCCTGCTCCGTTTATATATTTCTTTCATGGAATTATGACAATTCCAGTTCAGTGTCTGGTGCAGGATGGTATGTAAAGAGGTGGTATTTCGCTGCAGGTGAAAGTTCCTAGGTGACCTACCGTCTAGATAAACAGACAAGGTGAACCACATAAGTCCTACCTATGGCTATCCCTGGTTGTTTTTTTTTTTTGACTCGGGAACTTCACACGCATGAGGAAGTAAACTTCCAAGAACAGAAGGTTATACTGTTGGACTTTTTGGGGGCACTCAAAAGATCGAACACTTTTTCTCGTCGTTGTCATCATCTTGTGGAATCCCAGTATTTATTTTGATAATCTTGGACATCTGTTTCAAAAGATGCATCTTGGCAACTTCATCGATGACTTCACTACTGGAGTCCAGTGTAAGAAGTTTCTTCACATTGCTGTACTCCCTCTCACTAGAACAGGAGCATGCGGGCATCGAAAGATACTTTATGGCCATATTGTGCAAAACCGGGTATTTGTACTTCATATCGGCCCATACATTGATCACGTCATGGGTATCCAAATCTTCTCCTTCTTCAAAGAATAACAGATATAAGGATTGAACCTTTGCAAATTCGCTGCGGAGTGTAGCGAAAGAGTCTTCGTTGTTGGTGTACTTCCGACCGGCGAATTCCGCTGTGTCTAAAGGTGCCAATTTGTACTTTTCTAACTCGTTGGCCTGCTTCTTTATTATGAGTAACCGGTCTGGGAAATACTTCAGGGTTGGCTTAGTATTGATTTCGGCCTCCGTAGCTTCTGTAATACGGTCAAAGATGATTGTGAGATGAGTTTCGACTCGTTGAAGGTCCTCTTGGCGAGAGTCCGTCTGTAATAAGGATGGAAAAATGTGGCAAACACTAATGGAGTAGGCTCAGAATCTTGGTTAGATCCAAACAAAAGATCCATGTAAAGGTCGACTTTTCCAAGACCTGCGTTCAAGGCATCACTTAAATTGGCGTCAAAGTAGTCTGGTCCATTTTCAAGCAAGGTGCACATTTCACCTCTAAGGATCCGGAACGTCCCCAAGATCAACCAAGCAGGAGGGCCAGGCGGTGTGACAAAGAACATGTTGGTCAAGTGCTCAATACCGGAAAGGAAGGATACCACTGGCTCAAGGTAATTGAACTCTTTCTGCAGCAAGTATTCAGGGAATTGCTTCACAAGGGAATCCTTAACGGAAATAGCTGAGGCAAGTCTGAAACTTGTCAGAGTCCATTTCTTTTGACAGAACCGTTCCAGCGCCACTCTTGAATGGCCAATAGAGCTACAGATCATGGAGAAATCATGCAACAACTGTTTCGATTCACAGATCTTTTGTTGCACAGTCTTAACTTTCTCAAGGACTGTCCTAACATGCGGATGGGTTTCCAATATGTAGTTGTTGTTGTATTTGGCATATTCTGCCTCAGAGATGTTCTTGGCAAACGTCCGTTTCGGGACCAAGTGACTGTACATTTCCTTGGAGATCAAGTGGAGGATATGCGGGATATACCGGGCATGGGCCACGTTTTTAGAGGAGGGCATGGCGGCGAGTTCATCCACCATTTCTGAGTCCAAGTTCTTCTTGCCGGTGGAAATGAAGGAGGTCTTGTGCCAGACCCCGTATGGCTCGTAGAGTTTATTCAATTGTTGTGCACGGTCTGGACTGGTCTCAAAGATCTCAATGGCAAAGTCAAATACCTTGATCTTACCTTTGATCCGGGCCAAGATGTTAGCCATCAAGCACGTATAGTGCTTGCGATTGGACAGAGTCCATTGGTCAGTGGTCAAGTTGATGTTCAACACCAGCTCCGATTGCATCAAGCTCTTCAAGCAGATCTTGGCACGTGCTGTCATTGACCGCGAGAAGGCGGTAAATGCCGTCCGTTTCATTAAAAGGTTTGCAGCATTTGGTCGCAAAAAATTGATCATGTCGCGGAAGTATTCATTGTCTACTAGCGACATGGGGAGATCGTTTGTTACCAAAAGCCCAACAACCATTTCATTTAACGCCTTTTGTGTGAATTCAATCTCAGGGTTGTCATTTTTTGGGGGGGGGGTTGAAGGGGTGCCTCCACCGCCACAGACCCCACGGTCCTTGGGGGTTCCACAGTCAACATTGAGGTGTCTCGGCCCTTTCCTGGAAGGAGGACTGACCTAGAATCCAGGATAGAGCCTTCATGTGCACGGACGATGTCGGTTAGTTGTAGCACTTCGTGTTGTCCACGCAGCAGGGCCATCAATTCGTTCGGAAGGTGGCGTCCGATGTGGTTCGTCAATTTCTTGGTGTTCCCGTTGGCCTTCTCTGATATCTTTACCACGTCAAAGCATGTCCAACAACAGTAGAATAGACCCGCTTCTCCCTTTTTCAGTTCAATCTGCTGGAAATATTTGTAGGTATCGTTTCTCTTTTTCGAAGTGCCAATTCTAGCTACCCTCCACGTTTCTTCATCGAGGCCAAGTTGTTGGATGATGTTGAGTCTTGCCATGTGTTATGGTTGTAAAAAGAGCGGGGTGGTTGTAAAAAAGCGGCTTGTCGCAAAAAAGCAGTAAGTCGTAAATGAAGCGGCGTGGTCGCGTTAGTTTTTTTTTCTTTTTTTGGGGGGGAGGGGATTTACCAGAGGTGATGTAATTTAGGATTTAAGCATTGAACACTGAATTCTGGGGGGTTGAAAGAGGCGGGTAGATGCCCTTAGGAGCCGGCTACATCAGGGTGTGCTCATATAGAATTGTAGAAGTGTAAGTGGTGTGTGTAATGCAGGGAAGATTTGTCCCAGTGCTGCAAATACCTGCGTTTGCCGTTCCGACGAGGCTCTTCCGTAGGAAAGCTCACAAATGTAGAGTATTTAAGTTGGTAAGGGTATAGGAGCTGAAGTTTAATGGGGCTTAGGTTCCGCCACTTTACCATAAATTTCTGTTAAACTTCTCTGATGTTCTTTATGGCTATCGTGTTCGCGGCAGTGTCAGTTAAAAATGGTTGCAAAATGTCGGACATTCTGAATCCACGCGGGACTTACTACCACAGTGTTCCCACAGAGGTATTTCAGGGGGGTTTCAGGACTCCTAGTCGGAGTATAGACACTACCGAGTGACAAGTTCGAACGGTCTGTACATAGCCAGACCTTCCTAGGGGAACGGGGAGCCCCGGATAGTAGCACAAGGCGTGCCCACACAACGTCCAACTTACCCGTATCGACATATACATTGGCCCTACTTGGAAACGCTCCGCTGGCCCCTGCCCGGGAGGGCCACTGCGTGGAGCCTGGCTCCTCTTCGAGGAGACGTACTAGTTCCCCCTCCACTTCCTCGTCAGAGGAACAAGGCCTCCACGGCTACTGGCCCACGGAGTGCCAGCGGAGCGGCTTGCATTCCCCGTAGGGTATGCCAATGCCTTACCATGGGTGCAAGGATATATTCTCTGGTAAGGCGCACCACTGACGAGGCAAATAAAGGAGTCCTACACAATCACTACAAGAGAGATTACTAAACTTTTATTTATTGAAGTAATACATTTTTCAATTATTATTTCTTTTTGAAGTTACCACCCGGCTTGACGGTCTCACGAGGCTCCAAGTTCAACGAGAGTTGGTACTGCTCGTCGATGGTGGGGCACTTGTCGAACCAGGACTCAAGGTAGAGCTGGATCTCCTTGACCTCCTGGAGATTGTACCCAATGCTACGGAACCGGTCCATAGCCGAGACAATCTCAAATGTCTTTGACCGTTTGGCAAAATTGATCATCCACGGTCTGTTCATCAAGTACTCGGTGTTCCCGTGGAACGCAAACGTGAGGTCACTCAAGTACACACCGAAGAAGGGGACACATGGCTCCAGGCCAATGAACTTGAGCACGTCACGGTACTCGTTGAAGTTCCGCGTCGAGTTCATGAGCTTGTTCATGTTCTGGAGATGCGCCATGGTGTCGGGGGAGACAAACTTCCACGTCTTCTTAAGTCTATGGATTGGAGACGAATAAAGAGCCAGGATGATGGCGGTCATGGATGAGTAATTATTGAGTTGACGGCACTTTTCCGCCACTTGGACCCAATAACGGATGAGTTGCACTCTTTTCCGGGGTTCTTGTTTCCGGAGAATCATATATGCGACATAGTTTGTGAGTTGATTAGAGGCCTTGATGAAAGCGGAGATTGTTTCTATGCTTTCAGAAAGCCCGGATTTCCGGCCCCATACTTTGCAAATACAGGCAAACATCGAGATCTTTGAGTAGAGTTTAAACTCGCGGAGCGTAAGCTGACGAGCCAATTCGACATAGTCAATGTCGAGGAGCTTGAGTTTCTTCATAACCGACCCCTTGGTAAGTGGTGCTGGCCTTTTGGTGGAGGAAATGGCGGGCTGTCTTTCAATACGAACTACCTCTCCGTTCGAGAGACGCGATAGCAAATTGGCCAATGTTTTCCCCACCGAATATGATTGCACGGTTGGGGTTTGGGCAAAGGCAAGCCAACGCTTGAGCAAGCCCGCGTGGTAGTACAGATCGACCCAATACTTCTCCACAAGGAGTTTCATGTTGTTAAGCACTCTCAAGCGGATCGGGTTTTGTTTCTTCGAGATCCACAGGTTGTACTCCTCGTACGAAAGCCCCTCAGGCGCTTCAATGTTGAATCTGTTGATCAAAAGGGCAATCAACTGGCCACAGCCCATCATGGTGGGGAAAGTCACAAGGAATGCCGAGTTGAACATGGTGTCGTAGACGTCATGGTGGGTCAAATGGGCAATGAGAGCCTCTTTCGAGCCTCCCTTAATGCTTCCCTTGAAGTCCATGAGCAAGTCGTATTCCTCATCTCCTTCCAAATACCATGGGGTGTCGGTGGACTTGGATTTTTTGCCCGAGTAGTAGTGCGAGGATTCCTCGGTCTTGTCGGACAGAATGGTATTGTTCCGTTCAATGACAAGAAGCTGGACGTTAAAGTCGTCGTGCATGACACGCGTGGCGTAGTTCAAAATAGTGTCACGTTCGTCGATTAATTGCTGGATGATGGTCAAGATCTGGTCTACATGTTTGACACCGTTGGACAAGGAGGTGGCCATCATGGCGTCTGGGTTCAAGCTGATGGCTTCACCCTTCAGTTTGGATGTTTCCTCAACCAACACGTTTATCAAAAGCATGGCGGCCTTTTCATTGGGTTGTTTCATGATGTCTCGGTTGTATAGCAAGGGGTCATCTTCCTTCATTCCCTTGAACACTTCGGGATCTTCTAAGGTGAGACCCTGGGTGGCCATGACGATCTGCAGGATGAAGTGGTGGAGGTCTTGCTTTGATTGGAAGAATTCGAGCACTACCGGGTAATCAAAAGTGAGGTTACTCTTGTGGGTGGGGTCGGCACCATCACTGCCATCACTGCCTCTTGTATTCTGCTCCTCCTCTCGCTTGATCAAACAGAATACGGTGAAGTCGAACGCTTCGATCATATCAATCACCAGCAGCGCATAGTACAAGAACTTGTAAATGAGTCTAAGGATCTGGGTGTTTCTCTCCCCCTTAAGTTGCTCGTTGAAGTAGTTGTGTTGCACCTCTGGGTCAAGGTATTGAAGCGTTTGATCGCTTAATTTCTTCATTTCCTCAGAGAATTGGAAGATCGACTTGTAGGCGTCTCTGTCAATAATGATTTTCAGATGGTATCTGTTCTTGAGATCGTCACCAGATGCGTTGAGCACGGGGTTTGTCTTGGTGAAGAAAGGGTTACACCAGTTCCCACCGTTGAATTCCCCAGCAAGGAATCGAGGGTACACTTGTGGGAGGATGTCGGAACGGTCCACCCCTTCATCTTCCGATGTGTCTGAGTTGTCATAGTCCTTGCGGTGAACTCGTTTGTCGTGGGTGACCTTGGCAAATGTTTTAATGAGAGACTTCATGTTGGCCAGGAGGGTTTGGCAGTCTGAGTCGAGTTGTTGGAAGTAGGAGTCCATTGTTCCGCTAGGAACTGTGGTATCAGTTCCCATTGCTTGGCCCTGGCCCTGGCTCTGGCTCTGGCTCTGGCCCTTGGATTCTTTCAATTCACTCAATCGATTTTTGATGGTCTGGAAATAAAGCAGTCCTGGAGATGAATTGGGTCCTGAAGAAGAGGCTGACGATCCTGGGGCTGGTGCAGATGATGGTGGGGCTTGGCCGTCTGTTCCGGGAGTTCCTGGTGTTGAAAGACCGGGGAATCCTCCTGAATGGGTTGATCCAGGAGTGCCAGGAGTGCCAGGAGTGGATATGGAAGTGCCTCCACCTAAAGTTCCTAACACGGAATGACCGGGACCTCCTGGTCCCGGGCCTTCCATAGTACTCAAAGAACTGCCCGTACTCCCCACAACACTGTCGCCTGGCAGCATGCTCTTATTCAACCGATGGATGCCCATATCAAAAAACTTTTCGTCTTCACCGCCATAATGAATGACACTGAGGTGAAGAAGTCCATTGGTATAGATCCTGGCATAAGCCCCGGCAATTCTTTTCAATTTCCTGCGGATGCTTCTCTCGTATTTACCATCATTGAAATCCTTCTGGGCAAGTCTTGTTGCCAGGAATAAGATTGACAAGAGCTTGTTCAAGCGGTTGAAATGAGTACTGAACAACTGCTTGTTACTGTCGCGGAGTGCCTTATGGGTCAATTCCAAGAGGAAATTGAACTGTTGGCCCAATTCAGACCAACGGGTGATATCCAATGGTTGGTTATAGAAGAGGCCGTCCATGTTGAAGAAAGGTTGGGAGAACTGATGGTAGAACGTCAGGGCGTTGCTATCAACCAGCGATGCATTGGAGTCTCTTTTCATATCAAAGTCCTTGGAAGAGGCACCAGAACCCGAAGGTGAGCGGGAGTGATTGTGGGTGGAATTTTGGGAATGACTAGAGCGATGTGAATGAGAAGAATGAATGGATTGAGCATCCGATTCATAAGCTTGTCGAGATACAATGGAGGTATCTAGAAGAGCTGAAGGGGAGGGCATATCCAATTTGAGGGTTGTATCGGTGGCATACTTGTAGGTGGTTAGCGGGATGGAGGAAGAGTAGACGTCGAGTTGTTGGTTGTAGAAGGCGAAATCTCCCTCGGTAGTGACTCTAGAGATCCAAGGGACCGCTGTGGAATGAGATTGACGATAGGTGTTGACAAGAGATTCGACAGTGGAGATGTTAGAAATGAAACGGGGGCCACTTGAAGTGCTGGATTGTCCAGATTGTCCAGATTGTATTGGACCAGCTTGGCTGGAGAGACTCGATGGTGCTGGAGATCCCACTTGTTCGGAGTCTGTGGAATAATTGGGAGTGATGATGGGGGGTTCATTCTGGGTGCCGGTGGGGGTACCAATGGGGGTGTCGGTGGGGGTACCGGTGGACATGGCTGAGATTGTGGAGAAGGAGCCTCCAGTTGTGGAGAAGCTTCCAACTTGTTCAACTTGTCCAGCTTGCTGGGCAAGTTGAGGAGCAAGCAAGGAAGTTCCTGGCTGTATAACTGGATGTCCTGGCTGTCCTGGCTGTCCTGGCTGTTGTGTTCCAGATCCCACTTCTTGTCCAAGCTGTGGTCCAGGACTAAGTCCTGGACTTGTCCCAGGACTCCCTCCAAACGGTCCATTGAATTGAGAATGAGGAGTATTCCCAATGGGGAAGGCCAGAGAATTCTGAGTCTGGGGGTTATGGATCTGGGAGTTCTGAGTCTGGGGGTTATGGATCTGGGAGTTCTGAACCAGCTGTACCAGCTGGCTCAGAGGATGCTGGCTCAAAGGATGCTCATCACTAAAACTCACCATACTATTTTTCCGACTACTTCCTGTACTTCCTCTTTCATCAACCAAATTCTTTTGTAACAACTGAGTAAACAGAGGAATCAATACATTAGCCGCGGTGTTTGCCGCCGTCAAACTATCCATCTCCTTACCACTCCTCAACTTGTTCAACACTGGTTGAACATAATTGACACTACGGACGTAATTCCTGGGGAACCAGCCCCTTAAAAGCTCGCCATTCTGTGCCACAATCACCCCGTCCCACCAACCTGAGGGGGACTTGGACAACACACAGATCGAGTCGCCGAGATTGAGGGGTAAATGTGAAGGTTGAGTGCCTGGGAAATCATACAATGCCACCACGGTGTCAAGATGTTTGAGTGGTGTACTTTGCGCCTTTACGTCGCCTTCAGGGCCAATTGCATCCGGCGCAATTTCATCGTATGCTGCTGTCGATGACATTGCCCTGTGGTTGTTGGTCGATGCGGGAGCCTGTTGTGGGGTGTGGTGATTGTATTGGGGCGTGGCAGACGTGGCTCCAATCGATATGAATGGGTTGAATGGTAGAGGTATCCTTTTTGTGGTGGTTTGATGGAACGGCTTAGTTTAGAAATGTTAGGCGATTGAGATCGGGACTTTGTGCTTCTATTGTGTGCAGGATGAGAAAATTGGAAATTTAATGCGAGAAAGAGAAAAAAGAAGAATAAAAAAAAAAATAAATAAAAAAGAAGAAAAGAGAGAGAAAGAGAGAGAGAAAGAGAGAGATAGAAGAATTGAGAATTGGGGAAAAGATAGAGAGAGAATGATGAAAGATGAAAGATATAAAGAGATGGAAGATCTGGAAAAATCTGGAAATTTAAGGTGTCTACCACTCTTTTCTAATCTCCTACCCCAAAAGATACTAAATCTATAGCTCGCTCTATGTCTCCAAAAGTTTTGATTACAAAAAATAACCTGCACAAAAGAAAAAAGGAAAGGAAAAAAAAAAAAAGTGAGAGAAAAAATAATTGAGGGAAAAAATATTTGAGAGACGACGTGAATGGAAGGGGTCAATTAGAAAACAATGATGCGTCCTTAACATTGTGTGACAGCTCGGACAGCGGATTGCTCGGACAGTGGACGGACTGTTCGGATAGCGGACAGCGCACAGCTCGGACAGCTCGGGCAGCTCGGACATATACGCTATTGTCATCCAAACATTTCTTACATTCAATTATTTTATGTCTTGTCTGTCTATGCGTGGGTTGGTTGTGACATGCCCGGATTTCCTCCCATATGGTCGGAATTGAATCCATGAGTAATATTTTTTTTTCAATCCAGACTTGAAAATGGCCATGACGGACATTTGTGCAGCATTGTAGAAGCGTGGAAGTGTAGAAAATAGCGAAAGGTTTATGCGACGGAAAGATGGTCGGATGGCCAATACCGGAAATTGACATGGCGAGAATTCCGGGTTCCCCCGGGGAACCACTTGACACAAGTATCAATTTGATTGTACATTTCTTTCATAGAGTCGAATTGTGGCCATTGTTCTTGCTCTTGTAACTCTTCTATTGTTACTCTTCACTTCATATCTCTTCTCCTCCTTTGTTTCACTTCCCTTACTTGCTCTTCTATTCCTTGCTTGCTCTTCCCTTCCCTTTGCTACCTCCGTAGTTATGCGCTAAAAATTGCCGACACATTTTTTTCCGCTCTCTTTTTGGATTTATTTTTAATTCAATTTTTTTTTTTTTGCTTGCTGCATTGCAGTGAGGATCGGATCTTGGTGATGGTGTGCATCTGCATACAGCTACTATCAGATAGATATTGAGTTCCCCTCTCTTACCGTAAGAGGCCACGTAATCATTGGTCCTAACAGACAAACTCCCACCTGGCCATTCCACCTTTTTTGGTTTTCACTCTTCCCATGTTGTGAATCGAACCCTCATCCTCCAATTGGAAGCTCTCTTTCTCCCATCTGCCTCCTGAAGACTAAACCTTATTTTCAGTATTTTTTGGATACTCTGCATGCGTTCAAATGCGCATCGCAGTTTAGCAACACACCTCCTCCCCCAATAGGGGTGCCGCAATGCAGTAACAGTGTACAATTCGAACAATGGCGATAGGAACTCAACAATGGTGGGCAGTTCATTCTGAAGAAGTAGAGACTGACGGGGGTGGAAAAAAAAAAAGAAAAAATAAGAAAAAAAAAAAAAGCTTTTTCACAATCAAATGCATTTCCGTATTCAGAAGAGAGGGTCCTAACTCCGTGACTAAAGTTGAATTGTCCTTTGATGCGTTCTATTAAACTCCGGGCTGTCGAGGGGTACGACGGACATAGAGACGGTTTCCCCCGGGGCAGAAACGACCTCGTGGAAGGAGAGCCTTGGCGCGGCAGCCGTGGACAAATGGACTGGGAGCTTTTCCGGGCTGCAGGGACACCGTCACGGTGGTTTGAACTTGCGGCAGGAATTGTTGCCAGCCGTTCGGGTGGCACTCCATGGGCCCAGGTCCTCTAGCGAGCACTCTCCTCGTAGAGGAGCTAGGCACCATGCAGTGGCTCTCCCCGAGCAGGGGCCAGCGGAGCGGCTTGCGTAGGGAAGGGAGCAGTTCCCACCCTACGGGGTAGGTAAGCCGCTCCGCTGGCACTCCGTGGGCCACTAGCCGTGGGGGCTTAGTTCCTCTAGCGAGGAATTGTGGAACACTCCTAGCGCTCTCCTCGTAGAGGAGCCAGGCACCACGCAGTGGCTCTCCCCGAGCAGGGGCCCAGCGGAGCGGCTTGCACACCCCCTAGGGTGGTAGTCCCCCTCCTCCTTGTGGCACGTCCGAGTCGCTCCGGTGGCATTGGGGAGGACGTCAGCCGTGGCTGCCTAACTCTTCGGACGAGGAGATGGTCGCGGTGAGTCTCCCCTTCTTATAAATCGTAAATTGTAACCGTGTGCGTAGGACGCCGCTCTCTTTTGGGCAAGTGTATTTAAAACTTACACACCCCCTTGCGACCGCCACCACTCGCCTTGTAGCCCAATGAAAGCCACCCAGCGCAATCAGCGACCTCCTGTTGGCCTGCGGGGTGGACCGGAGGGTATCGCCTTGGTTGCTTACAGGGTGTTTGTAGTTGTAGACGATTGCCTTGGATGAATGTTTTGCGGCCAGTTTCCGCTCTTAGGGCACCCACCGCCAATCGTATGTAGAAATCCAACCATGTAGCAGCCTCTGGTCACTGGAGGGCCATTGCTCCCTTCCGTGGGGTAGTCACTGAGACGCTCCGCTGGCTAGTGGCCCACGGAGTGCCAGCGGAGCGGCTTGCACACCCCGTAGGGTAGTACCACCCCCTTCCCTGCGGGACTGTGAGACGCTCCGCTGGCCCCTACCCGGGGAGGGCCACTGCGTGGTGCCTGGCTCCTCTACGAGGAGACTGACTCGTAGGTCCGTCCCCCGCTCAATTCCTCGCTAGAGGAACAAAGCCTCCACGGCTAGTGGCCCACGGAGTGCCAGCGGAGCGGCTTGCTTCCCCCGGTAGACTGGCCACTGCTCTCTTCCCTGCCTGGCCGTGAGCCACTGACGTGATGCCGAGCGTGCGGGAGGGACCAGTAGAAAGTAAACAACGGTAGAACAGTCATCAGGACTACAAGGGAGGGTAGGAAAACGTGTAGTTTATTTGCTTTTTTATTACTTACTTATGTACTGAGTATCGATCTAATCTTGCTTGGCAACGTGTTCCAACAAGTCAACGACTCTGGTGGAGTACCCGTACTCGTTATCGTACCAAGAGATCAACTTGACAAAGGTTGGAGACAACAAGATACCGGCCTTGGAGTCAAAGACGGAGGAGTATTGGGAGGACAAGAAGTCGGTGGAAACAACGGCGTCTTCGGTGTAGCCCAAAACACCCTTCAAGGCACCTTCGGAGGCCTTCTTGACGGCGGCGGCGATTTCTTCGTAGGTGGTGGCTCTCTTCAATCTGACGGTCAAGTCAACAACGGAGACGTCGACGGTTGGCACTCTCAAGGACATACCGGTCAACTTACCGTTCAATTCAGGGATAACCTTACCAACGGCCTTGGCAGCACCGGTGGAGGATGGGATGATGTTGCCGGAGGCGGTTCTACCACCTCTCCAGTCCTTGTGGGATGGACCATCAACGGTCTTTTGGGTGGCGGTGATGGAATGGACGGTGGTCATCAAACCTTCTTCAATACCAAACTCGTCGTTGATGACCTTGGCCAATGGAGCCAAACAGTTGGTGGTACAAGAAGCATTGGAAATGATCTTGAGGTCTGGGGTGTATTGGTTTTCGTTAACACCAACAACAAACATTGGGGCGTTGGAGGATGGGGCGGTGATCAAGACCTTCTTGGCACCGGCATCAATGTGCTTCTGGGCACCTTCCAAAGTGGTGAAGATCCCGGTGGATTCAATGACGTAGTCAACGCCTTCCTTACCCCATGGGATGTTGGCTGGGTCTCTTTCTTGGTAGACCTTGATGGTCTTTCCATCAATGACCAAGTTTCCATCCTTGTGGGTGACTTCACCCTTGTATCTACCGTGGGTGGAGTCATACTTGAACATGTAGGCGGCGTAGTCGGCGGCAATGAATGGATCATTGACGGCAACAACCTTGATGTCTGGTCTGGACAAGGCGATTCTCAAAACGAGACGACCGATACGTCCGAAACCGTTAATACCAATGGAGACCATTTTTAGAAAGTTGGGGGGTGGAGCTTATTTGTTTACTGTAGGGGGAGATTAGCTAGGGGTGTATAGCTAATGTAAGACTGGAAGTGTTACTGGAGAAAGGAAAGGAGAGGAGGACAGAAGAGAGGGGCGGGGAGAGGTGTATTTATAGGTGGACGGGAGAGAACATGTGGTGGTGTGCATCACGGTAATTTTACAAATTTGAAGGTGAACCACCAGATGGAGGGAAAAAGGCTAGTCAGGGGGTTCAAATCGGATGTTTACGCGCGAGAGCGTGCGTTTGAGAATCTGGTGATGTTTTCCGTTATGAGCGCGAGCGGGCCCAACGAGCACGGACCGAGCGATAGCGAGGGGAGGTGAGAGAAAGTTTGTTGGGGAGAAATGGTCTTAGATAGCTCTAGATAGAGGTGTATTGAGAGAGCTTGTGAGTAGGAGTTCAGTCCCCCTCTTCAGCCTCGATCCTTCAAATTGATGAGGAAACGTTTCCCCTACTCATTCACAACATAAACATAAATTTATGGTCGGAGAGCTCGGACCCCTTTAAGCGCATACGGAAAATTTTAGTTAGCGAGTGGGTTATTTTTTGGGGGGCGTGCGCGTGGGCCAGAGACAAGGACTGGGCCATGTAAGCGCATAGGGAGGTGTTAGGGGATACTTTTAGGGGGCTCGGTCATGACGGGCAAGGAAAATGGCTCACGCATGGAAGGCTAGTGACGGCCAGGCAATTTGGCAGGGGCAGGGGGCAGGTGAGGCTCAGCAGGAGGACTTCAATGGTTGCAAAGGAGTAAGATCATTGGGGGATGGGGAGAGCGAGTGAGAGAAGTAGTCACGGGACGGCGGGGACGGTGTGCAGGAGAGGGAGAGGGAGAGGGAGAGAGGGATAGTTAGGAAGGGAAGGGAGTAGTGCCCACCCTACGGGGGATGTGAGCCGCTCCGCTGGGCCCCTGCCCGGGGAGGGCCACTGGCGTGGAGCCTGGCCCCTCTACGAGGGGATTGTAGAGGAGTATGTAGCGTGAAGTAGTGTGTGTGTGTAGAGTGTAGGGAGATCTTTCGAGCGAGGCAGCCCACCTTGGGTAGCAAGGGTCCAGGCTTCTAGGGAGAGTGTAGGCACGTATTGGGTAGCTTCTGTGACACCCTGTGGGTATCTACATGAAGCGACATTGTTCCATTAACGAGGAAATACGTGCCACTGCTTCTCCTCGTAGAGGAGCTAGGCACCACGCAGTGGCCCTCCCCGGGCAGGGGCCAGCGGAGCGTCTTGAAGACCCCGTAGGGAAGGGAGCAGTGCCCACCCTACGGGGGATGTAAGCCACTCCGCTGGCACTCCGTGGGCCACTAGCCGTGGAGGCTTTGTTCCTCTAACGAGGAAGGGGGGGGTCACTTCTACGGGATGTTGCCCTGGGTAGGTGCGTTGTGGAGCTGTAGAGCGTAGAGGGAACTCTTCAAGAGAAGGTATGGGTAGGAGTAGTACCCTTCTAGCTTATCCCACTGGAATCTCCCGGTGGGAAATTCCCTCCACCTGCTCTTTTCGCTTTTGCAACCAAAAAGTGAGCCAGGGCGGTGAGGACATCCAAACACCCACGGTTGACGCTGGCGACCATGAGACAAGACACTTGAGGTTGGGGGGCATCAAAGTAGCCTGGACCTCTCCCTCTACCTCCTCGAAGTGGAGTCAGGAACCATGCCAGTGGCTCTCCCCGAGCAGGGGCCAGCGGAGCGGCTTGTAGACCCCGTAGGGAAAGGAGCAGTGGCCACCCTACGGGGTACGTGAGCCGCTCCGCTGGCACTCCGTGGGCCACTAGCCGTGGGGGCTTTGTTCCTCTAGCGAGGAATTGACCGGGAAATGGATGACTAGTCAGCCTCCTCGTAGAGGAGCTAGGCACCACGTCAGTGGCTCTCCCCGAGCAGGGGCCAGCGGAGCGTCTCAGTGGCCCCGCAGGGACGGGAGGGATTCCACCCCACGGAGTCTCCAAGCCGCTCCTCTGGTACCTAGCAGTGGAGATCCACGCCGCCTCTAACTAAGAAGGTGGGACCGGATGCAATACCTTAGAGTGTGTTCAGTGAAGAGAGGTGTTCCTGTTAAAGTGGTTGTCACATCCAGACACCCACACAAGCGAAATCTGAAAGTAAGTTAAGGGGAGCAAGCCCTAGGTATTTCGATCCTTCTTGTCAATGGGGGAGTGTCGTGCTTCCTTCCAGGTGATCCCCTTGGGTAGAACTACCCGAGTGACGAGGTGTGGTGGCTGTCTGCTGGGGGTGGGGACATTGTATTTACTTGTCAAACTTCAAAATCTAAGAGGAAAATAATTTAATACTAAGAAAGAGAACATAAATAGAAATATAAGATATCATACAAGGGAAGAGTAGGACATAGGAAACGACCCCCCTGATGCTCCAAGGAGATTCAGTAGCACTGGCGGTGTCTTGAGAAGTAAACAAATAAACGAAATTGACAGCCAGTGCGGCCAAATTTTTCCCCTAGACTCCTCGTAGAGGAGCTAAGCACCACGCAGTGGCTCTCCCCGAGCAGGGGCCAGCGGAGCGTCTCACAGCCCCTCAGGGAAGAGAGTAGTACTGCCCTGCGGGGTGTGTAAGCCGCTCCGCTTGCACTCCGTGGGCCACTAGCCGTGGAGGCCTGGTTCCTCTACCGAGGAATTGAGCGTATTACAGGTATATCACCGACTGGGGAGGGTAGTCCCCAGAGCACCGACATCCATCCAAATACCCTGACTTGGGGCTTGGGGCTTGGAGGAGCTACCAAGAAACTCGGGCCAGGGCATGTACTCCCTCGTTACAAGGCCTGCCACCCTTGGCTGCAAAAACATTCGCACTTTCTTTTCTCCCACAACACGCTGACTAACCACCAGGAATACCACCTGAAACTCCAGGCCCCACATCCCTCATGCAACAAACAGACTACCCTACGGGGTAAGCAAGCCGCTCCGCTGGCACTCCGGGGGCCCCTGCCCGGGGAGGGCCACTGCGTGGTGCCTAGCTCCTCTGCGAGGAGAATCAGTGGCACCCTTCCTCGTCAGAGGAACCAAGGCCCCCACGGCTAGTGGCCCACGGAGTGCCAGCGGAGCGGCTTGCTTCCCTCCCCCCGTAGTGTTGCCACTACTCCCTTCCCTACGGGGGGGGGGTGCCCCGGACTCTTGTCTGGGGCTTATCGCATCCTGCACACACCGTCGTTTGGTATCATTTGTGGTTACCGCACCAGTTGGCAGTGGCCGCCGTTTCACCCACTCGTCTAACGTGTTACCACACTCCTTTTTTCTTTGCCTTCAATCAAACCCCGCTCCTCGCGACCACCTTTATCAATTGCTCGATATCACCAAATGTCGCTCTTTTTCAAGGCTCCGCTCGAAATAGAAATCCGTCTAGATGGCGAAGAATGTCGCAAAAATGTCGACATCAAAACTCCTCAGGGAAGAACTGAGAAGCTCCCCATTTATAAAGATGGGGAATCCGTCAGAGGTACAGTCACGGTTCGTACCCGTGAGGGCCGCAAGGTTGAGCATTTGGGTGTACGTGTGCAACTCCTTGGTCTGATCGAGACCAATATCGATGGTGTCGTGGTACTGGACGATTTTTTATCCTTGGCCACCGAATTGGCAGCTCCAGCCCAATTGACTCATCCAGAAACTTACCCGTTTGAGTTCCGTAACGTGGAGAAACAATACGAGAGTTATAGAGGCAAGAGTGCCCGTTTGAGGTACTATGTCAAGGTCAGTGTCAACCGGAAATCCCTGCTGGAAATCACCAGAGAGAAGGAACTTTGGGTTTATCAATATGTTGTTGGTACTGCTGCTGGCACCGTCGGGTCTGGAAGAGCCGTCACTTCCCTGGCCCTGACCCTGGCCTTGACACTGGGCCCTGTTGGTGCAGCTGGCACCTCTGGAACTTCTGGCACTCCTGGCACTCCTGGCACTCCTGGCACTCCTGGTGGAGTCTCGAGGGCTGTCTCCGGCAATAGAGCCTCTCGTCTGGACTCCTCCTCCAAGACTGTCACTGCATCCAATGGTCCCAATGGCAACTCCAAACCAAATGGCCTTGCGTTCCCCACGGTGAAGATGGACGTTGGGATTGAAGACTGCCTTCACATCGAGTTTGAGTACCTGAAGTCTCGTTTTTCCCTCAAGGACGTGATCGTGGGGAGGATCTACTTCCTCCTCGTTCGGCTCAAGATCAAGCACATGGAGCTCCTGCTCATTCGACGGGAAACCGTTGGTGCCCCTCCAAACCAAACCACCGACAGCGAGACGGTCGTTCGGTTTGAGATCATGGATGGTGCTCCCGTCAGAGGAGAAACGATCCCGATCCGTCTCTTCCTTGGCGGCTTTGACCTCACCCCGACGTACCGTGACGTCAACAAGAAGTTCCTGGCCCGCACGTACCTCCTGTTGGTTCTAATTGACGAGGATTCGCGGCGTTACTTCAAGCAGAGTGAGATCATCCTCTACCGTGACCAGTAGTCTTCTCCAGCTCGTACAACCGCCGCCGCGGGGGTCGTCCATTGAGGCGCTCCGCTGGGACGTGAGTAGCCCTCGTCCACCGTGCGGGGGAAGCAAGCCGCTCCGCTGGCACTCCGTGGGCCACTAGCCGTGGAGGCCTTGTTCCTCTAGCGAGGAAGTGGAATGGAACTAGAGGACCCCCTCGTAGAGGAGCCAGGCCCCACGCCAGTGACCCTTCCCGGGTAGGGGCCAACAGAGTGGCAAGCAGACCCTACACGGCCGGGGAGCTACTATCTTCCCTACGGGGTCTGCAAGCCGCTCCGCTGGCACTCCGTGGGCCACTAGCCGTGGAGGCCTTGCTCCTCTACCGAGGAGTAGTCTCTCTCTCTCTCTCGTGAGGGATCCCCTCGTAGAGGGGCCAGGCTCCACGCCAGTGGCCCTCCCCGGGTAGGGGCCCAGCGGAGCGTCATGCAGTCCCACAGGGACGTGAGTAGCCCCACCTACCCTACCCTACGGGGTCTACAAGCCGCTCCGCTGGCACTCCGTGGGCCACTAGCCGTGGGGGCCTTGCTCCTCTGCCGAGGAGATGATCTCCAGTCTCCGGTCTACAGCCTACAACCCCGACCCACTCTGCGTCTCTTCAACAAGATAACCTCTACTCAACTGGCCCCAAGGAAGGTACCCGGAGTACCCACCCAGCCCTACAAAATGCCACCCAGTGGCTCCCCCCCTAGTAGCCCTAGCCTACGGTAAATAGATGTATACACGCTCGTTTGTAACCCTCACCCACTGTAGATCGCCCCCTGCACCCCCCCTCGAAGAGGGGCCAGGCTCCACGCCAGTGGCCCACGGAGTGCCAGCGGAGCGGCTTGCTTCCCCCGTACGGCCATTCCAGCCCGTCCACCGTGCTGCTTCATATTAGCGGGTCGCTTGACCTCCCCCTGAGGATCGAGTGCGGATCGCAGACAAAAGATGCACCTCGACTTTTTTTGGCAACACCACCAAACTCAACCCACAGCCCCACCCACCTGCTCTCCTCCCACCCCCCTCCAACCGGCTATGGAGAAAGACGTCGCTAGTCCCGAACGCCGACAAGCCTCCACGGTTGCTGCTGCGACAACCGCCGCGGTCAGTGGCAACAGGAGTGACGCCAACGACCGGTCTGATCTTTTCTCGCATTCTCGACCGAGCCCATTCGAGCCCACCCTGCCAGCCTCACACCCTCTGGCCATCCACCAGTCGAGCCAACCCACACGCAGCATGCCCGCTAGCCAGCCCATAGCTCCACCCTCGCCAATACCGACGGAGGGCGACCCTGTGGCGGCGACTGTCCCTTCTTCTTCTTCTTCTTCTTCTTCTTCTTCTGTGTCGTCGCGAACATCGCCCCTCCCACCAACCCACAGCACCGCGTCCAACCAAACAGTATCCCTCTCGACGGCCGGGATCCGGGCCCTCGTGTACCAGCTCCAGGCCATCTACATCCGGACGCCCGTCAAGCTCTTCCGACCCTCGCGCTTCGACTACCTCGCGTACGTGTGTGAGCTTGCCAACCAGCACGAGAACCTCACCACCAAGCCTTATTCCATCCGGACCCACTCTTCCTTGGGCATGCTCTTCAACGTGGTCCGTAAGGAGGGCTGGAGGTTCATCCCGGACAAGGTTCTCCCCCCATTGCTCGCCAACTCCGCCACCGGGCTCATCCTTTACGCGTCATATTTGACCGCCTTGGATCTGTTCACGGGGGCCACAGCCGCAGCATCTACTGCCACAGCTTCCACTGGCACTGGCACTGGTACTGGCACTAGCACTGGCACTAGCTCTGGTGGATCAATCCCGGCCTACTCCTTTGTAGACACTTGGAAGGCAGGATTCCTTGCCGGGGCCGCACAATCACTTGCTGCGGCTCCGGTGGACGCCATCTACACTCGGCTGAACGCAGCAGAAATGCTCAATGGCCACCATCAAAACCTCTGGGTGTACGGACTCCAGAAGCTCCGCGAGATCGGACTTGTTGGAGTCTTTGCCGGCTACTCGTTCTCCCTTGTCAAGGAAAGTTTGGGCTTTGCCTTTTATTTCTCCACTTTTGAAACCGTCAAGACCCGAGGCTACAACGCCACCTATCGGATGGTGCGGGCGTATCGTCGCTTCAAGCTCCGTTGGAACCATTTGGTTCCCTCGGCCTGGCGTCTGTCACAACCCCCCCTCGACCCAACAAAGGTCCACCTAGAACAAACAAGACTGACCAAAATCCTCCGATCTTCATTTGTGCTCATTGCTGGGGCTCTGGCAGCCTTCTCCCTCTTGGCGGTGCAATATCCTCTCACCAAGATCCAGAAAATGCATCTTGCCCGTCTAGAAGTGTTGGACATCTACAGTGCGTCCTCGGCCCCGTCGTACCGACCCTTTGTCAAGCTCTACTACAACCTGTACATCGACACCTACCACCAGATGATCAAGATCAAACAGAAGCTGAAGCTCACGTGGTTCCAGCTCGGATACAAGGGGTTTGTACGCAATGCCCTCACCACCATCCCGGCCACCTCGGTTGGACTCTTGGTGTTTGAGATCATGCGGACAAAGCTTTCTGATCTGATCGATGATGGAGTCTTGGAATAGACTCCAGCAGGGGAGTGCCCCTCAGACTCACCCCAGACCCTGCAGGGCGGACGAGGGCTACTCACCTCCCACATGACGCTCCGCTGGGGCCCCTACCCGGGGAGGGCCACTGGCGTGGAGCCTGGCCCCTCTTCGAGGGGAATCCTCGAGACAATGACGGTGTACTCCTCGGTAGAGGAGCAAGGCCCCCACGGCTAGTGGCCCACGGAGTGCCAGCGGAGCGGCTTTCAAACCCCGTAGGGTGGTTAATTCCTTACCCTGCAGGGTATACAAGCCGCTCCGCTGGCCCCTGCTCGGGGAGAGCCACTAGCGTGGAGCCTGGCCCCTCTTCGAGGGGATTCTTCAAGATAGAGACCGTGCTCTCCTCGGTAGAGGAGCAAGGCCTCCACGGCTAGTGGCCCACGGAGTGCCAGCGGAGCGGCTCACAGACCCCGTAGGGTAGACGAGGACTACTCACCTCCCCGTGGGACTACACGACGCCCTGCTGGGCCCTTTCCTAGCGAAAGTTAGTCGCCTACAGACTCGAGACGGAAGTCTCCATGTATATAGAACGAGCCGGAGACTCGTGGGTATGTAATTATTTATTCATATATTTATTTATAATAGGAAAGACCGGAAAGAAGATAATCAGGCGGTTCTCTCGGTGTAGGCCTTCCAACCGGCGTCTCTGTAACGAGCACCTTCAACCTTTGGATCACGTCCCTTGCCGAACAATCCACGACCAACGATGATCACGTCAGTTCCGGTCGAGACCACCTCGCCGACAGTACGGTACTGTTGACCCAAGCCGTCACCCTTGTCGTCCAAACCGACACCTGGGGTCATGACAAGCCAATCGAATCCTTCAGAGGCACCGCCCATGTCACGTTGAGCAATGAACCCAATGACAAATTCGCGGTCAGTGCGCGCAATGTCAACCGTACGTTCGGTGTACTCACCGTAGGCAAGCGATCCCTTGGACAGAAGCTCGGCCAACATGAGGAGACCACGAGGCTCGCTGGTGGTTTCCTGGGCGGCTTCCTTGAGTCCCTGGACAATGCCAGCACCGGTGATCCCGTGGGCGTTGGTGATGTCGGACCATTGGGCGATTTTGTACACTCCGCCGGCGTATTGCGACTTGACAGTGTTCCCGATGTCGGCGAACTTCCGGTCCTCAAAGATCATAAAGTTGTGCTTCTTGGCAAGGGCAAGCAAGGGGACGATGGTACCTTCGTACGAGAAGTCATCAATGATGTCTATGTGGGTCTTCACCAAACAAATGAATGGTCCCAATTGGTCGATCAACCCGAGGAACTCCGCGGTTGTCTTGACATCGACGGAGGCACACAAGTTTGTTTTCTTGGAGTCCATAAGACGAAGAAGGCGGGCAGCCACTGGGGATGCGTGCACAGCGGCACGCTCGGTGTAAGTTTTGGTGCTCATGACTTTGACGGGGGAGATGGGTTGAAATAAGGAACAAAGTTCGTAGTCACGGCTTTAAAGATGAGGCCTTAGAAAAAAATTTGGCACTACTGCCACTGCCGCTCTGCAGTCGTTTCGCGCTAAATCTTATCGTTCAACGGCACGGCTGGCAGCCATCAAGACTACGCTCCGCTGGGGCCCCTACCCGGGGAGGGCCATTGGCGTGGAGCCTGACCCCTCTACGAGGGGGTTGGGATTTTGCCAGGGAGGTGTAGAAGTGTAGTAGGAGTGTTTTGTGTAGAGATACGGTTAGATTGTAAATCACAGGTGGGGTATGAGGAAGAGTGTTCTATAGGTGTTGAAGAGAGTGTAGAGCTGTAGGAGGTCAAGGGGCGTCACTGGGACAAAGAGGATCTTCCACTCCTTGCCAGAGGAGCTAGGCACTACGGCTGGCAGCCATCAAGACTACGCTCCGCTGGGGCCCCTACCTCAGTGGCCCCGGAAAGGAGAAGTGCTCCACCATACGGGGTCTGCAAGCCGCTCCGCTGGCACTCAGTGGGCCACTAGCCGTGGAGGCTTTGCTCCTCTACCGAGGAGTACACCGTCACTGTCTCGAGGAATCCCCTCGTAGAGGGGCCAGGCTCCACGCCAGTGGCCTCCCCGGGTAGGGGCCCCAGCGGAGCGTCATGCGGGGGGTGGGTTGAAGTCACCCGCAACTTGACAAAATCTCTTATAATAATAATATATATTCTATAAACTGTCTATATCGACGACATGATTACTCCGCAGAACCAGCAGGTTCTTCCAGAGTGGCGGTTACCGCAGCATTGGTGGATGTGCTCACCTCAGGTGTTTCCAGAGTCTGGGATTGTTCGTCTGTGGTGGTGGGTTCTGGTTCGTCTTGGTCACGAAGAGTCAATAACTCAGAGTCCAATACTTCAACTCGTGCCCAGGTTTCTTCCCAAACTTCTTTCTTGTCACGGACCAAAACGTTGTTGCTCTGCAACACAAGAATCATATTCTTGAGCATTTCCAGTCCTGTTTCCTTGAAGAGTTTAGAATAATTTACATCTCCATTGTGTTGGAAGTTCACCATGTGGTCCAAAATGCCGAGCCAGATGGAATCGATGTCATCCTGAGGTAATTTCCCATGAGAATGAAGGAATACCTTGCTGGCTAGAGAAAGGGTTTCCACTTGAGTTGGTGCAAATCCAGTTGGATCAGTGGCCAACACTTCTTCTTTACCCAATTCAGAAAGAAGAGGGAAAAGAACAAATTCAAACACTCCCAGGGTGGTCAAGATTCCATGAGGATCGTCGGCAAGGATCGCCAGTTGGAGACATGACGCGGCATATTGTCTCACTTCACGACATGGGTTGAAACATTGATGGGCAAGTGCTTGGAATTGAGAATAAGTGAGGTCTTTTTCCTTGAGATATTCTTGTCTTGTAGAAATTCGAGTTAAACTGGTGGTTAAGGAGATTGAAGTTTTCAGATCAGCAATTAAAGAAGATGAGGTAACTCCAGTTTTAAGATCATTTTTAGATTGTTGTTCATGAGATCCCATGGCTCCAAGAGATGAAATTTCATCCAAAAGTCCTAAAAAGGTGAGATATACCAGAGGAGTGATTTTTTCACTATGAGTATCAATCACCATTGAGGCTAAGGTTACGATTTCCTTCGAATTTTCTGGTTGAGTGGCAAGAATTCTTAATATTTTCCAGAAAGAATCCATAGAAAGAACATGGGATTGACTCCATCCATCATTGGCAAGAGAAATAAGGGTTGGACATAAACCACCACCCAATTTGATGAGGGTGTCTGCATGGATTTCATTCAAATCATCAAGAGTTTTCTCAAGAATTGGAAGAGATTCTTCCAAAGTTTCTGCTTCCTTTAAAAGAAGAAGCTTATAGGTTGAGATTCTAATGGATGATCTTTTCGATAATGGAGAAGATGAAGGACGAGAAAGCTTGGTTAAAAGTTTGGAAATGAGTTGACCATTGCCAAGAATCAATGAGAAACAAACACAAGCTTCAAAGACGAAGAGAGAAGTTGCTGAAGTGTTTGAGGAAGAATTATTGGAAGAATTGACCGAGTCAGATTTTCCCACAGTGTCACCAGTTGGTTCCTTCTTAACTTCTTCTTCTTCTTGTTCTTCTTCTACTTGTTCCAATAACAATTCCATGAAAATTTCAAGATTGCCACCGCCATTTCTAGCCAAACTTTCAAATACTTCTGGAATGTTAATCGATCTAACACAATCAATGGTGGACAAGGTCAGTTCGACTTCTTGGTCGGTTGGCTCAGGAGTGACGTCACTGTATCCCTTCAAAAAGGACGAGAACGTGGACAACAAGCCCAGATCCTTCAATGGTTTACTACGATTGATGACATATCTTGGCTTTACCTTGGGCAATGGACCCAATTTCAATTTTGTTTGGAAATCAACAAATAAGTTTGGATCAATAAGACAATTTTCAAATAATGTCATAATGATCTTGACAATGTTTTTCCAAGCAACAGAATTTGAAACATGATATTGAGTTTTCTTCATCAATCTGAACAAGACAACTGCAGAGATTTGTGCCTTGAAGTCATGACCAAACCATACTGCTACACCACTAACGGTAATAACTTCATCCTTTTGATCAATATGAATTTGAGTAATTGGAATTTCATCTCTAATATTTTCTGGAGATGATGAACTTGTCAATTTTTGAACATTATGATTTTCAGTGAGTGATGTTTGTAATGTTAACGCCGTTAAAAGATCATCAATAGATTCATCCAATCCAAAATGCATACAAATGGTGGCACATTTATCAACAGAGGACATAAGTCTAGTGATAATATGATCATCCAGAGCTTCTTGGAAGACCTTGATGAGGGTGGAAATGATGGTATGGACAATTTCCTTGAATAATACCTTATCAAATGATAAAATAAGATCAAGATCAAGTTCTGATTGAATATCCCTTGATTCCTTTTCTTCTTCAACTTCACTACTAATCATATTATTCCAAACATCATCAAACCATTTTTCAGTACCATGATGTTCTTCAGGCATGATGATTTCACGATCTCTAATAGAATAGTAGATCTTGGAAAGATACCATTCAGGGAAATCTTTCCCATAGTAGATACCTCTCAAATTTCTTCTATAACTCTCAAGATCCATTCTTTTTTGAACTTGTGGGTTATGTTGATCTGTGTTTAACATGATGATGGAATAAGAGAGGATGAAGGTGGCGTCTTTATCGGGGTGAACTTCTTCCAATTCATCGTTAGAAGTAGCTGAATCCTTATCAGAACTATCAGAACTCTCAGAATTTTTCGAATTTTCAGAATCCTTTTCAGAAATCTTGATAGAATCACCATTTGAAATTTCCTTTACACTTGTACTCTTTTGACATTCTTCATATCTTTCAGCAAATATCTCAACCACTCTTTCAATTTGTTGACTTTCACCTGGTAATCTAAAACTTTTCAATAAAATTCTCAATGCTTCATCAACTCTTAAACCTTCAAATTCAAATAAATGAATGAATTTCTTTAAAAGATCAATATTTGATGGCTTGGCAAGATATTCTCCTAGAACCTTTTTGTTAAGTCTGGTTGATTTGGAAAAGATAAATCTTGCTAATTCATCAATATCGGAAGGATTGGAAACAAATCCCTTTTTATAAAGTTCTTGAACTCCCAATTTTGGTGAAGTATTGAAAAATGTAGTACATGAAATAAATGCCATTTTTTGAGATTTATCAACAAGTGAACCTTTAGTTGAAGATTTGAATGATGTTGTAGATGACTTGATGTTTGATTCAATCTCAGAAGAATTTTTATTGCGATTCTTCTCTCTAATTCTTTCATTAACTCCTCCAACATATCCCAAAATAGCTTCAAGACAAATTGGTGGAACATTATCACTGGTTTCTCCTGCACTTTCCGGTAACGATAATTCACATAATCCTTCTAATAATTCCACTGCCAAGTCACTTTTTTCAAAATCACAATCATATGTCATGAATAATTGTGTGAAAAACATTGGAGATCTGGTCCAGAGTAATGAAAGACTTTCAATGATCATTTCTTTCGAAAGCGCCAGTCTTGTGATTGACGATGATGAATCTCCTCCTCTACTGGCAGCCGCCGTGCTACTGATCGGAGTAGTAGTAGTAGTACTCCCCTGTTCTTTCTTCTTGGGAACAACACTCTTGAACAAAAGAGTCAATGATAATTCAATTTGACTCTTCATATGATCCCCCAATACAATGGTAATGGTGGTGAATAATTGAAGTGAGGCTTGAAGTAAAGGTGGAGAGTCCAGAGTAGACATGATTTGAAGAATGTGCTTACAAGCATTATCAGAAACAAGACGAAGTAACGCAGGATGTTTGGGGAGTTCACCCCCACAAATCTCAATGGCTCCATTGAGAAGGGAAAGGGCAAATACTCTGGTTGATTCCATATGTTGATATTGATTTGTAGGGGAGATCATGGAGATTAAAATGGCCAAGAACTCATTGATGGAATGGATTCCAAACGATCCATCATCAGCCAAGGGACTAGTGAGATCGTCCAACTGATTAGATCCAGCTAATTGACCACCTTCTTCAGAGACTCGATGTTCTTCGTTGGTAACTCCACCCAATGGCTCTTCACCAAGAGTGCCGATGGTACCAATTGATTCCATCACCACGGTTGATTGATCACCATGATGGTCGACTTCACCGGCAATGGTTTCCAATTGGTTGAACACTCTCCAACATACCAAACTCATGCTCATTTCGGCAGCCTTTCTCAAGACTTCACTTCTCTTTTTATTGCAAGCAAGTCTCAAAAAGGTTTGAACCACCTCTGAAATCACTTCATCGGGCAAAAGGTTCAGTAAGTCTGATTCCATCACCACTTCAAGTAATCTCAACACTTTCAACAAGACCGCATCATCCGAGTTTTGATCTCCAGCTTCAAATCTGCAATGGGTCAACGAAGACATGATCTGTACCACGGCCTGCTGGACGTTGCACGACTCCAACGTGACCAACTGGTACTGGAGGAACTTGTGGATCGAGCTGAGGGCCAATTGTGTGATATGGCCGGACGTGGACGACGATTTGATCACAAGAAGAAAAGGTTGAAGAAGAGTCAAACTATCGATTTCATGAAGGTTTGGGGTTTCTGTGAGAATTGCACGAAGTCTGAAGAATGACGAGAGTAAGGGCGAGTCATTGGAGGTGGAGGTGGAGGTGGAATTTGTGGAGGTTGTTGTTGTTGCTGTTGTTGTGGATGAGCCGCCGCCAGGGGAGGAAGACGAAGGGTTGCCTGCGGAACCGGAACCACCACCACCACCGACTGATGAGTGGACACTCAAGCCATGAGCAACAGTACGGGCCTTACCTCCCACCAATCCATGCATATCATCCTCAACGTCACCGAAAAGTTGACCGGCTCCCAAAATGGCAGCCACTCCACTTTGCGACCATCGGCTCAGTTTCCTCATGGCCGACGAGATGATCATGCATTCGTTGATGACAAGGGTGACCGGGTCTACCGCCACCCTACGATGTGAATATTGGCTATAGCCATGGCCATGGCCATGGCCATGGGAATGGGTTGGAAGTGAACTTTTAACTTTGGACTGGCGTGGTTGAGTCTGGCCCTGCTGGCGGGGCTCAGCCGGAGGCTCAGGCCCGGGCGTTGCACTAGGTGTAGGGGTCCCACTTAGTCTCATCATACCTGCTGGATGTGTATATATATATATGTGTTCTATTTATCGAATCAATTCAAAAAGAACACGCGACGAGTGCCAAATGTTCAACGGGAGATCGAGAGAAAAAAAAGAACTGGGGGAACGAAATGCCACAAGGGGGGGGAAGGGCAAATATCCGCGCGACGACGTGGGATCTGGTGCTGTGCGCTCGTATATACGTTCTGCTGTAGCTGCTGATAACCAAGGTTTGTCTGCTTCTACTCTGAATACTCGACAGGTTTATGTTATCTGTAGTTCTTTATGGAAAAGTTGATTTGAAAGTGTCGCTTTTCTCTATTTTTGTCGTCTGTCACCCTCACAAACGTTTCGCGTTCTTGTGCACGCACTCAAGTAGACAAACAAATAAACCACGCGATCACGTGATGCCAAGGTATAAGGCAAAGCCTTTTCACATTTACATGGTGGGTATGGCTGCAAAATGGAGGAATAATGGGATAATATTATTGATTAGAATTGGGGGTAGAGTGAAGAGAGTAGGTGAACTCCAGGCATCGTACTAAAGTGAGGGTGAGAGTTCACGGAGGAGAGGGACACCAATGTGGCCGGTGTACCACCTTGGGGGCAAGGTAGGACGCTCCGCTGGCCCCTGCTCGGGGAGAGCCACTGCGTGGTGCCTAGCTCCTCTACGAGGAGAGACTGCTACAGGTAGGGGGATTCCTCGCCAGAGGAAGAAGGCCTCCACGGCTAGTGGCCCACGGAGTGCCAGCGGAGCGGCTTGCAGACCCCAAGGTCCGTGCGGGGGCACTGAGACGCTCCGCTGGCCCCTGCTCGGGGAGAGCCACTGCGTGGTGCCTAGCTCCTCTACGAGGAGAAACTGCTACAAGTGGGGGGTTCCTCGCCAGAGGAAGAAGGCCTCCACGGCTAGTGGCCCACGGAGTGCCAGCGGAGCGGCTTGAGCACCCCGTAGGGTGGGTCTACAATCGATGTTTGTGATTATTTGTTCATAACCATACCGATCAAGTATGTCTATTATTATATGTACAGGAGATTGAGAAAGGAAAAGAAGGATGAAAGAGCCCTAGATGGTCCGCTTGTAGTAGTCAGCATACGAACGCCATGCTAATCTCCACTCCTTTTGAGCTAATTTCTTGTGGAAAAGATCAAAATCACAACGTTCCAATCTTTGGAGATAAAGAGTGGTTGGGATGGCCACCATGAAAGGAGTGAATATCACATCTGGAATACCACGTCTCCATTTAGAAGAATATTTTTGAAGAATTTCATCAGATTTATTTTCGGCCACAACCGACTCGATCTGCTCACGTGCGCGCTGGAGTTTCGACCGAGCGGTAATAATATGATCATTTGCCACGACAGCAGTATCATAAACAACATTTTTAAGTTGCATTTGAATAGCTTCAACTTCTTCATTGGAGGATTGATGACCTTGAACAAGACGTAAAAGAGATTCTTGAGAAATATCATATTTTGTCATAAGATCAATTGGTAAGGTGATCTGGTCACGTGTCTTCGCATAGTAAGTTGCACCTAAAAGCATTGAACTAATTGAAGTTGCTTGACCTATATGAGCAGAAATTTCACCAACAATTGATTGTAAATCTGGAGAATGTTCCAAAAGGGAGATAACCAGTGGGGAAATCGAAGGAGAAAGTAAAAGACCTTGAGTCAAATAATTAAGTTGAGAATAAGTTCCCTCTCCATACAGACAAATATCATCAATTGATTGAAATGATGAAGTACCCAGACGTAAGAAATGTCTACGAGTTTGAAGAAATTGATGGAAATAAGTGATATCCAAATTAAGACCCTGGCGGAGTGCATCTCGAAGCAAGATGGCAATTGGTTCACCTACAGCACGGTCCAGCAGAGGATCATTGAAAATCTGACCTAACAAATCACTCCAGAATTTAAATTTAACATCAATTGTGGAAACCCCAAGAGTTGATGAAAGTTGAGAAGAAGCTCTTGATGCGACTGATTTTGTGTTCGCACCTCCATCATTGATCTTATTGATTTCCAAATTGAAGGCACGGATGGCCAAGAAGGCATCTCTTGCCGGTTCCGGCACATATTGAGCCAAGATATACGATGAACGATCATGAGTTTCAAGAAGTGTATTAACATTTTCACGAGCATTGAAAAGTTGACTAGCATATCCACCATCGGACATAAACCGTTGAGACATTAGCGACATTGATATTGGACGATTAACCGAAGGAGCAACTCCTCCCACGGATTTCCGGACAGTATTGCGAATCAAGTATCTTCCATACATGATAGATAAATTTAAGGATCTATAGGTTTGGCGGTGGGGATAAAACCAAACGTTTATGAAAAGGGTTGAGGTTTTGTACAAGAAATGTCGCATCTTAGCTCAAAATCACAGATATAAGGACAGAATGTATGCAGGAACCTTCTATCTCCTCGTAGAGGATCCAGGCTCCACGTAGTGACACTCCCCGAGCAGGGGGGCCAGTGGAGCGTCCCAGTGGCCCCGCAGGGAAAGGAGCAGTGGCCACCCTACGGGGTCCTCAAGCCGCTCCGCTGGCACTCCGTGGGCCACTAGCCGTGGCGGCCTTCTTCTTCTGGCGAGGAATCCCCCACCTGTAACAGTCTCTCCTCGTAGAGGAGCTAGGCACCACGCAGTGGCTCTCCCCGAGCAGGGGCCAGCGGAGCGTCCCAGTGGCCCCCGTAGGGTAGGGATCCCACTGTAGACATATATTTCATTCTCGTGTATGATTTTGCAACCTTCTCAAGACAAGGTGTTCGGGTGCACGACATTTTCCCGCGCAATATGACTGGAAATTGAACATTGGATCAACTTGGAAATCTTCAATGACCTTCAACTTGGTGAACTACGAGTTATGAAGATCGAAACAGTGAGACCAAACGCTTATTTGGACGTCTCTATCGATGGGACTCCAACAGGCCGGATTGTGGTGGAGCTCTATGATGACCTTGCGCCTAAGACAACGGAAAACTTCAGACTGCTCATCGCGGCTGGAAGTTATAATGGCAATGTTTTCCATCGTGTAGTTAAGAATTTCGTCATTCAAGCCGGGGATACCGTCCATGGGATGATGAAGGAGGGTAAGGACTCTGAGTATCCGCCTCCGGCGGCAGTGGGCACGGGGAATGTCTCCTCATTTGCCGATGGTGCACCATTTGAAGACGAAAACATGACGGCCTTGGATGGACCATTCATTTTATGTATGGCCAACACAGGTCCAAATACCAATGGGTCACAATTCTTCATTACTACGTACCCACAGCCTCACTTGACCGGGAAGCATACGGTGTTTGGCCATGTGGTTCATGGTAAGTCTGTGGTGCGAGCTGTGGAAAGAGTAGACACAGATGGTACTACCAACTTACCACGTCAACCAGTGAGGATTGACGAGGCAGGTGAGTGGCAATTAGGGATGCCAGTGCCAGTGTTCAACGCCTCATATGACCAGATTGGAGGTGATGTTTATGAAGAACATCCTGATGATGATACTCATATTGACCATGAATCATCACTGAGTGTTCATGAGGCTGCCACTATCATCAAGGGAAGTGGAACTCTTCTTTTCAAGGCCGGAAGGAAACAAGAGGCACTTCTCAAGTATATCAAATGTCTCAGGTACGTGATGGAGTTTTTCCCCGATGAAGACCAAGAACCAGATTGGTATGCCAAATACGTTGACCTCAAGGCCAAGTTATACTTGAATTTAGCACTTGTCAGTCTTCAATTGGGTAATCCAAAGAGAGCCGTTGATTACTCTACTTTCCTTTTGGAAATGGATGAAAAACCCTTACCTGGTCCTGCCGACAGAGCCAAGGCACATTTCCGGAAGGGTACCGGTCTTATTGAACTTAAAAAGTATAAGGAAGCCGTTGCTGAACTCCGTAAGGCATCTGAATTGGTAGAAGGCGATAAGGCCATTGAACGTGAACTTGAGAGAGCCACCGCCAAGTTTGAACAAAGTAAGAAGGATGAGAAGGCGAGGTACGCCAACTTCTTCAAGTGATAGACATAAATATAAAGGGTAAGGGACCATTATGGGGGTCAGGCCTTTTGTTTATAGACCTTTTAATAAATAGATAATTTCTTTGGATGTGTAAACAAAGTAGAGAATCATTAATGAAGGGAGTTGTATATTTTGGGAGAAGGACACAATTAGATAAGCTGTTCCATACCAAGAAATTAGTCAATGCCAATAGAACTGTGGTATTCAGGGGATTGATACCAGTGAGCTTGTCTAGCAAGCTCAACAACACCAAGAGGAATATATTCAATTCTAGCCCTTGTTTTATGTGTACTATAAAATGTATATTTGTTTATATGGTACATTTACTCTTAGAAGATTTTTTTAATTGTTTGGTTGCAAAAACTACGTGGCCAATGACAGGATTAAATATTTCCCCATGATATATGTTCATTTTATTATTGGATACACATGTATTTACCAAGTGATCCATCTTCGAGGTATACTAGGGCTGAAACTATCATAAAACATGAAACCTGTTTCAATTAAAATAATCTAAAGTTAAATCAATTACAACAGTATCTCTTAATAAATACTAGAGCGATAAATTTACTCTTGTGGATAAGTTTAACCATTAGGAATACAGTAACGCATATGATGAACACCATCATAATGTTCATCTATGAAATCGGTACCAAAGAATTCTAAATAACCATAACATGCCTGTCAAAAGATATTTCAGGAATCAATATTGAATGATTCAGTTATCATGTTATAAATTATGATGAGAGATCTAAAAGTTAATATAATTAGTACGAAGATTTCTTACATAAGTGTTTGAATCCCGAGTTCGTAACCAGAAACAATTTTGTAAAGATAGATTGAATCAATCCTGGATTAATGTTCAGTATCGGCTTCTTTACGGGTTTCTAATTGAACCCGAAGTACCACGAGAGGCAACGTTATTGCGAGATCAGATTACAACGTAGGGCGATGGTTCGTCAGCATAGTGTACGTATACTACAACGATTTCAAGCTCTGGCTCAACTTGAGCAATAGTTACATTATCATGTGCTGAACCTTGAGATCATATTCACAGTACATTCTACTGGTATTCATTCTCATTCATTCTATTCATAGATGGGTTACATATATAGAAGAACCTCTGGGAATTGGTTAATCAACTTCTATTTACCTCAAAACAATTCCAACATGTCTCAGTATATCTAGATTCGCCACCCTACCAGGCTAGACATGTGCTTACGTGAGAAAATTCATGTTGACAACCAAGCCAATGGTCTAATCTTTTATTCATCTCGGTAGCATTCTCACGCTCCTCCATATCATGAGAGACGCTCTGTTGGCCCCTACTCGGGAAGAGCCACTGGCGTGGAGCCTGGCCTCTCTTCGAGGGGATTCTTCAAGATAGAGAGCATGTACTCCTCGGTAGAGGAGGATGGCCCCCACGGCTAGTGGCACACGGAGTGCCAGCGGAGCGGCTTAAAGTCCCCGTAGAAAATGTATTCACAGCGGGGCTATCAGGGAGAGACATCGTACCAGGATCATCTCAAACTTGAGTGTCCATAGATTCTTTTAATTGCTGAAACCACCTTTGAATATGGAAATCTTAATTAATTCTTTTTGCAGCCAAACCAACAAACAAAGTCCACTTAGTGTGGAGGACAAACCATTTTCTATGCACACCATCGCAGACTTTTCAGATGACTGGTAACTCCAAATGTCGTGTCGTTCGAAACGAATCTCATCTCTATCTTTCTATACATTTTGCAAACATCTTATCTCCTTACATAGCCCTGACAAATGCCCATATCCACCAACACTCTTGTGTCATGTTTGAAACAACGAGTCCCCGTACATGATTTTTTCGATGACATTGATTCTCTGTCCTTATCAATTGAATCGCAAAATAAAATTTTGTCGGTAATGTCGCCAATTGTTACTCAAAACCCATATTATGCTAAACTTTTTTTAAAACGTTATATTGATAAATTGGAACATTTTGATCATCCAGATCATGAAGTATTGGAAGAATTCTATGAATTATACCCCACTGTCATGGGAGCCCAAGAATTAGCTCCTACCGATTCTGATATAGTTTGTTATCAAGTTTCAAATGAGTGTGAAGTTTGGATTAAAGAATACCCGAAACTCATTTCCGGTCAAGGAACCACGGGACTTCGCACTTGGGAAGCTGCACTTTATTTTGCAGCGTATTTAAACAATGTTAATAATAATGATATTTGCCTTGCTAATAAGACCATCTGTGAACTAGGAACTGGTACTGGACTTCTTCTGGTATCCTTGGTGAAAAACTCCGAGACTTTGGGTAACATTAAAGAGGTGATTTTCACTGATGGAGATTCACAATTGATTGAAAATTTGAACGGAACTTTTGAATTAAATTCGGTCAAACAACATCAACAAAATTCCAATTCCGACCAGCCAATTATAAATTGTCACCAACTTCTTTGGGGGACCACCAATGAACAAGATAAGGAACAATTTCTTCAGCCTGTTCCATCAGGAGTGGATTATGTAATTGCTGCAGATGTGACGTATGACACAACCATTTTGCGGCCATTATGTAGTACAATTCTGGATTTCTTTGCATCAGGCACCACTATGGCACTTATTGCAGCAACAGTGAGGAATGAAAAGACTTTACATGAATGGGAATTAGAACTTACCAAATGGTTTGGGAAGGACCGTTGGAATGTTCGTGAACGTGTTGCCAAACCAGAAGAGTTACAAGATCAAACTCTTTGGTTTAGAAAGGGAACGGCAGAGATCAGAATTTATGAGATCCGTAAGTAGAAACCCTCTTCCCTACGGGGTAGGCAAGTCGCTCCGCTGGCCCCTGCTCGGGGAGAGCCACTGCGTGGTGCCTTGCTCCTCTTCGAGGAGGAATTTTACAGGACTGGAAAACGTTTACAGAGGCCAGACATGTGTTGGAGAAGCCTCACCGGGGCCACCTACTCGCTGGAAAATGGCTACACTATTGTATCAGGGCGAGAGGAAATTATAGAAGCGATTCAGAGATGCCCAAAATACGGAAACCCCACGAAGGTGTCTGAAATAGAGAGATACATATGATAATAAAATAATCCTTCTAATAAACAACTAAGTATTATACCTTTAAAAGACAAAAAATATAGATAGAGATAGTTCTACCCCACCCACGGCCAAACATTCAGAAAGGACAACTCTCAGGTCTCTATAATCTTCAGATCACATGATCAAGTAACAAATTCTTTCAAACACGTTACAATTTTCATTAATTTTAATTTTAATTAAACAATTTCTTTATATAGGTAGTTCACCTAGATCTCATATAATCGTTTTAATAATCTCTACCATCCATCTATCTGTTTTTATTTTTCAATTGTATTAATACGTATAACCTTTATACTTACAGACCTATACTATATACACAACATCACATGACCCAAAATTCCAAGATACGTGCCCAGACCAAAACCGCATAAACGTCTTCTATTGGCCAATATGGCAGAGAGGTCTCAAACCCGAAAATCGAAATAAACTGAAAGCGTTAACAGACAAGCTTAAAAGTAGATATAAATCCATAAATAGCTGAGATGTCATTCCCAACCCCAGTTCTTAAGCCATTCTGGCCATTCCTTGCAGGTGGTATGTATCAATCGCGGAGACGGATGGGGGTTCTTTGACGGTCCACGTTGAGAAGAACAATTTTTTTTTTTGTTGAACAAGAAGAGTGTGGGAGAATCTGTAGACACCATGGAGAACATTGAGATGTTATTAGAGATGAGGGGGGGGGGGGGGGACGTGATTGGAAGGAAGAGTGTACAGCTCATTTCCAATTGTACCAAGGAAGATAATGAGAAGGAAAGAAAGAGCAATGAGGATTCTTTGGCCTTAGAGACAATTTGAAGATCACACCAAGGAGAGACACTCTTACGAGTTTGTATAGAGCAGGATAAGCAGTGTTTGGCTAGAAATTTAGCTGACCAAGTCGCTGGATATTCTACTATCTACCAACCGAACCATCCCAACCACCCCACCCAATCCATATTCTCCACTACTCTACAACTTATTTTCATGTACAATATACTAACGTTCTAGCTTCTATTACCTACTTCTTGGTCTACAAGGGTTCCGTTGCTTCTATGAACTCTGACGAATTCATCAATGACCCAAGACACCCTAGATTTGCTACCGGTGGTAAGTTCATTGATTTGGAAAAGAAGGATTAGTTAGACTTATGATTGGCGCGTACATCGCATAAGAATAGAAAATATATTAAATGTTTAACCAGATTGTAGATATACTGAGGGATATTGAAGACCCCTCTTCTCTGTGAGCTTGATAGAACTCATTTATTGGAGCCAATCGAATAGATGTGGACCTCTAATGTACAGCAGAGTAGTTGGTTGCCCTGGAGCTCCACCCCGAATGGAGACAAGGAAGACTTCTAAGTTTCCATTGAGACGCTCCGCAGTGATGCCTTACCCGGGGTGGTATCACTGGCTTGTTACTCAAGGAAAATTCTCGTAGAGGAGCACGGTCCCCATGGCTTGTGGCCCACGGATTGGCGGAGCGGCTTGCAAAAATCGTTGGATGGACACTGCTCCTTTCCCTGTGGGGCCACTGAGACGCTCCGCTGGCCCCTGCTCGGGGAGAGCCACTGCGTGGTGCTTAGCTCCTCTACGAGGAGTTTCATACTCGTCCCTTCCTCGGCTAGAGTCCCAGGGAGCTTCTTGCCCTCCCACTGAGTCCATGCAACCCTCCACTATACCCCTATTTGACCAGAGCCACTCGGAAAGGTGGGATTACGGATTTAACGCTAAAACCTATCGTGATCGAGCAAAGCCACCTTTGACGGTCGCTCGTCAACTGAAAGTCTTGAACTTCATTTCTCCATCAGAATATTCAACAGAACAGACTGATTGTACCAGATCTGTTCAGGAGATAAATAACCAGAGTTGTATTTAACCTTGCTTGGTTTATTCTCCACAATCCACCATCATGGTGTTTCAAAGAACCTCAACCAACGTCCAACCTTCTGATATGTGTGTAATATTTGGCTACCCGCACTGCATAACCGGAATGCAATGTGATTAGACTATAAACTACTCATCCTCATTTACCAGTATATTAACAGATCCTGAGATTACCCTATTAAAAACCAACCTTAGATAACCATTCTTCACCTTCACACACAAAAGATACTCAATCTGGCCCAGGTCTAGACCTTGTGGAGAAATTGAATGTTCATGCAACCAACGACCATCTCAAATCTCATTAAGAGACAGATCCAAGTACCCGCTTAAAAAGAATTTCTACCACATCTGCTCAAATTCTAACACATTTGAGCTGCAACTGAAGCTTGGATCACCACATCTCCCGTCAGGTATACCCTCATTCGTAATTATTTTGTGTTGCGGCTTTTAGTCTTTGTATGGCCTCGTAATATTTTCTAAGAAAAAAAAGATTTTTGTAAATTTAACCCATTTGATCGCCTCAGAGTAGAGGTGCTGTGTACAGCACCAATACAATACAAAAACAGGTACAAAGGGTAGTCCTACATTGTTATCGGGAGTTTGTTCCCATCTTTCGGCCAGGTGGCTTGTCGTGACAGGTTACCGGGGACCTCCTGGAACCCCCTGGAACCCCCTTGGGACTATCATAGGACCCCTATCTCTTATTTCAGCATTTTAATTCAATTTAGGTGCTCCCGCCGCAGTGATCTCGGTCCATGCAGCATGCAGTGTGGCCAGTTGCCTCGACCTGCATGGTCCATCTAAACCAGTCAGCCATACGTATAATAAAAATAATAATCATGTCGTGTCATCCCTTCCCTTCGAGAACCCTCAAAGTGAAAGTAATTCATATTGAGTTCCGATTTGTCCAATTATATCTACCAATAACAATAAACAACTAAAAGGTCGCATTATTGTTGCCGCATGCACACGCTGCCGTAGAGATGCGGCTGCTCATTGTACTCAAATCAGCGTGCGCTTATTCATTCCCCCGAGAGGTTAAATACTTGCAGGACTTCTTGACAGGATAAGGCGTATGATTTTTTCCATTTTTGATGTCGTCTAAAAAATAATCTCAAACTTTCACCTTATATATTTCAGAAGTAGACCCCCCGCTAAACGTAATTTGCTCTCGCCCCAGTCATCCCACCCCGTTCTCGTAGCACCCCCCTCCACCATGCTCAGAAACATCGAGACCCAAAATCGAAACTATTCAGACCCCGAGATCGACTCATCTCCTCAACAAGAAGAAGAAGAGAAAAACATACCCCATGAATTTAATGATTCACCATATCTGGAATATTCGTACGAGGATGAAGAAGAAGATCAAAGAGAACGTAATTATTTCAAAAGGTTTGTCAACAGTTTCAAACCTTATGATTACTCAAACTTGCCCATTGAGTACTTCACCCATAATGAAGCATTATTGGAATCGATCCTGTCGCCAAGAATCGAAGACGAAGGCATAGCCCCCGTGACGACGATCCGACCCGAGGCCCACCCTAACCATCCAAACTTTGACTACAGCACCTTGTCGGAACTTGAACGTGCTGCCATTGTCACATCAACTTCACCACTCTCGAAAACTTTGAAAAGTAGACATTTACAAATGATTGCCATTGGTGGGGCCATTGGTACCGGGCTTTTCATCAGTTCAGGCCAATCCTTGGCCATGGCCGGGCCCTTGGGGATGCTTCTTGTGTGGCTCTTTATGTCGCTGATCATCTATGTGACCATGTCAAGTTTGGCGGAATTGCTGGTGGCGTTCCCAGTGTCCGGTGCGTTTGTCACCTTCAACACTCTTTTCGTGGATCTGTCCTGGGGGTTTGCCATGGCCTGGAATTATGCCCTCCAATGGCTTGTTACATTACCCTTGGAATTGGTGGCGGCAAGTATCACCATCCAATATTGGAATACAAACGTTAACCCAGCCGTTTTCGTGGCGGTTTTCTATGTGGTGATTTTCATTATCAATTTGTTTGGTGTAAAAGGTTATGGTGAAGCTGAATATATCTTCAGTATCATCAAGATTGTTGCCGTCATTGGTTTCATCATCTTGTCGATTGTAATCGTCTCTGGAGGCGCCCCCAATCATGTACACATCGGAGGTAGTAATTGGTTGGAACCTCAAGGTGGTTTGTTCAATATCCATGAACCTTTTAAAAACATCTGTTCCATTCTTTTCAGTGCTGCATTCGCCTATTCCGGAGTAGAATTGTTTGCTCTTGCCTCTTGTGAAACTATAAACCCAAAGAAAACTATCCCAAAGGCCATTAAACAAGTGTTTTGGAGAATCCTCATTTTTTATATCCTTTCCATTGTCATGATTGGATTGTTGGTATCCTATAAAGATGAAAGATTATTGGGTAATAACGTTGGTGGAAGTTCTGTAGCTTCATATGCTGGGGTCAACATTAATACTTCTCCCTTTGTTATTGCCATCCGTGAGGCTCAAATCCCTGCTCTCCCTTCGATTATGAATGTTGTGATCATCATCACCGTGTTATCGGTTGGGAATGCATCTGTCTATGGATCCTCTAGAACCCTTGCTGCCCTTGGTGCTCTTCGTCAAGGTCCATCCATTTTGAACTATATTGACCGTAGAGGTAGACCATTGGTTGCCCTTTTCGTCCAGGCCATCATGGGGTTACTTTGTTTCCTTGTTGCCATTCCAGGTCAAACCAAAAGTATTGATGTATTTAATTGGCTTTTAGCAATCAGTGGATGTTGTTCTATTTTCACTTGGTGGTCTATTTGTCTTTGTCATATTAGATTCAGAGCTGCATTGGCCCATAGAGCAAGAGATGCTAGTGAAGAACTTGTTTACACTGCCAGTGTCAAAGGGTCTTGGTATGGACTTATACAATTGTTTCTTATCCTTGCAGTTCAATTCTGGGCTGCTCTTTTCCCAACCAATAATGGAGGTAAACCTGATTTGGTGAGTTTCTTTCAAGTTTATTTAGGAGCAGTTGTTGTTTTCGTCAGTTATGTTGGTCATAAGTTGATTTCTTGGATATTTTTCAAAGCTCCACTCCTCAAGTTTTACCTCACAGTAGATGAAATTGATGTTGATACTGGACGAAGAGATATCGATCTTGAAATTGTAAAACAAGAAATTGCAGAAGATAGAGCTGCTGCACTTACTTGGCCAATTTATATGAAAGTATTTAAATTCTTCTGTTAAGAGAGGATGTACAAGGAGTATAAGATACCCAGAGAAAATGAAATCTAATGACTATAATCTAATGAATAAAATAATGAATAAAAAGGTGTAGAGTAAAGAGAGAATTGGGTAGATTTAGGGGATACGTGGTCATATTATGCGAATCTATAGAGATGTAGTTCCACCCTGATATTTCTAAAAGACCAGTTTTATATCTGTTTATTTATCTGTTATTGGCAGTATTCAGATGGTACCGAGGTTCAGCTATTCTTCAAAGAGATATAATTACAGCTCACAGTGTATATATATATATATATATTTGCAGCCATTACTTGATTACATTCCTCAATACATGTGCCCAACGCCCGCCAAGAAAAAAAAACAATAACAACACAATCTATCGAAACATCTCTATTGGACAATTACTCCTAGTGGGATACATACAGAGATACAGCAGATTTGGAGCCCATATAACACATGGGAAAAAAACATGCTCAACAATAGTCCCACAACTCTCGTAATCTCCAACTATCACAAATTATGAAACCAAAGGAATCACAAGATTTACCACAATTTCGTAGAAATGATCCACACTTTCTCTACCCATATACAAAGTAAAAAAAGTTATTTTATTTTCCACTTCCATCTTTCAATATAGCAAGACTACGTAGAGAACTACCTACACGTTGTATTTCCCCGAATTAAAACGTACGAAAAAGGAATTACATAATTATTTCCGACAGTTTGTCTCAAGTTTATTACGCAATTTATAAATGTAAGACGTGATTATAGAAAATGTATTATATAAAGAGAATCATCCAATATTGGGCTTCAAATATGTAAACATTCTTGTAGGTTAAATTTATCGTTATTCTAGTTATTACCTCTCTTGTATACCTAACATGACTCAACATCACACTGCACTTATAGACGATGATGAAGGACTTTTCCAACCAGTTAGAGAATTCTCAGAACCGTTAGATGCCAGTCCGGAATACATTAGATCATCTCCATACCATGAACAGGAACATCAACTCCAGTTGGACACCCTTGATGTGGGATATAGATCACTTGCATTAGCCTTGCAATCCTTTGTCCCCGTTAATGGGAATAAAGATTACCAATATGAAGAATATGAAAAGGCATTCCCAATCAAGGAAATTGTGGAAAGAGCACAAGAATATTCAAAGCTTTTAGGAGAAGAAAATTTACCAGAATTAACGGCATATGTAATTGGATTTAGATCAATTTTACATGTAGAAGTGCAAGAATCAGCTGAGAAAAGATCAATACTGGCAAGGATTGATAAGGGATCACACACAGAGGCAAACATATCCGGGGGGCTTCTCAAGTATTGGTTTGGCACTCCTGATGATGAAAATGCAAAGAACTTGGCCACATGTTGGTGGACAAACCGTGAAGCGGCCAAAATCGGTGGTGGAGGTAAAACCCATCGTGAAGGTATGGCATTGGTTAAATCGTGGTATAAGCACTGGCAGGTGGAAGAATATGAATTACACGTTCTTCCTCGGGGAGAAGGGTACACATTTGGCCCCGTATCAAAAAGATAGAGATGTATATAGTAGACAGTATTCTGACAAAAAAAAGAAAAATATTGAAAAATTGAATGAATTGTAGAGATTCCAAAGTATAAGCAATTCTTCATAAAGAGGCATATTCCTAATTGGAATGATCTAGTTGACATATCTCTATTGTTATCGAGATTATTTTTTGGTCTTGGGTGTTATTTTTTTATAATTGTTTCGATTTTTTAGTACAAGTGTCGTTTCCTTAATGTGAATTCTTCAAAAGATAATCTCTTGCAACTTCCGGTTGATGGGAAACGTTGGTCAGATGTACTCGGGGGATGAACTTGAATTGGCGTTGTAGGGTGATTGACTTCATCTCGGTTAACTTGTATGCTAATATGATATGTTTTTTTAATTATTGCCAATAGTTGTAAGTAAAGGAAGTAATATACTAAATTTTACTAATTGTTTTATAATTGTTCTATTAATTGTTTTAGTGATAAATAATAAGCAAACATGGTAACTAGAGAGCTACACCTTAGATTACATTGCAGAACATTCTTAGTAAGTAATGACTTGTGGAATGGACCACTTGTGTATCTATTTACTTGATGGTGGAACTTACTATCACTTTCTATACAGGGCACACTTTTGCAGCCATTCCCTAGACATAAAATAGTTATCTCTTTCACCACAAATGACATTAGTAAACAATAACCAATCTTACTACCCACTTACATCTAGAATTATTTAAACTCACCACATCTTTTTTAAATAGCCGCCATAGGTCACTCGCTGTGTATTTTATATTGATAAGTGCTGTCTAATTTATAGAAGTGAATTCAATTTTCTTTGGAACCTTACAGGATCATCACTTTCTCTTGCACTTTCTATAACGCATTCTCCCACAATCTCTCTTACAATCTCCCTTACACACTCTCTTATAATCTCTCCCTTCAACACTATCGATTCAATAAACTCCTATCAACCCAACCAACTAAATGTAGATTGTCGTCGTCTCTGCGAAATTGAATTGGTCGTCAATTTATTGAGAAATTAAAATTATTAAAATATTTTAACAAATAACTAAATAACAATACTACTACTAACACACTACATTACCCAACTCTAACCCTCTGCCTAACCCAAAACCCCTATACTACCTCCCCCACCAACAAATCTTTTTCTAATATCTCACCCATCGGACTCCTCATTAATCTAAACCTTTGGCACTCTCAAAATATCCGCTCTGGACTGCACATGTGAATCCCCTTAAATTGACAGCCAACACATAACAAACAAATCCATTGCTAATATCCTTCAGTAGAAACCAACTCATCTAAAACTCATCATGGACCTTCTCAAGGACGCTGCTAAGAACATTTCGTTATATGACGTCAAGGCGTATGTGCGGAAGGCACAAAATGGTACGTAAATTCAACAAGGACTCCACGCCAAGAGCCCTTGATTTGTGGGAAATCTTCAAACTTTCCAATCATCACCCGGCTGGGCCGCCAACCCTAAGGGGACGTTTTAAACGACCCCCTACCCCCTACAAGTTTGGGAAGGGACCACCTCTTGATGACCGAGAACTAGGGGAGTTGTCCCACCCCTCTCCCTTTGCAGAGCATGACATACTAACACAATCACAGTGGCCATGAACTTGACCGAAATGGAGGCAAAGGTGCGTGAAGCCACCAACAACGAACCATGGGGTGCACCATCAACTCTCATGTCTCAAATCTCCGCTGGTACTTACAATTATCGTGAGCGTGAAGAAATCATTGGATTTATTTTCCGTAGATTCACCGAAAAGGCAGCCAATGAATGGCGTCAAATTTACAAGGCATTACAACTTTTAGATTATTTGATCAAGAATGGATCTGAAAGAATCATTGACGATGTTCGTGCCAATGTAACCTTGATCCAAATGTTGAAAAGTTTCCATTACATCGATTCCAAGGGACGTGATCAAGGGATCAATGTTCGTAATAGAGCCAAAAATCTTATCACTTTTTTGAATGATGATGGACAAATTAGAACTGAGCGTAAGAAGGCTCGTGCCAATGCCAAGAAGTTTGGTGGGGTTTCACTGGCTGCCTTTGGTGGTGCTTCTTCCATCTCCACCAATGGCGGTGGTTACGATGATGGTGATTTTACCAACAGAGTTTATGGTGATGGTGGAGTATACGGGGAAAGATTTGATGATCCTGCTGCCGCTTATAGTAACGGTAATACCGGTCAATCCACCGGTGGCGAATATGAAGAATATGAGGCTTCTCCAGCGGCTTCAAAGCCAACCACCAGCTCTTCCAAGGTCAATGCCAACACCTCCAAGGCTGTGCCTCAAGAACCAGACTTGTTGGCTGATTTGATGGACTTTGGTTCCAGTACTAGCGGTGCTGCTACTACTGCTGCTGCTTCTTCCTCCTCTGCCGGTGCTGCAGCACCAGCAGATGACTCTGATGACGATTTTGACGACTTCCAAGCTGCTCCATCTCAACCACAAAAGCCATCCATCAACACATTCTCTCAACCACCACAACAACAAAACCAATACACTCCACAACATCAAACCTATTCTACAGGTCCTGCTGCCCCGAAACCAAATAACGACGCCTTCTCATCTCTCTTTTCTTCTGCAAAGACCAAGACCAAGACTTCAACCCCAACTGCCAAGGCTGCCACCCCATCAACTGCCCCAGCTGCTTCAGATGACTTCTTTGGCGACTTCAACTCCAACTCTACCTCCACCACATCCAAACCGGCCCAATCATCCACAAACAATGGGAACTCTGGAGAAGTCGATTTACTCAGCTTCTAAACAAAAATGTATGTTGACTTCACATTTCCCTCTCCCTATGATCGGTTCGTAGTTTTTTATATTTACTTCGTCTCTTACAATAAAATGAAACATTAACTTAGAGGTAACTTTTTATTATTAGGAAGTCATTGTAGACCCATCATATATTCAGGAAACAATCCTCCTACATCCAACTTAACCTACTTACAAGGTGACCACACAAGGTCGGTAAGACGCTCCGCTGGCCCCTGCTCGGGGAGAGCCACTGCGTGGTGCCTAGCTCCTCTACGAGGAGATTTCCAAGTGCCTAAGTCCTGACTTCCTCGTCAGAGGAACAAAGCCTCCACGGCTAGTGGCCCCCGGAGGGCCAGCGGAGCGTCACACATACCCCGTAGGGGCTTACCCACCAACTTATCTCCACAAATTACCTACTCCGGTCCACGGGAATGGAATTCTTACTACCCATTTCGCAGCCATTTGCTCTTTACAAGTATCGGCACTTCAGTAAGTACCAGCCCAAATTAAAATTGAATATCAACACTTCAAAGCTTTACATACTATCTTCCACAGCACTTGAACTCACCCCACTCCCGTACTCACTAACCCCCCCTAGTTATACCTTTTCCTCCTCCTCATATTACTAATAAATGGATATACGTCACGTGCCTCACCCAACCGGGCAAATGAGAATCGACGGAGCGTTTTTTTTTTTTTTTTTTTTTGGTTGCCGCTCTCCGAATGGGGGGACATTTTGAAAAAGAGCACTTTGACCGGGGTCACTCCAAATAGGTTAGATTTCCAACTGTACTTTATAAATAAAATGTTCAAGACCGGATTAGTTAGCAGCGCCAGAGCCTTCTCTACCTCCAGCAGAGCCTGGGGTACCAAGGTATTCTTCAAGACCTCCATCGATGGTGTCCAACAACCAAACATCACTTTTGAATTGTACGACGATGTTGTCCCAAAGACTGCTGAAAACTTCAGAGCCTTATGTACTGGTGAAAAGGGATTCGGATACGCCGGCTCCATCTTCCACCGTGTCATTCCAAACTTCATGTTGCAAGGTGGTGACTTTGAAACCGGTAAGGGTTACGGTGGTAAGTCCATCTATGGTAGACACTTCCCAGATGAAAACTTCAAGATCCAACACACCAAGCCAGGTTTGTTGAGTATGGCCAACGCTGGTCCAGGCACCAACGGCTCCCAATTCTTCATCACCACCGTCCCATGTAGCTGGTTGGACGGTAAGCACGTTGTCTTTGGTGAAGTTGTCGAAGGTATGGATGTTGTCAAGAAGATTGAACTGCTTGGTTCTTCTCCACATGGATTCACCAGTGCCAAGATTGCCATTGATGAATCTGGTGAAGTTAACTAGATGTAAATAGGAAATATGTATGAGTTCTAGGTGAACTCCAATATGATATGACATGATTAAATGAACTGTAGAGTCAAAGAGCTGTAGGACTTTGGCAAGACGCTCCGCTGGGCCCCAACTCGGGGAGAGCCACTGCGTGGTGCTTATCTCCTCTAGCGAGGAGATATACCCTACGACCTGGTCTGGCCTGCCCAGACTTAGACTAACCGAGCTAGCTGTCAGCTTATAGTCTTGATTTTTTTTCCTCGTTAGAGGAACAGAAGCCCCCACGCCTAGTGGCCCACGGAGTGCCAGCGGAGCGGCTTGCACCCATACGCATACGAGGTGTGCTGCCGGCCCCCCCTGCCACGCCTTAGAGCGCAGGTGGCTAGACCCTCTACATTTGGTTTCCTTTCTTGTAATGCATTTATATAAAATATATATATGTACGGCCTACACACGCCTATGGCATGTGTACGATGGGTTCCGATGTCTGTCTTGTCTGTCTAATGTGGGTGATCGTGTGTGGGAAGTTAGTTGCGTCATGGTGTTACAGCCTACCTGTGGCTAATCGTGAGACCACATGGGGGGAGAGGGGAGGTCAGGGGAGGTATGGTTCCTTTAAATGTTCAAGTGAGGGTTCTTGTCTTCCTTCTTGACTAAACCTTCAGGCAATTTCTTCTTTAATTGAGATAATTTGTCGTAGTCTCCACCCAAAATTCTGGCAATGACCAAATCGTCTCTGTCTCTGATTTCACGAGTGGACTTGCCTTCGTTGGACAAGAACTCGGTGGCCTTGGCGGTGTCACCCTTGAAGTAGTCTTCCATGGCTCTCAAACGCAATTCCTTTTCGGCCCAGTCTGGTCCATAATTCTCTCTGTCATAGAAGTGAGCAGTGTACTTGGCGTAACAAACATACAAAAACACTGGGAGCACAAAGTAGTAGAGTGGGAATTCCCAACCTTCAGCCTTTTCAGTTTCTCTGATCACCTTCCAACGCAATTCTCCAGTGGCTTCATCCTTGTAAGGAACCTTATCGATGATTTTACCGGCATCCTTGGTGACAAATTGGAAGTTTTTCAAGTCTTGGGTGTTGTCACGGTACAAGTCCAACAGTTCCTTTGGAATACCAGGGAGCAAGAGGTTCCATGCAGAGTGGTTACGCTTATAGTATAAGTTCTGGAGATCGGCGATGGTCTTGAACTCTTGGTCAGTAGGGACTCTTGGAGTGCCATCTGGGTTGGCATAGATCTTGGTGACCGATGAAAGAGAGTCCAATCTCGTTCTAATGTCACGTTCCAATTGGACGTTGAACTTGCCGAACTTGTGCTTGAACAAGCTGCTTAAGGGGGTGTTCCAGGTGACCTTCATAACGTGTGCTTGTACTAGTGTTGGGTGAGCTGCTTTAGTTCTGTTGCAAATTGTTTTTTTTAGTGGTAAGTCAATTTTCTACCCGTTTTCATTGGCCGTGCTAACCTGCAAAAGATAATTGGCGAAAAAAAAAAAGTAATACAGTTTTACAGGTTGGATACCTTGGTGGGGGAGTGCATGTAAGAAAGAGAATAGAGAGAATATAGAGTAATAGAGAGTGTTTAGATTATTTGATTCTTTACCTTTGAGTGATTTACGAAGGTGATATAATTGATGATATGACCGTATGAATCTGAGAGAGAGGATTAATTAGAGATTTTTTTCTTAAGGAATTTGTTTTTTTTGAAAGTGGTGAAGGTTAGATTGTATTGGGTGGTGGTCCCCTTAAGCAATTCTCTACAAGAAAAGAACTGCCAATTGTATACAGGATAGGAAAAATGGAACGGACTGCAGGTAATATCATGGTGAGTTTAAGATGATTGGAAGGTTGTTTAAGATCCTATGACTAAAATAATGGTAGAGATTCAACAATGGAGTAGATAATTGGAAAGGTCTGACATTCTTTAGTATAAGACTTTATTTTTATTTTTAATTTTTTTTTTGAGTTTAAAGAGATTTTTAAATATAAAGGCTGTGAATTTACTAGCCAATCATCACCCACAGAAGTTTCATCTTCCTTGATTTCATCTTCCTTCAAGGGAGCTTGATACAAGACCTTATCAGTACCGGCCTTGACAAGTTTCAAATCTTGTGCCACTGGATAACTGACATAAATGTCATAGGTATCAATCAGAGTTTCAAATCCATATTCTTCAAACTTGGCACGAGTCCACTCAACTAACCCGTAGTTGAAGATTATCTAATCTTATGAAGAGATAGAAACCTTCTGTTGAAATATTCACTATCCTGTATGCAACACTTTGTGGTATAAAGGGTATATGTTTAGCCGAAGAAGGAAGAGAGTTCTTCCGTTGGGAATACTTGGTTCTCGGCTCTTGTTTCTTCCGTTTATTAGACAGAATTAACATTGGTGAAGAAGTTAATTAAGAGTCGAGATATATAAAGGCTCTGGGAGTTACCATAAAATATAGATATACATAGAAATTAAGGATTATATTATAGTCTATAGATAAACTAGTATACAGATTAGCCTAAAAATTTAAATAAATAAAATAATACCAATATGACGTCAACTCTGGAAAGTATGCGCAGTATCCTTCAACACCTTCAACTGTATATGACGGGGGAAATGTAGAAATATATAAGATTAATTGGTACTAGAAGAAATTTCAAATGGTTACCCAGTTGGCCAGAAGTTCATTGGGACCCATTAGGTATACACCATGTAAGAATGTAATAGCTAATCCTTACCATGTAATTAACCAATATATATTTTGTCTTGAAAGGTGTTATGAGATTTCCATTGTATACATACAGGACTTTTGTTGTAAATACTCCTCTCGGAAAGTCTTGAACAATTCCGAACCATGCTCAGCCTCTCACAGCCACAGGAACCTATGACACTTGACGCACGGCGAAGTCTCTTGGTTGCCCACTACCGAAAGAGAATAATGAGATCCAACAGAAATTATGCCCATACTAATTCCCATGATTTCATTAATACAAGCATGTGATTTTGATCCTGACTTCAGATACTAACTTCAAATCTTGGATGATCGTTTACTACCACCTCTCGGCTACACACTCTTCATTTCATACAAGCTTTATCTATAAAGATATTATTCTCCTCAATCTTATAACGGGATGCCAATAGCGATAAATGCACCCTCTATCATAGCAATACTATCTCCTCTTCAACTTAGAATTGATAAGAATTTGTTTTACAAAGTATTCGCATTCGCATGCAAGTGCCTCTTACGGGATCTCAATAGAGATAAACGCATCCGCTACCATCGAAAAATTATCTCCACTTTAACTTTTTGATTGATTATGAATTTGTGTCACAAAAAACATTCGCATACAAGTGCCCAAATTGGCCATAAGGTATTTACTACGGCCTTTCCATTTTTGATGATGGGTGATGGATAGTCTATTCTATTCAACTCACCCTTGTCAAAAAACCCCTCTTCCCCAGTTGATCGATTATTTCCTAAATAATCTCATAAAATATGTACTTTCTTCTACCGTTGTGTGCCGCACAACCTAACCGGAAATAACTTCTCTAACAGAATACCCCATTCGGCATGCCTTTGCGGGTTGCAAAATTTAAATTTGATGAAAAAATATTTTATCCCGCATATTCTTATTATTGATATCTTGTCCCGCATAATCTTATCTTAACATTCACCATGACCTATGAATAGTTATAAAGGTAGGAAACCTCCAACTCTGACTGCAAATGTAAATCTATCTATACCAACAGAAAACAAAAGAAAAAACATGGAGAAGCAAAATTTAGATAAAGTACTATTGGGAGAAAGACTATCAATAGACGAGGAAATGGTTCCGGGAACCATCCACCTTATTGATCTTGAAGGTGTTCTCAACGTGAAGAAGGACCTGGGTTCTCAAAGCAATATTATCTTGCAACCACAGCCTTCACTGAACCCAAACGATCCCTTGAGATGGCCCAAACTGAAAAAGATTGCCCAATTTTCTCTCTTGTGGCTTTGGTCTTTCGTGCAGGGAGCTGGAATCAATTGGGCTGGACCACTTTTTACTATTTGGACAGAAGAATTTAATTGTACCTTTGCGCAACTTAACATTGCAGCTGCCATTTGTTTTGCCTTTTTAGGAATTGGAAGTGTGTTTTTGCAACCAACTGCAATGAAATTGGGTAGAAGATTTGTTTACCTAGCAAGTACATTCGTTGTCATTATATCCAATATAATTGGATCTCAGGGGAATTCTGTACAAATATTGTATGTGGTGAATTTTCTTTCTGGATTTGCCACTGCACCAGGTGATACTCTAGTTGAAATATCTACCACAGATGTATTTTTCCAACACGAAAGAGCCCTGTATTTATCATGGTTCGTCTTGTCCCTTTATGCTGGTTCAGACTTGGGCCCAGTGGCAAGTGGATACATTGTACAAAACTTGCATTGGAGATGGTGCTATTACATTCAAGTAATCATCCTGGGAGTTATCTTGATTCTTCAATTGTTTTTCATGGAAGATACAACATTTGAAAGGAGAGAAACAGAAGAATTAGAAGATACAATTATGCAACAAATAAAGTCTAGAGAAACAATTCTTCTGGCGGTTCAAAGTGGTCAACTTTCTCAAGCGAGAGTTAACTCGGATGATAAGCTTAATGCCATTGTTTCAGTCAATAACTCAATTAATACCGATGATGACTCCATAGATTATTCAATCCCCAAGAGAACTTATTGGCAAAAGATGAGATTAGTTGAAACTGAATACAATGATTCACGTTCATGGCTTACGATTTTCTATAGACCATTTTTCCTTTTTACCATCCCAGCAGTGATGTGGGGTGGTCTTGTATATGGATCTCAAATGATGTGGCTTTCTCTCTTGGCTACCACTCAATCTCAAATCTTTAGTGTTGCCCCCTATAATTTCACCACTCCTCAAGTCGGTTTGACAAACATTGGTGCTCTTGTTGGATCTCTCATTGGCATGGCATATGGTGGACCATTTGTTGATTGGGTTACCATCAAGTTATCTATACGTAATAATGGTATTATGGAGCCGGAATTCCGCTTATGGACCATGATCGTTCCTACCATTTTGAATGCTGCTGGATTATTAGCATATGGCTTAGGGGTTTCATATGAAACACATTGGTTTATTCCTGCTGGTCTTGGACAAGGGTTTCTTGGATTTTCCATGGCTTCATCAGGTGCCATTTGTTTGACATATAGTATTGATTCATATCCAAAACTAGCAAGTGAAGGATTGGTTCTCATGTTATTACTTAGAAATTTAATTGGTTGTGGGTTCACATTTGCCATTCAACCTTGGTTAAACAAAAGTGGATTGAAGCTTACTACTTGGTTGATGTTTATGCTTAGTCTTGTCATTAATGGGTCATTTGTTATAATGATCAAATGGGGCAAGGACTTTAGAAGAGCTACAAAGGACAGTTATTATAAATATTCTGATCCGATGTTTGGGGAATTGTTTAAAAAATGATTATATCTATAGAATAGAGTAATTATATGAGATTATCAGAAGTGTGAATGTGTAGGGTAGTCACTGGAAGAATCTGAGAGGAGCGTAGTACTCCTTAAGTAATAAACGAAGGACCAGTGGAATTGATACATAGTAAGAGGCGGAAGGTCCACAATCCAATATAACACTCACTGAGGCAGTTTGGAGATTTGGTTCCTCTGACAAGGGAAAATTTCTCCTCGAAGAGGAGCTAGGCACAACGCAGTGGCTCTCCCCGAGCAGCGGCCAGCGGAGCGGCTCACAGCCCCGCGGGGAAGAGGGTGGAACTACCCTACGGGGATTTCAAGCCGCTCCGCTGGCACTTCGTGGGCCACCAACCGTGGAGGCTCCTGTTCCTCTAACGAGGAATTTTCTCCTCGAATAGCGGCCCAGCGGAGGGTCTTACTAACCGAGGACACTTACTGAGGGGTCTTAACCACCTCACTTTTTATGAACTTAGCTTACAAGATTGTAAAGAACATCTTGGCCAGCTATATCACTTCCATCATTTTCTAATGATTATTTTTTGTATATCTAGCGCTTGGTACTACCAAATCCACTAATCCCCAACATCGCTTCAATATCATCTCCTCCACTTCCAACCTCTAAAATTTTCTGCTTTGCTCTTTTCCTTTGCTTGTATTGGATTCTCTTTTCTCTTCTCTTATTTTCAAGTTTTAATTCGAATTCTTGACGTTTCTTTGCCCTCTCTGCAAATGTATCCATATTGGAACCACCATCAGAAGCTCGTACAATTCTTTCAGCGAGAGTCTCCATCATGGCCTTGACTTCTTCCAACGTGGCACTTTGCACTCCAATATCCGGATCTTGTTCTTCAGACCTTCCTTTCACTCTAGAGATATGTTGTGGTGAATTGAAATGATCAACCAAGGCCATCGTATCACGGAATGAAAGCTCACAAACAGGACAATTAAACCCAAAGAGCTTTTTACGGCCTCCACTGGTACCACCAGTAGAAACATCGGCTCCAGCAATGGAAGCCACCGTACCACTAGACCCAAGAAGAGTATGTTGTTGAACTGCATTGACCAGTTGTTCAAGAAGATTGTCACGATGAGAAAGATATGACTGTTGCGAGTCAAGTAATGGCCCAAGTTTCTTTTTTATCGGCACCTTTTTATTCGCCTGCTTGGCATATGCATCCACATCCCAAACCTTACGACCATACTGATCCACAGAGACCTTTTCATTTTCCGATTTACTCATATTGATAAAGGTGGAGAAGAGGTGACTATCAATCTATTTTTTTTATTTTTATTTTATTTTTACTGCGATTAGATATTGAGGTGGTAGATATACAAAGTCAGTAACTACATAAAGAGATCGGTAAAGGATGTCACGCGACGTATTTGCCCTTCTTAAAGCTCTGAAGGTTACTAAGCCCACGACAAAGACTAAAACGTTAGCCAGTGGTGCTGGTGGGGAGAAATCTAAGAAGGAGATTGGTCCAGTGACACTTCTTACCAACAACACTTCTAAATCTAAATGGAGTGTTAAGGGAAGTCATCTTATTTCAAAGACCCCAATAGATGGTCTTACTGGGAATTGGAGCCTGACGGAAATCCCAGTGGCAGCATTTGATCTAGACAGCACTCTTGTGGAGACAACATCGGGTCAGAAATTCGCTCGTCATGCTGGAGATGGTTCAATGACAATACTCTCGCCAAACTTACTCAATTGATACAGGAGAAGTATTTGGTGGTGATCTTCACCAATCAAGGTGGTGTTGTTGCACTGTCAGCCCTTGGACAGCCCAAGTTCAAATCATATACAAACTTTACCAATCGAGTAGATCAAATCATTAAGGAGCTCTTACCTGCTGATGTGTTGGTGTTTGCCTCACCGAAACGACCTGCGGCCAAATCATTCAAGGGTCCTGTCAGTCTGGAGGAAGTACATCGAACCATGAGGAAGCCTGAGTCGGGGATGTGGGCATCGTTGATAGAATATCTTGCCAAACAAAATTACACGGTTGATATGGAGAAGAGTTTCTACGTTGGAGATGCGGCTGGAAGGCCAAAAGATTTCCTGGACAGTGATAAGAAGTTTGCCGAGAGTGTTGGTATTAGATTTGAGACTCCAGAGGAGACCTTCAAGTGAATGAGAAAAGAAAGGGAGACAAACAATGCAAATGATATATTAGATAAGCTTATCTGAGTCTGGGTGGAAGCTTACCCCCCCTTTTTTTTTAGTACACTGGTGGGCCCTCAGCCCGTGGAATGATATCATCTCCATTCACAACTGGATGACTTCCATAATCGCTCATAGAATGAAGTCCTATCAATACATGTGGTGGGATACTACAACATTGTTAATTCTCTCATATGTACATTTTTTAATTTTACTGCATATTTACAAACTATATATCTTGAAGTGCAATTTCAATAAGTTTTTGATCCATTTCATCGTGCTTGGTGGTGACAACCTTTGATTTCCCCACAGTATCGAAATATCCAATCACATTGTTAACCTGTCTAACAAACTCTTCATCTCTCTTTGGCAATTCGTTCAAAAAGTCAAAATGATAACTGATACAACGGGTGATATCACTGATATCATTTTCAAACTTGATAGCTTCATCAGTCAGTTGTGGATAGTTCTTGATAAGGAAAGTAGTTGGTTGAAGGTTTTCTTGTTCTTGCTTCAAATATTCTTCAATTCTATTCTTGAGTACTCCTGTGATCAATCCCTTTGGTAATGGTTTACCACTAGCAGCCAAATCTTGCAAAAGGAACAGATATCTACGGGATTCATCAGTACGTTCTTGCTCAAGCAATTCCGCTGGGTCCAAAACCTTGACTACAGTACCTGCAAAAACGTCTCTAGTGGCAAGTTTGTTGACGGTTTCATCGTCATGAACATATGGTAACACATAAAACTTTACCTTTGATCTTTCATTGGCAGGGACAATCTTGTGTCTTCTTTTCAAGTTTGAAATTTCTTCTCTTTCTTCAAAATCTTTCTCAGAAAAGTTTGTTACTGGTTTAGTCTTCTTTTCCACTCGTGATGAGACCAACACTAAGAGAGCAGTTGAAAGGAAGAAAGTATAGAAAAGGTATCTAACTTTTGGTCCATCATCCTTCTTTTTGTTTGTAGAAAGAAGACGACGAGAAATTGGAATTGTGGACTTAACTGACAGGATTGACAGAACTAATGGTAATGTCTTGGATCTAAATCCAAAACTGGTTCTAACTATTTGTCTGAACATTTTGGATTATTATTAATTATACTTAAGAACAGATAGCAAAAGAAATAAATTGAATAAATCGAGGGACTTTTATTCAAATATACAAGTCAACACTCTGAAAAAATAAAAATTCCTTTAGCCGTTTGTTTTAACTAAATTTGCTCTGAAATTTTATATAATACGCCAAATTCTCCAATTTTGATTACGAATCATATTCGAGGTTTTTCGGACACTCCCGACAGTAGCCGTAGAAATATGAAACGATCAATGTTTTTTTTTTTTTTTTTCATTTTTTCAGTTTTCATTTTTTTTTCAAACGGGGACACCTAAGTCTCGAACTCGAGATTGAAGAGAATATTTATGACAATAAAAGTTTAAGATGAAAGTTACACAAACGCATTTTTTGGTGCTTTTTTTTTTATTTTCAAATATGATCGCCAAAAAAGACAAGAGATCCTCCATTGAACCTTTATTCTCTACTTATATCACATAAAAATGTCTTTAGTCCACTTGGCAAACTTTGCTGCACATGTCAAGAACTGTACAAAGGTGAACATGGCCGCCACGTCGGTACCATTTCTGAGATTACATCTTCAAGTCGCCCTTGGTTTATACAGAGAAGGGTTCCTTCTGTCGATTCAAAAGGGATCAACCAGTGGTCCAGACTTGGCACCTGTTGACATCACCCCAGACAACATTTCCACACGTCGTTTATGGCTCGGTTTGAAGTACAGAAACAACCAACCAGTCATCAGAGAATTTGCCTTGGTCCTGAAACCAGGTAGAAAAGTAAACTTGACCAACACCGAAGTCAAGGCATTGGCATCTGGTCTTACGGTACGGTTCATCCGTCCTTTACAACCGCTGGAGTGTATGTTTATCAAGACCCCAGAAAAGGAAGTTGTAGAGCTTCAAGAAGCCGCAAAGAGACACTTGAGCGGGATGGTCTTGTGTCGTGTTAGATAGAATGAGAGCCCACCCGTTTGCATTGTACATAGAAATTCAAATAAATATATAATTAATCAACAAGAAGTAGTACATATGAATTCCTCGATAGGGGAACTACGCCTCCATGGCCAGTGGCCCACGGAGTGTCTTACAACCTCCGGAAGGGTAGGTACTACTCGTTTCCCTACGGGGTTTGTAAGACGCTCCGCTGGCCCCTACTCGGGGAGAGCCACTGCGTGGGGCCTAGCTCCTCTTCGAGGAGTGCTACATCATCATTAGTTACATACCGTTTCATTAAAAAAAAACAACTGATAGAGCAATTACAATCTTACTGCTTGAGAAGTTTGACTTCCACCCCAATTGGTCATGTCAACTTGCCATCCCTTCCAAACCATCAACTTTTCTCTAAAGTTCAGACTAGTCGTAGGTTGGGCCAAGGTTGAAGATGATGCATAGTCGTTGGTTTTAAACACCGGCTCGGCTTGTTTGATATGTTTAGTCTGGGTTGGAGCTGCACCACCATTCAGCTTGAGTTGCTCGATAACCTGCTCGAGCTCGGTAATTTTGTCTTCCAAGTCCATTCTGGAAAGTTTTAAGTCGGTGTTTTCATCTCTTAACTTCTTGATAGTATTCTTTTGCTGATCAATAGTTTCTTGAAGTTTGACGGTATCTGGAGATTCGGGTTGAGGAGTGGATACTGTCTCTATGGAAGTTGGTTGAATCACTTCAGGTACATATTTATCATTGGAAGGTTTAGTTGGTGTAGATTCTGTTACTGGTTCGGATTCAATCACAGGCTTTGATTTAGCTGGTTCTGGAGTTTCAATGTTTGTTGGTTCAGACACAGTTTCTGGCTCAGCAGTAGTTTCTGGTTCAGCATCTTTCTTATCTTCAATAATCTCATCAACCTTGCTTTCAGACTCAGTTTCTACCTCTGAAACATCCTTTTCTTTCTCCTCTTCCTTTTCTTTCTCATCTTTCTTTTCTTGATCTTTCTCTGGTTCTTCAGATCCAGCCTTCAGTGCCTTCTTCTTATTCTTCTTCTTTTTCTTCTTCAATTCTTCGAATTTCTTTCTTGCAAGTTCCAATCTTTCCTCCTTGGATAATTCATGTTCTTCTCCGTCCGAAATTACCGGATCTATAACTTCTTCAGACATTTTTATATACTATTATATTGTATTTAATCCAACACTATGAACCTCTCTAAACGTTTCTTTTTGAGAATTCGCTGATCAAATTTCTAACCCATATTTGGAAAATATGTACAGGAGTAAACATCAAATGCAGGCCTTTTTTCTGGCTGCAAATGGAGGATAAGAATAATTTATAAGAAAACGGCGGAACAGATAATCTGTACTTAGTGTAAATGTAAATTTGAATGGAAATCAAGTTGTTGTTGTTTTCGTAGAATCTATATCACTCCATGAAAAAAAAAAAATGAAAGAGAGAGAAAATAAAATAAAAAAGAAATCCAAAAGATTGCAAGACTTTACCAAAGGGATACTAGTATTCGATGTTACTAATTAAAGTAATTAAAGTAATTACAACCAGATATACCCTCGTACGAGTCGGAACTTGGTAGATCATTTTCTCTTCATCTTTAGAGAAAAAGAAAAGCCCCAGGAGAAAATACCTGGGAATCTCAAAAGAGTAAACTAATGGTTATTTCCATACCACCTGATTGCTGTAAAATTCACCCGTGTGGATTAATAAGCTGCAAACTATGTGTGTCTATGTACTGAGATCCATTCATAAGCTTAATTGTTCTTCCACGCGATCCTACGGCTAGAATTTACACTTTGACCAGTAGTGTAGTTAATATCGTAGGCAGATGTATATAGTTTCAATCTTTTTGTCATATAATTAATCTAAGTAGCAAATACATACGATTCAAGTGGTAATTACATGCCATAGCAAGTTTTGTGTTTGAAATTTTACTTCCCATCGTATATAAGCAGTATCGGGGCCCTTCATGCAACCCCTCAACTTTTATATATCTACCAAATATCTCGATTAATTTTATCTTGTCTCTAACAATTTTAAAGATCGAGGAACTTCTCTATGAGAAATAATAATACATAGAGGCATTACTCTATTTATATAAGTTAATTTAACCCTAAAAATTATCACTTACCTCTGTTCTAATTTCGATCACCACCATATCGACCTACTTCAAGATGATTTATAGCAGCTCCCTTAATCATTTTTTCCCACAATCGTCATAAACTTTCTTTTAATATAATCATCATCGTCTTTATTAACCACAGCTCCTTCACCCAGTGAGCCCTTCTCAAGACTTTGAACCGACACAAGTTTATGGTCTCTAAGAAAGAGTGTGGCAATAAGCATTGGGAAAACTAATATAAGACCAACGATACAAAGAATCTTTTGAACATGAGCATAGGCCAAGACTACTGGAATTCGTTCAGCAGTTCCCCAAACATATTCTTGGATGAATCCCCCAGCTCCAATTGGAGACCTATAGGCAAATGTTGCAAGCGCCGTATCAATACCAGCCTTTTCCATTTCTTTGACAATTTGCTTGTACATGAGGTTGGTCCACACGGCACCCGATACCGATGCACCAAATGCCAATCCTAAGTTGTATGATGACGTATAAAGAGCTATGACAACAGCCATATGCTCATGATTAGTACAAGTGGTAATTGAAGTCTGGGTAACATAAGTGAAAAACCCAGACCCAAAGCCCATAACACAGAGAGCACCAATAACTCCATTAACTGAGGTTTGCGAATTAATTCCATTGTTATCACCTCTGAAATGAATAAGTAAACCAAGAGCAAGGCACCACATCGAAACCCCAAATATGATGAACCCCTTCGTTCTTCGGACTTTGGCAATCAAAAGACCAGCTATGGACCCAACGACAACAGAAACAAATGAGTAGAGCATTGTGATTCTGATGGCTGCCTTTTGCGATTGGTTCATGGCCACCATCAAAACAGTGTACATGAAATCATTTGGCATATACCAAACCCAGTTAATCATAACACCCACGATGAGTGAAGCCCAGACACCCCGGTCTTTGAGTAGCTCAAATGGCACCGCGGGGAAGCGAGCATACTTCTTTTCCCATATTATGAAGAACGGGATAAGAACAAAACCAACAACAAGAGGAGCAATTGTCGAGGCTCGTCTCCATTTATCGGTAACACCAGAGGCAAGAGTGAACGGAACTAAAATGAAACCAAATATACAAATAATGAACATGATACCGATTGCATCGATTTCCCAGAAAAAAGTCTTTAGAATTCTTCCTTGACAAAAAATAAACGCTTTAGTACTTTCAATAAAGGTTCCAGACTTCTCCCAAGTCCATTCCGAGTGGTTTTCTTTCTCATCAGCAAGTATTTGTTTCCATTCGCCCTTCTTTTTGGCAAGAGATTGCATATGGAACAAACAACAAAGCAATGGGATACAAGACAATGGGAAAATGAATGCCCACATACCAATACAGAAGTTCCAGGAGTATTTGGGATATAATGAGTCTAAGATATTACCACTCACCCACGAGTTGATAATGAAAGGAGTGATTGTCAAGATAGAACAAAAGAATCTCCAATTCAATGTTGAAAAATCTGCCAACATAACGTGAAGGATAAAAATTATACCAGAATACCCAAGTTGATACAAGACAGCACCACCAGCAAATCTTTGAACATCATAAGCTTGCGACTCGATTACAGTACCCAATACATAAAATAAAATAGATACTACAAAGAGTTCAATTCTTCCAAATCTGTCACATAATCGGGCATAGGTAGGCTGAGAAGCGGCAGCTGCAACTGCTCTAATCACACCCACGGTGGAAATAAGTGAATGTTGACCATAAGAAGCAGTAGCATAGGCTTGAAAAGTAATTCTGAGCGACCCATCGATACCGTATGCATATCCAATTATAAAAATACAGAAGTACACAAGAACCATAAGACCTGGATGTTGATACTGCTCCCACATCAATTCGGCCTTTCGGACTCCAATTGATTTTGACGTGGAATTTCGAATTGGGTCACTTTTGGTGACTTCTTGAGTCTGTGTAATTTCAACATTCTTGCTGTTGTCGCTCGAATTATTAGTGTCACTCATTGTAGATGTCTATACGATAGATCAAAAAGATAATGACCGAAGAAAATATCAAATTATTTATAGATTCAAGATATTGAATATCTATTTTTACCCAAGACATCGAGTACACACAATGGGTGAAACAGATCTGGACTCCTTTTTACGGAGACTTCGGTAATTCTCACAGTCATCAATCGGGAGATTCAACCATTAAAAGCGATGGAAGCTAAGGTAAAGCTAGGTCAAACTCTTTTAGGTTATCCTCGCAGTAACTACTCTAGAAATTTACCTAAAGCGAAGACAAACCTTTTTGAAAACACTGTTAGACTCTCCCATCTTCAATTAAAGAAATAACCAGAGCCTAGTTTAATTATTGGTACGGCAATGTGATTGAGATGTATCAGATAATGTACTATGAGCAATATTTTTAAACTTTATTGATGCATAAAAAGCTTAAAAACCACTAAAGTAGCATGATTATTGTGAAATATCGCCTGTTTAGCCGAAAAGTTCGTCTGCCCTCCTCTAGTTGGTTAAATTGTCATTTAACCCTTCCTGCCACCTTGTAGGTTATGTATTTCATTATTCCGCGTATGTTCCGTTTGACTCAAAAGTGACGTAAAAAAAGAAACTAAAAAAAAAGAATAAACAATGCTAGGCATCTAATATTCATTACTTAGCTTACGTCAATGCCTGTCATTATACTGGGGGTTATTGTTTGGATAATTAAACTTAATTATTCTCTCGTAATACCAACTTAAACCTTTTGATGTGTCATGTAAATAGTGTCCCCCCTCTTCTATTTTTAATTATTTATTTTCTCCTTAGATGTATTTTCTAATCGCATACCCACCAAGGTTGAATCTTTGCAATTCCGGACGTCGTGCCGCGCCGGCATACTGTTCGCACGCTAATAAATTAGTTATTTCCGGTTTCATCATCACCTAATCAAGATATCAATTCTACCCGCCATACAGAACCGTTCATTCTAATTTACACCCTGTCGCATATATCAAGTAGACCACACAAGCCCACTTAATATGTACATACATACTATCTATATGTATATACTTCGATTCATCCTCTTTTTCTTGTCACCCATGTGGTGACTGATATGCTCGGAACTTTTGAATTCCGGGAAACACGAGCCGGCATTGAAAAAAAAAAAAAAAGGTTGTATGGAAAAACGGTTCAACCCTTGTGGTTACCATAAGACGTAAAATTTTTAGTCGATAGACAAAGACTGTAGAGGTTATTGAAAGCCATTCAATCTTCCTTTTAGAACTATATATTACATCGTGGGATACCGGACTATCACACTAATTTATCTCATTATAACAGCATACATTCAGGGAATCGCTACAAACGTTTCATATTCATTACTGTACAAATTCCCACTAAATAATCAAAAACGATACAATGCTTGATAAGATTCTATACCGTGCAACCGAACATGTCTTGACGCCAAGAGATACTTGTGAAGCTGAAAGTGACTATAATGGTGAACACTGGAAAGCTAGAATCTCGGCAATTTTTGTTATCTTGGCATCTTCAGCCATTGGTACCTTTTTACCGATCTTATCTTCCAAATATTCCTTTATTAGAATGCCTCCATGGTGTTTCTTCATAGCCAAGTATTTTGGTTCTGGGGTCATTGTGGCCACTGCCTTTATCCATTTACTTCAACCGGCCTCGGAGGCTCTTGGTGATTCATGTCTTCCATCTGTTTGGCAAGACTACTCGTGGGCATTTGGTATTTCCTTGATGACCCTTTTCGCCATGTTTTTCTTTGAATTGATGGCCTTCCACGTGGTTCAAATGAAGGTGGCAGCCTCTGGACTCACCGAAGAAGAAGCTGAAGCTCACACCCACTCTCATTTCGGGAACCCAGATCTTTACACCAAGAAATTAGAAGAATCTGAAGAAGAAGAAACTTCTAAAACTATCGAAGAAGAACAACACACAACTCAAGCAAATGAACCTAACCCATACCCACTGCATTTCCAACACGCCGTAGAACACCAAGACCCAGAACACGTACACACACCAGTTAACCAAAAGGAAAAGGAACAATATTACGGACAACTTCTTTCAGTTTTCATTTTAGAATTCGGTGTCGTATTCCATTCCGTATTTGTTGGTTTATCTCTTGCTGTTGCCGGTGAAGAATTTGTCTCCTTATACATTGTTTTGGTTTTCCATCAAATGTTTGAAGGTCTTGGTTTGGGTACCCGTATTGCCACTACTCCATGGCCAAAGGGAAAGCGTGCCACTCCATGGATTATGGCTTTGGCATACACCCTTACCACTCCAATTGCCATTGCCATTGGATTGGGTGTTCGTACCTCTTATGCACCAGGATCTGCTACCGCCTTGATCACCAATGGTATCTTTGATTCTATTTCTTCAGGGATTTTATTCTACACTGGTATTGTTGAGTTGATGGCTCATGAATTTTTATATTCCGGAGAATTTAAGGGTGCCAATGGTCTTAAGCGTATGCTTTCTGCTTACGTTGTGATGTGCTTTGGTGCTGGTTTGATGGCCTTATTAGGTAAATGGGCATAAATAGACTTTAATTAAGAACCTTAATAATAATGAATAGAATCATAATATGAATTTGTAGAACATTGTGAATCATCTGACATATAAGAGGTTAGATGGTTATGTGTTATATTGGTAGATTTATCTACATCTTAAATCATGGCACCTCAAACTTGGGCGGCTATAAGCAACATTCACACCAAACCAACTAAGGCTATATACGTTAATTATTCTGACGGAGACCCATCATTTTTTAGTAGCCATACCCATCTCATCTTTCACGAGTCTCTGTTCTTCTTTACAGGTTTCTCCATTCGGTTCCAAGCTCTTCATACGTTTTCTTCTTACATATCTCACCTTCGTTTAAGAACTCGTTTCTTTTTCCTATGCTGAACTGGGTACAGTCTTCAATCTGCAAAAAATATGAGTATTTAGACGAGTAATCCAGGGATATTGAAGGTTTGAAAATACTTCCAAGTGTAACTATCAATCAGAATTTTAGCTTCTTTTTTTAATTGGTGATCCAAATATTTCTTTTAATAGCTTCTTTAACCCCCACGATATTCATCTAGAAATGAATATTTCACTTGTGCTTTGTCTCTACATTTCCTATTATTTGTAAACAGATTTCAATGTCTTTGGTATTTGTATTTCACCAAGAAATAAAGGGGTATAATGATGTAAATTATATTGAAAAACTTGTGGTAATGTATGGTATGATTGCTTTGTTGCTTTGAGATGTACCAATTCTTTAAAGTGATCACAAATTTCCTCAGATAACTCTGGTGATATATTTGACAACACGACATATCCAGGGAATGTCTTGGTGAAAATACTTGAGATCTCTGGAAAATCTGGATCAATTTCAACATGTACCGTAGGAACACAGCTACAGAGCCAGCATTTATATATATGGAGTTATTGACTTTGGTTGCGAAAATGCACTTTTTCTAGATTTACTGAATCTAAAGATAAACCATGATTTTTTTTTGTTTGAATTTTGGAGGAATTTATTAATTTATACAATATTCGTACCTTAAGAAACGGAAGTTAAAAGAAATGTGGTGATAACAACATTGTCGCTCTCTCTTATCAAAGTTAATACTAAAAAAATTGTGAAACATTTTTTTCTATTGTTTGCAACTTAAACCTTTTGTGCTGCAAGATGTATGTACCGGAGTATTTCGAGCGATACAGGACTTGAGCCCATATACTCTAAAAATTTCTCCACAAATGTCGCACTTCCACCATTATTTTATAGCAATGTCGCATGTCGTATTATTTTCGAAACCATTTTAGATTAAAACTCAAAGGACATTAAAAGATATTTCTATTAAAACAATCAATCAATCACTAAAGATATTTTTGAAAAGGGACAATTTTCATTATAAAGAGACTCACCCGAAACTTTACCCCATCCTCAATTTATAAAAAAAAGAACAACAAAAACAGTAATTAATTTGACTGAGTCATAAAAACAAATCTCCTCATTTTGAACGTTGCCAAATTCACATTCAATAATGTCTTCCCATGGAACAACCCCCAATGATTACATCGAAAGTTTATCAGAGGAACAGATAGAACACGACCAAAAGATCGGGGTCAAGGCCATCCGTCTTTTCTTACAAAGTAAAACATCGTACGATGTGTTACCAGTCAGTTATAGATTAATTGTTTTGGACACCTCACTTCTTGTTAAGAAATCTTTAAATATATTATTACAAAATAATATTGTTTCAGCTCCATTATGGAATAATAAAACTTCTAGATTTGCCGGATTATTGACATCATCTGATTTCATTAATGTTATTCAATATTATTTCCAATTTCCAGAAAAATTTGATCTTGTTGATCTGTTGACTTTGGATGGATTAAGAGATATTGAAAAGGCTATTGGAGTTACCCCAATAGAAACTGCATCTATACATCCTTTCAAATCTTTGTATGAGGCATGTGTGAAAATGTTGGATTCAAAGGCTAGAAGAGTCCCCTTAATCGATGAAGATGAAAAGACTCATAGAGAAATTGTTGTTTCAGTATTAACTCAATATCGGATTTTAAAATTTGTGGCATTAAATTGTAAAGAAACTAAAATGCTTTTAAAACCAATAAAAAATTTACAACTGCTCGGTACTATTAAGGATATTTCTACATGTACCATGAATACTCCAGTGATTGAAGTTATTCATTTAATGGCTCATAAATCGGTTGCATCCATTCCAATTATTGATGATCAAGGTAAATTAGTTAATGTTTATGAAGCAGTTGATGTGTTGGCCTTGGTTAAAGGTGGGATGTACACAGATTTGGATCTTAGTGTAGGAGATGCATTGTTGAGAAGACCAGAAGATTTCGAAGGGGTTCATACTTGTACATTGAACGATAGACTTAGTACTATCATGGATACCATTAGAAAATCAAGATTACATCGTTTATTTGTGGTTGATGATGAAGGGAAATTAATTTCGGTGATAACTTTAAGTGATATCTTGAATTATATTTTATTTGGTGAAGATTAAATAATACTACAAATAGATAGAGTAGAATGATATTCTTTATGAGTTTATAATAATGATAATTGAAGTGGTGATTAAAAGAAGAAATATGATTTGAGATTAGAGGTAAGTAATTCATATTAGTATGTCTTTGAGAACTTATCTATATCTAAATAAATTCAGAAACTTTCTAATAAGTTTCCTCATTAAAAAGAAGAGATGAGTTTATCTCCGCTAGAATACTTAATGAGTACACAATCATACTCTCTTACGCGTCTACTTACCTGCCTCCACGTCTGCAAAACCGCCTTTCCACAGAAATAGTATACAGGAGATACAATATGACTCAATCTATCTACAATACATGAATATTAAACTAATGAAATGGGAAGTAATCTCAATCCATGATACCCTGCAAGTTAACATTAAAAACCATTTTATCTCCAGTTAAACTGTCCCTGGTATCTACATACAATTTCACGTTCTATGTATTCACGATTGGATAGGAAAAATTCTCCGATTAGGCGGTCCTGCATGGAAACTCGACCTAATCAGGTCAACAGATCCGTGCGAAAGTTTATCGCGATGCTGATTTTGGCTGCTCCATTAGTAATACTTTTGCAAGAGTCATTGACAGTTTATCCACACTTTTGTTTCTAGATTAACTTCTATTAGGTGCGCCGTTTTTAACCCACACCGTACCTTTCAACCCTTGTTGTACTTCGGGTTTCCACTTCCACCCACTTCTCTGTGTTTCTCAATCTGTCGGTAGCCTGGAGCTTATCATTGACAGGTAAAAGCAAAAAAAAAAGAGAGGAAAAAAAAGAATAGAGAGGAAGGCAAAACTGACATAGAGTGTGTGGAAAGTTTGGATAATTGATACTAGAAAGATACAATATGGCTAGTAGTAACGCATCTACCTCGGAGATCCGCGATGGTATACCCGTGGTGCCCGCTCCAAGCTTCACATGGAACGATAAACTTGCACTCCCACAAGTGACTACAAGAGCAACCATAGCTGGTTTAACCATTGGATCGATTGTACTTGTGTCCAATTTCCAATTTGGCCTTCAAACTGGTTGGGTATCGATGATGTCTCTCCCTTCTGCACTCTTGGGATTTGCCATTTTCAAGTTTCTTCCTTATTCACAAGACTTTACCGACGTTGAAAATGTCTTTGTACAAAGTGTAGCAGTTGCCGTGGGGACTGGTCCATTGGCGTATGGATTAATTGGGATCATTCCAGCCATTGAAAAATTTCTCACTGAAGAAGAAAGTGGTCTTAGTCGGAAACTTGTATTTTCCATGTCAGATCTTATGATTTGGTCCTTGGGGTTAGCATTATTTGGAGTATTTTTCGCAGTTCCGTTACGGAGACAAGTCATTGTCAAGGAAAAGTTGCCCTTCCCCTCCGGTAGTGCCACCGCCACCTTAATCTCAGTGTTACACGGTAGCGAATTGAATAGTGAGGTTGCATCTACTAGTGGAGTTGCAGAACCAATTCAATTAGAAGATGAAGAGAATTCCTTACATAACGGGAATTATACAAATTCAATTCAATCTGAAGCTGAATTTAAACTGCTTACAGAATCGAAAAATTATGATAAAAACATCTCATCATTATTATATACATTTGCATTGTCGTCTGCCTATACATTGATATCCTTTTTCTTCCCAGTGTTGAAGAATTTGCCAGTGTTTGGTACACATCTTTCACAAGATTACAAGTGGAATTTCCAACCTTCTCCTGCCTATATCGGTCAAGGTATAATCATGGGATTGCCCACCGTGTCTTACATGTTATTTGGTGCAATTGCAGGTTGGGGTATTCTTGCCCCAATAGCCAAACTGAAAGGTTGGGCCCCAGGTCCTATGGACGATTGGGTACATGGGGGTCAAGGATGGATCTTATGGATCAGTTTAAGTGTAATGATCAGTGACTCATTGATCCTGTTTGCCGTCGTTGCAGCTAGATCTGTATACGATGGAGTTAAAAGAATGAAGCGTGCACAAAGAATAGAAACTGAATATATCGCTTCTATGGCAGCAGCAGCTGATGCTGCCGCTGAGGGAGAACGCGAAAGTCTCTTGAACAATGGATATTCCAAACGAGGCTCTGAAACTTCCTCATTTTTGGTAGCTGATGAAGTACCTCTGCAACATTTAGTAGACTTCAAGATTACGGTCTTGGGGGTTATTTTGCTGTCGATTCTTTGTGTTATTTCTGTAAGATTGGTGTTTGGTGACCTTATCCCATACTATGCTACAGTAGTTGCCATCATCTTAGCGCTTTTCTTTTCCATTCTTGGAGTTAGGGCTCTTGGAGAAACAGATTTAAATCCTGTCAGTGGAATTGGTAAACTTTCTCAATTGATCTTTGCAGTTGTTATACCGAACAACCATCCATCCAAGATTTTAATCAATTTGGTTGCTGGAGGTATCGCTGAAGCAGGAGCACAACAAGCAGGAGATTTGATGCAAGACTTGAAAACAGGTCACTTGATAGGTGCCTCACCCAAGGCTCAATTCATTGCCCAACTCATTGGTACCCTTTGGTCCGTTGTTTTGAGTAGTGTCATGTACAAGGTCTACAATGCCGTATATGAGATTCCTAGTCAAATGTTTAGAATCCCTACTGCTATCATTTGGATTGATTGTTCAAGATTGGTCACTGGCGAAGGTTTACCTCCTATGGCGTTTGAATTTCTGATTATCTTCGGTGTTGTGTTTGGAATTATATCATTATTGAAGAATGTGGTACCCAAGACTAGTCAATATCACAAATATTTAATTTATTTGCCTAATGGAGTGGCAGTTGGTATTGGTATTTACAATACTCCAAACTTTACCCTTGCAAGATTCTTGGGCGGTGCGCTTTCGTACTGGTGGATTAATAGACAGGGTGCTAAGGGATCTGATAGTAAGATCAGTATGATTATTTTCAGTAGTGGACTCGTATTAGGAGAAGGATTGTTGAGTGGATTTACCATGTTGTTAACTAGTTTGGGAGTCAAGCATTATTAAAAGGGAGTAGATGAAATATTTAATTAGGAGATAAGATAGACGGTGGAACTATATGAATAATAATTATAGAGTTATATTCACTGTAACAGGAAATTGGTTGTAGAATGTAGGACCAAAGTTCAGCCATTAAAATGTGATCAATGAAATTGTTGTATCACTGTTCTTTGTCTATTTTTATTTTAAAAAACAATTAAAATACATTCTTTACATATTCATCTAAGCCAACAAATTGTTTAAAGATGAAAGCGATCTACGAAAAACTAATAAGAATATGGATATAGAAAGAACATAGAAATATAGATAATCATTATCAATACAGCTAACGCACAGGGTAATACCTATGAAACCACAATAGATATACTGGGAAATTAGTCACCGAGAGTGTCGTGGAGGGGAATTGTTATTGGAATAGGAATCGGAATGGAAATGGGAGTGGAAGTGGAAGTGGAAGTGGAAGTGGAAGTGGAAGTGGAAGTGGAAGTGGAAGTGGGGATGGGTGAGTTTCGGGGATGGGAGTTGGAATTCTAGGCAGGTAAATAGGAGTACCTAGAAAGGGAGATAAGTAGAATTTCCAGTTCCGATGAACCAAAATATCTGTCCGTAGATGCCAATTGTTGAAAAAAATTTCAAGTCAGTCACAAAAGAATAACCACCTAATAATCAGAAAACATCTTGAATGAGTGTGGGTAATCGTAGAAATCAAGATAATGATGGGAGATAGTTTGAAAACATCTCACAGATATTGAATATAATACGAGATAGACCACCACAATAGTACTAAGAGACCAGTATGTTAGAGGATATAGAGTACAAAGAATGATAAGTAGTCTAGAGAGCTTCATCAGAGATCTCAGAAAAATAGAGTCGCATCCAATTCAAGGCATCCCATTCAAGTCATTCTCCAATAGACTTCTAATGGGAGTTTCTTTCCTTATCAACTGCAATTCTCTGGTTGATTAAATATATGGCCATTTGAATTGCTTGAAGAGATCCGGTCAAGGTTAACTTTCTAATGTTTGTCATTCCCTTCCCAGCAAGCATAATAGATTGGTGTTGATCTGGTTCGATCTTCACGTATGTACATCCACTGTTCAATCTAATTTGCTTGATGTTATTACCACCTTTACCGATAACAGATCCAATGTTTTCATTGGCGACAAAGATATCTTGATTATACTTGTCAGGCATGGTTCCTGCAGGAACTGGGGCATTGGTGATAACATCTCCAACAATGGTGTTACCATGTTCATCGGTGTATTGTTGCTGAGGAACTGGGGCTGCCATTGCTACCGCTGGGTTAGGAACCGGAGCTCCATATTGTTGTGGATGCACTGCTGGTTGGAACATCATTTGAAAGTTGTAAGGTTTTTGTTGTTGTTGGTATGGGTTTTGAGAATTGTTCATATCTTGCATTCCTCCACCACCAATCATCATGTTTTGCCCTTGTGGCATCATCATGTGGTTGTTAGTTGGATGTGTGTGTGGGTTTTGTGCAAGATGAGGTGGTGGTCCTCCAATATGATGTTGTTGCTGTGTTGGGGCACCGAGGTGTTGTTGTGAATGTTGGAGATGAGTTGGGGCTGGTTGCATATGGTGGAAGTTAGCTGGGTTATAGAATATCACCTTTTTCTTCTTCAAACAATCCTTATGTTCAATGATAACCTGAGAGATGTAATAGATAGCAATGTGAATAGCATCACCAACTCCAGTTATAGACAAGATTCTATCAGTGGAATAAGGTAAAGGTTGTTCAGCAGCTTTCAATTTAGCAGCTGAATTTTCTTCAATTTCTCTAAATTTGGATCCTTGCTTACCAATAATGTAACCAACTAAAGGGTGTGGCACCAAGATCTTCAATTCATATGGCTTACTCAACATGGAAGCAGGCTCGTCTTCTGGTTCTTCCAAGATGGTTCTAACAATCAATCCAAAGGCTCTTGCCACATTCTCGGCAGGACCTCTCACCAGTACAATTCTTTCAGGAACTTTTGGTAAGTTTTCGCTGACATTGATCCGGACATTGGCCTTGTCTCTGATGTGATTTATTTTTTCTCCCTTCTTCCCGACAACAGAAGATGCCTCCTTAACAGGACAGTACATTCTAAAGTTAACATATGTTGGGTCACCCTCTTTTTCACGATGGTTAGAAACTGGCTTCGAGTCAGATTCACCAATGGAACCAGTGGCAGCAGCAGCAGTATCAACGGCAGCAGGAGCGGTAGCAGAATTCACTTCCGAGTCAACTGCTCCAGTGTTCTCTGAAGGACCTGCTCCTTCAGTGGTTCTACCAACAAATCCGTCCAAGGCGGTGGCAGCATCGTACTCACTATCATCATCATCCTCACCGTCATCACCAGCTTCAACTTTAGATTGTTCTTGCGCAACTTCAGGCACTGATTGGTCCGATTCAACCTCTTCTCTAGAAGTGGATTCCTCGACGGCTGGAACCTCAACGTCATTGCCAATGGCCGGAGCTGTGTGGGCATCGTCTTCCTCCTTCTCCGCTTGTGCAAGTTGTTCACTGTCCAATGCAACTCTCTTGTTGAGTTGATCAGTCAGCAACAGGTCTTCATCCTCGTTCTTACGCTTCAAATTGCTTCCCGTGTTAGTGCTCGACATCGGTCCTGCTTTATTTAATTCACAAACAAATGATCAGTGTTAGGGCTTTAACAACCTTGGCCTTTTTTAGTCAACAAAAGTTTTCACAAAACGAAAAAAAAAAAACACACCCACACGTTTTTGTGTGATATTTGTATGTAGTACATGTAGCCTGAAGTCCTACAATGCAAGAGTAGAGTATCAGAATGCTATTTGTATTTCTGATCATTTGACTAGGTGAGTATACATAGAATGTAAGAATAGGGTTTCGTGTAATTTTAAGGTATATAAAATATAGAATACTCGGAAAGTTGCACCCATTAGTTGTCTGTAGATATGATCTTACAACATACAATTAGCACTGATTCTAGGAGAAAATGTTTAGTTTCTCCATCAATATGTAGTGATTTTTTTGATTCTTAGACTGGTTACCACTTAGAAGGTACCTAAAACACTTATTTGACAGTGTTTTGATGTTACACGTGAGAAAAGGATCATGGTAGACTAGCTAGACGTACGACTGTTGACATCGAGACGAAGTCCTGCCCTAGCTTTATAACCGAGAAACTTTTACCTTCTCTTTCTAAACAATTTTGAGCTTTGAAATACCCTTGTCACACTATTTTAGGTCGACCTAAAAGACATAACAGAAGCACTCTCCTCGACCACCACGGCTAGTGGCCCACGGAGTGCCAGTGGAGCGTCCTGCAGCCCTGCAGGGAACGTACTCCTCAAAACCCTATGCGGTCTATCTACTGATTCTTTTCTTCATTCATCCTGTTCTTTCTCTCCTCTTCTTGTGCAACTCTATACTGTTCATCTTTCTTCAGCTCAACTCTATTGAGGAAATCTTGTTTATCCAAGTAACCAGCCTTGTTATGTTTCTTCAAATCGTCTTGTAATTTTCTCTTATCAACAAAACTTGCCCAATCCAATCTGGATTTTTCCAATGTAGAAAGTTTCAGCAGCTTATTGCCCTGTGAAGAAAGAAATTTGTCTATTAAAGACGGTCTTTTGAGCTTAATCCGGAGTTCTACATGGTTTCCATCAACCATTCGCACCACCGGGACAAATGAACGTTGTATAGTGTTTGTTGATCCATCTGCAGCCAGACTGGAGATATTCCCCGTGGAGTTTTGATACGCCTTGGCTTCTGCAGATCCTGCTTCAACAGATTTAGTTTCCGTTACAACCTTACCAGCAAAGGAATATGAGGTTTGAATAGTGATCATCTCTGGCTCATTTGAAAGCTTTTGTTTCTTATTCGATTCGGTAGACTTGGTAGATTCAGATGATTGGTTGGCCTTATCAAGCGTGGTGGTGGAGGTGCTAGATACCACCAGTGTATCCCTTTGATCTAAAATCTCATGACCCTTGCTACTCAGCTGCTTTAACAGTTGGAAAAGTTCATCGATATTGATTCCCAGTGATGTCTTTTGCTCTTGTACAAGACCATTCATGGTGTGTTTGGATTCATTTAGTTGTTCTTGTTCTCTTTGTCTTCTTGTCATCACCAATCTTTCTCCTCCACTTTCAATCGCCGAAAAATCCGGGATGGCTTCCTTCTCATTCTCATTGTCAAGATCACTAACATCATCATCATCTTCTTCTATTTCTCCTGATTGTTTGTCACTGTTTTTCTTAGCTGATGGATCATAGTCTTCATCTTCTTCTTCGTCGTAGTCCTCCAGATCTTCTCCCTGTGCAGGGTCTTGCACTACAGAAGTATTAGAGCCCTTATTGGAGGGTTTCACTACCTCTACACCAGTATCCTTTGATGCTTTGCGTGCCATCTTGCTTTAATGCTTCTTTTAACATATACTTACCACTCTTCAAATGAGATGAAAATCAAAAAAGGGCAAAACAAATACAATCGCGCACTACAGTAAAGAGAAATCTATCAAGGTTCTCACAATCATAACTTATTCACTAGAGCTTAGAAGATTTAAAATCAGACATGAAAAGTTCTAAACCCTTTAGTTAATACTACTCATTACTTCTACGATTCGTCAGTCATTCTCAAGACTACACATTTACAATCCTCATTGATCTTTTGAACAATCTCCATCAACTCATTTTAAACCTCTTCAATCCTCTGACAAAGTCTTTCAATCTTCTGAAAAACAGTCTCTTAAACTCCTCTAACTTCTCCTCACCTTTCTCTTTTAATCCTCTTTAAAAGATTCTCTTCAAATTTCTTAATAAATTACACCAACTACACAATCACTTAATTCTCAATTCTCAAATGTTTCTCGAAGATTCCACATATTACCTGCCAAAACAACAGACAAGTTTCAAAACCACTCAATAATACATCTATATAACTATTTTCATCACCTTTTTATGCCCTGGTATAAACGGCTCTTATACACGGCTCTAATTAATATTTTTGACAAATTATCTCGCAAATCGTTGACTCTAATCGGCCCTATAACGGCAATTGGCCGAACATAATCTCGCAGCCATGCATGGTTAGGCATTATGCATTTTATATAGTGCCGTGCACATAAGGGCAAATTATATAAATCTCCACAATTCTAATTTGCCCCACCTGTCCTCTTTAACAACAATTTATAACCATCTATCCATCATGACAACGTTTATTGCTGATTCTGAAGCTCCAATCATTGTCTTGTCTGCCAAGAAACATTTCGAACAATTACCAACTCTTGACGCTAAACGTTATGCCCATCATCTTTCAAGAGCTTCTCATTATGGTACCAGAGCTGTCTTGAGATCAGTTTCCCCAGAAAGTGAAGCTATCTATGACTTGATTCTTAGTATCCATGCTCAATTGGGGTCTCCAAGCTCCAATGAAGTTTATGAACTGATTTTACAAGAAAGAGGTATCGCTTCAGCAATCACCATCAAATATCTCGAATATGCCTCTCAATTCCTTTCCAATTTGGGGAATTATAAATCTTTTGGTGATAAAAAATTCATTCCAGCTTTGGAAGTTACTCAATTAGATGATTTGGTCAAGGCCATTGATTCCAAGGATGTTTCTGAACTTTATTCTCAAGTCCGTACCCCACTCTATAGTGTTGATGCTTCTCTTTTAGGTTGGGCCACTGAGGGCCATATTACCAACTATTATCCTGATTCCATTGTTTCTCAATCGGAAGCTGAATTGGTTAATGCGGCCTTGGCTTCAAAGGGAATCATGCCAGAAAACACAAGAGTCACAAAGGTGAAAGAAAACGAGTTTGTTGTGGCTATTGCAAGTGCAAACACTGCCAACAATACTTCATATTACCCAAAGGAACCATTCACTTTTGAAGGAATCACTGTTTCATTCCATTTCGGTGATCATTCTAAGGAATTTGCCAAGATTGTAGAAGAATTGAAATTGGCTGCTAAATATGCTGCCAATGACACTCAAAAGAGTATGCTTACTCATTATGCTGAATCGTTTGAAACTGGTTCCATGAATGCTCATAAGGCTTCTCAAGTCGATTGGGTCAAGGATTTGAACCCACTCGTTGAATCCAATATTGGGTTTATTGAAACTTATAGAGACCCATCGGGAGTCCGTGGTGAATGGGAAGGTCTTGTTGCCATGGTTAACCAAGACCGTACTGCCAAGTTTGCCACTTTGGTTTCCAACGCTTCCAGTTTGATTCCTTTGTTGCCTTGGGATAAGCTTTATGAAAAGGATACCTTCACTCCACCAGATTTCACTTCATTGGAAGTGTTAACTTTTGCAGGTTCTGGTGTCCCAGCTGGTATCAACATTCCTAACTATGACGATGTTAGATTGAACGTTGGTTTCAAGAACGTTTCCTTGGGTAATGTTTTATCTGCCAACCCTAAAAAGCCAAAGAAGGAGGAAGTTATCACCTTCCTTTCTGAATCTTTGCAAGAACCATTCCGTAAATGGAGAGATGATGCATTTGAAGTTCAAGTTGGTTTACATGAACTTTTAGGACATGGAACTGGTAAGCTCTTACAAGAAACCTCAGAAGGTAAATTCAATTTTAACAAGGAAGAACATCCTGAAGTTACCACTTATTATAAATCCACCGACACCTGGGGGTCTCTTTTCGGCACCATTGCTGGGTCCTTTGAAGAATGTCGTGCTGAATTGGTTGCATTGTATCTTATCTTGAAGAACCCAAAGCAAGTGTTGCCCATCTTTGACATTGTCAAGGAGGAAGACCAGAAGGAAGTTATGTTGATTGCAACTGTTTTAATGTGTCGTGCTGGTCTCCTTGCATTGGAATTCTGGGATCCTAAGTCCAAGAAATGGGGACAAGCTCACATGCAAGCTAGATTTGCCATTTTCCAAACTCTTCGTAATGCTGGTGTTTGTTCTCTTAAGTATGAAGATTCCGAATTCAATGATTTAGAAATCACTTTTGATGAAGAGAAATTGACTACAGTTGCTGTTGAAGCCTTGGGTGACTTTTTACACAAGTTACACGTTTACAAATGTTCTGCTGATGTAAAGAATGGTGAAGCCTATTATGTTGGTATTACCACTGTTGGCGAAGAACTTGCTCAATTCAGAGATGTTGTTTTGAGAAAGAAATTGGCTCGTAAGCAATTGATTCAAGCTAACACTTTTGACAAGGAGGATACTGTTGAAGTTCGCGAATATGAAGAGTCTGAAGTTGGTATGATTCAAAGTTTTGCTGATAGAAATGTCTAAATAAAATAATAATATAATGAAGGGTATGGCAAAGTGAGAAAGAAAAGGAGTGTAAATGTAAAGAGTTCTTCTGGTTAATAGTTTTTGATGTGGTAGACCGAAGTATAAGAAGATTTCGCAGCCATTATAGAAAAGAGGATCATAAAGCACACATTAACTATGTAAATGTAAATTCTATGTTTGTAATTTGGTACCCTAATTCTTCTATCTAAGTGGATCATCTTTACATCTAAAAGGAAAAGTGTATACACATCTACTACATCTCAAGGTCGCCTTGAATTCACATTCTTATATATAACATACATTTTTTGCCCTCCATACAAAATTCAAAATTTTGTTTTTTCTGTACTCCCCCGATCTTATGAGTCTTTGAATCGGACAAACGTCGTGCCATGGCAATTTCGTTCATATGAATCCTTGAAAGCAACAGGATATCATCCTCGTTTCAAGCTTCATATAAACACCCAAGTTCGATGTTGTTGCTGATTTTGCGAAGGTCTGGGGCTAGAGCAACCAGCGGCAGTATCCTCGGTACGTCGATACCGCTAAATCATGCTAAATTTGGAATATTACGACCACACTCAGGGTCCCCGTTAGAGAAGACCTTAAGAACGATGCCTAGAATAGGTTGTCGGTTATTACATAGTAGTATTCATTTAAGCAAAGAACTGCAACCAGCTTCTAAGGAAGGCGCTGACGCTGAAGCTGAAGCTGACGCAGCTGCCACTGTGGCGGCCAAGAAACTTTTAGCAGAATTTAAAAATAACTCGCTTAGACAGCATTTGGGTAACACTAGAATTAAGAAGGATGAATTAATAGAAGAGGAGAATCAAAAGGAGTCACAACAAAAGAAAACATTCCGAGAGAATATAAAAACTATAGCAAGAATCATTAAGTTGGGTAAACCTGATTTAAGACTCTTTCTTTATGCCTTGGCGTTTATTCTCTGTGCCGTCTTGTATCCCACAGCTTCAGTCAAACTTGTTGGGTCTGCTATTGACGCTATCAACCAAAACATCAAAGATGAAGATGGGAACTTACTTATCTGGGGTTACAAGGCTCAATCCGTGTTTGCCGTCATGGTCCCATTTATGTGTGTCTCTGCCATTTGTTTCTGGGCCCGTATTTGGGTTTTGAAAGTTTTGGGTGAAAGACTCGTGGCTAGGTTAAGACTTCGTGCCATGAAGCTGTTGGTAAGACATGATGCTAAATTCTATGATAATGACAAACACAAGGTTGGCGATTTAATTTCAAGACTTTCCAGTGATGCCTACGTTGTATCGAGATCCATCACCAGTAACCTTCCTGATGGATTGAAAAACGTCTTGTTTGGAATCATCTCAGCCTATATGATGTTTTCCATCAATCCTATGCTTTTCGGGGTTATGTTATGTATCTCACCTCCAATTACGTTTGGTTCTGTTTGGTATGGTGAAAAAATCCGTGGATTATCCACCAAATTACAAAATGCATCTGCTGGTTTGACCAAGGCTGCAGAGGAGACTCTTAGTTCTGTCAAGTTGATCCAGGCATTTACTGGAGAACAAAAGGAATTAGCCAAATATTCAGCTGAGCTTAGAAACGTGGTTAATGTTGCCAAGACTGAAGCCTTAGCGCAATCGAATTACCTGGTTTCTATCTATGGATTATACCATACTGGTTACTTATCCTGTATAGCTCTTGGGGTTTATCTTATCTTAAACGGTCAAATGACTGCTGGGGATGTGGTGGCATTCACCATGTACCTGGAGTTCTTCAATCTGGCGTTGTATTCCTTAACTACTACATACATGGAATTGATGAAGGGATCGGGAGCTGGAGTGAAATTGTTTGAATTAATTGATTATAGAAATGATGTTGAAGCTATTAAGGGACAAAAGGTTCCTCCTAAATTGGATAATGACATTGAATTTAAAGACGTTGTGTTTAGTTATCCAACTAGAGCAACCAATAAGATCTTTGATGGATGCTCTTTCAAGATCCCGGCTGCTTCTTCAACATGTTTTGTCGCACCTTCGGGATGTGGTAAGTCTACTGTTGCTCTCTTGTTACTTCGTTCTTATAATATCAATTCTGGTGAAATCTTGATTGGTGGAAAGAACATCAAAGATTTGCAGGTTCGTGATCTTAGAAGAGAAATTATAGGGATTGTTCAGCAAGAACCAGTATTATTATCTGGTAGTATCTTGGAAAACATTGTGTATGGATTAACATCTACCGAGATCAATAAATTAACAATGGATGATGTCATTGACGCTGCCAAGCTGGCAAATTGTCATGACTTCATTTCAAACTTCCCTGAAGGTTATGACACAATCATAGGAGCTCGTGGTGCCTCACTTTCTGGTGGTCAAAAGCAAAGAGTTGCCATTGCAAGAGCGCTCATTAAGAAGCCATCCATTCTTATTTTGGATGAGGCTACCTCAGCCTTAGATTCAAAGCTGGAGCTGCTTATCAATGAAACATTAAAAGAATTGACCTCACAGGGTAAAATGACAATAATATCCATTGCACACAGACTCTCCACTATATCCAAGTCGGAATATGTCGTTGTATTGGGGAAGAAGGGACGTGTGGTGGAACAAGGACGTTTTGTTGATTTGTATAGTAATCCTAATTCAGAATTGTCCAGACTTCTTGACTCTACTGCTAAACCGGAACCAGCTACCGAGGGTGAAGGCGAAGAAGTCATAGAAGAAGAAGGGGAAGACTCTGGAAAGGTTGATGATTTGACTAAGGTTAGGTCATTAATCGATGAATTACCTTATGACTTACGTTCTCAACTTATCGAACAAATCTCAGAAGAAATCAAGAGGGATAGAGAAGCAGCCTTGAAAGAAGCCAAGGCAATTCCTGATAGTTTGAGCTAGTACAAGAAACCCGGGGTTGGCTGACTAGCACTTGTATATACAGTATTTATTCAATAGAAATTAAAGAAATATTTGAAATTTATATCGATAGGCTCGACATCTACGTCTTTCCTATTGAAGGGATTGTCCTACTAATTCAATCGACACGCTCTCCTGTCCCAGGGAAATATTGTCAAAATGGAGTCCGATTCTCGGGTTACTACACTCATGTTCGTTCAAACTTGTATTCAAATACATATCAACTCTAATTCATTATACTAGTTGCTTTATTCGGCCCTGGCGACCATATAAATAACAACCAATCGCTTATTCGGCCAAAGACTTGGCTTCCTTTTGGACACCGTTTTCAATCTTGATGGCCTTGACTTCAGAGAGACCTCTTCTGTCAGCAACGGTCTTGAATTCAGGCTTCAAAGCGGATCTGACGGCTCTGGCGGAGATGGCCAAGGCCTTGTTTAAGGAAATACCAGCTTGTTTGTAGGCAGACATTGTGTTGTGTGGATGGAGAAAGGAATAACCTAGTTATGTTAGTGTGGTTCTGTACTTCGTTTTTTCGTTCGAGACTCAATTCGGACTCTCATTGGTTGTGCTGGAATTTACCGCGCACGAATATTTTAACATTTGGTTAGGCGTAATCTGTAGACTACACAGATTGAATCAATAAGATATATAGAGAAATATTGTTATTGTTATTATTATTTGGTGGACATCCTCTTCCGTGATCTTTTGGAATATTGTTCGACATCCTTGAATATTTTTTATTGTCTGAGGTGATATATGTATACTTGGAGGCGTATTTTTAGTGAATGATTTAAGCTATTGTGGAACATGCAGGACATCTGACCCATACTTAAACTTGTACTAATATGAGTTTCTAAAAACTACATATATATTATCTTCAATCCTACATTTCTTTGAAAAGTCCATTTATATTCGTACTATTATACAGTTTTATTTCTTAAATTTCAAAAAACTTTCTAACGTTTTGAGTTTAACCAATTAATAAAGTCAAAGAACATTGAGGCTTGAATCTTACTTTTCTTTGTAGAAGCCCATTCTTTCAATGAAGCGGTGTAGATATCAATGACTTTTTCCAAATAGGATTCATCGATTCCAATCAAGTTCTTGGCCACTATAATACATGCTTGGTTACATGCCATAGAATGCGATTGGTTTGATGAGTTACTGGCTTGTTGTTGTAACCATTCAATTAATTCAACAAGTGATTCTTTGAATGTATTTTGTTCCTCTTCATCAGTAAAAGTTTGTTCAATTTGAGCTTGAGTTACTTTAGTCTTACTAATCTTTGTCTTGAGCAACTTGTGTGCCTTTAAGCCAACATTCTTATCCAAGGTTAACTTGATCAAAACTACCAATGGCTTAATCATGGTTAAGTTTAAGTACGAGGTTGGTTGATGTTTGTTCAAAGATTCAAGTAAATCCAAAATACGGTTCTTGAAGAAAATCATTTGCTCCTTAGCTTCCATAACCTCTTCCTTACGCTTGCTACCACTGACTACGGAGGATAATGCATCTTGTCTTTCTTTGAAAATTTTGGATAATTGTCCATCAATTTCCATCATTTGTTCGTCATCCATATCCGATTCATCAGAGGATCCCTCAGACGATAAATCAGAGAATTTCACTTCTCCAGAAGTCTCTGTAGGGATACCCAATGCTTGGGCAAGCTTAATACTGGTTTCCTTATCGATTGGGTTAGACGAGTCGTCCTCTTCACCTTCGTCAGAGGAGTCATCTTCTTCGTCTTCTTCATCTTCTCCGTCTTCTTCGTCTTCACTTTCATCATCTTCTTTTTCATCGTCACCTTCACTTTCGCCATCTTCATTTACAGCTTCAAATTCTCCTTGACCTTCGAAAATCTTTTCTAATCCTTCTTTGTTTTCTCTAGCTTCTAAAACATCATATAACAATTTCAAACTCTCTTCATTCAATCTGATATTGTTATCATCACCCTTAGAACATAAGAAACTTTCCCAAATAATCATGGAGAGCTTCTTCAATAAAGTTGACTTTCTAGCCACAAAAGATAAAATGATCTCAGTTAACACTTGAGAAGTGTCAACTTCAGATTCTCCAGAGTTTGCAATGTCATCGTAACATAATTTCAATTCGTCAAGAACGGAAACAGCTTCTTCATCTGCGGTGTAAAATTGAATCAAAACCATGGAAAACAATAATTGGAAACAAAAGAGTTGATCCACCTGATTTTCATCATTTTTCTTGGTTGCCTTACGAATTGATTTCTTAATTCCAGCCAAAATCTCCAAAGTTTCTTGTTTATTGGAAGTTAAGCTTTCATCGAAACTTTCCAATAAGGAGAATTTGTCCTCGTCTGTTTCTAATTCAGTGATGTAATTGATACAGAATAATGGCCAAGGCTCACCTTTGGTTGTTTTAAAGTTGATGACATCGGCCAAGATAGAGTTCAATCTTTCTTGAGACAAATTCTTGATATTTACTGAAACATTGCGGCTACTCTTCTTAAAGAATGAATTTTCAATCAAGACCTTGAAAATATCTTCAAGCCATGAACTGTCACCATCCTTCAATGCTGCTTTGTTGGCACGAATCAACATTAATAATTTATCAAGACTCCATTTTTGAATGTTATCAGTGGAAGACTTAAGAATTTCCTTCTTTTTCTCATTTTCTTCTTCGTCACTAGCTTGGTCCTCGTCCTCGTCTTCCTCATTTACCTTTTCTTCTTCAACTTGAGCTTGTTTCACAGCTTCTTTGAACTTCTTGATCAAAATATTCTTAACTTCTTCTAAAGATTCTCCGGTACATTTGGTGAGGATTTCATCAGTACATTTACTTTTAGTAACCAAATCAAAGTTCCAACATCCACCATGACTTTCATTAATAAGACACGAGAAAATTGTTGGGGCTTTATCAGGGTTGGCTGAAGCAACTTCCACCAATGTCTTCAATACTTGAACAGAAATTTTGTTCAAGAAACGGGATTGTTGGGCTGATTGGTTAATCAAACACCTGATCAAATTTGGAGTAAAGAGACCTTCCAAATCTTCCCTTTCCTTGACATTTGATACAAATTTAATGAAAATATCAAACCCCCAATACTTTCTTTCATGAGAAGATTTTTCTGAAAAGAGTGATTCATCAATAACAACTTTCCAGAACTCCTTGATGGAGAGTTTAGCTGGATCTTCTAATGACTGGATGTTTGATAATTTTGATTTCTTTGAAGACTTTGAAGTCGAAGACTTCTTTCTCTTTTTCGAAGATTCTTCAACTTCTTCTGAAATTGAAGTTTCTCTATCAACTAATTCTCTAATGACTAAATCCCAAACAAAATGCACTCTTGGGTTCCAACTACTCTTTTGTTTAGGTTGCTGTTTCTTTTCATCATCTTGTTGTTCGGCTGCAACAACTTCAACATCTTTCAATACCTTGGTAAGCAAAGGAAGGTTACCCTTTGAAAATGGATCACCATTTTTCCAACTTGGTTGGAGGTTTTCCACTTGTTGAGCATACACAGATCTATTGTTTGACTTCACAGACAAGTATACAGCTACACCTTCTGTGGTCAAATTAAGACCAGCATCATTAAGCTGTTGGAAAATAGATACAAATAAACCTTCATTTTCTTGAGTACCTTCCATTTTACTCATAAATGAACACAAGGTGAAAATGGTACTTTCTCTGATCCATGACTTTAATGTGGATAATTGGATTAATAAGGAAGTGAATTCCTGTAAGGCATCCAAGGGAGAAACTTCACGATCATACAAGAGTCCAGAGTTTAAGATGGCTTGTAAACCAAATAAACGACCGAATAATACTGCTCTTTCTTCTTTTCCCTTCATCGATGACTTCACTTCAGTCAAAGTCATAAGTTGCTTCAAGTAGCCAACAACAGTCTCTGGGGACTCTGGGTCTTTAATGAGCAGGGAAAGTACTTCGATAAGTGCCATGGAAAATCCAATTCTAGCACTTTGTCTGGTGGAAGTTAAACCTTTAATCAATCTATTCAATGCGTAGTCCCATTCTTCTTTAGATTGTTCACTTTGTAACTCAGAAAGCAAGGCCGTGGCGGCTTCAATTCGCTCCTTTGGAAGCTCGGAGGCAAGGCGATAGTAATGGTCTCTCAGCACTGGCATAGTCAAGAACTCTCTGCTCAGTCTGTATAATGATGATAGAAATATAACTGCAAAATATTTGTCCCCATCTCATGAACACACGTTTTAAAAAAAAAAAATTCTGTGCGACGATTTGCGGCCAACAATAGTGAGAATAGTGAAGGCAGCAAAAGTATTGCCAATCAATTGAGTGTGTATTCCTATTACATCTATATAATCCCTGTAAAGGTAATCCAGCTATGTCAATTCCAATCGAATTCAATTTCAAAAAAGATTCTAGGTAAGTTTTGACCATGATCAATTGGGAATCTATTCCATCATCTAATATTGTAAATGAGGCTGAATAGATTCCATGATTTATTTATCTACCTTGATCATTTGGAACGCCTACTACTTATTTATTAGTGTCTTGTATTTATCTAACACAATGTTGAACGTGTATATTTAACCCACCAAATTTAAAATTGTATAATCTATATTGTTGAAATGAAGAACATTCGTCTAGCAACTACGCTTAAGCGTAGGATTGCTTAGGGAATGGGAAGGATGGACCAACTTCTTGGATGGACAAAGCAGCAGACCATTGACCAATGTCAACGGATTGAGCAACGGTCTTGCCTTCGACAAGACCAGCCATGAAACCGGAAGCGAAAGCATCACCGGCACCGTTGGTGTCAGTAACCTTTTCCTTGGCCAATTCTCTAACTGGGTATTCGTTAGATTCAAGAGCCTTGGTGTTGAAGTCGTAAGAGACAACGATAGTTGGTTCAAGACCTTGAGTGAAAACAACAACTCTTGGTCTGTTGGTGTTTTCCTTTGGAAGTTGAGCAATGTGCTTGGCAATGGTGGCAACATCAGTGGTTTCCAAACCGTGGGATTCAGCATAAGAAGCAGCTTCGGATTCATTGGCAATAAGGAAGTCAATGTATGGAACGGCTTGGTCCAATGGGTCCTTGAAGAATTGAGGAATGAATGGAGCAGACAAGTTCAAGGCGAAAACCTTGTTGGATTCAGCAGCATGCTTACCGAGCTTCAAGATAGCTGGTGGAGAAACAGTCAAGTGGAAACCACCAATGTAGTAGAACTTGGCAGCTTCAACAATGGCCCAGTTTTCTGGAATTTCCAAGTGGTCAACCTTGAAGTGGTTGGCGGCAGCAAGGTCGGTGACAAGAGATCTGTGGACACCGTTAATCAAAGCAGCACACTTACCGGTGGCAATGTCTTCTTGGACTTGGTACTTGGTGGTCAAACCGTACTTCTTGTTAGCTTCGTTCAACTTGTCGGCGTAAACATCCTTACCAACAGATCCAAAGTAAACAACAGAGTTTTCTGGCAAGAGGTATTGAGCACCTCTGGCAGTGTTTTGAGCAGCACCACCAGCAACTTCGATAAGACCTTCCTTGGCGATGATCTCTTCGTAGATTGGAAGATGCTTTTCTTCAGCGAGAATGGCATCGTTTTCCTTAAGATCGTACTTCTTAAGGTATTCAGCATCGACATCGACTTGAAGATCGAGAAGAGGGTTACCCAAACAGACTAATGGAAAAGACATGGTTGATATGTAGTATTGGTAGTATTAATTACTGTAGTAGAAGAAGAAAAAGGAAAGAGGTTGGTTGTGGTAAACGAGCCCCTCGTATTTTAGCCCGCGCATTGATTGAAATTTTTCGTTCTCTCTCTTTTTTTTTTTTTAAAGTGCACAGGTAAAATGAAAACCCTCGTGGTTTAACGAAATAATGAAGGCGGCGTGCTTATGTAAGATGGAAGCATGTGAAGAAGTCAAAAAAATTCAACAAAATTCAACATTTTATAAAACAAAATGGGGGGTATAACTCAATATGGGATATGCTGTTTGATAGTGGGAGAATTGTCAGGAAGTGAACTAATCCAGGAGATATATACAAAAAAAAAATAGAACATGTTGATTTTGTGGATGAGTGATAACGGTTCTGAGAACACAAAGAAAATAAAAAAAATGAAATTGAAACAATCAAAGAATTGAAAGTAAATGAATTAAATTCATGGGATAGTCTAAAAGGTCTTGAACTACTACCTGACTTTCATGCAAAAATAAAAAGGAAATGAGTTCCTACTTGGGTGGAAACGGTTTTACTCCAAATTCAACTGTATCCGTTTTTTTTTTGTTTTTCTTGTAGATCTGCCCAACCTGCATACATTTCCCAACATAAATCAGCATGTTCTCGGTCTTAATTTGGTTTTAGGTGCACCCCCCCCCCCCCCTCGAACTTGCCAAGTTTCTGATTCAATTCAATTGATCACCTTTAGGTATACTTGATATATACTGGTACCCCCTTAAGTTTTCCCTGGTTCTAATTATAGAGGGGCCGTAGTCACACCTAGCAGGACAAACATATATATTCTTCCTATCAATGGGTTCCTCCCTATTATCGTTCTTACCGGTATTCACCGAAGATGTATTTCTTCAATACAGACCATTCCCTGCTGAACCAACAAATTTCTTCGTGGCTCATTGGCATGAAATCTTGGGTTCATATGTATTTTACCAAACGATCCAATTTTTATCTCCTTGGTTTTCCACGCGTTTCTTTGGCAAATCCTATACTAACCTTCTGCCTAGAACAAAGATTAATTTCGATATCCATGTAGTTTCCATGATTCAATGTATTATTTCAATTCTAGTGATTATCCCTATGTTGAATCATCCCTTCTATGTGAATCTGTTGGTTGATCCTAAACAAGGTATCTTGGGATATTATCCATATGGTGGATTTGTCGGTGCTATCACACTGGGTTATTTTGTATGGGACACTTATGTTTGTTTAAGATACTTTCATTTATTTGGTTGGGGGTTCTTATTCCATGGAGTTGCTGCTTTGTACGTTTTCGCTTCCACTTTAGTTCCATTTTGTTTACCATGGATTCCTGCATTCTTACTTTTTGAATTAAGTACTCCATTTGTAAATATGAATTGGTTCGCATCTCGTTTACCTAGTGGGGTATTTAGTGCTAAATTCGTTGCCATCAATGGGATTTTATTAATGGTTACATTCTTCCTGGTTCGTATTATTTGGGGGTTATATGCTGTCTATTTAATTGCCTTTGACATGTATGCAGTTAAAGATCTCGTTCATCCATTTTTCCCCTTATCTATCTTGGGACTTAATTTCTTCTTGAATATTCTCAATATTTACTGGTTCTATAAAATGGTCTTGCTTGCTAAAAAGATGGCAAGTAAATCTAAAAAGACTGATTAGAATTATTTATATATATATGTATGTATGACTATTTAATTCATAAATGATTCATTTAATGATTATCATCTCCTAGACTATATTTCAATTCATATAATTTTAAATTTTGCCACCTCACCCCCTTTTGCAACATATTTGTTTTTACAATTTGGCTGTAAATGGTACACCAAAAATGAAAGACAAAAACAAAAAAAGAACAAAAAGAAGGAAAAAAAAAAATATCATAACCTGCATGTAGTGGTGATAGTAATACTCTGTCGTCAACTCAATCTAACCAAATCAACCATTGCAGAGATTCAAATTAAAAATATTTGACTCCCACTCGACACATTTTCTCCTTTCAATTATATCACTCTCCTCTTTATAATCTCCCCCTATTGACACCATAATTTTATCTCATTGAATCTTCATTTCTCCTATTTTGACTGCAAAGTCGTTCCCACCTATTGTTCTTAAAATGCAAAACTTCTATCCTGCATGTAATGGTCGTGCATGGTGGCGAGAACGGCAACACACTCACGCAAGTAACTACTTTTAACAGATCGCTAGTACTGAGGGTTAACTCACAAAAAAAAAAAGAGCGTACTAACAAAATACATTTGTCCTCGTTCTGTTCATCTGTTCATATCTGGAAGTTTCATATAGACCCAGACTCCAGTTTGCACGTGAAAATATAACCTCAACCTAGTTTGTATATTCAACCTTCTTTGTGTATTTTCCTGATTGCCTCTCCCCTTTAATTTAAGGAGTGTGACCATTTTAAGCAAAGTAAGCACAGCACATCTATACCCTTAAGTATAAATATAATAAAGATTAAGAATGAACAGTGAGTACGATTATTTGTTCAAGTTGTTGTTGATTGGAGACTCCGGTGTTGGTAAGTCATGTTTGTTGTTGAGATTTGCTGATGACACCTATACCCAAGATTATATCTCCACCATTGGAGTTGATTTCAAGATTAGAACCATCGAATTGGACGGTAAGACTATCAAGTTGCAGATCTGGGATACTGCCGGCCAAGAAAGATTCAGAACCATCACATCATCCTACTACAGAGGTGCACACGGGATCATTATTGTTTACGATGTCACCGACCAAGAATCCTTCAACAATGTTAAGCAATGGTTACAAGAAATTGACAGATATGCCACAGGTGGTGTCATGAAGTTGTTGGTTGGTAACAAGGCCGACTTATCCGACAAGAAGGTTGTTGAGTACACCGCTGCCAAGGAGTTTGCCGACGCGTTGGACATTCCATTTTTGGAAACCTCTGCCTTGTCTTCCACTAATGTAGAACAAGCTTTCTTCACCATGGCCAGACAAATTAAGGCTCAAATGACCAACAATGCCTCTGGTGCTAACACTGGAAATAGCGGAAAGTCCAACGTTAACTTGAGTGGTCAATCTTTGACCAATAACCAATCTAACTCCTGTTGTTAGGTGTTTAGGTTTACTAAACTATAATTATTATTAGTAGTAGTATTAATAATAATCTGGTAGTTAATACATATTGTTGAAATACGAAATCCTTTTTATTAATGAATTTCTTAAAAAGCATGTAGTAAAATCTAAATCAGAGAGTGGAAACAAATGAGAGTTTATTAACTAGTTAATAAAGTTCTTTGTATAATCTGCAGAGACTACGATCTTGTCTATATCTGTGGAGAATGGAGGCGATTTCTGTTACATTGTTATCTCTTATTAATATTGGCTATATCTATCTAAATATCTACCATTTCAATACGTACAAATAGTATTGAACATACAAATGAGTGTCATCACGAATGAATCTACCCTTACCAATAATGCTTTCTCTAAGAACCCACTTGTACTTGTCTTCAACGGAGTCGGCAAACAGAATCACAGGAGTGCTGGTGATATATTCATCATCGAAGTCAGCAACTTTGGCCTTGTTACCAAGAACAGCACCGATTTCTGGAGTGGCCTTGATCAACCCGTAGTAATGAACGTATACACCATTGCCACCAGGAGTCTTACCATAGATCTTACAATCAAGTCTGTTGACACCAACTTCAGTGTTGGCAGTAATATGATCAATACCTTGGATACCGGAGACTTCAAGTTCAAGGCCCAAATCATTTGGAACAGTGGAAATAGTACCATCTTTAATGTTGACCAAATTGATTGCGTGTGAGTATGCGTCATTCTTCAACACGCTGATTGGGTCTTGAAGCTTCAAGCTGATAAGGGCAACAGGGATCAATTGAGGAGTCTTTGGGGCAGAAGTTGGAATAACGGACATATTTGAAAAAATTTAAAGGAATTGGCAATTAAAGAAAGGTAGGTTAAGAAGAGAATGTGCGTTGATTATTTTGTATATATATCTAAGGAGAAACAGATTGTGAGATAGAGGGGTGAAATTCGTGGGTTGATGACAAATTGTGGAGAACCAATGCGCATAACTTAGACAAGAAAGTAGATCTAGAATTACAGAAAGAGGGACTACTTGTGAAACTAAGAGACATGTTTTCATTATGTACATATGTCCAGAATATAGGGTTTTATGGTTTTATTCCGTATTAACGTTAGATATCGAACGATATTGCAGTTGTAATTTGAGTTTAACCGCTAAGGCCGAGACAAAAGAATAATTCATTTCCAAATCGAGTGCTAAAGAGCGAAGTTTAAAAAGTAATTGAATATAGATAAAATTAGAATAAAATTAAAATAAAATTAGAATAAAATTCAATGTAGATAGTTAGGTTTATGATGCCTGGTATGGAATGGTGTGATTATAGGAGGAGGTGAGGGACATACTGTTTCTTTTTTGTATTGAATCAAGGGGCTAGATATATTAGTTACATTAAAATATTTATGCAAATAAACTTTTAGGTGTATGATGTCAAATTAATTCCTACAGGATCTCTATCTTCTATACCAAGACATCTAAAGTACATAAATAATTATTGTGGTTGCAAAATCGATGAGTAGTCCTTGTATATCTCCTATACAATAGAACTAAATCTAGAAAGATAGAAACAGAAAAAAAAGGGGGAAAAAAAACAGATTCCTATCTAAGTGCCATCAAATAGATACAAATAGATACACCACAAGTATCAATAATATTTATGTACTACTTGAGTCTCTCAATATAGAATCATTTTATAAGTTTCACTATCTTTCACCCCTCGATTCTATACCTTGTAAACAAATTTCCCCGCACGTGACTTAATCGCACAAAATAACCTGGTGGCGCTAATGAACAATATAGAAACCAACAATCAATCAATCAAATACATTTTATACACTTATATTCCATCCATTTAATATAGAGATTTAACGCATAAAAATGACAGACTCGAGTTCGATTGTATTAGAGATCGAACAAAACTTTGCTCTTCTTGGCTTAGCATCTGTCAATTATGACAACAGATACATTTCCAAAGTATTCCGTGAACTTGGACCTTTAAGAAGGAAGATTGCGAGTCAATCATCCCCAATTGAGATATTGGCCACTATTGTGGCAAAGACGTACCTGGAAGAACACCCACACTACTCTTACCTTAAGGAATTAGTTGGAGAAGCTCCCAAAATTGTCTCTGAATCAGATATGGATGTTGACACTGAAGAAGAAAATGACGCTACCAACACCACATCTCCTTCTTCAGTAGTTCTTCCAGAGGTTGATCTCTACATCCATCTTCTTGTTCAATTACTTCTTCTTGACCAAAAGAATCTTACTGTCTTGGATAAATTCAACCATTTTGTAATCAATGCCCTTCAATCTTATAATAAGCGTTCCCTTGATTTCATTCAAGCCAAAATATGGTTCTATATTGCTAGAACTAAGGAATTGATTGGAGATGTGGTTTCAATTCGTCCACAATTATTGAACGCATTAAGAACCTCTACCCTTAGACATGATAATGAATCCACTGGTTCTCTTATAACTCTTTTATTAAGAAACTATCTTTTAACTCATGACATTAATCAAGCCTCAAATTTGGTGGAAAAGACCGTTTTCCCTGAAGAAGCAGGAAATGCATTGTCTGCTAGATATTACTACTACTCAGCCAAGATTAATGCCATTCATTTGGATTATTCCAGTGCTCATGAATGTGTAGTTGCTGCCATCAGAAAATCTCCACAAACTCATCTTGCCAATGGATTCATCAAGGCAGCAACTAAATTGAACATTATCATTGATTTGTTGATGGGTGATATCACAGAATTGAAGGTTTTCCAAGATAACGAACAAGATTATCAACCATATTTTGAAGTTACTAAGGCGGTTAAATTGGGTGATTTAAAACTTTTCGGTGAAGTATTAAAGAAATATGAACCTGTTTTCAAATCAGATGATATGTACACCTTGATTCTTAGATTAAGACAAAATGTTATCAAGACAGGGATTAGAATTATTTCATTATCATATCTGAAAATTTCTTTGAAAGATATTTGTATTAAATTACATTTGGATTCAGAGGAACTGACAGAATACATTGTATCCAAGGCTATCCGTGACGGGGTTATAGAAGCTAGTATCAACCATGAACATGGATACATGCAAAGTAAAGAACTTTTGGATATTTACTCTACAAAATTACCACAACAAGCATTTAACCAAAGAATCAAGTTTTGTTTGTCATTACACAGTGACAGTGTCAAATCCATGAGATACCCACTGGATAGTGACAACAAGTCTGAACTGAAGAATACTATAGACCTGAAGGATGAAGAATTCGATTTATTGAAGGCGATTGAAGAAGGTGATCTTGATGATTTCATGGATTAGATATAATATTTTTTTAGATGATTGGGGAATTTATTAAGTAATAAAAAAAATAAAGAATTTAGAAGTAATTAAGGAGATTGGTGTAGAGTTACTAGTATAAAATAGATGAATGATAGGCTTGACCAGTGTTAGAAGTTTAGAGTGTGTGTGTGGGGTGAGCCAAGTTTGGGTTCCTGTATGTTTGTATCGCAAGAACATTAAAGATATAGAAATTTGAATCAAAGAGTGAACAACTTTCCATATCGAGTATCAACCCCATGGACGGTAAAATATATCTAGGGTTGGACTCTAAGTTGTATGGCGAGGGCCATAAGGATCCATTCATCCAAGATGAGTAAGTTTTATTTCATTGAGCTTTGTTTGTATGATTGTTACTAACTAGTTTTTCTTTTTAGAGACAAACTTTCCATTGCGGAACTTATCCCAAGAATTCTACAAGAAAGAGAATCATTTCTAAACATTACCGAGGAGTCCTTGGCTAAGGAGATCGAAGAAGAGGCCCTGCGTAGTGACGTGGAGGCCGTGGATCTGGCCACGAAGTTTGAAGGGTCTCCAGATGAACAAGGTGAGGAAGAAACGGATGCTCTTGGTACATATGAGACTTTCACAAAGAATAAACATGAGTTGGCAAAATTGATTGGAGGAGCATTGAATGAAACCTCGTTATCTCTTGACTTTGTCTCACTTCTTATATCTTCGGTGAAACCAAATTTGGGTAAATCGACGATATCTCCACTTTTGAGTAAAAATGTCCCATTGGGGTCCTTGGCAGCTGATAGAATAGAGTCTACGGGTCCAAATAATAGTAAGGAATGTGCAGCTATTGGTCAAGGTTGGAAGCTTGAATCGTTGACCAAAATTACTGATTCACTTAGAACAGCCAGTATTCGCTTGAATGAACAAGTACTTCGTGAAAGAAATTATTGGGAGAATGTCCATACGGTTTTACAGAATGGTGAAGTCTTATACAAGGCCAGGGATCCTACAACTGGACATAGAGGCATTGGAGTGAAATATGGATATGGGGACTCTGGTTCTAACTATCATGATAAAGGGTTAGCAATTTTGAAACGTAACATAGATGGTAACGTTTCTCTTTTGCCCATTTTAAACGAAGTAAGTAGTAGGGGTGGGACAACAACAAAAGTGGCCGAAAAGGTACACAAATATATCCGGGTGAAGATTTTGAGTAAGATTGACGACGATTACATGCTTACAGGACAATCTGTATTCAATTCGAAAAGTATTCTTGGTGGTAAGGATGCCATCATAAATGATATTGAAAAAGCAAGATACTTTTTATTTGAAGAAGATTTATTCCATCAACTCACACGTGAAGCAAAGACCCTTATCAACTATAATGTCTCAATAATATCCAACAAAATCATCATTGAAGTGTATGAACATATTATTGAGATTGAGGCTGTAGTCTACGATGAAAATAATGAGGAAGAACTCAATAACTTGTATCAAAATATCAATCGAGAATCTTCGATGAATAACAGTAAGGCACAACATATTCTTATATTCTTAAAGTTAATGTTGTGTTGTTTCTACAAGTACAACCTTGATTTGAGAAGAGATGTCCCCACAGCAAGAGCCAAATGGAAGTTGGCTAATTCACATCCACTTATTTTAAGACCATTATTGGGACATATTCGTCATGAAATTAATTTCAAGAACGTCCAATATGTCTTGGGTAACTTACTTGCCGATTTCGATAAGGATACATACAAGATACGGGCTAAGAAATATCTGACATTATCACCAATTGGCGAAACTAAGACTATTAGAGATATATTTGAAAAGTCCACTAAATCACCCAAGTCCGAGTTAAAGGTCAAATTGGTCCATCCTACCAACGGAAAGGTCTTGAAAATCGACGTTACTTTGTCAGCCACCGAGAGTTATTGTAACTTGATTGTGAACTTGGTGGTCAATCGATACAATTCCTTACAGACATACAAGGAAGATAAGGATTCGTTAAAATTGCTTGAAGTAAAAGTCACGGAGATTTACGATGTTGAAGAATGTTTAGAGTGGATTATATCAAAGTTTATAAATAAAACTTGATTGCAATGAATAGGCAGAAAACTGATTTCTTGAGGGGAAAACCCTTTCTACTTTGAAGAAATGCTTATCATTTAAAAATGGAAAATTTGTCATATATATAGAATGTGAACTATCATTCTATGACAAGATATTCCTATCTAAACCCAGAAGGTTATCCAGAGGGGGATTACACCTTCTGAAGTACATTTGATGAGAATTGTAGAAGGAAAAAAAAGAAGAGAATGAAAATGATTACGTGTACTTGTAGTTCTACTCGCTTCAATTTGATACTATTCTCACTATATTATACATATGTTGTTATACATGTAATTTTATTTATACTAACTTCATGTAGGCTCTATAAATCACTGCCGTTGTAGCTTTCATTTTCTGTTATTGGGTGTAAGCACTTACTTGTTGAATCTAGATTGTTGTAAGAGCTCGGTCATTAATTGATTAATGCCCGCTTGGTCAAGACCCTTTAAGTCGATTTCACCTCTGGCTTCAGACTCTTCAAGCAACTTCTTCACTCTCTTGTAACGTTCATCTCTCAAATTGTTGAAGATTAAAAAGTTAAACCAAATTTCAAAGAAGGCAAATACGAAAACTAAATTGTTGCAAAGAAATTCAGAGTTCCCAGCAAATGAGTAAGCACCAAGGATGAAGTAAACTGTCAATCTAGCAGGAACGACACTTTCAAAGTACTCGATGTTATCAGCAAACAATGGGACCAAATCAGCAATAGTTAACGAGCCAAAGGCCAAAGCAAGTAACCCCCAGATAGGGTTTGAAGTGTCGACCATAACTGTTGGGAGTTCCATGGCTTGGCCCAACAATATCACAAATCCAGAAGACACAATTAAGCTAGGGTCCTTCAAGCAGAAGTATGTGATGGTGGCTAGGAAACATACTCTGAAGTAGAGAAGGGTTCTTGCGGTTAAAAATTGCATTTTTTGGTAATTTGTCTGTATTTGTAAGATGTTGGCAGAAGGTGGCACAGTTTTATCGATTTTGCTGCACAGTATAAGAAAAAATACAAAAAGACGTGCGCACTACAGAGATTAATCCTGGGGCAGGTCTGATCTATTGCAGATGTACTATGAACGTTTACAAGGAGTACACCAATCGATTATGCCCAAGAGACTACATGTGAGACTTGGCTGGGTATGATATTATTCCGAACTGTGAATTTACTAATTTGTTAGGTGCAAAGTAAAAAAATGAATCTATGTGTGATTTTGGTTCACAGACTAACATGATGTAATTGAAGTATTTTTCTCATATGTGTCAGACCACTATGGGCACAATGAGTTTCTTTGGCTACAATCCGGCATATGTTTTTAACTCCGAGTTTCCCCATAGGTAAATTGGTCCCTGTATGTCTAAGTAGCTGCATGGTTTTTATTTTTTTGCAGCAATAGTTACTACAATAGTACTTTTGAGTAAATGGTAGGAATCAATCATACGATGAATAATGTATTGTATAAATAGTAGAGTTTATATATGGATATGGTGTATAACCGTTGGAATTTAAGTTGGAAAGACCTTGTTGAAAATGAACTGGCTTTTAATTCTCATGGTTGCCGTTGTAGTTGCAAGTTCTCCAGGTGTGGATGAAGTTATTCGTAATTACACATTCAACCTTACCCATAGTTTTGTAAATCCAGATGGGAAGTACAAGAGTGGGTTTCTAATTAACGGCATGGCTCCAGGACCAACAATTGAGGGCGATGAAAATGATTGGATACAAGTTACTGTAAATAACCATCTTCCAGTAGCTATAACGATGCACTTTCATGGTATTATGCAACGAGGAACGCCTTGGGCTGATGGGGTTCCAGGGATAACACAGAATCCTATTCCTCCAGAAGATTGTTTTACGTATCTTTTCCAATTGAAAGATCAATATGGATTTGCTTGGTACCATGCACATCATCGAGGGTATCTGACCGATGGGTTGTATGGGGCCATGAATATCAAGCCTAAAATTGGTAGAGACCGGCCGTATAGGAAAATTACCAACAATACAAGAGAATTAGAAATAATTAAACGGGCTGAAGAGTCCCCATTAACCTTGATTGCAGATGATTCTTTCAAATGGAATATGGATGTTGTTATGGCAAGAATGTTTGACTATGGAATAGATCCATTATGTTCTCAAAGCATCCTTATCAATGGACGAGGAAGAGTTGTATGTCATGGTAATGAGATTTTCAATAGATTACTGGCTAAAAAGAGTTCGTCGTATCGACCAACGTTTGATTCTATGGGGTGTATGCGAGCAGAAAATGGGTACGATAACGCCACTGATTATTTTGGGTTGGAAGTCCCTGGATATTCGCCACCTTGTACTCCTACTTTTACAGATCCATATAAAATGGAATCCAACAGTTCATGGATCTACCTTAACGTTCTTAATGGTGGTGGACAGTATACAAAGGCATTCTCAATAGATGGGCATTCCATGTATGTTATTTCAGTTGATGGGATTTTCGTAGATCCAATTGAAACTCATATACTCATGCTTCCAGTGGGTTCTCGAATCACTGTGGTTGTTAAGGCTAAGATGGGAGTCTTTCCTATGAGATTTACACTTACAAAAAGTCCACAATATTCGGAGGGGGTGGCTTATTGGCATAGTAAACCAGAACTGAAAGAAGGCACCAATTGCGACTATGAAGGTAGTCCTTATCAAGGTTGTCAAGAAAATGGCGGTTTTTCAATAATTCCAACAAAATATCAGGACCTTGATGGTAGTCCTTTGGGAGAGTATAATTTTAGTTGGCCAATAGATACAAAACCTTTTGAAAAAAATGCTAAATACAATCTAGGGATGCGCCAAGCTGATCATACTTTTGACTTGTATCTCAATCGTACTGGAATGATTACATTTAGCATGTTTAAAGACGGAACTTTGTTGCCTAAAATGAACATGAAGACACCTCTTTTGCAAAGCCTAAATGAAACTTTTGGAAATTGGGCTTTGAGAGATGATATACATTATAATGATACTGTCGATATCATTTTAAATAATAATAACATGATGGGTCATCCTATACATTTGCATGGGCATTTGTTTTATGTGATTGGTTTTAGTGGAAGTGAAAATTTCTACCATTCCAATTTGAAAGAGGCTATTGAAAATGATTACAAAGTTAAAGAAAATCCTCCTCTTGTTGATGTTGTGTACGTTCCACCTGGAGGACACGCAGTGATTCGGTTTGTTGCTGATAATCCTGGTTTATGGATACTCCATTGTCACAATTTAGGACATCTAATTGGTGGAATGGGGGCTGTTCTATTTGAGGCTGAAGATAAAATCCCTTCTCAAATATTTAGTGTATAACCAATGTGTTTATACCCATTATATTGATCACAAATGTAACCAAAATATTGAGAAATTATATTTTTGCAACCATTTGTTTTTTCTCCCCCACTTTATTCAATTATTCATGAATCCATTGTTCTCTTTTAATCGTAAGACTTTTAAAGTAAAGAGAGCTTGGGTAAAGTTGGCAAAGATTAAGTTCACTCTTAGAGAAAGGATTTCTACGTCAATTGGCTGGTTTATATATAAAGTTGTTTTCACGTCACTTGGTCATTTAAATAATACTCGAATTTCAAAGTATGTGATATAATCAATCTACTTTCCACTGCTCTCCACTAACATATTAGGTATCAAATTCACATTTCTGAAGCCATCTGTAGTCCTGCAAAGAACTTGGTCAGTACAAGCCAATTCTTATTTGCCGTACGTTAATTTTATGTTTTATTTTTCTAGATTCTTACTAACTGGAAGACAATTATATTAATATCTCCAATTATTGTACCTATTATTCCAATGATAGGAATCCCATCTATACTAATGTCCATCATGGTGGCATTCTCACTAGGTACATTCTTTCTAATTGGTATGTATTAGAGTGAAAGAGAAAGAGAGACTTGGTAACAATACTGACAGACTAGCAACATTTCTTGTTCCCATTGTTTTACTATTACTAATTGGATTTGCAATTTTTGCCTTAGTTGGGTCTATAATTTTATCCTTTATATCTACACCTAAATACGAATATGTATCCCTCTTAGAAACAGGTTTAGACTTGCTGCAAGAGAATGCTTCTATTCAATCAGAATAAGTAGTCTTACGTTCTTATTCTTGCAGAGCATTCAAAACGCGCGCCCCCATTTCTAAAGCGTAGCGGCCCTCACCCACAAATTCGTGGTTTCTAATTTTGTGTCATTATTCAACAGAACACATAGTATATTTCCAAATATGAGATTTTAACATTTATAACATCTATATTGAGCTACCAGTAATGAGATTTAGCGTCATATTATTTGCACTCCAATGTGCATGTGCCTGGGCATATACAATTACCGAAGGGTCTGTCAGTGTAGGGGACGACAAAGTTGAAATTGGCGAATTTAACGCCCAAGTTGTCACTCCGCTTAGCTTTGGTGCTAAGGATAAAATCGACGTGTCATTGAAGGTAGATGAATTATCTACCAAACCACACCAAGCTGTCATCACTATTGGAGATGGTAATGGATTGGACTTGTCTTTTGTTCCAACTGTACTTACTGCTTCAAATACTGTGAAGTTGAGTATCCCAGCCGCTAAGCTTCCTGAAAGCTTGAAGTCTCAATTAAGACTTTTCGTAAAGGTTATTTTAGCCGATAAGGATAACTCTGGAAACTTGTATAGAACTTTGGCTGAACTTGAACCAACCTCTGAGCTCAGAACTTCTTCCAAGTACAAGAAGGCTGAGAGGGTTGGAATCAAACCTGAAATCCACCACATTTTCAGAGAAGACCCATCCACTGTGAATCCTATCATTCCATTAGTCTTCATTGGCGGTGCCATTGTTCTTTTCCTTGGTTTGCTTATTGCCTGGACCAGTGCTCTTAGCTCAAACTTACTTGCCCACTTTTCCGATCTTACAGGTTTGCAACTTTTGTATGACTTTTCCTTCTTGTCTTGTTTGTTTGGTTATGAAGTTACTTTTGCTAGATATTACTTGGGAGCTTCCATTTTCACTACGTTGTTCTATGTTTTCGTTCTTGCCGGTCCAAGTATTTACTTTGGTTCCAGAGTCTTCAGAGACTTGGCAAAGTTTCGTAAAATTGGGAAGTTGTGATTTATAGAAGCCAAATTACAAGAAAAAAAAAATTAAAATAAATGATATTTTTGTATTATGTGTATGTATATGAATGCTGTAGGTTACAGGCCATGGGCCCATTTTATTCCGATGAGTACGAATTTCCGATCCATCTTAGGTTCCAGAACCAAAATGAGCCCGAGATTGGGTCTCTTAAGCCCTTGTCCATTGAATTAGCGGCCACAATCTTCCCCTTAATCAATGCCATTGGAAGAACAGAGTATGATCTCGAGTCTAGTGAGTGACATAGATTATCTCCCGTGACCCATACATGTCCTTCTGGCACGCGAATATATTTATTGAATCCATCATGGGCTACCGATTCAGTTGGTGAGTTTGTAAGCAGAGACGATGAACTTGGATCCACCAATATCACGTCACCGGGCATCCCCGTTATTCTCTTGCACACCCTATGTTCAGGATCGCTCGGTTTAGTTGCCACAATGCAATCCCCCATAGTGACATTTCTTCCATATCTGTGAGTCTTCAAAGCATGAACATAGTCATGTCTTGCCTGTAAGGTTGGTAGCATGGATTCTCCTCTCGTTTCAGTGAACTCATACACATACTCATGTATGAGATGCGCTACACACCCGGCACGCACCGTCCACGATAGCGTGGATCCAATAAATTTGAGGGACTCCGGTAGTGGCATACGGGCTTATACTTAAGAAAAGAGAGACAGAGAATAAAGTTCAACCTTGAATTTAACTAATGGTCTTACTTTCTCACACTTTTCATATTGCGCACAAAAATGTTCACTTTTGCACCTAAAGGACCCCACACCACACACACATAAAACTACAATTTCTACAACTTAACAAACTCCAATCCTATTACTTTTATTTTTAATTATAAACAAATCCTACCTAATATACGAAACCCAAAATCTTACCAGAGACGTGCTTTCTTCTGGCTTCTTCGTGGTCCATAATACCAGCAGAAGTGGTCAAGATAACGAAACCGAATTGTCTGGCTGGCAACAAGTTGTCAGTCCATCTTTCAATGTCACCAATCTTGACGTTAAATCTTGGGGAGATAACACCACACTTGTTCAATCTACCGTTCAATTGAACGACGATCTTACCGGATCTGTGGTCATCAATGTATTCGAATTCACCAATGTAACCTGTATATGTTAGTGGAAGAACAAAAATAAACTTCAAAAATGTTTGCTTGTAAAAAGAAAAATTCAAATTTGGACAAATTCTCAAAGGGGGGGATGTCGAGGAAAAGTAAACGGTTAGAGAAAACTGATTTTTTCAAAACCGTGTAAGAAGCATTTCCAAGGCTTTTTTCTTCCGAATACTTAAAAGACAGAAAGGGACTGAACACCGATCAAACCATCCAGTTATCAATTCGGGGGAGTAGAGAAGGTGTAGAGAACAATAAAAGATATTTTTTTTTGGTTAAGAATTTTGATTTTGTCCAAATGAATTTTTCTTCCTTGTACAAACATTTATTTGTATTCACTTTGAGAGTTAAGAATCACTCAAAGTATATTCACACATACCATGCTTTTGCATAACAGTCAAGAACTTGACAATAACCTTGGAAGAAGGTCTAATCAAAACTTGACGCTTACCGGTCTTTTCGGCGTTGTTGATGGCGTTCAAGGCGTCAGCTAATACGGAAGTTCTAGTCATTCTAAAATTAATTGTTAGTAAAAAAAACCGATTTCATAAGAATAAAAAGCCAAATGAGTGTCCAGAATAAACTCTGGAGTCATACGACCCAAAACATCAAGCACAAGGTATCCACCGTCTCGAGATTACATCCACGTTGTTGAAACAGTGGACTCATCAATAGAGAATCAACAGATTAGTGCAGAGCTAGAAGCACGTGCAAAGACCTGTTAATTATCTTCAAGAAAATTGATTCTTATGCCAGTTATTATGATGAACCGGATAGAGAGTAGGGTAATAAACATAAGGCCAATGACTGACAAGGACCAGTACAACATTTAAACACATCGTGAAAGTCCTTGTTGGGGGTACCAACGTACATTTATTGAAGAGTCTATTGGTTGTATAGTTAGAAAAAGAAAGAAGAAGAAGAGTATGTAAAGAGTGGAAAAAAATATTTCACAGTGGTGTGTTGGAGGAATTCCACGAAATGAAAAAAAAAAATAAAAAATTTGCGTTCGGTGCTGGAATATTCGCTTATGGAGCGCTATAGCGTAAATTGAAGTATATCAGAGTCACGTGGACAGATATGGCTTTTGATCTGTATGATAGAGGAGTAAGAAGTAGAGAGAGTTTAACGGAAGTAATACAGTACATAAAACACAATTCAGACATTGGTTAGATCAGTTGGCCAATTCCACGTTTCCTCTATCTCTAAATAATCCCATGACACTGCCATCGGATGAGGTGCGACTGCTTTCACAAGAGCTCTTTTCTGAAATCAAACCATTTTGTGTGGAGTTAACCAATTTGGCACTTTTACCAACTGGTGCCTTTGATGGAGATTCTAGAAGCTTACTAGACGCATTGGCCAAGGTAGAAAACACATTAAAAAAGCATTATCTGAGACATAAAGGAGTTCAATATCGTTTATCAGCCAATATAGCTGATTACATATTCTTCCCATTATCAAATCTTTTACAGAAACCAAGTTTAAATGATTCCATTATTCAATACATCCTTGGAATATTAGCATTCCTACTTGAGCATGTGTGGAGCTTTGACCCAAATCCTGCTTTAATGGGTCAATTGTACCCATTGGTGACGTTTTTATTGGGGGGAGCTAATACTTCCAGTCAACAGAAATCCAAACTTCTAACTGCCAATCTTACCGTTGAATTCAAATATTCTGGGATTCTGTGTATCAACACAATAATCAAATCATTGCCACCAGATTTCTACGGTCAATCTACTAAGAATTTGGGGTTATTGGGGAATACAATTACTGTAGTTCTTGAAGTTATAGAGAGTTGCACCAATCCAACTTCAACAGAAGAAATTGAACTTGTTACATTAAGTTTAGACACCCTCACATTATTATACGCCACACACATTACTCCCGAGAATGCGTCACATGTTTTCCCCGGTACTATCTCTAAATTGATCAATTTCTACACTATGTCAAGGTCTTTAAATTTCAAGATTATTTGCGATATCTTACGCCTTATTCGAATCATGATTGTAAAAGTTTTCAGCGATGAAAGCTTACAAATCGAAGTAAGGGAATCGAAGGAGATGACATTAGAAGATCTTGGTGAAATGTGGGATGAAGATGACAATCAATCCGATCAGAACCTACAAACAACTCTTGTTGCTATACCATTTGACATGCCAACTAATACTGTCCATAGAACAAAGTCATGGCTTAAAGCAACTTCTAAGCAACTTAAAATCTCATTAGTGATATTATTCAAAGATCTTCTTTCTAATGCAAACAATGTATTGAAGGTTCAAAACAAACTTGAAATACAACAAGAGATAATCCAATTTTTCAAACAAACCATCAATAATTGTTTTATCTCATTATTCAACGAGTTGATCCCACTTGCATTTGATATATTTTCCATGTTAATATCCGTGCGCACCCAGAGATCTGGATCTCGATGGGTTGAAGATGAATCAGCAATGGTGTCGAGTCTCAGTGAAGTGTTCACTGGATCTTCAATAGATTACAATAAAGGGAAAGTCTTGTATAACCAAGTTCAATTAAAATTATCAGACTTGATTAACAATAGACTTTCATCCGTCATGGTTTCTATCGACAGTGATAGAATTCGATTATATATAATATCAATGAAGTTCCAATTTAAAGTACTTCTGTTACTTTCTCAAAAATTAAGCATGGGTCAAGAGGAAAATGAATTATTAATTACGAACTTAGTTGGTCTCTTACAAAATGAATTAGTAAGGTCCTTTGTATATGGAGCACAAAAGAAAGTTAACAAGAAAGATATTCTTTCTATTTTATCTGGACAAAAGACAGTTACAACTACCAATAACGAGACTGAACAAGAACTGGTCAAAGAAAATAAATTTGATGAAGTTGAATTACCCCCATATATAGATGCAACTAAGATTGCGACAATCAACACACAACAGCAACTGACATCATCTTCACCGTCCACTTATTCAAACAACATAGCCATGTTGGCCACTACTGATATTGACAAATTAACTCGAGTAGATAATGAAATTGATAATTACTTTCAGGGTATATTCACGGCTAGTATTGAATCCCAAATTGTCGAATTAATAACTTACTTGGGTAACTTGAATAATTCCAACTTATCTTTAACATTAATTGAAAACATTTTGACACAAGAACTGTTTGCAATTTCTGATGATTCAGAACTGATATTAAACAAGAGTATTGGGCTTTGGATGGCCAACAATTTATTCTCTAAAGTGAAACAGAAAAATAAAGTTGTGGACTCAAAGTTCAATATCGATGATTTTTTAGTGTTTGATGAAGATCAAAGTGAAGTTACCAAAGAATATACCAGCGGAGTTATTGACCATTCAGAGAGTCCAATGGAAGTTTTGGAAGATGTAACATACATGATTATGAATTCTTCTCAGGAATTGATAGATATGGCTTCCGAAAAGTTGAGAGATCCCGAGAGTTTAAAAGTTGTTTCCAAACAATCTACCACCAATAATTTTAAAGTTTATGAGATGGCCTATGCCGTGGCTATTGATTCGTTAGGTACACTATCAGGTCAAATGACTCAAGTAGATTTCCAACAGGATTTCCTTATTGAATACTTGTATCCATTGCTAGAGGCGCTTACATTTCTGAGTACGCCATTAGTCCAATCTCGTGCACGTATCTCATTAGAAAAAATCGTTAGTAACCACTACCATGGATCATTGGAAAACTTAATTATGGAAAATCTGGATTATCTAGTCGATTCTCTCAGTTTAAAACTTTCAGTTGCAAGTTCTCTATCACCAGCGTTACCTGGAATACTTCTCGTCATTCTCAAGATATGTGGCGTTCAACTATTGTTAGAAAATCAATTGCTGGATATTTTGTCTGAAATGTTCACATTAATTGATTCATACCATGGATATGCCTCGTTGGTCGAGGGGTTCTTTATTGTGTTCGAGGAGCTCATCCAACAAGTCAAAATTCATTTTGCCCGAGATTCAGTTAAGAGAATTATGAATGATTCAGAAAACATTTCAAAATATAAGCCCTGGGGTATGCAGAATGTAAATCAATTACTCAAGTTGATCAGCGACTCTGAGAAAGTCATTGATCCATATGGAGATTATGATTCTTCGAAGGAATATTTCAAGAGAAAGAGCGACAAGCCATTTAGTGAACAATTTTCAGACTCCGATGATGAAGATAGTGACAATGAAGACGATAACGACGAACAACCTAAAGAAACAAAGGAGGAGGACATTTGGACATCAAATATTCCTAAGCCAATTTATCTTGTCCTCGAAAAGATATTTAACTACGGTTTCCGTTTATTGTCACATTCTTCTCTCAGTTTAAGAATTCGCATATTGAACATGTTGTCTCAAGTCTATCCATTGCTATGTACCGATTATAAATTGGTCTTACCTCTAATTTCTAGACATTGGCCAGTCTTAATGTCTCTTGCTGGAGGTGCTTCCAATTTATCTGTGGCAACCACTGAACTTTCACACGAGAATTCCAAATTCATCCTCCCATGCTTGACGCTATTAACTGTCATCATTGAACAAGATCGCGAGCAAGATGAGGCCTTCTTAGGACGTAAGTTCTTGGAAATGTGGGATTTCTTAACCACTCGCTCTCATCTTTTCCCAGGAAATAATAAAACCAGGGGTAAACCTACGTCCTCCGTTGTTATTCTGAATCCAAAAATCATATCGGCGTATGCAAAGCTTGTTATTACTGGTCTCGATATATATAAAAGAATCATTCCAGACTCGGTAGCTTTTGAAATGACTACATTTTGCTGGAAATCAGGTCTTCTAAAATCAAACTCCGACCTTTCAAACATCGGAATCGAAACTCGTAATATCCTTTGGGTTTTGAAAGAAAACTACAAGTATCAATAGATAAAATTAATACCATATCCAGTATATTCCTTTTATTTAAACGTGTATTCATTTAATCTATCATTATTACTTCTTCTTCATCTTGATCCTCCGACATCAAGTCCAGTAGTACTGCCTTCTTGATAGGGGCGACTGGTGCAGGATCTACAGCTTTGGCTTGAGGCGTTGCTCTTTCAAAGTTTAAAGTTTGTTGACCCTTTGCAAGAGGTTTACTATGGGTTGTTGTTTGTACTTCTTCTACATCTTCTTGTTCTCCAGTGGTAGATGATCCCATGGTATCCATGTCAGCAACCCCAGGTTGGCCATTTACATCAATTATGTTCTTACTGATGAGTGCGCTAAGTTCTTGTGTCTTAGGGACGGTGTCTCGTAAAAACGTCAACGCGTCGTTGTGACTTACAGCACTACTGAAGTCCTTATATTGGATTTTCTTTCTCTTGTCCATTTTGGCCAGCATCGAAGCCTGTTCAACAAAGTACTGTATGAACAATTCAGTTGCTAAACCTGTGGCATACACCGCTCCTGGTGATGCAGCTGTGTACTCTGGATCCAACTTGAAGATCTTTTTGATTTTTGATAATGGAAGTGATAAAGAAGCTTCCTCTTCTTCTTCCTCCTCCTCTTCTTCAACGTCCACGACATTTTTACCATCTTCAGCCTCATCATCATCTTCTCCATGTGGCTGATCATCAGCTATGTGGTCTTCTTCCTCTTCATCTTCTTCAACAGTCTCTTCTCCCATGGTGACATCCTTCTTATTGTGATCACCCTCTTCAGAACTTTCCACCTTTTCCACTTCATCAACAGTCATATCTACTTCTTGAACTGATTGATGTTCCCTTTCATCAGTTTGTGGAGAACTCATTTTGTTAACTTTCCAAATTCAATCGATAAATAAATCTATTTTGATTACTTTTACAGTCTCTACGCGTTTCCAAAATCAATACTATACTATTTCTCTTCAATTATATACAGGTTGTCTCCCACCAAATAACTTCCATCAAAATGGAACAACATTTAATAAGAGAGAATTATGGAAAAGAAATGTATGGATGGTAATAGTAAGAGGTTGAGCTGCCAACTCTTTATTTGATATCCATTAGAATTAGAACTGTGGAATTTATTTTATTTTGTTCCCTCATTTATTTTAGTTCATGTAGAATCTTCTTCCCTCACATCTCATCCATACTAACTTTCTCTCTTCTCTCACACACACACTCTCCTCTCTACATTTACTTCATTTTTCATCTCATCAAAAATAAACTTCCTTCTTCTTTTCCTTAAGATGATTCTTCAAAACCTGGCTTAACAAATTTTTCCAAATAATCAGTTTCTTCCAAATTAATTTCACTGTAACCTTCACCGTTTTCAATAAAGTTTACTATGCTATCCCAAGTATATTCTGGATCTTTGAACTGATCCTTGTATCCAACAAACTTTTGTAAGATCTCTGGAGTGCTTGCAGAAACAAGAGCCTTCAATTCTGGGTTTGGTGGTGGAACAACGTATGTGCGCACCTTGCTCCAGTCAACAATATAAAGACCACGAGAGTTCAACTTACCAATACCAGAAGATCCAGTACCTTTGTAGAAGTTCTTATTACCTTGTTTGGTTGTTAAGGCATGTCTCTTGGATCCAGACTTCATTTGACCGTACCAAATTTGACCATCCTTAAATGTTTGCCATGGTCTTCTTAAGTTGGCCACAGCAGTCTGTTGGAAGCTAAGAATTTGAGATCCTCTCATTATTAGTTTATTCTATGGTATACTATCAGTTCGTATGTGTTCAACTTCACACTTTTTTTTGTCTTTTCTCATAACTCTTCAAATATGATTACGTAATAGCTTATATAAGGAAACTAATTTTTTTTTTTTTTTATTTGTTCCATATATTTTTTTCTATTATTTTTAATTAATTTCATCTATTCTCTTGATAGAGTACATGCAGGCAATTGTTACTGAGAAAATTAGCAACCAAAAGTACAACAATAAAAATACAGGGATTTTATTATTATACGTTACATTTATTCTTAAATTGAATATATTCCAAATTCTTGACAAAAATAAAATGAAGATTCCCGAGACTCCTAGTGAAGAAGGATACTTTGGTCCTCAACAAGGTTATGCAGATATTTCCATAAAGACACAATCATATTCTGATAAACCAACACCTTTAGCAGCAAGTCAAGGCAAAGTTGGAGGTTTTATATCTGAACATACTGATAGAGAACATCAAAAAAAGTACGCAAAGGAAGGTGGGAAAAAATTATTCCTGATATTATTCAATGCACTCTGTAAGTAGAGGGTTAGAATATTGAGGTTGGAGAATAAGGAAATAGAAAAGATCCCCACAGTCATCTATAATATAACAAAAGGACTTGGCTTGTACAATTAATAAAATGTATTCATAATTATATTTATTTATAAATTTGTAAAGCCTCTGATTTTCTTTTGAATCAATTTAACAATTTTTGCAGAGAATCCAAAACTTCCTTGGTAACCACCACCTCCTGCACCATAATTATGATATAACCATTCATGTTGAGAATCTTGTTCCACCCGCACACCTCCTTCTCGAGCTGGACGTAATCCAACATTGACTTTGATAATATCAATATGTTTTGCATTTCCTTGGAAATTATCATCAACAAGTTCTGGAACGTATTTCAAAGCTCTTTGAATAATTCTTTGGGTAAGTCCCTTATCTTCATCTAAATGTTCAACATTTTGTGAAACACATCCTCCAATAATACAGCCACCTTCTTTCCTTGGCATAATATAAAACAATTCATCGGGGTAATCAGGGGCAAACATTGAAACACTCATTTTATATCTTGCGTTATTACTAACATGAACCACTTGTCCCTTAACTGGATAGTTTCTGTTTGGGTCATTAAACCCACCTAATTTGGTTGCAAGTAATCCGGTACAATTAATAACATAATCAGCATCAAACATATTTTTAGCCTGTTGTACTGAGGCTAATCTCTTGGTTCTTTTAATGTCAATTCCGGCATCCAAACAATTGGAGAGGAGATAATTTAAATAAATTGGAACCGTGATCACGACCCCTTTAAACAGGAACCCCAATGCAATCCCATCAGGTAGATCCTTGGAATCAATTATTTCAAAATCTTGTACAAAATTTCTATACCATTTAAAAAATTTTGATGGATCTCTTCCACTTTCTTCAAAACTTTCATTAGTTAAATAAGCAAATGACTTTTTGATCCAAACCCCGGACTTCGGTTCATTTGCAAGTTCTAAAAATTTGAAATAACCAGGCTTGTCAAACTCTTGTAGTTCATAGTCATCATCTTCGCTGAATGTGTGCCAATTGGCTCCTGCAAATGGTGAAGTATATGTTACATCCATATCTCCAGGTAAGTATTGTCCGGCAACAGTAATGGAAACATTTTGCAAATTTTTCTTGAGTTCCAATGCAGTGGTAAGTCCACTTACACCAGCTCCGAGTACAACAATCTTAGGAGAGGCCATTATAATTCCAATCTATTGTTCCATATATATTGGAGCTAAATCATAATTGAATGCTTTTTTGTGGAAAATTCGCGGGGGGGAGGAGGCGGTCTCGAATGATTTGGAGATAAGAAGCCAAAAACCCTTTTGACCAACCAGCTGTTTTCATCTCAACCTCCCGTACAGGAATAGTCATAAATTTCTTTGACGATATATATACGTCATTCGGATTCACTGGAGTAATCCCCAGTAACAGCTCTATTGATAAGAAGACAATAATGACACATTATCCGTTTGTTGAAATTAGCCTTTGTTACTCTAACCTTTGGCTGGCTTCATCATGCACCAACAAAGATTCATGCAAAGATCACTACGAGTGGAGTATTGTGTACAGGAAATTGGTACCAGCGTTTCTCCAGCGCGCCATACATAAGCATGTCTGTCGCTTAAACCCACCATCCTTAACCTTATATTAGCCATATTTCGATCTTTGGTCATGCAGGTTCACCACTGCAATGTTCTGATCTATGATCTACTCGGGGTCCCCACTTTCATAAAGTGGTTAATTGTAACAAATTCTAACACTCTGCAGAATTTTCTTTTGTGTGGGTTTTTTTCTCTCTGTCGTCTATTTTTTTTTTTTTTTTAGCAAAGATCAAGCTCACGCTGACTCTTTCGTTTCAAATCATTTCTAAATTACAGAGAGAAGTGGCTTTTTATCTCGCTACTGATTGAGTAAGTCTATTAGTACTAATATCTACTTGCGAAAACTACAACTGCAACTTCTCTTAAAACTATCCTTGGCTCCCATTTTGAGAAGATCGGAATTAACCAGGAATTGGTAGCAATAATTTAACCTAAACTCAAAGCTAAAGCTAAATGAAAGCAACAATATAGATGTGCTGGAAGTAATGGTAAGCCTGCTGTTTTGATTTCAAGATGATAGAAATAAAATATTGGCATCTTCTACATCGTACATGCACCTCTATTGCGGATTAATGCAGGATACCAGCATTCGCGTAGTATATGCAGATTTGATGCGCAGCTCTCGATGAGAAGGCAATCAGGCTGTACACGTTAACACACATCAACATGCTCTTTACAGAACATCTAATCAAGTTTATTGACTGTAGAAAACTCTTCTGATACCCTCTCCATTGATTAATGATCCTCATTTAACTTTCCTAGTGTTGTGGCTCCCATGTTGGTGGTTATGATTTGAATCATCCATTGTTCGGTATATGCAGTATATGCTGGCTATTTCAATTCGCAGCCAGCAGCAAGAAAGAGAACAATTGGTCATTTTTAGCGAGACAATACTACAAGCTTGATCTCTATGGAGCTGGTTATGGTTATTTGGAGGCCGCCCCTCTGTGGGCATCCCGCCTATCGATGCCGGTAAGTATATATATATATAGTATCCTGAATGGTCGAGAATGTCCCACTTTTGGAATGTTATCAAATACACTATTCACGTTCGTTACAACGATCTTCACTCGTTTTCTTTTGCCTTACAACTTTAACTTCTTTGCATAGATTCATTTTCACATTCCTTCAATACAGAAATGCTTTCTAAATTCATTCCCCTTTTCCTAGCGGGAAAAGCCCTTGCGGATATTACCACCACATACACACATACCAACTACATAACACCAGACTGTTTCAAGAGTCAATTACTGACAATATTCCCTGAACAGAATGGGTACCAAAATACAAATGGGTTTGAAGTTGTTATAGTTTATGGAGATCAAGAGGTTGATAAGCCTTCGCCTGTCACTTCTACTTCAGAATTGATCTACACAGTCAACACACATTCCACAACTACTAAAACTGTTACATCGTGTTCCAATGGAGCCTGTACCACTGGCATTGTTTCTCAAGTGATCCCACACACATACGCACTTACTACGAAAGTCACATATACTACCACTGGTGAAACAACTACCGCAAGTACCACACCTACTACATCCAGCTCTAGCTCTAGCTCCAGCTCATCTTCCACATCTTCAAAAAAGCAAAAGACCTTGTATGAAACTGACAATGTTACCACCAACATTAAAGTCCATGCAACTGTCACCAAGTCTGCTGAAACAACCACCAAGGTTCTTTACTCTGCTTCCACTGTTCCTACAACAATTTACAAGCCTAGTACCACCCTGGAAACCATTACTCAAACCCAAAAGAACCCATTGGTTACTCAATCTGTTGTTTCAAAGTCCAAATCTCAAACTATAAGTATTAGCGATATCACTAAAGGAGTAACAATCAGCACCAAGCTGTCTTCTGACTCTTCGGTAACTCGTGCTACATCTTCTTCAATTCCGCACAGATATGCCAACACAACTAGTGCAATTACTGGGTTCCATAATCAAACTGCTGCTGGTGCCCAACCTACTCCTTTGTTCAAGAACTCCACTACTTCTAATGCGATCACTGGGTTCCAAAACCAAACTGCTGCTGGTGCCCAACCAACTCCTTTGTTCAAGAACTCTACTCTTTCTACCATTGATTTAAGAGTTTCTCAAACGAAAACATTGGCAAACAGTACTGTTCGTTTCTACAACACTTCTTTGACACAATCACTCCCAACTGCCCTTGCTGGTGTAAATGTGACTTCTATTTCAAATGGTAGTGTCATCATCCTCACCAGTTCCATTTTGCCTACCGAAGCCACTGAAGTCACCAAGTTAGCTACTACTCTGACTTCCGCAAAGGACACTGTTGAAACTACTTCAACATCTTCGTCGTTATCATTATCATCTTCTTCCTCAACTTCAACTTCAACTGGTTTATCTTCTCCAACTGGAAGCCAAAGCTTCTCCGGATCTGATTCAAATGGATACACTGGTGATCTTTTCGATGTTATCTCAACCTCAAACCCACCATCAGTTTTCCCAAGAGCCAACCTCCCATTAGGAATTCCTTCCGGTGTTGACAATAACGATGTGCCTTACCAAACCAATAAGTTCTATGCCAACTTGTTCTTGGATGACCAAACTGATATGATTTGGTCTAACCCATATGGTTACTTCTGGAAGAAAAAGGACTACTATGGATTTGCCGTACAACACACCGACCCTAACGCGAGAGTATTCGGTACGCCAGACACCAACAATCCAAATGTTTACTCCTACTTCTTAAACCCAACCAACCAAGCTGAATTGATTATCTCTGCTACTTCATTGACTTCTGATGACAACTATATGTCTGTCTCTGACATGAAGGAAATGTCTGTATCGGTTAAATTATCTCCTTCTAGCTCTGTTGGAAATGACTATATTGAAATCCCAATCGTTCAAGGTATGGGTTTCATTACTTCAATCTACCACGGTAATTTGACTCCATTGATCAATTCTCTTGTTGGTGTTAAGGACTTGTCTCAGGAAACATCTTCAGCATTACCAAGTAATATTTTGAAGTTCCGTGCAACTTTATTCAGTGGTACAGAATGGTTGATCTACGTTACATTACCATCAGCTGGAACTACCAGCAGAAGATCTCTTAACGAATTTACATTTGATGTAACCTCTCCTTATGCCATCACCGGTAGTCAATCTATTGACGGTTTGATTATTCAAATGGCCACTGCCCCAACTGATAAGTCACAAGATGGGTTTTACGATGAAGCTGCTGGATTATATGTCACCGATGCCAATGTTAAGGGATCTGTCTCAAGTGGAACTTCCGCCAGTTACCTGTTTGACTACAGCACCAGTGGTAAATCTTCTAGTGGAAGAACTCTTCTTTTTGCCTTCCCTCATCATATTGATGCATTGACTGACTCAACCACTAAATACAGCACAGGAATTGTCTTATCATCTACTACTAAGGGTGATATGCAAGCTTACTTGACCAACCAACTTACATTTGCTGAAACTTTGGCCACCGACATCCAATTTCTCCCATGGTCCCAGACTTCTAAGTCTCCTCTCTCTTACACTGCTGAAGAACTTCAATTGTTAGCCACTGTCGCCAATGAAGAATTGTCTGTTGATATTCCGCTGACTGTTGCTAACATGGACTCTAACTACTTCTCTGGTAAGGTTCTTGACAAATACGCTTACATCTTATTGGTTGTCAATGATATCATTCAAGATGAAGAAGTAGCAAAGTCTACTTTGGCTGAATTAAAGACTGCATTTGAAACTTTCACCAAGAACAAGCAATATTACGGACTCATGTACGATACTCGTTACGGTGGGGTCACTTCTACTGCTTCTCAAAACGGTGACACTGGTGCGGACTACGGCTCTGGGTACTACAACGATCACCACTTCCATTATGGTTACTTTGTACATGCTGCTGCCGTTGTCGGTTATGTTGACAAGAAATTTGGCGGTACTTGGGCTGAAGACAACAAGGATTGGGTAAATTCTTTGATCAGAGATGTTGCTAATCCTTCTCAAGACGATAAGTATTTCCCAGTATCTCGTATGTTCGATTGGTTCTCAGGTCACTCTTGGGCTGCTGGTTTATTTTCTAGTGGTGATGGTAAGAACGAAGAGTCATCCTCCGAAGATTACAACTTTTCCTACGGTATGAAGTTATGGGGAAATGTCATTGGCGACCAATCTATGGAATCTAGAGGTGACTTGATGTTGGCCATTACCAGAAGAGCTATGAACATGTACTTCTTGTATACCAGTGATAACACCGTGGAACCAGCTGGATTCATCGGTAACAAGGTTTCTGGTATTTTATTTGAAAACAAGATTGCATACACCACCTTCTTTGGTACTCCGGCTGATAACCCAGAATACGTCCATGGTATTCATATGCTTCCAATTACCCCAGTTTCATCCTTTATTCGTGGGCCCAAATATGCTGCTGAAGAATGGAAAGATCAGGTCTCTACATTTATTGACAAAGTTGACAGTGGTTGGACCGGCATTTTACGTCTCAACCAAGCTTTGTTCGACGCAAACACTTCATATGACTTCTTCTCTTCTAGCAATTGGAACTCTGAACATTTAGATAATGGCCAGAGTAGAACTTGGTGTTTAGCTTACTCTGGTGGTATTGCTAACACAAACTAGATGAGAGATTCTCTCTACTAAAAACTTACGACTCTGTATACTAATATAATAAAACTTTGCATTATTAATATATCCTGTAGACTCTCTATAACAGGGGACCCCACACTTGCTTTGAACACATTTAACTTTGGCTGCGAAAAGGACCCATGAGGGTTTCGCGAAATGCGTATTAGCAAAAATCTTAATAAATATGAATTCATACACAAGTTCGCATGACGGACGTGTGCGACTTTTAACTCTACAGAATCGATCCACACAAAAAAGGATATAAAGTTCATTCACTTGATCAATTATGTTTTCGTTTGCAAAGAAGTTAGTAGATAAGTTCGATGGTGGAAGCGCTTCCGGTGACTCTGATGATTCATACTTCAAAAGCACTATCAAGATAAATAACAATGGATATGGATTGCGTGTTCTCAACATTGTCCCACATTCAATTGCACATGAGAAGGGTATCGAGTCCTGGTTTGATTACATTGTTCGTATCAACGGCCATGATTTGCCTATGATGAATCCAACTTTGTCGCAGTACGCATACAATATCAATGAAGATGGCTCCGTCAACTACGGTGGAGCTGCTACTCGAGAGCAAGTTGGTGAGATTAATTTCCAACTTTTATACCAGGAATTGTCCACCATTGCCACGAATCCTAACGGCTCTCATGAGGTTGTCTTCGATGTGTGGAATGCTAAAGGAGGTGTAATCAGACAAGTGGTTTTCCCCCTTACAGGTCCCACTGAAACTGCAGATGCAAACACAGCCGAAGTTCCTGGTGTCCACGACTTGTTCAAAGATACGTTTGCTCAATTAGGTCTTACAGTTCAATCCCAACACGTCACCACTGCCAACTACGTGTGGAGAATCTTAACTACACATGCCGGATCTCCAGCTTTCCAAGCTCAATTGGTCCCATACTCAGATTATATCATCGGTTGTGACTCTGCGTTCAGTGATGCTCCAGGACATCAAGGTCTTCTTGGTGCCGGTGGTGAATCCTTATTGTCTGGTGTGGTACAAAACTACTATAACCATCACTTCTCTTCTACTGGAGAAGATTGCGTTCCTATAACATTATATGTCTACAATCATGACTACGATGTTTTGCGCCCCGTTACTGTGAATTTATCTCGTGCTTGGGGTAATGGCCAACAACGTGGTATCTTGGGATGTGACGTAGGGTATGGACTTCTTCATAGATTACCAGAAGTTGTAGGAAAATTTGCTGAATCCGGATTAGCTGATGATGTTCTCTTTGAATCTGAAGGTACATATTCATACCAAAATCCTTCAGAAACACAGCCTTCTCATATTTCTCCTTCTGTTCCAGCCAGTACTTTCATTCCCCAAAACACTATTCCTGCTCCACCTAGAGCAGGTCTTGCTAAGAAGAAGAAGCATCCAACTGCTGCCCAAACTGCCATTCCTGGTCTCAATGATTATATGAACGAAGAATTAGCAAAATCAAAGGAATTGGATACTCAAGGAGGATCTAAAACAGCTGTTGACGCTTCTCTTCCTCCCCCACCTCCAAAATCTCTGTAACCTATCAATCTAAATATATAACGACAGCACAATTTTATAAAAAAAAAACCAATCAGTGTAGAACATAGTAGAGAATAGAAGTAAAATGAACAAAATCGAAATATCTGCAAAAATGTAAGAATCATGCCCACTGCCGGAATCGAACCGGCGATCGCTCCATTACGAGTGGAGCGCCTTACCACTTGGCCAAGCGGGCACTTTTCTTAATGAATTTTTTTTCCACATGTACAGATTCGAAACTTTGCGAAAAAAATCGGAAAACTTCAAAGAACTCCGACTCTTGTTCTCATGCCAGTTTAAGGCTTACCTTTACTTTTAAAGTGTATACCATGATATGTGACCCATTGTTCGATGTACTTTCGTAAAAATATTTCTGCTAAATGACTTAATTATAGCTTAATTTTAATATATTCAACTGCTACATTCATTCGGTATAGGTGGTACAAAACAGAATGCATATCCGTGTTTTTCACTCGTGGTAGACATTACCTTTGGTAATGGTGCCGTAGCTTACTAGTAGATCGTCTCGTGCTATCTATGGTTAGTATGCTACCTAAAACTATTCATTCAATGCTCCTCCAAAAAAAGGTGATTTTTTTTTTATTTTGTATTTTTTACCAGAACCTATGAAGGAGAAACTCTAGTGGACTAATTTTTAGAGATACTATGGTTTATGATATTGTTTGAATTCTGAGAACTCTTTTATATTCAATACTATTAAATCTTCGTACTTAGTTGGATTGGAAAGCCTTGACGATAAGAACATCAACACCTTCCAATACAGACATGTCAACAATTTGAGTGACATTTTTGTCAAAAAGAGTTGACTCTTCCCTACCAATATTGTTTGCAACAATAAGCAATTCCAGGGAAATTTGGGGTCTGTATTTCACAATTTCATCAGTGAAATTTACCGATTCCTTGATGTGATGGATGACAAGATCAATACCTGAGTTGTAATGAATTAATTTTTCGATCTGTTGGTCGAACCCTCTAGGAGCAGTTGTTATCGAAGATTGAACAAAGATATTTACCTGTGCAGAGTTGAAACCTAACTTAAAAGTAACGTGCAATGCAAGTAAGTCACTAGCACTCAAGACACTATCGTGATTCAATACCAAGTTAATAGCCTTCCTGCCGAACAATTGACCACTTGAATCATGCTTGTGCAATGTAGAAGCATCTGCTTCATCCAGATAACTCTTCTCATTTTCAGAGGTCACTCCTTCATTAGAAAGAAGTAAACCAAAATGGCATTTACAAGAATGGAATAATTTTTTGTACAAAGAGAAATCTGATGATTCCTCAGAGTTGACATTATTTTCAACAAAAAAGTTATTCAATTCATCTTCAGGTAAGGCCAGCTTAATTGAGTGACTACCAATCAACAAACTAGATGATTCCAAGATTTGTTCATTGATGCTGAAAACATGGTTTTTATTTGGAGATAAAATGGACAGAGATGTAAAGTGGACATTCAACATTTCTGTGAAAATCCTTAAAATTGATAAGATTGATGATGAATTTGACTCATCAGTTAAAGGATCTTCACTTTTCTGAGCGGAAACTTCCAACAAATGAGAAGTACGCGATGTAAATTCCCTCAAATGAAGGGCTTTGACATCAACCTTATAATTGTTATCATTTTCAGTTTTGGACATTGAGGCGAAATCATGGACAAAGTGCATGAGATTAGAAATAGTATTCAAGCTCTTAACTAAAACCACAAGTTTAGAAACTTGAAATTTACTAATAGTTTCAATGCTCATAGAGTTAAGAGATGTAGTTTCCAATGAATGCAGAGAGCTGTCTATACTTTGACTAGCAGCATTCTTCGACTTTGCAATTGGAGTACCATCCCAATTAATTTCTCCATTAATAAACTTATCTCTCTTTTCTCTGTATTCAACAGGATATACCAAGAGAGCCAATGGGGTGGTGGCAAAAGTAGTAATCAAGGCCATAACAATGAACATAGAATATACTTTTTGAGAAATAATTCCAGCGTTTAAACCAACTGAAAGAACGACAATTTCAACAATACCTTTACAAGACATCAAAACACCGACGGCCAATGATTCTCTCCAGAGTAATTTGTTAAGTCTCAGGGCAAAGAACCCTCCTACAATCTTACCAACCATAGCCAAAAGAATGATTCCAATGGTATAACCCCAATCGATACCACGGTTAAGTAAACCCAAATTGGTACTTAACCCTGCATTGGCAAAATAAAGAGGAATTAAGACAACATTAACCAAATCTTCCAATTTTTCTGTGATTTTGATGACATAACCATTATCCCTAGGAACAATAACCCCAACCATAAAGGCACCAAAAATAGGATGGACACCGATAATATCAGTGAAGAAAGCTGAAATAAATACCAAAACAATGATCAGTAACATCAGAACTTGAGAAGGTTCACCGGTTTGTAAATCCGAAGTAAACTTCTTGAGGAGGAATCTCATTGATAATCTTACAGGGTAACACAAGAATAAGAACCACCCAGCGGCAACAAGTAAGATATACAAAGTGTTTAATCCATTTGAAGCATTTGCAAGAGTCACCACAAGGGCTAAAAGAATCCAACCAACTAAATCGTTGGTGATCCCAGCGGCAAGAACAATGGTACCCACACGGTCACCAATGAGATTTAATTCAGTCAAAATTCTGGCAAGGACTGGGAAGGCAGTGATACACAAGGCCACGGCAATGAAAACCATGTATGTGGTGAACTTAATGTCTGGGAGGGTATCATCACTCAAATGGTACTCGTCGTAGATACCCTTGGCAATGGCACATCCTAAACCGAATGGGATAGCCATATTAATCATCCCAACCGTGAGAGATGCACGCAAGTTCTTCTTGATAAATGTGATATCGACTTCCAATCCAATAATGAATAAGAATAAAATGATCCCAACATTGGCCATCAAAGATAAGCCCGGGAGAGAAGCCTTGGGAAAACACGTGTTGGAAAAGTTAGGAATACGACCCATGACTGTTGGTCCAAGGAGAATACCAGAGACAACCTCTGCAATGACACGAGGTTGTTGTAATCTCTTGAGTGGGTAGTTCACAAGTTGGCATAATAAAATGATAAAGACTGCTTGGAAAAGAAAAATGGTATACGGTGATGAAGCCGAGTACTCTAATGGGTTTCTACCAGCGACAATACCTGCAACTGAAGTTGTCAGAACAGCCATCGTTGATGTAGTTTTAGATCTAGGTTCAAATCAAAAAAAAAATTTAAGAAAGTTCTATTACAAAAAAATAACACTCATAACATATGTGGGGCGTAGCCCTTCGCATTTATCTTGGCGGTATGACATATGAAGAGGTGGGGAGAGAGGACGAAACAATTGTCCGTTCTCGCACTTTGATCCAAATTTGGTGTAATCTTGCATGCATAAAAGAGCCATAAACGGAATATATATATAAAATCGGGTATTAAATTTATTTCGTTTATGACTCTGTCAGTATGAGGTATATTGGGTGCATTGATGCTTGTAGACTATCTTGATGTACTACGAAATCTGCGGCTGTTTATGTTTTCTAGCAGGATAGTTGTGCTGTGCAACATGATGGATGAGAAATTTTTTTCTCTCACCACTGATTGCACATTGAAATGAAAACTACCAAGGTACTTCATTCCGTGGCTTATTATGTATTACCAGGACATTTGGATAAATATCTGTCAATATATTCCATTACCGCGTTGTCATAGTAAAAAAAATAAAGAGTAAAAAAAAATGCACTTCTGATCGGAACGACCGCGGAAGTCGTATCTTGATTCTTGACAGCCCGTTTTTTTTTTGGTTTGTCTTTCAATGCAGACTGATTTTAAACAATCTGAATTATTTTTTTTTTTTTGTTTCCCGAACTATCTTTTTCGATCTAAGAGGCATGGTTTACACTGTTATACCAAAGGAATCGCCATGTTGGTTTACCAGCATTGGGATGTTCATCATTGATGAAAATAGGTTTGCACCATCGACGAAAAAGGAACCGATCCGCGACATTATCGGCGGAGGTTTGACATTTGCCGTAATTGGAGCTCGTATGATTGCAGGAAAGACAAATGGACCAAAAGTATCAGGAATTGTCGACAAGGGGTCTGATTTCCCCGATTCTGTGGAGGAACAAATTAAATCTTGGAACACTGGTCTTATCTTTAGAGAAGATCCAACTAGACTTACTACTAGAGGAGTTAACAATTATCTTGAAAGTGGTGTGAGGGAATTTTTCTACCATGCACCAAAAAAGAGAATTGAAGCTATAGATATTTTGTCCTACGATCGTCTTCTTCACTCCAAATCGTTCCATTTGGTCTGCACCACTGAGAGATGTGAACAAATTATAGACATCATTCTTTCAAACTTACCAAAGGATTCAGATCAACCATTCTTTTTATGGGAACCAACACCTGATGATTGCAAACCAGAGAATTATGAGGCATTGTGCAAACTCCTCCCTAAGATTGATGTGTTTACCCCAAATCTTATTGAATCTCAGAATTTCATTGAGAAGACTGATGTGGAGATGGAAACTGATAAGATAAAGTCCTTCGTAGACTCTACTTTCCTCCCATATTTGACTAAGAAGAATTCCGGTATTGCTCTTCGTTGCGGTGCCCGTGGTTGTTACATTAGAACCCCAGACGTAGATGTTCTCCTTCCAGCGTTCCACGATAATCAAGAGTTGGTGATTGACCCAACTGGTGGTGGTAACCTGTTCTGTGGGGGGTTCATGATTGGATTGTTGTTATCCAACTTGGATTGGGTAGCAGCTGCTATCTGTGCCAACCTTGTCAGTGGCTGTGTGGTTGAGCACTTGGGTGTACCTACACTTACAGGTGACGACACTTGGAACGGTAAGACAATGCAAACCAGATTACATGAGTACTTGGCCAAATTCCCAGAATTGAAATCATATCAAAGCAAAATTGGTTGGCTTTAATCAAATGTAATATATATACATCTTTAGATTTTTATTTCATTAATATTAATTTCCTAATTATTTCATTATGTATCTTTATAAAGTCTTTTCAATATTTCCTTTTCATCTGTCCAACTCCGGAACTTCTTCCCGTATATATACATTGGAACGGCAAATAATGAAACAAATATTTGTACACATCCATAAACCACAAATGTGGTTCTAGGACCTCTTGATGACATAAAGGCATTATTAAACAAAGAGAAGATGAACCCAAGCAAGTTCTTGCTAAAGTTGAATGAAACAAGGGCCTCGGCAGCAAACATTTTATAACTATCCACAGTGAATGTGATAGCTGTGGTGCTAGCCATAGAACTACCAAACCCCACACAACCGAAAAAGACAATAGGTCCAATCCATAAATCCGTTTGTTGAGAGGACCAGCCAAATCCCATTAATCCAAAAGAAATGAAAAATGTAGATACAACGAGCATCACAAGTCTGAACTCTGGTTCATAAACTCCATGATTTTTCAGAATCATGTATCTACTAATACGGTCACTGACTAACCCAGTGAACATCGAGCCGCATACACCTCCAACAAAGGGGGAGACGTAAAAAAGTCCAACTGTACTTTGTGAATATCCATATCCATCACCACGGAAAATCTCTGATATAGTTTCTGAAATAACAATAAGCCAAACCACTGATAATGAATAAACTATAGATCCAAAAATTACAGAAGGGTATAGATAAAGAAAGAATGGTCGGAGTGCAATCATCCACCAGCTGTCTATTGTATGTCTTCCAGAAAAAAGAGCAAGTTCACTCCGGAAAGATTTCTTTGTAGTGTCATGTATAGTGGGTATTTCAGTTTGTTCACCCTCGGTGAATCCAACTACATTTGTATCCGAGGGTTCATGAGTCTCTGAAGAAGACAAACTATTCGTATCAACATTATGTTGCAAAACGTTCATTGTGGAAGGTTCCCTCAGTCTAGCCCATTCGTTTGGTCTATGTTCATGAGGGTGTTCCTTTTCAACTTGTCTTGCTGCATCTGTCTCTTCAAGAGATCGTTTATTAGGAATTGGTGACCGTTCCCAAAACGTTTCAGGTACGAAAAAGAAAGTTGAAATAAGAGTACATCCTAAGAACATACTCAAGATCCAAAACAACCAGTGTCTATCAAGGTATTGAAATACTAACCCGGAAAGAAGAGGTACAATGTTCTTCCCGCCAAGTAATAACATCGTATAGATCCCTACTCTATAAGCTCTTTCATGGGCAAAGTATATCTCTGCAATTGTTGCACTAGGGAGAGATTCAGTTGGAGATGCTCCGAGACCCATTATAACCCTCGCGCCCATCAAACTACCAAAACTCTTTGCTGCACCTGCCCAGATTGCCCCCACGAGAAAAAGGAGGATCCCGGCAAGGTATACCAATCTCTTACCGTATAAAAGAGCCGTAGGACTGGCGAGAACGGAACCAAACCCTAGGGCCAACATAAACCCACCAACAAGGTATGATAATGTGGTCAAAGGGGTATTGAACTCGGTCAGCAATCCACTAAATCCGGCCGCTAGAATTGGTGTCTGGCCACCACCCAAGAAAGTCTGCGTGCCAATGATCAACAAACACAAATCTCTCTTCCATTTGGGCCAATTTAAGGGGTCATTGGGGTTATCCTGAGGTTGTGGGTGTAAGATTAGCCCATTCTCGGATCTTTTGAGAAAGATAGAGTCTGCTTGATTTTGTGACCCATCCTCATCGTCATACATCATGACAATGGTCCCAGTGACATCCTTTTGCGAAGGCTGTTTGATACCTAGTCGTGACATAATGATCTATCTTGTAATGAATAAGTCTTCTACTTGTATGTGTCTCACATTGTTTGTCATTTAACTTTTGGCTGCAACGTAACAACTGACAGGGTTGAGAAAAAAAAAAGAAATTCGATACCACAAAAGTTATCTGATGTAAACATTGGAGCCCTACAGGGAAATTTTCTTTATCGTTCTTAAATAAATAGAATTTGCTAAACTAAATAAAAAGTAGTATACACTATGAGTTTTCCATAAGGGATTCTTCAATCCCGTCGATTAGTCCATCAATTTCCTCCATTTTAAGACCACAACTTAAACTAATAAGTTTCCGGTATTTGTACATTTTAGAATCAATTCCATAAAATCTCATTCCTTTAGTAATTTCTCCAAGCAATTTATTTCTCTCTAATTGCATTTTGGTGAGGTTAATAGCAACTTCCCATTTATTTGGGGAATCTTCGCTTTCCTCGTCAACTTTTACATCATTTTCCTTATCTTGAACCAAACTAGCTAATTGGAAAGCTTGGTTTTTCTCTAAACTTCTATGCAATGCAGCTTCCTTGTCGTCGACAACTTCTTCAAATTGAGCAATCTCTTCCACTACAGTTTTCTGTCCCTCCTGTAAATCTTTAATCTCTTGAAATCCATACTTCACAAGCATGGAGCTCATCTTAGATATGGCTTCATTCAGTGTTTCATTCTTCATTCTTAATTCTTTGTTAACATTATTAATTTGGCTCTCCAAATTTAAATCTTCTCCCTTGTATGAACTGGATAACGAATTTATCATTCCATTTATCATTGATGATAAATCTCCCATTGGAAGTTTACCCTTGATTGAATCCAATGTAGGAGATTCGTCTACTTGGCCTTCCTTCTCATTGTCTTGTTCATGCAATATATTTCCATCTGCATCCAATGCAGGTGGTTTAGGTTCATGTGATTTAATAATTGAAGTTTCCAATCCAGAATGTAATTGTCTTTTTTCATCATTTCGTATTGGTGTGCTTTCAACTGTAGTTTCCTTGATAACAGCTAGTTGTTGTTGTGGTAAGTTTTGAATTTTCATGTTTGAAGTTGGAGTGCTCACTGGGTCAAATGCTTTCAAGGAATCATCAATGAAAATGTTCTCTTTATTGTCTTCATTGATATTCAATTGATTCAATTGTTCTTTAGAAACCCTTGCATCCAATCCATATTCATTTATATCATCGTCATCCATGTCGTCGTCTTGGACCGTAGTTCTTTGAGTGTCTGGTGTTTCCACTCGGTTAGTATAGGTTGGTTGTACAGGCGTGGCCAATATTCTTGATTGTTGTTGAGCTGTTGGAACAACAGATCTTTCAGAAAAGCCTTCCCCTCCTCCATTCAATAGACTGTAGTTCATTATGATTGAATTTGCTGTTTCATTATTCACATTAAGCAAATCATCTCGAGCCCCATAGCTCAATAATAATTTGACAAACTTACTTGAAGTAGATTTAGCAGCCAAATGTAAACAAGTATCACCATTAACATCTTGATGATCGATAACATTTTTTAATAGATTCACTTGTTTTGTATTATGACTCCCACGATTGGATAATGAAGTCAATTTGCCTAAAACAATATCCAAATAATATCTTAAACTTTCATATTTTGACTTCACTTTAACGAATTGACATAAATAATGTAATGGAGTTCTACCATTGATATCAGTGTTAATTAAACATAACTCAAGATCATCTAAGACCTTGGGGAAGTTCTTTAATTCGTAACAATTGTTGAACAGAACTAATTTTGATAATGGATTTAAACCAAAATTGTTTACCACTAATGGATTGGCTCCTTTGGCTATAAGTATATGGATCATGGCATAGTTACCAATGGAGGCAGACCAATGTAATGGTGTGTGACCTTCGTCATCAATGGCTTCATTAATATTAAAATCATATGGTGGATTGTGAATGAAATAAGGAATCTGACTATTATCTTCACTGAAGAAACGTAAAAGTTGAGCAGAGTACGAATTTTCATCATCTTCACCTTCAACTTTTGGACTATTCACATTATCTGCGGCTGTAGTGATCATACTGGAATCATTGGCTGATATTATTTTGCTCTTGGTGATTGTATTGTTCGTATCATCATTGGATGAAACCGAAGTATCAGACTCCTTATTATTTTCATCATGTGACCAATTCGTTTCATTTGTCGATTGTGACAGTGGTTGGGCTGTATGCTGGAAATGCCCTATGATTTGATTTTGAGGAATTCCAGCCGGAAATGAGGTAAAGGGCACTGATCCAGGATTGAAAAACTTCTGCCCTTGCTGTGGGTGTCCAATAAGCTGTTGCTGCAGTTGTTGTGGGGGGAGTTGTTGTTGGAGCAGGAGCTGTTGATGCGGATGAGGATGCTGTTGATGTTGTGGCTGCTGCTGCTGCTGTTGCTGCTGCTGTTGCTGCTGAAATCGTTGATATTGTGCTTGATAATTCTGAAATTCGGACTGAATTGCTTGGTTGTGCGCCGTAAACGTAGGTACATTGGCGTTTCCAAGTGCAAGAAAATCAGCTTGCGTAAAGTTATGTGGCATAGGCTGTTGATGAAGTTGTTGCTGTTGTGGTGGTAATTGTTGCTGGTGTTGCTGGTGTTGCCGTTGCAATTGGAATGGTACCCCTTGTTGTGGAGTTTGCCCTATTGACAGTTGCGAAATCTGTGAATGCCCACTAGCCAAAGAGTTGAAAGAATCCTGATTTGTGGCCGAATACATAGGCGTAGTTTCAGGATCGTCAATCTTAGGTTTCTTCGATGGTGTGCCTTCTGCTTTCTTTAGCTTTTTGGTATATTTCCTCTTGATTGGTGTCCCATCCTTATTGACTTGCTTGGTCCTTTTGGGTATCACCAAGTTCGGATCCAGCACATCAATGTAAAGCACGGGTGCAAGGGCAGGAGTAACTCCATAACTTGCTGCAAGTCGTTGGGCGTCATCTAATGGAATCCAAGTCCCTTGAAATCTTCCATATCCACCTTGAATCTTCTCGTGAAGACCTTGTTGTACTCCCTTTTCCAAGATCTTTGTTCTCTTTGCCTTGGGGAAATTACAACATTTCAAAATTTGAGTAGCATTAACCCAATTGTCGTTACAACGCCTCATAATAGGGGTGTTGTTGATGGTACATTCGTACACATCTGTCTAAAAAAAACGAAAGTTAGTAGTTGATTCCAATTCACAATCGATGGGTAATCACATTTATAGACTTCAAAATAGCTTTAACTATATTATTAATTCATGAGGAACTAGTCCATATAGTTTTAAAAAAAAATGTTGAACACTATAAAATTACCCTCGTGATGAAAATGAGTGCCAAACATCAGTTTCAGGCGACTTGACCAGATATAACGCGTGAATACTTACACTCAGGTACGTTGCGATGTACACCTGTGATTCCAGACCCTCCATGTCAGTTCCAATGGGTTGGTAGTAGTCCTGCTGATTTAGACGAAATCTATTCAAGAGCGTCAGACCCAAGAAATGGGTGAATACTACGCGTGTTCAGTGTGCAGGATTCTGTTTTTGGAACCTGCAGGAAAATATATATATTAACTTCTTTGGGACAAAATCATTTTGGGAAACATCATTATGTGAGAAGACGCCAGAGCGGTAAATTATTTTAATTGACTTTGTGTACTTTTAAGTGCAGCAAAGTATACACCTGTCTATTAAAATAGTATTATAGGAGTGATAGAGAAGTTTTAGGCGTGAACTTGTATAAGATACTCCTAATAATATATAATAAGGCACATCCAATGATTTCATTTAGTTTTATTTATTTACCTATTTAAAATCATTACCCATGTTGGCGCCGCATTAAAATAGAAATTAGCCGAGTATCGCATTTTTCGGGCTTTACAACAGGCCATTTCAACTGTTTAATCAGCCTTTGTCATAAATATACAGAAGGTAGCCATTGGCTAAGGTTCATAGAATAATAAAGTGTATACTACGAAGAATTCTCTGTCTTCATTTGCATTTTTTCCCCTTTCTTCCCGCATTTCAATTTTAGCATTCAAATACAATGAGTGGGTGGGTGGCTTTGTTCTTCTTGTCCATGAAAATCAAAAACTACTGATGCTGGTATCGTGTCACTTTTTGATGTCACCGAATCTACGAATGCCAAATTTGCTCTAAATTTGAATACATCTGGTATTCTTAATGAATATCCTTTTTTTGTTATTGTTACTTCACAGTCAATTTAATGCTGCAAATCTTAAATCCTCTACGCACTAATGCTTATTCAAGACACTTTTAAGATTATATATATATATATATATTCTTAATAAAGAATTCCGTACTAAATAGGGGTGAGTTCACATTCTGAGCGCTTATAATTCTCCTTCGGCTATCAAAGCCTTTTCTACTTGCAAAACGGACTTTTCAATAATGTCAGCTATTTTCTCAACGTCCTCCTTGGTAACAATGAATGAAGGAGCAATTAAAATATGGTCACCAGTACCTTTAAAACTTCCTTGCATTCCCATAACGGTAAGACCGTTATCGATACAAACGTCTTGAATTCTATGTCCAATGTCCAATTTTACGTCGAAAACTTCCTTTGTATCGGTATTCTTGACAAATTCAACGGACCAAAATCCTCCAATACCTCTAACATCACCAGTAATCTTAGACTTTCCAAGTAATTTTTGACCAACTAACTCTCCCATATAGTTTCCCATCTTAAACATATTTGCAGTCAAGTTTAATTCCTTGATTCTTTCTTGAATTTTCAAAGCAACTAAACAGTTGAACCCATGTCCATGATACGTTTGAGCCCCCATAATAGTGGCATTCTTATCGGTATAAACTTGTTTAACTTTAGGAGATACCAAAACACCTGCAATGGTGACGTATCCAGATCCCAAGGTCTTACCAACAACTTGAATATCTGGACCTTGACCAGGCTCTAAAAAGTTTTCCCAACAGTTCAATCCACCATTGTTGCAACGTCCTGTTCCACACATGACTTCATCTAAATGGAAAATAATGTCATATTTGTCACATAACCGTCTGATCCCTGGGAGGTAACCTGGTGGTGGTGGACAAGTTCCAAGAGAAGATCCAGGTAACGTCTCAACAATAATAGAAGCAACAGTTTCTGGATCTTCGGCTAAAATAAGCTTCTCAAGATCATCCAAAAGACGATTTTTATATTCTTCTAAACTTTCGTCATCTTTCTTGTATCTGTATGGATGGCATTCGTCCATTTTGATACATTGGTCAGACTTGAGAAGAATATCACTAAAATAGGTAGCACGAGCGGAGTCACCAATTGAAAGAGCACCAATGGTATATCCGTGGTATGAAGTTTTTCTAGAGATAAACTTTGTCTTTTTAGATTTACCCTGTTCCTTCCAATATTGGTAAGTAATCTTTAGAGCATTCTCGTTAGATTCAGATCCAGACCCAGTCCAAAGGGCCGCAGCAAATGCACCTGGAGGTGAGTTATCAATGTAAAATTGAGCCAATTGTTGGGCATAATCATTACCAAAGAGAGCTGGATAGGAGTAAACGGTCTCCTTGGCTGCCTCAGTGATTATGTCAATGACGGCAGAATCACCCCAACCCAAGGCACCAACGGCTGCACCTGTCATACCGTCGATGATAGTTCTTTCAGCTCCTGTCTTCTTGTCTTTGACATTGATGTGGATCCCACTACCCTTAGACACAGTCCGGGTACCCGTGTTGAGGTTACCAGTGAGGATAAGAGTGGCAGGCTTTTCAACGGTCATTCAAATTAATACTGTTTGTTTGTTTAAATGTTTTTTTTGCGTGTTGTTGCTTGTGGTATAAGTTAACGTTCTTCAAGAAATGTAGATCTTTCAAGTTAATAGGAAAAGTATCTTAGTTTTATGGAGATGTGTGACTTTTGCGAGCCATTTATGCTTTTGATGTTTAGCGCGATAAGAAATTCACGGAACGCAACTCCCGTATCGGTATGATAGCAGTTTCATCAATTAAAACTTAAAATTTATCGAAGCATGTACAGATTCTATATCTTGTGTTACGACTTTCGATACATATATATATGTATTCCCACATGCATATGTTCAGCTCATTATTTATCTGATTGGATTCTACCATATAGACGAAATCAGGTCAACAATTGAGACTCAAGGGGGGCGGAATAGTTGCAAAACTCAGCTCGTGATTCTAAACTTGAATAGGTAGTACGCGCGCTTTCTCCCCTTATCTTCAATGTGCAGGAATTGCATGTCGGGGATCGGTTCAAACAACCTAAGGGGGCAATTTTTTGATATGAATGCAATGGTTTGAGACATGACTATATGATAAAGCAACAAACCAGAAGAATATTCTCGATTACGCTTGGATCCTATTCCAGTTATATTTAGATGTCGAAACGTTCCCGTTCCAAGAATGCCTGGACTATTCTTGTCAATGAATGCGTTCTACTTTGTACCCTTTTATTTATATGATTTCTTCTTATACAAATAATTATTGCCGTATTGGTGCATGAGTCCCAATATCTAGAATGTACCTTTCTCTATAGTACTTGTATATTATTTCTATGATGGTAATTCACCAGAGTTTAGGTAACCATCACCTTTGCAAGACGTGGTACATCCGAACACCCAATATTTGTGTCGCACTGTTACAAAAATTAAAAAATAAATACAAACTCGAAAAATACAAAAAACACAATACAGACTCACATACATAAATACATCCAGAACGTGATTTGTATACCAATATGTCAGCGGCCAAGAGACAAAAGCTTTCTAAGAGCAATGCAAGCATTGCACAGGTGCCTGTTACAGTGTATGATGCCCCACATGAATCACTCATAAACTTCCCCTCGTCGATCGTGAATGGAGTCACCAAAGAAAATGGTTTGGTATCACTTACACTCAAGTCCGTAACATGTGCGAAGCTTGTAGAGGACCACACATGGATGCACGGTGCGTTGTTCAACTCACCCGAGAATCCTGTTAGAATAACCGATAAACCCATAGACCCTGCTAGTATGTTGGCTAGTTTGAAAGAAGAAGTTTCTCAACTCAAGGAGAAGAAATATAACACCACCGATGTTTCTGATACTATAGACCAATGGTCCAAGAGATTAGACCAGTCAATACTGAATACTCAAGGGTTGGAACTGCTCAAAAATGATTTTCTTAACTCTCATGAGAAGGAAAATCCAAACACTTATTTGTCATTTTCAAACGCACAATATACAACCGTACCCAAGAACAAGGGAATAACATTTCCTATTACTGTGGAATCTATCGAAGATGTCAAGCAAAGTACAGATAAAGATATAAAGGAGAGTGTGGATGAAGATATAAAGGAGAGTGTGAATGAAGATGTAAAGGAAGTCGTCCAAGAAACAGTGGAAAACAAAGAAATTCCTGCTAACGATGCGGCAGCTTAAGTAGATGTATATTAATAAAAGACAAAGAACTATCCACTAACCACTATTTGATTTATCCTTCTTTTAGTAACCTATATTGAAAATATATCAAGCGATATTTAATACAAGACCCTTGACAATTGTATAATCCTCAATTCCGAACTTTGAGCCTTCTCTGCCAAATCCAGACTGTTTAACTCCACCAAATGGTAAAGCAGCTTCTGAGATAGCACCAGTGTTGGCACCTAACATTCCTACTTCTAATTCCTCTGCAACTCTAAATATCCGAGAAACGTCGGTTGAATAGAAATATCCTGCTAATCCAACATCTGGAGTGTTAGCAGCTTGGAGTACTTCTTCCTCTGATGAGAATTTGATCAATGGAGCAACAGGCCCAAATGTTTCTTCTTGTGAAATAAGCATATCTGAAGTTACATCTCCCAATACTGTCAATTCATGGAAATTTTCACCGATTTCTGGGAGTTTACTGCCACCAAGTAAGACCTTAGCTCCTTTAGATACTGCATCGTCAATATGTTGTCTGACCTTTGACATTGACTTAGAATGAATAACTGGACCATGGGTGATTCCCTCTTCGAGACCATATCCAATCTTCACTGTTTTACGTAATTTTTCAGTAAATTTTGTAGAAAATTCATCATAAACGGATTCATGAATAAAGAGTCTATTGGCACAAATACACGTTTGTCCACTACTGCGGAACTTTGATGCAATTGCTCCATCTACAGCCTTGTCGACATCCGCATCATCGAAAACAATAAATGGTGCATTTCCTCCCAATTCCATAGATAATTTCTTTAATGTGGACGATGATTGACCCATTAAAACTTTACCAACGTTTGTTGATCCTGTGAATGAAACCTTTTTAATTTTTGGATGCTCACAAAGTAATTTCCCAGCAGCTGGTGCATCACTACTAGGAAGTACATTCACAACACCTTTAGGAAATCCAGCAAGTTCCAGAAGATGTGCAAGAGCCAATGCAGACAAGGGGGTTTCTGATGCTGGCTTGATAACAGTTGTACACCCTGCGGCCACAGCAGCTCCTAATTTTCTTGTGATCATGGCAGCAGGGAAATTCCAAGGGGTGATGATTCCGCAAACACCAATTGGCTGTCTTAATGCCAAAATCCGGTTCGAACCATTCGACGAGGGGATTATATCCCCAGCCACTCGTGGAGCTTCTTCTGCAAACCATTGGAAGAAACTTGCAGCATATGTAATTTCTCCATATGCATCAGCATAAGGTTTTCCATTTTCCAAGACTATCAATTTAGCTAAATCATCTTGATTTTCCTTCATCAATTGATATAAATTGAGCAAAAGTTCAGATCTATGTCTACCAGTAGTTTTCTTGAATGTTGCAAAGGCATTCGAAGCTGCTTCAATTGCATTTTCATAATCCGTAGCTGAAAGAGATGCCACGTCAGCAATTTTAGACGTTGGATCAGGGAATGATGCTGGATTGTGAACTTCAATTGTATCATTCCCAGTAATCCATTCCCCATTGATATAACCCAGAGTCTTGAAAAGGGAGGGGTTTTTCAATGTGGAGATAACCTTGGAAGAAGCTTCAATTGAGTAGCTTCGGACAGCTAATTTTATGGAGTTTCTATAAAACATCTTCGATTATACTTCAAGTAGGAATCTGTGTTTAAAATGAATAGAAGTCATATATTTTCATATATGTATATATGTATGCATCGCCCTTTTTCCATAGTATGGAATTGATCGGTAGCGGCTATCCGCTTGACGCGGGTATGCGTTTTGTGTCAGACTTTTAGATTGCGATTGTGTGCGGCAAAGAAAACTTCACGAAGTAGGAGAATTCTATTGTACTAACTTGGCCCAATCTTATAGGATTTTAGCCTATATAAATTATATGATGTACTAGTGGTCTCTAGAGGGTAGATGTACTTTATATAGTGTTTGAAATCAGATTTCTGAGTTTTTTTCCCATATTTATAATATATATAAATTTCCTCTCTTGGAACTAACTAAATATTTATACTTATGGACTATTTTAAAATCTTGGAGATTTACAATTTACCCCATATTTTCTCTCTTTAATAAAAAAACGTGTAGTTGTCAATACCGTTGTTAAATGTTATTACCGTTGTGACTCATGTAGAATACTCGAGAACTTTTGTTGCAAAATCTAGACCGGGATTATTTCTTTTTTTTTCATATTTCACATTTTTGTCGCACTGATAACATGGAACCTTCTAGTCGAATACCTATTTAGATGCAAAAACACCAATTCAAACCAGTACAATGTAGAACCCCACTTCTAAATAACACGTAGATGTATAAAACAGAAAAACCTTTAAATATTATATAAATACTGCTTGATGTGTAGTACTTTCTGTAAATACTCATATTCTAACTACTCTCAATTTTGTAATTTTACTCATTAGAATTACAAAATCATAATCCTCTCTTCAAGAATAAGTTAAAGATAACAACCAAAAATGTCAGCAGCATCCACTATTAAAAGCTATGGTATTGAAAATTTGCAGGACAAGGCTACATTATCATCTTTCGGATACAATGCAACTCCTGAAAATGCTTCAACCAAGAATTTTGCAACCACCTGTACTACCACTACCTATAGAGTTGGCAATGGATATGAAATATGTATTAAAAGGGAATCAAACGAGAATTCACCATTTGATACTTTCAAGGTGTACATTTCCGGTTTTGCCTCGGTTAAACTAGTGATCAAATCGCCAGAATTAAACTATAACCATGAATTCGCTCTTGACAGTAAAAAAATGAACATGAAATTAATTTCTTGGACTACTGAAAAAGTTAAAGAAATTAATCTTTTAAAGATAACAATCCCCCATAGAAAGGAATTGCCAAGAAGCGAAGTAATGAGAAGAAGAAGAGAAAAGAGAAATGAAAAGAAAAGAAGAGTACAATTAGGATTAAAGAGACGTCTTCCTGCTGGTTCAGAGGAGCCAATGTCCATTAATGATGCCTTTGACGAATGTATCCAACTTTTTTACTTGAGAATGCTTCAAGAATTGATTTAAACCCTATATGAATATAAATTTACACCTTTATTTGATTTTTCTAGTGATTTACCCTTATTTTTATTCGGTTTATGTTTACGTTTCATTACTTATATATATGTATTCCAATCTAATGATATATGCCTTCCCCAAAATGCAACATCTTCATATGTATGATAGACCCCAATCAACTTTAAATCTCAAACTCTCCATGAACATCCATGTCATCGTCACTTGATAAACTCCCAACGTCACTCAATTCATCATCGTCATCATCATCATCCGAACCGTTGTCCTCCGGATTGTCATCAATAGTAATATCCTTGGCATATTTCTTCACATACATCTTCACTGTCTCGAGATATCTTGCTTCGTCCTTGTTCATCAAGTTAGAAGCATCCGTGTTAAGTGGGTCGCTCGGGTTGGCATACCGTAATAAATGGGGCAAGAAATTCTCAAAAATATTAAGCAACCCAAACATAGGAGACCAAGTTTGATTGATAACATCAAGACAAACAGATCCAGAGCTTTCATCAATGTTAGGATGGTATATTTTATTTAGAAATCCAATGGATGGGGATTTGATAGGGTATTGGTCTGGTAATTCGACCCGAATCTTCCAGGTTCCTCCAACATATGGAGTGTCAGAAGGACCATGGAACATGACGTAAAACTCTTGGATAGAGTCGTTAATTAGAGTCACATCGTGGTCACTCATCATGAGATCCATAACGTCCTTTTCAATTCTTCTTTTTGGAGAACTCATCTTTCGTTTGCTTCAAAAGATTTGTACTTTAAGGGGTATATTAATTTAACAAAATTAACAAAGGGTAAAGAAGATATATCTCTAATTTCAAGATTCTTAGAACGATTGCCACAAAAAAGATTTTACTTCTTTTCTAGAGAAATAACAAAAAACTCTCGAGTGGGGGGACAAGGGGCAACTTTAATAAACGGCAAGAGATTCCTTATCTGGATGAGTGAATACTCCTTTCAATTAGTTGTTGATTCAATAGGAGTATAATTAGATCTAGTTGTTAAAATAGACCTAGATGTGAGGGATGATAGTATAAAAACACAAGATAATTATCGATAGATAGATTTATAATTTGATCTGAAGTAACTAAGTCATTCTTGGTCACATTTATCTAACGTGATCTCCCCTTACGGGTCGTTCCAGTACCAGTTTTCTAAGATAATGATGCACCTCATGCATTTCAAGTCCTGTATGTAGTGCAAGGTGTGCATATTGTACGCTAATATGTGGAGTAGTACCTACTGCCTACATTGATTTGCTACTTCTTCAATACATATAGGTCTTTTGATTTATATGGAATAGATTTATATAAAATAAATATATACTTTTAAAATTTTCATAATATAAATCATACCCAGCACTCTATAATACTATGTAAATAGAAGGAAAAGCATAAAAAGAAGAAAAAACAATCTAATCAAGTTTAACACTAGGCTTGACATCTTTCTTGGCAATCTCGATGAACCAATTGAATGCAAAAATAGTCTTTCCATCCTCTTCCAGGAATGTAGTGGTTGCTGGGTGAGTTCCTCTAGTAAACATTCCACCGGGGAGTGTATCTGGGACAAAAACGGCAGTATGATATTCACCAGGCGCATTTGGTTCAACGTCACCAAAGTCCATCTTTCTTGTCTTAATTGGAATTCCAGCCTTCTTTACCGCTTGATAGTAACTGAGGTTCTTAATTGGTCTCTTTTTGACTCTGTATCTGAGAACTAAGTTATAAGTACAGTATTCTGGAAGAACAAGGTGAATCTTTTCAGGCATTGGATCCATGGTTTCACTGTACTCAAGCTTTTCATCATATCCATCAACGGTAACATAAAATCCGATGATATCAAGATATTCACTTCTGTAATCCTCAATAATTTCTGCTGGAGTTCTGGCCATTGTGTCCGTGGGGTTTAATATGCGAGGTTGAAATGAAAAAATAAAATAACTTTCTTTGAGTCTTTTGAACAAGTACAAGAAAAGTAGATGAATAGAAAAAAACTAACAATAAAATAGAATGAAGCCAGATTGTTTCCTATTTATGTTTCACCAACTTGCTCTATGATGGCTGCGGTTATGTCGCATGTGAAGCTTACGTATTTTTATATAATTCCTATCCGTTAGCTGCATAATTGCGCGCCACTTACACGAAAAATATTGGTATCCGCGCTTACTATACCCCAAAGAGGGGTTATCACATTCTGTTTTATTTTCATCAGGGTTCAATATTTCCTAATTTAAGGTTCTACTACAAAGTATAACATTTGCCCCTCTTCATGATCCAGACTCGATTACCTCATTCTGTTTTTTTCCAAGCTTCATTTCGACTTATCCCGGTTTTGAGTGGGATATTTTCTTGAGCGGAAATGTTGAAACAGCTCTTAGTGGTGGATATATTAGTTTCCCATTCAGGAAGTAAGTTCACCTACATCATCCGCGTTTGACGTCTTAATACCGAATTATACATACAAAGTGCCTATTATGATGTCTTTGGTGACCTCACAGTCAACATGCCCCTTATATCATGTAGGGCTTATTATCTCCTATTTTTCGTGTTCCCTTGTAGAATTTCAAATGTATTTTGAAATGCGGGGAGATTTAAAAGAGGAGTGAGTGCACATAAAAATGAATAACAGATAGACTTGAAGGATTATCTTAGGAGAGAAAAATGAAGAAAAGCTCTGTAGAGTCACTGGCTACAATTCTCAGAGTTTTAGAATTTAAACTGAGTCAAGAGTTAAAATTTCTATTGTTCGAAACCAAAGCCGTTCGTGTATGTTTCTTTTCCTAATTTATTTCCAAGACTTTTTTTTTGTTCTCTCGTGTTTTTCTTTTTTTAAAAATATACTTCGATAATGTGCTATACTTGTAAGTAATATCATCATGGAGGTAGCTGTTCTAATTCGCTAAGTTAGGAAGTAGAAGGGCTGTACTAAGGTCAAGGAATTGACTGAGGGGCTATAAACCAATTTTACATAAAGCATAAAGTGAAATATTTGGCATAGACACTCAAATCGAGTTAGAAACTGTATACAAATAAGTCAGATTTTAACCCACACGAGGGGCCAAGGCTTATGTTTACCTAATAAAATTTTAAACTACATAGGAACACTTAATCTCCTTGTGTTTAATTATGAAATAAATATTGATATTAACTATTAAGGTAAAGTAGCCTTCCCATTTAGTAATGATATGTGAAATCGAAATTTTCGCAACCATTATTTTGTACGTAAGCATGTAAGAGAACAAGTCTAACTTTTGTAAATCTTATTTGCAATGGAATGAAGTAATGTGATTTGGACATTCTATTACTTTTGTGAAGTGCTACCGCAGCTTTGACTTTAATATTGTACTTCATTGTATATAGATAGAACACAGTATAGTAAAGGCTGGTGAATGAATATAAAGCTTCATTTTGCGAACAGAAGAAGGCTAAAAGCATTAATATATGAGATATAAGCAATTAATAGAACTTTATTTTAATAGGCTCTAGTTCAGGGCGTTTTACACACATGGAGTACGATTTATGAACCTTTCTTCGACTCGAAAAATATTTCTATCCAAATTCAAACCATTTATTTTTAACTTTCTATCTACACAAAAGAAGTACCAACTTTAGCCTAATCCATTCACTTTGAATCATGTATATTGGGGCAAATTTCATACCAATTTGGGTCACTAAAGGGGAATTACGACAAAAGAGACACTGTACATCAAAATATTTTGGCCAGATTTCCGGACTCTACAACATTTCTCAAATTCAAGCTATATCAGGATATTAATGAAGGCCGCCTCTATAAGATAGGAACATCAGAAAGCCATAAAATGGAAAGTTGAATGAATAAAATCAAAATTTTCAGAATTTGGTTAAAATCAGTTTAGTCTATTGATCTGACCTAAAAAAAGGCATATAATTGGAGGGTTGGCCGAGTGGTCTAAGGCGGCAGACTTAAGATCTGCTGGACGGTTGTCCGCGCGAGTTCGAACCTCGCATCCTTCATTATTTTTTTTTTCCTTTCCTTGTTTGCGTTATAACCTGTCTTTTTTAAAACTTAATCTACACTATCAGTTATCAATTGAAATATTTTCTAGTTTATTCTATGTACTTCTCTATACACGTTCAGCCCCACTTAACTTGACAGCAGCTCCGTATTTTTGAAGCTTGGTTAATAATGAATCACCTTGCTTGATCAATAAATGGTATTGATTATTCTTGTTGTCTGGTCTATTAGTTTCGATTATACCGTTAACTTTATCAATAACACAATTCAACTTCTTGTTAGGAATAAACTTACACAAGTCACGATCTAAGAAATCCGTACTAATGTTGAAATTCTCAGCCATAGACTTCAATGAAATGGATTTGTAACTCTCTAACAATTGACCGTATGCCTTGCATCTCATTTCTCTCAAAAAGTAGTTTGCATGTTGACTCAAATACTTGTTTGGTAAGAGTAATTCATCGTGAGACTGCAACAAGTATTGGAAGAAATAGTTATATTGGCACGCGTATAATGAGTTGGTCAAGTTAATCAATGGTTCCAAGTGAGGAGCAGACAGGAAAATAGATAAGATTTCTGGAGAGTCCATAATCTTTTCTTTCAAGTCTACTCTATCCAAGGACATAACTCCAGAAACTATAGCGTAATGTGCAACTTGATCGTATGAACAAATTTCTGTGGAGGTGAAAGTTGCCAAAGAATCAATCAAGAGCTTTGCAGCGTCACCAAAGTTACGTGTAGCCATCAAGTAGATACCATTGTACATCTTATATCTATTACGACGTTCCCAGTCACCCCCCTTTTCGATTAAGACCTTGACTTGATCTAAATTCTTTTGTGCGAGATGATAATCATTGAAGAAGAAATCAATTCTTGCAAGAGTCAACAATATATCAATCTTTGAACCAGTACTACGAGGCAAGTCCAATGCCTTCTTATAAGTTTCCACGGCATTCTTTCGGTCAATGATCTTGGCGTAATATTCAGCAAGGTTGACATAAGTTGCCGAAACGTCCAATTCCGTTTCATCGTCACCTTCAGCCTCCTTGATCTGGGCCTTGAGCTTTTGGATTTCTACTTCGTTACGTTCCTTCAATTCACGGTGCAAAGATTCATCAAATGGAAATCCGATCTCAGTGTGAAGGTATTCATAATATGGAGCTAAAGCATCCTCCTTTATCGACGCAAGTATTTCTTCCGCAAGCGTTTCCCGCTTTGTTGCATCTACTTTGGAGAGAAGAAATTGCTTCTCGGACAACTTGTAGTTGGGGATGTTTGGAACATCTGAATCGTAGTACTCCATTATGCTGTGTTTGTTTAATTATTTATGATATCTTTTATAGTTTATACGATATTATAGTTATTGTGGTGTCAATCAGATTTGAAGGCAAATGTGTTTACTTTTGTGTAATCAAGGATGTTTGAGCATTTTTATATGCAGTCGAGGGATATGAAGATACAACAACTAAAGAGTAGAAGAGTAAAGTAATGAAATCATTAAATATAAGACAAGTTGTTGAATAATGTGGCAGATATTAACATAAGCCCGATGGTTTTAAAATTAGTGTTCTCCATTTTCCAATTTAAAAAATATCTAGAGGTAAATTGATCATAATTAAGTGGTAGATACGTTCTTCAATCAAAAGTATATGCAATGTTGAAGACTATATTATCAAGGAGGAAATGACTTGATATCTGCTCAGAAATATGGGGTAATAAAGTTGTGGTATGCACTTTGTTGGTATTGTATAATAAAAAAATTATTCAGATTCAAGAAATTTCGATTCGGCCGAATGCTGCTGTTAACTTTTAAGTCCTTTATGAAACCGCAAAATGAAAATTCCAAAATAACTTATATCTTGAAGGAAATTCGTACTTCATTTATCTGGTATGGATATATTCAATTGACCAGCACTATATCGTACTCTCCACGACTAATTTGACTAAAGAAGAACTCTCTAATATTCATCAAGCTCTCTAAATTAAATCCGAATTGTATAAGTCGATCCCGCGCGTATGCATTATTTTTTTGCGGGGTACCGCCGAGTTCTCCTGATTTTCATTTTTAAGCTCAATCTCCTTCTTTTATAAATATAGAGTAAAAGATCTCTTAATCACTATCAATTAAATATAGTATCAATACTCTACCCAATATGTCATTAGACGAAGAAATCCCCGCTGTTTTTTTGGACAAACTTTCGCCAAAAGGGTTGGCAGCTATCAAGGCTACCAAGAAGTTTGTGGAGGAATATTGTCTTCCTGCCGATGAAATCTATTTCAAACAAGTTTCTGAAGATCCTTCCAAGAGATGGAAGTCAACTCCAGAGATAACCGAACATCTTAAGAAGAAAGCCCGTGAACTCGGGCTTTGGAACATGTTTTTGTCCAAGCATTATCCCGAGGGCCCTGGATTCACCAACTTGGAATATGGTCTCATGGCTGGATACTTGGGGAGATCATTTGTAGCCCCAGAAGCTACCAATACCAATGCTCCAGATACTGGTAACATGGAGCTCTTTGCCAAATATGGTACCCCATATCAAAAGAAGAAATGGTTACATCCACTTTTAGAAGGTAACATCCGTTCTGCCTTCCTCATGACCGAACGTGGAACTTCATCATCCAATGCGTTGAACATTTCTTGTACCGCTCTCAAGAATTCCCGTGGTAACTATGTTCTTAATGGTGTCAAGTGGTTTGCCTCTGGAGCTGGAGATCCACGGACTTCAGTATGGCTTGTCATGTGTAAGACCAAAGACGACAAGAAAAATTTGTACCGTAATCATACTGTTTTGGCACTTGATGCGAAAAAGGCTTTGGATTCTGGAAAGGCAAAGCTTATTCGTCCACTTGGAGTATTTGGATATGATGATGCTCCTCATGGACATTGTGAAATTGAATTCAATGATTATGAGGTTTCCCTGGAAGAAATGCCTAATGTTGTACTTTCATCTGAAGGGTCAGGTTTTGAACTCATTCAATCACGTCTTGGTCCTGGTCGTATCCATCATTGTATGAGACTTATTGGAGCTGCAGAATTTGCTCTTTTAAGAGTGGTTCAAAGAGCAAACCATAGAATTATCTTTGGCAAGCCTATGAAAGTCAGAGAGTCATTTATAACTGCATTTGCACAACGTAAGATTAACATTCAACGTTGTAGATTGTTGGTTTTGAATGCAGCTCATAAGATTGATATTTCTAATGCCAAGGCTGCACAAAAGGAAATTGCTATGGCCAAAATTGAAACTCCTAGAACTGTAGTTGAGATTTTGGATTGGGGTATTCAAATGTATGGAGCTGAAGGGGTTTCACAAGATACTGAATTGGCTAAAATGTACGCCCATGCGAGAACTTTGCGTATTGCTGATGGACCTGATGAAGCTCATTTGAATCAATTAGGAAGAGCTTATTTGAAGTATTTCAATGATGTTGATCAATTTTTCGAAGACCATAAGGCTAACTTTGAGAAGTTATCTAAATTATAAATGAATTAGTTTAAATAAAATAGGAATGATATTTATCTGTAAGATTGAGTGGCTGCGAATGGGTAGAACATAAAACTTCAACTTTTTTAATTAAATTATTTATACCTCTCTATTCTGCCTGTGTTTTCTACTTTCTACAACAAAGTTTATTCTTTCTTTATTTTGGTTTAGAAAAAAAAAATGAGAAGCAGTTGCTCTTCAACTCTCCATATACTATACAATGCTAATACAAATCAGATCTTGAGAAATCGTCAATGAGACCCTTAGCCAATAAGTTCTTAGCCTTTACCTTCTGGTCCTTTATCCTTTGGGCCTGCACTGAGTGAAGTTCCTTTTCGGCTTCTGGGAAAGGAATTTGTTGCCACTCATGCAAGTGGTCATCTTCTCTATCAATGTCCAACTCACCCATCATGACCACGTTTTCCCCTCTGATCATGAATACACCTCTATAAGTCTCACCGAAACGTTTCTTTTCTGAATCCAAATAAATTCTCTCTATGGTATCTTGTAACACCAAATTAGCAAATTGATCAAATGTTCTCAAGATTCCGAAAACGTTACGTCCATCTCTCAAGACGACGAATATTTTTCGGTCTACAGACCCGACTATGGCCGCAGCTGTCGTGAAGGCGTATGACTCTAAATACAAGTCTTCGACATTGGGGGCCAAGGGGTCTTTTGCTGGTTGTTCTTGTACTGGTGACTGTGACATGTATATGATGATAATGTAATTATATTTGTAATTAAAATGTCCAGTTTTCCGTGTGTCTCAATAACTTCTCACGTTCTTGAAGACCTTTCTTTTTATAATAATGTTTGCAAATAATATAATATCAAGATAGATAATATAAATTGAATGAAGTAAGTACCCTTTACATAAGTTTGAGTTTCAATCAAAAAATTGTCGAAAGTCGGTAGGGGCACGAAATATATGGGGCAAGTTGTATAGAGTGAGAGACAGAGTTAAAGAGTAGATATTTTTAAGGAAGAGAAGAGAAGGAGGCTTTTTTTTTTATTTAGATGGTTATTTTTACTAATTGAAGTTATATTGTGAATTATATATATTGACCCTACTCTAGTGTGGTAGAAGTCTAAGTTTAGTTACTTGTATTGAAAACAAATTGTACTTGAGAAAAGAAAATTAAATAGAGGAAAAAATAATAACCATAGAAAAAAATAAAAAAAAAAAAAGAACTTAGAACAGAAAATCAGATTTTGGTTGCAATTGCTGAATAGTGCAAGATAATTCAAGGTTGTGCTGGTACAACCTTGAATAATATTTTATTTTTTGTACAACCATCTATACTATGTGGTAGAGAAAAAATGATAGTTTGTACTATGGAAATGTTTTGTGATTATTTAGTAAGGAAACAAAACAATCTGTTTTTCAGAACAGTTTGAAGTAAGTTGATAACAAGTAGATTCTGTTTGTGTATTTTTATGTGCACACTTTAAGATTGAGTAAGAGAATAAAAAAAATCTCATCTCAATGTATTCCATCTGTTAACTAGAATCGTATACTTTAGCATGTCATTCTACCAATTCAAAGACTATATAGAAGAAGGTGACTTGGTGCTTGCCTTCATTGGTAGAGGAAATTTGAAGCCTCTCACCGTGAAAAGAGGTTCTACCTTGGGAACAAGATACGGTAACTTTGATCATGATCGTATGATTGGTATGAAGTTTGGAGAACAAATGAGTGGTGCCAAGGGCCATGGATTCATCCATTTATTACATCCAACTCCAGAACTCTGGACTATTTCTCTCCCACATAGAACTCAAATCGTGTACACGCCTGACTCTTCCTATATAATCCAACGTTTGGGGGTTACAAGTGGAACAAGAGTGATTGAGGCTGGTACTGGTTCTGGATCCTTTTCTCATGCATTTGCCAGAACTCTTGGTGAAGATGGGAGATTATTCTCTTATGAGTTCCATGAACCTAGATACTTGGAGGCTAAACAAGAATTCCAAGATCATGGACTTTTGGATGTTAATACTCTTATAACTCATAGAGATGTATGTGAAGGTGGATTTGAAATAAATGACCTTCCTGCCAAATTCGACAAAAATGGTATAAATGGAGATGTTGTATTCTTGGACTTGCCATCTCCATGGACAGCCATTCCTCATTTGGATAAGGTGATATCCAAGACTTCAAGAGTTGGTATTTGTTGCTTTTCTCCATGTATAGAACAAGTTGATAAGGCAGTTAAGGCACTTCAAGAAAATGGATGGAGTGGGATTGAAATGGTAGAAGTTGCGGCCAAGCGTTGGGAATCAAGAATGGATATGGTTAAAGATATTTCCGACGTTGTGAAAAGACTTAAAGATATTCAATCAAGAAAGAGTAAAGGTATAGAAAATAGAAGAAGAGTTAAGGCTACACAAGCCGGGGAAAAGAGAGATATTGAACAAGTTGAAGCTGATGATTCCGAAGAACCTAAAAAATTCCAAAACTTGGGTAAAGGTTTCAATCCTTTCGGAAAGGGTATGAGAGTAAGAGAAGGTGATTCTCAATGGCAATGGAAGAATGTTACGAAAGTTGAAGCTGATATCAAGAGTCACACTTCATATCTCACATTTGCATACATGAACCCAAACGTAAAAATCTCTGAATAAAGAGTAGTAAATACAAAACTTGCACTTTTCCAAAAAAAAATTAGATCCATTATAATAGAACAATTATTTATTGTAGTTATTTTATTCATTTCATGGAGTAGGGTATTCATTATAGATTTCATGGTGTAGATATTTATTATGGCTAAGTCGTGCAAATATTATTTCCGGCATATAGTGTCGGTGTTTTAAATGATATTCCCTTTAACAAATCCCCCTAAAACAGATAGAGGAATCCAACGATACAATAGATATATAAATACGATAATAAAAAAAAACATGAGTGGGACTCCAATTGGTATGTGTTCAAGAATATAAGATGGATTTTGTGAGACTTGATTGATATGTATTCGAGGTGTCTGTTAATAAGTGGACTCAACTGTATACATTTGTTCAAAAGTTTGCCAGCATGACTTTGCACTGCCTGGTCAATGAATGTTGGCACACAAAGAACCAATGAGTAATATTGGGGTACAATACAGACATCCCACATACTTATTTGTCGCCTTCTTGTATATGTAGCTCAAAGTACTAACCTCTAGTGCTTGATCAAGGTACCGGTTTTGTAAAGATTGGTAGAGCGGGAACGAATTTCCCCGACCATACTTTCCCCTCGATTGTGGGAAGGCCAATTTTAAGAGCTGAAGAAAAAAGTGGCTTGGTTCCAGACAACTTAGAGATCAAAGACATCATGTGTGGTTCCGAAGCGTCAGAAGTACGTTCACTTCTTCAAATTTCATACCCTATGGAAAATGGTATTATCAGAAATTGGGAAGATATGGAGCATCTTTGGGATTACGCCTTTTATGAAAGAATGCAAATTCAAACTGCTGGTGAAAAGATTTTGTTGACAGAACCACCAATGAACCCATTGAAGAATAGAGAAACCATGTGTGATGTCATGTTTGAAAAATATCAATTTGGAGGTGTATACGTTGCCATTCAAGCTGTGTTGGCCTTGTACGCGCAAGGTTTAAGTTCAGGTGTTGTGGTAGATTCAGGTGATGGTGTCACTCACATTGTGCCAGTCTATGAGTCGGTTGTATTGAACCACTTAACCAAACGTTTGGATGTTGCTGGTAGAGATGTTACCAGAAACTTGATCAACTTGTTGTTGCGTCGTGGTTACGCATTTAACAGAACTGCTGATTTTGAAACTGTACGTCAAATTAAAGAAAAATTATGTTATGTTTCATATGACTTGGATCTTGATACAAAACTTGCACAAGAAACCACTACATTGGTTGAATCGTATGAATTGCCAGATGGAAGAGTTATCAAGGTTGGTTCCGAAAGATTTGAAGCCCCAGAATGTCTTTTCCAACCAAACTTGGTAGATGTAGAACAACCCGGTGTTGGTGAAACTCTTTTCAACACTATCCAATCTGCTGACGTTGACGTCAGATCTTCTCTTTTCAAGGCAATTGTTTTATCCGGTGGTTCTTCAATGTATCCAGGACTTCCATCTCGTTTAGAAAAAGAGTTGAAACAATTGTGGTTAACCAAGGTATTACGTGGAGATTCATCAAGATTAGAGCATTTCAAGGTTAGAATTGAAGATCCTCCAAGAAGAAGACATATGGTGTTCATTGGTGGTGCTGTCTTGGCTAACATCATGGCCGACAAGGACCATATGTGGATATCGAAGCAAGAATGGGAAGAACAAGGTCCTCGTGTTTTGGAAAAATTGGGACCTCGTTAAAAGTTTAATTAATTGAACTTTCTTGAAGAATACGAACGTTGTTCATTTCTTGTATATTACATATCAAATACAAAAATTTACTAGTATACATTAATTCTCTATAAATTTATTATCCGTAATTGAGTTCTTCTATCTGAGTTAGTACTGTGTCCACTAATTTATCATAGATATCAGCTGTTATTATCCCACTACCTCCAACTCTGTTATTAATACCAAAATTCACTGCCAGATGAACTAAATCTCTAATGAAATCTTCATTAACAATTTTTGGATGTAAAAAATCACTTTCTAAACATTCTTCAATTGTAAATCTTTCATTTGGATTTCTTGCAAGACATTTTTTCATCAATTCAATGGCACTTTGTGGTACCTTAACCCCACCTAATCCAACATTCCCGTATTGAATCCTTACCTGAGGATTCATAATGGCCATAATTCTTTGGTTACCTGAGTAGCTTCCATATGGAGGTCTGCCATATATCATTTGATATATAATACAACCGCATGACCAAACATCTGAAGGTTTTCCAACTTTCCATGTATTTTTTGCTTGTCCATTCATAGAATTATCCATCTTTGGAAGTCCTGGAAATGACTGATTTACTTCAACCAATGCTTCTGGTGCCATATAATTAGGTGTTCCAATCTGTGATTCCTTATAAATATTTGCTGTATGGTCAGGAACAGCATTAGCAATTCCAAAATCAATAATCTTCAATATTCCACGAACAAATAAGAAATTGGCAGGTTTTAAGTCACTGTGTACAATCCCAGCTTTATGAACTGCAAGTACACATTTAAACAATTCAATAGCATGGAATCTAACAAAATTAAGGTCTAAGGACAGACTTTGAGTTAATTTACTTTGTAAAACATGAGCTAAGTCAGTATCACCACATTCCATGACCAAATAGATAGATCCTTCTCCAACTGCATGATCTGCAAGTTTGACCACTCGATCTGCATCTCTAAGCTTGATGAGAAGATCAATTTCTCCCTTAAACCCTTTCACGCATGCCTCATCAAACTGATCAAATGTAACCTTTTTAATTGCATATATCTTATTATTAGATAATGCTTTTACCTTATAAACTTTTGATGACCCACCTCTACCTAAAAGTTCCATTTTTTCATATTGAATACCATTAATGGTAATGGTTTTTTTCCTTTTCTGATCTTCATTATTGTAGTTGTAGTTGACTTGATGGTTATTGGGCATGACTGAAGGTGCCATTATACTTGGAGTTTTAGGTTTCCTGAAATCATTTGCTGCTGGGTGTGGAGAAGCAGTACCTTGTGGTACTTCTGGTACAGATTGTTTATCTGAAGCACGAGGAAACATTCGAGGAGGTGTGATTTCCATTCTATCAATCTTTACTTCCTCCTTAAATTTCTTCCTTTCACTTTCCATTTCATTATTTCTCTTTTGTTCTTCAATTCTTTCTCTTAATTCATCCTCCTTTGCCGTGGACATAAATTCATATGAACCTTCAGGCCTAGATTTTTGAACTGTCTCTGGTAATTGTGGTTCAGGAGTTTTCAATAATTCTAAATTAAATGCTGGTGGAGGTGGTGGTATTTGTGATTGGCTATCCATTACTTGTGTTGAGCCTCTCTTCGGAGGGCCCAACTTACCAAATCTTCTGGAACCTCTCATTTTCTTTATGCTATGGACTTGCAGAATAACACCAGTGGAATTTCTTGATCTAGTCCCTGTAGAGGTTGACTTTCCTGGGGTTGTCGATGATGTATGGATACTTCGAGGACTATTATTTGTATGTATACTATTATTATGCAGAGAGTTGTTCATCAAATCGTCGTTATATTCCGAATTGGTATGATTATTAGTTGTAGATGCGTATGAAGAATGACCGGATAGATTTATATCAGTAGCTGCGTCGTAGAAGACGGAAAAGCTAGAATTGGAAGTCAGTGGTTTTACTAAACTATCACCTTCCCTCTTCGGCGTGTTTTTAGTCTCGTTGAAATGAACCGAGAGTTTTTGTTTAAGGGTGTTATTTCTATCTGGGAAATCAAGTTCATATATCCCAGTTATTTGTGGTACTTCTTGATTTGTTGATGGGTGTGGTGCTGGATGAACATTATTATTTTTATTAGTGGTATCAAATTGTGTATTTTCTCCCAATAATGCACGAGCATACGAGCTCAAAGCAGGTGGTAAGAATGTGTTATCATCATCTTGTGCTTCAGGTAAATTTCTTTTGAACAGAACAGTCTTTGGTATGTTGTTTTCAACATCAGTTATATCTTGAAGAGGCATCTAGACGTCATGTGGATACGAAACAATCAAGGAGAAAGGAATAAGAGTATATCCAATTTATTCTCTGTGAATGTAATGCAAATATATAAATTTCTCTAGCTTAAAGGTAATGTGTGTGTCACCTAGAGTACTTTTAAATTGTTTTATCCGTATAGTTACAAGTTATTAAAACTACGTTTGTTCCTTGTAGCGCGTTCTTTTGTAAACAAACAAAATAAATTAGAAAATATTTATATACAGTACCAATAAAATTAGTTACACAGATAATTGATGTAGAAAAATGATGCAGAACATCTAAAAAGAAAGAATGAATTCAATACTTAATACTGGTTTAGGGTCATAGTCCGATTCGTCATTAAATAAAATATTAATAATGGGTATGTACCTTGCATAAAAGGTATACAAGGAATTCAAAAAAAAAGAAAGAAGTTGTTGGAGCAGATGCTCCACGGGAGGCTCGAACTCTCGACCTTCAGATTATGAGACTGACGCTCTACCGACTGAGCTAGTGAAGCAACTTCTGGAAGTGTAAATTTTGCACTTTAATACACCAGATTTTCCTATTTTCGGCAAATTTGGCAAATTTGGCTTTAAATTCAATAAATATCACTATATAGAGACATTCAACATGTTCCACTTATATAAGTATATGAATTATATCAAATTAATGTTTATTGAGCTTCATTTGAAGAGTCTCAATTTCATTTTACCACAGTTGAGTCAGTTTTTCGATATAATCAAGGATAAAAAAATCTCAAACTCATGAGTTAAGGATTATAAAAGCTTGTTGATAGAATATTTGTACCTTTAAATCATATATTGCAACAAAATATTACCATCTTAATTTTATTAAAATATTATTTTGCACACAAAATATTACAATTAAAGTTTTTTAATATTAATAATCGATACATTATTTACTCTTTAATTCGAATTTTTAAAGCTTCAAATATATATTAACAACATATAATTTCTCTTTGAGAACCAACCCACAGTTTCTAGCTAGAAAAAATAAAAACGTTATTAGCCTAGTCCACACCAATCATGTTAATTGTTCTTAATTCAAAAATGTGAATGAATTGCATCACATTACAATATATATTTCTTATTCTTTTACGATCTCCGTAGTCAATCTTCAAACAATATAATCCCCAACAACAGGGATATCTCTTTATAAATTCCAAAGATCAACCAACATACTGGGAAAGTAAAAATATCACTTGATTAGAAAGATGTTGCAAAAAGTTTTAAAAAAACAAAAAAAAAAAAAAACACAATTGACTGCACATATAGATTACGTGCATACACCATTTCAAAATTTTTGTCGATTCTCTTGCTCTATTATTCAAGAGAGAGGCACTCATTAAAAAGATTGTTCATAAAGCTAGTCATAAATCACACTCAAAATGGTCAAGTTAACCCAAATCGACGACGAAACCGCCAACACTTTCGAACAGCCATCCCAGGCCACCCAAGAAAAGAAACAAGAAGAAATCTACAGTGAATCTGATGAATCTGATTCTGATTCTGAAATAGATGATGACGACTTTGACTATGAAAATGAAACTTTGTATGACAGAGTTGTTGCCTTAAAAGATATCATTCCACCACAACAAAGAACTCAAATTGCCTCTGTAGTTGACACTGCCAAGTCCTTGCTTTCTATTGGTGCCAACAAGTCTGGTAACTTATTGTGGACTTTGACCTCTTCTGCCTTATTGTTGGGTGTCCCATTATCTTTAGCTATTTTAGCTGAAACTCAGTTGCAAGAAATGGAAAAGGAAATGCAATTGCAACAATCTGCTCAGGATGTTTTAGCTCCAGGTTCTGAAAATGCTTTCCAAAAGGAATTACCAAAGGCTTAGGAATAAAGTTACTTGTATATATACGACTTAAATTGATGTATTTGATTGATTCTATGTAAGTAAAAGAAAGATACCAACGCACGTATGTGAAAAAAAAATAAAACAAACCAAGAAAATCAAGCTCTCTTGTGTTTGATAGATAACGTGTAAATGTCTAAGTAGGTGGTAATCTCATAAATAATTTCGGTAATGAACATACCATGAATACCAAGTGTGATACCCAAACCAGACCAACTCAAACCCGTCAAGACAGTACTACGATCGAAATCATAAACTCCAATCAAAACGTGAGCCAAGATAGTTTGAAGGATAGGTAAAAACATTGGTGGTTGAATGTATGGGAACTCTTGTTTAGTTAAATGAGCTAAAATAATTCTTCCAACACTAAATGCAACAGTTAAACCAATGGAAATGATGAGTGGGAACCCATTTTTAGATAATGTTTCTGGGAAAGACCAAATATATAAAAGAATGGATGCATAATAAGCGAAGAATGGAATTAAACCTTTATAAGATTCAGCAATTTCTTCGTCTGCTTCAAAACGAGAAAGTTCCTTACTATGATAATAATGTTTCTTAACGTTATTAACAGCTGATGCAATGTTGAAATACAATGCTGGAGCACCAATGACAAGATAAACGATGGAAGTGGTGACCTCAAAGGAGGAAGAACCACCAAGGGATGATAAGTCTAAATCAACCAACTTGGCTTGCCAAATACCTGGACCAAAAACTCCAGTAAGAATATAAAGGAAACAAATCATCAAGATACCTTCAACTGGTCCACTAAAGTGTGATAAAAATAAGGTATGAGTATGATATTCTTCCCATGTTGAAGTGTAAAAATTACAAACAGTGGAAAATTGAGAGAGCATGAATAAAAATCCATATCCCATTCTAAAGACTGAACCAAACACCATACATCCCAAGGTTGTATTGATGGCATCAATGGAATGGTCAAACAATTCACCCAAAGGACCACTTTGGCCAGTTCTTCTAGCATGGCAACCATCACAACCATCAAAGGTTTGATACATAAAGAGTCCAAAGGCATAGAAAAAATAACACCATCTTGGAGATGCTTCAGTCAAAGTTGGATCGTAGTAAAATACGACCAATAAGTTTGCAATAATGAAACCCAATCCCGTGAGAGTAATTACATTAGGAGCCATAGAGAGAGGGAAGATTTTCACAAAGTTATTCCACCACAGCTTCAAAATGAGCTTGGAAACGACTGAGTGATCTTCAGAAGAATATTTGTATAATTTTAAGTTTTCCAACTTCCCAGCAGGAATGAAGACACCCATATTTCTTTCCGTTTCCCCTTTTCTTTCGACGCAGTTGAGTTCACCAAAACTTATCTAGCAATGGAATATCTGTACAGAATACGTTGTGTTTGTAGCAATCAATCATGGAAAATTGATTGCATAGCATGTGCTCTAAAATCGATTTTGTGTATTTTAAGTTTTTTTTTTGTGTTTTTTTTTATTGATCGCCTTTACCCCCTTAATAATGGGAATATTCAAATGGTGACTTATCTTAATTGTATCGGTGGTAGAGTTTTACTTCATAAATCACCTGGACAATTCAAGTTGGCAATTATACAGTGACTATATGCCACGAAAGTCACTGCTATTTTTTGTATAGTTGTGTTTTCAGATATGAACAATCGATTGCATATAATTTGTGAGCCGCGTGGTCCCTCAATAGAATTTTAATATAGTAAGTCATACATGAATTGTTTGTGCCAGTGTTTAAGGTGAAAGAAACTTTAATAATCAAAAGGACCACGAGTTAAAAATTTGCCAAGATGTTGAATGTTCAAACAGCTCATATATCTAAGTTTATCGTAAGTATACCCCTCATGTCATATAAAGTTTTTATTGTTATTTTTCACTCGTCTAATTTCTTCTGCTATTTCTTTCTATTTTTGAATCTTTTAATTATCTTTCTTTTGAAATTGAAGCACAGTATACTCTTTCATCCCTGGTGTTTTATCAATCATCAATTTATCATGTCAATTGAAAAACATGGATTTACCACATCCAAGTGCAGTGGTCGTACTATAATTGAGAGCTTACATTCCTTTTCTTTGTCTTTTTAATATCTAATAATACAAAGACGTAATTAATTACACCCCTTCCAATATTACTCTTAAATATTTCCCAAAATTTCAATCATGGAAATTATTGAATAGTCTATCTGATATAGAACGTATTTTCGGTATAAACAATAAATTCCATGAAATGGCTGCAAATCGAACTACAACGTTTGTTCATGATCAATTTTAACGGAGCTTAATTTAATACGATTCAAGAACAATTTAATGTAACTATGTGTTATACCTCAACAACTATTACTATTATCTACTGATTATCTTTGTTTTGTTCTAATATCTTGTACAATAATATCCTATTTTAAAGGGGTTTTTTTTTTTTTTTCTTCATTCGGTGTTTATTATCCTATAATATATCTATATAATTGTTGGTCATATTGGTTATATAACCTTCTCTTGTATATCCATTTCATAGTTGCCATATAATAAACCTTTTGAGCTAGAGGAAAAAGTATAAACTTTGAAAACCTCTTGCAGGTTATGTCATAATTGTTTATTTAGTTGTTAATTTAAACAACGTAACCCAAGCTGTGATATCGCGAATCGTTAAGGTTGTCCTTAACGCGGGTTTTGATTGTCCTGCATACAAACCCCTAAGAAAAAGCATTATTGGATAATGATGTAGAATTTTTAAAAGTTGAAAAAGTCCGATATAGTGTAATGGCTATCACTCGACACTCTCCATGTCGAAATCCGGGTTCGATTCCCGGTGTCGGAGTAAAGATTTTTTTGTTGCAATTGTATACCGAAAGTTTATTTTAAGAAAAATTGAATGAACGGCTCTACTAATGTGTTGATTTTTTTGTGCATTATTTAATTTTTTGCAAGTGAATTACTTGGGGTATACTTGGCAGTTTGTTTGTGGTGTAGTTGCTTCTAATTTTAGGTCTTACTTCAATTAGTGATAAAACCTTTTCATTATCCAAATTTCATTTCTCGTAAATTTTGAAATTGATGCAGTTGCTGCTTTTTTTTTCAATCTGATAAGAAATTGTAGAAAAATGATCAATTCCACGTGTGTGCTAAAATGCAATCGATCATTAAATTCATGACCATTTAGCCTCGTTCTGACAATTGACGTATTATTAGGCTACTTGTTATCTACAATATTTCATATAATATCGGCTTTCGGCTTTTACTAAGCCTCACACCGACACTTTTGCCGATGTCGTGTACTCAACAATACTACCCCAATCTTACTTCACAAGGCTGACATCCGTGAATTTTTCAAATCTACTAAATATTCACGGGGAAAAGTCCAACTGATTGAAATTGGCAGTAAATAACTTCACCTATACGTACGCTTCTAATTGATACTAATTTCTTCAATTTATTTTCCACAAACATGTGTGTAAATAGCATATAATGATATGCTAAATGACTAAGGACATGCAGGAGCTCAGATCCGGAAAGTGTCCATGACGTACAATCTCAGTATATTCTTACACATAGCGGGTCACGAAAAAATAAAAAGACCACAATCAGGATTGTTTTTGATTTAATGCATAAACTTAAACCATATGAATAAACTTACGAGAACAAATAATTTTTTTTCTTTGAATATATAAGTACAAGTGTGTAGCCGCATAATAACTTCAATTAGATTCTAATACAACAAGTAAAATTTTACAAACTCAACATCATGACTCTTGAGATCAATTCATCAGACGAAAACTATAAAGATACAATCACAACACAACCACATACAAAGCCAGACATGGTTATTAAAAACTTTGCCCGGACATATGAAACTCCTCCAGGTGGTGGTTATCAATCATTTATCGAATCAATGGGTAAAATGTTCGGTACTTGTGGTGTCTTTTGTTGTCTTTGTTCTAATCCTTACAAGGAAGTCAAACAAGGTGAAGTTGGACTTATTCAAACTTTTGGTGCACTCTCGAGAACGGTGGAACCAGGTCTTTGTTATGTTAACACTTGGTCTGAAAAGCTTTTCAAGGTAAACATCAAGATTAATATCAGAGAAATTCCTGCTCAAAGTTGTTTCACAAGAGATAATGTTAGTGTTGTAATCACCTCAGTTGTTTACTACAATATCATTGACCCTCAAAAGGCTATATATTCCATCTCAGATATTGACAATGCAATCATTGAAAGAACTCAAACAACTCTTAGAGATGTTATTGGGTGCAGAAATTTGCAAGATGTCGTTGAAAAGAGAGAAGAAATTGCCGAATCAATTGAACATATTATCGCTAAAACTGCCTTTGATTGGGGTGTTAACATTGAATCTATTCTTATCAAGGATTTGACATTACCTCCTCAAGTTCAATCTTCCTTGTCAATGGCTGCAGAAGCCAAGAGAATTGGTGAAGGTAAGATTATTAATGCCAAGGCCGAAGTTGAAAGTGCGAAACTTATGAGAAAGGCTGCCGATATCTTGGCATCTAAACCTGCTATGCAAATCAGATATTTGGATGCTATGCAAAACATGGCCAAGAGCCCTGGTACCAGAGTTATCTTTATGCCCTCGGCCCAAGAGATCGAGCGTATGGCTGGTTCCAACATTTCGCCTTCTCAACAACAACAGCAACAGCAACAGCAACAACAACAACATTCAAGCTTAGGTCAATTGGAAGAAGATGAAGATTGGGCTGGTCATACTGAATTATCACCAGTTCCAACTGGTCGTCACAGACAAATGGCTGACACAGTTGCCTTGCAAGAAGCTCTTAAACCATAAAGTGTCTAGCGTTTTCTAGGCTTGTTATTTTTTCTTCTCATTATTCTTAATTTGTACTTGAAAAGTACACACATACTTAATACTTTAATATTATATGACCACACCAAAATAGAGACATTGTAGAAGTTTGGAGGCTCTAAGAATCTATTCTATTAGTAGCCTTTCTTTTTCTTTCAAAATATTTCCCCTTAGCTTCAATTAGATCTTGCTCAGTAATCTTTGATTTGATAAAGTCCATTAATTTGTCAAGCAAATCATTTTTCTTCTCCTTGTCTGAACTGTTTACAATATTAAATTGAATTGGCTTTTTAGATTGCACTCTTTTCAGTTTATCTTCAACTTTAGCAGGGGATACTCCAACGACTTTTGAGACATTACTGGTATTGTCGTTTATAATCGATTTAACATTTGGGATCAATTCCTCCTTTTCTCCAATTCTGGCCTTAATCATTCTAGAGTAAAATTCTGTCCCATTATTTAATTCTTCTGCTTCTAATTTCTCTTGTTCACGAATTTTTTCTTCGTTCAACTTGAGACTATCTTGTTCGATCTTATAGGCTTCACTTGAAAATACAATTGCATCTTTATTTTTATTAAGGTAATCTTTCAATTGTTGTTCTTTCTGTTCATTCTGGGCCACGAGTTGTTCTTGTTCTCTGATCTTTTTACCTTCTAAAATCTTAGTCAAGAGTTGCGACAGTTGAGGATTAATTTTGGTATTGGTCTTATTCTTGATTGCTTCATCTTCTTTGAATTCTTCAGTCTTATCAACTAACTTTGCAACCTTCCGGGCCTTCTTGGCCATTTCAGTAGCAAAATTATCTTCCTCGTCATCAGATGAGTTGTTATCATTGAATGCTACTGGCTTACGCTTCCCCACTGCTTTAGACACAGGTTTCCCCAGGACTTTCCTTTTCAAGTTAAAGTTCATTTATGGTATGTTCAGTCAGGGAAAGAAGTTCATTAATTTTTTTGAATATCAAAATAAATTTGACAGCAAATTTTGGTTTACGCATTTTGGAAATTTGATTGCAGCAAAAGCAAAGATCTTTAACAGATATGAGAGAATATAATACAATATTATCTTTTCTTCAGTGAAATTCTTTTTAAGTGAGTGGATACATCTATATATGTTCACACAGGACACAACTTTTCAGATAACTCTTCTTTACTTTTCAATTCATATTATAAGCCCTTTTGTATATCACTTGACTATACTTTACTACAAAAGTTACCTTTCCTGCATCAATGCCGCGCCTTGAATCCCGAAACCCTGAGTTTGTTCAGGATTATGATTTTACAAAAAGGACAAATTTAAACAATCTACACGCGATCTGATTGTTAACGTTATAGACTAATTGAACGGAAATTATGAACGGATCTGGGTTTGACTGGCTTCAGGCTAGTTCGACAAACAACAGTGGTTCTGTTCTGCCTGCACCTATGGTCTCATTCGGTGGCAATGATGGTGATAACAATGGTAATACGACAGGTATCTACAATACCAGTACTCCTTCTTTACAGGTATCTAACAATGGAGGAGGAGGAGGTCATGACTCACAAGGAGTGTTATTTCCTCCCGATAGGAACCATTTGGCTGTCCTGTCAAGCAATGGAAGCTATACAAACAATAATGGGCTTAGTTCAAGCCCTCATCATCAATCAATGCTTGATATCTCTATTGCGTCACCTGTGACTAATCCGAACAATCCGATTGCATCCAATCCAAATCTTGTGAGACCTCATGCTAACTCTCTTCAAATACCAGGGACTAGCAGAAGTAGTAGTGTGAGCGATAGTTCATCTCGTCCAACGCTTCACACCCAAGAAAGTAGTATCCCACTCTCGCTTCAAACCCACGAACTTACATTCCAAGAATCAAAGACATACATGAGGTGGTACAGTGACATCTTGGCCCGTACAAATGCCAGAACCATTAGCATGTCGGATGTCTATTCATTCTTGAGCAACTTCAAAATATCAGAAGCCTCAAAAGAGAAGATTAACAAGATTTTTGTTAAAAATCTCAGATCCATAAACATCGGGGAGTTTTTTGCTCTCTTACGATTGATTTCTCATACTCTCAATGGTCAAGAACCTTCACGTACCCTCATCAAAATTCAGGCTCCTACACCATCTCCACCTTCAATTCTTTCTAAGAAACGTCACACAGAAGATGATGGAGAAGATGACCTGCCTGAAGCGGATACAGTGGTCCCAGACACAAATAATATCATGAATAACATTGGCAATAATGATCCACAGAAACCTTTGGATTTGGATAGCTTTACCCAGTTTATGCTCACTGGTGAGAGACCTGAGGAAACGCAACAAAAAAAGAGAAGATCAAAGAAATCTAAGTCTGTTAAGTTTTCAGATCAAATAGTTACGGATATTCACGATGCAGATTCATTGACAAACAGTGTTTCATCTCCATCACCTCAGCCACCTCAACAAGATATTGATTATTCATTACCAATGGATCAACTTCTTGGGAAGATCAGACAATCACAAGCCGTGCAACCACGCGATGTTGAAGAGGAAGAAATTCTTAAGAGTATGGAGACACAAATCAATCACTTCCAGAACTTGAATACTGTTGATATGACCACCTCGGAAGATTATAATAGACAATTGCTTAGACCAAATATGACTGGACCAGCACAAATGTCTCAGATGTTTAGTCCCTCTCCCGAGCCACAAGAGGAAGTGGGATACCTTCAACCAAACATGACTGGACCAGCACAAATGGCAAAATTACAACCAAACGTTACCGGGCCAGCAGATATGGCTCGACTATTCCAACCGAATGCTAGTAATGAAAATGGCAATCCAACAATATCACTTCAATCATTTTCAAATCAATTGACTGGGAATACTCTTTCCAATACAGTCCAAAATTCAAGATCATTTTCTCAGGGTTCACAGAATAATGATAATTATAATAGACCAATGGCACCTCCACCAGTGCCGCAAAATAGACGCAGTAGGTCTTCATCTTCCCCAACCCCGCGGGTATCTTCTCCACTATCATCCATATACACACAGCCTCAACCTCAACAACCAATGTTTGAAGCACCCGTGCCACCTCCAGTTCCGCCTAGAAATGTTTCATCACCACAGAATGGAAGGTCACAGCCACCACCACCCCCACCATCTAGAAGACGGACAGCAAGTACGGCCAATTCCACTATAAGCCCACCACCACTTCCTCCGAAAGTAAGCATTCACGAATCTCCATATGAACAACCACCGATTTATACTAACGACAACGGGAACGACAGTACCTCGAACCTTCTTACTGATTTGAAAGCTCTTCAAGATGAAGTTGATAAAATTAGAAATATGACAGGAGGGTTTTAACATTTTATTTCATATCATTATATATACAATATATATCATAAACATCCTAATCACCATTCAATGTTAATGCAGCAAATTCAGAGCTCAAGAGGTCATATCCCAAATTTTTCATTTGTTCTGGATAGCGTCTCATATTGTAGAATTGCAATAAACCTCTCACCGCAATCTCTTGGCCATATGAATTATTAAAATCATTTTCTAAATCTTTTCCTGAGAGCCAATTATCTCTCAAAGTTAGCTTTGAATTTAAATATACTTGTGAGATAAGTTCCATATTGTTTGACTTCCACTTCCGACCTTGATATGGAATCAATTTTTTTAACATCTTCAACATTGGTTGGTTGAAATATTCGTTATTGAAATTGAGTAGTATCATCTTAAACATATCTGAAGGTTTTAAATCACTCAAGGTCAAAATTCTCTGCGTCTTGTTCTCAAGAAGAATTAAATCTGCAACAGATAACAAATTTGCCAAACTGAAACAATAATTGGCATTGTATTTACCCATGACTATATTGTTGACATTGTTCACATCTTTAGATGATGGAAATTCCAGAATCGAAACCTTGTTGATGAATTCATATTTGTGAGACTCTGGGAAGGATTTCAAACAATTGTGAAAGAATTCAAACTTTGGTAATCGAATCATTGGGTTTAAAATTTTATTTTGATAAAATTGGGAATCATAATTTGAATTGTTCAAATTATCAGTAGTCCCATATGGTTTCTTCTTAAGCTGTTGTAAATTATTATTATTGAAACTTGAATTCAAGAAATCCATCAATATTGAAAGATATTGCTCATCAAATAATAAACTCGACAAATACCAGTATTTCAAAACATGATTCTTTTTAAACCATTGGAGAAGAAGTAAAATGATTGCACTACTTGCCTTCAATGTGATTTCCTTTACAAGCAAGACTTCAAGTTGTTGCATAAGGATAAATTCAATTTTGGCTCTTGCAGATTCAGACCCATCACTATCACCAAGAGTAGAATCAAAACATGAGGTTTCTGGATTTAATTCCCATTCTGGAAAGTTAAGATCATAATCAAACTTGTTACTCTTAATGGTTTCTACCAAAACTTCAATGAATGAGTTTAACGATTCCAAAGTTTTATCATAGAAAGACTCTACTCTTAACAAGGAGTGAACCTCTTCTTTGTACTTTTTATGAGACTCAAGAAGTTTTTCTGAGTATTCTATGACTTCATTTTCATCTTCAATGCCAATGCCTTGACCTTCTTCTTTTTCATATTCAGATACGAATCCCCGCTCTTGTCGCATGAACTTTTGTCTTTCTTCCCATAATTGTTTATTTGAGTAACTTTCGTAGTAAGACCTTTTTAGAATTTCATCTGCTTCATGAATTGCATAAGGTGCCTTTATCTCATCAGAAATTGGATATATAAAAGGCATGGCTTGATTCAATTGGTACAGTTTTCGTATCTTTTCACCTCCAGACATATAATCAGATGGTGTAGACGGAGGCGAAGGTACTGGCGTGGCAATATGAACCGTTTGTGTAGGTAATTGACTAGAAATGGTATGCGATTTATTCGTTTTGGGAATTTCAATTAAATTGGAGAGGGAGTTGGAGCTTTCGTTCATAGCCATATACATATCGTATGACATTGGTTTTGCTTTAAGATTCGTATCAATTGAAAGTTTCAGTATATCATTATTCTTCCCGAAAATGTCTAATGGATCCTTTTTTACATTCTCTTCTCCAGTGTATAATGGATACTTTGCCATAATATCTTCCCTAAATGAAAAGTAATCCAATGGTGAACATTCAAGTTCATTATCATCATTCTTCTTTATGCCATGAAGTTCAACAAGAAATTTTTCAGTTGAATTTAATTGTTTAGAATCACCAAGTTCCACTAAAAGTAATTTCCAGGTTATAAGGATTATTGATCTTATTCTATAAGCCGAATTAGGTTTCCACTTCCAATGTTCAATAAACTTCACCAGTCGAGATAGGATGTCCTTTGAAGAGAGGGTACTTTTAAGATTACCAAATGATTGTGGTGTATGAATGCTAACGTTCAACATAAAGTAAAACAATGTTAAGGCCCTAAAGAAATTTGATTGTATTTCTGGAGGGACTTTGTATTGATCAGAACCAGAATCGGACTCTGATTGATCTGTTGAAATTCTACCATCCATAAACGATTCAATGATATCGATCAATACTTCAAGTAATCCCCAATGATACAAGTTTATCATATGTTCTGTAATAGCCAGGATCTGATCTATCCGAGAGTTGCAATCATGTCTATACTTCCCCAACCCATAGTAGGTCAATAATTGGAGATTATGAGTAGTGGAAACACTCCAAGTTTCAGTGGGGTTCTTTGCTAACGAGGTGATAAAATCCTTCAACAGTTTCAGTTCAATCTCTGGGTCAGGATCCATTACATTCTGATATTTTTGGGCAAGTCCATCAAGGCCTCCAAGTACGGCAAAATCATTGAATACAAACCACTCACTCAATTCTACGTCCAAGTTGCCATAATCACGGTATTCATATAATAAATGAGTTCTGTCAATAAGAAATTGGTACTCATTATCGGGATTACCCCCACCACCTCCATTACTATCTGAAGGTTCATTCGAGTCGCTAATAGCATCCAGAGATCCTCCATTGTGATGCTTGTCTGGATTCAGGTTCGTGATCTGATCCGCACGAGCATTAAGCTTATCCTGAAAGGCTTGATCCAATGACATTTCCTCCATTTGCTCTCGGGTTCGAGCATCTGGGTGATCTATGATCAGATCTTCAAGCTGATCTATCAAGATATTCTCACCCTCCATTCTGTCTGTTGGGTATGGAAAACTCATCTTCTTATAAACTCCTCCACAAATATAAACCCAAACATAGATACGTATTGCACTACTCGCTCACGTGACCAACATAAAATGCACCCTGGTTGCTTTCTTTTCGCTTACTTTTATTAATACTTAATATAGTAAATATAAGAAAGGAAGTTCATTGTTTTTATTTTATAAATAACTTCCCCCAATACTTCCAAAATCGATGTATACGTGTATTATACATTTCCTTTTCTATACTACTAATCCAGATTGTGTTTTTCTTGTTTGAATCATATTAATTTTTTTTATTTTTAATTTTAATTTTTATTTTTTTTTAAAGAAAAAAACACTTTGCCTGCATGTTGTCACCGAATTTTTCATTTGCTATACAGTTCAAATCTTCCACATCAAAACCTTTGATAAATCAAACCAATCTTGTAGCATTATAAGGATTCAAACGATCCTTTTAGCACCAGCAGTCGTTTCACACCTCCAAGCAGAGAAAAGTGTTTTATCATATATGAATAGCATAGAACAAGCACTAGATCTAAAGGTCAAAATCAGTACACTCTTGGACCAGTCTCACACTGGTTACATATATGCATATTCTCCAGTTCATGAGTTATTGACCTTGAGAATAACAAATCATAGCACCAACAAGATTGTAAAACCTGAATCATACAAGTTCATTAATACTGCATTTATCAAGACTATCCAAGTCTTAGCACCATTCCCGAAGAAAAATGGTCCTATAAATCATCATAATAAGCATCAGCTGCATTCTCCATCTCCTCCTCCTCCACAGTCTCAACCTACTCTGTTGTCGATCAACGAGCTTGAAACAAAGTTGAACCGGGCCGTGGCAGACTACAAGGTAATGCTTAGCAAATCCCACAACCCCAAGGCATCTAGCACGGCAGTCATGTTGTATGAAAAGTTGTATTTATCCTTTGACTCGGTCACATGGCAAAATGAATGTATCATAGTTTCCAATCAAATTAAAATTTCCAGGCCATACCTGGCAAAGTCATGCACCAAGTTACAGACAGACTCTAAGATACTTGACAAGGTTCAATTGGCGATCAAGGAATTCTGGGATCTGTATGACATCGATAAGCAACAATAGTACATCTACTTCTCCACTCCTCCAATAAATATAGACTTTCATTATAAAGAACCCTCCCAATCATTTGTAGTTTCATTTGTAGTTGTAGTAGCATTCAATTTCCAAGCAGTCGAATAAACGATATCCCTTTTGTTGAGTTCCGTTGTATCCATCGACATCATCCCAACTCAATTTTATGGTTGTAGTTTTTTTTCCAACTGGCTGCGAAAATGCCTCGCAGGTTAAGTTCACCCACGCATATCCATACTCCGGCACCAGAAGTTGAATATCAGAACTTACTTCCAATGAATATTTGTATGGGATAACATATATCAGATCACCTTTGCGATGAAATTCCGAGATTGTAGGGGTGAACAAATTTATGATTTCCACTCCATATTTATTTGTAGATAGTTTTCTATATCCATTTAAGGAGAATTTCAATTTGTGTACACTTGATAATAACGAAGGGGCTACTCCAATAAATTGAATTCTTTTAACAATAAATTTCTGAGTAATTGAATCATTTAATAACTTTGGAAATTCTAAACATTGTGACCAATAATTTAAATATCTAATTTGGGATTTGATTGAAACTCCGTCTCCAGCGTATTCTCTCATTCTCTTTTTCGTATACCATTTAATTGCCGTGTCCACGTCTATCTCCTCCTCTGACATTAAGTATGCACAACATATAGTTCCTGACCGGCCTTTGCCAGCTTTACAATGAAGAACCACTACATTTTTATCATTTTCATGTAAAAATTCCGAAATCCCATGGATTGATTCCAGTATTATTTCTAACGTTGGGGGTTGATGATCTGGGAATGGCATGAAGGTAACCTTACCAGACACATCCTCACTAGTATACCCAGGATCTTCACCACGGAAGTTCCATAGATGCCAACCACCGTCATGATTGAAATTTAGAAACTTTATAAAATTCTGTATGGGGTAACGATAGATCGAGCGAAATAGACCTGTTACTGGGCCAGAACAAACAATCACTCGTTGGGTGATATAAGATAGATCGAGTTCAATATTTAGTGACGGTTCATATATACTATTTTTCGGAGATGCTACAATTGAACGTATGAATTTCATTAATGAACCTTGTGATAACCTAAAAGTTCTATTTTATGTGTATGTGTGTGTGTACAAATAATTTTAAATATTTTTTCCCTCTATTTAAAAAATAATACACGTCAAAGTTTATTGACAAGGGCAGGGCCTAATTACTCTCTTTAACTCTAGTTTACTCTACAAGTATTATAATCATCTCATCTTTTTCTTGAGTCACCTATAAATATATACAGAACCAACAGGCAAAACTCACTCATTTACATTCTAGCAGCCATAGCTTCTTGGATCTTGGCAGTCAAGAAAGGATCGTTTTTAAGTCTCTTTTGCATCTTGGTGGCTTCGGCAAAAGAGGTGGCTTGCACCTTTTCTTCGATAGTTCTAGCCAACTTGGAAGATTCTTCAAACAAAACAATAGCTTCATCAACTTGATCATTTTGTAATTTGATTTGTGCCAAAGAAATTCTTGCTAATTCAGACTTAGGGTCTAATTCACAAGCTTCGGTCAACAACTTTTCAGCTTCATCAAAGTGTTCAAGTCCTTCTCTGGAAATGAACAGAGCCTTGTTGATCAATGGTAAGGCACCAACGGAGAATGTTGGTAAGGCCTTTTGTAATCTACTAGCAGTGTCAAATTGCTTACAGGCAGCCTTAACATCACCACGGTCAGCAAGAATTTCACCATAATAGTTTGGAATTTCTGGGGAAGTTGGGAACTTCAACTTGGCAGCAGTAAACATATCTTCAGCTTCCTTAAAGTCACCGTTCTTGTATTTAATACATGCCAATTGAATGTAGGCATAAACATTGTCTGGGTTCAATTCCTTGGCTCTAGTGAAGTTTTCTTCAGCAGCAGCTAATTCACCGGTTAAGTAATAGAGTTGACCCAAGTGATAGTAAAGATCTGGGAATTCAGGGTTAAGTTTCTTAGCTTGTTCAAAATCTTGGTTGGCTTCAGTGAAAGAAGACTTATCAGCGTTGATCAAAGCTCTGAAAACATAAGTTCTTGGTCTTGGCTTCAAGGCAATGGCCTTTTCAATGTCAGAGGCAGCACTGGTTGGGTCATTCTTCAAGAATTTAATCAGAGCAGAGTATTCCAAGGCAACAGCAGCCTTACCAGCGTTTGGAGATTCATTGGTCAATTCTTCAACGTTATAAGCAGCAACGGCTTGGTTAATCAAAGTGTCAGCAGCTTCATAACCTTCAGCAGTACTATAGTTCAAGTTCTTCAAGGCATCAAACAAAAATTTGTCAGCACCTTCAGATTCTTCAGAAATTCCTTCTGGGGTAGTTTCTTGAACAAAGGCACCAAAGAAAGAACAAATGGTAGAAGCAGATGGCAATTCAGGTACTCTGTTCTTAAGGTTTTCTTCAACAACCTTGATAGAGTGCTTCTTCAAGACTCTTTCCAAGAGTTGTTCAACAGACTTGTTGCTGAAACCACCATAAATGGTCAAGGCAGTCAAGTCATACATGGCTTCAGTGTAGTTTTCTAAAATTTCGTAGGAGGTAGCACGACGCAAGACACACTTGGTGTAGTCTGGCTTCAACTTGATGGCTTCAGAAGTGTCCTTAATGACGTTTTCATGGTCATTAAGAGCAGCGTAACAAGCAGATCTGTTAGAGAAGAAAACAGGATCAACCTTAAGTCTTAACGCGTCAGTGTAGTAAGCAATGGCAGCATCGTACTTCTTGGCCTTGAATTCATGGTTACCATCTTCCTTGAGAGCAGCAGCCCATTCTTCCTTTTCCTTTTCAGAAAGGTTAGCAATGGTTTCTTCGGAAATGTTTGGAAGACCATTGACTACAGGGTACAACTTAGCAGTGGTGGCAGCAGCCTCAACAGCTTCTTCAGTCTTTTCGTCAGCGGACTTCTTGGAGGAAGCACTCTTCTTCTTCTTGGACTTCTTCTTCTTGGAAGCCTCTGGAGAGGCACCAGTAGCACTTGATCCAGATTCAGACAGAGTCTGGGACTGCAGAACAGCGTTGTAGTAGATGTAGGCACCAGCAGTGACACCCGCCACGGCCGCAACTGCAATTGCAGCCTTGTTGCGTGCAAAAAAACTAGTTCTATCAGACATAGTGTCAGTTAATTTCCTTTACAGATGAACTTTGTGTGTCGATTGTTTTTTCCTGAATTTGATTTAACGTTGCCTCCGTAAAACATTTTCAGCAACTTTGCCCGCGCACGTCATGAACCTCCTTTCAATGTGCAGGCACGGCCTTTATACAAATATCGGGTGTACTTACTATCTCCGGGATACTCATCAATATGTTCATTAATGATTTTGATCTCGAACAGGGTATTTAAATATTATACTTTCCCCCGAGGTATAGTTCATTTATGGATCAGTTGACTTCATATTCTTATTAAATATTCGAATTATTTTACATATTCCTGAAATTTAGGCTTTTCTAATCAGGGAAAGCATAAAGGGCATGTCCTGTATGTACAAATTGGCTGCGAATCGATTGATTCACATACAAAAATCTCTTGTACTACTTTTATAAAGTGTTATTAGTATTAATAATATATAATATATAATGTGTGTATTAATTCATATTAGAGTCTATTATTCATAGGAGTATAAATGTTTCAAAAAGATGTGATGTATCTTGGAAATATTGAATAAAAAAAAGTGGAAAGGTACTGAGGTATGTGAATTTAATCTTCTAAATTCGTATAGTACAGACGTGGTTGTTGGTATCTTCTTCTTCCGGCCTGCGGATCATTCAGGGTACTTTCTTGGAGAACCTCTTCATAAGTTGGGAGTTGCAGCAGACCAATTGGCCTCAGAGGGTATTCAGGTCCCGGTGACTCTTCTGTTCTTCCACCTTCTTCTTCTTCATAGCGAGGAGTGTGTGCTTCATTACCCTTTGATGGAAGTGGACCAGCTTCAGGACGAGGAGCGGAAATTCTAGGAGGAGTGATTTCATTGGGTATAGGAGGCGATACTTGAACCTGTGGCCCCATGGTATGTGATAATCCACTAAGAACCTTAACATCTTGACATTGTAATTCAACAAATTTGATTTTCTGTTGAACTTCATCTAAATTTGAGAAATTAACAATCTTTTGACTAGAAAATCCCCCTCTAATTGCCAATGAATATCGACGAGAAATGTTGCAAGTGGTGAACGATGGAGAAATACTATCAGGTAAGGAACATTTTGCATAGAATTTGGCAGGGATTTCCAATTCATATACCGGAGATGTTGGAGTTTTCTTCTTACTATTCATTAAATCAAGTTTCAAATTGTTATACGAAAGATCACATATTGGAGTCTTTGTTTCGACACTTGAACGATGAAGTTCCTTATATGAACCATCGGTTTCAAGCACCGAGACAACTGTAGAACTTGTTAAATCAACCACAAGTTTCTCCATATAGATAACCCCCAATCCATTGGATTCATCAGGACGTCCGTGTTTAGCCAATGAGTATGTCAGTGGATCCACAGAACTTATAAGGTATAGCTTAAAGGATGGAGGCTTATTTGGAATAAGAAATGGAGGGTTTCTAAATCTAACTTCAAAACTAAAGGGAACTCCTTGAATAGACTTTTTCCCAGGAAGATATGGGCTATTAGAATCAAGATATGGAGTAGGAGAACCAAATAGTTTCAGAAGGAACCCACCTCCGGATTCTCTTCCAGAAGAAGAAGAAGAAGAAGAGGGCTCATTAGGTAACTTCTTGCCATTATGAGGAACGTTTACTGGAACAGTTCCTGGGCTTCTATTTGAGAATATCATTTCCTTTCTAATATATATTTCTTGGGAATCGAATGAATTCTTCGGGTGACCATGATGATCCAGTTGTGATAATGGATTCCCTCTTGAATCAATATCTAAAGGAAGGAAGATAAATGGATCAAAAGATCGAAGATTAGGTTTCAAGATTGAAGATCTTTTAGCAGTCACTTTAATGAAATAACGAATGTTTGCATATTCACCCAAGCCTGAAAATGATGGTGGCAACTGGGAAGTTATATGATATTCTCCCTTGAGTTGCTCATCATGATAATCATGGGTCCCCGCACTTCCGTCTAGAAACAGCACAGCAGCCTTTCTCACCGAGTTTACGTTGAAGTTACCGTTATTGATCGATATATCGAACGTCTTTCTATTGAATTGAATCTTGTTGGAGATTCCCAGAAGTTTAATACATGAATTTTCCAAGGGAATGACAAATTCAAAGGGGTAAGTGTAACTTCCTGGGGCAAGAGTGTATTCCTTTGAGCTCAGAACATCACGAATATTTTTAGGTGGGAAGACAACGGTTGTATCGTACAAGACCTTGTGAACATCCAGAATGGTTTTCTCCTTTTTGGTGCGTTCACGTTGAAGATCTCTTTCAGATCGATTACGATTTTCTGCCAATTGGTCTCTTGGGATATGAAGTTGAGTCTTGGAAATACCCTCTAACTTCACACTAATGGAGTTTAAACTAATTGAAGATGTTACGTTTAATACAATGTTACCACGGATTGTGTCATGGTTGGTAAATGTTCCACCAGTGGCTCGTCTATCAATCTCAACCTTGACATCATTAGCCATTTTAGTATTGTTACTCAGAAATGTAACTCAGGAAAGGTTTCAGAGTGTCAACTGTTTTATCAAGTTTATTTCTTGATTTCTATCTTCAAACTGATCAATTTAGTCTATTTAAGTGGACATCAGTATAGTCTGTACATTATGTGAATCATTTTTTTGACAGTGGCTATGCATCATTCTGCGTACAGCCGATAGTAATGCAGATAAGAGAAAAAGGATTATCACTAGTTTTCATGGATTATCTAGCAAAGTAAACTTTAATCAGAATATTAAAGGGTTGAAGTAAGGAATAAATAAGGTACACAATTCATTTAATACACAATGTGTTTGCGGTAGAGGTGGAAATATCAGGAGTATTTACGTATTTGGTATTGCTGTAGATGAAAAATGTGGTCGTCTTAACAAGAAATATTTGGTTTCTAGAGGAAAGTATATAATTTTGTTAGTTGAAGGGCAAAAAATGAGCATCATATCTATTTATCCTAGTCTATGGGGCTAATGCTACATTTAACATGACATGGTTGGCTGTAGTTATCATATTATTTGTGGTCGTATAATGGTAATATTGTTACGCAGGAAGAACAATAATATACAGGAAAGACAAATTATTCGACTACACCCACCTACCTAAATGAAAGACGACTGTAGGGCTCAGAACGCCCGAGAATTTGTGATTAAGACTAACTGACTAATGAAGTTTATATTTAATTAACTACTTGGTAAATACGAGTTCTTGTAAAAGTGTTCACAAAAATTATTAATTAGAATAACCGAGAACGGAATTCAATTATCACTCACTAACTCCTTCTCTAAGTATTAGAAGATTGATTCTTTCAAATCCATATTACCACCGCCAAGCTAATCTCTCTAATTCATATTTTCAAATATATTTCCAATATAGCGGGTTACGTCATATTTTGTCCTTATTTGGCTTTAGGGCCTCATAGGGGGACCTGTACATACTGCTATAACACCAAAATCCTGCACACACACGGTAATACTTTTTTTTTTCGTCTCTGTGTGTGGCTGCCACTCTCCCGACACTCTGCTGACTCTCCCAATGTTTGCAAGAACTTTAGCTCCACTTAAACAATCTTTTGCTTGTAGATCGTTTCATCAATCCATCAAGATGTCTGCTCCAGCTACTACTCAAATTGAAGTTCTTTCCCAAGGTAACGGTTCCACCTTCCCAAAGCCAGGTGACTTAGTTACCATCCACTACACCGGTACTTTGGAAAACGGTAAGAAGTTCGACTCTTCCCGTGACAAGGGTAAGCCATTCCAATGTACCATTGGTGTTGGTCAAGTTATCAAGGGTTGGGACACTGGTATCCCACAATTGTCTGTTGGTACCCGTGCCAAGTTGACCATCCCAGGCCATGAAGCTTACGGTCCAAGAGGTTTCCCAGGTATCATTCCACCAAACGCCACCTTGGTTTTCGATGTTGAATTGTTGGGTGTTAACTAGATATGTTTTATATAATAGCTTAACCTAAATATTGATTTGAAATTCTATGTAGATTGTTCGATTGTGAGTGTGGGTAAATTGACTTTGTAGTTCACATCATATACCCGAAGTGAAGGCATCGGAGTTCCATCTGGAGTATCATTATGGAAATGGTAGTCTAGCACATGTCGAGTAAACGGTAACACGGGGAATGCTGGTTGCACAACGGGGGTCAATTGCAATTCTTCAATCAATTCCCAGGGGCTCTCATAAACAAGTTGTGTAGTAAAGGAGAAAATTCTTGCCGTAGGATTTTCTAAAACATATCGCAACCTTGTATTCTTCTTCTTATCATCTTGTTCAATGGTTAATAGAACTCTTGGGTCAGATAATGGGAGTGTAGTGTCCCATTCTTTGGTTTTATACTCGTGAACTGACTGCAGTCCTGATCGTTTCCATTTGATGGTACATCTTGAACATACAATGACATTTCTATGCAGAAATCCAGATTTACTGGCAGTGGTGAATAATACAGAAACCAATCTCTTATCAGATAGACAAGAACTTTTAACTGGTTTAACTTGAACTTCTGGATTCATCGAACGAACAGCCATTTCAGCGGAAACGATTTCAATATCATTTGACGGAATTTCCACTTGTCCTAACCAAGCTCTTGTAGCCACTGGCATTGTTACAGAGGTGGTATTTTGAAGAACAAATGGATTCGGCATATCATCAACATCTTTACCACTTCTATATGTAGGAGAGATTTTGTAATTGCATTCAAATGGAACTTTAATTACTTCAAATCCAAAGCTAGTCAAATCATATGATGTTAATGGAATTTGCAATTGTTCCCGATCTTCGTCTTCTTTACCTTCTTCCACTTCTTGTTCAATCAACCTGAGTTCTACCATAAGGTTCAATTGTCCCACCAAGTTGGTAATCGATGGAGGGTTCTGAATGCTTACATTTAAAATCTTAACTTCGCCATTGGCTACATTAGTTAAATTCAATGGCGCATCGTCCTTAAGATTCTCCCAATGTGTTCTAGTAGAAAGTGAACTTACTCCTGACCCCGTTATTTTAAGATTTGAAAGAATTGATAATTTATTATAATCCACTCCATCTTTCTCTTTAAAATCGATTTTTATTGGAAGTTGAACCATTTCTCCAATGATTATTGAGGTTTGTGGATTGGAGACAGATACCGAAACTTCTGGCTTTACCGGAAGAATTTGTAGTTGATGAGTCGCAGACCCATTGAGACGAATGGATTGGTGGAAACTTTCTGATAAAGTCTTAGCACCTTCCACAAAATTGTAAAAGTCTTGATGATGAGAAATTGAACGTTCAGTTTCATCGAAAATGATCACTTCTTTGCAAGAAATTTTGATATTTTCCAGAATTAACATACTATCAATAGTGATACTTTCAATCGATAATAATCCAACTTTCTTTGCTATCTGAGAAAACTGAAGCGCTATTTGATCGGATTTATCAAACTGTATATTAATTTCTCCAGTAGCTATACCATCAGTTGAATCAACAAGTTTTATAACTTGTACTGGTCCAGAGTTTATCAAAACTTCCTTAGGATTTTTCAAAGTAACATCATTGAATATTGAACCTGAATAACGTACCTTGATTTCATTAACGATTAACTTTAGTTCAACCCCAAGTAATTTATTTAAGTTAACCATATCTATCACTGGTTGAAGTACAATTTGAGAAACACATTCATCAAATGCATATGTTTCAATATTCTTTAGTGTCTTATTAAGCAATAGTGGTGTAACTCTGAGTAAATGATCCACAGTAGTATCTACCGATAATCCTTTTATTTCCTTCAATGGCGATATGTATGACATGGATATATTCTTCCCCATTGAAGTCAATTTAATGGCTGTAGATATAATTCCCTCAGTATCATTTGTTCGTTGATAACATTCAAATAGTCTTAAAAGAACACCATGTCTTAATGACTCCGGCAATCCTTTACACAACTTGTAGTTTGTAATAGCCAGATTTATATCACCAGATTTAAGGTACTCTTCAGCAATGAGCCATCGCACATATTCCTTGTATGAACTATTATCTTCAAATGAATCTACTGCCTTTTCCAACAATGTCACCTTGGCCCCATTAGACATTGTCAGCTCTTGTACATCTTTGCCTATAGCGATAGATGAAGCAGCCTTCATATAAAGAAGACCCGGATGTGACATTATATCCATATTTTTCTCTTGGAATTCAATACCACCATAGAAAAGAGTTGATCGGCCATACTTCAGTGATATTTTATTCATTGTTTTAGTTTCGGTATATGAAGATCGAATTGATTGAGGAACCAATTGAGCAAGTTCAGCCAAAAGTTCATATTGAATCGAGACCCAATTGACCTCACGGGCCGGTTTAAGACCCAATACTTTAACTATATGATTTTCATGTCTCCGTAATGCTGCAACTGGATCTTCCATGGCAAAGTAACATCTAACAATATGGAAGGAAAGTATGTCAACTAGATTACAAAATTGACGATACAAAATCTGATCATGTGGAAGTAACAGAGCTACCTTATCTTGATATTCAAAAGATCCTTTTATTAACTCAATCATATTATCATATGCCAACAAAAGGAACTTTAAACTTGATTCAACATTATGAGGATGAGTTAGTTGCATCAACATTGCCTGTTTGATAAGAATACGAGTCTCTAAGAATATTGGAGCTAGCTCTATATTTGTATTAGTCTTATTGGCAGCCGGGTATGAATAATATTTCCGATGTCGTTGTTTTACCTTGTGTTCAATTGATGCGTAAAATTCAGTAGCCACCGTTCTAAGATTGGATAAAAGTGTGGATACAAGAACGGCCGAGTCACGCTCCAAATGGTCGCCATCTTCCAAATACAAGAGTCCCGTGAGCCGAGGTAACTCTGTTTGCAGTCTAAGATGTTGAATTCTTAATTCTTCATTCCCTGAAGAAATAATTATGACCACGAATCGAATATTTTGAGCTTGGAATTGTTGTCTAAGAAGGGTAATTTTTTGTACAAGGGGGTCCAATTCAGGAAATTCCTGATCACCGCTAGCTGGTGGGAGTGAGAAAGTTGCTACAAAGGCAAATGGTACCCTTTGGGTATATTTTTCGAACCAACCTTCAGAAATTATCCCATTGGGATAGATATCTGACTCAGGATTGAATGGAGAAAGAATCGAGTGGACTTCACCAATGTCAGATCTCTTTGGCAGTAAAGTCTTGGGAGTCTCCAAGCTATCCTTAGCAGTAATAAGGAACCTCGCACTCAGAAGTCTAGCCTTAATGATACTGTTGTCCCATAAAGTATTGGATATATTGTGCTTTTCGAAATTCAGTCTAAGATGCGACACCGCATCATTACTTCCCTCGGAAAGACAGATCTGTAGATACGGCACCAATTGCTGTAGAAATACCAAGTTATAATGGTCCATTGTTAGATTCAGATTCGATACCACAAGGTTATTATCATGTTCTCTAATCTCAAACACAATTGGTGATATAATCGCGGAATCATATCTGGATCTCACCAAAAACAAAAAAAAAAAAAAACCAGGGAGGAATTGAATGGGCAAAAAAAATAAAGAGCGCTGAGTAACATTAAATCCTTATCTTTTTACTCTTTAAATCTAATAATGGAAGATCCAATCAACGCCAACCCCACCATTATCGACGTGGCTGACTTGCCAACCAGGCAGACCAAAGAGCCTCTGAGAGGCTCTCACGAGCAGCTCATGGACAGAATTCTTTCACTTTCTCTCTTGCCTCCCAAGAGATCGCTGGAGATCACCCCAACAGATGCCTTACCAGATCTTGTATCAGACACAGGATCGAGCACTGAGGACGACGACGAAATGGAAGATGAAGAAGAAGACCCGGTAGACTCTCAAGAGATTTTCGACTTGATAGCGACAATCTCTGACCCAGAACATCCACTTACCTTGGCTCAACTTGCAGTAGTAAACTTGGAAGATATTGATGTGATTGATAAACCAAAGGACCAAATTTCCGAGGTTCTTATCAAAATCACTCCCACCATTACACACTGTTCCCTCGCCACGCTTATTGGGTTGGGGATTAGAGTGAGGTTGGACAGATGCTTACCACCAAGATTCAGAATCAGGATCCTTATCAAGGAAGGTACCCATCAATCGGAAAATCAAGTCAACAAGCAGTTGAATGATAAGGAGAGAGTTGCTGCTGCATGTGAGAACGACCAGTTGTTATCGGTCATTCTGCAAATGCTTAGTACTTGTAAGAGCGTTTAATCGTTTGATGCGGTGCATCACAAAAGAAGGACCACAGGTTGAGTCTTGACATAAATATAATAGATATAAGAATAAAAATAAACAAACAGTAAATAACAATAAATCTTGTAGAGAAGATCTGTTACAATTCCACTAATCTCCTTGAATAAATCATTTGTATTATATTATATAGTTCATGGCCATTTCATAAAATCCTAAATCCGTCATTTTTCTTCCCAAATATCGCTCTATCTACGGCAAAATGAAACTTCACGAAGTTCCAAATATTCAAGAAGAATCTCATTGATATCAATCACAATGAACTTTAACACATATTTCTTGATGAATTCCACAAGGTTTATTATGTCACGAGACTCGATCAGATCATTGATCACATGAAGAACTTTTCGAACATGATTCAATAATCGTTTCAATTGTACATAATATTCATATTTATTCTTTTGGATTTCATTTCTTTGTGCTATAGTCAATCCCGAGATTGATATCATTGATGAATGTCTTGAAGTTGTGTTTGTATTACCTCCAAAAACAATGGATGAACGACTTTCATCGTACGGGGCCTGAAGAGATCCCCGACGTTTGGAGCTGCTGGTCATGGTTGTGGTGATACTATTCCGGTTACTATGTGAGATACTGGTCGGATTAGAAATAATCGAAGTACTTGAAGCAGACAGATCTCGATTCTTTCGTATCTTATTATAAATTCTTGACTTTGTCAAGAGAGAATTAAGTGATTGTTGTCTCTTTGGATCATCATCATTTGATTCAGATGGAGGAGTCTCCAGGTTAGATTGCTCTATCGTTGGTTGATGACCCAAAAGGGTCAGAAAGCGCTTCTTTCTTGTAAACCTTGATCCAGCAGGGATGTTTGTTGTAGGTGACGTAGTTTGATTCACATTCGCAGTGGAGAAAGTAGACCCACCGCCATTGGTGGATGGTGCAGTACCATTTGATGGCGGGGTGTTTGTAGCTCCATTGGTTAACAGGGTTGCACTAGCACCAAACAATGAATGGTATGTCTTCAGGAGAGAGTTTGTAGATGATTGGTTCGAAGGGGTTCTGGCAATCAGAGTTGTTAACGGTGTGACCGGCTCCACCGGTTCCTCATCATCTTCCTCCTTGAGTGCATAATCGCCAGCAACTCCCATGGTAGTACGGGCACCACCAGCACCGGGTGAAGTAGTCACTGCATCTTGATACACGGGTGGTTCAAGAAATCTATACGCAGTTAAAAGCTTTTCATAATAACTCAAGACATTGGAATCAATATGAACTGGGGTTCCAGATTGGGTATTTGCAACTTCTCGTTCTAGCAAGGAATTAATTTCTTGAAGTACCGAGTTTTTGATTTTAATATCTCGAACTCCCAATTGATCATTTAACCATATTTCACTTGGGAATACCACATTGGGTACCACTTCAGGTGCTGATGACGTGTCGGTGGAAACTGTGGAGGAGGCGAGTGGGGTATCCTGAACAGACTTATCAGAATCACGTAGGATGGCGCGTTCATCTCGAAGGTTTAAAACTCGGTCAAGAAAAACACATAAATATTGGTAACGCGATGTATCGATGGGGATCGATAGAGACAATGATTGGAATGCTTCTCGAGCTGCCTCTGTAGCGGGCTCTAGAGAAACAGACATTTTATACTTCTTGGTTGTCACAGGGTCTTCAAGTTCAGACGCGCGCGCGATGATCAAGGGGTCAAAGCTACTTAAACTAGACGGGATGCTTTGTAATTCAAGGAGATCCGATTTGATTCAACGGTATCAAAATGTGTTAAAACGGTAACAAGGTCGCACCTCACACACAAAGGAAAATTAGCCTATTGACGTGCGAAACAACTGTCGGATATATATATATATATATATATATAGATATCTACCAACGGAGGGGTGTTGGTGAAACGTGCAAGTTAATTTGAAGAACTAGACGGAATTGAAGAACCCTCTGGCTAAGTTTAATTCCCTGCTTTTGCAAAAAGAAACAATGTTATGTCAATTTACTTATTGGGTTTGTTACCCATACTGGTCAAAACAAAAGATTCGCATATTACGCGGCTACAGGTTACACAAAGGGTACATTTCTCACATTTTCTGTGTGGAAAAATGGTAACTCGCATTTTTTTTTTTTTTAAAAAGGTAAAAAAAATAATTAAATGGGAAGGTGAAAATCGAGCATGGCGTGAGATTGAGTGATTGTATAGAGAGGGGAGAAAAGGTGTGTGAGGGATGAATTAGTGGATATATTAGAGTGGGTGCAAGGTCGGAGACCCTATGGGTGGAATGTTGATAAGTACAAGATTGGAAATAGCCAATTTGGCTAACTGTCACATGCCCCATGCAACACGTCACATGACAGACAGGGGAATTGAAGTCTCGCCTGTTGAAATCGCCACCTTTGCTTTTTTTTTAAAAAATTAAAAAAGGCGAGAATCCCGCCCAAAAATTATTAATAAAAATAAAAATGATAGTACTTTGTGCTTAGTCGCCTAAGTTAAATTAAAAAAAAAAACAAACTAAATGTAGTAACATTGAGACGAAAAACAACAAATGTAAAATATCTAACTAACTAACAATCAGAAGAAAAAAAAGCATATTTGTAGTATGATAGGCAATCAGAGAACAATGGAATTAAGGTACATTTACTCAGGTCGAACGGAATAGGTGTTTGTACTCAATTTTAATTTCTTCTGTGGTTAATTGATATCACATATAAAATGAAATTGTGGGGGTGTTGAGGCGTGCATGTTTTATTTCGCAGCAAAAATTGACATCCTATCAATGATTATAGTTGAGTTCCCACAAAGTTCCGAGGGAAGTTTGAGACCTCCACATGCAAAGATTGAGATTGATGATGCGAAAACATCACACGAGTTTCATTCTAAATTAATTGAAATTTTAAATGTGTGTCAATTATACCTTGAAAGTTTGAAACGATGCAAAGTTCCGCCCGCTGAAATTAAGATTGCATTGGACATAACCCGAAAATACGTAAAACGTTGTTTAGTAGAAATTGATGGCACTGACCTATTCTACGATTTTTTGAAGAAAGGTTCAGAAATTCCTACATTGGAAAGTTTAATTGAGTATTAGTAAGAAGAATAAAATAGAATATTTCATGTGAGTGAGTAAGATGTAGTGAAATGGGTAGAAGTAATGAAATTCTGTACCTCTTTATTAACGAGTACAGGTCCTATTGTAGATGGTATTGATAAATATAATGAGGGGCGAAAGGTTACGAGTTAGTATTAAAGAAATAGAAGCATAAACTAACCCCTGCATTGTTATTAGGCTTAACTAGTGCTACATAGCGCGGGAAGCTTCGTATACATACAATAATGGGGATTCCATTTTCAGCGGTTCAATGAAAATAATTCATGTAATCAAAAAAGAGGGAAAGTCTATGTGGGTATTACTATGGTAATTTATGACATAGCAAAAGAACTACAGTACATGGATTGAAGTATCTAAAACAATATTCTTTTAATGAGTCGTCCACATAATTAACTACCAACCACCTTAATACTCTCTATCAAACTTTTTATTGATAAACCTTTGCTAGTAAAGAAACAATTTAATACACCTTGACAAATTAGTAAAACTTACACCCTCAAGGATCAAGATACTGATAATATTCAATATTTTCAAATTATCTCTCCCCCTTTAAATCTTTTAGTCTAGTCTCGATTACCTAATAGTTTCCGTAATTCCCATTATGACATGCTGGGGGAGATTTTTTGCCGCACATTCCATACATCCTTCCACCCACACAATTTTTCGTTTGCTTTCTTTTTTTTTTCCCTCAAGATAAAGAAGCTCTATCTAATCAAAAGTCCCTGAACTCCCTTAATCTTCACTCGTGACTTCTCCTACTAGCAAATAAGCCATACCTCTAGTCATGTTCCAATCGACCAGTAAACCCAAGTTCGCGCTTGAGTTGACCGTCAATGAACTCTCCAATATCCCCCATGTAGGCGGAAGTTGCTACATTGATATCAACATTCGAGACTCTAGGAAAACGAAATTCCCTGGGTTCAAGGCAGGGAAGGTATCTGCCCTTGATAATGTTGGGTCTAAAACTTCATCCATCCCTGGAGTTAAAAAGTCTACTGAGGCAAAAGGTAGCCATTCTGCTAGTTCTCCTGGGAATATCTCTGCCACCACATCTCGGAAAAAGATTCATAATTTCAAATGTCTGTTCAATTACAAGGTCAATTGTAACTTGAGGTTCCCCTTGAAGAAACGAGAAAACTTGATTGGGAACAAGTATCTTCTTATGACGGTACATTATGTCGGGGATGGTTCGAATGGACATCATTCTGACCAATCATCAGGGAATTCTGGAAGAACTCATATTGAGCTTGGAAGTCTTGAAGTCAATTTGTCGGAATATCTTAACTTCAACGAACCTACTACGTCCAAATACTTACTTAAGGATTCCAAAATCAATTCCATTCTAAGTGTGACAGTGGGTCTTACAGAATTATCTAACGATTTTGATTTCCATACTCTGTTAAGAATTCAAGAAAGTCAAACCACCTCATCTTTATCTCTGACCATACATCCTCCCACCAGAATGACCACTGGAACTGGAACTGGAACTGGAGAAACTTTTAATAGACAGAAATTCAATGTACCTAATTTTGAAAGGAAAAAGGTATTTGGAGGATTGAACGATATTATGGCCACTCAAACATCTTCAGAACAACAGTCAACCAATAATTCAGCTTCTATTGGCTCCACGACTTCTGCTGACGATGATAAGCGTTCTGGATGTAGTGGACGTAACAAAATCCAACACCTTGCTTCACATTTCAACCATAACGGTAATCATAACCATCATCAAAATAATTCCTCAAATCATAATAATATTTCTCAGAATGGGTTTATGTCCAAACTGCAAAGTATCTATGAGAACAACAACTCTACTGATTCTAACACAACCACCATTATTATGGAACCAATTGTTAATAATTTATACAAAAAGATTCTTGAAGCCAGTTGGGATCCAGAACTCTACAAATTGATGGATTATTCACCAGAAAAATGTATTGAAAGTATATTTGAAGGAGGGGATGGCTGGTCCAAGGATCTCTCCAAAAAATTGGGTACATGGGAAGAAGATGATGAGGATCAAGTCAGAGATCTTAATGGACTTATCAACGAAGTATCGTTCCGAGACAACCTTAAAAGTTGGCAAGTTGGACAAAGCAGTTAAACAAGAGTCCTCATATGCTAGATACATACAGCACGATTCTCGGATATTTGAGACCGAGACAGGATCCTGGGAGGAGTCAGAGAATGAATATTGGGTTGAGTTTTCAATTTTCTAAATCTTTTCCCAAACTTAAAATTTGTCAGATGTCGATTTAATCCAAATATGTATGAAATGGAAGATAATTGACTCTTTGGTGATGGTGGTATTTGTAATTTATGTTGTTCAAAATATTCATCATCGTTAAGATTGTGATCAGTTGTGAGGATTTCGTTCAATAAAGAATTTAGTTCAACATCCCAATCTTCCACTATTCGTTTCTGTTTTGATTCCCGGATGGTTTCATGTTTGACAACATGAGGATAATCCCATATATTTTCCTGATATATGCGCAATAAGGACAGAGCATATGGGAGGTTCTTACAATAGTCACACCCATGACACCCCTTCCTATGGCAATTAAGCTTTCTTTGGTCACAATAACCTTTGAACTTACCAAATCTTACCGTGGGGAATTGTTGCTGTTGTTGAGCAATAAGATTTCCGGTATAATGATACATAATTAGCAAATAGTAATAGCAAGAAAATGATAGAAATAGAAACAATAAAGTGATATTTAATAGAAACAATAAAGTGATATTTAAAAGAAAATAATAAACTGATTCAATACATTAAATCAAGTAAGAGAGAGATAGTTGTGGGGGGTCTGTATATTTTATTTGTGGTTTTAAAACTTAAAACGTTGATAAATTTGCTGTTTTTTGTAACTCACTCTACACCTAGTAGTAGGAAAAAAAAACGTTATATTATAGTACACTTCTATTTTACCTGTTCGTCTCAACATGAATATCTTTCAAAGATATAACTAAAATCTGTTGGCCTGACCCGATGCATTGCTACTGTTACTAGCGTTATCTCTGCTACTTCCACTTCCACTATTGCTATTATTACTGTTGTTATTGTTGTTATTATTGTATCGACGGTTTCCGTAGCCGCCTTGGTTGTTGTAGCCTCCATTCCTGCTGTTACCACCGTTGCTTTGATTACCGTAACCTCTTCTGTTGTTGAAGTTTCCACCACCTCTTCTCTTTTGGTTTCTGTTTCTTTGTTCCATATTCTGGATGTTTTGTTCCTTTGCATGATCCATGATCTCATCGGGCAAACGCAAGTACTTGATGTGATTGCCTCTAATGTAACATTCTGGAATCTTCAAGAATTCTTCAGCATTGGCAGATGATTGAATTACATCTTTCAAGGTTAAATTCATCCAAGAGTCACAATTAACAAGTTGTCCGTTAATAGTTTCTCCATTTTTCAATTCAACCAAAATTGGTTGGTTCTTTGCTGCTGTCAACAAGTATAATGGTAACTTTTAGAGTTGTTAGTATTCAAAGTAAAAATTTAGAACACAAGGCAAACATCAACATAAGAAAGAATTCAAATAATAAATAGAAACTTATCTTTAGTAAATCTTTCTAAATTACATTTTTTTTTAACTTAAGATATAATTCCTTCTAATTCTTTTCATATTTTTTCATTTACATACCATTTCCTTGCTTTTAGTTTAATATTTAACTAATCTATCAATGTCCTTTGAATGATGTTCATAATTGAAGTCAAAAGGAGACATTCTTTAAATTTTGCGGCTTATGTAATCACAGTATATACAGGATATTTTATGATTAACTAAAAAAAAAAAATTTACAGGAAAAATCAAAAATGGCAAAAAAAAAAAAACTTTTTGGGTGCAAAAAAAAACAGAAAGCGCAAGGACAAAATTTCTAAGCAATTTACAAGTTATTAAACAAACAAAAGAAATCTCGTTATCTATATAATATATATATATATATATGAATGTAAAAACAAAATGAATTGAAATGGAATTGAAAGAAAAAAGAAAGAATGATAAATATGATTTATGATGAGGGTTGTCTAATTAAACATAATATAGAATTAGATTCTCTAAATGAATGTAACATAATTCTTTCCTTAACTCACTTTATATGAATGATCTCAATATCATTGTTTCCCCTCTTCTTTATTCTTCATCTTGAGGAGGAGCAGAGTTGCCTCTCAAAGTTAATGGATAGTGGTCGTCATCTCCATCTTCATCATCATCACCTTCACCTCCAAGTTTGAAACCAATATAATCTTCAGTATTCAAAGATTGCTGAGCCTCTTGTAATGAACCCAAATCTCCCGGAGTCATTAAGCCAACCTTACCACGTGGAGATCCTGGGACAGACAATGGACGAGTTAACTTCAAGTTTGAAGTATTGCTGAATGGATTATTACCATTCTTAAACTTTTCAGGATATGCTCTCTTTAAAGATAATTGTCTAGCCTTAATATATTCCAATCCCATTCTCTTCCAATCTAACAAATCAGATAATCTTTCAGTTCTATTTCTTTGGTTAATTCTTTGTCTTCTTGTCTTTTCAGTGAAATCAAACATATAATTAGTTAATTGATCAATTGATTCATCAACTGATTTCATTCTTCTATCAACAATATAAATACCATAATCATTGGTATTTTCAATAAGATCTTCCATATAACATCCAAATCCTGACAAATTGGTGGTAATTGAAGGAACTCCCATAACTGTACATTCTGCGGGAGTATAACCCCAAGGTTCGTAATATGAGGGGAAAACTCCCAAATGACAACCTCTAACAAATTCATCATAATCTAAAGATAAAATTGGGTTATTAGCATTCAAAAATTCAGGATGGAAAATGATTTTCACTCTATCTTCTGGTTTATTGAAAAGTTCAACTCTTCTAATTTGATTTAAAATTGGATCAGTTGAATCATCTTCCATGTTATGAGTAACAATTGGTGGTAAACCATCTCTCTTCAAGGCAAAGATTCTTCTCTTCAATAAAACTCTATCAGCAGATTTAATTAATTCATCAATCAGTGGAACTTCATGACCATTTGTAGATGCAATTCCTTGATGAGTATTAGTATATCTTGCACAATGTTCAAATAATCTTTCACCAACTTTTTGTTGAACTTCTTGAATGGTATTTTCCAATTGTTTGATAACTGCTTGACCTTTCAAAGTTTCCACAGTATATGAATGAGTTTTACCAGGCATGATAATAAATGCAACCACAGTCATTTTAGAACCTATAGCCTTCAATTTATGATTCAATCTAGCTAAGGCCTCAATGAAAAAATCACACCCTTTATTTCTAAATTCATAACGTCCAGCAATGAAAAAATATAAAGTATTATCCAAATCGAAATCATAATTCCCATAGAAATGTCCTTTGATAAATTCATTGATTTTAGCCTTTTTAATTGCATGTAAATTTTGAAATTCATGAACTGCTTGAAATTTCACTACATTCAAACCATTTGGTAATACACCATCTGGTTTACGTTTAAGTAAATGTTCCGCTTCATATGCAGTGATATGGGAAACAGTAGTGAAAACATCTGCACTATGGGTAGCCAGTCTTTCAATACAATAACGATGATAAATACCTCTTTTCCCCGCTTCTGCATCCACATCAAAATTGGCTAAATTGTTATAGAAATCAGTTGATCCAGCACATAAATATCTACCCAAAAGGGTGGCATGGGTGGTGAAAATTGTGGTAACATCAATTCTTCTCTTTCTACAAAGTGGGAGCGCAATTCCTGCTAACCATTCATGACAATGGCAAATGACGGCTCTTTCACGGTCATGATAGACCAATTCCCCTAAAAACCATGCAACCAAGTATCCCAACAAGATGGCATCGTTAGTTTCTTGATCATGATCTGGGGTTGGGATTCCAGCAGTGCTCCATAAATCAGATTTCCATTCATTTAAATTATAAGCGGCAGAATTGATGTCAAAAAGAAGCACTCTGGGTGCTCCTTCAATAAGCCAACGTCCATACAACCAACGAATCCCACGGTCACTCATCGAGGCAAGAGTCTTTTGAACCAATGGATCCTTCACTGGGAGCTCTTCCACCTCCATTTGGGCAGATTGGTAGTTGAGCGGCCCAATAAGGGTATACCGCTCCTTGTACTCCGCAACCGTAATTGGCGCCTTAGATTTAAGCACAGAATAAATCCCACCCACTTTGTGGGCAACCTCGGTGGCCACTTCAAAAAGAAGATGGTTTTGAATATCACGAGGCATGTCTACTGTTCAACTTGTGTGTGTATGAGTGTATGTGGTTTTTGTTCTTTTAATTAAAAGCAAGTCCTGTTATTTTCTCTATTCGATTAATTCGATAAGGGGCGCTCCTTGTTATTTTTATTTTTTTTTACTAATTTTCCAATCAATTACAATCTCCGTAAAACCTGAAAGAATGCACTATTCAAGGTACTATGTGCTGATGAATTGAAAATCTGCTTGAACCTGAGAACAATTTTTCCAAGAATGTATGAGAAAAAGAATTAAACTGAGAAACTTGTCAGGTTTTATTAATTAAATGGTATTGTTGGACCCATGACTCCTAAGACGCATTCTCCGCAAACTACCCACAATTTTTAGTGGGTTGACCTTTTTTTTCGATTTTTTTTTTTCATACTTGACTTCTTTTTTTTTTTTCGCTGGTCAGTTAAAAATAAAAGTCCGAGAAACGTAGCGAATGGCACCTATGGATGGTTGGATCTATCATTTTAAATTTAGCCGGTTCGTCTGTTCCAGTTCTTGAATCACGTTGTCATACTCTATATTTCTTAAAATGTTTAGGAATGTGGTTGAAGTTCTTTGGTGTGGTACATTATATTAATACCACTTTTTATTTTTCGATAATTTGTCGACTTGCATCATCCTGCGGAGGGTCAAGGTGGGGGAGTGCAGAATAATTTTGAAACATCAATGCCTCGAAAACCCTTCCCCACACATATTGTTCCGGTACAGCGGAATAATTCTTAAAACTCCCCGAATATACACTACATCATTGTAACCATTCATAATGTAATGCCCCTCTTTGCTCAATTGGCAGCAAGTTGTGAGCCCCCCCTTTGGAAGAAAATTTCGCTCGTATATTCTGCACAGCTGGATGCAATCGCCTGATTTGACCCAAAGGCGGCGGCCCGTTCCGATTTGGTTTTTTTTTTTTAATCTCTCCTCGGCACTCTAATCATAACATAACCTCATATTAGCTCCGTTATACTACACGTGCTGCCATTACTATTCCTTTATGTCACTCTAATTCCAGCTTCCCTCTGTGTTCTAGAAACATCCTATTTTGCAACAATACGAACTTCTCTTTAGTGTACAACTTTTATTTCTGTGTGTATATACTTTTTATATCTATGCTATATTTTTTTTGTAATGCTCTCCTAATCGCTTTCATCCTCCATATCATCATCGGATTCACTGAAAGCATCTGTGCTCTTCTTGACAGCTGCTCCCATCCATCCTTCTTCATCATCATCTTCATCCATAGAAACATCTTCTTCATCCTCATTATCGCTTTCATTTTCTTGTATAGTCTCTATAATTCTTTCTTCTTCCTCCACCTTATGAGTGAGGAAAGAGTGCAAGTATCCATTCTTCTTGGAAACAGCCACCACATCCTTAGCTAATTTAGCTAAAAATCTTTGGATTGCCTTCAAAGAACTGGAGAATTCATGTTTATGAGCATTTATATATTTCCCATGACTAGTAATCAAGTTTTGAATCCAAATCAAATTGAATTCCAAGTGTGCACTATCAGTGACAAGTTTCCCAATGAATGTAAGCATACGGTCCAAGTAAACTGTAGGCAAATCATTAGTTACAAGTTTTATATCCTTAACTGGAACTGTTTCATATACCTTATGAATAAGATATTCTTCATTCAATCTGAATGCCATAACCAAGGCAGTAAGATATTCCTTTTCTTGTAATGTTTGCAAAGTAGCTTCAGGGGTAATATCAACATCCAAATCAAATGGATCGAAATTAATTGTTTCATCAACAGAATATACAAGTAATCCCTCAGTGGAAGCAGCAGCAAACGCAGCTGCAGTTGGAGAAAACAGAATACTAGTGACTCTAACTTCTGGTCTCACATTCCTCAAACTAGGGTCACCCTTATGAGATCCTGGTAAGGATAAATCTAATCTATCTTCTAAATCAGAATTTTCACCATCTCTATCAATTAAATCAAGCGATCCACCATCAGTAAGTCTCTTACTGTTAAGCATAGCCATGGTACCGTTCAATTGCATGTTAAGAGAAACAATAAACTTCTTCAACAAGACTTCATTGGCAATATCATACATACAGATAGAATTGTTATTACCAGCAGCCACAAGTGCTTCCCCATCAAAGGAGTAGGCCAAAGTGGTGAAATATTTAGATCTGGCAGAGTTCTTGGCAGTGAATCTATCTTCCAAAAATCTTCCACCCAAAATATCTTTCTTTCCATCAATCAAATGTAATTGTTTAGCATCTTCGACATCCCAGATACTAATGTGACCATCTAAAGTGGAAACAGCAATCTCCTTAGCATCAGGTCTCATACATATACTCAAGACATCAGAGTGAATTTCAATTGGTTCACATTGTTGTGATCTTCCAAAGATATTCCAGATTCTAATGGTCTTATCCCAAGAGGCAGATGCCAATACTGAACCGTTTTCATTACCAAAACTTAAACAAGAGATTGGTCCTTCATGCCCAGATAAAGTATCCAAGAGTTGTGCGGTTTGTACAGACCAAATTTGAATTTCAAATGTATCTTGAGAACCAGCAACTACAATTTCTCCACTTGGATCAACAGCCAAGGAATTGAATTGAATTCTTTCAGTTGCAGTGAATGTTCTGAAGTTTCTGAATCTGATCATATCCCAAGCACGCACCGTACCATCAAGGGAAGCACTGAATAATACTTGTCCTCTCTTGGCAAATTGAACTGCAGTGACAGATGAGGTATGTTCACTAAACGTGACAAGGCAAAAACCGGAAACAACGTCCCAAACTTTAATCTTCCCGTCATCGGAAGCTGTAACGATTCTGGAACCATCAGGGGAGTAACATAAACTGTTCATGGAGTCAAAATGTCCTTGTTGCTTCAAAACATAAGATTCAGATTGCCATTCATATACCAAAAGTTGGCCAAGTTTGGATGAGCCAAACGCAAGCCATTCACCGGTAGAATTAACGTTGACGGTATTGACTGAGTTCTGACCCATGGACAACAGTTGGATTAAATTGAATTCGGGCAATTCATAAAGTCTGAACTCACCGTTATTGAACCCAACAATCAACAAGTTGGACTTACTGTGGAAGGTGGCACATTTAACATTGGAGTCAGCCTTGAAGAAATTCTTGGCAGTTATTCTCCAGCTCATTGGCTTAGCTACAGCATCTTCTTCATCTTCACTTTCTTCATCCAGATCTTCATTTGGTCTTTCGGTGTATTCCCATTGGAATAAGGCACCATCTTTACTCACTGTGTATATAATTTCTTGGGTTTCGTTGAAAAAAGCCTTAACGACGTAATCACGATGACCGGCCAATGTCATGGCTACATCCTTTTCACTGGACAGTATAGAGAAAATCTTGGAAGTCATATCTTTTGAAGTAGAAACAAAGAATCTCAGATCATTTGACCATGTGACAGAAAGGACATCATTGTAATGACCCGAGTATATTCTGTGACGAACAAAGGGGGCAAATTGACGGTCTTCCGTGAAGTCTGGAGTCTTCCAAACTTGTATAAATCTTCCTGCTGCAATGGCAAAATATTGACCATCGGGACTAAATTGAAGGTCATTGACTGCGTCTTTGAAATTGAAGTGATGAAGGACTATTCGAGAGATAAAATTCACCAAGATGGCACGTCCATCCTCGTCAACACTGAGAAGAAGAGTACCTTGTTTATTAAGGGCAATACGGGCCACATTCTTTCTGTGTTCATAATTGAAAGTGAATGACTTACTACTGACCAAGTCGAAACAAGAAACTCTGTTTCCTACTGGAGAGAGCAATTTTTTCCCATCACTGGTGAACACAAGGTTCCCCTGTCTGTAGACCGTCCCCAATAGGTTGGAGAACTTGAAATCAGACTTCATATCGGTGGTGGTTTTAGATGGATTGTTCAGTGAGTAGAGGTTGATGGATGTGTTTTTGGTGAAGTTTTTAGTTACCGCGAACTGTAGAGCTCATCACCATCTCAACACAAAAAAAAAAAAAAAGATTTATCGAATACGCACGACCAGTGCGTGAAAGAGAGTTGGTAAAGATAACCACAAATGAATTTGGCATTGTCCTTTTTATATCTGTGTGAAAGTCAGCAATTACAATCATGAGTGGACTTTCCAGCAGAGTCATGAACATGAAGTTCATGCAGAAGGATGGTTCCGAGAAAACTGAAGAAGTTACCAAGAAGGTTATAGATTCTTCAGAATGGAAATTACCAAATGCTACTGCGATCATTTCGCGGGCTAAAGTTGGCAATACAATTGAAACTGTAGGATATTCTAGTATAAACTCGTTTGCAAGCGACTCAGTGCCGACGAGGAGAACCTGGGGTGCTCCAGCTAAGGAAGAAGTGGTCGAAGAGGCTGCCGGGTTGGATGTCCTGAAGCTTAAGGATGCGGTAGACAAGAAATCGAAACGTAAGAATTCATCTGACAGACCTGAAAAGGTGGAAAAATCTAAAGATTTCTTGAGAAACCTTTGGGATAGGAAACTGAGCATAGATGAATCGAAGGAAGAATCAGAAAACATTCCTTCTGAAAAGAAGAGAAGTGGGGACTACATACCCAACATCAAGAACAAGCAAAAACGTTTGCAGAAATAGAGCATTTACTATTTCTTTTTCTTTTTAGTATCCTCCACCAAGCCGGCCTTAATTACTGCATTCCTGGCTGCCGTATTGATGTGTTTGAACCGGTCAGACCCCAATAACGTGCCGCCAAACCTCCGACTGACCACTACAATAACGTTCCAAACGTCCATCATCTGTATGTTAGTAAGTCTGTAAATAGTTCAAATATGAACAAGAGGGGGTTAGAATCCCTCTATCCTTTTTAATAAACAAAAGACAAAGAGAAATAAGAAAATTAGTAAACATACCGTAAGTAAATGTAGAATTCTCCCTCCGGCTGCTGCTTCACCATCGTCGTCACAATCTTGATATTGTACTCCTCTTTCCCCCTTGATTCTCCAACTGGTCATGTTATGAGAAGCACGACTGATCTTCTTGTCCTGTAACAATTGATTTAGGAACGCTTCTGCTTCTTCTATAGAATTGGCCAGTCTAGCATATCCATAAAATGCAGAACCTCTATCTTCGATTGGATCAGCTTGGAACCATCCTTCGAAAGGATCAATTTCTGGACTCAGATCTACATGTTCAACGCTCTCTTCTCTTTTATAACGATCTGGGCTGATTTCCTTTGGTTCTGACATCTTATCGAATACAGGCTCAGGTGCTGGAGGTGGATCACGGAAATGATACTGTTCAAGAGCTGGTTCCAATTCCATGAAGAAATCAAATAGACAAACTTCTCCTTCATGGAAGGAAACATCCAACGTATCCTGAAGGGTCTTCTCAAGGTACTTGAGATCTGTATATCGATTCAGATTTGTAGTATTGAGCTGAAGAATAAAGGGTTTTTCCTCGGGATAAGCTTCCAGAAAGCTCATTTGAACCAATAACTCTTCATGTTGAGGGATCTTGAACGAATATATTTGGGGACCCAATTCCGTGGCCGCTCCTGGATAGATGGCATCAATAGCACATATCTCATCATGAAGCTCTTCTACAGTCATAATTCAATAATTTGGTGGTGGGTTTTGGGGGATCTTGTTACCTAAATGGTGTGAATTATTGAAATTCAAAAGTCAATTCTCACTAAAGGCTAAAAGTGTTATGTAGGGAAAAAACAAAAATGAATCGCGTGCACATCATAAGTGCTTCATCACCTGGTTATCTTTATCAATCTAAACCGTTATGGATCCCGTTAATCCTACAAAGGAGGCCATTAAGGAGGCGAATGACTTAAAGCTCGAGGCAAATAAGGCATTTGCAAAGCAGGAATATAAGAAGGCTGCTAAAATATATCGTGATGCTCTCAAGATTCATTTCAACCCTGTGCTTCTCAGTAATCGAGCCATGTGTTTCATCAAATTAAAAGATTGGGATAGAGCTATTCGAGATTGCAGTCGTGGAATTGAAATTGCAATGCCAGATGATGCTGTAATTGTTAAGCTATGGTACAGAAAGGGTATTGCCCATGTAGGAAGGAAAGACATTCCATACCATGCCAGAACAGCATTCCAAACTACCTTGCAACATGATCCAAAAAATACAGCAGCACTTCAAGCTTTGGATGACTTGAACTCAACCATGGCGGATATCCCGGTACGTATTAGGGAAAATGCAAATTGGGTTAGTGTTCCCATGGAAGTGGTGGAGGAGCTCCCAAATTATTATCAGAGTTGGTTGAAGAAGGAAAAGTTTACCGAGGAATGTTCTAAGGAACCTTCAGAAAGAGCCAGTCGTGAGATTGAACAGATGTTTGCCAAAACTAAAGCAAAGTCGGAATCGAAGGAGCCTAAAAATTCCCCACATACCCGTTCCCCCTCTGATCAGGAACGAGTGAGTTTTACTAGAAGACGGACTATGCATTACTTGTCAACCTTATCAAATCTTAGTCATGATCGCAAATTCAGCGCTTACCAATATGTGCTTGAATTGCCACCTCTGGAATACAAAGAAATATTTGAAGCTGCTGGTATGGACTCAGATTTCCTTGGTTTCTTTATGGAGGCTGCATCTCTATATGGCCACAACAACTTTGAGCATTGGAAGAGTATAATTTTAGATCATTTAGAGACATTCTCCACTTTACCTCGGTATCGTTTGGGCCTTCTGATGTGTTCCAAGGAGAATATAAATAAACTTCTAAGCCTAGCTAATGGAGACGTGTTATATGAACGGTTCAAGAGAGTGCTTCTCTAATTGTTATTTATCATTCTCTACTATATGTTAACTTTATCATTCACATTTTCTGTATTAGCTATTTCAATAGAATTGAGAGTAGGTCTCAATAGAAAATAAATTAGTGTGGAGCCTTCGAACTACCTTGTAATCCTTTTCGACTGCTCACAATAGTAAAAGGTTGAATTAATTCTTGAATTAATTCTGGAACAAATTCGTCAACATCAAAATCAAAATTTTTGATTGCAATTGTTGGAATCAAAAATATAGATAAGAAAATGCATAAGGATAGAATGAAAAGAATGACAGAGAATGTAACTTTTGTATTTAGCTTTCTCCTCTGGCTTTTAGAAAAGACGCGTGGACGGATTTGATGAACAGGTTTGAGCCAAAAGAGCATTAATGAATGCCATGTATCAATATAAGGAACAACAATAATTGGTATTTGTGAAAAAAGGATTAAATGACCAAGTAGTACATCTCCAACATAATAGCTTACCTCGGATATTTTGCAAAAATATTCACGAAGTGGTTGTGTCAAAACGTACCAGCCTAATCCAGATGTTATCCACTTCCCGGACCACCATGCTCGGTTAGATCGATCATGTCCAAATTCCCTGGTGACGAATACAATTGTAAGCAATTTAAGTATCCAGCTTTGAATCGCAATAACAAGAGCAACGCCAATGATAGTTCTTGAGAAATCCCAATTTTGAAAGTACCATAATACTTCAAAAAAGAATACATAATTCAATACCGAGATAAGGTGTACAATTGCAGCCAAAACAGATGGGAATTTACTCGAAATCAAAGACCCCAATGGTCCAAGAATGCAAGATATCAAGAAAAATACAAGTAATACTACCATATTGATAACAATTGGACAGACAGAAATAATAAGAATACGAAGTAAAGCAAAGCCAGGATACGTAGCCCGGGAATCATTTTGAGAATTTGCAAACATATACGCACATCCAACTGTTGCAACCCCGAATAATTCGAAAGTCATTTGATTAAAAATCAAAGATGTTTTCGAAGGTTTCACGTCATTGATGATCCTAACTTCTTCTTTACCCCGACTTTTTTGATTCTTTACTCCAATCAATTTACTTCTAGAGATTCTTGTGTAGCCAATCCATGATGTCTTTCTAGTCTTTGTATTTCCTCTGTACAACCACTGGATATATTCTGTGTAGTCAAGGAAAAAATCGCACCATGAGAATTGATTTGGATTGTATAAACATGGGCAAATTAATAATCCGATAATAGTGACCCAAAAGTATAACAACACAGGCACCCACATAGTAATAGAAGCGTATAGAACCAATAAGCAAGAAAATGCACCAAAGTACAAACTTTCAGACGCAAATCTAGAATACAAGGTTGAAAATGGCATTCTAACGGTTGCAAAACCCCTCCCAGTACCGATATATCTTGCTCCACCGATGTTTATATCACTTGATAAAGATTGGGCATAGATACGACATACGAAAACTTCAAATAATGGTGAAAATGATGCAAAATGCTTTCCTAATCTGGTGAGAGCCTTGTAAAAGCCTCTTTCTGTCAACTCTTGTACGCACAATGGGACAAACGAAATCGCGAACACAATAAAAATCGAGTAAATACATCTCTTCAACCATTCGACTACAGGCATTAAGTTGTAGCATCCAAGTGGCTTCCTTGGATCGGTGATTGGTCTATGCCTATCATATTCGCATATAGTTGATTCATTTGTAAGAGCAGTAAGGTTAACACACACGAAAAGGAATAGCTTAATCGATAAGATGATGAAGACGTTATTCAAATGGAAACCAGGATGGGCATAATAAAATGATAAGAATCTATCTAGAGGAAGTTGGGTGCCTAAATAAAAATATTCTCGGGACAACATTTGCTCACCCATCCCAGCTCCAATCTTGGTGGTAAAATTCAAAATGGAACCAAATCCCAAATCACGCCCCTTTCCACATTGCATGTATTCGCAGTGCTTGATACGGCCACCTCTCATTATTGCATTCATCCCAGCATAGATGTCTTCATTCAAATGAAGTCCCTTTTGCGCTTTTGAAACACCTCCACGAGTAGCCATGAATACACTATTCAAGAAGTCAGGGTGCCCATAATGTAACTTCCCTCCGATATGAGCAAGAGTCCTTGCGAATAAGGTACCAAAAGTTTGCTCCTTTCCAGCTGCTACATCACCTAAGATTCCGATATTTTCAGAGAAGATATACTCCCTAGTACCTATAATTGCAACGGGGTTTTCATGGAGTGTATTCCTTAACTCAATTGAGTATGGATCGCTTGGAATGGTAGTTTCTTCAAATTCTGCAAGCACGCTTCTAATCTTAAGACATTCTTCAAGGTAGTTATCTTGATTTGCATCAACAAGTTGGATATACTCACCTCTACAGAAAATTAAGGCATGGTTTTGATTATCTGACTTTCCGTCACCTAAAATCGGATTTCCGGATAACCTTATTCTGTATTTAGGTTTTCGATCACCATTTTCCAATATAGCACTGCTTCCATCTATTAACGAAGAATAGTAGATTATGTCTCCAGTTTCGGGATCTAATTCCTCATCTAGGTATGCAATCTGTAATTCTGGATAGGCTCGCAATAAAAATTCGGTACTTTCCTTTTCCTCTTCATTGAAGTGCTTTAGACGTTGCATGGATGCAATGATTCTAAACTTTCTAAGAGAAATAATAGCAGCTTCTTCCAACTTAATATATTCATCCTCATACGTTTGAGAAGTAGAATTCTCAACATCGTATAGAAGTTTTATGGCACGGGAATAGTTCATGAATCCTGAAATTGTACGATATAAAGTTTGTGATCTTAATGAGGCCCAAATTCTTGTTCGGAGTATGTACTCTGGAGTGGCAACTTTAAATCCCACTGAATAATAAGAAAGGTCTTCCAACTTTTTAGTATCAAAGAGGTCAATTGAAGTATTCTCGGATTCAAATTCCTCTGCAAGCATCTTTGTATCCTTGACGAAGCAGTCCCACTCAATCGGATGTAACTGCTTCAAATATTCCAACATAGTAATATAGGAGTATTGGTCTTCTTCCTTTATAATTTCCTTAAGAGTGAGAGTGATTTTCTCCCCATAGTGAGGAACTAATACGGTAAAAGATGGCATAGAATTGGTCGACCCTACTTCTGGCATTGGTGTCGATAATGATTGGGCAAAGAAGGTAATTCTTCTTTGGGCTTCCGATTGATTCAAAAACAATGACGACTTTAAAGATTGGTCTTCCTGAGAAACGAAGAATATTGGCTCTTTTAGAATATATCCGGACTCTGAATTGGCAGTAGGAATCTGCTGATAGATAAGTTTATGGATATGTTCGATTGAGAGTAGATGCTCTCTGTACATTGAAATAATGATGGAATTCCATACTTCAGACACAAGAAACTTCATATTCACGTTTTTATTACCCCTGTTTGATATGATTTTTGAATGAATCCTCTTTGGCAACCGGGAGTAGATGTTCTTCCATGGGGTCCAAATAGATACCCCAATGTAGAAAGACCTACAGACTGAGAATACAGTATTCCACACAATATACCATAAATATGTATCGAGGAAAAATAGCACCAAGTCAGTGAAGTATATCAATATCAATACAATTGTTGTTTGTCTTGAACATAGCCAAGAACCTAGCCATACATCACCAACGCATCTTGTTAATTTCATATTGTTGAGCTCTCTTACAGGATCCCTTAATGAGAGTGTTAAAAAAAAATATGATTCAACAAATTTCGAGAAGAATATCACAATCCATATCCCATGTGATGCAACTTTATCCGTTCCATTTAAACAATAGAATGAAGAACAGAATTCTCTATTTGAAAGATATCTTCTATCGTCCTTATTGACTCTTTTTGCAAAAAGCTGGGCAGAAGGAGTGATGGACAAATACACCACACTTATAATACTTGCAGCAAGTTGGAATGAGGCTAAAACAACTCCCCATGTTGACTGCTCGTCAATGTTGTAGGAAATTAATAAGTAAATTGTTGGTGCCACACATATGCTAAACATCAATGATAAAAAGAATAATCGTTTAAGTACTGGTTGCGCTCCCGGCCAGTCTCTGGGAACAAACGACATTTCAAAAATTGTACACAATAAGCAAATTAAAGTGGCAATACCCCCTACTAGAGCCATCAATGTAAGTTTCATCTGAACTGTTGGCTGGTTGTCCAAATCTTGCTTATAATCCTTGGTATACAAAGTTGGAGAGTTGTATAAAGTGTACAACCAGAACGCTGAAATATGAATAATCCAAATACGACTAAAGTTGACAAGCACGTGTGTCCAAGTTCTAGTTTCTTTAAAGGTTTTCGAAAATGCTTTCTTCCAGTTGACTTCATTAAGACGAAGATATCGTTCAGCTGGGCTCAAGTTCATTAATTTAGTCTTCTTATCTTTAAGAACAATTTTTCTTAAACTTTTTGCATACCAAAAGAGCTGATTAATATCATCATAACCAATTATATTTTTATGGTCCTTGTCACTTCGAATATATTTTCCATTTTCAAGCTGATAAGATTGATCTCTGATAAAATTATACAATGGTGTGATAGCATGGTCTAGAAAGCTTGGGGTGGCATTCTTAATTGGAGTGTTTATGTCTAAAGAGTAATAATAATCATTACAGCACTTGAAAATAAAGCAAAGGCACTCTGGCATGAATCTAATATTATTTGCTTCGCCCCAGCACAAGAGGTAAAGTGAAATCTGAATGACATAGTCTGCTGGCGATAATGTATTCATATTACACGACCATCTCACTTCAGCCTGTTCTAAGGAAAAGTAGAGGTCATCGCTTTTTTGACGTTTCCCCTTCTTTTCTCCATGAGAGTTTTCAAGTTCGGAAAAGTCATCCAAATCTAATTCAGCAGCGAAGTACCATTTTTTGAAATTCGAATTAATACCCCCAATATAGTCAGCATGAAGAGATCGGAGGGCTAATGATGGACCTACTCTAGAAGATCTTGAATCCAAGAGACGTAAAAAGTGATCATACATGTTTCTAGTGTTATCATATTGAAATCCAAATATTTCAGTAAGTTGCAAGAAAATTGCTTCCATTTCTTCTTTAGAAATTGGAACCTTCTCAGGAGGACCCCAAGAAGGATAGGAATTCTCGTTTCCATGTGCAATCTCATAGATACTAGCTTCAGCTAGCTTCTCTCCTGGGGCGCGCTTACCAAAAACTTCGTGGTCGTACTCTGTATTGATTTTCTTCATATCTACCCACCTACTGGATGGGAGATATGGAGTCTTGAACCCGCTTAGTGGTATAGCTGTGGGGAGTCCATATGCATTTGCCCCTCCTTTGGGCGAAATGCTGGCTGTATTAGGTTAGTATCATTCGAAGTAGACGGTTAAATGAAGTATATCCGAAGACGTACAATTTCCAAAAATTGGTTTCTCTAAAAGTGTGCTCTCTGACTCATTGGAAGCATCCTTGTTGATCGGCTCCCCAGATAGGTTAGGGGAACTATTACTCGTCATTATCTTAATCAATTTAGACTCTTTTTGTAGAGATTAAAAAGTGCTGGTAAATATTTTTACAACAAAATGGTTGCAAAAAATATCCACCCCCTTTTTCGAAATCTTTTTGTGTCATTTAAGAACCCCGGACTACATAATTTTTCTCTCTATTCTTTTTGCAACAATTCTACAGTGTTATAGTTCAGTTAAAGTAAACGAATAGTTAATTAATTGGATTAAAGGTTGTCGCATTCTCCTTCCATACCATTGTAAACAATTCTATTGGGAGATCGGAATCGGAAAACTATGGAACTCTTGGGAATTTTATTTTTCGTCGACATGTCCTTCAAAGTCTTCAAAATGTTACCAGGAGGGACTCCTTCACTTAACAATACAGATACTTGTCCTGCTACTATTGGGGAAGACATTGAAGTTCCGGACAATGTTTGAAAATCAGATTCACTGTCGTAGTGTACACTTTGTACATTCAATCCACTAGCAAATAAATCAACGCATTCCCCCCAATTTGTGAAAGGAGTTAAAGAATCATCACAATCATCAATAGACCCAACTGTGATAGCTCCACGAGAGCTTGCAGGACTAGTCATGCAAGCATTGGAATTTGAATTACCTGCGGCAACAACTACCACTAGACCAGTCTCTAATGCCGCGGTAACCGCTCGGTTTAACGCTCCGCTTCTCATGGCACCCAATGATAAGTTTGCAACTCCAGGTAAGCCTGCCTCTGAACGATGGTTGACAGCAAATTCAATTGCAGATATTATGGTACTAAGGGATCCAGCCCCATATTTGTTCAATGCCTTGACTTCAACAAGTCGAACATTTTTTGATACACCATATGTGTTGGATCCTATCAATCCTGCAACATGAGTTCCATGTCCATTGTAATCTCCAGATCCTTCACCTGTAAAATCAGCACCTCTTTCTGCGCGACCACCAAATTCAGGATGGTTGATATTAATACCAGAATCAATTACATAAGCAAGTACTGGTGACTGAGTATCATTATTAAAACAATACAGGAAGGTTTCAGACTCTAGATTATCTTCTTGTGATAACCTAGCAAGGTGCCTTGGTGAAGAGTTTTGGATTGTTGTTTCAAATGCCTCAACAGTGATATCTGGAGTTATTTCTGCAACCAATGGACATCTTTGCAACCGTTCAAGTGCTTGTTCAGTGAAGTTCCCAGAAAACCCGGAATACTTACCGATTGAATAGGCATGGTCTATCAATGGATTGATATGCTGAGAGAGTGGGTATGTCTTATCGTAACGTATAAAGCTCTCATACGTTTCTTGTACTTTGAGAGAAACCAAATATCTTAAATCTTCTGCAGCTGCAACTTGAATTGTTACTAAAATGTACAAGGACAATAATTTTTTTAGCATTATAAAATAGGAGAGTTAGTTACTTCAGAAAAGTTATCGTGTGATCATTGATTGAGAGACTAATCGAGTTATAAGTACTTCATTTCCTTCTGTGTTGAACACAAACCAAACTCTACAATACACACAAAGTATCCCTAAAAACAAAAATAAACATGTAATAAATATAAAATGTATCTAAACTCAATAGTTTATTTGAGAGCCTTAGTAAGCTTTGCCTTTTGGGAGTCTGAAAGTGTAGACATGAACTCCTTGATGGCGTTAATAGCATTTGAAGGATTTTCCTTCAAAAGGTGGTCAAGCTTTCTACGAGAAGCTTCTTGCTTGACTTCATCAATGAAACCACGCAACTTAGTGTGGTTTTCTTCGATCCAGTTACTAACACCACGATCATCTTCGTAGTCAACAGTAGGCATCCAACTCTTAACCCTGGCGATCTTTTCCAACTTGCTTGCAGTAGGAAGTTGTTCTCCAATGAGTGCCAACAAGTACTCTTCGTTCAAACGACGACGTAAACGCCAGAAGAAGAAACGACGAGCATCTTGCCACTTAAGTTCCTTTCTAATAACACCCTTTGCCAACATACGACCAGATCTGTCATGGAGATCAGCAAATTGAACAGAAATTTGAGCGTAAATTGGTAACAAGTTCTTTTCACGAGTGGCCAATTGCTTAGAAACTTCAGAGTGTTCGTCAGCTGGCAAGTTCTTGTCAGCCAACTTCTTCTTCAAGTCAGCGTACTTAGTATCTAATCTTTCCATGGTAGCCAATAACTTATCACGTCTGTACTTGATACCAACCATACCTTCTGGTTCCAAAACACCAGCTCTAGAGTTAATATCAGCATACATTTCCATCATGTCTGGGTTGATGGTTGGGTCAACGACAACCCAAGAACCACCTCTCAATTCACCATGAGGAGGAATGTAAGTGAAAATTGGTTGTTTGAAATCAACTAAAGCATCAACGATGAAAGAACCATACTTAAGAACTTCATTGTACATATCACGTTGACCACCAGAGAAACCTCTCCAGTTTGCCAAGATCATCAATGGCAATTGTTCACCATTGTTGAAATCGTTAATAGCTTGTGCGGTCTTAAAAGCAGAGTTAGGGTACCAAACTTGACCAGCTTCTTGAATCATAACTTCAGTAGAATCTGGGTTAGCAGGATCAGCAGGGAACAAGTTGTCGACAGTTCTAGTTTCGACACCAATGACACCAATAGGAATACCACCAAGACGAGCTCTACCAACAACGACACCCTTAGCCCATCCTGACAAAGTTTCTGTGAAAGAGTCCTTATCGAACAAACCAGATTCAAATTCACCATCTTCTAATTCACGACCAGCAATCATCCAACGAACGTCGAAAGGTTCATCCTTGGTTGGGTAATAGTCAATTTCTCTGTCCCAAGAGTCCTTAGATTCCAAAATTGGAACTGGCATACCACGCTTAGCAGGAATGAAGGACATCCATTCCATGATCTTTTCAATACCGGCCAAATCATCAGTAGCAGTGAGATGAGAAACACCATTACGGTACATAATTTGAGTACCACCCAATTGCAAGTTGGAAGAGTAGACTTCTCTACCCAACAACTTGTTAATAGCAGGAGCACCAGTTAAAATAATTGGTTGACCTTCAATTTGAATAGCTCTTTGACCTAATCTGACCAAGTAAGCACCAATACCAACAGATCTACAAGTAACCAAGGTGATGGTGAAAATGTCCTTGTAAGCTCTAGAAGTAGCACCGGCAATCAAACCAGAACCCTTAAGACATTCAACACCTAAACCATCTTCAGCACCAATGATAGATTTAATAACATGTCTTTCTTCACCATCTTCAACAGATCTTTCAGTAATAACAGTTTCGCCCTTTCCATCTTCATCGATAACCTTTCTATCTTCAGAAGTCAAGTACAAATATCTGAAACCCTTTTCTGGGGCACCTTCAACATTCCAAGCAACCTTAAAGTATGGGACTAATTCATCAGCAATACCAATTCTAGCACCAGAGTTGGCAGAGAGGTAAATTCTTGGGATACCCAATTCTCTTGCTAATTCGGTACATTTGTTGAAGTAGTAATCTTCTTCAGGACCGAAAGAACCAATCTTGTGGGTAATATCATTTGCAATGATGATAAATTGACGACCTCTTGGATATTCTGGAGTCTTAGCGACACACTGGAAACCAACCATTCCAATCTTGTTACAACCAGCTTCACGTTCGACAGCAGTCAAGTCTCCATTTTCATCAGGAATTAATTCCAAAGAAGTGAAAACATCATCAGGGATCTTAGCAGAAGCGGAGTGGATCTTCCATTGGGAAATAGTACTTTGACGGAACAACTCTGGGAAATCATATACATAAGTAGTACCCATGTTGTGGGCCTTGTAACGTTTAGGTTGTAATGATTCCTTTGCTGGGTAAGGAGTAGAAATTGGTCTCAAGTGCATGGATCCAGGTTGGCCAATAGACTTGAATACCCATTCACCCTTAGTGTTCTTGACTTCCATGTACAATTCAGACTTCACAACATAACCAGAAACATTGTTGATAATAGCTCTCAATGGGAATGAAGTACCCGTGGTTGGATCAGTACATGAAATACGGATCTCGGCACCAGTAACTCTCAATCTCCATAATCTTCTACCGAATCTTTCCAAGAATGAACCAAAAGCAGCTTCAACTTCCTCAGGGAGAACATTGAAAACAGAAGAAAAGTTAATGAAAATATGGTTAAGATCGGAGTTAGAAGTGTCAATAACTTCCAAGGCATCCAAAATGTCGGACATCAAACGGTTACATTCGGCAATCAAATATTCACTGATACTGATGTCATCACGCATAACACCGGTTCTAACAATACCTCTAGTGAAGAATCTCTTGTCAGATGGTGCATTCTTTCCAACTGCTTCATAAACATGGATGTTTCTATTGTCAGTGAAAATTGGCTTAATGTCGAAGTTGTTCAACTTACCTAATTCCAATTGGAAAGCCAAAGCAGGTTCGATATGACGAATAACCTTGTTTTCCTTGTACTCAGGAGCAGTGAAAGTGTAGTATTTAGGGTAAGAACCGACATTGTGAGCAAATGCAAAAGTGATACGACGAACACCAGCGCCAGTAAGATCATCTCTGAATTCTTCAATGACTTCATCGATCTTAGCCAAAACTTCTTCTTCTGAAACATAACCATCAATACTAGTGATCATCATAGTAACAACATTGTAAAATTCTGGAGCTTCTTCCTTAGTCTTAGCTTCAAAGGTAATGACGTCGGATGGTTGTAATTTTTCCAAAGCAGCAGAAAGCATGTCATCAACGTCATCAATATGTCTAGCTGGAACCAAAACACCAGATCTTGTGATTAATTGCTTCTTGTTGTCGACAACAAATGACAAGTCAGAAACAGAAGCAGCACGGTTGATCTTGGTGGCTTCGTTAGTCTTTGGAACATTGTTGGTGTTGGTAGCATCCAAACTTGGGAGACGGAATTTCCATTCAACAACTGGCAATTGATCGTGGAAACTGTAGGTGATTGGACCTAATGAGTAAGCCCTATACGCACGACGAACATAAACTTCGGCAGCAGCAATAGCAACCCATTCATCTTGGTTACGCAAGAATTGGGGTAAGACATCAAAAACAGTGTGCTTGGAGTCGACAACTTCATTAATGATGTCAAGCTTTGGTTCTCTGTGTCTAGCATACATTTCACCGTAGGATGTTTGAAGGACAGAAGATCTCAAGATATGTTCCAATTGATCAGATCTTTCTTGAATAGATGGCAAAGAAGATTGAATCAAGATTTCTCTGGCCTTCAAAGTAACCTTAGCGGTACCTCTGCTTTCCAATTCAACAATCTTCTTCAATGATTCACGAATACCAGCAGCAGTACTGGAGGAAGATTGCATAACTGGTTGGTAAACTTCCAAAATAGCTAAAATCAAGTTGTTCTTGGCACTGACTCTGGAGTGAGATAAAGCAAAGCCAATGACCTTGCTCAAGTCAGACTTATTTTCATCACGAAGTCTCAAAATAACATCTTCTTCACGAACATTGTTACCGGAGAAGTTCTTTTCGATTTCATAGTATTCGTTGATGAGTTGGGAGAAGAAACTGTATTCGTGTTCAAGCAAGCCATCAGAGTAACGTTGAGCAATTTGAATCAATGGTGCACTAACTTCACTGAATGAAGCATCAGTAGAAGGATCATTAGCAGTCTTTTGAATCAATTTAAGAATTTGACGAGCTGGGAAATCAGCACCTCTCAGTTCGGTTCTTTCAATCAAAGAAGTCAAACTTTCATCTAACTTGACAGGTAAACGAGAGTGCAAGGCAGAAGCTTGTTGGTTCCATTCAGAGTAAGGCAAGTTTTTGTCCTTTAAGATCTCAACTAAGTTCTTCAAGGTTGAGTTCAAAATCACTTGGTTATCATAACCAGCCAAAATGTGTCTCAAAATAGAAGCATAGAATTCAAACTTGTGGACGGTCTTAGTACCTTGGATAATAGCATCACCTAAGTCAGGTAAAGTTCCTTCGAAAGGTAAAGCGTGCTTAACCTTGGATGGATCATCCAAATCTAAAATGGCCAAAATATCACCAGCATTAACAGTAGAACCAGGTTGCTTAATTGGTTGAACAACACCATTCTCTTGAACAATCAAAGGCATACACATCTTCATGACTTCAACTTCGGCATAAGGTTGGCCAGCGACGACATGGTCTCCACTTTCAACCAAAAACTTCACCAACTTACCTGGAGATGGGGTTCTCAATTGGGTTGGATCGTTTTCAATTTCTAACAAGCAGGTCTTACTGTCAACGGACAATCTAGTAGCAGATGCTTCCTCCTTCCAATAGACTGAATGAGATTTACCAGCAATAGCACAAAGAAGACCACCATCGGACAATGAACGTACACCAACAACACATCTAGTACCGTTCAAAAACAAGGTGTACGAGTCAGCTGAGGACTTTGTAGCAGTGAACTTGTATCTGTAACCTTCATAAATAAATTCAACTGGGAAAATGGTCTTCAACAAATTCTTGTTTGGAACTTGACCCTTTTCTAAAGACGCAACGTATTCAGCCTTATCTTCTTCGGATTGAATATGAGCCTTAGTAACAGCACCGCAAACAACAGCGACAATTGGATCAGGTCTTTCAGAAGTAAGCTTCTTTGAGATTAACTCATCCAACCAACCAGTAGTGATAGTGTTGTTTTCAAAATCAGGGGTTTCCAAAAGCTTAATCAAATATTCAACAGTAGTTCTGAAATCACCACGAATACATAATTCTCTCAAGGCAACAACCATGTGCTTTCTGGAAGCTTGACGATTCTCACCAAAGGCGAAAATATGACCGAATTGAGAATCAGAAAATGAATGAATAGAAGATTGGTTACCAACTGAGAAATAACCCCAGACATTGGAAGATGATCTAAAATTCAATTCATGAAGGTTACCACCAGATGGTTTGAAACCTTCACCAGGATCTTCAGAAGTGATACGACAAGCAGTACAGTGACCCTTTGGAGTTGGACGACGTTGACTTACAAGAGAGTTTTCACTTTTGAACTCAAAGTCAATGTCGGTAGAGGTATGTGGGTCAACACCGTAGTAGGTACGGATATCTCTGATTCTGTGCATAGGAATACCCATGGCAATTTGTAATTGGGCAGCTGGGAGATCAACACCGGTAACCATTTCAGTAGTTGGATGTTCGACTTGTAATCTTGGGTTAAGTTCCAAAAAGTAAAACTTATCTTCAGAATGAGAGTACAAGTATTCAACGGTACCTGCAGAAACATAACCGACCAACTTACCTAATCTTACAGCGGCATTTTCCATAGCACGGAAAGTGTCCTTCTTGGCAATTGTGACTGGAGCTTCTTCGATAATCTTTTGATGTCTTCTTTGAACAGAACAATCACGACCAAACAAAGAGATGTTAGTACCGTATTGATCGGCCAATAATTGGACTTCCAAATGTCTGGCATCACCAGCAAGCTTCATAATGAAGATAGGAGATCCGGGTATTTCGTTCAGGGCTTGTTTGTACAAAGTAATAAAGTCCTTTTCATTGTCAACCTTTCTGATACCTTTACCACCACCACCTTCAGAGGCCTTAACCATGACTGGGAAACCAATCTTCTTTGCCATTTCAAGACCTTGCTCAGGCAGGGTACAACAACCCTTTTGGTAAACTTCATCCGAAACGGAAACCAAGTTGGTTTTAGGATCAACTTGAACTTCATCGACACCAGTACCAGACCATGGGATACATGGGACATCGGCATGTTGAGCGACAATGGTAGAAGAGATCTTATCACCAAGAGATCTCATGGCAGAACCTGGTGGCCCTATAAACACGATTTTCTTGTGAGAAGCGGCCAACTTCTCTGGCAATAATGGGTTTTCTGACGCATGGCCCCAACCGGCCCATACGGCATGTACGTCTGTTCTTTCTGCTATTTCCACAATTAAGTCGACGTTGGCATAATTGTTATTGTTGGTTCCACCTGGAACCTCGACGAATTGGTCAGCCATTCGAATATATTCAGCATTGGCTTGCAAATCTTCTGGAGTAGCCATTACTGTAAATTGAATGGCTCTGTTGTCGCCAAAAGTTTCATAGGCCCATCTTCTGACGGATCGGATTTCCTTGACAGCAGCTATACCATTGTTGGCAATCAAGACACGGGTAATAACGGTATGACCTTGGTTTTTCTTGACAAAATCAGTAACCTTACCTGGCTCGGCACGTTCAACGGAATTGAGCCCCAAGAAATGTTCTGGCAAGCCAGTGTGCAACGTTGTGTAATCTGTTGTCATTATATTCTTCTTAAAAGGAATTGTCAGCGATTGCAGAGCAATGAACCTTTTGTAGTTATGTATAGTTTGTTGGGTTGTTTGGGCTAGAAGCACGCGGGAGTGGCGAGCAAATGATCTGAAACGGTTAGTAAGATTGAAGAGACGGTAACTAGGGGTGAAGAATATGCGTTTGAGCTGCCTTGACATATATTTAGTCCCGTCGATTGAAAACTTTTGATTCTGGTTCAACTAATCTCGAGTCTCGGCAATTCGTATATAGACCCAAAAAAAAAAGACGCCAAAAATTCAAAAGGCAAAAAAAAAAATAATCCCAAAAAGGAGAGGCAAACTGTTTCAAAAGTGTTTTACAGGTGGGATGTATCAAGTTGGATTTTTGAAAAGAATGCCGCAAAGTCAAATAGGTGGTTGAGTCTTGATATGAAGCGTATGTGGGTTTAACTAGAATGTCATCAATAGATTTGATGTTTGAGTATTGTAGCAGGAAAACGGTTGAGAAAAAAAATAAAAATAAAAACTCCGAAATCAAAAAAAACGGAAATAAAAAAAAGTCCCAAATTCAGAAATGTTGAAAGTATGGCCAAGGAGAGGTACCCCTGATAAAGAATGCACCCCACCAACCTAATTTTTCAGTTCTCTTATGATTGTTATTATTATTGTTTAATAACTCTCCTTTACTGTCATATTCCTGTTCATTTGAAAGCATTGACATATTCTTTCAACCTTCATCTTTTACTTGACTGACGTTAACCTGCACTCCCTCGAATCTGATCCACTTGTTCTTCTAACAATTCTCAACCTACTCTAAACTTCTTCAAAATCATATTCTTCAATGACACACTTTACATACCTTAGAATACTGTTTGAGTCAACCTTCCAAAATTTATAAAGGGATCGGAATTTTGAAATATATATATATATATTGCAGCCAGTCCCAACAAAACTAATGCGGGCCATGTTGGCCCAAATTATACCCACGAATCACCTAGTCGTGTGTGGCCGCGTTCTGCACACAGACGAACAAACGCAGCCAACGAAAGTGACCTAACCGATTGTTGTGGTAGTCAACTGACAATTACTAAACCAGGGGTAAAAAATACAGAGTGCCGTGCTTACGAATAGACTATCTAGGTACTACAAGGAGGTGTGTTTAATTGGGTTTTACCAATTTCATTGGTATGAAACTTCGAAGAGGCGTTGCTATACTTTTCTGATTGTTGCAGAAGTTTGTTCTTTATTCGTTTTTGTAACCGTTTTTTTTCCTCAATCTTTTTTTTCCAAACTGATTAAAATTTTGGACTTTTCACTCCGTCTGTGTTTGTTTTTTTTGGATTTTAATGGTTTACGTCACCGTTTTAACTTAACAATCAAAGTTGGGGGGGTTTTTTTCTCACCAAAAAATTTTCGAATGTCTGAGGTCACCCACTAAATAATGGTACTATCCAGTAGATCAAATTTGTAGGCTTTTTTCAAAAAAGGAAAACGCCATCTATTCCATTGTGTTCCTGGGATTGTGTATCTCCATTGTACCGAGCTGAAACGAGCGACGGTTGCAATTAATTTAACTTGAAATTAGGTGTTAAGGGGCTTCTTGCAATTTAGTAGATTAACAGACAGGGTTAAGAATAAATTGACAAGTTAAGAATAATACAAAGCTTGTATATAAAAGGTAAGTAAGGAGGTCAATGGGTAGAGTACAATGGTATGTAGCTATCAAGTTTTTATAACTTGATATTTCTCTTTATTGTTTGTATTATATATTTTTGTTAGGGGTATACCATGTGGCAAGTTTCGCATTTATCGCGCACCTTATCTCCATGAATTTCAAAAGATTAATGTAAACTTTAAACTATCTTTGACGCCTTGAAGCCACGGTACTATCATCCAAGCAAATGAAAATCTATATGGATTTGTCTTTCCCTTTTACCATGTCTACTGTTTACTCTGAAAATGTAAGAAAAAACGTCTGTATTACGTTCATATAAATATTATATTAAATTAATGTATCTCTATTAGTTTGTACTTTGCACAACTTGCAAAAAAAAATGATCAAGTCTTGTTGATTAACGGGAAGCTCCAGATTCCTTTTCCATAAGAGAACCTTGAGCAGTGGCTTCTGGATCAACAGTAGCTGCGGCATCAGCATGTGCATTTTCTAAATCACCTTGTTCGGCCTTTTCATCTAATTCTAACTGTCTGATAGCTTCCAAAATTTCATGATGTTCCATAAATGGTTCGTCCTTAGCCACTTGCACAGGAGCCTTGCCTCCAACATGGGATTTAGCAAAGATAACGTCCAATTCTTCCAAGGATCTACCCTTAGTTTCTGGGTAGTAGAAGTAAACAATTGGTACGAATAAACCATTCAAGATGGCGAAAAACAAGTAGGTACCCCAATGAATTGAAGCAACCATAACTGGAGTAACCTGAACGACGAAGAAGTTGAATAACCAGTTAGAAGAAGTGGAAATAGCGTTGGCCTTGGTTCTAATCTTCAATGGAGACAATTCAGCTGGGTATAACCATGGGAGGGATAACCAAGTGGCACCAAAGAAAGAAAGGAACATGAATAAGCCAAGAACAGCACCATTGGCAGTTGCCTTGGTGTCTGGAATCAAACAACCAAAGGTAATAACCATGGAAACACATTGACCAACGGCACCCCACAAGAATAATGGACGACGACCAACTTTTTCAACCAACCAAAAGGAAGAAAGAGCGAAAAGAGCATAGACAATGATGGTAACACCAGATAAAATCATAGACATTAATCTTGTCATACCTAAAGATTGTTCATACAAAACTGGGGCGTAGTAAATAACGGCGTTACAACCACCCAATTGTTGGAAGATTTGAGCAGAGGCACCAATAAGAGTTCTTCTCAAGTTCTTGGATCTACCACGGTCAAGTAATTCTCTGTTAGTAACCTTTTGAGAGTTTTGTCTAATAGATTCATAGATGGCTTCCTTTTGAGCAATGGTTTCTGGGTCTTCAATAGTGCTGCCGTTCAAAGCAGCCATAACAGCCAAAGCTTCTGCTTCCTTATGTTGAGTTAATAACCATCTTGGAGATTCTGGAAGAACAAAGACAAGACCCATCAAAATGACAGAAAACACAATTTGGAAGGCAATTGGGAATCTCCAAGCAACAGAAGAATCAACAAAATCTAAACCGAAATCGATCCAGTAAGCAATGACAGTACCAATGGCAATCATAGATGCTTCAAAACAAACATGAGCACCTCTGTTGTGAGACTTGGAAGTCTCGGCTTGCCATGAAGGAATGGTGGAAGTGTTCATACCATTACCAACACCACAGATAACACGACCAACAATAAATTGGACAAGAGGAAGATGACCAGTCATAGAAGTAATCATAATAAGAGTACCAATCATCATGATGAGCCCTCCAAGAATAATAACCTTTCTTCTACCAAGCCTATCACCAAAGAAAAGGGCAAAGAGAGCACCAATCAAACAACCAACTTCATAGACGGCTGTCACGGTACCTTGAATGGTAGAATGGTAAACATCATCATTGTTGGCCATCTTGGTAGCAGGGAAATCGGCATTGAAAACCTTGTTACCAATGATACCGGACATCACACCTTGATCGTAACCGAAAAGGAGGAATCCGGTAGTAGAGGCTGCCAAAATACAATTAATTAATTTATCACCAGTAAATCCTAAGTATTGTTTCATGTTAGAGAATATACGGAGTTATAGAAGAAGGTAAGAATTTTGAGGTATAAAAAGGTGGATGTTTACACATTTAAATAATCGATACAATACTGAAGCACTGAACGTCAAATTTTGCAGTGCTCAAAGCAACAAAGCACATCTAAATGCAACAAAGTATGCCACAAAGTGACGTAAATTTGCGCAGGTCTGAAAATCTGTGCATTATTCCCGGCTATATGCCGGAAAATATCATCTTTAAAATGGAAAATGAGATGGAAGTCCGATGTACCGAAATATGGTTATATTTTACCAGTTGAAACTGAGGTAGCTTTCTTAAAGTTGTGCATCATCCAATTGAAACTGGAGTCATACAGATATTTACTAAAATGCTTGATTATTGTCTATAGAGTTATATTTTTTATGATTGCTTTGTGGTTTATGTTAATTTAAAATTTCCTTTATCTTCCCCCCCTTCGCGTCATCAGGAAAAAAAGAAAAAAATCTTTTAAAAAATCCTAAACGGAATAATAAAAAAATAAGATGTATGCAGACAATGCATTAGAAAAATGAAATGTTTTTCCGGCTGACCTTCCACCCTTAGGATGGGGGGTACGACCCGTTCTTTCCACTAGCGCAATGATGTGCCAAGTGTAGAAGATGGAAAGCTCGGAATCTCTAGGGTTACGGTAATTTCGGATATACAACTTTACATTGCTGTAAAATGAAACGATTAGGTTATCAAAGGCAAAAAATGAAATGGGAATAAAACTTTTATTGACGGGAGTCACAAAACCATCAGCCGCGCTCATAACGTGCTCTAGTTCAAAATCCATGGAAGAAGAACTGAGCTTAGACAAGGGCTTTTAACCACAACGTATGTGACATTACGCAAATAACACATATTGTCTCAAAATAACTTTTATTTGCAGAATTGATGCGGCTCAACCAATTGAAAGATTCTATATTTATTTATTTATTTACTTACTATTACGTGTAGAAGTATCGTTAATCTCATTTATTATCATATGCTCGTGAATGTTATTATACATTTGTATTCTCCTTTCTACTATTAATCCCCCGTCTTATTATTTGATGTGTTCTTGTAAGAAATTGAAAATTGTTTCCAAGTCGTATCTTTTCGTTATATTAAGTTCCAAACATCCAGCTATCAAGTCATGTATCCATTGATATTCGCTCAGGTCATAATCATCCCATGATTTCTTTAAATTCTGTATCTCTTCTTGTCTTTTCAAATCAACCAACAGAGATTCCACCTTTTTAGTAAAGAAACTTTCATCTAAAATAAATTGGGTTAGACATGCCTTTTGCAATTCTTCCTTATTGTACTTCCCGGCAGATATAATGGCTCTTAATCTTGGCTCGTATGGATGCTGGAATGGAAGTTTCCCAACAACCATCGTGTATAACATAACCCCCAAGGCCCAAATATCGGCTGATGGACCTAATGGAGGCGGCGACGGGAGTAAGAGCTCGGGAGATGCATATGGTAAAGAGCCGATATGCAGGTGCGGTAGGTCGGATTCAATTCCAGAAACAGTTCGAGTTCTATTATGGAATTCCTTTGTGAGAACAAGCGATTCCTGTGATTGGGTTGGAGTTAAATCTAAAGATTGAAGTGATGGACCATGAGGTCTTTCAAATTGAGAAATCCCAATTTTTGAATCATCATTGAATAAAAATCTCGTATTTAAAGAATCTGAACTACTTAACGGTTTCCTCACGTTGGTAGTTGATGATTTACTTCTCATCATAAGTTCACTGGGACTCAATCCACGGGTACGAGAAACGGATGATCTTCTACTAAGTCTTGAACTATAGATACGTGACATTCCAAAATCACAAAGAACCATTCTCCGATGATTTTTATCACTATGATCATCTACCAACACGTTTTCAAGTTTGATATCACCGTGAACAATTCCCTTCTCTTGGTGCATATATGTAAGAGCTCCGACAATTTGAGTAGCAAAATTCACAGTTGTATCAATTCTTTGTCGTTGAGATTCAATCAGAAATCCTAATGGTCCCTGGGTATTGTTGATATCACTATCAAATACACCCCAACTGGAAACAACTTCAAACAAAGTCCCGCCAAATATTCTGTCAGTAATACAAAAAATGGCAGTTTCTGTCTCAAGATGATCCAATAATGGAAGAATGTTTGGATGGTTGAGTTGTTTCCAAATTTGAATTTCCTTACGGAACACTTCCAAAATCCTTGGATGTGCTTGCGACTTGGGAGACGCCCGCAGTGGAGAACAGGACCCTATTCCACCACTACTAGGTGGTGAGCCAGATTCAAAACGACAGGATTTGACAATCTTGCAGGCTCTTTTATTGCCATTCTCTTGTTCTTTGCATTCACGAATAGTACCCCAAGCACCAAATCCAATAACCTTACCTAATTCATAACCCAATACAACTGCTCCCTTTTCGTCCACATTAATTTTTGGTTTCAACTTTTCTGCTAATTTCAGTAAATCTGAAGATGATGAAAGTGCAAGTAACCGCCCAGCAATTGTATTCGCACTATTTCTTCTTGATTTCCTAATGAAGCTTCCTCCACTTCCTGGGAGTCTACCGGATGAAGATCCGCTAGATCCAAACTTGTCGGTAAAGAATTGCTTTGCCACAAGCGAAAATTGAGAATAATCAATGGATTCTGAATATGACTTGATAAGTTTTCTTCTTTGGGAATATGGAAGATCATTAAAGTTACTTGGAAGTGAATTGAGGATGTACTCGTAGTTAACAACCCCAGTGTCTGGGTTGATCAATTGATCTTCCATCCTTGAAGAGGTGGCTGCCGCTGTATGGCCACCCAGTTTAAGTTTTTTGCTCTTGTGGGTGTCAAGAGGATCTTGATCTGGAGTTAGAGTTGTAGTAGATGCGGTTGGCTCATTTCTAGTGTTGACAGATTGTTGTGGAGTCCGAAGTTTCATAAAGTCATTCAACTTTGTAAAACTTAAATTCCCAATTTGCAGTGCTCCCCGGACTATAGGTTGTGGAGCCACCTGAGAATGAAGTAAGTTTAAGTCAAGGTATGACGCTTCTCTACTCTGTGGAGTGGTGGATGTAGATGTTCCATTACTTCTCAAATGCCCGTTCGTGTAGTCATCGATTGTATTCCATTTGTAGACGGTGTTGGCAAAATCAAGCCCCGGGATGTACTCATCTTCAAGACCAACAACACCCTCAGGGAATGAACCCACAAGTTCATCGTGAGATCTCGAGTAAAGTCTGTTCAATGATTTCTTCTTTGGTGACGTTGACATCGTGAGGACATCGTTCTTGTCACTATAGTCCATATCTCCGTCGACAGTGTAGTAGTCACGCAGACCAGAATTCACCCGCGACATGCTCGGACGGATCTTCCCGTCATCATAAAGTCTATGACCGGTTTCCAGATCAAAGTTGTTGGTTTCTGACTCGGAATACGTTCTGGTCAACTTGTAGTTATGCAATGTGGGCTCGGTATTGGAGCTCGGTGGTAGCGCATTTGCGTCTCGCTTGATACGCTCGATGGGGTTCTTCTTCTTCATGGAACTCATGCTGGGAACGTGGTGGATTGGGCCACCACCACCAACTGCACTTGCATTTGGCCCGGGTCTGTGTTCAACGTTGAACTTTGCCTCATCCACAAGTCCAACCATGGACACTTTTGGTTTCGATTTCAAAGGGATTTCCATTTTGACTCGTATGATATTGCAGCTTTATGCTCTCTCAGAGCGAATAGAATGCTTTTATATATGATATCCTGGTAGTTTACTATGCAAAGAGCACTCCAAAAATGACAAAAAAAAAAAAAAAAATGAAAGAAATGAAAGAAAATTGAAGTGTTCACTATGCTCTGCCGCACGGGTTTATGATAATTCGCACAAATAGCTCAACTAAGAAAGACCAGTCCGGTACAGGATGGTTCCCGTGGTGTGAAGATGGGGTTGATTGGTCGAGTTTAAAATGAGCCTACTTAAAGGTACCGAGTTCGCAGTCTGAATATAACTATGATTCAAATGACCCATTTGCGGAGTTACCATGGGAAGTGTTTTAAGCTTTGTGTATTATACGTTATATGTAGGATATGCGGGGAGACAAAAACCCATATTGTTTTGGGTGCAAAAGAGATCATAAAAGAGAAATATCCTCTATAAAACGAGAATATGAGTACCTATTTACTTTTTGGATAGGATCAAGGTGTTGAGGAATGCCTCACCCAACATGTCAACTGCATCAGGCCGCTTTTCGTAATCTAATTCAAAAGTTTTGATTAAAAAGTCCTTGGCTTCACGAGTACACCATTCCGGAATCTGAGGCGTAATATGAGTACCGATTTTGAATATGGCTTGCATTTGACTAAAGTCGGGGAATGGATGTTTACCTGTAAACATTTCAACAATAAGGCACCCCACGGACCAAATGTCTGCCTTTTTCGTATATGCCGTTTGTTTGACGACTTCGGGGGCCATCCAATAGACAGACCCTTGAAGTGAAGCTCTTCTGCCACTCTTCTCAGGACCTTCGATCCCATCATCACCACCACTAACTTTCTTCGAGATTCCAAAATCACTAATTTTCACTGTTCCCTTAATATCAATAAGAATGTTTGCCCCTTTAATATCTCTATGAATGATATCTTCGCCGTGTAAATAGCTCAATCCAATCAATACTTGTCGAATGAAATTACGAATCAATGGTTCTTCGAATGGTCCATATGATGAAAGCATTGACAGAACAGACCCACCAGGAACGTATTCCAAGAAAATGTTAAGAAACTTCTCCTCCGTAGAAGATCCAAGATATCTCACAATATTTTCATGGTTAAGCTCTTTCAAAAGCAGCATCTCATGTTGTAATGCTTCTATCATGGATTTTTGCAGTTGATTATTTGCACTTCGTTCATCAGGAAGACTAACTTGCTTCACGGCCATTAATTCCCCGGTAAGTGGGTTCATCCCAAGGTATACAGTACCAAAACTACCAGCACCAATACGTGCACCTTGAAGCCAATTTTTGGGACCACCTTCAATGATCAGCCCAAGACCAAGGTGTGACGTATAATCCCCACCAAGGCCGGACATTTGTCCCCCAACAACAGCTCCATCCATCTCCCAGTAACTGTTAAAGATCTCATCATTCTCATCATCTTCTTCCGAATCAACACTAAGAAGTTCAATCCGAGAATATCTGTTATTTCCAGAACTAGACAGGTCTGCAAAATTCGCTGGAATTGATAATCTTTGACTTGGACTTCCAAATTTGGACATTCCGGATATAATCGACCTGGTATCATTATTGGCTCCGCCGCTCATGTTAGAATAAATAGATGGTGGTTTCCCAATGGGTCCCATTGTTGCGGATGCAGTGGTGGCTGGAGTGTGACCACCAGACAGAAATGATGAAATGTCATTATTGACTGCTGTGTCGATTGCAGTGATATTATTCACCATCATTTCCCCAATAGTTCTCCCAGTTGGGAATCTTTTCACTGCTGCAGAATTATGTTCCAAGGATGCTAAGGAAGGCGCCTTGTTGTTAATACTAAGTATAGACCTTCTATGAATAGATGAGTTACTACTGCTTGAAAGATTGGAAGGGACATTAAAGCGTCGGGAAAGCCGTACACTATATCGTACAGAGTTCCTTACTGTAGCTTCCAATTCCTTCTGCTTGGCTTCCGGGAAATATTCTGCCAAATTTGAAGAAATTAATTCACTGGGTGGTCTTTGACCAAAGAAATTTCGAAGAGTCAGAGGAGGTGGGGGAGTTCTTCCCGTTCTCTGATCTGGCATATGGAACTGGCTTAGAAGGGCATCTGGGTTCCGAAGACGTGTTGAAGGTCCCAAACTCCCATTTCCAGAACTACTATTCTTGGCGGCAAATTTTTCATATCTTTGAATAATCTTTTTGGATGTTTCCAATGCCATTTCGGTTGGAGTTGTCCCATTGGGACATAACATGATTCTATACTTCTCTAAGCGGTCCGGGGAGTAGCAGATGGTTACGAGTTCAACGTCGAAAAGCTTTGAGATGGTGGGATCAACAGGAGTAGCCACAATGTGGTTACTATCGTAATTATTGGTATTGAATGAGTGTACATAGGCATCGTAGTATGTGTCTTGAGTTTGCTTAATACCCAATTTCTTGAGAACTTTCCTCTTTATGGATTGTGCATTGAAACATCCAGTGATATTCACCTTTTTAGACAGACCATCTTGGAAAATAAAAGTCACATTCTTATTAGAATCGGTGGGAACTCCGCCTGATGATGGGGCTGAGTTTGTGGTTGTCGAAGCGGAATTGTTACCAGCAATACCCGCAGCGGCACTACCATTGGAGCTGTTCTGATGTCCATAAAAGGGGTTCCCCCCGACTATCAATGTTGAGGAATCATTATTGTGAGTGGATATTCCACCCCCTTGATAATGGATTGTGGAAGCCGACGAAGGACCGGAAGTTCCTGCCGACGAAGAACCGCCACCAACGGTAGCTCCACTTGGAGTAGATCCACCACTATCACCCACTGTCAACGGTCCTCCAAACCCATTATCAACTGCACTCGAAGGATGTCCATGGTCTAAGCCATCTCCATAGCCGTGGTCTCCATTCAAATGCAATCGGATAAGTCTTTGAAGTTCTTCGTTAGTAATTACCGAGCTGCTTGCGGCTTCTGCCTTCAACTTGCCAATGGCAAGCTCAAGTCTGAGTCTGTCACCAAGCTTCGTCACCCCAAGTTCTTTGAGCGCGGCTGTGTCGAGCTCCAGTACTAGACTTAGAGTCACGCCATTCTCAACAAACCGTGCGTAGTACAGCTGACAGTTACAGTTCGCTAGCCACTGTTTCAAGTCACGGTCCAATGGCTCGTGTTCTGACATCGGGCTGGAAAGAGATGGTTTATATTTGGCTGTAAATTTATTAAAATATTCATTAGATCAATCGTCTCGTTTTTTTCTTAACTAATCTTCCATTTTCATATACACTAACCCTTTTGCGCGCAATGTAAGAGATTAGAATGCAACTTGGGTGCTGCAATGTGTGTTTGTTTTTTTTTAAATCCTATTAGCCTTTATTACACAACAACTATAGAAAATAAGAAAACAATGGTTTTATATCTATGCTACTAAGTATCGCTTATTCTACTGAAATGATGATTTTTCCTGATGCTCTATTTGATCTCAATTTAGTGAAAGCTTCTTCAAAATCATTCATTTTGTAAACACTATCAACTTGAATCTTAACCTTTCCAAGTTCAATATTTTTCTTACCATCATGGATCCATTTCCCTGGCTTGGTCATGACAAACGCATAATTATATCCTAAAAGACCCAAGGCATTCATAAAAATTCTGGGAAACATGGAAAGATTTGATTTCATGTAATGACTCATACTTGCAACAGTGTAGTCTCCCTTTTTGTTACCTTGAATTGTTAAATATGAACTTGAATTTGATTGTAAAAGAGATGGTAAATCTTGGAAAAGATCACCATTTCCACAACAGTCAAAAATTGCATCAAATTTCCCCTTTTCAGCAGCATACTCACTGACTGGATTGAAAATATTAGGATGTACTTTATAATCAATGATTGAGTTTGCACCTAAAGATTTAACTGTTTCAGCTGATGATGCAGAACAAATGGCAACCACATCTTTGACATTATAAACATTTTTACACAATTGAACCACATAACGACCAACACTAGTAGCTCCACCAATAACCAACACTCTAGAAGATTCGCTGAAAGTTTCAACTTTAGCGGTTTCAACCATTATTTGAGCAGTTCCATATACCAATGGCCATGAACAAGCTACTTCAAGACTAACATTTTCAGGTACATTGGTTATAGCACTATCCACAAAGGGATCTAATCGAATATATTCTGAAACAGTCCCCTTACCAAATGGGTGTGTATACATCCCACAAACCTTATCACCGACATTAAAGTCAAGTTTTTTAGTTACACTATCACCAACTGCAACCACTGTGCCGGAATAATCTCTACCAGTTCCTTGAAGTGCCCCACCTTTCATATATGAGATCAAAGGATGTGCAGAGTTATACAAGACTATATCTACTGGGTTTAATGCAGCCGAATGGACCTTAATCAAAATCTCATTGCTGTTTACGGAGTACTCTTTCCCCCCATCAATAGGAGTCAACTGAAATGCATCCTTTTCAATCTTCATGGGTGAACGATTGTTTGCATACTGAAGTGCGTTGAACTCAAGTTCTTGTTTATCGAAAGTCATATTAATATGTGCTAAGCTTGGAAACTAATGGAATAGTTAAAAAAAAAAAATTCTAAATGACTTTCTTTACATTATCAATAAAAAAATAAATCACTCCATATGTTCTAGATGAGTTAATTTTTAGCATAGTGAGGAACAAAAATGTAAATCCATTTATTTGTTTTTTTTTTTTTTTTTTTTTCTTGATTTTATTTTGTTCTATCAATGGAAACTTCCTTTTTCAGGATCTCTATTTTTATCTGTGCAATCTGACAAGGTACACACACACATTTGGAACAGAATACAATTTTGACCTTTCGAATTGTTTTTCTTTTTTTTTTTGGTGGATACAGAACTACTAAATATATATATTATGCTACCAGAAGGATATTCCATTCGTGAGGTGAAGGCCTCAGATCATCTTCCATATTTAGAATCTTTGAAAGTCCTTACTACTGTTGGTGAGATTTCAAAGTCCCAATTTGAAGAATTGGTTGAATATTGGAAAAAGAATGAAGTATATCATCCACATGTAGTTGCTAATGAAAAGGATGAGGTCGTTGCCACGGGGATGCTTTTGATTGAACGTAAGGCTATCCATGAATGTGGCTTAGTGGGTCATATAGAAGACATTTCTGTCGCGGGACATCAACAGGGTAAGAAGCTTGGATACAATATGATCTGTACATTGGCAGAAAAGGCTAAACAAGCTGGATGTTACAAAGTAATCTTGGATTGTTCACCACATAATGTTGAGTTTTATGAGAAATGTGGGTTTAAAAATGATGGTACTGAAATGGTGAAACGATTCTGAAACTGAAATAAAAAGTATTTATTATTATTTATTATTTATTATTTTATTGGTTCACTAATATACATAGAATTTGGAATATTTATATTTTTTCAAGGGCCTGTATTGTTAGTAATGATCAAAGGAAGAATGTTGATAACAAAAGAAAATCATTGATTTATACTTACTTCCATAGAAACGATTGAATTACCTCTGACGACAATGGTACCAATATTGAGTTTTTCACCGTTTTTCTGCTCTTCGAGCGCTTCGTCTAATGTTATATTCAAGAAGACCTATAGATAGGGGTTAGTAGATGGATTCAAAATCGAAAAATATGTGTATGGTTACTTACATCAAATCCACGAAGAGTTCCAATTACTTTTCTGGATCCATTTAATTGAACTGAAAGCTTCTTATCCATGTACTAGAAGGAAAATGTTAGTATGAAGAAATTGTAGAGCGGGTGATTCCAAATGCATACATACACTTTTCAACTCAGGAGCAGATACCATGATAAATATAGTTGTATAGTAAATGTATAGTAAGTTGATATCATGATATAGAAATGAGAATGAATTATAGATGATATTTGGGAGTGCAGGTAAGAGTCAAAAACGGCCCCTCGGAATTGTTGTAGAGAAAGATAATTGAAAATAGATTAATAAAGAAAAACTGGCAAAAAAAACAAGTGTCTTTAAAAGAAGAAGAAGCTTATTTAAAAGGGTAGCACATATATTCGTATGTGTGTATCTCCATTCTTTATTGAAAACATGTTAAGTGTCACATTTTCTAAATTTATTTTGAGTTTGTCACGTGACTCTGGCTTTAAAATAGACCGGATATCAAGATCTATATGATGTTTGTTTTTTTTAAGATAATAGAAATAAGTTTGATTATAAAACAATTTTATATTAATTAACATGAGTAATATCAGGGATATAACCACGTTATCAGACTTATTAAATACCTCGCCTAGTCCACATGAAAAGTCACCAAGATCATCCAACGATGTGAGTGATTCACCAACCCCGGAATCCACTAATGTGAAAGAATTACTTGAGGCACAGAGTGAAAAGCTTAGAGTCACGACACAACGTGATGGACTACTTGCCAAAAGAGCAACTCTCAAGGAGGAGATAGAAGCATTGCGAATCAGAGCAGGTCGACTACTTCGACAACAAAAGCAATCTAATGCTCAAAAACAACTCGAGCAGGCTCTCGAGAGAAATGATCATCGGAACAATACCATTCAAAGTCCATCTTTACCTGAAACGGTGGAAGATGATGCTTCAGAAATTATACGAAAATTGAATGTTCTTCCCTCAGAAGATTGGAATGAACGATTGGTTTATATCCGGAAACTTTGCCCCTACATGACTCTTAAAACTGCAACTACAACCACGGTGGAAAACGTCCGTATCATACATTACACTGTTGCAGCTCAAGTTGAACAAGAGAAACTCTTCCTTCTTGAAGTTGAGGTGAAAGTGTCGTCCCTAAATGATTCTGTCGTTTCGATAGTACTTCCAAATCGAGAAACCCAACTCCTTCCAATTTCTCTCATTTCTCAATCATATTGTACCATTCTTATAAACAATTACATTCCTAATAAGAAGCTTAATCTACTCATGTATAGTTTCAACTCTTTAGCTGAAATGGTTCATACAAGAATGATATCCTTCCTCAAAATTAAAGAAGATTACCCCGACCTTATCTCACAATCCAAATCTAACACCATTACAAGAACTACAAATGTTTTAGAATTGGAAGTAAAGAAAGATGATGAAATCCATATAATCCGATTGCATTGGGATTTGGTATTGAACGAGTATGTTACTGGTGAGGTCGAGTCTGATATCCGACTCCATGTTGGTATGAACAATGATGAAAATACTAGAGATGCAACTAAATTATTTGTGCTGCTTGTTAAAGAAATGACAGTTCATCTGGCCCTACGTGTATTCTTGAAGACTTCATTGGGTTACAACAATTCTTAATTTTATTTATTGTGCGAGGACTCGTTTCTTTTTCATTGTCAGTCATATACATATAAGTAAAAATACATAATTAATACATAATCCTTAGAACTCCAAGTTGAACTCTATTTTACCTCCCTTCAAGTCAATTGAGACGTAGTTGGCGTTTCTAGGAGGATCTTTCTTTAAAGATTCAGTTTCAGAAGCAGCCAAAGTCTCGTTACAATACTGTAACAAATTCTGTATGAACTTGTTTTCTTCATTATCACGGTTAAAGTCGTACACAGGCACAAACCCAAATCCAACTTCGTCCAGGTCAGCCCCTGAAACACCACCAATATTATGTCCTCGGCGGCCATTGTCAGTATTGTCCAAGATCTCCTGTTGCAAGCCTTCGTACGACTTACCTTGCTGCTTGTACACAAAGCTCTCAATCCCGTTGATCACATCGTATCGCATATTTTCCCATTCCATTCCTAAAAGTCCATTTGAGGTGGACTTCTTATATTGGAAGTAGCGGAAAATCCAGTCTTTCAAGTCCTCAACCTTCTTGTTGAACTCTGCATTCAGAATCTTGGAGTTCGCACGAAGTTGTTTAAGTAATGGCTTGGATTTGCTCACAATGTTAAGATGTGAGGCCATTGATGTTTTATTAGTTGGAGAATACTCAGATTCTTCTGGAAGACTTTCCTTAATTTTGGAAAGTTGTTTGATTGGGAATGTAAGATTGTGATCAGAACGTTCCATTCTAGTGGTGGATGTTTCTGTCAAGTAATCATGAGAAGGTTCATCGTCAAACAGTATGATCAGGGTGGCTAATCCATTGGTAGCCTTACTGGCTGTGGCACCATTCCCATTCGAGTCGTGTGCAGATATCACAGAATGTCCTAAAGGTGACGAAACAGTGCTATTAAATGTGGGGAGTGGTCTTTTAGCCTTCTTGGCAATATGATGATCTCCATCGTCTTCAGGTCCACGTTTTTCAGCAGGAGCAAGAATTTGAAGTCCCGGTGGTCCCACCGTGTGTGAAGAGGTTACCACTGAAGTTTCCTTCGCCAGTTCTGTGTCAAGAGATTCTGGTTCAGCATTCGTCAATGACGCCACAGGCATCACCGACAGAGGTGCTGTAATAGGAGGTGCATGTGGTGGGTTGTGTTCCGTTGGTACTGCTGGCGCAGCGATGGGCACTACCCCTTCTACTGCGGCAATGGCTGCGGCAACGTCAACGTTCTCATCTTCAACTTGAGCCGCCAATTCCTTATCCTTCCTGGATTTGTTGCCCCGCTTAGGATTGCTATTATGTTCCTCGTCAGTCAAATATCTTTGTCTTGTCAAAATCATTTCTTGAGAAAACTTTATCTCATACTCGGTATCCTGATCAAATCTATTTACTTCTTCGTCAGGGACCATTTCTTCAGATGGGATATTACCATCGATTCCAAATGGATTATTCTTTATTTCTTCAGTACTAAACCCAGTTTCCAAAAAGGTATACATCAACCATAAAAACCTCAAGGCTCTACTTCTAGGATGTACCTTTTCGTTCAAGAAAAAGTCCATGAAATTGTTATTGAGAGCTCCTTCCTCTTGATAATATTTGATTCCACGTGAATTGGTACTTAAAAGGAAAATCAATTGGATGATATTTGTGTTTGGTTGCGCAGGAGCCAAGGGAGCTTCCATAATGTCCTGTAATTTTTTCAAGTGTTCTTGACCTTCACAAACAGATTTTAAGATCAGTTTCAATCTTGGAGTGTCTTGTAATGGCTTGGACCCCCCATGGATTGGGTCTGCTTGAAGGGATGGGATGGAGTGATACGTTCTCAATGTAGACCGCATTTCCGGAACAAAATTGATGGTTGTGTTCATTCTTCCTGAATTGACAAGAAGACAAACTTTCCCGACAGAAACCCCCATTTCTACATCCTTGAGTAAACGTTCCTTAAGAATCTTGGAACACTTTCCAGATTCTGCGAGTGTACGTACGTAGAGCTCTGAAAAGGAGTATTTGGGTTCGTTGGTAATACCGACAATTCCAGCATCGGGGAATGTGTTGGTGAAAACCTTTTGATCGTTATCGAAAAGTGCCTTGAGGAAATCGTATTGAATGTCCTTTCTCCAAAATGGTTCTCCGTCAGATTTCTTCAAATGACGAGTGAATCTCGTATTACCACCAGGTCCATTTTTCTTCTTTTTAGGTGAATCTTCTTCATCATCAGCGATAGATGTAATTGTGGTATTTGCATTAGTGTCGGTATTTTCAGTAGCTGTTGCAACATTCCCATTGGTGGCTGGGGTCAGATCCACCGTTGAGTTCCCGGTTTGTGGGGGTGAAATAGGAGACGCATTCAAGATATCTGCAAATTTAGGAGGAGGAGGAATTGGGGATGAATTGGTCGTTATAGGGGTTTCATCTGCAACAGGTACAAGGTTTGGAATAGTGGAACTCACCACTGCAGACTCCGGAACAGACTCCGGAACAGAGCCCTCAACTCCACTTCGTTCCACAGGGACTACCGGAACTTTCTCGCCAGATTCAACTCCATTCTCAGTAACGTCAGGGGTTCCCACATTGCTCTCTGGCTCGGTGGTCCCCGCTGTGAATTCTAGTTCCGACTCGGTCATAACGTCTAGTTCTGGCAAGCTGGACATGATCACTGATCGGCAATACTATTAATTATTACTATTGTTCTTCCTTTATTTTTTTTTTATGGGAAAAGTTCTAGAAATAATTAATTTACAAATCTATTTCGTCCAAGAATTCTTTACTGCTCTCACTTCCGTGCACTCTGAGGTATTTACACGCTGGTAATTTCGTGTTTTTTGGTCAAATTCATCAGCATAAAAATCATCAAAATTCATACGCGCGCGCACACACACAGGCTCTCGTACACTTTACAAAATGTTAGACGGACTAGTCACGTGCAGACTGTACAACACTTACTAAATATAAATTATATTCTATATTCTATATGTTTAGCTTCGTTGTAAATGATTGTTTTACGGTGAACTTTAACAAGTATGATATTCTCTTTTATCTTGTAATTTACTCTGATTTTCTTTTCTATTTAATTCTTCCCGGGTAATTACTATTTTATATTTCGCTTGAATAACGTTGAGATGGCTGCAAAATTTTCACCATTACCATTTCGTAGTCAGAACCACACAATATTTCCCGTACATAGTTCTCAGAATAATCTATCCGTTACTCGGGGGGCATTTCAATCACCGGAACCGCACTGCTCCCTTCGGGATGACGATATTCATATCCGATTAGTTGTATACCTGAGAGGGCTAATCAAGAATTTACCTGAATGGCTATACACTCACCGATATTATCCAATGTCATTAATGCCCCTTCCTTCCGTTTAAGCCTCTTTCTGCTGAAGACTCTGGCTTATTCACACATTCCCCCCCTCTGTATATATCATCCTTCATATAAAACCCCTCTCAAACCACCTCACATGATCCTTCGTATAACATCCCTTGTTGAATATGTAGGATTTAATAATACCTAATAGGTATGTACGTCTAACTAATAGGCTTAACAGTAGAAAAGCTAATAATAAAAATAAATATAGATTGTTATATCAATGCGTGTTGATGACCTTGCTTCATGGCTCTTATTTTCGTTTCAATATACAATTATACTATTACTGCCACACTACCCCTATATCCAGCTGTAAGGTCAATCGACAGACATTGATATACAATCTATTTTTTTATTATTAGTATAATCTTTTCTACTGTTAATTAGCCTATTAGGTATATGTACATACCTATTAGGTAATGTTGGATCCTACTTATCCAATACTCTTAAACCGTCGCCGGGGCGGGCTAGAGTCTCTCCTGACGTATAGCTGCCCCAATCGAATGTAGCCCTGCCAGAATAGCGGAATATCTCAGCGAGATCTTCATGGATATGGAGTGAGGTTGCTAAAATAACAAGCGGGGTCACCCCCTATTATTCCGCCTCGGTCGTCTGGGTTTCTGGCGACCGACTCAGCTTACCCATAGCCGTCTGGGTATCGTGTCCTATAATGCCTGACAGAGGTCTGTCTGTGTTTATGGTATGCGCTATATGCGCAATAGGTACTATCACATGAGTACTTCATATCTGGTAGGTGATGATAATAACAATCAGTCACTTGTCAGTCATAAAAAAATGTGACTCGCTAATATATACGCATAACTAAAAGGTTAATTAACAGTGGATAAGGTAATACTAATAATAATCAATATAAACTTTATTATCAATGTCGTCGCTTGACCTTACTTACAGCTGGATATGGGGTGGTGTGGTAGTAATTTAATTTAATTGTACATTGAGACGAAAATAAGAGCTATTAAGCAAGGTAAAGAAAAGTAATATTAATGAAATGGTGATATAGGGGGCGGAATCCTCATTTATTCCATTATCGTTAGAAGTATTAAATGAAACGAGAAGGTTTTGTAGTATGTTTTAACCCGTCTAACATTAATGTGAGCTGTAAAACACTGCCGCTGTACAGGAGTAATTGGTATCAAATATAGGGCCAATAACAAAAATATAGGGGCTAGTAGTTGTTTTTAGGTACTAATCAAGTAGTACGTGAGCAAACCTCCGTCTAGTAGGCGCACGAATGCGTCTACTTCTGGTACTTATGGATCCAGGTGTGAATCCATCTGCAAATAGTCGTGGGATTACAAGAACAAAATGGCAGTAACGATCAATTATCCTAATATTATATATTTTAGTATGTAAGGAAGAGGATTTTCCACATTTTTTGTAATTATACTTCTACATTTGGATTATGCAAGAATCCAATACTCTCATAAACCAACAACAAACAAACATTCCTGCCCCTGTTGATAATTAAGGAGTAAGGTGGACTGAAACTATTTTCAACGGTCAGAGTGTAATAACTTTATAAGAGCTGAATATCATTAATGCTGGGTACTGTTATAACTGGTGCAAGCCAGGAAATCGGTGTGGTTTGTACTAATAGCGTAGGCTCTTCAGTGTTTGGTGTTATAGGGTCTGGTCAAACATTATACTGTATAGACGGGGTGCCATACGGATCTGTTGCTGGGAAAAAGAAGAGTATGGCGACCAAAATGCCAGTGCGTAAGAGTTTTTGGTTAGTGTGGGTGATGTTGATATTGTTTACTGTTACAGTGGCTGCCGAAGAAGGTGAACGACTCGATCATATACCGCATGATTTATTCCACCAAGCTATTTAATTATTACTAATGTTTCCTATTTTAGCCTAACTCGTAAATATGAATCCTAACACAATTTTAGGTATTATGCAAATATTATAATACAAAGTAGTGTAGAGAAGACAACATTTTTAATTTCAGAAAAAGTTTTGATAAAGAAAGTTTCTATTGAATAGAAGTTTCTACTAAAGAATATATTATAGTATTATTCCTCGTCAATCTATTCTATTCTATAGTATTTATGTATACTGCAACCGTGAGTCTGCACATAAGAAATTATATTTCTTAAGCTCAACCGCCGCTAGTAGTGTATAGTGAACTGTCACAACTCTATCTGTCGTTATCAGCTTACTCTCCTCTTCCTCTACATATTACACTATCAAATGACGACAGACGCCTCGTGGAGGCAATTCCCTCTCTTTGATCTCACTCCTATAAGGGATCCTTACTATCGGTCTCCAGAGGCACTTTACTCGGATCCGTCCCTCTCGGCTGTTTGTTCTTGTGATCTGTATTTGGTCCTTGCTGTTCACAATGTAATCAAGGTAGTTGCTCGTGAGTTTGTCTTGGCCAAACAATTCCTGGCCTATGACTTGGAGTACAGAATCAATTACATGGCTGCCTTGCCACAGCTGAACTTGGTAGTGACGGTGGCGGAACGTCAAGGGTTCCCAGCGCTTTTAAAACTATGGGATATCACTAAATTGGTTCTGTTGGACACCAAGGATGAGGACCAATATAAGCATGAGTATCACACCTTAGTCCGGATCAATAACCAGGACAATGCCTTCCCAATCAGCAGCTTTGCTTTCAACCCTGACCTCACATGTGTGGCTGTGGGGTATGCCAATGGGAAAGTCTTGTTGATCAGAGGGGATCTCATTCGAGACCGAGGTTCAAAGCAAAGAGTCATATACGAGTCCCCAGACCCAGTCACTGGTATTCGGTTCAATCCAAAGGAAGATTTATTGTACATCACCACAACTTCAAGAATCTTGACCGTGTTGACAACTGGTAGAAATCATGGGAAACTTCATCGACTCTTGTCTAAAAAAACTGGAGTTGACATTAATTGTAGTGATATTGACCCATTTCTGGACGAGCTTATTGTGGCGACTTCAGAATCTATTCGATACTACAACCATCTAAACAAAACACATACGTTGGCTTTAGATATGCCTAAAAAATATATCTATAGGTTTGGTAAGCAATATTTATTGGTAGTCTCTCCGACCACCATTAACTCTGGAGTACTCTCTAGTAATGGTGGGAGTGGGGCAAGCAAAGTAGTTGTTCTTGATCTCACCAATAACCATATTTCATTTACCCTCACAATTCCAAACAGCACTATCAATCATGTATTTTCAATGTGGGGTGATATTTACATGTTAAGCAATGATGGAGTGTTCTTTAAGATTCATGAGAAACCAATCAACCAACAAATTGAGATCATTCTCCAAAGAAATTTGTATTTGGTGGCATACCAGTTGGCAGAACAAGCCCTGCTCCCCAAGAGTACACTTTTACGGATCCAAAAGTTACATGGGACCTTCCTATTTGAAAACCAAAATTTTGAAGAATCCATTGATGTTTATATCCAATGTTTGGATCTAATAGACTCCACCGCTACCACAGCCCATAATGAGACATTAGCGGATTTCATCATGGATATTGTGACGAAATTCAAAGATGTTTCCAACATTAATAACCTTTCAAAATTTCTTTTCCGGTTATATGAACTCAAACTCGCAGACAATGACCATCTTACTCTTTTGTTATGTTGTTACTGTAAGCTCAAGAAACTTGAAGATCTCGATACCTTCATCGATGAGCTTGACTTGGAAACTACAGATAATTCCAGTCATGTGGACTTGCAAGAATTAAACTTTCAACTAATTATCAATTTGTTTAAAGAATGTGGCTATTATACACAGGTGATCAAACTTTTGTACAAATTGAACCAGCCGGGGCATATTGTAGACATTCAATTGAACTACTTAAATCAACCTCAGAAATGTCTCCAATATATCAAGACTTTATCCATTGATGATCTTCTCTTGATTTTAATTGACTATTCTAAATATCTTTTAGATAATCTTCCTATTGAAACCACTGAATTATTAATCAATGTTTTCACGGGCCACTATGTACCTCAGGAACAGGAACTTAAACCATTTGAAGCTACTGTGACATTGGAAACAAATGGGCATGATGACAGTGTGAATGAGGAGAATGAAGAGCATCATTTCCCAATCAATAGTTATAAAAACTTTTTAACATATATTTCATTGGGAGAGAGTAGTGAAGATCAAGAAGAAGTTTCAAAACAACCTTCATCTCCGACTTACTTACCACCACGTCCTACTCTTATTTTCCCATCATTCACCACCCATCCAAATGAATTTGTTGTGTTTTTGGAAGCATGTGTCGAAGCATTTGATCGCTACCAGGGAAATATTAACGATAAAACCGACCTTCTTATGACTCTTTACGAAATGTATCTTACGTTGGGATCACAGAAGGATGCCTCAGATGAATGGAGTACCAAGGCTAAACAGTTGGTTGATACCTATTCAACTCTATTCAACAAGTCATCTCTCTTATTGGTCTCCCATGTCTACGGTTTCCATGAAGGTGAGCTTGTTGCTAAAGAACAATCTGGGTTCGAAGAACTGCTTTTCCGGTCGCTGGCGATTTCGGGTAATGTTGAAGATTGCTTCAAATTAGCACTCAAGTATGGTGATACTAAACCGGAATTGTACAAACTTTTACTCAAGTTTATTGTTTCAAAGGTAGAAATCTTCAACCAAGTGAGCGAGAGTGATTTCCGATCAGTACTTCAAAAGATAAAAGCATATAAGTTGGCATCTCCTTTGGAAGTTGTTCAAATTCTCAGTACTACAGAATTCACAACTATAGGTTTAGTAAAAGATTATTTGATCGAATATATCGATACTCAGAACCGGGAAATATCAAACAACCATAAACTTATCAATTCTTATGAAAAGGAATCTACCAAATATGGACTCGAATTATCAGAGCTTACATCCAAGCCATTTGTTATTCAAAATAATAAGTGCTCGGCATGCAAAATGAAATTGGATTTCCCCATGCTACATTTCAAGTGTGGGCACTCTTATCATCAAAGGTGCTTGGAAGAAAATGTCATTGTCTCTTCCACAACGGTATTGAATGAATCTAATAAAAACAAAGATGATCGACAATGTCCTTTATGTGCTGATAACTTGGAACGCATACGTGACATTCGAGACCGTCAATATCAATCAAAGGAAGATGTTGCGATGTTTGAGCAAAGTTTAAAGAATTCTGATGATAGATTTAAAGTTGTTAGCGATTACTTTGGTAAAGGGGTCATGGAAAATGAAACCACGGTGGTTTTAAATCAAATATAGAATTATATGTATCTAATTATAATTAGCTCAATGAAAAGAATAGAAAGAATAGATCATAAACCAAGCCTTCTTGATACATACTTTTCTGTGAAGATTTTAGGGAATGCCAACTTTTGGTATGGACCTACGAAAGGTTCAGCTAGAGTACGATCCGCAAGTTCAATTAGGAATTTATCATCTTGAATCAATACACGTGCCTCTGAGATATGAAATAATTCTTTCAAGCACCATGTGAATGAGTCTTGCGTATATAAAATTGGATTTGTATACCCCCATAATACCAAGTTTGTTGGAAATTCTAACAAATAATTCCGACAGAAATTCCAAATATTAATTGTACTTGTCCAATACTCATCCTGTAATGTGGGGTAATAATTGTAAGGGTTTGATGACTCTAAGGCTTGAACCATGAAATAGAAAGAACATTTAATAAGAACTTCGATCAATCTACTTTCATCTGATTTTGTTTTGCATGAAGCTGTTCCAACCATAACCCCTCTCCTTCTACATATCATAGCAGCAATAATGAAAAGAGTATTCCCAATGTTGTTCATACATCCATGAGTATAAAACTTTGCTTCAGATAAGTCTGAAACAATATCAACTTCAAAACATGCTCTGACAGTAGTTATAATATATTGTAATAATTGTTTCCCACTTGCGAACTCCAAGTTTAAGTCTCGATAATAATCTAACAATGATGCTGTCACAACGTTCAATGGGAAACAATACGTTGGTACTATTTTCGTATGACGGATCGAGGACAATAATGAAGTATATCTTGGAGATGTTTGGCCATTGATATCAATCCCACATACTTGAGCGACAAGCATATGTACGAGTCTTTCTACCGGAATGGATTCGAGTTCTTTTAAAATTTGTAATACTGGTACCTCTTCATACGCATCTCTCTGATCACCAAACTCAAAGAGAAGTAACGCAAATAATTCTCAATGAAGACTCTTCACTTTTAATACAGTAGTCGTTGAAATCAGTGAAGAGCAAGTTGAACAATTTAGAGACTCCGAATTATTATCTGTCGAAAAAAACCCATCTATCTCCAAGGTACAAATATGATTCCCACATGAAGGACAATTATAAGAAAAGAACAAATCCTTGTCTGATTGACAGAGGTCGCATTGACAAGTGAAGTAAAACTTCCTTTTCAACGTTTCCCTCCTCAAAAAAGTTGGTAAATTGGTAACACAGTAATTAATGAAAACCTCCAGTGAGTCTTCCCATGGTTGAGTTACTATCAATGAAAAGCTGTCTGTAGTTATAGGTAGAATCACCACATTTGGTAAGCATGAATGATTAATTAAAGACAAATCAGGTTCGACCATCATCCCAATCTCTTCATATCGTGCGTTCAAGAATACATTGGAGTTAATCATGGTAATACATGCAAGAATTTTAATATATTCTTCCAGTATAAAAGGCTTAGAAATTGATCTCCAAATATCATATGTAATATCTTGAACCAACTGAGCGTTAGATTCATCATTATTTTGTCCTTCCTCTATTTTGTCTACGTGGGACATTAACATTAATACTCTCTGTTTAAAATTAGGATCAAGCTCACAACAAATGTACAAACGAATAATGAGTCTTGTAGTTTGGTCTATTGCATGCGTGTCTCCTGGTCTAATATTGACAAAGATGGGACATTCGTGTTGATGGTAAGAGTACCAATCTCTGAGATAACACTGATAAGAACAATAACGGTAAGTGAGGCAAAATCCACAAGTAATGGGGCTAAGTGGGTCTGCGATACCATGAGCATTTACTTTAGGAAATATGACTTGTTGAACATCGGGGTGAGATTCTTGCAGGAAAACTTTTAAACAATGTTGACAAGTGTTCTTACATGAATCAAGACCACTAGACAGTGGACGGAGCTTGAGTATTCTAGCCTTGGGATAGAAAGTGGCAATTGACGATCTCATCTTCGTGCCTGCGGCATGAATTGACAATCCCTTCTCATTGGGTTCAATATGTAGAGATTTGTTATTTTCATCAAATAAGCTTGTAATCGAATATCTTCCTTCGTACATTGGGGAAGAAATTGTAGTTGTTTAAGAAGAAATAGTAAAGAGTTGCAGAAAATAGGTTGTTTTTAATTTTGGCTGCAAATACGTGCGAACCTGCTGCAATTGTGGTTTTGAACATATGTGTAATATGAAACAAAATTCAAACATGGGTGTTTCATACAATCATGAAAAGAGAAAAAGTGTAGAGGCCATGTAAATATATATAAGTGTGTGTAATAAGAAATAGTACATACTACACATTTTGGTACAACAAATATTATGCCAACATTTCAACAAATAAAAGACTCAAAAATCAAATCATTGACAACGACTATTCGGCAAAACCAGACGCCATATAAATCAACAACAAAAGAGTCACCAATTAAATTTCAATATGGATTAATTGAGTTCTTAGAATCAGAGCTAGTTTATCAAGAAGACTTGTCCATGGTTAAAAATGTGTATAAAGCACTATTGGAGCATTGTGTGGATTATCGATACATTTTTGATCAGAATGAAAAAGATCTTCTCTTCACTGACATGGTAAAACTAATGAATGTATCGTTTAGATTCTCGCAACAAATACATGCCAAAATCTCTACATTTTATCTGGTTCAATCCTCACAAGCAGTTAAATTACTAATTTTACAAACTGAGGGTATAAATAATTTATTAAAATTTGATTTAGGTGAATTTATAACATTATTTCTCTTTGAACTTCAAGAATTCAAGAGAAATATGTTCAGATACTCCATTACTCAAGAGTTCAGAATGAAATTGTTATATGACAAGAAAAAACTTGGAGGTCCACTCATGGAACGATGGTTAAGAGAAGCAAATGTAAGCAAATCTGGCACCACAAGTCCAACCAAAATTTTATCATTAGAGGAGTTATTACTGAGACCAATACAGAGATTGACGAAATACCCACTACTACTCAAACAATTAATTGATAATTCAGACAATATTTGGACAGGGTTACAAAAACATAATATGAATGTTGCGCTAATTAAAGTTAATCACTTGTTACAAAGTTGCAATTCTATTTATCAAGTAAATAATTGGCTGGATTATCATTCATTAAGAGAAGATGTTGAAAAATACAAGTTGATAAAATCTCCATCAATTAACAATTTTAAAAATGAATTAAAGTTATCAACTTCTATCAATGATCAATGTCCAAATATTGTCAATCAATATGAGAATGTATTCACTTTACTACAGAACTTATCCATAACAATTGACACTCTTCTAAAGGGGATGATCAAATTTACTGACAATAATTGTAAATATTCAAAGTTTTGGAATGATTTCTTATATGAAACAAGTTTGAAACAAAAAATAAATAATAATGAGGATGTAACTAGATATATTCAATCTTCATACCTGTGTTATCAAGAAAAGACCATGTTCCAAAAGTGTAAGACTATAGAACTAGTTCTGAATATTAGAGATGAAATATTGGTTCGACATGATCTTGCCATTGAAATTTGCAACCAAGTTAATTTTAAAATTAAAACTCATTCTATATTGAAAAAAAAATATATTGATTACATGGACTCAATAGAGAAGAAAAAAGGGAAAGGTAATGATAAAGGATCAATATTCAAGAATAATCGGAAAACTATGTCCATGGTACAAACATACATTCACCTTGGAAACCAATTAAAAGAGCAACTTCCGCTCTTGACCGGATATATCAAAGCTCTATGTTGGCACACGGTGACAGAATTAAATCGATTCAATATAAAATGGATCGAATCAATTTTTGGTCGTACTTCTGTGCAAACCCACAGAGACATTAACGATGTTATAGATTTTTATCAGACTTGTAAATGGGGTGATAAGGGAGACCATTCGATGAACATGTGATGTGATAGCAAGTGGGAAAAAAATAAAAAAAAATAAAAAAAAAAATGAGAACTAAAAATATTAATGAGCTAAAAACAAGATTAATCAAGTTCAGCCACAGCAAAGAAAATGAGTTCAATTGTATTAGGGTTTGGTATTTCAAATCATCTTTATGGTATATTCAGATGAGATCAGTAATAAATTTGTAGACCGAGCTTAAGCTGTCCTCTAGTATGTTCTAGAACTATAATAAATATAACTGAGCACTTTGTAATAATATAGGTTATCTCCGTAGATGAATCATCGATTGGTGGGGCAAATGCTAACGAGATTCGGACCCCCTCTTCCCGTACGACATTTCCCATACGAGGGTCTCATACGAGATTATAGCGAGCCGTTTATACTCACAACTCATTACCGGTGTGTAACCAAGAAGTCTACCTTAACTAGTTACTTTGCACCTCTTGACAATTGGTAATACGAAGAAGCAGTGTTACGTATGTCTTGCACCTTGTAGCAAGAATATACTTGCTAAGTCTCGTACGTAGTAAGGCACTGGCTGCAAAAGGTCCTTCATATAACCAAAATTGCTTCCATTGTGCCTCGCTAATAGTCTTGTGACTTAGTTAGTCTGCAGGCGGAGGACGCATGAGAAAAAAAAAATTGTCGTGTCGTCAGGATAGCGAGTGCGCGCCCAATCTTGCCATCATAGCGCAATTACCTCCTTATTACTTGCTGTCTTTTTTCAACCTTTTCTCTTCTTTCTTTTCATTCCAACTACATCAATCCGATCTACACTATGTCTGCTCCAGTTGTTACCCCTACCTCAACCTCGACCTGTTCCTTGTTGACCTGGAAGGACCCTGTCCAAACCGCCAAGGTCTTCGGTGGAATTGTCACCACTTTAATTGTGTTCAAGTTTGTTAACTTGTTCAACCTTTTCTTCCACTTGGCCTACTTGGGTCTTCTTGGTATGTATATCCGGCACTGTCTTTAGTCCTCGCATGATCTGCAGATCAATGTCCTGGACGGGACCTGCTATTTGATTCAATTGATGCTATGGGCCCTGTTCTATCCGTTTCTCGGCTGGGGGATGTTCGCGTCTCCTTGAACTTTTTTCTCCGTATCAATTTATTGAGATCATTTTTAGTCTTTGTTAAATCACACACAGCAAAACATTTTTACTAACATCCTTCTCTAGCTGCTGCTGCTGCTGAATACGCCGGTAAGTTGGTCACTGGTCAAGGCTTTGTCACTAAGTACAAGCCAGGTACCAAGTCCTTTGCCGCCAAGTTCAACGCTGATGTCTTGCCATCCATTGCCAAGTTCAACACCAAGGTTGAAGCCGAAGTCCAAAACATTGTATATGCTCACGATATCGAAACCACCTTGAAGGCTGGTGGTATCTCTTACATCTTGTACAAGCTCACCTCTTGGTTCTCCCTTTACACATTGGTTTTCTCCGCTGTTGTCTTGACCTTCACCGTTCCTGCTGCTTACTTCCACAACAAGAAGGAAGTTGATGCTGCTATCCACCAATACTCTCAATGTGCTCAAGCTAAGTTCTCTGAACTTACCAAGGTTGCTCACGAAAAGGCTGCCCCACACTTTGAAACCTTGGCCAAGAAGACCGGTCCAATTGGTACCTTCATTTCTAGCAAGATCCCAACTAGAACCGCTGGTTCCACCGTTGGTTCTGACAGATCCACTTCTTATGCTTCCATCCCAGCTTCCACCAAGCCAGCTGCCGCCAAGCCAGCTCCAGCCAACCCAGTTGTCGCTAAGTCAGCTGACGTCACCGTCCCAGTCTCTGTTGAACCTGAAGTCGCCACCACCACCGGTGCCTCCAAGTTCCCAGACGTCCCAGCCTCTTTGCAAGCTGACATCAATGCTGCTGTCCACGAAGCCAAGACCAAGACTGGTGAAGTCCCAGCACCAAACTTGTAAATGCGCTTGCGCATGCAAGTGTGAGAAATTGTTTCTTTTCTAACTATTTGTTTTATTTTATCTACTGTGCTTCAGTGGAGGGGTCCGTTTGTGACCTATACGAGATCTCTACTATTTATTTGATATTATTGCTCTAAAAAAAAAATGAACATGTAGAATTTGCTTTATGGCGGAGACAGGTTCTTCCCATGATCATCCCTTGTAGGTGATTTACAATACCTCAATTACAATTGCCGTTTTGTCTATTATACATATATTTTATGCTACAATCTAATCACAATCATCTGGAGTTGGTAATCTTCTGTAACAGGCAATCCATTTGTCTCCCTTATTACGACTAACCTTTTGACCTTCTTCAGTAGAGTTCCACATGAGTTGTACGCATTTGTCTTGCTTTTCCCATGCTTCATCCAAACGTTCAAAAAGTGGATGTTCTTCCAAATGCTTCACCATCCATTCATGCAAGTCATGGACGTCTGTGATGGTGTATACCACCCCACCTTCACGCAAAACGTATGCATATTCGGAAAGAAGAGTGTTGGTGATAATCCGGGCTTTATGCTTTCTTTGTTTGAAATGAGGGTCTGGGAAACAAAAGAACATCTTGGAAAGTTGTCCCTTACGGAAGAAGTTTGGAAGAAACTTCATGGCATTCCCACGTAATACAGAAATGTTTTGGAAGTTGGCCTTATCTTCGGCATGCTTTTTACGTAAGGCAATAATTCTATCTTCCACATATTGTGTCACTTGCACTCTGATTTCCATACCCAAACATAAAGTTTCAGGGAATGATTTGGCCAAGTTGATAAGAAGACCACCATATCCACATCCTACATCTGCTATTTCCACACCAGCGGTCATTTGAGATTTCTCTTCATCGTAATAACCTGGGTACAAAGTGCTCCAGTTCATGCAATCAGGGGAACGTGGATATTCCAAACGATGGTCCGAAAACGGGTTAGAGTGTGCTCTTTGTCTATAGAATCTCTTTCTAGGGAGTTCAACAGCTTCTGGGGTTGCTGATTCTGGTGCTGGTGAAGGAGAACCTTCTGAGCCAGCAGCAGCCTCTTCAAAACGAGCTTGCTTGAAAGCCTTTCTTGTTTCCTCCTTCTTTTCTCTATATTCCTTTCTCTTGGTTGCAGCCGAAACCTTGGCCTCCAATGTGTTTTCCGTGCTCATTGTGGGGTCTTTCTATTGATGAAAAGGGGAGAAAGATGTGCTGATATGGAAGACTTGTTCGTTGATGATGAGCTTTAATTTTTTTTTTTCGTCTTCTTCTTCCTAATTGAAATTTTTCGCGGAGATCATATCTTAACATATTAGTTAAAACAGCAGATAAAGTGTATGAGTTGATAAATAGTTGGGATATAAAACTCAAGAAATGAGATTAGAGTTTAGGGAAGGAGGTGGTGGTTAAAGCAGTAACTTATTGTTCACTGGACCCTCATTTATATCTTTTTTTTACATTGTATATGTGCTCTGCTTTGTCTACTTTTCGCACCCATTTATGAACAAACCTTGATAAATAATCTTTCTACCCTTTTTTTTTAGGCCAAACAGTGGTATATAAATCTTTAAGTTGATCATTCAAGAACTAATTATATTAGAATATCCTCATTTGTTCTTTTACCTTCTTATGTTCAATATTAGAAAAACATGTCCATAATTCGAACTGTATCGGTAATTCAAAATCTCCAGTATGACTCCCTATTCAAATAGTATAGATATTTGTCCCTACAATCTTAGTCTACTCGGTGTAATATTAGTTAGTATGTACAAGGTATATATATACACTCACGTGGGTTTAGAGGCCATCAAAACTATTTTTGTATCTTCCAATTCTCTTCAATTATATGACTCGTTTGGACTTCATTTTAAAGATTGTATTTGCTTAACCTCTACATCTTCCTTATTTTCTCATTTCTCCTCGGTCTATCTAGTTCTGTTCTTCTTCTTCTCCCTTGGCTAATTGAGCACCAGTCAAGTACAAGATTTGCAGAGGGGTCAGTAAGGTTTGAACCAAACCACCACCAGCTAACTGTCTCATAGTGGCCAATAAACGGGCTTGAAGTTCTGGCTTACCTGGTAAGTCCTTGAACAGACCAACGGCATCGATATCCAACAATTGTTGTTCAACCTTGGCACCAATCAAGATCATTTTTTCGTTGGCTTGCTTTAAAACCTTCAAAACTTGAGCAACTACAGCTGGGTCACATTCAGGAATGGAAATGACGGCGGTAGGACCATTCAACAATGGAGTGATTGGGTGCACTATGTTCTTGTTACGTTCGCTGGCAGCACGGTCAGCTGGGTCGGTCTCGTGCTCATTACGCAAGTATACACCATAGATACTGTTTCTGATATAAGTAAGCTTGGCACCAGCCTTGAGAAGATCAGCACGATACTTTTTGTTTTCAGTCTTGGTAAGGTTATTGTGATGGACATAAAGAACAATGTCGTTAGTTCTGTTAAGGTTGGTGTAATAATCTATGAGGAAAGTCTTTCTTGAAAAGATATGTTTACCAGTATCACGGGATTCAGAAGTGAGATGTTCTATGGTGGAGAGTGCAGGCCCAGTGGTAGCTGGAGCGGTGGATGTGGTGTAAAAGGCGGTTGATTTCCAAAAGGCCAGTTGTACGGTTGGGCGAACAAGTGAGATTGCGGAGCTGCTGCTGCGCACTACGGGACTCGCAGCCCTGACGAGGTTAAGAAGTTGATGTCTCATCATGGTGTTATTGGTGGAGGTATATGTGGTTAGGTTGGGATGAAATCGGTTGTAAATGTTGGTGAGATTTTTTTCTTCATGTAGCTAGAATGGAAATGGGCCATGCACGACGCGGTACAAACATACACTGCAAATATTAAGCTATAGTAGAGAGAGTTTAATGAAAGATATTGAAGTAGAGAAGAGAGAAAGGGGATGTGTGAGAACATGTGAGATATGAAGTTTGTTTTTGATGTGAATAGGAACCCCTTTTGATTTGAATAAGAACCTTTTGATGTGAATATGAAATATTGCAAAGTGTAGGTTTGTAAAGCATAGTAGGAAAAAAGAGAAGGAAATTCAGAAGATTGTTAGATAGATATTCATATTATTTATGGAAGCATTTTTTTTAAAAAAAAGCATAAGTTATAGTTTAGAGATTGACCATTTGGGTGACTTATTATTACATTCCAATACATACATATTTTTTATTATCTTTATCAAACAGAAATGTTGAATTTTCTAGTGAGCGTGCGCAATTAAAAGTACAAGCATATGAAGAAAACGATTTTCCCTTCAATGGACTAAAAAGACTAATCGGAATACATTGCATGGTAATCTACGTAGAAATTCATGGTGCCAACTCCTTCATAAAAGCTATTGTTCATTAAAACTTTTTGATATTCCAACCATTTTTATTACAATCTATCTTCATTTTACTTTTCTTCATCATAACTCTTCGCACCATTTGTCTTTTTATTGTATCAAATTTATTTATATTAATTCTTTTTTTCCTTTCTTACATAGGTGGATAACTTTTTATTTAGTCTATTGTTAATTATATGGCTGGTTCTTCCTTGGACGATTTTGTGCGGCATCTCAGTCAGAATGCCAGTGCAAGCAATTATCATGATATGACATCATTTGAAAAGAACAATAGTCGCAGAAGTAGCAGTACCGATAGTAATGAACCCAAGAGATTAAAGAAGGAGAAGCCAATCGACACTCCTTTTGGACATGTAGATATGAAGAAATTGGAGCATTGTGCTCGGACACTACAGAAGCAAATAAGAATCATCATCAATGAAGCTCCGGACCTGGAAAGGCTTCAGGAATTGCTTGAATCTCCCAACGTGGACGATGATGTCAAACATGAGATTCAACGGAATGCCCTTGTTAAGGTTGCTGCTGCTCTCAAATCACAATATAATGCCAAAGAATTGGATATCTTTGATGATATTATCACCGGGAACGTCAGTGCTGAGGTTGATAAGATTATCAGCGATAGAAAAGATGATCAAAAAGATGATCAAAAGAATGATGATGATCAAGATGATGAAGACGATGATGAAGATGATGATGATGATGAAGATGGGCTTCCTCCACTTCCTCCAATCCATGACCCACATCTCTCTGATCGAGTATTTATTCATAAATCAACCCTTAACGATCGTACATACCTTCTGGAAAAAGAATTGATTGCTGCCCATAATGAACGATTGGAATTCCTTGGAGATTCTATTCTCAATAACGTTGTCACCATGATCATTTATGAACGCTTTGACCATTCACCGGAAGGTGAATTGTCTAAAATTCGGTCTCTGTTGGTTAATAACAAGACTCTTGCCGAATTTGCCATTGCTTATGGACTTGATAAAAGACTTCGCAGTAATATAAGTGACTCCATTCTTAAACAGGGGAATCAAAAGATTTTTGCTGACGTTTTCGAAGCTTATATTGGAGCGTTGGCAATCCAACATAAAATGGTACTTACATCTATCAAACTGTGGTTAACGAAAATAATGGCATGGAAATTAAAAGAATTTGATCAAGAAATTAAAGGACTTGAGCCAGTAAACAAGAATGCTAAGACTGACCTTTATCTGCTTATTGGGACCGCGGCATTCCATCCACAATATAAAGTTGTCAAGACTGGAGATGGGGCAACTGAATCATTTATAATCCGATGTGAAATGGGTAATGATGTTTTAGGAGAAGGAGTTGCTCCAAGTAGCAAGGAAGCTGGGCTTAGAGCTGCAATGCAAGCATTGAAGAACAGAGATTTACTTGAAAAATATGGACAGATACGACTTGGCACTGATAGAAATGAATCTAAAATCAGTCTGAAGATGCTTTATAGTAAGTATCAAGGATTACTGGGGGTTCCATCAAATATTGTTGATGAAACTACAGGAACGGGAGGTACATATATACCTCTGGATATTTTCCCAGTAATTGGGGATGAATCACAAGTATTTCTTCCTGAAGCTAAAAATGACTTGTATGCCATTTTAAACAAACGAGGTATCATTCCTCAATATCAAGTAAGTGCTGAAGAAGATAAGTTTAAAGGAGAATTACATATTAAAAATGTATTGGTTGCAATTGGAGTTGATTCTTCAAAGAAACGAGCTGCAACTCGAGCGGCAATTGCGTTGTTGAAGAATAAGAAGGCTTTACAAGAAATTGAAAAATTATAGTACGATTATGCACTGAATAGAATGATTTAGTTTTTATTATGATGAAGGGCAAAATAATGTGAAATACATAGGAGATACATTTCCTTGTCAAGAGGTTTGTAGTACAAAACAAAAGTATGAATATGAAGTGTTGGTAAAATATGGAAAGAAGAAGAAAAATCGAGATGATTAAACAATCAAATATCTCGGATTTTGTACCATTGAATATGCCTAGTCTATGTAATACTCCAATCAAGGGCAAACAAGTTGTAGAAATTACATTCTAGTAAAAATGCAACTGGTTACTAATTAGGAAGTAACCGCGACTGCACGTGACGCAATGAAGACTTAAGCGCCACGATAAATCCCCGCCAATTGTGGAGTTGAGGGGAGTCAATAGTGTACCCTAATCGATTTATCGATTACTAATGAGAAAAATGTAAAATAAGAAAAGTCACGATACATAAGTGGACTTGCTTAAATTTACATAGTTAATGGATAGTTCTACTAGGGTTGAAGTCGAATTTTAAGTTTAGAATTTAGTGTATTCCCGATAAATATGCCACAGTGATTAGTGATGCAACCTAAGATTTATGGATCTAACATTTCGCACACAATTTTAAATTAGCGCTCTGAATTGATATATAAAGTGGAGAAATCCACATAAACATTCAATGTATGTTTAGATAAGAAATATTAAACATATTACGATTTTTTTTTTAGAAGATGACAACTGTATTTGTATCAGGAGCTACAGGGTATATTGCCCAACACGTGGTAAAGGAATTGGTTGCTAACGGGTACCAAGTTGTGGGATCAGTTAGATCTGCTGAAAAGGGAGATAAATTGAAGAAATTAGTTGGATCCAATTTCTCATATGAAATCGTCAAGGATATTCAAATTGAAGGAGCATTCAATGAAGCTTTGAAAAGGCACCCTGAGGTGACGGTTTTCTTGCATACAGCATCTCCATTCCATTTCAAAACAACTGAACCAGAAAAGGACTTATTGATCCCTGCAGTCAATGGAACTAAGAACGCCTTATCAGCTGTTCATAAATTTGCTCCACAAGTTAAGAACGTAGTTATTACTTCTTCATATGCCGCCATTGCGCCTGCATCTAAGGAAGTTGATAATACTGCCACAATCTCTGAAACTACTTGGAATGATGTTACATGGGAAGATGCTACTAAGGATCCTGTAACTGGATATCGTGGCTCAAAAACTTTTGCTGAAAAGGCTGCTTGGGAATTTGTAGAAGTTGAAAAGCCTAATTTCATATTATCTACTGTAAACCCAGTTTTCGTATTTGGCCCACAAGCTTTCGATTCTGAAGTTAAGGATACTTTGAATACATCCGCTGAAATCATTAATGCCTTACTTAAATTATCTCCAGATGATGAAATCCCATTTTTCAGAGGTGCATACGTTGATGTAAGAGATGTTGCTAAGGCTCATCTCACTGCCTTTGAAAACAAAGGAGCAGAAAACCTGAGATTATTATTGGCTGATGGTAGATTTGTTACTCAAAATATTGTTGATATTTTACTCGAGAACTTTTCTCAATTACGTGGGAAAATTCCAATTGGGGAACCTGGTAGAGGTTCTGATGTTGAATCTAAATTGGCAAAGATTGATAATGAAAAGACCAAGAAACTTTTAGGGTTTGAATTAATTGATTTAAAGAAAACAGTCTTGGATACAGTTCAACAAGTTTTAGATGTGAAGGGAACTATTTAGATGTAGAAATAGTAATGGAGGTTCAATATACGTTTAAAATTACTACATTACGTAAGAATGGCTGCAAAACTAATGGATTTGTAATAAACGTTATACTCTACTATCAGGAGTCTATTAGTGTTATATAAAACTCATTTCTAATGTACAGCCCAAGCTCTGATGTTAAGAAAGTCATTTCAGTTTACAAATGTAATATTGTTCTCTTCGGAGAAACATTTTAAACCTTTTTTCTTCCTAATTTGTACTAAATTTATGAAAAATAATAAATTATGTTTATAAAACTGTGATAACCAAATTTTTTAAAAAAGGAAAAAAGGTACAGGTTGAATGAATCAATTCAACGATTGAACTTCATAGAATACTTTATATAGACGTAGAAACATTTGATGAATTTGAATTCACACTAGCATTAACAAATACAGACATATTAATTAACATTGAGAGGTTTTTTTTTAACCAGCCTTTTCCTACTACCTGCTAAGGTTTATTCATATAAAAAGTAAAGAAAAAGATAAGTAAGAAGGTAATATAACCAAAAATAATATAGACATGTTCTCAGTGATCAATTCACTGGTTTTCCGCTGGTGCAGTTGGAGAGAATTGCAAAAGAAAACGAGCATAACCTTGAATTCATCAACTACAAAAAATAGCTTGGACGTAAATTATCTATCAAGAGACACCCTTAATAAACAGAATATAATATATTCATCACTCTATCTATATTAGCTGCCATTGACATTCTGATTTCGTCGTTTTAACTTGTTTACTGCCTATTCTATTTTTAGAAACACCCGGACACCGGTTTTCAATGTACTTTTCATTACAAAAACAAGCACATTTTGAACTCCAAGAAATAGGTCCCTTGGCCCAGTTGGTTAAGGCGTGGTGCTAATAACGCCAAGATCAGCAGTTCGATCCTGCTAGGGACCATTTCTCCTAGAATTTCTAGGGCGTGTGGCGCAGTTGGTAGCGCGTTCGCTTAGCATGCGAAAGGTCTCCGGTTCGACTCCGGACTCGTCCATTTTTTTTGGGAGGCTATTCATTTTTTTGTGTGGCATACTCTTTTAATTCAATTACTTCAATTACTTCAATTACTTTCATTATGTTTAAGATAGTTAATGTTGAATTTTTAGAATACTATTCAAATGATGTTCCAAAAGAATTATTACGAGAAGTTTTATTGGATTGTGTATGTGATACTCCAGGAGAATTACAATTAACATTACTGCCAGGTAGAAAATTAGTTCAAACTGGTCCATATATATTACCTCCAATAAGATGGTTAGATAGCTTTGAAATTAATGCGGAGTTTGATATAGTATGTGATGTCCAATAATTTAATTACATATACTGATCTATATATACTGATCTACATATTCTGAGAGTATGATAAATTTGATCTTACTCATATTGAAAGGGGTTTAAAATAAGGAATGACTCCAATATCAAAAGTGCGTTTTTTAATATTATAAATTGAGTTCACACAAGAATTATCTTTTATACATACATCTTGAATTACATATACTTTTGAAACACCCCAGTTGTAGGAGTATGAACCCCTATAGATGCTGTACATTCTCTCTTCGCTTTAGATAACAAATACCATTCTTCTTCATTTGATCCCTTATATTAACAATTTTTTATATTGCAAATTATTTTACCGTTAATATTTCTATCCCCTACACTGTATTAATGTGAAAGCAGGAGATGATTGGAAATGAACATAGTATCTTTAAGCTACAAAGCATCTTTTTTTATGATTCGTAGAAATAATTTTCGTGGGGGGTTTTGAGAACTAATCAAACTAAATTTCGCTATCTAATAATTTTGATAAACAGTATTGCATACAGCCGCGATATGACAATATACTACAATAGCCAAATAAACAAATTCAAATGCTAAATATCCATTCGAAAAAATCAGTTTAGTTGGAATTGATACTCATTCAATGGAATCACAGGCTTCAAGAAATTTGCTGACATCATCTTCGATACGAAGAAAGCAGACAAATCCTCCAGAACATCTTTCTGAATTCTTCTCCTTAATGAGTAACAGTTCAGATATGTCACTTCAACAAGGGAAGTCAAGTACCCAGATAAAATATTCTGGATCTTCAACTAGTCCAGCGACACCCAAAATATCTGCCTCTGGTCAACATCCCCGTAGACCATCTTTAAATACCATTGATACATTCACTTCATTTTCACCTTCGGTACTCGACCTTCCTAACATACTTACCTCTAAGGATTTTCTGAGTACAGTGGAGACTTATGGTACTCTTCTAGAAAGGGCTTCAAATTTAAAGAAGGCATTGGATGAGGTATCAAGGTGTACTGGAGAGTTTGGACAAGCATTGGAAGATTGTGTGAATGATTGCCCAAAGGTTCAAAATTCAAGACCAGTTGAAGATGGGATGATTAATGCAGGAGGCCTCCACTATATGATCAGTTCTAATCAACAGATTTTAGGACGCCTTATTGAACAAAGTTTTGAAATTCCCCTTAAAAGAGAGCTTCTGAAGCTCAAAGAGGAGTATCAAGTGAATCATACATACTATCAACAAGAAATTAAATCAAGATCAAGAGTTCTTCGAGAAAGTGAGTTACAAAACCTCAAGCTTTCCAAGCTGAAAACAAGAAATTTAACTAGCTATAAAAATAATTTGATGGACCTTACCCGACAAGTTGAAGAAATTGATAGGTTGAAATATGGATATTATAGAGAAATTAATCTAATGCTTGAACGATTTAACCAGGAAAAGTTATTACCAAGGACTGGATCGTTAGTGAGGGCCCAATTAGAATTATACGAGGGTATTGCAAAGAAGGGCTGGTCTGGGGGTGGACTAGATAATCTTCTAGCGGTTTCTCCAGACTTATTTGCGGAAGAAGATGAAGAAGAAGGAATTGATGATGTGATGGGGAAGAATAGATATGGGTTGACTGAAGATAATCGAAACTTTCCTCTGACAGGGAACATTAATTCTCTTCGAGAAGAACCACTAAATGAAGCCGATGAAGGTGATGATTCTGCCATCTTTGAAGCAGACGCAAATGAAACCATGGAAACCGTCAAATTGACAGATGACCTGCCATCAGGACATAAGTATGAGCCAAATACGGATGGTAGCTCAACTCCCATCCCCACTAAATCAAGGAACAATGAAAGGTTTGATTCGTCAATGGACGAATCTTTTTCTCTACCAGTAGTCAATAATTCGAACTCTCTTTTGGCTAGAAATTCTGGTCATGATACACCAGAAGGGAGCATTTTGAATGATGACATTCTTAAGGATTTATGAGTAATTGATAAAATTCTAGATATACAGTCTACGGGGATTGATTATTCTTTGCTGCAGAACATTTATTTTATTATATTGGGGAAGGAACAGGCTGGCCCATAACTTCTTCCTCAGACTTTTCCTTAAAACTCTTCATTGGACGCAACCCCCATTTCTTCAACATGGTGATATCCTCATCCCAGCCATTACACATGGTGGTGAGCATTTTCTCACCCGTGAAAATTGCATTACAACCAGCCATAAAACACAAAAACTGTTCATGTTCTTTCATAGTATACCTACCTGCAGCCAACCTGATAATAGATTTTGGCATGATGAGTCTTGCAGTGGCAATAGTTTTCAAAATGTATTCAAATTTTAATTTACGTTCAGATTTTGCATCCAAACCAGAAATTTCTTTCTCCATTGGGGTCCCCTTAATAGGAACTAAACGATTGATAGGAAGAGATTCAGGATGATTTTCCATAGTTGCCAAAGTATAGAGAAATGATATATGATCTTGAGGAGTTTCACCTAATCCTAAAATCCCACCAGTACAAGCTTTGATACCAGCATCTTGAACGTTTTTAATAGTTTCAAGACGATCATCGAAACTTCTAGTTGAAATAACATTTGGGTAATGTTCTCTGGAAGTATCAATATTATGATTATATGCTGTTAAGCCAGCTTTATGTAAATCATCGGCCTGTTGACGTGAAACCATCCCCAAAGTTACACAAGTTTCCATCCCCAATTCTTGATTAATCTGGGTAACCATTTGAGAGATTTTCTTCAATCCACTTTTACGACCAGTCATATCTCTCCATGCGGCTCCCATACAAAATCTAGTTGACCCATTTTGTTTAGCGGTTCTTGCAGCTTGCATTACCTCGTCAATAGTAATAAGCTTCTCTGCTTTGAGTCCAGTATCATACCTTGAGGATTGTGCACAATATTTACAATCTTCAGTACATCCACCTGTTTTAATTGAAAGTAATGTACATAATTGAACCTCAGAAGGATCATGATAACGACGATGTTGTACTTGTGACTGGTAGACCAATTCCATCAATGGAGTATTATAGATTTCACTGATTTGACTCTTAGTCCATGAACTGAGCGGCTCTTTAGTCTGGAGGGCCAATTCAATGGCACTTAAATTCTGTGAACCTATGAGATCACTAGTATTGATGTTAAAATTAATTGAACTATCATTATCAGTTGATCTTGCTGCAAGTATTTTAGATTTTGAAGGTATGGACTTCTTAATAGATTGACTGAAATATCTTTTAAACATGGTGTAATATTACCAAATAATTCAGATTATTAATTAACCAATGAAATAGTGAACATTATTAAATATATAAATTAGATGCATGGGAGCTTGATTTAGTATTTAAACAATACGACTAATTCCCCTCAACGCTTGACTCCTCAAACTGTATAGAATCACGAGTCATATAGGGAGTCAAGCACACAACTCACAATTGACTAATTAGTCACTCACGTGGTTCAGGGTTGAACCCTACCGAATCACGTGAAATATTGACCCCGCGAATCTTCTAAAAACTAATGAATATAATTTTCACGAATTTATCCTGCAGGCACTTTAACTTACCGCATCGGGTTTGTCATTGATACTTTAATTTTTCAAATTTCAATATTTTTGTAGAAGTTTTTCCTTTTCTTTTCATCCACATAACTAATCAAAATGGCTCCAATTGTATGTATTATATTATTTTAACTTAGGTGGCATACCCTTGAGCGGGTTCGTGAACAGTGTTGACATTTTTTTTTCCTTGATCACTTGATTTATTCTAGTGTTGAGGTTTTTCACTTACTACTATTTTTTTTGAAAATTTTTCCAAAACTGTATTGCAAACCCGGTCCTGGGCTATGCTGTCTTTGATTCTCGCGAATTAATTGTGCGGTAGGCTAACAGGACTCTAGACCACCAAGAAATCTAAGGCTGCTAAGAAGTTCGTCGTTGACACTTCCGCCCCAACTGAAAACGGTGTTTTCGACCCAGCTTCTTACGTCAAGTTCTTGATTGAAAACATCAAGGTTGACGGTATCGTCGGTAACTTGGGTGAAGACATCTCCATCACCGAAGAAGGTTCCAAGGTTGTTGTTGTTTCCAACACCAAGTTCTCCGGTAAGTACTTGAAGTACTTGTCCAAGAGATACTTGAAGAAGAACCAAATCAGAGACTGGATCAGATTCGTCTCTGTCAAGCAAAACCAATACCAATTGCAATTCTACTCCGTCGCTGACGAAGAAGAAGAAGATGACGAATAGATTATTTAACAACAAAATAATATATATAGTTGATTTTCAATCGGGTTAATGTAAAATGGGTTTAGGAATTATAAATGTAAAATCTGTAATTTGTCAAGTAATGTGGTTATATATTGGATATACAGGTATCTAATTATTATTGGTACCACTCTTAATTTTGATTACTACGTCGTTGGATACCACTCTTTTTCTTAGCAATTTCTTCTCCAATCGTAACTCCGGAAATCTTTTAACGTAGCTATAGTATTGGAATGGATGCGTAGTCCGAAGAAAAGACGATCTTTCCCAGATTTCTGTACCATTATCAAGTAGGATTTTCATCAGGAACCCATTAGTCACTCTTCTATGACCTTTAATTTGCTTTACATTCTCTGTTGTTCCTTTATATGCTGACTTTTTTTCCAGCCAACCAAAATATTGTATATTTGGAAGTAGAAGACTATTGTTCCCCCTTTGAAGGCTCATTCGTTTTTGAAGAAGGTAAGTTAACGATGTTGAAATAAATCGGTGAACGCCTGGGTTTGAAAGTGAATTACCAGAAATGGCCACATTATAGTTTGTGAACTTTCCGAAATTTCCCGTTTTAATTACTTCTCCATTTTTATGAGATTTTGATTTATTCAATGTTGGACTTAACTGAGTTGACTTCAATAACTGATTGTATAAAGTAGCAAAAGGGCGACTTCCCTTTGCTAAATTCGCAGTATTAATTCCTAAAGAGGGAATAGATAATTTAAGGCGGATCAACTTTTGAGAGGACATGGTAGTTTATTTGATGGGGTTTCTGTTCTACCGTTCGTCTAATAAGCGCATCTACCAAGATTAAATACCATTCCAAAGCTTGTAAGTTGTTCGAATTTAGTTTCAATCATGTCTAGGTACTCAGACAAAGAGACTTTAATTACAACCACCTCGTTTGGAAGAATATCCCAATTGGGAATTACAATGGATGAAAAGAACCAACTGTGTTAACGATAAACAAATTCGAATCAGATTTGACTATTTCACAATACTTTCCTAATTCGACCGTGTCAATGAGGGTTTTTTCTAAATTGAGCATTTTTATGGTTTCAAAACTGTTCAAATCAAAGAACACGCACAACGCTTTTTTCATGAACGGTTGCAAAAAGTTTATTTTTTTTTTTGTGGTTGCACCAATCTTTTTTCTCGGGACTATGAATACATTTCCTACAAACCAATTTTTGTACCCGATATATTATTAATTATAGACAAAAAAATATCCCTACTATGCCCAATACTGTTGAACGTTAAGTCCTAGTTGATCAAATTGTCTTTTGAATGTAAGCTAATACATTCTGTGTGTGTGTGTGTGTGTATATATATATGAAAGACAATAGGAACCATCCAAGACTAAGGATTCAACAGTACGAAAATTTCATTAGTATTATACTAATGAGCGGTGACAGCTTGTTGCTTCACGTCAGCTCCACCTACATCCTTGTTGGTAGACAAGTCACTTTCAACTTCAACGTCTTGACCAATGTTTTGTTCTCTAAGTTTAGCAAACAATTCATCTTGTTCAGCCTTAGACAAGTCATTCTTCTTCTTACCCTTGATGTGGTACATTGGGTTCAATTGAGCCAATGTAACACCCTTAAGGAATGGCAAGTGTCCGTGCTTTTCTTCGAACAACATCAAGAATAAAACACCAATTACAGCAATCCAATAGACGTTATAAGAAATAACAGAACCATAGGTTGCTGAGTTTTGCCATCCTAAAAGTGCGTTAAAGACATCCCAACCATTGTCTGTTTCTGGGTTGCAACAGTTAACATGCCAAACAGACTTAGAGATATCATAAGTACCTGGACCAGAACCATTTTCACCAATATCACCACCAGTCAATTTACCCAATTTATACATTTCAAAGTACCAAATGGAACGAGAGAATAAACCAGCGGAAATCAAATAAAGGATACAAGTGGAAATAATCAAAAAGATCTGTAATGATGTGGTTGTACCACCAAAGTACAAGAGAGCCCCAACGGCAATACCAGCAATTAAACCGGTAATGACAGGAATTGGGAAAGCAGTTGCAGGACTGGATAATCCGACACCACCCACGAAAACAACTGCTTCTAAACCTTCTCTTAAACAAGTAATAAATGGAAGGATAAACATACAATACTTCTTGGTCAAGTATCCAATCTTAAATCTATCCTTTTTGGCGGCAGGTGGTTGAATTAAAGCTTTAGCCAACTTTATTCTCCACTTTTCCTTCATCTTGTTGACACGTAACATGGCAATTCCCATCATGGAAATCAAAACAGCTGCAATAACACAGAAAATACCTTCCCATAAATCTTCAAAGTTAACCCAAACATCGTTACCAAGAGAATAAAAAGTACCAATGAAAGCGGCACCCAAGATAATACAGACTAGCAACCCTAGCCCTGCACCCCACCAAACCTGTCGAACTAATCGTTTGTATACAACTGGGTCTGATGTAGCACCACCGAGCCCTTGCTTTAAGAAAGCAAGTAACACCGAAACCACCACAACGGCTTCTAAGGCTTCACGGAATACAATGAAGAAAACCTGAGGGTTAAAGACGTTCACCATATTGAATGTCTCTAGAGGATTAAAGAATCAAATATCTTTTCCACTGTTGAAAGGATTGAAAGGGCACTTTATATTCGCTTAATTTTATCTTTTCCATCGGTGGACATAAATTTTCATAATCAAAAAAAAATATTAACAATAAGACTACGTGCATGACATTTACATAATGAAACACACAGGGGATACATGCCAAGAACAAAATTTTTTCGAATATAACAATTTATCACCAAATTATACAATGCCAAGAGTTTTTAATAGACCGATCTCGGGGCTCACTTTTGTACAAGGTATTTGCAACCAATTGTGGTGTGAATGATTCCACACAGGACAACGGCTAAAACCATGAATTTTGGTACACTTCAAGGGTCTGCCTCTATTTAGTTCGTATTTGTGCAGTTGTAGCCGCATCAAAATCAAAAAATCGATTGCCAAGGATTCTAAATCGGGTGTTTTTTCGGCCCTGTCGTAACGAAAGCCAATTATTGATTGATTTTGTCCTAATTAACCAGTTGGATTGATTTATCTGATAATGCACAGTGTTTCTAACCCCGGCGTTAGTTTTAATACTCTTTTTTTAAGATGAGGAGCCTCACACTTTCCTCTAAGTAGTGAAAAAAAAAAAATAAAAAAACTTTTTTGAATGTATTGAATCATAATTTTTCACTTGGAACATTTATCCTCTTTTAGAAAGTAAAATTAGTACATAGGGAGCCCTACTAGGATGATTTGGAGAATTCTTTACTATCGGCATAATCTTTTGTGACCAATTTAACTGGGGATAATTAGTACTTTGAGGAAAGTTTCCGCTTCGGTACATCACCAAAGGTTTCTCGTCTTATATATCTACCTTTAAGTGTATTTTTAATCAGGATAGAATAATAGTCAGACCACCTTTATAATTTTCTTCGAATATTTCATTCATCACGTGGAATCGTGTGTGCCTTGAAATTTATATACGAAGTATGGTGAGGCGATTTATATTTAAACCGTACAAAGAATGGGGAAACAAAATGTTTAAAAGTATCAAACTAGGAAATAAGTTGTACCTTTTATATTGTTGTTGAGAAATAAATATAAAGCTTCTCGCCAAGATTACTAAATCTGCTTACGTTTAGCCACTGATTTGACATACTTAATTGCTCAAACTTGCATATGACATGCGTGTATTTCTAAAGTATTTAAAAGGTTCTTCTCATAATATTATGAAAATATCGTGAGACAAATGATACTTATGCAGCTACAGTTGTCGAAAATCTTTCCATGTTTATAATTTCTACTAGTTTTCCCTAGATCATTTTTCAGTTTACTTTTAGAAGAGAAGATTATGAGCTAGCTGCTGTTTGTACTTAACGAGAAGTCAAGTCCGTTTTTTCGATGCGAAGTGAAACCTCTTATTGCTGCATTGCACGTCTACTATACTAATAGAAGGAAATGTTTTAAGCATATCGTGATGATGTTGTAAAACACATATCAACTTATATACCGAAAGTAGTCAAACCTACAAAGGCAGAGAAACATCAGCCACTATAAGCAGTTTCTTCGGATGCAAAATTTTAGGCTCAAAGATAAACTTTCTTTTTCAGAGAAATGTCACTATTCTAATCTAAAAATATTTAAAAATAAAAAGACTGGCATAACCTAATACAGCACCATTCACAGGAAGTAAGGACTAACCAAATACTACAATAAATTGAAGTAAATGTTGGTGATTAGTTACTAATCGAATGGTACTGCATACAAGGACACATACAAGTGTGGTCCCCTATTTCGCACCACACTTTCAAGAAAAGACTTCGTGGCCAAGCTGGTTAAGGCGTAAGACTGTTAATCTTGAGATCGTGAGTTCGATCCTCACCGAGGTCGTCTTTTTTTGTTTTTTTTACTTCACTAAATAATCAGCTGATACATCAAGGAAGTACAAATAAACAAAAAAAGGGTGTTACAATTCTTATTGCCGAACTAAAAAAAAAAAAAGTTAGAACTAATGTTGCAATGCTTCAGAATAGCTGCAAAACAGAACTTCCTTCTTCCTTTCACATTTATCTTAACATTTCACAATATTATTTCCTAAAATACTCGTGGATTTATTGTAAATTATTGCGGTTCAAGTATGGGCTTAAGTCCATCTTATTTATAAATTGAATGGGCATTTGGTGCAAAATATATATATATATATATATTAAAAATCCATTTTCAAGTTTGGAAACCAAATCTTAAGCTACAAAGGTCAGAGCCTGATAATTCAATAATCCCATTATTCTATATCGAGTGTCTCTTTAATAATAATAATGGGAACACACTAATACCAGACACTTGATCGATATTTTAAGCGCCATTTTCGCACCTAATTTGGTAACATCTTCCGAAGCTCATAACCTCGTCTGCAATTCGCATGTTCTAACTTTTTAGTGAGTAGTCATTCATCTAGATTCACTACATGTGTTATGACTTGAAGTGCTATCTATGTAGATCGTTATTCTAAGAGACAATTAAGTGAGATACCAATAGCTTATCCTATCTACCTTCTTTTTTCCAATTTTTAAATTGATGGAAAAATATTTGAATAACAACTCTTCCCATTCGTTAACCGCTTTTTCTCGGTTCCCAATTAGTCATGTAAAAGAAAGAAAAAAAACGAACCGATTCAAATATTTTTTTTTTCCTGCGCTGGTCCGTTATAAATTTCAAAGAACAAAGTTGTTACTATACGGTTTTCTTTTCTTTTCCCCCATACACCCACCACCTTCGTAGTATTAGCTGGTAGCCTGTAATATCATGGAATCTCTTACTCGTGTCTCTATGAGCGTCTGTCCGTTCGTCAAGGCCTCTTCTGCTCAAGCTCTTCGTCAAATCAGCAAGAGCTCAGGTTTAGCCAACCAAGCTCGTCAATGTCCATTTATGGGTGCTGCTATGAGTGCCAAGGAGTCTTCCAGAAACTATTCATCTGCTTCTCGTCCAGTCAATGCCACTGCTGCCAACCCTGTTTCAGACAGAAGTGCTACCGCTAGTCCTTATGCCTTTACTGGATCCAATCTTTCCAGTCAAAGCGTTGATGTTAATGAAAAAGTTTCTTCAACTTCTTCATCAGGCTCTCAATTTGATTACCAAGGATTCCTTAACAATGAGCTCCACAAGAAGAGATCAGACAAGTCCTATCGTTTCTTCAACAATATCAACAGATTGGCCCAAGAGTTCCCATTAGCTCACCGTGCTGAAGAACTGGACAAAGTTGCCGTCTGGTGTTCTAATGATTACCTTGGAATGGGTAACAATAAACAAGCTCTCGATGAAATGAAGCGTGTTTTGGACAAGTATGGAACTGGTGCCGGTGGTACTAGAAACATTGCCGGCCATAACCTTCTGGCAATTCGTTTGGAGGCTGAATTGGCTGCTCTTCATAAACATGAAGCTGCTTTGGTCTTTTCCTCTTGTTTCGTGGCCAACGATGCAGTCTTGTCTCTTTTCGGACAAAAAATCAAGGATTTGGTTATCTTCTCGGATGAATTAAATCATGCTTCAATGATTCAAGGTATTCGTAATTCAAGAGCTAAGAAGCATATCTTCAAGCACAACAACTTGAAAGATTTGGAAGAAAAACTTGCCCAATACCCTAAATCAACTCCTAAGTTGATTGCCTTTGAGTCTGTTTATTCCATGTGTGGTTCCATTGCTCCAATCGAAGCCATTTGTGATTTGGCTGAAAAATACGGTGCCTTGACCTTTTTGGATGAAGTTCACGCCGTTGGTATGTACGGTCCACACGGTGCTGGTGTTGCCGAACATTTGGATTTTGACGCTCAACTTAAGGCTGGACTTGCATCCCCACCAACTCAAACTGTTATGAACAGAATTGACATGGTCACTGGTACTCTTGGAAAAGCTTATGGATGTGTTGGAGGATACGTTACCGGTAAGGCCAACTTGATTGATTGGTTTAGATCTTATGCTCCAGGTTTTATTTTCACTACTACTTTGCCTCCAAGTGTTATGGCAGGTGCTGCTACTGCCATCCGTTATCAAAGACAAACATTAAAAGACAGAATTGCCCAACAACAAAATACTCGTTATGTTAAGAACAATTTGGAAAAAATCGGTGTTCCAGTTATTCCTAACCCATCTCATATCGTTCCAATTTTGGTTGGAAATGCTGCTGATGCCAAGAAGGCTTCTGATTTGTTATTAAACAAGCACAACATTTATGTTCAAGCTATCAACTTCCCAACTGTTCCAATTGGCGAAGAACGTTTAAGAATTACTCCTACCCCTGGACATGGCCCAGAAATCGCTAACCAATTACTTGATGCTGTTGATTCCGTATTCAAGGAATTGAACTTGTCCAAGATTTCTGATTGGGAAAACAAGGGAGGTCTTTGTGGTGTTGGAGAAGGAAACCCAGCTATTGAACACTTGTGGACCGAATCACAATTGGCTTTGACCGACAAGGACTTGAACCCAAATGTTATTGACCCAGTCATTCAACATGTTGGTGTAAGTTCCGGTGTTAGTGCTTAAACCAAACACGCATGAGACTTCGTGTTGTTACTACGCTTTGTTATTGTACCTTGTTTGTTATCGTCAAGTTGTGGGTGTGTTTTTTATTCCTATATAGGTTTTTTTACTCATAAACGGATTCCAAAAGAATTAAAAGAATGAAGAAAGAGAGTATTGTAGTCACAGAGATGTAGAAGTAGTACTAAGGGGTGATGGGTGTTAGAGGGTACTCTAGTTTGTAATGGGAAGCCTTAAGCCTAATCTTTCAAACTTCGCGCGAATATCAAAACAAACTTTTTTTCTTTACTTCAGTAAACAAAAACAAATCAATACACATATTACCCTTACTCTAGCCAGGAAAGTATGCCATTGGACAGAGATCAGCTCGTTCGGGTGTATACGGCGCGGCTTGTTAGCTCGCTAGTCCCGAAAGAGTTTGGCGATGAATACGTTCAATCACTTACAAATGATTTAGTTGTGCATCTCAGCCAACCTTCAATTCCAAAGTCATCCGAGCATATAGATACTATATTGACGCGTTTTAAACAATACTTTCTAAGTAATGGTCTATCTAGTGAATGGGGGATGTTTCAAAGTGCTATCAATAACATTGCAGTGGCGAAATCCCCGCTGCAAATTGCCAATTATTTGGTGTTTTTAGATGCATTGAATGAGGGAAGGCCAAATAAACGATCTAGGGTCACGAATTTACATTCATCTCCATATCGAGCGGTGAGTGCTGCTACCACTGCTACTGCAGCCACCAATACTACCGCCAGTGCCATATTGGAGCCACTTACACCATCTAGTGGCCAGGGTGGTACAGGAGGACTTCATCCTACTCTTCATCAAAGCATGTCTGCACACTATACCTCATTACCCGAGAAAACTATTCTTACATACCTTCCATATACGCTCTTAGGAGTAGATTCCAAGATTTTTACCTTCACAAACTCATCAGAATTGGAAATACCTTCAACAATTAATCACAGTTATTCAGGGTTACTCCATAATATCCTTGAACCAGCGTTGATTTATCGGAAATTAAATCAATTAATTGATTCTTCTTCACGTCGAAATAATCCTAATAATATGAATATATCGAGTTCAATGATAGCGGGGATTAATTCACCAATAAAAATTGCATTTCTTAGATCCCTTGAACAAGAATTAAATCTTTACGTTAAAGAAATAAATGGAATATTCAATCAATCTAAATCTCCAGAATCAGTTCTAGTTGTTTATAATCAACTTTATTCAAATATATTAAAGCTTCGATTATTATACTCCATACTGAATGATTTAGAGTTAATTACAGGGTATGAATTATTATCTAAAGTTGATAATTTACTGAAATTTGGGAATTTAATTATTAAGGAAATTTCTACATCAATTTTAATAACAATTTCTAAACCATATTTCGAAATATTAGAACATTGGATAATTCAAGGTGAATTAATTGATAATAATAATGAATTCTTTATACATTACAATGTTGAAGGCCAAAATTTAAATGATATTATTCAATTTTCTGAAGATAAAATTCCAGAATTTTTAATATCAATCAATAAAGATTTAGGGTATAAAATTTATCAGATTGGTAAATTACTTATATTTCTTTCTAAATATTGTAGAGAATTAACATGGATCAATGAATATGGCGTTAAATATTCCAATATAATATTCCGGGAACATCTGGGACTTCAATCTATGGGGACAAATGAGATAATTCAATTAATTGATCAACAATATAAGGAATTATTACATTATTTTACAATAACAATTCAAAAGAAATATGGATTATTTCAACATTTAATTCAATTTAAAAGTTTTTTATTAATGAATTCTAATGATTTTATTGAATCATTAATATCAAAAGGTTCAACACTATTTAATGAACCATCTAATATTTTAACATCTAATCAATTATCGAAAATTTTGATGGAATCCATATCTAATTCATCAGTTAAGAATTTGAATCCAGAATACAAAAATCGTTTAGATGCAAGAATTTTAGATCTTAATGGAGGAAATATTGGATGGGAAGTCTTTACATTAGAATATAAGATCGGAGATTTACCAATAGATCATATATTAAATCATGGGAATAATATAATTGGATATTTAAAAGTTTTCAATTTCTTGTGGAAATTGAAAAACCTCAATTTTTTATTAAATATTGGATTTATCGAAAGCGGGACTTTAATCAGAAATGATTTAAAGAAATTAAGATTAACTTATACCAAGTTAAAGTCTAAAATAAGAAGGAAGGAGAAATTAATGAGTTTAAGAGATGAAAAAATCATTTGGTTGATGAGATCATTTAACAAAGTATGCATCATAAGGAATCGATTCATCAAGTTCATATCAATATTATTAAAATATTTATCATATGATATCATTGAAACATCATTCAATCAATTAGTGGTTAAGAAATTATTCAAATCTAAAATATCAACAGTTCAAGTTGGCAATAAATTTGAGATAATTCCTGAATTATCTAAAGGGTTTTTGGAATCCATAACGAAGAAGAAGACCAATAATAATGTTACTAATAATGGAATAATTCCTAACAATGAAATTCATAATATGAATGAATTAACAATTGATGAATTAATTTCAATTCATACAAATTATTTGAAATCAATTATCAATTGTAAACTCTTGAATGAGCAAGAGATTGGGAAATTCTCTGGTGAGAGTTTTATACAACAAATATATGAATTTTTAGAAATTCAATTTGCATTTATAAAAGGATCAGAAGAATTTTCATCTTTAATAGTGAAATATGTTTCATTATTAAATATTGATGAGAATATTCAAGTGACTGATGACATTGATATGGATCAGTTTGATGATGAATTTGTTGAAATTGAAGGAAGTTTGCAAAATATGATGGACAGGATCCATAATGAATTATACCAAGGTGAATTTCTTCCAAAATTGGAAAGATTTGTCAAAGATTTACGGGGTACAATAGAATTTAGAGAGATGAGTAAATTTTTTTAAATAAATGAGAAGTGGAAGCATGGTAAAATATGATAATGTAGAAGACAAGTAGAATATACTGCAAAAAGGAATTAAAAAAATAAACAAATTAGCCTTTTAGATTGCGGCAGTTTTTCGTATTGCTAGGCGGACATTTCACCCGCACGCGAAAACCCGAGGAAAATCAACCCCACAAAATGGAAATGCACGACCATATTTATCTTGCCAACCATTGGAAGGAGATACAATGATTAAGGCTACAAGGATCCGAGAAATGGGATCCGAATATACAATAGAAGATAACAATAGCAAAGATATAATAGGCGAATATTTTATACAGAAAATAATAGAGAAACATGACGAATAAAAAAAATAAAAGACTAAAAAACGGTAAAAAAATTAGAAGGAAAAATTCACTTCTGGGCCAACGTAACACATGCGCCGATTTCCCGAGGTCTATTTCACCACCACTTTCAAACTTTCAATAGTATTAAAGCGGTGCGAACTGCCCCCCAAATTTGCGAAAAAAATATCAATCAACAAAGAAAGACAATATGGAAGAAGTAGACAGTGTTCTCGTTGACAACGTAAAGTCCTTTGCATCTGGAGGATTCGGTGGTATCTGGTGAGTATTCCGAGCAGTTGAGATAAGAACCGACCAGGTTCAAAAAAAATCGAAATGTGGGGGGGGGGCGTAAAACTTTTTGTGAACCCTTTCAGAAGTTTTGTTGTGAGAGACTTTGGATCCAATTCTGGATGTTGGAGAAACCTCCCTCAACTCAAATTTCTAATTTTCCCAAGAATAGTTTACTAACATTTATAGTGCCGTATTAACTGGGCACCCATTTGATTTGGTCAAAGTTCGTTTACAAACTGGGTTGTACAATTCATCGATTGAATGTGTCAAACAAACATTGGTAAAGGATGGACCTAGGGGATTGTATCGTGGTGTATTACCTCCACTTATTGGGGTCACACCAATGTTTGCAGTATCCTTTTGGGGTTATGATATGGGGAAAAAGATTGTAGCAGGCTACACTGGAAAGTCTACCAGCGACTTCACTATTGGTGAGATTTCTACTGCTGGGTTTATCTCTGCAGTTCCCACCACGTTGGTTGCTGCCCCATTTGAAAGAGTCAAGGTTATGATGCAAGTGCAAAGTGGTGCCAAGAAGTCAATGGCTTCAGTTGTAGGAGAAATGTATCGTACTGGTGGGATTAAGTCCATTTTCAAAGGTTCAGCTGCGACTTTAGCCAGAGATGGTCCAGGTTCTGCATTATATTTTGCCACTTATGAATTTTTGAAGCAAAAGTTACTGAAGCCTGGTGAAGACATGTCATTATTGGCTATTTCAACTGCTGGTGGATTTGCTGGTGTATCGATGTGGTTGGGTGTTTTCCCAATTGATACAATCAAATCTAAGCAACAATCCTCTAATGTCAGCGTTTCAATCGTACAAACCACAAAGAATATCTACCGTTCAGGTGGTATCAAGGCGTTCTTCCCCGGTGTTGGACCAGCCTTGGCTAGATCGTTCCCTGCAAATGCCGCTACTTTTGTCGGAGTTGAGCTTGCAAGAAACTTTTTGGACAAGACTTTGTAGGAATTAGAAAAGAAATAAGAGTATTTATTTATATTTATTGATGATATAACGACATCTTGATAGTTATTGTAAGTTAGAAAGTTAAATAAAGGTTGTGAAAATAAAAGTATGATACTGTGTATTTTGACCGATAGCTGATGAATTAGTTCTTTATAGGGAGAGTGTGATCTTTGCTGCAAAAATATCTTGAGACAAACAATTGCAAACACACAAAGAGGTTAAGTGAAAGAAAAGAGCAGCAGTGCAAGATAAGGCCCTTTAAATTGAAAAAAAAAAGACACAAACTCATATTCACTTCACAATAAACTTCCAGATAATGTTTCAAATCTTTGAAATAGTAAATTTACAACTACATAGTACGCACATCTCTCACTGAATGTACATCGATCGCAAACTTGAACATTTGTCGCACTAAATATTCAGAATGTTTTTACTTGCAGCAAATCAAAGCATACTCTTTACATTATCGTCAATGTATAAAGAGCTAACTTACCCAGCTATTTTCCTTCTTATTGTAACTACTCCCCAATACAAACCCACTTTTACAAAATTTACCTAATATCGGAATTTATTAGAAATCTCTATCCTCCTATTTCTCTATTTCTTTAATAGCTATTTTTTAAAAAAACCTGCACAATTCACGCGGCCAATTGCACGGTCGTGTCTCTTCCAATACGTTCACTCCTTTAATATTGATAAGATTGAAAATGTAAATGAGGCAAGGTTGTTCATTTTAGTTGTACAGTTTCTATTGTTATAATTGGTATTAGTAATTGAACAAAGATGTCTTTGACCGACGACCAGGTATGTAAAATTGGGACAGATATATACCCGTGAGAAGGAAAAGGATGGGATTCCGTAGTCATAGCGAAACTTTGAGATACATGAGTGGAATTAAAACCATGTTATAGAATGGGAGAAGGTCATTTTATCGATAACCTCAATGATGTGATGTCCTTAATGAGGGAGATGACTTGTTCTACTAAGTGGGAGGCTACTTAGTGGGAGTAGGTGTCGTTTATAATATATATTACCATCTCGGTACTACACACAGGGCATTAGCCGACACGGTCGTATTCTAGCAAGCGAGCTTATGGTTCAGATAAAAAGGTCTCATGGTTGGAAGTGTAATAATACTAAACCACCCTACTTCTTCCTAAACAATCGCCCTTCATTGCTGTTCTTTTTTTTTTGTGATTACTAACAATTAGGTATCTGCTGAACTTCGTAAGATGAAGGCCTTCATCGAGAAGGAAGCTCAAGAAAAGGCCAAAGAAATTAGATTGAAGGCTGATGAAGAGTATGAAATTGAAAAGGCATCCATTGTCAGATCTGAAACTGCTGCAATTGACTCTACTTATGAGCAAAAATTAAAGAAGGCTTCCTTAGCTCAACAAATTACTAAATCTACCATTGGAAACAAGACTAGATTGAGAATCTTGGGAACCAAGGAGGAAGTCTTGGGAGAGATTTTTGAAGCTGCTGAAGGTGAATTAAAGAAGATTTCATCCAAGAAGGCTGAATACAAGCCAATTTTGACCGGATTAATTGAAGAAGGTGTTTTGGCACTTTTGGAACCAACCGTTGTGATCAAGGTCAGAAAGGCTGATGTTGCCCTTGCCAAGGAAGCTGCTGCTGATGCAGCCAAGGCCTTTGAAGAAAAGGCCAAGTTCTCCGTAGAAATCAAGGTTGATGAAGAAGACTTTTTAAACAAGGACCTTGCTGGAGGTGTAATTGTTGTCAACGGAACTGGACGTATTGAAGTCAACAACACTTTGGAAGAAAGATTGAAGTTGTTAAACGAAGAGGCATTGCCAGGTCTCAGATTAGAGTTGTTTGGTATTTCCCAAACCAGAAAGTTCTTTGATTAGAAAAATTGTTTATCCAGTAAGTTTATTTCTTAGCGCTAGTAGCTAATACATTCAGTAATGCTGCATTTGCAGTGTATTTAAGGACCGATTGTAGACCCTCCCCGTTCTTTTTAGAGTTTTAAAACTATGAATTTGGTGTAGTATTGCTCATTCGTAAATTTATCAAAGATAGATGTTCGCACCAAAATTTGTGAGCGATGATGCCAAAGCCATTCGAAAGCCGTGGTGGCTACAAAGATCATTATTAAACTAATATTTAAATATATTTTTTTTTCCAGCCATCAGGACATGTCAAACCTACTACTTCGAGCGCAGGGCACTCGATGGGTTTCGGGCTACTGGAAAGGCAGAGCCGGAGGTGTACGACAGAGCTGGATGAAGAAGTCTTTGGCAGGGGCAAATGATTTAATTGCTGTGAATACTTATCAAATAAAAAGATACAAATCAACAAATTCAAGAAATCAAACAATTTTACATAAATTAAATAGCATCAGCAAGGTAGACCCATCGATATCATTCACAGATAATACATCATATCTTCAAAACGAACAAGAATCGTCGGTTGATCCTCATGATTACACTCGATTTGAAGACCCAATACTGGCAAATATAACATCCGCTATGTATCGTCAACTTCAACCTATCACCCCCAATGATTCGTTTGTATCTTGTACCACATTCAATAGTCAGGGAAATGTGGTGGCAGTATCTAAAACGTATCCTAAAATGGCCTTTCTTAAAGAAAATAATTTATTCCCAAGAGATCTTCGGAAAATCGATACTTCGTCAGTTGATGTTGTACCACTGGTGGTAGTTAGAGCCCCTAGTAGTATTCTAGTGAATCTCTTGCACATTAAGGCTATTGTGAAAAAGGATAGAGTGATGATATTTGATACGTCAACCCCTGCAATTGCATCCAAATTGGGTCTCTTTATGTATGATTTGGAAATGAAATTGAAGGCAATCCCAACCACTTCAAGCCCAATACCTTACGAATTTAGAGCTTTGGAATCGATTCTTATCTCGGTCATGAGCTACTTGGATGCTGAATTGAAAAGTCATTTAAACTCTTGTGGTACCATTCTTGATGAATTAGAAGATCAAATTGATAGAAATAAACTTCGGGAACTTCTTATTAAGCTGAAAAGTTTGGCATCCTTTTATCAAAAGGCAGTCTTGATTCGTGATGTATTAGACGAAGTTTTAGATAGTGACGAGACTTTGGCCGCCATGTATTTGTCTGATACTAAACATTATGATCCGTCAGTGGAAAACCCAACCGATTACGCTGACTTGGAGATGCTTTTAGAAGCCTACTACAACCATTGCGACGAATTTGTCCAACAAGCAGGCTCTCTTCTTAATGATATTCGTGCTACTGAAGAGATTGTCAATATTATTCTTGATGCCAATAGAAATTCGCTCATGTTGTTTGAACTTCAAGTTACTGTCTATACTCTCGGCTTCACAGTGGCAACACTCGTCCCTGCATTCTATGGTATGAATTTGAAGAATTATATCGAAGACTCCGAATTGGGGTTCGGTGCAGTGGTGGTATTCCTGTTGATTCAAGGTATATTGGTGACTCTGATGATGTTCCGTAAGTTGCGGAAAGTTCAGAAACTTACCATGATGGGTGGTGCTAGTATGACTCCAATGAAGCCTCAACATAGATTCATGCCCTGGGAAACTTTCAATATATGGGGCGAAAGAAATGGCATGCGGGAGTGGTTAAGTCAACGACACCGGTGGTGTCATCGCTTATTGTATGGTGAACGTAACACCAAGTTCGACCGGCCAACTTCACGCGAGAAGGACGTGATTTGGCGAATGATTAATGACGATAAGAAGATGAGATAGTGTATATAGACTAGTGTTGGGCCAAGGAGGAACTGGTCCACACTTCAATTTAATTCAATACGAGAAAAAGAAAAAGAGAACCAGCCATTGTAAATAGCTCTACATTGTTTTTAAGTTTTTGTATCTGTGTTCATTCTAATGTTGGTCCAATGGAATGGACCTGTTCTATTTATACATTCCTAACCTCTCCCTAATCTTCATCTGAGTCCAGATCATTCACAACAGCATTATCTTCGTCTTCATCTTCTTCGTAACCTGGGATGGCTACTGCGTCTTCCTTTGGTTCTGGGATTTCCACCACTACATCATCATCGAATTTCTTGTGCTTACCGGCACCAGAGGCCCCAGCAACAGACGTCCTTCTAACTATAGGTTGTGCATCTCTTTCAGAACCTGGTTGGACCAAAGTACCTTCTACAGAAACAACCTTACCAGCAGAATGGATCGATTTAATGGTAAACTTCAATTTACCTTCAACCTTGTTCCCGTCTTCATCTTGCCAATGTCCGAAAGATCTGAATTTAGTGCCTTCTTCACCACTATTAACTTCTACGTCATCTTCTTGGTTGGGTACAAACAGCCAATCAGCAGGAATGTTGTATTTCTTGATGGAGGCATTGAAAGTATCATGGACAAGTAACCCAATATGAGAAGCAGTTTGCATGTATGAGTAACCTTCGAGAACGTCACCAACTTGAGGTCTCCATACTAAGAAGTCCACGGTGATCCACATGAAAACAAATGGAGACAGGTCTGCAATACGAGCGATGGTTACAGGACGACCATTTGTGTCAGTAGTCTTGTTGTCTTCAGAGAGTTGAACATTTGAGTATGCCAATACAACTCCACGGGCTTGAGCAAAATATGTCATTACCAATGGGTCCAAGTGCTGAGCCTTGATACCATTAATAGGGTTTCCAACGTGACATGGAGCCAACGAAACATAGAGTGATGTACTGAATGTTTGGAAACATTGGGAGATTCCCTCCTTAAGAGGGTTGGTGGAGCTTGCTGGTGCAGGCTTTCTCTTCTTGGCTACAGCATCCCCGGAAGCCTCAAAGGTTCTCTTGGAACCAGACGTTTCTACAGCTGGCATGATGTGGATGTATTAATAGCTCGACTGGACAAAGATTCAGGTTCAGCTTAAAGGTTTCAGATGCGATGAATTTGAGAAGAGGAAAAAAAAAAATTAAAACTATGAAAACAGAAAAAAAAAAGTCACGTGCCCAGATGGTTTATTATGTTGCAAATATATAGAGTGAGGGAGAGAGATGAATTAGAAATTCAATACAGTAGGATGAATATGGTGTAAAAAGGAGAGTTAAAATGGAAGATGCTATATTAAATATGTACAGATACAGTTTTATAAAAATGACTTGAAGGTAAAAAAATGAGCAGAACTAAAGTAAGCCATGGTTGCAAACGATAAATCCTAAGCAACACACTGCGGAAAACTCATGCTCAAAATGTATAAGGAAAATCACACGATATATATATATATATATATTATAATAACTTCTTGAGTTTCCCAAGTCCTCTAGGAGCAGCGTTTCCAATAGGGTTTGCATTCGATGGTGGAAGTACAAACCCTCCATTTGCTTCAGTTCGAAGTTGTGTACGAAATGAAATACTTTCTTCTTTCTTGAGAATTTGATCTTTGTTTTTAAATCCAGGCTTCTTTGACGGGCTTGGTGTTTTAAACACTGCAAAGTTTTTGAGAATTCTACTTGAATATGACGTAGGTGCATCTTCAGCCTCTGTGTATTGCGGTACACCAGTAAATCTAACTCGTTTGACCGGAGAAGATGGCGCGTCTATGGATGCAGAGGCCGAAGTGAACCCAGATGCTGATTCATTGGATGAGGCAGAAGACCCAGATGATATACTATCATTAGCAGCAGGGGGCATTGAAAGGTGAACACTATTTCTCTTGGTATTCAATCTAGTAACTTGAGCCCGTGTTTGAGGAGGAGGAGGTTTGGAAGGTGAGTTTTCCCTAGCGTCAGAGGGTGGTACTGTGAGAGCAGCGGCAGCAGCTGGCGTGGCCGCGGCTGAGTCAACAGGAGAAGGAGACTGGATAGGTTCCACAGGAACAACTGGAGCCAGTGGAGCTGATGAACGTCTCAAGTTGACCGAAGAAGGACTGTTCGGATCGAAGACAACCGACGTAAAGGTCTCCTTCTGTTGAGTCATCAAAGAACCTTGCTTCGCAGCCATTTTTAAATGCAATTGTAATCTTTGATTTGCAGTAAGTTGTGGCTGTTGTTGCAATTGTTCCTCCTCTACAGATATCAACGGAACAGTCGAATTAACCTTTGGTGAAGGAGACGCTCTTAATGAAGTTGAACGTTTGATAGACCCACTTGGAGATCTGAGAGATGAAGTAGAATTGATTGACGAGTTTCTTGAAAGTGCCGATGCTGCGCCCGCCAGAGCAGCATCTGGAGCACCACCCAGAGGACGGATTGGTTGCGAATTCGATCTACGACGACCACCAGTAGGATCCAGATGCTTTGGTGGTTGGAGGGAAGAAAGTGAATTGTTGGGGTTAAGGAACACCATCGAAGCAGGTCTACTTAAAGTTCCCGCACTTCTATTGGACAAGGGCGAGCTGGCTGATCCATTTCCATTTGCTACAGCATTTGAGCCTGAACTCCCATTTCCATTGGTGGATTGAGGAGATAACAATGAGTTTCTTCGAGAAGATGATCTTCTCATTACCGTGGTACTGTTTGTACTTGAAATTGATGAAAGGGATGATGTTCTTGAAGAAGTATCGATTTTTAGTTTATCCAAGGAATCTATAATGGGCTTGTCTGAGTTAGTTTCGACCGCATCAGATTCTATCTGAGCTTGTGCAATTAATCTCCTTTCCTTTTCTGTAGCGGTAGATTCACCTTCTCTTGCTAACGACTCCAACAGGGAAACGTTGCTACCATTACCACCCATCTGAGTTGGCGCTGCTGTAGTTGAAGGCTGTTTGTTTGTACCATTAACTTCAATATAAACGTCACTTAATATCTTTTTCGGTAAACCATAAACTTTTCTAAATCTTAATTCAATGGCTAACCAATTATACCCAAATTCTTCAAACTTTCCTAATAACCCAGTTAACATCATATGACCTTGATTCACAAAGTTAATAAAGTCCAAGGCAGTCTTCGCATTGGATTCATATGTGGCTCCTTTACGGAAAAACCTCGTAAGAGTAGCAATCAAAGTTCCATTTTTTTTAGTAGAATTGAAAGTTTCATCCATATCTTTAAGAAGATGAAGTTTAAAATAGTTTGGATTCTTCAGTTGAAACAATAATTTCTGATCATATAAATGTTGATAATTTGAAAAGTAAATTTTACGGCCAATTTTCCTGAAAATTGTATAGAGTTCATTTGTTCTAATTGCCAAGGCTGCGATCAAATGAAGAGAATATTGAGGTGGATAAGAAACATCGACCCCCAATTGCGAAGGATCCTTTTTCAATTGTTGGAATGTATTGATATGTTGAGACTTCAATCGATTTAAGGTTGTGGCAAAGGAAGTACAAACGGAGAACATCATTCTAACATCCATATCTATCAAAGTTGCTTCAATGAAATCTTCATTGTGTAAAAGAGCTGGATTCAGAGGTAAATTGAGTAAAGTATGTTTATCGGTCAAGGAAATATCAAGGTCATTTTCAGAATCAAATACTTGTTTAATAATGTCCTCAATAGTTTTTATATGAGTTGATATATTTTCGACGGATTGAGATCTTTCAACTTTTGCCTGTTGAAGTCTCTTTTGATATGCTTGGAGACAATTGAAGGAGACTGCCTCTAGCAACTTAATACATTTAATGGATCGGTCTATGTCTGGCAATTCTGCAAGAGAAGTGATTTGTTGGTCTGGAGTATCATAAGGAATATGAGATACGATTGAAGATATAGTTAATGGGGTATGTTTAAATAATTTAAAATTGGACAATGATTCTAGACGAGGGTTGAATAAAGAATCATTTATTGAAAAGACATTACCCGAAAGTAACACAATGTATTGTATTAAGGGCAAGTTTTTAGAAGTTGATTCTTTCAAAGATACCGACAACCGTCTTAAACTGGTAATATATGCTTGAAGCTTTGTGATAGCATATATGTATTGGGTTATTTTAGCATCTAATTGGTCCATTTTAGAGCTATTTGAAGTGGGAAACGAATGCTGGATTGGGGTGGATATGTAGTAGTTGGATTATTTTGTTTCTGACTTAATGAAATTGAAATGAATCTTCTGTGTAGAAACTGTCGATACTAGTTAGGGGCGCGCGAGAATTAAATATTACCGAGTATATTGGCGGATGAAATGATAAGATTTAATTTTGAGGAGGGAGATGGGATGTTGATTTTTATTGGAAGCAGCACCCAAACAGTATCAAAGGAAAATGGAAAATCGATCAAATACACTTTAATAGGGGAACCCAATATGTGGTTATAGTTTGAATATGGCGTGGTAGTTAAAGGCGGATAGACAGGAAAGACCCGTGAATTTCCTGTGTAGGAGGTAATGTGTGTTTTAGCGAGAGTTGAAAAAGTATAGAACAAAAAAATAAGAAAAGTATAGGAAGTATTAGAGATTCCGAAGAATTTTGAGAAATAAAAGATCTTGAGAGAAAGAGCGAACTAAACAATATTACATAGATAGAGAGAGAGAGTTTGTGCATTTTTTTTGTCTTTTAAAAATCTAAAGATCTTTCATATGATAAGATTAAAATTTGTATGATGATTGAATATCATGTTTGCACGTGATCGCCTGCATACACAAGTCAAAAAAATATATGTAATAGTAAACAAACATCATTTTATAATGTAAACATTAAAGACTTTGTAAAAAGAAGTATATATATATATATATCTAAATATATATAACAAGAGATGTCAAGTCCTGACTATACAGCCACGGCTATATTGACGGAACATCTTGGGTTTCCACCGATTTCTGTCATTGATGATGTGATCAATGCGGTCAATGATATCATGTATAAATGTACACAAGCTATGGAAACATATCTTGTAGATAGGCAACAGAAAAGACAAGAAGAATTAAGAAGTACTTCCAAAGCATACGAAGATGTTGATATGGATCAAGACATGATTGCACAAGAAATCCAGGTTGGTACTGCCAAATTAGAAACATTACTAGAGAATGAAGTATCTAAAAATTTTGATAAATTTGAGCTTTATTCACTTCGAAATCTTTTCACAATTCCACATGATTTAATTGAAAATGGATGGTTTAAATTAAAACATCATGAAGGGATTCAATTCAATGATCCAAAATGGAGTATTAATGAAAATATCAAATTAGATACACAAATTGAAACTTTATTAAAAGATATTGAAATTGAATTACAATTGAGGAAAATCTTAAAACTTCAAATTGTTCGTGCAACCAAATTAATTAAAACACTTGGGAAATATCGAGAAATGTTTAAATTTTTAAAATCACCAAATTCTTTAAATGCGTCAAATGCACTTAAATCAGTTTCTCCAATATATGAGAATCTTTACTATCTTTTATCACAAACTGATGAATTAATTCAGCTGGTTCAAAAAATTCAAATTAAATTAGCACAATCTTCAGATATTAAATTCATACCCACATCAAGAGAAAGATACATCAATAACAAGACATTGAAGCTATTGGACAGCATTGGTGTGTTAGAGGATGACCAACAACAGCAACAACAAGAAGAAGTGAAGCTTAGTGGCGTTACAATAACTGAAGGGGATTTAGAAAATGTTAAACTGATAACTAATGTGTTGCAAAAAATGTCAACCCCTTTAGAAAGTGATGAAATGACACAAACATGAAAAAAAAATTAAAAAAAAAAAGAAGAAGAAAGATAACATGCTTAACGAGAAAAAAGTGAAAAAAAAAGTAGATATGAAAAAGGAAGCAGACCAATTATTCATTCTTCTTGAATACTATAGTATTAAGAACCACTCCTCAAAAAAGGCTCAATTCAATCTATTCTATAAACATTTTATATTGGCACACCCCATATATTAAAGTCCTGCACATAGATTGGTTTACACACTCTTGGTAAACCAATGAAATCTCAACAAAACCAAAATGACAAAGAAAAACAAATGTGAGATATACAGAGAGTATATTAACAAATACATATCAATATATCATACATTAATACAAGATGGCTGCTACATTGAAACCAGACCCACAGTTCCTGAAGTTCAACGCTCTTAAGGAAAGCTACGGTACCTACTTCCGTTTCACTCCAAGATCCATTGGATTTACTGTCTTGATGATGGGTATAATTCCAGCATCTTTGACATACTTTGCTTACGCTACTGAAGGGCAAATCAACCATGTTAGAAAGTTCAGACAAGCCAAGGTATTGAGCGGCGAAGAATACGTCCCAAGAGCCAAGGACTTGTAAGGTTGATGATTGGAGAGAGAAATATAATAAACGGGAAGGGATAGAACCCTGACCCATGCATATTACATACTATTTAAATAGTGAAATACATTTGATAAAGAACGGATAAATAATACTTTGTAACATAGAGAAGTGGGAGACTATCTGGAAAGACAATCAATGACAAAAAGTTGGAAAAGAAGTAACCGCAATCACAAACAGAAGAATATTAAAACAGCCTCCACTCCACTTTTTTAAACCACTGTTAGATAAATAATTATATACCTAATCTTACTTTACTGTATCTACGTTTCTGTCTCTGTATTATAGGTATATGACCGACTTGGGTATATATTTATTAATCCCAAAATTTTGATAAATTCTACTTATTATTTAATTGAAATACAACCATACCCGAATTCATATCCTTCATAACATTCGGGTTACACAATGGTTGTCCATTAACTTCTCGATGGAAAAGGGTCAGCTGGGACTTTCTTAATCCAGGTTTGTCAATAGATTTTGAAATGATTTTTGGAAGTGATTTACGTCTTAATTTCGACGATGAACCCGGAACTGGTGGTGGTCTCTGTTCAAATACAAATGAATAATTATAGAGAGCAAACGCACCAGAACAATCACTAAGGGAAAACTGAGGTTCTTGGGTTGGATTGGCCGATGCAGGGGCTGTAACCGTCCCATTGGATGGTTCAGATGAAGCAAATGTAAAATTCCCGGTAGACGTCTGAGGACCCGCGCCAGACATGATAGTACCGTTGCTAAACGAACGAGCCTTTCGAAGGGCTCTAGAAGGTGAAGAGGATAATCTTTTTGGTGATTTCGAAACCAGTGACCCTGAATGTGATAAACCCGGGGTAGATGGAGGAACAAAACTAAACGTAGTAGTGTTGCTTGATCTTGGAGAAGTTGAATTAGATACAGGTGAATGGTTAATCATGCTAGTGGTAGCAGAATTGGAACCAGATTTTATCGGAGGAGGAGGAGGAAGTGGTATCATAGGAGTGCTAATCCCTAACCCCAATCCAAGTGCAGAAGAGTCATGCGATCCCGGCCCGCAACTAGAATCATCAATGAAACTAGTGAATAAATCTTCTCCATCTTCTTCTTCAAGTGGGGAGTTGGTGATATGGTTTTCTTCGATATTCGACGTACTTTCCTTCAAATCGAGGAATGGATCATTTTTCAAAATATCTTCAATGGTGATATCATTCGATGTGCAGTCAAAGGATAGTATATCGTTCAGATATGAAGTATCGGGCGCGCTGACAGAGTTTAAGTTTTGATGCTGTTGTTGTGGATGTACAATAGCCTCTCTCGGAGAGGAAAACTGAGGGGTAGGTGGCATTGCTTGTGGAACAGTAGACGGCGGTACCGGTACCAGAACAGGGATTACAGGTGCACCTGCCAATGGAGCAGGGGTCGAATACCCTTGGAAAACTGCCGTAGACTCCGAAGTAGGAGTTTGTAAATGGAACCCTTTCATTTGAGAAGCTAACTGATGTTGAAACGCCTGTAACTGTTCATGTTCTGATTGTTGATACTGAAGATGTTGTTGTGGCGGTGGAGCTTGAAATTGGTGTTGCGGAGGCATTTGTTGCATAGGAGAAGATTGGACAGATTGTGATTGTACTATTCCTCGCAGAACTTGAATTTGGTGGACGTCAGGAGGTAAAACGTTGAAAGCTGAAGTCGGTCCCACAACAGGACTACCGGCAAACCCGTCCATTGATTGACCAACTGGAGGACTGCTATGGAAGTTGTAGTGGTTTTGATGGTTCATCTGTAGGGCGATTATTATCTCTCTTCTATATAATGGATACTAATTAATAAAGTCTTCTTTATCTAGGGGAATATATTAGCGAGAGTGGGGTATTAGTAATGTCCTTCTGAGAGAGTGGTGGTTCACAACAAAAGAAGTGATAACAACTGTATGTAACGAGCGGTACAGTTTCCACCTAATAGCTTGAAGATTGAAGTTGAAAATTAGTAGAGTGGGAAGAAACAAAATATCGTTGAAGAATATACAGCGGTTAAAGTGGTTCTTCGAGTGATGGGTTTAACCCGCTCAGATGGTACACACTCTCTGAGCTTTTGTGCAGTAAAATTCGGGCCAAGATTGAAACCTAGCTCACAAAAATGGCTGGCAATGCGGAAATTTTAAGCAAGTATAGCACTTGCAAGGATGAATAATTCAAAATGCAGGTTTAGCCAGCTGATATAACTTGCTAGGATACACTGTCACCTTTTATCTCAAGTTTTGCTTCACATGGGGGGTAACAAACATAATTATGAGGTGGAATAATACATTTTTTGTTTTACCACGTTATTTTTTGTGATTGCGTGGGAAATGTTTTTCTGTATGGTACTTGTTTCGGAATTGAGAATGTGGCAGGGGGAGGCACGGACGGCAACGGATAAATGTAGAGTAAAACTAAACTATTAATAGTCAAGATGTACCATATTTTACGGATTTATGCACATATAGGAACTTCAAAGTACCCCTGGGTAACCCGAAAATTATTAAAAATAAATTGTGGGAATAAACTGTGGAATTACGAGAGGCATAATAGAAAGAATAAAAGACAAGCATTAAAAATGTAAATTAATTATAAAATTAATCCGTTAGGGGTACACAAAACCCCCGTCAAGAGTAATATCTCTGTCCATTAAATGTTCCAAAACTGATACAACGTTGCAGAAATGTTGTATCTATTCAAAATTAAAGTAAATTCCACAGCTAGTATTGTTGCTCGTAATTGTCAAATTTCCTTAATTTTAATTTTTTTTTGCAACACCACAATTAACTTTCATAGAAAAAAAAAAAAAGATTTCAACACGTTTTTGCAGCACTTTATATCTGCAACACTTTACAACAATTACACACACTAACCACCAACCCAACTATTCTACAAATTACATCACTCGATTCCAATTCACAATAAATAAAATTATATATATCTTTATATACTTATATCACATTAATTATACCTTTCCAATTATACCGTTTGTTCCAAATAATTTATATTATTACCCATTCTCTTTACAAAAACCTAGCAAAGAGATCATCTTCAAGCCAGCCAACCTTTTCAAAGGCTGCAAATAACCTACTGGCCTTATTCACATCGATACGACAAGCCTTTTGGGCATCGGTTCTTCTAAATTGTTGTCCTCTTTTCAACCGATTCACTTTTTCAAAGAAAAGTCTTCTTTTAGAATCCATATATACATTACATGGAAGTCTTAAAATTGATGCTAATAAGACTTCTGCAGGATGTAATTTCGATGCATTTGGATCATTTCTTAAATCCATTGGTTGTCCCTTCCATTCAACCTTAAGACATCTATTATTCCCCTTTGGGAGTGTTTCTGCCCCAGGTGAATAATCTGGAATATTTTCATCAATCAATGCAGCTTGTTGGATAGCTAATGGCGATCCAGTATATTGAGATTCCTTTTTAACAGTTTTCCTTCTTTTAGGAGTTGATGGGGTTACTATGGTGTCACGTGAAGAACTATTATTAGTATTATCATATTCTGAAAGATTTGCTGATGATTCTTTAACAATTCTTCTGGTTCTTACTCTTTCAAGTTCTGAATCTGAATCTGAACTTGATACTCTTTTACGTGATGACAAATTAGCTCTTCTTTCTGCTCTTGCATTAGAAGCAGTAATAGCATTACGTTGAACTTCTTTACTTGAAATAATTGAATATTGTTCAAGGAATCGGAATTGCCTTCTCTTATAATTCTCATTAAGATGAGACCATGGATTCACTGTAAGTTCATATTCTTTATAATTTTCAATTTTGAAAGGTTCCAGTGGGATGTAAACTTTTGTTGAAACTATAAGTGAAGAAGAAGATTCCTCAGAAAGTTTATTATTACTACGTTGATATGGGGAAAGTGGCGGTGAAAGAATATTTGTCTTTGTACCAACACTGGATTCATTTATAGCATTGGAAGTTAATAATTTTGATCCATAATTATGATTTGTTGTTTGAGATGGATCAAAATTGGTGGGTGTAATACACCCGGAAACGTCTCTTTGACTTGAGGCTCTGGACATTGGATGGATCAATGTCATGTTGGAAGTCAATTGATTGTCAATGGCAGTGTCTTGTATTGAAATTGTTTGCTTAGAGATAAAAAAATTCTTCTCTTCTCTTTTGTTTAGTTCAAATCTTTTTTTTTTTTATTGTAGTTGCGAGTATAAAAGCTTCACTCACGTCTGGGGTAATAGTCCTGGGGATTGAGATTGTTCTTACAGACTGCGGGTATATCAAGGAAGTACTCGTAGGTTCGAATTAAATCGTAGATGTTAGCTAGATGAAGACACAGATGAGTATGTTTTTTTTTTATATTTCCTTCTGACTAATATATAAACAACCATTTGTATTGTGAATGACACTGCGGGTGCAAATAAAAAAAAATTTTCTTTCGCATTTCTTTTTTTTTCGCATGCGGCGGATCTTCTCTTAGGGAAAAAAAAAGAAAAGAAATAAAAGAGAAGAGAGAACAGCTACTGGATTTGATTTATCAATGCTTTCTGTGCAACGCATTGGTCTTGTAACGGTTAGCCCAATTCTTTTGCGACTTGATTCCCATATTTTACCGTTCTTCTGTAGCACAAATATCAAAGAAAAAGCAAGATTCAAGTCGGGGGGATGACCGTTTATTTCACGTGATGGGCAGACTTCTTTTTTTGATTTTCTTTTTTTTTTTTTTTTTTGAAACTAAGTCACACTGCATGTATCCTTATCAGGAGATGAAGACGGTTGGTTGCAGAAGAAACTGTTTGACTACTGATTCATATCACCTCATCAAATATTTGAGGAGGAGCTACCAATCACAAGAATGAGGAGGATCAATTGATGTCAATTGAGTAGAGTCGAAAATCTATATATCGTAATTGTGTCAATTGATACACTTCCTACCTCCGTATGATCCATAGATCAACAATAATGCGGAGACGGCTAAAAAGATGAATTGGATGTTTCAATTTTTAAAATAACAAAACATGAAACCATCGAACCATCAGCATATCAGAAATCTAATGATCGTAAATGCTACACGATCTAACTACAAGTGAAAAGAAATATATGAGTAAATTCAAATTTTATTTTCTGATGTTGGTGATTAAATCTAAAAAGACTAACTAAAATGCATTAATTGGGTCAGTCATTCTCAGATATACGCAATCATAGGAAACTTTTGGAACCTCAAAGGTCGTGTGAGGCAAAGTGTGATTCTTTTTTTTTTTTTTGTCTTTTTTATTTTTTTTTATTGGTTTCTTCTTTTGATGATGAGACAGATGATATATGCAGTCCAGCGGATCATAGACATTAGAAATGTGAGATGTAGTTTAGATTATATAAGATCGTAAAACAAACTAGATAGACAAGACATTAATCACGATTTAATCATGACTTTTTCATCTCTTTACTCGGGGAAGCTTGTGCTTGCACCAATGGTTCGGAGTGGTGAGATACCTACCAGATTGATGGCCCTTAAATATGGTGCCGATTTGGTATGGAGTCCAGAAATCGTAGACAAGAAACTTATCAAGTGTGAACGTGTAGTGAATGAACCTTTGGGAACCATAGATTATTTGGAAAAGGGGGGAAACACCAAGTTTCCAGGGAAATCAAACTTGGTCTTCCGTACTTTACCACGCAAGGAAAAGGGTAAGCTCATTTTCCAATTAGGTACTGCCAATCCAGAACTCGCAGTTAAGGCAGCTAAGATTGTTGCTGGGGATGTAGATGGGATAGATTTGAATGCTGGGTGTCCCAAGCCATTTTCAACCCACTCTGGAATGGGTGCTGCCCTTCTCAGTACTCCAGATCTCTTGGAGTCCATCTTGAAGGAACTTGTGACCAATGTGGGGGATCTGTATAAGATTCCAATCAGTGTGAAAATAAGACTTTTAGATGATAAAGATTCCAAGCCAACGGTGGATTTGGTTCATCGTCTATGTAAGACGGGGATTTCAAATTTGACTTTACATTGTCGTACGCGAGACATGCGTAATCGTCAACTGCCCATCAGGACATTCCTTCCAGATATAATAGAAGCATGTAGATCTCACAAGGTTAATTTCATAATCAATGGAGCTCTCCGTAACCGTGTGGAATTTGAAGAGTTCCAAAATACTTATGGTGAGGACATTGGGGGTATGATTGCCGAAGGTGCTGAATGTAATCCAACTTGTTTCAGTCACAAGCCTTTACCTTGGAATCAAGTCATTCCTGAATTCATTTCTATTGCCCAATCAGTGGATAACTATCCTGGGAACACAAAATATATCCTTCTTAATCAACTCCCAGGCAAGTCTCCATTCTATCAAAAGTTTGCCCAATGTAAATCTCATGAACAATTAATGGAAATTTCTAATACAGTTGGAGAAGTTGGTAATAAGGTACTTCAAAAATATTTAACCAAGGATGTGTTATTAAATCCAGAACAAGAACAAACCGATGAACCAACGAAATCATCACCAGAATCAAAGCGTGGCACCGAACATTTAGACAGTTTCCCACAAAAGAAACAAAAATTAGAAGCCACCCAAGTGGCGTAATTGAAAAAGGGAGAGTGGAAAAAGGATAAACATATCTATCATACAATATTCATTAAACCTCTTTATTTACTCTATATACAGATTGAGGTCTCAAACACTGTGTTGTATGTCTCCACCACCATCTAGACAGCCAGTTACTTAGAAAACATCAACCGCTAGCCAACCAATTTAATATTAATCATTCATTCTTCACTTCTCCTCGTGTACTTTTTTTCTTTTATTTAAAAGCCTTTTGTCAAACTTAAGCCAAAAGTCTCTTAACACCACACCATGCACCGGCAGCACCAGCCATCAATACAGTAGAGTAACCCATTGGTCTGAGACCTGCACTACTTCTGAAAATAGCACCAGCCAAGGCACCAGCAGCTACGGAGTTTATGTCGTCATGCTTTCCTCTGGCAGCATCCAAAGAAGCGTCAATCAAGTTGTATGTCAAGGCTAAAACACCGGCAGAGTTACCCAAGTATGGACCTCTCTTGGTGATGTGATTTAAAACTGTGTTCAATTGCAATCTAGGTGGAGCATTCTTTGGCAAGTTCTTAAGACCCTCCTGGAATCCGTAAGCACCACCAATACCCAATCCCAACAAGTACACGGCACCTGTACCATAACACAAGTCGTCAGACCAAGATCTAGATGGAATTAACCCTTGGGCACCTTCTACAGAGGTAAGTTGTTCTTCTTCCAAGTCCAAGTACTCGATTCCCTTCTCCAAACCGGCCAAAGGATGCAATTTTTGGGTGTCAAGAACACCAGGAGCCAGTAATATGGATGAGACGTCACTTACTTGAGCTGGGTCAAACCCAAACTGTTGCTTGAATGACTCTTCCTTCTTTTGTTCTTCGGTCTTGCCGCCAAATAACCACGACATTATAGGTCTATGCTAGTTGTATATGTATTGAAGGCGATATGAAATATAAGAAGCAGATGGTTCTATCCGTCTTGCTTTTCAATATGTAGACTATTTGTCTTTAAAAATTGCGAGTAATAACTGACTGAAATTTAGTTCTCACTCCCAATCGATTCAGTCTATGACTTTTGCAGTTGTCGGAATAAAAATTTGTAAATTACCCGGATCAAAGAAAATATGCGACTTTGTGAAATATTATTAATAATTTTTCATTGTATGCTGGTGTCTGGGTGTAGAGAGTTGCAAGCCTCTGTACAGGTCAACAGGGTACAAACATTTTAGGTTGCAAAAAAAGGAACTACACCATTTGTCTTTATTCTTTTTTTTTTCTTTTTTTTGAAATGGGAAGCAGTGTAAGCAAATATGGAATAGTCGAAGGAATAGTCAGCCATTTGCATATCAAAACTACCTAATAAGGAAAGAAATGGAGTACGTCTCATTTATAATCAGTAAGAAAATTTGTAGTCTCTCTTCTTGATTAAGTTCACTCTTCTTCTACTATTTGTTAATGGTTACCGAATTTTTGAAAGTTATTGACCAGAGCTTGGATACTCGATTTGACTTGGACCTGAGATTTCCAGAAGTCCCTGAGATTGAAGAGATTCCAAGTACCCCGCAATTCAGGGTTCCAACCATCCGGAAAAAGCGCAATGAAAGTGAATCTAGTGTAGATAGTTCAGGCACCAATGTATCTTCCATAAGTACTCGGCGAACTCGATTTCTTCTAGATTCTGATACAAGTCTGGACTCCCCTAGTTCTACTCGTCGTGATAGACACCGACCAACAGTGCAAAGGAGGAAAAAGACCCATATTGGTTCAAATGGATTCTTTACTGATTTAGGTGTTGAACACGAAAGATTGAATTTACCAGCTTATTACCCTCCTCCCTTTGTGGCAGTTACATTCTTCAAACATGTGTGTAGAGATGATATATCTCAAAAACTTGTGAAGAAGCCGGAAATCCCTCTTTGTAAGACTAACACCAACTTGGCTACCTATGTTCATCGTCTTTATGTGTATCAACTGTACATCAATCGAGAACACTCGCGTCCTTATCAATCTGTTTATGACGGTAGCTATGTTTCCTCCTTGGATCTGATTAGTTTCAGATTGAGCCAGGCAAATAGGTCTCGTACCAGTATTAATGGTAATTCTGCCAATATGAATGATTTTGTTTCACTGCAGATAGAGGATGCTTAAAGTTTTGTAATTTTTAACCTTTCTACACACTAGTTAATTTGTTTTGTTTCCATATGTTATAATAATAAATGAATATATGTTCTGAGAATTTAAATATAATACAAGATTCTATTCCTTAGTGGTAAGAGCTTCATCTCCCACCATTTCCACATGCTCAACATCCCCATGGCGTTTGGCTTCGATATCTCGGTTATCGTCAGCACCAGCATGCATAAATGGTAATGTATGGGCAATAGCGACACTCTTCCACGGTTTATTAGTAGGTGTTTGAGAAAAGATAATGTCCATCTCTTCCAAACTTCTTCCTGCGGTTTCTGGATAAAGGAAATACACAACTGGTACCATGAGAAGGTTAATCACTGCAAATATAGTGTATGTATAAGATCCGATATTATTGAATGCAACAGGAGTGATCATAACAACCATGAAATTGAAGCCCCAATTACAAGCTGTGGAGATACCAGTTGCAGGTGCACGAATACCAAGAGGAAGAATTTCTGGTGGAATTAACCATGCAATACCCAACCATGAGAATCCGAAGAATGTGTTAAACAAATAGAGACAAAGGGCAGCGATAATACCAGCAGCTTGACTATCATTATGCTCAGGATCTGCTGCCCAAGTTGTTCCTGTAAGTATCGCCATACAAACTGCTTGTCCAGCGGCACCCACCATCATTAAGTTTCTACGACCAAATCTTTCAATGGTCCAAAAGGCCAACAATGATGCTAAAAAGTACTCTGTACCATTGCATGCGGCCAAAATTCTCGAGTTAAATGGTGACATCCCAATATACCGTTCAAAGATTGTTCCAGCATAATAGGTAATTAAATTGATACCTGTTATTTGTTGCATAATCTGTGACCAAGCGGCAAGCATAGTTCTTTGGAAGTTTTTGGTATCACCTTGGAACAAAAGACTTCTCATATTGAATTTGTCTGCACCTTCTTTCTCTTCAATGGCAATCGATTGCTTGATCTCATCTACCAGAGCATTCACCAAATGGTCGTCGACTGGCGCGTCATATAAAGCAGAGAACACAATCCGGGCTTCTTCTTCTCTCAGTTTACGAAGCAACCATCTGGGTGATTCTGGAAACTTGAGAACTAATGGAATGATAATAATTGGGAAAACACATTGAAATGCAATAGGGAATCTCCAAGATACATTTCTATACAGCGCACCTTCCACATCTAAAAAGTAAAATGCAAAATCAACCCAGTATGAGATAGTAATTCCGAGTGCAATAAGTGAACCTTGTAACATGATGAGTTTACCTCTCATTTTAGGCTTTGCTACTTCAGCTTGCCAGATGGGAACGGTAGCTGTGATAAACCCATTTCCAAGCCCAGTCACAATACGAGCGATTGTTAAATGTGTTATATTGTACGCACATGCTTGAAGTGCACCACCGATCAACATGATAATGGAACCAATAAAAATCAATTTAAGTCTTCCATACTTATCTCCAAAGTACATAGTTGAGAGCGCAGATGCCATACACCCTATTTCATACAAGGCAATAACTGCACCTTGAAGGGCAGAGTTTCCCCCAGTATCCATTTCGGGGAATGTTTCTGTGAATGATTTCAATGTAAGAAGACTACCCATGACACCCTGATCATATCCAAAAAGCAAAAAGCCAACCCCTGCAAGAACTGCGACTGCAAAATTGAGCTTTTCTCCCTTACATCCTACAAATGAGTGAATGTGACCATTGCTAACGGTGGCTTTAGTTGCAGCCTTTTCGCTCAATGAAGAACTAGTACTACTCATTGGATGCAAAATATATATGTAAGTCCAAAATTCTTATACTGGTACTGTGAATTTTGGAAATACTCTATCGGTAATTTTTGATCCCCGGGGTAGATCCCCCCACCTATTTATATGTTTACATAGACCATGATTCCGGGAATCTCGATCACCTAACAATAGCAACTTCAAAGAGCCAAGAATGGAAATTGTCAAAAAAAAAAAAAAAAACTCTGTGCGGCAAGTTTTCTTGTGCGCCGTTCCGTCATGGTGTGGCCCACATTTATGAACAAAATACTTCAAAAAAACAAACATTCTAAGACATACTTTCCCCTCATTGAAGAAAGAAAATGTGAGAAATGGGTAGCTACTGAAACGCCCGGAAGCTTACTGTCAGTTACTCTATATAAAATTTGAGTTAGCCTCTCAAAAACCTCAGTCCCTGGGGATTCCACTTGCTTTTGTCAGCGTGACCTTATACCTTTGTTAAATGTGGGGAAGTGAAACTTTCGTAAAACCTGGGGTTGTAGATTGACGCGGGTCTCCCTGGATAGTATGCATAGTCCAGAGTCCAGACTATGCACTTTTCAAGGACATTTTCTCGGAAATTATATCGTGACAATAGCTCTGACGTAATTATGCATTGCCCGGAAATTCGCGTTTGTATGCCGAAACTATTCTGTGGGGTACATAAATTTTTATCTACACATCAAAACTTTTACACTACAATATTCTTTTGATTTGATATTATTTCCGTATATATGCATATATATCACTATGCTTCATTATTAACAACATTCCCACCTTGAATAACAACCTGTTCGTCGAAAATGTTATCCACATCATCTTCTCTTCTCTTCCAGGTCTTGATAATGCCTGAAGCTGTATCGATCTCAAAGGTTCTCATTCTTCTCACGTACCCTCCATATCCACCGTATCCACCTTCTCCTGACCCACCTCCATAACATAACCACATCTTACTCTCGTTAGGTGCTCCTGAATCCTGTGTATCTTGTAAACAATAATCGTTGCAATGATCATGGCCAACACTCGCCAACTTGACTCCAATACGCAGGAAGATTGATCTGACTCCAGTATTGTACCTAGGTGCAGTCACTCCTTCGGGATTTTGACCAACCAATGGTTGATTATTGGTGTTTCTATACTCGGGTATTGGGATGTGGAAAAACGACATTGCCACATGAATCTTCGAGTACGCAGCAATTGCCTTCTTTCGGCTATTATATTCACTTTCCAACCACTTCAATTGAGACTCCTTGAGCCAGTCATAGCCAGGATTCACTTTTGGATTAGGTGAATATTTGTGAGTATCCAAAAAGTACATGGTGATAGCAGGGTTCTTTGATGATGGACCTTCCACGTTAAGAGCATAATTTCCTACACCTGCAACCTCGCCTGGTCCCAATGATGATAATGAAAAGGGTAAGGCTGATGACAAGCCCATCACTTCTTCCCGTGAAAGTGAACCTTCATCGTCGTGATTTCCCATAGTCACAGCAAAGGGGATCTTACGCGCAATAAATGGATTCAAAGCCTTGAAAATCGCAGTTTCAGCATCAGGAGCTGCATCACCAAATATTTGATCCCCAGTGAGTACGACAAAGTCAGGTTTTTCCAAGTCAAGGACTTTTTCTAAAAACTTCAACGTTCTTGGATCTGCTTCACACCCAGCTTTCAGTTCTAAAGGTACTGGGTCTCTACATTTACCAACACCGGTTGAAAAGTGCAAATCAGCCACTTGTAAGATTTTGAACTTGCCTGTTTGCTTATTAACTTTAAGGACTGGTTGGTACTTCTTAGACTTGTAGTCTGCACGCGGACCTCTTCTGATACTGAGATATGCTCGCTTGTCATCGGTTGTGCTGAGATCACGTAAGTAGCCCTGTTTTATCAAGCTCCAGTTTGGACGTGGATCAACAGCATCTTCTCCGAATAAGACATCGATCCCAGTAATAGCTCTCTTGTCACTACTTGAACCGTATCTTACCCAAATCCCATTAGATTTTTGCATCCACCCTCTTTCTGAAAGATCTTTACCACTAGGAATAGTATATTCAACTTCAAGTTCATGTCTTGAAGATGCAGTTGATCTTTTGGACTTTTTTTCTTCATCTTTCTTCTTTTCTTCATCCTTCTTCTTTTCTTCTCCTTCCTTCTTTTCTGCAAAATCTTCCACACCTTCTATATCTTCTTCAGCTTCTTTTAAAAGTTCTTCAGCTTCCAATTCCTTTTCCTTTTCTGGATTGGATTCCATTGATTCTTTTAATTTCTTTTCTGCTGCTTCTTTGTCTTGTTCATCCAATTTTTCTTCCATTTCTTTCAATTTCTTTTCTTCTTCTTTCAATTTCTTTTCTTCTTCTTCTTTCAATTTCTTTTCTTCTTCAATTTTTTTATTATATTTCTCGATATTCAGCAGGGCTGCCTTTTCCTTATCTAAAGTCACAGCTACACGTTCGCCATTCATTTCCGCCTTTTTACTATCGACAAGCTCTCTATGAGAGTCATCGTTATAGACCTTATCATTATGGAAATCTCTCAATACATACAAGGGGATTTTCTTTTTAGAATTCCCCTTAACTTTAGTATCAAGTTCAGGATTGGATATAGCAATATCTATAATAACTTTGGTATTATCAGACAGCCTTTTCTGTTTATCTTGCTTCTTGGTGGTCTCGGTATCAGTTCCAGGTTTCGTAGAAGCTTCTTCATTAATATTCCCACTCAATAATTCTTCTTCAACTCTTTTATATGATAAATATTTCTTATGCATCCATGAATTACCCAATTGAAGATCTTTTTCCAATTTAGTCCAATCTCCAATGCCACCCAATGGGGGTATCCCGCAGGTCGGGCTCTTGGCATTGAGTTTCATGCAACTACGAATAGCAATATCAATAATAAACAGATTAGCTACTGGTTGAAAGAATGATGGAGTGAATCTTGATGGTAAATAAAATAAAATCTCCTCATGTTTGTTGGCAATAATTACCAAAAAAAAGGCAAAAACTAAGAATAGCCCCAAGTACCCTGCTAGACGCAGAATCCTCCTAGGTAATCCTATCATATTGGTTGGAGTCACTAAACAATATGATTAGAGTACACTGTTGAATCACAAACGGGAAAAAAAAACACACACATACGTAGTGACCCTGTATACAACAGAAAGGAGTTAACTAAAAATAAAAAAAATAAAAATAAAAAAACTCTCACAAGAATATGGAGTGACAAGGGGATCGACTACAATGAACAAGCTAATCATAAGTATTTGTATTCAAAGGAAATGATGAAATAGAAAGAGTTGTTTTGATTGCTTCGGTCAATTGAAGTATATTTGTATGTTTTTTTTTCTTCCTTTTCTTTTCCTCTTTTGTATATGAACTAGAAATTGAGAGAGTGTATTGTCTTTTCACTCTAGATCTGAACCTGTCAGGAGTGATCACACACAAACAGTGGTCAATAAAAAATTGGCCTACTGATTTCTAGCAGCAGCAAGCTTAGCTTCTCTTTCCTTGGCTTCTGGCTCAACATCAGGGAAACTCTCAGCATTAAATTGAGGTTGATGGTCCTTTGGTTGGATCACAACATGGTGAGGTTTGTTAATTTTAGAAAATGGAACCAGTTTGCCGCCCATGTTAACCATCATGTTGTTAGGATCAAACAATTGTTGGTCGCGTTCTTCTTGGGTAAGTTTCTTGTTGGATTCGGCCATGATGTTAGTGTTTGTATAAATGATAAATACTAGTATTGCTAAAAAGAAAGTTATGTAAAACATTTGGTGGCAAAAATAAAGGAGGTCTCAAAATTGTTGCTATTCAAGTCCCAATGTGGGGGATTATATAAAAGTAAAAAAAAAAATAAAATAAAATAAAAAAAGGAAGCTGACTACAACACGTGATTTACGATATATCTTTGACATTATTTGTATTAAGCAGTTTGTACCAGTCAATTTATCATCTAGATTTAATTGAATTCTGGCACTGGTTTATGAATAAATTAATTGGTTACCCCTTTTGAGGTAGGAACATTTTATGGGGATCTTCGGAAAGACCCACATTCCAGAATGGCTTCCTGATCATTGCCTGTTGAATGATTAAGTTCCAAGGATGTTGCAAATGGATCTTTTTCTGATGAGTTTTCTTGTTTCATTGCGGATGCGAATAAATCAACTGCCCATATCAAGGGCAAAAGACCATACCAAAAGAAAAGAATCCATTCAAACCGAGCAGACAAATCCACAATATATATATACAAATAGACTCCATATCCAATTCCACAGGAAATCGCCCCCAAGAGCCAAATGCACTTACAACAATATGATATCTTGTAAAGAACTTGCCGCCGGTGTGGACGTGAAATCACATCTTCATTATCTGGACTGATATTCCAACCGAAAATATACGAATTGAAACAGGAAAATATACAGGAAAAAATGATAAAGACGATAAAGATACACAACATTGACATATGAACGGTGTGGAACGAGTTTGTGTTAAAGATAGAAGCGAACACGATTCCGAGTTGACCAATGACCGCACAGACGATCGAGGAGATTACAATCCATGGTTGCTTAGTAGAAATATAAGGTTGAAGTTCATATGATGACCGGAGATAATGTTCTAAGATGGGAGTGCCTGCAAAGAAGATTGCCTGGAAGCCTGTACATGAGATAAATAAGGGTTGAAGGTTGGTAGCACCCACGTCAGATACAAAGACTGGGTTCAGTGTGTCAAGTGGATTATCGATAGCGACCATAGGGTCGATTGGGCGGCCTTGTAGTATCCAGCAGGATATAAGTGCAATTAACATTCCCCACCACACCACTAGACCAATGAGTGGAATAACATACCACAGGTTGAATTTGGATCTGATAAGGGGCATGGAGAAACTTTTTAAAACACTTCTCAAAGATTGTGGTGTGCCCTTTGATTGGTAAAGATACAGAAAAAACTTACTGTGATTTAATCTCCATAGATCACAGAGTTTTATTTCTCGTTTAATACATCATAATACTCAGTTTATATTTAATTCCCCATATGATAGAATGATATTATTTAAGGTACTCCGTGTTTTCTGCCCCTATATCAAACTAAATGTCCATAGAATTATTTTTTAACTATTTTTAGAAATGATGACCCAAACTCTAAATGTCGCAGGCTTCTTTTCATTCCACAATATCTCCTCCAAGGATGAAGGAAGTATTGACATGTAGTAATAGAAGGCTTAGATGGAAAAATGTGGGTACGGCGCTATCATGACTAGAAAAAGAAAAAAATAATGTGGTGGGATTTAGACTCCCTCATATTTATCTATGGTATTGTTATAGTAATTACCCTAAAATCTAGCATCTGACATCTAGCATGGGAATAACTGTGGTTATTCTGCATTGGTGCGATACCTTGTTGAATTCGTAAATGTTAGTCTAGTGAACCATAAATAGTCTCCTATCGTTTTCTTCCACCTTACAATATTCAATTACTTCAGTACTAAATTAATTAATACATAAATTATTACATATTTAGTGTGGAATCTGATTATCAAAAGAAAGGTCCGTTCTCTCGTTAAATAGTCTCCACAATATCTGCCAATACGTCAGATGAACCAGTCAATCCACTAGCAACTCCTCCAGTGCTCATATTTTTCCCAACTTCTGGAATCATCAGTGTACTCAACCCCATGGCATAAATGGTGATAAGCATCACAATACAATGCAACCCAACACAATAGATCACAAATAATAATCGTGTAGTTCTGGTAGCTAAAATAGCTCTTGAAAATGAAATGAATAGTCTTTCTAATGGAGATAGTTTTGAGTTGATTCTTTCTTGCTCTCTTATTCTAAATTGTTCAATTGGATGTAATTTTGATTCATAACTAGCTTGGTATGGGTTTTCAAGATCCAGAACATTAGTCTTTGGTTCTAAAAGTCGTCTGTTGTTATTACCATTGGTATTACGCGATCCAAATGATGTCAGTTCATTTCTGTATGATGCAAGGTATCTAGTACGTTCATATAATTCTTCATTATCCTTTTTCAAAGTATTCATTTGTCTCTTCAAATCACTGATAGAATTATATTGTTTCTTGATTTCTTCTTCAAGTTCTGCATTCCGATCTCTAAATCTATCTCTTTGTTTGGTAATGATTGGAAGAATTGAATTATCCTCCATAATAGTTGAAGCTCCAGTAATGCTTCCATTCCTACGAGTTTTATTACTTCCTGCTCCAATCCCAGTCATTTTAGTGACTCCAGAAATAATCGACATATTGTCACTAAATCTTGCATTACCTCCATTATTAGATACTGCCCCTCCTGATGCATCTTGTACTTCAGCAAGATCATTTTCTAATCGATCATTTAATAATTGGGTTTGTATCAATTCTTCATTTGTTTTAGCAAGTCCTTGTTCGAGTTCTTGAATTTTATTAACCATCGAGTCATGTTCTGCTCTTAAATCCGCCAATTCCAGAGTTAATTCCTTATTTCTTACTACCATTATAGAATTGAGCCCTCTCTTAACTCCCTTGGAATCTTCTATATCTTCACCATCTTTGGATTCTTGATCTTCATCTTCTGCATCTAGTCCAAATTCAATTTGTTTCATCAATTGATTCTCTTGCTTTAATTCATCATAATCACTAGTTTTATCAAGCTTTTCCTTTAATTTAATTGTTTCTTGACTCAATTGATTGAATTGTTTGGTTAAATTTTCCACTTCAATGGTTTGACGTTCAGTTCTTTCATCCAACTTTCTTCTTGTTTGATCTAAATTGGCAATCAATAATGCATTTTCTCCTTCTAATTCGCTAACTTTCTTCTTGAATTCTTCCTTTAATGCTTGACTTTCTAATTCATTTTGTGTTTTAGAAAGATCTCTTCTTAATGATTCATTTCTTTTTTCCAATTCAAAAATCCGTTGTTTAGAAGTTTCTGCATCTCTAGAAACAATTTCTAACTCAGCTAATACAGCTGCTGATGATGCTGGTGATCCTTCTTCTCCACTAGCCTTGGAATTGAGTTGTTGTAATGCTGCAACTTCATTAGAGGTACGTAATTCTTCAATCTTATGTCTAGCATCCTTCACTTGTTTATTGTATGCTAATTCCTTTTCATTCCAATTCAGTTCCTTCTCTTCGATAACTGCCTTAAATTCAGCTTCCTTGGCCTTCAATTGATTACTTAATATCTCAGCCAGTTTCTGTTCATTACGGATCAATCTTTGTTTCAATTGATCATAATCGGCCTTGCGTGAAAGCTCATCTTGTAATCGGTCAATTTGTACCTTTAATTCATCTATTTCACTGAATTCAATCACAGCATCTAATGAGATTTCTAATAAAGGTCTTGGATCTGGTGCTTCGGCAATAAGTCGATAAATTCCAAAAAAATAATTCTCAGCTATCTTCTTTTTATTAGTAAGTGAATCAATTTCATTCTGATAGAGTTTAAGTAATGATTTGAATTGTTCTAATTTCTCTTCATCGGATAATTTCTTAAATTCTTTGGTTCTTTGTGCTAAATTCTTTCTTAAAAGAAGTGATTTCTTTTGATCTTCCTTCAATTCAATTCCTTGATCATCCAATCTTTTTTGAAGCGATGGGAGATCTATATCTGTCCATGTTTCAAGTGCCTTACTGAAAACATCAGATTTCCCCTTTGGTTTAGGTTGTTCTTCAGATTGTGATTTGGTAACAATAGTAGATTCGAGATCTTGCTTTTCGTGTTCTACTGCGGTTTCATTTACTATGGAAGGTTCCTCTATCTTGGAACTCGGTGGCTTTAACCCTACACCATCACTAAGTATCTCCAGATCAGACATTTTGAGATTTGAGTATACTTCAATAGGTGACACCTATTCATTTCATACCACCTTTTGGGCCCCGTTTTTTAGGTCTCGGAGTGCATGTACGCACCATGACACAAAGATGATAGTCTACTTAAAAATGGATGGACATATAAGGTTCTTACGTACAAAACTATGGTATGAAACAGGTGTATTGTCATATATATTATCTGATTGATTGACCGGGGGGTTTGTTACTACATGATTCTTTATAAAGGACGCCATAAATAATCTTCAAAAAATAAAATAATAAATCAAATATTAATATACTCTTCTTTCTCTACATTCTTTTCGCTTTTTATCTCTTACTTTATGCATTTTTATTGTACTATATACCAACAAAAACGATTAGATGAAGGTTTCATAAGGAACTGGAGCCAAAGTTTGAGGAATGTTACCTTCAGTGGAGATAACGTAAGCACCTCTTGGCTTGGCTGGTTGTCTCTTCAATTGAACTTGTTCACCCTTGGCCTTGGCTTCCTTCTTCAAAGCAGCGTTGGACTTGACTCTGTTCAAGAATTCTTGACGACAAGCAGAGTGCTTAACGTGTTCAACTCTCAAGTTGACTCTCTTTTCGAGGTATCTGTGACCAACAACCTTGTTAATGATAACACCAACGGAAGTCTTGGTAACGTTGTAAACGATACCGGTCTTACCGTGGTAGTATTTGTGTGGCATACCCTTTTGGATAGAACCGTTGGCCTTGATGTCAACAATGTCACCGACCTTGTAGATCTTCAAGTAGGTGGACAATGGAATGGCACCATGCTTCTTGAAGTCACGTTGGAAAGCGTAACGAGTACCGGATCTGTAACCACGACTAAAAAAGAATTGTTAGTAATCATTCAAAATGAATTTGGGAAATTTATAAGGTTTCAATAGAAATGATAGACTAGAACTATGTGCTGGTGATGTTGACAAAATATTGGAGAAATATTGGACCTTGTCCATAGACTTATTCAGGCAATGTATTCTTCTCACGTATGGTTTATTCATTCCCACGTATCCGTCTAGAAGTCCATCATTGACTCTCTAGTTCCTCTACAACTCTTGAATATCACAGGTCCACTTATTGTTCATAACGACAACTTCATCATCCGATGGCATTTCGTCTACAAAAAGATGTCTATTTCATCACTCCCTCGTTGTACATAGATTAAACGGAGTTCCTTCCGTTGTCTAGTCATTTCTTTCGTCTCCCTTGTTCCCTCCTAGGTGACACATACGATTTACCCATTTTTGTATATGTTCTTCAAGTATCAAAATCAAATCTGTACCAAATTTTTGTATATAGATTGCCCTGTTTGAAAAAGTGCGAGCGAAAATTAAAATTTTCATTTTTGAAGGTTTTGTGTAATCTAGGGCGAAGCCCTAATAGTCACGTGTGAGAATGAATATTCAATCCGTGTTAGACCATCACCTAAGTATGAGTGGGAAGACTATACGATCACTACAATATTGAAAAAATGTCTAAAGTATGATTTAAATTAATATAATAATTAAAAATACGATCAATTCGATAGTATTTACATTGATAGTAGATATGTAGGGGATGTAATTTGTTCCATATATCGAGTTATATCTAGCTTTTATACACTTCTTCCCTTCATCTATCTCTATCACCTCTTACATGTTTATCATTCTAATATCCTGATTACCTTCTTTTTACTATGTTACAATTAATTAAGAGAAATTATATATTGTTTTTACCGTGCCAAATGACACCTTTCAATCCAAACTAAATAATTTATTCTTCGTCTTCGGCAGCATCTTCACCCTTACCTTGGTTCTTTCTCTTAACTCTACCAGCTCTACCACCACCGTATGGGGAGTTGTGGGCGAAGTCAATGTGCTTTTGGGAGTCCAATCTGACCATGAAAGATGGAATGTTGACGATTTGCTTACCAACAGCGATGTGTCTTTGGGAAATCAAGACACGGGCGTGGTGAATGGATCTAGCCAAACCCAACTTGAAAACTTGGGTTTGCAATCTTCTTTCCAAGAAATCTTCTGGGTTCAAGGCCAAGACGTAATCCAACTTCATCTTGTCTTCGGACAAGACACCGATTCTCACCAATCTTCTGATCAAAGCATTACCTTCGAACAATCTCTTTGGGTCCTTTTCGTCTCTGGTCAAAAGATCTCTAGCAGCTCTTCTAATCTTGGACAATTGGAAGTTAATTCTGTAGATTTCTCTCTTGTTCTTTAAACCGAATTCACCAGCGAGCTTCAATTCAGCGTCCAAACGAGCAGATTCGTAAGGTTGCTTTGGGACGGAGTAAGTCTTGGAGTAAGTTCTTGGAGCACCTAAAATATGTTAGAATGAGTTCATTGAAAAGTTAAAATCAGGTTATTCAAATGCTTACAAGGTTGGGAACTACATTGAATTACGGAAATGGAGCGTAAGTATCCATGGTACAAGACATTTAATGAAAAATAAAATTGAATGAATGACAGAAATAAAAATCCTGCAACAATCCACACGCATTCTTCCATTATATTCCAACCATGAGACTTATTTTTAAATGCCTAACTGAAGTGTCGGGGGTTCAGTTACGCAAATAAGCTCCAATAATTCAATGAGGTCCCGAACCTCTGGCGGTCGACATGAGTACACAAAGCTTTCGCAACGTGTTTCACGGACTACACCATTGTATAGCAATTTGTAAACTGTAGTACATACGAGGCATGTTGACTATCTGTTACTTGTAGAGAAAAGAATTTGAAATATTATAAAAAGTAGATTTTTCACTCCTTTTATATTTCCGCGCTCGAGTGAAAAATTTTTGAAAATCCAAAAAAAAAAAAAAAAACAATCGTTGTATGCAATCCATTTTTGAGATGGGATGTCTTCAATGTGACTGCGTAATTTCATATGCTATGTACCGGATATCTCAACTTGGGTATGGTATTTGTTGATCCTGCATTTAGTCATCGATATGGATCAGTTCCACATATAGAAAGATGGCTATCAATCTTCAGATTACATAGCGATTTAGAGGATACCGAGATGAAATTCGTAGCGCTTATATCTGGAGGAAAGGATTCCTTTTACAATATACATCACTGTATTTCACAGGGTCATGAGCTTATAGCCCTTGCAAACTTATACCCGGCAGCACCAGATAGAGATGAGATAGATTCATTTATGTTTCAAACGGTGGGTCATGACATCATCGATTCTTATTCTGAATGTGTTGGGGTACCATTATATAGACAAAAGATATCTGGTACGTCTAAGAACCAACATTTAGAATACTCCAAGACAAAGGAGGATGAAATTGAAGACTTGTACATCCTTTTGGACCTAATTAAACAGAAGCATCCAGAAGTTGTAGGGGTAAGTTGTGGAGCTATTTTGTCGCATTATCAAAGAACAAGAGTTGAGAGTGTATGTGGGCGTCTAGGACTTACTTCATTGACGTATTTGTGGCAACGTAATCAACTTGAACTTATGGGAGAAATGTGTAATAGTGGACTTGATGCACGTATCATCAAAGTTGCAGCCATTGGTTTGAATGAGACCCATTTGGGGAAATCGATTCAACAATTGTATCCACAACTTATCAAGTTAAACCAAATGTACGATGTTCATATTTGTGGAGAAGGCGGTGAATTTGAAACAATTGTCTTGGATGCATCATTTTTCAAAAAGAGATTAGTTGTAGTACACAAAGAAGTGGTTGCCGATTCTACTGACGATGTTTCATACTTACGGATCAAGGTTGAACTTGAAGATAAGGAAGAAGTTTCGAAAGATATGTTGGAAAGTCCAAGTTTATTGGATGAGATGTTTGAAGAAATTAAAGATGAATTAGAAAATAGTGAAACAAAACCATCCACTACATGTTCAAATATTGTCAAGTCTACTGGAGTTTCCAATGTCACTCTGGTTGTATCAACTCCAGATGTTCTTTACATTTCAAACTTGACTTCCCCTAAGGAATTGACAATTCAATTGCAAACCTTGTCAATTTTTGAACAACTCAAAAAATTACTTGATGAACATAATCTATCTGTAAACTATATTAAACATGTTACTTTATTGCTTTCGGATATGTCACAATTTTCTCAGATTAATGATGTTTACGCAAAGTTTTTCGAAGAGTATTACCTTCCACCCTCAAGAATATGTGTGGGCACGGAACTCCCAGAAAAAACACTCGTTCAATTATCATGTGAAGTTATCTTGGCTAGTGGGGGCGGTCCGCTCTCGAAAGAAGGTATTCATATCAGATCTAGATCATATTGGGCACCACATAATATCGGGCCATACTCTCAAAGTATAGTGGAAAGACACCCAGACTATCTCCTGGCGAGCTTATCTGGACAAATCCCTCTTATACCTTCAACTATGGATTTCTTACCACTGAATCTGGAAGAATCTGGGGCTACAATCATAGATTCTGCTCTTTCGTTACAACATTTACACAGAGTTATGGAATTGATCAAAGTGTGCCAAATAGGTTCAATAATTTGTTTTGTGACTGATAGTACTAGCGTCCAACTTGCTAGTGCAACTTGGGACAAGTATATCAGTTCCGTTGGTGGTAACCAGAACGGTACTCTTGTCATCGTTCAAGTCAAGCAATTACCTAGGGGTGCTACTATCGAATGGGGCGGGTTTTCTTACGAAAATATCGTTGGGATGTATGAAGATGATGACGAAGAAGAAAAATATATAGATAGATCTAATTTGGAAAGATCTAAGGTAGACTTGATTCTTAAAGAAACTTCAATGACTGCTACTGCTGTCCAAAATATTGGCAGAGGGAAACTCTTTGCTACGACTACATTCTCCAACGATCACACTGAAATTGATAACTTCCTTCGAAAGGCTTCAGGAAAAGTTCAAATTTTGGCCAATATGACACATATTGGAAGCTTGAAGGATTCCAAACAGGTTGAATTTACACCCGTTGATAATGTATACGATCACAACGGTACTTCATTCAAATTTGGGGTCGTATGGAAGTACTACTCATAGATAATGATAATAATAAGAAGAAGAATAATATAATAGACATTACGTATAGAGTTGTCGCCGTGTATTGATAAGTTGTTCTAGTTTAGTTCTTATCTGTTTAATTAACCACTACTCTCCCAGTCTTGGACTGTTGTAATTCTACAGCATTTACCACTTACTTGCGATGGCTACAGATGCATATGTTGCTGTCCCTTCGGCTTACAACCAATCATTTCTTCATTATCATATATTACAAACTTAAATTTGAGAGCTAGGACCCTTGTAGATCAACTCTTCGGGTACACTAATCCCTCGTGCTCTGCACAGGGCAATCAATTTTTCATTTTCCTCTTTCAATTTATCAATATAATCAGCGGACTTTGTCAATATGTTTAACTCCGACCGATTTTCCAGTGACGTTAAGGTGGGCGTCAAGCTCACGATCCTGTCAAATTCAGAACGTATATTCTCTCTTCTCTTCTGCTCCGAAGCAATGTGATGTGCCTATGTTGTTAGTTATGTTTCTGTTCACAACCACCTGGATAGAAGTCCGACATACCTTTTTCTCCTCTTCTGTAAGAACTGCAGTCTTTGACTGTTTCCTTTTATTCTCAGAGAGATCTAACTCTTCATTCATTATATACCACTTTAACCACAGTAAAGGTCAATATCTCTCTATATTTAATGTGGGTCAAAATAACAATTAATTATTGATTTACAGTTTGTGAACTCCTCAACCTATACAGGTGAAGTGCGGGGTGTTGAACAAAAAAAAAAAAAAAAGGATTTCAAAATAAAATCGCAAAAAGAAAGAACCCACGGCGAGAGTCGAACTCGCAATCTTTTGATTAGAAGTCAAACGCGTTAACCATTACGCTACGCAGGCGGCTTATTGATTTGTAAAAACACTCTGTTTAATCTACTAATTTGGACAAAAGTCAGCCAAAAATTTTAAATCCATTGTTACTCAAGGAATAGAGATTATTTTTACCAAAATATATCATAATATCGATTCTGTGGTTATTATTTACTATTTCCTTCTATCTATCATATCCTTCTTCAAACTAGTTTCCCGTTTTCATCAACTGAATAAAAGTGTACTTGGCAAGTCACGTGATACAGGTTGCAAATAATCTTGGAGGGTAGGATTAGGCAGACTAACGTCAACAAGTGCCCCATTTACCTTGAAGATAATTTTAATAACTTAAGAGACCATTTCTACATATATTGTAGTCAATGTCCAAATTTGGATGGTCCTTGGACTACCACGGTTATTGCAGCTTGAATTGGTTGCAAATACAAGACTCATATGGTTTCATTTCCTTTCTTCTATTTCATTACATTTCCTTTTATCCTTATTAGCCATTATTACACCTCATCGGCGTATCTCATGTCTCCTAATTATTGTTTATAATTCACACTATCTCACTTCTTACACGCCTACCTTCACTCGTAAACGCATACGTCCCATCTACATAATAATAATTATAACTGCCGATATTGATGTTAACCACACAGCACATTGTGCCACTCGTATATATATGCCTACAGCATATATTTCACCTCTATGCTACTATCATTTATCGTACGAGAACACAGTGTCTCTTTTGTTTTGAAAAGAACACAGTGAACACTGGGCACCACAATGAAAATCATTACAATAGCCATCCACTCCCCCATAAGTATTGAAATAGACCTCACCTGCAGAGCCCATGAAATCTCCAATGTCATCATAGTCCTGTCCAGGATCATCAGATACACACAAACAATATTTCCATGTGTCAGGATAACCCACATCGGAATAACCATCGTTCACGTCATTTTCGAGTGCGTTGCCATCAAAGTCTGGGCCGCCCACTTCATTGCCAAAATTTGATGTCAGCCATAAGTCATAGTTATAACTTGACCAATTAATCTGAAACGGAGTTGATCTCTTTACATTTCTAACGGTCTTGTTACCATACATCTTTTCCAAATGACATTCACCAGTACAATTAGAAGAGTGTTGTTGCACGATGTCATTCACTAAATCTGTTATAGTATATCCATTAAATGTCTTCATTAGATGACTGCCTAACGTTGAATTCATGTGTACCAAACCTGGCAGACTGCCACTAGTTGAATTTATAGTAAACGCGGTATAATTATGTAAACCATTGTTTGACAATACATTATGTATGCCATTCCCCAAATTGTGCGTGACGTTGTAGTAGTACATATGGTTACACGTGGCATCAGCACCCATGTATTGACCTGAATAGACATGTGACATACTACGTTTGTATGACAGGCTCCCCCATATTGAATATTGTCCTGTAACAAATGTTATTGCTAACAATAGTCCCAATATAATAGCTCCTATCCCGCCTAAGAAGAATGCAGGCGCATAAGCAACAGCACCTGCCGTTGCCACAGCTAATGTCAATGATACAGATCCGGCTGTCTTGGTCCACCATGTATTTCGCTTGTTTAACTCAACATAATCTACTAATTCTTCTTCTGACCAACCATCGTCATCATGATACCTGTATACCAATTCACCCCTATCATCACTGTAATGTCTTTTCTGTATGGCGGTGTTACTATTGCCAACTACCTGGCCTTTATTGTTTCCGGCAGCCTCATTTCTAAGTATAACAATTACTATTACTAACATCAGTATAGTTACCAAAAAAACCTGAAGTCTTTGTACGAAATCTTGTCTCATCTGGTTAGCACTTCAAGATTCCCTAAATTGTTGAATGTGTGCCAAAATTAGTTTGAGGCTTATAAATAGTATAAGATTAAAGTACTTTTGGTATGCAAATTCGTAGTTTGTATAATATGTATATACAATATAGGATAGGGTAGATGGACTAGAAATATACTATGTTGTATAATGTAAATTGAAACCTTTTTAATGAAACTGCTACTTATAATGCTATAAATATATATATACTGTGGGGATACCTTATCCTTAAATAGTAATTCATTCTCTCTATGGTAATGCCACAGAGCAATTTGAACACGTTCCTATTTCAAGATCATATCATTTCTTGAAATAAAATCATATCTTAAGCTTTGTTAATGTTTATACTTATCATATATATTAACATTCAATTCTCATATCTGTTCGTAAGTAAGGTTTTTCGTGTAGGACTAATGAAGAATTTAGTTTCAGGAGAGAAATGCGGAGGTGAAATTTGGTATTTGATAAGAAGAAAAGGATGTTAATATATCGTAAAAGAAGAGATAAAATGAAAGCAGGAGATAATTTTTTATCTTTCTTCTATTGCTATTAATCAATGTATATGATACAAATTAAAATATTTATGTGAAGTGATATACAAAAAACATACATTATATATCAATGGAAGAAAAAAAAAACATATAATTTAAGGTATAAATGACAGTTTTATTATTACTTTTGTTTCAATTAAACTATTTTAAGTAAAACTAAATTGTGATTTATTTAGAATAAAGTTAAATTTAGTTCATTTTTTATTGTTGAGTTGTCCCAAGCTATAGCTGTTAGGTTTTATCTTTACAAGTAGGGACAGCGTAGTAAACATTAGTATTAATTGAATTACTTGGTGAGCGAAGTCACCTTTGTAGAGAAAAGAGAAAGGACGGTTCTTATCCTCCAAGTGATGAGCCATTTTCTTGCCCCAATACTCACGGTGGGGCCATTATTCTACCAAGTTAGGGCAGGTTAAATAAAGTTTAAATAGGGGCAATCTCTCTATATAACCCCTTTTCCTGGCCCCTCATCTCTCTACGGGTCAACTGAAATACCCCTGCGTAGTCTTTGGTAACTCTCTTCTACAAACAGTCGTGGGATTACAAACCTATCTTTTTGTTCCAAAAAGGGTTATATCCGATCTTTCAATTAAGTGGGATCAAGGACATACCAAATTACCCAAATCAAAATCGACCATAAAATGGCTAAAAAAGAAAATTTCTTGTTCTCTTCAATGAATGGGGAGTATTTTTAACTGAAAATATCATATGACTGCTATGAGTCTCTCTCTGAGTCTTTACATTGTCTACCTTTTTCTTGTTTAAGTCATTGATGAAAAGTACTTACTAGTCACGTGGCACAAGGTTGCAAACTTTCATAGAGCTGGTAATCCGGCTCTACGTCCTATCAATTAATTCAATTCGTATATGAATAGCTACTATCCAATGAAATTCTCCAATTGTATGGAGTTTTGACTTGCTCTCTATGAGCTACAAAGTGTTATTCACCTTTGTTCAACCACACATAATATATTCGAGTGCAGCCAACTGGATGACAATAATTTCTATCGGCCGTTTACCTGAAGACTCCAAATTCACTTTCCTATTAATGAAGATCTTTTTTATAACATTATGTAGTGTTCTGGTATCGATTTGCTGAGATTCTTCGAAATACTTTCAAATTTCAATAAAATATGGTGGTATACAGTTACTTTCAATTGTCTCATTCAATATGCGTGTTCTTTGTAATGAGGGCTCTTTTAGTTGTAAATACCTACTTCAACTACTTAAATAACCATCCAGATAGACCCACCAATAATGGCTAGTAATAATAGAGCGGTCAACACTCCTGCTCCAGCTTTGTCCTTTTGTGCAATTGTCAAAATATTCCTATTCGTTACAATCTTTGTATCTAAGCCAGCATTAGGATTTGATCTTGAAGATCCACCATTCGTTGATGTATATGGTGGTGCCACATCATATGTCAGTCCCAATAGACCATTAATCACTTCCAAAGCGGACATTTGTTCCCCCAATCCGAATTTTGTGTCCCAACCATCGGCAGACCAATTCTCTCCACATGTAACCCCATCGGTACCTCCAGAACATGATTGTGCTGCTGCCTGTGCACTAGATTCGATCAACGGTCTAATGGTATCATACGTGCTAGGTGCCATGACTGCAGTCAAGGCTAACCCACGTGAGAAAAGTGATCTGAACGACCTTTGATCGTTATTACAATGATTCCCTGGCGCACATGACATCTCTGTCATGATAGTATTATTGAAAAAGAATGCAGACGCTTCAAGAATTTCATTTGTACGTACTAACCATTTTTCCAGCTCTTCACTTGATCCGTTCTTGGACGTAAAGTTGTACATATATGCACAGCCAGACATGAAAACACCGTATGTATAGGACCACTTTGTTCTAGTGATGATTCCACAATTGTTTGCAATCTTAGTTCCGTCATAGATTCTCATTTCCTTCTTCCCAGTAGGGGTTGTATCTTCAAAAATAAGTTTAACATCATTTTCCATCCAATCCCAAACTTTATTTGCAGTTTCTGCGTATGTTATATTTCCTGTGTACCGAGCAAGTCTTGCAGCAATGTGGAATAGACATCCATTGGAAATGGCATTCTTGTAGTCGTATCCAGAGTTCCAGGTAAAGATCTGCCATCTGAGTCCACCTCCACAGGTGGACGGGTCCCAACGGGAGTTCATTGTATTATATATAGCCTGAGTGAGTTCCAACCAACTCACATCTTCTGGGTCTGTGAAATTACGTTCTACCGCCCCCATGATGGCCAACCCCCAAACACCTTGATCGTCATTACCCTCCGTCATAGACTGGTTGGCGGGTATATAGTTGTTACCTTCACCTCTTTGGTAGTACATTCCTTGGAAGAGAAGGTCAAAGAGAGTCTTATTGTCCGGCTGGCAGAATGTATAGAAGTCAAGTAGACCACCGAAAGCCTCTCCAGCATGCCACCAATAGTATGGGTAGGTGAACATACCAACTGTTCCTCCATATTTGAGTCCCTCGTAGTAATTCCATTGACCATTGGCAACAGCTGCTGCTGCTTCACAAATCGAGTCCTTGTCGTTGATATCCAACGATAACGCCTGGACACACACAGTGAGGCCCAAAGTTACAAGGCTATATATCTTCATTGATGTCTCTGGCCTACTGGTTTACAAACAGAAGACTATCATCGCTACGTTTAAATCAAAAAATATTATAAATAGTTCAACTTCTTTCGCCAAGAAAAAGGAGAAATAGGTCGGCTGAGCTGTTCCTGGGGAGGTTTAGCGATTCAAGTTCTTGTGGTCATCATTAAATGATAAGAATCCTTGGGAAGGCCTCTCTACCATTAGACCTATCGCTTGGCGAATAATTCTTGGTTTTACGTCACTAGAATCCCCTGTTCTTGTATTTTATTTTGGCACACATTCTATTTTTTTTTTCTGTTGTGATCCAGAAATGTCTTTTCTACATTGGCGCTTATTCTCAAAAGAGAAGTTTCTCCTTGGCAGTCGTCGCGCGGAAATCTACTAAATCTCATTATTACCGAATCTTATAGATATGCCGTTCACGAAATTACTGGATGTACCATGTAGGATCGCCTGGAGACCCTCAATAGTGTGCTCAGTTGTTGGTTTCACTGTGTCTCGTTCATACATCAAAAGTGATGTTTTAGATTAATCTCTACTTGTTTTTTTTTTGCTCTTTGCATCACAGGGAACGCTCGTCAACTGTTTATTATGATCGGACACTTTGTTTATTTATATTAACAATACAATTTTACGTGTCTTGAGATGTTGAAATATTATTGTGGTTGAGGATCAGACTACAGCAAATTTTGCGGGGAACCAAATATGGTTAGGTCGTGTGTGAGCGTTTTGAGAATATATCGCTACTTCCAGCTTACCACAATTATTGACATAAAAAAAAACATAGAGGGAAGGACATTGTATAAATCAGCAGGATTGTAGGGGTACAAAAAGTGACCGTCCAAAAATAATTAACTGAAGTATTGAGCATGTACTTTCTTTTTACGTGGGTTGAATCACTTTATATTTATAATTCTCATTTTTTGCTGCAAAAAGGGTTTAAAATTGTTATTTTGTTCACCATTGTCATGCACGTAATATACCATTGAAAAGGGTGGTGACAGAAAGAAATCAGTTTAGAAATAATTAGCTATTAGACTAATCGAGGTAGTAGAAGTAAGGTATTCTGAATTGAGTGGGTACTTTTAATTTTATCTTCATTTATGAGTACCCCACTCAAAAAAAGAAAAGATACAAAATACTAAAAAATACTATAAAAATTATTACGACTACCTGGTAAACAAACAGCCTGAATATGATGGAGAGGAGTATGTTCATCTCTCTCTAACAATAATTAGTTTCCTCTATCGGTTCATATCGATGGGGAATTACTATTCGTTCTTGTAGCGTTGAGAACGGCAAATTAGTGATGTATATCTCGACTTATATCGCATTTTACCCATGGAATAGTTGCTGTACCTCTCCGCCACGTTTAAAAAAAGACTATGACTTATGTAATTTGTGTGACGACATTTTTGAATTTATTTTTACGGCATTTTAACTTTAAGGAGAATTTTTGACAGTTTCTTATTGTGACAGTAAACGAGAAAAATAATTATTATGCGACTAAATGGGCCCCAAAAATAGACTGAGCCTGTTTCAATCCATGTGGGAAGTGGGTATCAATACAATAGGTATTCTCTCTGAAAAATAGTAAGAGTAATGGTTTATACATGCGTAAGTCTACATTCTACCTTCTAACGTGGATGGCCTCCGGAAGCGAGGAATTTGCACCAGCTTCATGGTCCTACTGTGGTCAGTCTTTTATCCTCACATGCTCAGGACTCAAGTTTCGTATATTACAAACAAAAAATGTTCCCTTCCTCCACGTTGGGACTATTTAGTTCCATGATACATAGACTTCAGAGCTAAAGAGAAATCAAGAAAACAAATTAAAAAAAATCAAACACAAACTATTCTTTCAGTAGGTAGTAGACTTTCAAAGGCCGTTACCGTATTCTATTTACTCTTCATTGTAAAGCCCCGTATATGCATCTCGTAAGAAAAAGAAACGAGTTCTTTTATTTTTCAAAAAAACAAATTGGTATTCAGATCAGATACTGTATACACTTCACGCATGGCATTACATCTTCTATTTCTACTTCTACAGTTCTGTAACGACTACTTCATTCGACACGTAACTATATTCACAAAGTCATGAAACTTCATGTTGCTACCTCTATAACTTATGCGGCTTTGGTGGTAGCAAAAAATGTGATACCGTTAAAACTTGATTTCAATGTCTACCGAGGTTCCAAAGAAGACCATTCGGTGGATTACAAGCCTCATTTCGTTAAAAGAAGCGGTACGAATGGCAGCATTTCGATAGAAATTCACAATCAAAAAACCTTCTACATGTCCACTATCGAGGCTGGTTCTCAAGGTGATAAGGTTTCGTTGATTGTAGATACGGGTTCATCTGATATATGGGTCCCATCTAGTGATGTCCAGTGCTATCTAACACCTGCCATGAGGAGGAAAAGAGACCTCAATAAGCATGATATAATTAGTGAGATATACGGCGTGAGCCAGGACGCCAAAGCTAGAGATGAACATAAACTTGCACCATCAAACACATGTACGCAATATGGATCGTTTACCACGGCAGGCTCGGATACATTCCATGTAAATTCGTCAGCACAGCAATTCACCGTCGAATATTCTGATAGTACAAGAGCTGTAGGATTTTGGGGCTATGACGACGTGAAAATAGGACAAGTTACCATTAATAACCTTCTGTTTGCTGTGGCGAACCAATCATCGTGTGCCATCGGAGTTCTCGGTCTTGGCTACCCCAGTTTGGAGACTACCCGTATTAACTCCATCTTGGGGTATGAATACCAAAACTTGCCCATGAAGTTAAAAGATTATGGACTAATTCAAAAAAAAGCCTACTCGTTATATTTGAATTCCCCACAATATCAGACTGGATCTGTTTTGTTTGGAGCAGTGGACCATGCGAAGTACGAGGGCCAACTACAAACTGTGCCGATTGTTGGGGTAGATAGTGGGTATTATCCCGATCCAAACCGTTTCATTATTATCCTGAGTGGGATCATCATTGAAAATTATGGAGAATCTACTACTGTAACAACGAACCTGTATCCAGTGCTATTGGATTCTGGTAGCACTCTTTCATACTTCCCACAATCTTTGATAGATCAACTTGGTAAAGCCATGGGTGGGGTATATTCCAAGGCTTCTCGTGCTTACAATATTCCATGTTCTAGTGATCCAAATGTTAGAATTAATTTTAATTTCAGCGGGGCGGTCATTTCAGTTCCATATGGAAACTTCCTCATACAATCTGCTGGATTATGCTATTTGGCCGTGTTTCCCCTGAACCCAGACTACATGGTTTTGGGTGATAACTTTTTAACTAGTGCCTATGTGGTGTATGACTTGGAAAATGACACAATATCACTTGCACAAGCCAAGTATACAGATGAAGAAGATATTGAGATTATTTCTGATAGTATCCCTAGGGCTTCCACTGCTCCTGGATATTCTTCTACAAGTTATATGACATCCTATGATCTGTCCAACCCAAGGGCAACCGCCAAGATCATGTCTGGTTCTATAACTTCCACTGACCCTCAATCTACCGCAACCAATTCAAATGAACCTAAATTGTCTCTTGCTTCGTCAATTAATAAATTCCCAACCATCAGCTTGGCTATGTGGTTAGGGGCGATTAGTATTGTTGCCCTGTTGTGATATCAGTATAGATCAAAATAGATAATATGATAAAATAGTACAAATAGGTGACGAGAGAGGGTTATCTTAACGGATTATCAGCCACATTTAAACAATAGTAAGCCTCAAGGATATTCCTTAGAAGTAAAAGTATGAAGTAAGAGTATTTTTACAGTATTCTAAAATCGTTCTATTGTCTTTTAAAGGTTTCTAAAGTTTTCAAAAGTGTTTTAATTCTTTCAATTCGTAAATCATTATTGTCTACTTAGTATGACCCTTCTGTTTTCGATTATGGTTAGATCTAAACATTTATAATTTCAATAAAGCACACCCTGACTTTTCTTCGAATATCTACATCAATCCACAAACTGATAACCACATTCTTCAACTCTACTTTCTAGAAATTATCTTGGAATTATAGCTCTATCTACTTATAATCAGAAAGTTTCTCTACGTGTGTGTATCATTATCATTTCCTTATCGAGCGGGGCTTAGATTAGAAGATCTCAAAAGAACAGGCTTTTTCGTAAATTCGTAATGGTGAATCTTCTGTAAGGAATGCGAATGTGTCAAAAGCTCTCAAAATATCGTAGCCTTCATTAAATAAGCTTTTGAGCCAGAAAAATTAACTTTGACACAATTATGACATACCTACATCTATACCTGAAAAAAAGAGCCAACCATATGAGGCATCCCCATTTATAGCCCACTGTCTAATACATCTTAGTATGCATGACTCATCTACGAGTGATTCCACCGCGTTGCACTACATGCATTCTAGTGGTGGAGGATACTCTCCTTATACCCTACGAAGGTTGTTGTGGCCCACGTCCAAATTTGAACGAAAACAGTTCAAAGTTTGAATATTCACGGAGGGGAGGGGAGGGCTTAGCTTGTGTTCCAAGATGCTCTAGATCTTATCTAATGAACAATATGGTGTCACTTCCATTGTTCGCTCGTTTAAATATTATTTTGGAGGTTCTCGAGATGGTGCCGCACATCATGAGGCATAAAAAAAATATAGAAGGAAACAAAAGAGTGACGAATTCCTTTTAATATTACTTTCCTTCTTCCCTCAACCACTGCCGCAAGCTAAGACTTTGAAATGAGAGTCAATGTTGCTGCTGTTGCATTATGTGCAACCTTGTCTGCTGCAAAGAATGTCTTGCCCTTGAGGCTTGACTTCAGTGTCCATAGAGGCACTTTGGAAGCCGATTCAGTCGGAAATGACCCTGAATTCATCAAAAGAGATGATAAGAATAACAGTGTCTCGTTAGTGCTCGCCAACGAGAAAACCTTTTACAAGACAGAGCTTGAGTTTGGTTCTAACGGTGATAAAGTTTCAGTGGTGATTGACACCGGTTCCTCGGACTTGTGGATTCCTTCAAACGATGTCCAATGTTTGGATACTTCTAGATTCAAAAGAGACGTGAAAAAGACCTCTGGTTCCAGTCGTGGGTCATTCAAGCCACTCATTAAGGACGCCAGTCAATCCCAGGGCGGTCTCACTCCTTCTAACACTTGTACATCATATGGTTCCTTCGCCACGGAGAACTCGGATACTTTCCACGTAAATTCTTCTGTGAACCCGTTTGCCATCCATTATGCCGATAATTCCAAGGCTACTGGGGTCTGGGGGTACGATAATGTAAAAATTGGGAACCATGTTGTGAAAGACCTCCTGTTTGCCGTTGCCAACGTATCATCTTCAAACATCGGGGTTCTTGGAATTGGTTACGCTAGTTTGGAGGCTACGACCATGTATTCGGACCAGAGCCTGTACTACCTGAGCCTGTATACCCTGTATGGTGGTGGGTATATGTACGAGAATTTGCCCATGAAACTTAAAAGCAATGGGTTAATTAAGAAAAACGTCTTCTCCATGTATTTGAACTCTCCAGAGCTTCAAACTGGAACTGTTTTATTCGGAGCTGTGGATCACGCAAAGTACGAGGGAAAATTGCAAACGGTTCAAATCGTTGGCAGTGATGATGCATTCTACGAAGACCCAAACCGGATCATTGTTGTTCTGAGTGGAATCTCCATTGATGATAATGGGAATGAAATCACCGTGTCGTCGGATCCTCATCCAGCGTTGTTGGACTCTGGAAGTACTATTTCCTTTTTCCCACAGCGATTGCTTGACCAACTTGGTGAAGCTTTAGGTGGTACTTACTCAACTTCTGCTGGTGCCTACAAGGTTCCATGTGTCAATGATTCCAACGTCAGCGTGCAGATCAGTTTTGGTGGAGCGGTTATTTCTGTGCCATACGCAAATTTACTTTTGCCAATTGCTAGCTCATGTTATTTGGGTGTATTGGCCCAGAGTGAAGATTCTGACTACATTTTGTTCGGAGATAATATCTTGACCAGTGCTTACTTGGTGTTTGACTTGGACGATGATACCTTATCTCTTGCGCAAGCCAAGTACACCGACGATGAAGACATTGAAGTCATTTCTGATAGTATTCCAAGAGCCGTACTTGCAGCTGGGTATTCATCAACCAGTTACATGGAATACTATCCACTGTCTGACCCAACTGCCACAGCTAACGTCAGGGCTGGATCTTCAACTCTGGGTGCAGCCACCAATGGTTCAAGGGGCCATAAACTGTCTCTTGCTTCCACAGATATGAAATTGCCAACCACCACCTTGGCTTTATTGATGGGTGCAATCAGTATTGTTGCGCTCTTGTAAATTATTGAAATGCCTAATAGATTTTTGTAGTAATTAGTTAATAGTATCTCAAGCAAAACGACAATCGTAGCCTGTGAAGTATAGAAGATTACTGATCACTTTAAGTACCCTTTTATATTTATAATTTGTTGCACCAATTCCATACTCAATCTTTTAGGCAAACACTTCCTTCGTACACCCCCACCCTACTTGTCCTAATATCATAATTATATATTAATATCTTATTTAAGGAAATCCCATTTTAATTCTAATTTTTAAGCTTGAAAGAATATCTTGTTCTTGAACCGTAAGTGCTCTTATTGTCAAGTAATACTAATTGTTTCCACTTCTCCACGTTAACAGCATTGATGAGCCTACCAGGCTCAACACAAAATCCACACCGAGGTCCAAATTTGCCAGGAATGTCAACATAGTCTCCAGTGTATAATTGGAAAGAAGGTTCGGTAGTTTCCACCCTTAAAACAAGAGTTGAGTCTGGGTGTGAAGCTTCAAGTACTTCCACCAAGGACTCAGAGCTAGTATTTATTTGGGAACTCTCTCTTACTATAAGGCAATTATCAACTTTACCATCGAGGTTTGAAATATCCAAAGTAGAAACGTTTCCAGTAGGAATGAGTGTGTTTGGATCAACTTCCAAAGCCTTACTAGTCGCCAATTTTACTTGAGTTCCATCAATTGTAGACTTGTTTCCAGCCAAGTTCCAGTATGAATGGTTAGTGAGATTAACAGGTGTTCCAGATGCATCTGTTGTTGCTGAGTATTCAACTTCAACAAAATCGTTACCAACAGTGTATTCCACTGCTGCGATCAATTCACCTGGGAATCCATTGGCCCCGGCCTTATCAACCAATACAAACTGCAAAATCAAATTCTCCTCATCGGCGCTTCTTTTCACAATGGGGCCCAAGAAGTTTTGCTTGTTGAAACCATTGGATCCTCCATGAAGTGAATTCTCTCCATTATTCTTGTCCAATTTAACTGTCTCGCCATTGATTTCAAATTGTCCATTGGCGATCCTATTGGCATATCTACCGACAGTGGCTCCCAAGTAGATATCCTGAGATTTATATTCATCTAAAGTGTCTAATCCACAAACCAAATTTTGGTTTTTGAATTCAACCTTTTGAATAGAGGCTCCATAGTTCAAAAATGACACTGAGAGATCATCTTTGGTCACCGTATGAACCCGGCTAGTGTAATCTCCATCAGTTCCAGCAAGGGTTGTCCATTGGTAGCCTGCAACAGCATACCCCTTTGGGTTGTCTGTAGTCCATTTCCATAAATCCCGACAGGCATCATCAATATTCTTTTCCGCTGACCACTTCAATTCGGTGTTAGCTCGGGTAGCGTTTGCAGTCAAGTCAAGAACATCTCCATCTCTTCTACCAACCACTTCATATGGCAATTCATGGCCAACTGCCTTGCAAAAGGCGTGATACACGTCGAAAACAGTAGATCCCTTACCAGTGCCCAAGTTCCATTCACGGAAAAGCCCAGCACCTTCAGTGACATTGTTCAAGTATTCCAAAGCGGCAATATGACCCTTAGCCAAATCCACTACATGGATGTAGTCTCTGATTGGGGTACCATCGTGAGAATCGTAATCGTTCCCAAAGATGGACAACTTCTCTCTGCGACCAATGGCAACCTGAGCCAAGTAGGGGAGCAAATTGTTTGGGATCCCCAAGGGGTCCTCACCAATAAGCCCCGAAGGATGAGCTCCAATAGGGTTGAAATATCTCAAGATAGCAGACTTCCATGTTGTATCGGCGTTGTAAATATCGTGCAAGATATTTTCAATGACATACTTTGTCTTTCCGTATGGGTTTGTAGGATCATTAGGACAATGTTCTGGGATTGGGATCATGTCCTTGAATCTAGTAACGTCTCCGTAGACGGTGGCAGAAGAACTGAAAACAATAGTCTTCACTTTGTGTGCAGCCATCGTTTCAAGTAATTTGATGGTACCATTGACATTGTTGTCGTAGTACTTGAGAGGGATGTGGGTGGATTCACCAACTGCCTTGAGTGCAGCAAAGTGGATAACTCCCAGAATATCGTACTGTTCAAACACCTTGCCAAGTTTCTCCGAGTCTCTAAGATCAACATTAAAGAAGGGAACCGGTTTCTTGACAATGTATTCCACACGAGAAACGGCGTCATAAGAAGAGTTCGAGAGATTATCAACAATCACAACATTGTAACCATGGTTGATGAGCTCGACCACGGTGTGTGATCCAATGTATCCAGCTCCTCCAGTAACTAAAATGTATGAGTTGGTAGTTCCTGTCATTTTTGTGTTACTATACACCAGATCTTGATTTTTGATCCATAACTCCTTCGATATATACCATTTTGGTATTTGAAATAAAATTGCAACGTTGCAAAAGTTTTGTAACGAGTTACACCGGATTTTCGTTAAAAACAATTTTCACAGCAATTTGTTTTATTCCCGCATGGTCCCCATGGGGCGTGCCTCGTTATGCAGTGGCCGGTTCTCAATTTCCGACCACCAACCGGAACTCAAATTCATATATTAAAAAAATGTTTTTTTTTTACAATATGAAAAAAATCTTGCATCTGTACAGCGGCAAATGCATTGTTCTTAAAAAATATCCTAGGATTAATCGGAAAAAATTTTTACTTGAAGGTTAAGACTGAAACAATGAGAAAACGACCCCAACCGAGTCCAGTAGCATAGTATCACCAGCCTACGTGCGGGGCCGGGACCCTAAATGTGGTAGTATTAAGCTATTACTTTACAAGCGGTAATCTTGTTCAACAAAACTAGGTCTGCTGGCTATCTCAAATCTTTCCCAAAACATGCTCAGGATAAACGGAAAAAGTAGTTTGCATGAGGTCATTCAAACATACATGACCCCACAGACCCCAGGTTTTGTTTTTTTGCGTGTTTTTTTTTCCTGTTACGAGCGTTGTACGTCTAAATATTTTCCATGTCTTTCCGTCCCGTTCTAGATTGTGTGGGGGAAGCACGAGCCGATCCGACATGGGCGGACGAATAAGACACTGACTGGCGCATTAATTCTCCCGTATGGCTAGAAATCTTTCTCCGTAGAATTGCAACGTTACATTTCCCTCGGCAGCTCCAAAAAGAGTACATGTGTGTACATAAACTAAACCCTACCCGTTCTAAGTCAATTAAATTTTTAAGATACAATCTAAAATATATACGATGTCTGTTCCTACATTTCATAATCTTTCCTTCTATTCAGATCCTCTGGCCAATGTCCAGAGGTACAAGGACTTGATCAAATCTTTCGAATCCATTTACCATGACACACCTGATTTCATCTCGAGATCTCCTGGGAGAGTAAATCTTATTGGTGATCATATCGATTACTCTTACTTTTCAGCTCTCCCCATGGCCATTGAAACCGATGTTATTGGTGCGGTTAAAGTTCTCCCTGGTTCTAACGAGGTTGTGTTGCATAACACTGACCCGGCATTCGCACGTGAGCTGTTTGTTCTTCCTGCTGAAGGACAAGTCGTTGAGATTGATAAGCTGAAGTTTTCTTGGGCCAGTTACTTCAAATGTGGTTATATTGTGGCCCAGAAATACATCCAAGAAAAGGGAAACCATCAACAACCATTCAATGGACTTCTCATCTTATTTGATGGAACCGTGCCCACTGGTGGTGGGTTATCCTCCTCTGCAGCCTTTTGTGTTGCCACCACCATGGCAGTGTTGCGCGCTAATGGGGTCACCCAAATATCCAAGGAGGACTTGACTCGTATCACGGTTGTTTCAGAACATTATGTGGGGGTGAACAACGGGGGTATGGACCAATGTGCATCCATTTATGGGGAAAGAGATAAGGCGCTTTTGATCCAATTCCAGCCCAAATTAGAAGGTCAAGCCTTTGCATTCCCGGTTGTGAAACCTAATGATATGGTGTTTTTAATCACCAATAGTTTAGTACAGGCCAACAAGAAGGAAACAGCCCCTGTGAATTATAATTTGAGAGCTGTTGAGGTTGCCGTTGCTGCTGAAGTGTTGGCTAAACAGTTCAACTTGAAGCTCTTGCAAGACTCAAACTTGGGCACGGGTCAATTGAGAGGGTTTATGGAGACTTATTACCTACAAGAGAAAGGTGTCCCCTTATGGAACAATGACATTGATCAGGGGATAATACAATTGAATGGGGTGTTGGCCCTATTGGAGAAGATTTTCGATTCCGAGGAAAAGAAATCTGGACATTTTTACACCACGGAAAACACCGCCAAAGTACTCGGACTTTCTACAGAAGAATTCCAAGAAAAATTCTTATCACAATTCCCAGTTCGTTATCAATACCTCAAACTTTATCAACGCAGTAAACATGTATATAGTGAATCTTTACGGGTGTTGGAAACTCTTAAACTCTTAAGGGAACAAACTGATGGAGCGCGATTTTTATCCGAATTCGGCAGGTTGATGAATGAGTCCCAAGAATCATTATCGCTGCAATTTGAAACTTCTAGAGAAGAATTGGCCACCCTCTGTCAAGTGGCACTTTCCCATGGGTCGTATGGTTCTAGAATTACCGGCGCTGGGTTTGGAGGGTCTGTGGTTCATCTTCTTACAACCGACAAGGTGGAGACTGTACAGAGGGAATTACGGGAGAAGTATTACAAGAAACAATTCCCAAACATTACCGAGGAAGAAATTCAAGCAGCAATGACAGTATCCAAGTCGGGCCTTGGCACGTGTGTTTTGGAAAAGACTGATGGTAGTTGGGACTTTTAGGTATTAAAAAAAAAACATTCCATGGGATAAATAAAAAATAAAAATATTAATACACTTAAAAATTATCGCTGTAGAGAAAGAGGTGCCCAACACCCTCTGGGCCCTACACAGTTCTACACAATGCGCAATATGTCGCCGTGATCACTAGCCAACAAACTGGACGTGTCACCTTGTATATATATATACGTCCAGGCTGCTTTAATGCATTAGTTCTCTAGATGAATATCATCGTGTGATTGGGGGTCATTTTGCGCAAATGTGCGCAAAATAAAAAAAGAAAAGAAAATTTATGGGACCATTTTCGCAAACGCCGAAGAATTGTCCTTTTCGCCGGAGGCTGAAACCTCTTTGAAACTGCTCAAAGAAAAAGGAATTAAATGTCTAGAACTGGGTGTGTGTGTCTAGGAGGATACATTCCCTCGAGGGTGGGGACTACAACGCTGGAAACAACGTACAATGTTGCAGCTAGACTGCTTTTTGGTGGCTGCGAAAAGCCTCGGAATGTAAATCGCGCCATGAAGGAAAAAATCACCAGATGCGCCGCGCCCTTTGGGTCACCATCATCATACTGCAAAACAGGTGTACGGCTTACTCCGGCCACACCCTTCGGCTGAATAAGGAACAGGAATCCTATTTATCGATCGTACTATCTCTATCGTATAGCACAGCATCACACGCATGTGTATATACATATATCTTTCACGTAATGCCTCTTACATTATTGCCATTATTTGAACCCACGCCCAAGAAAACGCCACCAACGACGACAACTTCCTCCAACAGTAAAAATACCCCTCTCCCACGAGCAGCAATGGCATCTTCATTATCTCTAGATGGATGCTACATCAACAACCAATACAGATTTGTCAAGAAAATTGGTGCTGGCACCTATGGCTTGATTTATCTTGTCGAGGACGTGCACACTCAGACCTTATTTGCTGCCAAAATGGTGCTTAAAAAGCCGCCTCCAAAGCAAGCAGGAAGGTCTGTAGATGTGGACGGGAACAAGAGATTCATCCAAACACGTCTCCATGACTATTTCCACTCACAACCACATCAAAACGTCATTGCCAGCGAATTAGATCTCAATTTCCTCGCACAAAATTGCGCTGAATGTACCCTTTTGCGCGAAGTTGCCCTTCATCTTCGTGTTCATGAACACCCAAATATCATCAACATTCACAAAGTTCTCAATGTGGACAAAGTGGCCATTGTCATCATCATGGACTACTACTCCCAGGGAGACCTTTTCCACAACATCATAGACAAGCAAATCTTTGTTAGTCCTGGTGATGAATCATCTTCACATTCAACATATCGCGCTTCGGAATTTGAACGCCAATTGCTCATGAAAAATGTCATTCTACAATTAATTGACGCAATTAAATATTGCGCATCTAAACTGATTTTCCATTGCGACCTCAAACCGGAAAATATCATGATCAACTACAACCCGCTGTACAGACGTCGCAACCACGCAAGGGCCAACATAATCGACTACAATGAAGTCCAGGTGGTGTTGATTGATTTTGGCCTTGCCATGGACAATCCCTTGGTGTGCTGCAACGTATGCCGTGGCTCAAGTTTCTACATGGCACCAGAACGGATCACCAACTACACCTCGTCCAACTTGGTTAAGACTCTTGTGGACTTGACCAAGTACCAATCGGTCGACGTTTGTGATTTGAATCAATGTACCATGAATAAATATTTCCCAACCCTTGCCGGGGATATCTGGTCCTTGGCAGTGCTTTTCATCAATATCACATGCTCGCGCAACCCATGGCCAATGGCTTCCATTGAGTCTATCAATGACAACCAGGCATTCCAAAATTACATTCTTCACAACCCACAATTGTTAAGAGAGATTCTCCCGATTTCTAAGCAATTCAATGACCTCTTAAATAAGGTGTTTGTCATGGACCCCAGTAGTAGATTGAGCTTGGAAGAACTCGCGCGAGAAATGCGGAGAATTAACTTTTTCCACGACTACTCTTATGTGGAGGACGAAGACTCGGAAGAAAATGCTTCGGAAAAATCAGCAGAACTATTTTCTCCTAACGTTTGTTCAGAATCATCGGAATGGTTGCAGACACCTCTCACTAGTATCAACCATATTGAGGGTAAATAGAATGGTATGATCAACATACTTTAATGACTTGACGAACAGGCGGGAGCCGACGAAGCCTACAAAATTCGCCGTGCAGATACACACGCGATACCGGAACAAAAACACTTGAAGTGCACAAAAAAAAAATTTTGACTTTTTTTTTTTTTTTTTTTTTTGTGCACTTCCTCTTTTTTCCCCCGTATTGCTCAGCATCACAATTTAGATAGATAATTTCATAAGTAGATTAAAATAATAAAAAAAGCATATTTAAAGAGTCGGAATAAATTTCGGATAAAGACAATGCGGTAAATCTGAAAATATGTGCATTAGATTATACCGTTAGTGGTGTTATTTGGATCTAGGGAAATAAAGTTGCCTGTTCGCTTGGCCGAAATTCTTCCACTTATTTTTTTCCGCATTGGCCAAGAGGAGTTTCGGAAGAACGGAAAATCAAAAAGTTGTGTTGTATTAGATGCATGTCTAACTAACCGCACGCCCCCTTCTGGTTTGTCCTTATTGTAAAAAAACACGTAACCCCACCCGTATCTGTACTCCAGATCAGAATTACGAGAATGACCCATAACACATTCGTGTAAATCCCACCACTTTACTAAAAATTTATCCGCATTTGAAATGGAAATATGTCATTGGCGTGTCCCGCTCATGGCCGAGTAGTGGGTGGATAAAAATATTCCCCACGGCGCTGGAATGTCGCGCTTTATTTTCCCAATTATAGATTTCCCCGCCATTCATTTGCGTCTCCCCGGAATAACCCCTCATGGCTTTGATGCACTTTATTCTGGGGGGGTTTCTCCCTACATAAGAACCACTGTCTCTCTCGCATACACTATTAAGCTACTGTCTGCTCCCTTCAGCCACCGCAAACGATCGTTCCTCACCTCGAGAAATGGAATTTTCATTTCAATTTAAAATCTGAGAATTCCGGAAATTTTGTGGAAAGTCTAAAATTAAATTAATTTGTTTTTTTTTTGCTATTGAGGGAAAAAAAAATATTGCTGACTCCACTTTTCGTGTGTGCAGGTGCATAAAAATGCATGTTTGCTGCATGTTGAAGCAGCCGCGCATAATTGGGTGACTGCTAGACGTCCCCACATCGCCGTCATGTCTCTTTGATACGGCATCGGTCCATTCAATTGTCTTGACCTCCCCCAGTATAAAGCTCACTGCAAATCCCTCCAGATTGTATCTTGAAATTCCTCTTCTACATCATTACAGCTACAATTTACTAATTCTTCATCATGGGCTACGAAAATAAGCTTACTGCCCCTGCTCTCAAGTTCAAAAACTTTCTTGACAAGTTCCCAAAACTTCACAATGTCTACATTATCTCTATGATTTCATGTATTTCTGGTTTGATGTTTGGGTTTGATATCTCTTCGATGTCTGCCTTTATTGGTACCCCATCTTATGTCCACTACTTCAAGACTCCAAACTCGGCCATGCAAGGTTTCATCACCGCCTCCATGTCTTTGGGTTCCTTTGTTGGTTCTCTCTTGTCTTCCTTTGTCTCTGAACCTTTTGGAAGACGTGCCTCTCTTTTCATTTGTTCCATTCTTTGGATGATTGGTGCTGCCATCCAATCCTCTGCTCAAAACACCACCCAATTGATTTTCGGTCGTCTTATCTCTGGGTTTGGTATGGGTTTCGGTTCCTCGGTTGCTCCTGTCTACGGTTCTGAATTGGCCCCAAGAAAGGTTAGAGGTCTTATTGGTGGTTTGTTCCAATTCTCCGTCACCCTTGGTATCATGATTATGTTTTTCATTTCCTACGGTTGTGGTAAGATTACTTCTGCCGCTTCTTTCCGTATTGCTTGGGGTATTCAAATCATTCCAGGTCTTATTTTGTTCTTTGGTTTGTTCTTTGTTCCTGAATCTCCAAGATGGCTTGCCAAGCAAGGTTACTGGGATGAAGCTGAGATTGTTGTTGCCAACACTCAAGCTAAGGGTAACAGAGAAGACACTGATGTTTTGATTGAAATCTCCGAAATTAAGGAACAATTGATGCTTGAACATGACGTTAAGGCTTTCACCTTTTCCAAGTTGTTCTCCAAGAAGTATCTCCCACGTACCGTTGTTGCTGTTTCCGCTCAAATCTGGCAACAATTGACTGGTATGAATGTCATGATGTACTACATTGTCTACATTTTCGAAATGGCTGGTTACTCTGGTAACGCCAACTTGGTTTCCTCTGCTATCCAATATGTCTTGAATGTTGTCATGACCATTCCAGCTCTTTTCGTTATGGATAAGTTTGGTAGAAGATATGTCTTGTTGATTGGTGCCGTTTTCATGATGGCTTTCCAATTTGGTGTTGGTGGTCTTTTGGCTACTTACTCTGTTCCTTTCCCAGACAGTGGTAGTGACTCTGTTACTATTAGAATTCCTGACAGCAACAAGAGTGCCGCCAAGGGTGTCATTGCCTGCTGTTACTTGTTTGTCTGTTCCTTTGCTGCCTCTTGGGGTGTCGGTATCTGGGTCTACTGTGCTGAAGTTTGGGGTGACAATGTCTCGAGACAAAGAGGTGCCGCTTTATCCACTTCTGCTAACTGGATTATGAACTTTGCCATTGCCATGTTTACTCCATCTGCCTTTAAGAACATTACCTGGAAGACCTACATTATCTACGCTGTCTTCTGTGTCTGTATGTTTATCCACGTTTTCTTCTTTTTCCCAGAAACCAAGGGTAAGAGATTGGAAGAAATTGGACAATTGTGGGAAGAAAACGTTCCAGCCTGGAGATCTAGCTCTTGGCAACCAACCGTTCCTTTGTTGTCTGACAAGGAATTGGGTAACAAGATGCAAGTTGAACACAGTGAAGGTGGTGAAGAGATGTTGCGCTCTACCGACTCTCACTCTGAAGCTAGTGAAACCAAGGAAGAACACGCTTGAAGCGAATAATCCTGTCATTTTACACTTTTCTATTTTTTTTTAATTCCCCCTCCACTCTTATGATTCACGATACTACGAAATCTAGAAAGTTAACTTCATACCTAATACACGAATGAATACTTATAATAAAAACATGACTGTAGAGACGTTGCTTTGCTTTTTTGCAGCAATTGTTTGTGTGTCAATTAAATAAAGTTTGAGATTGTCGTTCCTGCATTTTTGGTTTCATGTTGCGTTGATGAAGACAGATTCCAGTTGGTTAGTTTGAAGGTTGCCGTATGCAGCGAGACTCGATAGGGGTGGAATTAAGTGAAATTGTGTTGTTCATTATTTCAGGTGTGGGGTGATCAAGAAAGAAATACACCACCCACCAACTTTAAATAAAAGCTCACGAATTGAGGAGTGCACCTACGGAAATGTAAACAGAGAGAGAGAAAGAGAGAGAAAGAGAGAAAAAGAGAGAGAGAAGATGTCATTTGGTCGAAATCATTCTAGAAGAATAGTAACTAGTAAAGAGTTCAAATGTGTCGTATCCTTTGATTCCTGGCTAGAAAATGTATTGTTTATTTGCTATTACCATTTGCTTTCACCATTTAGGGGGCAATTAATCCCGCACAGAATGTGCGTGTACCTTGTAAAAACTTATCTATAAAAAGGGTCCTGATTTCCCATTAATTTATGTTTATTCTATTTCCTTGCCCTCACTTCTTTCAATACAGAGTTATTTAGTTGGCTTCTGTTTGAAGTGAGGGTGTAGGTTTTCGGTGTTTCGCTACCTAAAATGGGATTGATTTCCCACATTCAAATTGACTTTTAGTCACCTTTTAAATCGGTTTTCATGCCACTCAAATCAGCTCACGCTAAGGCTCTCATGCCACACTCAAATCGGCTTTCATGCCACTCAAATCGGCTTTCATGCCACTTAAATCGGCTTTTATGCCACTCAAATCAGCTCACGCTAAGGCTCTCATGCCACACTCAAATCGGCTTTCATGCCACTCAAATCAGCTTGGAGGTTTTTAATAAATTTTCCTCCATTATTTCAAAGTGTAGTATTGTAATTTTGTTGTAAGTATTCTCGAAATAATACTTCAAGACGATAAGAACTGGCGAGATACTGCCAGAAGTGTCTTATTTTTTTAAACCATGGAGGAAATCAATTATTATATACTAGTGTCTTGTTTTAAACTCTTTAGGTGGGACAGACTGTCTTATCTCTTCCTTATCGAGGCTTAACATCTCTTAGCGACTTCGAAGTGTGGTGGCATGGTGGGGTATCATTTTGGTGTTCTTTTCTCCCTACCTAGAAGGTTGTAGCACCCTCAACTATACTCGTTCAACTATGACTATCTATTTTATAAAGAATCTTCTAGAAACCGATCAATACGTGACTATATCTATGGGTATGTAGAGTTCGTTATCTTGGATAAGCTGAAGTGGGTAACTCTTCTTGGCTTTCTCCAGCCAAGAAGTACTGATGGAGGGGAGCGGGCGAGGTAAATATTTGTCCAACAAGTATAGTTGTGACCCTTGTTTATTTCAAATCTTGGGGAATTACCTCATCCAGAGTAGATATTATGAGCTCTCGTAATATCCATTTAACTCCAAGAATTCTAAACTTAAATATTAATATCTTGTTAAAATACAAACTGGGGTAGTATTTCCAAAAATACTTGATTATCCATAAATTATATTTATCACTAATTTTTTTTAAAAATAATTCTATTTTTTACATTACTGGATACTTCTTTAAGGAGACTCATACCCTCAATGTAGCTACGAAGAGTACAATGGTTATTATAAGCTTTGTAAATTGGATAAAATAAAGGACCCTGCGAAATTTGATTCTGAAGGTGGTAGCCCTTTTTTTTTACATTTAAATATGAAGGGTGAGTAGTAGAGTCATCTATATACGTTGATATTAGTGAATAATGTTGACACTGGAATGTTAGTAGATTTTCTAAACCTCCATAGTATCAGGATTCAGTATGTCTCTGGTTCGTTAGAAAATGCTGGGTGTATGGATGTACGCACACATCGCATTTTACTGGGAACCGCTTTAAAGACTACAAAATGAGTATCGAAAGGATTATGTGATCAGTAAGTTACTTTATGACACTCTATTGAAAGTCTGACTCATTATAGTTCCATAACAGAGTTACACGCATCAAGGTAGGTACGAATGCGGGGGTTTTAAAATTGACATACATGGGACGGTAAATCTCCGGTGCGTTCAATTCACCCCCTCCTACAAAGCTAGGGAGCTAAACTGACCGAGAGCACCGTATTCTTCTAGAAACAGTGCATCCTTTATAACGTCTCATATAGTTCTTACAATATTCCACCTTTCTGAGTGTCGAGTCCGGGCTCAAAACCTAATTTTGGCTTATTTGGTATAAAAAACACGCAAAAAAAACACTCAAGCTTCGTTCCTCATGGCCCAATGGTCAAGGCGTCTGGCTACGATTTACGTAACCACTTCCGGTTGGAACCAGAAGATTCCAGGTTCGACTCCTGGTGGGGAAGCTTTTTTTTTTTTTTATAGAAAAATATTATTCTTTCTCTCTGTCCTAAACAGTGTACTACTATTCTCCACTCCTACAATTCACTTCACTCTGAACAATCTACTTCTACACACCCCATTCCATCTCTTTCTTCTATCGTATTGTTCTATTACTACTAAAAAAACAACCTTGAAATTGTCAAAGTTCTCCCGCACACGACCCCTATTATAGTGTTCTTTGAACACATTTGATCTCAAAAGAATGCACACACATACACTTACAACAAACAAAGTTAACCATATTTTTCACAACAAATATTACAGATGAAGGTGTATTCATTATATATACTTAACAAGGCCGGTGGGTTGATTTACCAGAACGACATTCATCCAGAATTGAACAAGTTATCTGCCAATGATTATCTTGTCTTGGCTGGTACTCTTCATGGGGTTCATGCAATTGCATCCAATCTTGGCCCATCTATACAAAAGACAGGGATAAATCCAACTTCTGGAGGACTGTCTGTGGGCTCCCAACTGACAACCTTGTCTTCAGAACACTCCACCAGTGGCGGAAGTATTGGTGCTAATAACAATTCGTCGAGTATTGTTTCACCACTGGCCGCAAACTCGTCAATCATTGCAACTGGTAAGTCTCAGAACCCAAATTCAAATAGATCAGGACTTCAAAGCGTGGAGACGGATTTCTTCAATCTTTATGTCTTCCAATCCTTGACCGGGATCAAATTCATCATTATTACATCCCCCAACACCGTTGTACATAACGTACAGGCAGCACCAGCAGGCGAGTTGGGAGACCAACTTAAACATACCAACAAGGGTGAACTTTTGAAACAATGTAACTTGGCCAGTGATCTCTTTAAGCAGATCTATGTCTTGTACGGCGATTACGTGATGAAAAATCCCTTTTATTCGTTGGATATGCCTATAAAATGCTCATTATTCGACTTACATGTGAATGAATTGGTTAAATAAAATGTCCTAAGATTCATTGACAAGACTTTCAAGACCATCCAAAAAGTTTACTTGAGGTTCCCACCCTAAACGTTGGATCTTTTCTGAAGAAATCCGATACCTTGCATCATTATACTTCCGATCAGCAACAAACTCTAAATGATTTGCCAAATCGATACTTGCCCCATGATATATTTCAATTAATTTTGCCACTAGATCTTTATTTCTCCACTCATCTTTAGTGCCAACATTGAAAATTCCCCCAGTAACCATATCAGACTTGGCAATGGCACATTCCCGCCAAATAATCTCAATGGCACGAACCAAATCAATTACATGTAAATAAGTACGTTTATTGGTTCCATCTCCATGAATATGGATCTTCTGCCCGTCACGAAGCTTGGCAATGGCCATAGGTATAAGCTTCTCTGGATATTGGTTACTTCCATAGACATTATTAGGCCGCAAAATAACTACTGGTACTTTATAGGATGAATAATACGATTGTATAATCATATCTACAGAAGCCTTGGATGCCGCATAGGGATTGGTTGGATGCAAAGCTGCAAGCTCGCTTACAGGCGGGTCATTTTCACTTTCTCCATACACTTCATCCGTAGAAATATGTATAAATGTAAACCTATTTTGTGGGAATTTATCCAGTGCTAACCTTAAACATTCCAATAAGTTTTGGGTTGCCAAAATATTATTCCGAACAAATGCACTGGGATTAGTAAATGATCTATCTACGGAAGACTCTGCAGCAAAATTGATAATGCTTGTGATTTTGGTATCGGGAAATCGCCGTACAAGTAAATCATAGAGAATGTCGTACTCCAAGGAAATGTCGCACTGGATAAATCTATAGTTAGCCTTCTTCTCCACTTTGGTTAAGGTTTGGCGCGTGTGGGTGGTTGCATAGTTAAGTTTATCAATGCAGGTGAAATGGTAATGTGGATACTTCTCCGCAAAGTAAACTAAAAAATGCGAGCCGATAAAGCCGGCTCCCCCTGTTACCAAGAAGTAATGTTCATAAGTCATTCTTCTTCCCCAGATTAGTTAAAGAATATTATCTGAGCGATTGCTTTCCTTTTGTGGGAATCGTCATGCATATCTATACTCACAACCATACAAGGCAGAAAACTGCAACGTTGCAATTTATTTATTGAGTCCGGGGAAAATACCGTAAATCTTTTTTTTAAGAAAAGACAATGACACTCGCTCCCGCATTGTTTTTTTTTTTTTTTTTCTCCCTTTCAACTTCCGAGGGTATGCATGTTAAAAATAATTCCGTTGCCCCACACCTATGCACAATAATCCGGTTTGAAATCCGACCATATCAATTAATTTTTTTTTTCGTTATTCAAAAAAGAATTTTTTTTCCGAGATCGGTTCAATTTCTTCCCCAAAAAAAGGTAACGTTGCAATTCCCCAGAATCTGTATCGAAGGTATAAATTATTACCAAAAGAATCGATGAAATTGTTTTATATTAAAATATAAATAACTTTAAAACTTTCCAAATGTCTGAATTTGATTTCACTAACCATTCACACCGCAGGTTCAATCCTTTAACTGAGGATTTTATCTTATGTTCTCCACACAGAGCTAAGAGACCATGGCAAGGTGCCAAAGAAGAAATCAAGCGTACAGACTTACCAGAGTATGATCCTTCATGTTACCTTTGTCCGGGGAACATTCGTGCCACGGGGGATTCGAACCCCAAATATGAATCAACCTACATCTTCCCCAATGATTATCCAGCGGTTAAATTGGATCAACCAGAATATAAAGCGTCAGATAAGGACAAGTCTGATAGTCTCAAATCCAGACTATTCCAAACAGAAGGTGTTAGAGGTAAATGTTTTGTCATATGTTTCAGTCCAAAGCATAACTTGACCTTACCATTAATGAGTTTACCTGAAATCACCAATATTGTGGATACTTGGCAAAAATTATATCTAGACTTGAAGGCTGAACAAGAGAAACCTTACAAGTATTTACAAATTTTCGAAAATAAAGGTTTTGCCATGGGATGTTCTAATCCACATCCACATGGCCAGGCGTGGTGTTTGGATGTGACCCCTACCGAAGTGTCTCATGAGCTTGTAAACATGACCAAATATCATACCAAGAATGAATCTCATATGCTTGGAGATTACGTCAAGCTCGAGCTTCAAGAAAGAGAAAGACTTGTAGTGGAGAACGATTCCTTTATAGTGGTTGTTCCATACTGGGCGCTCTGGCCCTTTGAAACGCTTTTAATTTCCAAGGAACATTTGAGATCTTTAGAAGATTTCAATGAATCTCACAAGAAAGATCTTGCTGATATCTTGAAGAAATTAACCACCAAGTATGACAATTTGTTTAATACTTTCTTCCCATATTCTATGGGGATCCATCAGGCACCATTGCACGGTACCAAGGAGGAATGTGACAATTCTTGGTTCCACATTCATTTCTATCCTCCGTTGTTACGTAGTGCCACAGTGAAGAAGTTCTGTGTAGGGTTTGAAATGCTTGGAGAAGCTCAAAGAGACTTGACAAGTGAGCAAGCTGCTTCCAGATTGCAGGACCTTTCAGGAGATGTTCATTTTTTGAATGAGTAGAAGGTAAATTGTAGTATTAGATTATATAAAGAAATAGAAAATTTGCAGCCAAAACGTAAAAGTAAAAAAAAAAAAGGAAAAGCATAGATAATTTCAAACTGATTTAGAGCGAGTGGTTCATAAGCGAGTATACAAGGTGTCATCCTAGATCTCGAGGACATAAACTGTAAACCAGAATCATCTAGTGGGGTGTCATCAAAGCCGCTCCGCTGGCCCCTGCTCGGGGAGAGCCACTGCGTGGGGCCTAGCTCCTCTACGAGGAGAAATACTTCACAGTACTCAGAACGATCCCACAGGGTTGAAGAGCCTCTTTGCTTTACTGCATGGGACCTCAAGCCGTAAGCAGAGCATTGTATGGGAGGCACTAGTAAGGCACATTCTACATAGTACTCTCATTGACAAAACCATCGGTCTAGATTGTATACCCTAAAACCCCAAATAATTAGAGTATCTCTGACATCCGACCACCCCGAACCCTAATCCCTCTTCATAAGCCTTAACCACCATTTGGATAACATCCTTACATTACCCTGCCTATCTATCATTATCTATCAGCCTGCACATAAACGTCATCAAATATATTTTCCATTTCTTTTTTTTTTTTTTTTAATCTTTGAATTTTTTAAATTTCATCACCAAAGACTTCACCACCAAGAACCTTCCCATTACAGCACCATGTCGGACGTAAACGAGCCTACTAACCAACCTCCAGTGGACACCGAAGCCTCTACCAAGCCTCCTCTCGATACCCGGATAGGAAAGGACTCACCATTCACCTTTGGACAACGGTTTTTGGAGAAAGATGAAGATGTGTTCAACCACAATGCCTGGGATCACGTTGAATGGGGTGAAGAACAAATCAAGGATGCTCAAGAACTCATTTCCAAGCAATACGACCACCCGGTAAAGGACTTCGACAAGGCACTCTACAATGCCAACCCAGCCAAATATTGGGATATCTTTTATCGTCATAACCAAGAGAACTTCTTCAAGGACCGTAAGTGGCTCCAGATCGAGTTCCCTGATCTTTATCGAGTCACAGCTGAAGGATACACCGAACCTACCACCATTCTTGAAATTGGATGTGGTGCTGGGAACACTTTCTACCCGGTTTTGTCTCAAAATAAAAACCCTAACCTTAAAATCCATGCTTGTGATTACCTGAAGGTTGCTGTTGATCTTGTGCGGGCCAACGAGACATATGAGCCTAACAATGCCAAGGGGATTGCCCATGCCTCTGTGTGGGACTTGGCCAACCCAGAGGGTCAACTTCCAGAAAATTTGGAGGAAAATTCTGTAGATATTGTCATTATGATTTTTGTATTTCTGGCCCTTCATCCTGACCAATGGAAACAAGCCGTTCATAACTTACAGAAATGTCTCAAGCCAGGTGGTCAAATCTTGTTCCGTGATTATGGAAGATATGATTTGGCTCAAGTTCGGTTTAAAAAGGGAAGATTACTTGATGACAACTTTTACATTCGTGGTGATGGAACCAGAGTTTATTTCTTCACTGAAGATGAACTCAGACAAATTTTCTGTGGAGCTGCTGTTAAAGGTGAGTCTGATGAGGCATTGGTGGAACCTACCGGGCCATTTGTAGAGGAAAAAATTGCCACTGATAGACGTCTTTTGGTCAATAGAAAGAAACATTTGAAGATGTACCGTAACTGGCTCCAAGCGGTATTCAAAGTTCCAAACTAGAAACTAACTTGTATAATAGATATAGAAATAGACACATGGTAAAACGAGACACAACCTTGGAGGGATACCCTACGGGGTATGTAAGCCGCTCCGCTGGCACTCCGTGGGCCACTAGCCGTGGGGGCTCCTGTTCCTCTGTCGAGGAAAAAACCAATGGGAAGATCTCCTCGAAGAGAAGCTGGGAACCACAGAGTGGCTCTTCGCGAGTAGGGGCGGGCTCAATGGAGCGTTAGATTTTCCCAGAGGAAAATGGGGTAAAAGCGACCTTATGTGAACTTCTTGCTGGGCCCCCTCGGAAAGGGAAACTGATTACCCATAGCGGGGCAGGAAAGATCTTTCGATAGTAAACTTTTGTTCTTGTTCTTGTTCTTATTCTTGTTCCTTTGGACGAATTGTCACATGCAAGAAATTATCCAAATGTTTGAAAAGGGACCATAACTCCACAATTGAAGGTGAAGCGGTCAGAAGATCATCTAAACTTATCCCCTGGATTATTATGGAAGATTTATCTATCAAACTTTGGGGAAATGAAGCTTCAACTACATCTTGTAGAGTGTTAGCACCACCTCCACCATCCAGCAGTTCTGGATACACGGGGCTTTGTATCATGGTTGAAGTTCCAGATAAATACATTTTTATGGGAATACGTTGGATTTTGGAGGTTATTGGGATGATTTCTTGATTAATATCCTTATGAACCACCCAATTATGTTGAACTATGGCGCCCCATAATTGGTCAGATTTCTCACGATTTAGATTCATGATAAGTCTTGAACTTCCATTGAGTACAAAGCATGATTGTTTCAACAGATTCATCACCACCAATTTAAGATGTGCTTTATAATCTACTGATTGAAAGGGAAGAATGAATTGTCTTGGATACTCTGAACAATGAAGCTTCACAGTCCAACATGGAACAGTCCGGGGGAAATACAAGAGATCGTACAAAAGACCTACAGGGAGATGCCATTGTACTGGAGCTCCGTCGTATTCTAACCATAGGGGCAGATCTATGATCTCGGGACAGTATCTGGCAAAGAATTGGGCAATCTCTTCAAAATATAACGGGAAATATGATAGTCTTCGTACCGATAATACTAGCTCTATTGGGCCTTCATCTCCATTTTTAGGTGAGTCCAAAACTACCCGTATATGAATATATCCATCCCATAATTTCTGTTGAATCAGACTCATTTTTAAAGATTAGGGACTATAAGATTGATATGCTTTGTATAAGTGGTTTATATCATGAGATAATGATAGGACAGAGTGCAGGAAATCACGTGATCAGCAGTATTATATTAATTTTTTTATTTTTACAGCCATTTTGATAATTACGACTCTGTTGGGGTGTGTGTCCCGTAATTGGGGGCTCTACTAAGTGGTTCCTAGCTCTTGTTCGAAGAGAGATATTTCCATTGATTTTTCCTCGAAGGAGGAACATTAGCCTCTACGGCTAGTGGCCCCATGGATTGCCAGCGGAGCGGCTTGTAAATCTCTGTAGGATCGGTAAAAGATACACTTCCTTTTTACGTGTTGGACATACATACATAATCATCAATCATCATGTAAATCTATTTGTGGTACATCCAAATAAAATTTAAACTTTGGGACCGATCTACAAAATCAAGGTTCTACATTCACAATACCCTAACTGTTAAATCTATACGTTTAAATCTCTCCTCTATCTATTTGTGGCTGTTTAATTTTTCTATGCAACTTAAAGATAATGCCATCTCTATATACAGTACGTCTCCCAATCCTACATATATCATATCCAGCTCTCCCACTAAAAATAATTATTATTAAGAAAGTTTTAACACATTTCCACCCAATTAATTCTAATAATAATTCATTATATGGGTCATACAAGTTGTTTTTAAACAATAACCCACTCTACTGAAATTAAAAGGCCATTTTGTTGAAATGTAGCCCGAACTGCTTTTCTTTTTATAGCAAAATGTACTGGCTGTCAATTTAAGCGATTCAAGATCAGATTTCCTGCATTTAAACCAGTAGAGGGCCCAATCATTTCTAAATACCTTTTTTCAGGGGGTCCTTTAAAGAGAAGTTAGCAAGTAAAATTTAGTAAATCATATGCACGAGATATATGACACAGAGAACAAAATAAAATTTATATCTAGTTCCAGAATACGCAGGTGCTTGCATCGTTTAAAGTTCAAAGGGAAAGTTCCTTCAAAGCCAGAGTAAGTGAATATGGTCTCTGGGGTAACACATCACGGTGAGGGTACCGCCTTTGCATGTGATGGATGGAATGTTTTGATTCCATTCCGATCGGCTTGGGGGTTCAAATCACCAGCAACCGAAGCATGATTAATACCCTTGACATTCCCACTCGACTGAAATATTAGATGGTTGTCTATACGATTTCATGATGATTACGCATTTTTTCCATGCACCCCTGCACAAAGCCTGGCCGAAAAGAGTTGCAACCAGCATTTTTTTCGCAGCACAGACAAGAAAGAAAGAAACCGTTCTAGCCGACAAGTATATAATGAAGAGGAGACGCTTTATTCAAAGAATTCCACCCTGAAAGAGCACCTACGACAGCAGGAGACCGCACAATCCATATCCAAACTTGAAAGATCCGTGGATCTTGCCAACATTATTGAATCCCTAATTCTCACGATTTTTTGTATTCAGTCTTTAATATTTTCTGTTGTGAGTTTAACTTCTCGGTTGATAGGAGCCTGCTAATCTTTAATTTTAATCCACACATTCCCGTCCATCCTTCCTTCGCTTACACATATATAGACCTTATTCGTCATGAAGCAGAATCTAACCTCATTGGACGTTCCAAACACTGTTCCTGCGAATTTATTCAACGTTGATTTGACGTTAGCCATTGATAAGTTCCAACCAGGAAAACATACGATTCAAGATCTTGAACCGGTACTAAACTATTTTGATAAGCATCTTAGAGCAAGAGGAATCAGACCAAAACCAAGAGGTAAGCGTGTAATGAGCATGCCAGTATTCAAAGAAAGAGACTGTCCAATTACAATCGATTCTCAATTAAGAAAGCTGTTTATTCCTAGTACTACCACCACCCCAATTAATAAAGTTGCATCTCCTAAAGCTCTGTTAAATAGTGCTGAGAAGGAACTTCCAAGACTCCCAGTGAGAATAAATACAGAACCTATATTGCATACAATTCCTCAGAATATGATCCCACCTCCAAGTTCTGTCAATCCACTCCCCACCAGCACCACCACCAAGTCCAAGTCCGTCAAATACCGTCTGGTCACTGAAACAATCATGGAAGATGATGAAGACGACTGGTCACAGCTGCTGTTAACTACCTCCGAGTCTATGGTTCTGGCCTTGACTCTGCCATGGACAACATCTCCTACACTTCCACAACCACAATTACCACCAGCAAAGCACACCATCATTGATGAAGACACACTTGATTATGAAAGTTTATTCTCCGGCTCGACTGCTCTGAGTGGGACATCATTGGAAAGCGACGCTGGAAGCATTCAACTCTCACAACAAGATACATCATCAAGGTATTCGTCAGCTTATTCAGACTTGGATTCTGAAGTGGATTCCGATTTTAGTTCTGATTTGGATTCAGAAATAGATGTTGCATCAACCAATTCTGATTGTTCTTCCATCGGTAATGGGAAATTACTTCTGTTTGTCGAGACTTATATTGAAGAATCACCTCCAGTTGAAGATATACGTACGCATTCACAAACCAAAAATTCAAACCTGCCATCTTTGTCTAGTCATGCACACACAAGTTCATACGATAGCAGTTTTGTTGACAGTTTATTCTCTGAATCTGATCTGTCTGTGAACATAAGTACTAGTGACGTGAGTGTTCCCTCTACTGAATGGAAAAATGAACAGAGAGTGTTGCAACCTCCTGTTGTTATCAAAATGAAGGAAACTTATGAAACGACATCTACTGACTCATTGACATCCATTGAAATGCCATTACCATCGCCTGTGAATAACAAGTCTCGCGCAGTTCTGCAACCAATCTATTCATCTAATCGTGTCAACCTCCAACCAAATTATTCACCACTCCCAATATCCCAAATGGCCCTGCCAGAACATGCTCAAATCTTGGGCCAACTTGTAAGAAGATCTGAAGCTGATTCCATATCCATGTCCAGCACTGCCCTGCTTAAGCTTCCAAAAATACGGAAAGTTCTTTCTTCCAATCCCAACATCGCTAAAGTGGAAGACGAAAATCTCGCAGAACCAACATCAAAGGGAGGAAATCCAGATAATGCATCTTCAAGGTTTTCGTCATCTACATCAACCATGAGTCTCAAGGAGATCACCAAGACCCTTAAATCGCAAATCCGTCAAAGACCATTTAGTTTTTGTTTAGATTCAGGCAAACATTATGATGATACACGTTATTTCACTCCACCAGCAATCGCTGATAAAAGTTCATTTGCTGATCCGCAAAAGAAAAAAGCTACAAGATGTGTTAGTGAATTTGTGGGGAATACATATCATTATGATAGTTATTTCAATCTTTCCAAGACCACTGTGCAACAACCTTCACCTAAACTTCCACCAAAGACTCTGACTCCATCATCTCCAACCCATTACAAATCACTCAGACCTCCTGAGAATGCATACATGAGCTATACAAAGATAAAAAAGGAGGGGAAATCCCTCCAAACGGACCCTTCTGGAAGAGAAAACAGATTCGGGAACCGTTCAAACTACAGACACGTTTCTCTTCCGGCCATGTAAACAATTTTTTTAAAAAAAACAAACACACACAATCGTCATGTACATTTATTGTATATTTATAGTTAGTTTAATTAAACTTTTAATTTTATTCACAACTTTACAATCATATCGTTGCCTTTGTAGCTATTTACCAAGTCTTCAATTCCGTACTTTGTGGCTATTTTCTGATTGATAAATCGACCGCCCAAGTAATGAGAAACGGCCCCCTCCGACTCAACAAACTTTTGAGCACACGGTTTCGGGGCCGTGAGACTGACCAACATGGCTGGGTGGATGTCGATGGCGCCGGCGCCAGTATCAACGTCCCAGCCAGATGGAATGTCTACCGAAACTATGGGCGGGAGGAATCTGTGGTTTTCAGATAAATATTTTAATACGGCATCAAATGGAGATCTCACCGGTGGCTTAAACAGGAACCCAAATAACGAGTCTACGATAAGCTCGGTGTTTTTCAAGAGGTTCTTCTCCTGAATATCCGACCACAGTTCATAGTCTGATACTCCTAAATCATTCAATTGAGTTAACAAGTTCCCATAAAGTTCCAACCTTGAGGATTTCTTGGGGTAATAGAGATATGGACTATACCCCCAGAGTCTCAAGTGTCTAGAAGCCACCAATCCGTCACCTCCGTTATTCCCGGGCCCAACAAGTACCAATACATTATTGGGGGTTTTCTCACGTGGAGGGTACTCTTTATAGATTGCCTGTGCCACGGCTAGGCCCGCGAGTTCCATGAGCTGGTCAATGGAGAATGCTCCGCTTGACATGAGTTCACCATCCAACTCAGCAGCGGCCTTCGAGCTGAGTGTCTTAAAGGTTCTAAGCATTTCTTTTTTCTTGGTTGTTGTAAAAGAATTGGTTGTCATCGAGATGTCGTTCCCATATCACGCATTTATATCATACATCCAAATCACGCGATATGTAACACATGCACTAACAGCCCAATAATAACACCTTTCATAATTATTCACTACAGTCTTCTTTTACTAGTTTCATTTATTTATAAAATACTAATGGGTTTCACTCACCATAGAGTGTAAATCAGTCAATGTTTCATCCTTTTTAATTTGATGTCTTCCATTTAATTCTCCAGATTCTTGATGTTCAACAGTGGTTTCCTCACCATCCTTTTCATGGGCGTAACCATCATGTCCATTCTCTGTGGCAGTCAATGCACTGCCATTCTCTGACTCTAAATCCACTTCTATTTGATGTACTGGTGCATGTGAAGAAGATGCCGCATTGATCGATGCAGCCTCTTGAGCAGCTCTCTTTCTTTCACGTTCCATTTCCAATTGCTTCATCAATACTTTTTCCTTTGCCTTCAATTCAGCAGCCTTTTGTTCCAATAAGGCGGCTCTACTGGCCAATTCCTTGGCACTGGCCATTTCCATCTCTTCAAGCTTTTGTTGTCTTTCCAAGATTCTCTCATGTCTAAGTACATACGGCACGGTTTCAGAAATTTGACGAAGTTGATTTCTTTGTGGTCCAATCGATAATCTTTTAAATGCATTGGTAGTTGTGTTCAAGTTTCTTTGAGGTGGATGGTCTAATGACATGGAAGAAGACGAGTTAGAAGCAAATGATGCATCATCCTTAAGTTTAGGAGATGGCATTTCCACTTGAGTATCCAAATCATCAAGAAGCATTGATTTTTGCTTCTTGATCGAGGATGAAAAGGAACTAAGTGATTCATTATCTTCTCCAGCAACACTATCATCAATTTGATCTTTAGTAGATGACGTTAATTGGGCCAAATTAGATAACGATGGTACAGTGGTGTTTTGCATACTATGGTCTCCATTGTGGGTCAATTCTTCAACCGTATCATGGAATTGATCATCTTCACCATGTCCATTGTGTAGTCCTCCATTGGCGTGACCACCAGTGACCTTGGTTAATCTTTCAGTTCTATACGTTTCATACAAAAAGTCATGTGTTAAATCTTTCAAATCCTGTAAATGAGATCCCAATATAACTGATTTTAAAATTGGGAAATCACTATATTTTGGATTATTCACATCAATAATTCCCCATGGATATTGTCTAGCTCTGATAGTCGACACTTCTCCAGTGCTTTGGTCTTTCACCTCATAATCTTCTTCAGATGCAACCACGGCAAATGGTTGAATCTTAGCAAGGAATTTACATTCTTGAATAAGTTCATAATCTTCCTCTTCATCATATTCAGATAAGTAACTATCAAATTGGAAAGTTGGTACATTGAATTTCTCAATATCAACTCTAACTTGATGTTTGAATTGTTTCAATTCTTGTTCAGTAAACGAATCAGCTTTACTAATGATTGGAATAATGTTGACATATTTGGATAATCGTTTCATACAAGTGATATCAATTTCTCTTAATCCATGACCAGTAGGGGTGATGAAATAAAGAAGAACATGTACTCTTGTGTCTACAAACCTTGGGTTTCTTCTGATTCTAGTTTCTTCAGCCAACACCAAATCAAATTGTTGTTTGAGATAATTTTCAATTTCAACAAAACATAATTCATTATTGAGATTTTCTCCAAATCCTGGGGCGTCAATTACATTGAGTAATAATTTTTGATTTGAATCATCAACCATTTCTATTTTAGTTTCAGTAAGGGCAATACCAGGCTCTTCATTTGCGATTTCTGGATTAAAATCATTCTTAGTAAGAATTGAAGTGTTTGGAAGTGCCACTGATTTGGCAGATGTGAAGGCCAAAGTCTTGGTGTCACCAATAGCCAAGTCACCCAGTTCGTAACGGTGAGCCAAGACCTTTTTATTGAGCAAACAGTTTATAAAAGTTGTCTTACCAGTCCCCAGTTCTCCAACTACCATAAAAGTAAACTTGACACCCTTCTTGGCATCCTTACGGTAATTTATCATGGGAGAATGACTCAGCATTGACGGAGAGTCGAATGTGTACAGGTTGTCAATAGTTGTCATCTGTGTTATTTGGGAGTATAGGACTTGTTAAAATGTGTTTGAAACTTTTATGTGTGTATTGTGAAACAACGCCAAATCTGAGCAAAATATTGTTCTTGATTCGTGGGTATCACTGGGAAGGAATCGCTTGTTTTGCAGCAATTGGTTCTAACGAGTGGTTTAAATATATTCCGCCTATTTCTAGAAGTTCTTGCCCTATTTAATTTGAAATATATTACCGTTTAATCAAGTTTTCGTGTGTTTGATCTGGCGATTTATTTGTTGTTCGTTATAAAAAGAATGGTCGTGCAAAGTACACATACCGTGCAGGAGAACGCGTGAATTCTAAACTGTAACAAAGAGGCAAAGACGAGAGAAATGAATTGAGAGATGTAGAATAAAATCGTGGAACAGGTATGATAAGAAATGGGATACAGAAATCAATTGGCCTTTTCACATTATTTTATTTTATATTATTATATTGATGTAGATATTAAAGATTGATAATAATAATGTAAGTTTAGTAGGATGTACCACTTAAAAGGGCCAAAAACGGTTAATTAAGCGAAAAAAAACACAGTGCGATTCAAGACAAAAAGTAAGGAGAATTACAAAAAGAGAAAATCACAGTACAAAATAAAATACACACCAAAAAACAATCAAATTGATGTTTTATGCTAAGTAACAGAGGGTCACGCATATCTTTTTTTTTACCACCACGAATTTTTTTTTACAAACTGGTAATACGTACACATCATCTCCTCTTATAAATATACAATAACCACACCCTATAACATCCTTTGTCTCTCTCATTCATTCTCTTCTTTTCTACACTTTTGTTGCTAAAATTCGTGTACCCGCGAATTAAAACCACCAACATTAATCAATACACCCACAGCAACATAAGTGAATCCCCTCAATCAGGCCTTAAATCTTTACTAAATCAATCTGTATAATTAATTATTCTCGTACTGTGACCACACCTTCACTATACATTCATCTGCACCGTATCTAACATACCCTGAATTTTCCCCCCAATTTCCTCTCCATCGTCAGTCTCAAATCTTCCCCCTCCCCGTCTCAATTTCGTTTCTCAATATTATTTTTTTTTTTTGGATTCCAAGTTTTTTTGTCCAAATCAAACTTTTAAATTAAACAAAAGAGAACAAATCACTCCTTACTACCATCAACACATTTAAAATGGATATTCTACAGGTGTTGGAAAATGCATTGATGCATCCGGACCCCGCCCAGAGAAGCGGGGCCGAACAGCAGTTGAACGATGCCGCTGCTAATCATTTTGTTGATTACCTTTCTCTTTTGACCGAGGCCCTTGCCAATGACGAAGCTAAAACTGAAGTAAGAATGTTGGCTGGTATTGGCTTAAAGAACCAGTTGACCTCGAAAGATGCAAAGTCCAAGGAGTCACAACACCAGCGTTGGATCCTGTTGGATGCCCAATCAAAGACAAAGATCAAGGAAACGGCGTTGCGTGCGTTGATGACCTCGGACGACAGAGTGGCCAATTCTGCCGCTCAACTAGTTGCTGCCATTGCAGACATTGAATTACCTCGTAGTGAATGGCCCGAATTGATCCCTATCATCATTGAGAACACCAAGACCGAGAACCAAGTCAATGTCAAGAGAGCTTCACTTTTAACCATTGGATATATTTGTGAAAGTGCAGACCCAAACAATCCAGCCATTGTTAGCCAAAGTAACGGTATTCTTATTGCCATCGTACAAGGTGTACAAGCCTCAGAACCTTCTCACTTGGTCCGTCTCACTGCCTTGAATGCATTGGTGAATTCTTTGGAATTCATTCGTTTCAATTTTGAACGTGAAGGTGAAAGAAATTACATCATGCAAGTTGTTTGTGAGGCTACTCAGGCAGACAATAATGAAATCCAAGCGCTGGCCTTTGGTTGTTTATCAAGAATCATGGCCCTTTACTACCAATACATGGCTCTTTATATGGAAAAGGCCTTGTATGGATTGACGGTTTCTGGTATGCAATCTAAAGATGAAAAAGTGGCCTGTATGGCCGTGGAATTTTGGTCATCTGTATGTGAAGAAGAATTGGAAATTACTTTACAAAGAGAAGAATATGGTGCCGAAGTCGGAGAAGAATACCAATCATTCAACTTTGCTCTTCTTTCCATTCAACAAGTTCTTCCAACTCTTTTGAATTTACTTACTAGACAAAACGAAGACCCTGAAGATGATGATTGGTCTGTGGCCATGGCTGCAGGTGCTTGTATCCAATTATTTGCTCAAAACACCGGCTCTTATGTAGTGCAACCAACCTTGCTGTTTGTCTCTGAAAACATTCAAAACTCCAACAGTTGGAATTGTCGTGAAGCTGCTGTGATGGCGTTTGGATCTATCTTGGATGGACCTGAACGTGACCAACTTAAGGAATTAATCTCTCAAGCCCTTCCTCCAATCTTAAGTCTTATGACCGACGAATACTTGCAAGTGAAGGAAACCGTTGCATGGTGTTTGGGTCGTATTGCTGATTTGGTCGTGGATGCCATTGATAATCAACAATATCTTCCAGCTGTCATTAGTGCATTGGCCACCGGTTTGCAAGATCACCCTAAGGTCTCCACCAACTGTTGTTGGACATTGATGAATCTCTTGGAACAACTTTGTCCCGATGGACCAAAGCAAGAAACTACTGTGATGTCTCCATTCTATGGTACTTTAGTGCCAATTTTAGTTCAACTCTCTGGAAAGAATGACAATGAATATTCTTCAAGAGCGCTGGCTTATGAAGCATTGTCACATTTTGTCATGTATTCCGCCCAAGATGCCATGCCAATTGTCCAAGGGGTTGCCCTGGAAGCTTTGTCAAGATTACAAGGTACCGTTGGCATGCTGCAACAACAAATTGACGAACTTACCACTGAAGATAAGGTGAATTTAGAAGAACTTCAAACGAATATTCTTTCTCTTTTGACCAATATCATTCGTAGAGCTGGCCCAGACGTCACTGCGGTGGCTGATGATCTTATGTCTATGTTCTTGCAACTATTAAATGCCCAACAACAACAACAAAACGGTGTCATTGAAGAAGATGTCTTGATTGCCATTTCTGCTGTTGCCAGCAGTGTTGGTGATGGATTCACCAAGTACATGGACGCTTTCCAACCATATTTGACCAATGCTCTTGTCAACACAGAATCACCAAGTTGTAACATTGCCATTGGTCTTGTTGCCGACCTTTCACAAGCTCTTGGACAAATGTTCTTGCCATACCTCGATGGATATATCAACATTTTAGGTGCAAACTTGAATAATGCCGAAGTAAAGCGGGAACTTCGTCCAACCATTTTATCATGTTTTGGGGATATTTCCACTTCTGTTGGTGTTCATTTTGAACCATACCTTCAATTCGTGTTACAAATCTGTCAACATGCCCTGGAAATCGAACCAGAAGATAGCTCCATAGAAACTTTGGATTACACACTTAACATCAAGGAGGGTGTCCTTGATGCATATGTTGGTATTGTTGGTGGATTTGCTGAAAAGCCACAAACTATTTCTCCATACTTGGGACAAATTTTCTCATTTTTGCAACAAGTTTCGGTTAACGTTGATATGGCATCTACAGATTCGGTATGTCGTGCTGTTGTTGGTCTTCTTGGTGACATTGCAGCCATCTATCCTAATCAATTGCTGACTATCTACTCCGAACCATGGATGTTGACCTTTATCAAGAAGACTCGTGCCAACCCAATGTTCCAACCAGCCACCAAGGAAACTGCTCGTTGGGCTAGAGAACAACAAAAAAGACAACTTGGCCAACTCTAAGTATGGATCTACACTACTACATGGTGTTCTACAACAAACTTCTCATTCTCTAATCTCTCTCATATTTCATCTCATATCATGTCCCGGTGGATTTTCACCGGAGCGCGAAGGGGCCTGGGCCCCGGGGTCTTGCCTCCCTTTTCATCTCTCACCCTCATCTCTCATACGTTCAATTGAACTCACTGCCTTAGCAGCGGTCTATAGATACCAATAAATATAATTATAAGTCATGAAAAATTAAAAAAATAAAAATAGTGAACCCTAAAATAAAACCGAATGAAGATATGGAAGTAAAATTTTTAGAACAATGAGAATCTTGCAGCACATATACACCAATTTACCCAATAGGTGGATCGCGACTAGCAATTTTTTCCACTTACTGACAAATTTGATCGCGATATTATGTGCATGGTTCATTGTTTAACGCGTTCTATTGTATAGAACAGTACATAACAATATAATAAACCCGAAGGAGGGTTTGTCCTTCAACAGAGGGAATAGTCTTGTGCAGCAGCTGGTTCGAAGAATAGCAAAACAAGGGTTTGTAGAAACATGGGAAATGGAAGCTGTTTGAATAAAGAATGTAAACACAAACAGCATCTCTATGTAAATACTAATCTCATTACATGTAGAAAAGATCTAAATAATACACACCCACCCACCCCCTGTACTGGGTGATGTAAACGGTAGCACATCTCTCCCTCCGGGAAGATGTACCCGCCACGTTAAACCTCTCGGTCCTAACTCGTAATTTACCCAAACCGGACTTTATTGTCATTTCATTGGCACTTTAATTTCATTTTTATTTTTTTTTTCCACTCCTTATCCAGCTGCCCTGAAGATCTCCTCCTCGTTGGTAAACACATATATATATAGAAGGGATCTCTGGCTTTGGGCGTCGAGCAGTCATTCATTTAATCCCCAAACTTTGCCCTCTCCCAGAAAGATCCAATGAAGATTGAATACAACCCAATTCCCTTTGACCACACATACATCTTGTACGACCCCAAAGATGTGATATCGGTGTTGTCGGTGCATTTCTCACTCCTCCCCATCTACACAATGGTCTTCTACACGTCGTGGTTCTTGTTGACTCGCGAGATTGAGCCCGTGATAGTGGTGGGGGGCCATCTTGTCGGTGAGATAACCAACAAGATTATCAAGCGAATTGTGAAGCAACCCAGACCAGACTTCCACAAGGAATTTGGTTCTGGATCATACTCACTCTCATACGGGATGCCACTGGCCCATTCCCAATTTATGGGGTTCTTTGCTGCATATTTTGTTTGTATTGTTCTTTTCAAAATAAGCCATTTTCAAACTAGTCAAAAGCTTATTGGATGTTTAGTTCTTATCATTTCGTCAGTTCTTGTGGCCTTTTCTAGAGTCTATCTCTACTACCACACGACTCAACAGGTACTTGTTGGTGCTCTTTTTGGTGCCATGTTGGGGTTGATTTACTTTGTCATCATTGCCATTGCTCGTGATGTGGGGTTCATCGATTGGATCTTGTCTTGTCCAATCCTTCGTTATTTCTACATAAAGGACTCATATTTCCATTGTTATCTGACATTTAAAGACGAGTACTCTATCTATTTACAAGGAAAGATGAGCGGTCGTTCCGTTGGAAAGGTTTAATAGAAATTACCTGTTGCATTTATTTAAATTTAATAATATATTACATTCCTATTCACTTCTAGAGTTCGTTAAAAGGTACACAGTATCCCGTCTTAAAATATATCAATGATGTTGAACTTCATTAAAACTTCTAGTAGTCCAATGACCATAATTAAGTGATTATATATCATCTTAAGTAATTCTACTATTTTCACGGTACTCCACTAAACTCTATCTCCTTTAAATCTGTCTATTACTAAAAATCATCCCACTTCTCATTCTTCCAATCGTCATCCTTCTTGTTTCCCAAACCTTGTAACTTGGTCTTTTCCTTAGGCTTGGCCAAACCAAAAGCTGGAGCAGTGGATGCTTGCGAGCTTGAACCTTCATTGAGACTTAACCCTTCAAAGAGATTGCCAAACTTCTTGTCTAACCCTTGTTCATGAGTGAATGTTTGGAAAGTCTCTTGACCGTACTTCCCAGTTTCTTGCATCTTTTGTCCGAATTGAGCCATGGCACGGCGAGCTTCACCAGAGAATTCACTGTCCTGCAATTGGTAGATACCTGGCTTAATGACGGTTTCATGAACTTCAGAAACGGATTTGGCCACGGTGGATGAAAACAAACCCCAACCCTTGGTAAGGGTTCCCAATGGGTCTGATTGAAGGTTGTCAATCGTGAAAGAGGCAAGACTTCCTCTTGGTCCAGAAGAAGAAGAAGAACCTGCTGGGGTGTTCCCGAAACCAGCATATTTACCACCTTGAGAAGGAGGTAAATGATCGGGTCTGGATTCGTTTTTGTTACCCAATTCAGCAAAGTAGGCCTCGTTCTTGATCTTTTGATCGTTAAGAGGAGTTCCTCTACGGGACAGAATAGGTGATTGCCCGTTGTTTGCGCCGCCCACGGGGGCACCACCAGATGGTCTAGGCAAGTTGGCACCGGTACCAACCGAGTTAACGTCCGGCAAGGACTCGCCCGAGTGGTCCTTCTCGACCCATTCACGGCCTTCAATGTCACAGGTTAACTTTTCCTTGTAATCGTCAGCAACGTAGTTGTTGTATTTGGCCGTGATTGGAAGTTTCATGTCAAGACCATGGCCGGTGAAATATTCACGAGCATTCAAGTTGCCACCCTTTTCCATGCGCAACACTTCTTCAGGCTTAAACTGGTCCATAGTGATGGAACGAACAAATGAGATATGGACCCCTAATCCACGGTGAAGTCCAGCACATTCAAGACAAATGAAGATCCCAAACTTTGGCGACGCCCATTGGGGGTTTGGTGCTCCGCAATCGAAACATTTCTTGTTGGCACCCTCGGCACCGTTCTTCTGGAGGAGAAGAAGCTTACGACGCGTGTCCGGATCGATAGACATGGCTTATAGGGGGTTATTGGAGAGGGAAGGACTAATATAAATGGCACCAACTATGGTTTAGAAGATAAAAATGGTTCGCGACCGCGTACGCACACGACCAGAGTCAGACCCTCCCTTGGGAAAATCCGCAAAATAAGGCGTAGCAAAAAACAAGAACACCCACAGTATACAAATTGACACACAATTCGTTATTAAGTAATGAGCTAATAGAACGTTCAAAAAATGTGAATAAATACATATAATAAATATCCATGGATCTATACATATAGTGTCTTTTATTCTAATCTGTATTACGTTTTCTTATGTTACTTATTTACTTATCCGATCTGTCAGTTTTCTCACCTATTTCAGCCTTGCGAGAATAAAATTATATAATTCCTATACCAGAAATTTTTACCTATTCTAATTCCAAATAGACTTTTTCTTTCACCTATTTTACCCCTACATTTCAATCTAGAAATATCCCATTTTTGGAAAGTATAAAATTTATCATCTACCCCCATTTTTTATTTACATTTTATGTAACCTCTTACATAATCGTTCAATCATATCCTTATCATTACTATCATTACTACTATTTGTTTTTCTTTTTTTATATACTGGAATAAAGTCTTGTATTCACCTCATATCCCGGCAAGACGTTCTTCTCATTAGTAGGAATCGCAACCCTCGTTATATATGGACTTAAGGTTTGTTGCAAAATCTCATTAGAATTCCCAAAATTGAAATGCTCAATATTTTTTAAATTTCTCATATAATGGTTCACTTTTAAATTCCGTTTAAATGGTATGCCATATCGATGCAATGTACAGTCCATCCTGATGAACCGGCCATGAAACCCGCACTCACCAAATGCAACCACCAAGTTTGTACATCCATCATTATCAATGGTTTCTAATGTATTCCAATTATCACTAGATATGTGGTTGTAATCCTGCAAATAAGCGCTGGCTGCTCCACTAATAACAATGTCAATAGTGCCGAATTCATACATTGCCTGATTTACAACTCTTCTCACCTGCTGTATCTCCCGTACATCAACCCCAGAGTACAGAACTATCTTTCTAACCATACCTTTCCTCTGACAATCCCTACGTATTTCATCCGCGGCTCGTTCGGTATACTCCGCACTTCTCCCCACTATACAAGCATTGGCCCCAAGCGATATTAAAACCTCAGTTTGTAATCTACATACCCCGGCTGACCCCCCACTGACAAAAACCGCTTTTCCATCAAGTGGTAGTTTCATCTTTTTTATATTACAAGGTAAGTATTTTTTAAAAAATAGAGCAAAAGAAAATGCATCAAGATGCCTTTCTTTTTTTCCCCACGAAAGGGATATATATATAAAATACACACAATTATAAAATCACCCGAGCTCCTGCATCCAACACATTGCCAGAAAAGAAGTGTATTCCTAGATCTACTAGTCTTTGATACTTCATTTCATTGGAAGGTAGAATGCATTCAAAGATATGGGGAAACTCATAAGGTGGTACCACATAATTACTCTCTCCACGGGCACACATTATAAGTAAGTAAATTCAGTACGACAGTGAAGACATAGTCGAACTATTTGCAGCCATTTCATTCCTGTTGATTTTGTCGTATCAGTGCAATCTTCTTGCTAGTTGTATTTAGTTTATGTTTAATTGTTTTGGAGAGTTTCTTTGGTGACAGTAAACTACCAGCATGAAATTTTGCATGTCCATTACTTTTCTTATTCACTTCTTCATTCACTTCTTCTTCTTCTTCACCTTTAGTAGCTTCTTGATCTTGCTCTATATCCTTTCCATTCTTTGCATCATTCTCATCTTCTTCATATTGTCTTTTCCCTCGAAGTTCACTTTCAATGCTTTCAAACATATTAACATTGGTCAGTCCTTCAGAAATGATATATTCAGAACTTTCTTCATTATGAATAGGTGTAGATGCATCATGGGAAAGTTCTTCCTCAATCATAACTTCATCATCTTTGTCAGACAGCTCCATAAGTTCAAGTAATTCTTTTCCAGTGTTTACAAAATCTATCCCATTTGTAAGAAATTCTCTTTCTCGTTCACAAATTTCTCTCGCTAGTACTTTAAAATTCAGTCTTTCATCATCACAATCACAACTTCTAATGAATATTTCTAACAAGTCAAGACATGATGAATTAGCAAGGTTATTTTCATTGGAAATGCCTTTAAAATAACTGAAAAATTGTCCTAAAATGTTATTCTCTAAAATATATTTGGTATATTTCAGATCATTTAGTAACAAGATATTCTTAAAACATCGTATGGCGGTCAATTTTAATGTAGTTTTGAATGTTTGTTGTGAAATTATTCTTCCAATTGATGATAGAATATGGGTTTCAAGGAAAAATGGCTGTGATATATATACTTCATGTTCCTTTGTACAAAACAGTACGAGTTCCAAAAGATGTTGAAGTAACAACGATTCAGAACATGTCAATATATCATTCAAATCAATTAATTTACCAAATAATTCAGGAGCAACTTGTGAATAGAATGCTTGGAAGTAATTACTAGTGTTGATATCATTAAAATCATCATTCCCATCAAATCTTGAGCTTATGCCATTGATTGAATTGAATTCATTTTTCAACAGTTCAATTTCATTGTCGTTACTGGCCCCCGATGGACTCATTGAATTCAGTGCTATATTTGAATCTAATAATATCCGGAGTGCTTCAAATGCTTGCATTTTCAACCCAGGATTTTCATCTTCAATAAGAAGTTTCGTGAGAATTTGCATAAGGGTCATGTCATCTGAAAGTCGAAGATGTAATGATTTCAGCTCTATAACTGTATCATCGCCTTCTCCACCATTACTATTCTTTGCATCTTCATCACCTTGCTTTGGAGGTGGTGGGTCCAGATTATCTATATCGACGTCATTATCAATGGAATTCACAAGTGAAACATCCTGTTCAATGATAACTACAATGATTTCTGTCCCCAAAATTCGTATCTCACTTTCCAGATCCCGAACTGCAAATGAAACCATTTTAAATAATCCTCTTTTAACCAATGTGCTGAAAAATTCAGATTTTTGAAACGATTGAAGAGATTTTGCAATTAGAATATATTGATGGAGCATTCTAACCCCATCCTTACGTTTCTCAAGATCACCTGCATCCTCATACAACTGAAATAAATTCTCTAAAAACCCTCCACTACCTTCAGGATCCTTTAAAAAATTGATGATGTCTACTTGATTGAAATAAATCAATGAAGATATTAAATTGAAAGTCTGATCATCCAAGAATCTTGCCAATACAACATCTTTCAAGAAATTAAGATGGAAATCATTCTTAAAAATCTTGAGTGCTTCATCGTTTGGTAAATCAATCACCACTTTAAATTTACTTTTATCTCGAAGAAATTCTCTATAACATGCCTTAAAGTTTGGGTATTCTCGATCATATTCCAAGATCCCAACTAATCCATATACTTTAATATCATCAGAAAGGAATTCTTCGATGATAGATGCTTCATTGTAAAGAATTAAGGTCTTGACTGATTCGCAAATAAGATGCAATGCAGCTAGGTTCTCATTGGTTTCTGCCACTTGAAAAGCTTCGATTAATTGTATAAGATATTCTTCATCTTTCATAAACTTCAGAATACTTCCACGCGTATATTGGGAATTCGAGCCTTGACTAATTGCTTCGAGTACTTCCGTTAAATTCTGTTCTGTTGGAGGCTGTGGTGGCAAATTTATTGGACCTGTAATAAGTTCTGTCACTTCAGAAGGTTGTGTTGAGCCATTATTAGAATTATACTCATTATCAATGACAGAATTGTTTGGAATTACATAATACAATGAAATCTCCGGAGCGTACTTCTCCTGTTGAGCCTTGATGATAAACTCACAAAGATCTGCACACGCCTCAGTCTCTTGGAATGAAAGGGCAAGATCTTTTCCTTCAAGATCTGTCCATACGATAAGCGTTTCTTGTTGTCGTTGGTATTGAATAGAGCCTTCCAAGAAGGATTTAAGAATGATTTCCTCCTCATCATTCTCACTGCGCACTAGAAAGTACGGCTTGCTATCTTTACTGAACTCTCCAACACAGTAACCTGTTCCATTATCTATCCAGTCATCTCCGCGGAGAAGATATACTTTGACCCGACGGGGTTTTGCAGGCTCAGGCATGACTAGTTTGTATTTTTCTTTAGTTACTTTGATTGATAAAATAAGATTGAACGCGCTTGGCGCCTTAAAGGGTAGAAAGGGGTCAGGGTCAGGCGGAGTCTCCCTTGGGTGACGTGACACGTAGGTGGATGAGGGTGCTAGATATACAGAAGCCTTCAATGGAAATGTTAAAGTATGTTTGTAAACATATTGAATTCAAGGGAGTCGCGTTCCTAGTATGAAGGATTGGGACTAGAACATCCATCATAGTACGTGTTGAATGGTAAAAATCAGAAAAGTAGAGAGAAAATGTCGCCAAAAATTTAGAGATAATCTACTAAGCAAGCGGTGTTTACGTGTAGCTGTGAAAGTCTTCTAAAAAGGTTAACAATTGTAGCTTCTTATTAGGTGACTGTTTAATAGTGGATTTAACCAGAGTGTTCATATTTAGTAAAAAGCCGCACTCGTACTTTAGTGGTGAAACAACCACCTAATTTCATGACATGGAACATATAAAACAGGTAAGATTATTTAGAATGTTTAGAGTCTTTGGAAAGTTTCTATCTATGAATATGGAAGAGAAGTACCTGTTCTTTGATTTAATTTAAAATCAATTTATAAGATATATTATGTTTTCTTTTTATTTAGCATATACAAAATTTAACCTGTACCCTTTGAAATTAATAATAATGTTATTTTAGTACTCACCTGATACTTTCCATATTATTCCCTCTTGATACTCGCCTAGTACTTACATGTATTATTATCCACCAATCATACTCTCCCACGTCTCTACACATTGTTTCTTCAATTTTCTTTAATTTGCAGCCATTGACTGTAATACTATATACATCATAAATAGATAACCACTCTATATCACCTAATGACAAAGAAGAGCAGCACTGGTCAAGTTTCTCAACCAATCAACCTTGTCGACATCATGAGTGTCTTCAACTTCACCCCATTCAGCAGTTTGGAAAATGGTTTCCAAGTTACCCAATTCAACAACTTCATCTATAGTCTTGAAGTAATACTCACTTGGGTCATTCTTATTGACTTGATACAATTCCTTCATATCAGTTTCATTAGATACATTGGAACGTAAGATGGTGGCACCACAAAGGAACGATTTGGACATCAAAATGGCCTTTTCAAGGGCAACCAAGTCGTACATGTTCAATTGTTCAAGCCAATGTAACACCACAGTTTGGGTGGTGATGGTTTGTCTGTTACCACGAAGACCTTGGGTTTCACAATCCAAGTAGGATAATTCAATTTTATACCCATCTTCAAGTAAGTTATGTTTGTGTCCATAGGCGGTGAAGAAATCATTATATTCTTCAATCAATGGGAAATACAACTCATCTTGCTTGACCCGGAGTTTACCCTCATATTCCTCAGTGAAGGTGAAAATCAAACAAGTGTCTGTATCAAGATATCTCAAGATATTGAGTCTAACATCTTCCAAGTTACCAATCTTGGTGGCAATTTCGTCACTATTTGGGAGGTTTTGAGTATAAACGGTTTCCAAATCAATTGCTCTAGCAACAACAGAGGTGAGTGGGAGTGCATTAGTCTTAACCTTGAGATCTGGAAGGTTGGCCCATTCATGAGCAACAAGATGTGCCATAGCCTTTTTCTGTGGAGGAAGAGCCATTGGGAACCCTAATGGGGTCTTGAGAGGCTTCCCATCAAGTTGAACCTCATATTTACCAGTTTCTGGGTTGTGGAAAGTATCTACCTTTTCCCAGAACTTGGTGAGAGTCTTAGATAACCGATTAGTCTCTGACTTGATATTATGTTCAATGGTTTTATCTTGACCAATTGGTTGGGCAGAAAGAGTACTCAAAGCTGGAGAAGCTGCAGCCTTGGTGGCTAATGATCTCACGGCATAGGAAGCAACAAAGCGTCTGGACGAAAGAGCCGATGCTCTTAACATAGAGTTCCTCAACATGGTGTACGTGATGTAAGAAAGCTTTGATCTCAACCTTGTTCACGTTTTCTGTGCTTTGTAATTTCAAACAGTAATTTTTTTTTTTTTAAACTTTTCATTTTGTGAGGGCGCGCGCGCACGGGAGTGAGTTCCAATACGTTTTAAAGTATCAGAAACCAATATCAACACTGATAAATCTAGGTCTATATACCCCTACTAATACAACATGTCTGTCAACCAGGAAGCACTCAGGAAACTTCTCATAGAGATGGACAACCAGTTGAGCCGGTCAAAGGCCGAGCTTTCGATGTGTAACCTTCAACTCAGCAGAGTCGACACAAACCTTCGTCTTATTCAATCAACAAAATCACGCTTAAATACCTTATGTACCGATGGAGAACCAGTCTGGCAGGGTGTAGGCAAGACATTTGTGAAAACAGACGTCAACACTTACTTGAAGGGCATTGCCACAGATGAAAAGGAATTCAGCGATAGCAAGTCGTCGTTGGAAAAGAAGAAACATTATTTGGAAACAACATTGGAGAAGACTGTGGACAGTATGTCTCAAATTGTTAATGGTGATAGAAAGGCTTAGTGTAGTATATAGAGAATTTACAACGAGAATAATTGGTACTTTGTTTAATGTAATATTTATTAAGAGCAGCGGCAGCAGCAGCAGCAATTAGAAGTTGTTAATTCCGCCTCGGGCTATGGTGTAGTCGACTATATGGTATAATTGACCATATATGGGCTCTTACTTCCCTCAATCCCCTTCAAGTTCTTTTTTTCATTTTTTGCAGTTTAATAAGACTTCTCTTATCCTTAATCACTATCTTCATCAATACCATCATCTAAAATTCTTCTTTCAATGTCGTCAGCCTCGGTCTTCGCATCTTTGACCCGGTTCATTTGTTGAGTCAAGAACTGATTCACCTGATCTTGCACGGTGGTAAGCTTAGCTCTTAACTGGCCCAAATTGGTATCTTTGGCTTCACTAGGCTTGTCACGATCTTCTCCACCAGCTTGGATCACTATATCCGATATTTGGGTTGTTTTACCATTTGTAGTATGAGGACCTTCACCAGATGTGAACTCTTTCTCTCCAGAAGGAGAACTATAGATAGCAATAGGATCAAGACTCATTACCCTTTATCAAAAACACACGCAAACTCCTTGTACAAAGATATTCATCCTAAAAAGTTCAAAATTCATATTCGCGCAAAATTGCCCCAAATCCTCTAACCACCAGAAACCCACCCATTCAACCAACTCAATCCCCTATTTTAGGTTTGAATATCTTCTACATTATAGACTTTCTACTTCTTCTTTATTAATATTTATCTAATCATAGCTCTTAATTGGAATTCTATTCGCCGTATTCGAATATGCATTGAACTTAATTTCAATTATTTCATCAGTCAGAAAGTTAAGTGATGGAATATCATAACACAGACACAGCATAAGGTATCCATAAAATACCTTGAGAACCGTATCATCGGCAATGATTAAAATGTCACCTGTCATACGCTCCATTTCAAGAATAAGTGGTTCAATCTTAATTGCCAAGTCATGGTACAGTTCAGCTCTTGAAAACCGGTGATGATATGGATCTTTCAAAAATTGTTCATATTCGGTCGGGAATTGTTCTTTAATTTGTTCTTGCAGCATCCCACCAACCATACCTGGGTTTTTCTGCAGAAGTTGTACTCTATTTCTAATAGGAATATTATGTTTAGCAAGAAATTGTGTAGTTTGAATGGTTCTCTTTTTAGCAGATGTCCAAACCACAAACGATGTAGAATCCTTAGGGGCACGAACCGTTGGATCGGCAGTACCACTGTTTGTAGGGGTCATGGCCACACTACTGGCTCCACTGGTGGCTGCACTATTGACACCAGTGGTTACTCCCAGAGTAACGCCACTAGAAATCTCACTAGCACGTCTATATTCCAAGATAGTCTCAGTCAAGTTTTTGGCATATTGTACTCCTGTAGCATCCAAAGGAGGATCATAACTATAATCCAAACTATTTTTCCAACATCTAGCGAAAAATACACTACCCAGTTTAATTCTTGAATTCATTAAAAAGAACACAACTTTATTAATCAAATATCCATAATTTGAATTATAAAGTTCAATTCTTTCCCCAAAATTTATGAATTTAATGTACAGAAGACCATTAGAATTATCAACTTCATTCATTTCTTGATAATAAGGGGTCAAGATCCGGATTCTTTCAGAATAGTCTCGATAAGCTTGACGATAATCCCAATTGATATAATCTGGTGATAACCGGGCAGCTTGTTCCATATTCTTAAGAACAATGGAATCATCAGTCACCAAGGATTCAATAAATAACGTTTGAATATTCAATTCCCTGAATTTTTCTTCCAAATCTTTACGATATTCAGGTAAGGCATTAACAGCGTCATATATGGCAACTTGTCCCTTATCAAACTTGAAGAAATTTAACATATCATTCAAGCATTCATCTACAATTTTGCGACGGAATTCATTATTTTTGGCACTATCAGGAGTTGGGACAAATAAATCATGATGAAGATCTTCTCCACCATTTTGTCTACGGTAATCACCCAAGTGGAACAGATGGGTTTTAACCCCCAACCATCTCAAATAACGGGTCAAAGACACCGACAAATGCGTTTTACCTCTCCCAGGAAGCCCAGCTAATGCAATACAAATTTTCCCAGCGTGGAATAATCTCCCACTTTCGGTAGAATATAATTGCGCAGGAGAAATATGATATGGATCTATTTGTGCGTGAACACCATCTATCCCACCAGTCACGTCACTCATTCTACGTTGACCAGATGCTCTAGAATCAATAACCCCACCAACTAGATTGGGCTTAACATTGCTATGGAACGACCAACGTTTCTTGGTCCGTTTACCGGATTGAGAAGGGTTTCTTTGGATTGGTGCCGATCCAAATCCATTGAAGATTTCTCCCTCGTCATCAGGAACTATGGCAGACATTTTATTAAAAAGGAATTATTATAACTGAAACTCACACACAGACTCGCACACAAACAGTCTAATAATTTTAAATATTTTAGACGAAATCTATAGTGTGGGGGTACAAGTGGTAAATTGATTTATTGAATTTGAGTTAGTGTTGGGCTATACATTTGTGTGTGATACCCCAAGTTGGTTTGTGTACAGGAAAGAACGACCAAAGATAGAGAAGAAACGGATTCCTTAACTACGAGACAACTACAAAGTTACGGTTAAAAAATGTATCTGGGAGAGAGTTGATACGATAAGTTACTTCACTACATACATACATACATATTATTATTATTATTATATTAGTCGTTATTAGTTGTAAGGGTGGTATAGATTCGGTTTAAGAATGTTGTAGTACTTCTCATTCAATACATTAAGGAGACCAATTTGAGTGGGGAACACAGATAGAGGGGATAATTATTCTAATATCCTGTGATATAGACCATATAGGTACAAACTAAGTAAATAATAAAGTTAATTGAAACTTGGTAATAATCGTTTCAATTAAGCGATCTATTTATTATTATTTCCGAAACTGCGTGGTAAATTTAGATTGTGGTTGGTAGCCCGTCCTCCATACCTTTCCTTCAATTTTTTAACTCTTGAAACAAGATCTCTTTTTCTTTACACTGCTACATTTTGTTCATTTTTTAGTGGTATTCTTTACAATTAAACTACACGTCACTGATCTATCTTGTAACTTATTATATATTCAATAAAGAGTAGAAATAATTTACTCAGCCTTACCGCCCTTTCTTTGAATCAAAGCCTTTCTGTCCTTGTCCAAGTGCAACTTGGTGAGAACAACCTTAGATGGGTGGATGTTAATTGGAACGGAAGCACCGTTGGACTTTTCCTTTTGTAACTTTTCAATTTGGACAGAGTACTTCAATCTGTAGACAGAAGAGATCTTACCTTCGGAACCCTTCTTGGAACCTCTGACAACCAAGACTTCGTCGTTGGATCTGATTGGGAGGGATCTGATGTTATATTGTTCTCTTAATTCCTTTGATAATGGGGCAGACATCAAAGCTCTTCTTTCAACAGAAGAGGCAGTGAAGTAAGCCTTTCTAGCTTTAGAACGGGAAGAAGAAACGTCTAGAATGTTAGTATTTGTTGGTCATTAGCTATTGATACACTGTCAGTGTATCTTAAGTGAATTTGTGGACATTTAAATGAGATTGCAATAGTTTGTATAAGCGGGAAGCTGAGTTTAATAAAAGGTTTTAAAATATTGGGAAAACTTTTTCACCATTCTTCCATGATGTGATAGCTTGTCAATCTTTCCAGTGTGAAATCTACAGAGTTTCCTTGTATAGAGATATCCTCTCTAATTTGATACCTCTTCTCTAAAACTTTTTCTAATTCAACTTCCATTGACAAATTTTCAAAAGTGATGAAATCTTGAGTTGGCAATCAATAGCTATCCACTATGTTCGACCCGCTTATTCGCATACACATATCTCGTCCTGTGAATGATATTTACCTTGAGAAATCTTGGCCATTTTCAATAGTTATGTGGTTTACCAGAGTATCAAATGCACCAGAAAATTTTACTGTATATCAATTTTCACTATGGTAGGATGAAAATTTCGCTCACTGGCTCTGGTTGGTAAGGAGACGACCTCTTCTTCAAAATTACACAAAAATCGCAAAAATCTTACGCATTTTCTAGGTCTACAGCCCTAAGGCGATCACGTGCAAAACAAATATTATACGATATGATTTTTTTTTCTTTTTTATTATTATTTTTTTTTTGAACAATGATTATTATAAGATTAATTTTTTTTTTTGATTATCATTTTATTATCGAGCAGATAGATAGTTGGTGATTGTATTTGTATACGCGTGATTAAGGGACTATTTTAGAATTTTAGAATCAAAGGAACAAAAAAAAAAATTAGCACGAAGGTGGTTAATTTAATGTAGAGATTGTAAAATTGAAACCGATGCGTTCAATGGATCTACAAGATTATCTCTATTCTTTAAGTGAGTTTTGAATTTCCATGTTCATTAATTATGCAACCGACAAGTCGGTACTATGAGAACTACTCTTATTTTTTGATAATTTCTAAAAAAAAAATCGCAACCCGAGGCGGGACTCGAACCCGCAATCATAACCGCCGGAAGATTACACCTTAACCAATTAGGCCACACGGGCGATTTTACGTTTAATTTTTTTAAAGAATTAGACGAGCGAGAAATTCCCGGATATCGCCGAGACCGGCGGGAAACCTTAAAAAGCATATTTTAACTGTATATGAATACTCAATGGAGCATTTTATTGCTATACTGGTATTGAATATTGTTCTGCAGCAATTTAAAGTTGGAAAAAGTTCGAAATTAGGCGGAAAACCTGTCAGCTTAAAAAGATGTACCATATCTCAGGAAAGCGTCTCTCCGATTTCCCTAAATTATTCAGCAATCGTAGTCTTTCTAGTATCATTTAACATGTAAATGTTTGAAAGAAATCATCAGGAAAGGAATCGATAAGGAACATGTCTTGTAAACTTTTATAAACTCATTTTCAACGCGATTTGAAAATTTTTTAGTAGGTTGCAAAATTTTTTTTTCCCCGGTAATCCAAGACCCATATCAACTTACAGTCAGACAATTACTTTATGATTGACAAAGGGTGTTTAATAAACCAGCCAGAACTATGATTCAACACTAAGTGGATACGTACATGACGCAGGAGGGTAAAAAAGCATTCTTTGTCAGATGTAACCTTTTGTTTAACTTTGAGTACCTTTTGAAAGAATTCTGAGTATCTTCAATTCCAAATAATCTTTTCTATTGATATACACTATTTATCTACCTTCAAGTAGTATCCTTTTCTGAGTCCTACATGATCAATTTCCACAACTCTGTTTCTTGTATCTTCTTGTGCCGAATCTCTCTGATCTTTTATATCATGCCCAACTCTCAACTCCTTCATATAATTGCGACATGAAAATTACTTCTAGTTGAGAAATCTCACAATACAGAGGGTAACATATTCCTCCATTATATCAAAAATGCGTTCCATATTGAGTATAGGCTCACATGCCAGGCTCGCTAAGAATGCCTTCACTTATTCCGCTTTCAAGCCTGCGTCGCTTTTAGTTGCTACCAGAATCGCAAGACCACAGTTTGGTTCATACAATGCAACCCTTCCATTGAAGAGTTTCTACTCCACAAATACTTCGGGTACTGCTCCACCTCCACCACCTCCACCACCTAATTCTACCACACACGATAAGAATGCCAGGGGCAAGGTGATCCTCAACCGTATCTCTCGTGCATTCACCTTTTCCATGTCGTCACTCATGGTTATCGGAGCATCTGGTGTTGCCCTTCTTGTCATTTATCTTATTCTTTCCGAACTTTTCCTTCCTTCAGGAGATACCAGAACTTTCAATAAGGCTGTCAAATTAGTTGAGCAAAACGAAAATGCTCAAAGAGTTTTAGGATTTGAATCTGGTAGTAGACTTAAAGCTTATGGTGAGTCCTACGGAGACAAATGGACGCGTAACAGACCAGTTCAAAGTATGAAGACCAAGGGCCAAGATGGCAAAGATCGTTTGTTAATGAAGTTCCATGTGGAGTCAGACTCAGGTCGCCATGGTACTGTCTCCTTGGAGCAAGTGGATGAATCATTTTGGAAGGCTGACTTTGCTTACATTGCCTTGGATACCCCAGGTAACAAGAGAATGTACATTATTGAACCAAAGTTCCAATCCAAAAACTACGTACCTAAATTAAATGGTGGTGGCTTCTTGGGTCTTAAATGGGGACCAAAGAAGGAAGATTAATGATGATGTATATAGCGATAAATTCATTCCATAAATAAATATTTAAAACTAGCTATTAAAGTACGAAGAACAAGCCACTCATAAACATTAAAAGTTTAACTATTCCACCTACTACTTGATTCTTGATGCCATTAGAACTCATCAGTCTGTTGTGATTTTGTTTAAAATTCCGTTGTTCATTGATATCACCATACTCTGTCATATTCGAATGCAATGTTGGAATCACATTCCTAGTTTCATTGGTACTATTATTTGACCATTCAATGATTCCAATAGCTTCTTGACACGTTCTACCATCTTGGGAATAGATCTCTTCTAGATCGGTGTTCCCATTTACCAAAATAGCCCTTCCAGAGAAATCACATGAACTTTCTTGTTGTTGATTTATCAAGTAGAATTGATTCAATGCATATGAAAGTTGTTGTTTCAAATTACAATCGGAAAGACTTCCATAAACTCCACGAGATGAATCTGACCGAATTCTTGAACAATCAACAGAAGTGCAGACTTCTTCAAGAAACTGTTGGTAATCTCCGATATCTTTATACGGAGATACAATACATGAGAAGGTAGATTGAATACATTCACACTTACCTTCATCTGGAGTTGGTGGTAATACACTTGAAGCTTTCCATACTGAAGACTGCTTAGGACAATTGGGTATTTTTCCCAGATTTTGTTGCTTTTTAATAGCAGATTTAGGCTGGGCAGAATTCAAACGCATCAGTAAAGTTTCAAAGTCTCCCATCTTTTGCACTGTACCATCTGGTCGTTCTTGAACAATCCCATAATGGTTTTCTCCTTCAAAATACAGATAGGCAATAGCTCCCGACCAGACACTCGACATGGTAGATCCATAGATTGCTTCCACTTCGGTAAATGGCCTACTTGGACCAGCAGTATTACATCCATACTCACTGAAAAATATGGGGACAGGGAAATTTGAATATTCTGCTGTTCGCTCCCTATAGCCGGATGTAGAGTAGCTGGAATAACCACACCATTCATACATATTTATTCCCAAGAAATCAGCAATACTGTCTTTGGTTCCAGATTCATCTTGACATACGAAATAGTTCGACAAATTCATTCTTGTTTCTGAATCATCATTGGAAGCATATCCAACCGGGATTGATCTGTATCCGTTCGCAGCAATATATCTTTTAATATCACGAAAGGCAGCTTTAACAAAAGGTGATGCATCTGTATTTGATTTTGAAGTGGTAACTTCGTTCCCGGCAATGAATCCCATAACATTATTGTACTTATTCAAACTATCAACAACAGATGTATATCGGTCATATAACTCAGTATTCCACGTAGGATTTTCTCTATTGATGGATAATTCAGGTTCGGACAAGTCCGCCAAAACGTACACACCCTCTCTGGCAAACGCCTCCATACAAATATCATGATTGGCTAATGGGTCTATCTGATAAACTCTTACGAGATTGACCCCCAACTCTTTAAGTAATTCTAAATCTCTCAAACATGTGGTTGCATTTGCCAATGGATCGATGTACAGACACTTCAATTCCTTACTATACGTTTCATTGGGTTGTCTCATTTGCTGGTAAGCAATTCCCTTGATAAAGAATTGAGTTTCAGATCCTTGGTAAAATAACTTGCTTCCGACTACTTCAATGGGTGCAATGGTTTCATAGTTGGTCACAGAATGCAGCATATTCACATTCGCAGCGATGGATTTGGCTGCGAAACACGACAAAATTAGAGTTAATGAACTTAACATAATCTCCTAGCTAACTAAATTTAACAGCGAGATCCAACAAAAAAAAAATACAATAGAATAGACTTGAAACAATCTACTCAAAAATAGTTATTCTAATACAATTTTATTACGAAGGTATCTATGTGGCTATATATGTATATTTGTTTTTGTTTGTGAAATTAATTTTTAGTGGCGCACAAATAGAGTGACGAATTACACCTTTGCTTTGCTAATATTAGGGGAGATCGAGTATAGATTTAGAACAATTCAAACAAGGTGCTGAACTCTTTCTTACCCTTACATTCAATTAAGAATATCTCTCCCTCTCCAAGTTTCAACACCATACCTGCTTTTCCAATCTTTTCTATTACATTGAATTTTTCTTCAGAGTTGATGAGCCAATTGTAATTTTCTGATCCTTCAATTGCAAGATTGTAATATGTTGCACCAGTTAAATTCTCTGTAACCATGTATACACTAAGGTTATTCATCGAAAGGATTTTCCATGAAGATGGATTATGAATCTGAGAGTAGTCTTCCATATTTTTTTGTAACCTAATCTTCATGTTATTCAATAGTAATAATTTAGTGTTGTCTGGATTATTAAGAATGTTAGAGTCATCATATTCTATAGCATCCAATGCATAGAGCGAGTTACTTGGTTTGGGGAATGAAGAACCGGCTGGAGACACAGTTGTGGATGGATTCTTATTGTTTCTCATACTTCTAACATCAGCAGGCGAATACATATGAGAGCTAATACTTGAATAGGTGGATGAATTATTCACCAAACTGTTATCCATAAGTGATGAGGTGATGGTACTACTCGACAAGTAGCTCTTGGAACCATTTGCATTGCCGTGGCTCGAGACTGGCAGTTGTATTCTACTGGTCTTATTATTATTAAAACCCAACACCCCCATGATGTTATCAACGTTACTGGCAATGGAGTTTAATAACCCACCAGATGCACATCTGAAGATCACATTCATAGTTTCTTCAGTTACAGCGTTAATAGAAGTAATTTGGAAATCTAATGCGGAAACCAGAGTTGTAGTAACACCACCTAAAAGACTGAGAAGTAAAATTGGCTTATCTACTATTTCACCAATTTCCCTATCCTCTTCCTCTTTGAAGACTATCAACCAACATTTGTTCAAAGTATAGTTTGCAACAATTTTCATAAAGACATTTTCATTCAGCGTAAGCATTTCCCACTTACCATACTTGGCCTTCCATTTAGAAACCTTCATAGCTTTTGGTGAAGAAGGAGAAATGTAAAAATCAATGGATTCATCATCATTAATTATATTTTTCAATTCTTGAGGGATGCTTAATGGAGTTTCCTCTTTATTGAGAGATATGGTGGAGTCTGAAGGATGTTGGAAGAATTGCATTGAAGTTGATTGAGGCAAGGCAAATGGAGCAGGTAGTTTCGATTTTGTGGCGTCTACAGTGGTAGTAGAAGCAGTTGTTTTACCCATTGAGGCACCTGAAATCTCATCCGAATACATTGAAGTTGCAGATTGTAATCCATTATCTTCAGCACGAAGAGTGGCATCAATAACCAAGTTCTTACCCTTTTGTTTCTTTTTGAATAATCCGAAAAATGACTTCTTTTCCTTAACAACAGGCGCATCAACCAAGTCAGATAAGCCACGATGTACACTGAATGAAGGGTTATGTCCTTTACCAAAGTTGGTAATATCGATGGCAGACAGAGCTCCCAATTGATACATTTTCTTACTAGAATCTTCTGAATTTGTTGTATCAGCAACCGAATCATCTTGATGGATTAAATTTGGAGCTGATGCAAACTTTTCTTGATGTGCTGGTTTGAAAGCTTCCGAAAGTTGAGTACCTTGTTTTGGAGAATCAATATCTAATTGATCCATGGCCAAGTTATGGACGGACACCGGTGTCTGTTCAAGGACTTCAGCCTGGTATGAACGAGGTCTATCTTCATCATGACGGCCAACCGAGAGGTAGTCCAAATCAAGAGTATTACGTTTTATGTGTTTCACATGGGAAGAATTATTATCCTCTGAAGCAGAAGATGATGAAGATGAAAAAGACGTTTGCGCCTTGGAATTTGCAAGACTTTTATTTACCACATTCATCAAATGATCGTAGTCATCAGACGAGTCTGAAGAGATCGAGCCAGGCTTAGAACTAGGAACGTAGAGGACACTAGGCATTCTCACCAGCTTAGTTTTTGGTTCTTGGGGGATACTAGAACTCTCATTGAACGAAGATTTTCTAGAAGAGTGGGACACTGAAGGAATTGAGCCCTTTCTTAATTGAATTGATTCAACAGACGACTTTCTAGACAGACTTGAATGAATCATAGCTGGTGGTTGTAAACCCTCTGAGAACTTCTCCTTTTGAGGAGTAGTTGGTCTCAGCTCAAATTGATGTTGCAATTGAGATAAAGGAGATATCGTTGGAGCATCGATCAATTCCCTGAATGGTGGCTTTGCCTGTGTAGGAGGTGCATCTAATGGCTCTGAATACACTTCAGATAATATATTGATACCAAGGCCAGACAGGCTCAAATTTTTAGATTCAATCAAAATTGGAGATGATTCTTCACCAGTACTTGGGAAAATGCTCGTAAGTTTTTCAAACCATTTAGCAAGTGCTGAACCATCACCACTTAATTGTAAGGTCTTTATTTGAGTAGAAGAAGTGACGGAATGTGATTGAGTTTGTTGAGCGAAATCTATGACATCAAGAGTGATTTGATCAGTTTTTTTGTCATAAGACATGGAAAGTTCATTGACTCTAAATGGTGGATACAATAAAGACCGTGGAACAGTGGAATTCAATGAAGGTCTAGACAAGATGGCTAATGCATCAAAATATCCCGTGTCATCCAAATTAAGAAAAACTAGTTCCACTGGTTGGGCAGTTTTCAATCTAGTTGTACCAATCCTTTTATTGGTTGGGTTTTCAGTCAAAAAGATTGTCTCATTAGTGGATCTTTCAGTAATTTGCAGTGGTTTGAAATAAGAAGAAACTTTTTCAAAATTTCCCTTGACCAGACAAATATATTGAGGACTGTTGGGGGCACGTGGACCAACTAGTTTCACATCATCAAAGCTAATGTTATTGAGCGAATGTAATTGAGTGTAAGACGCGTATTTCCGTGACACGTCCTTGAGACTTCTTTCAATCGCAATGAGCTTTTCAAGTACGAATGGATTCCGTACTATAGATCCACTTTTTTGTATGAATTGAATGTACGCGTCACATTGGAGAATTGGTTTAGCAAAAGTTGCCGAAGAAACCGATTGAGACCATGAAGCCAATTCAGACAGCAGTTGGTTTAATTGTTCAAGATATTTTTCAAACATAACAAGACCGTTACCTTCGAACCAAAGGATGAATCCATTCATGAATTGTTTGAATACTTCCTTCTCGTTGCTCCCATTGCCATCCAATTTGGAAACTGCTTCATTCAAGAGAGCCAAGAGTTTGGTGTTCTTTGTGAAGAGTCCACGGATAATTGAAGTGAGGGTGGAACTCGAACCTTTAGTTGGTTTTATGAGTCCCAAGATCTCAATAAGGTTCTCATTTTCTGAAGTTTCAGACTCTAAAAGCTTCTTAAGTAGCAACGTTGGTGTCACTGTAGTAGAATTAGAGACCATGACCATTTCACAATACAAGAGAATTGGTACTCTAAAGGTATTAAAGGAATGACAGCTTAATTCTATTAAAAAAAAAAATTATATGTACAAAAATAAATAGAAATGCATTCAATTAAGAACCATATATCCCTGCACTGCTTAAGATTAATGGTTACACCATATCTTTGCTCATCTGGAGTCTGGCTTATCCAATGCAGAATCCTCCCTGATTTTTTCCCCTTTGGTATTAAAACGCGTTTCGAAAATCGTGATTTTCTCGTATTTTAATGCGAAAAAAGGGCGTTCCACAGAGACATTTTTTGAGAATACGAGAATCCCCTAAATGGGTCTAAGTGGGAACTGAGCACAGTGGTTGTTTGCAAAAGTGAAAAAAAAAAAATAAAATACCCACACATATAAAGAGGAATTGTAAATGTATAGCTGAAACGATGCTGGTTGTAGGGGTCGTGGCATACCGCGAATATGTCATTATCTTATCGATTTTGTTAATAGTATTCACGAGCTGATACCCAATCTAGAACATCTTTCACTCCAGTACCGGTTTTACCACTAACTGGGAATATTGCCCATCTTTCGCGGTCAGATATTTGGTCGTGTAGGTTTAGTACACCATTTATATTTGTAAGTAAATTCTGTATATCGAGTTCTGATGATAGAAGATCTATTTTATTTACCACTACTGCAAGGCAAACTCCACTTAATCTATCCTGTTGAACGACTTTTTCTTGTAACTCACGGAAGGATTCTTCAAGACGTTCAGTACTAAGAGCGTCAATGACCCAGATCACCACGTCAGTCTTGTCAAAGTAGTTCCCCCAAAAACCTCTGAGAGTTGTTTGTCCACCAACATCCCAAATATTCAAATTGTGTTGATTATATGTCACAGTTTTAATTTGAAATCCCATGGTGGGAGATACTGTTGAGATCAGTCCTCCAAGCATGGTTGTAACAATTGTAGTTTTCCCAGCATTATCCAATCCTAACATGAGCACACGGATCTCCCGATCCTTCGCCTTTTGTTTCTTGATGATAGTGAGTAGACCCATACTGAGTAACTAGATCGTTTTGCTTCTTTTTGATTTTGATTTATCGCGATTCCATTATCAACATTGTAGAGTCGCTAAATGTGTCTAGATCAAATTTCGCAGTTGCAGAAATTTGGAGGGCAAGATGATTTTCAATATTTATTTTTGGAACTGCTGATTGCTATACAATCTACCCAGGGAATGAACTAGAAACTTTTGAATTCAAATATAAAGTGCTTCTACAAATATGGTGGCCAGACAGAGGTCTATCTTTGATTTTAGAAAGAGCAAAGAAGAGATTTACATCGATCTTACAGGCGATGATGATCCAGAAGACGTAATTGTTGCAAATAAAAGTGAACATGAACTTCATCTAAATACCACAAATGGCAAGAATGAAGAAGAAAAGAAACTGGAAATGCCCAAATTAGAATGTATTGAGATAGATTCAACAATACAAACAGAAACAGAGTCTGTGAATTGTCCTATTTGCTCAGTTAACATGGATGATCTTGTGGTGGATCAAAGGATGGAACATGTCAATCAATGCCTTCAAAAATTAGATATCAAGGAGGAATTAGAACAGCAGCCCATACCCAAGAAGAGTAATAAGAGGAAACAATCAAACTCTCAACCTCGTAGCCGTGTAGTGCCAGAAAATGTCAAGTATGTGAACAAGTTGCAAGATGAGGGTGCTACTGATAAACTAATCAAAGTCCCAACTACTATCAAGCGTAATTCAGGTAAGAAACTGCCCATACCGATAGTGAAAATCCTCACATTTGACGCCGGTCACAGTGTAGCCGTTGATGCATTCTGCTATGCCCCACATGACTCCATTGACCAGTACTTTCTTACCCATTTCCATGCTGACCATTATGGTGGGATTTCCAAGAATTGGTGTTACGAACGAGTATTTCAAAGTGATGAGATATCAGACGAAAACTATAAACATATCATATATTGTACACCGATAACGGGGAAATTGTTAACGCTCCGCTTTAGTATCGATCCACGGTTTATTGTCCCATTGGAACTTAATCGTACATATATGGTGAAAGACTATATAAACAAGACTCAACATCCACCCTTACTCATAGAAGATACATCGAATCCTGGACTATATGTGACACCCATAACTGCAAATCATTGCCCCGGGGCAGCCATTTTCCTTTTCCAATCTATATCACTTGATCTCATATCAACGTATACATTACACTGTGGTGACTTTAGAGTGAATCGTGAAATTCTTGAACATCCAAAGTTGATCCCATTCCATGTCAACAGTGGCACCAAAACATTAAATCGGGTGTATTTAGACACAACTTATATGGACCCAGCGTACAATTTTCCTAAACAGGAAACTGTATGTACTGAAGTGTCAAATATGTTTGTAGATCTTCTTGAAGACGAACAAGACGATTCGAAGGCGAAAAGCTTATTCACCACGTGGTTTGGAAACCTTCATCAATCTCGTATTACTGACTTCCTCACTAGTAGGTCCTCAGATAACCCTAAAAAGAAAAAGTTTTTAATTCTTGTGGGTACATATTTAATTGGTAAGGAAAACCTTGCCATTGCTATACTGAAACGATTGAAATGTCCAATTTATGTATCTAATATCAATAGCCGAGATGACAAGGTTCAAATTTTAAAGACGTATGGAGACGACTATTTGGATGAAGTACTCACCAATAGCGACATTGGCCAAGGTTCAGAAGCATCTTGTGTTATCCATCTTGTACCCATGCAGATTGCAGGCAATCTCACAGAGTTATCCAAATACTTCAACCATAATAAATATCATGCAGCATTTGAAAGATGTGTTGGTTTAAGACCAACGGGGTGGACATTTCAAGGCGGTGGTGGGGGTCATTACCGTCCCAAGGAAACTGCACCACTTCAACAGCATGAATTATTCCAGATTCTCAAGGAGATTCCAACCTATTCCTTTATGGACAATATATTACCACAAGCACCATCGCTTGATGGTAAGAATCCTAGAGCACGACCAAATAAACGACCCGATAGCGCATTATACCGCATTTATTCATTACCATATAGTGAACACTCATCATTCCGTGAATTGTCTTACTTTGCAGTGCTATTAAATATTGAAAATCTTATCCCAACGGTAAACATCAGTAATGAGATAAGCATACAGAAAATGAATGATTTGATAAAGACATGGGAAACAGCACGATCGGAAATCGAAACCATGACCAAACATTTAAGTATCGATGATTTTTAATAATCCAACTACAAATATATATAGCTTACTTTTTCAGGATATATTATTTATTTCTACTATTGTCATTTTCTATAATTACTCCTTAATAGAGATATCATAATAATGTGCCACATTCTTTTCACATGCTTCCCCTTTACAATCAGCCCATAACACTACAAAATCGCCCTTATAATAATGAACGTGGTCTCCACCTTTACCGTTTGTTGGTGGTAATTCCACATCTGTATGTTGTGCCGCAATGGTACGTGCTGGAATCAAACTTGTCTTACTCAAGATATATGGATGCCATTGCAAGATATGAGTGAGTGCTGAGTCTGGACCAAATGGGAAGTTATTATAGTTAAGATAAAGTGGATCACCCCATTGATCAATGATAGAACGACCAACAGCATCATTTTTAATCATGAATGAATAAGTTTCCACCTTATGTTCAGATTGGGTAAGAATAAGGCGTATATTATCAGCTCTGGTGTTCTTGTATGTCTTAATTGATCCATGAGGCGGTATGATCGACTGTTCACGGATCATGATTGGATTAAGAGCAGCTGGAGTGAGAAGATAATCGTGTACATTAATAGACTTTTCCATGATAAAGGAACTTTCATCCAAGTACCAAAACCATTTTGCTTCTGGGAAGGCAAACATGGCCGCACGTAAACAATAGATTCTTACCCATTTAGCCTTTTCTTCATTTCTCAAATAACTTATTGAGTTCAAATGTGGAAGGAATTCTTGGACCCATCTGACATAAATCCCATAATTTTGTTTATGAGCATAGTCAACTCTATTTTGGACAATTTTAGTAAGAGATTCAACACTATATTTCTCAAAGTCAACAGCTGTAACTACAATAATATCAGGATAGTTTTTCTTATTCTTTGGTTTGAAAACAACCTTATCATGATTCTTGAAAGCATTTTTAGCCCTTGAGAGTTCCAGCAATGCGTTCTCTTCATTTTCTTTGGCAGCTTGGATGGCTGGGTCTGGATTATCAAACCTATTAAGTGAAAGTACAAGATTTTTTTCAATTTCTGGGAAGTTTGAATCTCTAACCTTAGCTTCTTGAACTAAACTTTTCACTCCTAAAACTTTAAGAAGTGGAGCATGTTCAATTGGTGGGTATATATACTTCGAAGAAGTTTCAATCAACTGAGTGCTCGTGTAGCCATGGGCACGTGGGTATTTAGGTACTGGTTTAGAGTGGAATAATCCGTATAAAGTACCCAAGAGTGGACTAATCACAACATAGAATGCTAGTATGAGGAGGAGCACCACCATGATGTTTTTTTGAGGAAGTTGCTTCTGGAAGCGACTGAAAGTCGCTGGAAGAGGCAAGAACCCCTTGGACTTGTTACCGTACCGAGGCTTCAAGGTATTGGAGTTGCCAAACATGGTGGGTATCGCTTGGTAATCAAGATAGTTGTGATGATCTTTACTGTCGCCAAATAATAAAAATGCGTGTTGATCCAAGAATAGAAAATGTAGACTTCCTTATTTGGTAGGAAACGATAGAAAATAATAATAATGGGTGAGAAAATCAAAATATAGATCATGAGATAAGGATAGGGGGTAGTACTCCATTGTAAAGTATACATCAAGAAGGTCTATATATATTTATGAAAACTCAAAATGAAGTAGAGGTCTACATTTGTGATACCTGATGTTATACAAGACGGTATAACCTTATAAAAAATTATATATTTGTATGTGTGTACCAACTAATAATATTAGTATGAAACAATAACCCTAGAATCGCGTCATCTCATATTGACCACCATACAATATTTCTCTGTTTTTATGTGAGATGGCTGATAATCCGAAACAAACTCGACACTCACTCTCTTTCTCTTCTCCTTAAAAAGCTACTAATGTTCATTTTTGAATATTTCTTATTTTATTTGTTTTCCTCCAACAGTATTTCACTATAATACAAACTGTTAATATGGGGGGGCGTGGGGATGGTGGTGGTTCTAATTTAGTAGATATATACTCAACAACTTTATTCAGCCTGAGGCTCTTTATTTATTCTCTCCTCAATCATTTGTAATGCGACTTGTCTTCTTCTTTCTGCTACTGAATTGGCCACACTCTTCAGACTGTGGGTTGCTTGTTCTTGTCTCTTAACTGCTCTCAAGTTACTCTGTTCGATCAGTTCATCGTTAAAAGGTGTGATGAGGCCAACAAGACTACTCACTTCATAAATATGGTCAAATACCGGAGCAACGTATGGCTTAATAACCAGGGGGAAGAATTCAGACAATCTAAAGGCATCCGAAGCATCACCGGTGACGAAAGAAGAGTTGGAGCTATCACTACTGCTACCATTAGCAGAAGTCACTGGGAGAAGCAGTTCGGTGACAATGGATTGGTAGAAACGCAAGTATGAGTAGGAGATCACAAAACTTGCAATAGATGGAACTGCGGGATATAAGGATCTACTAAGAAGCAATGACCATACGGAAACAAGGCACAAAGTGGTGAATGGTAAATGTTTAATTCTAAAGTTGATTAAACCTTGGAATAAGATCACGTTATGTTCTGGGATCAATTGTTTAAGTACCACAAGAAATCCAAAATAGTACGAAATACCTCCACCCAAAGGCTTGTCCATGCTAGCGGAATCTCCACGCCACATGTTGACCAAGATGGTGACAAGAACAGTCCATAGGTTGGTCAAAGTTCCCACAGTGAACACAAACTTGAGTACTTCACGGAACCCCCAGAAACGTTCGACATATTTGGAAGCGAGGAACAAAACTATGGTAGAAACCAACAACAGAAACACTGAGATTTCCGCAAAAATGGCAGTGACAACCACCCATGGATTGAAAATAGTTGTACGGGGTACAAGTTGTAAATATGGCACCAAGATATCATGGAATCGTAAGTCCGATGATCCTTCAGATCCAATGGATGAGCGGTATACGTTCAACTTGATGAGGAATATCAACAGTGATACAGCCCCCAAGCTCGCAAGAAGGACCTTGGTTGAATTGGGTAGAGAGTGTGCGGATTTGTATAATAGCGCCATCTTTAATTTCAGGTATAGTATACTTTCAATTGAAGTATTAAGTCTGCAAAATGAGGGTCTTTTTCTTGTGGTAGACGTGTTTGGATATTGAGGTGTGTAGGCGTGTGTGTGCAGTCTGCTTTTCCTTTTTTTTTTTCTCTCTCTTTTTTTCTGTCCTGGACTATGACAAAGAATCTCACAACGTTATATAGCATTCATGTCAACTACAACATATTACAATGTATATATATATATATTTCCATAAAATTCAAATAAACAATAATCAGTACAATAAATTTCCGAATTTTTGATACTTTTTTTTTCCTCTCCTTTGGGAAAATGTCACTAAGCCTTAGTAGAGTAAGAAGTAGTATGACTTGGCTTGAAACTCCAGTAAGTAGAAGTGTAAGAAGATGGTCTGTTTGGACCAGTATCGTTGTTAGACAAACCAATTGGTTGCATCAAACCAGCCATAATACCACCACCGTTCAACTTATCGGCAAGAGTCTGTTTCACCTTACTAGCGGCAATAGCAGGACCTGCGATGATAATGACAAACAAGACCAAAACGGCAAAGTACAAAGTACAGTACTTTCTCACCATTCTCTTTCTTAATCTAGCTTGCTTCAAGGAGTAGATAGGTGGTCTGATCAAACGAGAAGGCTTCAACCAGAACAACATGGTGGAGTGCCATCTATCAATCAATGGAATACACAAGATTGGTAATTGACAGAACAAAATGATGTGAGCCAAGATGAAATCACCAGCAAATTCAGACATTTCAATAATCTTAGCACAGAATTCACGAGATGGTTGAGTCAAAGCCATCCATCCAAGACCAGATCCGTACCATTTACCGGTCCAGAAGGCAGTGTTAGACTTGTCATTCTTGAATTCTCTGGTAAGGAAACACAAGGTCAAGAACTTAAACAACAAACGTTGGATGTAAATCATAGTAATGAGACCAAGCAACATTCTACCGAAAACAAAACTTTGTAAGACCCACATAACGATGAAGAAGATCAAGTGGACAATGACAGCGATACCGTGAGCAATACCAGCAACAACGGCACCAGTCTTCTTACAACACATACCCAACATTGGACCAGCACAACAAGAGAGAGCAAGACAGAAAGCCAAGACACCCATGTCGATGGCAACTGGAGCCAAGGAACAAATAACAAGTCTCAAAACAGAGTTAACCTTTTGAGGATTATCAGAAACACCGGTTTGAGCGTTGATAAAGGTGTAAGCAACAAAGAGACCAGCAGTGTAGATCAAACATGGCAAGAAATCAGCAAAGAAGACATTAGATCTGTGGGCTCTAGTGGAGTCACCAGCAGCCTTTTCAGAAATGTCACCAGTCAACTTACGCTTGAAACCGGTAATACGAGATCTAGAAAGACGAACGTAACCAGCCCAAGAGTTTCTGTGCCACTTGGTGTTACCACGAGACAACCATCTGATGAAATCTCTGTAATCTATGAAGTGATCTTCCCAAGCGAATTGATGTGGGTTGAACAAGAATGGAGAGAAGATCAAAGCAGACAAAGAGGCCCAGAACCATAACAAAGCAGCTTGCCAATGAGCAACAGATCCGAAAAGTAAGATAAGCATACATCTGGCACCCATGTAGATGGAAGAGTCAGCGAATCTTGAGTACAAAATGGAAAATGGAATACGAGAAGTAGCAAAACCTCTACCAGTAGCAATATATCTGGCACCACCAACGGTTAAATCGGTAAATAATGAAGAAGAATAAATTTGAGCAACGAAAACTTCAAACATTGGGGACAATGAAATGAAATGTCTAATGAAACGTTGACAAGCCTTCCATACACCTCTTTCAATTAATTCTTGAACAAACAATGGAATGAAAGAAATGAAGAAAACAATGAAAATGGACAAGGTATAACGACGAATCCAATCAATAGCAGGAGACAAGTTGTAACAACCGAATGGGAACAAGACATCTGTAATAGGGGAGTTTCTGTTGTAAGCACAAATAATAGATTCATGAGCCAAAGCGTTCAAGTTAGCCAAGACCAACATGAAACATTGAAGAGACAATTGAATAAACATGTTGTTAATATGGAAACCTGGATGGGCATAGTAGAAAGAAAGGAAACGATCCAATGGCAATTGAGTAGACAAGTAGTAGTATTCTCTGGACAACATTTGTTCACCCATACCAGCACCAATCTTAGTTGTGAAATTCAAAATAGAACCGAAACCCATATCTCTACCCTTACCACACTGGTAGTATTCACAGTGCTTAATACGTCCACCTCTCAACATAGCAGTCATACCGGCGTAAATATCTTCGTTCAAGTGCAAACCCTTTTGGGCCTTGGAAACACCACCTCTAGTAGTCATGAAAATAGCATTCAAGAAATCAGGATGACCATAATGCAACTTACCACCAATTTGAGCCAAAGTTCTAGCGAAAAGAGTACCGAAAGTTTGTTCCTTACCGGCAGCAACGTCACCCAAAACACCAGAGTTTTCAGAGAAAATGTATTCTCTGGCACCCAAGATGGCAACAGGGTTAGAGCTAGTAGCGTTTTCAGACTTCAATTCAGGGGCGTATGGGTTAACATGATCAACGTTAAGTTCTTCGAACTCAGCCAAAACAGATCTAATCTTCAAACATTCTTCCAAGTAGTTATCTTGGTTAGCATCAATCAATTGGAGGTATTCACCTCTGGTGAAAATAAGAGCTTGATTTTGGTTATCAGACTTACCGTCACCCAAAATTGGGTTACCGGACAATTGAACTCTAAACTTAGGACGTCTTCTTCCGTTTTCTAACATCTCACAATGACCATCAATCAATGCAGAGTAGACACGAGATTCTTCGTCTTCATTCAAGGCAGGTTCTTCATCCAAGTAAGCAATTTGTAAATCTGGGTAGGCACGAAGTAAAAATTCAGCATTTTCAAGTTCCTCATCCTTAAACTTTGACAATCTTTGCATAGAAACAACAAAACGGAACTTACGTCTAGCCATTCTTTCCAAGGCTAATTCTAATCCTTCAGGGTCACCACCAAAGTATTGGACAAGTTCAGGGTTTTCAACTCTGTATAACAACTTAATAGCACGGGCGTAGTTCATGAAACCAGAAACAGTACGGTACAAGGTTTGGGAACGCAAGGAAGCCCAAATTCTTGTTCTCAAGGTGTATTCTGGAGCAGCAGACTTGAAACCAATACAGTAGAATGGAAGATCATCGATCTTACCCTTAAGGCCATCTTCAGCTGCCTTTTCAGGATCGTCACCGTTTTCATAAGCAGCAGTTTCTTCGGCTAAAATCTTGGTATCCTTGACAAAACATTCCCATTCAACAGGGTGTAATTGTTTCAAGTATTCCAAAAGAGTAACTCTGGAGAATTGATCTTCTTCTCTAATAATCTCCTTCAAGGAGAAAAGAATCTTTTCAGTGTAATGAGGAGTGAAAACAGTGAAAGTTGGCATGTTGTCAACTGGCAATGGTTCAAGGATTGGAGTGGCAAGAGATTGGGCAAAGAAAGAAATTCTTCTTTCAGCTTCAGAGTCACGAGGGAAGAATTCTGTGTCAAAGTTGTTATCATCTTGAGAAACGAAGAAAGTAGGAGGACGTAAAGTTCTCTTACCTTCAATTTCAGATGGAACTTGATGGTACAACAACTTTTGAACGTGATCAATGGCTAACAAATGTTCTCTGTACATGGAAATAACAATAGCGTTCCAGATTTGAGAAATCAAAACCTTTGGCTTATACTTAATTTCCATTTCAGTGGTAGCCAAAATCTTAGAGTAAACTCTCTTTGGTAATCTGGTGAAAATGTTTCTCCATGGAGTCAAAATGGAAATACCCAAGTAGAAAGATCTACCAACCGAGAAGATACAGTTACAAATAATGTACCACATGTAAGTATCCAAGAAAAACAAAAGCAAATCGACAAGGTACATAAGAGCCAAGACAATCTTTGCTTGGTGGAGACAGATTGCATTTCCAAACCAAACTTCACCAGTACATCTCATGTTTGTGGTGGACAAGATACGAATTGGATCTCTTAAAGACAAGGTCAAGAAAAAGTAGGATTCGATCAATTTGGCAAAGAAAACAAGAAGCCATAAAAGATAAGACATCCACATATCCAAACCTCTCAACTTGGCAAATGAAGCAGTAAAAGTTTGTTGGGCTAAGTATCTTCTGGATCTCTTGTTCATGTAAGAGGTGAATAAACCACCCAAAGGCATGACGGCAAAGAAAACCAAGGTTGCAACTGCAATGAAGAAACCAACAATAGACACGACGTGAGCCGCTTTAGAGACATAAGTTAAACCAGCCCAGTAGAAAGTGAAGACAACTGGGGCCAAGTTAGCAACAAAGATCAAAATCAAAAACATTAAACGACGAGTCAAATGTTGAGCACCAGCCCATTCTCTAGGAACGAACATCCATTCACACAAGGTGGCAATAATTTGAATAAGAGAGGCCAAAACACCACCAATGGCAGCGGCAGCCCAACGGGAAGAAGCAGTTGGTTGGTTGTTTATCGTTTGCAGGTAGTTTTTAGTGTACAAAGTAGGAGAGTTATAAGCAGTGTACATCCAGTAGAAAGTACCATGGATGACCCAAATTCTGTTGAAATTGGTGACAAAATGTAACCAAGTACGGGTTTCCTTATAAGTCTTGAAGAAAACATTCTTCCATTCGACTTCACCAAGACGAAGGAAACGTTCTTCCATTGGAATATCCACAAGACGAGAACCATCTTCAAAAATGATACGAGAGATACCTTCTGGGTACCAAAACAATTGATTGACATCATCGTAACCAATAACCTTGTTATGGTCCTTTTCACGCTTGACAAATCTACCATCGTAGATTTCATAAACTTGGGAACGTAAGAAACGGTAAATAGGAGTCACAACACGGTTCAAGTAGTCACCTTCAGGAACTGGTTCTTGTCTTTGTTGACATTGTGGAGACAACAAGTAATCGTAGGCGGTCTTGTAGATATAACACAAACATTCAGGTGTGAATCTAACCTGGTTAGATTCACCCCAAAGAAGCAAGTACAAGGCAATGTCTCTAACTCTTTCTTCTGGAGTCAAAGTGTTCATCTTGGCCTTCCATCTGATTTCAGCGGCTTCCAAGGAGTAGTCACCGTCCAATTCGGAGGCCAAGGCGTCCATGTCTTGGCCATGTTCTTCAACTGCCTTTCTGGCCTTCTTGGACTTCTTAGAAGCCTTTCTAGCCTTTCTACCAATCTTACCCAAGTTCATGTTGGCGAATCCAAGGGATTCATCCAAATCTTGTTGGGAGGCAAAGTACCACTTCTTGTAGTTAGCGTTGGTACCTCCAATGTAGTCGGCATGCAAACTCAAAAGAGCTTGAGCTGGCGACATTCTGGAAGATCTGGAATCCAAAAGAGTCATAAAGTAATCGAAAATGTTTCTCATCGAATCTCTTTGGAAACCAAACTTGTTGGTCAAGTCAATAAAGATATCTTCAATGTGTTCAACCTTGACTGGAGCTTGTGGGTCAGCAGACCAAGCTGGGTAAGGCAAGTTGGAAGACATTTGGAATTGTGTAGGGTCGTAGTTGACGTTGCCACCGTAAAGAGGGGTGGAAGCACCAGACGAAGAACGTGGGCCACCGTACGACATTTGAGAAGGAGTGTATTGAGTTCCATATTGGTCATATCCAGGGGTACCTGGAGTTTGTCCGTTACCATAAGAAAAGTCCGAGAACGCCTCTGGGTCAGCGTTGTAGTTTGGCTGTTGACCGCCATGGAACTGTTGTTGACCACCATATTGGTCTTGGTAGCCGTCCATGTCATAAGGCTGTTGCTGGTACTGGACGTTAGGGTCGTAGTACTCTTGGCCAGCCTGGGCCGCGCCAGCTTGATGGAGTTGCTGTTGATCATCATAAGGCTGCTGTTGGTAGTAGCCGTCGCCATGACCCTCAGCCGGTTGGTTGGGGTCATAGTAGTGGTTACTATTATCGTATGACATCTAGACTGGGTTAGTACAAGAAGCTAATAAGAAGAAGAAAAAACTTAAATAGTCGAAGAAAAGATCAAACTGTGCCTGATTTTATCTTTAAATAGATCAGAGATCAAAAGAAATTCCGAGGAAAAAGACAACGACTTCAAGGACCAGTAGCTGAGCAATCCGAGATCTGGAAACTGTCCATGTAGTTGCACGGTATCCACCTTCTTGATAGACTGCTTTTCCCATTCAAAAATTCCCATATTAACACGTTAAATCACATTAATAACATCTGTAAATTTTGGTCCACCGTGATTTGTGTTATTCTTTTTTCTTAACGTTCCTGCTAAGGAACGTTCTACTCAATCAAAGTCCCGCGTGTGGTCTCGGGGTCCCGCAGTCCTGTGGAGCCCTCTAGGGACCCCTAGATGAATGGTACATACCTCTATATCAACGAAAGTAACTGTAAAAGACGTAACCAAGCAAAAAAAAAATAATGAAGGTTCAGTTTCTAAATTAGATCTTTCTCACTCTCACCAATGGGTTAGTTATTTTTTTTTTTTTGCCGTCTCTATATGCCAGGAAATCCCTGAATTTTCTCACATAATCTGAGACGCGAAAATGAGGAAATTGACAAAAACTCGAAAATTTTACAGTTGGGCGATTCAAGGGGTTCGGATAGGAGGGATGAAAGGGGCGCAGACATCCATACATTTCTACTACAAAACAGAGGCTCAGACTAAAATTAAAATATGATTCAAGAGGCGGAGATTTCAATAAACTACAGTGGAATAGGCTGTCATCATCTATGTATGACCCATTCTATTAATAAATTCTCCTCCATTGATTCTCCCTCTATTTTTCAATAACCCTTGTATCTCTAATTTTGTTGTATTTACTCATTAATCTTCTTCCGGTACGCACACTACCGGAAGGGTTTTACATTTAACAATATACATACCATACACATTGTTCGAGGATAATTCACCATCTTTGTTAATATACCCGTAAAATAATAGGAAAAAATAATAAAAATAAAGAAAACGAAAAAAAAAAAAAAAAAATCATAACATGTATGAGAGAAAAGAATGGGAATCCCTTTGTAGCGCGATTTGAATATGATTTCGAGCGTCGGGGAATAATGTTACAAAAGCACATATACACACACCTATTGAAAAAAAATTTGTGAAAAATGGAAGCAATAGCAACTAATGATGTGATAGAAGGAAGCTAGCATAAGCCCATAGCAGCTGAGAGAAAGGCAATCAATTGAAATGAAGATACAAGAGTTTGACGTATCGTCGTGTTGCATTCAGGGGATGGTGGTCCCAAACATTCTGTCAAACCTTACTACTCTATTATTGTCTAATATTTCTTTTTTTATTTTTGATTTAATTTTACTTTATTTTACTTCGATAGACCTTGTATTGCTAGTCCCCTTCTTCTTGCGTTCCTGCAGGTATCCCCGGTTAAAGCGCGTTTCCTTTCTAATCGGGATTCGGGCGGGTCGTGTATCGGCACTCAATTAAACTTCCTAAAACAGTCGACGAAATTTCTGGATAGCCAGCGTTTTTTTACTATATGCCGATTACATATAAACAAAAGCACAGGAATCGGTTTATTCTCTTGCGCCGAAACTTCCGCATAAAAATAATAAAAAAATTAATTAGATCCATGAAGGCATCGATGAGGTTATTCATAACCAACTATGCAAGGGGCCTTGATCAACCCTCTCCCAATACTTCTTTACTCTCTACCATTACTTCTTCAATCTCTAACAATGTACCAATTCTTCTATATTTATCAGCTCTACAACATTTTCAATTCTAGGTGTTTTATATCTATTCAATTTTTAGTCCATCTTTCCTAAATACATCTACCTGATGAAATCTTCTATTCTGACCATCCCAAGTTTTCCAAATCGGTTCTGATATCTTCTTCCTTTTGGATCTTGGATACTTGGGTGTCTTCTAATGTTTCACCATTGGCTTGTTTCATCTTAAGAAGTTCAATGGCTCTTAATTTCTTTAAAAGAGAACGAACCTTCTTATCTTCCATAGATGCAACACCTCCGATAACACTACCTCCTTCAGTTGGGGCAGCAGAAGTAGCAGCAGCAGTAGCAGCAGTGGTAGATTCTGAGTTAGGGGCAGGAGAAGCTTCATTAGATTCAGGTTCTGGAGTTTCACCTTCCTTCTTCTTAGCTTCTCTCTTCTTTCTATTCTTTGCTGCAGCCTTACTTTCAACCTTGGCAGCCACGGCAGCCTTTCCTGCTCTAGCAGACCCTGGAACAGCACCGGGAACAGATGCACCGGGAACAGCACCTGGAACAGAAGCACCTGGAACTCGTCTAGCTTCTAATTGATGTAAAGAAGTGGCAGCAACACTACCAGTAGTCCGTCTGGCATGTGGTGGACGATAAGCACCAGCTGGCTTGCTGACACTGGCACTTTCAATAGTCTTCTTCTTTTCTAAGTACTCCTTGGTAGATACATGTGGAGCAGGAGCAGCTTCTAAAACTTTCAATGGAGGAAATTCACTAACCTTTTGTGGTTTCCAAGTAATTGAATATAATTCTTGATATTCCTTCATATAAATTAATTTCCCAGTAGCATGCCAAACTTTACATCCATTATCAACTCTTAATCTTGGAGATGTAGTAGCAGTTAAAATAAATCTACCACATGGTGACCATTCACATACAGATGTGTTTGTTGCTTCAAAAGTTGTAATTTTTTGGAATTTATTTTGACGATCATAAACGTCAACAGTACCTTGTAAATTACCAAAACCTGCAACTAATACAAACTTAGCATGTGGGGAAAATAATATTGTGTTTCTTGGACTTGGAGGTAATGAAAAAATTGAATTACCTCTAGCATCGAAAAATGTAGTCTTTGCAGGCATATAACCATAAATCACCCCAAATTCTCTAGCAGATGGAGACCAAGTAATATCATGAATTGGACCTTCCTTATCTAAATGAATTCTCAGATCATATGATCCAGCAATCCCCAATAAATACAAATTAGTTTCTCCATAATAAGATTTGTTGGTGGTATCATGATCAGTAGAAGCCAAGGCAAGTAAGGCAGTACCAATAGAATTCCATTTTAATTGACATCTTTCCGCTTTAAAAAAGTTTTTAGAACAAATTGGTTGGTTGAAATTTGGAATATTATAAATAAGAACGCTGGCAGGTTGACCATTCTTTTCTGGGATGAAAATGGCAATGGAAGGATTTAAACCAGGACTAATTTGAAAAGAACCAATGGTTGATTCCAGCTTGAATTTATGAGCTGGTTTGTTAAGATCTATAGGACTATCGGTGGAAAGATCAAAAAAATGGATTTCCTTATTGTTATTATTCTTAGCCAAAATCTTTTCATCCAAAGTAAATTGAGGTTTCCAACCACCTTGATGTTTGTTTGACCATTCAAGAACGGTATTACCACTAGCTACTTCAATGATTTTAACGTTTTTAGTCCATACTCCACTTTCCTTATCCAAACAAATTGGTTTACACCAAAGAGCTAAAAAGGTACCATTAGGGGAGAAAAATATATCAAACACATCTTGAAGTTCAAGTCTAGCTTGAAGTGGAGCAGATTTGGTAGTTTTCACCACTACAACTTCATTTGGTTGAGTGTAGGCAAAATATTCACCATTGGCTGAATATAAGGCAGCTCTGCATTCTAAAGATGGCTTGGGGAAGGATTTTATTTCCTCGTAGTCTTGTATTAATTCCACAGAACGTGGTTGACGGCCTTATTGTTAGTATAAGAAAAGAAGGAAAAGAGAACAGAGAGAAGAAAGGTTGGATGTATAGTGTACCGGGGGATGATTGGCATCTGTGTAAGCCCATCATCTGGTACGGTGTCAAATTCACTGGTTGCATAGACATTCACTCCTCTGACAAGTTTATAATACGAGATACGGGTTCAGGTAAATGGGGGGAACAAACAACAAAAGGCAAAAGCAACATTAAAACACAAAACATCACAACAATAAAGTCCTTAGAACAATTATTATCATTCTTAAACTTGTGATAATATATATCATATCATCAATCCCTTCAAAAGCCTTGGTTATTATCTCTATCTTGAGTCAACTTCTCCCCACCAAATGGATCATTCTCGTAAACTCTCACTCTCCTCTCTCACGGTCTCAAAGTTTTTAGATGACCTCTAAAATTCAAATCAATTTAATTTCTTAAATAGTAAACGTTTCATACTTACAGAAAAACTGGGTGTTGGCCGACATGGTGTGTATGTGATCCAAAGTGTCGAAACTGTTTTACTTTAACAACTTGTAAACCTATGAGGTGGTTTAAAAATTTCTTTACAGTATTGATCACTTCGACGAATTGAGGTGGTACTGCAGGACAATCCACCCAAATAATTTTAAGGTAAAAAGAAAAAGATGATCCCGGTCATGTGACCGTCCGAGGCAATTTTCATTGAAATACATGAGTATGCCGTGTCAAACAACCTTGAAATGTACGGCACGATAAATGATAAATTATAAATGGAATTGCAAAAAAACAAATTATAAATTAACAATTAACAATTATAAATAAAAAGAATTATAGTGATTGAAATATGTCTGGGATTATTATTGAAGCTGGTAAAGATCATGATATAGTGAATTATAGAGTTCAATATGAATTGCAGTTGACGTACGGAAATATCGGCGATAAAGATCTGGAAAAGATTATAGTTTGTGGAGTTATCACGCAAAGATATGATGATAAGATTCATAAGAATATAAATGACCTTGTGGGGAAACCAGCTAGAGATTATCTTCCTAAGGAAAGAAAACTCATTACGTATCTTCAAGGAGGACCTGGATTCCCCTGTAAGTTCCCTGGTAGTGGAGATTCGATTGTCAAGGTTCTTCTTGATCGTGGGTATCAAATATTTTGGCTTGATCAAAGAGGTACTGGATACAGTACAGCTATTGAATCTAGACTGTTGGTAGAAAAGTTTGGTGGTTCAACAGAAGAAATTGTTGAGTATGTTTTAAAATTCCGGGCAGATTCAATTGTTCAAGATTGTGAACAAATTAGAAAAGATCTTTTAAATGATGGTAAATGGTCACTTTTAGGCCAATCTTACGGAGGCTTCTGTATTTTCACCTATCTTTCAATGTTCCCAGATTCGATTAAAGAGGCATTGATCACTGGAGGTGTCCCACCAGTGGGTCATACTCCTCAAGATGTATACACTGCAACATATGCACGTACCACTGAACGTAATGTTCACTACTACCGTAAATACCCTCAAGACGTCGAAAAGGTTGCCACAATTGCCAAGTACTTGTCTGACCATGTAGTTGAATTGCCCAATGGAGGAATTCTTTCCGTTGAAAGATTTCAAACCTTGGGACTTAATTTTGGACATAATGGTGGAACCGATGAAATCCATCTGATTATCCTGAAACTTCATTATGATTTACAACAGGCTTCTAAGAGACCAGCATACCTGACCTTGGCTACAATTGAAAACATGTATTCGTTTGATACGAACATCATTTATGCTCTTTTCCAAGAAGCCATTTATTGTGAAGATGACATTAAATCTGAATGGAGTGCTGATCTGCTTAGATATCACCCAAACAATGTCAATTATCAATACAATCCTTCAGCTAATACCCCACTTTATTTCACTGGAGAAATGGTTTTCAAATCAATGTATAAGGATTATTCTGAATTGAAGTGTCTTGAAAAAGTTGCAGATGCATTGCACAAAAAGCATGATTGGAGTCAATTGTACCATGTGGACACCTTGAGACTGCTCACTTGGGAAAAGGTACCCATTGTGGCAGCCACTTATGTATATGATCAGTATGTTGACTTTGATGTGACCAGAGCTGTGAAACAACAAGTTTTCCAAGGTAATGGTAATCTTCGTCAATACATCACTAGTGAATTTTTCCATAATGGTATTAGAGCCAATGCTGAAAAGGTTTTAGGATCTTTATTTGATTTACTTGAGTGTGAAATTGATTAAATAAGTATATATAGACCAATCATCTTATGTGGTTTCCCCAAATTTGAAATGACCAGTACTGTTGGCATGGTTGGAAGCACCCATTTCACCCACCAATACTTCATAACATTGTAAACATCTAAGTCTAAACGTTGTAGTATTTGTAGAATAGTTCTGAGTTTGTAATAATTGACCCAATTTCTCACAATCTTGCAACATTGTATCGCCCTCCAATGATCCATTTTCAAACACACAAACATCCAGTTGTTTGTCTGACTTGGTTGTTGAAAGCTTCTGGTTACGAACAACGAGATCATAATGGATCCCGGAATAGACCAATACAATGAAATTGTGTGGCTTATGTTGTTCACTTTGAAACTTCATAATTTTGCCCAGTTCTACATCTAGACAATGTATGGCAATTTGGAAATGTTCTGCCAAGATCCCTAATTCTATAGCACCACCCCATGAATCCATATTAAGGATCCATTGGCAATATTTTGTTATGGGACGTCCAAGAACAAGTTCTGTATACTTATTTCCTTTATCGGCGGAAATCGTGGTTGCAACCACTTGTCGAAGTTTATGAACTTCTTCTACAGCATGCTCTTGTACACCAAATAGGGCATATACTATTGAGTTGAACATACATGAATTGTCATCGGGAACATTTCTCAATATGGCATATATATCCAATGCTTCATTATAAACAGATGGGATATCACTTCTAATTGTTTGTTTACTCTTGGGAGTTTGTTCTACTTGACTAAATATCAATTGATCTCCAGATCTAACCCCTATATCGATCAATTTGTCCTTCTTGCTCTTGTATACAATGTCTTTGGGTGGGAATCCACTTTTAATCGTGAGTTCTACCCCTTGATCTACAAGTCCTTGAGATATGACTTCCTTAATTAACGCCTCCACAGTCGTCCCATCTTCCTCACTCAAACTAATTACCTTTGTCCCACGATCAGACTTTACACGGAACCTCATCTATATATCTACTACACACTAATAATCCCACTTAGTAGTCAATTATATTTATTGTTTGTTTGTTTTCGTTATCAATAAAGTTTTTGATTTTTCTTATTGTCTCTAATCTTTTGATACGTAAAATTGATGCGAACAGCCAAAAAGGGGGATTTGTGGTTGTCAGGTATACGGACTGTATATATATATAATATGCAAAATAAAAACTAATGTACAAGGGGGTGGTGTTGATCGTGGAAGTGAATAGAATTAACCGGGATACGGGGGAGCTTAAGTGGCCATTTCAACTTCACCTTCCTGCTTAACTTCAGCTTCATTAGATCCTTCAACTCCTTCAATTCCCATGATTTCTTCAATAGTACCATTTTTTTGTCTCATCATACTTTCAATAACTTCAGCTTGAGCCTTCTTGTCAGCTTCTATTTGCTTGTATTTTTCGACAGATTCGGTAAATTTAGCCATGTTGATCCCGTTGGCAGCTTCAGATTCCAAGTTGGAGTAAGGTCTTTGCTTCAACTCTCTAACTCTTCTCTTATGCTTCTTCCCAGAGTTATGACGGTCCAAGGCAGGTTGGTTCTCGTAGTAGTGTGCACACTCAATACAGTAGTATTGTCCTAAACCTGGCTTGGTTTCATCCAAAGGTTGGTTCTTCAATCTGGCAATAGCTTCCTTAGATCCCATGTCATTGTAATAGATGAGATCAAGATCTCTCGTTCTTCTCTTGGTCTTATAACGTTTCACAGAATATCTACCCATCTTGTATTAATGTATTTATATCAAATAAATAGTATATGGATTAGATTTACTTATTTATTTTTTTTTAGTTAATTGTGAATGGGTCCCCTCACCGTCTCTCTCAAGCTCATCGCTATGATTGAAACACACACCCCCCCAAAAAAAAAAAAAAAAAAAAAAAATCATTTAAAATAATATACTGCATACATTATCCTCCTGTCTATCTTTTTCTCACATGATCCATATCACATGCTCTTATTCTTTGGTTATGAGCGCTTTCGATTCTGGCGCGCACTTTTAACAGTCACTCTGATCACCTGACTCCCTTCAATTCTCTATATACACACTCGCGCCTCCACATTTATCTCAATTTATCATTGTATGCAGTCATATTGCGTTTTTTATTTCCCTCTTTTTTTTTTTTTTTTTTTTTTTTTTTGGTGTGAATTCTCACTCTGTGCCAATTCTCGTCACACCAACCAGAAAAAAACTGTAAAAAGAATTTTTCATATACGATTTTTTATCTTTTACTATAACTACTAGTTGAATTTGGTATGTACAAAAGGCTGTTAAAGTATATGATATGGATGATAAGAGGCAGTGTATGACCATGGGACGGTTTCTAGATTCCCCTCGAAGTTTAGATGTATTTCCAATACATTTGGATACAATGATGGAAAATTGATTACAAATCGAATTAAAGAGAAAAATTTTGCCCTTAGAATTTTTTTATTTTTCTCATTGATTTGTCATACAATATTCGCCACCACTACCTTGTCATCAGTATATATATTTTAGAACTCCCACAAAGTCCGAAAGGAAATTTAACTTGAATAATCTTTTACTAACTATCGATAGCAAAAATGGCCAGAAGACCAGCCAGATGTTACAGATACTGTAAGAACAAGCCTTACCCAAAGTCTAGATACAACAGAGGTGTCCCAGACGCCAAGATCAGAATTTATGACTTGGGTCGTAAGAAGGCCACTGTTGGTGAATTCCCATTGTGTATCCACTTGGTTTCTAACGAATTAGAACAACTTTCTTCCGAAGCTTTGGAAGCCGCCCGTATTTGTGCTAACAAGTACATTACCAAGGTTTCCGGTAGAGAATCTTTCCACTTGAGAGTCAGAGTCCATCCTTTCCACGTTTTGAGAATCAACAAGATGTTGTCATGTGCCGGTGCTGATAGATTGCAACAAGGTATGAGAGGTGCTTGGGGTAAGCCACAAGGTCTCGCTGCCAGAGTCAACATTGGTCAAATTATTATGTCTGCCAGAACTAAGGACTCTAACAAGGAAGTTGTTATTGAAGGTTTGAGAAGAGCCAGATACAAGTTCCCAGGTCAACAAAAGATTATTATCTCTAAGAAGTGGGGTTTCACTCCTCTTAACAGAGACGAATACGTTGCCAAGTTGAACAAGGGTGAAGTTAAGGACGATGGTGCTTACGTCAAGTTCTTGACCAAGAAGGGTAAGTTGGAAGAAAACTTGAAGAACTTCCCAAACTTCCAATACCAAGCTTAAATAGTTTGTAATGTATCTTGATTGATCCTTTAAAGAATTGTAGAAATTGTAGAAAATTGAAAGAAAGATAATGCCGGCGTTGTAATCGAATAATATATTGCTTACTAAGACAAGTTGAGAGAACATTTAAAAAAAAACATGATATTGGTATGAATTTGTTAAATATAATGACATTCTACTGATGAAATGTACCTTTTAGAACTGGATAGGATAATTTAATATTGAACGTTCCTTGTCGTTGGTAGATTATCTATTCTCTTTGATGGGTTTATGGTTGTATTTTGACGTTTTTCTAGTGTTAAATTTACGTCAGGGGAAAATATTTTTTCCTTAAATCTGCGATTCTGACTCGGAATATAATGTTCACTATCTAACTACGATAACAAATGTTAAGAGGAAAGTAAAAAAATTAGAAGAATTCATTGGTAGATAGAATTAGACTCTCGGTATACAAATGGGATTTGGCCATCGTAAGACAAAGTTATGAAGATCTCCTATTCTACTTCGACTGTCTGTGTAGAGGAACGTCTTTTTGCAGCCAAATTTTAATCCTGTTTCATAAAAACAACCATCGAAAGATACAATTCAATATACGATCAGGTTGAACGTTATTTGAATTACAAGATTAAGAAGCTATCTGAAAAGACTCTCTATCTAAGAAATCATTTCCTCTCGACAGGTTAACTAATTTAGCCAACACTCAGACTCTCATTCTAAGTGTTCTATTTATATCTTTCAGTTAGTAGACCAATAATTTTTGATAGAAAAGTTTTCTAAACTATTCTAAACTATTCTGAATTATTTTAAATTATTTTAATGTATTCTAAGATATTTCAAGTAAGTGCTCAATATATCTACATTAATATTATTAGATTTGTCCAGAAGATACACCATCCGTTTATCATACTTGTATAGTTGCCCGCTTTTACTTGTCAAGAACCCTACAACTTAGTACATAATTACCTAGACTTCAAACTACCACATCTCAACCTATGAAAACTCTCCTAAACACTAACATATTCGCACATTCTTAAACGGTGCCATTGTTCTCCACAGTAATACTATCCTGAACCACAGCCACGCGGTATTGCAATAAAATTCGCGTCAGTACCTAATTATTTTTTTTTCTGATTCGTGTTCAAAAAAATACGCCGACGTTACATAAAAATAAATCTTGAGGCTCTTCTTCTTCTTCTTTGTTCACAACAAACACAACTAAATATGTCTTTTGCCCACAAGGAAAACTCTAAAATCTTGGTCCTCTTCGATGTCGACGGTACCTTGACCCCAGCCAGATTGGTCATCTCCGATGAAATGAGACAAACTTTGAAGAAGTTGAGAGAAAAGGTCGTTATTGGATTTGTTGGTGGTTCTGACTTGGCTAAGCAAGTTGAACAACTTGGTCCTACTGTCTTGGATGACTTCGACTACTGTTTCTCCGAAAACGGGTTGACTGCTTACAAGCTTGGTAAGGAATTGGCTTCTCAATCTTTCATTGGATGGATTGGTAACGAAAAGTACAACAAGCTCGTCAAGTTTGTCTTGAGGTACTTGTCTGAAATCGACATTCCAATCAGAACTGGTACCTTTATCGAATTCAGAAACGGTATGATCAACATTTCCCCAGTTGGAAGAAACGCTTCTACTGAACAAAGAAACGAATTCGAAAAATACGACAAGGAACACAAGATAAGAGAAACTTTGGTCAACGTCTTGAAGGAAAACTTTGCCGACTACGGTTTGACTTACTCCATCGGTGGTCAAATTTCCTTTGATGTTTTCCCTACTGGTTGGGACAAGACTTACGCCTTGCAACACGTTGCTGACGAACACTTTGAAGAAATCCACTTCTTTGGTGACAAGTCTTACAAGGGTGGTAACGATTACGAAATCTACACCGATGAAAGAACCATTGGTCACGCCGTTAACTCTCCAGAAGACACTATCAAGATTTTGAACGACCTCTTCAAGTTGTAAATTGAATATAACTATTAATTGATAAAGTATAAACAAAATTGAATGTAGCCGTAGAGATTAATAGTAGGAACTAACCATTTTCTTTACGGGGCTCTCGAACCCTACTCGGGGAGGAGCCACCCCCACGACTAGTGGCCCGCGGAGTGCCAGCGGAGCGACTTACTTACCCCATAGGGCGGTACTTACCCATTTCCCTGCGGGGCTGTACTCAACAAATTTCATTTATTTATCTCAGTTGATCTTCTATTTACACTATTTCTTCTTATAATAAATGGCTGAACAATTTTCTCCAGCTGCAATAACTTGTTCCCATTTCTTGTCTTCAATCAATTGGAATCTTCTTGTGTTCACATCTAATAATCTCTTGGTTAATTGCTTTTTAGCCTTCTTCATGTCTTTCACTCCTTGTAATTCTTCTGGTTCAATGAGTTGTGGCATTTGCGATGGCTTTGCATTCTTCACATATTTCCCATTACCTAATTGTCCATATTCATTATCACCGAAACATAAGACATCCGAGGCATTAGCAGTGGCCAAAGTGACAAATGCATGCTCATTACCAGCCACTACATCTTTCACTCCAATATTTACAACCTTGTTTTTCTTCTCATCAAACTCAGAGATGTTTAACAAGGATTTCAACACTTGAGGTGTAGGACAAACATGAAGGTATCTATTAATACCAAGTTGTCCCTTAACCCCATTACCAAAACTCAACAACACATCTTGTTCAAGAGTCTTGGAGGTTGCTGGTGCGGTAGCATCATGGTAATGTAATTTGATATAAGATACTTCAGCTCCAGAGTATAATCCTTCAACTTGCCAGTTGTTAACTCCACGCTTAGTTTCTGGGAGTAAATGCTTTGTCAAAGAGTAATAATTATCCACTGGGAGAGCTACACTTGGGACAGATTGAATATCAGTCTTGTAACTGATCTCAGTTCCACATTCACCAAAGGTATTTCTACCCCAACTCCAAACATTTCCAGAAATATCAGAAACCAAGTTGTGGTATTTCCCAGTAGTTATGTGTGTGAATACTCTAGGGCTAACAGTACGGTCGGACTTGCCACCAACTACTTCATTGTTCAATCCAGTCAATTCAAACGCTTCGTTGATTGGGATAGACACTTGTGGTGATGCGTATGGCGAGTACTTAGGTACACCAAGTTGACCAAAGTTATGATCTGGAGAGCCATTAGTGGCAGTGGCAAAAAGCTTCCCCGATTCAGTTAAAAGTAGCACATGACAATCACCAGCAGAAAGAGACTTCACCCTTTCATTGATGTTTAATTTACCATAAGTTTGGGACTTTCTGGATAATCCTAACCAATTACGGTACAGATATCCTTCAAAAGTGGCCACCTTTTTGTCACCTCTTGGAGTGTAGAAAACTTGTCCGTTTTGACCTAATAAATACAAGTAATCGTCAGTGATCTGGCAACTGACAGCCTTGTAAGGAAGCTTTGGAGCCTTAACCGGTTGAGATACACCTTGGTAAAGTTGATACAACTCATTCTTCTCGGTAATAACTGCCATGTAGTCGTCTCTCAATTGAACGTCTCTAATCAACATCCCATCGAAAAATGGTACTCTGAGAGGAAATTTCCCACGACCTTTACCTCCAAAAAGATACAAACCAGGGGTCGAATCCAGAGGCTTCAACCCGTCTACAATCTCCGGGGTCAACCCCTCTGTGAATCTACCCACCACGTTGGAGAAATTGTTCTTATTCTTCGTTGGATCAGAAAGATTACTAACACTGTCAATCTTGGCTTGGTCAAGTTTATAAGTTCTTTCATGAGTCAACCAATTGGTGAAGTACTCATAATTCATAAAAAGTTGATGAGCACCAGCCAAACTGATCATAAGTCCAAACCCAAGCCCAACGGCCTTCCATCTTTCCCTGGACTCTTGATTTTTCTGTTGACGTCTACTCCGTTCTTCATGGGCTTCATGGAGATTGAAGAGTTGTTCCTTATACTCTGGTGTGCCTGGATGTAACCCTTGGAGAGAAGGGTCCCTTTCAAGCATGGCATTAACATCAAGGGGGCCACCTTCTTCATGAGTCTCTTGCTCAAATCTCTTCAGGTTATTAAAGTCTAACCCATAAGAGTATGACTTTTTATTTTTATTGAAGTCATCGATGTTGGAAGAGTAGAGTCTTACAAGTCCGGTTCTACAGGACGGGACCCTGAGTCTCGATACAGTGCCTATAACTCGGAGCATGGCACTAGAAACGTATACAACTCTTTATGATAAGTGTATGTACAAATATATTTATTTATGTGTATTTAAATTTTAAAATCCAAAATGAGGGCAGGACCCCCAATTTTGATTCAAACATCAAAATGAGTGTAAAACTGCTGACTGATAGATTTAGTTTTTTTTTTTAGTGTTGCCTTTTCTGTTAACTAATTTAAATTTTGTTACTGATCGTTTGTTATTGATCATCGTCATCCTTACTTTCCAACTCTACGCGTCATGATCACTCCATGTCTTCGACTGAGAAAGTTGCCCACTGTCAATGTGACTAGAAGATATCTTAGCTCGATCACAAAGTTTGATACTAAGAAGTTTGTCCAATCGCTCCAGGTGAACGGTGGATTCACTCAACAACAGGCAGAAACCGCGGTGAACATTGTCAACAAGGCTATCAATGACGGGATCTTCTCGATAACCCAGAACCTCGTGACGAAGGAAACGCTTTCGTCCACTGCATACCAGCAAAAGGTCGACTTTGCCAAGTTGAAGGGAGAACTTCAAACTATGGATAAATCAGAGTTCACCAATCTTAAGAAGGAACAAGAAAATCTCCGCACCGATTTGACAAATTTGAAGAACCGTTTGAAAGAGGAAATAACGAAAAACCAAGCAGGTGTAAGACTTGATCTTAATTTGGAAAAGGGAAGAATAAGAGAGGAGAGTTCAATCCATGAGCTGAAGATTGAAGATACATACACGAGAATTGATGAAGAAATCGCCAACATGCAGATGCAAATCAAGTCAGTCAAGACACAAGTCATGCAATGGTTGATTGGTGTATCGTCCGGTACATTTGCCCTTCTACTTGCGTTTGTCCGGTTTTTCGGCTAACTATGGACACTACTGGATAGGAATATATATAATACACAAGGCATAGGTTATCTACAGATAATGTATATGGACAGTAGCTAGTAAAATGTACACATTTAGTGCTGAGACAATTCTGTTACAATAATATATATGGACACCTAATTGTTTACCGACACCTAATATTTAGTGAGGGCCCCCAGGGCCCCATTATTCCCACTTTTTATTTGCCTTTTATTAATCATGCACCTAAGTAGTCATTCTTGTCTATGAAGTCTATCAAATTTCTACAAACTATATCCATGTCCTTGATACCATTTCTCTTATGCAGTAATTCAACAAGTTGGTGACCGCGTTTCTTTCTGCACGCCCCATAAAAAAAAAATATCAATGTATACACAAATTAAACACGTAGGCCATCTATTAAACTCTTTGGACTGTAATGAACTCGTTGTACAACCACGGGATCAAACAGACCCAGCTTATCAGCAAGGACTTGTCCTCATTTGAAGGCAATCTTTCTACTTCACCCCTTTCACTCCAAGGTTCAATTTCAACCTCCATTACAGCATTCAGGAAAACCATAAAGGAGTATGGAGACCTTGTTAATCAAAATATAAAGGATGAAAGTAATGCGAAACATGAACAGCGATTGACGAAGTTCCAGCTGGATCTACAGGACTTTAGCGCGAAGTTTGACTCCCTCAGAAAGCAAAGAGATAACTTGACCCATGAGGCAAACAAACAGGAGTTGTTGGGCCGTAGACACGGAGGTGTAGGTGGTGTCGGGGATTCCCAGGGCGCGTCACTGTCGGACAATCCATTTGCACAACTGCAGCAACAACAACAACAACTTTCATACCTGGAGGGACTCTACAATGAAAGAATGTCGCTTTCTAGAGGAACACAGCAATTGGATCACATTTTAGAAATGGGCCAACAAACGTTTGAAGATATTGTAGAACAAAATGATATCTTACGTAAGTTGGGAGCAAAGTTTGAAGAAAGTCTTGTCACATTGGGGGTAAGTCAAGGAACCATCAAAAGAATTGAAAAGAGAGCTAAGCAAGATAAATGGCTCTTTTGGGGATGTGTAATTTTAATGTTTGTATGTTTCTGGTATATACTAAGAGTTTTCCGTTAGAAAAAAGAATACAAATAATTAGCATTGATTGGTAATGTAGTACAATATCAACCATTTAAGAGAAAGGCATGTGGCAACATGTTCTTCTTTTGATTTCTTCATTTAGACCTCATATTGACCCCTTGTGTAATAGCACTACCACTTTTGAAATCTTCGTCTATGTCAATTACAATTAGAAACGATATCGAGTAATGACATATGTCATTATTCTCGTAATCTAGAACTCTCCAATGTGTGAGTGAGTACAAATAATGGTGCAACCATCACAAACATATTTGGCACCTGGTCTATGACTGACCATTCTTGTCACATACTGGCACTTCACATGGCTTCTAATCCATAAAGCCTCCTTAAACATGGGCTTAGAGAACCCCTCCAATGATAAACCTCCAAATCAAGTATCAATCTAATCCCATATTTGCCATATCTGTTCCTCTCCTGTGAGGCTTTGTGCGACTTCTTGGTGGGGTGTACGCGGGGTGGTTCTGAAAAAAGCCTAATTAGGTAATTAATCAAGCCGCAATCTATAAAGATTTGGTAGATACCAAGACTTGTTGCCAGGAAGAACTCGCTAGTATCTGCGTAATAAGGGCGCTTAGGCATATATGTATAATTCTTATATTTGCCTGTGGCATTGATAAATCACTGTGAAGCTGATCATGTAATCTTCGTTCTTTTAGCTTAAAAGTCTTTATGGCATCCTATATGAATATTGATATAGTATACTGATAGCCCCGAAATATTAGGTCATCTTGTACTTTGATCCGATACCTTAATTGTCACTTGGAATACGATCCATTAACAATACTAACCGGACTCCTTCTGCTTTCACGTATATATTTTTTTCCTTTTGCTCCACTCTTCATCAAAATTAGTTTCCTCTTTAGGTATGGTAATTTTGCGCCGCACGGAAAACCTGTCAAGCTATTGCAGAACAATTCCCGAACAGGAAATCAATTAGAATTAAGACTAAGTGAATAAAAAGGTGGGGGTTTGCCTCCGATGAGCGATGGGTTAGTTTATATTCTTCACATTCAAACCTCATTCATTTCTAGTCTGGATCTAACTTATTATCCGTTCCCTTTGTCTGCATCAGGTTCATTCCCTATCCTGTTGTATAAAACTCTCGTGTCAAACAAATACCGCCACGAACGGCCCCTATATATATACAAATATCAATGAAGGCGGAAATCTTGCTCCTTCCCTTTGTCTTGGGATCTGCTCTCGCTAGTGAGGAAGCATGGGTACATAAAAGAGCTGTCTCTTATGTAACTATGGTTTCCACTACCAATATCCCACTTGCTGACTATCTCGCAGCTGCATCTGCTGTTCCTGCTGCTCCTGCTGCTCCTGTTGCAAATAAGGCAGTCGAACTTCCTGGAGCTTCAACTTCTGCTGGTACTACCTCCAGTTCCAGTGTTGGTTCTAGACTTGTTGGTTGGTTAGATAGTTTCTTTGGTTTAGGGGGAACATCTAACACTCCAACCACTACTTCCGCAGCACCTGTTGCCCCTGCAGCACCTGTTTCAGCCCCTTCCCCTCTGGAAGTGGCAACCCCTGTAGTTTCAGCAGGTCTTGCTGCCGGTCCAGTAAGCCTGGATGATTCTCAATATACCTATAGTGGGCCAGTTCCCACGGAAACAGTTAATTGGTGGGATAACTTATTTGCTGATGAATCAGGAACAGCCTCTGCAAATGCTGCTCCGACGGGTGGCCTTAGTATTAATATTGGCTATTCAGCTTCAATTGTAGCCTCTGGCATCATCCCATCAGTTTCTATCGCTACATCTACTGGCTCAGTTCCTTCTGGTGGCTCCTCTAGTCCTGGTGATTATGGAGAATACAACGGAATTGTCGAATATGCTACCAAAGCTAAGGGTGTTACATACTCTCCATATATTAAGAGTGGGTCGTGTAAATCTGCCCAGCAAGTTGCCAATGATTTTGAAAAACTTGCTCCATTTTCTCTCATTCGTCTTTATAGTACTGATTGTTCTTGTGTTGAAAACACATTGGCTGCAATTTCTTCATCTCAAAAGTTATTTTTGGGGATTTATAACATTGATTCCAACACTATTACCTCCGGTTTACAAACTATCAAGTCTGCTGTGGAAGCTTCATCTCGTGGATGGAGTGCTGTGGATACAATCTCTATTGGTAATGAACAAGTTAATGATGGTAAGGCAACTGTCCAGGATATTCAAACTGCATTGAACACAGCTAGATCATGGCTCAAGTCCAATGCACCTCAATATCTGGGTTCTGTGGTGACTGTTGACACATTGGTTGCAGTTAAAAATAACCCAGGATTGTGTGATCTTTCAGATTACCTTGCAGTGAATTGCCATCCTTATTGGGATGGTAGTGTTCAACCATCTAATGCTGGCCCATGGTTACAAAATCAAATTTCTGGACTTCAAGCTGTTTGTGGCAACTCGAAGGAGGTCTTTATTACTGAAACCGGCTGGCCAAATAAGGGTAGCAACTTTGGTAGTTGTGTTCCATCTGTAGCTAATGAGGAAGCAGCATTCAAAAGTATTTCTGGTGTTACCACCAATTATCTTGCATTTACCACGTATAACGATCCTTGGAAACCAGCAGGACAATATGGTGTGGAGCTGAACTGGGGTATATTTGGAGAATCTCCAGAATAGAACCAACCTAAAAATTCAAAACTAAAAACTTCTTAATAGTTGATACCTTGTATAATATATTTTAAGAATATAATGAAAATATTGTAAGTAATTATTTTAATTGTAAAAGGAAAACAGATACAATAAAAGCAACAGAACACATGTATTTTTCATAGAATGATTTCTAATACCACTGGAAGAGGGAGAAAGAGAGTAAATACAAAGAGACAACCAACAAAGTATATAATAGAATGAATGCAACCTGTTTACTTTTGGGTATGGCTGCTAAATGTACAATTACACACCAATACAGCTATCCAGGAAAAACTAGAAAAAACAAAAAAACGATCTCACCTCACCCTAATACTAGACATATTTTCACCTCTAATCCTTAACATTACCTACTATATAATAAATTACCCTTTTCTCTATATTGACTTCTTTTTTAGATTCCTCATTCTTCTCTCTCTTTATCCCTTCAATATACTACCAAGGTTCGAATCATGTGATCACCATTTTTTTTAACTTTTAAAAATTCTTCGCGATTTTAAGCAGAAAATAAACAAATGGGAAAATTGTCAATATATTCTCAAACATTAAAAGGAAGCTAATCAATTTCATTGAGTGTAAGCGCGACTCTTTTTCCATTGACGCTGCATCAACACTCGCACACCCAAGCACGTGTCTTTATTACACCTACACAGGGATTCTTTACATCGTATATATCCCCAAAGTTTCAGTTCCGTTATTGAGACATGTCGGATAGAGAAAGAAAGAAGCTTGCCAATAGACTTCACGTTCTCCTTGAGGGAATCTATCTCCTCAAGGACTCCGATGGAGTGATGGTGTCCGAGACATTTCAAAGACTCCCGCTCAGGAAGTTGGTGGACTACTACAAGATTGTCAAGAACCCTGTTTCATTACATGGGGTCGGACGTTCTGTCAAGAATGCGAAGTACAACAATGCTCAAGAGTTTGTGACCGACTTGGCGCAGATCGCCTGGAATGCGAGACTATACAACGTGAGAGGCTCGTTCATCTATGCTCATGCGTTGATTTTAAACGCGTATATTTTGGAGAAGGTGATCCCTAAGCTTGCCAGTGACAAGTCTTTAGGTCAAGTGTATTACCCAGATTTGGGTCCATTGCCCGAAGGAGATGAACCAGTTGCTGGTGCGATTCTAACTGGTGGAGAAGGTTCTCCAGACGAGGAAGAGTATGAGGATGACGATACTCAAAGGAGTATCATCCAATCACAACCACAAATCCAATCATTACAACAACCATCTGCACCAACACCACAATCTCAACAACAATCTCCACCACCGATTCAGTACACTCCACAGCCATATGTAGGCGGAGGAGGATACTCTCTTCAAGGTAGTCCTGATGTTAGCGTGGGTCCTAATGACCACCATCTTTCTGCTCTTGCCGCAAACAATGCTCTTACCAATAAACTCAATACTCGTGGGCCATCACCTTACGGAGCCGTGGGGACAGCTCCAATCTCTGCAACTCCCGCAGCTTCAGGAATACGTAGAGGTAGACCACCAATTATCGATAAGCCATATGAGACAAGAATCAAACTTATTTTGAAACAATTCAAGAAACTTAGACTTCCTAATGATCCAAGTTATAATCTCACTACGAACTTTGACAGATTACCGGACCCTAAGTACAATTCTAGTTACTATGCTGTGGTAAAAACTCCAATTTCGCTCTTCGAAATCAGAACAAAGGTGAGAACTAGAAAATACCATACAGTGGATGAATTCATATCTGACATAAATTTAATGTTTTCCAATACCAAATTTTTCTATTCAAATGATCAATTGTCTCCAGTATATCAGGAAGCACTCTTGTTTGAACAAGAAGCCAATAAAATCATCCATCAAGAATTACTGAAACCAGAGAAGGATCTTCTTACCGCCAACACCCCTGGTGGAGACGGGATCATTAGAATCCCGCTTGATTCTCTTGATGTCGAGGGATATACCTACAGGATAGGTGATTGGGTACTTATCAAGAATGCCAATGATCCTACCAGACCTACAGTGGGGCAAATTTTCAGACTTTGGGCTACCGAAGATGGAACCAAGTACACCAACGTCTGTTGGTACTACCGTCCTGAACAAACTTGTCATCGCGTTGACAGACTTTTCTTCACCAATGAAGTTTGTAAAACTGGTCAATACCGTGATCATCTCGCACTGGAGATTGTTGGTCCTTGTTACGTCATCTTTTTGACTAGATACCAGAAGGGAGATCTTCCAGAGGGTGTGATCCCACAGGGATGTCCATGGTTTATTTGTGAGTTCCGTTATAATGAAAATTCACATGTTTTCAATAGAATTAGAACCTGGAAAGCTTGTTTACCAGATGAAATCAGAGATAAATCAGAACAACCTCTTTTACCACTTCATGAACCAAGAAAATTGATCAAGTTTGATTCTCCAATCCGTAATTTGTTACCTAATGGCGTTGATTCCCACATGCAAATCTTGGATGCTACACCTGGTCCTAACCCAAACACTCCACCAATTGTTGGTTCAGTGTATCTTCGTGGAGCTGCTGATGATGATGAATTGGGACAATACTCTTCAAGTCCAAATGTGGTTAGAAGTGCAGAAAATGATAACGCAGGCGACGGTAGAACGGCATACCTTTTCACTCCTCCGCTGCAAGCCAAAATGTCTGGTAGTATGTATCCTCCACATAGTTCACATGTACCACCAAGTACTGGTAACAGTGGATTGAGTACACCTATCCCATTCAATAACAACAATACACTTGTCAATAACAATAGTGGACTCAACAATACCACAAATTTGGTTGGAACTGGTATTAGTGGAAGTTCTATTGCAAGTGCCACTCCTGCAACTGCCCAAGGATATTATGATTCACCTGTCAACACTTCAGGACTTCAAGGGTACAACAATAGCATTGTTCCAGGTAACAGCGTCAATAGTGGTGTCGCTGCCACTGGTGCTACTGGATCACCATATGGTGCTAACAAAGTTTCATATGCTGCTAGTATGAGCATATACAAACAGCATTTACAACAACAACAGCAACAACATCAACAATATCAACAACATAGATATGCAGTAAGACAAGAAGCTAAACGTGCCGTTACTCCCACCATGTCTGCACCTGCATCGGTCGCAAGCAATACATACACGAGTGCTGCTACTTCGATCTATTCCAATGCATTGATTGGCGGAATTCTTGCTTACTCCACTGTTGATGAAACAGACTCACTCATAGAATTGACGGAGGGAATTAACAACAAGAAAAGAAAGATACAACAAGATGAAGATGAAGAGGACGAAGAAGTGACCGAAATTGTGTGGTACCGTGCACCACCAATTTCCATTCAACAGAGGATTTTAACTTCAAATGGTAAAGAACTTGGCCATTCAGCAAAATACCTTGCCTGGAAAGCAAGTCAAAATGTATAAGTAGATATAATATATATTTAAAATGTATAATTAGTGTGTAAAATGAATGGTGGAAAATAGAATCTCAATTGGAGTTTGTAGGGGGGACCCTTGAGTTTCGCGCGATATGCAATTGAACAAATTTATCGGGATTACCGACCTACAAGATATAGACTTCTCATTCTGCAATTACGCAATGAGTAAGGCATTGACGGAGTTCCAGGAACATTTAAAACAATCTCGAAGGATTGTAGCCTTGGTGGGAGCAGGTCTCTCCGTGTCTTCGGGACTCCCCACGTTCCGAGGTGCCGAGGGACTCTGGAAGAACTTTAACATGATAGACCTTGCCACACCAGACGCCTTCTACATTGACCCTGGCTTAGTTTGGCAGTTTTATTCATGGAGAAGACATAACGCACTTAAGGCAAAGCCCAATGCGGGTCACCATGCTCTTGCACAATTATCCAAAGTTCCTGATTTGGAATTTTTAACCATCACTCAGAATGTAGACGGACTCCTGGCGAGATCGGGCCACAATAAGAACAATCTTTATGAGATCCATGGGTCATTGTTTACTCTTAAATGTACAAGTTTCATGTGTAACTACATCGAGAAGGATAATATGAAGGTGCCCTTGACGCCTGCGCTCCGTGACACTGAATTTGAATATCAACCGGTACGGCGGAAAAGGAGAATGATTGACTATGACTCAATAACAATGGAACAAACAGAAGAATTGACAGATGAAGTGGCGATATCTCCACAATTTGTCCCCGTAAAGGAGTTGAACGAAAAGGATCTCCCACAATGTCCAGTTTGCCAGGATGGTTCACTTCTTCGACCTGGCGTCGTTTGGTTTGGAGAACTGCTTCCATTACAAGAATTGAATGAAATTGATGACTTTATGGAAGGAGGACCGGTTGATTTGATATTGGTAATAGGTACTAGCGGCACTGTATATCCAGCCAACAGTTATGTGGATCGGGTGATGTTACAAGGAGGTAAGGCTGCAATTTTCAACACAGACATAGATGACAAAATTCTACGTGGAGAAGTAGCCAATACATGGGGGTTTAAAGGAGATGGAGCAGAATTACTCCCGTTGGCATTAAGACCATTAATAGAGAAAGATGAACAATAGAATAGACTTACATATGCAAATAAAGTATTAATATAATATTTAATAATATCACAATTAAGGAGTGTCTATTAGTGCGTGAGAATGATGATGTTTAGTCGTCAAGAACTGAAATGAAGTCGTTGAGAAAGTACAGTGGGTCTGTATAGTCGTCTAATGGAAGATCGTCAAAGATTGAGTCTGATAACTTTCTCCTCTTAAGGGAGAAATCCAGAAGCAAATCTGGGTTAAAAAGAGTTTCTTGTGGCGATGTTGAAGTGGAAATTGTAGCCGCTGATAAATCCTTTTTGGGCTTATAGAATGGGTTCCCCACGTGAGACGCCGACGAGGATGATGACGACGATACAATCAGAAGAGATCTGAGATGTGAGCTGCTCAGGGAGTTTCCGTATGGAGAGCGATTAGGGTGAGTGTAAGTTGCTCTTCTTCTATTAATTGGTGCTGCTGGTAGTGAGGTAGATCTTGGGAGATCTACCGGGGTTGAATTGAGAGAATGAGAATTTGTTGATGAAGAAGTCAGGATGGTGTCAACGGAGGAAATAGCCACCGAAGGTTTCAAAGGAGGACGAACGGTCGTATAAGTCGAATTCATTGGAGCACTACCCTTGGGGGAAACTTCAATAAAATCATTGAAAATGGCAAGTTGAGGCATGTTTTGAGAAGTAGTTGATGATGTAGATTGAAGTTGAAGCTTTAAAGATTGTAAATGAGAAGAAGATTTTGAATAGTTTGAAGGTTGACGTTTCAATTTTCTTGGAGAAGATGAAGAGGAATGATTTGACTCTGATTGCAGTTCAATAGATGTTTGTTGAACAGGGGGGGAATGCAACAACACCATCCAGTAGTGAAGTGGTGCCCCTCTTTTCTTGATAACATGTAAAGTCAAGTTCCTTATGACCCAACAAGGGCGACGAAAGAGTTAATTGTCCAGTTTTAGAAGACAAGGAATCGGTGGCAATAACGTTTGCTGGAACCAAAGGAGGCTCATACAGTGAGGTTAACGACGACACTTGGTTACAAGCCTCCATATAACGAACATCAAACTCGTCAAGACAGTCCTCGATGTTATAAACACTCATACAAGAAGAATGTTGGTTAGGAATATATGTCTCAGAATAAATCATGCAGCAATAGACCAACCCTACTAGATAAACCGACACTGGAACGACAAGGGGGGGGTTGGGTAGGGGGAGGGGTCACTAAAAGGGGAATTTGCTGGGAAGCGGTAAAGAGTGCAAAAAGACAAAAATAAAGCAAACACAAATAAACAAACAGGAAGGCTGTGAGAAGATGACGATGTAAGCAGTTCACAACGGGGACAATAATAACGTTATTATATGTAATGGACGTAGTGAAAACAATCGGAATTCTCCACTATGAAAAGTTAAACGCCCCTTCACAATGGCTCGTAACAGAAAATACAGCACAATAAGATCCTAGAATAGCCAACGCCGTTATTTTTTGCGACAAATATTTAACTTCTCCTTCGATTATGAAATTCAAGATAATTCGTTTCACATAAATGGGCAAAAACACCATATATATGCTGAATTGAGGAGAGAAGATATGAATGAATGAACGGCGCTCCGGGCGTTGAGTAATGTGGGTTGTTGCATATAGGGTTCTCCCACATATGTATTACTCAGATCAAGTGTATCTTTACATCTGTCGGATTTAAAGCATTCGTTAGGAGTCTCATGACATGGTTGGCTGAAAGTCGAAAAGGGGTGGGTCCAAAAATTAATTTTTTGATTACATGCATGCGACATGCTGCAGTGAAAACACCGAGCCGCACATTGGCGCAGACTAATATACAAGAAGTGCAAGTTATGGAGTGGTGCTGGATACTAATCGCACGAAATGTAATGCATATACGGTTCTTCTATGTGTATTAGAGGAATTCTATTATTTGGCTCTATATTAATTTAACTATTCATATTCAAGTGAGTCCAAATTCATTCATTCGCCAAGATTCATCTTCAGTCTAAGCTGGGTTGCAACTTGATGCGAATATGTTTGGGAATTTGATAGATAGTCTTGAAGCATGATGCTGTCGTCACATATACACCCCTCCCTGTTGAACGAGCGTTTTTCGTTTCTTGGGCGCGTGCCTGCGAGCACTATCTAAGTTGATATTCTTCATTAATGGGATAATGCATGTCCTTCACACAGCAAAAATAAATCAGCATTTTTTTTTTTTTAATTCTAATTTGGTGTAAGGTCTTCCCCTCCACTAAAAAAAGACGTGTGTGTGTGTGAGTGAGTGATTAATTTTACACTATTTCTTACTAAAGTGAAGCACTAGAAGGTATATTGACTTATTCTTGTGAGGCTAAATTTCACGTATAGGAGTTGGAATCAGTTCGGACAAAAGCATGGGAAAGTCGGAAATTTAAGAATAAGAAGTGCTACATAATGTTCGGAGTGTATTTCTGTCCCGATCCCGTGTAATGGTCTGGTTCTTGAAGTCTACCAAAATGGTGGAAAAGGATCAGATTACATGCAACCCTGTGGATATTTTTTGATGGAGGACCCTATTGTTAGAGATATTATTTCAGGCATCAGTTTGATGTTCTTTCCCAAGGTTGCTAATCACCAGTGCAAATGCGGCTCAAGTGTAGCATTTCTCCGATCAGAATATTTTATTTTTCGATTTAATGTTGATTTTTTCCCAATCTGATAATTATTCTTTATGTATACTTTCCAAATATATCCACAATTACACTCCGTACGCATCCAATCTCCACTATCTACAGACCAAATTCTATTCACGCATCAGCACCGTATGTTGATAGCAAGAACAATCATGCCGGAATTCTAGGCGCTACCTCTAAGACTCCACATATGGGCCGATTTTTGCTTGGTCGTTTAACATAATACAGGTGGGTTTTTTCGTATTTCATCTTCTATCAACAATTGGAATTTATTTTTTTTCGACATATTTTTAATTTGTTATTTTTTTTTTTTGTGTGGAATCTGAAGGAAGGGGCTCCCTAACGCATGGTGATGAAAGAAAATATGGATATGAATTAACCAGTCACCTTAGTTGAAATTTCGAAGTAGATCAAACGATTGACTCAAAAATTGTCAAATTAAGGTTTTAAAGTTCATTATCGGGTTTCCAATCAGGAGAAGAATTCATTTTTTCTTGTAAATTCAATGATTGAAAACGGAAATCTACCGGATGAAAGTAATTTAAGACATTACACTTGCTATTTCAGTTAGATGAATGAAGTGTTCCATACATAGAGATGCTCTGGTGAATGATGTTCCGAGCACCTCGGTCTGTCGAGAATTTCATGAAACATGATGAATTACTGCAATGCAGTCACATGTCCACGGGGTAAAATACATATGTGAATGGACACGACACGTTTGGATTACTGATATTAGAAAATTGCAAGTATAGCCATGTTACAATGTGTGTGTATGTGTGTGTGTGAATCGAAGTTAATTTACAGAATGAGTTGTGGTCATGAGTAAGGACTAAAAAATAAATATCTGTGGTGGGTTTACAAGAGGTAGTAGGGGTAATCTCCCCGCATTGTAAAGAGAAAGTCAAAAACAAACACAAGAAAAAAAAATAAAACCACAAACCAAAACGGAACAATAGTGAAATTTAGGTACCATTTGGATGAGCTGTATTGTATTTCCAACAACCGATTTCATTATTCAAGCATCATTGGGCTCTATTTATTCCTTTCGTGAGAGGTATTTCTGTTAAAGGCTATTCTCTGTAGTATGATGTAAACCATCCATTATTATTCTGATATCCTCTCCATTGTTCTTATTCTACTCTACGAATTCAGGTATAAACCTCGCCTGGATAAATTAAATGCTAAGGGGGTGCTTACAGTAGTATTGTCCAAATCTTATATATATTAACACACTTCCTAGATAGGAACTACTGTTACATCTTCTCGTGATTTCTCAGTCAGAGACGCGTCAGGATTTATAATAATAAGGATTGAAAATTATTATTTGCGCAAATTATTTACACTGTATCATTGTATCAACAAGGAAGTTTAACAGAGTGTATTTAAGTATGGGCTCTATATAGAGAGTCGACTAAGAAATAATCAAAAAAGACCTAACCTAGAAAAAAAAAAAGAAATCACTCCCATTTATCAAACCCTTGATTATTACAATGGAGGAGGGGGGGGGCGCGATATCTCCTTTGGAAAGTAGTAGAATCATCTGAAGTGTACTAGTAAGAAAAGTCAAAATCCAAGAAAAAAAAAGAAATACAAAAAGGTCATGATAGACATCATTAATAGTCATAAACATCATGCTTTCAATATGGTTGCAAATGACTTTTGTTCTTTTTACTAATCAATCATTCATCTTCCCGGAGTTAATCGTAAGAATGTTGCAGTTTTGTGACACTTTCGGGCGAAGGATGAAAAATTTCCTACCGTCAAAGGCACCCGGAGAAGTTCGGACTTTCATCCCCGTTTTGTATCACGTTTAATTTGAGAAAGGCTCAATATTTATTACTGGTCGTGCACGGCACGACCGGAGCATCATGAACCACCACTCACTGACCAATAATTTAAAGGTATACAAATATCCTTAACAGTACATATTAATAGATCAAATCAATCTAAAAAATTCAACCCGAGCAATCCATTAGCTCGAGAATTATATAGAGAAGAATTTATTCAACATGCTTAGAACCAGTTCTGCCTTTAGAGGCATTAGCAACAGATCTGTTAGAATTGCTCAATTTGTCAGAAATGCATCTACCAAGGAACATGATGTTGTTGTCATTGGTGGTGGTCCAGGTGGTTATGTTGCCGCCATCAAGGCCGCTCAATTAGGTCTTGATACCGCTTGTATCGAAAAGAGAGGTAAGCTCGGTGGTACTTGTTTGAACGTTGGTTGTATCCCATCCAAGGCTCTTTTGAACAACACTCATCTTTACCATCAAATCAAGCATGACTCTGCTCACAGAGGTATTGAAATCTCTGGTGATGTCACTGTTGATGTTGCTAAGTTGCAAGCTGCTAAGGATAAGGCTGTCGATGGTCTTACTTCTGGTATTGAAATGCTTTTCAAGAAGAACAAGGTTACCTACTACAAGGGTGAAGGTTCATTTATCGATGAACACAACTTGAAGGTTAAGGCTTTAGAAGGTGAAGATTTCGAAGTTAAGGCCAAGGATATTATCATTGCCACCGGTTCTGAAGTTACTCCATTCCCAGGTATTGAAATTGATGAAGAAAGAATCGTTTCCTCCACTGGTGCTCTTTCCTTGAAGGAAGTTCCAAAGCGTTTAGCCATCATTGGTGGTGGTATCATTGGTTTGGAAATGGCCTCTGTCTACGCCAGATTAGGATCTGAAGTTACCATTATTGAATTCCAAAAGGCCATTGGTGCTTCTATGGATGGTGAAGTTGCCAAGAACATTCAAAAGATTTTGGGTAAGCAAGGTTTGAAGTTCAAGTTGGGAACTAAGGTTACCAAGGGTGTCAGAGAAGGTGATGTTGTTAAGATTGGTGTTGAAGACGTTAAGTCTGGTAAGACCGAAGATTTGGAAGCTGACGTTTTGTTGGTTGCCATTGGTAGAAGACCACACACTGACGGTCTTAACTTTGAAGCCGTTGGATTGGAAAAGGACAACAAGGGTAGATTAGTTATTGACTCCGAATACAGAACCAACAAGCAAAACATTAGAGTTATTGGTGACGTTACTTTCGGTGCCATGCTTGCTCACAAGGCCGAAGAAGAAGGTATTGCTGCTGCTGAATACATCAAGAAGGGTCACGGACATGTCAACTACGGTAACATTCCATCTGTCATGTACACCCACCCAGAAGTTGCTTGGGTTGGTGCCAATGAAGAAGAATTGAAGGCTGCTGGTATAAAATACAAGGTTGGTAAGTTCCCATTCATTGCCAACTCCAGAGCCAAGACCAACTTGGACACCGATGGATTTGTCAAGTTCCTTGCTGATGCTGAAACTCAAAGAGTTTTGGGTGTACACATCATTGGTGCTAATGCCGGTGAAATGATTGCTGAAGGTGGTTTGGCTTTGGAATACGGTGCTTCTACTGAAGACATTGCCAGAACCTGTCACGCTCACCCAACTTTGTCTGAAGCTTTCAAGGAAGCTGCTTTGGGAACCTTTGACAAGACCATCAACTTTTAAAGTTTCTAGATAGATAGGGCAGATAATGAAGAAGATACATCAATTTGAAAATTAGAGATTAGAGTAGAGTGATAGGACATATTAAATATCAATATTCTAAAAGATAATAATGAAAAAAAAAGGTATGTAGTATCAGAAGAAGTGTAAAGTGAATTAAATACTTTGTGGATATAAAGAGGGTAGTGGAACCGGTTATACGCTCTTGGTGCTTTACATACATGCAGGCAAGGCTATAAACGTTTAGCCGCTCACAAGACAACATCAACACAACTACATATATCCAATCCATTAGAATTGTTGGACTTTACTTTGCTTGGTCAAGGCAAATTTACAGTTAATTATTAGCATGTGAATCCATTTAAATTTAGCATTAGTCATTATATACAATACAATTCATCTTGAGTACGAAACAGTCGTTTGCAACAAACAATCATTTGCAACAGGGGTGGTGGTAATTACTCACACTTAATATTTCAAAATAACGTAAACAGCATGGATTATACCTGGAATATAACCCAAAATGGTCAAAAGGATGTTAATGAAGAAGGAGGAAGAACAACCTCTTTCCAAAAAGACACCCAATGGTGGAAGAATGATAGCAATGATAAGCTTGAAGATGTCGGAACAAGTGAAGGCCATTTTGTAGTGAAGATTTTTAGTGGTAGTGATTAAATTAGAAACATCAATTGATTACTTGGAGCGAATCTAGAGCACTTTATATAGCATTTTTAAACTGTAGCAACTCTTAGTGTGCATTGCGGTTAGGTCATGAGGCATTCTCGAGGAATGCGTGGGTGTATGGGTGTGAAAGTCAAATTAAGTCGCGGCCTTAAATAGATTTATAGCGTTTAATTGCTACTGATAGTGGGAAGTACATTAAAAAAAAAAAAAAATTTCGAGACGAGAAATATTAACCTTGGCCATATAGTGCGGCTTAAGCTGTGAGTGACGACCCTACTTACGAATAATTGAGAGTGGCTTGTAGAGACGGTTTGACTAAACTAGTGCCGAAGTGTCCGGTCTTTCCTACTGCACTGTAATAAATAAATCATGGAGTAATGTGTTTGCTTGGAAATGTGTGATTAGCGAGAGATAAGTGTCAATGAGGTATGTGTTAGTATACCTGTGTTTGTTTTAATTTATTTTTTTTTTTTAATTTTATTTGCCTATTCACAGCCACTTACAAGTGGGGTACCCAGGTAATGGAGAATCATATTGTTGCAAAAGACAAAAGTTAGTTTAGAAATGTCATTCTTTTCTTTTTAACATGTAAGTGAATTGGTCGAGTATTTGACAGATGGTGATACAAAATTATAGTAGTAGTAAAAAGGAACACATATTGTAGTGTTACAATAAGACGCAGCCCCATAATGGAAACTGGTGATTAAAAAATCTATATTCAATACTTTATATCCATTAGTAAATTTACGAACTTTCTTCGTTTGTTAAAGTTTCTTTAATTTATATGGGGGCTACTACTTACTACTGACTAACTCTCTCATTCCTACATTTACGCGCAGTGCGGGCAATAGCGCCATATATCTCAGCACTACCAAATTTTCATTACACAAAGTGTGCCTTTGGTGATTCATCCAAATATGATTTTTTGCATATTTAATCGGATATACCCAACCAGTTAGATCCATCTAGAAATACCTCGAATTAATTAGAATAATGTCTGAATTGCAGTTGGTCATTTTAAAGACCGTAGGCGAACAGGGGTCTGTTGCCAACACACTTGATGTGCCTGTTCTTGCCAAGGAGGAAGCCACCACTCTCCACTCTGCCTTGACATCTCTTTGGGCCAAGGAGATGATTGAGTTCTCCAAATTGGAAACTGAACAATGGGTTTTAACCAAGGAAGCCGAAGAAATTGTTGCTGCCGGATCCCACGAATTCCGTTTGCTTGAAGAAGTTTTGAAGTCCTTGGATGGATTGAAGATTTCTGATGTCAACTCCAAATTGGGACAAGTTGGTAAGTTGGGACAAGGTAAGGCATTCAAGAACGGATGGATTGCCAAGGACGGTGACAAGTTAGTTGCCAAGGTTGAAACCTTGCCAGAAGATGCTGCTGTTACCCAGTTGAAGACCATTGCCGAAACCGGTACTCTTTCTGAAAAGAAAGATCTTGCCGAATTAAAGAAGCGTAAGCTTATTTCCATGAACAAGATTGTTGGTTTCAAGATCACCAAGGCTGCCAAGTTCGCCTTGACCATCACCACCTACGAGACCGATATCACCTCCGAAATGGTTACTTCCGGTAAGTGGAAGGATGCTGAATTCAAGCCATATAACTTCAACTCTGAAGGTGTCTACCCACAATCTGGTGCCTTACATCCATTAAATAAGGTTAGAGAAGAATTTAGACAAATTTTCTTCTCTATGGGATTCACTGAAATGCCATCTAATCAATACGTTGAAACCGGTTTCTGGAATTTCGACACTTTATTTGTTCCACAACAACATCCAGCTCGTGACTTGCAAGATACTTTCTACTTGAAAGACCCAGTCAAGGCCGGTAAGCCAGATGACGAAGAATACTGGCAAAACATTAAGAAGGTCCATCAAGAAGGTAAGTATGGTTCCATTGGTTACAGATACCCATGGAAGGAAGATGAATCTTTAAGAATGGTGTTGAGAACTCATACAACTGCCATTTCATCCGCCATGTTGCATCAACTTGCCAAGGATCCAAAGCCTTGTAGACTTTTCAGTATTGACAGAGTTTTCCGTAATGAAGCTGTCGATGCCACTCATTTGGCTGAATTCCATCAAGTTGAAGGTGTTTTGGCTGGTTATGACATCACCTTGGGTGACTTGATTGGTTTCATGGAAGATTTCTTTGCCAAGATGGGTGTTCATGGCTTAAGATTCAAGGCTGCTTACAACCCATACACTGAACCATCATTGGAAATCTTTGCCTACCACAAGGGTCTTGGTAAATGGGTTGAAATCGGTAACTCTGGTATGTTCAGACCAGAAATGTTGGAACCAATGGGCTTGCCAAAGAACTTGCGTGTTTTGGGTTGGGGTTTGTCATTAGAAAGACCAACTATGATCAAATATGGTGTGAGTAACATTAGAGAGTTATTGGGACACAAGGTTTCGTTAGACTTCATTGAAACGAACCCTGCTGCTAGATTGGATGAGGATTTGGTGTAATTGTATAGAAATAAAGCAGAGACTAAAAGGAGGAAGAATGTAGAGAAAATATGTGTAATTAGTTGGTAAAAATGGGTAAAATGTGTCAAATAGAGATTTTCAACCTTTTACTATGATTTTTATGAGGGGGACCATTGATATTACGCGAATTTAAAGAAATGAGAAAGTTTGTGTATAATTGAAGAACGGTAAATCTTGAGAGATCAACTGTAAGAATACAATTAATTACTCTCAGGAGACAGTCTATAGAGATGAAACCAGAGACAGTAGAAGACATATTGATTGACGATGACGTGGAAAATCTTGCCGAGAACGATGGGAAGGATGAATTCAAGTGTCATTGGATTGAATGTACACAAGAGAATTGTCATAGTTTGAGCGGATTGGTGACCCATCTTACCAACTCACATTTATCACACATGTCCCACAATGGTACAGCAACGACACCAATAAGGTATACATGCCAATGGGAAGGATGTCTGAGGTTTGGAGCCGATCAACCATCCCGGTTTGCGCTTATTTCCCATTGTAGAACACATACTGGAGAGAAGCCATATTTTTGTCCAATTCCTGAATGTGAGAAGCATTTCACACGATCTGATGCTCTTACCAAACATGTCAAGGGAGTGCATGATCTCCACCTGGCTAAGGATGCGTTGACATTGATCAAGGACCGCAGTAGGAAGTTTAGAGATGGAGGATCTCACAACGCGTTCACAGTCCCCGACGATATGGAAGAAAATGAATACCTTTCATTGGTGGAAAAGGACTATGAAATGAGATCTCCATGGTGGTTTTCAAGGTTGTTTTTACTGGTAAATGGTGCAGACGAGCTGTTGGGAGAAGATGGAAGAGAAATTCCAACCACCACCACTGTAGGTAAATTATTGGACCAAAAATTCGATATGCAACAGTTCAAAGTAGCTAGAGATCGGTATAGATCGTATGTTGAAAGTAGTGGAGAGCAACCAATGATATCAGGAGAAAATGAATACAAGAGAGAATTACAATCATCCGCAAAGAAGCTTGCCAGGAGCATAGAGGAGCGGAAACTCCTGGAGGATGTCCACGAAAGCGATGGACTTGAGACATTGCGGGCAAAGTACAAAGTGATGAAAACGCAATACAAGACTGCATTACGGGTGAATGAATTGGTCACTGAACAGTTGGAAAAGTTGGTGCGGGAGAAAAGAAGAATATGGTTGGCTAATCAAGTTTTATTAGACGCGAATATAAAGATAGGACTTCCAACAACACAAGGAACACCTCTGGCTGAGCCAGTTGCCACGAAGCCAGAAGAGGTTGTACAGGATAAATATGACGCCGAATTGTTGGCATGATATATAAATAGTAAAAAATAAATGAAAGATTAGGGGAAAAGATGTCTATCTGTTAGAGGGGCCAAACATTAACTAGCGCTCATAGAGGTATTCCTACAGAAGTATAATGTTGGCAGATATACGGAAGTATAAACTGTTTGAAGACGTACCACGTACACTGATCGCTTGTAAGTATCTTGTAAAATACCATTCATTCTCATTATTTTTATTAATATTTTATCTTTTTCCCTACACATACACCCATATCACTATCCCGCAAGTAAGATTCAAAAAATGTACGACTACCACAAAGTGTATATTCCTCCTCCTAATACTCCCTTTGTGTTGCCACCTCCTTTATTTCGCGGGTTCAAAATTTGCAATCAAAGTAACCATGGGCTTTAGTTTGTGCGCATGGATTTCTCCTGCACATTTTGAAAATATTTATCATCCTCATCGCTTTATAGTTAACATACTCCTTTCTTATAACCAACCAACCATGTCTCCACACACTCTTAGCGAGCCTACGATTGTTGAGACGTCTGAAACCGAGCTTATTTCCGGTACCGAGTCGTTGTCCGATCTTGGGGCTGCCGCAGTTCAGTACAAAGTCGATGCCAAGTTGTCCCTTGATGACCTCTTTGCTGAGCTTGCTGAGGAGACTTCAACTGGTCAAACCACAGTAAAAGACCCAGAACAATCAGAAGATGAGTTCAGTAAGATCAGAAAGGCCATGTCAAAGCTCCCCAAGATCGAGTCGAGTTTGGAGGCCAAGCTTGAACAACATGATAAGAATACCATAACTGGGAAGGGCCATGATATAACGAGGATCAATGATCCTATAGAACACATACGTCTGAGTGCAGCTGAAAAGGCCAAGCTTGGCGAGGATGCTGGAGCTAAATGGTTCAACATGCGTAAGCCAGAACTCACAGCCGCAGTTAAAAGAGACCTTTTGGTAATTCAACAAAGAAGTGCATTGGATCCAAAGAGACATTATAAGAAGGATAAATGGCAAATCCCCAAGTTTTTCGAAACTGGGACCATTATCGAGGGTAACACCGAGTTCTACTCACGTATGAAGCGTAAGGACCGTGGTAACACCTTGGTGGAGGAAGTATTGAATGACCAAGACAAGGGCAAATACTTCAAGCGTAAGTACGCCGAAATCCAAGAAAAGAAGACAAGTGGTAAGAGAGGTCATTATAAGAAGGTGAAGGAGATGAGAAAGAAGTTTTAGGGCATAATCATATAACGGAATATACGCATAATAAGATAGAGTGTAGAAAATAACAAGTGAGAGAACCTTACTATTAAGGCTTCACACTATTAAACAGTATGGTCATATCATCTCTTTATCATCTCTTATCTACTACCATAATGTTACATAATAATTAATTGAATATTTCTAAATAATAAAACTTCCCAGCAGTTATTCTTCCAAACCAGCTCTTTTAAATACATCCAGTCTAACATATTCCCAGAGCCTTTTCTTTTCATCTTTCGGGAGCTTTGCCTTCTTATCTCCACTTGCCTTGATGTTTCTCTTCATTTCGTCTGACTTCAATTTGTATTCATGAGCAGTGGTAGCAGCAGCTGCCAAATTAATGAGATAATTTCTCACGGCTATTTCTTTGAATTCCAACCGAAGATACGTTTGATTATCGATGGAAGTGATTGGCGGTAATGATTTCTTATTATGTTGTGAGTTTATCTGAAGTAAACGCGATTGCTTGACGGATATTTCCGCCACAGATTTCTTAAACTTCAGATCTAAATTATGTTCTTGATAAAGATTTGACAGGAGAAGTATATAAATGAGTTCCTTATCAGAGATTGTTGCCAGAATCAATACAATGTGACAGATATATGCAAGGTCTCCCACAAGCTGAGGTACAGCTCCAGTATATTTGAAATCTGGCACAGATGAAATTGTTGGAAGATGTCGTAAAAACAATTTACATCGAGTGACATTTAAATTCCAATCCACCAACGATTCAGGAACGTTTTGATACTGAAGTTGACTCCCTAGAGATATTTTCCAAGTTTCATCTTCTTCAGGTTGCATCAGCAGGTCTCTAGACACAGTTTCATGAAGCATTATATCATTGATTAGTTGTTCCACAGTGGTAGTTATAGGCTCCGAATCTTCCGGAATGGTTGCCGTTGAGTTTGAGTACATCGACGGGGCCGATCTCACGGACCTTTTGCCTGACAGGAAGACACTGGAAGCCAGTGATCTATGAGAGGAGTTGGGGAAAAGCTTCTTATATGGCTGAAGGTGTGTTGGAGCGGACCTAATCGATGTGGCGGTGTTTCCGCCAGCGGAAATTGCAACGGGGAGTTCCTGATAGATGGCATTTCTTGCCCTATCACGGAAATGCGATGGAGCAGTAGCTCCAGTATGCGAGTCTGATCTATTTGTACCAAACATGAGTATTAGAAAGAGAAACGAAGATTTGTTAAAAGCGGGGTCACAGGGTTTTTTTTTTTTGACACCAACCAACGGTGAACCTGGCTAATCTGCGTTAAGACCAGTAATCGATCTGAAATCCAGTCCGTGAAATTGTTGGCTAAACTTTAGCGGGAAATAGCAAAGAATTACCTAACAAAATACAAGCCTGCTTGGATAAATAAAGCCTCTCCAATCTTATGGTGTGGGGGAGTTAAATTCGGATAAATGCCCCAACTTTTTTTTTATTTTTTTTTCTATTTTGGCTTAGTAAATGCGCCAAGGCGATTTAACAAAGAAATTTAGAAAGATAGTACATGTGGTTCTCAAATTTACGCAGCGCTATCGAGGGTGTGTAAGCTCGGGCATCGGAGAAATTCAAATGTTTGAATTCCGCGTCAACTGACGGAAATTAGGCTGCGAAATTTAACTTGCCCCTATTTATCTAAAAAATGGAGTTAAAGCGGAGAATAGTGAAAGTGAGGGGTAGGAAAGTAGAGAGAGGTATATATACATATATGTATCTAATCTGTAGAAAATTGGAACATTGTTCGCAGGAATGTATAAACATAGTGCATTTCGGTAAAAGTGAGAGACGGCTGGTCTCCAAGGAGTATATGGATCAAATTAATACCGCATATATATATACAGTATATACCTACCCCATCTATTTCAGCTCTATCTTCAAATCTCTAATATCTTAGTTTCATTATATTGAAAGAGTTAATTTGAACAGATACTCATAATACCAAATAGCACAATACAGGCGCACGTGATTCAAAGCATGTGACCAATTCTAGACATTTTCTCAAATCGATTACTTAGATAAATCCAGTTATCAACATTGAATCCCAACCCCAATTCCTTAAAAGAGTATTACATATTTCCTGAAATGTTCTAGAAAGCAATCATTTTACTTTAAATGACTTTAGGTTCATTATTTTTCAGGACGATAACAAAATATTATTCCTTATAACTCTGTTCTTCAAACATCAACAACATTAATCTTCTAATAATCTCCATATACATATCTATACTCCTTTCTACCACCCCTATTTCATCTCTCCAACTAGTAACTTCTATCTACCATCGTTTAACTCTATTCAATAAGCCATTCTTTCCATTAAAAGTGATCTCATCCTAATTTCCTGCACATTGCAGCCTCAATCACCCATCTAAAAAATGTACAAACATTAGATCGAAAATTAGTAGGTAAAACTAAACTATTGCTCTGCCAGTTTTACCCTAAATACAACATGTCTGAAGAGATTGCAATCTTGGATGAGGTTGCAAGCGAGCATTTCGGATTCAAGCTCTCCGAGCCAAGTGAGGGAATCCGTGTGTTTGATGCTTTACCATTTGATAAAGTTCAATCTCGTGATGTTGACTTGTTGTCGTTCAACAATGTAAAGCATTACTTTGCCTGCTCAGATATGAGTTCTCTTATTGTAGAACTGATAGATGTATTGAAAGGAGGAGATGAAGGTGAAGTCAATCCCAAGTCATGGGCCAGGGTTGACGGTGTCAATGACATCACTCAATTGAAGTTCAACTTTGATGGCTCAAAATTATTCTTTCTTGATGGAGGGAAACTCTTGAGTATCAGTAATTTCAAGAAATTGGAACCCAAGACTGTAGCCAATGGCCAGACTAAGAGGTTTTGTCCATCTCCTACCCTGTCAAAATTATTAATACTTCGGGACAATGGTGATTTATACGTTGATGGAGTATTATGGAAATCCAATATTATGACCATGTCTTGGACTTTAGATGGAGAATATGTTATATATGCTGATAGTAATGAAGTGAGGATTGCTAAACCTCTATCTGATACTTTTGATAGCGTTGCATTGGTTGATGGATACTTGGTACTCACAGCAACAGAAGTGTCCCTTAATGTAATTCTTTTAGTTTTTGGACCTGAATCCAATGACCCAACTGATCATGATTTCAAGACATTGGTGGTTGTTTTGGATGAGAATAAGAAAAGCACCACTACTTATGAGGCTGACGTGGCACCTCCATTTGGTGCAGAACGTATTGGTACCTATTATATTAAAACTCTTAATAATTGGGCCAAAGATCAAACATTATCATTCATCACTGCTGCTTCATCTACTGATATTAGTACTATTGAACTACAAAAAGATGGTGACTCTTTCCAAGATCCCAAATCAATTGTACAATTAAATGATTCAGATCGTGCTCAATTTCCACTTAATGATGATGGTGATGATATTTCCCCCGTTGGATTGGCATTAGATTTGACCAATAGTGACACCATTGTATCAGAGCCATGTATTGGGATTGAATCTGCCCAAGGGTTACCAAAATTATGGTGCTTAACACAAGAAGGTACGCTTCTTGGATGGTGGCTTTACGACTCCGCAAAATTATCCAAGGATGAAGTCAGTTTGGCCGGCCCATTAGCCAGCTTAAATGGCGAAATATCGAAACCTGAACCAAAGAAAGAAGTCAAATTTGAAGAGTTTAACGAAAAGCCAACATATTCTTCTACAACAACTAATAATCCATTTGGTTCATCCACTGGTAGTGTATTTGGAACAGGAGCATTTGGTTCACAAACCGTTAAGTCTGACAATCCATTTGGTACAAGTACTGGAAGTCCATTTGGAGGCTTTGGAAACAATAAACCAGACGCACCTGCTTCTGAAGCACAAAACAAACCCACAACTACAACCAACGTTTCCGGCTTTGGAATTTCTAATACTGCTACTAATAAACCTACAACTTCACCAGAGAAGACTGGAGGTTTTGGGTCAAGTGGATTTGGATCTAGTGGATTTGGCTCTAGTGGATTTGGATCTAGTGGATTTGGATCTACTCCTAAAGTTGACACAAGCTCTTCTCTGAGTGGGTTTGGCAAGAGCGCATTCGGATCCAGTGGCTTTGGATCTAATCCTGCTGCCAGTTCTACTACCACTCTGAGTGGTTTTGGAAAGAGTGCATTTGGATCTAGTGGCTTTGGATCCAGTTCTGCTGCTGCTACAACTTCAGCTCTGAGTGGGTTTGGCAAGAGCGCATTTGGATCTAGTGGCTTTGGATCTTCTCCCACAACTGATTCTAGTGCTGCTCCGAGTGGGTTCGGAAAGAGTTCCTTTGGATCTGGAGCTTTTGGCTCTACCGCTACAGGAAGTCCATTTGGATCGCTAGCCGATAAAAGTAAATCTTCGGAAGTCTCTCCATTTGGAGGGTTTGGATCAACAGAGAGAAAATCTAGTCCATTTGCAGGACTTTCTTCCGAGAATAAGTCTTCAAGTCCATTTGCGGGACTTTCTTCAGAGAATAAGTCTTCAAGTCCATTTGCAGGACTTTCTTCAGAGAATAAGTCTTCAAGTCCATTTGCAGAACTTTCTTCTGATAGGTCTGCTACAAGTAGTCCATTTGATGGCCCTTCTTCGGCTGACCTATCTTCGACCGCAAGCCCTGAACTTTCTTCAACTAAACCATCTACATCAAATCCATTTGGCTCCTCAACTGCGAACGCATTTGGATCTCTTGGGTTGAGTGATTCTAATACTCTAGCTAAAGAGGAATCGCCGAAAGCAACTACAGGTGGTCTTTTCGGCAAATCTGAAGAGGCTCCTAAGGCATCTTCAGGTGGTCTTTTCAGCAAATCCGAAGAGGCTCCTAAGGCAACTTCAGGTGGTCTTTTCGGCAAATCTGAAGAGGCTCCTAAGGAATCTACAGGTGGTCTTTTCGGCAAATCCGAAGAGGCACCTAAGGCAACTTCAGGTGGTCTTTTCGGCAAATCTGAAGAGGCTCCTAAGGAATCTACAGGTGGTCTTTTCGGCAAATCCGAAGAGGCTCCTAAATCCACAGGTGGTCTTTTCGGCAAATCCGAAGAGGCTCCTAAGGCATCTTCAGGTGGTCTTTTCGGCAAATCCGAAGAGGCTCCTAAGGCAACTTCAGGTGGTCTTTTCGGCAAATCCGAAGAGGCTCCTAAGGCAACTTCAGGTGGTCTTTTCGGCAAATCTGAAGAGGCTCCTAAGGAATCTACAGGTGGTCTTTTCGGCAAATCCGAAGAGGCACCTAAGGCAACTTCAGGTGGTCTTTTCGGCAAATCTGAAGAGGCTCCTAAGGAATCTACAGGTGGACTTTTCGGAAATTCCGAAGAGGCTCCTAAGGCATCTACAGGTGGTCTTTTCGGTTCACAGAAGAAAATTTCAAACAATGATACATCTACTACAAAGAACCTAGACTCTAAAGCTAGTGGCATTTTTGGTGTCGATAACTCAAAATCACCTAATACTGGATTAATTTCTGGTTTCAGTGGCTTCGGAATAAATAATTCCGAAAAGAAACCTGCACCAATAAAATCAAGTGCAGATGATAATTCGGATTCTAAATCAGCACCTTTTCTCGAATCTACAGATGCGGTTAAGGATACAGACAGCAAATTAACGGATGAGAAACATAGCGAAACCCCCAAAACTGTGGAGGATCCAGGGACCGTCGCTAAAATAGAGGTTGAAGATAATACTCCAAAACCTGTACGTGAATGTGAACCATTTCAAAATTTTGCCGGAATTAAACCACTTCCAAAACCTGAGACCAATAAAGTTCAAAATATGACAAACGAAATATATTACAAAACCTCTGGTATTTTGCAAGTATTAGAAAATAATGTTAAAATTCTTGGAAATTATCTTGAAGAACTTGGTGATGACAAGATCTCACTTACTGAAGAAGACTTGGATAAACCTGAATTATGGCGAGTTGCTAGTTCTTTAAACGAACTCCAAGATATTACCTACAACTATGATTCACAGCAAGATATTGCATTGAGAGCTCAAAATGAAATATATGAGAAATTGTCCAATTTAACTATAAGAACGGAAGATAGTTTTATCCAAAGAACAAAGGTAGATAAGCTTTTAACTCAATTGGCAGCATTTAAGGATGAAACAAACGTGAAAAAGTTGAAGAATAGACCATTGGAATATCCAAGTGTTGAATTACAAACAAGTGTTCGTCAAAAGCTTCAAAGATATGAGAAACTTAAAAAAGAACTACTATTGAAATTGATGACACTTAAAACTAAACTTGTACCAGAGAACGTGTTTATTCAAAATGCGGAAAATATGGTTTTTAAGATTAATGAGAGAATACTTGATCATCTTGGAGAAATTGACCGTTTAGCACAAAAATTCGGAGCTATTGAATTTGAAGAAGAGAAAGAAGAACAGGATGACGATGTACAAGAGGTTAATGGGAACAAGATATTACAAAGATGGCAATTGGCCGACAGTTTGACCGGGAAACCGATTGCTAGTCGTAGTGTGAGCTTGAACTGAGGGAATAAATAGCAGTATGTTTTTAGTACTCAATAATTTTTTAACAAAAAATAAAATAAAAAGGAAAAATAACCGAGTAGAGAATTTGATTGTTTGGGTGAGACGAGTTCGTAAAAAACAACACCACAGACAATTTCCACTAGAGACAACAAAACAAATGAAAGGATCCAACAAAATGTTAAAACAAAATGGAGCATCGCATAACAAGAAATGTAGACAATTGTAACAAGTGTAAATAAGTTGATGTACCTTAAAATTTCTGTTTGTTCCTGCGTCGTTATCCATGGCGTTATCCATGGATAATTTAGAGTGAGAATGCGTGTGAATGTGTATTTACATTTGACATCAATTCAGGAAATCGCGAAAAGTTTAAAAATGCGAAATCAAAACATAAATATAGACGACAAACACACACATGGTAAAGATGGCACCTAGAACAGCGGTACAGGGTATGATTGAGCACATTGGCACCAGGGTCACTGTTCCGGGGACCCCTGGACAGGGGATTCTTCGGTATGTGGGAGAGATTGAGGGCAAGAACGGTGTTTTCTGTGGTCTTGAGCTTGTAGGAAGCATCGCTGCACTCAAGGGAAAGAATTCAGGAGCTGTGGATGGAATACAATACTTTGAGGTGAAGCAGGCACAGTCCGGGTTGTTTGTGCCGATGGAACGGTTGAAATTGTCGAACCCACAGCTTTCTATTTCGCGTCCAGCAAGCCGGAAAAGTAGTGGGCCGGGATCTCCCAATAGTGGAACTCTGAGTCCCATCACTGGTCGTAACTACAATAATTCCCCGCCTACATCAACACCAACTACACGAAGTGTGCTGAAAGTGAGTAGGCCCGGGAGTAGATTGGGCTCATCTGAGGTCCGTCCAGCTTCTAGAGCATCTAGACATTCATCCACCAACACCTCCAATGGACTCCCTAATAATAATAATAATAGTGTTAACACACGAGAAATTGAAAATCAAGTAAAGAGTTTATCAGCCTCCAAGATAACTCTTGAAAGAGAACTTGAGATCTTAAAGAATGATCATCAAAAGAGTTTAAATGAGATGAGTGAGAAGATGACAATTTTGGAAGAATTGCAAAGTACAGTAGAATCTCTTCATCCTCTTTTAGAGAATTATGAAAGAGAACTTTCTGAGAAGGAAGCCAAAATCTTGAAGCAAAGAAAAGATTTTGAAATGGCAAGGGAAGAATGGAGAGAAAGTTTGGATATGTTGGTGAATACACATCAAGAAGCTGAAGATTATTATGAATCTGAGATTGATCAATTGACTCAGAAGTTAATCGAAGCAAAGAAGGAGATTGAAGAAAGTAAAAAGACCCAAGAAATAGAGACAGAAGAAGAAAAGGAAAAGGAAGAGAAGGAGCACATTCAAAATAGTACTATAGATAATGATTTACAACTCAAACTTGATGACCTTACTATGGAAAAGATAATTCTTGAGAAACAATTGAATGCCAAAATATCAGCACAAGAAATTGAAATTCGAAAGATGAAGGAGACAGCTGGAAATGCCGCTGATTTGCAAAGTTTTAAAGACGATAATGTAGAATTACAAAGGAAGATAGAATCATCTAGTGTTGTGCATGAAAAGATTATATCTGATTTGAAACAGGCAGTATTGAATAGTCAATCTGAACATTCTGTGGAAGTTGGCGCATTGAAGGATACAATCGATGCAATGCAAGAAAGAATATCTGAACAAAAGAAACAACTTGACGAGGCTTCAGGACTTCTGGAGAGAATACAATCAGTTAACGGAGATCATTCTGATCTTTTAAAACAATTCGAAGACATGAAGATCACTTCTACTGATACAATTGAAGGATTGACCAAACGTAATACAGAACTTGAAGAAACTTCAATAAAATTTCAATCAACTATAGAATCTCTCCGTGAAGAGATTCTTCAAACCAAGGCACTTACTTCTGAGAAGATGGACAATGTAGCACTCAAATTACAAGAAACCATCGACATTTTGAAAGACGAAAATAAACTTTTGCAGGAGCAATTGGAAGCTGCAAAATTAGAAGTTAAACAACTCCAACAGGAGAATGAATCACACGTTGAAAAAAGTGTACTTTCAACGAATTCAATCGAAGGATTGAAAAAATCCATTGCATCAATTGAGGATGAAAAACTGAAACTCGTATCTGAAACTGAGGGTTTAAAAGAGGAAAAATCGAAGCATATCTCTACATCAACATCCGAACTTTCTAAATTAAAGTCAATTATTCAAACTTTACAAAAGGAGAATGATAGTCTTCGTTCTAAAATCCAAGAACGTGAAACTTCTAGTGATAGCTCCATTGAGACTTTAAAGGAAGAGAACTCCAAATTACTTGCTAGAATTGAGACGTTGAATGAGGACAGAGAAAATAAAAAGAAGGTGATATCAGAACAGACGAACACACTTCATAAAGAGTTGCAAACAGTAAAAAGTGAAAATTCCGCTCTACATGAAAAAATTAATAAGTCCGAAGAAACTATCAAACAATTGGACGCTTGGAAAATCACATCTAAATCTCAATTCGATGAATTTCAGAGTACAATCAGAGCCAAAGATTCATTTATTGCGGAACTTCAACTGCAACTCGCTCAGAGCAAGAATTCCAAAAACACTGAAGAATCTGAGGATATTTTGAAATTAAGATCTGAAATCAATGCTCTCAAGAGTGAGATTAGCGATAATTCAAACTTAGAGAAAATGATTGAGCAACTTAAACATGACTTAGAGATGAGACCAACCTTTGATGAATTGTCTCAGCTTCAAAAGGCAATTGAAGAAATTGAAGCATTACACAAGTGGGAAACTGAAAAACAGAATAGAGAATTACAAGATGTATTAAATTCTAAAGCTGAAATTGAAAGTCAATTAATAACTACTGCCAATGAACTTAAGAAACTCAAAGAAGAAATAGCTCAAAATGCAAAGGATATGTCAATGAGCTCCACTGAGAGTTCCATTAGTATCGGACTTCCTGTATATTCACCAAAAGTTCCAACTGATCCAAGTAGCGGGAAGGATAAATGGTGTGGATTATGTGAAAGAGACGGTCATGATAGTATAAGTTGTCCATACGAAAATGATATGTTCTAAAGTTTAAAATCTGTCTCGGATATTTGAGATTTAATGCACATATCACGGAATATACTATCTTCCCGTGAGAATAATTGCCAAGGACTATCAAACTCTGCAATCGATCCATCATTCAATACTAAAATTTTGTCATAGTTGATAATTGTCTTCAATCTATGGGCAATACTAAGAACAGTACAATTTTCAAATTCATCCCTGATGGTAGCCTGAATCGTAGCATCAGTTTTATAATCGACTGACGACGTTGCCTCATCAAGAATGAGAATATTGGTATCTCTAATCAAGGCTCTGGCAAGAGCAAGCAACTGTTTTTCACCTAACGAAAAATTACTACCATTGTCTTCCACAATTTGGTCTAAATGAAACTTGTGGGATTGCAAATCTCCTTCTTTGATTGCTTTTAGATCAGTTTTGTCGATCAATCCAGCGCGACGTAAAGCTTCCCATAAATCTTCATCGTTTCTGGTGCCAAAGGGATCTAAATTTTTTCTAATCGAACCATAAAACAAGACTGGGTCTTGTGGGATAATAGATAAACCACTTCGTAAATTAGTTAATCCAATTTGAGATATGTCAATACCGTCAATATTAATTTTACCAACATCAAGTTCCGAAATTCTGTAGATTGCCGTTAAAATCGAAGACTTACCAGCTCCTGTTCTACCACAAATCCCAATTTTAGAACCAGCTGGGAAAGATATGGAAATATCTTTCAAAACATATGGGAGTTCAGGTCTATACCTCATACTAACATTTTCAAATTCAATTGCACCTTTCGATGGCCAGCTGGATTTTGGTACCGCTTCTGAAATGATAGCAGGTGCTTCTTGGGGAAGATTGAATGCATACTGGGAAATCCTCTCAACGGAATTCATTTCATTCTCCAAATTAGTATAACTTCTAAGAAGTACTGTGAGCTGATTTGCAATTTGCAACACATACGAAATAACCAACCCACTTGAAGATGCACTAATTGAGAATGTACCGGTAGCACATAGTAAGCAAATGATTAATATAAATACTGCAGCCATCATATCCATATGGAGACCCAACCAACGCTGATTTGCCACAGTGAGGAAATATGCTTCATTCATCGAATCTATTAGTTTACTGTTTCTATCTACGAATAAATCGTCGACTTTAAAGGCTTTAATAACATCCATCCCTTGAAGTGTTTCATTGAAGTTGCTGAAAACAAACGAACGTTTCGTTGCATCCAATCTTTTGACCTCTCTTGCTGCCCCTAAATAAAAGTTTGCAATCAGAATGAAAATTATCAAAAGAAATGGCACTGCTATGGCAAACCAAGGCAAGTAACAAATACAAAGAATAATAATTCCAATCATGCTTGCAGTTGAATAAATGGCCAAACGCATCTGTATACCAAACTCATTATCAAGCACATCCGTATCTTTTGTGAATCTATTGAGAATTCTACCCATGGGAGTTGTATCCATATACCACATGGGTACACGGACAATCTTCTGAATTGCCAAAACGTTCAATATTCGAGACGCATTCGTTGCAATGTAAGCCACCAACGAAAACTCCAAACACAATAGCACAACTCCAAGAAATGTGAACATCACATAGATACCAATGTATTGACCTTGACTAAGTTGAGGAAACTTATTGGCAGTCCAGAATGAAAGCCAAGTATTAGTGAATATGGAACAAAAAGTTGATGTTATTACCACAGTTAATATAAGCGGAATAATACCATACAATCTGAAGATTCCAGCCCCAGTTCTGAGATACTGTTTATAAACTTCAAATTTAATGCCATTTACAGCTTTTTCTTCTTCTTTTACAATCTTTCCATCCAGTACCTTTTCTGGTTGGGTCTCGGCTGCGTTGACTTCTTCCAAATCTTCAACGTCTATCTTTTCCACTTCTGAATTGACAAAACCCAGTGAATCGCCGTAGGCCATGAGTTTTGTGAATCTCGAGTCCTTCAACAATTCCTCGTAAGTTCCTTGAAGCATTGATCCATCTTTGTCCAAGTATATAATCCTGTCAGCCGTCTTTACAAGATTGAGTTGATGAGTAGCCAAAATTCGGGTTTTACGCTCCAAAAATCCCGTCAAACATTCCTTTACAATACGTTTACCGACTTTGGAATCAACAGCACTCAAAACATCATCCAAAAGAATAATGTCCATTTGCTTATATATGGCTCTTGCTAAACTGAGTCTCGCTTTTTGCCCACCAGATAGAGTAATCCCTCTTTCACCTACCTCCGTAGAGTCACCTGCCGCAAAACTATTCAAATCTTCCTCTAGACAACAAACTCGAAGGACCTGTTGATACAATTCTTTATCGAATGGAGATCCAAACAAAATATTATCTTTAATAGTGGCATTTTGGATCCAATGACTACCACAGAAAAGTAGAGAGTCGTAAACTTCAACAATACCAGATTTCTTTTTCATAAACCCAGCAATGGCTTGCAAAAGAGATGACTTTCCTGATCCAATAGCTCCTGTAACTGCAACAAATTCTCCCTTTCTTACTTTTAAATTTACGTCATAGAGACCAAAAGGTGACAGCTTGGACTTTTCAAGTAACATATTAGTGATACCATCTCCGTCAAAATTATTTTCTTCATCTTGATCAAAATTTTCCCATTCAAAGTAAGCATTCTTGACCTCAAGTGCATATTCAGAGTGATGTTTCTTAGTCTCATCCCGAACTTCAGATTCAGAAGCATTCAAGAATTTCGCTATACGATCAAATGCAATAAGGCAATCTGTAGTAGCGGGAATAGCTAAAGGTAAATATATAATCAGTTGATTCAAAGTATTAAAGAGCGAAATGGAAGAAAAGATACTCGCCGGACTTCTCCTTCCAGAATCTATGGCATATAGTACAAGAAAGGCCACCATATATGGAATACTGTTAAGCGTGAGGGCAAGAGCAGTAAATCCGTTTCTAATTGATTGAAATGTAAGAACTAATTTCATTTCCTGATCCCTTACCTTCTTAATATTTGCAACGTAAGGTATTTCCCATGAATAGTACTTGATGATCTTCAAATTATATAAGACTTCCTTAATATAGTTAATTCTGGCGTCAGTGAATACCAGGACACTTCGCCTAAGTGCACCTAGTTTCCTAGTCAGTATACCAATAAAGACCAAGAATAGAAATAGAACTGCCACTCCTATGATTGCAGAAACTCCGATATTCACTATCAATAAAGCAATCGCCAAAGCAGTTGGAACAATGAAAGTCAAAAAATACGGCTGATAACCAAGTGCAAAATCAATTCGAGAGATGTCTGCTCCGATAATAGAAGTTATTGTCCCTAGTGGATAGTCATGACGACCTCTAGAACTTAAGCGGCATGTCTTATCAAAAATTATCTTTGTTAATACTGCACGGAGTTGTGCTCCTGTTAACATTGCTCTATACATAAAGTGATTATTAAAGAGTGAAGAAGTAGCTGTCAATAGAGCGATCCCAATTGCCAAACCAACACCTTTCCCCTCGGGGTATGCTTTAAGAGTACCACTTCTCAGGACATACAAGATTAGTTCTTTGACCAATAACGCATTCAAAGTGAGACAACAACCGGAAATACTTAAAAAAACACATGACAACAGAAATTGTTTGAAAAAAGTATCCATTGCCGCAAGTACTAACATATTACGAGTAATTTCAGATTGTCCGTGTTTTCTTTTCTCCAAAAACTTGTAATATCTTGCAGCCATCGCATCCGTCGTTATTTCTGGGGTCAATTTAAACAAATCTTCATCCCTTAAAGTCCTCATATATCCAGTCTTCAATACAGGGTTGAGCCACCAAAATGATATTTTCCTAAATACATTGCAAGTTTTTTCGGGGAACCAAGTTCGTTCCTCATCAGTAGGAATTGGAGGAACTTCATCTGGAAAAAAGTGAGATAGAAGCCTTCTTTCCTTTACGAGTGTTTCGTCACCTTTCTCGAGCTCAGGTTGAGACTCTTCATGTATAGTCTTCAGCATAATGTTTCAATTGTCGCAGGCAACAGCAATGGCAAGATTTGATGTGGTATATATGTCAGATCACGTACGGCAACCATCTGTCATCTTGGGACACTAGGTGCAGTCTTAATCACCGAGGATTTCCCCAAGCACACAACCATTCCGGCATTCTGCCGGAGTTTTTCCGGAGTTAGCATTACCTCCGGAGTCCAGAGAATGTTTTTTACATGTTGCATTATCACGCATATTATATTGATTGATACTCGGCTATAAACTAATTTTAACCATCCAATGAGTACCCGAGGTCCTGTCCTTCATACTCCTTGGCTAATTTCTCCAACTTAGATCTCAAAAGAATTAAGTTGGGGTTTGTTGGATGGAATCTAGGAAGCCAATCAGCAACTCCAAATTGTAGTACGCCCTTTGCTCTGGTTTGCCCATGTTCTACATGTCCATACGAGCCATGTAAAGTAAGTCTCACACTCTTTGATGTGTACTCCGCCCTGTGTAATATGTTAGCATTATAAAAAACAATATCTCCTGCCTTTAAATCCACAGTGATCTGGCCATTAATATATTCCTTTCTGTTTTCATTGGTAGTTTTCACACGTTCTTCTTCAGTTCTGACCCTATTATGGGAATCGGGAACTACAATGAGACATGATTCATCGGTCAAAGCCAAATTGAATTGACATCCTGCGTATGGATTTAACAAAAGTTGCTCAGCTTCTTCTTCTGGAGTGGCTTCTGGTTTAATGTAATCTCTATGCCAGTCCAATCCAAAGTCTGTCAAAGGATTAATTAACATATTGAAGAGCTCCATGGAAATTCCATTTTTATCAGTTTGAAGAATGTCTCCAGCAACATCCAAAATTTTGTCAGAGGCGTAACAATCATGGAAAGGAAGTGAGAGCTTGCCCAAATCAGGATGAAGAAGACCAGAAATACCCCAGATATCAGGGCTAAAATTGACCGGCCATGGAGGGAACTGCTTTCCTCTTGTTCTGACATGTGGCCATTTGCCTTCTCTGGCATACTCGACTACTTCCTCAGCAGCTTTCCTGTAGTGAGAAATTTCTTCTTTGGTTAAGAATCCACGAATAACTGTGAATCCTACTTTGGCGATTTGATCATGGTGGAAATGTGGAAGGGGATGAGGCATTTTGGGATACAAAGGTAATGGACCCTGTCAATATCTCAAATTTGTGGGGGGGATTCCATGCCTTATTATATACGAATAAAAATTTCATATCTTCTCCACAAACTAAACGTTAGAATTGAATTGTCGATAGAGTTCCTCGCACCATATTAAGAAAAAATGTAACATTAAATTATAATAACACTAACTAAATTTAACTATATGCAACCTTGGAAATGAAATATGTAACCTTCTGATTACAGATATAGGCGTTCGCACATAATTGTTGTCTTTAATAATTTTGTTGGCTTGTATGGGCAGGTAAATCGAAAAAAAAATTCCCCCACAAAAATCTCTTATAATGATAAATAAACCTCCTTAGTAATTGTTTTATAGTATAAAATACATCAATCCACTCGTTGTCATGTCTACATTAAACTGGGGGATATTGGGTGCTGGGAACATCTCTTCCCAATTTGTACACGACTTATTATTGAACAACTCTCGTAATGGAAAAATCATGCACATCGTGAGATCAGTGGGCTCATCCTCTCAAGAAAAGGGCCAGAAATTCGTCGATAGTACTGGTATTACTATTGAGAATAATGGTGGTGTCACCCCAAGTGTCCAACTGTATAAGGAGTTTTTCACCAATAAATCAATTGACGTTGTTTATATCGGTACCCCACATCCATTCCACAGGAAGCAAGCTATCGAAGCATTGGAAAATGGTAAACATGTTCTTTGCGAAAAACCGGTAACGGTAACAGGAGAGAGTGCTAGGGAACTTATTGCATTGGCTAAGAAGAAAAACTTATTCTTCATGGAAGCTGTATGGACAAGATTCTTCCCTTCAATTGATCTTATCAAGAAGTATGTCTTTCAAGAGAAGGTTTTGGGGGATACCAAGAGACTTTGGGTAGACTTTGGCTATGATGCAGGTCTCGACACCTTACCAGCGACCTCGAGAGTAAGAGACCCCAAATTAGCTGGTGGTGCATTACTTGATATAGGGGTCTACAATATTACATATGCTCGTATATTGTTGGATACCGGGGTAGGTAAGAATGCTTCAGAATTTGACGTCAAATCATTCCAAACTATAGATGAAAATGACGGGGTAGACTATGTTTCTTCAATGCTTTTCAAGTATAAGAGTGGCAAACATGCTATTCTTAGTTGTACCAATTATTCATCAGACGATGGTCCATTCCTTAGACTTGAAGGTACGAAGGGTAAACTTGAAATTTGGGCATCCAATCCTGCTTGCCCCAAGAAATTCAAGATTACATTTAAAGATGGGACCGAACCAATTGAATACGAAGACACAACGGGCTACAATGGGTTTATCTACGAAGCCAATGCAGTTGCTGAAGACATTGCGCAAGGAAGAATTGAAAATTCTACTATGCCATGGGATGAAACGCTTTTAGTTATGGATATTATGGACAAAGTCAGAAAGGATAGTGGTTTACAATATCCCATGGGTATTGAGTAATATATATGTATGTCAATATTATACGATTACTGAGAGAGTATTTATAATTTCGCTCCACAATCACGTGCTCACAATAGATTGTATTGTAATTGGAATGTTCCATGAATTTTAGATAAGGCGGCGCATTTTCGGCCCGTTTCCAATTTCGGTCTAAAGTTCCCGATACGTTATCTTAATTCCAGGAACTTTACAAAATATGATGGGAACTCTCGAGTACTTGGAGAGATTTTGGATATAAACTCGTACTTCGCTTTCTATGGAATTAAAGTTTAAAGTTATACCGGGAAACGCATTCTTAATTCCGCTGCAGCATTATATTGTGGCATTTTACAGGGCCATACACATATATATGCGGGGACATAACGTGGATTATTTATTAAGTTGAACCATTTTTCTGTTATTGTAAGCCCTACAGGATCGATTGCACTCTTACTTGGTATTTAATGAGTGATTATACCATGTCTGAATCTAAATACACCCTCAAGACTTCCGTGGGTGATTTCACAGGAGCAGAGTTGAGGAACTCTGTTACTGGCGAACCCCAAACATATCTTTACAGTCAAATTCCATATGCGGAATCTTTTTCTGGAGAAAACAGATGGGAAAAGCCTGTTCAACTCCCTAGTGATCATGATTATACGGGGGATTACCTGTCATTTGGCTTTCAGGCACCGCAGCCAAAAATCGACAATAAGGAACTTGAATATATTAGTCCAGATGTTCCTTCGAGTGAAGACATAAATTATGTGAACATTTGGGTTCCATCTGGAACACCTCCACCTGGTGGATATCCTGTTTTCATATATATACATGGTGGGTGGCTTCAGTATGGAGACCCCAATAAGTTTGAAAATCCTCGTGAGCTTCACGGGAGTCATGGATTGATGAAGTACATTATTGTCAACCCAGGATACAGGTTGAATGTATTAGGTTTCTTCGCCAGTACGGAGCTTCAAAAGCTTAATCCAGGGAATACTAATCTTGGATTTTGGGATCAACGTGCCGCAATTGAATGGGTATATCAAAATATTACATACTTTGGTGGTAACCCTGAAAAAATTACTGTTGGTGGACTTAGTGCAGGGAGTTATTCTACCTTCTTCCAGTTGGCGTATGAATTGTACAACCCCAAAGTGTCCCAAATCATTAAGCAGGTGGTTCATTTCTCGAACGCATTGTTGGTACAACCAAAGGCGATCAAAGAAGTGGATGAGCAATATGAAGAATTACTCACATTATTGGACATCCCATTAAGCTTAACTCCAGAAGAGAAACTTTCTCACTTAAGAAACGTTTCGGCGGATAAATTGATGGAGGTACTCCCAACTATGAAACAGCATACTTTTAGGGCTGTTTCTGACAATATTTTCATTGCAAATACATTACTTCTGGATTTGAAAAGTGGGAAATTTAGTAAACTTCTTTTACAGAAGAAAAATTTCAATATAGTTATTGGAGAGGTTGCAAATGAGCCATATTTGTATTCTGTATTGGACACTCCTACGTCTCAAGAAGAATTGATCGTCCAGTTAGAAAACTATTACCCTACTGCTGCAGTCAAGGAAATGATCAAGCTTTACCCTACAGTTCCTAATTCTTTACCAGAAGTTGAATATCATGAACAATTGCGTCAACTTTTTGGAACAATTGTTGCAGATGGGCAAGTTTATGCTTCATCTAGAGGTTACGTTAAGAATTTGGTAAATAATGGATTCCCTAAAGAAAGAATTTTTCGATACAAGGTCTCATATAGACCAAAGTACTTAGACCAATTATTGGACCCATATCATGGAGTTATTCATGGTATGGATCAAAAGGTTTGGTTCCTCGGTATTGGGGCTACAGAAGAGGAAAAGCGTTTGATTGAGACATTTATTTTCCCGTTCAATGAAATTTTGGGCTTTGCAGATCCCAAAAAGATCAATTGGGGAACCTTGACAGAAAAGCAATACCGGTCGATTTCTCCAACCGGAGAAACAAGTGTAATTAAGGATGACGATTGGCAATGGGGTACTAGTGTGGCAGAAACGGTCATTACCGCACAATTACATAGTAGTTAAGTTTCAATATATTAATTATGATTAGAGATTAGGTTATTACAATAACCGCCGTGCTTCAAATTTTAATAGAAGCATTTTCGTAATTCATGGAACATGAACCAATAAAATTGCATCTCGAATTTCTGGTATGTTTGAACTTTTAATCTTCATCTTTTACCAATACTAAAAATAAAAACTGTTGTCTAGTTACACATCGTATTCATACACGTGGGAGAAGAAATTATGCTTCTAGCAAATCAATACACTGCCGTATAATGCACGGATTGACTTTAATTAGGTTCCTTTAGTTTCTCGTAACCATATTTGATATCTCCGGGAGTAGCCTCGAATTGCCGATTGTTGAATAATTATTCAATCATGTGAATTGAACAACCTCGGAATTTGGGTACAAACAAACAATTGACCAATAGAATGGAATTTTTGTTGATGTACTGCCAACATTCAAACGGAATAGGGTAGAAGAGTTCGGTATCTTCGATGAAAATTTTGTGCGCAAAGTGAAGTGTGACTCGGGTAACTTTCTAGATGTCCACTTTTCACGCGAGCTCATAGGGCTATTAATAGATTGATCATAGAAAATAGGATTTTGAAACTTTAATTATACAATGTTGACGTTTTCAAACCAGATATAATTCTAAAAAGGGCAAATAATAGCGAGTTGGCATATTTCTGATTGGATTTTAAGTATTTTTGGCCCGGGGCATTGATCCTATCAGTACAACTGTTTCACCTGAAGTATACGAATTTTGACACAAAGTGATCACATATCTTTTATTCGACATAACATAACTTGTAGTAGCTGCTGGTTAGCAAAGATTGTGCGAATTGACAAAGAATACGCATGGAATATTCCAATCTTTGCAGTAATTCTTGCAAACCCTTTTTCAATTGACATAAATTTTGACACCCTTTCTAACACTTGCATAATGGTGCGGCATTTTCCTCGGCTTACATGCATCATTTGCATGAAAAATACCTCAAAGCCATATGTCAAAATTGCTATTGTGCAGTTGCATTTCTAGATAAGGATATAATTCTATATATAAGTACAAACAACATGACCAAATGTCGAAAAGAATTATTACAGTAGGAGTATATTAGACAATGTTAGAAAAATTGCAACCATTGCGCTCTCCAGCGCAGGAGATACAACTACAGAGCTTGAGAAGTGTCACTAGTCGCTTAGATCCTCATGACCATGAGATTAATTTGGAAGCGATCACATCTCAGCCTCTCTCATTGAATGAAGTCGGGCAACAGCTCACTTTGTTCCAAAAGCAGTTGATTCTTGCTAAACTTAATTATGAGAAATTGGAATCTCTTGATGATCTTCCAGTGGGGGCAGTTTTCTTTATTGAAAAGGTTCAGAATCTTCCTATTGAAGAGTCTATTCAAATTCTCAAGGATGCTCTTGTTGAGCACAGGAATGACTCAAATTTTCCAGAAGAAGATTACCAATTCATAGAATCACTTCTCAGTCAACCAAAAGGAAATCTTGAGCAAAGCTCTACCACAGGTGGTGTTATAAATGACTTGGGGAAAGATGAAAAGGTGTTTGAAAAAGCTACAAATCTTGAACATTCATTGATGGAGACTTCTTCAATCAATGTATTCCAAATTGTTGATTGGGAATTGCAAGTTAAACTCGAGGCTGCTATATTTGCGTATTATTCCCCATATCCTGAAGTAAGAGCTGTTACTGATCCATATGATGATCCTTCAACGCCATGTGAAACACTTAGAGCATATGTGGTTGCTTTAGTTTGGACTGTAATCGGTTCATTCATTAATGAGTTTTTTGCTCATAGAATGCCTGCTATTGGTCTTAGTACCGCTGTCGTGCAATTATTCTTGTACCCTAGTGGAAAGCTTTTGGAGTTGATTATTCCAAATTGGACTATTCCAATTTCCAGGACTTTTTCCATCCAGTTGAACCCGGGGCCGTGGAGTATTAAGGAGCAACAATTATGCTCTATCTTTTACCTGATTTCATCTGCAGCTCCTTACGTTGATTCTAATATTTACGTACAGAAATTGGCTGTGTTCTATAACAACACTTGGGTGACCTTTGGATATCAAGTCCTACTTATCTTGTCAACTCAATTTATTGGTTTTGGCATTTCTGGAATTTTGAGGAAGTTCACAATTTATCCTGTTAAGGCCCTTTGGCCAAATGTATTTCCTACATTGGCTCTCAACCGAGCTCTTTTGATTCCAGAAAGAAAAGAGACTATAAATGGCTGGAAAATTTCAAGATATTATTTTTTCTTTCTTGTTACTGGGTGCTCGTTCATCTATAATTGGGTTCCTATTTATCTTTTCACTTCGCTATCAACATTCAACTGGATGACATGGATTGCACCAGACAACTTTAAGTTAGCAGCAATAACAGGTTCACTGTCGGGACTAGGTTTAAACCCTATACCTACATTTGATTGGAATATTTTGAATTCCAACTTTTGCTTAACGATTCCATTTTATTCTCAGATCAATCAATACATGGGCTCATTGATTGCGTTCATTGTAATTGTTGCTTTATACTGGACCAACAATAAATGGACCGCATATTTACCAATAAACTCCAATTATGTGTTTGATAATACTGGAAATCAATATGCAACTACAAGTGTTATTGGATCAAACAATGAACTTAATGAAGATATGTACAAGAAAATGGGACCACCATATTTCAGTGCGGCAAACTTGGTAGTTTATGGTGCATTCTTTGCTCTTTATTTGTTTGCATTCTTTTATCAGATTATAACTGAGTGGAAGCAATTGTCCGATGGTGCCAAGAATGTCTTTTTAGGTTTCAAAAATTGGCGGCGTCCCGTTTATGAAAATTATACAGATGCACAATCTAGAATGATGAGCAAGTATAAAGAAGTTCCAGATTGGGTGTATCTTATTGTACTTGTTATCGCGTTCCTTTTGGCTGTACTTTGTGTTGAGTTATACCCTGTTAATACTCCTGTTTGGGCAATTGTATTAATGGTTCTCCTTAATTTTGTATTTTTGATTCCAATTACATCAATTTACTCGATTACCGGATTTAAGTTTGGACTCAATGTGCTTGCTGAAATTATTGTGGGGTATATTTTCCCTGGGCAATATCTCCCATTGATTACACTTAAAGCATTTGGGTATAATACTGATGGTCAAGCCATGGCCTTCATATCAGATTTGAAAACCGCACATTATGCAAAGATTCCTCCAAGGGCCGTATTTAGAGCACAATTACTTTCAACTTTTGTTTGCTGCTTTATTACATTAGCTGTAATTAATTTCCAGTTGGGAAGTGTCAAAGATATTTGTACTCATCATCAGAAACAAAAATTCTCCTGTCCCGGAGATGTCACATACTATTCATCCAGTATTCAATTTGGTCTTATTGGACCAAGAAGAATGTTTGACCAAGTGTATCCCATTCTCAAGTGGTGCTTCTTAATCGGGCTTTTATTGGTGATTCCAGCTCTTGCGTTCAAGAAATTTGGTCCACGCAGACTTACCAAGCATTTCCAACCTACAGCTATTATTGGGGGAATGTTGGTTTTTGCACCTTACAATTTAGCGTATTATACAGGGGGTGTTTATCTCTCATTTGCTTTCATGCACCACATAAGAAAGAGATATTTGACTTGGTGGGAAAAATACAACTATGTTTTTTCTAGTGCAATGGATGCTGGAGTTGCATTTTCAGCAATTATTATTTTCTTCGCAGTTCAATACCACGAGAAAGATGTAAATTGGTGGGGTAACACTGTATCATACGAAGGAATTGATGGTGGTATAGGACAACAGTCTTTATTGAATGTTTCGAATACAGACCAGGGGTATTTTGGTCTAAAATGGGGTACATTTTCGTAGGCTGTATATTTATATTATTTTATGTAATATTCTTGAAGAATTGTACAATCATGTAGGAAACTTTTTTTAAAAAAAAACCTATGTTATCTCTATTACATATTATATATTTAATAAGATATCCCCATATGGTGAAAAAAGATAATAACATACAATAAGCATTATTAAGTATTAGTAAGCATATAGTCAGAATGCCTTCTTAGTTGATTCCTTTAGGTAACCGTGATTCCTGGTGGACCCTTGAATCCAGACGACTCTGTCTCTATACAGTCTTGTTATGTACAGGATAGTGAGATTACCATTTCTCAACACAATGAAATGTCCCTAAGTTTTCATCCTGCAGTTGGGAGTAAACTGTTGAATGCAATATGCGAATAATATGATTACGTCAGCGGCAGTAAGGTGACACAAACAAAAGCTACTCAGTAGCTTATGCTGCCCAATGAGAAAAACTTTTCGCCAGGAAAATCATTGTGGACAATTGGTTATGCAAGAAAGGATTGACCGATTATAAATAGGATAGTATAGATCCCAGTAGAAATGATATGTGAGAAAGAAGCTAGTGGTTATTACATTAACTTCCGATACACATTTCGTAATTTAATAAAACTATATTTTGTATACACTTCCGTACATACTTAAACTTAAAAACAACTATATTTCTTTTATGCAGTGTTGCCGCATTGGGCGATTATCTCCGGTAAGGGTTCTAATTCACCATTCAAATTAGGGATATAAAGCCACTCCCTTAACCCCTGATATTGAAACTATCAGAGAGGGATTATCTTTAATTTATTATTATTTCAGGTTTAGATTATATCTACCTGAAAGTGCCAAACACACATTTCACCTTAACGCACTAAGCTAAATCTTGTCCTTGACTCCTATCCTGCTAACACCCTTAGTGCCCTGTACATACCTTTATAGTTAGTATACATACTCCTTACAACACTACTAATAGTGCCAGGGACTACCCATTTAGGACGATCTTACTCTTGTGGGAACAATATTTAACAGATTAGAGAATTCTCATTCTAAAGTGACGCGTGGAGCAGGTAGCTTTAGTATATTTTACCAGTAACTATACACTCAGATTGAGCGAAAACTGGTATAATATTGTGAACTATTATTAAAATTAAAACAGGATGATGAAGTTAGTCATACTAACCTTATGGATGTGGTTGGCTTTGGTTGAGGGCGGTGTGGTTTATAAAAATGTTGTGGGTAATATTTTGGAAAGTAAGAGAGGTGAAGTTGGAAATACAGAGTTTGCATTACAGAAAAGAGGAGGGGCAGCCTACATTGTTGGAGGTGCGTGTATTGGGGCAGGTTTGATGTTAAATGTAGTGGCATTTACGCGTAAGAGAGAGGACGACCTGAGTGATGATAAGTTTGCTATTTCAGTAGAAGAGATCCGAGTCGCATATGGAGATCACTATTTCAACGTAACGTTGGGCGCAGACGTGTATAAGGTAACGCCAATTACTAATAACAAAAACAATGTACTTGAAGGTGCACCTATAGTATCAGGAAATGATATTCCTGAAGAGTTAATGAAATACTTAGACGATGGTCAGGATTATGCGATCACTAGCTATCGAGAAAACAATATTGGTGAGCTCGACAAGAGGGTCGATATCTTGTTGGGATTTGCAGGTGCAGCATTAGTGGCCGCAGGAATGTATATATACTATTTGAATTCTGCAAGGAAGTGGCATGAGTTAGACTCACCAGCGTATGAGTGAATAATCAATATGGGTCGTTGAGTGTGATGTAACACAGCCCGACTTTTGGGAACAGAAAATTACACTTGTAAGTCCCACGACTATTTCTAAGGAGACGAGCGTAACGTCTCCTGAACAATGGGGTTACTGGTTGTCAAGGAACCCCCAAACTTTATTTTGTTGTCCATTTCTATGGAACCGCACTCATATTCCACTATGAGGTGCGCCCCCCTCTCTTTTCTCTACAATGGTGACTTGTTCACCAAGTTATTTAATTAATACTACTGTTTCCTATTTTACTGTCACGTAATAACAAACCTAACAGGGAAAATCTTATTATATATATAAACAACATAATAGAGATAAACACCCCGACTTTGCATCAAAAATATTGTTTTGCTGCCTAACAAATAAGGCGTATAATGGTAGTCGTGTAGCTGAGCCACACAGATTGTATTGAACCTATATAATTTTTATAAATCGTAGGAAGCCGGGTTTCGACAAAATAAAAATAGAACTGTAATTCCGTATTACAGAGTTATTATTCTATTCGCGGGTAACTCGTCAGTGTTATCGTCGGTAAATGGTAAAGAGCATATTATTTGTGTTTTCAAGGGACATTTGAAGTCCCTTAAATAAACATTTCCAGCAAATTCCAAATTCATGATTTGTATATTTGGGAAATGGAGCCAGCAATTAAAACGGTTATGTTCCTTTATTGGGAAGGATTTCGTTGTGGTTGCATATTTCAATATTTTCTGGAAGATTATGCAAGATTATGCGAGATAAAAGTATTGACATGTATGGGTGTATGGGTGTATGGGTGTTAAGATTTTTTAGCCACCATATGGGCTCAAATGTATTTTATAATAGGCTATCTAAGGACTACTCGATTCTTGTTTTCATTTAATATTTTCTTGAGTTAGTATGAAGGCTGAAAAATCAATTTAACCCATTTTTTTTTTTACCATATGGGGAAATCTGATTCAATATATGATATGTAATAGAGATAAAAACCACGACTTCCTGGCCTAAGCCGAGTGGTAAAAGGGCCTAATGCTAGCATTAGGTAACGAAAGGAGAATAACTAAATGTTACTCAAAATTGGGTTATATAAGAATGATAAATAAAAAAATTAAAACAAATGTGAAGAGTTGCCCACTATCACTTGACCCAGCTTGGTTTTTCAACCCAACCTAGCTGAAGTCCCCTCATGTTGTCATGCTAAAATTCAGCCTGACAACAATGAAGGAACCATGCGGTCCACCGGTTAAAAACTCTCCGATATGCCCTCACTTAAACCAAGAGAGAGACAATGTAGATAAAGTTTCCTGACCGCTAATAGATAGCGGTTGATTTTGACTAATTCTTCTGGTGAAGAATTGGTGTTGGCAACTAATATACGGAGCGTAAGGGGGGAAGTAACTTCTTATACGACCCAGAGTTGGTGACTGCGTTTACACTGCGTGTAAACATGATCGGTGAGTCCTGGGATTTGTCTTGTTCCGCACAAATGGCAGGTAGTATGTTGCCAGAATTGTCTGTGGCCCAAGTTGAATCGATGCAATTCCTCTAAGGACCTAGCCCCGAGCTTTTTCCTTACTTGGTATATGAGTTGCCAGAAGCTTTTCCATTGAGTCTCTGAGAGGAGCCTTCGAACCGTGTTGGTATTGTTGATCTATCCGTTTGATGTTCCTTTGCACTTGGGCGCAAAAATGAGTCTCGCGAAATAGTAGCGCCCCATCTATCCCGAATCAGGCAGTCCGCCATCGGCGCCATCGGAGCAGCCTCCTGTAAGAGTTGAGTGAGTCCCTCTGGTGTGATCTTTATGGGGGGTGGCCATCACCGTCTCATTTGGGGGGAAGATGTACCACCAAGTTCTTAAGTATTCTCTTTCAGGTTGGGAGAACACCTTGGACTCGAGACATTGCTCTATGAACAGTCGATTTCTTTTAACTTTGAGAGTTTGTTCCCATAAGTCTTTATACCACGGGACCACTGTTATACCCGTCAGCCTAAAATTCCCGTATTCACTGATGGCCATTTGGAGTTTCAGTCGAAGAATAACATAGTAAACATTATTTACTGAAGATAAAGTGTTAAATATAACTAGCTCTTCGTCCCTGTAGTTGGATTTGCAAATCCAAAAGACCATATCCTCCCTTCTCAGGAATTTTGAAGAGATTAGCTTCTCCGATGCCTTTGGGAAGGAGAGTTTTTGCTTTTCTTATCATTTCTTGGATGTGTTTATCGGTCATAGGTGTATGCAAGTCTCTGAAGTATAACTTTGGGAAGAGGTAAGTATTAATTCCTTGAACCCTATCGAGTGTCGGAACTCCTTGAATAAGATTCAAGAATAATCCTCTCCTTAATTTCTCAATTTGGCGTGTCCAGTCTATTGTTTTGGAACTCACTCCGAGGTATGTGAATTCCGTATCCAGATATGCTTTAACAGGGAAGTTCGCAATCCTGGGTTCCTTTAATTCTTGTTTGAAGCTGTAAATGATGGATTTGTCAAAGTTGACTTTACTTCCCGAATAGGAACAGAAAACCTTTAATTCCTTTTTTAAGCGCTCAACATCAGTAGAGTCTTTTAAATAAATTAAAACATCATCAGCGTAAGCAGAGTATTTAAGTGTAATGCCCTGAATAAAATGTATAGAGAACTTAAACCCAAGCAAGTTTGCTTGGATCTTAATTAAGAATGGTTCTAAAGCAAGGATAAAAAGAAGTGGGGATGCTGGGTTCCCTTGCCTTACGCCAGATTTGAGGGGGAAAGATGTTCCGTAACATTTGTTTATGTATACTTGTGCTTCCTGTTGTTCCGTGATGGCCCGGAGGGCCTGTAAAATTTTGGGGCTAAGTTTGATGGATGGAAGTATTTGCGCTAAATATTCATGGGATACTCTATCAAAAGCTTTGTTAAAATCTAAAAGCATTACAAGTGGTTAATGTTGAATGCGAAAGGAAAGAAATTTGTCTTGTTACAGATTAGGTGAATAAGTTGTTTTAGTTGTGCAATATTTTCGTCCATTTGTCTGTGGGGTAGAAACCCTCTAAGACCAGGTGCAATCAATTGATCCGCATATTTGACTAATCGGTTTTTAAGAACTGAGGAGACCAATCGTATACTAGTATCAGCTAACAGGATTGGTCTATATTCAGTTATTCTTCTAGCTTCTTTAGGATAATTTTAATGAGTACCTTACGCATTGCTTTTGGCAATTGACCAGATTCAAGAATTTCATTTACATTGACGGGGAGAATTGGACCTGTGAAATCCCATGTCTGCGTGAAGAAAGGGTAAATGATTCCATCTGGGCCCGGGGCCGAGGAAGCTATTTTCTCCTTCAATGCTTGCTGTAATTCTTCTAGGGTGATGTCGCTAACTAGCTCTTCCCGTATGGTTGGACTAAATTTCCGGGTATGAGATTGGTATATTCAATTGTTTCCTTTTCCACTTTTACTTTTTTTAAAGAGCAGGGTGTAGAAGGTGGTGGCTCTTTGAAGAATTGTTAGGGTAGTATTCACTGTATTTTGTCTATTTACATCCTCTAGTTCCGTGATCAATTGATTGGAAAAGGGGTTACCTTTAAACCTATCCTTGAGCGGGGTATCAATTCTTTGTTCTTCTGCTTCTTTGAAAGCATCGTGGATTGCGGTGACCCCATGTCTCCTAAGGGCTTGGTGGGCCATTTCAAGTTGGATGAATTGTGCTTTGGAAAATTGTACAAATTGACTCCATGGTAAATGGGAAAATTGTCGGAAGCTTTCTAGCATTCCTTTGTGAATGAGGAATTCTCCGGAACAATAAATCTCTTTTTACCGACTTCAAGTAATTGGTCTTCTTATATTTTTATCTAGATTATGTAATCTTGGAGTACAATATATGTTTTTTTTTTTTACTTCAATACTATTATTGATTAATTTCTTTCTACTACCTGTCAATAGACCTGTTTTATTGATTTTTGGGAGCCAGGACTATTATATTGCATATATTAAATAATATTCTTCTAATTGGATGAAAAATGATTCAACTGTAGACTCTAAAAAGATGATTACATGGGTTGATGTTCCTTACATTAGAATAAATACTCAACAAATCTCCAGTACCAAAGTTATAAGTCTCAAATTCTGTCAGCTTGAATACAATATATGTACTTTGTTATAGAAAAGGGAAATCTATATTTTAAAGAGATTCATTTTAAATTTGACACCACTCGCATTTAAGAGATCACAAACTGTCATACATTTACCAAATTAAGATTGCAAATACAAAACCATCTTTGTCACGAATTGTTCAAAACTATCTAACAAACTAAGAGAATTAAGCTTATAATACTCAGGTTTCCTGTACATTTATATCACTATTCTCCGGCTTAGAAATATTGGTATATTTTTCTGTAGAGAGAGTCCAGAAATGCTTTCCGCACTCTCTTAAAACAATGAAACTTCCATTAATGATAATGCTAAGCATGAACATCAACCAGGTGGTAAATATATGGCCACACCTAGCAAGCCATGGCTGAATTGCGAATGTGAAGGCACATCCAATAATATTTCTAATGAATAAGATCAATACAATGGATTCACTAGCTAATTCTGGATAAGAATCAACTCAATAAGTTAAACAAATTGATCCAGAAGATGCCATTGCAAATCCCAACAACGCTTGACCAATCCGCACGGAAATAAAGCAGTGGGTGCCATAAGCTGCACCTAATCCGTAGGCGATCAACCCAGCTGCATTAAATAATGTTGGAATTAACATGGCCCATAATCTAAACTCTGGTTCAAATACACCTCTATCTCTTTTGGATAAGAATATATAAATATAATCTACAAAGTCCCCACCATAGAACATCCCAAAAATTGAACCAATTAAAGCACTAAAATTTGTCAAGTCGACTCCTCTAGTTGAAAAGTTTTGGAGAAACAGAGTATATCTGGGACTGCATTGTACCAAGAAGGGATAACCACATCATTTGAGCACCATAAACAATGCCAGCCAATTTGGAAAACCTACCACATAGAAGGGTCTGACAGAAATATCTACCCAAGGCCTTCTATCCCCGTACTCTGTCTCAATAAACCCTAAGCGTTGACGGCGATTTCTCAAAGGAATTGTATAATCAATTGAAGTGCCATCTTCGTCATCCAACTTCTGCTTGTTTGTTGATAAATTTTGATCTTCTCTTCTGAAAGTTGTATCTTCAAGAAGAAATAGAACAATGACCATCACAATGCTGAATATAATTACTGAAATGTAAAAGCACCATCTCCATTTTATTGCATCAACAATATACCCACAGGCAACTGGTCCTAAATCAGAGCCTGCGTAGAGTGCAAATATGAACCAAGATAAGTACCTAGCTCGTTCATGTTGGAAAAATACATCAGCTGTTGAAATTTCTACCAAAGTATCGACAGGCCTCCCAAAGCTCCAAATAGTTTCACCACATATAAAACACGTACATTATTTATTCTTGATCCAGTTATGCTCGAAATAAGTAAAAATAATATAAATAATAAATAGATGAATCTTCGACCCATTTTCATCGCTGTCGGTTGAACCAAGAGACATCCTATGGCCAAAAATGCAAATCCAACTGCACCAGCATTGTTGAGATCATTAAAGGTACAATCACATTCTTGTGACCAATTGCCCAGAGAGGACCTTGCCAATTTGATAGAGTTGCCAGTAAGAAAGCCCAAATCCAAAGAATTGTAAATTGAATGTATTTCTTTTATTAGTCCATCGCAATGGGTCATTCGGGTTTGGAGATGGCTGTGGAATCAAAATAATATTTGATGTAGATTTTTTTTTAACATTAACATATCCCTCGATGTCTACCAATTGAACTGTTCTTGGTATTTGAAAATTTAAGTACAGGAATTTATCTCGAGAAATAACCATGGTAATACCTGACTTCAAACTGATTCATTTCATGAAAATTGAATGAAACTAGGAAGTTAGCCTGAATTATGCTAATAACTATAGCAAATAATAGTTAACCTTTTCGTCATTATGCATAGAGTCCTATTAATGTTGTGTGGCTCTGATTCCAACGATATCGAAAAGGTAGAAATACCTGCATGGAAATTTATCCAATGTAAAATCTGTAAATGTGCCATAGGTTGCATGCATAACCATAAATTTTCAAGTAATTTCTTAAGTTGATTCTCCCACTTCTATGATTTATTGAGTAAACAAAAAGAAAAAGTATTCCATGAAAGTATATTTATGTATCTTTTTAAATTATCGTATTGTGGCCAAGCCACACTGCACAGATCAATTTGCAGCAATTACTCTGTGGCCTGAAATATGCAGACCTGGATATAAGCCTATCAGTTTACAGAGAAATAACACAAAATGCCAATCTAGGAATAAGAATAATATGGTATAGTGAGAAACCCTTGTCAAAGAGACGTAATTGATTGGACAATTCATCACGATGTTCAGAGAAGATGAATTATATATAAAGACAGAAAAGGTGAAATTGAAATATATATTTAGATAGAAATCAGTGGTTACTAGGTCAATTTCTAGATATAATAAATCAGGTTTTATTCCATATACACCTACCTTAAAATATTCCTCCTCCTTTTTTATAATTTGCTGCAAATACAGCATGTATTATCATCGTTATGTCTAGTTGTCTAGTACCCTAGATTTCAATAGTAGGAATCTGAAAACAATCGAGTTCATTGTCCTTCAAATGAAAGTTTTCCGCAAGAAGATACGATCAGGTTAGATATTGTACATATTTTGTTTAGGACCCCAGTATTGGTTTTAGTGAAACCTGATGCGCAACAGACTTAATGTCCACACACGCGAACGTTGTAAAGATTATTATGGAATTAATTAAGAGTTCAACGTGTTCCATTGAATATCTTAAAATTTTAATCTTGCCAAGTTATTTATCGTTCTATCCAAGAACAATATGAAATTGAGTTAATGTCGTTTCAATTTACTTAATAAAACTCTGTTTAATTTCCTAGTGTTCATAAATATGAAAACTATCATGAAGTACTTAACTATTCAACTCTACCTTGTTATATTTACAACATACTTTTACTGTAAATAACAAATCGCTTTCTTAATAAGCAAAGGAAATAACAAGAATAAGGTACAATTTGACACTCAGTGCAGTAACAACACATTTTGAAAGGTTACTGACAAAGTCTTATGAATTTTCAAGTTGTAATGAGCTTTATTACTCTAACATTTATTTTTCATACCAGTTAAGTTTTTATCATGTTTTTCTATTTACCCTTATAATGAAATCATTAGCCTTTTTTAACAATTCCTTAGGAGTATCGAGCTTCAAGATTTATCTTATTTGAAAAGAGGATTTATAATGGGGTGAATATGAAAACATTCTGGTAAAGTTCACAACGGATTTCCATTCAATCTCGAATGTAAAAAAAGAAATAGTATTGGTGGAATATTATACGGGCAAGTACGATTGTATTCAGAATTGAAATCAGGTCATTTTTTTTCACTCAGTATCTCAAATGAGGCAATTATCAATGGAACAGCACTCTTAATCCACTATGAGGTGCGGCCCCTATCTTTTCCCCATTTATGAGTAACAATTAGTTATGGGGTCAGGTTGTCAAAGAAACGCCAAACTTTATTTCATCGTCCTTATCTATGGAAAAGCTATCTTTGCGTCACCTAATGCTATTTTTAGACCCTTTTACGTCTCGGTTAAGGCTGGGAAGTCGGGGATTTTTGCTAGGCAGCCGAGGTTTCAAGTACCCTTTTGGGAACGAGGTTACGCGCATACCGTCTCCTGCACAATGGTGTTTCAGGCTGTCAAAGAATCCCCAAACTTTATTTCATCGTCCTTCTATGGAACAGCACTTTTAATCCACTCTGAGGTGCGGCACCTATCTTTACCCGATTTATGAGTAACAATTAGTTATGGGGTTTCAGGCTGTCAAAGAACCGCCAAAATTTATTTCATCGTCCTTATCTATGGAACAGCATTCTTAATCCACTCTGAGGTGCGGCACCTATCTTTACCCGATTTATGAGTAACAATTAGTTATGGGGTTTCAGGCTGTCAAAGAACCGCCAAAATTTATTTCATCGTCCTTATCTATGGAACAGCATTCTTAATCCACTCTGAGGTGCGGCACCTATCTTTACCCGATTTATGAGTAACAATTAGTTATGGGGTTTCAGGCTGTCAAAGAACCGCCAAAATTTATTTCATCGTCCTTATCTATGGAACAGCATTCTTAATCCACTCTGAGGTGCGGCCCCTATCTTTTAGTAAGAATGCCTTTCTTAGTTGATTCCTTTTGGTAACCTTGGTTCCGGCTCTATTTCTATACAGTCTTCATTAAAACTTTGTATTTACAGGATAGTGAGAATAGTATATAAAGCCACTCCCTTAACTCCTGATATTGAAACTATCAGAGAGAGATTATCTTTCACTTATTCTTATTTTAGGTTATAATATTGTGAACGATTATTGAAATTAAAACAGGATGATTAAGTTAGTTATACAAATCTTATGGATGTGGTTGGCTTTAGTTGAGGGCGGTGTGGTTCATAAGAATGTTGTGCGTAATATATTAGAAAGTAAGAGAGGTGCTACTGTTGGAAATGACGAGTTTGCATTACAGAAAAGAGGAGGCGCAGCCGGCTACATTGCTGGAGGTGCGTGTATTGGGGCCGGTGCGGTATTAATTGTAGTAGCATGCACGCTTAAGAGAGAGGACGACCTAAGTGATACTGAGTTTACTGTTTCAGTAGAAGATATCCAAGACGCATACGGAGATGACTATTTCAACGTAACGTTGGGCGCAGACGTGTATAAGGTAACGCCAATTATTAGTAACCAAATCAATGTACTTGAAGGTGCACCTATAGTATCAGGTGGTATTCCTGAAGAGTTAATGAAATACTTAGACGATGGTGAGGATTATGCGATCACTAGGTATCATACTGGTGAGCTCGATAAGCGGTTCGATCCAGTTTTGGGATGTGCAGGTGCAGCATTAGTGGCCGCAGGCGTTGCTATATGCTATTTGAATTCTTCAAGGAAGAGGGATGATGTAAACCCGCCAGCGTATGAGTGAATAATCAATATGGGTCTTTGAGTTGAGTGTGATGTAACACAGCCCGACTTTTGGGAACAGAAAATTACACTTGTAAGTCCCACGACTATTTCTAAGGAGACGAGCGTAACGTCTCCTGAACAATGGGGTTACTGGTTGTCAAGGAACCCCCAAACTTTATTTTGTTGTCCATTTCTATGGAACCGCACTCATATTCCACTATGAGGTGCGCCCCCCTCTCTTTTCTCTACAATGGTGACTTGTTCACCAAGTTATTTAATTAATACTACTGTTTCCTATTTTACTTTGATGTCACGTAATAACAAACCTAACAGGGAAAATCTTATTATATATATATAAACAACATAATAGAGATAAACACCCCGACTTTCCATCAAAACTTTGATTTCCCAGCATAAGGCCGAGTGGTAAAAGGGCCTAATGCTAGCATTAGGTAACGAAAGGGGAGTAACTAAATGTTACTCAAAATTGGGTTATATAAGAATAATAAATAAATCAATTAATAACAAATGTGAAGAGTTGCCCACTATCACTTGACCCAGCTTGGTGGAAAAACCCAACCTAGCTGACGGCCCCTCATGTTGTCATGCTAAAATTCAGCCTGACAATGAAGGAACCATGCGGTCCATCGGTTGAAATCTCTATCCGACATGCCCTCACTTAAACCGAGAGAGGTACAATATAGATAATGTTTTCCAACAGCTTAGAGGTAGCGATTGATTTTGACTAATTCTTCTGATGAAGAATTGGTGTTGGCAACTAACATGCGAAGCGTAAGGGGGGAAGTAACTTCTAAGACAACCCAGTAAGGCGTATTTTTTATGCATAGTAGTGGGACAATTTTGTTGTACGATAGATTATAATATATATTTTTATAACTAGTTCAATAAATGTAAATTCGTATGGCACTGAATAAAGATATTTTCTTGTAAAATGGTAGTCGTGTAGCTGAGCCACACATATTGTATTGAACCTATATAAATTTTATTAAACATAGGAAACTTTTGTTTCGACAAAATAACAATAGAACTGTAATTCCGTATTACAGAGTTATTATTCTATTCGCGGGTAACACGTCAGTGTTATTGTCGGTCAATGGTAAAGAGCATCTTATTTGTGTTTCCAAGGGAGATTTGAAATCCCTTAAATAAACATTTCTAGCAAATTCCAAGTTCATGATTTGTATATTTGGGAAATGGAACCAGCAATTAAAACGATTATGTGCCTTAATGGGGAAGGATTTCGGTTGTGGTTGCATATTTCAATATTTTCTCGGAGATTATGCAAGATAAAAGTATTGACATGTATGGGTGTATGGG